GAACTGCTTCTAGTTCCATCCTCAACCGTTCTTCTTTCTCCCAAATGGTATCTAAGCCCTTGTTGATAGAGGCGCTGTCCGTTTGAATCATACCCAGGGTTGGCGGCTGAGTTTTCTGTTGAAGTGGGGGAAGGGGCATCCCATGGGTCACTTCCTTCACTTTCCCCTTCACTTTCCTCTTCGATAATGGGAGAGAGAACACGCTGGTCCACCCCCCTTTCGTAGATTCCTCGCTCTTCTTCTTCTTCAACGACTGGGCCTCTTTGTGCGGGCCATCCTTCCATCTCAGTGTCGGACTCACTGGACTCGCTTGTGTCGGAGTCTTCTGTGATCCACTCGTCGTTGGTGATGAAGATGAAATGGATGGCTTGGTTGGGTCAGTCGTCGATGTAGTTGGGAGGGGGTGTGTGCGGTTGTCTAGCCTCCGGGTTGGGGGCTTCGACGGGGATAGTTTCTTCGGAGACTGGCTCCTGGTTTCGTCGGTATTCGTATCCATATAGGAATGCGAGGTATGCCAAGGCTATGAGGCCCTGGAGTCCAATGAAGTCGGTTATGGTTTGGTCGAGGGGGTTCATTCGTTACTGTTTGACAACGTGGTTGTTGTTGAAGAGTAAGAAAGTCTTGAACTAATTGTTAGCGACCGATTACACAAACAAGATTAAACAACTAGGCGTGACTCGCACTTCGGTCAGGTGCCTTATGTTGCTTGCAGGTTTATGTGCAGGGAGCTATCGCTTAGTTGAGCGAGAGTGAGTTCAGACTAAGTTATCGGGTGAATAAACTTTAGTTCGAGACTGAGGTTTAAGACCTGCAGTCGAGCTACTTAAATACAGTTTGGGTCGTGCTAAATATACTACAAGTGTCTGCAATGGTACGGTAAACATACTGAACCCTCATGGTAGAATGCGATCAAGTCCGGAGAATTAGTATAGCGAGATTACGAGGAAGCCGATAAAATAAGATAGAGCGCGAAATCGTAATATCCAATTTGAAAGCGACGAGGACCTTTTGAGCGTTGTCTGGAGATTTTCGCCTGTACCACAATATGGCTGAGAACAACATATGAAGGTTGTCGAGGCATGATCCTGCTATGTCCAAGTGACAAATCATTCAATTAGGCACGTAAGAACCAGCGGACATGTTGGATACCATGTGCAGGTCATCTGAGCGAGGTTTAGGGACTGCGTGAACTGGGGTGCTGTACATTCCTGGGAGCAAATCTGGGCTGAAGGGTTCTGAGAAATGGCCAGCAGTGATTTCTTCATTCCGGTACCTGCTGATGAACTCCTGTTCCATCGCAGACCATGGACTCATCCTCGAGTTGTCCCAAGTTAGTGGGAACTCTGCCGCTGGTTGCATTGATGAGCCTCCAGGCTCTGTATGCTCAGAATTCGTGGATTTTACCAGATATTTAATTCCCCAGCCACCACACAAACCTACTGTTTCAATCCCAGCAATATTGCTTAATGCCGCTACTTGTCCTTCCCCACTTGTACCCCACATCAATTACGTGCCCCTTTCATTAATTCCGCCAGGCACCTGATTGTCGATCTCACGGATTTAGAATCCCATCTGATTGCCTAGCACAGCCGCAATTCCGCAGCACAGCCACAATTCCGCAGCTCAAATAGCAATTCCATGGCATTAGCTCTAATGCCGTGACCTTTCCTCAGTCTTTACTAAGGCTGTTATACCACCAAGAGATTGCTGCAAGCATCTACTTCAGTACACTTGCTTCAATGTACTTTGCCGCAGCAACACAGCAGCTCAAAATTCCAGAGATCGGTGGCATTCTTGCTAATCACTTCATCTATATGCGGTAAAGCCATATGGGTGCTGTTACTTTCGAACCACAGTACACAGTAAAGCCATGTGGGTGCTGTTACTTTAGAACTCTGGGAGCACACATTTTGTATCATTTCTTACCAATCTATGTACTATGGACTTACTAAGGACTCGCGTCAAGTATTCTAAAATTATTCCGGACTTGTAGTATAAAAGCTAGTATACACCATGGAAAATAAGGAGTTGCTAGACAGAAGTTACTGGACACTAGCCATCATCCACGTTATCGACCACCGTTATCGCTTGTACTCGCTAGGAGATAGACAATAACAACATAGTCACTCCAAGTTATACTCTCTGTCACGGCTTTTCTTCTAACGGTATTGGTGTACGCTCATATTGTGCCAATACATGGAATTTGGTGTCCACAACTCACTTTTATCTTTTAATCCGCCAGTATCATTTCACTTTCACCAGCCAGGATCGTTTTCATCAGTTTTCACCTTCTACATCGCCATCGTTTTACCCAGTTCAGTTCAGGATCGTTACGTCCCCGTGTGGACTCAGATTAGGATCGTTATTGCCGCCAGCAGCATCTGTCACAGAATTGCGGTCAACAGCTTCAGTATAGGATCATCAGTCACGGTATTTGGTATCTTGCCGTCAGTTTCAGTATAGGATAGTCTCCATGTAGACTCAGGATTAGTATCAGTTTCGTTTTGCCGTCGTTAACCTCAGTATAGTTTCAGTCTCAGTCCAGCCCAGTCCCAGCCATCGTTTTGCCGTCACTAGTTCCCCCTCATATCATCGCCAGTCGTCTTATCTTCGTTTTACCGCCAGTTTCTCGTTTCTCGACTACAGTCTTCGTCTCTTGCCATCACGGTATTTGTTATCTTGCCAACGGTATTGCTCTTTGATGGCATTTTCTCTAATTCCGTCAACATTGCCCATGGCTTTTACTAGTTAAATTGCTGTCATTTCGTTCACGGTTTGCCGGTATTCCCAGTTATACCGGATTCCGTTCCTTCTCGTCTATCAAGACCCTTCCCGGCTTACAGCCAACGTTTTCTAGTACTTGATCGTTAAGGGTACTACTTCGCTGACTGAAAAGTCGCAGTGTATACTTGCGTTCTTGAGGAATTCATCGCACGGAGGTGCACCGAAACACTCGCACAACAAAGCCTTTATTGCCGCTACACGCCATTTGCCGTGAACTCCTCTAGAGTTTTGGTTTTTGCCGTTGCCACGGAAGTTTAGGCTCATCAGCATATCAGCCCAGGGCCAGAAACCCTCTCTAAGTGAGGTGACGACTGAATGCATGAAGTCTTGATTTGGATGTGTTTCGAGGTATTTCTCCAGGACATTGACTTTGATTGGTGTAGTGACTTTAAACAGATGTGGGTAATCTTCAATTGTTTTGACTGCCTCCACATTTTCATATTCCTTCGCTGGAGGTCACGGCACCAGTAGTTCGAATTCTGTGCAACCGGCGGTTCGGCTTTTTCCGGTATCCAACCCTGAGAAAACAAAACCTCTTTTATACTTCGGCACGAAACCTGTACCTCCATCCTCCCAATCATCTCCCTTACCACCCCTCTCAAATCTCCCCCTCCCTTCCAAGACCTCCTTCTTCCTCTTAGGCCCTGCCGGGGCAAGCGGAGACGAGGTGTCCTCCTTTGCAACCCGAGCACACATGCCTGTATCTACACTTTCCCTCTGCCGATGGGCAGACCCCAGCATTCCATCTTCTGCATGCATCGAGACTCCTAGTATGCTTGCTGTTCCTCTTCTTAGGTCTTGGTTCGGCTTGCCCTTCTTCAAACTCTCGATAACCTGTCCCCGAGGTTGAAATGTGGGACCGTTCGAGGTCATGGAACTTGTCAGTTTCGGAGAGGAGGATGTTGCGGCATCGTCCAGTTCTGTTTCGTATAGCTCTGTCAAGGACGAACACTCAGCTGTGGAGGGAGACAGCGACAGTCCTGAAGAGAGATGACATGTATTGCTGGTAGAGGGAGAGTTCCCAGTATCGATGCGGGAAAGCAACGAGGATGGCTTGAGTATAGGTGTGCCACGTCGTTGTCCATTCATCTGCAGTCTTGATGGTTCTCTTAGGCTCGGCAGGGTTAGACGTGTTTTCGGAGAGCCGGATTGCAACACCTTCAGATATTTCGTGAGTCTGGACTTCATTGATCGAGGTGGAATGGGTGGCTGCGAAGACGGCATCGAGGTTGACGGCTTTCCCTGCCAAGAGGGCGAGCCATTGTTCTTCTGGGAATTCAGGACACTCGGCAGAATTGGTGATGCTGCGTCTGGCGGCTTTGAGATCAAGGGTGTAGTTCTCGACCAGCTCAAGGGTGCGTTGCAGTTCGGGGTGTAAGAGTGCTCTCCTAATCTCTCCAACAGGCCGCCACGGGAATTGGGATTCATCGATACGCGGTCTTTTAGCAGGTCCTTGTCCTTCATCGTCATGATCCTCGTCTTCTGAGTTGCCTCCATGGTTGGAGCTATTTCTCCCCTCGTCTCCCTGATCATTCTCCTCTTCGTGAAGATCGGCAGCTCGTGGTCGGCTGGGCCTTCCCTCTTCCTCTTGATTCCTAGCCCTTGCACGGACCTGGGCTTCTCCTTCTCTGTGGAGGGTTCGCTGCTCATTTTCGTAGTTGTCGAGCATCTCGACATAGATCTTGAGGGCGTTGTTGAAGTCGTCGTCATGCCCAGGTCTGGCAGAGAAGAACTCGGAGAGAACGCGGAGGACTTGGGCGAGGACATCCGGCTTCGAAGGGTTGATGCCCGTGCGGAAAGTCTCGACAATAGCGTCGCACCGGATGATGATCTGGGCCTGGGGAGCATCCGGTGGAGCAGGCGACCCTTCGCGGCTGGGGGCCTGCTCTGTTCTTCTGGAGGTAACTGTCTGCTGAGTTGAGCCTCCAGAGGCAGGAGTGCTATTAGAGGGTTGCGAGGATCCATTAGAGCCAGAGGACATAGCCAGAGTTTCAACTTAGATGAGTCTTAGTAGACGATGGAATAAATTGGTTTATTCAAAGGTGCGAAATAACGCTGTGCTCTGTCAATTCAACAAGAGCACCCGTAAGTTAGGTGGACTACGCAAAAAAGAGAAAAACGCACCTGGCGGTTCAACGAGAGCGACAGGCGTTCACGCTGAGACCGCCAGGTCTATATAGTCCAAGGGAAAAGTGAGACACGGGGAGGAAGCTAAAAGCCCGTTAGATCCCGCTACGCTCGAGGACTGTGGCACGTACTCACCGATGAGACGGCTGAGACTCCCGGGGGGAGGCTCCCGTGGGGAGGCTGAGACCGCATATGATAGATATGGGAAGTTACGCGCAGCAGGGCGGCCGACGCCTGTAGGAGAGCATGAGGAGGAGGTGATACCCGATTATAGTGATCTCTTACCAATTAGACTTGTGTAAATAATTCCTTTAAACCCGAAAAAATGTGTTGAGATGCTACTATATTACAGATGATGCTAGCAAACCCATGATAAATACACTATTATACAGATACGACCTCATATCAAATCTAGTCCATCTCTTCAATTTCAATGTCATCATCGACGTCCATGTATGCATCCTCCACGACCGTTCCTTGGTGATTGGGGAGGATGGTGAGACGGTTGTGAGGTCCATCAAAGCATACTTGCACAACCTCTCCATCACGGACACGGTCTGACAAGATCATCATCGACAGTGGATTGAGAAGCTCGCTCTGAATTGCTCGGTTCAGAGGACGTGCACCGTAGACGGGCGAATATCCGACCGACATGAGGTACTGCTTAGCGGATTGGTCGAGATCGAGGGTGATTTTCCTCTCAGCGAGTCGGTCTTGCACCTCCTGCAGCCGAATATCCACAATTTTAAGGACATGCTTGCGAGACAATGCACGCTACAAGGAACGATAAGTTTGATAAATTAAGCATAGGTAGATCATAGTGACTTACGAAGACAATGATTTCATCAACACGATTGACGAACTCCGGAGGGAAGTGTGATTGGATAGCGCCCAAGACCAAAGACCTTGTCTGAGGAGTCACAGGTCCTTCCCCCATATCATTGAGATGCGCGGCACCCAAATTCGAAGTCATGATGATGACAGTGTTACGGAAGTCTACAACTCTGCCTTGACCGTCCGTTAACCGACCATCGTCGAGGACCTGCAGGAAAAGAGTGACAAATTCCCTGCAAGCCTTTTCTACCTCATCTATCAAGACGATACTGTAAGGCTTCCTACGAATGTATTCGGTTAATTGGCCTCCAGCATCGTGACCAACGTATCCTGAAAGAATGAATTAGAGACCTTGTGCATCAATGATTAACAATTCGCTACTTACCGGGTGGTGCACCGATCAAGCGCGCAATGGAGTGCTTCTCAGAGTACTCCGAACCATCGATACGAATCATTGCATCAGCGGAGTCAAAGAGAACTGTGGCGAGCTATGGATGATCAGTCAGTCAAAATCAATACATCATATTAAACGTTGCTTACGGTTTTAGCCATAAGCGTTTTCCCGGTGCCCGACGGTCCCGCCATTAAGAAGCTAGCGATCGGGCGCGACGGATTTGCCAATCCACTCCGAGAAAGTCGAATGGCGTTTGCCACCGCCTTGACAGCCTCCGTCTGACCAACAACGCTCTCCGCCAATATTCTTTCCATCCTTAGAAGCTTCTCCCGCTCTGAGGACATGAGCCTTGTCACTGGTATTGAAGTCCAGCGAGCAACGATCTCCGCAATGTGTTCCGACGTGACGGTATCTGATCCTCCGCCTTCAGCGGTGGCGTCTTCTGCAGCTTTCTTTTCCTCAAGCTGTTTCAAGCGCGCCATCAGATCTGGTAACGCGTAGTACTTCAAGTCAGAAGCAGTAGCAAGATCGTATCTAAAAAAGCAAGTCAGCTCGAGAATAGCAAGCATCTAGAATACAAACTACAAACCTTCGTTCCGCTTCTTCCGCTTTTGCTTTCAATTCATCAATCTTGCGCCTGACGACGTTAATTTCATCGCCTCTCTTTTTCTCGTTCTCGTAAGCCGCTTTCAAGGGCCTCAGCTCATCCTCGACAGTCGCAGTGGCTTTCCGCGCAAGGACGAGGCGCTCTTTGCTAGCCGCATCCTTCTCTCGCTCCAATGCATGGATCTCGACTTGGAGCTCGAGCAGGCGACGCTGGAGCTTGTCAATCTCCTCGGGCTCAGTCTCCCGCGTAACGCGTACACTAGAGAAAAAGCAGTTAGGTCAAAGACATTGGTGTTGAATTTTTTCTACATACCTAGCGCATGCCTCATCCACAAGATCAATGGCAGAATCGGGTAAACGTCTGGATGTCAAGTAACGGTGCGCCAAGGTCGCTGCGGAAATCAAAGCAGGGTCCATAATCCTGACACCGTGATGGACCTCATACTTTTCCCGGATACCACGAAGAATACTGATCGTCTCTGATACCGTAGGCTCGTTTACGATGACTTGAGCAAATCGTCGTTCCAAAGCTGCGTCCGTCTCAATATATTTCCGGTACTCGGCAAGGGTGGTAGCACCGATACACCTAAGTTTGCCGCGAGCGAGTAGAGGTTTGAAGAGGTTGCCGGCGTCCATTCCGCCACCTTCTGCTCCTCTGCCAGCCATAATAAGATGCAACTCGTCGATGAAAAGGATGACTCCGGTGCCTCCGTTCTCGGCAGCTTTGTCAACCTCGTCCAATACGGCCTTGATACGCTCTTCGTACTCTCCCTTGTATTTGGCACCCGCCATGAGGGCACCCATATCAAGGGAGAACAGGCGACAGAAGAGACTGGCCGGAACATCGCGTTTGACGATTCGTTGAGCGAGGCCTTCAGCAATAGAGGTTTTGCCGACACCGGGTTCACCGATGAGAACCGGGTTATTCTTGGTCCTAATAGGCAGGTTAGTCTCAGAATGTGAACGAGAAACAGATTGGTTATCTTTACCTTCGACATAGAATGCGAATCGCCCGTCGAATCTCGTTGTCACGGCCAATGACAGGATCAATCTTTCCCTCTGTACAGAATGGTCAATAAATATGCACACACCACCAAAATTAGCATCGATACCTTCTGCCAAGGAAGTCAAGTCTACAGCATACTTGTGGAGGGCATCAAAACCTGCTTCAGCATTCTTGGATTCAACTCGACGGTTGCCGCGGATTTGTTGAATGGCGGTCTTGAGTGTGGCTTCGGTGAGACCAGCCTCTCTGATAACGGGAGCAATGGTAGAGTCTTTCAGAAGGGCGAGAAGAAGGTGATCTTGAGCAATGTAAGAATCATTCATCGTCTTCTGGATGCTCTGCGCTTCCCGCAGAACCTTGAGAGAGGCAGAGCTGAGGGATGTCTCATCTGGAGGGGGGCTCTGTGTTGGTAGTCGAACGAGGATCTTCTTCAAAGCGCGCTTCACTACTCCCTGGTAGAAACGCCATCAGTTCGTCGTCACATCCGAAGAAATGGTATATACATACTGTGTCACCTCCAGCCTTTTCAAGCACTGAAGCGAACAAAGGGGTTCCTCCGCCTTCTTCATTGAGAAGGACAAAGGCAATATGAGCCGGTGCAACTGCAAAGAAAGAATGAGCCTTTACAAGCGCTGTGGAATGGACAGAGGCGTACCCTGAGCATTTGCAGAATCTTTGGCCAACTGTATGGCAGCGGTCAGGGTTTCATTTGACTTGTCGGTAAGATCAAAGTTGCTCGTCATGATGAGGATAAGGGTATAAACAGTTGTGAAGAGAAATGTGGGTCGGGTCGAGGTCTTTTTAAATTCAGACACTCATTTACCAACTGTACGTTCTGGACAATTCGAGCAAGTTCGACAATCGTCGAACTTTCCAGGACATTCCGACCATGACAGTTTAGTGACGTCATGTATATACCTATATAGGTCCACCTGTGGCTGGCCGAGTTAACCGTATTTGCCTGGACTTTCTTCCGTTTACTGGTCCTTCCGTGTACTATCCAGTCAATTCCAGCATTTTCTAGCACAATACTACTGCCAGCCACTTCAGGAGTATATTCCGGAGTATACTCGGTGATCCTTGACAACACTCTGTAGCGAAGTTACCACATTGTCACCCTAGATCTTCAGCGATGAGCGGGTGAAACATGTCTAAGGAAGATTTTCACCCCCGGCATCAAGACGTAAGCTATTTCCCCGTCGTGGGCACAGTACAGCGAGGAACAGTACGCGAACATTCTGCCGCCTTACATACCACGTTAGAGCTTAATATTCTTCTGCCTTTACCCAAGCATCCGCCCTGGCCCTTCTTGTATTCAATTCCTCGAGCTGCAGATATAAAAGTAAGATGCCACCTTACATAGTGAGCAAAATGAAAGACACCTTCACCTTCTCCAGAATACCGATTTCCTTCAGATGCTCCTCGTAGTGATCAGAAATGGATCGAAGCAAACGGCGGAGGAGCACATCTGAATCTTGCAGAGTCGCACCATTGGCGCGCCGACCTTTGTTACCCTTACACCATTCCAGGACATCGATATGATATCCACAATTGCAGTCCCATGTAAAAGTTCCCGGAGGTGGTAATGTTGGTGGTGTGGCTAACCATGGAGGTATACTGCGACCGATCGAGCGGCGCAAGTCTGCTTTCCATTCGTCCTCTGCATCGGATGCTGCAGATGTAGAAGCCTGCGACATATCGTCATCGTAATAATATACCGGCAAAGTTTCAGGAGGGATTTCAGGCTGTTCAGGCTCGCTGACTCCCGAGGGATTCTAATGCAGTTAAGCACAAAATGTATTCTTCTTCGGTTGAGGACTTACCAAATTGTTTCTTGTAATCTTCTCTCCCTCCTCATACTTCAAAGCATCGTTCAGCTTTCTCTGCCACTCTACCTTCGTCTTTCTATTTTTCCAATACTCATCAAAGTTGATATTAAAGCCGAAAAGAGCCGTGTCGGAAGCTTCATCACCGACCCTGGGACGCCTCCCACTTCGTTGTTTCAAACGCGCTATCTCGGTGCAAAATCGACACAGCGCTCGAACACTCAGGGAGCGTTTGTCGGCTCGCCGAAACAGGTGCTCCGCCAACAGCCATCTCGCGTCTTTGGCTAGGACAGCCCGAACTTCTGCCTTAGATAAGTGACGCGCGCGCCGACGACGCCTGAGTTGTCCTCGGTTTCCTTCATGCTCGGTTTCTATGTCGATTTCTATCTCGGAATCGTCGCTATCATATAGGATACGCCTTTCAGAGCTGTCCCCATCGTGGCGCTGACGAATGCATTCTATCAGCCAGTCGATGGTGTGGTCAGCTACAGAGGTTCCTCCGGCTTTCACAATTCGTCAATCATCGCTAGCAGACGGTACCGCTCGAGATACTTATGACTGCGTCGATAGGTATGCACGTCAAGAGAGATGATCTTGTAGCGTCTCTCGTTCGAGGACGAAAGGAGCAAGGAGTTGGAATTATTGTTGGCTATGCACCGAAGGGGATAAGTAAAAGAAAGAATTAAGGTGTGGGTGGATCGTCGTACATGTCAGAAAGGCGGCGGTCAAGTTCTTGTTGCATACGAGCCAGACAGTGATCCTCGAACCCTCACCCGGTCTGTATCCATAGACTGACTGAAGAGTGAGACCTGAATTCGGATTGTTGTTGGTGTCGAAGTCCCTATCTCGCAGCTCGCGCTCGAGTTGTTCATATCCACGAGTAGAAAGCCAACGTAAATCTTCGATTAATAAGCGTCCCATGAACTGCACATTGCCAGCAAAACCATCCACAAATTCTGTCTCGTCCAAACTGTCCAAGTTAGACTGAGCTTAGAAATTTAAGCTTGAGATGATAGATTGCCACAGACCCAGTTCCTTGCCGTCCGGGCAGAAACATCCTAACCGACGATAGAGACAGAGTTAAATTTCTCTTTCTGAGAAAAGGAATATCCAATGAAGTTTCTGGTAATGGGCCAAAGGGCTGGGCCAGTAGCTCGCGTAGACTGAGTGGCATGTTGGCTGCGAGATAGAGAGAAGCGCTGCAGCCGGATTAGGCAACACTTTCCTTCATCCCGCCATCATGCTTGGCCGTCGACTGCTCCGAGGCAACCAGTCTTCCTCTCTCTCGACCATTGCAAAAGCTCTGGCCCGGTCGAACTCGACTGCTGTTACCCCAGCTCCTGTGGCAACCTCCAACCCTCTTGCTGCCCAAGCTCCCAACTACCCAACGACATGGTCAGCCAACCAGCGGCCACGCCCACTCGGACAATCAAACCCTCGCTTCGAGCAGACTGCTATGGAGACCCAACCAGCTCCATTGAGTGCCATGCAGCTCATTGCCGAAGAGCCCATACGCCTGGTGGACGGCAGGAAGGCCGTCTGCGATGGAGGTGCGTCTCTCCAATTTCTTCCGACGTGTTCCATTCTTCTCACCATACTGCAAAATCGATTCTTCTAGGTGACGGACCATTAGGACATCCGAAGATATATATCAATTTGGTGAGTTACTATGGCTGACTGTGAAAATTGGATGAACTCAACAGTGGACATAGGACCAACCCGGCCCTCGTTCATGCGGGTTCGTAACTTCTTCCAATGACAGCCCTTCGTTCCTAATTGTTCCATTCATTATTCCCATGTATACAGATACTGGTGAGTCCGTTGCGATGAATGTATCATTCTGTACTCATACCCCGAATAGCGGTCTGCGTTTCCAGCAAAATCACCATGCACATTGATAGAATGTTGAGAAGGACCCTGCCGAGTAACATACGGTGTCTTGTACATGGCGGTAATGAATTAAATAAATGGAGAAAACGTATGCTCGTGGAAAGACATCAAACACCCTGCATTGTCGTATGACAGGACTCAAGCGGACTGCTGTAGACGTGTGAACGAACATCTCTGACAATCATCTGCGCATCTTCCAAGCAATTCCTTTTCGTTACTCCCTCCGTCCAAGTGCTGGTTTGCCAAATTTCTATGATTAACAACTCCCAGTATGTATGGGTACAGGCCGGGCATGTGTAAAAATACATGTAGTTTGTCTACTAATAGCCCCGGCTGGTGTGGCAGACTAGCAAAAAGTAAGTACGATAATGAAAGAGAACTAGAGGTGCAGCGGAGTGAGACTAAAAAACTCATGCATATGCCTGGGTAACACCTCCCGGGGCCCGGCTGGCAAATGAATGTGGTGTGATGAGTATTGCGGAGACGAGAGAGAGCAGAGTGCGGTAGAGTGATAGACGATGCAGCAGATGAGAGGGACCAAAAGAGATAAACGCAGAGGGAGATCAAAAATAGGATAACGAAAACGGAAGAAAATAGATAACCAAACGAATGTGGACCGCCAACGGGCGGTGTTATGGGGGTCAACCTCCATCTTCTGAAGGCGTCGTGAAAGACATCGGAGAAAGTGGTGGATAATCGTATCCTGCTCCAGCAACTGCATCGAGCTCGGAAAAGGGTGGGAGGGAAGTGGGGGAGGAGGAAGATAATCGATCGTCCATTGAGCCATCAAGAGGTGGAGGGTGAGGAGGCGGGAGTATCGGGGGCTGAGTGAAGTCACCAGAAACAATATCATCAGGCTCTAGTCCTCCCTCATCCCATTTGTAACTCACCACTTGGAATATCGGGTTGATTTCGGACTTGTTTAAATGCCCGGGACTCGGCGTGTGCCCGTGCAGCTGGCCCGAATATTCGTAAGGGTTGTAAGGCTTATTTTGTATGGGATGAGTAGGCCGGGGCATACTGATGAAAGGAGGGGCTTGTCCTCGCCGTGATGACAAGTTCTCACTGTGCGGAGGAACTTGCATCCAAGCGGGGGATGGGGGTAATGACGGGGATAGTGATGGTGACAATGATATTTGCATCGGCGGCGGCGTATCAGTATTGACTGTCGCGCGCGCCCGGAAATCGTTGGCTAGCTGCCCATCCAAGGAGAACGAGTTCGACGACCGCGCCGAGGATGCAAAGTCGTCGAACGATGTTCGCAATGAAGACGTAGATGATATCCGGTTTATTCCAAATATACTGGGCCGATTTCTCATTCTTGATGACGGTCCGGGATCACTATCCACCGTAGTATATGAAATCGAGGAATTCCGGCCACTGTGAACGTCCGATGAGGATATCGAATGGTCGTCATCCAAGTCTCGTCTCCGAATCTTAGTCAAACGCTCGTTTTCCAATCTACGCCAATCGCCTGAACCACTCGCTACAGGCTGCTCGACGGCCTGAGTCACAAACCTGCCTGATGCAGCGTTCACCGTGATTGAGGGCGTCGTACCGCTCGTACCGTTACCGTGGATAGTAGCTTGCCTTATCGGGCCCGTTGCAGCCTGCTTCCCCTTCTCTTCAAAGTCGAGGCGCTGCTGAGAACCCGCCAGCCATTCGATATCATCCTTACCCGTGGTCTTCTGCACAATCTGGTTACGTTTCTGCATGACAGCTCTCGCCTGGTCACGGTGCATCTTCTCCGCAAGCGCGCGACGCTGTTTCTCGGCTTCTCGTTGTAACCGCTCTGCCTCCTTTTTGTTCATCTTCTTCACATCCGCGATGCGAGCGTTGTCACGCGTTGGTGATGATTCTCGCAATGACCTGCCATCCGAACTAGAAGATTGTTGCCGCTTGAGCGAAGGTGTCGAGGTGGATGCGCCGAGCTGCGCTGGTGGGTTTTCGTGAAGCGGAGGTAAGGCATGATGCTTATCACCACCGAAAAGACTCCACTTGGTGTGCTTTCTTCCAAAGCCAAGGCCGAAAGGCTTGGGTAACTTATGACCCGGTTGTGAAGCGCCGTTTGCGGGGAACTCTGGTGCAACAGGAGAAGAGCCGCTGACATCCATCGGTTGACCGTTGCTCATGGGATCATCTGTAATCTCTGCACTGGGAGTGATATCCATCGGGTAGTCCTTGTCAGCAGAAGACGAAGGAGCCCAACTTCGAGTTTCTTCCTGAATGAGACCCGAAGAGTGCGGGGAAGGAGTATGGTGCATATGAACATCGGTGTTTGAGGAGCTGTGAGAGAGGGGGGCAGGAGCGTACAGAGGGAGGCGATGCGAAGTGGATGCAGAAGGTATTGACGGGGCAGGCTGAAGATGGGGAGTCGAGTAAGGATGTGAATTAGGAGCAGATCGTGACGGTGACGGCGAAACTCCATTTCGTTGAGGAATGGGGTCGCTTGGTATTGAAGTACATACAGAAATGCCTGGAGGAAGGGGAATATTATTACGAGGAGTCGTCTCCTGGAGGTAACGGTGGTTAAGGCATTGCCGACTAGTTAGTCGGGCTTCAGGGTCGTAGCGGAGAAGGTCGCGAATACAGTGGATTAATGACAAGGGTACTGTACGCTCGAAAAGAGTGTGAATGTCTTTGGGTACAGTCTGGGGTAATACTATCAGCGACGCGGCCAATCGAAGAATGATAGACATACCTTGGGAAACTTGAACCCTACGTCTTTCGCCATTTTAATCCCTTTGGGCCATGCACCTCCGCCCATCGGACTGTGAGAGGAATCGAGTCCATATTCATCGCTGGGATCGCCGAGGATTTCACATATCCGAGCCACCTGGTCTACCTGATCCTGTCCAGGAAACAAGGGTCGTAGATTAACGAGTTCGGCCATGATAGTCCCAAGCGCCCACATGTCAACGGGATTTGAATAGTCTCGGCTAAGCAGGAGAACTTCGGGTGCGCGATACCATCGCGTGGAGACATATTCGGTATACGGAGGCTTAGACTTTGTTTCCCTGGCAAGTCCAAAATCGGCAAGTTTGATGATAGCCACAACGTCCTTTTCGGGAGGAGCGTTTGGGGGAGCAACCGGCGACAGAGAGGTATAATCGAAGAGACCAGTAGTGGTGACGAGGACATTCTCTGGCTTCATGTCTCTGTGAAAATAGCCAGAAGCATGTATGTGGTCCAAACCAGAGACGATCTGGCGGAAAATGGAGGAGACGAGGCCGCCAGCTAGAGCCCTGCCTTTGCGGGCCTTGATGAGATGATAGAGATTGCCTTCCATGGACTCGAATATGAAATAGAGCTCCTTGGTAGCAGGGAGAAGGAAGAAATCGTACAAGGGAATGATGTTGGGGTGGAACGGTATTGCTCGGAGCGACTAGCGGAGGCTTAGCTGGAAACAAGAAACCGATAGCAGGGACAACGCACCTCAAGTTCCTTGAGTTTCCGACACTCGTCCCAACCGCCCTCCCATCTTCGTTTCATTCGCTTTACTGCTACCAGACGCTTACCAGCCCATTCTGCGCGCGCGCCAGCCCCACATTGCATAGGCGAAAGCGGGGTATTGGGTGGGAGAGTGCCATGCCAATCGCAGAGCCATACGGTGCCGAAGGAGCCATCACCAAGGACCTTGAGGGGCGTATACGAGCGTGTCGAGCCTATTACGCCATTTAGAGCTGAAAAGAAGAGAAAAAGATGTGGAAACTGACTACTCTGGGAGGAGCCGACGACAAGCTTGTTGTTTTGGATATGGACTGAGGGTATGCCAACGACGTTGATAGGACTCTTGGGAGCCTGCTGCTGCTGCTGAGCGCGCTGGTGGTTGGTTGGCAAAGAGACATAATGGGTAGCGACAGCGTTCTGGGTACTGGGGGAAGGAGCAAACATGTCAAGGGGAGCATTGCCAGGGAAAAAGCAGGCAGTGCGAGCTAGTGGACGAAGGACATGGGAGTTGGAGGGAGAGACGGAAGGGAGCCTCACAGAAGGCAAAGAAGCGCAGAAGCAACAGTGAATCGAAACTGAACCCGAATCTGCTCGGCCCAATCTGGAAATCTGGCGAATCTGTCTAACGGACTTCAAACGGTCACCGGTCACCAACCGTCAATTCGGCCCCAAATCGGCCGTACCGCCGCAATTGCAAATTTATTCTATTTCATAAAACAAATTGCCGAAAAAAAATTAACATAAAATAACATAGCATGTTCTAGATTGCTGCTAGTACGGAACTTCGTGAAATAGCTTCGACACGCTCTCTCCGTAGTGGCTCCGTCGGATGACCTCTCCTAATACCACTCCAATGTCAATGACCTCGATTTTAGGGCACTTGCGCTGGTTCTCCTCCTGAGGCAGAGTATTCGTCACAATCAGTTTCTCCAGCGTGCTTTCTTCGATGGATTTTAGCGCGTTCCCGCTTAGAATGCCGTGTGTTACAAATGCATATGCCTTCTCCACGCCTGCTTCTGCAAGGTGTTGGGCTGCGAGACACAGCGTACCACAGGTGTCAGCCATATCATCGACGAGAATTCCGACCTTGCCTTTCACATGGCCGACGAGAACCATCCGAGACACTTCGTTGGCTTTCTTGCGCTCCTTGTGAAACAATGCAAAATCAACTCCCAGCCGATCAGCTATCGACGTAGCCCTGGATCACTTGGGTCAATCTCATCTATCCATCCAACGAACGGAACGACTCACCTCTTGGCACCGCCCGCATCGGGTGAGACGATAACGACATTCTTCAGATCGAAGTGCGTCCGGATATACAGAATTGCAGAAGGTTCCGCGTACAGCTTTCAATTTTGCGTAAACGTCTGCTCGCTTGAGTTCAAGTAAGCTATGCAAACTCACGCTGACAACGGTGATAATCATCGTCAGCTGGTCACTTCGTTGCAGCAACGATTGACTTACTTGTCAACTGGCACATCGAAGAATCCTTGGATCTGGGAGGCATGCAAATCCATGGTCTGGACTCATGTATCAGGATCGCAAACTAGCGCTTCCACAGAATTCCTTACAATAACGTGGTCGCAGCCTGCACGCTGTATCATATTCGCCACCAGCTTGGCTGTTATAGGCGCCCGACTTTTATCCTTTTTGTCCTGTCGTGCATAGGGAAACAGGGGGAGTACGGCCGTAATCCTCTTTGCGCTCGCAATCTTGCAGGCATGGATCATTATGCACAACTCCATCAGTGCCGTATTGACTGCGCCACATCCGGTATTGATAATGTAGACGTCGTTTTCCCGCACAGATTCAGCAATGCGAACATTGGTTTCTCCAATTCCACTGCGTGTGACTTCAGCTTTTGATAGTGGGAGGCCTATTCTAAGTGGACCATTAATTCTTTTCACAACAAACACCGTATATTGGCCACGAACCGACGAGCGATAATCTCTGCTAGTTCCGGATGGCTAGTCCCTGCAGAAGAGCTCGGTTAAACACCAGCCACTTCTGACCCTTTGGAGATGCACATACCAGAGAAAATTTTTATTCCACTCCCGTTCAGCATCTTGACCGTCTAAATGAGCAAAAGGAGAGACGAAAGAAGTAGCCAGTGAGAGAATGAGAGGTGTTTAGAGGTTAAATGACATTAGACAAGAGAAAAACGGACTCGGAGCAGAGGACCGGTAGCCACATGGGACTTAGTCAGCGGTCGTAATAGGCATGAATACATTCAATGGATACCTCTCCATGTTCACAATTCTTTTGCTAGAGCCATTCCTGGCCTCCTAGCCTCATGTTACGTGTGCAAAGAATTTAAGAATGAAGAATACTAGCAATGGTAGGAAAGGACCCTGTTTCCTTAGGAGCGATATGTGCGGGGCTGACCATCGCTTACTTACGGTGTGGCGGAATAAGGATCCGACATGTACCCGGGTGACAGGATCTGATTGATATGAGATTTTTCGACATCATTCCTTCTGTCTCGTACTACACCTCTCTCTTTCCCTCTGACCCTACTGACTGAGTGGAGTATTCAGGTTTCATGTAATTACGTCTGTCATTGAAAGCGATCACCAACTCAATTCTGGGGTCAGCAGCGGTATCCTGTGGTATCTCCTGTTGTCAGGGTAGACTAGAAGCGCTCTATTGACCCGGCCGCGGGCCATGAGGATGAACGTAAAGACGACACGCAAAACTAGAAGGCAATGCGGGTAATGGCTTATAGTTTACCACGGAAGCGGTTAGACTTACCGTTATCTCTGATCGCAAGGGTCAATGTTAAGCAAGGAATACGTTTGAATTACCCTACTCCATTTTCCCGAATCCGAAGACTGTCTGAGATGTTACAATTGCACCAAGGAACCTAACTAGTGGGAGCCTAAACCCGAGCAAAACACAGTAGATGACACAACGTAAACTAACGCCCAGGGAAGGGCGATCGATAAAAAGACAGAATACTGTAGGAATGCGATGGATATAAAGAGACGGATACAATGACAAGACACGCTGCACGAAAACATGAAGAAGAGTGAGAGACCGGAGGGGAATCGTTAACAGTAACACAGGATATGATATATAGCACGCTGGTAGTATGGATCATCACTGAGGATATATGTATAACTGGGAGGAAGGACAGGGTTATGATGTACAAGAGAAAATTAGAATAACCAAGAGAATGTGTAGTATGACTAGAGTGTCATCTATAATGCATTGCTTGAATTAGACACGCAGCCTTTGTTGAGTATTGTTAATAGAGTTGTGGCGGAGGCGTTGCGTAGTTGTGTGGGTTGCAACGCGTAGGGTGTTTGCGTTACCGGGGACCTAGGAGAAAGCGCAGGAGCAGGTGCTGAATGAGAGTTCGGCACTGGACTAGGGCCATACATGGGTGGGTAGCCAAGAGACGCGCCGCCATATGAAAAGGTAGGCTGTGGTCCAAGAGGTGATGCAAGTGACGAATATGGAGTTGCATGGGGTGGGATAATGGAGGGGTGCGTTTGCCCGTTCATCATAGTCATCATCTGACCGTGATTCAAACTTCCAGACTGCAAAGGCATCATCGGGCGGTGAGCTGCTAGGCTTGTCCTGGGCCGCACTTTAAACGGATCATCATAAACCGTGCTGGATGCGGATTGTATGAACGCCGGTGGTCGTAGCACTCCTGCGACCGACTGTCGACCTTCGGATCCAGAAGAGTAAATGACATCGGTGCGGTCAGAGACAGGAGGAAACGTGAAACCCAGGGCAAGGGGGTGAGGATGGTGAGAACGCTGAGAAGACTGAAGAAGACTCTGCTCGGCCTGGTCTAGACGGCGTGACATAGTAGTCGTTTCACCAACAACACTTTCCAACAACGCCAACTGCTTCAAGTGACTAGCAGATGTTGGTGGTGGTTCATGTTTTTTGAGGTAAGGGGAGATATCTGCAATGCTCGAAGACCTTCTCGAAACACGAACAGAGGGCGCAGGCGACGGCTCCACGGGTGAAACAGAGGTGTTCGCTGGAATTGCTCTGTTCTCGCCAGAAGATGGTCTCGGACTAACGACGTGCGTAGATGACTGGGGTAGGTCGTCCCGAAGTTTGTGTATGTAGCAACGGCACGTTAGAAGCAGGTGAATGGGATGGAACTGAAGGCTGTGAATTGAGCGCTTCACGGCCGGTTGGCCGGGGCTCCATAGACGGAAACGTTTCTGGCGTAGGAGTATCTGACTCCTTAGAACCAACTGTCAGCTGAACTTCTTTGGCCTCAGCCTTGGCCATTCCGGACATTGTTAATGAGGACAATAATCGTGCAAAATGGGGATCCATAATTGAGGTGTCTGGAGTCTGCGATAGATCATCATGTACCACGGGGTGGACTGAGGATTGCGTGTATTGAGGTGAAGGCGTTTGGGGATCACCGTTGTCGGCAGACGACGATTGAGAACTCGATTCTTGATTCGCATCATGTTCTTCAGGAATGGGTGAACTTGGACAAAACGGTGCTGCCTTCGTTCTTGTTTTCTTGGACAAGCCCTGGGGTTTATGTGAAGCAATCCAGGATCTCAAGGGCCTGAAGAATTTCATTAGATCAAGCTAGCAAGAGAAAGGACAGCGAGGCATACCCAATGAATGGTGAAATAAGATAGAATTTCCCCGGAGATGCATTATTTCGCCTCCATGTTGGTAGGTCCGAAAGTTTGAACCAATCGATCCTCTACATAAAAAATTATAATTGAGAGGGACTAAAAGGGGTCAAATGCGTACACTGATCTCCTTCCGTGTTTTCGTCTTGAAGGGATAGTCTTCTGGAACGCCCGAGGACAATGTACATCGCAATCTTTTGCTCCTTGATTGTCATTTCTACCACGTCGTCGGGATTTACTTGACCGGCCAAGTTATAGCCAGTCTCCTCTAACACCTGTGAAGTCGGAGCATTTAGGACCAAACACAACACACACATCAACTTTCGCACCTCTCGAATCGCACATGTTGTCTGGGGTTCAGATTCATTGATTTTTCCCTTAGGAAAACCCCATCCCGATGAGGCCTTCCAGCCTTTCACCAATACACACTGCACAGGGTTATTTCAGGATCACACAACAGAAATACACCATCCGACCTTCTCCCAAGTTTCATTTAGCATGATGGCCCCACATACGGGCACCCGCGTCTTGTATTGCATGAATGTGTTGAAGGCTTGTTCATGGTCGTGACTCCACTGGTGAAGGAGGGGGCATGCTTTGAAGAGCATGGCGGAAAACTTCTTGAGCGTCAGAGAAGGTAGCTTCGAGTTCTGCTCTCGTATGAAATCTTCATAGAACCAGTGACTGGAAGGATGTCAGAGGAAACATGCCAAGTTGAACAGGGTCACTGACGCTTGTTCCACCTGGAAAGATATCCGTTCTAGTGACGCAAGCTCCTCGTCCGGAAGATTGAGAATGAAGCGGCTAGCTTGAAAATGAGCGAAAAATCTTCAGGCAGAGTCCAGACATGCCTTGAAAGGTCCTCTAGGACCTCGTCGTGTGTCGAGTTCTTGTACGAGAAATCGGGACGAATGTCTGGTCCCATTGCGGGCGTTATTTCGGGAGATGAGAATGATGAGGATGACATTGAAGAAAAAAGTAAAGATATAAAGGATGAGGGATGCCACTGGGTGGCTTGGTTCGTTGAAGTTGTACAGTGCAGTTGTAGTTGTGGGAGTCGGTCAAAGCAGGGTCAAACAAGCAGCAACGGACCAAGTCACGGTTGTGACATCGTGACAAAACACCGATCCGCCGGCAGGCGGGCAACCGAGGTTGCTGCCGTAATGCATCGCCTCATCCTTGATTGACGAATTGGGGCCCATCGTTGATAGACTATACAAATGCTGGAGATAGAATACTACATGAACGAAGATCTCGAAAAAAATGCTATGGCGTAACTGACATAAAATAAAATAATAGAAAAAGTCCACTACGACTTGTATCCCATTCTCCTCACATAGTCCGTTTGCTCCTCCTGGGTCAGACGATCAGCACCCACCCAATTCGCTGAGCTAGTCCTAGCCCTAAAACGACTTGCTCTGGTCCGGAAGACTTCCTCCATTCGTAGAACTGGTACAGGGCCGAAGATATCATCAGGATTGATGGTCGCTTGGTTCTCTAGGGCTTGCCGCAGTTCAGGCGACTGCGCCCAATGAGGAAGTTCGCGCGCCTTCTTTAACTTTCTATCTTCGTCATCCGAATCAGAGTACTCGCTAGGAACATCGGGCAACTCAATGCTCTCGCTGGGGACAGTGGCCGCCTCGATCTGTGCCTTTGCCCGAGCAGCCATTTGTGAATGCAATATCTGAGAAGGTTGTGACACGTCATCCATCATTGTTTTCGACGGAGTCGGTGCGTTGAACTTGGACACTAGTTTACCTTTCCCTTCAGTAGCTGGGACGGGTTTGGGTGTCGGTTTGAAAGTCGATTTCGAATTTCCGGAGTTGACTTTCAGCATTGGTTTCTTGATCTCCAATTTCTTCTCACTTTCCGTGGCTAACTTCCGTTTCTTGGTCGTGTCCTCCTCCTGTCATACTCATAAGCCACAAAGCTCCGTCTGCGTAGAACACTACTCACCTTTTTGACAGTTGGTTTAAGGGGCCGTTTCTCCGTATGTTCTTCCCGCTCTCGTTTCCTACGTTCCGCTTCTTCCTTGAGCCTTTTCTCTTGTTCAATAGTCCTGGCTTTCTCTTCTTCTGCCTTCTTCTGCAATACAAGTTGCCGTCGGTTCTCCATATTTTTCAGCACAGCAGCTTTCTTGTCTTTCTCTTCCTGCTCCTGTTGGTCACCCAAGTCAGTCGTGTGATTACGACTAAGAAGGTTTTTTTACCTTCTTGGCGGCCGCAGCTGCGCGCTGCAGACTCTTCACTTCCGGTTTGGTTTTTTTGCCTGTGCCCAGAACGCTGCTCATCAGCTTCGACGCTTGTCCTAAAAAGCCAACATGTGATTGCGATGAAACGGACGAGGCCAGAGATAACTGGCTCTGATTCTTCTCAGACTAAAAGAAAGAGTTAGAACTTATACAGGTATACTTCTATACACTTACGCCGACCAATGTTACAGTCATCTTGCCATGATCTATGTCAGGTTCTTCTTCGACGGGGACTTCGTCACGTTCGCCGTAGTTCTCAAGTTTCCATGTGGAAGGATCCAGACGCCTCACGCTCGCCCGCGGGTCGGTCGTATGTATCGTTTGACACTGCGGATGAAGGAACATCCTCAGAGGCATGCTCCAGCTGTTCGAGCTTCTGACTCTGTGTGGGGGCACTACTCCAAGTCATACTGTCTTCACGATCAAACGGAACAGCCGAATGTCCATTCCACACCCTCAGCAAGTTTTTCATCCATAGGCCAACTGTCGTCTTCGTCCAGCACCTCGGTGTGTTTCTGAAACGGAGACTCGAAATCATTGTCGTATTCGGTATCTTGGGTCGAAGGCTGCCATATAGAATGGTCATTCTGACTATCGAAAACAGCATCGGATGCTAAGCTCTCCAGAGTCGACTGTGCCGATAACGGATTGACCTTATGAGTGGAAGGCGGTGACGGTAGACGAGGAGCCAAACCCAACGACATTGAAACCGGCGTCGAGAACGCTGTGGATTTAACACTGGATGGTCCAGCCTTGAAAACGGGCTTGGGAGATGGAGGCCTGAACACAGGCTGAGCGTTATTGAACACAGGAAGAATATGGTTCGTTGCGGAGACCGACGAAGAAGGTGCGTCACTGGAGTTATGGATGGCATGAGCGGATAGGACTGTGGCTGATGGCGGCTGAAATACACTAGCGTGTATCTGTTCTTTGAAAACAGGAGTCTTTTCAGATGTAGTAACCAACTCGGAAATGCTGAGACGCTCTTTGGTTGAAGGTATGTGCTCAATTACTGCAGGGCGAGCCTCCACGGGAGTCGATGTCGAAGAACTTTGCACGCATAGAGGGGAGGGATTTTTCATCACTGTTTCTGATCCAAGAGCTTGGGTATCGTCTTCTTGCTGGGAGTTCTTTTCGACAACGCGTGCTTCAGCCGCAGCCCTGGCCTCTGCTAGAGTGGCAGCGGCAGCACCTCCTAGAGATTTCCCAGTACTTTGCCCAACTCTTGTCTGAAACCTTCCACCGTCTTCTTGAATTGGCCTAGCATATCCTCTGGTTTGCCCGTTGTGCCCAAAGAAAGGTCCTCGGGACTCTGCATCACCGCGATATGCTCTGAGAGGTCATGGTCCAAGAAATCCTTTCTGAGTTGTAAAGGAGCGGTATCTGTTTCGGTGCTTTTGGCAATCTTATGCTTGTCGTCGCTGGGCCCAACCGTGAGGCCCCCCGAAAAGAAATCGCTACTTTTCCTTTTGAGGGTATTATGAATCCCAGTACTAGCGAGCGCAACGATGCTTGTCTTTCTTCCTCCAACGTCCAATGCTTTGGCCTCTCGCACTTTCTTCAGCCAAGACGTGCGTTTGCCACCAAGCGCGGCTGCAGGAGTGATGGGATTCATGGCAGGTAGCTGTTCCGCGCCGCGTACAGACTTGTGAAGGGGTATAGGCGCAGGCAAAGATGGGAATCGTGGTACTGTCAACGGTTGTTGCGCGTCCTGATCAGTGCCACCCTGGCCGAACTCATATTGTTCAGCTGGTTCCACATAAGGTTCATCGGTGGTATCTGCAGCAAGGGTGTTGGTCTGGGTATTTGCTGATTCAACCACCGACGGATCTGGAAGGTCCACGACCTGGCGGTGGGGGCGGTGGAGAGAGACGGGACAAGGAAGGAACCTCAGTCCATAGGACAGGAATGGGGAGCGAGAGAAGGGGAATCAAGGATGATGGAATGAAAGGTGTCGGCTGATGCTGACGTCGAGCCAGTTCGAGACGTATTATGAGACGCATTGGATAAGTATGCATTAATGTCAGCGTCTGCTGGCTCTGGCTCGGTGACGGTGGCAGAAGCTTCAGTAATGCGTACTGAGGAACGAGATCTCTCTGCGGGTTCTTCATCCTCTGCGATAACAGATAATTCATTATGGTCTGACGCAGACGGAACGGGCAGGACAGTTTCTGCCTGATAGCTTTGGAAAGCTTTCGTCTGGGAAAATTCCGGAGCTGCCACACTAGGTGGAGTTGTGACTTCCGCTAAGGAGAAGATATCGGTTTCGGGGCGTATCGAGCGAGATCCCAAAGGAGGGCGCGGAGGAATGTTCTCTTCGACAAAGAGTTCGGGACTTTTGGACTTTGTCTGTAAAAGTGTCTGGTGGAATGCATTTACAGGCGACGTATTTTCCTTATCACCATCATCCTACAGAGATAGTAAGTCCCTCATGAGTCCATATTAGGCGATAGCACACACGTTGAATAATACCGCCACGACATTCTTCAGTTTCGAGGCGGTCCTGGGCTGCTTGGATATCGCCTTTTTCCGACTTGGAGTCTTCACAAGGTCGATGAGGGCACTGAAATTTAAGGATGAGAATGCATGGCTAGAGGACATCTGGATGGTACGTACTCCTGTCGAGCGCCGGCCAAGATATTGTCAAGGTAGTCGTCGAGGAAGAGAAAGCCATGCATTTGTATCTGGTCACGAAAGAACTGCCTCCCTGGGTCGTTTGCCATCGAGTGCCGAACATCGTTTCCCCATTTCAAGAGTCCTGCTTGTGGCATGGCAGATTCGCTAGCGGGAGGAAGCTTGTAAGTTGTTTTTGTTTGTCCAACCGTTACCTTCGTGATGTCGCGTTCATCACGTGATCGGAGCGCGTTGTCATTGTCCCGGTCCGGATTCCGGATTCGGTACTCCAGCAGCTGCCGCGCTGCACTCAGCCTTACTCCCGACCATGTCGTCCTTGTCTACCACAAGCTTACCTCTTGGTGCCGAAAAAGATATCGATGATTTATCCGACCAACAGCTACGAGAATTATATGAAAATGAGGAAATGGACCGGTTTCTGACCATCTTTTCTACGGTATGTCGAAGCCTTGAATCAAGATGAGGGCTTTGTCCATCCTGACTTGCGTTCCAGTATGTAACAGAAGTCCGGGTTTCCGACACATCTTCTGGCACTTCTCTTGAAAATACCTCAGTGGCTGCCGAAGACTCTGTATGGGCCATCGGACAAACTCAAGATGACAACCTGCCTGAAAAGCATTCTGCCCGGTCTATCTCAGAACAAGTAGCTGATGTACGGCATTACATTGTGGTACTTTGATATCTGTTCTCATTCTGAGTAGCAATGGATACGCCCGCATTTACCTCCCGCAGCTCCTCCCGCACCACCGTTTACTCTAGGGCGTTTGAAACTGGCAGTCCAGCGCCTTTACTTGGCGACTATTCCCATTTACGTACCATTCCTCGTAAGGATGTATCAACTATCGTCATGGCGTGATACGGGTCGTAGTTCCATGTATTGCATCGTGCGTTCATCATATACCACCTTTTACACTCCCTAATTTATCTTGAAGATATTTTGGATGCTGTGGTATCACGATCTCTTGTGTCCTGCATTTTTTCTACGCGTATTCTATGCTTTAATCCGCCGAAGAATTATGCCCTACCCAACTGTAGATGAGCTCCGGCAACGCCTTCGTGAGGTTGATAGGGCAAACAAGCTTGGCGATGCAGTATCATCCCGATTATCTGCTTCCTCATCCTTTGGGGTCAAAGATATGTGGAGGTTATACAGAATAGTCAACAAGCCGTGGAAACCAAAGGCCAAGAAGGCCTCCGCTGAGCAACCTGGATGTCAAATCCTTCCGGAGTCTATAGATTACGGCGCAACAATAAATACCATTAATGATGAACCCACAATACTCGGCGATGAAACGGAGAGTGAGGAGGAGAGAGATATCAAGCGTCTGGGCCTTCACATTCTCAATGCGGTTGCTGATTTCCATGAAAGGATGAAGAAGTGATTTTCCCCCTCTCATCTCTTTCATGCCTGACATTCATTCGATGTGTCTAGCCTTTTCATCTGGCGCCGACACTATTCCTCTCGAATCTATGGTGCTGTTGGTTCACCTTTACCTTCTTGTCTACAGACCAGCTAGACTGAAACACTCATACAGTTTATATTTTGTGCATTCTTGGCAACGCTCCTTCTTCCTGCAAGGATTATTGCCAAGTGCGTGTATTTTGTGGCAGGTTTCCTGTTTTGGCACGTGGTGCCCATTGTGATGGCATTATCTCCGCAAGAAAGAGCTCGGTATGTCTAATTGCAGTTTCTCAACACAATTCTCACAAATTAGTATAGTTTACCTCCGCCACTCGCTGATATTCCTACAGATGCAGATTACGCCATGGAACTCATATCTTCTCGTGTAGCATCGGGACAATATATTAAACCGAGCAAAAAAACAGCTGCCAGACATTCTGATGCGACGGGCAACTCTGGTCATAATGAAGTAGATTCCAATCAGTCATCTGCATCACACGGCAAAGAAACCGGTCCAGACTGGAAGAAGTGGAGTGAACGGGCAGCAATTGGTAAAGCGTGGGCAGGTGAAGGCAAGCGCCTGATAAAAGGACAGGTGAGACTCTGGAATCTAATCGAAATAAACACTTCTTCATGTTGTTCTTACCCCGTCGATGTGAAGTGGATGCCAGATCATTCCTCGCCTATCATCCCTTCTTCTGCGATGGCGATAGCTCAGCCTACGCTGCCACAGGATACTCACAGTACTGTTCTTATTTTGCTGGTCTCTTGCTTCCTAAAATACACTTTTAGCGTTCGTTTCTCAGCATTCTACGACTTCCCGGACTCATCACTCTGACTTCGACAATGTTCCTTTTCACCCCCCTGACAACAACAAAGCCTAAAATCACCCTCCCTCTATCTCGTCTGTGTGGAGTCAGGAAGATAGGACTGATCAAAGGTTTGTCTTTAAAATGGTCACCAGAGGACGATGAGCATGAGGTGGAAGAAATATTCCGATGGGTAGGGGGCCGTGACGAGCTATTCACTCGACTCGTTGGATTAGGAGGAAAGCGCTGGAAGACGTCATAAACTACTCAGCATGTACTTACCATCCACGCTTGGGAAGTGTGGCGCAAGGATCTGCAGATCGAGGAATCGAAACTCCGACGTGGTTCTTGCATATGCCAAATCCCAGCCTCGCTTGCCTCCATCTTCTCTACTCTCATGCTTTCCTGTCTCCTGCTCTGAACAATACGTCCACTATATATTCGCTATTGTAATTTTTCTGTTCTGTAGCCTCTGTAACTGTTGTATCCTGGTAAGGATCATGTTTTGTCTATTCAACGTCGCCGTGACGCTTACACGTCGCAGTATTACGCACCCCTGTTGCTTTGTTAAATATGTTTTTCTCTCCGGAACTACTCGCAAGACGAGACAGTGGATTTGGGCTCCTCTGGTATGTCTTGTGCTACCTTCATTTATGGAATGGCGTGGCGATCTTGACATAGGCTTGCCGCAACTTTGGGATCCAAATCAACTTTCAAGAAACTTCCGAAAAGATCTGTGATGACCGCGGATATCGGTCAATTGTGCGATCTCATAGCAGAACCGTCTGAACCCCTCGCTCTGCGACTCTCGAGTAATTTGATGGTCGGTGTTGCACGGTAAGCTTACATCAATTGCACCGCGTGAAACCCACTCAAGCGTGTTGCTACCTATCCAAGCGTATACAAGGGTGGGTGAATAGCTGTTCCACCCTGTTTACTTCAACCTAAAAGAAATGCACAGTCAAGCAGGACATCTTCTTCACTGACGTGTCACATTGTGTCGCCTCCTTGAAGAAGGTCATTCAAGAATATCAAGCTACTCCTGGAGATGGACAGTTGCAGATGGCTCAGCCTAACACTCGGTATGCCACGACCACGGCTCCTCTCGCATGGGAATTGACGCCATCTATCAAAGGGCATCGGCTTTAACATTGGTCATAGATACCAATCCCAATTATGAATTAGATGCATTTGTTGCAGTGAGTACTGATCTTCAGATCTTTGATTCCATCTGACTCCTCTGAACAGGACTGGGATGCATTTCTCAATGCCAGGGGTACGTAGCACTCAGCTCTGGCCGTCTTCAATATCTCAGGGAAAAATCTAGAGGACGAATTGGAGGAGGATATGCCCGATGCTGAATATAATCCGAAGGGCAAACAATCTAAGTCGAAGTCGAAGCTATCGAAGCCTCAGGCTAGCCCACCTGCTGTCGCGGAAGATGTGCGTGCGGAACTCTGCACCTTGAAAGAGAACTATGATCACCTTTTGTCTGCCTCCTTTGACCTTTCCTTCAGCGGCAACGCTCCAGGATTTTCTCAGGACCCTTCCTCATCTCAAGTTGATGGTGGATTTATGAACGATCCATTCTTCTCTGATGGTGCGGATCTAGGTGGATTGCTGGGCGACGAACTCGCTAGAGAACTAGGCGAGGGCTGGGGTGGTACTCCAACGAAGGCCATAGATACTGGCAGAAGGTATTATTTCACAAATATCGTAACTCCAAAGGGCTCACCAACCATCTTAGGAATATCCTCGAAAGTGACGATTTCGCTTTTCCCGCCGATATGCCCATGCATCTAGACTTCAACTTCGAAGATAATCAAGGTCTGATACAGCCTCCGGTAAGCAATGCCGCGACTCCCACTATTGACAAGGGGAAGCGTAAGAGAAAGGTTCGCATCATCTGGTTGGTCTGGATAGGCACTAGATCTAATTATTCCCGACTCCCCAAGGCGAACGACTTCCAGAAAGAGAACAAGACTCCCCTTTCACTGCCAAATACCCCACGTGCTATCACACCTGTTCTGACATTTTCTCAACAACTTCTGTCTCAGGACGCAGAACCTGTACAACCTCTGCAAGATATCACACAACAATTCCAGAATGCATCTGCTCCAGCTCAGAAAAAGATCAAAAAGACACGATTGCTTTTGGATGCTAGGACTGAACTTACTGATGAAGAACTAAAGGTTGTCATGGCTACGTCGGGCGTCCGTCATCTAATCATATGATACTTTAGACCGCCCGGGCGCAATATCTGCGAGGGCAGAAGCTTTTGAGACACGAAAATGAATACAAGCGATCGGAGAAAGGGAACGGGCGATTACTTGAAGACATTATCTGGGGGGTTCCGGACTACAGTATGAGCTTATTCCTGCCCTTCTGTGAATATTGTACTGATGATACCCGCCCCAAGTCGAAGCCCCCGTCCTCGTTGACTTTTGGCAAGAGAATTTCAAAGTCCAAGTCGAAGCAAGGACAGGAATTCTTCTCATCCATCCTACAGGTACTCTATGTCATTCTCTTGTCATCCGATCTAAATATCTTCCTGGCTTCAGATGAGCCTCCGTCTAAACGGCGCAAGATTAGAGATCCAAACACTCTAAAAGAAGCACTTACAGGTCCTGCTGAACATGATTATGCTATGGACGTAGACATGGTGGACTTTGGAAGGGATGGTATGTTGTTCCTTACGGATCAGAACTTCGGTGTATCTGCTGTAGCGGATCCATTCCAAGATGTCCCGATAGATTTTGATTTTGGACAGCAGATCCGGTCATCAGAGGTGCGTTCTCTACGCGTCGATCAGCAGAATAGCGTGCTGAATGATGAGCTCAAGGAGCCCGGACAAGGACGTCAAGTCTCCAGACCACCATCTCTTGGCGGCGGACAGTTTGATATTGATCCATCGCCCGAGGAACCTCTGACTCAGTCTCAGCGCAGCTCCCTGTTTCCTTGGGACAATGCTGGTGTCTTCAGCTCCTCGAGTGGGGCCGGGGGATTTGCAGGTGGAAGCGATAGGATCAGCGTTGACCGCGCTGATATAAGGATGAGGGGAAGTTCTGTCAGTCGACGGGAGAGTTCTCTCGTTCCCAGTGCAAGTGCAACCGGTCTTGGGCTGTCCCCAGGTGTCACCGATCGGGGGTCACAGGTGGGGGAGGACTACCAGTTCGAAGGTATTTTATGGCGTTGTTTCATTGTTTCGTCGGCGATGTAATGATGAATTTTCAGTGGATCCGGAGGAAGGAGCCAATAACTTGAACTCGCAAATGGAATCACAAAAATCAGACCTGAATCTTGTTACACTTGAACGCAACTCTTTCAATTTTCTCGAGTAAGTTTGATAGCAGGTTCGCAGATAATATTCTGATCCGACGATATCCAATCAGATATACAAAGATGCAGTTCCAAACTCTCCCGGACTTTTCGAACGACCTATCATTCGATGCGATAGCTCCTCCCGCTACAAGTACTCGACATGTTGCTGCTGCTGCTTTCTATCATTGCTTGGGTATGGCTCGACGAAGCTTACGGTGATGATGTCATTAACAGACTTCACAGTTTTGGCAACCAAGGACTTGCTTCATCTCCGACAGCCACAGCCTTACGGACCTATTTCTTTGCTCTTGGTACCTAATTAATATTTCTGATCAGACCCAGGTTCCGGTTCCCCATGTTAATGACCGATTCGTCACTTCCTCTCAACCATATGTCCAGGACCGGAGTGTCCATTCGATGATCCCGGAATTGTAGCTACTTAGATAACTGTACTGAATTGATAGCACCATTAGTATACATGTAACATATAGGTTAGACAAACAATACTTTCAGACCGATCGAAAAGGATCGGACCACTCTTATATTCTGACACGCTGCATTCACTATTGATATCAGGATTTAAACGGACCACTCAATCGGCTCGTACCTTTCTCCCTTATCGTCCTGGATCGCGACAGGTATCGGAAAATGAGCTCCCCTGCTGTCCTCGCCGCTCGCGCTGCTCTTGCCAGCATCGACCTGACCAACTATGATCCCGAACAGTCGAAGCTCATGGATGAGAGATGTATTCTTGTAGATGAAGAAGACAACGCCATCGGTGCTATGGACAAAAAGACGTGTGAGTAGCAAAGGCTACTGTGGCCGTCGACGCTAAAGAGGGTATCCAGGTCATCTAATGGATAATATCAACAAGGGTCTGCTTCACAGAGCCTTCTCTGCATTCGTCTTCCGTCCTTCAGATGGAAAGCTGCTGCTTCAACAACGGGCGACCGAGAAGATCACATTCCCGGACATGTGGACTAACACCTGCTGCTCGCATCCCTTGGACGACTTTGAAGCCGAAAAGGTGGAGAAAGACCAGTTAGGCGTCCGAGTGGCGGCATCCAGGAAGCTGTACCACGAGTTGGGCATCCCCCAGAGCCAGACTCCCATCGACGAATTCCAATATCTTACTCGTATTCATTACCTTGCCCCGTCGGACGGCATCTGGGGCGAACATGAAGGTGAGTTGCCCATTGCAGACTCGTGATCATCTCATGGCTCATGATACGCAGTGGACTACATTCTGTTCCTTACTGCCGATGTGGATGTTACACCCAACTTGAACGAGATCCGGGATCACAAGTACGTCGACAAGGCAGAACTGCAAGCCATGTTTGATGACTCGGGTGAGTTAAACCTCTATCTCTGAATAGAGCACATTCATATGCTGGATACAGGAAATTCGTTTACTCCTTGGTTCAAACTTATTGCTCGAGATTTCTTGTTCGGCTGGTGGGACGAGCTCCATGCACGGAAAGGCCCCGATGGCAGGGTCGTTGCAAAAAGTCTAGTAGGTTTGGTCGATGGTAGCAAAGTCGTTAAGATGGTATAGGCATATAATGAAGCTCGTAGATAATACACTGTTCATCAAAATAGAATACTTTTCGATATATATAGTACATAAGCTCATTTCATTCAACAATTCAGCCGACTCGGTGCGAAGGGACACCTTTGAAGACGTAAAGCTCCCTGTGTGTTCCTATATCCGTGCTGGAACGTAGAGTCCAGTTCGAGTTGCTTCCCAGAGGTATCGTAGTCTCCAAATTGAAGCCAACGTCACTGAGTGCTCGGAGGACGCGGAGAAGAAAGTAACTAGCATCCACCGTCGACGCCGCTGTGATCATTTAATCAAACGTTGGTCATGGGTACAGAAATCAACCTTACATGATTGGGTAGGTTCAAAATTCAGTCGGCGCGTTCCTTTCATGTATATAAGACAACATATGTCGAAACCCCAGCAAGCAGGACTCACTTCTAGTTGCCTCTCGCTTTAGTTCTATCGATCGAATATGATCAATGTCCTCATCATAAGCAATCAAATCGGGGAAAGCCTCCATCAGTGCGTGCCCGATGGACTCTTGAACGACAGACGGAGGATGTATCAAGTTGACCCGCAGTCCACCTTTGGAGAAGAACGCGAGAAAGAAGCGAGCAGTTTTGTCGACAGCGCGAGCCACGAAAACGAGTCGTGGGGGCTGGAAGACAGATGTTAGTGTCAAAAGGAATACACATTTATCGACAAACCTGGAAACCAATATTGATGCTAGTTTGAAACGCATATCCCTGCGAGAATAATAAGTACATGGAGTGACATGAATGGAAGAACGCACCCGTATTGCGAATACCCGGAACAGGGTCACAATCATGTCCCAAGCCCTGAGTAAAGTCGGTGCGCTACTCCAATTGCTTGAGTAACGGCAAATACCTTTTCTTGTGCGGACCAGACATGTTCCACGGAGTGTTCTTGAACTTTACCCGCCATATGGAGTCTCGCTGTTCATCGCTTTCAATGCCGTCTTTCCAAATCCCGAATATTTGTTGCCTTATTTCAGTCATCGCAGCCTCTGTTATATGTTCAACGATGAGTTCATTGTTCCCGTGAAAGGTCATAAACATCTGGCCTGGAAAGACGGACAGTCAGTTAGACGAGTGGCTCAAAGGCAAACCATGGCACATACAGGATTGAAATGAAGCTTTCGCCTTTGCCACCGCAGACTGAGCATCCGACCTTGTTCTCGTTCGCGTCACAGTTTCCCTCGATGGGGCAGTTGCTGGCCTGCTAGCTCCACTTGACGTCCGCTGCCTCTCCAGCCTGACCTGATGCGTAGGCATAGCGTTTGCGGTAGACGATCTCTTGATGGCAGATTTCACTGGAGCAGGGCCGTGGGCAGGAATTGTTGATGATCTCTGTTTTGCGGCCTTGGGCGGCTTGGTCGTCGACTTTGAAGGTGTTATCTGAGCTACGAGGTCGGGTGGAATGAAGGGCTTTGGCTGGGGAAAAGGCGTAGAATTGGGTGGAAACGATGCAGCATTGTTTGGGTAAGGAGTTCCGTTGGTATAAGGACCTTGATTTGCTAAACGCTGTCCGCCGTAGTTGACAAAGGGCGAGTAGCCACTGTTCGCCCCAGCAGGGTACGATGGAGGAGAGAAGTATTGCTGTTGCTGTTGCTGCTGCTGCTGCTGCTGGCCGGGATAATAGGGATAAGTTGAATAGCTTTGCATGGCTGGTCACGAACACAGTCGATATCGAAGAAATGAGAGATGACAGCAGAGAGCAGAGTGGACGAACATGAGGCTCCGAAGCGCTCTACACTTCCTTTTCCAGCCAATTATATACTAAGCAAAATCCGACCAAGGGCCATTGGCTTCCTTGCAATGTCGCAGGGAATATCAGGAAGCAATGGCACGGAAAAAGAAATAAACAAGCAAAGCATTGGCAGCAAGAACAGAGGCAGCTGTAGCGCTCAGAAAGTACTCACGTAAGCGCAGACAGTCATCCTGTGTCATCGGCCTGCCCCACCTTTCTTTCCAGCTTCGTTGTCGACCATGGCGTCCACTTTCTTCACCTGGCTGCGGTCACCAGCAGCGCGAGAATACTTTTTCAGTGAGCGTACTTGCTATTTCTTACTCACAATAATCTTAATTTCACTTTGAACAGGCACTCATTTTTGGGGCCCAGTTCGGATTTCCCCACCTTTATGGTCCCAGCAGTCATTCACCACATTCTAGGTCGCCAACTGGGGTCTTCCTATCGCTGCTCTTTCCGACTTGTCCAAGGATGAAGAATTCATTTCTGGCACAATGACAACCACCCTTGCGTGTTATTCGTACGTTCTGCCCGTCATATAGAAAATTTCTTCCAGACTTCTAATCTCGTCCTAGTCTCGTCTTCATGCGTTTCGGTACGAGTCTCCAATGTCTATCACACTCAGCACCTGATTTTGTCTTCAGCTTGGCGCGTCCAGCCGCGTAATTACCTTCTCTTTGCCTGCCACACGACCAACGCCCTGGCGCAGAGCGTTCAAGATGTCCGATTCCTGAACTACTGGTACAACGGCGGACGGGAGAAGAAGCTAGGGCTGACGGCGGAGCCTAAAGGCAAGGTCACAGAGGCAGTCGAGGCAGCGAGAGAAGAGGCCAAGAAGGCTGGCCAGTAGCCTCGTTCTTTCCAGATATTCACCCATAGATTCACTATCTGTGTTTCATTCATATATATTATACGTAAATACCTCCCATAAATCACCAAAATCCGTCGTCTGCGTCCCCGCGTCCCTTCTTAGTGCTACTCTGTGCCAGGGCCTGTTTCTCATACATCTCGGCAACCTAATTTCCGTTAGCCTTGGTGCGTCAAAGAACGGATTTAGCGCGTACCTGTTCCGGCCCCGTCGCATCTTCTGCAGACTTATCGTCTCGTATCCGTATAAAGCGAGGGAACCTAAGTGATATACCTCGCTCGTCCGCCTGCGGAATATCAGCGATGAATGACACCAACACAGAGATACACTTACAAGTCCTTGAGCCGCAGTATAAACTGGACTTAAACTTAAATCCGCCGTCAAAACTTCCCATACGACCTTCGGCTCGAACCAGATATCTGGCTTCGCTCCCCCAACCTTGACATCGCCCCGAACTTTGGTCATCTCAAGTGGCCGGAGCAAATCGTACAGAGATTGAAGAGCTTCCTCACTGAAACCTGTCCCTATCTTGCATATCGTTTGATATTCTTCAGAGTCACTGTCATAGCATGCTAGGAGGAAAGCCCCGTAGACGTTCGTCCGCTTTCCCTTGCCGTAGTATCCACCAACGACTACCAAGTCAAGGGAATCCCCAATGCCGGCCAAGTAGTCCTTTTTCAGCTAAAACAAACTCTCAATACCAATACGGACATATGCACAAAGGAGTCTCTATACCTTAAGCCAATTAACACTTCTTCGGCTTGGTTCGTAAAAGCTTGCCTCGCTTTCCAGCATTTTGACCATCAGACCTTCACACCCGTCCTTGACACTTTCTTCAAGGAAAGATTGTATCTCATCGGTGGTTTCGCCATCCGACGCTTTGGCAAAGTCAAACTCTCCAGGTACCACATTGAAGTTATCTCGTAAAAGGGAACGACGTTCGACAAGTGGTTTGTGAAGTAAAGGCTGTTGGTTTCACTTAGTATACGACCTGATCAGAAAAAGACTCGAAGCGTACTTCACCATTCAAACACAAAAGATCGAACGCAAACAAGCATACTCGTACTTGGATATCCTCCACTTTGACGTCCTTGCGCTTCCGCTTGCTCAGCTCCTGGAAGGGGAGTATTTTGCTAGCGACAGGGTCCCATGCAACGGCCTCGGCATCTAGTACAAATGACTGGGTTGATTCTTTGAAACACTGTACTATGCAATGAGCACGCAGAAAAAACGATGTCCAGATATCCTCACCTTTGGAAGTTGTTCAACGAGGTCTGGATATTTCTTGCTCATATCCTCAGAATTTCGACTGAAGACATTGACGGTACCATCCTCAAGCTTGTGAACCTGTGATCTAAGATGAGGGGCATCTTCATCTTGAGATAAGCATAGATAGCACACCTGAGCACGTTCGCCGTCGTATTTATATTCGCACGTGAACCGCTTCTTCTCAAACCTGTCCAGGACTTCACCGATAGCCTTAGTCGGCTTAGCAAGCATAGGCTTTAATGGGACACCAGGAGTAAGTTTGCAACGGTCTCGTAGACCATCCAGACCACACTCGAGCAATGCGGGAACCACTTCATCATAAGAGGGTAGCTCACTTCCCCAGAATGATCAGTGATATGAATGTGTGAGAAAGAGGGTACATACCTAAACACGCCCTTCATAATACTCGCTCCCTCCTCCAGACGAGCAGCCAGTTTCTCATCCGACCACTTCTTTCCTGCTAAAGAAAAATGGTAAGAGAAAAGGCTAACACCTCCGGAAATTCATGTATCATACCTCTTTCTCTCTCTGCAAGAACCGACGCATGAGCAAGGGCAACAAGTACAGAGCGCTCAGCATTCCCTATACGAAGTTTTCCCTCTAGACTACGGACTATATACTTGGCTTCAAAGTCCTGACAAGCTGCAAGGAGTTTCGTTATGATAGATACTTTCTTTGCTTGCGACTATGTCGATGATGAATAAAAGGGTGACAGATAAGAATGGAAGTCAACTGACAGATTGACCAGAAGTAAGGGCGATCTCTTTGAGACTAGCAAAAACGTATGGAATTGTCAGCGCTTTAGGCTTCCCTATCGTCTTTTGGCGATTCTTCGAGTTCTAGAAAATAGGTCATTCGACGGATAGGTTTTGACTTCAAGATAATATACCATTGCTACTAAACCCAGGTCGCCTTCTTTCTTCAGTTCAGCTTTGACAGTGGCAATAGTACGACCGGTGGACTCTCCGATCGCTTTTATGAGCAAGCTTTCACCGATGCCCAGTTCAATACCCACATAATCAGGGCTTAACTGCATCGAGAGGTCTAGATCATCGACGCAATGGATATTAAGATTGCTTACCCTGTTTATGCAGAGATACACTGCTTGGAGGAGAGACTGCGCGTTGCCTGAAGTGCTTCGCTGAATAACAAGAAGCAGAAATGAGGTTAGAAGGGCATTCTTTTCCAAGCGCTTAGTTGTAGCTTCGATCTTGGAGAACACGTTGGTCAAGGCTGCATACGGTACACTGTCAATAGTTAGTACGAGAATGGAAATGCTAAAGGAGGACATACGGATCACCGGTTTTCCAGCCACCCTTGATGTCGACGTCCTCAACTTTGGACAGAGCGGCAATAGCACTATTATGGCATCAAGACAAGCATCAGGTCATGAAACAAAGGTCCTCGTACCTTTTCGACGCGGCTGTTAGATTTGTAGCCTTGCCACCACCATCCTCAGAATCTTCGTCCATAACCTCATCATCTCTGTCGTCATCACTTGGGGCTGGGGAGCTAGCTTCGACCTGAGTCACAGTCTCTTTCTCAGCAATTGCTTTGGACTTCGACTTGCTCTTGGCTGTAGCTTTGGGTGAAGGCACAGGGGGAGTTGGTGTTTTCGAAGATGTTGGGGAAGACAGCACACGTTGTTCTGGGCAGCGTTGAGTCGAGTTTCGTTGAAGGAAGAAACATTATCGAACCTGCTGTCGAAGACGGTTCACCCTCTTCGTCAGATTCAACTACTCGCCGCCTTTTGATCCTAGGCGCGTCCGCTAATATTCGATGTAAATGGGAGCTCGTAGAAGGTCACGTTGTCCTACCTACGGGAACGACTTCCTTGCGCTTAGAACTTTCGGCTATATGCTAGACTGAGACTTTGTGACGTATAACGCGAAGAACGCGCGCACCTTTGGGCGCAGGACGCGTATCGACGTCCATGGCTTCATCCTTGACGCGAGACGCGTCCACCTTGGCTGGTGGCTTTGTCTTTGTCCACATTTCCCTCAAACTTGATTGCTGGGGTGGTGCTGGCTTGATAGACTTGGGCATTTCGAAGAATTTACCTAGGCGGGAGATGAGACGAAGGTAGAGAATACGGTGTAGCGCGAAACAGACCTAAGGTTTGCTGGCGGCCCATTGGACGAGACAGGAGACGCGTGATAAACATGCGTACACACTAGAGTCCTTTGGGAAGAATTCGAAAAGCACAATATCGAACTTGGGTCGTAAGAGAAAGCAGTATCAAATTATCATCGTAGAACGTCACTGTCAATTGTCAAACTGGTCGTATCATCTCAGAAAAATCCCACATTTCACGAAGGAAAAAAGTACCTGCTATCTGTTGGTTTGTGGCTTCGAAGCGAAGAGCAAGACACCAGACTCCTACTCAATCGGGGTAGACCTCCCGGGAATTGCCGTGACTGTATAGTCGAGATTTAAGTTTGCACTCTTCATGCCACAACAACTGTCAACAAATTTTCGAAACGTTACGCCTCAAGCCGCCTCGCCCTCCCCGACGTCCTCAAGACAAATATGGCTGAACAGGTGCGCTACAGGTGTCATTTCATAGTGTTTATTTTGCTGAACAAATGTGGTCTTGAAGGTAGAAAAAGCTTTCCAAAAGCAACCCATCTTCCAGAACGCCAAGTCGCGTGGTGCGTTCCCTTCAAGACAATGCAATACTCGTTCTGACGGTAGCATTTGTAGCTGGCAAGAAGGTCTCAACGAAGGACAAGCGTTGGTACAAGGATGTCGGTCTGGGATTCAAGACTCCCTCAGAAGCTATCAGTGGGACATATATCGGTGCGACAATTCTCCAAGACTTTACAGGGAGAAGGCTGATAATGGAACAGATAAGAAATGCCCCTTCACTGGTGAAGTGTCAATCCGTGGCCGTATTCTGACCGGAAAGGTCGTTTCGACAAAAATGACCCGTACCATCATCATCCGACGGGACTACCTACACTACATCCCCAAATACAGTATGCGGTGCTGTCAACATTGTTATACTTTGGCCTCACATTCATGACAGACCGATACGAGAAGCGCCACAAAAATTTGGCTGCTCATCTTTCGCCGGCCTTCCGTGTTGAGATTGGTGACATGGTCACAGTCGGTATGTAGATGGTGCATCGTGATTCTTTTTCCCATCTGACGGTATTTCGGCAGGACAATGTCGGCCACTGTCTAAGACGGTGAGGTTCAATGTGCTGCGGGTGTCGAAGAACAAGGCGGCAGCCAAGGCATTTGGCAAGTTCTAGGAGCAAGGGAATATTTTGCATCATCACCACCATATGTCGAGCTTTGTTACAAAATAACCCATGCTTATGTCCACTATGAATTGCGCAGCTCTAAGTCCAGCAAACGGTGCCAGCAATGAGTCAATTAACGATGCGGGGATCAAAGACATCTGCCAAAAAAACAAGTCAGAATTTTGAAAGAATATTCGTCCAAGTGAATTTTGTGTGAAATAGCCAGCGCCAAGGTGCCATATCGGGCGTTGTTCTCACGGACCACGGCTTGACCTGATTGTTGTTGCTTCCAGTGTTGCTCAGCCCCTTCCTTGTTCTCCTTCCTTCCATTTTCCAGGCAGGCCCTTCTGCGTATCTACCTTTACGTCCTGCTACCTTCCCATCGCTGCAACACTGGCGCCAACGCTCTTCTCCGTATTCACTTCCAAGCTCGCCAAGGGTCGACCATCGTCGCCTTTACCACCTGGCCACCACTCTCCTCTGATGGGCCAACAGCCGTCCAAGAAGTCAAAGAAGGGTAGCAAGGAGAAGGAGAAGGAAGCCGATTCGCCGTCTCCTGAAACAGCGACGGAGGAGGTGGGAGAAAGCACGCCGCAAGGTTCCTTGTCCCGAGCGACGGGCTCCGACGCAGTTAACGGTGTCGACAAGTCACTACCGAACGGAGGGCCTGCTATAAATGTATCGGCTCCCGATGGTGCTGCCGTAGCATCCTCAGGAAATGGTACAGGACCTCGCAAGCCTGCCGACCCCTCTTCTACTGACCCCCCTCCACCAAGTCCTGCCTCTCCAGCATCTTCCTCTTCAACGTCTCAAGTTTCCCCGAAGCCTTCTCCTGCTCCCTTAGATATACCGGCTACCCAGACGATTTTGTCCAATTCAAACATGTTCACTCCCGGATCGGCCTCCAGTAACGGACTTCAAAGCGAGAACGGAGGTGTAAAGGAGAAGCCACGGCCGTTTGATGTCGATGACATGATACAACGGCTTCTGGATGTCGGATATACGGGGAAAGTCAGCAAATCTCTTTGCCTTAAAAACACAGAGATCACTTCCATCTGCCTTGCCGCCCGAGAGGTTTTCCTAAGCCAACCTACTCTTGTCGAATTATCGCCTCCTGTGAAGATCGTCGGTGATGTTCACGGGCAGTACTCGGACCTCATACGGCTGTTCGAAATGTGCGGTTTTCCTCCCGCCGCAAATTACCTTTTTCTTGGGGATTATGTCGACCGTGGCAAACAAAGTCTCGAGACTATCCTCTTACTTCTCTGTTACAAGATCAAGTATCCGGAAAACTTTTTCTTGTTGAGGGGGAACCATGAATGTGCGAACGTGACGCGAGGTGAGTGGTGGAGCTGTTGCGTGTCCAATACGTCACTGACGATTCTTCCCTTCTTAGTATATGGATTCTATGATGAGTGCAAACGACGTTGTAATATCAAGACGTGGAAAACGTTCATCGATGTTTTCAATTGTCTACCTATTGCCGCCGTCGTAGCCTCCAAGATTTTCTGCGTCCACGGAGGTCTATCGCCTTCTCTCCACTCTATGGAGGATATAAAGCGGATACAGAGACCAACAGATGTTCCAGACTATGGTCTTCTGAACGACTTGCTCTGGTCAGATCCATCCGATACAGCTCTAGATTGGGAGGATAACGAGAGGGGAGTGAGCTATTGCTTTGGGAAAGCCATCATCAATGAGTTCCTTGTTCGTTACGACATGGATCTCATATGCCGGGCACATATGGTTGTAGAAGATGGTTACGAGTTTTGGAACGATCGAACACTAGTGACAGTGTTCAGTGCACCTAATTATTGCGGAGGCGAGTCAAATCACATTCTACTTGGTTCACGTAACAAATTTGTCCTTACGAATTTCCATCAGAATTTGACAATTACGGGGCATGCATGAGCGTGTCAGAGGATCTGCTTTGTGCCTTCGAGTTGCTCAAACCTCTTGATGGTGCCGCATTACGGAAGGAAATGACTAAAGCAAAGCGGAAAAGGTACGCACTATATACCTTGGTCCTTTTCGTTTCGATATTCTAATCGATTTATTTGTAGTATGGCCACGGCCGCATGAGTTTTACGACGGTTTCCGACGATATACGAATATAATAGCTGGTAGCCTCTTGGTGGATCTGTGTTCATAGTTCTGGCCACCGACGCACTGTGATGAAATTGTAGACTAGGGCCAGCGACGTATATGAGGATGACCCCCGTAGAACATTGACGAAAGGCAGTTTTCGCTAACTGCTTCGCCCCTCTTTTTCACCACCCTGTCGTTTGAATGGCCAGAGGAGATATTGAGTCCGCTCTTTTCTCTGACTCTTGTAATCATACTTTCTTTTCTTACTTTAGGATTGGCATTTTGTTCTCCTCTATTGCTCTCCCCATCTTCCTGTCGATGTTTGTGTTATAAGTCTCAGTACTCATGGTCTCGTCACGTATTTATTCAATAAAAGACGTTTGAATTGCTACTAGGATTGGAACTAAGATTGTAGACATACGTTCTATATTATAGGGTGTACTCTGAACTAGTGCTTAGCCATATCATATGCCAACACTCCGAAGGCTGCGACTATCATTGTTGATCCTACAACACTACCCATGGTAACGGCTCTCATGCCGGCGCCGAACATGACATCCGAAATGAAAACGAGAGCTATCGTTAAGAGACCTCCGACTGATGTCATGATTGGCCCCCATATGGCCAGAAGAATCTGGTCGCGAAGTTTCAGTGACTACAAAATCGAGAATGTCCCTAAAGGAAACTTACCATAAAGCCAGCGTTAAACACGACACCACTCATGGCAATCGTCATTATAGCCAGAACCGTCCGCCAGCTGTCCGGTAAGGCAAAGGCTTCGATTTGAAAATAGTCCAATATAGGTATAGGTATCCATAGAAAAATGAATGTGCATATTCCGATGGCCGATGTTAGGAAGTTGGGATGGAATCCAAATGGAGGCGGACAGGCTGTGTCGGTATCCTTGGTATCCGTTTCGCTGGAATTCTCAATGTCCAAATCATCTGCCTCCGGAAGTGGATCATATATCCTCTCGGAAACAAGCTCCGGATCAGATGGCAAGGCAGCGTACTTTTTGTACATAACCTGATACAATGCATAGATAAGCGATGCCGCTAATGTTAGCAAGTCGCCGATGAGAGGTGCCGTAGGGCGTTTGAAGTCCTGCACCACCTCCGTGCCTGTTTCTTCAGGAGCGGATATGCTACCTCCATAGACAACGACTAGAACGCCTAGAGTGGCCAATAGAACAGCCAGGAGTCGGCGCGACTCCCATTTGAGGTGAAAGACCTGGACAGAGATTATGTACGCGAAAAATGCGTTGGTGTTCCAAATAGCTGAAATTGTAATTAGACACGTTTGCAGCGGATGAATCGAGACGTACCAGTCACGTCACTGACACTGCATAAAGTCGTCAGGAAAGCACACGAAAGTCACAGTGAGGAGATAACTCACGAAGCCAGAGTGATGGCAGCAAACCAAAGGAGACCCGGGAACGTGATTCCGGCAGTTAACGTGAGTATGAGGGAAACGAAACGGAACCGAGGGAAGTCCGTCGAACTTGGAGGGAACGCCAAAGGAGAAAGGTGGTCACCAACAGCTATTGATAAGCCATTTACGAGGGACTTTGTCGAGTGCTTCGTGGTCATCCTTAGATATAAGAGATGAAGTGGGAAGATGATAGCGAACGACGAATGAACGACGTAGCTACCAAGTAAATTAGTAATAGTAAGAGTGAATCAATAACCCGACGCACAAAATTAAAAAAGGTTGTCTGTATCCGAGGTCTGTCTGGACATACTAGGAAGAGCAGATAAGCGCCTGTTTCAGCAAGCACCGGGGGAAAATACCTACTTGTGTGAACTCGCTCTCTACTACAAAAGCAAAAAGGGTGACAATAAAAAGTGCTACCGTAAGTTTCCCCCCAATGTGAGGGGTGAATGGGGCATGATGACCAGCAGGCATGTAAGGATCAAAGGAGTAGGAAGGAAAGAACGGAACGCGCCTTATTTAATGACCGCTACTTGGCGTAGATCACGTGACACGAAAGTCTCGCGCTGACGGACCGGGTTCGTTTAAGTTAGACTTCTTCAGACCGTCATGCTTCGCGCGCTTTGGGCTTCGAGCCGACCGTTATTTTCTCGCCTTCGCCTTACCTCGGCGTTGGTTCACCACCATCCTCACCGTCATGGTCTCCAATCCCTCACAGAGACGCCACATCTCGCTCGAGGCATGAAAGTGCGCTCTTCCGTAAAAACAATGTGCGAAGGCTGCAGCATCGTTCGGAGGAAGGGGAGAGTCTATGTTATTTGCTCCAAAAATCCAAAGCACAAGCAGGTGCGTTTTCTCAGCAATGCATATCTTCAATTGTTTGACTTTTCACTTTTGGTACAGCGACAAGGATGAAGGAATGGCAGCAGAAGGAGATGTAGACGTCGAAGATTCACACATTCATACATTAAATCTGACGAACCCACATCTGAAACTCGTATTGGATGCCCTTTTCTTCTTGCTCTCCTTCTGGGACCTCGAACCCTACCCATTCTTTGAATGCATCATAGTGTAGCCCTTTTCCATACCGGCACCCCTTCTCCGTTGGTCTCAGCAAGAAAGTCTGGCATGAAAACGTCGCATTCGTCGAAACTAGGTGAGATTACTCTCGTGAGGAGAATACGGTCCACGAAGGGAACGATAGACGATGGTGAGAGCCGAAGGCACTCAGAGTATAAGGATGCACCCCCAATAACGAAGGCACGATGTATCGAGTCTTTCAGACTGAGCAGTCGTTCGAACGAGTGCCGCAAGCCTGACTCGAGGAAGGCTGTTGCATTGTCCGTTGATCCCCTTGGACATCATCACCAAAAGATAGATTGTACATTTAAAAATATTGCGCACAAATCATATTTCTCGTTTCTACTGATGACGATGTTGATGCGATCCGAGAGAGGCCGGAATTTTGGTGGAATGCTCTCGTAGGTGTTTCGCCCCATTATGACCGCGTTATGCATTCCTTCTGGTGCATTGGATGTGACCCGAGCGAAATATGATATTTCTTTGGGAAGGCGCCATGGTAGCTGCGAGTTTTTCCCGATACCGTTGTTCTTGGTTGCAGCGACGATGATGGTAAGACGGGACATGCCTGTTGTAAAACTGATGCGTGGTACAATGATGATAGTTATCATATCGATATCGGTCATCCATCGATGCATATAAATGTGTTCAAGACTTCAATAATTCAAAAACAACGATGAAAAACTACAGAACAGCTACAGAGCATATTTGCAAGAAACCGCGCAAGAGATTCAGTGACAAACATCAATTCCATTTTTTCCATTCAGACCCTGCCGGAGGCTTTACCTCCACCCGCTTAGCCTTGACCTCTTCCCAGTTGGTGCTGAGTGTGGTGCCGCCGCTCTCGGAATAGCTCTTCATCATTGCCCGCTTAGTGTCGTCATCCGCATCCTGGAAGATCTTCTGGAAGAAGCCATTGAGAGTACTATCGCCACCAACATTAGGGTCTTCGTCTGTCGTTTTCTCCTTCTCCGTGGAGAGTATGTTGGTAGTGATGCCATCCCAGTTCTTCTTAGGCTTGACAGAGGTCGTGGTCATAGCAGGCACCGAGGGGAAAGATGCAAGAGCTGTATCGCGGCAGCCAAAATCAAGCGCTTACGCTCACTTGCAGCTGTTCAACCACTTACGATCAGGACTGTCTCCCACCAGCGCACCCCAGCGGCCAGGTGCCATCTTCGTCAGCCTGACCTCCACCTTCACCTTGCCGACGGTGTACTCGCAAGATTCAGGATTGATTTGACCTTTGAGTGGCGCAAGAACAAGACTTTTGTCGCCGTGTGTGTAGGTAAACTAATATATTATATCAGCCGAGAGAGATGTACAGGAAGAGTATGCACACGAACCTTTCGAGGCTCAAACTGGACGTCCACCTCAGACGGGTTTGCATTGCGATCAAAGATTGACAGAGTGAGTCGTTCGTCTGTTTCATAGAATTCGTGTCTGTGTCGGGAAACTGTCAAGCTTTCATAGTCATACATTGAAGCATAGAACTGACCTAAGAGTAGACATTTTTGCAAATTTTGAAAAGGTAATGGAAGTTGTGGCTCAAGGTAGAAAACTCCAGAAACTGACCGGGACCCGGGGCAAGACTTTGTCACGCTCGTTACATCATCATGTGATGTGACTCTGGTCGCAAAGTGATGTCATTTATGATGATTTCCTGAATCCCTGTCCGTGTTGCTTTAGCTTCGCCATCTCCTACACCGCCTGTTATCAACACCTGACAACTCAAACCACCATGTCAAGCGTACCAAAAGCCGTCCTTTATTATTCTTCAGAGTCCATATGGTCTTCCGCCGGTAAGTATAGTCACGGTGCATATGGCGTTCTTGATCTCAATACTCTGAATAGTTCACCTCTCGTTGTAAGAATGTCTCTTGTCATGAGTTGTTGTTTTACACAATTTACTCGACTAGAGAGGAGAAGGGATATGGAGCGGATGAGGTCGATCTTCGCGTTGTCGACTTGGGCGAGTTCTCGCTTACCAGACTGCATGATTCCGTATACTCAACCAACTGTAACTCTTTAGACAAGGGTGAAAACTTTGCTCCATCATTCCTTCGTCTCAGTAACAAAGGTACTGCAGTGTCTTGATCTTGCCGAAGGCCTTGAAGTGACAACATCCTTAGCAATGGTCCCAACTTTGGTCGTTCCACTCCAGAAAACGCTATCTGAGGACGTGGAAAGTCGGTACCGAGCGATTACCGAAAGCAAGGTTGGAAAAATGTCGTGTTAAAGCAATAGTATACTGACACAACTTTAGGCTATCATTGAATTTCTTGATAAATCCCGCTCACCGTGGTCGCAAACCCATACAACATCCTCAGCTCCTGCACCATCGTTGACTCCAGCGACTATCGCCTTTACGGAAACTTCAGCCGAATTGATAGAACTCGTCCATACCGATGAAGTCAATCCCAACAACCTCGAATATATGAACGCTCGAGACACGGATTCGTTGAAGAACTTGGCTCGTGAAATGCTGCCGGTGTTGCATACACGTAGAGCTGTCTTATCAAAGTATATCTCTGATGCTGACAGCGGCAAAATCCAAATTTCCGAGAAAACCACGGCGCTCTGGAAGGAGAAAAAGGCCGCGACAGAGGTACTGCTGGGGCTGTATAAGAATGCAGATGTTTCAGAGTCTGCGTTGAATCCAGAAGAGAAGTCCAAGAGAGCCGAGTACTTCGAAATGGCGAGATGCGCGCGCGCCTCGCTGGGTCGTGCTCTTCTCAGATTACAGAAGGATATCATCGGGCCCTTTGCTCTTGGTAAGAATCCTATGTCCATGTCCCGGTTTATTCAATCTCAAACTCATCATCATAACGTTATGTAGGGGACCAATTGTCGATTGCTGACATGCACCTCTCCGCCTGGTTGGCAAGTATAGTCAAGCTCGCCGGAGGCGCTGCGACAGACAATGGCTCTGCGATGGTTGGGAGACTACAGGAATATATTGGAACGGAGTTCATACTGGGAAAACAGGGTCGATTGTCTCAGTACTGGGAAGCCATGAAGGAGAGGCCCAGCTGGAAGAAGGTGTATGCCGAAGGATTGCATTGAATGGTCTGTATATATTTTCGAAGGTTAGCAGAACCATTGTGTGCTACGACTTGTTACCTTGAAGGATTGGTCAGACCTTCGACCTGTCGTGTTGCTGAACCTGACACAAACAAATGCCAAGTTAATTCATACTTAGTGTCATCACGCTGCTTTATATCTATACGTAAGAGCTAAAGCAGGAAACGTCGAGTATTCAACCAGCTTGGTGACGTTCACTTGTCTATTGAAACCTTTGGTTTTCAACAAGACAATTTCAATCGCAACGACGAAGTGTCGACTTTCCACACATGACCCAAATTGGTTCCGCGAGCGGACGTTCATCGTGACCTAATTATGAAGAACTCTAGGCTAGTACATCAGAAGGTGGAATTCTCTTACCTGGTAAGAGATGCGCAGCTACACGCTTCCAGAGTAGAGAATCGTGTACAGACGACGTTAATCATAAACCTTGATATGGCAGGACTGCACCATTGAGGGGACAACACATTCACGCGAAGCGCATCTCCGTTCAAAAATTGACAGGCGCAACTGGTCATGCCTTTCCAGCTCACCAATGCCTTCCTTGATATCTTCTCGAGCTGCTTTCCCAGCGACCACGATGCGCTTCCTCTACCTCCCTTCGGTTGTACATATCACCGTACTCAGATTCAGTACCCCCGTGGACTGTGCTCGGCGTCTCGCTACCTCTTTCTTCTGCTTTTTTCCGCCGAATTAGAGCCAGGGCCCGCTCCCTTTCAGATAGTTCACGTGTAATGCGTGCATTGACTTCTGGTGGTTGGCCGGGGGCGCTTGGAGGACGAGGACGGTGTCGCGAGGAAGAGGAAGAGGAAGACTTGGAAGCAAGTTGATGTGTGATAGATGTTAAAGGATCGTGAATGGATTTTCGTGCCGTGTCTCGCTTCCTGCGTTCCTCGGCAGCTTCATCTCCTGCCACGTTATCTCGATCACGGTTGCGTTCAGAGTACCATGGCCGGAGATCCTTAGCAGAAGGAGCTAACGGCACTCCTTTGTCCGTCTCCTTAGGCTCAGCCTTCTTGGTTGACCGCACAGTTGTAATTATGGCGTTCTGATTTCAAGTTAGCAAATCAGGCACAGAATACAGCAAGCGTACAGACCTGTTCGAGATCTTCAAAAAAGTTGATGTGACCTCCAGATGTAGGCAGCGATTCCTTAGCGCCCTCCAATTGCTTCATATCATCGTCTCTCCCCTTCTTCTTGGAGAGAGAGGCTGCCCCTGCCCGTTCTCTGAGTAGGTCTATTCTAGCTTCTGAATCCTATTGAAAAAAATAGGTAAGGCACGGCTATATATTACGGAAAGGAGACTTGCCGCTAGCATCATTCTTCCCTCCTCTCGTGCCTCCTTCTCCCGCGCCTCTTCTTCATCCCGGCGGACACGTTCGATGTTATCCCTACGATACGGGTGGTAGGATTTGTGGTGTGCGATGTTTAGCTTGCCCATGGAGTATTATGTAGGCTACGACGTGAAAGTATAAAGCGAAGGATAGTCACGCGCAGGAATGAATGTGGTTATGTTTGTCACGTGATATATACCGAGAAGGATTGGGCCGTTCTGGGACATCCCTCAAATACCTCCTAGACGCTCCTAGTCTGATAACCGCCAAAAGCCTCTCCTCGACGTCCGCGACGGCGGCGGCGAAGCATTCCTCCTGTGGTCGCTCTTCCTGCTCTTCAGTTTCTCTAATTTATCTTGACTCCAAGCTGTGCGCGGCCTAATCACACTCGTTCACCAATGTCTTTTTCCGCTAATTTTTTGCATCCGCAAACCCCTCAATTGCCTCCTTCGCCTCGTCCAGACGACTACGACGATATAAGGTACCGACTCGGATGATACAGGTGAGGACACCACTGCCGTCGTCGTCTCAGCCAGCAGCGGCGACCCCCTTCACCACGACCAGCCTTCCTCTACCTACCTCAGACCCATTCAGGAAGAACCTCTGTCTCTTCGACCGCCAATTCTACTCCAGTTCCATCACGTTCTACGTCTCCGCTGCCGCAGTTCTTCATTTCACATGCCTCATCATCTTCGTGCTCTTCTGAAACGGAAAGTGAGTCGGGCTCGCCATTGTTGACAAGACGGACGCCATCAACATGGAGAGAAGGACAGGCGGTGGTGGACTTTTACGCGCCGCAAAAGGAGAAGAGGCGGCGGAGTCTTACGGACGTTGAAGAAATGGACAAGGAGGATTGTGCGACATCCGCTCGTTCCTCAGCAGCCCATAACCATCGTATGCTTGTGTCACACTGCTCTATTTCTCTTTGCCTACTCAAAAAATGACAGATCCTAACACTTATGCTCCTCACTGCATTTGCTATCTTCCTCCGACTTCTTTTGATATACATCTTCAATCCTGATAAGGAGCCGTTGCCATGGCGTGGTTATTGCTCAATACCATCTATGGCTTCACCGACAGACTATATCATGTCATCGGCCTATCCGTATCCGTATCCTGAACCTCTGTCAACAGGAAAAGACTTTCCTCCGGAAAACCTAGATTCACTTCCGCCAGCCGGTCTTTTCGTCGGCGTATTCTCCATTGATTCAGCCTTTGAAAGACGTTCTTTGATACGTTCCACTTGGGCAAGTCATCCTAGAAGTAGAGAAGGTGCAGGCTCCGGTGATAATGGGGTGGGGACGTCTCGGTCGGTTGTCCGATTCATCCTCGGTCAGCCTCGGAAAGATTGGGAACAGCAGATTCAGCTCGAGATGGAATGTGCGTATCCGGTCCGTTGACTTCTAAACTTACATTGACGTTCTTCGCAGTGTATAACGATCTTGTAATTCTACCTGTCTCGGAGAACATGAATGGAGGCAAGACGCATGCCTTTTTCTCTTGGGCATCACTCAACGCTTGGGTTCCCCCTCTGTTTTTTGATACCCCTACACCTCCTCTGCGCTTTTCATACTTAAATTTGACTACCCCACCGCCAGCCCTGGCTCCGCACGACTCGGTTCACGCGTGGAAAGACCAGGATTCAGGACGTTCTCGATCTTGGGTACGACCGGATTACGTTGTTAAAGTCGATGACGATTCCTTTGTAATGATGGCAGAACTTGAGTCTCGACTGCGCGTATCACTCCACGAAACTCCTAAATCCCATCATCCCAATCACACAGAACCACACCTGGCAATACACCCCAAGGATGAAGTACATTGGAAGACAAATCACACGACTATATCGATATCGCCAGATAATTTTTCGACAGCATTAGATGAGCAGAAAGACATGAAAGACCCCCTAATATATTGGGGATATCTTGTCACGAATAGACTGCACCGATTCATGGCTGGAGAGTTATATGCTCTCAGTTGGAGTCTGGTTGATTGGGTAGCCAAGGACCCTACGGTCAAAGGAGTTACAAAAGGTGCCGAGGACAAGCAAACCGCGAAATGGATGACGATGCATCCTCTTGCTTCTGAGATACGATGGGCTAGCGAACGGTGCTGGATATATGACCACCCGCGGTCTGGTACTGTGTATGTTACGCATATCTTGTTTGTGACATCCCGCTTACCTTATATTTAGATACGCTCACGGCTTCCTTTTCCCTTCAGAGGTAACTCGTGTAAAGCGTAGCGTGGCATCTTATCTGGCCAACGTGCCGCAGGAGGTGGCTGGGTCTGTGACAGTCGGTACAGGCGTTCTTCCTGCACCGACATCTTGGGCCCATTCAAGTGTTTCAACGTTTGGTGTGCGGTATTCACCCCCGGTACCCAGTTTGTCTACGCATGAAGCAGTAGAAGCTCTTGTTGAAGGTAGTGACATGTCTACTATCAGCGAAGGTCAGTTTTGTTGTGCTTCACTCACTGTAGCTTCGTCGAATTGACCGTCAAACGAGCAGGGAGCGCCATGTCTTCAGAATATGCATGGTCACATCGAGAAGGTAGAAAAACAAGATACGAGAACAGTCGTTTGGGAGGAACCATTGTCGTGCATTTCATCAAGAAGAACCTGTGGTTTTTGGAGACGGCCCTTGCCTTGCTGGGTGGCGAGGAGTATTCCGAGTCCGAGAGGTATCAACAACGGGAATCCGAACGAGCAGGACAACTTTACCCACCATCACTGACATCGCATTCGTCCGGATCATTCCTACACACGAATGTGAATCTCAATCAACATATTCATTCATAGCATCGGCATACATCTACCAAACAATTTTGCATAGTGTAATGTATACACTCATATCCTTTGTGTCTCTTCCATAGCTATTTACTTTATTTCATGCTCTCTCGATTGTCTGTTGGAACTTCGCATTTTATACATTTCTTTCTTCCCGTCGGACTTTTAGTCTAGTCTGCACGTTTCCTTCTTGAGTGGGTTATATTATTGAAAGGTCAGAGTCCGATGGTATATAATTACTGAGGATGTAAGTCAGTAACCGTCTAGTTCAACGGGTAAGGGTTGATTAAGATTCTGTTCTGTAGTAACCGTTATAGGTTCAGTGGATTCATACCGCATCTGCACGGCTCGCATGATGGTGCCTTGCCACTGTTTTAACCACTCGCCTTCCCTGGATCCGACGAGCTTCTTTGCCTGGCCATCTCTAGAGCGCACAATCACAGCATCCCTAGCAACGGAGCCTTTCGTGTCTACGTGATGTTCAGGTTCGGATTCTAGTGACTGCCAGCGTTTCAGAGCGTAAGCACCTCCGCAAACCTCCCACCTACCACCGCCCTTGCTATGAAATCGCTTGAAGAGCCAGATGAACGGGAATATGAAAAGGATAATGGACAGGAACTTTAACCATTTATTGGAAAGGGTTCTTGAGAGACGGTTATCGGGTCTGATGTAAACTTGTTTGCCAGAAGTTTCGAAGTTGACTTCGAGTGTGCCAGTATAGAAAGAGGTCTTGATGATGGAACGGATGGCAGATTCAAGATTGCGTAAATTCCACCCGTAGATGGACTTGAAAGTAGTGTAAGCAACTGGAGCCGGTGAAATTATGTGAGCTTACTTTGACGTAGACGAATTCTTTCAGGTATTTTGGCGAAGCGCAGTATTCATCAGCCCAGGCCCGAAGGGTCTTGGAAGATCTCAGGACAACGGAATCCTCCAAGGTCGGACAAGTATCCGTGGTCTGAATGTTCGAAATCCACGGGGGAAGACCGCGTGCATCTCTGTCTTTGATCCAAGAACGAAAGGCTCTTCTTTCCTTCCACCTTGCCTTTCTTGGGCCAGAGAGGTCGATTTCCCTGAACATGCGACCGCGGTAAGCAGGGTCAGAGTCTGCAACTGACCAATGAGTTGGTTCCGGAAGGATGAGCTGATCAAGGGAGATGTAAAAGTCAAAGTCGACGACGGTTTCTGTGTAGCTCTCGAATCGTGTTTCGACCCTTCCACCGTGACCCGTATGAGTTACGTGGCGTTGTCGAGTCTCTGAATGGGTACCGCGACAGTGGAGAGAAAGCGACGGAGGTGTACTTGCTTGAGAAAGCAGGAATCGATAGAGCGCTTCTCCTGCAAAGAAGATTAGTAAGGGCGTTACGACACGGGAGCAAGATGTACATACCGTCCGAATTCAAGTGAGGATCGTGCGACACGATGTTGCCGTTCCCTGTATCAAAATACTCGGCATGGTATGGTGCGAATTCGGGCGGAGGGTCGTCCTGAGGGAGCTCATTGTCAAAGTCGATGAGCAAATGAGTGCTTTCAGCGACGTCGTGGAACGGGGGCGGTGGCGGCGTCGATGATGTGTTGGGTACGGACGATGGGCCGGCAATGGGCGGGGCGGCCTTGTTGATGGTGGTCCATGGCGGAAGGAGGACCGACTGTGGAATGGAAACTAACCGGAATGGGGAATAAATTAAATAAATTACTAAAAGCGGTGACCAGGCTCCGTGCGCAGCCCTGCATGTTTCGTAAGCTTATACCCGTCCAAAGCGGTCTTTTTCGGCCGTTGAAGAGATAAGAAAGATTTCCAGTCGTATTCCTGAAATTTCGTGGTTTACTTGAAGCAAATAAGTCAAGGTCGGCTACGTAGAAAGAGGCACATGGATTGTTTGATATAAATTTAGTCGCTTGCAGGGGGAACTACGGCCCAGTCTGAATTTGAAATGTGGCTGTGTCATGAATTTGAGAAGTGCCGTTAGTTGGCAGCAGCTGGCTCTGGCTGCCACTTTTCCCTACCACCGTCCCACTGCGCCCTCCCGTTTTTTCTTTTTTTCCCTGTCTCTCCCGTCACCAGGCCAGTGTTTCGGTGCTTGGAGGTACGTGGACGAGGCAAATGATATTCAGATGCTCTCCAACCGACCAAAGAGACAAGAATCCACTTCAGATCTAGGTAAGCTCCTCAAAGCAGCCTTCTCTTCCCAGCCGACAAATTCCTCACCACTACACTCGTGTCGACGCCTTTTTCGCGTTTTGAGCTCATTATCGTCTAAAAAATGAATGCTCACTGCCTTTTTTTCGTCTCTGCGTTCCAGCTTTCCTTCTTCTCTGAATATTGCCCTTTTCTTCACTTATTGACTGCCATCCTTTACCTTTTCCTCTCCACTATTTTCCCTGAAATTCTCTGCTCATGTCGTCGCAAACTACACAAACTACTGCGACCACTTCTCCTACGACTCTAACCGACACGTCTTCAACAAATACTGCTACCCAAACTGCTACTCAATCTCCAACGGAAACTACGCAAACCGAATCCGTTACTCAAACGGCCACTCAAACTGCTACTTCGACCACTCAAACGACGTCGAACATGGCAACTACTTCTCCGACTTCTTCGAATGTTCCCATTTCGTGAGTGTCCGTGTTTATGCGCCATTGCTATCCTCATGTTGATTGCATCACTGCTCTTCACTCAGCACAACAGCGTCGCCATCCACAGCCGCTTCACCGACCACAGTTTCTTCTTCTAATAATTCACCGTCGGCTACGACGAGTAATATTTCAACAACGGAAATGTCTACTTCATCTTCTGAACCAACTACTTCGAGTAGTACCCAGGTGCCTACAACTTCCACGTCTGTAACGACCTCTGAATCCTCCTCGTCGACATCGACATCGCCTCCTACTACGTCGTCGTCATCTTCCACTTCAACGTCGGAACCACCGTCGACAACGACGTCTGAGACTACTTCGTCCACCTCACAGTCGACTACTTCAACGATAGCGACGACGACAACAACATCATCTTCGCCATCCACAACATCTACACCTACCTCAACTTCGACGTCTGAAATTACGACAACCTCCACCACTCCCACCACAACCTCCACGCCCACAGTTACGGAAACAACGACATCATCGTCATCGTCATCCACGAACGATGACCTTGGGACCACCACCACCTCTGCACGCGTTCAGACCGTGTTCGTATCAAAATGCTATCACCGTTCTCGCGCTAATTGTTATTTTTAGAACAACCTTGCAAAGTACTGTGTATATCACCACGACAAATAGCGCTGGTCAGACAACAACCAGTGCGCCTTCAGCTGTTACCAGTCTGGTGACAAGTACAGGTACTGATGGCGGCGTCGTCACTATAACACAAATTGGTGTCAACCCTACCCTCAGCTCGAATAATGACTCTGGCACGGCCTCATCGTGCGTCTTTTGCATCTACGCCCTAACGTCATTGCTGATTATCTGTCACAGCTTTTTCCAAAATAAAGGTGCAGTTGCGGGGGTGTTCGTCCTCGTAGGCCTGGCAGCAGCATCAATAATATTGTTCATAATCTTTTACATCCGTCGGCGGCGTCGCACTCGGAGAATGGAACATGACAATGCCGTCTCGGCTACTCTTACTGCTGCGGGCTTTCACCGTGCACCTCTGGACGATGACGATGACAACAACGAGGATGGGTCGAGAATGCAAATGTCTCAGCATTCTCCCCGGAGTTCTATACCGAGTGCCGGTCGGCTGTCCGCTTACATGGACAACGTGGAAAGTGGTTTCAACCCGTACGCAGACGTTGGCCATCCGATGGGCAGGGACGATTACATACCAGTCAGAAATCCGAGCCCACCACCCGGTGCTGGCGGTGGCGTATTTGGTAGCATCCGTGGAAACGCGAGCGAGCAGAGGATCAGTCATTCCGCGTCACATAGTGCAGGCAGCTACGAGCCACTTCTGGCGTCCTTCTATCAGGCCCAGAACGCTGCTGAAGGCTCAGGGCCTCCCTCTCCACCGCCTCGTAATCCACAAAGACTTTCAGATGTCAAAAATCAAGCGTCACCCACTACCCAAAACAGTGAAGTGAACGACGCCACTTCATCACTGTACTCTTCGGAGAGTACAGGGGATGACCGGCTGGATCCTGACCTTCGTCGGCGGCTCAAAGATGATTCAGATAGTGACAAGGCTGATCTCAGGGACAATGAAGACTACTCACGTCCCGTTCTTGGGGTAGGAATCTCTTATGAATTTTATGGTGTGCTTGCTGACCTTACTCTACAGGTTCGAAATGTTCCGGATAAGGTTTCCCAAGAGTCTTAGTAGCTTTTTTCCATCCTACTCACGCGAGGTTCCGACACCTCATCAGCATTGCGGACCCTTGTATATTCTGACCCCCATTTGCATGAAGGGGCTTCATGGACCTCTGAACCTGTTTTTAGTAGACACTGACACGACGAAAACGCACGCTCATTACTTCATTTTAGCATATTTTATATAGTGTATTTGGTAACCATAGACCGATGCCTTTGTTGGTAGCATACGAGTTGTAGTACATTGCATATGGACCGAATACATAGATATCCTTTACGCATTCTCAGTCTATAGCTTGTAGGTTTCACGTGATGTCGAGGACACGACGCGTCGTAGTCTAATATTTTCGATTAGTAAAAGCCGTTATGGCTTTCTCTCATGGTCTTTTTTTATCAATAATACCCACGTATTTATCATCAGATGACTGTGATACAATTCAAAGCATAAGGTACTTGAGCAACACGTTCACTTGTTGCGATAACCCCCACTCGCAATCCCGAATGGCTTCGCGACAGCCAGTATCTTCAGTCACAAAATACGGCAACAATGCATCATTCTGGGTGGAATACCCTTGTGGTTTGATTGATTTGACTCGAAAACTATCAGCGCCCATCGCAGAACACGATCCTCCGCCTCTCCGTCCTGGTCAGCTGGACGTAACAGTAGACGGGGAACGAACAATTCGCATTGATGCCAAATCCAGTGCTGTTATCATAATTGACATGCAAAAGTACTTCTCTGCATCGTCTCATCGCTGCTTGACCTGACTTACGTTGACTTAATATTAGTTATTTCTTGCATCCCGATCTCGGGAACCATCCCACCGGGCTGAAATGCGTGGAGCCTCTCATGAAATTGGTTCCTGCTGCGCGAGAGAGGGATATCAAGGTTCTCTGGGTGTGGGTACCTCCATTCCTGCTCCCTACGTGTCCTGACCCAGAACGTGCGAAATATATGGAAATTTCCAGGAACTGGGGTCTTACTGACCACGAGTTACAAACTATCCCACCTTCCCTCGTCCGTGGATTCACGAAGGCCGGACGTGGTGGCTTCGGGTCCGAACTGCCAGGAGCATTTGGGAGACTCCTCATGCGGGATGCCCTCAATTCAGATCTTTACGGTCCCTTGCAAGAAGAATACCTCAAGGGCAAGGAACTAGGAACTGATTTCTGGATCCACAAAAACCGGTAATCGCTGTGTTTGATTTTCAATAATAGAAGCATCTTGTCTCACGATGAACGGCAGCATAAGCGGTTTGTGGGGATATCAGTCCGCCCTTGACCTCTTTCTCGCGGAGAACGGGATCACGACACTGTTTTTCGCGGGTGTCAATACAGATCAGGTATCAGTATCATATTGCATTACAGTGCTCCATGAAGTTCTGGAATAACTTGGCATTTCATTCTAGTGTGTGCTTGGGACACTCGTTGATGCCTATTTTCGGGGATATGATTGTATACTCCTCAAAGATGCTACGGCCACGACATCACCGGAAGGCGGCTATGAGAATGTCGTGTACAATGCCACAAAGGCGAGCCTAATTTTTTATATGTCCTTCCCAGGACTGGTGAAACGCTCAACACCTGGTTTCACAGGTCTACGGCTTCGCTACCACCACTGATAGGCTACTCTAGGGAAAAAACCGGCATATGTCAATACATTGTTACATGTGAATATATGAATTGTGATACAATGCGTCGTGCAAAAGCACCGAATGTCCGCCATACATATACAATGCAGTGAAATATGCGATAAGGGAAAAAAGAGCTACCTAATGTACAATCTCAAATAATCTTAAGTCGGTACCGCAGAAGCTCTGCAGAGTCTATACTCTTCCTGAAGCATCTGTCAATACGTTATCGCGACTAGGCCGTGGGCGTATCTGTTAAAGTTCATCATTGACTTGACTTGGCGAAAATACCAAAAATACATACGTCTAGCAAAGTTCGCCGCGTGAGAATAGCAGTTGGGCTCAAAGTAGGTGCAAGCGGATTTGCCACCTTCACTGGATCATGGTCGAGACTACTACCGGTCGCGAATCCCAGTCCAGTTGGGGTAGACGGACCCGCAGAAGAGGACGAGAAGGAAAGTCTCTGTGATTCAACAGAGTCCGGAGGAGTCAAAGGCCTGTATTCTGAGCCTATGAACTGACTCGATGGAGGAGTCCCCCTCAAAATTGAGCGGGGAGGACGAGGAATCGAAGGTGGTGCTGGTCGTGTTTCAATTTTCGGGCGCACCGCCGGTGGTCGCAAGTCAACATCATAGAAGGAATCCGCATCGCCGTTTGCCTGCGGTGAGTCAGAGTAAAGAGAAGGAGTGGATTGTCTGGAACGTAGAGACGGGGGAACTGGGTAATTGGTTGTGATAGCAAGTCCTATTGCTTCTTGCGGGGAGAAAGCGTTGACATCGCTGAATGGTCCTTCCTCCTGGGTACGGGTTGTATGTCCCGTGCCCAGGCCTGCGGCGGCAAAATTTCGGGCACCTAGAAGATTAGATGTACTATCTTCCGTATCGACATGCTCCGAGTCCTCATGTCGCTGATCCCTGGTGATATAGGTGGTCTGCGGAGTATTCGTCACCTGGGCCATTTGGGGTGGACTCCTGGGATCTTCGAATGGATCATCTTCTTCGAATGGGTCCCTATCAGCGTCATCATGCAAAGGATATGATGGGGGTTGTGTAATAGCTTCCAGCCATCTGGTTCGTGATCTCTGTCTACGCCGACGACGATAGCATACGAAAAGTAGCGCAAGGACAGCGAATACGACGATTCCAACGGCAGCGAAAGTTCCCGCGACAGCGCTTGTGTTACTGAAAAACCTATGGAGTATAGTCGGAATTTTTAATTGAAATGTTAAGAGAAAAAAATACTTACGAGGAGTCACTGCTCTTGTCCGGCTGTCCCAAGCCGGTTGGATTAGAAACAACTGCAGATTCGGTGACCACGGTTCCATCCGATTCCGTTGCGGTGCTCAGGACGGTAATGAAGCTAGGAAATGTAACCGACGTCTGACCATCTGAACCGGTAACCGTGAGGCCGACTGCTTGAGGAAGCGTGGAATGCGCCGTCAGTGAAGTAGTCGAGGCGGCTGAGTTTACGCTTAGAGCGGCAATACCGGTAGTTCTGAGTGTATCGCTACTATCTCCATCTGTGGCAAGATAAGCGAAGGAAAAACCATCTGAATCGCCGTACTTACTGTCGTTATTACTCGACCCAGTTACCGACGTGCCTGATTGTTCAGTGACTATAGTAGTAACCGCCTGTGCACTTGCGAACGGCGTCTCTGCGTTTGTAGCCGACGCAGTCACGGAGGTCGTGGGTACGCCATTAGTAGTTCCCGGCTCTGTGGTAGTCACCGTTGCGCCAGGTTGCGTCGCGCCAGGCTGCGTCGATGTTACGGTGTTAGTGCTCGGTGGTGGTGCTTGAGCAGTAGAACTCGACGAGGTCGTGATAGCGACTTCAGAGGAACTCGACGAAGAAGTTGTACTCGTAGAAGATGTGCTATCGTCAGTATTTGGAGGAGCTGCAACAGGCGCCGTCGTTGTAGCTGCTTGCGTTGTTCTGTCCGTTACCGACGTGGACACGGGTGCTGAAGACATACTAGAGGGAAACCCAAAGTCGAAAGGTAAGAAAGTGTAGTAGTAAAACCACTAATTTCACATACTCTGCTTGTACTGCCGCTCCGCTAGACATCGGCGAAGCAGCTGATGGGCTAGCCTGCCTGTCCGACTCGATTATCGCCGACGACAAATTGACGTTGTCCGTGGCGGTTTCTGCGGACGACGCGGCGGATTCAGTGGTAGTGGAAATGATGGGCTCGATCGGGGTTGCCCCGACGACTGTGAATGAAGAAGACGCTGGTGTAGCTACCTGTAGACGCGTTAGATCATCCTAGTCTCAGGGAAAACTGGTCCAATACCGATGTTAATGGTACGCTCGACCCTGAAATGACTACCGATGACGACGAGGACACTGCTTAAGGGTGAAAAGATAAGCGCACGTCGAGATGAAACAGTACGTGAAGGGTGAACCTGACTGCGTCGTTGACGTGCTATTCATTTTCTGTCCGATGAACGCATTGTCACCTTGGTCCCATAGAGAGGAGATTGAGGGGGAGGAAAGGAAGTACTCTCAGGACGGCCATGATTATAGGTTTGTATACGTGGAAGGGTCCGTCCGAGCGGGTAAATGTCGAAACATCAATGGGAACTGTGTAGCTTCTTCCGGTCATTTGACCGGTCCTCGTATGACCTACAGCGAAATCCGTACTGTATCGCCCATGAGGTAAGGGAAAAGTACATCTACAGTTACCGGCACTACGAAGAACATGTGAAAGCGATCAGGTCATGATGCGAGTTACGCACCAACACCGAGTTTGCAGGAGGTGGCAATCTCGAATCTTCGGTCCGGGCCGCGAAGCTTTGACGGACACCGCTAATGTCAAGCGTCTTTAAAGAGTCTTTGGAGACGCATGAAATCAGTCCAGACAACAAGTTACATATTATAAGGCGGATGACAATTACGAATAGTTACAACGCAAAGATCTAGATGAACATGTAGATGTAGTATAGTGGTGCCGAGAGAATGAATGCATGATTGAAGATACAGTGAAGATGATAATGCACCTGACAATATAGTTACACGAGCTGTGGAGTGCGAGCACGCGCTGGTATAGCTGAGAATGGGTATGAGTCCAAACGAAGGAAGGCACATGAAATTCCGAAATGTTAAGATTTAGAAAGGAAGGTGAAGCATGCCAGGAGAGGCTCGGTCCTGACGGATAGAACTTGAGTGCTTGAGGGACTGGGGTGAACGAAGAACCGTACCGTAAGTAGTCAGGGTCCCTGTTGATCAAAATATATCAACAACATTTGCCCGGAATCCAGCTTTTGAGCTTTACGGTTCCTCGCCTGGGACGTCCACTCAGACTGCCGAAGCTCAATCGGCTGGAGCTGTTTACTCTTCGGAGTGCTCGGTCACCGTAGCTGACGCCGCTGCCCGCTTTTTCTGGGTCAAGAGCCCCAGACTCGATCGAGAGCAGAATGGATCTTGCTGCCAAGAGGAACGGTGCCTCGACGTTGTCGCCGGTGAGAGAAGATGCTTCTAAAAAATGTACGTCTACGGCGTATAGCTAACAGTAAGCCGATAATCAATTCGCGGTAAGCCGAAAGCGCACCGTTCTCAGCTGCCCACCGGCTTGCTTCGGCCCACTCTACTTCCCTGTCCTCCTCGCGATCAGACTTGTTTCCGACAAGGACCGTTACGAGATGTGGACTAGCTAAGGCTCGCGCATCAGCTAGCCACCGGGAGAGATTTACAAACGAATCCCGGCTAAGGAGCTATAGGTAAATGCATAAAAAGGAGCAACAGGCAGACCCACTTTGTGATATCGTAAACTAAAATTGCCCCTGCCGCGCCACGGTAGTAACTGCGTGTAACTGACCTGTGTAGAACATGAGCTACATTTAGAGAGAAGGAACATTGCACGCCACCGAAATCGTTCTTGACCTGCCGTATCCCATAACTAAGATGGAACTATAAATGAAAATGCGAGCATCAACAGAATCAGGCTACGGACCTGCAACTTTATCCGCTTTTCACCTAGTTTGACAGTTCGACTCGAAAACTCGACACCAATAGTATGTTGTGAATGGTCTTTGACTACGGCGAGACGTTAGGCTGGGCTTGGGTGGAGGGTCGCAAGACACGGACATGAATTGTGGGTGAAATGATGGAGCAAGCAAGACTTTCCAGTGCCTGCCTCACCTGTGATAATGAAATTATTGGAGTTTCCGGTAGATTGTTGTCATGAGACATACGAACCAATGATGATGTATTTCATGAGGAAGTCTAGGCAAAGTTAGAATAAAGAATAAACGCAGAGAGCAGAACCATACCGTAAGTTTCAATTAGCTCTGTGTCGTAGTCTCCATACTCATTGGACGGCATCGTGGTGGTGAGCAGACACAAGCGATGCTCACTGGCACCACCAGAGCCGCCGTGGGAAGACGGCAATGGTCACACATTGTCACGTTCAGATGTGACTCACACTAAAATACAGTTCTTTGCTATTCTACCATCCTTTCCAAGGAACCCATACATCCACTATCTTCTCCCCGTTCTCGATATCCGAGTCGACTATATAGTACCAAGGATACGCTGCAGCAATCAAGCATGCGTGCTGCCCCACGATATCGACCACCTCGCCTAGCTGCAATTTTGGCCCATTGTCCGTACGTGTCAAGATACCGTGTTCCTGCGATATTCGGCCAACTCGCCAGGCCTTGCCAAGCACGTCTCCGTATCCCCCAGATGGACCTGTGTCTTTGCTAAAAGCGATTGCGCCGGCATCAATTAGCGCTTCATCTGTGCCATCCTTGCCTCGTCCCGGATAATAAGAGACGACCGTGGCTCTGACGCGTTGGGCGATTCGCGACTTGTCGATCAAGGTTGTATGCTGCTGTTGCAGATCCAGCATTGGATAGTTTCCTGGCCATTTTATCAGCGGACAAGCATGCTTCGACAAGGCAGTCGCGTACCTGCATGGAGTTCTAGCGTTCCGTGAAGCAACGTAGCCAGAGTCGCCCTCGTTTCCTGCACTCGCCGCATGTGCTGTTGGCGTCGCACCCACCGACAACACAAAGGGTGTCTTGGGAGCTTCCAAGCCCAATTTCTTCAATAATCGACAAAGCCGCATCGGCGGCGCCATTTACAGCCTGGACTTCCCCGGACAGAAAGGATGAAGCTTCTGAGAGCGAAGTTGACGCGTAGGAATTCCCAGCATGTCCATAGAAACCAGTGGATCGAGACGAAGGAAGATTGCAAGATGGCTGTTAAGAGGGTTTCAAAATGCGGAGTGGTGGTCGAGACGCCTGCCCGGCTGCGAGGACAGTTAGTTTCAATTTATTTTCGAGCGGAACTCCGCTCACTTTTGTCCGCCATCAATCTTAACGAATGCTGACCATTTTCTAGGTGCTGTGCGCTGCTTCTCAAATTCATCCAAGTATTTCACTTGATCAGGGTGGTCTAACAGAATTCGCACGATGCCGCCATCTACAGCTATGGCATCCCATAGCCCTGACATGTCTGCTATCTTATTAACGGCGATGGGTAGGCCATAAAGTATCTGTTGATCCTGACATCAATAATCGTTGAAGAAAAGTAGTAATTCACTGACGTCTTTCACGGTACCATCTTGAACGAGACCCGCGTTCACTACCTCCCAGGCCTCCATCAAAGTCGAAACGATGACTCTATCGGTCTTGTTCGCACTGGAGATGAGCTGATGTCTCGCTCCTTCCGACGTCTATTCGTGGATTCAACATTCGATGCCTCGGAAGGATTGCGGTTGCTACCTTGTGAGTTTTCAGATGTGCTCTGAATCCCGCACCCCAATCGGCCGCCTTTCGATGCATCTTCGCGCAATTTTCGGAAAATATCTTTCGGTCGATAACCATCGCGGGGGTCCTTAGACCATCGAGCGACTTTCCTACAAACTCCTCGACCAATGCGGCCTTTGACGACCTGGTCAACAGGTTGATCGGCGTCTTCGTCTGTGTGGGCATCGTATCAAGCAAGCACAGTGAGGCGAAACAAGGCCTAACAAGGCTTCTGGTAGTGTATGGACTATCGGATGTGAATTTGCATATACCACGTGCGATGCTCTATTTAGCGGAGGCAAAAGTGCCGGCACTTGATTCATAGGCACACGTCTTTGCGAGCTTTCATGCCTACCAGTCCCAGTACTACTTAGTTCTGTGCCGGCAAAGATGACCATTGACTTCGGCTTTGTAGATTTAATTCACTTCTTTCAACTACACACTCCATACTATACGGCTGCGATGGCTTCGATCTCGATGTCGACATCATTTGGGAGCTTGGCAGCCTGAATGCAGGTCCTGGATGGTTTTGGGTTGGGCAGCGTCTGATGCAAATTAACCAGGATACTTGTGAGGCGGTACGAGTGTCTCACCTTCTCATAGATCTCGTTCATGGCCGCAAAGTTATCCATGTCTTTCAAATACACGTTAACTTTAATGACCTTCTCCCACGAAGAGCCTGACGCTGCCAGGACGTTTCCGAGGTTAGCCAGACATTGAGCCTATTGATAACTTGCTTTCAGAATGTGGTCGACGAGACCAGGAGATATCAACGAACCGTGTGCTCTTGTATTCCTCCTGGAACGAGTGTTCCGGTCTTATCAATGGGAGTCGTACCGCTGAGGAAGATTAATCCCAGGCCAGAGACTTTGGTTGCATGAGCTGAAGTACTTATCAGCAAAGATCTGCAAAGGAGGACGCAATCATTGGAAGCAAGCTTACAGAGAATGTGGGTGAATGAGGAGTTTTCAAGGGAGTTGATTCTTTCGATGGACATGATAGTTGTTGCTGACGAAGGAATGGCGTTTGCTCTTTCCGTTCTAACATTCCCTTTGAATTTCGGATGAACTGTTCAGCTCCGGTCCGTCCATCAGGTGATCGAAGCTATTTCTCAATGGGCCTCCTTCCCGTCTCGGTGCATGGATCTGATACTAATAGAGCTTGATGCATGATGGCCGAATTTTCATGCCATTGTCTCTATTCTCTCTTATCTGTTCAGGAAGCACCTGGCCTTCTCAAGCACCTTGTGATACCAAGGTCATCGATAGCCGTACTAGCAGCCGCCTGAGTACCAGCGCATTTAAGTACATTCCGTAACGCCCACTGGATATCCATGTGATTTTGCTTTACTTCTCTCTTCCCATGGACGATACTGAAGGCGCTGTAACTGCTCTTCCCAAAGACAACAAATTCACAGATGGTGAATCCGAAAGCTTGCAGTTCTCCTCCAGTGAAGAACGTCATCTTCTACGTCTATTCGACATATGTATCCTGCCGCCCTTGACTTTCATGTAAGAATCTTAGGTCATTTTTGGTTTCAGCTTGCAACTGGCCATCTAACGCGAACAACCAGGTACCTCTGCAACGCCCTTGACAAGGGCAACGTAGGTAATGCAAAGACAGATGGATGGGACCACGTAAGTGCATAACCGCCTTACGTTGTGTGGTTTTCTTGATGCTCTTCTTAGGACCTTGGCCTTGTAGGAAACCAGGTATGGCTTTATTGAAGAAATATATTACTTTATTATAACATCCCATTGCAATACAGTACTATCTTCTTGTGATGATCTTCTATGTGTGTATTCATTCATCTAAAATGGTCATGGCGGCTCACTCCGACATGTAGGTTCCCTTCTGCCTGTAAGCAGGTTTCCGCCCAGTTCAGAATGTTCACCAATGAATATCTGTGATAGTTTTGGCACACCGATTAGTCTTTTAGTTAAACGGTTTTCTGCCGCTCGAGTGTTACCTCTAATGATGATGGGATTTGTACGTGGTTGCTATACTTTTTTTGACTTATCAAAGCGCTTATAGGCTACGTACGCAGGGCTCCATGTTCGTCACCCTTCTCGAGACTCCAGGCATTCTTTGATCCATGTCTTTCGCAGGTCTCTCTTTGCTGGTATAGCGAAGAACTTCTCTCGTATGTCCAATGGTCCTATCTTGGTGAGATCACGTCTGATAGCAATCCAGAGATATTTGCTATTCGTTTCTTCCTTGGTATCTTTGAGTCGGCGATGCTGCCTGGTGTGGTAAGAACACCCGCATTGCCGGGGCGTTCTTCGACTAAAATGCCGTATTAACAGGTCTTCTATCTATCCACGTTCTACAAGCGTAGCGAGCTTGCATCTCGTGTCGGCCTATTCTATGGTGAAGTGAGGTTCTGCTGTATTGCGTATTGGCTAACAGAGAAGTTCGTTGTCCATCATGAAGCCGCGGCTGCTATCGCCGGTGCATTTTCAGGTAAGTTGAAGGCTACTCTCACTTGTTCTACTTCTTGAACTCTTTCCAGGTCTTATCGCTTTCGGGGTCTTTCAGATTAAAAATACGAAGTACCATGGATGGCAATACCTTTTCTGGATCGAAGGTATGCAACAGGCCAGTATCGTAGCGTATTCGCTGACGCCGCATTCATAGGTGCTAGCACTTGTACCTTTGCCATATTTGCTTACTTCTGGCTTCCCCGCTCACCATCTACTTGGGCTTTCCTCACTGAACGTCAGAAAGCCATAGCCCGGTCACGTATCCTAGCAGACTCTTCCGTAACAGTGGACGAAAAACTCGATATTCGCGATGCTTTCAGGCCGCTCAAAGAGCCCCTTATACTGGCTCTGGGCTGTTATCAGTTTGAGCTTGGGTGTTCCTTTGGCCTCTGTCAATAACTTCCTTCCCCAGATCGTAGCGAGCTTAGGATACTCTACAATTAAGACAAATTTATACACAGTCGCACCGAACATAGTCGGGACGGTGTCACTTTTGGTCCTCACGTTTTCATCTGACTACTTCTTGGAGCGCTCGATACATATCTGCATACCTTTGGCCACAACTCTTGTTGGATTTATCGTCCTTGGGTCTATTGACGTGGTAGTACATAGAGGGGTATGCCTCATTAGCTGAATGTGCAAGTACGGTGACCAACGTTGTACAGGTAGCATACTTTGCTTGCTTCCTTTTGACCATGGGGGTACGTCGATTGCACTTGGAAAAAGATATTGTTCCATCCCTCCTTCCTCTAGGCTTCAGCGCCATCCGTATTGGTTGCAACATGGTATAATAATAATACGCCTCAAGAGTCGCGGCGTGCGGTTGTCACTGCTGTAATGGGTATGTATCACGTCGACTCTTGTCTTTCAAGTCGTTCATTTTGGTATAGTTGCCATCGCCAACGCATCAGGACTAATTTCTACCAATGTTTTCAGAGAGCAGGACGAGCCAAAATACATCCCAGGTACTCAACAGACTTTTCCCCTTGCAAAATTACCAATAGAACTGACTGCGTCGTGTTAAATACAGCCCTTGCGACGTCAGGTAACGCCTATTAACTCATTCGCCGATCTTTCTAAAAATTCGATAATGCAGCGGCATTTGGTGGTTTCTGCCTCATTCTTGTAGCAGGGTATGTCCGGCTTTGCCATTTTCTCTTTGGACGGAAGATTTGACGGATCTTTCGTGCAGAACGGGAATATGGATGCGTCTCGAAAATAGAAGGAGGAATAAAGCCCAAGGGGTCAGTGATAATTTCACGGCAGCCGATGTTCATACAGAATCACTTGGGGATGGTCATAAATCCCCCGAGTTCCGGTACATGTATTAGACACATTGGCTCAGAGCAGGAGGGCGAACACTTCTATTTAAGCGAAGTGCCCCACCCAATACCTGACTGTGTGACCACAAATACAAAACCTTGTTCAAAATCTACCAACCGCTATTTCTGGCTGTAGTTAGTAGGTGCGTCGGCAACGAGAATATTGCCAATACCTGCATCCTGTTCCAGGAATACCAACGATGTCGGTTGTCTTAGTGTGTCGGCGCCTGGACCTTGCACAGCACGACGCAAGAAAAGTCCTCATAACTCGTTGAACATCTATATTGCAGAAATGAAGGAAGCTGCAGACGCTCATAAACGTCAACAATGAAACCTGCCTATGAATGCATGTGGCGTAGGGATGGCCGTTCTGCATTGATCATATAAAATCTGCAACATAAATTGAGATACAAGTCACAGAGAAAGAAACGAAGCACGATCAAACGAATTGTAAAATGTGTATCTGTGTGGCGAAAAGATTAAATTTTAGTAGCGTTCCAGGACGGAACATCTCTTAAACTGCTGGATTTTTCTTAACCGGCTACTGGTGTGCTTGCATTATCGCGTCGGAGATGAAGTTTGCTGATACTTGTTTGCCACCGAACCAGCGACTATTCAAACCCTGTATTGCTTTGCGTGCCGATTCCACGGAGTCGAATTTGACGTAGATTTCGCCCTAGAAACAATGTCAGCGACGTTGATATATGGTAAAATACTATTACCTGTGACTCTTTCTCGACTTTGATGGCTAACACTTTACCGTACTTGCTGTCACATTCACCTTTGACTTCGTCAGCTAGTTCTTTGTCCCAGTTGGGATCGGTCTCCCTGAAATCGGAGTCAGCAAACGTCTCAAAAGTCGACAAAAGACATACTCTTCGGGGTCAAACATGTTCTTTAAAAGGACAGACCTAGACTCCATAGCTTGAACAGGCCTTGCTCTGTTGATCGGTTGAGTCATACACATCTGATCCTCTTTTTGTCACCACTTACACTGGCTCAGGGATAGCAATCGGAGTTTCAGTTCTAGCAAGTTTCTGCATTAGCGCCTGACGAGAAGCTGCATTCAAGTTACCACCTATAATTGAGATAGTATCAGCCTTTTATCAAAATGCACAGCGGCAACCTACCGCCGACTTCATCCAAGGTGTCTTGTTGGGTGTATCTAGCTGTGCCCTTTTCGTGGACAGTATTGACACGTAACTGAGTCAGGAGATAAGTCAATGTCAACACAGTGAACGATATGAGAATCAACGCACTGTCCTCCCAGCAAGTTCAAATCCTTCCATTTGCTCCAACGCCATTTTGGCATCCTCGGCTCGTTTATATCTGTGTTTCGGTCAACAAAGACAGATGTTGCTTTGACATATATGCTTACTGGACGAAGGCGTAGCCCTTGCTGCGACCCGTCATGGGATCACGATGGAGATCCACAAACTCGAAGATCTCCAAATGGTTCGAAGACTTGTTTGATGTCCGATTCTGTGAGGTTAAAGTGCAGGGATCCCACATAAAGTCTACCAAGCCGTCAGTGCATGGTTCTTTCCAAGAAAAACTCGAAACATACTGCATAGCGCCATGCGGAGCACTGACACCTGGGGGAAGATTGAGATTCCTAGGATACAGTTAGTAACGATATAGCATTGTTCCTGTTTGTACTCACCCATCACCTGGATGAAGTCGGTTTCTTTCCGATTCAGTTAGCTGTACCAGGATGGGTAAACCCATGACAACGGTGCCAGAAAGGTTCAAAGCTTTCTCCACTAGATCTACTGTTCGGAATTCGACGTAACCGATCCTGGAAGGCAGAAATCAGGATAGGTGACGACAAATGTGAGAGAAATCACAATACCCTTTAGAACGACGTGAAAGCCTGTCTGTAACAATTCGAGAATCCATAACTGTGCCATCCCCGAGTTTGTCTTCAAAGAAATAACCTAAATCTCGGGCGGTCAGCCGTGCTGCTAGTTGGGATACGAATACCGATCGGGCTTCTGAATCGTCTTCTTTAGGTTCGTCAGGATTGTATGGCTCATCAACGGGAACCTCGTAAGAAGGAGACGGTCTTCTATTCACAAATGAGCGCAATGAATCTACGTTGAAAAACAAAAAGACATACTTGATAGGGGGAGGACTCTTGGTAGGGCGAGGAGAAGGAGGCACATCATCAAGGGGTCGACGATCTCTCCGGCCATAGTCCCTTCGAGAACGTGGGGGATCATTGAACTCGTCCCGTGGATCGCGAGGTGGCCTTGAGTATCTATCGCCGTTTCTACGATCACTAGAACGGTCCCTACGGTCTGATGTTCTGGTGCTATCTCGAGAAGGAGGGCGAGGCGAGCCACTGTCTGAAATTTTGGCCCTCTTCGAACGTTCTTCCGGCTCAAAAGCGTCGGGGTCATCTAGATGCTCACTTCGCTTCCTGCGCCGGTCTTTGCTATCGCGGTCATAGTCGCGGTCACGATGACTGTGCCGACTTTCCCCTCTGTCCCTATCCCTTTCTCTGTCTCCTCGATGACTGTCCCGATCTCTGCGACGATCCCTGTCTCTTTCTCTCTCCCGGTAGTGGTCTCCAGAACGGGTAGGATCTCTGGCCCTATCACTCCCTCTGTCCCGGCTACGACTTCGCCTCCTCCTCTCGTCATCACGGCGCCTATCTCTCCGTTCTCTTTCTCGGGAATGAGATATATGAGACCGCTTGGTACGCAAAGTGTCGGTGGAGTGGTTACGGGACCTAGAGAGCATGTCAATGGTTACAATTCACTGTCAGGGAAGGATGACGCACGACCTGTGGGCTGGAGATTTGTCGACATCCATCTTACCGTTCGGCGAAGACATGGTCGTTTTTCGAGAGCTGTTGCTTGGTCTTGTTTACCTGTGCGCACGACCTCTTTTCCTTTTCGGGGTCGTACCTTCACAACCCTTCATTCAACACCTTCACTGTGATTCCGAAATGTATGTACAGGCCGCCAATACGTGAATCACCTCAACTGTCAACCTCATACAATTAAGATTTTATTATTCTCTTCCTATCTAGTCACCGGACTTGGAGATCTCAGGATGGTCTGTAGACCCTTGACACTACGGATCGTCCATCTTCCAGTACTCAGAAGCAAGGCTTGATCGTTCTAAGATCCTCCGGAAGTAACTAACATAAATTTATTTCCGGGAAATCATCCTACAAAAGGTATGCATATGACCAGAGCAATGGAATGGACGGTCCGGACACTGACCCTCCCATTTATTTAAAATCGTACCGGTGACCTACTACTTGTCGTTCCCCTCGGCTGTGCTCCTTCTTTCCCAATGGCCCTTGCTTCCAACAAAGTAGTCTGCATTACTGGTGCATCTCGAGGCATTGGTCGCGGCTGGTGTGCCTTATCTTTTTCACGGTGGCATTAAATGATCCTGATAACATACCGCGCGAAGTGCTTTAGAATTTGCTAAACACGGTGCTTCTGGGCTTATCCTGCATTATTTTGAAACAGATGAAGAGATCCTATCTTTGAAAGCTGAAGTTGAAAACCACAACACTCGAGTTGTCATGGTATATGGCGACATTTCTGACCCCACTACTTCAACCAAGGTAGGGGAATCACTAATATCTAGCAGTTATCGTTGCTGAATATTTTGTTTCAGGTTGTCCAATCAGGCGTCGATGCCTTTGGCCGCATCGATGTTCTTGTCTCCAATGCCGGAATATGTCCCTTTCATGAATTTCTCACCATGCCTCTCGAAATCTATGAACGAACGCGGAAGGTTAACCTTGATGGATCATTCTATATCGTACAAGGTAATTTGAACAAATATACACCCCATCGTCTTGCTTTACTTCTATGACAGCTGTCGCAAATCAAATGAAGAATCAGACTCCCCAAGGCGGCGCGATTGTTGCAATCTCTTCTATTTCTGCATTCTTTGGTGGCGAATTCCAATGGTGAATTATTTCATGCAACCTTCTCGCAACCGCATACTTATAATGTTCCAGCCACTATACGCCAACGAAAGCCGCGATATTGTCTCTCATGCAGAGCTGTGCCATAGCGCTCGGTCAGCATGGCATACGAGCCAATGCAGTTCTCCCGGGCACGATAGCCACCGACATCAATAAGGAAGATTTATCTGATTCCGACAAACGGGAATACATGATAAAACGGACGGCTCTCGGTCGCCTTGGAGGTTCGTGCTATGTTCGCACTGAAATGGCCAGTACACTGATATGTATCAAGCCCCCGACGACATTGCCGGTCCTGTTGTTTTCTTAGCCAGCAATCTAGCGAAATACATCACGGGAACGTCACTACTGGTGGATGGAGGGATGGGTAGTAATTTGCAATAAACGGAAATCCATAGACCGGGCCGCTAGATCTGTCCGGCCCTACTAAACCGACTCAGGTGCCAAAACGTTCCCGTTCACCAAGACGGGTTCTGCAGACAACAAGACAGTCACCCAACGTGCCCAAGAAGTGTTGGAAGGATTCTTCCATGCATGCATGACGCCCTTCATAACGACCGTGTCTCCCGGTGTATCGAGCAATTTCTCAGTGCCATCCTCCATGAGTAGTACAATTTGTCCATGAACTATCAAGTGAAATGGTAATAAAATTAGCGTAGAGCAGAGAGACCTCAAGACACATACCGAGGATGTTGTAGTCCAAAGATGAGGTCCGATGCTGAGATGAAGATAAGTACAGATCATGATCATTGGGAGAAATGGTCTTTACCATAGGTGTAACAGCACCAGGTGGTAACTCGGTTGCCGCGCAGCTGGACCCATTCGAAGGCACGATTCCGAGATTGATGGAAGGATCGAGAGACCGCTGCATCCCATCTTCACTTCATAAATAAAGAAGAGATTCAGACTTCAGAAGTGTTGTGCTTGCTTGAAACGCACGAAGAATTGTTGTCCTTTGTGGGAAGAGAATCCAATGTACGCCAGACAGGTGCGCCTCGTCCCCCTTGAACAATAGGGATATCCTGAGATTAAATATTGATTAAAATGAACAAGATGGATGGTCAATTTAACTCACTGCCCATTGCAAGGCGGCGTCGATTTGAATGGTACCTTGTCCTCCTGAATTGTGGGAGGTCTATGCTTGTAACTAGCATTGATGCTGAAGGTAGGTTAAAGCACATACCACAATACGACGAATCTGAGGGGGTTCAGACATGGATATCGGTGGAAAACACGGAAACTAAAGACGATCAAATGGATGTCACGTTGGTACCCTTGATTTAGCCGGTGGGCCGGTGGTGGACCGTACGCAGATGTGTTCAAATAGGACAACTACATAATACAACAATAAGCGAATGAAGCCCAGGAACCTCGATAACGAAAGATCCATGGACCATTCAACATACTGTCTAAGGTGCGGTATCTGTGACAACCGAAGGGTCAGTTGGTGAATAGGGACAAAGCATAAGACGTACAGTAATAATACTCATCGATCAAGGGAATCCAGTCCTTCATCAGAGCACCGAATAGTCCCAGCAAGGGCGCGTGAGACGTCTTCTCAGCTACCGCTTCCAACTTGGGTCTAAAGAACGGGATTAATGACTAAATGACAACGCGAAGTGGATCCGCGTACCGTGTATAGGTCTCCCAAATGGAACCACGCAATAGATACCAAAGCATATCCTTGTCTCTCCGTCCGTATTCAGAACGCTCGAGCTGAGCAGAGGTTGGTGGAGTCCGTCGTAGGCTCCGGGATATTAGTTCCATAGCCAATGCGGTCATCAGTGCACGATTGGAACGCCGGTCAGTGAATAGTAGTGTAGCTGTCAATCGTTTATTAGCATATGAGAGTTTGAATTCGAGTAGCCGTACCATAGACAAGAGGTCTCAAAATATACACAATTTCTGAGAGCCATTCCTGAGGCGCAGAGAGCGTTCTGACGAGAGACAAAGATGGCTTGACTGACGAGGATGTCAACGCCTTGGGAAGGAGATAATCTTCGACCGAGTTTTGGGATCGAGAGGGTGGGGGAGACACCAGCAACGGATGTGGTGACAAGGGTGTATGGTTATTTTTGAGATGGTCCGGTGTTACGGGTGGTGAAGATGAAGGGCTTGAAGGCGCAAGTGTAGGAGATGAGGCATTAGACGCTGAGGCAGGCGGTAATGCAGTAGGATCAAAGTCTCGTTCAGGTATTGGAGGCGACATTAACGGTTTCCTTGTGATCCGTAAAAGAAGCAGCCGTAGGACAGCTCTGAAACGAAAATTAAAGCTGGAAAAAGCAGCGACAGTATGGGAACGCACTTGATCGCCTCGAGGAACAGTATACTCCGCCACCGGTTCTGTGAGGACACCTTCCGACGCAAGCCCATCTCAATGACCAGCTCCGTATATCGAATGAGTTCTAGCGACCGGGCAATCCATTTGTATACGTTGCTCTTTTCGGTCCATGCTCTTGTGAAACGCGAATGAAGTGAGGTTGGGATGAGTGGGTGATATTTGGGATCACTTCGCACGACCTTGGCAAGCAGCGTGTCATGGTACATGCTCATTACGTTGAGCAGCGTTGAAACTGGGCAAATGTTGAGCATACATCAACAGAAACGGGTGCCTACTAACGTGCTTCCGAAGCCAGCTCAGCATCCTTGAATCGGCCTGGTAGAAACCAGGTGACGGATCTCAGGGATGATTCAAGTGAAGATATTGTAGAGACATTCTTGAGGAGAAATGACTCGTATCGAGCAACCGCCATGGCCCAGTTGCACGATGAGGGAAGAGAAAAGAGTGGGGTTGCAAGGGCAATTTCCGAGTATATCATTATTTGCAGAATTTAGGAACGTGATATCTTCTTCCGGCTATGTCCTCCCTGGCCGGCTTACGCTCCAATATTACAGGCGTCGCCATTCAGGACCATCGAAACTAACGAAACTCGTTGCCTTTGCAAGCCCTTAATGTCATGCCAGTATTGCGAGATTTCTCGCCTCGTGGCGGCGCGTGGCTTGAATGAGGAAGGTTCGTTTCTGATACAGGAATGTCAATTTACGAGAAACATTACCACGAGGGCCGGCTCGCGCATATATATATCAGGCTTGTCAGGTCGACATGTTGTGGGTACCCAACTCGCATGCTCCAGTCCTCAGCCTTCCACCTTGATTATTACCGGGTCAGTCCAGTCAGAGGCCAGCTAGAGCCCTATGATCCAACCACTGCGAGAAACTGGAGGTACATCCAGACCACTGATACGCCCAATGAGCTCAAGGTACGTTGCTGATCCTCATGATCCCACTTCCCTGCCCTTATTTTTGACCACAGGTCCTTTTGCCCCCGTCGGTCGCGTCAACGTACGAGCAGCTCCTGAGGCTTGAGGTCATGGAACTGGACAAGAGGGTTACTGTTTCCTGGGAGCGAATTCTTGAAATCAGGCATCTCAAGGTGTCATCTACTCTTTTTTTTCCTATGGTCTTTGACTTATCCTATCTACCTATTGTTCAAAGGACCGGATGATACGCAAATGCCAGCGATTATCAAGGGTACTCCCTCCTAAGCGAATTGGTCGTGGAGATCCATTTGTCTTCCAGACCCTGATCGCGCCTGAAGATTTTCGTTTGAAAGAAATGGAGACATGGTTCCACCAGGAGCAATTGCGACACAAGGGTAGATCGGTCGCCGTCCATCGTCCCACCGTGCAGAAGGCACCTTCACGAAATTCTTGCTGCGTCCGGTGTGCACGCGCGACGCAGCCTGACCTCGCTGCGTCAGCACCCTCCACGGCACCTGCGCCGAAATTGGACAAGGCTCGTTCTTCTCAACTGAAAGAAGTAGAGCCAAAGTCACTCAAGAACACGCCAACGTCTAGTCGCGCAATTTCTCCTGTGACAGAGCCTGTCAAGACGGAGTCATCACATATACCGCCACCAGTCGAAGTGCCTCCCCCGTCTGTGCCGGAGGACGTTAACTTTGAAGCACCAGACACCAAGCTCGTTGACCCCGAAGTGGTGCAGGCAGACGCTGCACCCACACCTGGCGCAAGTCCTCCTCCCGCTGATGCCGAAGAACAAAATGATTCTTCAGAGTCCTCAACAATAGCGCCTACGCCTCCCGCCTCGCCGCCTCCACTCCCGCACCTTTTACGAATATCAGATCCATCTCTGGTCAAAGATATTCTCGAAGCAGAGACATCAGCTGTCATTCGACCTATGCCGGAACCGCCTGTATCTAGACCTCCTTTGGTCCGCCGCAGGAGTTGTATCAAACGGTCTAGCGTCGGCGAATCTGTAAAGACGGTATCGTGGGCAGATGATCGGGAGTGGACAGAGCATTTTCCGAAGAGGCCTGTAACCCCTGAACCGGCGATAGTAGAAGAACCTAGTGTGTAATTTTTTGGATTTCACTGATGTTTTCTGACTCGTGTCAGGTTCCACATGGGGTGAGAACTACGATGAACATGTCTCCAGACTCGACATGCTGCATCGTGAGTTGACGAAGAGTCTGGAGGAAATTCGAGCCGACCCAGTGCATTTCCGGGTAGTCGACGCTATTATTTCTGACCATAAGCAGAGGGTGACGGCCAACTGTTATGTAGGACAACTTGAGACTTTATTAGATCAAGGCGAGTATTTAAGTATTGTGATCTTCGTGGCCCTTTTTCGCTTACTTTGTTGCAGTACGAGAGGAAGAAGACGACGATGAGGACGACGACGATTGGGATGGAGATAACGACACATGAATGTTACGATAGTTCACTGAAGCCGACAACCTATTCGTGGATACCTTGTGTGATTTAGGCGTTCTGGATCCTTCGCGACATTTATCCGGCGTCCGAGCTTTCAGCATCACTGTCTCCATAATCTGCAAGCCCGCCCAGGCCGGTACTGGCATTCCTCCGTGTTTCTTCCTCTGCCAACTGCAATCGTGTGGCCGCTTTGACAGTCTTCCACACTCTACTCCACCGGCCTTTCATGAACGCAAAAGCTGGCTGTTTGTCACCGAAATCAACTAGGACCTTCATTTCCATCTGAGTTGGGTTTGCTGCTGATAAAATGAGCTTTGCTGTCCTACGCATGACCTCTTTCACGGATTCTTCGGGCTAACAACAGTGTTAGGGGATCGAGGGTGCTCTTCGATGAGTGGAAAGAGGTACCTCCTCGTCGCTACCTCCCCATCGTTCATCCTCTTCTTCAGCGAGGCGCGCACGTAATCGCTCCTCTCTGACTTCATCATTGAGGCGCCTCTTCTTCTCCCGATGGTAGTCATCCGCTTCTTCGGGAGAAAAGAAAAAGGTGTCTTCCGTGTCTGAAGGTAGATCAGACCACCCGCCGGGTGACTCCGGAAGACTAGAACGTCCTGCACGTTCAGCATCGATATCATATAGAAGCAAGCGAGCATCGTATCTGTAGCAAAGAAGCTGTCAGAACCGTTACAGTCCACTGATAAAATAGGAATGAGGGATACAGAGAAACAATTGATACCATTAGCTAGCTAGATATGCAGGTCTTACCGATTCAAAATGTGTTTGAGCGTATTGAGATGACAGGGAATGCTCATACCTGTCCACCCATAGACTTTCGGATTCATCTGCATCATTCCCAGGTTCACCCAAGCGTATCAGACCGTCGCCTATCGCATGGTCTAGTTGTAAAGATTCAGCAGCGGATTTCGCGCGGGAACCTCGTATTATGTCTGCTTCATACGCTTGGATGAAGAGCTGGTTAGCTGATGGAGAGATATCAGACGTTGCAGCCAAATGTGATCCATGGTGACTCGACTTGTTCTGGCGGCTCTTCCGTTTTCGAGAAGACATGGTAAAAGGGAACGAACCCAAATTTGTACTTGTTGACGTCATTTTTTCCCTGTCAGATCGATGCGTCACTAATCCCACTGTAGTAGGCCTCAACTTCCAACTACCACTATAACATCTCTACGCCTATTCAACCTCAGGACAGACCTATTCAAATATCTTGTTACTGTCCCAGGACACAAACCTGGCACTAAAATTCGCTCTTCTGCCAGGCATCTACATCCTCTGCCACCTCGGCAGTACTACTTCAATAACTAAAGACGGTCATTGCACTCTACAACACAACATTCTGTTGTGGCGAATAACTTTTTTGGCTCCTTCTTACTACTAGTCGACTTCTGTCTACGTTCTCCTTATGTGCGCCGTCTTGCTATGGACGTTGTCTTTGCCGTCTTCTATAGCATCCATAACGAAGAGGATAGGAAGCGCCATGCATACTATAACATTGTGGACCCTCATCAGCTACGGTGGCTCATTTCGTGCTCAATTTATGCTTCGTTGCATTCACCGCTATTTGCTAATTCACATCGTTTCTCATTGGGAAATACTAGCTACGCCATAAGAGGACCCCAGTCGCGACAGAGCAAGAAAACACAGCTTAAGAAATTGACGTTGACATTTCTCAATTTCTACCATGTCCTTTCGTTCTGGGACACTGTTGGCTTCGGATTTTAGAACCTGAGTTTGCAGAGGTCTTCTTCACCTCCGCATATATCGCTGCACGGCTTAATTAGGTGTGCATCATCAATGTCGGTAATTTTTTGTTGAAACATGACATATCTTCCAATAAGTACTACTACCTATGGGGTCAAATTCAGCCCCAAATTCCTCGGTGGCCGCGCTGCAAGCACGAGCCAGCTTCCATTGATAACGGCTTGGAACGAAGGATAATATTTTTGTGCTACTAACTCTAAGTGAAACGTGAATGACTAAGTATTCCTCATATCGCAATCTGGTAACTACAGTCGTCAGTCACGACAAGGTTCGCGTCTTCATGATCTTGCTTACGAGTACTTCTTCCATGCTCATGTCCTTCTGGTCCTGTGGGTTCTTTTCCGCTGGAAGCTTCATCCTACTAACGACCAGACTCTCAGAATCATTCTCATTGGCGTATACCACCATACCAAGTTCCATTATACGTAAGTCCTCTTTGCCAATGACAGCCTATCTTGATTAGCTATAAACCCTACATCCGGATATCCTTCATTATCTGGGGACTCGATCGTGCTATATGGACGATCCGTGTCCTTGTCTTCAACCACTCTTACTTTAATTGCCAGACTGAACGCGGCGCTTTTATGTCAATGTGGAGCGCCTCTCCGAGAACTTTGTCCGCCTGACACCGAAGCAGCCCCCTCATTTCCACTGGTGTCCGGGTCAAGCCGCCCACCTAATCATGCCAGGAGTTTTTCGTCTACCTTTCGAAGCCCACCCTTTCACCATCGCTAGCTACAACGATTCTAGACTTGAAGGGAAGATCGTGACGTTAAGATGGTGCCTGACAAATCGTTTAAGTCTTTGGCTTCCAGCAGCCAAAGCAGTTGGAAGGAGCTGGTGTTTTTGGTAAACGTTCGGAAGGGGTTTACCCCAAGTTTACTTGTCAATTGGCTGCCATTGAGTTGGAGAAGGGCCCATTAGAGTTTTGGTCGACGGACCGTATGGGCTTTCTCCTGATCTCAGCTCATTCGATACCTCTGTCTCCAAGTTGCTGGTGAGTTTACAATACGACTCTGCAATCCTGCTTGCTCATTTTTACATTTATTTCAGGTGGCACTGAGATGTCATACATGCTTCCACTGCTATTGGAAGCCATAGGGTAAATTTATTTGTCATTGGCTTTTATTTTTCAAAACGATGCTCCCGCAATAGTCGCGTACGCGATGGAAAAAGTGCAATGCACCAAAGTTGTATTCATCTGAGCCACCAGGGATACAAGTATTCATTTTCAGAGATCGTTGATGCAGTTTTATTCACGTTGGTTAGACCAAGTGTGCTGGATATCGAACGCGTTTTTCGACGCGTTAGTTCATCTGCTGCTGCCACTGAACGTAGTAGATTCAACTACCTCATCACAGAGTGGAACGCCAAATTATCTTTAGTCTGCGGTCCGAAAGACCGTCGTCAATGCATGTAAATCAGCCCCACAATACAGTTCTTCGGCGCAACTTGCAGTGTAACGTTACATAGAGTCGTTTGGTTATAAATGATAGCTGGGATATATTTATCTTTTGAGACCCCGGTCTTTGTTGTAATGCAAGTGAATTCGCTAGAACATAACAATTACATTTTAGGTCTTGTTAAAGGCTCTTTCCGATTATTCGATGATCAGACATGTCACTTCTGCGGAGGCCGATGGCAGCTTACGTGATCGATGTCAGCTGATAACTGATGGGCTACGAACCTTCATTGAGACCCTGAGGCCCTACCGTTGATCTGTCTTTCTCCTTGTTCTTCTCCACTCTGTTCTTATACCGGACAGGTACTGTTATTTCTACTTATCGTACCCTTTGAGGCCCTTTCATCTCTTCTATCTGACACCTGTCGTATCTGTTTCAGCGCCATCTTTGTCTCCAAGAACTAGACGTTCTCGTCGGATAACCCACACTTTACTCTGCCATCAACCTTTCAGTCATCTACTTATCTTCCTGCTGTTTTCCCTGTGAATTTCTGAAGAATCGGGATGCAAGCGATTAAATGTACGTGATTCTGCGACCGGATGGCCCTGTTGTTGACGATCACCTGCAGGTGTAGTCGTGGGAGATGGCGCTGTAGGGAAGGTGAGCTGAACGACGCTATGGCTGCCCACTGTGCATTCTTATCTGACCGGACGACAGACATGCCTTCTCATTTCATACACCACCAATGCGTTTCCTGTGCGTTGATACTGCCTCATCTTTCCTGGCTATTCATTGATTTTGATACACAGGGAGAATACATTCCAACGGGTAATTATATTATTATATCTTTCTGGGCAAACTCACCAATTTTTCTTAGTGTTTGACAACTACTCTGCTAATGTGATGGTCGACGGCAAAACCATCTCGCTTGGATTATGGGATACCGCCGGACAAGAAGATTACGACCGACTCCGCCCGCTCTCTTACCCTCAAACGGATGTCTTCTTGATTTGCTTTTCCCTCGTCAGTCCTCCAAGCTATGAGAATGTTAGGACCAAGGTGAGCGACGATAGAGATACTTATCTCCATGCCACTAATTCCATGCTCTCAGTGGTTCCCTGAGATATCCCATCATGCACCGCAAACTTCCGTTGTACTGGTAGGGACGAAACTTGATCTACGCGAAGACCCTGCGACAATAGAGAAACTCCGAGACCGGTAAGTATGTCCATTGTGGCATGAATGATGTACTAAGCGGGCATCCCTAGTCGTATGGCGCCAATCCAGTACGCTCAAGGAGTCGCGATGTCCAAAGACATTGGAGCCGTTAAATATCTAGAGTGCTCCGCGCTGACACAGAAGGGCCTTAAGACCGTCTTTGACGAAGCTATCCGAGCAGTCTGTAAGCGACCTTCCTTTGCAACAGCCGCGTTCTATTCCATTCTGATCTAGGAATTTGTAGTGAATCCACCTCCACGGACAGACAGGGGCAGAAGTAAAGGGCCAAAGTCGTGCATTATCGCTTGAGGGCCAGATGTATGCGGTTTGGATGGTGGGCATACATATAATATCACGCCATTTATGTTTCTACTCGACTTTGACGACCTGTATGCTTTTTGACTTTGCTTCTTTACATTCTTGATGCTACCGACGGATGCTTGTTTTTTGTCTTCAAACATTCCTGTTGTCTGGAACTGGATTTGCGACGGCTGCGATGATGGACATCAACAAGCAACCGCGTGCTCGAATTCTCAGGAGAAAATTGAAGAACCCTGGGAGAATCGTAATCAGATGACCGCAAGCAATTGCCAGGAACCAACGGCCATGGCAAGGGCCCACCGATATGGCTTCCTAGTCCTGTGCTTTTTCTTTTTACCCACTCTGTTTTCTTTTTTCTTGTACTTTGCCCGGGGCAGCGTACTCTGGTCGGTTGCGACTTTTCTGGGCTTCCCCTTCCATCCAGAGTATGTACAGGACAGAGGTATCCTTGTGCATCAGTTTTGGATAGGATCACTGTAACGAATTGGCGACCTCTGGCACCTTCGTTGGATCCTTTCTTTTCGTATGTTGCGCCATCAGTTTCACTATCGACGACTCGTTGAACCTGTGCAGATCTGACCTCTAGTCTTGACATGGTCCAGTCGGAGAGACTGCATCCAGTTCGACATGTATCGACCGCTTCCCAGGACACCTCGGCCTCTGGTATCGCAGACAGCACCATTAGCAACGGCGAGTCTTTGCGGTTATCTCAGTTTCCCCAGCCACCGTCTTCGATCCCTACTACGCCTTTGCGTGCAGACTTTGCACCTCCATCACCAAGTACCCCCACCTTTCATACTATAATTGCGCCGCTTTTTTTGCACCAATCTACTACGTCACAGCCATCTCCACCCTTCCGAAATTTCCCCTCAGATGCTTCTGCCAATAATCGGTTACCGTCCTCGACTCCGCCAATCTCCCCTTATTATTCAGGCTCAGGCACTTTCTCCCCTCACGACTGGTATGATGGTGCCTCTAGCATTGATGTCGACGCTACTGAGGACCGTTTACTCTCGACATCGTTCATTACATCGTTGCTCCAGGAGCATTCAGCACCTTCATTTAATAGCGTAGGTCGCAGGGCTTCCTTCAGTAGCGATGCATTCAGCGGCGTGTCAGAAATGACATACCCACCAACTGCTCGTTATCCAGACTATGTCGACCGACCTCCTTTACCTACCCCACCGCCTAAACCTCCAAGATCTTCCCCTCCTCGCAGACCACAAGGCGCCAGACCCCGACAGCATCCCCCCACCTCCTTCACTAACAAAGTTCCCCCCCACTCGGATTATTCCGATACACTCTACTCGGAGCAGGAGGACAATTTTCCCACTATCATTCGTTCGGCCAGCCTTTCTCGAGGAGTCACCGTTCCCGGTGCTTCCGTGGTAGGCGTCGCTCCTGCAACGTTGCGAGCCGTATCAATACACAGCGATGGATCAAGCACAGACTACAAAGAATTCGTTCGTTCCAGCTCAATTTTGCCTCTGACAAAGCCGCGTCCCCCTCCTGCTCGTCCTATGTCACGGCAGTCCACACATTCGAACCATAGCGCCGCTCCTTCATTTCTTTCTCGTGTGTCATCTACGAGCAAATCCATAATCCAGCGTCTCCCTAACTGGAGACGAGCTAAGCCCCTACCGCCTGTTCCTATCATACCACATATCCCCATCGCCGCTGAAATTGCCAACCGGCGACGGGAGGCAACTATGCCTCTGTCAGACTTGGCTGCGCGGGCAGGGACACTGAATAACTTGCTAGAAAAGGGGTATTATCCTCATGACTCGCGAACGTTCTACCATTTCGATTCCCATACAGGTATATCCTCTGCGTATAGTGGAGGAGACATTCCGACGAATGGTGATCCCTTGCGGACACATCGTAACCGCAAATCTCAACATGCACCCGTTTTGCATCCGCCAGATTCTCCCGGCTTAGACAGGCCTAAGAGCATGACACATTTTTCTCGTAAGAAAAAGTTGATCATCTTGGGTATTTTCATCGCGGTCGCATTGATTACCGTTGGTGTTGCTGTCGGCGTAACGGTGAGTCGGAAAAGTCAGGACCTACATCAATGTGCTGCTGGTCTTGCCGGAGCGGTTTGCGATCTCAGTACGTCTCTTGAAGATTCAGCTTCAGTATTACTGATTTCAAAGTGTAGATACCACCTGCGTGTGCACTTCCTCAGTTACAGGCAACTGTAATGCACTTGCCCATAACATCGTCGACCTTGCGCCTACAATGAACCAATTGTTCGACACGGACCATACCCTTAATTATGTATACAATTCCCTTTGGCTAACTCTGGGAACTACGACGGGCAGCGATTGCTCAGCGCAATCTCTTCTCGTTGATGTCGCACCGGCGTTAACCATGTCGGATTCTCCTAATCGCACGGAGTGGGCCCAGGCTGCAATCCTCTGGAATCTTGTTCAGTCGCAGGATATTCCCAGCACGAAAACTTTACGAGATTTCGCCAAAGATGCTCCTTGGTCAGAAACTAGTCAATTGGATGGACCAGTATCTGATGATGCTGGTTCTTTCGCCGTGACAGCTTCAGGTTTCACGTTCAACTTTGCAACTCAATCGATCAGTCAGCAAGCCGTATCATTCATCAACAACGGTCAACCCACTGATGAGCAGATCAGTCGAGTGAGCAATACTGCCCTTTCTGCATTGAATCGAATGTACAGTTTCGCGCTCGGTAGGTTCTCTCCGCCGTGTTGTAACGTTTACTTAATGTTGTAATTTCCAGCATCTTCCACTCAGCAAAAGAATGCATTGTCGACATACTGGACCTCCGTTTTGCAGCAAAGGGCGGAAGACTTGTCCGACTTCCTGTCGATTGTCAGCTCGTCACCCCTTCTAATTCCCTTCGATGCCACGTCTCAAACCGTGTCTGCCCTGATGACCAATTCATCCACCGAACCATTCCCGCCGCCTCTGGGATGCTATCCGAACCTATCATCATCTGAGCTTGGACAGATCAATGATATCGAAGTCTCAGTGTTCGGACTTTCGAATGTAGCGGAGGTGTCTGAGTTCGATACCTCATGTTATCCTGACCGTCCCTTGTATGGAACTTTGAATGTGCTTCGCCTTCGACTGCCGTTCGCGAATACTACGACAGGAGTTGCTCAACAAGCTGCGGTCCTTAACCGAGATGCTGGTCCTCGTGTAGTCATTCGCAGCGGCCAGCTGTTGAGCTCTTTGCCGGGATCATCTGTTCAGCCAACTAACGGCACCCAAAATCCTCGACAATATGGGACACTCAACCATCTGGAACATATTATGCTGAACTACTTGCTGTCCCTGGACACGGATGTTGCCATTACTCTCGCGACGTATGTGCTGTCGTACAAAGTTGTACCACCCGACAATCAATCAGAGCTCGTTGCGTCCCTGGCGTCTATCCCGGCTCTAGAAATTGCTGTCTTTGGCAGCATATTTCCAGCCGACATTGATCATTCCGTGTCGTCCTTTTCGAGGACATCCGAGAAATTGTTCTTTGGATCCGAAGAGGCGAGTGCATTGCGGAACTGGACGATCACAGGTACGGGTACGAAAGTCGTCTGGGCAGACAATGCTACGTCAGCCCTGGTCGCGTACGACTCGTCACTGACAGATGAAACGTTCAATGAAGTATGGTCTGCTGCGGCAGCAGCATTGGAGGGCAATGTGGAAAATGTGACGGCGAACAACGTGACCTCATCCCTGGGTAGTTTGGGCAAGCTGGATTCCTGACGGACTTTGGAATAAGCCGATGTTACACGTACTAAAGTGATTATTGTTATTATTTACATGTTTTCGATTTTTGTTATTTTTATGCAGTGAATTGTCGTTATTAGATATTTCGGATAGTAGTACTTGCAATACAACGGAACCATGTCATTATTATGGAGAGAGATCTGTGGCTGGATTGAGCCGTAAGCTTGTTTAGGTACTGCCAAGACCAAAAGGGAACAACGCGTTTTCATTACCTTATCAGCACCGCCTCTCGAAGGCTTGAAATTCGCCGACCTCTGTTGATTCCCACCGCCGATCGTTATTGTCGTTGACGCTCAGAATATGCCAAAAGCACAACAGGCCTCTTCGTCCCACTCAGCAACTGGTCCAGTTCACAGCAATGGTACCCACCCAAATGTCCTCAAACGCAACCAGGTAGGCCACATTCTCTGTTGGTCTTCACTTCTTATCCTTTTCTCTAGGCCTGTCACCAAGTGCGTCTTTGTTACCGACTCTTGCTCTTCCAGGTGCTCATGAACAGCCCAGTGTCGAAGGAGGAAATTGGTGAGCCTTTTGCTGCTGTATATTTCTCATTGCTCATTCTTTTCAAAAGAAATGGTATGTCCTCAATGTCGCTATTTATTTCAATATCCACGAACTTCATTTAGTGATGCTAAACGGCCTTGCTCGACTTGTGTGCGCTCCCATGCTCATGCTGTATCCCATGCACCTGCAGGCGCACAACTTCCATCTGCTCCCGAGTGCACTTTTGACGAAAGTGAGCAGCCCAAGTCTTAGCCCAGCACCCGCTCTCATCATTTGCAGTTCATGAAAGCACAGCAGCGCCTTCGGAGACACCCAAGAACAAGTACGAGAGGTTGGAAAATCGCATCAGTGCGTTCGCTACTTCTACCATTAATTCACCGTCTGACCTCCCACAGGTGAACTCGAAGCCCTTCTGCGCCAAAAGGAAAACTCGGCAGCGGAACACGATATCCAACACCAGGCAATTTTTTCACCACGGGCTCGCGAGGCTCAATCGTCCAGTCCATCGCAACATTCAATATCAAATGGACATCCTCACCACCTGTATGCAGGGTCCAGAAACACATCTCGCAGCCCTCTCGGCAAACAGGAGCAGGGCATTTCCGAAACACCAAGTGGCGCCTCCTCACATGCCGGGTGGGACGTCCTCTGGCCCAATTGGCCCCCAAATCTCCCTGAACCAGAGTTGCTTCGCCATTTGTGAGTTTTCAACTATTATCGTCTCTATCATCCCATGTAGCCAATACCTCAGAGTCGAAGTCTTCTTTCTCTTCCATCCCCATGCGACTCGCCTCTTCCATGCAACCAGTTTTATGACTTCTCTTTCATTACCTCCGGCGCACCCCAGATTTCCTGCTCCGCCCGTCCTGCATGCCATATGTGCTGTGGGAAGCCTTTATACCGGTATGGTTACCTCACCTCCCCTTCCCAACTTGTCTGAAGTTGAGCCCGGTAAGTCCGTTGTCATCGCCGCCGAAATTCCCTTTAATTGTTTCTTAAAAAATCCCGAAAGACGAAATATTTTCGGAACGGTATCGGTCAAAGGAAGAACGTCCGGATTCGTTCGCAGAACAGCAGGTGAAGCTGGCTCGAGATACTGCCCAACGGCTTGAATTCTTAGGGCAGGACCTTCTTCAAGTTTTGCAAGGTAAATTGGCAAGCAGTTTTTGTCTTGTACGTCCTACTGATATAAATTGTAACAGCAAATATTGTTTTGTGCTGGTTCTACATATCCCACTCAAAGTCAGTCCGGTTTATTTTTTGAATGATGGGATCCATTCTGATATTCGATCTAGGCATGTCGAAGTATGCATGGTCAAACACTGTCCGGCGCCGGAGGCTAATGTTTCATCGCTTCTAGCTTTTTATCACAGCCGCTCACTCGCTGCGTCTGGCGGTTCCGCTGGGACTGAACATGTGTCCACCGTTCAATTCCATAACTGTATCTCAAAGACCAGCCTCTATCCTACCTCCGGCACGCACAGTAGTCGAAGACGAAATGAGAAGGAACGCGTTCTGGCTCGCTTATGCAAACGAACGACAGCATGGTTGCACAAACGGCTGGGCTCACAGTATGGACGATTCGGACATCTCCCAGTTGCTCCCGCTACGAGGGGACCAGTATGAACAAGGCGTACGTTTTCCTATATCTTCACTGCTTCGATGTTCATCGGCACCTCAAAGGCACTTGTTACCCCGCATGATAGGCAGTGGGCACATGCCAAAGATCTTCTCATCAACCATCCCGAAAATCAAATAGACTCCTTCATTATGTACATCAAGAGTTCTATCCTGTTATGTGAGTTTGCATTTACCCTTTCTGTCACAATAGAAAACTCACATATTACCAGCGAGAGTCAAAACATTCAATATGAGGTTTAGGACGCGGCATTACAACGGCGACGAGCACATCCCTGCGTATCATCCGCTACCGTTAAGCCCCAATTCAACTGAGCCTATTGATGCTCGAATGTCTACTGGCTTTATCGAACTGGATAGCACCATCTCCTCTTTTCTCGGTTCTTTCCCGCCGCATTTGAGGAATCCCATCAACAATAATACGGTCGACAATCACCTCTACACTGCATGCCTTATATCACATGTGTGAGCATAGTAGAGGCACTCTTTGACCCGCCGGTATTGATGTCGTTTCTAGAGCAAACATCGTCCTGCATGACCCTCACGCAGATGTACGGATATCAGGTTGTATCTCAGCACTGAAGATCCTTACCTCTGCACGTGCGATTCTGGATCTAATATATGCTGTATGGTCCACAAGTTTTGACATTACCCTTTTGGATTCATTTTGTTCAGTACGTTGAACCAATACTACCTATGACGGTGCTTTGACTTTGCTTTCTGTATTAGTTTTGTTGGTTCACCGCCGGACGAGTACTAGTTCGATTCTTGCAAGCCGCCATCGAAGCGAACAGTCAGGACCAGATTTCCACACTACGAGCTGAATTGGACTTCATTTTGTAAGTTCAACGAAATATCAGTTTGTGTACCAGGCGCTGATCTGCATCAGGACTGCTTTATCAAAAGTGGGTCAGCGCTACGCAATGGCATATCGGTGTGCAAAAATGCTCGAGGATAGGATGGTCACGACAGGCGGTCCGCCTTCAGGTGTGATGGCGTAATGGAATTTTTATAGGTTCGTATTTAAGAGGCGGACATTGTAGCAATATGTAGTTCATGTATGTAGCTTGTGTATGATTTTTTTGGAAGCAAATAACGCAAAGATTGAACGAGGCCAAAGCGCTTTTGAACCGATCAATGACAAAACTTTGAAACTTCGTGTTCGACCGTGACGAAGAAAGAGCGATGGCGGACCTGCCGTTGCAGAACAAGCTAGCCGTGGCATTTCTTGGCCCATTAGGCACTTATACGTACCAGGTATGAACATTGGCCTGCAGCAGCTCCACAAAATGACAATAATAGGCCGCATACGAAAAATTTGGGAGTGACGTCGAATATATTGAACAAAATTCCATTGCAGGTGATCAGCTTCTATCGGCCTGATGTCGCACACTAAGCAATCTATCAGAGGTATTTGACTCACTGTCTACTACAGTCGACATAGGCATAGTACCTCAAGAAAATTCGATTTTCGGGCCAGTTATCGAGACGTACGATTGCTTGCGCAAAGATGACCCCGTCTTTGTCCGGGATGAAATTATTCTGGCAATTCAGCATTGTCTAATTGTTCGGAAGGGGGTCAAACTTTCTGATATCGATTGTGTTATGAGTCATGAACAGGTCAGTGAATTTCTGATAGAAAAGAGCGGATTTAATGGAGACTTTCCAGGCTCTTGGACAATGTCGGTTGTTCATCGAGAAGCATCTCCCACATGCATCACTCAAGAAGATGCCGTCGACTTCAGCGGCGGCGAAAGCTCTTCTCTCGAGTCCTCTTTCTTATGCGGCTATATGCTCAAAAGCGTGTTTGACCGTTTTTGACGGGCTTGACATATTGAATGAAGGGATCCAAGATCAACACTGTTTGAAGTCTCTTTCCTTCTATCGGCTTGCATTTCACTGACATGGAAGTTATCGCGTAGCGAATTTCACCCGTTTTTATGTTGTGGCGAAACCCTCAAATGGTGTGCCGTCACGGACAAAGCGGCGCACCCGAGCTCTTCTTCGTTTATCGGTGGACGTAACAAATAAATCAGCCAGTATTATGACACTCTTGGCTGCCTTGAGGATGGACTGCATCTCGCGAATAGATCGTCGGCCGGCTCTCGACAACGCTACTTTTCATGATATATATTTTGTAGAACTTGATTCATTAGGCCAAGACATTTGGGAAAGTGAAGTAGAGCATGCGCTTGAGCGAGTTAGACTGGCCGGTGGAACGGGGAAGCTTTTAGGTATCTGGTAGAACGATACAAAAAGATCTTTCTAATTTTTTAAATAGTAGAATACATATACCTGTGTAGTTACACCATCAGCCTAGATCATCGTAACGGAACTGTACAAACTCAGTCTTCGAGGTTGGTCTCCTCAATTAACGCTTTTGCGGTGGGGGACCGCGGCTCGATCTGGCACTTGAAAGGAAGAGGATGACTACAAACAACATCGGTTCATCATTGTCATCCATAAACTTAAGCACCCATACCTGAGAATGGTTGAACTGTAAAGTTCCCCGTTAAGGTCTATAGGCTGTCCTTTGTCGTCGGTGGCTTCTGTTATCCTGTACACAGACAAGATGGAAGCCACCGAAATCCACAGGAAGTCAAAGGCAAACCAACGACCTGGGCACGTTCTGTTAAAGTGTCAAGGCTTACGACTCTCTCAGAGCAAAAGTCTGCTCACCTTCGACCAAACCCGAATGGTGCAGTTGGGATCTCGTTCAGTCCGGACACTGGAAGGTCTTGAGCAGTAACGTTGCCTTCGAACCTATCGGGATTAAAAGCAAAAGGGTTGGGGTAGACGTCACTGCATGGCTTTAGCTTTGGTTTCTAGCTGCTCGCAGATACGTACGGATCATGCAATATTGCCCAGACGTTAGGGAAAACAATGGTTCCTTTCGGGATTATATATCCTACAAGTGTTCTGTCAGGACAGTATTTTTTGTACCTCAATCAGTCGAAAGATACCTCTGTATTTATCGTCTTCAGAAACATAGTGCGCAAGTCCAAGAGGTGTTACTGGATTCCATCTTAAAAGCTATATAATGCATTGGCAACGGTATGTATTCTTGTGTAGAGAGACTCACTTCGTAGCAAATGCAGTCCTATGAGGAGAGGTCAATTTGTGCAGGTCAAGAGCATGACAATCCCACTTACAATGTACGGTAGTTGATATCTATCTGAGAACATTGGTAGCCTGTTGCCTAACACACGGTCAAGCTCCTTTTGGGCCTTGTCTTGAACAGTCGGGTGCAGGGCAATGGCGAGGAACAAGGACTGTAGAGCCGAAACTACAGTGTCAGCGCCAGCTGAGAACAAGCAGGATTATCGAAATGGCGCCGAATAAGCTACAAAACAAGCTTACCGGCGAAAGTTGTAGCTGCAACGTTCTTAACGACTTGCAGATCTGCAGTACCCCGACCGAGCGCTATGTCATCCAATTCGTGGGCCACAATACATGGTGATGCAGTCCCTTTTTCCTGGATGTCAGTGAGCAATGAGAATTCCCCATGTAAATCTGCCAACCATTCTGGTTTGGACCACTTCGAATGGGCGATTAACCAACGCCTGTGATCTCTTTCGCCATTCTTTGGCCTTGCGCTTAAAGGGAGCACACCAAGACGGTAGGTATTTCAATGCGGGAAAATAGTCCTGAAGGATGTGCGTGTGGATACGAATCATAGGTTTACATGTGAGGACATACCACCATGTAAGTGCCAAAAATGCCGGCACGAGAAAAGGGCAAAATAGCAGAGCTGGCTAGTTTCACATAATTATCTCCATTATTGCCTAGTTTCTCGTCGATATTGATGCCATAGGTGATTTCTAGAACAATCGCTGCAGCTGTCCTGGAATCTGTTTCAGGAAAGTACGTCGTGTAGCAGAAATATATACCGTCTGATGTGATGGCCGAACTCAGCGGGACTACGTTCGAGATCCCGTAGCAACGCGTGTGTCAGCGCAATCTGCAACGGGTGATGCTCAGATGTACCATTTATAGGGAAATGTTTTTGGAACAGATTTCGGTGTCGCTGATGCATTTCCGTCAACGTAAAGGACATAGACGGAAAGAAAGAAAGGATTTCACTTTCCAGCGATTGCCGTAAGACATGGATGAAAAAAGCCAGTCCCATCCCATTCTGATGCAACTATAAGTGATAGAAAAAATAGATGCGCGGGGCCATACAATTCCTGAACCATAGTGCGTACTGGTCGGGATGAATAGTTCCCACTTCTTTTTTCAAGCAAGTCAGAAATAGCCTGAGCAGAGTTCAAGATAAGTATGCTGTTCATAAACGCGTATATATACACGACGTCGCCTAATCAACGCGTCAGTAGATGTGTAGCATAATATATTGGGGACTTGCCGTATTCATCTTTCCACTGGGAATATGTCCGCCAAGGATACAGCTTGGGAATCTCTACGCTGCCAAGCCAGGACCCCTGTGGTCCTGGAGGCAGACGTAGAGCCCGGGCTTTCCGTTGTCTCCATACGAGAACAAGGGGGACGATAAATACAGTGAGGACGAGAAAGGATTGGGTGGAGGGAAACATTGAAGGTGGGGTAAAGAACCCGGAGAGTGGCTTATATAGCGGCCTTCGACCATCGCGGGCTCCGCTTTGCTGACTTTGAACGAGACCCGCGTATTATCCAAGTATTGCTATCAGTATCAGACTGGACGAACCTGACTTACTGACCTTGATGGTTCGGACTACGGCCATCGCATTCAGTCACGTGCATCGCGCCCTCCCTGATTGGGCCTTCCTTTCTGGGTCGGCAGTTACACGCATCTTGGTCATCGACCACGACGATGGCCACGGTCGCCAATTCTCTTGCTCTGAAGGACATCATCGACCCTCAGTTCCACCAAAACAATTTCCCGGCAGAGCTGTATATCAAGGCGCAGCTCGGTATCAAGCTCGACAAGGGTCAGTCCGATCTTTCTTAGACTTTGTATTTACTTACGCCATTCACATTGTCTTCGCTGCCACAGATGATCAAATTTGTCGTTTATCACTAACTCCTGCCGGCTGTCCGCTTGGTCCTCTGCACTGCCCTCTACGCCATACCACCCCATCTATACAAAATTTCCAGCCGCCAAAACAAATACCTACCCATCCTCGCGACAGGGAGCGTCTTTCAACCGTTTGTAAGCATTGGCTTCGAGGACTTTGTAAGAAGGGTGATGCATGCGAGTTCTTGCACGAGTATAATCTAAGGCGGATGCCTGAATGTTGGTGGTATGCCAAGTACGGATACTGTTCAGCAGGAGATGAATGCCTATACGCTCATCCTAAGGAACGCAAGGTTGAATGTCCAGACTACAAGAGAGGCTTTTGCAAGCTAGGTATGTCTATACAGACAGAACATATATAGTTAAAAACTCACGTCTTTTTCACGCAGGTCCTGAATGCCCTCGAAAACATGTGCGACGCGTAGCATGTCAATTATATCTTACTGGAATGTGCCCGTTGGGTCCTGAATGTTCAAGAGGACAGTAAGTGCTCTCTCCATTTCAATATCTATTTTACCAACCGATTTTTCAATGCCAGCCCCAAGCCCGATTTACCTACTCAAAAGGACTACGATCCGCCAACTGCGCCCACCAGAGATCTTGGCCCTCCACCCCCAGGATATGGTCGATATTCCGACTTTGATCGTGCTCCTGGCTCTGGTCCAGGATTTGGCAACAATCCCACCTCCATGCCACCTAGGAGGAATCTGGATGAAGTTCTGTGCTTCAAGGTTCGTTTTTCATAATTATTACTTGCAGTCTCACCAACATAATTTCCAGTGCGGGGAGAAGGGGCACTACGCTAACCACTGTCGAAATAGAAATGTTCCTGGCAGTCGCGGTGGAGTAGAAAGAAGACGGTACGGTGGTGAGGAGTAATACTGGGCCTGTACGGACTTGTTCCATACGCACCGGACATGTATTTATTTTGCTACACATAAATCTGTATCTTTAGTTGTTCTCAGTCTTGATGACGTCATAATCTGAGTCCTTCACTCACCGTCCTCCACCATAGCGCTCGCCCGTCTTTTCTTGTCTGCGTCCAGGCTCGCGCATTACACTCTCTTTTCTCGTTTTTCTTGTCGTTTTGTCTCTATGGTTCCAAGGTCGCGCGAACTGTCTGCAGAGCAGATCGCAATCCAACAAAGACGGAAAGCGAAGAAACAGAAGCAGACGCATTTGACTCCTCAAGTCGATGACAAAGGCAAGATTATAGAACGTACTTGGTTGAAATGCCCTGAAGGGGATGATACGCACAAGGGATTTCGTGTCAAGCTTCTTACCTGGAATGTCTGTCTGTTCTTCGTCAATTCCTCAAGTTTTTGTAATTAACTTTGGAACGGAAGTTATTGGCACAATGTCTAATTCGTACGTCTTATATTTAAATCCAAAAGAAGAACATCTTTCAACTTGGAGTAAAGGCCGAGAACTGTTTCCAGTCAGTGACTGTTTGAAGGCAGCTCAACGGGAACATATGATCTATCGTGAGCTCCTCTCGCAGGGTGCTGATATCCTCTGTCTGCAGGTGCTTGACTATTTTCCGCCTACGAAGTTTGACTCAAAACTGTTCTAGGAAGTCGATCGCCTCGAGAAAGTTCTCCCCGTCCTCGATGCCGCTTCTTACTCTCATCACTACGCGGCGGGACCCAAAAAAAAGCATGGCTGTCTCATTGCCTTCAAAACCAACTTGTACTCCAAGATTGGTGACCACAAGGTTGAGTATGATAATGAAGAGGTCCGCGATGATGTTGAAGGCCCCGGGCGCAAGGGAGCTAGCTTCCGAACAAAAAATATTGGATCCATTGTCGCTCTGAAGAGTACGACCGATGAAAATCACGGTGTCGTCGTAGCTACCACTCATCTTTTTTGGCACCCAAGATATACGTACGAACGCGCAAGGTGTGTCAAATACTCTAGTTATGCACACTCTTTGACACACCTCAATGATAGACAAGCCGGGATTCTCAAACGCGAAGTTCTGAGATTTCGAACGGAACGCGGCTTGCAAAAATGGCCTTGCATAATCGCCGGTGGTTCGTGCCCTTTACTTTTAAAAAAAAATTGAGTACGTGTGAAGTCCATGTCATAGACTTCAATTTTGCTCCGGACGACGCGGCTTACTCGCTATTAGTCGGAGACCCGTTACTGTCCGCACAAAAGGAGACGATAACTAACTCACACGTCGTACACGCCACCATAGATCCTACTGTTTCTATTTCTCCGACCAAAGATACTACCGAGGAGGATGAGGCTTCAGACCCAGACAAGGTCATTACCAATGCTCGGTCGGCAACACCTACCGACGGACTGCTCTCACCGTCCGAACTCATCGCTCTGTTCGCTTTGCACAAGCCTTTGCTTAGTGCATACGGCCAGGGATTGAGAAATATCCGGAGATCGTCCATAAATTCCACCTTCGCTACATTTGGCGATAGAATCACTCTAGATCCTATGCGTCTCGGTGCTTATGAGCCAGAATGGACGAGTTACACGCATTACTGGAAAACCGTATTAGGTACGCATTGAACGCGGCGTCACAAAAGAATTTCTGACCATCATACGGTTTCATAGATTACATATTTGTCATAGAGCCGGAGGAGGGTCGTTCACTCATTACAGGACTTTTGTCCCCACATCAGACCGCTGATTTAGACCCAGGAATACCAAGGAAAGGAATATGCGGAAGTGACCATGTTTCGCTTTGTGCCCAGATAGAATTTGTTCCCAACGTAGAATCCTAGACCAGTAAACCCGAGAATTCATCGCATTAATAATCATGGTTCATGAAAATCCGGATCCGAATGCATGAAGAAAGCGTTGCAGCAGAGTAAGTAAATAGAGTAAACTATATCGTAATTCAGGGAAAACAAACGTTGAGTGTGTGTGAAAAGATATCGAAGATAGTGGATATGCCTGGGTATGCCAAGTAGAAAAACTGAAAACACATCTATCCTAATGAATGAGTTATGCAAAGTCCCCGTTACAATGGAATACGGTCAATTTGTGTTTCTATCAGATCCCGCTAGTAAGCTGTCGAACAAACCACCTGCAGATTTCTCGTTGCGCAGCTGTATCATGTACACGATGCCTGTTCGTGCACCCTTGTTGCTAAGTTCGATAGCCACACCTGTTTTACCCACACGCTCGACCCCATCTGTCAAAACGATCGTAGAGATCAGAACGGCGTGATCCTTGTTCTCAGACTCCACAACGAGTTGTTTAATATTCGTGGGATCTTGATGATACAACTTGAGCCGGGCAGAACCCAAGGACTTCCACTGCGCGTGCTGTTGCTTTAGGAACACTTTGCACTTCATCTGCGCTGAGATACTGGATGTCACTGGACCCGTGGGTAGAGACCGCGTTTCCTCAACAGGCGAGTTCGGAGGACTTGGATCAGCGAAGGAAGCGGCCTGATCGATACCAGAAGCTGCGCGTGAATTGAGAGCTGATGGTAATAAGGGACGTGGCTGTGGGGCATGCAGACTTCCCGAAGAGGAATCTCTTGGGATGAAATTATTGGGTGGGTATCCATTAGGTGGGAGTGAAGGAGAGGGGATAGGCGGTGCCGAGTATGGCTGCTCATACTGGGAATGAAGCGACCGCGTAGAAGGTGGCTTCCGCATGCCATTAGGGTATAAAGGCTCGGAGGGTGGCCGCGGAGGAACGCCGTAACCACCCTGGGGACCTGGTAGTCGCATTGGAGAAGGCAGCGGTTGCTGGTGAAACGAAGGCCCAGCCATACGTTCACCGGGAGAGACGGGGGTCATTGGTGAGCGAGGCTGTTGATTACTATTATAAGTGTGGTGGGACGCAGCACTAGTGCTCCTGGATGGTGCAATGACTTGACCTGGGCTGATGGACATGGGCATATTCGGAAGTCCACTAACAGGAGGACGCTGTTCATGCAATGAATGTGTCACCGACGGTACACGTTGAACGTCAGGCGCAGGGGAATGGTGACTGTCCAAAGAGGGCATTCGCTGCGGGACATTACTATTATGGTTTTTCGTGAAGTCATCAGGGGAATAAGATGGGCTCCGGCCATTCTCGACGGGTCGGTACGAAGATGGGGGCCCGCTGGGCGGCCCATCAAAATGAAGAGGCTGGATGACAGGCGGAGAAGGTAAAGATGTTCGTTGTGGAGGACTGACGCTCCTGCTCCTGCTGTCCACTTCTGGCGGCATTGAATTTTGCGTTTGAGGGATGTCTCTCGGTGGTAGACCAGGAAGAGGTGGCATAGGCGGCGGGGGCTGTTTCGCAGGGGTAACTGTGGGAAAATGAATTTTAATTGATCCACTCGTTACGGGGGAGACAAAAAACCTACTGGAGTTTGCAAATTCAATACATTCCCGGAATTCGGATATCATGAAATTGCGAGCTTGAACGGACTCCGTCTGCAAGAATATATGCTCCTTTCGCATGATGGCAACATTCAATGCTGTTTCTAAACAACCAGAAAGCGGTGTCTGTTATTCGGCGCAATACAGGGAAGGGCCGGAACGACTGACCTTGACCACTCACTTCAGACACACGCAGCACTTTCCCGGCCAAAGGCGGGTAACATAACCACATGTCTGGACCGTCTGCACCTCCAGCTGAACGTTCTTCGGGCGTCATCCTCTCGCATACTAAAAATAGATCTGACAATAGAAAAACGTGCCCCTGACGATGAACAACTTCTACTCCCGTAGCGCGTGGTGTTAATGTAATCTTGACATCCATAGACAGGCGAAGTTCCCGCTTGAAGGTAAGCGTAGGCGGCGACATTTGCAGACGGACACTCTATGAGAACACTTTGAAAGAGACCGCAGCAAATATTTATAATGTAGGTACCTTTAACTTCATAGTGAAGATGTCCAATGTCCGTTCAGTGGATAACCGCCTCTCCAGGTCAGAAATTGGCATCGACATGGTCTGAGATGAAACGCGACTGGTCGATGTCATTGCTGTCTCCCCGGAGAGACGCTCCCTGAGTACAATTGTTGAGCTGGTGACGTATATTTGATGAGACGGACATACCCTAGCACGCTGCTTCCTCGGGCCGAACTACTTGAACTGTTCGGCGTTGCGTCAGCATCACTTTGAATCGGTGCACTTAGTGCCGATGATTGTGCCGCGCTTTCCCGTTGTGTCCGAAGGTCAAATACCACTTCGTCCTCACCTTGCAACATAGGGGGCTCGTTGGACGGCGATTGCATTGAAGTTACTCTGATCTGCGCCCTTTGTTCCAATGTATCCAACAGTGTGTCTAGTTTATCCAAAGCACCAACCAAGAGTCGGTGATCGCTCCGACCAGGGACTGTACTTTTTAGAAGTCTAGAGTAGAGTTTCTTGTAGTATTTGAGACGAAGTTTGGGAAGCAGGAAGAGAGCATCGAGGGTCCACAAAGGCGGGTCGTCTGGAGAAGTGATGAGCGATGTTGGAGGAGGTAGGGCTGTAGAGAAGGCAGCGATAATAGACGGTAGTCGAGTATTGGATGAAACAAGATCCCAGTCATCGAAGCCACAGCAATACTTGTAGGAATAATTGGTATATGGGGCTTCCAAATCGTCGATCTGATGACGAATGAAGACGATGAACGGAAGTGAATAGGTCGATGCCATTGAAGAGTACATACCCACTGCATGAGTAAGTCACCCAAGGCCTTTGGCGAGGAAGGATTAGTACCAATCTCTTTAAGTCTCTGCAGGCATTATGACGCGGTACTCTTGCAAGGAAGGCACGAGGAAACGTACCATTAGAAGACTTCGGTTAGCCTTGTATACACCCTCGATACTTCTGAACATCGTATCGAGCTCGGGAGGGGGGAGATTGGAACGAGACCATGCTGCAGCAACTTTCTATACAAGAAGAAGGGTAAAGTTAAAATGAAATGCAGGGAGACAGCACATCTTACCCTGATGATCCCGGTCAACTGCTCGACATAGTTCTTCTCTGTATCGACTAGATCTGTTAAAGGATTGCTTCTTTTAGGTTTTGACTCTGGATAAGATGGCGAAACGGGCGTCGTTGGGCTTGTGGGCGTTGAAGGAGCGGAAAGACCTGGTGGGAAAGCGGCAGATGAGCAGGGAAGGCGGTGAAGGCCAGTTAAAGGCAGAGAAAGCACACCTGGATCTGAAGCAGAGACGGTGAAAGCGTGACTCTGATGATGCGATGAGCCGGCTGGAGGGTCGAGCGGTAATTTTGGCGGAGGAGGCGGAACGAAGGCGGAATTTGAGTGGGCTGTAGGCGGGGGCGGCGGGAGGTCCCTTGCAGCAGAATCAAAGGCGACTGCGGTCATGAAAGCGGGAGACAAGAAGAAGAAAGGGAGAGCGAGACCAAAGGCTCGAATGAAGGAGGCACTCAGATCGTGGACAAGAGTCGAGGCAAGGAAGAGAAGGCACGTGCCAATCTTACCGTCACTGTTTGTGGCAGCCATCATGGACGACGACCGTTCCGTCTTCAACAGCCCCATCCTTTACAGCGCCCTTTCTTCCTCCAGTTCACGGCACCTCATACAGCCTGACATCGACGCCGGCCTTCTTACTCTCTCGGACTACAAGACCCTTCAAAATTACTTTAATAAGAAACCCATATCCGCGCCTAATGTCGTCAGTATCTCGTGTTGAATACTGTATCTGTCATTCACTCATTCCTTTTCAGTGGTCGGTAGCAATTGGCGTTCTCGCCATTCAAACCATTCGTCTCTTTGACCGCCAGGCTACTCCCTTCTGGCGTAAACCATGGACTTTCGCGGTCGTGACGGGAGCAAGCGCCGCTCCCTTGATTTACTTCCGCAAAGTTGATCTCGACATGCAGAATGATGTCTTACAACGTCTTGAGAACCCGGAGGGCGTCAAGCAAACGTATATCAATGCTAAAGCGCGTTTCGCTCACGCTGCAGCACCTAATTTCGAACCTCATCCTGATGAACCTCCACCAGGTATTTCTTTCTCTGATTTAGTCCTTGTATGCGTCTCAACGTCATTGTTGTAGCCCTTGGACATCGCCCCATGCCTTTAGCCTCATCTACACCTTCGCCAGCCCCCACAACGGCATCCAGCCGTTGGGAACAAATTCGGGCTGCTAACGCGCGAAATCCGGGTATGTCTTCCTGGGACACCCTCCGGCAAAACCATGAGCGTGTCAGCATCAAACGTACACAATCCGGTGGTTCATCTAACCCTGACGAGTTTACCCGTGACGACCAAGCCACAGAACAAGCGCGTTTCGATGCATTACTAGAACAGGAGAGAAATTTCGGGCAAAATGTAAATGAATTCCAGAAGAAAAAGTAGTCCATATCCAGCACAAGTTGTAAAATACATGTACAGTAGAAACATATTGAGTACAAGCGAATACGGACCTCGGGGTAATAAAAGTATATAATACATTGGTTGTCTAACCGACATAAGAAGGGTTCGTGGGTACAGAACAATGCGCACCATCGTGATCGCTTGTTGTACTGGGTGACCATCCAGAACCAGAGCCACGACTCGGTGGCAGCTGAGGTGGGGTAATCCCCTCGTATTGGGGACTGACTGGCAACGGAGCGACAGTCGAGCGTTCCTCAGATCCTGTTCGTGATTCGTCTTTCTGCCACAACGTCTGAGAAGAGAATGGGTACAACGGGACTCCAACCTCCAGCGGTTGCTTCTGCGCCGTCATTCGCACTATTTCTCTCATAAGCCCTTGGAGCAGGCGTTCTTGTCGAGCTAATGGAATGACCGAAGTTAGTCATCCGGGGGCCACATGATGTCAGGGATCACTCACTTCCTATGGGAGATCTCTGCCCATAAGCAAGCATCGCAAATCTACAATCTAGTTGATGGCTGTTTCAAGACCTGACCCTATTGACTTCTCACCTGAGCACGTTGATTTCACCCCACACACTAGATTCCCTTTGAGTATCTCCAATCTCGATGAAATATTTACATAGTTGGACCTGAACGACGGCTGCCAGGTACCAGCATATCTAATGAACAGGTAAGTATAAGCTGGTGTTTACCGAAACGAAAACATACAGTTACAAAGGGGTGCAGCCTTGTGATGTCCAGGGATGTTGCAGAGAGCATATAGTATGCGCCTAAGATCTGTCGCGCCGAGTTGACACACCGCGCAGTTGAGACGCTTCGCCCGTCGCTGAAGTCCATATAGGGATTGTGGAGGGTTATCGTAGCTCTGTGAAGACTGTTTTAGCATCGTCGGCATTCCTGCGACATGTTTCACAAAACTTACGCATGAGGGATTATATGGACCATATACAGATCAGTGTCCAGTGAGCCGCCCTCGGGAGCGTCGGTCACTCCGGAATTATTCTTAAAAATATGTGGCAGGCTTTCTAGGAACTCGCTGGAGACAAGCTTGTCAAGCGCTTCAAACCCTGGAAGGAAGAAGGGGTTTTGGTTTTTGCTGGGGGCTGTTGCCGCTCGTAGACTCCCCCGTACATTATAATCAGTGACGCGGCCAAATAGCATCACCGCCTTGATCAGCAGTAAGAAGCTATCTGTGTATTGCGGAGGATGTCGTGTGAAGATGTCTGGAGTCGATAGATCCTGAGGGTTGCTCGGGATGGCGGCCTAGATTTTATTAGCATCAATATTCGGTGCATGTTAAACCGGCGCAAGGACCTGCCTCGGATTCGAAGTCTTCATTACGCAATGGCAACTCCGTGCCCAAATCTCGTTCGTCGACAGCGTGTATCCATCCGCCAACGGACGCTATTCGATCAAACATGATTGTCATCCACCAGGTCCTGCGACGAGACTCCAAGTCTCGAAGATCTTTGGGCGGGGCAAGGTAAGCACCGGGGGAGTTATTTCCATGTGTCGAGAAGGTCCCAGGATAGTTCAACCGTAATGGAACAGCGACTCTTGTCTGAAACCCGGCGAATATCCACACTTCTACCCATCGCCCTTCCTGATAGAAGTACCATGATAGTAAAATGCAAGCTTGCATGACTGAGAATATATCTTCGCCGCTCGCCATTGTTTTGTCGATGTACGATCGGGTCTTGCCAGCATGGAATTCTGCGAATGAGTCTCGGCGAACGCCATCTGGCATAATTACTACATTTTGAGGAGACCAGCGAGACGCCACAGTGCACTATAAATATTCGTCAATACCAAACTCATGCTCAGGGCAGTTACTCAACTATTGCGTGGAGGATAGCAGAATGAGGAAACGCCGGGTCCCGAGGCGACAAGAGCATCGAATTCAGAAATGAAGGACGGTGTAACACCCGTGCGCCACAAGGATCACACCGAAAAAATACATCTATGCTAGAAGGAACCCGTCAATCACTGAGACAAAACCAGGCAACAAATGCGTACTAGTGATTAAGGGTCGCAGGATCTGGGAGATCAGGGTTCCAGCCTGTGAACAACAGTTCCATGAATGGATCTGTAGGTAATTTTGAAGCGACGGGGAGTAATTGTGGGCTCCCGCTTTCACTCCTGAAGCGAGATTCAGGACTATCGGTGGAAATTAAGTTCATTAGGGAGGCGTGAGGTAAAGAAATGCCGCCTCCATTTGAAAGCGGTCTCGGTATGTCGGTGGGAGTGGTATTAAGCAGAGACGATTGGGTGGGAGAAATGGAACGAGGGGCGGTCTGTTGTTCGTATAGTTTGGTCTTCAATTGTGCTACGCGAGATGTGATGACGTGAGCAAACTTTGAATATGAGAAGACGTACAAATCTGGTTTTCCAGCTGCCTGATCCTTTCCAAGGGATCTGTGTCGGGAGCCAGTGTCAAGCCTTCGACAGGATCGTACGAGCATTGAGGTTCGCTGGGATGTCTGTGGACAATAATAAGGGCCAATGATCACTAAACGCGCTATATGAACGTACGCGTATCCCACGGGCGCCGGGACGCTCACGAGTGACTGCCATTGCCTGACATAGCGCGTGAGTGGAAGCACAGGCCGTTAGTTCGGAGATTATCACTTACTTGACGCATGTGCCGCAATGAGGACGAGCAGCGTCACATTTCTGAACAAAAACTGAGCTGTCGAGTCGATTCGAGCAAGAGAATTAGCAGGTTACATACAAGCTTTCTCTTACGACAGGAGCGGCAAGCCTAGCACACGCGATAAGCACAATCTGCAGCAGCAACAATCAGAGGAAGCCTGCCTGGTTTCTGCGGAGAGCTGGTCGAGTTGAGGATGAAGGGGCGGCTTTGGGCATCGACTGTGCTGTTGGTATCGAATAGAGACAGAGATAAACAGACGAGGATGTAATTAGATGTCGCTCAACGGTTGCCAGGTAGTATGTCGGGGTCGTCAAGCGAACGGGAATGAGATAGGGAAGACAAGACTGGCGGTAGATAATTCAGACAAGAGAGGCTATGTCACTCTTATTCTGGAGAGCAGCCGGCCAATATATAACTCACCCGCCGGCGGTGCACGTGGCTATTATTATTTCTACCATGTCGAATTCTGGGTTGTTTTCGATTTCTAGTTTTCAATTTGGTAATTTTTACTGATCATCTTCTGCACAGCGCACATCGATGATCTATCCCCCCAGACCAGCAGGTCCGTCCTGTGTCTCCATATTATCTCCATCAGCCGCCGGTCTGTGGGAACGGGGATACACCAACTCATGTGTTCATCGTTGATCGTATTCAAGTCTGTGATTAATCCCGTACTCGGAATCAAGTTCTCGAATCTCTTTCGCCGTGTGCATCGTTTTGCCGCGATGAGAGGATCAACACCATCCTTTGTACTTTTCACCCAAGAGCGCTGCTCATAATATATTCCTTATCATGATGAAATCATATCCACGATGTCTGATGGATCGCAACGTTGGGTGGAGATACAGGTTGAAAACAGAAAATTCTACGCTTTCCCATACTAGCAGTATTGCCAAACGACAACGCAATCGGATCAAGATCTTCAGAAGACCCTAACTTCATCCGGGTAAGAAGCGAATGAGAGAGCTGCTTACAGTATCGTTGCTACCACTTGCCGGGTGTGGGCGAGGTGCCGAAATTCAGTCAAGTAGATGCCTAGCATCAGAGAAGGATCTAACGCATATACTCCGCGACGGAAACGGGTGAACGCACCTTGCCAAGTTCCAAGGTTCAGCTGACCGTTGGTAATTGGTATGGAGACAGTAGGCCCAACTATGGCGGCTTTCGTATGAGATACGCTGTCCAGGTGACAGTTGAGAAGGCTACACGGTATGCACAGATGATGAGCTACTCACGAATCACTAAGAGTATCTCAGTCGATTCTGTCAGTCTCTGCATGACAAGATTTCCACTGACTCAGGACCTTCATCTGTGTGCAACCAGTTGAGACTCTCAGGAACGATATGATCCAAAGCCATGTCCATATCTGAGACGGAGGTGCTTAGCAAAACGTTATCTTGGTGATAAAAATCAGGTATCGCACCTCTCCTTACATCTGTGCAGAAACTAAGTCAGAATAATCAGCAGCATGAAACGTTTCTTACCCTTATCCCAATTCTCATTTAGAGTCAAAGCACAAGACGTGTGATTTCTACACATATACCATAATTGAGTACATGTTTTTTAGAAACCGGCGGGCTCACACGAAGAGAAATAGCATTCCGACCTGCGGCGAGGTGAACTTACTGATTGGAAAACTGATCAAGGTTTACGATAATAGCTCACCGAAATTCCTTCCAGTCCTTCTTTGATGTTTGACCGAACCTCGTCAGTTATCAGATGGCAGCCCTTGGAGCGACGCGATAACGTGAATGTCTTTTGCCAGCCCATGATGTTTTTGGATCGTGGTAGCAAGTTATTTAAAGTGAGGGTGATTTCAAATTACTGTGACACGTGCTTTTGCTGAGAAAAACAAATTGAATTTGGTCGTCGGAATTCTTGGTTAATCTCTGCTACTTGCCTCTAATTTGCTGGATGCAGCGGCTGCCCTCACTTTTCAAACGAGCTTGGCGGTATCCTCTCCTTAGACGTCATCACTCTTTTCCTCCCAGGCCGACCTCCAATTGGACCGCATCCTCTAGCAGCTTCCGCATTCGGCAAGCCTCTACGTCTGCAACCACCACTGCACGCTCGGCATCTATGTCTACTCCTTCAGAAAGTTTCGGAAACTTTGATCTTGTCAAAAGAGTCAAGCTTGATTTCACGGATGTTGTTGTTTCGAAATGGAGGAGCCGTGTGACGGGTCTGAGCGTTGTTCATCTAGATTACACAGGTAGTGTTTCTTGCAGCTCTTCAGGGTGTTTCTCTCATTCTTTCATGGATAGCCCCCATCGTCAATGGTTATTTTGTTGTCGGCACCGAAAGTACGTATCAGAGATTACTGCATATGTTCGTCCCGCTCAATAGAAATGTGACTCAGTATTTGATGATTCTGGTTGCCCCCATACTCTGGAACAGTACGTCGTTCTTGATGTTTATCACTGATTGTTATTAAACCTCTGTAGTCTTGTTTTTATGGGGTCAGAGAAATATCCGTACAAGGGTATCATCGATCATTTGGCTAATCGCGGCTTCTCAAACGGGACTAACGCCTGGACGGACACGGATCACACTGCCTATACAGTCTCTACTGCCGGAGAACAGGGATTCCTGCAATTGTTACCTATCTATGTCGATCATATCCTGTATCCCACAATAACACAAGCTGGGTGAGTACTTCCTATATATACCGCGCTTCTGGCGTGTCGCTGAATAATCTGCAGTTTTGTAACAGAAGTGGGTCTCAGTTTCTGTACTTGTAACATGGAGGCTCATAGAATTAGGTGCATCATATCGATCCAAGCGGACAGGATTCAGGTGTGGTATACAGTGAGATGCAGGGCCGAGAAAATACTTCGGGAGATCTTATGGCTCTTCGGTACGGTGGTCTATTATAAGCCTTCATTTCATTTCTCATCGTTCTGGACAGGGCACAACGGCTTTTGGATCCACCAGGTTGCGCCTATCGCAGCGAAACAGGCGGTCTTATGGAAGCCCTACGAGTACTCTCTGTCGAGCAAAGTATGTTGTTCGCGATTGCAATTACTTTCGGTTTAACATTGATCTAGTAAGGAAATATCATGGCACGTATTATGTCCCCCACAACTTGACCCTCATTGTGGGAGGTAAACTTTCCAGTGGCACCTCGTCACTGTTGGATGTGGTACAAAACAAAGTGGAACCTGTTCTCATCTCGCATGGACAAAACAAGGGACCTCGGCCCCCAGGTTGGAAACGGTCCTTTGTTGAAACAGCCAGTGCTGCTAGACCCCCGATTGCTGAAACCATCAAGGAAACAATAGATTTCCCCGAGCAAGATGAAAGTTGGTGCATATCTCCATTTTGATGGCGCTCTTTTTCAATTGTCCTACAGGTGTTGGCGAAGTTACCATTACTTTCCTAGGCCCTGCTACAAATGACTTTCTAGGACGGAAGGTATTTCTCGTAATTCAAGTTACTTCCGTCTCTTTATTTATATGAATTACAGGCTGTTGATATTTTGGCCACATACCTTACCTCTTCTGCAGTAGCGCCTCTCAACAAGGAATTTGTTGAGATAGAATCACCCCTATGGTCGGTGGTTTCTCTCTTCCTTAAATCAAAATGTTCTCACTTGTCTTATCTTAGCACGTACATCTACTTCTCCGAGGACATTAGAGCTACCCGCGTCTACCTCCCTATATACATTGGTTCCATTCCAGCAGAGCATCTGGACACTTTCGATCAAAAGCTGAAAACTACTCTTCAACGTATCGCCGATGAAGGGATAGACATGGAACGTATGGCTATGGTCATCAATCGTGATGAGCGTCAGGTTTCATGATTTATCGGCCTCCTTACATCCTTGTGGCTCACCTTTACGTTCATCTAGCTGCGCAGTAAGCTAGAATCGGCTAAAGGCGATACTTTCTCCACCAACATCATCACGGACTTCTTATATGGTGCCGAGGATGGATCGGAGCTGAAGGACTCTATGGACGAAATCAACCAATATAACGAGATAAGATCATTCTCAAGTAAACAATGGACGGATCTTCTGAAAAAGTAAGGTTCCCCCCAGTCAGTTATACTTAATCCTTCATTCATTCTTTCAGATATTTTATTGATCCAGCATCCGTCATTGTTATTGGTAAACCTTCTGCTGCCTTGGCTAAGAAGTTGGAGGAAGATGAGAAGGCTCGCGTTGCTGCTCAGGTCGAAAAACTTGGCCCGGAAGGTCTCAAGAAGGCGGCGAAGGAACTTGAAGCTGCTAAAGCAGAACATGATCTCCCGATTCCTACTGAGGTGCTGACAAAGTTCCCAATACCCGATGTCAAGAGCATATCCTGGATACCAGTCCAGAGTCTCCAAGAACCGGGTAAAGGTCGAAATTCTGCTCCAGGACGAGTGGGGACCTCACTGTCCCAACACGTACATAGTGATGGTTCTGCCCTACCCTTCTTTGTACAATACGACCATGTCGAGGTGAGCGTTTTCTCGCTCTACTCCTAATGGTTATTGAGAAAATTTGTAGTCAGATTTCGTGACTGTTCACGGGTATTTCTCCCTCGCAAAGGTTCCCCATCACCTGCGACCGTATGTCAGAGAGCTCTTCCCCTGCTACGGAATTAACGATCCTTTTGTATAGACACATATCAACCTATCTTTCGGCGTTCTTTGCATTGCCTGTACAAAGACAATCTGGTGAATGGTTGAGCCATGAAGAGGTTATCAACAAACTTGATGATGAAACTGTATCATATGAGGTGGGACTCGGGGTGTCAAACGCATTCGCTGAAACTCTTCGTGTCAGCATCAAAGTCGAAGTATCTGGATATGAAGTTGCTGTCGCTTGGCTGAGAGACCTTGTGTATGGCGCTCGCTTTGACAAAGAGCGGTAGGTGGTGGTCTCTCGCTATCCTTTCTCTACCCTCTGAACCAATTTCCTATCCGCCAGGCTCCAAGTAACTGTTGCCAAAATTCAACAATCCCTCCCTGAGCTCAAACGCGATGGCAACACGGTCCTGGGCTCTCTGTGGGCAGATCTCCTCTACAATGAAAGCTCGACGTCCCGAGCGGGAGGAGTTCTTCCTCAGATCGATTTCATTCCCAAGCTCGTCAAACAGCTACAGGAGGAGCCAGACAAAGTAGTCGCGAATTTCGAGGAGATCCGGAAGCACAGTAAGCGGCTTTCAAAATATAAAGAATATTTCTTAGTGTTTTGCTCTAGTGACTGATCCTTCCGGCATGCGATTCTCGGTTACAGGGGACGTTATGAAACTACCACAACCAAGGAGTGTCTGGCCCAAGTATTTCCACTCCGTTCCGGTACGTCTACAGTTGAAATGTGAACTTCCCGGCTAACAGGAGTGTCAAAAGGACGTGCCTCTAGCACCCGTTCCTTTAGTGTCTGATAGGCTCAGTACTGTTGGCGAAAATCCTGTTAAGAAGGTTTACCTTTCGTCCAATATCCTTCGAAATTCTCTAAATGCTTACTCCTAGGCGATTGTCATGAGCCTCCCTACGATAGGGAGTTCATACGTTACTCACACTGCCAAGTGTCTCAAAGGTTTCCAGCAACCTGAGTATCCCGCTATCCGTGTCGCACTTGAAGTTCTCAACGCCACTGAGAGTTATCTCTGGGTTCGTGCTTTCTCCTAACAACAGAAACAACGTGTAATGACTGTATTGCTTCATAGCGGTATATCAGAGGTTCAGGCCTTGCATACGGCGCGTACGTATCAATAGACCTTGAAGCTGGGCTCTTAAGCTTCTCGTTGTACCGGGCAAGTTCGCCTCTAGAATGTAATTGACGCTTTTACTGACTCGTGATCCTAGAGCTCTAACAGCATAGGAGCTTTCAGGGAAGCTTCAAATGTCTTGAAAGGACTAGTTGACGGAAGCGTATGTCGTCCTTCCAGATTACCTTGGGAAATTTGACGAGCTGGCGACTCTAGGTTCCCTTCGATCCAACAACACTCGATGCCGCCAAGAGCAGTATTGTGTATGGTATTACCAAGAGCGTTTCTACGGCAAGTCGCGCAGTAAGTAGGCAGTTATGTAAGTGTAATCCTCTCTGACATCTTAACAGGCAAGTGTTTCTTTCACGAACCAAGCTCTAAAGGGCCTCGCACAAAACTACCAAGTTGAATTACTTGACAAGCTACAAGCTGTCACCCAGGAGGATGTCTTGGCTACATTGCGGACGCATTTCCTACCTCTTTTTGATCCGTCATCATCTGTAGCCGTCGTAGTAACGTCTCCTGCTAAAGCAAGCGAGATTGCTGACGGATTAAAAGACGCTGGCTTTGATGTGGAGAGCCGGCAGCTGGAAATTGACCCGGATGAATATAGTGGTAGCGGTAGCGAATGTGATAGTGATTGCGATAGCGACCATGACCATAGTGACTAGTTTATTGTAAGTAGCTGTAGTGCATACATTACATTACTCCCTTGATAACTGCTCTTGCGGCTGCACTTCATTGGTACCAATGACTTGGATCATCTTTTCATCCGCCTCTCCTGGCTTCAGTTCAACATTTCGGAGGAAATCATTCTGAACCAGAAACCGGATAGCTTGGGAAAGATTGGAGACAGTCACGCGTATCTCAGGAAGAAGAAGCTGGATAGATGCTGAGCTAGAATGACGACAGAAAAGCTTAAACACGCACGTTTCGTAAAAGGGTTGGCTGGGTGGGAACGGGCGGCTGCAGAGGTCTCTTTGGCGGAGGTCTACTTATTGGTGCAATGACCTTGGACGGCAAGGACGGAGGATCATCTACCACAGGACTGGAGGTCACCTTTGATGATAAAACCTCCGGCTCGCCATTATCGCTGCTATCGGTATCCGAGGAGCTGGAATCAGGTTCCGCGGGAGGCTGAGCTGGTGTAGGGTGGGCGCCTCCTCGCCCACGCCAGCCGGAATCAGCAGTACCTCTAACGTGACCACGTCCCCTTTGGCGACCACGGTTCGGTACCCGAGGTTCATTACCCACTGTCCTCTGCCGTTTTCTGCTAAAGAGGCCGAGCTCCTCGACGGACAACTGGCCTCGCGCTATAGCCTCCTCTTGCTTCCGCTTCTTCTCTTGTACTCTGTTATCACTAGGCCAACGTTTCCTACGCTCTGCAAGCCATGAGTCGAGAACTTCGGGGGAATCCAGGACAAGGGTTGTTCCTTGTATGGCCACGGGCTTGCTGGACAGAATTTATTAGGCTTAGAACACGGTGCGAAGGTTCGACGTACCCTTTGAGACTAGGGTCCGCATCCCAGTTGTCGGTTTTCTTCTGCTTGTCCCATCCAGGAGGGAAGATTAGGTGCCGGTCCATCATGTGAGTCTCGACGCTTTTTTGAGAGCCTGTAAACGTGCAATTTTTATATGTGCAACGGCTGTTCCCTGCCTGGTACCAAGATGAGGCCCCTGCATTCATCGGACGAGATCTGGAAGACGAAGAAGCTGCAGTGTAGGTGCTAGAGATAGCGTATCCTTGGGACGTAGTCGCGTACGCCTGAGCATAGTGACTGGAGTAAGCCTGGCCGTATGTATCTGAAAGGCTGGATTTTATAGCAGCAGCAATATTGTAGGACGAGTTGTTGGCCATTTCAAAAATAGCAATTGGCGATTACATCATATTCGCGATGCGCAAGAAATTTTTGTACAGACCACGTGTGAGTAAATAACACGTACACGACCCCCCCAGTAAGTAGCTCAAACGTATGATAGTCATGTATACATACTTTTAAAGTGTCTGTCAACAAGCACGAAAGCAGTACGATATAATCAGCCATCAACGGTAAATATTGGCTAGGGAGCAGGGCGGAAAGTATGTAACGGCATTTTGACAGCAAGGAGGGAGACAGTCCGAGACGAGGAGAGTTGGCGGGTCGGCGGTTCAAGATGATAGGAAGGCGGAACATATGAACAGAGGGGGGAAGACTTAGACTACTGTAAAATGGACAAAAGGTGAAGACGACGTTGGTGAGATCCCAAGTATCGTCAATGCTAGAAAGCTGATTTTCCAGCAATTGGCGCATTCAATGCGAGTAAGGAAAAGGGATCAGAACTAATCCTGCAATTCCTGCGGCTGCTCCCGTCCTACCCTTCTCTCCTTTTCGCTCTCCAGCTGGTTGTACAACAAGAACAGAGCCTTCTCGTTCGCTTCGGGGGTACCGACGATGGTGAACATTCTTTCACCGGTTTCATCGTGGGGAGCTTTGGCAATAGAAATTTTGGAACCGGATAGGCGTCTGATCTCTGTAATCTTCGTTCCGCTCCGACCAATGATACAACCGACCATGTCAGAGGGAATGGAGATATTCTGGGTACGCAGATTGGCGGGTGCAACTGACATTGGTGTTGCCCCCATGCTGGGAGAGGTGGGCGGCGATAAATGACCACGTATGTCGCCATTAGAGCGGCGGGAGCTGCTGGAGTAGCCGTTCGTAGATCGTCGGTTCCCAGAACGCTCCTCGCTAGTTCCGGGATGGTACAACACCGTGCCCATACCTCGCTCGTAGTCTTCCAAGAGACACTTGCCAATCTCCTCAATGGCATGCCCAATGGAGTCTGGAGAGCCCTGAACCTCCACAATACGTTCGGTTGACTGCGGAAGCATATCTTTCGAGGCAATCATACGCGCACCAGAGCCGTCTTGGATGGCCTTGATTTTGAGCCCACTGCGTCCAATAATGGTACCCATGAGATTGTGCGAGATAAGGAGACGGATGGAAGTGTGAGAGGTGGAAGGCGAGGCAGGAATGGGAGACGAGGGACTCGAGGCCACGAGCTGCGAGATGATGAGAGTGTATGCCTAGGGCCACTGTCAAAGAAAATCGCCGAATTATTTGATAAAAAAATACGTACCCTTGCTACGGCCTCGACAAGACCCGTAACTGTGAGCACCCGCTCGTGTACACCAGGGATGACCTTGCTGACGCCAGCCTTGACACCGGTCTGGTCTCGCAAGTCGGCGACGTTTTTACCAGCCTTTCCAATAATGACACCTGCGTCCTTGGTGCTAACGAGGGCGCGCAGGGTGAGAATATCATGACTGGAAGGCGAAGCAGAGCGCGATTGCGGTGGCGAAGCTGTAAAATTAAACCGGAAAACAAAATAAGTGTCGTCGACGGGAACGAGGAAGAAAAAAAGGGACGAACCCGAATCACGTCTTTCGGAAGAGTCGGAAGGCATGGAAAAGGGCGGGGTAAGAGGAAGAAGGGAAAAGGGAGAAAAGGGCAGGAGGGTGGACGGGAGAGAGAAAGGGCGATGATGACTGAACTGTGAAAAAGTGTTTTTTCGGCTCTGCGCGTTTGCGCGCCTTTTGGCTGCCGATTTGAATTACAGCTGGTCCAGCCTCTTCTTACTCATTCATTCCCATACGCCATTTACGCTTACTTATTCTTACTTTTCTCTCGGTACTTTCAGAAAGCAGTCATATAATAGAGAAGGGCGCCAAACGTCGTATACGCAGCACTGCAGTAACATAGTATGGACATTCACATAACATCATAGTAGTATAGCAGCTAGTAGCCGAGCTGGGTAAGCTTCTCGAAAGACGACGATTTGTCAAGGGTGGCCTTTTGGCGAAGCTTGATAGCAGCAAGCTAGCAAGAAAATCAATATCAACAATTCTTTGGCTGGCTTACACACATACCTTGCGTTCATGGAATGCCTGGGCCTTGATTTTCCTCTTCTCCTCCAAACGGTCCACGACGTCCTTGTAACCCCAGCCGACCTCGTGAGACAGACGCTATTGCAAACCAATAAGTACACTGAGAGCCCAACTACCATAAACCAACATACCTTGACTGTGCAGTACTTGCGACCAGGCTTCAACCTCAACACCCTCAAGGCCTCCGGAACAACCATCCGCTTCTTGCGGTCATATGGAGGAGGAACACCCTCATAGAGCTTCAGGCGCTCCAAGGCAGCAGCACCCCGGGCGCTCTTGTGAGGAGTCATTCCTCGGATGGCCCGGTAGAGAATCTTCGAGGGCGCACGGTGATGGAAGGGGCCGGATTTTTTGGGATTAACAATGTGGCGTTTGTGGAGGAAGTTGTGGTATCGGAGCTGATGAAAACAGTATTTACACCAAGGAATCGCGTCAAATGTTGTTAGAGTCATACCTTGTTGCGGAAAAAGCTGCCAGAGATGTTGATCTCCTCGCACCTAACCACGACAATTTTCTGGCCACTAAGGATCTGCTTGGAGATGATCGAGGCCAGTCGACCAAGGAGGTGACCCTTGCCATCAATTACGATGGGTGTCGAAGAGAAAGTGGCCATCGCGAAGTCTGCGAAATCGAGGTCAATATTCACGGTTTTTCCTGGCAAAAAAGCGGGGCGGAAAAGGAACAGACCTAGAATGTCGAGGGAACAAAATTCAGCAATGCAAAAGATATATACAGACCAGATTTACTTACCTTGAGGAGTTGAGCGGTGTAATTCGATTGCGGCGTACAAGGGAGGAAGCCACTGGCTCCGATCCAAACCTTGTTTCCAACTGCATAGCTGCCGGCATCTACCGTTTACTCGAACCAGACTCGTACGCTTATGTAACACTCTTGCATTAGTCATCAGTATCTACCCCTGTCTACCTCCAAAATAGTGGCGGAGGCTGCCCCGGTATTTGCCTCTAAAATCAACAACGAATAAATGCCCAGAGTCTGGGTACTTCTCCTGCATATCATTCACATCTCCATTTGACTTGCAATGCGCTGTGGTGACATACAGCTGGTCGTTATTGGGCCCTACCTTTATTCAGAACCAAATCAGGTTAGTTGCGACTACAACTTACCTCCAAAACAACAGGCAGTTACACGCCACACAGTAGGGAAAAAGATCTCAACGTCAATGTTTCCTTCGCGGGTGAACCTAACAATTCGTGATCCCTCCCATCTGTGAAGAAAGGGGTTTACATGATAATAGCTCGTTAGAGATGTCCATCTTACCGAGCGCTCCAGATACATCCCTCTTCATCGATGCATAGCCCGTCACAAAATCCGGGAAGGTTGAATTTGTTGGCGTCGATAAAGACGCGACGATTCGACAAGTTGCCGTCGTCATAATCGTATGCGTAAATTATGTTTCGCCTTGTGTCCGTAAAGTAGCTTATTCCTGGAGTCAGAGAATTACTTTCGCCAAGGACACTACGCACGTACAACGTCTCTTCGTCTAAACTCCAACCCAAACCATTTGAATCCTTAGAGGATATGTTTGATGGTGTCAGTGACAGTACATCATAGCAAGGACGCACCGTAAACGGTCCTTCATCGACTACCTTGACGCTACGATCATTCGGATCGTATCTATACAACATCCCGGGAACGTCGTGTTCTTCAGAATACACCGTTCCAGCAAAGAAGCGACCCTTGCTGTCGCAAGCTCCGTCGTTGAAGCGAGTGTGCGGTTGTTGATCGGCGGGTATCGGCTTACAGAGATAGTTCAGGGTGGACCCATCGAGTAGAGCAAAGCCTTGAGACGCTGCGCAGGCCAACTAGAACTCAAGTCAAAAACGCCGCAGGCTGGGAACAAGGAGGGGAACAGACGCCGGTACTACGCAGAGCGAGACAAGTGATAGAATCTTCATATTGATCTACTGTGAGTTGGTTGTCTTGTGTGTTGAAATGATAGACCTGCAAGTATGTAGCATTAGAGCGATAGCAAGCGCTGTTTCTATCCCAAGATTAACCTTCTTCTCCTGGATGTCAACGAAATGTAAGACCCCGTTTCTGGGATCATAGATAGGACCTATGGTAGTTTCAGCGTGAGCGGCCCGGGCGGTGAAGGAACCGTATGGTGCAAATGGCACACCTTCTCCCAGGGTGCATCCCACCTTCAAGAGAGGACGGTCAACGATAATCTGAGATGTGCTCATCGATGAAAGGGTGGGCAAAAGACGTCTTGGTGGTTAATCGAGCAAGTGAGGCAAGACAAGCAAATATGGACATCAGACTCCTCTGTCTGCGAAGATCATGAGTGCTCCTGAATCAGAAATACTTACGTGTTCCGCATGGTATTCCGGCTCTCAAAACCGAAGGGCTTGAAACTTATGACCAAAGTATTCGACCTCGTAAATGTCGGGAAAAGTTTACTAATCAGATACTGGTTGTCATTGTGTTGGGGAGCATTACAAAGGTAAATATCCTTTTCAGTGAGCTACAAAACGGGTTAGAACTACAATACTATTCTACGCAAAAGTAAACGTACCCTCTGGAGTCTCAGAAATGTATTTGATGACTGCGGAACACAAAGAATAAGCGGCAGCTAGTGTATGTGCGAAATCAACTTACCCTGCTCAACTGTTTCCATCTCATCAGCTGCTTCATCTGGTATTTCTATCGAGAATTCCTAAACTGATGCTCGATATCAAAGCACACGAGAAATATAACTCCATCGTACCTCTTCCACTGCCATGACCACCTCAACGGCATCCAAGCTGTCAAGACCAAGATTTTTGAACGAAGCGCTGGGTCCCAGCTAGTAGCACCAATTAGCTGAAAGTAAAACGCGCCGCCGAGTGGACGCATACCTGCTCAGCCTTGACCTTCTCAAAACCTTTGAAAACACTCAAAACGCGGTTCTCAATAGCCTCCTTGGTGAGACCGGACCCGGCGGAATACCATCTGGCGGGAAGCTGGCGCTGGGAGTAATAGACGTTCAAGAATGGACGAGAGAGAGTTGCGGGCCTGGCGGCAAGGCGAAGGAAAGACATGACTCGTTAGTGAGATAGACAAACTTGAGGAAGAGACCGGACAGTTTGATTGGCCAGAATGTTAGGTCCAGACACCTTCGGACTTTGAACAAAACAGAAAAATTATGATTGGACAACCACCGTTATTCAACTTTTACCGTCATGGATGAGCTCGAACGCAGTGCCTTTTCTTGGTATTACTTTTATGGTTTTACAATGCTATTGGAACGTAGATTGCTTGTAGTGTGGTCTTTTCTTTCTTATTTTCTTCATCAGTCCCTCAATAATTACGTAATAAATATACAATTTCTCTTGGTCACGACAACTACCCAGCTTGGCCATTGACGAGTATGAAGCATGGCGTCGCGTTTCGCAAGTTCTCGAGAACGACGTCGCACAGAAATTTAATGCTGAGGTATGCTTAGATTCTTTCAAAGTGCACATCTTGCGAACCCTTCTTCAGGAATTTGGTCACGTCCCTCTTCGAGCACGAACAAATCAAAACAACGCTTCCGAAAGCGAAAGATGCAGCGCGACTGGCCGAGAAGGTGCGTCGCGTGCTTTATAAAGAAATGAATGAGCACTCAAAGCCTTTTTCAGATAATCACACTGGGCAAGAAGGGGAACAATGTCGCCCTCACCAAAGCCTCGGCATTCCTACTAAAGCAGGACTTAATACCCAAACTTTTCGGCACCTTTGCCCAGCGATACGCTGACCGACCGGGAGGCTATACACGGATACATAAATACGGAAACCGCCCTGGAGACAATGCACCCGTCGCAATATTAGAGCTAGTGGACAATCCCAGAGACCTTCGATGGGAAATAACGTCGCGCGCTATTGGATGGGAAATGCTGAAGGACAATCTCAGGCAAGAAGAGCCCTTGTTGCTCATTCAAAAGGGTGCCCCCGACGCGCAGAAGCTCATCCAGCATGAGCGAGGTTTAGACCAAGATCAACCAGGCGTGTTAAGACCAAAGACACGGTGGAATCTTCAGAAGGTTTTGCGGTACAAAGGTCAAGATGGGACGATCACACTTGGGCGAAAGGTTGAAGAATACTTTGTGAGTTTGCTTGTCATTCTTGATTACAATCACATCCTGAGTAATTGTACAGGATCACGTCCTAGCGTCGACCGTGGCTACCAAAGCCCTGGATGAAAACCGGATGATCAAAGCAGGCCAGATGCTTCCTGGAGAGACTCGGAATGCTCTTCATCTAGCGCGCGGTGATTTGGGCCATCAGAAAACCGCTCCAAATGAGCAACACATACTCAGTGTCAAAAACATGTTCAAAAAGCCTCCATCATAAGCTATTGCAATCATTATCCTGTATTTTTCTCCTTAATGCCCAAACGTAAAACATCAAATACTTTGCTTCATTCATTCGTTGGTACGTCCGTCAGGGTTGACTCGCCGCCTCCAGATCACCAGCGTCTACATACCCAGAGCTTCGACGACTGAAATTGTGTAGGCAATAGTTCAGTCTCGAGTGAGTGGTTATATCTCGATCCCGGGTACCTGAGGATGCTGAAACGAAGAAGCCCCAGATGAAGCGAAGTACAACGGAGAAAGTACTACTCGGATGATCAGATCCTGCCTGACTTACTGTTCGGACTTCCGTGGACACGCTCGGCTTGCAGCAATGTATGCTGAGTTGTGGTATTCTTTAGATTATAGTAGAATTAAAAGACATTTCTACACTGCTACTGGCTCAGAAACATCTGATAAGATTCATTGGGGTAAAACATCAACACTGACTCAGTCCTCGTTATACCCTGTTGAACCTCTGGGTATCCGGCACCTTTGTGGCAAGTGTTCGGCTTGTATTGCGGGTGGTCGGCATATGCAAACGGATCGCGATGTGCAAATTTCGACACAGTACGACTTTCTCTAGACCCACAAAAAAATTATTGTGCATTACTGAATACAATGTTGTTCAGTTGTCAGGGAAAAAACCCGAAACCAAAAATTAGCCAGAACGTGTTGCAGAGCAGAATTTTCACACCGAAGTTTGCACACGCTGTTGTGCTGACCACCCAGGGCCAAGTACCAATTCAAGCTGATTCCAATCGGCACGAGAAATACTATTGGGCGTCTGTAAAATTTTTAAAAACGGGTTGTAAGTTGTCAATATAGAGCGTTTAACACTAAAAAGCAGGCTTGAGAAAGCCAGTGATATAATGATAAACTGAGGCATTAACAATGACACTGCGACAGTAACTTCCACGATAGTCAAGAAAATACCATAATACAACTGAAAAATCATGATACCTGGAGAGTCGAAATGCATAGACTCTCTCGAGTCTCGGAGTCTCGAAAGTATCCATTTTCATTTCTTCATGTACATTTATTATTTTCTAGATACTATGTCAGTTCGGACTTTGTGCCTTTTTCACCTGACTTGAAAGTTTGAGTAATTCGGTAGATAAATAGCAAGGTGCGAATAGTTGCTTAGGAAGCGGATGATACGGAAGCGGGGGGGATCGAGATATAACCACTTACTACAAACTCGCAATAGTTTGGATTGCATTTAGTCTATTTGACTTATTATTATCATTTTCAGAAAGGCGTATGCTTATTCGGCATCTAAAGTGAATGGATTCTTGAATGGAGGTACCCTATGTGTATCCGAGCCTGTGTCTACCTCTAACAATGAAAGTCTACAGTATAAATCGGCCCGCCGAGTCTTGTGAAAAAGAAATATGAGAATCGAGATAAGTAAAGCGTGAACCTCTCAATTCACGCTGCTAAGGCAGTGCAACTTTTCAATAACATCTGCGATGTCTAGTACCTCCCGCGTGGTGTATCTCTTACCGAAACCCCAAAATCTGCGTCTAGTCGACTGTACGTCGACTTGTGCACTGCGTGTAGATTGCTCTTGCATCGGAGGTGCTGTCTTTGGTACGAATGGAGGCGAATCCTTGCAGGTGACCCCGAAGAACGAAGATGATTGAGCGGTACGGCGCTTGGGCACCCAGAAAGCCGAAGTAAATGTGACATGATCGTCGTCAAATGGGTCGGGAGAAATGTTTTTGGAGCGGTCCTTGGAATGAGGTGACATTCGCTCATTCTCGGGACTTGGATGCCGTGTCGAGATGTTGGAAGAGAGAAGATGTTGAATGGATGAAGGACAGGCGTCATCTCTAAGTATTAATTCTAAAGGTGGGTGCTCCCCAAAAAACTGTCATTCGCAATGTCAGTAAGATCATGCAACGTTATAAAGGCAGATTGACGTACTTGTACTATCTTTCTAGCACGCTTGACGTTAAATATCCTCCGCCGCGGCAATATCTCGCCCTTCTCTCCCAGTCTATCGTTATCCAGCTGGCGATCATCACTCGACTCTTCAGCGTGAGTGAACGAGTAGTACCTCTTCGATTGCTTGACTCGCCCAATGGAATCGTCTACTCGACAATCCGAACCTGCGGTAGAGTTGCAGTTGGATATCCTGGCACCTTCACTACGTTCCAGCCAATGGATGTAAGCCTGTATTGGAGGCTGTCGACTAGTCCTTGTGTTCTTGGACCGTTCAGTGATTGCGTGAGAAGGGACCGTAGAGGCCAAAGAGGATACAGAATCACCAGGCATTGTCGTGGAAGGATGCGAATCCGTGAGAGTGTCCTAGCAAGGCACTGAGGACTGAGCAGGGGGACGAAGTCGCTGAATGAAAGACGAGTAAAATGATGGTTGGAGAAAGTGTCCAGCAGAGTTACTCCTTGCGTTTCGATAAAAATTTATGGGAGTCGTTTATGCCATTACCACCATTCTAGTTGCTTAAAGTAGTCTTCAGTATTTTATGGGAACTGAATAGGTGTTTATTCCTAGAAGAATTTCCAGATGCCAGAGTGGTCCAGAAGCGAAGCAAGTGAATCGAAATTTTGAATAGACGCGTCAATGTGAAGTCTCAGGACGACTTTAGTTGCGGCCCGATAAGGATATTCTCGGCGAATCTGGGCACCAAAGAAGCGTTGAGTGAATGAATACGTTCAAAACATAGGAGCCTTCACGAATAGAGTAACTCAGGGGAACCACGGGACCCAAGATTTGCTCTAGCCAGAAGAAGAGAGGGTGAGAAAAGGAAGCGAGGAGGAAATCCTGGTAGACGAGCTCCAAGACGCGCGAGGGTGCATCCAGCACGACCAACAGGTGTGAGGACAAGTTCAACGGAGCTGACAGCAATGTGGCAAGCTGGTTGGTCCGGGACTGGCTTGAAGTGTCGTTTCAGGACTGGTTTTAGACATAGCAGTGAGTTTGGAGGTTGAAAAGTGTCATTTTATAGTATTTCTTAAGCCAAACATAAAGCATCCTTCGTCGGTACATCCGTCAGAATTGACTTGCAGCCTCCAGATCATCAGCGTTGAGCCAATCAGCCCCGGCATTCAACAACTCCTTCCATACGTTGTTGCGAACCAGTATTGGCCAGCCAGGAGTGTCCCAATACCTCGCAGTAATGCCACGCTCGTGTGCGTCATTCACAAATTGGGTGAGGTTGGCTAGTTGAGCTTCGGTAATGTTGCCAATACCATTCCATCCCACAGCCACCTCATAATCGGTACTTGCTACAGGGGAAATCGTATCATTCCACAACGTTTCGGTTGTAGAGAGTTCAGCCAGTGGCGCGTCGAAGAAGTAGTCGCGCGGGGACAACGCTAAAACGCCATCTAGAAGTGTGTTACCAGTCCCAATGACAGTGACTGCTGACTTGATCAACGTTCCATTCGAGAATGTCGTGAGATAACCTTTCCTCCGCAATGGTGCTAGAGTCTCCAGGATCACGGGAAGGGCTCTTACGATACTATTTAGCGATGTCTCTTGAAACCTGAGAGACAGCCTACTCTGTACCGTCGGTCTTGATGTCGATGAACAGCTGCAGAGCAGTGCTACTGGATGTGTCAAACACACCACTTGCGTGATGCCAACTGTTAGTGGATGGATTTCGAACCATGGTAGTGATATACAGACTTGGGGCGCCCTTCATTAACCTGAAAATCGGTGCTGGGATTCTGAAGATCCAGGATACTCAGCAAGGGCCGAATGTATAAAGAATCCAAGGTTCGGTCCTTGGTTAAGGCCGCTTCCTCGTGTCCGACCTATTGTCAGCGCGCTGAGCAATACGCTTCATGGTGGATTGGATAAGACTCACATAAAGTGTCTTGTTTACGAGCCAAACGTCGGCCTCCACGCTGGCGACACCTAGCGAGAGCGCGGTCAAGAGAGGGACGTCTCGCCAATCTACATATTCAGGTTGTCGATGCCAATGATGAAATAACTGGACAGGATTCGTACAGTCATTGTGGGAGTGAATTGCCTTGGGAATGATGCCCTGTGTAAATTGGGTAGGATACTGAAGGAGCGTTGAGTTGGAAGATTGCAGAAACGCAATCTGGTCGTTAACTCCAGCTCGCGGAGAGACATAAGGGGCAAAGAAACAGAGGATAACAGTGAGCAAGATCATCATGCCGTGAGTGATCACTGAACGTCTATATATTCGAATATATACTGGTGCTGAGTTGAGCGACTTGAGGTAACGCACGTGCATAGTAGGTACTTGTTCGGGCAGTGCTTCGTAAACATCTCCGCAAGTTAACTTCTTTATTTCCATCAGAATCTCAGAGTCAACAGCCAGCCGAGCCCTAAAAGCAAGTACGCAGATTCGGAAGATTACCTCCAATTGCCGGTGTCAGCGTGGGTGGACCAAGTGACAGACGTTTGAGGCTCAGTGGGCTCTTGACCGTGTGAGTAAGAGAGGAAAATTCAAATTTAGACGCGTCTACTAGTCACGTGGCATCACTTCTTTACCTCTCACCAGCTCTCACCTCAGCCTGGTTTCTCGTGTACGCGTCCTTGAACTGTCACCCTCAGTTCCACACGCAGACTTGGAAAATAATTGTAGATTTCGACATAGCAGGGACGTGGCCCAAATTCAATGTAGCAATGTCCCTCGCGGAGCTGACGAGGAACTGTTTTCAAAGTGGTATCTCTGCTTCCAAAGTAATCTGCTGGCTTCAGCTATCATTCTAAACTCTCTAATGAAAATGATTCGTTCTAGTGGCTTGGACTATGCAGGCTTCTCATTGCAAAGGATAATGGACTCCAAGAATCAGACGCTGTCGAGAGCACGCTCAGCAGTTAGGATTTCAGTTCTTGTTGTCTTGCCACATATATTGACACCTTTTCACGCACAGACTCTGTTCTTTCAATGCTTCGGTTCTATCCTGGCAACCCGGACTTACAAGAATACCTGAAATACGCCATCCAGGACGGCATGATTTCCGTCGCCGTCTTCGTGGCTACTATGCTTCAAGCAGCACGTTCTCCGGTTCTACATCACCCCGCCACGCTAGATATGTTATGCCGCATCGCTTTGGATGCACATTACTCATCTGGTTCTCCGCCAATGGGTTCCGTCGTTTCTTATGGAGAGTCAGCCATAATTATGGTCGGGACGGTGCAGGACGCGTTGGCACTTTTGCGAACTGCACATGCCTTACCCCTCACCCATTTTCACCAGCTCACCGCCTCTGCATCTGAGCTTGTTATACTGCTTCTCTCATGTGCGTGTGTGTCTGATCTCTCACAAGTGTCTACAGCGCAGGCATCGATTCAGTTACAAGACATCACTGAAATCCTTCAAAGCTTTCGGTTGACCCCAGCCGTCCGGCAAGCTCTGGATACTTACATGGTATCTCTCGGTTTTTTGACCGGAGATGAATCAAAGGCTGCCAGGGAAGCCCAAATGATGCATTCGCTTCAAGTCGCTCTAGGCAAGGACGATGTTTCTGGGCCTAATTCTGATACCGACGTCATTACTTTTGGATTGGAACTTCATCATCTTGTCAGTATATTATAATCTCGTTCTATCAAGCTCAATTTGTCTGTCAGGTTACCCATAGGGCAAGGCATTTCGGTGCTGGCTGTGGACCGGATGCTGTAGCTTTGTTAGTGGGGATCTTCAGAAGGTCTTCCTGGCCAGCACCTGTGTTCTATACACAACTTTTTACGGCAGCTCTGTTATGTCTCTCGCAGGCTTCTCAGTCGACCTGTTTCATCTGGCGTGGATTTATTGTTGGAAGGGTAGGCACCCTATTTTTTTTAAAGTGCATTTCACTTGAAAATAACCGCTTAGCTTCCTGCTCTCCTAACGGCCTTTGAAGAGGCCATGACCAATGATAACACCGTGGACGTTGATTGGGCAAGTGAAATTCTTTATGATTGGGGCGACTTCTAACACGCCCAATTATAGCGAAGCGCAACGCAAGCTGCTATGTCTATCTTCCACCGGCAGGACATCCTGGTGCGTTGCGATCATGTCCTTGCGTCAGCCGAGGGAACCGATTCATTTCCTCCGTGAGTCAACGACATACAGTCTATTTACTGTCTGTGCATCATTGACGTGTAAGTACATCTTCCAGTAATCTACCATTTTCCCGAGAATTATTACGTCAATTGGTGGATACTGGTCTGCTGGATGATCGTAACGCGCTCGGAGTGGACCCAACGGTCCTTGAAAAGTCTTTACTCCCACTACACGCGGAGGCGCAAAATACTGGATTTGACATACGGGTGAGCCTCTGTTTTTCTCCAAAGGAGCTGGGCTGAGCAATATCAGTCCTACATAGACTGCAAGCTGACTCCTGACCTTACAATCGAAGAGGCACATACTCTCTTTGACCGAATATGCAAAGAAGCTGCCTCTCACTCTGCTTTTTCCATTGTAATCATGAAGGTTTGTTTCTCAATACTCTTAGAAGCGACATTCGTCAATGTGTTGGTCTACAGCGTTTCATCTTACTTGCCACCTCATTTGATGTAGAAGCGCTAAGCCGACTGTGTAAAGCACTCTATTTGCGTCACAGGATATTGGATATCATATCTTTGCATGTCAAAATAGACGAGCTGCTCTACTACACGATATCTTTGGTGGATAGCTATGACTGTGAAACCATTGGTACGTCGAGATTGTAAACATGTCTGATAGACTAATGTTGTTGATGTCAGGTGATCCACAGACGGCAGTAAGTCATCTCGGGGACATTGTTATGTTCTCTCAATATACATTAGCGCATTTCAATGTGCGTGTCTCCCTGCAACATAGACGATCGTTTGTTAATCTCATGTTAACCAGTTGGATGCAAAAATGTTCGTCCAAGGAGATAGAACTGTGTCCGGATTGTTCCTTCAATCAGCCTCTCAAGTCTTCTTCCATGAGTCTCTCTCTGGTGAAGACGCCCAAGCATTCAATGCCTGGTTCAAAACCCTATTTGACAGTGGAAGTGAAGGCATTGAAGATACAATACTAAGGTGAGATACTCCAATATCCGATTCCAATATTTAACATTGCAACAGGTCGAGCCGTCCTAAAACACTGCTGAAGATAGCATCTACGTTGTTCTCTTCGGCTATCAACGCGCGAATTGAAACGAAGATAGATAGTGACACTTTGAACAACGGCATATCATTTTTTACTGGCCCTCTCCTAAGTTGGACCCTTGTTGGCGTAGTAAAATCTCTTCTCCAAGAGATCTACAGAAAAGGGTTAGAAACTATATTACCCATCAACCTAGTATTTGTGGCTCACATGCGCTCCTAGGTTCATGGCTCCGATGCACATAGAAGTCCTCCAGACACTTCTATTGTCACCGTCTTGTCCGAAACCGGTGCTTGTTCTCTGCGGTTCCCGCATCCTAACTCTCTTGGCATCAAAGCCAGCTAAAGACCGTCTTGCCGCGGTGAGATTTGACGTCGCAACTGTTCAACGGCTCGTTTCTGAGGCGTTAGGTCCGAGAGAAATTGGTTCGTCACTTTATTTAATTTGTTGGCTTATCGATCAACCAAAATCGCCTGGCTAGCTCATATCCAACACGCGATGTCTCTCGGAATGCATGTTCCATGGCAAGAGCAGTCGAAACAAGCAATCCAAAATGTTCTAATAACAGCCCGTACTGGCAAAGCACCATCAATCGACGTGGATCGTCTCGTAAAAACGACGACGCCGTCGAAGTTTTTGCGGAGCTTGTGGACAGAACTATCTCTCTCGGCCGGATTGGCAGAGGCAGAGACCTTCCGAAGATTTATAACGTTTGTTCTCACCACGCCGCTGTCGTCAGCGGGACCGCCTCTGCTACCGATATTCTTGCACACTGTGCTGCCATCCCTTTTGGTCTCGATAGACGCTTCACAGCCACAGTCCCATGCGAACATCGAGTTATTGGTTATAACTGTTTCTTCTGTTCTGACCGCAGCTTTGCACCTCGAACTGGCATTAAGGGGGACCCGCTGGGAACACCGCTTGGTGTTTGGACATCCGATCGCTTCCATGGCGCGGAGATTGGCAACCGACCTTCGCAGTGCGAATAGTTATGCTGGTACAGCCATCGTTCAACGACTAAGCTCTTCTCAGTCTTTTGTTGCAAATTTCCCTGTATTTATGGGTGAATTAGGAGTGTAACATGTAACATTTATATCTTTCAATCTATGTTATGAATCTTGCATCGTAAAGGACGCAATGTGTAATTTAAACCTCTCCGACAGGGGGAGCTAAAATCTTGCAGGTGAATAGCTGGACAAATACTGAAAGAAGAGATACTTACGACAGCATGCATTTTCTTGAGGATCACATTCTTGATCTGGTGGGCACATAATGAGACAAGACGTAGATGTCTTGAATTTTGTTAGATACACATATTGAGGAATGAACGAGGACATACTTTATACAGTTCCTCAGGCCCAGTATGTTTGAGGTATTCAGGCTGTATCGTGCTGGAATGAATTCCGTGATGATGGAGTGCCTTGCGTATTTTTGCCGCTACAGGCATGAAGTCATGGTTCCTAGAAGCAAGGACATGCACAGAGGCAATGATTTTGGTCTCTGACAGCTGCCAAACATGCAACTCGTGAAGCGAAAGCACCCCTTCGACGTCCAAGATCGAATTGCGAACTTCATCGAGAGAGATGGTTGACGGGACACCTTGAAGCAGTATAAAGGATGCACTGCGCACTGAACAAAATAATTAGAGGTGCGAAGAGGACAAATGCTTGGTAAGTACCTAGAGGTAAAGCTGAGGAGAAGATGATTACGGTTATAACCAAACTGATTATGGGATCAAAGTAATACTTGAAGCTCCAAGAAGTGAGCCAGATTACCAAGCCAGTTGCTATGACTCCAACATTTCCCAGCGCATCGCCAAGGACGTGAAGGACTAGAGCGCGCATATTCATAGAACCGTGAGAATGCCCATGGGAAGGTGGTTTGTCAGGTTGGTTACCACTCGGCATGCCAGGACCTTGATGAGTATGGCTTAACAGGGGTGTGGCTTCACCAGAGACAGGAAGAGTATCCGAATCATCTTCTGTGGCGAGGTCGGGAGGTAGCACAGTGACATTTCGACTGGGAAGCGAAGCTGTGTCCAGGGACCTTGATAGCGAAGGACTTGCTCGATGAGTTCGCGTTGGGGAGGGAGACCTAGCTGCCATCTCCTGCGCCGTCTTGACGAGCGAAGCGCGGGTGGCGGCGGGATGACCGTACATAGACGAGAAGTCGTCCTGCGATATAGAGCGTGATCTGGACCGAGACTGACGACGAATTGAGATTTTCTGTGTGGGTGTGACGTCACCGGGTTCAACAAGGGCACCGTCCGGGGTAGAAGGTAGTGGGATATCATGGGGATGGCCGTGTTCTACGTGGCATCGAAGGTGAGTATGGAGCATAGATGCCCAGTCACTGTGGCTCACCGTGGAACAGGAACAGCCCAAGCACATTAGATGCTAAGCCAAGAGACCCGACTATGACCACCAAGCGAGGATTCGATATCTCTATTAAGTCCTCCCTATCAACGAAAGTGTCAATAGGAATGGAAGTGGCGCTTGCCTGGGGTGCTGAAGAACCGCTCGAACGCTTCGAGAGAGATTGAGAAGCACAGAGCGAGCAAGAATACGCCATTGACGAGAGCGGCGAGTATTTCCGCTCTGTGCCAGCCGTAAGAATAGCGCGAATCCGGATCGGTTTGGGCAGTCAACTTGGGAAAAAAATGAGTCGAGTTGAACATCAACGCCATTCTGACTTACTTTAATCGCGTAAAGGGCGACAACGAGGCTCATGACATCACTGCGAGAAGAATCCATCAGTCAATCTCTCATACCAAGATGGGCTAGCACGCACTTGAGCATATGGAAGCTGTCGGCGACGAGTGCAAGAGACCCAACAGCATATCCTTTGAAACATTATGTTAGGTGCAGCTGATTAATGAGCCAAGCCAGGCACTTACCGACGATAAGTTCGACGAAGAAAAAGGCGACGTCGATGACTAGGAGCGTCGTAATCTTTGCAGAGCGGGAGACGCCCATGACAATAACAAAATATGAGGCAACAGATGAAGGCAAGGCGGAGCGCTTGATGCTACATGGAACGGCTTAAAGGGTTCCATCGGATTCTCCGGCCGAAAGCAGTGTAACATTATTTGTCTGTGCTTAGTACCGCCCTCTTTTTTCGCTCGTCGTTAGTCGCGTCGTCGTCAACGTTCTTGCATAGTCAATATGGCCGCCCCTTCGATGGCTGAGGCTCTTGCGGCCTCTCTACCAGCTCAGAGCTCAACACCGACACCAGCACCGCCCACGTACGAGGCTATACCAGCTTCCATGTCAAAAGTTATCGATATTGAGGCGGACATACCACTAACCTGTGTTCAGTTGGATGGGATGGTGAGCCAGCTGGCATAGGGCTCGTATTTTTCGTGTCTGAGAGTAACAGGTCTTCTCTTTAGGTCGTTTCCAAAATTCTAAAACACGCTAGGGAGGCACCTGCTACTTCCGCCCATGGTCTGCTATTAGGGCTCGATCTTGATGGCACCCTTGAAGTGTCCAATTCTTTCCCTCTCCCTCATCACAGTGGCGATGAGGATGACAAGTCTTCAAAATTTGCCGGTGCGATCTCTTTCTTTCCTTTCAACTTGGTTACATATATTGATATTTTATTTTTTAAATATGTCAGCTCGGTATCAGGCGTCGATGCTTCGTTCACTCAAAGAAGTTCAAGCAGACGATAGTGTCGTCGGATTTTATCAGGCTACGACGCTGGGCGCATTCTTCCATCAAAGTTTGGTCGACACACAGGCTATACACCATGACAAACTTCGACATGGTGGAATAGTTGTGGTCCATGGTATGCACCCGATGTTCTATGCCGGAAGCACGATGGTAATCTGATTACTGGTAGACATAACTCAAACTGCGCGCGGGGTAACGCCTCTTTCCGTGCTTTTCGCTTGACTGCTACCTTCTTGGATGCGTACAAGACGTCCAACTTCAACACAGCAAGGTAATAATAGCGATTCTGACCCTAGTGCTTCCGCTGCTAACCATATTCTTCAATAGTCTAGTAAGCCACCGCCTAACGTTCTCGACAATAATGGAAGAAGTTCCGCTCAAAATCCGTACCAACCCTCTCCTTAGCTCATTTTTCGGGTCGCTCTCTGAAAGACACCCCACTGCCCTGTCCAACTCCCCCCCATATGCGGCAGCCGATTCTGCCCTTCCTCCTTCGTTTTCGGTCTTGGACTTGGGCTCGGCAGGTCTGACCAAGAATTTGGAACAAATAGCCGAGGCCCTTGACAGCTACCGAACGGAAGAAGGCAATCTGGCCTATTTATCCCGACAAATTGCTCGAGAGCGTGCACGGGCAGACAACTATGTAATGAAACGGAAGGAGGAGAACATCGCCCGGGTGGCACAGGGTCAGGCGCCTCTTCCGGAAGAGGATGTAACGCGATTGTTCAAAATACCAGCGGAGCCGAGTCGCCTGGAAAGTCTGTTACTGTTAGGTCAGGTGGATGCGTATGCAAAGAGTATGGCAGGGACGGCCAGCAATGGGCTGGTGAAGATGTACGCCGCGAGGGCCGGTAGCAACGTTTGAATAGGCAATCGTTTGGGCCTGCCTGTGATAATCATACATGCGGAGCAATAATGATGTTATTACCACGAGTGCCCCTGGCCAAGGAAAGAAAAAAAACTTTGGTGTGTGATCTATTAATACAAATCAATAAATAAAGGCTCTCTGAGAGCAAAATCCTTGCCTCACGTTCATCTTGCAGGAACTCCCCTCCTTTCATTCCATTCTTTCAGCCTTCCGTTTATAAAGACCCCCCCCCCCCCTCGTCCTTCATTCCTCTCGTCTTTTCCTGCAAACATGTTCCCCTCCTTCCTCGTCGTCCTCACCTTCATTTCCCTTGTTTCCGCTCTGGCCTCCCCCCACATGTCCCAGGCTGTCCACCGGCATCGTTCTCTGTCGGCTCGCATCGCAGCGCCCGTCGCTGAGCCTCTCGTTGACCCACAACCTGTCCTTCCCAAGCGCACCCGTTCCAGGAGGCTAGCTCGCAGGGCAAGCTCGGGGCGGTGTAACGCAAGCTCCGTAGCTCAGGCCTCATCAACGGCACTGGCTCAGCAAGCCTCCTCGACCACTCCTGTTCATACAACCAGTGCCACTCCAGAGTCGACTAGTGCTGCACCAGCTACTAGTTTCACTCAAGAGTCTACGTCTGTCGAGGAGCAACATACCCTTTCTTCTTCTTCATTTTCTTCCTCTTCCTCTTCCTCGGTCGCTCAGGAAACTCAGCCAGCGGCACCCACGACCACCGCTGCTCCGCAGACAACTTCTACCACATCAAGTGCTCAGGCGACCTCTACCTCGGGCAGTTCGGGTGGCAGTACTTCCAGCACACATACCGGAGAGAGTACGTGATTATTTCGCCTGCAATACTTCCCTTGGGCTCACCTGCTCTTTTAGTCACCTTCTACGACAGTACGTAGTTCTCACAAACGCCGGCGTCCATATGGAAGATCTAATAATATATCTAGCTGGTTTGGGTTCTTGTGGCGAAACCAGTTCTGACACGGACCACATAGTCGCACTGTCACAGACCCTTTACGATCAATACACGTATGATATTCTATTCTTGATTCTGTTTTGACGGCTGATCTTTTTTCCCCAGGACCAACGGAAACTCAAACGACAACTCTCTGTGTGGGAAGTACATCCACATCCAATGTATGTATGATTGTTTCATCGCTTTGAATGCCTGTTAACCTCCAAGCATCAGATGGAAGCAAGAGCACCGACGTTAAAGTCGTCGACCGATGCACTGGATGCGCAGAGTACGACTTAGATTTGTCCCCAGCCGCTTTCGACGACTTGGCATCAGAAAGCGTCGGGCGTCTGCAAGCTGCCACTTGGTATTTCACCTCATAAACCACTTGGCTTTTTCCCCTTCACTCTTTATTTCGCTATCGTTATCGACATTCTCGATGTCCTAGAGGCATTTTATCTTCATCTCTGACTGGCCAGAGGTAACGATAACCAGGAGAATGCTTTGGTTTGACTGCGTCAAAGTTATTTAGAATGCTTGCATCCTTGCTTGGGCCTGGCGTCTTTCATCGGATTATTATTGTTGTACAATATATTTGTGGATAGGTATAAACAAGGGAACAACAAATCATAGATTGATCAAAGTCCAATATGTATCATCTGTCGTGTCTTTTACCGCAATGCTCACAGATGAGTACAACTTGTCGTCTGTAAAACTCATCGATTGCATGGTCGCAACGACGTCGAGTGCTAGACGCCTCGCTGTTGACCCATGAGGAAGTTTAGTGAACGGTCCCGGGATTTCACCGCGAACCGGATGCTCAACAACGAAAAATGGCACCAATCTAGAGCGCAGCGACCTGCTTATCTGCAAGAAGGCATATCAGATCTTAGCCTCGAAAGTAATATAACTAAACTTACCTTCTCGTGCAGTACTTCGGGCTGGCGTTGAAGTAGTCGAAGCAAGAATCGCAAGATGGTCTACCAATCATCGGAATCCCACGGTAATTAGACGGCCAGAAAGCTTACCTCCGACAATGCAAGATCGGTGTTACCCAACTCCCATAGGGTTTTGGGCAGTGCCTCTATCCAATCAACAAGCTTCGAGTGCTGCGATATTTGGCCAATCTTAAAATGGCCTCGATAATAGCGATCGGTGTTCATCTAAAATATTGTCAACACCTGTCGGCCAGAACTTTTAGGCACTGCACCAACGAGTATCAACCGCGATATAAAATCGACCGTAGGCTTCTTAAGGGCGGACTTCGCCGAAACGACTGTTCCATGCTCAAGAACGGCCCCGAAAACACCATTTGATGATTGGGAAGGAGTATTGATCAGTGACCACATCGTAGGCGTCAAGGAGGTATAAGCTGCGGAAGTCAACGAACGCGGTACTTGATTTGGTGATACATTGCCACCGGATAGTTCCCGAAGAACATAGTCGCACACTATGTCGTTCTGTATTGACAGCTTAGAGTTATCAGTTTTGCTCGGTCGTTGCTGTCGCGACCGTAGTGGCGACCCAGCGTCTCGAGACGTCAAAACGAGAAGCGAAGTAAGTTCACAATAAACAAGATTGAGGTCTTGAAAGGCTTGTTCAATCTGTTGGTAGGAAGGTCAATGACATCTTGATTATGAACGACTGCTACAGACCTTGATGTCGCGTTTTCCCCCAGGCCGAAACGGGAAAAACGGAGTCATGTAACCGAGAATACTTGTCAGGTTCTCTAGTAACGATGAGTTTTTCTGCTCGCCGTGTGAGAGCTAGGTCTTCATCGACTGATGAAACAACTAACTGTGTCTTGAATGTGAGAAATTTCTCCGTATATACTGCGAACACTGTCGGAAACTGCCAGAATCAGATCGAGTTCAACCTCTGGAGGATTTGAACTAGGAGAAAACACAGCTGGGGCGTAATCTAAAAAGGTAGATACAAGCGTCGATTGCAGGGCTCGAGCCAGATTCTGGTCTAACTTAGTTTTGGAAGCCATGAAACAAGCGGGATGCACTCACACTGATGAAGGCGATGTTCCCAGGTGCATGCGAGGCCGAGAGATCTTCAGACATGTTGAGCACATCAGGTAAGTATTGATGGGCGCCCATCGATGAAGACGATGGCCTGGGCTCGTTGAGTACGAAATCTTCATCCCCGGTGTTATCGTCGGATTCATCACGCCACCTGCGACAGGGAAACTCTTGGTCTTGGTAAGTAGAAGAGGGTCGAAGCAACTGCTCAAACGCTCCGTACGAAGCGGGTGAATCAAATGAAGACGCAAAATACCAGCGGGGATCACTGCGTGACGTTAGGGAGAGGGCTTGACGCAAAAATGTAGCAAGAGATCGTAATACTACCAGCTTCGACTGCCAATGGTCAACGGGTTAGGGATCGGAGTTATCGGGAAAGAGATTGCTTACAGCTGCGGTCAGTACAACGCTAGCAGTTGACGTTGCTCTAATGGGCCCTATGGGGTAATGAAGAAACTGCGCAATGATCCATTAAGGACCATTCTCACCGTCATTTTCTCCGAACTTTGTTCCCGCGTTCAGCAAACCGAGATAACCTTCTAAGACTCTTGCCCCGTGCTTGTCGCCACCTTGATTCCATCCAGAAGTGACTGGCTCCGGTATATATATCAGGAGCAAGTCTAGAAATTTGATGGCGTCAATACGAATTTCAGGGAAAATATGGGTTTGCGCGGAGGAAGTGAAGAGCAGGAGGGTAGGTGCATGGGGGATTAATTGTTCCTGGAGAAATGATTAGACAACGAGCATCATTGGCGAGGTCGACATGCCTTTGGTATCCGGGGAAACAACCAAGTAAAAAAAGATAAAAGAGCCTTTCGAACCCCCGCATCCTGGGATGACAGGTGAAATTATTTCAAGATGCATGTGGCAAGAGAGTTACCTCGTCTCCGATCAGTCGAACGCATGAATTGAACAACGTTGTTAGTGATTCATTTATGATATGGGGGTACGTTTCAAATAACTCTCGAAAGCCTGCAAGTGCATCTGCAGCGGACGTCAAACGATGACGAATACAGGTGGTACATGAGTCTACCTTTGCGAGTTGCAGCGCCGTAGTGTTTAGTATGAGCCACGAGTTCGTCAAACGTTAAACGCCGTTTCGTCGTCGGTGTATAGTTGTCTTTGTCCTTTGTAATGCTCTGCGACGGCAAGGCAATCGCTAGTTTCGCATTGATTGTCAAGCAGAAGCGGGCTGGGACATGAACTTACAACGAGCCTTGAACGACGTGTCTATGGCATTGCCGGCAACCTGCTTTCCCTTTCCTAGCTTTAACTTCGCTTTCTAAATGCAAATTGGTTTCAATAACGGCTGCTCTGCACAGGCAAGCTGAACTTACTGTGAAATCAGCGGCCTTGTCTTTTCGTCTTTTGGCACTCTTTGGCATCGTGGGCTGGTGCACGCAGTAGATCTTTCTACAGTGTCTTCGATTGATACAGTTTCCAAAGAATCTTGGAGGAACTAATAGGTACCAGTGCAGATGACCGTAGTGGATGATGGTGTTGAAAAAGAATTTTGCTGAGCCGGACCGAGCCTCCGAGTTATTTCAAATTGGTTCAAGTTTGCTCTTTGTTCTCTCCCATTACTCTTCAGCTCTTATCACACTGACCTAGAGATCCCCATGCGCCATCCTTCCATTACTAGTATCTCTGATCATAATGTCGAGCTTCCACGATCTCCAAATCGCGGTCACCTGTTCGATTGCCGATGTTTTCCCGAGAAAACTGTTGAAGAACTGGCTGCTGACCATCCTAAGGACGTGGCGTATTACACTTGAGTGCGGAGACTTCAATCCTATATATACCTGCTGCTCAGGTCTACCCTTTGCTTCTGTTCTGCCATGCCACGATTCCTTCAAGTACTGTTACTTCCCCTGCTCTGTTTGATTGCTCTTTCCACCGCTGCAGGTCCTCGGGTTCCAGATGGATTTGTTACCACCCGCGGTCGAAACTTTGTGCTTGACAATAAGCCATTTGTAGGCACTTATACTCCCCACCATTCGCCACGAATTCGTTTAATTCATAGCACAGGCATTTGTTGGAGCCAACTCTTATGTCAGTTTTGGCGATGCTTTCCTGCTACAGAATCTCACATGATACAGTGGCTTCCACTTCTTATAACAAATGAGGACGTTGAGGCCACCTTCCAGGAAATGGAAAATGCAGGTGTCAAGGTGCTTCGAACATGGGCAAGCGTCGTTCCCTATGTAGCTATGTCCGTCTCTCTGATGTCCTTTGTGAAGGGATTCAATGCTATTAACGGTTCCGAGCTTGCTGGCGCTTTGGAATCTGGCCTCACTTATTATCAAGTACTTTCGCGCGCTTATTATGCAGGCATCTGACAACTTAACCTACATCTTCGCTGCCTAGGTGTGGAATAGTTCTGAATGGGTCTTGAACGATGGGCCACAAGGGTTAGAGCGTTTGGATAATGTTATCAATGTTGCTGGAAAGCACGGAATCAAGGTCATACTGGCTTTTACCAATAACTGGGTTGGTTATGGTGTGAGTTTGTTCATGGTGGTACCATTTCTACCAACCTTAGATCATCTTTGCGTTCACAGGGATCTGAACTTTATATTAACTGGATAGCGGGAGCATATCAAACCCACGATATTTTCTATTCAGATCCCCATATCATTGCCTCCTACCGTATGTGTCTTCAACTTCACCAACTTTTTCATCCAACTCATCCAAACCGGTGATAGAACGCTACGTCAAAGTTATCGTGGAAAGATATAAGGATTCCCCCAATATCTTTGCCTGGGAACTCATGAATGAGGCAAGATGTCTGGGGGATCTTCCTGGTGGTCCTAATTGTGTTCCGACGAGTGGACTTATCAGCAGTTGGTATAAGCAACAGGCTGACTTCGTTCGAAGCCTGTGAGTGTCTCTGAGTTCTTTATAATGCTCATCCGAAGTTGTTAAAATTAATCCGTCTTCAGTGATCCTTTCCATATGATTACCACTGGGGGCGAAGGACAGTTCAACTGGAAGAAACCTAAACAATACTGGTATAATGGAAGCCTCGTTTCCGACTACAACTACAATGGGCAAGGTTTGACACTGACACCTCGCTCTTCACTTGCCTCGTACTTATGCTCTACTCAGCTGGGGAAAACTTCGACTTCGATCTAGCGTTGGATAATATTGACTTCGGAACATATGTAAGTCTTTGGCAGCCACGATCGTAACGTCCCCTTCTAACACGTACACAAAAGCACATGTACCCCCAGTCTTGGTGAGAAGTCTCCCTTTGAAGTAGATATTCAACGCTGAAGTCTATCTAAAGGTATCCAGAGCTGGTGAACATTTTACCTTTGCTAGTTGGCGAGCGAGTCTGATACCTGAGCGAACTTGAAGGACACGCCTGGATCCAATTTTACAATACAGCAATGGGGCCTTGGGTGGATTAGCGAACATTCAAACGGTATAAAGGCTACGCAAGTATTCGAAGAATGCGTTTCTGAAAAACTTTCAGTTGCACGTAAAGTGGGAAAGCCTCTAGTTTTAGAGGAGTTTGGTATTTCGGGGGTCGGTGAGTCCCCGCCATGACGTTGGCTTCTTCGTGCTAATACGTCGCGGAGACAACAAAACAAACATCTATCCCGCTTGGGTTGACCTAGCATTGGAAACAGGACATTCGTGTGTATCAGTTTTTTTTTGGCCACAGATCCATGCGCTGATAGAACTTCGTTTAGAGGGTAAACGTGTTGTTTCCTCGGCGCCATTTCTGACGTCTGACTTGATACTTACAATTCTTAGTATTATGCCTTGGCAGTGGGGTCAGCTGGGTTTAACAGAAGGAAACCGTGTGATCAAGTACGCCGACGAAATCCTCGACGGTGCATCGCCAAACGATGGTAAGTAATCCTTTTTTCATTAAACAGGTATGTCACTCCACCCTGGGCAGGAAATACGATCTACAAAAACCAAACTGAACTATGGAACATCTTCAAGTATGCTTCTCCCGAACGGTGGTACAAACGGAAATTTAAATAATTCATTCCTAGGGTCGCGGCAAAGGCACAAAACGACCGAACTTGGATTATGGGATAACTCAAAGTACCTGCATATGTCAAGGCTTTTTCTTCCTGGCTGTCACTCAGGCAATAATGTTAAACGTCAATCATAAACCTTGGACAACGTGACAGTTAATTATGTTTGACACAACGCTGAAGAAACTTTGCCCACCTCGACAGATTGACCATTACTCCCTGCTGATGGTACAGCTGACGTTTGATCCATGGGCCGCTTGTAATAGCGGAGTCGACGGTAAAGCTCCGGAAAATATCATCGAAGTACTACAGGGTAAATCTTGCCATGTTCGCACCCTTGATAAGGTTGCTTGTGGTCAGCGCACAACAAGAATGGGGTATACGATTCGGAGATAACTCAACGAGATGTATGCTTTCTTGGATCTGTGCTGAAGGGCATATTGGTAGGTGCAACCGGCAGTGAGGACCAACGATACATTGTCCCCTTCCTTCATCAATAGTATTGCACCTCTTGAACCGACTCCATCATTCTGCACCATTGGCTGCAGGGTTACCAAGTCCTTGGTGTCGTTGGTGAAGTCGAAGAGTACTTCGTAGGGTACAGTGCTTGTTGGCATAGAAGTGATAGCTGGGGGGACAGGTCGGGACAAAGTGGGATGCAGACAGAGAACCGTTCCATTTCTAAAGGCCGAGAGAAGGATGTAACATTGGAATCTTGAAGAACAGTTTAATTGTTCGCCGGAAGTGGCAGCGTGCCTATTGTCTATCGGTTTCAAGCGACGACAATAAGGACCTATTTGCAGGGTCTCCACCCGCAATCTTTGAGCCAAGAATGGCTCGTCTCGCGATTCATTGTCGCCGGTGTCCGCCCAAGAGGCGACCAATACGGTGGACGGTGTGGCAATGACATACCTGAACGAGATATGGCAGAGAAGAGAAGTTGTAGTTTAACCACGACACCATGATCAAAGATGACGGCCGGCAGCTCAGATAGTTCGCTGTTTCTCTAAGAGGACATGCTTACGAAAACGACAACCCAAGTCCGAAACGGCTCACGCGCACAGTCCGGATTAGAATTACTGTGAAAGGATTAGCTGTTACCCCATGACCCGGTACTTCGCGAGAATAGGAAAGAGAGAGCTCAAGGACTGGATTCCATAGAAAACGAGGCAACATTACGGCGACAAGACATAATATACCATGGTCCGTTCGTAAAAGAGGAAAACCCATGGCCGTTCGCTAAATCACCACACTTTGAAGAAAGGTCGCTTCATGAAATCAATCTTCATCTGAAGGCAGACCAAATCATCGTCTTCGGCAGTGTAGCCAAACACATCCACCGAGAATTTGCCTGTGAATTCACAATGAGGCACGCCCTTGTCGCATAAATATGGCTTACTGGGTGGGATCTCTTTGGGTAAAGACACCGTATGCTTAACGGTGTAGGGACCAGGCTCGACAGGACAGGTGATACTCGCGTTAGCATTGCGTCTATAGATAGGTAAGTTGTTGATCCAAGTCGAGGATTATGGCGACGCACGCTTCCTCACAAAGATCAAATGACTTCTGTAGCAACTTGATAAGGCCCAACTTGACAGTAACGTCTGCGTAAGCCCCCTCCTAAAAAGCGAGGTGAGATGACATATCTCTGTTTAAGAGATAACGCCAAACCTCAATTCTCTCCTGCACATAGCCTTTGACAATCACAGTGAGATCCTCTCCAGGCTTGGGTGGATCAGGTTTAATCTTGATCGACTCCAACTGGATAACGTCCGTGGAGACACCTTGGAGAGACATAGTTAAGATGTCTGGCAGGCTAGATAGCGGTGACGTTTACTTACCGCAGTCGACGTACGACCAGCTCTCCGAGGTATGAGCCTCATCACCTCCTTGTAGAGATACTTGGGTATCAGGATTGGCTAGAACGGACGTTGCAGCAGCAGCAACCAGGAATAACGATACCAGGGTTGAACGGAACATGGTGGTACGAATGCAAGTGTGGCTGTGCGACGCGTACTTGCCATAAGAGGACGATATAAAACAGGCATAAATATACACCGTTGGTGCTAGCATCGCTTTGCACAGTACTCCGTCGTCTTTGCTTCCTTCTCCTTTTTACGACTTTCCCTATTACCGCAACTACCTCATTCCAAGGCATTTATAGCTGACTTGTCCTTCTCTTGACGAGCATCGAGTATCGAGTCTCATCGCACGGTTACCATGAAACCAAGAGAATACTGTTGTTGTGCCCTTCCTCTCATCAATGCTGGAATATATGCTGCATTGACGGAGCAGTTCATTGCTGCTTTTGTCGCAGGCATCCTTTCAATGGCGACGCCATCTAGTAAGTGCCAGTTCTGACCAGCTCAGAGCGCCCTTTATGTATATTTCAAACAGTTGTTGGAGCCGCCACTCCCTCGTTTGCAACGTGGCTATTCGGAATCGTCTGTCTCGTCACCGCAGCTCTACAAGTACTAGGACTCATCGCAGTCGCAAAGGTAATCGTGACTATTCCTAGCTGATTCGCCGGTTTCTTACCAACTTGTCTCAGGAAAATTCTATTCTATTTCGCCGATACCTGAGCCTTCATACCATCATGGTCCTCGCAGTTTTCTCATTGGGTGCAGCTTGGACTATTGTCTCTGCAACTCGCCATTCTACCGCCAAGTCAAATTGCATCAACAACTTCTTTGATACTTCAAATAGTGACCAAGCATCTGAAGCCGATACCCTTTGCCAGATTTTCCCGTGGGTTGATGTGGGTATCATGGGCGGTTTGTGGGTCCTATTTGCCATTGTGCATGTGCGTCATCTTTCACATCCGCAGCAATGTCTTCATTAAACCGAATCTAGGTTTATTTGTATGTGGTCTTGTGTTCGTATAGCTCCATGCAACAAAAAGATCATGCCAAATACAACGCCCTCAACGATTCTGCAAACGCATTTAATGACAACATTCCCATGAATACCCGCGGAGACCCTTGGGACACTAGACCTTCCACTGATGCACCCTATGGACGTGGTCATACGCGTCAGACAAGCGACATGAGCATGTCTGATGTTATGGCGCAACCAGTGCGAAGACCGACGGACGAAGTTTCTGTATACAGCTATTCACAATATCCACCACTGCCTGCAGATGCCCACACAACAGACGAGAGTCCGACACCCAAGTATAGTGACTCCTTCTATGGGGGACCATCGCCTCATGGAGAAAAGCCTGCTCATACACAAGCTCATCCGGGTCAGTTATGATTCGCTTTAGCGATGGTTCTAGCTGGGCAGCATTTGTGGCGGTCAAGCTGGTCTGTCGACATTCTATTTCATGTCCAATATGATTTTAGCTAAATGACTTGTGCAGCCGAAGGCTCATTTCGGAGGAAAACTCCTCGTTTAGTGAAGGCTCAACGATGGGTCTGAACATTTGCATATTACCGCCGGACATTTCCGTAGTTGTCAACGAGATAATATCTACTGTACTATCTGATGATCTGTTTTACACGTTTTCATTCTGCTCCCACAGTCCCAACGCAAGAGAATATCCTGAAGCCGTGCCAATATTCGCCAGTGCACATCACGACTGGTGAATAAATACCCTCTCGCGACCTGATGTTAAATACCATGTTACTAACAGGACCGGGAATTATTAGCCCTACCTTAGCACTGCAAAGTGATGTTGGGGGTCGGCTGCTTTTTTTGACCTACAAGACATCCTAAAAATGACGTGGCTTTTGATCATCGACGTCTTCTTAGGTCTTCTTGCAACCATGAAACAGGATCTAGAAAACATGATGAAAAATCCTTGTTTATCATACAAGTGCTCGCCGGGTGCTGGGCGCGTGTGACCTTGCTGGATCTTATCCTTGTCACGGGAGGTGCTCGCGCGTAAGAAATTTCACAAGATGACTTTGCAGTCTGCACAAATGTCTAGAGTATTTACGGACCTCAAAAATGACCTTTCACAGACTTAAAACGAGCATAGGCACGTACTTGCGCTTATTTGCGTTTTGTAGATGCTGACGAAGGAACTCGTAACTAGGGGCAGACATTACTTCCAGCAATGCAACATTTGCACGTCGCGATCCAATTGGACATGCCGACACCCACAGTACTCAATGCAGTGGCAGGTACAATTTTACGAGGGAAAAACAAGACCTCAAAAGGTTTTGTTTCAAGACACTCTTTCTCTGTCCATAAAATCAGGTCAGTAAAGCAAGATGAAAAATTTCCCCCCTTTGAGACAATGATGGGATTAATGTTACATCTGTTAGAATCCGGGTCGAAAAATCCAGTCCGAAAGCGAAAGCGAGTTTTCTCAAACCGCGCCAGCCTCTGCAATATGACTCCGTTTCTCGTCTTTGCTTTCTTTGCTTTGTTCCCTTTTCCCTGTTACTGCAACTTCCACATTCCAAAGAATTCATAGCCGACTTGTCCTTCTCTTGACGAGTATCGAGTATTGAGTCTCATCATACAGTCACCATGAAACCAAGAGAATACTGTTGCTGTGCCCTTCCTCTCATCAATGCTGGAATATATGCTGCATTGACGGAGCAGTTCGTTGCTGCTTTTGTCGCAGGCATCCTTTCAATGGCGACACCGTCTAGTAAGTGACAGCTCTGACTAGTTCAGTGCGCCCTTTTAACTTCATGTATAACTCAAACAGTTGTCGCAGCCGCCACTCCCTCGTTTGCATCGTCGCTATTTGGAATTGTCTGTCTCGTCACCGCGGCTCTACAGGTACTAGGATTCATCGCAGTCGCAAAGGTAATCATGACTGTTCCCAGCTGATCAGCCAGAAGTTTCTTACCAACATGTCTCAGGAAAATTCTATTCTATTTCGTGGATATCTGAGCCTTCATACCATCATGGCCCTCGCAGTTTTCTCATTGGGCGCGGCTTGGACGATTGTCTCTGCAACTCACTATTCTACCGCCAAGTCAAATTGCATCAACAACTTCTTTGATACTTCAAATAGTGACCAAGCATCCGAAGCCGATACTCTGTCAAATTTTCCCGTCGATTACTTTGGGTATCATGGGCGGTTTGTGGATCCTATTTGCCATTGTGCATGTGCGTCATCTTTCGCATCCAGTAGTATCCTTGCTAAAACTGAGTCTAGGTTTATCTGTATGTGGTCTTGTGTTCGTATAGCTCCACACAACAGAAAGATCATGCCAAGTACAACGCCCTCAACGATTCTGCTGGCAGTATTCCTATGAATACCCTCGGGGACCCTCCGGGCACTAGACCAACGGCTATATACAATTATTCGCAGTATCCACCGCTGCCTGCAAATGCCCTCACAACAGACGAACATCAGACACCCCCCAAGTATAGCAACTCCTTCTATGGGGGACCATCGCCTCATGGAGAAAAGCCTGCTCATACACAATCTCATCCGGGTCAGTTATGATTCGTATTAGCGAAGGTTAGTAGCTGGGCAGCATTTGTGGTGGTTAAGCTGGTCTGTCGACATTCTCCTTTCATGTCCAATATGGTTCTAACTAAACGACTTGCGCAGCTGAAGGCTCATTTCGGAGGAAAACTCCTTGCTTAGTGAAGGCTCAACGATGGGGCTAACTGAACATTTGTATATCACTGCCAGACTTTTCCATAGCTGTCAACTACTGTACTATCTGATGATAGTTTTACACGTTTTCATTCTGTTCCCACGGTCCCAACGCGAGAGAATACCCTGAATCTCGTGCCAATATACGCCAGTGCACACCCCGACTACTCAGCACTGAATCACGGAAGGTGAGAAATACTGATTGTGGTGGAGGTTGGCGAAGCAGAAATGAAGCCTCGAGCTCATCGCACAATTCCGTTTCTTGCTGTAAGAGTGGATCCGTGTACCATGCATTGGAGATCTTCAGCTTGAAAACCATGACTGATGTAGGTAACGCGGTGATGAACCCGCTTCGTAATTCGTGAATTGTGACGAAGGATAGGGCGAAATACTCTAGCAACGGTAAACTGCGCAGACACGATGCAAGGGACGTGCTGGTCAGTTTACTGCACCCGAGCAAAACGAGTTTTCGCAGGCCCACACCAGGACCCGAGACTAGAGACTGGAAGTATCGATCAGTGATTTCGGATCCCATTCTGTTGTTGCCTTGGGCATAACGAAAACTTTGCAAGCTCGAGTGATTAAATTGCTCTTCCATGCGGTGATCCAAATGATTGCTGGTAACACTTCGTATTGCCAGGTGTGAAAGAGCAGGTGTCTGCGATGTTGTACTGAATCTTACGCGACCAGACAAACGTAAGACTTGAATATTTGTGGGAGAAATGGACTGAAAGACAACAGCTTGGGTTGAGGGTTCAAGATAGAGCTCGTAGGAATAGAGCCCCGACCGACCGGAAGGAAACATTGCGAGCTCAAACTGCAGGGACAACCGCGCGCCAGGAACTGATGGGATAGGGTTGTTTATTATAGAATATTTCCTTGGAGAAATAGATCTTACTAAAATCACGAGTTTGTCCCCCACGCCTGCAGTCAAACACGCGGAGTCTCCTGAGTGAATGCATTTTCCCCAAAGCCTGATATAGGCGTGAGACTGGTACCGTCTAGGTGCATGTCAGCAGGATGCCGCACCAAAGAAGCGTGGGGAACGCGCCTGATCAGAGTAGCTGACAATTCTTCCGTCATTTGCGACATCGGCAAAGAGTATTTGGGAGGCATGGGCCCCAGGTATGTTGTTAATGAATTTCTCTATCTGTTGCTCATGGGTGAGCGAGACGTACTGCCTGTAGTAGGCAGCCTCGTAGGCAATTTGCTTGCAAGTATGAAGGAGAGCGAAATGGGCATTGGACGGCTGGCGACTGGCATGGACATGCTGGTGATTGGCAAGGAAGACGTCGTAGATGAAGAGACGCAGTTCGAGCGGGATGGTCAAGAATGTCAACATGTACAAGCGTCGGATCGGGCCGGCAGATCATTTATGATCGTGGCAGCGATGGGACAAGGACCATAAGGTCACCCTGGGCTTCCAAGGCGTGCACTGCGCCTCATTGTTTTAGCGTGTTCTTGTTCCCCCCTGTTTCCCGCGTCTCGCTGCCGGCCTGTCTTCCCTTGCAATGGACCCTAGGAGGCACAATACAGCATTTGGACCAATTCGGTCTTTGCCCGCCCTGTATTATTGTGTCAACAGTCTGACAACAGTCATTCATGTTTATGGCAACCGCTTTTCTATCGTTTTATTCTTTCTGCCTTCCGTTTTCCATATCAACGTAACCAATCTGTTCCTTGGTCTCCGCCAGCATTGCCGTAACCTGAGCGCCACATTCTCTCCAGCAAGTAGTAAGAAGAAGTGTCCTTGTACTTGTTTGCCGTGCCTTCGTTCTTCTCTCTTCGCCCATCGACACTTGAGTCGCCATTTTCTTTTTCAACACGCTGGAGCCCAAGCACCTATCACGCCTTACTCTTAAACGACACCCACCTCCATGCCTTCCGTCTCCCAGAGCTATGATGTTCTTATTAATTTTGTCAACGACACATCCGATTGCGTTTCAATCCAACTCTTGAGGGACTACGGACGAGAAGGCGGCGCCTTTACCATCATCCAGCCGTCTGATTCAGTCACCCTCGTGCTCGAATCCGGGTCCCTCTATCAATACTGTCTAAAGACACAAGTCAACGTCGCAAGTGTGATGTAAGGCGCATTTTTTGTCTATCAAATCATTTACTGATGCCTTCACAGCGTGCGCCCCTGGAGAGACATTCATTGCAATGTGTCTATTCTTTTCATTGACGGTACATCATCCCACACCGCCGACTACCCATCGTCCGTTAGCGGAATCATCGTGGATCGTTTATGGCGAGACCATCGGTTCAGTATATGGGATAACCCTTAGTTGCGCTCGCCTACGGTCAGTGTGCTCAAAAAATATTCTGATTGGCCTCTGATCATCCCTTGCTTACTGCAGGTCTCGCCGAGGCACTGCTACGCCCTTCATATATAACTAGTTATTTATAAGCATAATCTCACCGTGTACTTCACCGCCTATCTGGAGAGGAGGCCCATTTAATATTACTTTCGTAGGGCTGGAGTTTTCCAAGCTCCGGCGTTCGCACAATACATAGGATCCATTGTGGTATAAACAATAAGAATAGCAGACGTGGGACCCGCACAGTTTCTAGCCAAAAATAGCAAACTTGGAAGTTAGACCTTGGCCATTAGCCTGCGTGTTTCTTGCGGTGTAAACCTCAAGATGATGGAGAGGACCTTGACCAGATTAGGCTGTATACAATAACTGTTAGAGAAAGAAGGGGAAGGTGCCTGAAAAACACTAACTCTCATTTCCTTGTGCTCAAGGAACTGCAAAACAACATTACGAAGATACTCCAGGTTGACCTCCTCGTCATTTTTATCAGACATAGCCGAGTCGGGTCGGGGTGAATTGGTAGGCGAAGGGGATTGGGACGGGGGAGGGGATCGGGCATCCGATTGGACGCTCTCACCTCTTGTTGTCCAGTAGCCGACGCCGGGGTTGCGTTGCCGCTCTAATAGAGCAGCTGACGACTGCACCTTCCTCAGCTCTTCGCGTAACGTCTAGATTATCACACGAGAAGTTAGATACGGGAAAGGCCAAATATGAACCAGAAGGCACCTTGTTGCTCACTCGAAGCTGAGCTTCTCGAGATTTACCATCCTCTATACTTTGTTCCAACACAGTTATTCTTGCGGTATATTCTGATTGGTGGGATCTGGCATCGCTCTGCAAGTAGAATGAGATCACCAAGAAGCCTCAAGTAAGTACGCTGACACTTACTTCGGTAACCTGGGCCTGATTCAGCTGCGAACGCAACTCATCAACCTGCCTTCGTTGCGTATCAAGCTCCTTGCGGAGCTCAGAAATCTCTCGATGGAGCTGATTTACAGCACCTTCATCCTGCTCCTTGGATTTCACAGTCGTTCCCAACGCACGCTTCAGTTCCTCCGCTTCCTTCACTTTTTCACGAAGCTTGCGACTCCACTCGGCTTCGGTGTCGTTTCGCTCATTCTCTATGATAGCAATACCACGCTGCAATTCCATGACTTTGGCTTCGTATTTGGCCTCAGTGGCCGCCAGTAGTCGGGCTACCTCTTCAGAAGAAACCCCAGATTCGCGTGGGAGGTTCTCTTGTCCCTGATGTGCATCGAGTAATTCTTCATTGAGGAAAGAGACCCGGTCCTCCAGTTCTCGCAGCTGATACTGAAGTTCAGTGTTCTGACCTTGAATCGACTCGAGCAGAGATTGCGAAGATTCGAGTTCTGCTTGCCGCAACTGCAGCTCATCGAAAAGTGTATTTTTGTCCTCTGTTAGAGATTCAAGAGAAGATTGCAGTTGGGTGACCTGAGAACTCTTCAACGATATTTCCTTGGTGTGAGAGCTCTAGAAGGAAACAAAGTCAATCAACAATGTAGTTGTAGCGCCAAGGTCCACTCACTTTCGTAGTAACTGCATCTAACTCGAATTGCCCCTTCTGTGTAGCCAATTCTTTCTCATATCGGTCCTTGAGAGCGGCGATCTCCTTGTCAAATTGAAGTTTCAATCCCGTAACTGCCTTTTCTCGCTCTGCATTGGCAGCGTCAACGTCTTGCCGTAGACGAGCTCTCTCTGCTGCGTCCTTCTCCTTATACTCCTTCTCCTGTTCCCGAAGAGCAGAAGCCTGCTTCAGTGCTTCTTCCTTCTCTTTCTCGGATTTGACCAGCTTTTGACGAACGGTCTTGAGCAAACTGATGGCCTTCGTGCGCTTCTCCTCCTCGTCCTTTGCCACCTCCTTGATCTTGGCAATCTCTGCCTGCATCTGTTCTAATTCCGCTTTTCGTTTTGATTTATCGTCGTCGCTTTGAGATAGCGAACTTTGAGAGGCTTTCAATAACGCTTCGGATTCATTCAGCTGCGAGCGAAGACTGTCGATAAGTTCCGATTGAGATTTAGATTCTAGGCGGTGAGTATCTCTCATTTCCTCAATCCGCTCGCCTTGCGCTAGATATGTCGCATCTCAGTATCGTCACCCTCTCTCAGGTCGAAACACCTTACTCTCAAGCTTCGCGTCAAGACGCATAATTTCCTCTTGAGACATCTGCGTAAGAAGTGTCATTTAGTAAATGAAACAGTGACATAATGTAGAAATGAATTGACCTTTGCTTTCGCTGACATGTTCTGTAAGTAGTCTCGCAAAGCATCACTCTCCTTGAGTGTTTCCAATGGAGTCAATTCCCGGAGAACAGCGTCCGCAGCCAGTTTTTCCGCTTGAAGCCTTTTGAATGACGTCGAAACATCTAAAGTCAGGTATATCGTTGACATTGAACAGCAGTCGGAACAAACATAACAACTTGCCTGCAAAGCGCTGTTCAACCAACTTCAGCCTCTCTTGAAGGGCCTCAACATCAACGTCTTCACCGGAAGCAAAAGGTTCCTCCACAATGGGCCCTCCTACGATAGACTCTTCTGCAATGGGCTTTTCGGTAATAGAATTTTCTGCAACGGGATCGGGTATGGATTTAGCAGCAGGTTCAGTTGGCAAAGGATCTTGTGGTATAGGCTCCTCTGGTATTTGTTCCTCCGTCATAGTATCACTATCCTCTTTGGTAGGACTCTCAGGTTTGGGTGGTTCACTCTCTGTTAGAGTTAAAGGTGACATAAGAGGCTGGGAAGGGACATCTGGTGACTCTGGAGGTTTCGACAGGATTTCCTCCAGTACGGGTGGTAATGACGGGGAATCTGGTAGAGGAGTTGAGGATGGAGACAGTGGATGCTCAATGGCAGGCGCTCGAGGAGCTGGTGATGCTCTAGCAGAGACGTCTGGAGTAGGGCCATTAGAAACGTCCCCAATGGTAAAAGACGCGCGTAACCGCTCTTCAAGGCTGGATTTTTGGGTATGGTCCCGAGCGACACCGGAAGTTGGGATCCTTGGGGAAGTACCTGGGCTGGCAGAGCGTGGAGGAGCCAATGATTTACGAAGACTGGATAGAGCCGACTCTGCTAATTGACTGGATGACAAGGGAGAAGTCGAGCGCCCCGCCAAGTCGAGTGAGCCTGACCGGGAATGCGGTTCGCGTGGGCCGCCAGATGCGTCGCTGTCGAGGCTGCGACGTGGTTGCGGCGCAAATGTTTCGACAGCGTGCCGGAGCTGGGAAAACATGGATAAGGAACGAAGAGCTGTACCGAGCGAGTGCTGGTCACCGCTAATGTACGTCACGTGTATTCATACAGGGTCTTCATGGTATTCAAAATAAATACATTATGCCTACGACGTAGACGGTGACATATCCACCTCCTTCCCCTTCCCATTACTAATGGCAGTAGGTAACGTATACGATGGCGTAGACGACTCAGCAGAACCCATTGGCGAAGGTGCAGACGCCAGCTGCCAGGCTGGTATTGTCGGTCGTCCAGGCGTGGGCAATGGAGACGACGGAGAGCTGGAGATACCAGGACCTCGGCTCAACAACAGAGCCTTCAAGGACTTCAATTCCTGCTGAAGCTCTGCCAAAGATTGAGCCTGTGACTCCTTGTTCCTGTCGATCATCTGTGGCGAAAGATCAGCAACGTACGGCAATGCATAATTTGCATACCTTTGGAAGCATCTCGCGTATCGTGTTAACCTCATCCCTAATCTCACGCATCTCGTCCCGTGTCTTGAGCTCGCTACCCCTCATCTCCGTAACAACGAGTTCGATATCCTTGGTTGTTTTGTCAACTTTCTCCTTCTGTTCCTCGACGGCAGCCCTGACAAGCGCCGTTTCCGCTTGTATTTCTTTGAGCAAGGCCTCGGCAGCATCAAACTGGGCATTTAGAGCATCACGATCTTGTTCGTACGCCGTCGTGCTAGGTGGTTGCAGATGCGGTAAGAGGTATTTCTTTTCAAGCAGTTGACCAAAAGCATTTAAGAAGACGGAAGAGTATCACACCTTAAACAGTGTAACTGCACCATAGGTTATTGTTCCTGACACGACCGCGGTTATCTATGACGCGTTCATCTCAGAAAGTGAAGCAAGGTGGTGGTACAGCAGCGCACGAAATAGTCTCGCCAGTCCCATTGCATTGAAGGAGCAGTCGGAAAGGGTGATACGGCATAAGGTGCTGGATAAGAAACGGGCGGTGATGCATTAGATGACTGGCGCAAGGCAATGTCGATTTCCTGTGAATTTAGGCCCTTTGATTCCAAAAATTGAATCCGTTGAGCCAGCGGTGAAGCTTGAGACTGCATTTTTGGATATCAGACCATGAAACCAAGAAGATGGAAAACGTACTTTAGGGTCAGACAAGAAAGCGACAGCATTTCGCAGGAGCTCTTGACGGTCTGGAGTAGACATTGGATACGCTGCGTCGCTGGCGCGTGAATTCTTACTGGGGACCCCATGGCCCGGCTCCGCCCCGCCGGCCGACATTCGGCAGTTTCCGGTGGTCAAAATTTCAGCGACGGCGGTTCCTCTTTTCCCTCCGTCCATCATGTTACCGTTCGCGGCCACAAAGGGCGCCTCCTGCGGGTTGCTCGCTGCACGAGGTATTCATTCACTGCTCACCCTGCGTTCTGTCGCTTATTTAGGTTCTCTTTCTCTTCAGTTGCCATCTTCAGTGCGACTTCGCGTCGCCTAGTTCCAAAACTCTCCGTTTCCTGGACTCCCTCGGCCTGGGGTACGCTTAGCATTCGGCGTATTCACAATTGGGACTGACTGTCGTCCAGGAACGCGAGGCTATGCCGAAGTCTATAACAGGACCAAGCCCCACATGAATATTGGAACTATTGGTATACATTTTTCCCCGATATTTACTCGTTTATCTCAATATTTCTAGGTCACGTCGATCACGGTAAAACTACACTGACGGCTGCCATCACCAAGTGTCTCGCTGAGAAGGGAGGTGCACAGTTCACCGACTACAATATGATAGACAAGGCTCCGGAAGAACGAGCTCGCGGTATCACTATCAATGCTGCTCATGTCGAATACGAGACGGAAACTCGGCATTACGGTCATATCGACTGTCCCGGTCACGCTGATTGTAAGTTGTCTGGTCTGTTTATCATTCCGCATATCGAGATTGCTACCTTAGACATCAAGAACATGATTACTGGTGCAGCTCAAATGGATGGCGCAATTATTGTTGTGTCGGCTACTGACGGTCAGATGCCTCAAACACGAGAACATCTTCTCCTCGCTCGTCAAGTTGGTGTCAAGAAACTCGTTGTCTTCATCAACAAGATTGACCAAATCTCGGACCCGGAAATGTTGGAGCTTGTCGACATGGAAATGCGAGACCTTCTTAGCACGTACAACTTTGATGGCGAGAACACTCCGATTATCATGGGCTCCGCACTGGCTGCTTTGGAAGGTCGTGAGCCAGAGATAGGTTCCAAGAAGATTTTCGAGTTAGTGCAGGCATGCGATGATTGGTTGGACCTCCCCCTTCGTAACGTTATCTCGCTTTCCTTGTCTTCAGTGTCGTTGACCGTGCTTATAGGTGACCTTGAGAAGCCTTTCCTACTTCCTGTGGAAGGTATGGCCCTGCTATCGGCCCTAATGGCGCAATGCTAAATTTATTTCCAGACGTCTTCTCCATTTCAGGACGTGGAACCGTCGCTACTGGCCGAGTAAGGGTTCTACCAGCTGTTTATCTATACGCCACTTCATTCTCCTATAGGTCGAACGTGGTGTTGCCTCCAAAGGTACTGAAGTTGAGGTTCTCGGGCTCGGCGAATCGTTCAAGACTACCCTCACTGGTATTGGTATGTTCTATGACTGCGTTATCCAAAAATTCTTCGCCTCATCTCGTAATCGTAGAAATGTTCCACAAGGAACTCGACCGGGTGAGTCGTCAACAGGTTAATAGACACGTATGTATGCTCACAAGAGACACAGGCTGAAGCTGGCGACAACATGGGTGCTCTGCTCCGTGGTGTAAAGCGTGAACAAGTCAAACGCGGCCAAGTTATCATCGCCCCTGGCTCCATGAAAGCCGTTAAGGTTTTCAAGGCCCAGATCTATGTGTGTGCTCTTATTGATCTTTTCTGTGTTATTCCATAACTGTTTTCATCTAGGTTTTGACTAAAGATGAAGGTATTATTTACGTCTTCCTCTGCTTTTCGCCTAGTCTGACCGCTATCTTCTAGGTGGACGTTATACGCCTTTCACCTCTGGATATAAGCCTCAGCTATTTTTGCGTACTGCTGATGTTTCTGTTGAACTAAAATTCGACGACCCGGCCAAGATGGTGACTTCATCTGCTAAATATTTCATGACAGAAGCTAAATGTATACCTTCTTAGGCCATGCCTGGCGACAACGTCGAGCTGGAATGCAATCTCCACTCTTCTCTTGCCATAGAGGTCGGATCCCGGTACGTGCAAGCCTGCTACGTTCATCGAACGCAATCATTGATTACTGGTTTAGTTTCACTCTCCGTGAAGGTCACAAAACTAGTAAGTTACACTTCATTTCTCGTCTAGCATCTGACTCTTACCGTTGCTGTAGTCGCTACTGGTGTCGTGGTTGAGATCAAGGAGTAGAGGACAAGACTTATCTCGTGCTTGAATTTATTGCATTCCCCACTCATTATCTCTGTAAAAGTATAATGCAAGCCGGAAAACTACTATCTCTACGTAGATACTAGTGACTTGTAGTCCAGTAATAGGAAGGCGAGAGGTGAAATAAGAGCAATCCACAGATTCGTATTTGGAATCGGGACTGAATAGAAGCGGTGTTCCGGTGTCCGTTTATGGTTCATCCTATAAATTTTACAGACACTATCGTCGCGGCTTTTTAGCGTCTCTATCTCTCTGTTTTTCAATGCAGTCTGTCCTCCGAAACGTCACAAAGTTGGGCTCATACCGCTCTCTAGTGCGCAACACTCCGTTGGCAGCACCGTCAACCCAAAGGTTCTGTGTTCGACCTCAGTTCGTTCGAACTCTCGTTAGTGCGTACTGGTCCAACCGCGCATTCTCTCGCTTCTGAAATCCGGATAGCAAAGCGTTATACGAAGGATCACGAAACTGTCACTTATGATGATTCCACCGGAGTTGGCATCGTGACTATTACCGACCACGCTCAATCATCTCTTGGTGATGTCGTTTTCGTGGAATTGGCTGAGATAGGGACTGAGGTGGAGCAAGGAGGTATGTACGCTCTTCCTTGGGATTTTTGGGCAATTCTCAGTAAGCTACAGGCCATATAGGAGCTGTGGAAAGTGTCAAGGCCGCGTCAGACATCGTGCGTTGACTATTCACTTCGCTGAAGGGATAGTTTTACTTAGTTCTTCCACCAGTATGCCCCGGTCTCTGGACTTGTGGAGGAGATCAACACTACACTAGCCTCTCAGCCAGGATTGTTGAACAAATCTCCTGAGGATCAAGGTGCGTTCGATGAGTCAGTTGGTCGTCGCCTCCGAAGTAACGCCATTGCAGGTTGGCTATGTAAAATCAAGATTTCGGATCCGTCTGAGGTGTGACCTTTTCCTTCTATGCAATACTACTGACTGAACGTCAATCCAGTTGGAGGGATTGCTCACGGAAGAGCAGTACAAGGCTGAGTACAACATTGAATCTTGAAAGGGTCGCACAACGTCCAGGGCCTCAACTGCTCGGACACGAGACCTTGCTGGGAAGATAGACTTTAGATTATATTATATCTTGCGTGAAGCCATGCTGTCATTGCAATGAAATTGGGATTAAGAGTCGGAAGATTATGATTTCTGTGATGGCTCGTATTTGTACTTCTCGCCACGCGCCTCCATCCGTTGTTTGGCCTCTTCTAACGCCCATGTCTGAATGCTGTCGTTCACTGTAAGCGGTGGTAACAGTAACATTGATGCGAGACGTACCTTGTGTCAGGTTTGTAGTACAGCATCACCGATGCGAAGGCCATTGTACCAAACATCCCAATGTACCAAATGTTCTCCCAATCTTCTTTCACTCGCTTCTGGCCCGAGGCGAGAGGCTATCCAACGGTCAAGCCGTATTCTCAATGGACGAGTATAGGTGCACACCTTTTCACCAAAGAGCCATCCAGAAGGTTCGTTGTACTGAGGGGTGCCATGCGACGCAAATCGTCGTCCGTGTAAGCGAGGTGCTCCTGCGCGCAACAGACGCAGGGTGGTGCTCGGTATCATGAGAGTCAACTATTGAGGAGGTCTGTACGCGGGGAAAGACGTGCGAAGTTGTTGCCAAACATACAGCAGCACGATCGGAACTAGCCGGAATCTGTCCAAAGCAATTTTAGCAAGCGAGTTAGATTTCGCCGTCGACTGTCGCAGAAGAGAGATGCCAGTATGATATAATTATTTTACGTGGTTTTCCTTGATCTTGATGCCGCACCGCAAATTTATAATGGCAAGTTTCCCCCTTCGACTGACCTATACTTCCATAATATTTTCAATGCTATTCTCAAGTTCAACAGCTCGAGTGAAAGCATGGTGTCGCTTTTTCATTGTGTCCAGCTCCGCATGTACGATGCTGTGTTATGTATACATTAACATATGATAACATAACAACCTCCGGTTTCTTTATCGCCGTCATCATGGTCGAAAAGATTTACATCGTGCGGCACGGTGAGCATCGAGTACTGATCTAAAGGCCCATCCTGAGCAGTTTGAAGGCTTCCGAATGAACTGGGTCATGAGCAACTGGAAAAGCGCAACTGGGCTACCGAGGGATCCTCCTTTGGCTGCATTGGGCGAGGTACTCCTCCTGGATTCGATGTGTACAAATCGATCTGACTTTACTGGAACAGGCGCAAGCACGAGAATGCGCGTCGTACTTTCTTTCGCTACCAGAGGATGAACGGCCTACAGCGATCTTCTCTTCCCCTTACTGTACATGCGTTTCTGATACCATCACTCGATGATTTCACTGACCCATAACTTAGATCGCTGTCTGCAAACAGCCTCTCCTGTAGCTGCCGCTCTCGGTATCCCAATTTTCGTTGAACATGGTCTCTCGGAGTGGTATTCCCCCGTCGAGCCGAACACAGGACTTCATCCCCGCCCTGGACCTGCATCTTCCCTCGAACCATACTTTCCAGGTCAGATATCGACCGACTGGGACAGTATTCACTACCCCTCGCGACTCGGAGAAACTGTCGATGAGGTTCACGTCCGCGTTGAGACATTCCTGCAAGACTTTTTGCCTCTCCGACCTAAAGGAGAGAGGCTTCTACTTGTGAGCCACGCAGCTACGATTGCTGCGCTGGTAAGGCTACTCAGCGGAGAGAGGGATATGCCCATCAGGATTGGATGCTGTTCGTTGAGCCAATTTCACAAAAAGAACGGAAACACTTGGTCCAGGGTCAAGACAGCAGATGGCTCTCACCTCAGTGGAGGATCTTTGAGAGACTGGGGTTTCCAGGATATCGAAGTCGAAAATGGACGGGTTGTCAATGATCCTGGTGTTCTCGGTTCGGAGAATGAGAAAAACGAACCGGTAGGTTCAGTGGTAGGCAAGAATTTGAATGTTAATGTTACAAGTAGTTTGTAGTTATAGAGGTCTCATTTATACACGTTAGAATGTCACCCAGGCGCTTGCATAACTTACGCTTGAGTCTCTCAATGTTACGCAAGCGCTGCTCTGCTCATAACGCACCCATTTCAGCTTCGACTCTTTCCCTAGCGCCGTCATTGCGCCCAGCAGTACGCCAATAGGGTGCCTGCCACATATCGTGTTCTTGGTCTTGGAGAGATACGCTGCGAACTTGGTGTGTGCCTCTGCTGGTGGTCGCGTGAGGATATCCATTGCTTCGTGATCAAGCTGACTGATTGAGGTGTGGATGGGGTTCGTGGTTATCGACGAGGAGCGGGATAAACGGAATCCAGCAGTCCCTTCTGTTGGTGAAGGGTAGTAAAAGGTATAGGAAAAGCGAGTGCCCCTGCAGGTTATATGTAGACGATATAAGACGGCCGATGTAGAAACATACCAATGACAAAAGTCACTCGATACAACACAAAAGGTGTCTTCACGATCGAGATAGGGAGCCAGTAGAGCACCGTAGGCTGCTTCATCTTCCTTGGAGACAGAGCCCACGACGATAGGAACAATGGCTATGTCTTTCCTGACACTGGAATGAGCACCGTTTCTGAAAGCCGAACGGACATTCTTACCCCTCAAACATCTTCCTAACATACGGGAGGTGCATCTCAAGACTGTGCTCTGCCTCGTCGTCTTCCTGAGCCAGAGTCTCGAATTGGTTCGTAGCTCTCAGTTCCTTAATCGCTGCGACACTGTCAGTGTCAGTAGGTGCTAAGGAGGGCGAACGCACTATCGAGATCTAGAGGCAAGTTCCCAATAGGCGTCTCGTACTCCTCACACCCCGACAGTGCGCAACCCTGGATGTAGAGATGGTGCGAGGGACCAAGGATAAACACCCGTTTGCTAGCAAGCCATCAGTGCCTGCACGGCGAGGAAAGACGAAGACCGACATCGGCTTGGTATCGATGCTCTTGTATGCCCAGGCAGCTGCGGGGCCTGAATAGGTGTATCCAGCATGGCTGTAGTCGTTTCAGGCGCAGTTCAAAGAGCAGCTAAACAGACACACGGTGCGATGATGGCTTTGCAACCTTGGATAGGATATGGCTCATCCGGAGTGACTGCAGAGAGCCAGCCATTGAGCTCGTCGTTGAGGATGCTACCTGTTGAATCTCTAGTTCATCATTCGAATCACGAGACAATATCATTACCATCGCCAGTGTACCAGCTGCCAGCATGCGATGCAGAGCGAACGTTTCTATAGAATCAAAGTGAGATGTTTGAGGATACTTGATGGAAACAAACGGACTCGTAAGACATTCTGTGTTTGCAGGAGTGGTCAAAGATGAAGCTACTTAATTAGATCACACGTCTAAATCGGGTCACTACTATCAATAGAGGTGCATAGTCGCATGGTCATTATTGCTGCATGTCGGAAGATTGGAAGAATACATGGAATATGAATGGTGCAAAACGACGACAACGACAGTAGCTCTACTCCTCCGACCGCAGACGGGCAGCAGGGTTCGTCACCTTGACTCCCAGAGCCTTGGCCCTATAAGCAGGTAAGAGAAAACTTGGGACAGATAAATGCACGCGAACCTCTCCAAAATCGTTGTGCGGTTCCGGCTGCTCACGTTGTGCGCAATCTCGGCAGCGTAGCTTTTGTTGTGCATCAAGAGGATCTCGAGTTCCCGGACGTTGTTGACGAGGAATTTTTTGAGGCCATTGGGAAGGAGATGGCGAGTCTGGGACAGTGTTAGACAGAAAATGGTTCCACTAGGTGTACGTACCTTCTTGTTGCTGCCGTATCCAATCTGCAAAGTGAGGTTGGTTGTGTAAAATATAAGAACTGAAAACTGAACGCACCTTGGGCATGGGAGTCTGACCCTTGAAGCGACGTCGCACCCTGTTATCAATACCCTTGGGTTTCCGCCATGCCTCCTTCACACCGTGGTAACGATCTGACTGGTGACGCCTGTATGCGGTCAATAGGACGTCCTCATATGCGTTGAAAAGACAAACTTGAAAGGCTTGGTGTGCTTCTTGACAATGGGGATCTTGACGGCCATGGCGGTCTACAAGTTGGATGTTAGCTTGAGAACCAAAAGTGTCCAGGAGCAAAATAAAAATTTGGCAGCGTCATCCGACTTGTAAGATACGAATCCATCCACCAAACGGGTTGAAACTAGTATCAAACGCATCCAGTCGTTGCTCTGGTTGTGATTCTGCAGCATAGAAGAAAAATTGAGCAGCGAGGACGGAGACTCACAGTGTTTTTGAAGGATTGAGCTTGAGGGCGTAGATTATTGTGTATTCCCCAAGGGTGTCCGCTTGCCGTGAAAGATTACGTAATAGGACCCCTAGGACCTTTCGTGGGTCGGCCACTGAACGCCTTTTAGAAGGTTTGAAACTGTTCAAGGCTAGCGAATGGCTAGGTACGATTTGATATAAAATCTCTTTTTAATTTTCCATCATGTACATGCCAGTAGAAGGCGGAATGCATCGATATTCTATCATCACAGTACGGATCTTCTGCATGCCAGAGAGTGCCAAATGATACTAATCGGGCTTTTCCCCTGTAATCGCTGTCTGTAGTGCTATATTGAGTACCACCACTCTCGTTCCACCTAGACATGGTCGTCGCCAGCGAGCAAGACATTGAAATCGTTACTAGACAACTTAGCCAGGAATTTCGGAACCCACGTGGGCGTGAACCGGGATTGGCATCACCTGGGGTCTCACTCCACCGAAAAAGTCAATCCAGACCAAGACCTTCGTCCGCTCCTCCACCAAGGCGTTCACTACTCCGCCTTTTCTTTCATTCTATACGTATCAAGACGAACATTTTCAGTCTTTCTATGCTCTCGGCCCCGCCACAGTTGGATTTGGCCTTTGATAGCGAAGAATGGACTCCACAGCTCCCTGCACGACTATACAGAGCTGCCAGCGTCGGTAGCTGGGGCGTTACCTCGATTGGCCGGGGATTCGACTGGGACCAGAATGAGGACACTTCCGAGTCCACGTTCTCCCAAAAAGCCTCGCCACAGCCGAAAACCGACGCTCTGCCACAGAAAGAGGCGCTTCGACAGCCCGTATACGAACCGTCGCTTCCAAGAGCCGACGAATCCAGTATGGGCAGAAAGACACCAAACGGTATTGCCCCAGACAGTGCGAAGGTTATGCGTCTCGTCACCAACGTTACGCCAACTCCCCCCGGTATACTAACTTCCACCTTTTCTACGGAACCATCACGTTCATCGTCACCACTGCTGTCGACCACCCCAGGATCATCCAAAGTTCCCACTCCCTCCCGTTCCCCCACAGCACCGCGGCCTCGGCGCCGTTCGTCGCAGCAACGGGTTTCATTGATTGCCGGGCGAGTGTCAATTGCGCCTATAGAACCTCCTTCTCCGCCGCCGATCCTACCGAAATCACTTAATCGTGCAGACAGCGCCAGCAGCCTGCTGAGTGCTGCCTCCAGCACACGAGCTCCCTCACCTGCTAGGTCGTCAGAAGAGTCATTCCTTGGCGAAAGGACTATCTCCGAATTTCACATCGAAGGAGAAATTGGACGTGGTGCTTACGGGTTAGTGAAGCGTGCACGAGAAATCCTCAACGATGGTTCTCTGGGGGTACGTAAGATCCGCCTATCGGCTTTTGTGCGACGATCTAACGCTGCGATAATTGCTAGCCGCCTCTTGTTATCAAACAAGTGATCAAGTCGCGTATACTGGCGGACTGTTGGAAGAAACACCCTAAATACGGAACTATTCCTATCGAAATCTACGTCATGTCCGCCATATCCAATACGTCCTATGTACTGCCTCCGAAACGGCCATGGGACCCTCGCCGGTTCGATTCACTCACATGTTCTCATAATCCGGTTGAATCAGGTTCTGATGCGGATGACTGGGTAGAGGGAAAGACCGTCAAAGGACATCCCAACATCTGTCCCCTTCTAGACTTTTTCGAGGATAGCCATTATTATTATCTTGTCCTTCCGTCGTCGACTCCAGAACATCGCGCCGACGAACCATCGCCACCGTCCGATCTTTTTGATCTTGTCGAGAGTTATCCACAAGGTCTTCCTCCGAGTTCTGTTCGCACCTATCTAGGACAGATAGCCGATGCATTATGCTTCCTTCATTCGCATGGAATAGGTTAGTATTAGTAAATTTGAAAATATGGTGACTGATAGTGATATCTCCAAGTTCATCGGGATGTCAAGGATGAAAATGTTGTGCTTGGACCTCATGGCAGTTGTATCTTGATCGATTTTGGTAGCTCCGGATTGGTTAAAAAGAATGGCTGGGATTCCTTTAGCGGAACGTATGTACTCGGTCCATCATTGCTGAAGATTGCCTCGAGGCTAATTGTTATCTTTAATTAGTCTTGACTATGCTGGTCCAGAAATTCTTCGCGGCGAGCGCTATCAAGGAAAGGAACAAGACGTTTGGGCATTCGGCGTTGTTGCATATGTATTGCTTGTTGGAGAATGTCCGTTTATGACTGCTGCTGAGGCGCAGGAAGGACTGGACTCTCCGTTTGCAAGTGCATCTATGGCGCTCGACGAGAGATGTAGCGAAGAAAAGGAGAGTTTTGGAGAAGAACAGGATGGCGGCGGTGCGCTTGGAGACGCAGCGGCACTTGTCAGGGCCTGTCTGCGTTTACAAGTTTCAGCTCGACCGACATTTGAGAAGATTCTCCAGTCGCGATTTCTCGCTGGCAACGGCGGATGGACAACTTGTGATCCCTGATCGAAATGAAAACAACATGGAGACGAGGCGACTTGACTTCCAGGAAGGAAGATGTATGTATTCACTAAGCATTGTATTAACATAAATTTACATCCGACACCCCAACCCTGTAGTATGCATGCATCCTATCCCACCTCTGACTTGCTGTGCTGTTTTACTCATCTCTCTTTCTTGCTGTTATTCGGATACGTCTTAGATAGACCCGTCGATAGCGCGTAGAGTACTGCAGAGATTTCACTATTGTACTATCACTACTACTTGTAAGTCCCGGAAAACGGTTAATACCTTTATTTTATTATGTGGATGGAGCCGATATCGGCGGTGCGGAGTCACAATTGGTCACACTTTTATCAGCCATCTGATCAAATTTGGATGTGATCGATAAAAAATTTTCACCGTCGCAGTATAACTAGACCAAACATCTCTTTCTTGTCTGTCTACCTTCTTCCTTCCCCTCCACCATCATCTCTTATCCCTTGTAACTTGTTGTACCTCTAAAGTAAGTGCATTGTCTTCATCCGACATCGCTTCTTCTGTCAGACCTCGCCTATGTTTTCCCATCGCTGTCGTGCGCTTGTCGCCGACAACGTAAAATTTTTCATCTGCGCATCTGGACCGATGTCGTGCGATCTATGACGCTAACGTTCCACTCTTTTTCCAGAACCTATTAAAATGGGAAAGGAAAAGACTCACGTTAACGTCGTCGGTAAGTTGTCTTATCGATGCGCCATCGTCTAGTCGTCGAACTCAATCACAACCATCGCAGTCATCGGTCACGTCGATTCCGGTAAATCGACCACCACCGGGCACTTGATCTACAAGTGCGGTGGTATCGACAAGCGTACCATTGAGAAGTTCGAGAAGGAGGCTGCTGAACTCGGCAAGGGTTCCTTCAAATATGGTGCGTAATGATCGCTATGAGTCATTTCTTCATGCTGATTGCATCTACCTACAGCTTGGGTTTTGGACAAGCTAAAGGCTGAGCGTGAGCGTGGTATCACCATCGATATCGCTCTCTGGAAGTTCGAGACTCCCAAGTACATGGTTACGGTCAGTCTCACCGCATCCATCATCGCCGTGATCGATATTCATCTATCTTTGTCCGTAGGTCATCGACGCCCCCGGACATCGTGACTTCATCAAGAACATGATCACTGGTACCTCCCAGGCTGATTGTGCCATCCTTATCATTGCTGGTGGTACTGGTGAATTCGAAGCCGGTATCTCCAAGGACGGTCAGACCCGAGAGCACGCCCTTCTTGCCTTCACTCTTGGTGTCAGGCAGCTCATTGTTGCCGTCAACAAGATGGACACCACCAAGGTACGAACCCTACCCCATCGCTTTTTCTTCCGCGAAGTCCGACATTTATCTTAGTGGAGTGAGGACCGATTCAACGAAATCGTCAAGGAAACCTCCACCTTCATCAAGAAGGTCGGCTACAACCCCAAATCTGTTGCTTTCGTCCCCATCTCTGGATGGCACGGTGACAATATGTTGGAGGAGTCCGCCAAGTAAGTCATTACCATATTATGAGCGATGCGGCGGCTTAACGTTGTTGAAAGCATGCCATGGTACAAGGGCTGGACGAAGGAGACCAAGGCCGGTGTCGTCAAGGGCAAGACTCTCCTCGATGCTATTGATGCCATTGAGCCCCCTGTCCGACCCTCCGACAAGCCTCTCCGTCTTCCTCTCCAGGATGTCTACAAAATCGGTGGTATTGGAACTGTGCCAGTCGGTCGTGTTGAGACTGGTATCATCAAGGCCGGAATGGTCGTCACCTTCGCTCCTTCTAACGTTACCACTGAAGTGAAGTCCGTCGAAATGCACCACGAGCAGCTCGAGCAGGGTCTTCCTGGTGACAACGTTGGATTCAACGTCAAGTGCGTTGAAAGTTATCTGCATATATGTGTTGTCTGCTGACATTGGTGCATAGGAACGTCTCGGTCAAGGATATTCGTCGTGGAAACGTCGCTTCTGACTCTAAGAACGACCCTGCTAAGGAAGCCGCCTCTTTCAACGCTCAGGTCATCATTCTCAACCACCCTGGTCAAATCGGTGCTGGTTACGCTCCCGTTCTTGATTGTCACACTGCCCACATTGCCTGCAAGTTCGCTGAGCTCATTGAGAAGATTGATCGCCGAACGGGTAAATCGCTGGAAGCCAGCCCCAAGTTCGTCAAGTCTGGTGATGCTTGCATCGCTAAGCTCGTCCCTAGCAAGCCCATGGTGGGATTTTTTTTGTCTGTCGTAATTTTCGCGATTGACCGTTCAATTTCAGTGTGTTGAGTCCTACAATGAGTACGCTCCTCTCGGTCGTTTCGCTGTCCGTGACATGAGGCAGACTGTCGCTGTCGGCATCATCAAGTCCGTCGACAAGACCGAAAAGGGTGGCAAGGGTACGATATGACTTTGCCTTTATCCTTATCAACTACTGACTGTTTTGTAGTGACCAAGTCCGCCGAGAAGGCTGCCAAGAAGAAGTAATTAGAAGTAGAAGCACTGTATCTTTCCTTTATCAGTTTCTTACCTTTTACTTCTTCTGTTGGTCATACTCATCACCTGTGTTATTGTCATCATCAAGCATTGTATTCACGATAACGAGGCTGGCGGCGTAGTCGGCGGCTGAACGCCGTGTGTTTTTAATAATGTAGTAGAAGTCGCAAAAGCAATGAATGGATGCATGTATCGTGCCTTGGGCATCTGAGATCCACAGATATGGTTCCAAAATAAGATGAAGCTTTGTTGTATTTGATTTTGCACTAGTACTACATATCACCTTCTCCAGCTTAGCAAACATGTTGAAGCGGCGTGTTATCCTCGACCTTCGGCCCGAGGTCGCGGCCCACTGTACGCTCGAATACTTCCATCATGAAGCCGAAAAGAGACCTAGTAAGGGCGGCGTCCCAGCGTCCTTTAGATTGTTCATCGCGAACAAAAGCATGCTGGGCCTGAACTTCGATAAACTGAACAACGTCTTAGCCATTGCAAAGATACACAGGAGAAGCTGTTTACCGAGACTGTGACATTCGCATCATCAAGAGTCTTTCGTATAAGATCACGCCCCTCGCGAGGAACATGAGTGTCCTAGAATGTAATCAATAGCCAGTAGTTGACGGGCATTACTTAGGATTCACCTGTTTCCCAAAGATCATCTAGAAATCCGAATGTTAGTTTTGTGATTATCAATAACAACTGAGTACAACTGACCACTAGCTCGCCTTTCCCAGTCATATCGCCGTTGCGAACGCGGATGAGGGAATCATCCTGTTTACCTTTTCCCAGCGTCGCGCTGTGGATGTCAGTGCCAAAGAAACACACGGAAGCCCGCACACGAGGGTCGAATGCAGCCTAACAAGCGCGCTTACAAGGACGAAGCAGCTGAAGAAAAGTGGGGGCATACCCTGAAAGCCTGTTGGATGGGCGTAAGGTAAAGCTGTTAGGTTAGTCTCAATCATCGTACAAGATGTCCTCCAAGGCACATCCCGGTAGCTAGATAAAGGACGGTAAGATTTAACCAGAATCGAAAGGCCAGGTTTGAAGAGCACCTGCGATACGCCCATTGCAATTGGGCAGAGAGGTAAGGAGATCGATGGATAGAGCTGCATCCTATGACAGTGTCAGATCAAGGACATCAAAATACGACTTTAGAACGGTACCTCGTCGTAAGCTGCTACCTCCTTCTCGATCTAATAATGGATGAGAAGACGAGTACGGATTGGAGGACAGCCGAGACCTTGTATTTGTTGCCTCTGTCAGTCCCTGCAGACTCACCTAAGCTTGTGGTTAAAGACTAGTTTTGGACTAGACGTACCCTCTACATCGTAGGGAATGGCCTCTGGTCCTTCGAATTCGTGATACACGGAGGGGCAGGCTAATGCAATTATGATCAACGCTGATCATGATATATCACCCTTTCACCTACCAACAACGTATCCCTGACTGGCGATCTGTCCAGCAAAGCGTTCAACCGGCCCAGTGACCTGGTAAATTTCACTAAAGACGACAACGCCTGGACTCATCGTAAGGATCGATCGCGATAGGAAGCTTAAATGACTGAATGGATGACTGACCAGGAAACTTTGCCTGAGGATAGTTTTGCACAACAGGCGATATCACAAAGATCCTGATAGGACGACCATTAGCGTCGAGTTTAGTGGGGACATCGTGAAATGTTTTGGTGATGAGCATGGTGGCGGCGGATAAAGAGATCGGATGTCAATCGCTTCTGCTTTTGGCTTAGACTCGGATCTACCCGAATGAATTCAAACTCGACAAACGTGCGCTCTGCTTTCGTCAGCATATTTATCTCGGGACCATGCTGAACTCTTCGCTCTGCCCAATATGGTTGAGCCCACTGCACGTATACGTCCGTTCAAGGCAGAAGATGAAAAGCTTGCGAAATTCACCATTGCCAAGGCGAATATGGAGGGGCTGACGACGGCGAATACCAAAAGTGAGTGGAATCAGAGCTGCCTTGGACTACTGGACCTCACAGTGGATCAGGTTGGTTACACCCTTTGACTCTCAGTATATGGGTTGCCCTATCTTGCATCTGGATCCAATATATGCAATGGTGGCCAAACGCTTCCATCGGCTATCTATCTTATTTGAAGCCCCTGCCAGCATTTGCTTCTCTCGCGGTACCCATCTTAGCATTGGTTGATTGGTGAGTACGTTTTCAAATCTAACTATCCCTTTTTTTTACCAATGTTCTATAGGATAAATCGACCGCATTTCGAAAAAGTGCTACAAATGGTCCTTCGAAAGCCAGATATGCGCGACTTGGCTGGCTATTATGCTCGTACTCCATCTTCCGGTTTTTGGCTACTCGAATACGGAGACAACATCGTCGGCCTGATTGCTGTTGACGCATCGCTCGATTCCGACTCCAGTCCAGACACTAAAAAGAAAAACAGCCAGCCAGTATCTTCCACCGCGGTGATCACCCACTTCTCCGTTGACGAAAAGTATCGGTCCACCGGCGTTCAGGATGATCTTCTTACATATGCTGTCCGTCATGCTTTTGCGTCCAGTCCTACCGTTCAGCGTGTAGAAGGCATCGACGATCCTCTGGTCGAATTTACCGGTCCTTGTTATACTGCTGCAGGATTCAAAACAGAGTCAGTCCTGGAACCAATTGGCGTGTTCAAATGGAGACCGAGAAAAAGAGTCCTAGAAAGGTCAGCATGGGAGGAAAGAGAGGCAGCAGCGTCCCGGTAGTTGTAATCGTACTAGTTATTACTTATCTTCTATTTGGGTAATATACGGAATTTCTATTTCAGCCTTCCACCATGACCTGCAGCTTGCTCTCTCACCATGTTCATTCCAGACACACTTCAATCCAGCCGTCATCCTTTATTAATTCTCCAGTCATCAGTCGCACAGTCAACACTATCCTTGCTCCGCAAAGTTATTGAAACATCGCCAGGCAATAAAGGGAAGCATACCGGCGAAACTCTATTGTTTTGCCTTCTACACCTTCCTTCAAGTCTAATCAATCAAGACACCACCGGGGTGACCGTATACGACCGCATAGGCAGTGTACCAGGCTACGATGATAGTTGGATAGATCCTAGAGATTTCATCTCGAATGCCGTTGAAAACTGTGAGTTGTCGTCGAGTCAATGCGGCAGTCTTCCAACCCGTCATTTCACAGGTCCTTCGCAGCAGCTACACGTAGTAATTGACTCTGTCGACACTTTGTTATCCGATATTGGCAGCGCCGCAGAGTCGTACAAATTTCTCCGTAAATCGCTGGTTCAATTATTGGCGCGACCTGGTACGTCTTCCTTTTTTTCAGTATCCCACTAAAATTCTAACCATTGCCTAGGCCCCTCTCGTCTGACTCTTCACTTGCAAAACACTTGTCCCCTCCTGCCGTTACTCGTACAGACCTCCTTCTCGTCCACCTTGGCCCAATTAATCGCCCACCCTCCTGCGCTCCTACTCCACCTCGCCACAGAATACCTAACGCCGCCGCCACCTGCTTCGCCAGAACCCAAATTCTGGGGTGTCTTCCTACCTGTGAGCGAACGCGAATCCGATTTGGAACGCATCATATTTGGTCAAGACGGTGAGGGTTCTGGTGCGAGCGGAGAATTTGTTGTGGAGGTCATCTTACGAGGCGGAGGTGACCACTCTGGCAGACGGAAGGCTGTGGAGAGGGTTCTGGAGGGTTGGGACGTCGCAAAGAGTTCTCCCGTCGAGCTGACGTCTATGGAGAGCTTGAAAAAAGTATTTAGTAAAACATCCGTCGAAGAAGTACGTTTTCATCCTAGTTCCTCTTGGCTCTTATTTACTTTTGGCTAGGCTGCTCCGGATCCTACTCAAAATTTATCATTCAATCTGAATCTCACTCCCTCTCAACAGCAGGCAAGATCACAAGTTCCTTTGCCATACGCTCATGAAGGTACACCCATATTTTATGGCATGCAACATTATGTTCACTTGTCCTTAGGTAAAGCGCTTGAGACACCAGCACCAACGGCCGGGTCTATCTTATACGATCCAGATTCTGCTGATGACATTGACGACGATGATCCTGACGAGGACTTGGATATCTAGAATGTGCCGTACTTTTAATTCCATGTATTCCGACGAAGCAGCATTATCAATGCTCATTTGACTGGTGTCTAGTCCACGAACCCTCTCCTTTCAATCCAGCAGCAAAAGTAGAGAGGGCAGACAAGGAAAAGCGGCGACGGGTATTCTTCTTCGTTTTCTCTACGTCCAGTGAAAAACGAACACGAGATGGTCCAGCCACAGGTTCAGGACTGGGTGTTGCTCCCCTTGTGGATGGAATATCTAAACCAGGAGGAGGACGTAAGCTTGTAGGGACGCTTCGCCGCCCTGAGCGAATCACTGGACCTTGAACATCGGAGTCCCGTAAAGACACATTCTGGACGTCGAACTGGAAACTGTCCGGTCTCCTCGATGGCAAAGCAAGGGCAGAAACAGGGCGTCGCCGCCTGGGCGGAGATATAAGGACTGAAGACGCCGAGGGTGGGGAAGAGAGACGGGTGAGACGGGTGATCGCAGACAGAGAAAAACGGCGGCCAGACTTGATTTCGGCTAGTGTTTTGGGACGAGCATGCATTGCAATTTGAGCGTTCGCAACGACGTCCGATTCAGATTTGGGTACAGCGCGGTCATTTGTATATGGGGTCGTAGGAGCACTGGGTGGCAAAACACGAATGGAAGGAGGCGAGGTACTTGGATCAGAAGTACCGGTGTTCACTGGTGTATAGGTATGTGTGGTCAAACTGGGACGCGGTCTACGAATGCGATGCTGTAACAAAAAAAAAAAGAGGAAAACACGTTAGTCGTGAATATGAACATCTTAAACCTTCAAACTCACATTTCCTTCCTCGCTTGACCCTCGTTCCAGCGGATGAACGTCATCACCAAGGTCAAGAGATGGGACGCCAGGAGGTGAAGGTGTCCGCATTGAAGGAGCACTATGAGGTCTAGGAAGTTCTTTCCTACGTTCTTCACGTCCAACTCCCCGAGCCAACAATTGCTTCACCCTCCCTCCAAACATCTTCACTTTGAGCAGTATCTCTCGTTTCTTATTCCATGACTGGCGAGACCCTGCACGAGCAGGCCTGTCTGATGCAACACTACGCGTACGACGATTATCGTCCGACAGTTCGACCCTGGTGGTAGTCTCGATGACAATGGGTTCAAGGGAAGGGTTGTGGGAGCTCCATACAGAGGACATGACGGCTGCAGCGTACTCCGCGGCACTAGTTTCCAGGGAACCGGTCTCTGACATTCCAATGGTTGGAGACGGCTCTACGGAAGCACCGGCTGATGAGGGATTATGAGAAGGAAAACTAAGGACATGTTCAGCCGCATCTAGGTTTAATTGCGCTCTGAATGATGACGTTGGTGACAGAGATAAAGATGGTGATGTGTCATGTACGGAAACAGAAGCAGTGGGAGTAGGAGTCGCTGCAGACAATGCAAGAGTCCATTCGGGCTCGTTTACGTCGGATCGAGGCGAAGCGAGGAAGCTATTCGAAACAGGGTTGCCGTCTATGCTCAGACTGTCGTCTGGGGTTCCAGGAAGGGAAAGGCCTGTTAGCATAGGTATAGTAGGTGGAGCAAGTTCTTCCACTGAGGGAGAGACGCGGTCTGGTGTATAGAGCACGGGCATCCTTAGTGCTTGATTATACCATGAAGCGTGGGATGATGGACTTGGCGACAAAGATCGGGAAGGTTCATATGTACGTACAACGCCAAAGTCTTCTTCAGAGGACGTGATGCAAGAAAGTGAACTGAGGTGGTCATAAGAGGCCTGAGAAGAGCTCGTACGGGTTCTACTTCGAGGAGGGAGGATAGATGGGCTCGGGGAGTTGAACACCATTGGCGAGGTCGGTGACGGGCAGGGAGACGATGAAAAAGATGAATTAGCCAGCATGCCTGGACTAGGGAATGATGTACTAGGACCAGCAGGGCTGCTTTCACCGAATATATGATTTGGCTCAGAGCTATGAGCATGATTCCGGGTTTTCTGTCCATGTATGCGCACGTTGTCGTTCATTTGAGGCGAGGGCGACGATTCTTCCAGCGATTTGAACAGGACGCGATCTGGGGTCATAGGTGAAGTGCGGGAAGTAGCAACTGAAGTGTCCTAGGCCTTAAATGTAAATTCCGCGTCGTATGAGCAGCAGGCGACTTACCACCACAGAGAGTGAAGTATCATTCTAGTAGAATGATCCGAGGTGAATAAGCTCATAATCGAAGCAAAAAAAGAGGAGCTCACTGGATTGTATTTCGTCAAATCCGAGTCATCTGATGGCATAGATGGCGATGCATTGGGGCAGGATGGAGTAACAGTAAAAGAGGCATGTTTCTTGGTGTTGTTATTAGGTTCAGACAGAGCCAAAGAGAGCCTTTGATGAAAGTTCAAAACGCGGTCGAGATGCAGAGGCTCGGGCAACGTCGCAGACGCCGGTACATGCTGAGGCTGGGCGTTGGACTGGGTCGGAACCGGACAAGTAAGAGAGCGTTTGTGCAGCGGCGTCGCAGGCCATGCACCAGGTATTGCTGGCGACGGACTACGAGCGTTCGCTGTCGTCGTCGCCCGAAGAGGATCCATGGTTCGAGCAGTCAGTGATGCATGTGGAAGACGGGACGTGAGCTTGACGCGTTACAAAGCTAAAATCGAAGCGCGCCTGTCCAAATATATCGTGACGGCTATTGCCAAATAGATTTCATTGCAGCTCGTAATGCCACGTTTCTAGAAGCGTATGCTCGCGAGATAAGTTAATGCTCTCTATACATAACCAGTACGTTTCGTCTACAGGTTACCCTTGACAGCAGCGTCGACGCTTTCTGCAAAGTATTCGATGTTTCCGGCGTTCAAACCAGCCATTGAGATACGTCCATCAGCAGTCATGTACACATGGGCCTTCTCAGCCAGAGCCTTGGTCTGAGGTTGAGTAAGACCGGTGAAACTGGAAAACTAAGTCAGCAAAGGGCGGTGATACCTTCAAAACATAGCGAACCTGAACATTCCGATCTGGCTCTTGATGTGACCCCATTCACCGGGAGTCTTGAGGTCTTTGCTCAGCATGTCATACAGCTTCTCTCTCATTGAGATGATTCTGTCAGCCATGCCCTTGACTTCGGCCTCCCACTCGGAATACAATGCAGGGTCGCTAAGAATACCATTGGCAATCAAAGCACCGTGCATCGGGGGGTTAGAGTACATAGGCCGGATGACAATCTTAAGCTGGCTGTCTACCCGAGCCTTTTCAGCGGCGTCAGCGGTCGTCAGTGAGAACGCGCCAACACGCTCGCCATACAAGCCCATGTTCTTGGCAAAAGACTGCGCAAGAGCGACTTGATGTCCTTGCGACACAAAGTGACGAACAGCGAAAGCATCACGCGAAGTAGATCCGGAAGCGAAGCCCTGGTACGCCATGTCGAAGAACGGGAAGAGCTTCTTTTCCTGGACGATGTCGGAAATTTCCTTCCATTGTTCCGGGGTAGGGTCGATACCCGTGGGGTTGTGTGCACAAGCGTGAAGCAATACGATCGACTGTTCTGGAGCAGCCTGGAAAGTCGCGTAAATTGCAGGAAGCGAAACACGTTCGCCATGTCATACCTTGAGGTCAGCCTTCAATCCTTCAAAATCCAATCCAACCGTGCCCTTGTCAAAGTAGCGATAGTTCCTGACTTCAAGACCGGAGTCACGGAAGATCGGAGTGTGGTTACCCCAGGAAGGAGTGGGAAGATAGATGACCTTGGAGTGGGGGTAGTGACGGGCAAGGAAGGCGCCTCCAATACGAAGGGCGCCCGTTCCGGAGATCGATTGGGTTACAGCAATCTGGGGTACATTCAGTACACGGAACGCGGTAAGAACACGAGGACAGACATACCGCTCCCTGGCTCAGGGGTACGCTGTCAACACCGTAGGCAAGCTTGGCAGCATTTTTGGTGAACTCGGGGAGACCAGTGATGGGAAGGTACTCTTTGTCCGGGTGGTTGGTGGCAATAAGGTCTTCTGCCTGTATACGTATGTGCATAAGTCTGGAGAAATCATCGAGTCACGTCAATAATCGAACCTTCTTGACACTAGTAAGGACGTATGGCTTGCCAGTACCATCACGGTAGGCTCCTACACCCAAATTAATCTTTCTGGGATCCTTATCAGCCTTGAAGGCTTCGGAAACACCTGTACATTTCCACCAGGTCAAAGTCAGGTCGTGTCAATGGTGACACGTAAGAACACACCGAGAATGGGGTCTGGAGGGCCTGCGGGTACAGCGGACCAAGTAGAAAGAGTGCGAAGGGTGTTGGTTCCCAAGGAGCGACGGGCGACAGAACTGGCGAGCATGATGGTGGAGGACAACTTCAAATATCGAGGTCAGCTTAAACTTAATGTTTGCGCGGGGTCCGTTTTTCGGCAGATTTCGGCATGGCGGTGCTAAAGCGGATGTATGACGGCGATTTTATCCGATCATTAGATAAGATAACTGGACCTAGGTCCATCAAGACCAATTCAGGACCTAGTCCTCCATCGCTAGTCATCTTGACTCGTATTCACCGAACAAATCGTTTCATTGTTCATCATGGCGGAGCCTACTCCAGAACAGTAAGTCATACCTAGAGCTCTCCTGGGCCATTCCTTACCTAAACATAGAGTCATCGACGCTCCATCTGGGCCAACGAAAAGCGAACTTAAGAAGCGCGCCAAAGCCGCAGAAAAAGAGAAAAAGGCAGCAGAAAAAGCTGCAAAACAACAAGAGCTAGCCATGCAGAAAGCTGCGAGTGAAGTCGTACGCATATACGCCTCTTTCCCCTCCTATCTATCTAATATTATTGTTATCGATAGGACTTTGCTACTGAATTTTACGGACCTTTACCCCTCAATCAATCCCAATCGCGTCCCCGTAGGGAATACGCCCAAATATCGACGTTTTCCTCGCGCGATGGAGAGACTGTCTTGTTCAGAGCCCGTGTGCAGACATCCCGTGCGCAAGGAAACAAGATGGTTTTCCTTAACCTTCGTCAACGAACCCATTCCGTTCAGGCTCTCGTGACTGTGACGCCCGAGAAGATTTCCAAGCAGATGGTTAAATGGACAGCCGGATTAGCCGATGAGAGTATTGTGCTCGTCCAGGGTGTCGTCAAGAAGACTCCAGAACTGATCAAAAGTGCTAGCGTTGGAGGTGTGGAGGTACATTTATCGCAGGTGCGTGCTGATTATCTCTCGCCACCGTCTAAATGGCTTACCCGTCTGTACAGATCCATCTCGTTGCTGGTCTGGACGCCAGGCTGCCTTTCTCTTTAGATGACGCTTCTCGGGGTGATGCTGAAGTAGAAGCGGCTGAAACACAGTTTAATAAAGTTCTTCTGGACACCCGGTTGAACAATCGCGTACTCGATCTTCGAGTAAGTTTCTCCGTCGTTCGTTGGGGCCTCATGCCTAACCCGAAGAATTCTCGTTAGACCCAAACGAACCAGGCTGTATTCAAGCTCCAGGCCGCGGTCGGGGATCTCTTCCGCGAGCACCTTAGTGCCAAGGGATTCATAGAGATCCACAGCCCTAAGCTACAGGGTGCAGCGACGGAATCGGGTGCATCTGTATTCAAAGTTAGCTACTTTAAGGGTATTCAATTTCGCTTTCACATTTCTGGCTATGATTCTCACGGTGGATACCAGGGAGCGCTTTCCTTGCGCAATCTCCTCAGCTTGCCAAGCAAATGGCTATTGCTGCTGACTTTGAACGAGTCTACGAGATTGGACCGGTGTTCCGAGCGGAGGATTCTAACACGCACCGGCATTTGACAGAATTCATGGGTCTTGATCTGGAAATGACAATCGAAGAGCACTATCATGAAGTGATGGAACTTCTTGACGGACTGTTCTTGAGCATTTTCAAGGGACTCCGGGAGAAATACAAGAATGAAATCGCCGTTGTTGGAAAACAATTCCCAGCTGAAGAATTCAAATGGAGAGAAGGACCTGAAGGGACGCTCAAGCTGACTTTCAAAGAAGCTATTGACCTTCTTGTTGCGGACGGCGTTTCGAGAGATGTTTTAGACGATATTAAGTACGTGCATTCTCTCACCCATGCTCTAGGGAGACCGTCGCTTATTTTGGGTTTCGCATAGTACCGAAAATGAGAAGCGGCTCGGTCGGATCGTCAAGGCAAAATACGACACTGATTACTACATCATTGATAAGTTCCCTATGGCATTGAGGCCTTTTTATACCATGCCTGACCCAGAAGACCCGGTAAGCTTCGTCATCACTCTACTGTTACGAGAAGCCTGCTAAGAGGCGCTATGCAGACACTCTCAAACTCTTATGACTTCTTCATGAGGGGAGAAGAGATTCTTTCCGGGGCACAGCGCATCCACGACCCGAACCTTCTAGCAGAGAAGATGCGCAGCAAGGGTGTTGATCCCGAATCAATGAAAGGCTATATCGATGGATTCCGACTTGGGTGCGCCCCACACGGTGGAGGGGGCATAGGATTAGAACGGGTATTGATGTTGTTCTTGAAACTGAACAACATCAGACGGGCTTCATTATTCCCGAGGGACCCGAAAAGGCTAGAGCCGTAGATAAAACAACGGTAGAGAAGGTATGCTTGTTTCTGTAGAAAAACCCGCTGAATTGTAACCATGACTGTATCATTGAGCACGTTGCCAATTGAGTGTTGTCACATATAAGCGGGACCGTATTTTTATCTTTGTCTTGGTATATACGAAGGAAGTTTGATGGACATATTTATGAGTGTTATCCAATGCATTCTAATAGTGGAGCATCAAAGGCTCTGAGCCGGCCGTCACCCGTCGACTTTCTGTATTATAAGGGAGCGAACACGTACTGCAGGGCAACCTCCGTCGTTCCGAACACTATTATACTCGAACGCCGTCTACTGCTGCGGCGAGCTGTCCTCACTCGTGTATTCCCCGTCCTTGATAGCACTTGGCCATGCTAGTGCTCCTTACCTCGACACTTGTCGGTAGACCCCTGCAGAGAAGAGATGTATGCACCGGAAACAGATGCGGGTCCCCCACAGACGTGATCGCGAACAAAAGCGACCAAAGCGACGATGGGCACGGGCTGGACAAGTACGTGGGGATTATCATGGCGGTTGCATTTGTGTTGGTGTTGTTTGTGCTGTGGGTGGCGTTTGCAAACTGGCCAAAACGGAAGCTGCGAGAGTGGTTACGGTCCCGCAGAAAAGATGACGTCCAGAAGATCGAGGCAGTCGATCTAACAGAGGCGGCCGGCGAACTGGCCATACCAGCAAAGGTTGCCATTGTTGACGAGAAGAATGCGAAGCACGACGCAGATGTAGGCTACTTGGAAGGCCATCGTAGAAACGTGAGGCGTTTTCTTTATCCCAGTATTCTTTCTTTACCATTTTCACAGAGACCCAGTGTCCATACTGTGACTATCAACCGGTGACACTTGTGGTCTGTACACGTCTGGTGTACGAGTTTTGGAGTGGACTATATACCCATTATCTATTTCAGTGGATTCCTTTCAGGGCATTGGAAGAGAATTATGCATGCTAGCCTTGTTCTGTGATGAAGAAAAAGGCCGACAAACGGAGATCATATGTGAACGACGCAGATCTCCGGTCAAAGTCGGACGACCCTTACTCTAGCCATCCATAACTCAATTTCAGCCACAATCATAATGACCAGGAAATTTATTACAACATATCATCATCATCATATATAGTCGTTTCGCACTAATACTGCAGACCGTACCTCAGTACTGCACACGAAACAGTAAGGTAAACAAACTGGCACCCACATACATATACCATCTTATATTTAATGCCTTCGACTGCGTCGCCTATCTCGCGAAGTATTAGCCTGTCCCAGCGCACTCGCGGGTATAGAATTTCCTTCCAAAGCTGCAGCAATAAACTCTGCGGGTAAATCGATGTGCACCCCGTCAGCGTAGGTGAACGCATCCAACGGCGAATAGGCAGGGGGGTCTCGTCTAGACAAGCTCCCATTCCTTAGTCTGTCATCGTCGTCTCCATCACTAACAACTCCACTCTCTGGACTACCTGGTCGGTGCCTATTTGATGACAGCGCCTGCAAATGGATATCACGGTGATTAGGCGTTGGTGGATTGGCAGGGCTCATAGGAGACTCGGGAGGTGGATGTACCTGGACTGTGACGTCTGAGGATCCTGAGTCGGATAAGGACGCCGCGATATGAGTGAGAGAGTAACGGTGACGACGAGGCGTCGTAAATGGGTTTCGCGCACCTTCGGGCGATAGCGATCTGGATGAAGTGGTGGGGGAGGACCGTAGTGAACGACTGCCCTCATCCTCTTCATCTGGGTCCATATTAGAATTGCCAGGCGTAGCAGGGAGATTAGTATTCGGAGGTACATGGAAAGGCAGATCTGTGGGTGAAATGTATCTCCGCGATGACGAAACGGTCTCACCATGCTCCTCGTCAACGGGTGTGATGGGCGGCGGCGGGCTAAACAGCTCCGACGACCTGAGTGGTGACGAGACAATGGGTTCGCCTGGCGGCTGTCGTGGTCGACGAGTCCGGTGTAAGCGGCGTGATGGCGAGGCGCCAGGACTGCTGGGCGATGGCGTGCCATCAGTTGGTAGTCTGATGCGACCGCCGACATCAAGCAGGATACTTCCGCGTTCGCTACCATAAGCAGGAGGCGGCGCAAGGGTCCCAACACTTGGCGCAAGACCCCATTTCTTGACGTTAGCTTCCACGAAGACGAAGCCTCCTTGACCAAGGTTTACATGAACGCTGCAGGGACCGTCGGCGCCAATGGTAGGGAAGAGGTTGAATCGGTTCAAGCCGACATACGCATCATCAAGTTTGCGGCCGTTCCTGGTGAAGAAGACCGTGCCTGTTCTGGGGCGATATCCCACACCTAGAATGTCGCCTTCCTTTAGAGAAGCGTTGAATGACGATGCAGTGAATGGATAATTGTGCGATTTGTCGCCGTTGGAGAGGTAGGCGACAGAGTACCGGCTCTGACCAGGGAGACGGAAAGGAGGATAAGGCTTGGTCGCTAGGCCCACAGCAACGTTGGTTGTCGGAGGAAGATCAAACATCTTAATCTCCCAGTAGTAGACTTCATTCAGTTTGGGTAGAGGCAGGTTCGACTGTACGCATGACGACGAAGCGGGGTCAGGAAGAAATGTGATTTCGGTTCTTGCATGCACGAGTAGGGAGTTTACGGTTTCGTAATCTGGCTCGAAACACCACGCCGAAACGCCCTTTTCCTGGATGGAGAGGAATTGGGATAGCGTTATGTCTGTGGGAAGGGAATTTGGAGGGTACTGCAGCTGGTAATCTGAGGGAAAGAGCTGTGAGATGGGAAGCGATACCAGCACGAGTCCATACCTCTAGCTCGCAAATAGTCTCTTCGAACGTTCTCTGGGACGCTCTCCAGCCACCGAGACTCGACACCTTCAAAGCCTCCTTCGCCTTGGATGAGGTCCTCCCTGCTCATGTCGATGGGGCCGTCGGAATCGCGTAGGATGATGGAGCGGCGTCTGCGTAGGAGAAGGATACATAGCAGGAAAAGAAGGAGCAGAAAGAGAAAGGTAGAGAGTACAATGAGCAGGGGCAAAAGGACCAGCCATGGTTCATTGGGCTCTGGCTGGTTGTCCATGGTAGGAATAGTGTGTCTGTAGTTCCTGGTCAACGCAGAACACTGTGTGCAATTGCTCAGCCATCGGCCGGCCCGCTATGTTCCGGCCGGGGCTCCGGCACGGCAGCCACTTTGGACATAGACCCGCCCGGATGTGGCCAGCCCCTCGCTGCCCTTGTCCTCCGCCATGAGTCTCGCGACCCCGAACTTGCGCAAAAATACGTCGAGACGTCGAGCTGGCTCGCATCTACAACCGCAGGACGGTCACCATGCTGCTCTTACTGCCATCAGGTCCTTTCTCAAGGGCCGCACCTGCTATGATGCCTTTCCAATCAGCTTCAGGCTCATCGTACTCGACACCAAGCTTAATGTTAAGCGCGCCCTACAATGTCTCATTCTAAATAGTCCGTCGCGTAACTATAATCATTTCCTCGCTCATCAATCTCTAGGTGTTGTGTCTGCTCCCCTTTGGAATAGCGAAACTTCTAGATTCGCCGGAATGCTCACCGTCCTCGACATCATTCATCTCATCCAGCACTACTACAACGTCGCGACGATGACATATGAAGCGGCTGCCCTGGATGTAGAAGGCCTCGTCCTCGAAGATCTTAGAGGTTTTCAATTTCTTTCATCGCGCCACTCATCTGAGATTCTCGTTCCAGGAATCGAGACTCAGCTTGGCGTCGCGCAGCCCCCTCTTTTATCAGAACATCCATCTAGCACTTTATACCAGGCCGCAAAGGTCCTCATACAAACCCATGCCCGGCGCCTTCCCCTTCTCGATGTTGACACAGAGACCGACCAGGAAGTCATTGTCTCAACTTTAACAACATACCGTCTCCTCAAATTTATATCGATCAATGTACATAATTATGTTTAACCTTCCTTATCGGAGATACTTACCGTCGCCTCGACAGTGTACTAAAGAAATCCAACAACTCCACTTACCTTTGCGCAAACTCAAGATCGGTACATATGTAGCACCTCCCGCCCCAGGCCAAAAACCTTATTATCCGATCGCGACTGCTGGCCTCTCGACTACCGTTTTTGATGTCGTCCACCAATTTTCTGCTCTGTCTATTTCTGCCGTACCCATCATTGATGATGATGGTATTGTGGTTAACCTTTACGAGACGGTTGATGTCATTGTATGTTTTCTCCTCTCCATACAGTTAATCCGTGCTTCACTATCTTGAATCAGACACTTGTACGCCTGGGTGCATACCATACACTTGACCTCACCATCTCCCAAGCGCTAAACCAGCGTTCTCCCGATTTTCCTGGTGTCGTGATTTGTAACGCATCAGATTCCCTTGGTACTCTCCTACAGCTCATAAAGAAGCGAAGGGTCCACCGTTTGGTAGTAGTAGAAGGAGAGGTACGTCAACCTGATATAATTGCTCTCATCAACTGACGATCACCGCAGGAGGAGGAACGAAAGGGCGGAAAGAAAGGCCGACTATTAGGTATAATTACCCTCAGTGACGTTCTCCGATACGTTATTGGTGCAGCGAGTATAGGCGAAGGATATGACCCTAGCCAGAGGACGAAGTCAGAGGATACACTGAATCCTCCGTCCCCGTCCCAATCGCGGGCTTGAACGGTGATATCTTGTATTTTTTATATCTAGACGATTTCTGGCTGTGATATCAGTGGATTCTTTTTTGATGTATGGGGTGCATCTTCTGACATTAGTTTCGTAATCACACTTTACATGTGGCCCTTCATCTTGACGAAAACATTTTCTACATCTCGTGAAGCTGCAGTCTCCCAGAGGCATGCCCTGGATTTTTTGCATGATATACCGGCCTTCATTAGCCTCTCTCCGCTGTTGGAAAGTTACGCACTGGAAAAAGGCGGCAATCCTTGCACGTACACGATCGTTGATCGCCTGAAGGTCCTGGGCTCCTTCAGTACCACCACGACGCTTCGTGCTACATTCACCACTTGTGATGACGGGCTGGACGTCGAGGTGAATGCAGGGGCATGGACACGTCTCAGGACAGAGTATCGAGTTCGCCCCGCAGTACAGGGCCGCGAGTTAGGAGTTTTGGTGATCGAACATGTCACAATTTACGTTTGTCTGCTCCTGCCACCATCGAGACGGGCTAATTCATTCTCCAATCATAGGGCCTCTTCTGCTTTATGCCCTTTATCTACGCCACGCTGACCAAATCTCATCTGGAAGGACAGGAGAGGCTCGTACGTGCTCTGGAGAAACGTCATGTACGATTTACTTTGTTCACATTGCTCGATCATCTGTGTGCTAATCATCGCTTTCACTGTAGTGAGCACGGAGAGATATCAATGGTTTCCCCCAGTTTTTCATACTACTTGAACGTCGTTCCTGCATATGCTTTCTATACCGTCGCAATAGCATCGTTCCTCGCCCTTATTTTCTTTGCCAACAAGATGTCGGACCCATATGGCACGTTCCATCACGCTCTCAACAAATTGCCTGGGGAAGATCCAAGTGCACCGCCCCAAACTGAGTGGCTGAATATGGGCTACTGGAAGGTTGGTGCCAGAGGTTCACGATCTTGCGATCCCCTGGTTACGCCACGTCTGTAGAACACCAGTGTCTTCCCAGAAGCCTGTCAAGGTACGTGTGGTAATCTCATGAAATCACTGACAGTCGACCTGATCGTCTTTCCAGCGCTCGCTCTGAAGCTCATTCGTACCGCCGACAGCCAAGCTGGCGGTAGAATTCTCGGTGGGTCCGGTTCCCACTGAATGACACAGAAGCCATGTAATTCATATTGGCCCCGCAGATGTGGGACACGGTAGTGGGGAGTCGCTCATCCTGCTTCTCTCCCACCCAGATGTTCCACGTCCCTCCGAGCTGTCAGGAATTACAAGTCTTCCTGCACATCACCAGCGTTCTCGTGAACGGATTGCGAGCATGCGGCTCCGAAATCCGGGTATCATCGAACCAAATCTTTACCTCGGAGATGCGGTTTATCGACTTGGGAGAGAAGATCATCCACTCAGTCCCAATAACGCTGATATGTTCGACACTATTCTTGCTCTTGATTGCGCGTATCACTTTCACACTCGACGAGACTTTCTGCGACAGTCGTTGTCACACCTTGCGCCTGGTGGGAGAATAGCACTTGCGGACATCTGTTTTACGACGAGTTGGAGGTCCATGAACTTCGGGACGAAGGTTCTCTTGACAATTTTAAACGTGATCCCCAAGGAAAACATCGTTTCTCTCGCCGAATACGAGGCAGACATGCGGGATATGGGATACGTAGATGTAAAACTAGAGGATATCAGTGAGGATGTATTTCCTGGGTTTGTACGATTTCTAAAGAGCCGTGGGTGGGGCTGGTGGATATTTGGGAAAGTCATGTCGGCGTTTTCGGGCCGGTGTCAATTTGTAGTAGTGAGTGGCTGTGCAGGTGCTTAGTAGTTTTGTCCATGGACGATGACTGCGATTCAACAAGTGTCGATCGTTGACCTGCAAGAGCGCTCTGAGCCAAAGCCACATACAGTCTATCGAATCGAAATAAAGGCTCACATTCAATCATGGAGCATGTGGCGCCGCTACTCCGAATTCGACGATCTCCACACTGATCTCGTTCAGGCAACTGGCACCCCACCACCAGCACCCCTACCTCCAAAGCACAAATTCTCCATTTTTCGCTCCCGTACCGACTCCCAGCTTCTCACAGAGCGACGGGAAGGTCTCGAGGCATACCTACGTGCCATCATTAGCGCCAGAGACGACCAATGGCGCGAGGCCTACCCTTTCAAACAGTTCCTTGGAATTCCCATCGGCAAGGCTGCAGCTGCCAAGAACGTTCCCACCCATTTCTCTTCTACATCTTGGCTAGACTGAATACCAAGAAATCCAGACACGCCTGCGAGACGTTAGGGCCGACATAAACCGCCGAGAGGCGTTCTCCACCCAGGGCGACGTCAATGCCTCCCACAAGTCCTAACGTCAGCTGCCAAGCAGAAACTCGCAGGATGTCTTGGCCCGTATTGGCACGCTTGGGAAGGGACTTCAGGAGCTTGTAGTGGGTGGCATGAGTCAGGGTGAGCTGCAGAGACGGACGGATATGGTTGCTCGGCTTCAGGATGACTGCGAGAAGCTGGGAAAGATGGTCACTGTTGCCCGAATGACTTCGTCACGGAGCAGCGGCGGCGACACAGCACCCACCTCCATGAAACTCGCGCCGTCGACTGACCGCGAGGCCCTTCCTTGGTCCGACGGGTAACGCATTCACTAGGGTGACGAGAGTATTTGGTGCACCATTCGGCACCTCAGGAGACGGAGGAGACCAGGCCACTCGATAATCATGGGCTTTTGACTTTCCAGCAGACCCAGATTGAGGCAACAGGACCAGCAGTTGTCCATTTTGACGACTATCCTGCAGCGACAGCGGCACTTGGGGGAGGCTATTGGAGCCGAGATAGCCTCCCAGAATGACATGCTCGATGGATTGTCGAATGATGTAGACCGAACGGGTGGTAAGCTTGTCTCGGCAAATAGACAGCTGGGAAGACTCGGTTAGAGGGTACCTGTTCCCCATTTTTTTGATCAGTTTATACTTTCCAGAGGCATATCTGTATCCCCTTGATTTCTCATGTGTGTGTGTACATAGTGCGTATAATATATTATCCAGTAAATAATCCTGCACGTGCTGAATGATAATCACTTCTAAGCGCGTCACGTAGAAACTGACAAAGTATCAGGCAAAACTGCACATGACCGGTATCCGCTCGGTATGAAAATGACTAACTTAAGGACTTTGCATTAGTAGAAAATAAGAGGTACAATTCTATGACATTCATAAATAAGTTATTGCTAAATTTTACGATACGGAAGCAGCTGCGTGTACCCATCCAAACCCAACACGACGGACGGTGTTGAAGAAATGAGCTTCGGCTGACTACAGTTACCGGGTCATAGCACATGTGCCGGTTCCTCACTGAGTTCCCGTCAGGCCTTGGCCAAGAATTTTCCGACTCCCTAGAAGGTTATTAGCGTCTGTGAGTAAGGGGCAACAAAATAATCATGTACCTCAAAGCAGGCTATCATGATTCCGCATGCCGGAGCAATTTTAGCTATCCGCGGCGTAATTCCAGCGTACAAGGCTGAGGGTCCTTCTGTCCGTACGATCTGATTGAGAAGACCGACAATCGACGTGACTTTGGGGGCATCTGATGCTGCTCGCATGACCAGCGCTTGACGTCGAGTCTTGAGAACATCCATTGGCGACGTTATCAGTGCAGCGCCGGTTCCACTAACAGCGCCACACAAAAATGCGATCCATGCGTTCTTCTGGCCCTGCCGAGCAAACCCTTTCTTCAAGGTCTCATAGCTAAACCAGTAAAATCCCGAAAACGGAACATCCCGCCATAAGGTGGGCCCAAGTCCCCTCCATAAACAACGTGCACCTTTCGTCTTGACAAGCTGCTGAATTGATGCGAGAACGGAACGAAGGGTATGAGGTTTATCTGGTGAGAGAGGTGTCGATTGTAGATTGGTCCGTATAAGTTCGAGTGGAGATGCAATTGTAGATATTATTGTACGAGCGAGTATTCCCGATGTCAAAGGAACGAAATTTTCATTCGGTAGTATTGGTGGTAGCGCGACATTCAAGAGGTGGTCATAAGTTAGCATGTATGCGGTTGAAGACGGAACTCCAATGACCCTGAGCTCCACATGAGATTTGCTAGCTAGCAAGATGGAAAGGCAACGTACAGTGTTGTTCCAGATCCCTTCCAGAGACCACGTAGACCTTCTGCCTTCCACACATGCTTCACTGCATCGTAGAATCCATTAACCCGCTCCGCCCTGAACACGCCGTTCTCCCAGACACAGACGAGTTCTTCCTCCGCAATGGGACGTGCCAACGACGACAAGTTTCTTACACACGGCCTATTGAGAGGTTGACAACATGTATTAGGCGGTGGCCGTACGAACAAAGGCTGGGAACTAGGCCGCTGAGTTTGTAGCCGTGTTTTGACGACGTCAAATGGCGTCACTGATAATAGAATGAGCATTAAAGTTTATAGAGATAACAAGAGGGTACACTTACTAGTAAGCGCCGTCATCGTCGAGCCAGTAGCGGCAGCGGCGAGCTTCGCCTGGAATGGATCCAGGCCATTGTGGATGGACATGGGAGAGGAGCGAGAAAATGTGCGAGTCAGCCGCCCGTACTTCCCGTTTGTTTTATCAGATAATCCCCGGTAAGCCACGGCACGTGCCTGCCGCGGGGCACGAATTCGGCACCGGGGGTGTTACCTGATTAAAAAATTTACAAATAAAAAATTATTGTCAAGTATCATCATCGTCCTCAACAACCACGTCTGTCATCGCTCCCATTTTGCGCTTGCCCCGTTCACAGTAGTGTTGAACAACATACCCAGTACTGACGCTCAATGGCTTCTGCTCTTTCTGGTCCTTCTCTTGTCGCTTCGAGAGCTGCGCTCTCTGCTGCATTGGCTGATCAATCTGATGCCGTCGATGATTCACTGGAGCCGGGAGAGATCCAGGAGGTCGACATGCAGGCTCAGGCCGAGGGTATCCGAACTGTGTTCAGTGATCCCACCAATTTCAATGTCAAGGTATGCTCTGTAGCCTGCATTGCTGGCCTAATAGTTCCGACCCCAGTCTCACGCGACCTTCTTCTGTAGCACCCCCTTTACTCTCCCTGGACTCTTTGGTTCGACTCTCCAGCTACGAAAGGCCGGAATCTGCCTCAAACACCCGTCTCTGCCTTTCCCCAAACACCTGTGCCTCAGACACCCGGAGTGGCGGCGGCACAAGGTTGGATGGAGGATATCAAGCGGGTGATCAGTTTTGACAGTGTCGAGGAGTTTTGGGGGTACGTTCCGACCGTCGCTGTTTGGGGCCAATGCTTACAAAACGTCTTCTCTCTCTAAAGCCTATATAATAACATTGTTGCGCCATCTTCGCTACCGCAGAAGGCGAACTACTATCTTTTCAAGGTTTGTCTTGGTTCTCCACACTATCCGTAATCACCGTGTTGACGCTTTTCTCAGGAGGGAATTATCCCGGCGTGGGAGGATGAAGCTAACAAGAACGGTGGGAAATGGAGTATTCAGTTACCCCGAGACAAGAATCGAGGCAACGTTGACAAAATGTGGCTTTATACAGTGCGTGGTGGCTCCTATATCTTTCGTTCCTCTCACTGTCTTCCTTGTCCTTTCAGATGCTTGCCGCAATAGGAGAAACGTTCGACCCCCTTCTGACCGAAGCTGCCAGCAATGGTACTCCACCAAGCTCTTTGATTACCGGCGTTATCGTTTCCATTCGCCCACAGTTTTATCGTATTTCCATATGGACGCGACTAGCTCCGTCTGCAACGGATGAAGATGGGCTAAGGGCGCGGATTGAGGGAATAGGTCGACACTTCAAAACAAGTGTTCTCGGTTACTCTGAAGGGCAGAGACTGGCAGGTCCGTTGGCCACCGAAGTTGAATTTCTTTCGCATAAGGACTCGGAGAAGAAGGGCAAGGCAAAGAAGATTATTGTCTGATACTCAGCACTCAACTGGGAGCGCAGTTCGTTACGGTTTATTATATTTACATTTATCAATTGACTTAGTGTAAAAAAAGCGATGAGCGAGGCACGTGCGATGACACGGTAATGACATCATACAAGTCCACTGCGGAACCTTGCATTGCCTTAGGTCTACTTGAACTTGCATTGCCTACCCAACATTTCTACCTTTTACCATCATGCCCGTCCCAGGTTTCTTACAGTCTTTCGCAGACAAGGCTCAGTCCGCTATCAAGGACTCGCCTCTCGCCCAGCATCTCCCAAGCCAGTATCGTCCTGGCAGCCCAGATGCCAGCGCCCAGCCATCTGCCAATGAAGTCGCGTCCGGTGGTCACAAATCTCACACTTTAGAAGCAATCCAGTACCAGTTACGCAGCCTCGGTCAGCAGTACAGGTATTCGGTGTCCTCTCTTTGTCCATCAGAATCTGATCTCGGTTCTAGTTCGACTTCGCCAGTACAAAAGATCATCACCATCGAAAAGGGTGTCGCGATTGACTTTGATAGTGTATCCAGAGACTCAAAGGCACAGAGTAAAGAACTCTACACTTGGGGTCAATCAGAACTCGACGATCTGAAAGATGGTATGTTGCCACACCATGTCTCAGTTCCTGACACTGACACTTTTTGTATTCAGTGACTGATCGCCTTGCGTACCTGAACTTCGTACAAGGTTCGCTTGCGAGCTCCATCGCGGTGAAGTTGGATGCTGCCCGAGCGCCACTGAAACAACTTCGTGACGCCGAGGTTGCCCTCACACCTCGCCGGAACATCCGTGCCGGGCTACAGAATCAGCTCGCAAGGCTCGAACATGACAACCAAAAAGGCATGGAAAAGAAGATTAGCGAACTAAAGGATCAAGTCAGGAAAGCCGAGGCCGACGATCAACCACAAGAAAGGGAAGTTGAGCTTTTGAAGAGAAAGGCTATCCGCGAAAGTGAACAAGCCAAATGGGATGCGATCCGCGAGGTATGCTTGTCATTCTTCAGGACTCATTAACTGCGGCTAAATTGATGATTATAGTACGGCGAAAAGCTGATTCTGCTGTCACAAGCTGCAAATCCCGTTATTGCGGTGTTGCCTACAATTCCGCCCACTGAGTCATCTCCGTACACAGGTGCACAAGCCACTGGTGCTGCGCGCGCGTCGTTGCAACGTGCTCTTGATAATTATAAGACGGGACATATCAATCTTCCACCTCAAGTTGCGGCATCTGACCTCAGTCGATCCGACACTCAAAGCTTTGGTGAAAGCCATGCTAGTGAGCTGTCTAGCATGTCCACCGATGTTGCCGGTGCCGCTAGTCCTGGTATTCCACTCTCGCCGCCGTTGAACGCGACCAAGGATTCTTCACAGGCAGTATCTGAGCCTACGAAGTACGCCCCTCCATCTTCTCCACCCCCAATCAACCCATCCAACTTGAATCTTTCACCGACACCTCTTCCTTCCTCTGGTGGTCCTTCATCCGCGTCTCCTAGCGTCTCTAGTGTCCCATCGGACTCGTCTAAGTTACCTCCGATCACACCTACCATAGCAGAAACCGGGGTACCTGTGTCTGCCGGCACATCAGGCCCTGGACCCGCAAGCGGTTCCCTGCACGACATCAAGGCTTCGCCTCCGTCTGGCGGTAATGGGAAGTTTGAATCTGCTGAAGAGGAGAAGAGACGCCTTGCTGCGACATACTCTCAGGCGTACAATGCGCCACCTGTGTCACAGCCAACCACCTCGACGTCTGAAAGTGCTGAAGAGGAAAAGAAGAGGTTGGAAAGGGAGAGAATTTTGAAGGAAGGTGGGAGTCACGGACCGACTGGAAGCGGAGACAATAACACCAGGAAGGATGATGACGAGTTGCCGCCATACCAGGACATTTAATTGCGTTGTTCTTACATGTGGATTGTATTTCTTGTATAACGATCTGTGGGTATGGTATTAACAATGAATGTACCTCATATCTCTTCTACGTACTTCTAATTTCGGTGTCCAATTCAGCTGGACCGCTCCAGGGTGGCGTTCACATAATTCTTCTCCACATGCTCCGGAAGAAAGGACTGGTGAATGGAAGGGTGAATAAGTATATGTCGAACTGTGCCGTTATGGCAATTAGTTGTAATCGTGTGTCTTTTATTTAGGTTCCGAATGTATGAGCGTGAAGAATGCTGAGAAAATTACGAATTAGATGGCCGCCCTATCGCGCCCCGGGAATAAGGTAGTATATACAAAGCAGCAAAGTAAAGTTACAGATTCGAAAGCGAAAGAAAAGATAACGACATTGCGAGCATCATGCATTATCACTTCCATTATTCGAGTATTCCGTTGCCCCCGTTTCAGCTGACCGTGGCTGACACTGTTTCAGCGCTGCGGCAGTAGCCTCCTTCTTGATGAGAGCATCGCGAAGAGACAAGAACTATAGGGAGACGAGTGAGTGATGAAGAAGACCTTTCCCTTTCGTAATAAAGAAATACTGACCCTATGCTCCTCCGTCACGCGTTGGAAGTTAAGTTTTCGGGTCATATTTTCCATATGAACTAGCAGCGTCTAGGGGGAGCAAATGTCCGCTCGGAGAACAGTCCAGGTAAACTCAAGGTTATGCAGACATACCCTTATGGAACGGCTACTGAGGCCGCGATAACTGGAAACTCGTTCCAAAGCAACGGGTTGGGTGCCAGTAAGGTTGAGTTGCTCGTGTAGATAGATCACATAGCGCTCCAAGCATTCAAGGTAGTGCCTTTTTTTCTCGTGCGAGGAAATGCTGTCCCTGCAGGGAGTCAGTCAATGGTTTAGCTCGGAGAATTATGCAGGTCAGGAGGATTTGGACTTACGGATCTGTCGGGGGAAACCCGATACTTCTCGCCATAGCGCGACGGCGAGCTTTCCTGGCGGTGTCAGCTTTGTCGGGACCGAAGTCATGAGCTAAAGGTTCAGAGACGGCAGACGGTTGGTCGTTAAGTAGCTCGCTGGGAGTGGGAAACGTCAAGAGAGGCTGGTCGCAGGGGTTGTTATTGTAGAAATTAATAAAGGGCTCGAAAGGAGGAGTCTCCAAAAGTACTCGTGGCTGGAGAGGTATTAGTTCTGGATGGCTGGACTCTGGAAATGGTTCAAGGGGTGATACTGGAGAAAGCAGAGGCTGAGAAGAATAGCTGCCGAGCGGTGGATACGATGGACCGGGCTGAGATGGTACATCTTGAATGGGGTAATTTCCCGTTTGGGCATCAGGATAAAGCAGTGACGATGGGCGGGAAAGAGGCACTGGAGCATGGAGCGGTATATCTGTTGGCAACGCAACGTCGGGACTCTGAGTATACGACGTAGGCCAAAATTGAGCAGAGGACTCAGTTTTAGGGTAGAATTCGACAGGCGAATATGGGTATCCCTCTGGCCCAGAAGGAGACGGATAACTGGGGGTACGTGGACCGTCGCTATCTGAAGACGACGCGTACATGCCCTGCAACGACAAGTAAGCATAAGAAAAAAATAGGGAAAAAGGAAAACCTACCGATGCGTCGTAGTGGTACTGCGAGTCGGGGTGCGCCTCTGAGAAAGACATGGGAGTACTAAGATGGGAGGCTAGGAAACGGAGAAGTATTTATATAAGGGATTTAAAAAAATACCAAGGGACAATGAATTATTTTGATATTGCTTATTTCGGTTTGGATTTTGGGCAGAGTCGCCAAAACATCAGTGAACCGCGATCGAGGGAGTCCTGATTTGGTAATTGGTGTTCCTTGTCGGTGCAGAAGGGTGTCGGCTGCAAATGCCAACGACCCTAAAATAACCCATTAACTCTATAAAATCACAAAATCATTAAATTGAAAAGGGTCTCATTGAGAAGATCCAGATTTCACGATCCCTATCCATGATCCTGGGTTAATTCGGCTGCCTGCGAAATATTAGGCTTTGGCGACGCGGCGTAGGCGGCGTATCAGTTCTGGACAAGTCAATAGCTGTTTTTCCATCCAGGCCTGGGAATGGGGACAAGGTTTTTGCGCACTTGAGCAAAAATGACGATTTGTGACACGATCCGGTGCTGGGACAACGGCGGTCATATTCTTAAAGCGGATGGAAGATGGGCGGGCCACGTCCTGCTTGTCAAAGGGAAAGTCACTGATTCCTATCTTCATTCGACTTGATTGCAGCCCGACTTCCCACGCTGAAACCGGCTGCCACCTGAAAGAACCTTCAGAATTCACAGAAGCTTGAAGTCCACCTAGGATGGATCTCCCAACAGAACATCTTTCCTTTCCTTATGTTTTCCGATTTGTTTTCTTGACAAAGTCAGCTCGGTTAGTCCGTTTCTAAGCCTGTAAAAAAGGTCCGATCACTCACCGCTATTACTCTTGACTCCAGCTCCAGGTAGACATACAATCACCGGGCGTGATTTACTCTTTTTTCCTTGGACAGGCTTCCCGACCTTCTAATTAATACATCTTTTTGTCCGTCACTTTCACCTGGCCCCATATATATTGTCGGGTTCCCAGTCGTTCGTTCATCTCTTTCTTGCCATGGCCTCCCAAAGTTCTCAGTCCAGCTCTCCTTCTGCGTCTCTGCCATTCCCTGCGCTCGCACCGATCACGGCCCATGAGCTGCAATATCCCGATCGCCCGTCATCTCAGCCCAAGCAATGCTCCGCCTCCAGAATGATCGTGCACCCATATGCTCGTCTGTACGCCAAAAAAGAAGAGGGAAAACGTCGCAAGATATGGAACCATGCCCTTGAAAAATCGCTTTTCAACGCGTACGAGTTGTAAGTCGTTCAACTTTGTGTTCCCAATCACAGCGGAACTTATTCGTCTGTCCTTCTAGGTCCACCCTGGGAGCCCCCCATCGACGGACAATTTACATGGCAAGCCTTGAGGCCCACATCGATCGCTTGCATGCCCAGCTCCTTAGGTCGGCCATGCCATCCCTTGATAGATTCATTTCCTCTGACGCCGTGTTTCAAGTCTCGGGTTTTGGCCGGTTAGCTTCGACGAGCTAGAACCGTTCAAAGGCTTGAATTCAAAAACGGCAAAAGTTCGTTCTTTTTACCTAACAATGCAACATCAGGTGACACTGTCCCCTGATTTTCAGAGTATGGTGTCGGGTCTCCAGTACGACGCATCAATAGCGAAGCTCAAGTTGCTCGAACTAGAGCGTGCGGTAAGTCTCGACTTCCGGAGATTAAATTTCGTTGTCCTAATGCCTTGCGGACGCAGAACAATGCTCTAGTCCGTACTTTAGGCCGTTCAGACGTGCCCGAACCCTATACCGGAGAAATTTGACCACCTAATGTGTCGCTAAGACTCAGCATCAGTCTGAAAGTAAAACTCAACGGAACACTCGCATCCATGTATCATATCCATTCAAAATAAAGTTTTGTTATTGCCACCTGTGCTTATTCATGAGGGAGGGATCACTGTAAGAGCCGGCACTAACATATTTCCAATGGTGTTCTCACAGGATACCGAGAGATTCTGTCATTTCCCAGCCACAATGTAACCTGACACATGAAAAAGGGTGCCATTATGCCGTTTAGTAGATCGACAACACGTACAAGGAAAGAACTCGCGGCGATGTACAATTGTATTCACTCCCGTGCTCACTCTGGCAGAAATCAGTTCTTCGACAAAAGAACGGTGGCGATTTAGGGTTAGACATCGCAAGGGGTGAGAACAATCCTTCCCGCGAATGCGTGTGAGCCCGCCTTTTATGGAGCTCAAATCTCTGACCTATCACAGACGATATGAGGCGTACGTACATTGTGCATCCGTACGGGGATGCGCCGGCTATCCGAAGTCGTGAATCATCTTGAAGCCTTCGAGGGAGAAGCATGAACAAAAGGCATAGATCACCGGTCCACCTCATGACGCTCAAATAAGTCCAGAGAGAGCAAGTGCAATTAAGCACCGGGAGTATTGTATACACTCGGTACTAAAACAGACATTCGGAGGATCGAAATTGCGTCGCAATCATTGTCTATCGGATGGCAGACGACGTTGAGATCGAATGCCTGCGCGTGTCCAGAGGAGATAAGACCTAAATCTGACACGGAGGTACGAAGGAAACGAAAGACAAAATGATGAGGATTGTGATATACAAGGCAAAAAGAATGAAAACGTCACGTATGCTCGTGCCCCCAGTTTTCCAGACAGATGTAGCATGTTTGATGGGCTCGACTAACTTCTCTAACACAAGTCGTCATCAGCAAAGTAGACAAAGACGTAGAATTCGGTTACGGATTCTCATCGTCTTTGGCAACGAAGACATGCTTGCTCCGAGTTGCCACCTCTGTCATGCCTTTCCCACTCCCAGTAACTCCCACTATAGAAAACAATCATGTGAGTACAAGGAAATAGATAAACAGAATTGCGGAACGACACTCACCTCGACCAAGAGGGTTGTCGGGAGTTTTGAAGATACTGGTCCCGGCGACTCCTGCAATATGCACCCCCTTCTTTTCTGACTTCTTCGCAAACTTTTGCCACGTCGCCTGCTTTTGGGTTTGTTCCTTAGCCTTGGCTGCCTTTGCCTCTAGCTTCTTCTCATTCTTCTTCTTCTTTCGCTCCCGCTCCTCCTCCTCCTGCTTGCTCAGCTTGCGCTTATTCGATACGGGTGCATTGTAGGTGTAGTTTGGGGGGAGTGGTCTGACCTCGGATGCTTTCACCTGCTCTGTCGTGTTGTAACCCTTGAATACAATGCTGTAAACACGGTTGTCTGCAGAGCCCCCTACTGACGTTATCCTCGCCGGGTACCAACCCCCATCCGCTGAATATTTAGCCTGACACTCATCGCCGGCAGTCCAAGTCTGCACAGGAGTAGCCGAGGAAGACTTTCGCGATGACTCGACTTTCGATGAAGATGCTAGCTCAGCCTGGGCGATTGCGGTCTGCGTAAGTCCAATAAGCTCCTTCAGCTCCGAACGCAGTGCTTCGAGCTCTGCATTGTCTGGGTCGGCAGAGAGTGCGACCTCAACTTGAGATAGCTGGACTTGATAGGTCTCTAGATCTGTTTTGTCCATCGTTGAGAGGAGTAGTGAGAAATGGAGGATGACAAGGGAGTCTTTGTTTGGCTGTCAGAGGTATGGCAAATATATCGAGCACAGTAAATCCAAAAAAGGTAATGTAAGTAACAACTACTCAATGACTACTACTGAGTACTAACGAGTCAAACCAAAAGGCCTTCAATCCCACACACCGCTTCTATCCATCTTTACCCGAGTATCCTGCTTTGCTTTACTACCCTGCGGCCTTCCTGCCTTCCGAGCTCCACGTTTTGAGTGATATTTCCTCTGCTGCTGCGCTCGACTCTTTGAGAGATTCGAGGAAACAATGTTTCTAACATTGTTTAGACTGAGAGCCTCTGTCATCTTGGCAAGGGAATCAGGGGATACGGATCTGGATCGAGGGGGCGACCTTGATAGTTCTCGAGTCTCTGAGATGTCCGAGACGTCTGATGGATAGTCCTCTGTTCGTCCTCGCGTTTTTGCTTGGTGAGGCTCGTCATCCATCCTGATATCATGATCCTGAGGTCTGTCAGCATCCGTGGCGACGCGATCTGTTCTTGTCGTGTCTTCCTCAGCTTTGGGTTCTTCGGGTTCGTTTTTTTGGTCTCGTCCTCCATCTCCTCTGTACCCTGCCTTCTCGTCTTCGTCGTCTTCATCATCTTCGTCTTCGTCGTCTTCTTCTTCCTCCTCTTCCTCCCCATCGCGCGCTTCTTCTTCATTGACAGCCGCCATGTACTGGAAAACAATCAGTACAAAGCTCTCTTCGTGCGTTAAATCACACAAACCTCTTCTAAAACTTTCATGTCTTTGTTGCCGAACCCGCTAGCAGCTACAACAATGTCCAGCCTGAAATTTGATTCAGAGGTATTCTCTGTTGCTATCGTTTTGAATCGGGGGTACAAGGAGCTCTCGTATCGAAAACGCCGTTTGAAGAATGTACGGATGCATTCAACGTCGCGGTTGAAATACCTGGGAGATTAAATCAACGAGAAGTCGATAGCAAATGAAATAGATAGCGACCATTCTGCATTCACATGGGATGTGCTGACCATCTGAGGGAAATCAATGACGACAGGCTCCCCGGTGTCTCGCCGTATGAGAATGTTGAACTCGTTAAAGTCCCCATGAATCAACCCGGCGTGAGCAAATCGCACAATGAGGTCCATCAAGGTCGAATAAAGCTTTCCTGGAGACGGGACCTCTGATATTTGTCGCCTTGAAGAAACGGGTTAATGAGGGCACTGTAGCGTGCGTTAATTAGAAACCTCACAAAGGATATGCATCGATGAACTCCATCAGAATACAGTGTCGTGCCTGGTCGATAGGTTTTGGAACAGGGAAATCGTGTTCGTGAAGGACCTGAAACATTGTTAGATATAGAAGACGTTGACGATGAATACTTACCTTCATGAAAGCCCATTCTTTCTGAGCCGCTAAGCGAGACATATACATCCATGACGCTGATTTCCTCTTTCCGAGATAATCCCGCTTGTCCTTGATTGCTCGAAAGGATATTCGGCCAAGTCTGTCCAGCCAGCATGAGGCAAGTTGAGGGTGTGCCACATGTATTCTTACCGATGTAGTTTCAGTACCATTTCCTTGCCTTCCGAATCCGCGACGATGTAGATGTCAATACATAAAAGTCAGGAATTGGACTGGCAAGGCGTCTTAGTTAGACTCACCGGATTCCTTCCCAACACCGATCTGATTTCCGACAGAATGCATGGAATCTCTCTTTGACATCGCCCGCATAGCAAGGAAGTCGTAACCACCGTATGTCAATCTGTATCCATCGTCTGTTTGCAAGAAATTGTCATTCAATGAGAATGGAAAAGAAGGATTTTGGAAGTGAAATCACATTTTGAATTTTGGACCTTTGAGACAAGATTTCGTTTCGCGAGGGAACCGATGAGTTTATTGACACCCCCATTCCTCAGACCGGATATCTGAGCAATAAGATTCGTGGGGACCACTTCATGATTTTTCGACCCCATCTCAACCTGACAACGGGGCTTTGAGTGGCGAGAAATGCAGAGCGAGTGAGGTACATACTGCTGTTAGAACCCTAAATTCCTCCGGTGTCACATACCGGAGATCGGTAGCGTCCAATTTCATCGTTTAGAGGATCGGATATTCAGATGGTGGAATGAGAAAGGCAAGTCGACGTTAGCAAATTTCTGACCAGACAAGTGGCTTTTGAAAGAGAAAATAAGCACATTACGTCATATACCTGATTGACGTACTCGAAACGGAAAATGCCGGTTGTTTCCTTCGTCCTCGTCCATTGCGAATGATATGTTGGCTGACGGTTCGAAGCGTGTTCGGAATGCCAACAAGGTGAGGAGGCTATTTGAATGTTATATTTCCTGTTGTTGAACAGCTGATCAAGGCATCAGCGGCAGAATTGTCGAAGGCTCTCCGCATATCTGATGATCCCAAGTATGCGATCGCGTGTCTATTCGCGCAATATAAATCAACTTTCGATGTAGCTTCGAAGTATTGACTTCCAGTGAACTATCCAAGTCACTTCGTGAGGATATATTTGCCATGCTAGAAACTAACATGCGCGACTTGTGCGTTACAGCATGTATACCGCTAAGGTTTTTGCTGAAAGCTACGCTAGCTATTTGCAATCTTCTTTTGGTTGGCATCCTGCTGAAAAACGGAAAGAAATGTTTGATCCCCTATCACGATTCATCGTAGCTCGGAGGCCAGATACCCAGGTATTAGCAGGGTACAGTATCTTCAGGTTCGAGCGTGAGAACGACTTGGATATGCTCTACTGGTCAGCTTTAAATGGTCATCGTTCGTTCGACGACTTTGTTCACTAGGTTCTATATAGTTATGAACTCCAGGTATCAAACACATCCCGGCGTAACGGGCTTGGTCGTAAATTGATGGATCTCCTGGGCTCCATTGGCGAAGCTTGGCACATGCAGAAAATCATGCTCACTGTCTTTGAAGGTATGGGTCCTATTAAGATAGAATTTTGCAGCTAATTTTCTCCGTGTAGCAAACGGGGCTGCACTTGTGTTTTATGTTGCATTGGGGTAGCGTCTTATCTTTTGATTCACAGCATTCAATCCCTGACATAAACCACAGTTTTGTCGTTGACGAAACATCGCCCGACGAAGACGATGATGCTGACTATAAAATACTTTCGATGCAGCTTGGTAAACGCTGAATGCTTCCTGGTACCAGGGAGAAGTGAAACCGGTTGGGGAACCTATATCGATGTTGATACGGAATAGACCTTTATAGCGCGCTTTTACTGCTTCTAGCGAGTACGCGTTTGAAAGTTGTTGGCATATTTGACTGCATGGAGGAGTGGGCTTCCATACACTATTAGATACCAAGGGTAGCAAGGCATTCATGATTGAAATCTCTTCAAAAGAAAATCTTTCGTATCACGCCATTTCCGGGAGTATCAAACAGATCGATTCACAGATCAGGAAACGGGAAAAATATGGCTATTGACAACTTGTCATTGATGTTCAAAGTTCAAAGTTCAACCGGCCAACACCCCGATTCAAAGAGTTTTCAGCTCTGAGCTCATTCGACATCATTTCAAGGACAAAATACAAATGCAACAAAAAGACGCTGGGAGCAGGATTTGAACCTACGCGGTGAAACACCAAGTGATAATTTGATGATTACGTAAGCCGCTGCCGCGACCCACTCGCCTTAACCGTTATTCTACTTGTACATTCGTTTTCAGCCCGGATTCAGGGCTGTAATATTATTTTCCAAATGAAATTGGCGCGTACATGTCCAGGAAATCCTCAGCATGCTGCGCAACAGGTGTCGCCAGAGTAGTCAACACATCTGTCAATGAACTGTGCGCCGTTTCATACCGCGTAGCGGGAACATGCACAAAGTTCTCCTCGGGAAGATGCTGACACAAATACATCAGCATTTCGTCAAACACTCCACTTCTGCGCCTCTTCCTCCCCTTGTCCGTAACATCCCAGAAGGGGTCAAGCAGGACCGCTGCACCGAACTAGGATAAAGAGTAAGTGTTGCTCTAAATGACCAGAAAAGCTCTTACATAGTCGTACAACATCGCCAGAGGACGTCGCATCTCCATAAGGTGTTGGTGCTTTTTGCGGTGCGATCCGAGTTTGGATTCGTACGCTTGTTTCGCCTCTTTAATCACTGTCTCATCTCCCGTTGCCAGGGCTTGGTCGAGCTCGAGCTGTGCTTCGGGCTGCTCCGCTCTAAATGATCGCTTGAGAAAGTCAATCTTCCATTTGCGGCCGCCTGTCGGTGGCGCATCCTCCTCCGCTTCTTCGTCGTCATCCTCCACATCATGCGCATCCCATATCTTGACATAACGAATAGTTTCTATGGCTCGGGTGACATAGTCGACGAATGTTTCACATGCCCCCACACCAACTTGATCGAGCAGAAACTGCGGCTGCCTTCAGACACTGGAGAATTAGATAGCAATGTGCTTACCTGGTTCATAGCTACCAAGCGATCCATATCGTTAGGTATCTTTTTCATATCGGCCGTTCGGATGCAGACTTTCTCCCAAGTATTCCTAGTCTGGACAAGTGGTAGTAACGCATCGTACTATTCGACCAGGTAAGTTGTCATTTCTCCACTACTGTTCACGCAACTCACCCAGTTCTTCTGCGTGTCCTTGTAGCCACGAATTAACCGAACAAACGCAAGATCCTCTATTACTTCTCTCCTTCCTAGGTCAGGAAACATGAGCTTCTTGGTAAAGTCGTTAGCAGACAGGGGCGGATATTTTCCCCCATCAAACTTGGTCAATAGCTCCTCTACTCGGGTCTGGACAATATCAGCGGGAGGAGCATCAGATGCCGCAGGGACCACTTGATTCCCACGAGCCTTTCGAGCGCCTCCCCCAGTGCTTCTTGCCGTGCTGCGTCGGCGTGCAAGGATCCCCATCGATGATATCTGATTCATCCGCTTATGGATCTCGGCAATGAGTTTTTGGCGTCTCGTAGTCGTACCAGGCGTGGCATCAGGAGGAAGGGCATTGAGCGCAGCCAGCTCTTGTTCGAGAGCATCGAGACGGGCATGGATTCGGATAGCAGGAGAGTCGGCCATGAGAGAAACGAGTGAGAGCCACGTAGATTTCCCGGTTTAGACGCAACCCAAAATTCATTTTCAATTTCAGCCCGGAATCGGGGCTGAAATAACTAATAAAAATTCGTTGTGGGCAGGATTTGAACCTACGCGGTGAAACACCAAGTGATATTATCTTTTATTCAAATCACTCGCCTTAACTACTCGGCCACCACAACCATACACAAGCTGTGCAAGATTCATAGAACATCACAAAGTACAGGTCATGAAAGTTAAACGGATCGCGTCGTGCACGTGCATCGTTCGCGGTTGCATATAACCACCATTGAGCCCGTAGGTCATTCCCTTTCTTCTAGACGTTGCCTTGACCTCCTAGATCTCAGGGCATGACACCATCTGGAGACGAATCGCGAGCCACGAAGAGGCAGAGAACGGAAACCGAGAGCTCAGATGCCCCTACCGCGACTCCTGTGACGACGACGGAAGCTGCGCCCAGCGAGAAGCCAAAACGCAAGTATACAAAGGCTACAAAGACGGCACCGGACCCTTCTTCTGTAAACGAGGATGCCAAACGGATTGCTGCTCGTTTAGTGTCGGATCTTCTCGACAAGTATTGTGACAACGAGAAGCAACTGTCTGTCAGTCGCCAGCACGAAACGGAGCAGGTGAAGCAGATGCTTGAGGCTCAGAAGGCGGTATCGGAGGCTCAGAAGGCGGCGTCAGAGGCTCAGAAGGCGGCGTCAGATGCGGCTCTTCTGGCTGAAGAGGCCCGTCTCGCTACTTTGAAATTCGCATTTGAACACAAGCTTTGTGAGCCTTTTGTCGTTTTTGCGAACTGCTCTCATTTCTTTCCATAGCGCTAACCTCGCCTGAAACCAGCGGCGAGCCGGCTACCGCAACGCCTCATTCTCAAGACCTTCCAAAACAACCTCAGTCTTCAGCTCAGCTTTCTCTGGCTTCGTCACATGCTCAGCCTCAATCACATTCAGCGCATCCAGCCTTTCAATCTCTTCAGCAGCTCCAATCACTTCTGTATGCTCAACAATCAAATCAAGCATTACCTCAGACGCATCCTTACTCCCAGCTCTTTCCTCAGCAATATCCGCAGCCAGCACCAGCCCCTGTCCTCAATAATGCGCAGACTGTTGCTCAGCCAGGCGTTCTTCAAGCCTTTCAACACCAACTAGATCAGCTCATCTCATTCCCTCCGGAAACGCAGTAGATTCTCTCGGACGCATTCCCCGTATAATAGCATAATTGTACTCCAATGGACTTTTAACGACAAGGCAGTAGACTCTCGGACGCATTCTCTGTAATACTTTAATAGCATAATTGTACTCCAATGGACTTGTAAAGAAGCATATGCCGACCCGCTTGACGGGGCCAATTATTGTATTCTATGTCCCTAAGCCGCCCCGCTCGACGGAGTCAATTATTGTACTCTACATCCCTAAAGCCTTTTCAGTAATTGTAAGCGTATCGTTCAAAACCATTTCCATCGCGTCCTGTATCTCCTGGGGAAGCACTGCGGTCATATCCCCGAGGATGCACGTTGATGCGCGAACTGTCTCCAGTGCCTCAGTTTGACGTTGTTTCCGTTCCCAGTCTACGAAGCGGTGTCGAATGCCGTCGCGACCATGGCGATGCGACTGGTCCTTGATGCGAAAAAATTCGGAAGAGCACTCCTGTGGAATATGCTCCCGTATGTCGACAAATTGAACGCCGCATTTTTCGCAATAGTGGTCTCTCCCTCTTTTTGATGTGCTGCCAGCAAGGGATGCATCCTGAAACTGTAGTGAGCTTGTTGATATGCCGCAAAATCTGTGATACGTACAACGGTAGAAAAGTCGAAACTTATTTCCTCACCCAATGGGGTACCATCTTTCAAGACTGGAGTGTATCGTCCTCGCTGGCGGCACGAAGATGTGAGTTTTGCACCTGTTAGGTGCTTGTTGATATCCACCAAGTTACGCAAGCAACCGGCGCATCGGTAATACTCCTTGATTGGCGCCTTGTCGGTGGATCGGGTGGGCATAGATTTCAATGCCAACTGGTCATCCTTTTGAACTGGGAGATGTAGCCTACAGTTCTTCCGGCCGCCAGTGCCAACCTTGGGGCGTGAAGTGCCGACAATGGGGAGACGATGGAACGCGACGAGGTGATATAGTAGGTCGAAAAAAGTGAAAGGGTGAGTACCGCATGATGGCACTGGACACATAGTTGTCGGGGTCTTGTCAAGGTTTCCAAGATGTTGAGCGAACATGTGCCTAGCAAAGACGCCATTGTCTCGGAACCTTGTATAAAAAGATGAGCGGAAGAAAAAAAATTAGGAAGGACAGAAAGAGAAACTCACTGATGCATCCTTTTTGGCGGGGTCAGCGTTTCATCAAAGACACAATATGGACAGTAGATTGGAACGACAGCAACGCTCTGCTCAATGTACCCATAAAGTTCTGGATGATGGCCACCCAAACCTTCCGTCGCGTCATACACAACAACATTATCATAGATGCAAACACCACGAGGTTGCAAATCGACGTCGCCTTCTGCACGCTCCTGGAATGAAGAGAACTGGTCGTTGTAGTGAAAGACGCAGTGTTCAGCCCACGCAGACCGATCTCCGACATCGTCCTCAAACCATAGACCACACTGGGCGCAGTGATCGACAGCAATAGTCGCACATGCATTGAGACCATGCTCCTGAGCAAAGTGAACGGCCCAGTCGGCTGAGGTGTAGTTGTTGTCTTCCTTGTTGCAGATGACCTCATCAACCCACAAACATTGACGTTTCACCCCGACCGTCGGCGCTGGCTGCGTCAACATCTTTATATGCTGACCGATGTGCTTGATATATCCTTGGCGAGTCGGCCATATCTTGCCAGCCGAGTAGCAGTCTTGCCACAGGCACGGGTTGGGTTCGTAGTTATCGTTCGCATTGCTTTGAGCCTCTGCGGTCTTTTGCTTGTCGACACAGTCATGTAGATGCTTGCCTATCTGTCGCATGTCACTAAATGACGAATCGTTAGACCTCTGGCCGCTCGAAGGAACAGAATCCCGACATACCTAGAGTCCTTGTCGCATATCGCGCATTTATTGGCCTCTGTCAAACCCTCCCCTGGGTAACAAACGATGTGTTTGGTGCGATTGAACGTCGTCAAGACTAGGTATTTATTGACAAACTCAATAATACCGTCGTTGATAGCGGAGGACTTTGCATCGTCGCCAAAGACCTCGTGGAAAAAGGTGTTTATAGCGTTATTCCGGGCGGCAGCTTGATCGGACGGAGCTTTGCGACGCTCGGCAACGAGAGACGAGGTCGTATTTTCTTTTCCTTTGGTTATGGGCAAAACGGTGACGTTGGTGGTCTGCATAAACCAATGAGGACAGACCGCCCGAGAACGCCAAAAGATACATACCTGTCCAGCAAGCTGTCGGGTCGACTGTTCTTGGAAAAATTGTTTCCGAAGCTCGGTTGCCCGACTAGACTCTTCACGTCGCACAATGTTTCGATACTTTTCGTCCAATTTCTTCTTCTCCGTTTTCAATGAAGCTATCTGTGCGTCCAGCTCTGCTTTAGATTCTTTGCTGACGTCGGCACATGTCAACTGCTTGGACGTGGACCCAATGAGATTAGCGATCTGGAATTTTACCGTCGTCAGCGGGTGAGCAAGGGATAGGAACAAAAGATATAACCTTTTTTCGTTCATTGTCTATCTCGACGAGTTCTGGTTCAGCCAAGAGCTTCGCTTTATCCTCGAGAGACAACTTTGTAGGCGCATTTTCGTCTCTACGAGATGACATGTCCGACAGAGCCTGGAATGGACATGAGCAAGGAATTGGAAGGGTTTCGGGCAACATACCTTGCTAGCCTCCATGTACTGGACATTCTGGTCTCGGTCTTGCATGACGGCTCCGAGGTCCGAAGCTATGAATCGACTTTTGTAGTGTTTCTAAAGGTGACAAGTTCAATTGCAAGCCAATGCGTCAATAAAAAGACCGTACATCAAACTTGCTTGACCCTTCAACGTGGCCCATGAGTGTCGCTCGATCTTCTGCGCCCATCTGACGAGAGATGCGATTCGAGGCTCCGCGCCGACAACAATAACATGTTACATAATCTGAGAAGGAGAATGAGTGAAAGAAAAAGACAGTGGAATATGGCTTACGGATAAATCCCAGGAGCATGCTAATGCGCCGAAGATGACCAGAGAGAGCCCCGTAACTCAAAGCTCGAGTAGAAGAAAGGAGCCACGAGAGGCCATCAAAGACTTCTGCACGAAGGACCGGTTTGTCTGCCGCTTCAGGACGCATCCTGAGGATGTGATGTTGAGTGGGAGGGACTTTGGGATGAAAGATTTCTTCGATGGTCTCGACATCAGAAAAGATCTTGTCTTCGATGGCCATTGCAACAGCCGAAGAGACAGGGCAAAAAACTCGAGATTCGCTCTCGGGCATCAGGAGGAATTCCTTGTACATGGAATCGTCCTTGCGATAACCCTTGAGTAGGTTTATCTTGAGACGGATGACAACGAGTGGGCTATGGGGGTCGTCGGGGTTGGGTAGAATATGGAATTCGTAGTCCTTCCAGCAGAGGGCTTCGTTGGATCCGAAACGGCTAGAGGCTTCGACTATTGCACCGGGACGCTCGGAGGACAAACTCTGCAAGAGCAACGCATGCAGGACCTGCATCATCATGCGAGTTGTCCTGAAGCCATCCGTGTCTTGGAAGATGCCAAGAGCCATAACATCAAAATCGTGGGCGCTGAGATAGAACTTTTCGCGCTCCTTGGTAGAGAGAGGGGCAATACGCTGAAGCTCTTCAGAGTCGATGTACGCATATACTTGCTGACGAACGTCGGGGGGTACAACCTGAAGAGCTTTTCGCCGCCAGAGGCCGAAAACTGTTGCCATGAGGGTACGGATGGTCTTCTTGACGGCGTAGGGACCGAGAAGTCCTCTGGTGCACAGTGCCAAGTATTGTGTGAATTTGATAAAGCCGGCTTGTATGACGTGAGTATATGCGCATATATGCAGAGTTGTATTGACTCACCTCTGGGCGGCATGACTGACTGAGGGTTGATCTCCCTCGGTATCTTGTATGGGTTATCAGACGGCTGATTTTCGGCGCACTCTGCCCAGGCAGCCTCGAGTCGACCGTGTTGCTTGCGTGACGACGAAGAGTACTCCTTGCTGAAGACTTTGCCATAGAGCGATTTCTCTTCCTCCTCCTTGACTTCAGGAACGGCTGTCCGGGCTTTGAAGACGTCGACGCGCGAGAGCTGGCCGACTGGATCGCGGATACCCATCACGGCGGCGGCGAGTGGAGGTGGAGGTAGAAGGACAAGAAGCGGGGTCGCAATGGGGAGGCTTTTACGCGCCGGTACACGTGAGCGTCGTGGAGGTAGAAGAGGGAGGACAAGGAGCCAATGGGGAGGCAGACGCGCCGGTACACGTGAGGATCGTCGCTCATGCCAATGACGCACGGAAGGTTAGGCGGGTACGGGGCGACGGATGCGAAAGCCGGCATGTGGTGAGTGCCGGTGAGGGATCTGAGGGTGGGCCATATGTGGCGGTGTGTTGTTGCCAGCCGTCTGTGTAACTTTCTGCAAGGAGGACGGGGGAGCAGAGGCAAGGGGCGCAAACATGAAAAATACCTGACCAAAATTGACCGTTAACCCATATGCAACCGCGAACTATCGAATACCGGCGACAGATCTGAGGGGGAGCAGAGGCAAGGAGCGCCTGGCGACCGTGGCAGTGAGAGATCTGAAGGGTCCATTGGAGGTCGAGGCAACGTGGAATACACCTGCCATATATGGAATTGACCGCCAACTCCTCTGCAGCCGCGGCCGACCTTTTGTCAAATCACTCGCCTTAACGACTCGGCCATCCCAGCTTGTGGACTATTGAGATCTTTGCATATATATCCTTTATATTTCGAAGTGATTGAAATCCCCGTCTACGCCTCTTGATCACCATCTTCTCAAGCGTCAAGCAATGGACTCGCTCATACCCTTCACAACGTCCGGCGCGCTGGTGGACTGCGTGGACAGTACGTCGCGCACCGCCATGGCTTACACTGTTCAAAAATAACGTTCCTTTCTGATTTCTCGCGTCCGTGTTGCTTGTAGGGAAGATGCTCGTCATACTCAGAGACGGGCGTAAATTGCAAGGCGTCCTGAGGTCCTATGACCAGTTTGGTGCGTCTTTTCTCTTATGTGTATCTGTTTCTGTTCACCGACGTTGGTGTGTCCTGCGCAGCGAATTTGGTTCTTGAAGATACTGTAGAGCGAATATACCACGGGAATGCTTTTGCAGAGTTTCCGCGCGGTCTATTTCTCATACGAGGGGAGAACGTAGTACTACTGGGTGAAATTGTATGTGTCGTGGCTGTGACTTGACCATGGCTTAACGGATTTATAGGACTTGGACAAGGAGGATGAAATCCCCCTTCGGCAAGTCGACTATGCACAGCTGGAACCATATCATCAGAACGACATCGAGGCAAAAAAGCGGAGAGAGGAACACAAGGCGCAAGTTCTGTTCGAGGAGAAGGGGTTCTGCAAAGAAGGAGGGGAAGGCGATGGATACTAAAAATTTCCAAGGGTATCATCTGCTCGACGTCATCTCTACATTACTGATGACCTCTCTATGTTGTGTGTTTCATATTGTACTATTGACATTGACTATCGAGGTTGACTATACATGCGAGTAACAAAGCGGAGGACGACAAGACAAAGGGCTACAAAAGAGAGATAAAAATACAAGGTAAGTATCGGACAGGTAGTAAAGTCAGAAAAACTGTCATCGCTTCTTCCTCTTCAAAGTCTTCTTGTCATCCCCGTTCACCTTCACCTTCCCCTTGACGTTCTTGACTCCATTGCCGTTGACGTTGATGACCTTGCCGTTGCTCTTCAAAGGCCCAGGCTTGGCGTCTCTGTCAATATCTGCGCTCTCGGCCCCGACGAGATCCTCCATCTGTTTGCGTATTTCCCGCTCTTTGGTCGTGAGCTTCATGATGGCCTCTTCGCCTTTTGTCTTCTCGTTATTGATATCGTCCTGGCGAATGGACTGCCAACCATGATGCCGTTCGCAATCCTTGGGACCAGGACACCACCATTCAGCATCATTATCGTCGGCATCAGCAGCATAGCTCTCTTCAACACCATCACCCCATTCTTCCCACTCCTCTTCACCAAAGCAGAGTCGTTGATCCCATCCACAGATATCGCCCCCCGCCTCGGCCCGCTGACACGCTAGCTCCCATACCCGTTCTCGCCATAGAACACACTCCATCGCACGTCGCAATCCTGCTCGTGCCTTGCCAATCGCTTCCAGAGGACCAGCTAAGCGTTCGATCTCCCGCTCTGCCTTGGTTTTGCTCTTCATCACAGCACCAGTCTGACAGTGAACCACGACGCCTTCTCGGCGCTCTGCATCTTTCACCTTGGACCATAGGACCTCTCGACTACCACCTCTCGCCGTATACGCGTCTATCCTTCGTCGCATGTACTTGACACCGCACTCAGGCGAGCAATACTTGCTCAATGCACCTTTTGACGGTCGATGGCATGCCTCAGTAGACGAAGGGTCAGGATCATCAAGTCCATTAAGACACCTGGTTTTATATGTCGTCTTTAAGTTCAGCTGAGGATTTTCTGAATCACAAATCAGATGTAAGAAAGAACTCAAAGACGGAAGATGACGCACTCTGAATACAGGGTGGACATATAAACTGGTCTACCAGCTCTACCTCCAGCTCCGACATATTCACGCACTGCATATGATACCAGTCGTCACACTTATCGCAGCCAATCATGGTGCGGCCCTCGTCGTACTTGCGCTTGCACACGCAGTACACTTTGTCGTCCTCCACCTCCTTCTCCTTCTCTTCAGTTTTTTCATCCTGACCCTCCTCCTGCGCGTCACCAGGCATGACACTAGTCGACCGCGATCGAGAAACCGAAATCGAAGCAGCCTTGCCCTTTAGAGGCACCGGGGCCTCCTTCTTTCCTTTCGGACCAGGTTTCGCGGTAGTCTTGGTCGTAGGTTTCGAGGTCTTTGGCTTAGGACCGGGCTTCTTCTTCGTCTTGACAGTCGTTGTCGCAGGCGGCGGCATCGACTCCCTGTCGCGCTCCTCGGAAGCCTTCTTCTTCATGCTAGCCTTTCTGACAGGCGGAACAGGCGGCAACACGAGCTTCTCCTTCGCGGGTTCATCCTGCACTAGACTCAGTAGTTCATCTTCCACGTCAACTTCCATCCGTTCGGCTTCCTCCTCATTGACATCAGCCATCGGTGTGTCAACATCCGCCAGTTCCCTCTCCAGCTCTTTCGTAAGATCATCTTCAAGTGATGTCGATGAGGAATGGTTCGGTTTCTTCTTCTTCGGAGCAGGGGAATCGGCAAAATGCTCGAGGAACCATTCGTGCGCGTCCTCGTGCGTCATGCCGTCTTTGTGGGAGGTGGCAGACAATGGTCTCTTCGGAGGAGTGAGCTTCTCTTTATGAGCGGTGGCTGATGATGGTCTCTTTGGTGGCTGCTCTGTGACCTTGTCCTTGTTGTGCAAATGCGATGACTCTTTGTGCTTCGGATGCTTGGCTTGCTTCGTCTCCACCTCGCTTCCAGCCAAAGGCATCGGCTCGTCTTTCATAGGAGTGCTAGGTGCAGGTGTTGGTGGCACAACACTTTCCCGTCGCTCCACTTTGACCTCATCGATCATTTCGACTTTCTTCGGCGTATGCTCCTCAACCTTTCCGTAAACATGCGCATGGGCGATAGCCCTGCCTGTCTGACTTCCTGGAGGGCTCCGCTTCGTCATGCTCGTTGGAGTAGGAATGATTGGGCTAACGACTCTTTGGGTGGGCGTAGGAAGGGGGATGATCGTTGAAGAAACAGGTACTATCGGAGGCGGTATGGGCTGCTTGGAAGGAGGCGAAACATTGGGCGACACTGTCTTTTTTTCCTTTGGAGGGGAAGAGGCTATAGGGCTGGCGATTCGTTCTGATGACGATGGTTGTGGATGTCGGACCATGTCCAAAGATAGTGTCAAGGACGACGTTGATGGCACTCTATCCCGCTGTAAGAGGCCTGATATCGAGCTAGATGTGCTTGTTTTCTCGCGACGAGGCTCCGGATGAGAGATAGATGGTCTCTCCCGGGGAATGATAACCTCGGTGTTCATAAGATCCCTACTTGAAGTGGGACTAACAACCCTCTCCTCGCGTTCATTCGCATGTTGAATGATGCTTGAACCTTCCCGATCCTTGGTGGTCAAAGGACTAGGGAAACGCTCTCTGGTGATGATAGGACTCGGGTGCCTTTCCCTCACAACCACGGGGCTCGGAGGTCTCTCCCTTGCGACCGTAGGGCTGGGAACTCTCTCCCTGGTAGATATAGGACTGATTGCCCTCTCATGAAGCGGGTCAAAATGGGTGGCAATGGACAGTCGTTCTCTTGGTACGACAATGGACTCCCTAGCTGACGGGTGACTCGGAACGTACTCCTTGGCTACGAGAGGGCTTGGAATGCGTTCTCTAGCTGAAACGGGGCTTGTAACATGCTCCCGGGACAAGATAGGACTTGCGTTGTGGTGTTCCCTCGAGCTCGTGACTCGATCCCTGGTCGGAGCTCCATCCCTGAGATATATCGGGCTTGTAACACGCTCCTGGATCGAGATAGGCGGGAAGGCAGGGACAGGCTGCTGCTCTCGGGAAGGGATTGGGGTAATTGTCGGGGTATGGGCGGTGTGTTCACGGGTAATCTGGTCAATGATGACATGTTCGCGAACATGTTCACGATTGCCGACGTGTTCGCGAGGCAGTGCAACGTGTTCACGGGGAGGCACGGTGACGACATTTTCACGGGGAGGTAAACCGGCGACAGTGATTGAATGCGATCTATCTCGGTGATGTGTGATAGATGGATGGGTGGAGATTGGTGGAATTTGCATCGGAAACGAGCGACCACGCGGATCCCTGCTACGTGCCCGTCAGATGAATGTAATCCAAGGACCGATGAGACGCACCCTGAAATCATGTCCCTCTCTCTATGAAGCTGTCCCGTTTCCCTCTCAAAGAGCGATTCCCTAAGAGATTGTGAGCCAAGCGAAGTAAGAAGTGATGGAACCAACCTTGGATCCCTTGGCAAAACGGGCGACCTATGCAGCAAGTGTGAAGAGACGGGTTCATGATTGGATGAATGAGATGATAGCGAAGATATCGAGTCCCTGTGTATTCGGGGAATACCTTCTTGAGAGGATATTGAGTCTCGATGAGCATGAGTGATGATAGAGTCGCGGTGGGAGGAAAGTGAATCGCGATGAGACGGTAAAGACTCCCTGTGTGTTGGGATCTGTGCCAAGGAATCCCTATGCGAAGGTTGGGACGACGGAATGACCTGCGATGGATGAGAGCCTATGGAATCCCTACGAGCTCGATAATCCGTGTGAGACATCGGATCCCTACCAAGGGCTTCCCTTGAGGCGACTTCCCTCTGAGAGTGAGACGATATCGGAATAGAGCCCATAGAGTCCCTCCGGGATCGCATGGTAACAGAATCCGTGTGGGATGTGGACTGAGACGGTATTGAGTCTCTATGGACCAACATGTCTCTAGAGTCTCTCTGGACGGGAATGGCCTCTCTGTGTGATAACGGTGGGATGGCGAAGGCATGGTGTTGTTGTTGAAACGTGGGCGGGCTGCGTACGATGGTTTCACGAGAGTGCAAGACTGAGGGGCTGGTTACACGGTCCCGGGATGAGAAAGATTGAGGGAAGATTGAGGGGCTGGTGACTCGCAAGGTCGGATCACGGACAGATGGTGGGAATGTCGGGGCAAACGATGAAGACGGTGGAAAGGAGTCGCGGGACGACGTCGGGCGCGATGAGCGGAGGGTAGGACTTGTGATGTTTGAGAGAGAAAGGGCGGGACTGCATGCTGAATTAGAAGAAAGGGCGGGACTTTGTCTCAAAGAAGGACCGGGAACGGCGGGACTGAGTGGCTGGTACTCATGGCCTGATCTCCCAAAGCCAATCTGGCCCATTGCCATCCGTTCTCGCTCGTGCAGCAGTCGCTCCTCTCGTTGTTGCCGTTCTCTCTCCTGCTCTCGTTCTCGTTGCCGTTCTCTTTCTCTTTCTTGCTCTCGCTGTCGTTCCCTCTCCCTTTCCACCTCTCTTTCCCGTTCATCTGAATAGCGCCGCTTCTTTGCAGGGTGCTGGTACGGGTCGACATTGGTTGGAGAGAGTATGTGGTCGAAGCCGTGACGGGGCGCGGCAACAGGCGGGAGATGATGATACGTGGACGGTTGGTGTACTGAGCGGTCGATATTCAGTGGTAGGTGAACGGTCGCTGCTCAGTCTCCGTCGTTCCTGCGACGCGGCCTGAACAAGGGCATCGAGGCCAAAGACATCGGTATGCTGCTGGGGAGTGGCGGTGGTGGTTGGAAGATCTTTTGGGCTGTCGTTGGCGTCGTCATCGTCGCAGAGCAAGGACGATATAGCCAGGCGTCGTGACGACATGAATGTAAAAGAAAGAGACCGGGAAGAGAGATAGACAGGTTTGTCAAAATAAGAGATGGGCTGTATTTATGATTGTATGTACAACGAGACATTGCGAGCACACCCACGGGCTTCCCACAAACAAGTCGCCAAAGCTACCCGCACCCAAGTCCCATCGTATACCTACATAATAAAATGTATGGTAAATATTCTCCAGCAATCCAACGATCTCAAGGTCATCGACACAGCAGATCCGTTACAGTCCGCGTGTCCTCGTCGAGATGCTTTTATGTCGCTGTAAATCAGAAATCAGCCGTAACTCTACGGTCAGCTGCAGTGATACGTACCTGTGAAAAATGCGTTAGCCGAATTGCCTGCAAAATGCCGCCTTTTATAGTTTGTCAAAACTGTACAGTTCCCGTTTCGGTGGCTGATCCGGACCCCGGAGACTCTAGCGGTGACAGAGGGGTCACACCAATTTTTTGCAGCCTGCCCAGTGCAACCTAGCTGCTGCTACTGCCGTCGTTCGACCCGTTACTTATCTTCTGCGTCCTGAGCCACAACTAATTCGCCCCGTCAACAATGTCGGTGGCTACCAAAAACCCCTTTGCCTTGCTGGATGGTACTTGTTTGCCTCTCTTTCCTTTTCTTTCAGTCGTCTCATTTCTCTTTGATCCTTCAGAGGACGATGCTCGTCCGACGACCCCACCGCCCCAGCCGAAACAGGAGCCTCCTGCACCTGCCTCGTACTCAACAAAAGCCACGCGGCGGTCCGGCATCGAGAGGGTGGCAAGTATTACCAGCGCGGCGGTAAATCTGCCCCAAGGGATAGCACCCCAACCCAGGACGGTGCTCAAGATCCCGTGTCCACAGAAGGCCAGCGAAAGTGTACGCCTCAACCTTCGTTTCTATCAGTCCTTTAACTCAGATCGCATACAGTCGAAGGTCGTGGTCGCGGTCGAGGTGGACGAGGCGGAGGCCGTGGTGGTCGTGGCAGGCCTTTCGATAGACAAAGCCAAACCGGAAAGACGTGCGTCCCAAGCCATTTCTTGCCTCATTCAACTCATTATATTCTTTCTAACAGTGACTCTGACAAAAAGGTTCACCAAGGCTGGGAGGAGATGACGGTGCTACTGAGCTCAAACAAGAAGAAGCTGCCGCTACAGACGCCGTTGTAGAAGGCTCCAACGAGTGGGGTGCTCCCACTGCTGCCACTGGGGGTGAATGGGGTGCACCCGCTCCCGGTGGTGATGCCTGGGAAGCTCCCGCTGGCGGTGATACCACAGCAGACGCCGCCGCGCCGGCCGACAAGCCTCCTCGCAGGGAGCGCGAAGAAGAAGAGGACAACACTCTTACCCTTGACCAGTATCTTGCCCAGCAAAAGTCAAAAGAAGGGATTTTGCCCCAGCCCGAAGCTCGCAAGGCCAATGAAGGTGCCGAAGGTGACCTCTTCAAAAGGCGCAACTCTTCTTGCCAAGCCCGAGGAGGAAGAAAGTTACTTCGTCGGCAAGGTACGCTTCTCCTTTTTCATTATTTTCCTGGTGTATTCACGCATCCTGCCTAGGCCAAGCCCTCTGCCAAAGCTCGCGCCAAGAAGGAAGAAAAAGTCTATCTCGAGATTGACGCTCGCTTTGACCGCCCAGCCCCTCGTGGTGGGGCGCGGCAGGGGTAGGGGTGGTGAAGGAAGAGGAGGCTTCCGTGGTGGACGAGGGTGGCAACAGAGGCGGCCACAATGGCAATGCGCCCTCAGTCGCACCTGTCGTCAACGTCGACGACGAGACTGCCTTCCCGTCCCTTTCTTGAAAGACGGCAATACATATTCCAACAGTGCAAAAGCAATCCAATAGGCTCGTCCTCCCGTATCATCTCTTTTGTTCCTCAAGTTCCCTTCGTCCGTGCTTTCTCATCCCATCTCCCTGCGTGCTTGATATGATATGATATTTCTGAATTATTAAGGTGATGTTTTGGGGGATTGTTGGGGTGAGGGCTCTGTATATTGTACAAAGTATTGAAAAAACATTTTTCAAATCTGCGTCAGATTCGATGCGCGAAATACGACCAATACTATTTGCATACACACAACTATCAGTGAAGTTATTTATGTAAAACATTGTAATCACTTGAAGATCTATGACGGCATTTGCCGCGAAGAGTTACTCTGAGCTCAAACATGTCTGATATCCTCTTGGAAAGTACACCTTTTGTGAGTCATTTCTAGCGTGAGGGCCGCACCCGAAATAACCGGCTTCTTAGGTATTCTTGATATGACTCAGTCGTCTGCCTCTAAACTAACTCAACACTGGACAAATGGTTACTCAAGTCGCTGGATATGCTCTAGACGCCATTAATTCTCTCACTCCCCAACAGCTTTTCTTTATACAGTCCCTCCCAAAGGCCCGAGGTTGCATGCCCACTTTGAATGGTTCCATTCCAATCTCTGTCCTTCGTGAACTAGCCAAAGAATCTTCAATCCCTTCAGAGGCTATATCCAAACTCCAAAACGGCATCGAGCTGAACGAGATCCATGATTCTTCGGGCTGTTTCCTGCCATCTACGCCTTGACGTCTACTCCAGAGACCCTAGGGCGCGTCACACGCGCTTGTCCTTGCCGAATTCCTCGACGGGGACGCTCCTCAATGTACATATCTAGAACTGCGCTCCACGCCCAAGGAGACTCCTGCTATGACGAGGATGGAATACGTGAAGACCGTACTAGACGAGGGTAGAGAAGTACGGCAAAGATCAAGCAGCGCTGATCGTCAGCGCTGGCCGTGAAATGGACGAGGAAACTGTTAAGGAGTGTATTAGTATCGCCAAGACCCTCAGAGCAGAGGGAAGACGCGTCGTAGGCGTAGATCTATGTGGCGATCCGTTACGAGGCGGACGTGGACATGTTTTGTCGCCACTTTGCAGACGCTAAGAGCGCCGGCCTTGGCGTCACACTACATGTCGCCGAGGCGAGTGTTTCCTTTCTCAGAGTAGCTGTGGATTGACTTTGTAATTCAACAGACTAAAGATAATCCTCACCCCGAGACGCTCAAGTTCCTCGCCATTGGTCCTGATCGTCTCGGACACGCCACATTCCTTAATGACGAAACCCAAAATATTGTATTAAAAGAGAACATCGCCGTCGAGCTTTGCCTCTCCTCCAATCTGTTATGCAAAACCGTCGGATCCCTAGACGTTCATCACATTCGTGATTATCTGAAGCATGATCACCCAATAGCCATTTGCGTTGGTAACAGTCCCCGTCTGGTTGTGGCTATCACTGATTGGTTTGTAGACTGATGATATTCTCCCTTTCCGTAATTCCATGCTCGGCGAATATGCGTTGTTGATGGCAAACGCCCCACTGGGTCTCGGTCTTTCCGAGGACGATGTAAGGAGGATAGCAGAGATGAGCATGAAGTGTAGATTCACGTAATGACTAGGCGAAATTGTAGCTTGTATTTGCTTTCCCCGCTCAGTACTTACTCATTACCGCACCCCTCAATACAACACGTCGTCATGAAGTGATGATCTGCGAAACCTCTTGTATAACTGCGTACAATGGTTGCGAGGAATATCACCGAGACAAAGAAGGCACGGTAAAGCAAGTTCTTTTGTAATTAAAGATTGGCGATTGTTATCCGCCGCGCCGATGGGCGTTGATGTGTGCTGTTCGTTGTTTATGCACGAACAATGGAAATAATACTTATAACGAGACTATTTCTCCATTTCCTTGCTAGACTACCCCACGCGCACGAGCTCCAACGATGACCAAAAATCACACTCCCCAGCATTAACGAGATGTTTCCTGGTGCGCCACACTATGCCATCGTTTCCTTGATCACAGACTAAAGTTTTCTGCCACAGAACACTTGCTGGAAGTTCCACAGCCGCGTCTAATCAACCTTGCACCACCATCGAAACTTGAGAAGCATTCTCGCACGTGCCAAGACCCGAAGACTCTGAACGATACCATCCCCTACCACAAGACGCAGGCTCGGAGTCTTGGTTCGAAACCTACCGAATCTGAGAGATTGGATGAATGCCACCCAGCTGCTAGTCCGCGCCTCTATCGAGTCTATACTGGGATCAGCGTCTTGCTCTGCGTACCGCCCAACCTCACTTGTCTGGCTCTGAGTCGCCAACGCTTGTTGGTACTGAACGACGAAACGGAAGTCGATGCACTCTTCGATGATAAATCCAAGCTTAAAGATTCACCGCCACCTTCCAAGGCAAAAGCCACCAGAGAACGAAAACACATTTGCCACATCTGTCAAAAGAAATTTGTCAGACCTAGTTCTCTGACGGTTCACATACGAACACATACAGGTGATAAACGTGGGTTGAGCATCCTGTTTGAACATAGCACATCCTCATGTCTTTTTTTTTTTTTAGCTTATCAGTGTCCTGTTACTGGATGTAAGCGCGACTTTAATGTCAGGTCCAACATGCGTAGACATCTCAAAACCCCATTCTGCAATCGACACGTCTAACCTGTTAAAGCATATAGTTCCCGAAAGCAAGGGAAGATATGTATGGCAGCCTATTGAGACCGGATCGACTATGCGTTCTTCGGTCGACGATGCAAGTGCACTTTAGTTCCCTAGTGAAAGCAAAAATTAGTATATTATAATTAGTATTTCAAGTAATTAATAACCACTTACTTCACAACCTGCATTATAATCTAGCTGTATATATGAGCACAGTTTTGAACCACTCTCTTGGGAACAAATAGCTTCAGTTTCAAATGGTTGTTCCAATTCTCGAAAAGTTTCAAGGCCGAACGCTGTCTTTGATTCCTTATACAACCAGTTCTACACGTCATGACGAAGTCGTCTGGCCAAATATTCCCATTGACCGCGTTCCGGCTTCTCTTCCAGTGGTTCCCACCTACATGAGAAATTAGACAGGGCTAATGGGACAAAACGGGACGAGTCGACGCACGCTTTCCATTCAATCATCTGACTGGCGAGTTTGAGTTCGTCAGAAGCAATGTTCAACGACTCCTCGATCTGGCCCTCATCAAGGCCGTTCTCTACGGCAGCAATGTCTCCCTTGGCTGCTTCCAAGACCTTGATTTTGTGAAGGGTAAGAGCCTCGGCACTCTGCTTGTACACGGAGGTAGATGGTATGCCGGCAAGGACCTCGAGAGTCTGCTTGTACGTCTCGGCAAGGACAGGAAGAGGATTTGGGTGAACCTTGAGGCCGGTCACGCCTGTCGTCCGTTTTACGACGTTGAAGAGAGGACGTGAGCACCGGAACATGATGATGGCTTGGTGAGAGTCGTGTTGAGTCGGAGTCCAAATCGGGAAACTAGCAGCTTAGCTCTTCACCATGGCGTCGCTGGCCTTCACCAGGAATCCTGTCCTGCCCAGGAATGCCCTCTTACTTTATTCAGGATGCCAGTCATAAAACCACTCTTTGCGGCAAACTTTCTGCCTGCATTTCTCACTACACCGAACCCGCTTACTTGGCACATACCTTCCCTGCAGTCCCTCCTGGAACTGTTTCCCTCAATAGTGCTCGCCGTACCAAAGAAAAAGACGTCCCATTCGCGCAAAGCAATGCGTGCTGCAAACAAGGGTCTAAAGGACAAGCAAGTGCGTTTACTGGGGCTTTTCACGCGTCTCTGTTGACTAAGGAAGCGACCAGATATCGTCAACTGTCCCGGGTGTGGGACACCGAAGCTCGCACATCACCTGTGTTCGAAATGCTATTCTTTTTTGAGCCGGACGTGGAAAAACAAACTGCGAGGCAGCATGCCTGATCTGTCATGAGGCTGAAAGGTATGCCTTTCCTGGTTGAGATGACAATTGCTCATTCACATGACAGATTTGTTCGACGGAGTGGTGTATCGTACGGTATACGTAGATAATTCAAAGAAAAAAACTTGGAAAAATACCTTTCATTTGTTTGTTCGGAATTAGTCGGAAAGTAAGAAGATTTACAAGACCGAAAGCGACGCACGCGGAAATAGAATCTCCGGTCTGAATGCGGGGAATCCTTCTTATTACGCCCATGCCTGTTTTTGCTGACTTTGCTTTTACCACCGCTTATTATCATGCTCTCCAGGATTGCCTCTCGTGCTGCTAGTACTCATGCTCCCCGTGGCCTCTCTGCTGTTCTCCAAAAGAATCCAGACGACGTCGTCATTACCTTCGCTAAGCGTACCCCCGTTGGCCGGGCAAAGAAGGGCCAGCTCAAGGATGTGCCTATCGACGAGATGCTCCATGCCCTGTTCAGAGCGGCTCTTCAAGAAACCAAGCTAGATCCAGCAAAGATAGACGATATATGCGTCGGTAGGTCCTCGTCGTCTGCAACGGCACCCACGGGTCATTGAGCGCGTTTACAGGCACCTGCCATCCACCATCGCCTTTGTATGCCTCCAGAGCAGCTGCATTGGCGGCTGGGATCCCTAGTCACGTCCCAATATCCACAGTGAACCGATTATGCTCCTCTGGTTTGATGGCTATTCGCAACGTTGCCCATTCCATCATTGTCGGTGAAGCTTACCCTTGGTCTGGCTGCCGGCGTCGAGAGCATGAGTCTCAAGTACGTCGTTACCATCCTTGTGAGAGGCCCGTTTCTAATCTCCAATGCAGCCCAAGACCTACTCCCGAAGTGTCTGCTCCGGTCGCAGAGCATTCCGGACGTCCAAGATTGTATCCAAGTATGCACTATTCCTGCTTCCATTAAAGTTGAAACTAACGCACATTAGCCTATGGGTTGGACATCTGAAATGGTCGCCGAGACTTACAAGGTCTCCCGTCAGAAGCAAGATGAATACGCACTTATTTCGCACACACGCGCCAACGAAGTGATTTCTTCACTCTTTATGTACTATGGTCACCTTCTGACGTTTCCCTAGTCCATTGTCAAAGGTATATTCAGAGACGAAATCATTCCCGTCTCAATCAGAGGCAACATCATCTCCACCGACGACACAGTCCGTCCTGGGGTTACCCTGGAGTCTTTGTCAGGTCTCAAGTCTGTCTTCCCTAACTGGGGTGAAGCCTCGACGACCGCTGGTAACGCTAGTGGTGTTGGAGATGGTGCCGCTTTGTGTATTATGACGACGCGAGCGAATGCAGAGCAAGAGGGCATGGATATCGTAGCCAAATGGGTTGGCAGTGCGATCGTCGGTGTCGAACCCAGGTACATGGGCATCGCACCCGTTTATGCCATTCCCAAGTTGCTAAGCCAATTTGGTCTGACGAAGGAAGAGGTTGATCTCTACGAGGTAGATTCCCTGCCATTGCTAGCTTTCATGACATTGATCGTGTTACAGATTAACGAGGCTTTCGCGTCACAGTTCGCTTACTGCGTAGAGCAGCTGGGTATACCTATTGAGAAAATTAATCCCAAGTAGGCCTTCGTGACCCTGGCTTCCACGAAACTGACACCTGTTTGTAGCGGTGGTTCAATTGCCGTAACCCATCCTCTTGGAATGAGTATGTCTTCTATTGTTCTGTATCTCCTCTTGAGTACTGACTTGTATATTCTCAAATCAGCCGGCGTCCGCCAAGTCGTCACAGGTTTGGCTGAACTGAAGCGTAATGACCAGAAGATCCTCGTTACCAGCATGTGTATAGGAAGTGGTATGGGAGCTGCTGGCATGTTCGTCAACGAGGCGCGCCGTTGATTGCATTTTCCCGATGTTTTCATACACAGAATGTAACATTAAACATAATACAAACTTACTATCTATACCTTCATATGTTCAGACTTCGTGTTGCAGAAACCCGCAGCTGACAACTTCTCTCTCTGAGCTGAACGGCAGCAGTCAAGAAGCAGTCACACCAGTGCGCTCACAAGCGGCCCTGCCCTCGCTGTGAAGAAGCAATCTTCCTGTCCAACTCCAGAACAATCTTGCAATGCAGGCGGCGTTGTTGTAATAGTATCCCAGAAATTACATCTGCTGACGTATCTAATTTGCCATTGCGAGAGTTGAACCATGAATGTGGCTTAACACAACTCCCCCTTCCTATAGGGCGTGAGTGGACACGGGAGTGAAAATTACATTCACAGGACTCCTTCTGCCCAGTCCGTTTACACTGACCTGAACACGGTCTAGGCGATGATCTTAGGAGGGATCTTGAAAAAGAGTGCAAGGACCATGCTCTTCGCCCAGGTATTATGGAGGTATCGAACAAGCGCATCTCTGAAGATCTCGGAACAACCCACTTATCGTGACGAAGTCAAAGACAATAACGATCCAAATACCTTACAATTGGTGCCCAATGACAGTCTTTCATAAAAGCGGTTGTGATTTCGACTGAAGACCATTTGCCAGCAGGCAAGTTGTGACGTTAGAACCTCAACGAACTGCCAGGCCATCAACTTCCCTCAGGCATAACAGAAATAGGACGCATCCCTCGAGAAGGTCGTAAGAGAACATCGTCTAGACCAGGGGGGATAATCCAGTACTCGGGTACACTCTTACTGTCATTGGCAGTCGATGACTTGCAGAGAAAACTGCGACCGTTGTTTCCGTAACGATCAGATAAGCTCAGCATCAATGGCACATTAGCCACTCCCATACACGCGGCTTCTGGGCCCTGAAGGCCTTGAGAAGAACAGAGAATCACTCGATATCGGTGAAAGCGCATTGTGGTAGTAACATGAACAAATGAAATGACAACAGGACTAGAACTATCAGAGTTACACAAAGACGTATAATTGCACCTGAAGAAGAGGATGAGTATCGAGTAGAGCGATTGTGAAAAGTGATGAAAGAGAATCAGAAAAGTCATTCATGTCAATGATCCACACAAGACAGAGCTTGGAGGCGCAATTCGACTAAGAGGTGCCATGGGTTGAATACAACACTCGTCATGTAAAAGAACAGGAGAGAAAGAATTTCTGGATATCTAGACTTACCTGTACTAGATTTTTTTTTCCTCCGTGGATCATTGTAGATAGAGAGCAAGCGCGTTCAGCAGCCAAGTGGGGAAATTCGAATTTTTGAGGGGTTTCTTCGACACGTGATATCCGGCAAATACCGTTTACAACTGTACAGTTTCAGGCCAAAGTATTCCCAGGACTCTGCGGAGCCGCTCTGATAGTCGACAAGCCCAAGGTATTTATCGAAAGACTGATTATTCTTTCTAGTCGCTCACAGCTTCCTTCGTAGACCCCTTCAATATAAAATGGCCACCGCTATCAGCAAAAAGAGAAAATTCGTCGCCGACGGTGTCTTCCGTGCCGAGCTCAATGAATTCTTCACTCGTGAACTCGCTGAGGAGGGTTACTCTGGATGTGATGTCCGTGTAACTCACGCTCGTACTGAAGTAGGCGCTGTTATTGTTACCGTCATCGGAGGTCTCTCTGACCAGGATTGTAGATCATCATTCGGGCCACCCACACTCAGGAAGTCTTGGGTGAGAAGGGTCGCCGTATCCGTGAGCTTACCGCTCTCGTCCAGAAGCGGTTCAAGTTCCCCGAAAACTCTCTCGAGCTCTATGCTGAGAAGGTCCAGTGCCGTGGTCTCTCCGCTGTCGCTCAGTGCGAGAGTTTGAGGTACAAACTTCTCGGAGGTCTTGCCGTTCGTCGGTATGTTTAATCTGGTCATCGCACGTCCTTTAGTGTCCTCATGATTGCCCAGGGCATGCTATGGTGTTCTCCGATTCGTTATGGAGTCGGGCGCCAAGGGTTGTGAAGTTGTCGTTTCTGGAAAGCTTCGTGCTGCTCGCGCCAAGTCCATGAAGTTCACCGACGGTTTCATGATTCACTCTGGTCAACCTGCTGTTGACTTTGTTGACTTCGCTGTCCGCCACGTTCTTCTCCGACAGGGTGTGTTGGGTATCAAGGTCAAAATGTAGGCGGGATTCTTTTTCTATCACTAGCATATGAAGCTTACATATCTTTTAGCATGAAGGGCCACGATCCCGATGGTCTCACCGGACCTCGCAAGCCTCTTCCTGACTCCGTTCAAATCTTGGACCCTCCTGTCGACAAAATTATCTCCGAGCCTCAGTCCGAGCAAAGAGAGCCTTTGGCCGTTCCCGTTGCACCTCCTGCAGAGGAGACTTACGCCCCTCAGGACACTTACCAACAGCCAGAGGCGTACATGGAGCAGCCAGTGTTCTAATGTAGATTTGTGTTTCGGGTTATTAGTATGCAATTATCATCTCAGCATCATTTATGCTCCGTCTCAAAAGTCCCGTTCTGAAAGTTATGCAACGCATTATAACTGCTGTGATGCGCTACTACACGAAAAATGGTTTGTTGGGAACGAAATAGTTGTCTTCTTTTCTACCACTGTCTGCCCGGAAAATGTGAATGCAACGTCGACTGTGTCCAGCGTTTGCGATGGATCGGAGACGCTGATATTTCCCGGCCGTTCATCGTATAGGAGTGCAATATTTCCAGTGACTGAGATAGTCAAGACTCTGGACGCGTTATACAAAGGACCTGATACATTGAGGTTCACTGATCCACCAGCCGCGTCCCAAAATACGGCCATGATGGTCTGGTGAGCTTGATCGTATAACGCAGAGGCATGTGCATCGTTCTGGACCGATTGGAGAGAGAAATGCTGGCCTTTCTGGAGAAACGACTCCAAAGAGATACCAGGAAAAGCGGTATAAGAGAAGGATGTGTTAACAGTAGAGTCGTGCTGCAACCAAGCTGCAAAAAGATCTACAGTGGCAGGTGGCTGGGTGGATGTCCCTATGGAGGACCAGTTACCTGTCTTCTCTCCAATGTCGACGAATAATGTAGTCGACTGCTGCGCGTCGAGTCAGTACCCAACATTGGCATGCCACAATGATTGAGCAGCCAAATGTGTCGTTATGCCCACTGAGGATCGCTGTATCGTATCAACGATAATGGGTCCGTAGTGCCGTTTCTGGTCGAGGACAGAATAAATGGGAGCGTTATTGTTGGATGAAACGTTTGAAATCATGATGTGTTGCACGTCATCGTGTAAGAAGAACCACGCCTTTTGCCAGCTTAAGGACCTATCATACGGGTTTGTATATCGCATAGCTGCAATCCCGATATTACCATCAGAGACGCCACCAACAAAAGATTGCACTCCCGTGTATCCAGTGTTACCACAGTTGAGAGGCGTAACATTGTAGTTCACGGTAATGCCAGGAATAAGCTGCCAGTCCCAGGCCACCGAGATGTCCTCGTATTCATCGCCCTGAATATAAGTGTATAAGGCGCCATCTGAAAGATGAAAGCCCAGGGGCTGGAACTTAAATTCAATAAAAATATCCCATTTCGCGACATGAGCGAGGCTTACGTTCTGCGAATTGACGCATTCACTGGTCAACGTCCTTGTCGAGACCATCTTAACCGTTGACATATAGTTGCTACCCCGATGTACCTTTACTTATTGAGTCAACCGGACATAACATGTCGGCAGGAACTCACCATGTAGTCATTTGCGTAGAACATGCGATTACCGCTCAGATTACCAGCGTTAGCATGCGTTACGTTCGTGCTTAAGCTCTGGCTAAAGCTGGTCAAGATGTTCGATGACCATAGATTTCCCAAGACTTCGACTTCCGTCAGATTGAGCAAAATGCTACTAGTCGCCCTAAAAAATACCGTTAGGATAACATGTCTCCGAAAATGGGGAACACCTACTGTCCGTCAATCACCGGGAAACTGATAAACCTGCCGAGAGCAGACTACACAAGAATGCTCAGCAAACAGTAGAAGATGTTGTTCGGGAAGGAGACGTGCAAAATCCCAATGCAAGACTGCTGTCAAAGTATTATAATAGATCATCCATTTGTCGCCATCAATAAGGGCTTCAAAAGCTGTCTTTGAATCCGAGTTCGCCTCAAATTCTGTGCCCGCAGCGGCATATTCTAGTTGGAGAACATCATTGGAACTACACATTCATCGTTTGCATTAGGCCTGAAAGCAGAGTAAATGGACTCACTAATCCTTTCCTATGAGATTTGAGATCGTAAAAGCATAACTACAGTAGAAGTCTCACAAACGTACCATAATTTCCGTTATACAAGAGTCCGCCGTGTTGTCTGAGAACGCGAAGTGAGTACCGGTGAAGTTCAATCGACTCTGCAGGAAAGTAAGGAATTACCCGAAGCTTCCATCCTCCCTGATACCATCGCTTTTGACCTCATAATGAACGATGAGCTCTGCGTGAATCCTAGCATAGGCGTCACTAATGAGGGTTGTATTGGCGGTGCGGACACCAAGATCAATGCCAATTCTTGCGACGTCAAGGATATTTGCGCCAGTCAAATAACCGGCATTCTTTTGGAAAGTACCAAAGGAACGTCCAGACATGCGAGAGCAGCCTTCTGTTTGCTCCGAAGAGATGCTGTCATTGAGAAGAAGACATGTCTGCGAGACCAGCAGCGGCACTCCGATCACCTACGAAAATATAGGTCAAAAACGGAAAGATCCTGGGTACGAAGAAAACGCACGTTAGCATACCAATTGGTATTCCAAAGTTCAGTCTCGTTGTCACCACAAGGACATCCTGAACCGCCTCCCCCATCTAGACAATTCGGGTTCATGAAATCGTGGTCAAATCACCAGTCCATTCCGATAGAGATCGCATGTAGGATGTCTTCTTGTTGTACATACTGCTCGGCATTAGATAAACCTCCGTGCCATGCGCCTGCCATGACCACTAAAAATGTTGTCAATCTTCAAGATGGCTACAATATGGTATAGTGAGCTCACACAAACGCTGCCAGTGTACTCCTGCGGGCCAGTTTGCACGCTGAGCGGCACATCCTGTCGCATAATTGATATCTGGCCATTGGCCGGTAGAATAGTTCAAGGTGGAAAGCCTGCAGGTGTGTCAATTAATGGCGGTGCCCTTGTGTGCTGACCATGCGGCTTACCATTCTGCGATGTCCTCAGCGCCAGTGAGATGAGATATGATGGAGTCGACGCGGCGCTGATACAGGAATTCGACTGTCTGGCCATCGGAAACATCATAGGTAGAGCTGGAGGGGACATAGGTGGAGGAGCTCAAAGCTCGGTCACTTAATGACGATTGTTCAACCGCAGGAGTTAGTTGTTGATTCTTCAGGCCTCTTGCAGAATGACGTTCTGCAGAAATATGAAGTGCGAATGGAAGGCAGATGTAAAGGGCGTATATCGCGGGTGTCCTCATTGTTATTCTATGGAAAAGAATTGCATGAGTACATGTAGGCGCATTGAGAACATTTTAGAACTTGAAATTTTTAGGGAGTACTAACGCCAGACGTTCGACTCAGCGAACGAGTCTTTAAGAAGGCTCACTGGTTCTTGGAGCCTCGGGTCGACGCATAGGGCGACTTCAGTAGGCACAAGCTGGCGAATCATGAGGTACCACAGTGGAAATCTGACTTGGCGAACCAAATATTTAGGAATACATCGGCCTTTGGGCCACTGATCGACATATAGAGTGACTATTGTCATTACAGCTGGCGAATCATGAGGCCACTAAGTTTATCTTGGCAGGATTGACATGCAGAATGTGCTGCGCACATGGTGCAGCATAAGCATAGACCTTCCATGATCGATTCTAAGTTGGTTGCACCCATGCATGCCAGTGATCGTTGAAAACCGCCGTACTGAACAGGTTTATAGCAACCGCAAGTCGTACAAGTATCCATTGAAGAGCAATGCCAAGTTCGATCCGTTTCTCAGCACGTGTCTAGGTTCAGATTACAAGCTTAGATATGTTGGACAACGCTGCTACCTGACAGGCCACCCGCCGGAAAGTTAATCGCTAAGGTCTTGCTTCGTGCCTCTCGACTGCCTTTCAGAAATGCGAACGTAACGTTTACTGTCGCAAGTGTTTGCGATGGATCGGAGACTGTGACGTTGCTCGCGCGTTGATCATAAATGAGCGCAACGTTCCTGTTGACGGTAATGAGTAGGCTGTCCGCATCTGGGTATTTCGGGTGTGTAATATTGAGGTTCACAGAGCCACCGGACTCGTTCCAAAACACTACAAAAACAGTTTCATGTGCCTGGTCATAGATCGCTGACACCTGGGCATCGTTCTGAGTGGACTGCAGAGAGAATTGGCGACTCTTCGAATAGAAGGTGTTAGGGTCTGTACCAGGGAAGGCGGTGTACGAGGAGGATGTGTTCAGGGAAGTATGCTGCAGACGCGCGGAGAAAAGTGTGACATTCGTAGAAGGTTGGGCAGAGATCCCAATCGACGACCAATCCCCACGTCTCTCTTCAACGTTGAAAGTGATGGAAGCTTGTCCTTTGGGATCGAGGACATATCCAATGTTGTTATTCCATAACGACTTGGATCTGCCTACTCCGTTGAAGTCATGTGTCTCGCGGCCATCCACGACTACAGGGCCGACGTAGCGCTTTTGGTCAAGGACAGAGTAGACTGGCGCGTTGGTTGAAGAAGAGATGTCGGCAATCATAACATGCTGCACGTCGTCCTCAAGGAAGAACCAAGTCTTTTGCCAACTTAATGACTTGGTGGCTGGGTTTACGTATCGCATAGCAGCAAGACCGGCGCGGCCGTCCGATACACCGCCCACGAAGGTACTCAATCCGCGGAACTGACTGTGCGAGCAGTTCAACGCCGTCGCACCATAATCGACAGTGATTCCTGGAATGAGGTTCCAATCCCAAGCTGCGGCAATGTCTTCGTATTCATTACCCTTCAGGTACGTGTAGAGGGCGCCGTCTGACAAATGGAATCCGAATGGCTGAAACAGAATGAGTTCCCTGATGACATGCCCACCAAAGATGCATTGCGTACGTTTTGTGAATTGGTACACTCCGTGTTTTTGGTCCTCGAAGAGAACATTCTCAGGGTTGAAACATACTGTTCGCCACGATGAACCTGACGTAAAGATTAACCATGATATAGAGGGGAACAAGTCATGAACAAACCATGTAATCGTTAGTATAAAACATGCGATTGCCCTTGAGGTTTCCAGCGTTGGCATGCTTTAGGTTGCGGACTTCCAGGCTAGTTGCGAAGCCTGTCAATGAGCCCGACGTCCATTTGCTACCCAGCTCCTTGACCGCCGTTAGATTCATTCCAAGGTTAGCTGAAGCCCTAGTAGGTTGAAATGAGATATGCCTAACTGAAAATTTGAAGATGAGCGCACTGGCCGTCTATGACAGGGAAGCTAATGAATCTCGGAAGAACAGACTGCTCACTATCAGACGCTGTCTAGCGAAAGATGCAAAAGCTCACGAAATCCCAATGAAGGACACCAGTGACCGAATTGTAGAATATCATCCACCTGCTCCCTTCAAAAAGGCGGGCCAACGCAACCTTCGACTCAGAACCTGCGGATACCTGGGTCCCTAGTGCTGCAAGCTCAAGCTCTACAACATCGTTTGAACTATGGAAGACGTCGCATCAATTAGTATATTCTAGTGGTCATAGGGCAAAAATCGTACTAGACTTTGCCTAAGACTCATAATATTAGGTGACTAGACTCTGGTATAGAAGAAAAACCGACCATAGTTGCCATTATAGAGTGAGCCATCATGCTGGCTATCAAATATGGCGTAAAGCAAGAGGATTTGTATGTCACTTGTGCAACGTACTTGAAACTACCATCTATGGAGGAGATTCAGATATGCCTAAGAAGAGCGGAATGGCATCCAACGTACCAGACTTGATCCCGTCGACCTTGACGACGTTTTTTATGACAACTTCTCGATGGATTCTGCCATAGGCGTCAGCAACAAGAGTCTGATTTGAAGACAAAAGTCCTGCATCGATGCCAATCTTCGATACGTCCAGAATATTGGCGCCGGCCATGTGGTTCTTGGGACGATCGAACACCTCGTATGAACGGGTTGCCATGAACATGCAGTGATTCGCAACGTCTTCAGGGAGCTCTTTTCGTCCCATAATCAGGCACGAGTCCACCACCAGTTTCGGTACTCCAATCACCTGCGGAAAAGTCAGCAGCGCGGAAAAAGATTACGCTAGGCGATTCCTACATTGCTAAACCAATTTGGATTCCAAAGAAAGGTCTCGGCGGAATTGCATGGACAGCTTGCACTACCACCGTCATACAAGCAACCCGGGTTGGTGAAATCGTGGTCGGACCACCATCTCATACCACGCAGAGTCGCAGATTTGAGCTTGGCATCTTTAAGGTACTCGTTTGCATTACTCAGTCCTCCATGCCAAACGCCGGTCATAATGACTTAGAGGAAGTCAGCACGACCAAATTCCGGTTCGGAAAAATGTCAGCAACTTACCCAAACGTTCCCAATGTTCGCGAGCTGGCCAGTTTGCGCGTTGTGCAGCACATCCCGTAGCATAATCAATGTCGGACCATTTACCGTTCGAGTCGAGGGAAGAAAGCCTATCATTGGGATGATACACGGTAAACTGAAGTAGGATGGTCAAGGCTTACCAGCGCGCAATATCACCATTAGAATATCTCAGCTCAGATATAATTGACTCCAACCGACGCTCAAGGATATTATTTAAATTGATGTCTTTGGCGCTTGTCGATTGAGTCGCGCGCGTAGCCAATATGTTCGTAGTATTATTTACGGCGGGAGCAGTAGGCGAGATTACGGAGGGCGTTATACTCGACGTTGGAGCTAAGCATGTCAATGCAGCTTGAGAGTCATCTGTAGCTGCAAAGGCGAGTAGCGGGCACAGCAAACAGATAAGAGAAAGGCACATAGAGATTAGTTTGCAAAGGATGTAGGATGTGGGTAGTGACGGTCAAGAGGAAAGACAACGCAAGCGGAATCCAATGTCGCGCTGCTTCGATTTTGGTTCTGTTTGTGTCTTCTTGCCCCAAAGAGAGTGGCCCCAACCAACGCGCCACACTAGACTAAGCCAGCTATCCAGTATCGCCTAGGCAGTGTTCAACAATCAACATATAGGCGACCAAGAACAATTGCATCACAGCCAAAGGTAGAGTTCCGATCCAAGCAATAACCAGAGCAAGCATGCCTATCACCCAGATTCCGTCCTGGTTCTAAATACTCACAACTTTCGATCCAGCCAGGATTCCATATAATCATTTCTGTCTCGCGGAACTCTAATAAGTTATCTGCAACATCCATTGAGCATCATTTACTAACGGCAAAAAAGGTCAGATTCGTTGGAAAACACTGCTTCCCGCCAAGCCACCTGTCGGAAAAGCCACTACCAAGCTTTTCGTTTGCGTCTCCTTCTCGCCCCTTGTAAAAACGAAGGTGATCTCCACTGCGGTAAGCGTTTGCGAGGGGTCAGAGACCGTAATAAAGTCGGTTCGTTGATCATAAATGAGTGCAATGTTACCGTTTGCCGTGATAGAAAGAGAGCGGGCTTCGGAATATTTGGGAAGAGAAACATCGAGCTTTGTAGAGCCACCATTTTCGTTCCAAAAGACGGCAAAGACCGTTTCGTGGGCCTGGTCATAGATTGCTGATACCTGTGCATCGTTCTGAGCGGACTGAAGAGAGAATTGGCGGCTCTTGGAAAGGAAAGCGTCAAGGGATGTACCAGGGAAAGCCGTATACGATGAAGAGGAATTCAAAGAATCATGCTGTAGCCACGCCGTGAAAAGCGTGACATCCGCAGGAGGCTGAGTAGATATGCCAATTGATGACCAATTACCGCGTTTCTCCTCGACGCTGAAAGAGATCGATGTGGATTCCTGTGGATCGAGGACATAACCAACATTTCCATGCCACAATGATCTAGCCCCTGTCACAGACCCAGCTTCATCGTACTCGTCTACCACTAATGGTCCGACGTAACGCTTTTGATCTAGGACAGAATAGACTGGTGCATTGCTTTTGGACGAGATATTGGCGACCATGACGTGCTGTACATCGTCTTCGAGGAAGAACCAGGCCTTCTGCCAGCTCAGCAGCTTCGTGGAAGGGTTCAGATACCGCATAACTGCAACACCAGCTTGACCATCTGACACCCCACCCACGAAAGCTTGTAGTCCAGTGAACTGACTGCTCGAGCAGCTCAACACCGTTGCGTTATAATCAACAGTGATTCCTGGAATGAGGTTCCAATCCCAAGCCGCAGCGATGTCTTCATACTCGTTGCCATTGAGGTATGTGTAACGGACACCATCTGAAAGGTGGAATCCGAATGGCTGGATGAAAGTGTGACGGATGAGTCTTCTTAACGCAACATAACCAACATTTCACAGCTTACGTTTTCCGAATTGGTACACTCGGTGTTTTTTGTTCTCGAAGAAAACATCTTAAGAGTCGTGACATACTCTTTACCACGATGAACCTGCCCGCGAGGTTAGCCATGGCATTTGCAAGGTGGAGAGATGGAAATTCAAGTACCATGTAATCGTTGGCGTAAAACATACGGTTGCCAATAAGGTTTCCAGCATTAGCGTGTGCTAGATCATAGTCGCTTAAACTGGCTCCAAAATCTGTTAGCGTACTTGACATCCATTCATTACCCAATTCCTCGACCGCCGTTAAATTCATTCCAATGTCAGCAGTGGCCCTGTTCATCATGAGCATTGTCCAGGAGGGAAAAGGGTTGAGCGCACTGTCCGTCGATGACAGGAAAGCTGATGAATCTCGGAAGAACAGACTTGATAGAAACAGCTGTCAGTTGTTGTCAGCGCGAATAATGTTGAAAGACCCTACAAAATCCCAGTGAAGTACACCATTAATCGCATTGTAAACAATCATCCATTTGTCCCCATCAAAAAGATTGGCTAAGGCGGTCCTGGAAGCAGAACTCGCCGAAAATTGGGTTCCTGCTGCTGCAAGTTCAAGGTCCATAACATCGTTGGAGCTAGAACGTGATCGTGTAAATGACTAAACTCCAATGCAGGTCGCAACATAATCATACTAGACAGTGCCTAAAATCCCAAAATACATTAGGGTGAAAGTCTCATATATATGATGACTGACCATAATTTCCGTTATAGAGCAAGCCCCCGTGCTGACTATTGCAGATTTTAGCATGCGCTCGATAGGTTTTGTTCTGAACATACCCAAAACTACCGTCTACAAAAGAAAGATCAACACATGTTTAGTAAATATGAGAATATTGAACACACCAGACCTAATGCCATCTACCATGATACCGTCTTTGATGGAAAGTTCTTGGTGAATTTTACTATAAGCATCGGCGACAAAAGACTCATTCGAAGACAAAAGCCCTGCGTCTATTCCGATCTTGGCTACATCCAGGATATTGGCTCCAGTCATGTAGCTCGCATGTCGAGCGAAAGCACCGTATGAACGAGTCGACATGAGCATACAGTGGCTCTCATCTGCATCAGTAAGAACATCTGTTCCCATAATGAGACACACGTCCACCACCAACTGCGGTACTCCGATGACCTGCGAGATATTGAGCAATAGACATGTATGTTACCGGGTTACTACCCACATTACTGTACCAATTCGTATTCCAAAGTAGGGTCTCTGTGGAGTTGCACGGGCAACTTGCACTGCCACCATTGTCCAAGCATGCAGGGTTGGTGAAATCGCGATCGAACCACCATCTCATCCCAAGAAGGATGGCGGATTCGAGGCTGGCATCTTTGACGTACTCGCTGACACCGGGAAGTCCACCATGCCAAGCGCCAGCCATAGTAACTGTGAAGATGGAAGTGAGTACGACAACGGGTGGAAGGATGCAGACTTACTCAATCGGGCCCAGTGATCTCTGGCCGGCCAGTTGGCGCGCTGGGCAGCACATCCTGTGGCATAGTTCACATCGGGCCATTTACCGTCAGAGTCGAGAGAAGCAAGCCTAGGATCATGGTGACATGCGGTGAGGTCTGCCAATGTGCCAAAAGACTTACCAGCCTGCAATTCCATCGCTAGAGCCCGAGAGCCCGGATATAATCGATGTCAAACGGCGCTCCCGAATGAGATTGATGTCTTGGACGCCGGTAGCAGTGGGCTGGGACGAACTCGCGGTGCTGGTAGTCAGTGGTAAAGTCTCGGTAGCTTGAGTATTGGATATCGTGACTGCAGAAGTCATCGATGCTGAGACTGAAGATGCCAGTGCAGCTTGAGAGATGGCATCTGCGGCAGCGGCCGTGCAGACAAACACCGAGGAGAGTAAGGACGCAAAAGTCAGAGAAAAGCGCATAATAGAAAACGAGTGTCGAACGCCAGCTCACAGCAGGAGCCGGTCAAGACGAAAGATGCGTGCAAACAAGATTTGCATGATCATTTTGGACGCGTTGCTTCTATTTGTGTCTTCTGACCTGAAAGTCAACGTTAACGACATCAACCGACGCGCCATCTTCTAGCATCCGCATTAAGACCGCTACTGAGTGACTCAGGACTAGTGGTGTTAGCAAAGACAGCCATAAATGAAGCATTGGGCCATTGTAGCACGTAGACATGTAATCGTGAGCTTGCTCCTATATATGGAAGACGACCGGTTACAGGTCTATGTAGCACGAGGAGAACATGACACGGACCCTGATACTAAATACGGTACATAATTGCATTAGGACCCCTGACACCCTCAATCAGTTATCAGGTCCTGTGTAACGCTCTGTCCCCAAAACCCGTCTGAAGGAAGATCAAAATAGGCTGACTTGGTAGTCGATGCGTCTGTCCACCCCGGCGGAGGTGTTCCTGATCCAAGAGAGACTGTCAATGCAATATTTGCCAGAGTCTGTGATGGATCAGAAAGCATGACTTTCCATTCATCGAGGTCGAGAATAACAGCGCTGTTTCCCGTGGAGTGGACGGTTATAGGTGCGGCGTCAGGAGTTGGAAGGGTTATGGTGACAGAACCTCCGTCAACGTCCCAAAAAATGATCATAGCAATATTATCAGCAACGTCGAGAACAGCTGACACCGAACCATCGTTGCGTACCGGTATGATGTCGGATTCCTGCGACTTCGATACAAACAAATCGTATGACGAAGTTGCTGGGTAAACGGCGTAGGATACAGGGACCGACGTGTCATCGTGACTGAGCCAGGCGGAGAAAAGGTCGACTGATATATCTCCCTCGTCCGATGTGCCAATGGATTCCCAAGAACCAGTCTTATTTCCAAGCTGCACTGACAAAGAAACAGCCGAATTGGACGCATTGAAGGTGTATCCAATACCGCCGTGCCATAGGGATTCAACGGAAGAAAAGTTCCCGCTTTCTGTCACGGTTGACCCGGATATCATCACGTTGCTGAGGTGCCTTCGCTGGTCCAAGACTGAAAATACTGGTGCCGAGGTAGTTGAAGCAATGTTAGCAACCATGACATATTGGACATCATTGGGCAAGAAGAACCACGACTTCTGCCATTGAAGTGATTTGGTTATGGGGTTCTCATAACGCATAGCAGCAACACCGATGTTCTGGTTGGATGCACCACCAACAAAGGATTCAACCCCGCTTATCCTAGATTCGTCACAGTCAAGTACGGTGGCGTTGTAGTCGACTGTTATGCCCGGGATAAGATTCCAATCCCAGGCGGCGAATATGTCCTCATAGTCATTGCCGGTCAAGTAGGTGTACACTGTACCATCAGAGAGATGGAAACCATAAGGCTATAGAGATCAGTTTGAGAAGACAGATCCAATCAATGCAAACTCACATTCTGGGAGTTGACACATTCAGAATTCAAAGTGCGCTTGGAGAACATTTTTAACGTTGTCACGTATCCAGAGCCGCGTTGTACCTGAATGGTTGAGACTATGCACGATGTCAACTAGGGAGAACATACCATGTAATCGTTAGTATAGAACATGCGATTGCCGACGACGGCACCGATGTTAGCATCCTTCGAGGTGCCCTCAAGGACTTCGTAGACACGCGTAATGTCGCTCGAGTTCCATAACTCCCCAAGAACTCTGATCTGTGTCAGATTTGTTTTGAGGCTAGCCGTTGCTCTAGTAGAAACTTCGGTACTAGCCACTCACAATATATTGTAAGACTTACTGGTTATCGGCAACAGGAAGACTTATGACTCGACCGATGACTGACTGAAGATTGTGTGAGACGGCGGTGACTGGCATTAAGTACGATAAAAACTTGCATAGTCCCAGTGCAAAACGCCTGTGACGACGTTACGGAATATCATCCACAGGTTTGCAGTTAGCAGCGTGGCAAACGCATTCTGACCCTCATCTGGCGCTGCCCATTGCGTATTTGCAGACGAAATTTCGAGGTTGAAGACATCATTCGCGCTGCCACTATGTGAGTTTGTCTTTGCCACGCCCAGATGAGTGACTTACTAATCTTTCCCTGTTGCGAAAATACTAGGCACGAGTCCCTTAAGGCAAACTGATCACATACCATAATCTCCGTTATACAGCAAACCATTGTGCTGGCTAAAAACAGTTTTGTAAGTACGCATGAATATAGTCATTGGAGAGCCATCAGCCTACCCGAACGAGCCATCCGGCCTGATGCCGTCTGCACTAACTGCTGTCTTGATGGACAACTCCCCATGAGCTCTATCATAGGCATCCGTGAGTATGGTTTCGTTGCTTGTCAGCAGCCCCAAATCGAGCCCGATACCAGCGATATCAAGGAGATTGGAGCCAGTGATGCTACTAACGCCTATAATACCGGTTTGAAACGTGTTATAGGCCCTTTGAATTATATGTAGACAGCCAGCCAATTCATCGTCTGAGAGACTGGTGTCCAATAAGAGGCACGCTGAGCTAAAAATGGGTCAACTTAGCCGCTGCAATAGTCAAATTTGAAGATGACAGGCGGATACCTAACTAACGGGGGAACCGTAATGACCTATAGGAGCGTTCAGTGAGCCAGAAGGGGCCAGAAAATGTGAAAATCAGACGTTAGAAGCCCAATTAGTGTTCCAGAAGCCAGGCGTGCCGCAGGGACAAGCATCGGTACCGCCAGCGTCCAGACACGCAATGTTGTCAAAGTCATTGGAGAACCAATAATTCATTGCCAGAGTGATGGAGGCTCTGAGATCGGGATCACCGGCATACTGAAGTGCATTCTTGAAGCCACCGTGATATGCAGCAGCGAACGTATCTGATTTCAGAGTCAGACCGGTATTCCGAATCTATGAAAATCAATAAACTTACCAATACGCCTCCAATGCTGCTGTGCAGGCCAACTCCCTCTTTGGGCGTCGCATCCAGCGGTGTAGTTAATTTCGTCATCCGGCCATTTCCCATTCTCACCCAAGGATGATAACCTACCAATCAAGTTAGAATCGCGGCTTTACCACCCAAAGGTAGAATGAATACCATTTAGGGATAGACGAAGCTCCCGTAGAGGCACCAACAATACCTGAATATCGCCGTTGGCGAACAACATCGATGTCAGCTCCGAAACCTGGAAGAAAAAGACACGTAGAAAAAACGGCGAATAAGAGGACACGAAACATAGCTAGCTGTTCGCACCAGACCGTCACGTCTCGTTCAAATAGAAACGAAGTCAGAGTCCTACATTCTGGGAAGTCACAGATGTTGTGGTGTACGACTGAAACGAACGTAACGGTTCCTAAGGAGAGCACGAAAAGTGATAAAGAAAGAGACGTTGGTGCTTGGACTGTATCAAGCGTTTTATGAGTATCTTGGTTAGATTAGCGTCCATCATGGTTCTCGCGACCACACGCTCGTGGTGATGATCAAGATCAAGGTAGATCATCGGACTTATTGAATCAACCGAAAAAAAATCGGTGGCCTTGGGACCATGCAATTTGCCGTACTCAGAAGCTTTCGAACCGAGGACTGCCATAGATGCCAGATTGAAGGGATCTCTAACGAAATGCAAAAGTTAGACAGATATATACGTCTAGTATTATATGAGAATTGTACGAGTATGTGAGAGATATCGATACACTGTAAGTGTTAGTGTCCAAAAGTGTCCAAAGTCCCAAGAGTTCGTAAGGTCGTTAATAAAGAGTGGATGTAAAAAATCGCGGAGTTGGATCACTTGGAAGCCTTGACGTGCAACTTTGAAAGGGATACAGTAACAGGCACAGCCAAAAAGGCATTAGCTACCCAGACCACTAGAAAGAACGAGTTAGTCCATCATTCACGGGATGGAACGGGACAGAATACTCACTGGTGAAGGCGTTACCAATGCTGGCCACGGCATTGACGCCTGCGGCGACGCTGCCGTTAAAATCGCTGACCGTCTTGTCAAACCACATTCTGACGACCATGTGCGTAGTGAATCCTAGACAGAAGCGGATCAATCTCTGGGAACGGGCCATAGAGCTCTACTCACCGATGAAGAATCCTATGAAGCCCATCCAGGCAGTTAGCCTCTGAATAAGGGGCTTGTCCATGGTAGCAGCCATTTTCTCTCCCATTTTGTGTCGGAAAGACGCCACAGTGTAAACGAGGAAGAAGACGGAAGAAAAGCCCAGTGAAACAGCAACGAAAGCCCCTGCACTGGGCGGAGAAGATATAAGGATCTGAGGCACATCGGCCGGTAGATCAGAAAAGTCTGCGAAGGCACGGACAGTTGAGCATAGCAGGCATGTTTACGAGATAATCGGCATACCGTATGTCGGCCTGAGGGCAGCAACGGTACAATTGATCGCAGCGTCGTTCGTCGGTCGAGAGCACGATCCTGGAAAAAGGGAAAGGAGATTAACACTAATGCGCGTCATAAAGAGAAAAAACCATACCGAGCAGTCCCAAGAAAAGACTTGCTCCATCAGTTCCATCTGAAGAATTCGAGGATGGGGTACTAAAAGATAGATTTTTAGTAAACAGAAAAGATACGAATGAAGCCGCTAACATAGTGAACAGTGCAACCCTGTCCTCAAGCAAAAGACTCGGAGCCAAGAATGCCAAGTAAGAGAGGATAAGAGAAGTCAAAGCAAGCAGCGGCGTAAGGTATAAAACCACGGCTTTGGATAGACCGGCAATCATGATTGGAATGAAAAGTGAGAGAGGTCGTGTAGAAAACGTTTATCGTAAAGAATGCAAAGCGCGACTTGCGGCTTGAAGACAGGAAAAGGAGAATAGGCAAGACGCAGTCAAGCGATAAAGACTTTAGGCCGAACCGTCGTGTACTTTATACGCGCACCGTCCATTCCAGCCGGGATCAAAATGGGAAGAATAGGACCGAGAAGTGAACAATGAGCAAGCGTATCGAGGGCGATGCTTACATAATGCTATTGTTCACTCTTGTGCTGCTTTTGTTCAGTCCGAGATCTACATTACACGTCGCACAGACCCTTGACGCGTCGTCGGTCCTAGAACAAGAGATCCCAAATGCGGCCAAGTGACGAATCGGTAGAACAGGGCCCATGTGCTTTTTGACAACGCTTGGAGCGATGCTCTATTGTACTTTTTTTTTTTGCTGTACATGCCGTATTCAACAGTTCACCGCCATCAGAAATGGGCGCGAAGAGTGCCTGCAGCCAAGGAAGGAGCGAGCAAGAGAATATTACGCATTTTTTTCGGTGGTGGTGATGAGAAAGAGAGATGCCGACGGCAATCAGCGCCAAACATTTTTTTGTCATTCTGGACTACTCTCCTTCCCTTTCACAATGACAGAGGTCGAAGATGCCATTATACCTGCCATTCAAAGACTCTCAGATTTAGTCGACAATCAACCGGAAAACTATGCAAGGGGTAGTCAGGATATCCAATTGGCAGCTCTTGCAGCAACGCAGTACATATTCGACCTATGTGGGTTTCTCGTATATGGCTCCAATTTTCAGTTCTGACACTCGTATGAAGCATTGAAATGTGAAAATGTGTCTGCACCACACATAAATTCTCTTCTCCAAACCCTCAGTCCATCTGAAGCACCTCAAACGCGATCGCAGAGTAAGAAACGAAAACGCAGCCCTAGTCCGCCACGGACCGTGCCTACATTCGAAATGACCCCCTTGACGTCTTTGTTCACGGATGGCATGGACGAGGAACAAATATGGGCTCAATTGGACCTCAGAGCTAGTAGGGTCACCACAGTCCTTGAACAGGCCATCCATCCAGACGAAGATTCGGAGGACGAGGATAAGGATGAAACAATGCAGAAGGTTTTAGAAGCCCTCAGAAATGGTGAGGATGTTGAAGGCTTCGACTTCGATGACCTTGACGAGGATCTGGGAGAGTCTGATGAAGGGGCCCTTAGTGAAAGCAGTTCTGAAGAAGAAGAGGAAGAGGAGGAGGAGAGCTCGGAGGAAGAGCCGCATGAAGAAGGTGTCATGACGCTAAAAGACCCTTCCTCCGAAGAAGATTCTTCCGCGGAAGATTTCTCCGACTCCCAGCAATCACCTCGAAGAAGAAAGGCGAAAAAGAGCGCAAAGAAGTCGAGACCTGAACATTCAGAACTCGACGACGACTTTTTCAATCTAAAGTCCTTCAACTCCCAAACCGAACGCTCGGAAGCACGTTCAGTATCTCGTGGAAATCTTGACGCAGATGGGGAGAGCTCAGACGAAGAGTTTGTGGACCTGTTCGCTCCAGTTGACGTTGAAAACTTCGATGAAGAGGACCTCGAGGACAGCGCCGGTATGTCCTATATGTACACACGGATGCTATGATTAATTGTTTTTTAGAGCCCTTCTACAAGGATTTCTTCGCCCCACCTCGATCTGGAGCTTCTAAACGTCAGAAGGGAGAGACACGGAAAGATGGCGTGCGCTTCCACGACGAGGTTAGGGTCAAGAAAATCAAAGCAAAGGGGAAAAACTTACCGCTGTCTCTCATGTTCAACGCCGGCGAAGATGAAGACGAGGACGAAGATGAAGACGACGAAGACGACGGACTGATGGAAGCGTTGCAATACGATGAAGATGAGGGTGAAGGTGTTTTGGATGACAGTAATGAGGATAAGGATGAGGAAGATGGAGATGAAGATATGGATACAGAAGACGGAACATCCGAGCACAGTGGTGGAGATGCCATCGATCGATTAAAGGATGATTTATTCGCAGAAGAAGACGAAGAACCGGAGCGAGGTACGAAAATTACTATGACTGCGTGCTGTATTAACGTCGGAATTAGATCAATCCCAGCACGAAAAGCGTATGGCTGCGCTGAAAGAGCAGATTGTGGCACTGGAGGAGGAGAACGTTGGTCAAAAGGACTGGGTACTTATGGGCGAAGCTCATTCCCGGTCTCGTCCCCAAAATTCACTACTGGAAGAGGACCTGGAGTTCGAACGTGTCATGAAGGCGTTACCTGTCATCACCGAAGAGGTGGTACAAGAGCTTGAAGAGAGAATCAAGGCGCGAATCATGGACAACAACTTTGACGACGTTGTCAGGATACGACCTTTAGATGACAAGCCCTTTCTGCCATCAAGATTTTTCGAGCTCAAGGATACAAAATCGGCCGACTCCCTTGCTCAAATTTACGAAAATGAATTTGTTGCAGCGCAGACTGGAGGTCCTGTGGATGATCGTGATGGTAAACTGAAGAAGGAGCACGATGATATTGAAAAATTGTGGGATAACATTTGTGCAAAGCTAGACGCTCTCTGCAACGCCCACTTTACTCCCAAACAAGTAAGGTGGTTTCTTTCTTCGTCATCGACATGCTTAATATTTTCAACAGGCCAAAGCTACGATATCTTCCATATCAAATATAGCAACTACGTCTTTGGAATCTGCTCTGCCTACCACCGAATCTACAGCAACGATGCTTGCGCCTGAGGAAGTATTCGCCCCCTCCCCGTCTGATCTTCGCTCTCGAAGCGAAATGACACCCAGTGAAAAGCAGGCGCTCAGAGCAAAAGAACGAAAAGCCAGGAAAAAGAGAAGAGACCAACTGAACACTGCGGTGGATAAATACGCCAGGACCAAGGGGAGTGTCAAGTCGCAAAAGAAGGATGCATTAGAGATGGCAGTAAAGAGCGGCAAGGGCGTTACTGTCGTTGGGAAGCAGAGGAAGGATATCCTTCAGAGAAAAGATTCGAGGAAGTCGAAATGATTGTAGACCCACGTGACCCTGAATATAATTTAGTGGCTTGATCGCAACCACACTGCAGTTTTTCCCACCATCACGACAAGCATCAACGATTACCACCAGTGAACATACAAGGGAATACGCATGTCGTTCTTTTCTCGGCGCAAAGACAAACCCCGCATTCCACCCGTCGAGTCACCTTCTCCCAACAGCACCTCGCCATGCCCGTCATACCGTTCCAACGCAAGTACCTACGTTCCAAGTCGTGATGGCGACCCATACAATACACCATCCAACAAAGTTACTTCTTATCCGCCACCAGTACCAACACCAATGAATGACTATGAGCCTCGTGATAAGTATAACAGGAGTAACGGGGTTGGGGACATCTATTCACGTGGCAGTGCTGAACTAGACAAGGATCGTAACGAACTTTTCTCAGGCTACAACCCTCAAAAGGCTGGTTCCGGGCGTTTCTTTGATGGTCCCCAGATCAGGGAGCCGGCCCCGGGCGAGGAGAACGATGAAGACGTAGAGGGAATCAAACAGCAAACGAGGTTCACGAAGCAGGAGAGTGTAAACTCTACTCGAAATGCCCTTCGCATGGCCCGCGAGGCTGAGGAAACCGGTCGTAGTACCTTGTCCAGGTTGGGTGATCAGTCTGGTGCGTATTTATCACAGTGATGCTTATTACGTCTACTAATATTACTGATAGAGAAACTTGCCAACACGGAGCGTCATTTAGATGTTTCAAAGGGTCATTCGATTCGTGCTGATGATAAGACTGACGAGCTTAAGAAACTTAACCGCTCTATATTCCGACCTGCTATTACTTTCAACAAGGACGCGAAGCGAGCCGCTCAGGAGGCTAAAATCCAGGGTCGTTATGAAGAAGAGCGGGAGGAAAGGGAGAAAGCTATGATGGACATTCGTGAGAGCCAGAATCGGATTGGTCGCGCGCAGACATATGGACGTCATGATGATGAAGAGGGACTGACTGGTCCAGGACGAATCAAAACGGCTTCAGAGTTGTCAGTAAGGAAAGAGCAGAGGAAGCGGTTCCAGTTCGAAGCTACTGCCTCTGACGATGAGCTTGAGGATGAGCTCGACGACAATTTGAATGAGATAGGCGACATGACGAAGCGATTGAAGGCGCTGGGTACGGCCATGGGTCAGGAGTTGGATAGCCAGAACAAACGGATTGAAGTCATTGAGGGCAAGACTGTTGGGTTGGACAGCAGAATCTTTAGAAATACTGAACGCGTATGTGTTTTCTGTTTTCTGCTGCTGTACTTGACTGACTAAATGTATTCTAACAGCTTAAGAAAATCAGGTAGAACAACCAGCGTACAAATAGATTCACTTTCTTCTTCCTTGGTTTTTTTTTTTTTTCCAATAATCATGGGCTCGGAACTATATCTCTTGAATATCAATTATCAATAACATTTTCACCTGGATTCTTTCAAAGTCTACTGAGGAGGAACTCTTTGTCTTTTGAGCTTTCAGTCGGCTAATTACCGCAAAGTCCGGCGGGCACAGGGCTACGGCACTTTGACCTGTACACGCATCATGTCTCATTACTGACGACCTCTGGGTACACTCGTCACCTCCTTTTCATGGTCCTCGACTTCTGCAAGGAGGATTACTGTTTTCACAGCATTCCCTCTGTAATAGACTATAGAAACGCATTCTATTTATCATAACGAATGGATCGTCCACTGGCAACCGACGGGCACAATGACGGTCCTCTTATGTCTGGTATATACGATTCCACTGTCCTTCTCTTCCCTTTGATCCGGCTCACTGTCACACCAGGCAATCTTTAATCTCTCAACAGACCGGTAATTGAAGCTTTCACCTCTAATTTTGGTGGCTCAAGGCTTTCGTACGCTAGAACTATTCGGCGAAACAGTCCTCGAAAATGAACAACTGCACGGTCGGGTTCAAGAGCTTGAAAGAGAAGTGGCTGTTTGGAAGCAGGGATATATCAATGCAGAAAATCAAACAAACTTGCTGCAGAAGGAGGTGGTCCACTTACGACAGATGACTGAATCATTAAAGGTTCGTTCATCCCCTAGCGGCTTGAACTCTCTTCATTGATCCGGTGGTGATATAGGAAGATAATCCTTTAATCCTTGCGCTCGTGGATGGTGACGGAAATATTTTTTCCGAAGAACTGCTTCGTCAAGGACAGGCCGGAGGACGAAACGTATGGTCACTCTCTTCGTGCTTTTGCGTTACTCATTCCCTGGTTTCTAAGGCGGCTATGATGCTCACGAAAGGTCTAACTGATTATACAGCGGCCGTTGATGCACGTATATCTGCCCGCTCCAGAGTGTGGCTCACCGTATACTGTAACAAGCAAGGCCTATCCGATACATTAGTCGCCAACGACGTTTGCACATCAGAGCAATTTGAAGCATTTTTCCTGGGATTTAACCAGGCGGCTCCTTTGTTTTCGATAATTGACGTGGGCACCGGAAAAGAAGCAGCGGACACAAAAATAAAAGGTTAGTCTCACGATTTGACTCGTCGTCAGTTGGGGCGCTTACAGTCACTATTTATCAGAGCACTTGCGTCTCTTCACTCGCTTTCCACAAACATTCCTAATATATTTTGGCGGTAAGATATTCCCTCATCCGTATCGTGTCATTCTGACATTACATGAAGGAGCCCATGACAATGGCTACACCTCGACTTTAACTTCACTGCAAAATGAGGGTCTTCTCGGCAAAATTGTTCTCCTTAGAGGCTACAAAGAGCTAGCCGTAGAACTGAAACACCTGCAGCTCCCTGTTGTGGAAGTAGGCGGTGTTTTTAGATCAACAAAACTTCCAGGTCACGTCAGGCATGGTTCGCAAAAGCCTGTCGGGTATGTCAGCGCGCCCGAGTCAAAAACCAACGGGGCAAAGGCAACAGGACCACCAAAATACCTCAACCCAAATCTGGTATGGATACTTAATCCCCTCCAAGCAATGCATCATCTGATGTAAATCTTCTCTGAACAGCCAATTAACAAACGTGTGTGGTGTCTCCAAATATTACCTTCCAGATTGTGACCTTTCTTTCTGTAGATAAACCGCCGCCGTGTACGTTTTACTACTTAGGCACCTGCAGGCATGGTCCTAAGTGTACTTTCGGGCACGATTACACCTTAACTCAGAAGAATCTCATTGAGATGCGAGAGAATTCCAAGAAGTTTCCTTGTGCAATTTTGAACAAAGGTATGGCGGTCATGTTTCATCGCCGCCTGTTCTTTTGTATTGATTTAAACAGGGAAAGTATGCCCTTCGGGAGACGACTGTATCTCTGGTCACTTTTGTCCCCGTGGAAACACCTGTTCTTTGTTCAAAGAAGGCAAATGCAAATTTGTCGGAAGTAAGCTCGTTTCCTTTGCCAGTCAAAGAAACCTCCACTCAATATATAATTTTTCCCACAGAGAACATGCATTCAAAACCTAAATCATCAAAGCCCTCTGCTCCTTCGAGCGTGGTGGATCCAGCTGATGATACTTTGTCCCAGAATGGCATTGGTACAATGTCAGATATTGATTACAGCTCTTCAGGCTCCAGCCATCCTCATGATTCCTAATTTGTTATAGTTAATAAAATCCTTGTCAAACTGTATTTCTGTGGGAGATACATTATTGTCTATATCCGAGAAAGCTTCTGTTGTGGATTACAGAGACTGAGAGAAGGGTCGAGGAAATGACGTGACAAGCCGCGCGATCGTCACAAACACGAGATTTACCACGTGCATGCCTTTGTCGGCGTCACAACTGTTTTTGCTTCCGTGCTCGTTCTTTCTCCTCAAATGATTTCAGCGTACGAGGCACAGCGCAATGCTAACATTGAAAGGTCTGTAGTATCCACTATATTTGTTCCAGTGACTGATGTATAACAGGAATCGAGAGCTTCTGAAATCTCTGGGACTGGATACGCCGATATTTGAGCCAACAGAAACGAAACGAAAGCCCAAAACCGCGCCGAAAAAACGCAAGGCTCCTCCGCCAGCTAGCGATGATGAGAATCCCAACAAAGCCGCTAGAGTTGAAGATAAAACCGACGTGTCTTCATCTGAGACTGGCGTCCGTCGCAGTGCACGTAACAGAGGCAAAGCGGTGGACTACAAATCCGAGAAAACGGGAGAAAGTCCCATGCCGATTGCGTTTCGTGCTGGTGTTAGGACTTCGGGTAATGAAGGGCCTCTAGGTAGTGGAGAGGGTGCGCGGCGAAAACACGATCCGTACGTGACCGAGATATCCACTACCACCGCGATTCTGGGCTCACGTCCACTCGAACAGAAAGGTCTATGGGTCTATCCCAGGAGTTGAAGTCGGGACGTGGTGGGAGACGAGACAGGCTTGTAGCATTGATGCTATTCACGCGTGAGTCCTTCTACTTCAGCACTTTGACATTTCATGAATGACCTTGTCATTGTAGGCCTTGGGTTGGCGGTATATCTGCATCTAAGGACGGCGCCTATAGCGTTGCTCTCAGTGGTGGATATGACGATGATGTGGACCTTGGTTACGCGTTGTGAGTGTCCCTGACTTTTTGCCTTGTGCTTACCGAAACTAAAATTTCCGCAGCACTTACACCGGCTCTGGTATGATTCTTTTTTTTCGTCACCTAGGAACTCGTCTGACGTTTTTCAGGCGGGAGGGATCTCAAGGGGACTGCAGCACAGCCCAAAAATGTGTGTTCAACACTGCCATTTGAGTGGCTTTGGTTTGACCGTAGCATTTATTTTACCAACAGCTTCGAACTGCAGCACAAAGTTCAGATCAGAGTTTCGAGAACACTGTGAGTAAGGCATTCCTCTAGGGTCTATCTATTATCTCATTCGTTCATTGCAGTTCAATAAAGCGCTCAAGGTAAGTAATCTACTAAACCATGCTAGCTCTTCCCTAATTCGTCGTATTAGCGTTCCTCCGAAACCAAAAAACCCATCCGAGTCATTCGCGGATACAAACTGCGATCACCTTATGCACCGAGTGAAGGGCAAGTACTATTCCAATTTTCACTTGTTATATGCTGCCATACAAGAAATTAGATATCGTTACGACGGCCTTTATCATGTGGAAAAGGTACTATTTCTGCATCATTTCTCTCTTGAATAATATTGAGGCCATCTAATTTCACAGGCGTGGATCGAAAAGGGCCTTAACGCGGGTGGTTACCTTGTCTGTAAATTCGCATTCAAGGTATGACTTCGATACCTTATATATACCAAACTTAACGTACGTATAGCGTTTGCCCGGTCAACCACCTTTACCCCGTCGTGATACATCCGAGGATTCTGTCGAAGTCCACGATAAACGGGAAGATGGTGCTGAAGAGACTTTGTCCCCCGAAGGAGAGGAGGAAGACTGAAATATGCCCCCCAAAAGGAACTAATTTGTCATAGGATCTATCGATATGTTGTCTTGCTTTCTTGCTAATGCTATTCTGATTCGTTTATCTCACACACTCAATCCCCGTCGTAGCACTGACTGCGTCTACGGTAGAAATTCGGATTTTCACTCTTGTTTCTCTGGGAATGAGTTTACCTGCTGACATTCTGACCTGCCTTGTGCGCGCATTTCCTACTCTAAACGTGCACGGTTTCTTCATTTCTACGTCACAATGCTGGTGCTCCCAAATCATATAGTTTATCAGATGAGATGTATAAGGTCTCGAAGTGTCTACAACTACGAGCTGCATCCTCATTCTTTGGAGGGCGCATTGTCAAAGTTAAATGATGACTGCGTCTACTATCACTCATGAGTAAGAATTGCCAAACAGCTTCGTTCAGCGTCTCGCCTCAGTCATAGCCGTTGTCTTGTTAGCGCACATCGGCACTGTCAACGCCGTTGCCGGCGTAACGACTTGGAACGACGTGAATCCCTCCTACATCCAGTGATTGCCGTTGACCGGTTTCCTCTTACACAGTACGGAACGCAATCCGGTGTCGCTTGTTCGGGTATCTCGGCATTTCCAAGGCATTTCTTTCGGTTTCTAGCTTGCTAAATATGCGAATCAGATTTCTTGCCTACTAACTCTCAGGGAAACAATATTTTTTCTGCTACTTTGAGTGATCTTTCGCCTCTATGGACGGGATCCAGATGTCAGGGATCTAAAGATGCGAGCAAATGGTGAGTATATCACCTTGTTACTGGGAAATACATATGTATGTTGCTCACGTGTGTCCTGTTAGCAATGGACATGGATCTTGCGTTAATTGCATCGGTCGTCAGTTAGAAAGCTAGCCACCGACCATACTCTCATTGACACGGTTTAGCCGCTTGTCCCGGTGAGCAACAATGTGGGCACTGTTTTAATATTCGATGTAAGTAGCATTTCTGTGGGAAATTTCCTTGACCTACGAGCGACAGGCACTAGATCTCTCGATCACGAGACTTCTGGATCGTGCACTGGCAACACTGTCAAGGGTACGAGACTCCGCCTACCTTATTGACTGCGTCAATGCTCATTCCAACGAAGTCAAGATCGTAGACGCGTAAGTAACAAAGCCCCAAGAGCCATGGTGATTGATCATCATCATTCCACAGATGCCCATCGACTCATCCTGCCAACTACTGCAAGGTTGCTGTATTCGGAGGGACAACGTATTCTGCGCTCGATTTAGCACACTCAGGATTGACCGGGACCGCACCTTAGTACCGTCGGCGGGAAGACCGCGGTTGGTTTTGCAACAATGGGACAGCGTCGTGCCACAAACCCACGGACGACACTGCCACGTCGGCCCGAATGTTCTGACAACCTTCGACGACGACGACGCGTCGTGAAGATTGCTCTGGTATGACTCGCCTCTCTCCGTTCTCATTCTGGGGCTGAAGGAGGTTCATAGATATTATTGCTCTTCTTGTTCGCATTGTCAGCGTACTCATCATTGGGCCTTTCCCGACTTGGCCTGGTATCTTCAATGTGTCTGGCTCGATCCAAACCCACCACCAAAGCTATCATTCAGCAGCTATTTACACCCTTCGACTCGCGGACATCAAGTAGGAGTGTCGACGCTGGGCTCCCATCCTCCTTGGCCGCATTGTCTATACTCATTCAAATAGCGCCTTGACACCGAGCACTGTGCTCGGTCCATTGTCTTGCATACCAACAACATCATCCCTGGCTTCAGTCATAGAAAAACAGAGCGCAATAACTTACCGCAACAAGCACATGTGCATTAGGATTATCTTCAAGAGAATTCTGAATGCCACAGCGAATACATAGCCCGTGGTCCTTTTTGAAAGGGAAGTTTCCTTGACAGGAGTTCTCGAGAAGATCTCCAACACATTTTGTTGTGGTTTCATGCTCCTGCACTACTGAATGAGATTAGTGAATCAATAGTGATAGGTTGTGCATCGAAGGAAACGAGCTCACCTTGAAGCTGAACTGCACATCGGAGGCAGCAGCAGCTGGCTGTAATCTCCTGATTCGCCGGACCACAATGATTACATTGACAATACATCTGGGAGAAAGGTTATCAGTTATATAGCAGTAAACATCTGATGGAAGCCTTTGGAATTGAGCCTACAGAAATGCGAGCATGCTCTTCTGCGGAATTTTGGACAGGTTTAACAGGTGGCATCGTTCACATAGACCTGGAGCGCCTTTGAGAGGGAAGTTCCCTTGGCACCCATCCTCTGGGTACCTCCCAGTGCAAACGGTAAGCCTGTAATTATTAAAAGGCTGGGATTCATAGAGACGAGAATAAGACAGAGGTATAGATTGATCTAATTTAGCACGGGGTGTTGGGTGGCAGCATCACAATGACGACCACCGATCAAAAACCAACCGCGGTCATCCCGCCGACCTTACCTTAGTCTGTCCCAGACGATGAAGCCTGTGAGGCTAGTGGCGTCAACGCCTTCGATATTGCGATCACGGCGAAGAGTATCCTCTCGTCTTTCGTAAGGGTATTCCGTCTCGCTTCCGAGCTCAGAAAAACTGAATCTAAAGCAGCAAGGAAATCTCAATATTGACATTGAGGTTACCAGCTGTTGAACGCGAGGCTACATGTGAGGCGTGGAAACATCCAATGGCAATTATTGTACTTTTTGCTTTTGACATGCGGTGCACTATTTCGTAATTTGCATCGACCCTAGTTTTTCTGAAAACGCTGCGTTGTCGGCCGCCAGTTACCGGGCGCAGTCGTATAAGATTCTTATGATGGAAGTGAGGGTAAAGGTGACTAAGTACTGCCCCACAGGACGATATCGATGAAGATGTCAAGAAACGTGAAGAGAAGTGGTGATTCGGCGGCTAGCACTAACCGGCACCCTCGATCTTTATCAAATATTTTATTCTCACGGCGACAAACGGCAAGAGGCATGTTTTGTTGTCGACCCCACTCTGGATCGTAACTACGTACACACTCTCCTTGCCTAATTTTCCGGCCCCAGGGCTGTCCGTCGCTCCTTTCAAAATTAACGCTATCATCATGCGTTTTCCTTCCTTAACAATGTTAAGCTCTACTGCTCTTTTTCTCTTGCTGCTCGACGTCTGCTACGCCCATCCCAGTCCCCGTCCACACGATGAACACCTGGGACCGTGGCAACGACACGCCGCCCGTGACATGCGCCGCCGCTCGTCGTTCCATGTTGGCGGAAGCAATGAAGGTCATCTGAAGAAACGCGGTTCTTTCACGTATTACGAAGTGGGACTGTGAGTAGCTGCAGCTCGATGGCCGTACCAACGTATTGACGACCATGCAGAGGTGCCTGTGGTGGCACGAATGTTGCCAGTGACTATGTACGTTCCTCTTTCCTTTATTCCAATACCAATTCTCACCGTACACTAGATCGTCGCCCTCAATGCTGCTGCAAGTATCCATTTTCTCACCCTGGAGCACGCGTTCTAACCTCAACTTTGTCTAGCAATGGGACGGTGGCTCTCACTGCTACGAATCTGTAACAATCACCATCAACGGGCAGTCGGTGCAGGCGCAGATAGTTGATGAGGTGGAGTCGTCTTTTTTTCTGATACCACATCATTACTGATTCCCTTGCCAGTGCCCAGGATGCGGGTCGGGTGATCTGGACTTTTCTCAAGGGCTTTTCCAGCACTTTGCTGATACTAGTGTCGGTGTCCTCACTGGATCTTTCTCCTTTGGATCCGGCACGACGAGCTCGCAGGCGCCTACGACGACCCAGCAGCCTACCACTAGTTCAACATCTACATACACTCCGCCGAGCACCACGTCTACAAGTCAATACACGCCCACGACTACGAGCACAAGTACGCCGCCGCCTACAACGTCTACCAGCAGTACCTCCAGTACTCCGTCGACCAGTTAGTGTTTTTTCCTACTATTACCTTGATCTGAGACTAATAAGCATTTATAGCATTGACAAGCAGTAGCAGCAGTAGTAGCAGCAGCAGCAGCAGTACCCAGTCAGCTACTTCCACAACATCATCTTCATCCTCTTCCTCATCCTCTTCACCATCCTCCTCTACCACCAGCAGCGCGCCTCTCACCTCTACAACAACCACTTCCTCTGATTCTTATGGCGGTCAACAAGTTCTGGAGCACATGAATGCCTTTGTGGTTCAACTAGCCGAGCTGGCAGTCTTAGGCGCCAAACAGCTTTGACAAGCGCATTAGGGACCCAGGTGTTGGACATATAAATTATCAAATAGATACCCGTTCACGCGATTCTGTTTTCCTCGGTTTGTTGTGGTAATACATGGCATGGCTCTTTCGGATACGTACTCCACGAGGACCAACTATCCTACCGTGACCTTTTATTTGTGTCTAATTCTTTTTCTCCCACTTAACAGTTGACGTTCTCTTGACTGGACTTCTCGGTATGCTCCACAGTCAACGTTACTTATTAACTGATGTCACCCTCCTTTTCGAGTGTGACATGGACATCTAGACCCAATTTTTGGATCATTAAAATGGCATTATGATGAACATATGATACTCCACTGACTAAAATCTACTTAGATGATTACTCTTCTTTATTCTTTTCGTCTAGCTCATCTTGGGCGACAGGATTCCAGCCGTCTACTCTGATCCTCTTGACAGCATCATACGCAACCTCTCGGGCCGCTTCCCCGTTCTTATTCTTGTAGAAAACGATGTCGCCCTCTTCCTCGACAAAGAGGCATTGAGTGAATGAGCGATATAGCGCGTAAAATGAGGGCTGGAAAACATTAGACAGGTGTTTACTTTTACTGCAGACGACATACCGTCGAATCGTAGTTGTAGCTGTCACCGAGAACATTCTTGACAACCTGGGTGATCGCTGGGCCGTTATCTAAGTAACAGGGACAGTAAGGATCATCTATCCTCAACTGGGTCAAAACAATCAATATACGCACAGAACGGAGCACTCGAGAAGAAGTCTAGCACGACAACACTAAGTGATCATCACACATACAGCAAAAAAATGACCTACGATGAGCCACATGATCATGACTGATGTTATGGAAGAAAAACCTTCCCATCCAGCCTAGGAGGGGTCGGTCAACCGTCGCCGCCGCACCGCGGAGGAAGGACCATTCCGCCTTTCTATAATGCGGTATAGTGGGATCAGAGTGATGGAGGTACGTGAACATTACTGGAAAGCGATGAATTGAATGAATAATCATGACGCGGGATGGATGAGAAATAGACGGTACCTATCCTAGAAATGAATAGACGAGTGATGAGGAGTCACAGTGGATAGATGAAGGGTCGGAGAGACAGACCAGTGATTCGTCAGCTAGGGACGGGAGGAATCAGCGCCGGGAACAAAGCAGCGAAGAAGACGGGGACTTACTAGGTAGGGAACCAAGTAGTACTTGAAGAAAAAACCGGGCCCGGCGTAGGTGAGGAGGAGGACCATGGCGATCAAGCCAATGTCAGAAATGATGATAGCATTTCCTGTCCCAGTGAAGATTGATAAAAGTATGATTAGCAGAAGGATGAAACGCACTTTGTTCAGGCTTGAACAGCGGTGAATCAGGATCAAAATGGTTAGTCCCAGAGGAATACATTTTAGATCCCATGGTGTTCTTCCTGTTCATATTCATGTACATGTCAGATCCGATCTCACAAGAATTGAGAGGTAACTCACGCTAGGTACACCCACCATCCACTAAACAAAGACGAATTAATCAAAAAGATCGTAAACTGAAAACCTAGGCTTACAGGCCCTGCATGATGAGCATCCTCGAGAGCGTATAGATCGGTGTCTCCTCAAAGACCTCGTCGTAATCAAACTGCCTTGCCTTTTCCTTGGAGGGTAGCCCGTAATCGCTCCGGAGGTAGGGAACGTAGTTCTCATCGCGTTCCATGGAGGAGGTCGCTTTCTGATTTAAGGGAACAGCTCAGGGTTGATTGAATCAAGGTGGCGACTGTAAAGACTCACATGATGTGCATGGTGTGTAGCGCGCCATGCGTAGTAAGGAATCAGTAGAGCCTACGCAAGTCCGTTATCAAATCAAATCAAAGACTCGGAGGGGAAATCGCTAACCGTATGCAGCACGAAGCCTACAAGATTGTTCACCCTCGTGGATCGATAAAGCGTACCGTGCCCCGCATCGTGTCCTTTTTTTTTCGAAGCCGTCAGCGCGGGGGCCGTTAAATCGCGATAAGGAAGACATACCGAGGCAGAATATCCCAGCCCATACTAGTCCCTGGACCCACCAGTATGCAAGCCACAAGAAGGACTTGACGAGGATACCGAGTACTGGGCTGGTTAAGTAGGCTTCGACGTCGCTGATCCGGGAGGCGAGTTTGAAGAGCAGGAGAGTGAAGGATATGTCGCGGAGGACATACAGCGTCGCCAGGACGGGGTTGCCTGGTCAACGTCAGATAAAGGAACCGAGGATGGGGAGAAATGGTACCTTTGAGAAGATGCTTCGGGACGGCATCGTGGATTTCCTTGAGCGTGACCGTAGGAGGTGAGAACGGTGTCTTGCGCCTAGAGAAGATTCAGCCTCCTGCTCCTCCTCCCCTTCAATGGAAGCTCGCTAGCTCACCTCTCGAGGTATTCCGGGCTATCCATGATGATGATGGAAGTTGGAGAAAAAGACCGTACATCGGTTCTTTCCAAGCAATTTATCTGGATTCTGAAAGCTGGTCGGATCACTAGCGGAGAATGACAAGTGAATAGAACGAGAATTGATTTGTTGGGCGCTAAGCCGGATAGCACATCGTCGGAGAAGCCAATGGATCAATTTGATTCGGCACGTCGCGACTGTTGAACAGATTGGAAAATATGAATGTTTTAAAGTGACCGGTGGTATTAATGATGCGTCTACTGTGACTCTTGTACAAACATACCTAAAACCTCTATATCAATAACATAACATAACATGTACTCAAACCTCCTGGATAGCATCCTTTACGATGGATAGGAATTGCTCATCGGTAGCAGGTTCCTTCCAGTGCCTCTTACTCGACCTCCAGAGCATATAAAGCCCTCTTATGCTATCCCTCAACGCCGTCTCGTTGTCCGCGTGTAACCAAGTCTCCGCTTTGATAGGCTCCTCTGAAGAAGGACTGGAATCCGAGTCTGAGAGGCTGAGCTCAAAAGTCTGGGTATGGGTATGGGGTATTTCTTCGACGACGTCAGATATCGTGGGTAAGGACTCTAATCGGGAAGTGAGCGCAAGGAGACGGTCAGAGAGGTCCTGGGCGTGAGAAGGAATATGGACGACGGTGGGCTCATGGTGAGCCGCTGGGCGGCGTTTCTCTGGGACTGGTGACGGGATCGTGGAGTCGCCAGAACCTGGTAAAAGTTGTTAGGTTAGGGTTATGTGCTGTGGAAGAGACGGACGTACCGTGAACATTGGCGTACTGGGCCCAGTAGGCATCCTCAGTATGGGCATGGCTGTCGTGCACCAAAGCGTGGTGGTCGCCCTCGTCATGGTGTTCATCCTGGCCGTACGCATCCCAGTACGCGGCTTCCTCCTTGTCGTGACTCGCTATCTCGCCTACACGCTGAGAGGAGCTCTGAGGAAAGGGCATCAAGCCTGCATTGTGGTACTTCCACGAGGTGTCGTTGTGGTCCCACTGAAAGACGAGGCGTACGGAGGAAGAACGAACGTGGGCGTGAGCGTAGGTGGACTCTTGGTCACCGGTATAGCATATGGAAAGATCAGAAGCTAGGGCGTCGTCTGGTAATGAGCTGAGAAGGTCGATAATACGAGACTGGTCTGAGGACGGCCACGTCAGGTAATCTGCCAGGTTTTCCTGGGGGTTGATCTGGAGAAAATGGTGACGTTGGAGGAGGGACGTTGATATAAGTTGGGGAGGAAGGTGGACAGGGGGTATCAGGTATTGGAGAAAGCTGGCGACGGTGGCTGGCTGGAGCTCTGGGACTGTGATATTTTGTGAAGACATATCTGGGAGAAGGAAAGAAAGAAAGAAAGGCGCTTGTCAAGCATGGCAACCCCGGCCCTCAGCTGATGAGTACGATCGAGCGAGCGGAACCGGGAACTATCTACCCCGCACTTTTTCATTTTTTATTTGACATTATTTCTCCCACCAACGAGACTGTGCCTTTTACATGCTGGTCATATGCTGGTCAATGCACACTTGGCTATTCCTTTAGGTATCCAGCTTTGATCGCAGCGAATTCAAAGCTCAGCGCCAAGTATTGACTATTCAAGGAGACCCGACGGGTAATACGCCTTGATATAGGGGTGAAGCGACGGGCGTGTTTAGCTCTACAAGCTCAAGGCGGCTCAACAGAGGCTTTGACGAGGTCCGGGCCGATGCAGATAAAGCATCCGTGAACGTGACGTGACTGTCACACGCTTCGCTCTTTCCACGACGACGACGACGACACTGATGATGACGGGTGCGAGCATGTACGGGCAGCAGAGACAGCGCCAGAGCATCCTAGTCCTTTTCTTTCTTCTCATTCTTCCCCTTGTAGCCCTTGCTCAGGTGAGGCTCACGACATTGTCCATGTACTTGGTCTAACAAATCTTAGTCAAACACTGGCAGCGCACAAGTTTCTACGATATTCTCAGTAGCGTCGTCTGGGACAGTGACATCAATAGCTACTATCCTTACCACCATAACGAATACCGCCTCATCCTCCTCTGCGTCGGGCAACAGCTCATCATCTGCATCGGGGAACAGTACAAGCACTGCATCAGGCAATAGTACTGCTACAAAATCTCAGTCGCACACCAGCGACACTTCTACGACACCGAGCAATCTACCTACGGCCTCAACAGATGGAGTAAATGGAGGTGGAGGAACAGCTGGGGCACCTTCGCCCGGAGCTACTGATTCGAGTGGGAACAAATATGGACCGGATGATAGTTATATTGCGGGGGCGACGGCGTTGCAGAGAAACGGACTGTTCATTGGATTGGTGGGACTTGTTGTTGGGGTGGTGATGACTCTGCTCTGATCTCTCTTTCATTGATGGATATGGACATTATTGCATTATACATTACAAGTGTTGCATGGACTGTATTTTCTAATTAGCTTCCATGTCTGGCAACCAGGATGGACATACTGATTATGAGATAGCATAGTAGGGCGGTGTGTGACGAAGGCGTCGGGGTGTTGTCTGGACGGCAGCCAAACGCCGAGATCTCTCATACGCCGAACATACGGGCGCGTGCGATACCGTCCATTGTCGCCGACTAGCCGATGCCTGGTTCTGGCGGAGTAGCCGGTCGTTGCGGCCATCAACGGTCTCCATCGGCGAGGGCTGCAACGCCGTGAGTAAGCAGCAGCATACGTAGTTGATGAGCTGGCTAGCAAGCTCACCATCATATTTTGAAAGAAACTGGGCGGCGCTGGATACGACATGTACGTCGTCAGCGGTGGAAAAAGGACAGCCTGCTCTGGTGGCGACGAGGGATCGAGAATCTCGCCAGCATCGACAGCCTCAGCGACAGCCTGGCGCCAGGCCTGTATATGCGCATAGAGGTCTGGGCTGAGAGCTATTGGGCTGACATTCATGAGGGTGGGTAGAGAAAGATGGATGTCATCGCGCGTCTTTTATAGGCCAGCCTACAAATTGAAAGAAAGGCACTGAGGCGCGCTCACTCCGTGTGACGTCACGCAAATATGTGACTGCAAACTTTCATGTTCTCTTGCATCCGATTCCCATCTTATCGATTCCATCCATTCTCTTTTCGTTCCCTCACTCGCACCATGGCCACTCAATCCCCAGTATTAAAAAAGCAGAAAACAGACCATCAAAAGGCAGGAATAGCCGTCCTTATCCAACCCCCGACTCACCATCACCAGGTTATTGGCACCCATAACGGCACCTTTCACTGCGACGAGGCTCTAGCCGTCTTTCTCCTTCGCCAGACCACAGCATACCAGGGTGCTGGTCCGTGTTTCACTCTTTGACCCACCCAACTCTTCATTCCTCTCCCAGAACTAAAACGCACTCGCGATCCAGCCATCTTGGACTCGTGCGACATCGTCGTCGACGTCGGCGCCATCTACGACGAAGCCAAACAGCGCTTCGACCACCACCAGCGCGGCTTCACCGAAGTCTTTGGTCATGGCTTCACCACCAAGCTCAGCTCAGCCGGCCTCGTCTTCAAGCATTTCGGCAAAGAGGTCATCTCGAATCGCACGCAGGTCCCTTTGGACGATCCCAAAATCCAGACACTATGGCTCAAGATGTACGAGGTTCGTCTATCTCGTCCCTTCTCATGCATCCCTCATCGTCTCATATTGCAGGAATTCATAGAAGCCATCGACGGCGGCGACAACGGCATCCCTCGCTACCCAGAAGACATAAAACCCGCCTACAAAAGCGGTGGGACCAGCCTCCCCAGCCGTGTAGCAGCCCTCAACCCCCCTTGGAACCAGCCCGTCGACTCCCAGGGCATGGACGTAAGGGCTCTCACTCCACGTTCCCCCCAACAACGCCTCACTTCCCACATAGGACAGATTCGCCAAAGCCTCATCCCTAACCGGAGAAGAGTTTTTCGCCAAACTCGATTTCTACGCCAACGCTTGGTTGCCCGCCAGGGATATACTCGTCGATGCGCTAGCGAACAGCAAAAAGGTCGCTGATTCCACGGGGAAGATCATCTTGTTGGAGCAATTCTTGCCATGGAAGGCAAGTCCCTTCTACGATCGACTAGCTTGGTTCTGACCGACCTAGTCACATCTGTTCGAGCTTGAAAGCGAATCCCAAACGGAGGGTCAAGCCATATACGTCGTTTACCCCGACGAGATGGCAAAAGCTTGGCGAATACAGGCCGTCCCTGTTGCACAGGAGAGCTTCGAAAGCCGAAAGCCCCTTCCGGACCAGTGGCGCGGCCTGAGAGATGATGAATTAACAAACGTGAGCGGCGTTCAAGGCGGTATCTTTGTACATGCCAGCGGTTTCATCGGAGGTGCGTGGTCTTCATTGTTCTTTTCTTTTGCTAATATCCGGCACAGGTAACCAAACAAAAGAAGGAGCACTGAAACTTGCTCAGCTTGCTTTGACTATGTAATAGATACAGATAGATACAAAATAAAATGAATGTAAATCTACTTTTTCGTTCGGGTCTTTTTGCCCTTCGATCCAGACTCGTTATCTTCGTTCTGAACGCAATTAGCATCAAACTGACAGAGTACACGGGTACATACCTTCCGCTTCCCTTTGTCTTTGTGTCCTTCTCCTTACCCTTTTTTGGAGGTTCCTTCTTCTCTTTTGCTTTAACAGTAAAGAACCCATCTAGCCTCCCTTGTTGCTTAGCATTCAAAAACTTTTGCAGCTTCTCTGCACCCTTGCGTACACGATCCTCACTACACAACATGAGCATGCACCGGACACGAGCAAAAAACGCGCACTTGAAACCCTTTTCTGTAACTAGAAACTGCACCAACCCATCGATATCGGGGTTTTTCCACTCCAACTGATCAAACATAAGCTATGCACACCATAAGTATAAGCAAAAACACACCTCAATCTCGTCAGCTGGCGTCACATCAGGTTTTTCAAACACCTTCTTTGCCTCCTCCCAAGGCCATTCTTCGGGAACGGCTATACCGCCTTTACCCTTGCCCTTGCCCTTTTTCTTTGGCTTAGGCTTCGGCTTTTCGTCCTCATCATCAGGCTGCTCGACGTCGGATGTGCCAGCGGGTGGGTCCTCGTCCTCGTTATCGGACGCTGCTGTTTCCGCTTTCTCAGCTTGCCTGAGTCAAACATGAATTAACAAAAGTCACGGCAAATGCGAAATCTTACTTTGCCCGTAGGTGTTTGATGATAGTCTTCAGATCACCATGCTCCCTGATCAGCTTCAATGCAGACTTGGGGCCTACACCCTTTATCGGTTCAAGGTAGTCGCAACCGAGCAGGATGCAAAGGTCTATGAACTACAAATAGCTTTCAGCATAACGGATAAAACTCGCAGCGAATATGACACACTTGACTCATGTCCATGTCGAGTCCTTCGAGGGCAAGTTTGAGATTTATCTCGCTGATAGGCTGCTTCTTGGCTTCAGAAAAGGTGAGGTGTCGAAGGAGTATAGGCGCTGAAAAGGTTGAGGGTGTCCATGTCTTCTGATCCCGCTGCGTAGACCTAACAGCGACGTGAAACATAGTATCGACAAACCATGCAGGACTTACCTTGCCCCCTCGTGCGAGCTCTGCACACTGTGCTTCAGCTTCGGACGGAGCCTACAGTAATGTTAGCCGTCAAACGGCACAAGGCGAGGTACACGTACGACGACCACAGGAATGCCCATTAGCCCTAAAAGTCGCCGGCACTCTTCATTGTGCTCCCTCGTGACCTTGACCGTCCGGCGCGAGAACCTATCCACATCCTCTGTGGTCCCGGTCTCTTTGGCTTCTTCACCTTCCTCCTTTGCTTCCTCGCGTCGCGCCAATCGCTTGGATAGCTAACTCCCTATCAGAGCAATGTCATATCATGGTTTGCGGAGCGACACGTACCACGCCCTTCTTCAACTCTGGTGGCTTCCCATCGAACACATACGCCGGCTTTATCCCGTTCTCCACTATGCGTATGGTGCGATAGAAGAATCCCATGAGATGGCTGGTCGTCTCGCCCGAGTCGTTCTGGAGCATCTCGCCGTCGCGCTGGCGCACAGCGATGAGGAACTGGTATATGGACATGGAGGCGTCGATGGCGACCTTGCGACCGAAGAGTGTTTTTATTTCGTGTTCTTTGATGGCATTTGGTGCGTGCTCGGTTATGAGTCCAGTGAGGCCTTTGATACCCATGGCTGGTGGTGAGAGGAGGAGGGGGAGAGCGTGATTTCTGACGTCACGCGTCATTAGGTCTAGCCGAAGCTCGGCACCCGTCGCCGTCTAATATCCGGACTGGTTAACCATATGGTCCCTCTAAGCCAGAATCAGAGCAGAGAGATATAGTGCTTACTGCGAGACATGCGGTTGCAGAATCAATCCCTTCGCAGGACGCTGCCAAGATATAGGCTCTGCAGGAGAGACTCGCGATCATATACGGCAGCAGGTGTTCCCGAGCTATTTTAAATGGCGGCTTTTACCGGGACAGTACAGAAAGGTCCGACATTTTCTTCTTCGGAAACCTCTGGAAGCCTGCAACATTTGCTGCGACATAACGCTAGGGTCGTCAAAGATGGGTTCATGTGGCATGGAGCCTAGGTGGCACGAGTCTGGATTTTTAGTCATCGCTAGTCATATCTTATCCGATAGCCGTAGGTATAAGGTAGATAGAGTGCAGATATCCCCACAATCTGGTTATCAGATAAGAATCAGGCTTCTTTGGCTGTCGTGATGGATCGAATGGCTACCATATATATAAGCCAATACGGCCAGGATGCTTCACAGGCGTTTCGTCCTCTGCATCCAGATACACCCAACCACGGGAACCCCCGATCGCATTCTTGCCCTCCTACCACCATCACCACCAATTTGCCTCCGTCCATGTCATCGTCTGCTCTTGAAGAGCCTGACCACAACTACCGCCGTACATCGTGCGACGATCTTCTTGCTGCATCTGGTAATGAAGATGATTCCGAATCAGACCACGAGGTCGAGGGAATCCTGGGTCGCAGCGTTGGTGAACTCAGCGACGAGCAGCTCGCACCCATAGCACCTGTCACACGACGCAAGTCAAGTACCGCTGCCTTGAAGCGTCGGGCTTTCTTTATCAGGACAATTGCTCTCTTGTGTGCGTGTTGTCTGAGCGTCGGAAGTCATTAGTGGGTCTCCTCCACGTATCACATGTCTCTTCTCATAACTTCTGCGCAGTGCTTCATATGTGCTCGGACCGCTAAAAAGTCGTCTTTCTCGAGAATTGGGAACTTCACATACCGAGTTCAGTCTCTTGATATCGGCGTTTAGTCTCAATAGCACCTGGACGCCTCTTCTGGGCGGTGTCTTGGCCAGCAGCCTCGGTACAACCTTTACTAGCATCCTTGCAACAGGCATCATCTTCCTTGGTAAGTCACCGTTATTGCAATCCCGCACAAGACTTACTTAACCAACTGTCCCCGTCATAGGTCAAATCATCTTGCTCATAGGCGACATTGTCGGTAGCATCCGGGTCATGGCCTTTGGCATGTTCATATTCGGCGTAGGTGTAAGCCCTGTTGCCGTCGTGCAAGAGACCATCATTGTCCGTTTTTTCAAGTCACACGGACTCGGTGTCTCCATGGCTTTTGGTCTCATCGTTGGCAAGGGTGCCTCCTTCGTCTCTGCCCGCACGTCTTACCCGTTGACGGAGACGTTCGGGCCCCGTGCACCGTTTTATGCCGCCACTACACTGGCTGGCATGTCCGTCATCGTTAACTTGGTATATATCGCTGCTTCTCGATGGCTTGTGGATGGCGCCGGTGCCGAGCTCGAGGCTGCGGATATAACTGAAGAGGCTCGACGGAGGTCCATAACGAACATCACAGAAGCAGAGGCCTTGGAAAGGGTCGCTGCTAAACGGAGAGTCCACCTGAAAGAAATAACGAAGCTTGGCGACGTCTTTTGGTCGTAAGTTCCTCTGCTTTCTTGCTTAACATGTGTATAACCATACTTTAGATACGTGGGACTTAATGTTCTTTGCGGCGCGATATGGTCACCTTTCACCCATCTGGCTGCGTGCGTAACTCAGATCATCTCTTGTCATGATTATTCACGAGTTACTTGTCTAGAAATATTATCGAGAATCGTTATGGAATGTCCGAACAAGATGCCGCTAACGAAGCTTCGTACCTTCTAGCCGGCAGCATTTTCTTCTATCCAATCGTATGTTGAATGCATACAGAACTCTCTCGATGTGCTTGAACTTTGCCTCAATAGTGCGGATTCCTCGTTGACCGTCTTAGGCATCGACCCATCGTCGTTCAGCTCTTGCTGCTCTCCTCGTGCCTGACATTGTCAGCATACGGATGGCTAGTTCTACCCCCAAGTTGGACTCAGAGCGCCCGACCAGCCATCGGCGCATTTGCAGTGGGACATGGATTTTCTCCTCGTGCGTCGAACTCAAAGTCCATGAATGCTCTCGTTTCTGATACAACTCCTTGTGTCAGTTCTGCTTGTCGTATTGGTACCAAAGATTGTGCCTCTAAAATATGTGTCCACTGCCCTCGGTGTACATAAGAGTGTAAGTCTTCTTTGTGTAGCATGTCTAATATCAGCTAATATGTACAATATTTCAGTTGGAGCAAACCGGATCAACTATATTCCAGACCTTGGCTGGCCTGGCGTTGGACACGCACAAGAAAGGCCATCACCTTATGAATAAGATATCTCAGGGGAACACTGCAGCTATTCAGTACCTCCTCAACATATTTTTCTTCCTGAACATGCTTCAAATGTTGAGCATTCTTGCCTTGACGTATCTGCAACGACGGAAAAACGCAGAAGCGGACTGCTGCTATTCATAGGCGTGCCTCAGTGTCTTTCTCTAGGGAGCCCTCGACGGACAGAGGAAAAGTACGGGGGTAGAGATCCTTCCTCTCAATCTTCAAACCATGAACCAGAGACACCTCTCTTGGGAGCATCACATTCTCACCGACGGTACTCTTCAACGGGATCAAGGGTTAGGTTTTACAGTGATGAAGTCCGGAGCAAGGGCGAAATCAGACGTGGGGAGGTGTTTGTATCGCTGAGCGCGGGTCTCATTGTTTTCGCGTGGGTGTTGTTCCTTGGAACAGCGTGGTTTAGACTCGGGATGAAGAAGGATCAAGGGTAGAATTGAAAGTCGTGGATAATGACTCACGAAAGGATACGCATGTACCCTACTCTTACGCCGGCAAATATACAAAGAATTTATCGTCCATGAAATCGGCCTTCCAACTACACAATTTCACAAATTTAATCCGGGGAATGCCGTAACAAACCGGCCCGATTCCTTTCTCGGCAAATACCGCAAAACTGTACAGTAGTTATGTAATCATCTGTCCAGGGACCACAATTTCGTCCAAGGTAAGGCCGTCAACGCCCTCAAGAAAAAGCGTACGCCCGATTCTCTGATATCTGTGGTTCCGTACTGACCTACTGACAGTCAAGATGGGAGCCTACAAGTATGTTGGTGAGCTGTACAAGAAGAAACAGTCGGATATCCTTCGTTTCCTGTTCCGGGTTCGGTCTGTCCCATCTTTCTTCAAGACTTATTCTCCCGCTGACTAGGCGTAGATGCTGGGAATACCGCCAGCTCAACGTGATCCACCGTGCCTCCCGTCCTTCCCGTCCCGACAAGGCCCGCCGCTTGGGTTACAAAGCCAAGCAGGGATACGTTATTTACCGTATCCGTGTTCGACGAGGAAACCGCAAGAAGCCTGTCCCTAAGGGTGCGTTTCGATGAGGAGCTGTTTTGAAGGATGTTAACGATGTGGGCTTTCAGGTGCTACCTACGGCAAGCCCGTTAGGCAGGGTGTGAACCACCTCAAGTTCCAGCGCAGTCTGCGAAGCACTGCTGAGGAGCGAGTGGGTCGTCGTTGTGGAAACTTGCGGGTCTTGAACTCGTACTGGGTGAACCAGGACGGTGTGTACAAGTACTACGAGGTTATCTTGGTGGATCCCAGCCACAAGGCGGTAAGCAAATCGCTCTTTCTTCCTTCGTTCTTGGATCGACATTCTGCTTTCCCAGATTCGCCGTGACCCCCGTATCAACTGGATTGCCAACCCCGTCCACAAGCGCCGGGAAGCTCGTGGTCTTACCGCCATTGGCAAGAAAGTACGTTCAAAATGTATGGCAGCGTCCCATGGGCTACTAAATGACATTTATAGAACCGTGGTCTGGGCAAGGGTCATCGCCACAACCATGCACCACAGTACTCGACCTGGCTCAAGCACAACACCCTCAGCCTTCGTCGCTACCGGTGATTTTGCTATTCTTTATATTTACCATCATGCCTATGTCGTACGGTTGCCTATAAAAATGCTACTGGTTCCATGTTCCCAGAATATACACAAGCGCTGAGTAAGAAAAATGGAAGCAAACCGTGAGGCCGATCAACAAGGCTGCGGTTCATTTGCTGGATCTATTCTTGGCGTTTCGAGTAAGGTGTTGGACTCGTTGCCGGGCCTTGGCTATAGACGAACGGTCCTTTCTCACCGACGACCACTCACGATTCTCATGCATTACGATCTTCCCTTCTACATTCTATCCTTCCTTCTTCTAGACCCTCCTTCCACTCTAGCACGCCCTGGCGACCTTTTGTTCCGTCCCGGTAGTTGGTTTTCATCGCCCACACCTCCACTTGAGAAACGATACGATACCTTTGATGTCAACCCCAATGGCTCGACCTTTCTCTGGATTCTTGAGGACGACTATTCAGGGTCAACCTTTTTCGAGTAAGTTGGATTGTGGATTGCCAGCATGGACAGCAAGTAACATTGGTGGTACAGCCGTTTTAGCTTCTATGACGGTGACGACCCTACCCAGTATGTCCTCTCATCTTGCGAAATAACCCTCACGCCTGATCGCCTTCTAGTGGAACGGTAAAGTGAGTGCAGACGATATCACGCGGCAAACGCGTTGTGAACATTTCTGTAGCTACGTCAATTCCAGCGAGGCGTTCTCCAAGGGCCTCGCATACGTTCAGGATAATGGAATTGTGGTTATGAAGGGAGACAACACGACATGGCTGGACGATGGCGTGTATAGAGACAGGTACGTACTTATATTCCCCTCTTCCATTGTCAATCCCCGTGCTGAAATGCCTATTAGTGTTCGTATTTCGAGCTATGCCCAATACAACACCGGTCTTTTCATCCTGGATCTTAACCAGGCTCCATGGGGCTGCGGTACGACGTCGCTAAATAGTGATCGAACTATCTCTTAATGCATCTGTCCAGGAGTTTGGCCTGCGTTTTGGACGCTTGGGGGCGGAACATGGCCTTATGTATGATCCTTTTTCTCTTGGTCCTTGCTGTTATAAATCAACGTTCTCAGACGGGCGAAATCGATATTATTGAAGGTGTACATGACAATCAGCACAACCAAGTTACTTGGCATACCGGACCAGGTTTGTCTATATCTTCTAGTTCCAACGATCGTGCTAATCGTCCTTTTAGGCTGTTATCTCAATCCTAATGCTTCTTTTACCGGCACAGTTGCGGTAAGTGAGATCATGGAATGAATTCCCAGCTCTTATATTTATCCCGCAGCAAACAAACGGCGCCAATAACACCGACTGCGATGGTAATGCCAATTCCAACTCTGGGTGCGCCATATCGGAGTGGAGTCGCGCGTCGTACGGACCATATTTTGATGCCCAGGGCGGCGGTATCTTTGCTATGAAATGGGATGAAAATGGAATATCCGTTTGTGAGTACTGATGACTCCCTGCTTTGGCGTTATGCATACTGACTTTCATCGAGATTCATTCTATCGAGCGGCCATTCCGGGTGACATTAATGACGGAAGCCCCAATCCGTCAAATTGGGGTGTTCCAGTCGCATCATTGGATCCAGACGACTGCAATCCATTGGAGTTCTTTGTCAATCACTCTATAATATTTGGTAGGCTCCATTTTCATTGACGTCGGTCTAAACTAATTCATCCTTCAAATAGACATTACATTTTGTGGTAAGTCAATCTATCAGGGTCTGTCGATTTTCGTAATGACAATCGATAGGTGACTGGGCTGGCAATTCGTATGCCACGTCGGGCTGTCCAGGCTCATGCTCGGACCGTCTACAAGACCCATCCAACTTTGTCGTACGTGGCCAGTCATAACAAATATTCACTTGTTAACCGGATAAACAGAACGCTTCATGGAGCATCAATTCGTTGAAGGTTTACCGCAAGCAGATATTGAACGGCCAGGTGTCTGCAGCCACTCCATCGCCTATTCCACGCGACTCACTGACACTGGGACTGACCTATCTACTGATATTTGTTGGGATTCTTATGTCCTTGTAGCGAAAAACTTGGTATTGATGCGTAACATAGACTTTACACAGCATGTATCTACAACTTCATCTTCCAAACCTTTTCTTCTATGTCTTGCACTTCTGGGTGCGGAGGCTCTGCAAAACTAGCGCACAATGGAGTAACACTGACCCAGCCCTTGTGTATTGCCCATCCATCAGATCCCACAGGTAGAGACGACTCTGAAGGTCGAATCAAACCATCCATCTCCGGTGACCATTTGAATAGTAAACCGCTTGATCGATCAGCTCCGGCGGCCTCGCTTATAGCTGGCGCATCTGGGCCAGCAGCAGGATTCGTATCCTCCTCCAGATCAAAGACTTCTAGTTGCTTGAAAAGCTTGCCATAAGATTTTCTCCACATCGTCGTCCAGCAAATCTTCAAGCCTTCCTCCGTCAAAAGCTGTTGTATAAGCGGAATGTTGATGTTGTAGAGATCCACCTCATCCTTTCTGAGACCCCCCTTATCTTCCCCCCAATTATCCCAAAGATGATTGATAATTCGGATGCCCAGTATGTGGGCAGGCTCGAAAAAGGTGACTGGCGTCGGGTGCAGAACGGTTCCGTACGATAGGGCAATTGATCGTGTTTGGGACAGTGATGCAGACAGTGCGGCGCCAATGGTACCCGAAGAGAGTGCAAATGCGGCTATGCAGTGTGTCAGAGAAATCAGTTATCAGAATAGATTGTGCTTACAGGAAGAATTCCTTCCTAGATTAGGACCAGATACCTACGAGAACAGAAGGAGGGTTCATGGAATGGTAGCAGAGGGTGGGGAAGCCCATACGACAAGATCGATCTGCCCAGGGAAAAGATTGTGTAAGGCGACGTTCGCGCAAGTAGCTGGCGTCTAGGGAAGTCTAAGTGTCCGTGCGACCATGGATGGGGAGCTGTTTCATACACCGTCAAGGAGAATCCATTCTGCCTGATGAAGGTCAGGATGCTGCCAGAACAAAGATGATATAGACGTGACTGACTATTTCGCCGTCCTTTAGTGGCCGAGATGTCAGAGCCACTTCCCCAGTACCGTCTGTAGAAAGTAGTTCATAGAGAGATATGTCGTAGAAGTAGAGCACAGACCAGGAGCCTTGGGATAGAAATAGGTGCCCTTCGTTACCTCCTTAATGTGATATGCCTTGCCTTGCAGGAAAGTCAAAGGCATACTGGGGACACACTCTAGTAGACTAACCGATCCACGACTTCTGAGAACTAGGCAACACGACCTTGACGTTCCATCCTGATAGAAAGCGATGATATATTTATTTGGACCGGTGTTTGATGTCGTACCTAGCGTCTGGGTGAGATGCTGGTATAATCCAAAGACATAGGGCGAATCGCGAGCATTAGGAGGGCCGTCGTCGTTCTAGATGAGTTGAGTAACGCGCTGAAATAGGATTGAAGGTAGAGCGCACAGTGAGCAGGACGGTCGGGACCTTGGGTGCCATCGATGATGGAAGTCAAGAGTGACGGATGTGACACGGAACTGGAACTGGGTATGAGATCAGAGGGCCTAAACTCTGGTCGAGACCATTGTCACGGTTCTCACTTGCACCCTTTTCCTTCAAACACTACGACCTCTGTATTTCCCGTGTTTTCTTCTTTCTCTCTTCCCTCTTCCTCTTCCTCTTTTATCGAGGAATTACTCCGCGGCACCTTCCCTTGACGGGTTAGACGATGGCTAGACCAGGAGCAGAGCAAGGTCCACCCTCGCCGACATCTCTTCCAGCCCTTCAGATTCCTGACGGCCCGTCATTGTCGTACACGACCCCCAGCCATCCAGATAATTCCGACCATGTTGCCGCAGGCCAGTCGCCAGCTCCTTCTCAGCGATCCAGGGATTCGTTTTCCACTGCTTTAAACTCGCCATCTCTAATCCCCGTCGATTTCGAGGAACCACAGCCTCCTGCTGCTACTGCTGCTGCTGCTGCGTCTCTGCTTCCCTTACCTCCCAGTCTTCGCAAATCCATATCCGTCGACTCGTTTGTTCACTACGGACGCGATCATACGGCCATAACCACCAGACCCAACCGCGGCCACACCGGCTCCTCTTTGGATCCCCCTAAGGGCTTTGATGTTATCAAGAAATTGGATCGAGACAGGCGTCTCTTGGGTCGCAACCGAGGCGCCAGCATCAGCACCGTTGGTGACGACCACGATTCTGTTGTCGGTGAATCTGATATCGAGCGTTCCGACGTCCTCAACAGTCCCACCGACGGTTTCAAGCACATTTCATTGAAGGGCCAGGACAAGGGCAAGACCTTTGTCAGCGGCGGCGAGCTTCCTCTTCCATCTCGCACGCCCACCCTGAGCACGACTTCTAGCATGAGTAGCATCATGACAACTTCCCCTAGTTCTAGTACCCAGGAGGGTGTGCCTCGTATGCAGTCGGCATCTTCTTTACAGTCCATGGCTAGGCGAGGCATTCCGGTGGCATCTCCCTCGGGAAGAACACGGAGTGGCTCCTTGGGAGTCTACACTCCAAGCACCAATCGACGTATGGTCATAAATACTACCATGCCCCCAGTATGTTCTCTATCATACTCAGCGGTTCTTAAATGACTAACGATATGTAGTCTGAGACTGTTAACCAGAATCTCGCTGTTACCCTGGTAGTGGTGGGTGTGGCGGGGTGTGGCAAGTCCATGGTCATTCGTAAAGGCCTCAGAGGCTATGGTCTCTCGGATCCCAGCGCACCCCTTCTGGGATCCCAACACGCGTCTCGATGTGAGCACAACCTTCTGCGTGGTCTCTTACATCCCTTGACCCGTCTACAGATACTCGACGTGTTGGAAAGCTCCCCCGGACTGACAACACCCGGGAATGCCCCTTGAACATAATTGAGGTCGATATACCTCTGTCTATTCCGGATACATCTGTATCAACAGTCAACTTTTTACCCGAGGCCCCACGAGTCGATGGTGTGTTGATATGTTACGATGCTTCAGATGAGCAGTCCTTCAGGCCTGTAGAGGCCCTTCTCCGTAAGTGGTTGATCTATCTTTTTTCCCCTCGTATCTATCCCTGACGGCGAAGCACCGCAGGTGGATACCGTGCACTACAGCTTCCGACGGTTGTGTTGGCATGCAAGTCGGACTTATCACGCCGTATCGATCCTCAGGCGGCTCTGGATATCCTCCAGCAGTATGATGTTGGCCTCGTTGAAGTCCACAACGCCGACGATGTAGGAAAAGAGAAGATGCGACGGTCATTTGACTGGCTCTTAAAGGCAGTCCTCCGCGATCGAAGTATGTCCGTTCCATTGTTATCAAGCTCACGCTTAAACTGATCACCCGATATGCAGGGTCTTCGAGAAGCGAATTTGAGGACTATCGAAATCCTGCTTCTCCAGATATTCTCGTATTGCCTCCATGGGAGAAGTGGGAATCATCAAGGACCGTAACTCCCACCGTGGCTTCATCCACATCTACACACAGTTCTGTTCAAGCATCAGCGACTCATATCTCCCAGCCCCAATACCCTGCGCCACTACCTTCCATCCCGGCCTCTCGCACAACAACGCCAAATCACCCCACGCGCGCGCGGTCAGCGAGTGATCTCTTACCGGAACAAGAGAAATTACATTCACAGGATTCACGTGGCGTTGATGACTTTGAAACTTCGAATCCATCAATGGCCGGCCATGAGGAGAATACTACGAGCGTTGATTTATTGAACGGGCGTGCGATTTCTGCAGATGTGCCCAAGGAAGTTCCCGAGGAAAAGAAACCAAGCAAAATCAAGGACTCGTCAGTTTCTCACCTAATATTACCCAAACACGCCTTCTAAACTGACCTGTTCACATAACACAGGCGTCCGGCTCAATGGGCCACTCTTGACGAACTTCTCGATAAGCTTCTATTCCTTGGCGTCAGCGGAGATGGTGAGCTAGTCGGTGTTCTTGCAGCGCTCAAACTGAGTTCATTTCGCACAGACCCAACGTACATCACACATTTCCTGCTTACCTATCGGCGCTTCGCGAGTCCCAGAAGCCTGTTGTTAGCAATGCAGAAACGGATGCGACAGCTAGACAATCCGTCTGGTGACCCAATGTTTGCATGTTACGCCCAGATGAGGTATATCTTTTATACCCTGAACGACTGTGTGTACTGACCATGATTGAACACAGAATCTGTCACCTTCTTGAGCTTTGGATTAGAGACTATCCATATGACTTCGCGGTTCGAGGCACTGCTGGGGCTCTTTCGGCGCTCATCAAATCCATCATCTCCAAGACCTATCTCCTCCATTATGGATCTGATTTCCTGCCATTCCTCGAAGTACTGCCAAATCTCGTCGATGTAGATGCCGCATGGGCCCTCAAAGTTGAAGATTTGGCAGATGAAAGCGATGACTCGTACAGCCTTCTGGAGGATGATGATGAAAGTGCATCCAAATCAGAGATGGATTCAACGTCGAACTTGAACCCGTCTTCTACGATGAAAGGAAAGCCTCCAACAGGATTCCGGGAGCGCAAAGGCAGTCTGCCTTTGTCCGCAAGAGCTTTGCTTCCCCAAAATAACCATGTCAATGAAGATCCTTCACCCAAGGAGCAGCTAAAGATGCTCCAACGCCTCGCTCAGGAGGTTAATGCGACCGACCCAGAAGAGATTGCTCAAGAAATTATGCGGTTGGAAAGCAAGTTATTCCTTCAAATACGGGTATGTTTCTAGCCCCGGGCTCTTACTGTTCGCTCATTCGCTCCTGTTATAAGCCTCGTCATTGGTTGAATTATACATTCGTCTCTGGGAAGAAGGACCCAGAAGTTGATGCTATTGCTCGTTTTAACAGCGTCTCCAATCACCTCGCGGATTGGTTCGTTAAAATGCCCAAGCTGTTCTAAGGATGGTCTAACTATATTTCCAGGGTGGTGTCCTTGATTCTTTGCCACGACAAAGCCAGAGCGCGCGCGAAACAAATTGAGAGATTTGTCGATATCGCTCAGAAGCTTCGCACCCTCAACAACTACTCTGCATTGCGGGCTTTCGTCGCTGGAATCAACAATGCAACATTCCCAGGCGATCAGACGATGGAACAGTTTAAAACGAAGGCACCTGATCAAGCTAAGAACTTACAGTCGTGGGACGTCCTGTTGCAGCATATTCGTTCACATCGTGCCTACCGGCTTGCCTTGAGGAATACCAAGGGTGCATGTATACCCGCTTTGTAAGTACATTCCACCGAATTTGGATCTGCATCTCATCGTCCTTCAGGGAAGTCCATATATCGGACCTCATTCGCTCTCACGAGGGAAATGAAGACTTCCATTCTGATGATGCGACTAAAGTTCATTGGGGAAAATTCAATATGATGGGTAGATTCATAACCAACACGACGCAATGCCAAGCGCAGTGTTTGTCGACGACGGACTACAATTTCGTCGAGCGACAGAATATAACGAATATGCTTCAGTGTACTTTCCTGATGGATGAAGAGGTTCGTTCTCTCCTGCTAGTCATAAAAGTCACTTATAAAACCCCATCAAACAGATGCAGAAGTCCCGTATAGCCCCTCCCGATGTAGACTTCGATGAATACCGACCTCCCCCGCCTCGTCCCTTGCGTGATCCTCCACAACAGCCGAGGGACGTGGCCATCCTGCGACGGCTTCTGTTCTGGTGATTTTTCCCCAGTCATCTTCATCTATTCAAGCAGAACGTTTTGCTTACTTTACGCCATGTCACGCCCAGTTATGTTTATACTTGTTCATATCATGTCTTTTAGGATACCATGCATGCATATAGTTGTCGGTTGCTGATTTTTCTGCTGTATAATACATGTCTGAAATTTACTTTGGTCAACGGAAAGAAATGGTAGAAGTGTGCGATTGGACTGCACTATAGTGGAGTTTTTAAGGCGAGTTGGAGGAAATATTTCACAAGTATATTTCTATGTTCGAAGATTATGTCGGGAACTCCCAGGTCCACTTGAACGCGTTTGGATAGCAAAGAGAGTGCAGCGTTCCACGCACATTATAGTACTCATTCTTCTAGCAATAACCTGAAAGTTTTGTGGAGTTCCGCGGCCTTAAAGGAATCATTATCTTGAAAAGACCCCTATGTCCGGTCCGCAAGTCCGAGATTCGCCTCCACGTGACAGCAAAAAATCTCGCTCAAGACTCGAGTTAAGTAAACTCATTTTGTCCTCTTCCAAAATCTCTTTGACACGGTCCAAGAGTCGAGAACTTGAGATGGCCGACTATGTCATGACCATAGACTCTGATGCGGAAGATGCTCCAGAATTGGCTATCGATCCTGCCAAAGACGAGGCGTTGAATCCTGACTTTACTTTCGATTTGTCTGGAGACCCTTACACAGATTTTTTGGATGATCCCGCCGTCACCGCACACGACCACGTCAGAAAGGGTTCTCGACCGGTACGATCCTTCTTGTCTCTTAACTCGTACTTGTAACATACGTTTCCCAGGAACCCATATCTGTAGACGATATAATTCAACGTCGGCGACTCTCTAATAAAAGAAAACGGTCTATAGAAGAAGAATCTTCCGACAAAGAAAGCGATACTACCAGTGAAGACGTTGAAGAAGATGAAGAAGAGGACGAGGAGGAGGACGAGGCTACCGGCCTGGACGTCGAAGATGAGGACGAGGACGATCTTTGGCGACTTCTGACGAAGAAGGGCTGGACGAACACGATTCTCAAATTTCCGAGCATGAAGATGATGGGAATATCTCGGATTCATCCTCTTCTGATGATTCCGAAGTCGAAACTGCAGCAGAGAAAGCACGAAAAGCGGCTTTCTTTGACTCGGAAATAGCCCCATCTTCGGAAGAACATTCCTCGTTCCTAACCATGAATCTCTCCCGGCCCATTGTCAAAGCCTTAACAACAATAGGGTTCCAGAAGCCAACTCCCATCCAGGCTGCAGCTATCCCCGTGGCTCTGTTAGGAAAAGATATCGTCGGAGGAGCAGTAACTGGTTCCGGAAAAACAGCTGCATTCACGATACCAATGCTGGAGCGGCTGCTTTACCGTGAGAAGGGTAAAAAAGCCGCGGCCACCAGGTGTTTGGTGCTTGTTCCCACTCGCGAATTGGCAGTACAATGTTATGACGTAGGCACCAAACTCGCGACTCACACAGATGTACAATTTTGCTTGATTGTAGGTTCGTAGATCTTTGTCATTGATGATCTGTTCAATGGCTAACGAAACGAAACAGGTGGACTGTCCCTCAAAACACAGGAAGCCGCTTTACGCAACCGTCCAGACGTCGTCATTGCCACCCCCGGTCGTCTTATTGACCATATACGAAATTCTCCTTCTTTCAATTTGGATAATCTAGACATTCTTGTTCTGGATGAAGCCGATCGCATGCTCTCCGATGGATTTGCCGACGAACTATCGGAGATTATTAAATCCTGTCCGATCTCTCGACAAACGATGTTATTTTCGGCGACAATGACGGACTCAGTAGATGAGCTGGTTAAGATGTCGTTGCAGAAGCCCGTACGCCTATTCGTGGACTCACAGCGAGGCACCTCGAAAAATCTGGTGCAAGAATTCGTCCGAGTACGGGCCGGTAAAGAGAGCGAACGTTCCGCCTTACTGGTCACGCTATGCAAACGAACATTCCGCGAGAAAACTATCATCTTCCTGCGTAGCAAGAAGCTAGCGCATCAGTTGCGAATTGTGTTTTCTCTACTTGGTATGAAATGTGAAGAGCTTCACGGAGACCTCAGCCAAGAGCAGGTCAGTCTCGACTTTCTCGAGTAAAGAAGCCTTTCTAACATAAGAGACAGCGACTCAAAGCTTTGCAGCAGTTCCGTGATGGTGCCGCCGATTTCTTGATGGCCACGGACCTTGCTTCTCGCGGTTTGGACATCAAGGGGATAGAAACCGTGATCAACTATGATATGCCCGGTCAATTAGCCCAATACCTACATCGGGTTGGTAGAACTGCTCGCGCGGGGAAGAAGGGACGGTATGTCTTGGTCTTCGGTTACTTGCTGGATTCTCTTCTGATCCAGAAACTTCTAGGTCTGTTACGCTGGTAGGTGAAGCGGATCGCAAAATGCTGAAAGCCGCAATCAAGCATGGGGCGGGTGCCGATCAAGTTCGACACCGAGTCGTTCCACCAGAAGCTGTGGCCAAGTGGGCGGAAAAATTGGAGAGCATCAAGGCGGAAGTCGCGGAAGTAATGCGAGAGGAAAAGGAGGAGAAGCAGGTATGTCGATTTGATCGCATAGTACTGATTGCTGAATTATCGTTTGTAGCTACGGCAAGCTGAGATGGAACTGAAGAAAGGTCAAAACATGATCGAGCATGAAGCAGAGATATTCTCGCGGCCAGCAAGAACATGGTTCCAGACGAACAAGGAAAAACAGCATACGGAAGGTAATTTACGCTTTTTAATACTGTCTAGGTCTTGCGCTTATTTCTTTAACCTCAGCCATCAGCAAGCGACAGTACGAAGCAGGTCTTACTTCCGGGGGTCGAACCAAACTGGCGGAAAACGCTAAAGATGAACACGAAAAGGTGGGCTGCCTCGTGTAATCTAAATATTGAAGCTAATGCTTGTTAACGCAGCCCAATCGGAGCAAGTTCTCTGGGCTGTCAAGGAAAGCAAAGAGACGGAAATTAGCAATGGAAGACGATGCTGAGACGGGAGACAGCCGCTCATTGCAAGCGGCCATCCGATCAGCAAAGAAATCGGCACGACCAGCTAAAATTGGGGTTCCAGAACGACGACCGTCGAAGGCATCGAAGGTTAAAGGCAGGAAGACACCGAAAAAGGCGCCACGTTCCGGCGGAGCTTTTGATAGTGATCTGGGCCAAAGGGCGCATGAAGGCGCAAGGTCGAAGAAAGGTGTGTCGGCTGGGACGAATAGGAAGGCACCCAAGCGTAAAGGGAAATAGATTTTAGTTTGCTGTACAAACTTTGATTTACGATATTCATGCATGTCACGCCTGTCACCCTGTGACTGATCGTGGGGCAGCGTGACAGACGCGTTTTTCTGCTTCGACAGATGATTCACCTTCAGCCTTCGTCTGTTCCCCGATAACATCACTGGAGCGGCCTTATCTCTTGGCGACTCGGATGAAACATGCAGATGAACGCATTTGCATCTCTTTCAGTTGCGCACCTGTCGTCGCCATGCCGTCTATTGGCATCTGCCTGCTGTCCGGACAAAGACTTAGTTCTCCTGGTTACCCAGGTAGGTCTTTCAGAGGGACTCAACCTATACAAGAACAACGGAGTCAAGGTCTGGGAAGTTGATGCCAGCGATAGTATTATTGATGTGGCTTGGAGTCCAGACGGTAGGCACCGTGTTACTCGTGTATGCCGTGTATGCTTCATCTCGTTGTAGGGAGGAGTATTGCTGTCACGCATAATCATTATGTGACGATCCACTCCCTTCAAGACGGACGTGCAGAACGTATCTTGTCGGTACTTCCTTCTGACGGACCCATGTCCATCAGCAGTGTATGGTGGCACAGTCAAGAAAAGCCCGTTAGGAATAGTTCAATACCAGATATTTTCCAAAGAGATGACGTTGTGGTATGAGTTGGCTACGCATTCTAGAACTTTAAATGAACGTCGCTTAAGACAGGGTCTGCGCGTTCTATCCTTCAAGCGCTGCCGTTACTCGATAACATTCAAGATGATGCTCCGAGGGCCAGGTGTGTCCGGTTTCGAGCCCTTGCGCCTCAAGGCTGACTGTTCATCTCAGTGCAATCGATCTCTTTGCTTTCCAAGGTTCCCAGACTGGCGCAGAGTCTCAAACAGACATCCCGGAAATTATCAAAACTTGGCCGACGTTAGAGCTTGATCTGACGTCTGCGTCCATGGGTTCAGCCAATCCCGCTCTTCACGTGGATTCTGCAAGCGGGGAGGTAGCCGACGACGCTGACGACGCCAATGTGAACAGTATTCTTGTTGCTGTTGATAGCATAGGCCGTATGCATTGCTTCCTCGATGGTAGCTATCCACTTGGGGTGGCAAATGTGGGCGGCAGTCTAAGCATATCCTCGCTGTACAAACATCCCAAACAACCAACTTTCTATGCATATCCTTGCCAAACTTCCTTCCCCATCACTTCAACGGCTCTGGAAACGGTGACGATCGACTTACCTTTGTTGCAACAACGGCAGGTTCGCGATATGGCAAAGTTATCGACCATCGTCAGACAGTTATCATGGTATATTATGCGCATCAGTAGAGAGATGCACGTCACATGGTTTGGGTCCGACACGGTGCAGGCCGCAAGAGACATGGGGGCTAAATGGATCCAGGGACTGAAAGCGAGGCGGCCGGTATTCGGCGGTATGTGCTTAACCGTTTTGTTGAACATGCGTTGAGAGCTACTGTAGTGAGCGATTATGATCCTATTCTGGATATTACTACTCTTCTTCTGACTGGCCGTGCGTCCGATCAGCTCGCTGATTATCTAGGAAGCAATGGCGAGTCAATGAGCGAAAGGGTAAGTTGTGCTACAGTCGTGTCTTGCAGCCTGTTTACCTGCGTACAGGGCTTGCAGAAATGGGAAACTACAGTCGTAGATTCTCTTATGAAATTGCGTGACTTTTCCGAAAAGCGTCTCGCTCCTGCCTGTCAACGAATACACCTCGTCCTAGAGGAGGTGCAAGGATGGTCGAAATTGTGAGTGACTTTCACAATGGTTTGTCTCATGGCTTACTATCTTTGTGCTTGACAGACCTGAATACGCCCTATTTGAGCTGCAGAGCGACGACCTCGCTACCTGCATCGAACACTGCAATCGGGCGATCATTTTAGCTGCTTGGCTTGCAGCCACTGCTCGTCGTGAATTTACTCGTTTCAGAGAATTCATGTCATGGCTTCGTTTTGGTAACGTTATCGACGTTTGTATTTCTGTTCATTTGTCTCACCTCCCTCAGAAATTCTGAGCGCAAACCCGAACAATGACGTTCCTTCTCCAGTCATTCGTCACGATATTTTGGAGGTGAACAAATATTTCATGTCCGGTCTCATCGTGAGCCCCATCGACAAATGGTTTATGGGACCCGTTCCCCATTTCAATCCGCGAGACCTGGGGATCAATAATGGGTCTGATTCGTCTCTGTCGGATGTTCTTAAACGTACACGAGATCTTTTAGATAATACGAAGCAAATGGCATGGCGCCCTGTATGTGCAGTTCTGTTCACCGGCTAATAATCACTGATGGGAAGTTACAGAATGTTAAGCAAAGGGATCTGAACCATATTGACCGGAACATTGTCTCGTTAATTCAAGAATTAGTTTCACAGTGCCAACGTGTATTCTCGAGGGCTGCCGGAGCTACAGGACGCTCGGCCCGAATTACAGTCGGCCCTAAGGCTTTCAATGAGCGGGTGGTAAACACACGGGCGAATCTCAAAATCCGGGAGCGCACGTCAATAAAGGACGATAATGGGGTGATTGTTAGCTCCGTGCCGGTACCTGTAGCGAAACTAATTCAGATATTCATCGTAGAACGCACACTTCTTGCAGCATTTGGTGATACCTTCACTAAGCTCGGAAAGCCCAAATTTTTGTGAGTTTAAATTATGATACGAGAGTAGACTTTCCGATTAGATACTAACCGTGGCACAGTGTGTTTGGCACGAGTCCAGTATGGTAGCGAGGAGGGACCGGATGCCCTAGTCGAGGCGTGCCTTCTTGAGTGCTACATCGAGAACGAAGACGGCTCCAAGGAAGAATTGGAGGTACTGGAAGCGGAATTTTTTGACGATGAATGTGTCGTAATTGTTTACCGGCTTCGGGGCGAAGACGGTAAGCTTAGGCTTGTTTGCGTCCGCATTCATAGTGATCTTGATCGAAAACTTCAGGGGGAACGTTTATCGCAACAGTTGGTTACAATGATTTGGGGTATCAAGGGCTGGCGTCTGATGCAGAGTACGTAAGAGCTCATCTGCGTGAAAATTTAATGGACGATGCAGTCTCGCGGTGGAGGACGGGTCAGGTAAGGGTACAGCACATTTCCGGCGGGGAATCTGATTTTCTGGGCCTCGTTGCAGATGGGATCGGTACGGATTCCGATCAAGCGGTGCCGTCGATTGGCTGGATGTCAGGCAGGGGAGGTGGCTCTTGCGGTGAACGGAAGGATAGGCAGGAGAGTTGCATGCGTTATTGGCGGGAAAAAGATGACGATGGAGGTCATCGACCTGGAAGGTGAGGATGCGGAAGGAGAAGAGAATGTAGAGATCTCCATGGCCGACGAATGAATCTGTATCTGGCACGGTGACTTGAAAATTAAAGGGCGAACGGGGAATAAAGGGCGATAGCATGGCCGGTAGAAGGGTATAGTCGCGATTCTGTGCAAGGTAAAAAGGAAAGAATGGGTGCTCGATTCTGGCGCGAGGCAATACAAGCTTCTGTGGGGCAGAAATAGCAGACGATCCCAGTAGGATTCAGTGAAATAAATTGCTTCTGGTATACTTTTCAGCTCGAGGCGGTGTTTCTGTAATTGTACAAATCATCGGCTAACTTGGTCGGACTGGAGTCGGACTGCAAGTCTTTTAAGGGCCGCGGACTCTCTTTGCCTCCCTCGTGCCCAAGATTCGAATTCTTTTTCCATGCCATTTTAATCCTTCAGGCCGCCTCTGCTCCAGTAAATGCCCAGGCTTGCCTCTGCCTCTAATACCCCCAACGATACCAACAACCACAATTCTCCTCGCATGTCCGACGTTGCCCTCAGGAAAAAGAAAAATGCAGATGCTCAGGCTGCTTTCAGAGCAAGGCGAGCGAATTATATCTCTACCCTCGAGGAAACAGGTGTGTTCCTTTTTTCTTCTTCATTTTTCCCCCTTTTCTGACAGTCCGGCAGTTACCAACCTCGAGTCGGTCGTGTTGCAGCTTCAAGATTCATGTCGTGAGGCCCGTGCTGAGGCACAAGAGCTACGACAAGATAATGCCCGTTTACGACACGCTTTTCGCGAACGCGAGAATCTCTGGCGAGCAATGTGGCCTCGCAAATCAGGTCACGGTCCCGACACTGATGACCCTCCACCGCCGCCGCCGCTGTCTTACCCACATCCTGCTATCAATGGTCATTTGGGATCTTCACAGCTCTCGCATTACGGCTCAGACAGCATGCCATATCGTCCCAGTGAGGATCCGTCGATGTGTGGTAGTCAATACCCAGCACCGAATCCACCAGCTCTTACTTATGTCGAGAACGAAGTTTCCCCGGACGGTTCTCAGCCACTGGCCTCTCGCGTTGCAAAGTACAATTCCTATTTTAACCCAGTCACGTCCTCTCCTCGCGACGGTTCTTGGTCCCAGGGTATGGGCCAAACTTCACCGGGAGAACAAGGGCTACCGCCGAATACCAGCCACTCATCAGGTTCGCCGCACTTTGCTGGATCGCCCACAATCACGTCTTCCGAGATGTCCTATGTCGGGCGGTACCCTGTTGAGGACCAAAAGGCTCCCTTGAACACGCTTGAAACGAATCCTTATGTTTTTCCCGCTAGTCGTTCCATTTCACCCTCCAGCTCGACGCCCCCTTCATCATCGTCTGCGACCTTGAATCCCCCGTTTCAGTTCAACTTTCCGGAAAATGGCGCCTCCTCCGATCGTGCTGACTTTGATTATCGCCGGCAAGGTGAGGTTATGCTGCATGGCGGTACAGCTGATATCTCTCTTGCCGGTCCCGCCAGCGATGCCGTTCGCTACAGGCTAGGCACAAAACGAACGCACTCTGGTGCTGACCGCCCACTACTTCCTATACTTCCCTCCTCTTTCTGCCAGTGACAACGGCTCCCCGCACGAAGGAAGTGACGGGGACTCTGGTTCCTATCCCTCAAGTCGGTTGCGCTCGCGTCGGGGTGCGCCGCTCCCACGGAACTCTCGTTCCCCGTCGCCCGGAGGCGCTCAGCAGCTATCGGGAACCCTCGCTGTTATAAAGGCGCAGGCATTTGGTGCGCTGCGTAGAACTCGTACGCGTACCAAAAAGCCATCGGACGGGGCGGCCAAAGTTGCCATAGATGTTCTCGAAGCTCGCGGCCTGGGAATGGGGGTTCCGACACCTTCTAAACGGCCACGGCTTAGTGATGACCTTGACTTGGATTCATGACCATCATGACCGGTAATATTCCACGGAGGGACTTGTGTGTATTGATATTCACCGTTCTTTATTATCTTGAACCGACACTGTAGACGTCTCACTCATCCACCGCACTTATATATCTCGTCGACGCTTTGCTTTATACTTGTATTGTGAATAAATGTAACATACGGTCTTGCTGTGTTCTGCTTTGTACATATAGGCTTTTCTTTGCTCTTGAATTACTAGACATTTGGATAACATTCTCTTCTTTGCCTTCGCGACCGGTCACCTTTTGGCGGGACCGCCGAATTATTGACACTGGTCTAACGACAGTCTAAGCCGGATTCATTTAATCAAATTTTCCACCCGCCACGATGTTCATGGCAAGACCAGGGTCGACGTTCTGATCGCACGATCCGCGGAACAAACATCAAAATAGGGAAAACAGGAACGAGGAGGAGAATTGGGATTGGCGGGGAACTCGAGAAATATGAAATAAGGAGGGATTCTGATCTCCTTCAAGTCACTCTTTCTTGCAAAAGGACATATGCGGTTAGCTCCGTAAGATTGATCAAATGTAGCATCGAGGTACGAAGAATGGGTATAACACAACGTCGCAGCTATTGGCTGTGAATTTGACCGGCATTGACGGTACGAGGTAACGCATGCGCCAACCACGAGAAAGAGCGCCCTCATTCACCGAGCCTTCTGATGAAAAAGTGACGTGAAGATAAAAGACCTCCTAGACGACACGCCCTTGGTAAGCGGAAGCTGCATTTGCCATGCTGCGAAAATTACGACACCCTCAGTCCCAGAGAGCTAGACACAAGATCTAGCTCTCGTTGACTCGGGGAACGGCAACGTCCCACGGTCCTCTGATTTCACTATACAACCGGGATGATTAGCGCTGTCGCCGATGCAAAGAAAAATAGAAAGAAATCCAACTTTTTATATTTTTGCGCCCAGACTAGTACTGCGGGAGCCGCTAAAGACACAAAAGACAATACGAGCGTGTACAGCCAAGTGACACTTCGGGACAGTGGCATCGTCAAGATGATCGCCGCAAGCGATAAGCACCATGTGAGAGCCGCGCGAAAAGCAACAGGACATGTCTGTTAACAAACACATGAGACAGGGGGGCCTAAAACATCCACAAAGAAATGGAGAATACCTGGAGACGGCGACGTAAAATCGGAAACAAGGCAAATGCCTGAACCGAGAAAAGAATCAGAGCAAATACAGCAAGATCATCCGGCAAACGCGATGCCAATACGACGGATGAGGATATCGCAGCATTCATAGACAGCACCGATGTCAACCTGGGGAAATTTTGGATCAATATAGAGTGTGATAAGAAAATGGACAGCATGGGACCTCTCGTTTACCGGACCGTCGAGAGTGACTGAACTGCTGTAATCAGCTAGAACGGCATTGAGGATGAAAAGTGAGGCAGATAGTGCCCATATCGAGTCGGAAGACGTGGCGGCCGTTAGGGTCCTCAGCACGGGCGACAAAGACATCAACGAGAGGAATATCAGGATTGATGACTTTACATTCTTAGCACCTGTAACAATTGCCGTCAGGGACTGGATAAACGGTTCAAGCGGGTGTTGAACGAACGGTCGGCATGCTCCCGTCTCGGCCTTTTGCTGAGGCAGTCGAGTACTTCCCAGGTAACATAACCCAGGATGAAACATGTAGAAGCAATCCAAACGAGGAGTCTCGGATCCAGAGTACGTTCCTTTAATCGTACAAAGACGGAAATAAATATGAAGATCGTTGCAAGGTGTTGTGTGATAGACAGTGAGAGTGATACGAGGTGCCAGTAGGTATATGGATGAAAGTTAGCTGGATAAGGAACTTGTGATTTTATGTATGACAAGTATATCGTAGATGATCTTACGATTTTTTCTCAGTGAAGAAAGGAAGGAACCAGGAGAAATATACGAGTCGGAATGGTGCGGTCTTTTCCAGAGAATCTTGTCATTGTAGTCTGACATTCATGTGTGTTGAAAGGGAAGAAAGGTGAGTTGATCGCCGGCAACTGCCGTCTCACTGCCGCTGAGTTGGGTAACGGTGAAATTAACACTACGTAGGTTCTTAGGACGGTGCGCTACAATGTCCCATCCATCTATTTCACAATTCTCTTCAGCGAAGCCGGAACTACTAGCAGAATAAATAGGCAGCATTCAGTAATTGAATGGGGGGACATCGTGACTGGGAGAATGGAATCTCCCGATGGTGGCGTCCAGCAGGGCGAGGATGGCATGCATTGCAAGATGAGAAGTAGTAGATCATCAGTCCCACTGTCAGTGTTATAATATTCCGTCAATGACCACCTACGAGTTCAAACCAGCAAGGGCGTACCACGAGTCTTTCGTCCTGCCTTCCTTCGGGTGTGACCTTGACCGGCTTCGCAGCCTGTGAGGCAAGCTTCCCTTTGTTTGGATTGGAAGAATGGGTGCCTCTAGCTTGAGCCTGATGGTCGTCATCATCAGAGCAGGCAAGGGGGGGAAAAGGCAAAGGATTAACTGACAGCCTTCAGTCTCTGTTCCGCAGCTTCTGCGCGAGCTGCACGGGCGTCACTCGGATTTGGAGTTCGAGAAGCTGAAGGAGCGGTAGTAGAGGCAGGACCCAGTACTGTATGTCCACCGGAATGAGCGCCTGACTTTGAGCAGATTGAGCCCATCGTGGTACGAAGGTAAGAATATCCTTGGCAATCTACTGCTAATTTAGATCCAGTATCTAACTAACTATCCTCGTCATTCACTCGCATGTATTCCTCGCCCTGATATCGTGACCGTCCAGCTGTTCCCAACCGAGAAAGTCCAAGCTCCTGGAATTGCCGTCGAGGTGTCCAGTCCTGGAAATAAATGAGCGTCAGTCACACAGAGTAGTAGAAACCGGTAATCTAACCTCCCACCACCTTCGGCCTGCATTCCACGGGACACTAGTATCAATGCCAGCCTTGATCATACGGCTCTTTATTCCTGCACTAAGCAGAAGGCCAAAGACCGTCAATAGAAACAGCGTTACCACCAGCTGGTCTCGTGGTGAATCACGCTCTGTAGGTACTAGCTGTCAGTAACGACATTGCTGTTGAGAAGGACTACCCTGCGTACGAAAACATCTCGCTTCCACATCACCTTCTTTTCCTGTTGCCGTGTCCGGGTCAGTGTCTCCGAGGGAAGCTCCAGCGCAGATAGGGAGATTCTGGTTCAGACACCACTGTTTCGTACACGACAGACAAGGCTGCGACGGATTGTCTGGGAAATCCAGGTGGAGAATTGAATAGTTTGACTGGAAGCAGATGCCTGTAAACAGCGCTCAGCGAGACTTGTAGCCAGTCCATTGTCTCAACACACATTTGCAGAAGCTAGTAGCCTCCCACTTGTTGAGAATAGCATTAACGGAACCCTGAATTACCTCAGTAAAAATAATATAAGCTCGTAGAGAGAACTTGCTCACAAAACATGACAGCAAAAGTAGAGTGACCAAGGTGAGAGGCAAAGCCATGTCGCGCCTAATCTTGGGCATCAACCGACGCGCTAGCTCCTCTTTCACTTGCTCCCATCATCATTCCTGCTGAACCTATCACGCAGCATGTCTGCAGAATTCGACGACGTCCTCACAAATCAGCCAGTCGTTATCGACAACGTACGATAATTCTCTTACTTCGTCATTCCTATCCATCTAACAGTCTCTTTCCAGGGCTCTGGCACCATAAAAGCCGGATTTGCTGGCCAAGACCACCCAAAATGCTTCTTCCCGTCCTTGTGCGTCTCCACGGTTAGGCTTATCTCCAAGCATCATTCCCCAACGGTTCAAACATCTGCTACAGTGTTGGCCGGCCAAAACACGTACGCGTCATGGCGGGTAGTCTCGAAGGCGAGACGTTTATTGGTCGGCGTGCGCAAGAACTTCGTGGATTGCTCAAAATCAAGTACCCCATGGAGCATGGAATCGTGAAAGACTGGGATGATATGGAACGAATATGGCAGTGGGTGTACACTGAGGAACTGGGTACGTTAAGTGAAGAGGTGCGCATATACAATCTGTCATTGTTCATTCTTTTCTCATATCTTCTCTCTGGATAGCATCCTGTGCTTTTGACCGAAGCGCCGCTGAATCCACGGACCAATCGTGATATGGCAGCTCAAACACTCTTTGATACCTTCAATGTTCCAGCCCTATTCACCTCTGTCCAAGCAGTTCTGTCATTGTATGCTTTTCCATGTATATCTTACTCCTCTCCTCAGAGAACTCTTTAGATATTCATCCGGGCGGACAACGGGCATCGTCCTTGACTCTGGGGATGGCGTTACTCATGCAGTTCCTGTGTTCGAAGGCTTCTCGATGCATCATGCCATTCGACGAGTAGATATTGCTGGCCGGTGCGATCTCACTTATCCTCTCTGCGAACAGACGCATCTCAACATAAATGTACAGAGACGTGACAGATAATCTCCAGCTCCTTCTACGGAAATCCGGTCACCATCTTCATACGACAGCTGAGCGGGAGGTAGTACGGACGATCAAAGAAAAGTGTTGTTACATCGCCCTGCTTCCAGCGAAAGAGGAAAAAGACTCGATGGGACGTACTGAAGAGTTCAAATTGCCTGACGGAAATGTGATACAAGTACGTGTTTTGCATCTTTGCTATTTAGTTTCAAAACCTATATCTTCTCCAGTTGGGCTCTGAACGCTTCCGAGCGCCTGAAATATTGTTCAATCCCGAATTGATTGGTGAAGAATACGCCGGTGTACATCAAGTGGTCGTCGATTCAATTAATCGAGTGGACTTGGACTTGCGCAAGAATCTTTTCTCCAACATTGTACTCAGTGGGGGAAGTACACTGTGCAAAGGTTTGTATCAGGTTCTTTTCGTCGATTTACTCCTCCTGACATTTATATCAGGGTTCGGTGATCGTCTACTAAACGAAGTGAAGAAACTTGCTCTGAAGGATATCAAGATCAAAATATATGCTCCTCCAGAGCGCAAGTATTCAACCTGGATTGGGGGATCTATTCTGGCCGGACTAAGCACCTTCAAAAAGGTATGGCAACCCTTTTTTTGCGCGACAGCTGTCACTGACAATCGTTGCGCCTCACAGATGTGGGTATCAGCCGAGGAATACCAAGAAGACCCGGAGATCATTCATAAAAAATCAGTTTTCTAATGACATCCATGCCTGGCCTTGACTCGGACGTAGTGTACTAGCATACTTATACCCATGTATGAACCGTAATTTTAGATCACATCATAGTTTTCTTTCATCTGTCATATGCATGGATTCATGGAGATTAAAGATATGGGGCATACAAATAGATTCATACGAGCACCCGACGCTTCGCTGACGACCATGCATTCCGAGACTAGAAGAAAGAGCAGATGCAAAAACCCCAGACGATTACTTGCCCTTCTTGGGAGGCTCGGCAGCCTTGACCTTCTTGGTCCCACGGAGCTGGAGAGAGACATGAGCCACAAAACTGTAGATAGGAACGAGATACGTACCTTCTTCGCCCTGTTCTTGCGCTCCTTCCGCAGTTTGCGAGACGCCTTATCCACCTTAGTCTCCAATCCCGACTACAAACAATTAAGCAACCCAATCTACGCCAAAGCACGAGCCGCCTACTCACCCGTACTAGCCTGTACTTGGGCTCAAACTTTTTTTGGGATGCCTCATCATCATAGATGAGAGCGAAACCAGTGCTCCGTCCTCCACCAAAGTGTGTCCGGAAACCAAAAGTCACGACTCGTTCCTTTTTCGTTTTGTAGAGGGCGGCGAGCTTCTCGTTGAGCTCGTCCTTGGGGACGTTGGGTCGGGAGGGGTGTAGGACGTCTAGCACGAACTGGCGGCGTGCCAAGAGACGGTTTGTGATGAACTTGCGAGTGCGCAGAGTGACGGGTGCGGAATTGTCGGCCTAGTAAGCACAATGAGCAATGGACCAGACAGACGGGCAGCTTGGAAGACGAGGATCACCATTTTTTAACGACGCGAAATCCGGTTCTAGAGAGCGCAAATTGAGAACCTCGACAGACAGAGCTTTGGAGGAAATATACGTACCGTGTTCTTGAAGACGTCGAGGCCGATGCCGATGGATGGTAGTTCAGAGCAAAATGTGTGGCTGAGTGGGACCAACTGTACAGTTATCCGGCAAACTCCGGTCACGTAATCCTTCTGGAAGTGAACCACCACCTGCTGCCTCCTCCATGCGCAGCCTCTGTCTCGACCGCCCGCCCTTTTCGAGACCTCCTGTTCAATTTTGAGGAATAATTTCTCTACTACAAGGCATTATCTTTGACCTGGGAAAGGCTACTGTACAATCTGCTCGTGGTACAGCCACGAAGCGCCAATTCTGCCTGCTGACTAAGCAACCCTATGAGTTCTTCCGAGTCTTCCAAGTTTGCGTCATTTGCGGCATACGTGAGTATTTATCTATTGTCATTGTTTCTATCTGCCGACCACAGAAGCAGGCTCCTCCTCCCGATGACCCTTCTTATACCTCTTCGTCGCGCGCTGCAACCCGAGCATGGTTCCCACCCCATGCAGAGACTTCCTATCAGTCGGGAGGAGTACCTTCGTTTGGTACCGCTGTATCAAGTGGCTTAGGCTCCTCTGAAGAGGTTGAGGGCCAGCAGAATCAATGGGAAACGCGGTACGGGCATCGTGTCGACGTCCTGGCTGCACTAGCGTATCTATTTGGACCAATATCTGGCGAGTGCAATATTGGATTTCCTGTACTTCTTGCTGATTATATGCGCAGCTTTTATTCTCCTGATTATAGAGACACACAATGACTTTGTCCGGTTCCATGGTGAGCATGACGGATCTTCCTCGCATTGAACTGTATTCAGGGCTCTCAGCCTACCAGTCGGCTCTATTGACTACACCATTAGTGGTTCTCCGGATCCTGATGTCTTTGCTGCAATTTCCCCAATGGATGCGGACTTTATTCACCCTGGTAATCGCAGGAGTGCAATTGTACATGGCGTACGTCTCTGCTCTTGTAACTGGACAATGTCTCAATCCTGCATTAGTATTCGGGCTTCTCGCGACGCGTCGCATAATGGTCTTGTTAGGTACCATCTACCCACTATCGGTCAAGTTGCAGAAGACTGGTTAGCGGACGAATAGTCATTTCAGCTTTCGGACTCGATGGTCATCATAATTTTTATAATCATGTATATTGTTTCTGTGCCGATGGATAGAATACCGTATCGTATAACACTGGAAGTTAGAAGTTAACAGAGAGACAAGTACAAAACGACAAGAGTGAACAGAGATAGTTGATACAGATGTGTTTACGAAGGTCCTGTCAAGTGATGCTACAGTTTGAAACGAAAAACAAAGAAATCAAAGACAAATGCCAACAATCTCCACTCCTAGTAGTGGGCCTTTACACCGATTATCATCCCCGACGGCCACAATTGGCTTGAGGTAGTTGAGGATCCCATCGGTGAGGTCTTCACTGAAATCGAGTAAAGTGTCAACAAGGCATTTGATTTCGGAGACGACTGGGCAACACAGAGTTAATGTCATACATCGCTGAATTTCGAGTTACTCACGAGGTGCTAGCTCAGGACCAACAATAGGAATGTTTTTTGTGAGGGTCACCGTGCCGTTCAACATCTCTTTGATGTAATTGATGAGTTCCTTGAGTAAAGTCTCGAGGTGATCATTGCGCTCATAGTTGCCGAGGCCCTTGTCTGCGCGCAGCGGGGCGAGAGAGTCGTTGAGTTCACCGAGAACATCCTTGCAGCTAGCCAGACTCGTCACGCAGCTACGGTGATAGTCGTCGAGATTGTCTTGATCCGAAGGCGGATTATTCACAAGTTCGTCTAGAAACGTAGATCAGGAATGGCTCGATGACGACCATCGGAGGTCGCTTACTGTACTTCAACACCTTCAATTTCAGCAGTGACATCAGATCGTCGCAGCGTCCGAGATGAGAAGAGTCGTCGTCGTCAGCGACGAGAATGGCATCACCAGAAGTGTTACGATAGGCGAGATGAGTGTTGTTGCTCTCAGAAAAGGAGGTCAAGGCTTGAGAACGTGCATAGGTCATGAGCGCTAGAGGCATAGGATAGGGCGAGGCAAGGACATGGATATGGGGAGCGAAGATGCTGGCCAAAGAGACAAAAATGATGACGCGCAACGCGAGCTGGAGAACTTGGACAGGCATAATGAAGGAAACGCGAACGTGCTTTGAAGCGTATGGTCGAAGAAAGAGAGATATCGCGACTATCGCCTAGGCGAGAAGAGACCAACGAAGATAAAGGGAAAGGTACGCTGACGTTCGTGTTGGTAAGTGGGAAACCTGGACGCGTTCAAGAAATGACACATACGCGTCTTATAAACCCCGGTGTTTGGTCAATCATGTGATCGAAAATGTGGCGCAACAACGCGGAACTCGTTCAGGTCCGTAATACGTATCATCAAGCAATGGCATTGAACCAATAATTAAAAGCGCAATATGCAGCTATCAAGAGACATTTTTATAGCAGAAGCACAAGTCCTACAAGAATGGTAACAATAGAACCAGAAAAAGGGATTCGAGAAGGATATTGAATCTATCTATCCGTGGATGTGTTATCAGTAAGTAATAGTCCTTCGAGCGTTATCAATTACAGGAGATGTACAACGAAAGCAATCACATAACAGGGAGTCTTACGAGGTTAAATTCACGTTCACAAACACACTACTTTCAGTCCATTGCGTAAATGCCAAAGCGGGTAACAATATGCGACCGCAATCTCAGCAAGCACCAGAACCCGTCATCTGCCTGACGAGAAACATACCACGTCCTTCATCCACACTCTTCGAGCTTCTCATCCCGATTACGCTCTTTGGACGAGGCCTCATACCCACACCAATCTGTTTCGTCGGACTAAGACTTCTGGTGGGACCTAACGCTCCTCCTGTTAGTTGCCTGCGTAAAGACCCGTCATTAGGACCACCGGCGCCTAGTCCCGTGAACTGTCTCGCTATCGTTGTAGTTCCTGTGTTCTGGGGTAGAAGCTTCGATAGACCATCTCCGAAGGAGGACATTGAAAGTGGACGCGTAGGTGACCCGTGAGGTGAAGCTCGTGGCTCGTTGGAAAGTAATAGCTATAAAGAAAGACGCTGAGATTTTGCAATTGACGCTATGTCAGACTTACGAGACATTCACGGCACCAGACACCTCCTTCTCCGTCAGTTTTAGCAGCACTATCCAAACGCTTGCCGCAACCAGGTTCGTCTTTCTTCTTCTCATCTCTGAACCTTGCATAACCCTTGGTCTCCTTCTTACCGCCACAAACTAAACATGGTGCATGCCATCGAGTACCCTGAGGCCCTGGAACTACGCCTCGCTCCATGGGAGAAACAGACTTTCGACAACCGGGGCAAGATGTCGAACTGCCAAAACGAGGGAAAGAAGCAGGAAGCGACGTTGCAAGTGCCGTCAATGGAGGGCGCTCGTATCTGCTTGATGATCCGTATGTGGCAGTACCTGATTGTGGTTTGGGACTAGAAGACGCTGATGTCTGATGCCTGGGGCTAGAAGATGTTGGTGCCTGATGTCGAGGACTGGACGACGATGAGGTTGATTTTATTGCTGCTGGGCGTGAGGGTGAAGGAGTAGATATTGTTCGAGTGATTATCTTTGTAGGCGCACACTAAAACTCGCATTAGTTACTATCTATAGGACATACAGGAACAAGTACCTCGACGTGACAGGCACCACTGTCTGTTTTAACAAACACTGCTTGTCCTTGACTCGCCTCTCGGAAAGGTAAATCACAAATGGCACAGGTGAAACAATCTGCGTGAAAGGTCTGTGATGTCCCGTCATCGGCGTTGGGCACGGTGACGAACCGGCCGCCACCATGAATGGAAAACAATGGATGCGAGCATTTGGCGCACACCGTACTCTGGGAAACTTGATTAGTGGTGACGGTCAAAGGTTTCGGAGAATTTGACGTGGAAAGTCGATGGGGTACAGGAATTCTTGACGGGGTCGATGCAGGGCGTTGATTTGGCAGATAATGAAGTTCGTGTAGGGCGATCCTAGCTGACTACTGGTCTCTTCCGGTATGGCCGTCGTCGGGTTCCATGGCATCAGCTCTTGAGTACCTTGAAGCGTATTTATGCATGCGACGATTGCTCGATAGAGCTCGATCAATTGAAAGGTCGGATAGGTCGTTTCTTGGGGGAGAATCCGGGCCCGAGGAAGAAAAGGTTCCTGCGTCAGAGACATCAGAAAGCAAGTCTGGCGTGGAAGGAAGCTCGAAGCTCCCAAGATTTTTGGGGCTGGAGTTGGGGAGATTGGAGAAGGATCCAGAGGAACGAGCATGTTTCAAGGGTGGTGAGGGAGACGACAGCTTGGGGCTGTTGTCCGAACTTAAAAATCGATTCTTCATCTCCTGTACAGCATCAAGATCGGGACCCGCCAATCTTGACGGACTATGTTCTGAAGTAATGGGACGGAATGAAGGCGAAAGGTCTATGCTGCGATGGGAATCCAGCTTAGCATTCTTGAAGCGGTCATATTTGCCCCGAGGACTGGGACTGGGGCTCCCCTTCTGGTCCAATACTGTGACGTCCGAAAGAGCGGTCAGGCGAACGCCTATCGACAGGGGACAGAGAATGAAAGGACGGTGACCCCGAAACGGCACTAGAAGGCCGGGGTCTGGGACTTGGTGAGCTTCCAATCAAGCCTGATCGACTAAACGAATCCTCCATCGATGGACTCGCCTCCCGACTTCTTATGCCCAGGCGTTGCTCTAATTCCTCTATTGCTGGGCTCCCTTCTCGACTCCTGTTCTTGGAATTGACATTCATCCCACCAAGATTGCTCATGGGGCTGCTGCTTATACTGTCGCGACTCTTCTTTGGCGTACGGTCGCGTTTGAGGCAATTCTCAAAACATTCCGCGCAAGTTGGTCGGCCTAACAAGTCGACCATAGGTGCGTGCCCGACATTCTTGAAGCATCCTTGGCAGATGAAGCAGGACCGCTTATGCCAATATTTACCGTCGGCACAGATAAACCCGCCTTCCGACTTGAGTGCGAGTACCGGTCGAGAGCATGTAGGGCAAATGCCTTTGGATCCCCCGTTGGTGGTGTAACATGAACGGCAAAGGAAACCAGAGGAAGCATCATCTGGCTTGGAAGGATCAGGATATATAGTGGCGTCAGGAGGGAATATGGATGAGCAGATGGAACACGAATGGGTGTTAAGAGTCTCCTTAGGCTGGAGTACTGATCCATAGACCTTGGAGAGAGAATTATCGAAGGGTAATGGTGAGGGAAGAATGTCAGCTTCAGGGGCCGCAACTGACTGCTTGAGCGGTGACGATGGGCGGCCGAGTTGGGAAGTGGTGGATGCTATATGCTCAGAAACACGGGTTGCGAGTGCAGAAGTAGAAGATAAGGGGGTAGAGCTTGTAGGCTGTGGAAAACGTTTACCGTCGTTCACGGTAGACCCTTGCTTCGAGGACGACCCGGTCACGTTTGGAGAAAGCGGGCCAGGCGGCGGTCTGTCTTTAGTCACATACGTATTTGACCAACGATCCTGAAGACCCTCCTTCATACTGCTTGGGTTCCATGCCACAGCAGGAGCTTATACGGCACGTCAGGTTGGAAAGAAGCATAAACCACAAAGTACGTACCAACAGCTGTGCCACCACACTTACAGCGTGTTCCAGCGACAATATCTCCACAACGGCGACAGAATCCCATTCTCTAAAAACAAAGGAATAATTAGTAAACGTGAAATTGACGAGACTTAATGCAAATGTAAGGAGAGGGCCGAGAGAGGGAAACAAAGCAGTTGCATTGCGGCATCCGTTCAACATCGCGACCACGTGAAGAGTTCCATTTATATCCAAATTACAAGCGAACGCCGGGCCGCACTCCCGAAATGCCGCCTCAGACACCTTCGCCCAAAAGACGAGTCTCTCCCTCTGTTACATCGCCTTACTTCTTGAACAAGAGTCCCTCAAAATCAAATTCAGACTACAAATACGTACAGTCTCCCTATTTCTCTCCCCATAAGAAGCCGTCGGTTGCAAGGGAAGCAGCGGTTGACTTTGACGTATCATGTTGCGCTTCTCTTGAGGTTCGCCTACTATGCGACAGATTGATACCTCTTAAACCTATTCTTATCCAAGGTACTCATTGGGGAAAATCCGTCATCCTAATGATCTTACTACGAGCTCGACTTCACAGAACTTGTTGCCCACGATCCTTGGAAACTGATCATTGCGGTCACTCTTCTCAATAAAACGTCGGGAAAGCTCGCGATACCCGTATTCTGGGAGCTCGTAGATCGATGGCCTACACCGCTGTCCCTCTCCCAAGGTTCCGAGTTTCCACTATCTTAAAGAGACTGTATCGACTGAACATCTTGCTGAAGCTAGCGATGAGGAGCTAGTAGACCTTATCCATCCTTTGGGAACCCAAACCATCCGCGCGAAACGGCTTATTGAAATGTCGAAATCTTACCTTCTCGACCCGCCTTCTCCTTACGACGTTAGACCATCTAAACCTCCGCCCTTACCATCTTCTGCATCACTTGAGAATACTAGTCAAGGATCCCCCACAAAGCGTAAAAAATACCCTCCGACACCCATATCGCACTTACCCGGGACAGGGCGCTACGCACTTGATTCCTATCGCATATTTTGTACGGCGTATGAGGATCCCTCATCGCAAGAATGGAAGGCCATTGTACCAAGCGACAAAAAGCTGGTTCAATATATTGTAGGACCATCTTACTTACAGATGTTGTATAATTTGCTAAATTTCTCTTTACAGAAGTGGAAATGGGCCGTCGAAGAGTGCAAAGAGTGGACATGTGGGGTCACCTCCGCTGCCACCCCGACTTACTTGAGATCGCTCATTTCAGAGTTAGTATGTAACACATCATCTCATTTCTCAGCAATCGACACTGAACAAAATACATGTAGGAGTGCGATGGAAATGCTGTTATAGCCTCGAGCGAACAAGTGGCTGCCAGTCAACCCTCTCGACCTGATATCTTTCGTTGAATTATCATTCAATTTCACAAACCAAGATACTCACCAAGTCAGGTGTCAGATCTTTGACATTGGCTGCACCAACAAGCTTCATCGCGGTCACGATCTCTTTCTCTAGAATCTTTAGAATCTTCAAGACACCAATCTCACCGTAGGCCTAAGATACGGAAATTAACGGAGAGCCAAGGGACGTCGAACAGTCACTTACGCTTTGAGCATAGAGAAACGGCCGTCCCAATCCCACAGCCTTCGCACCAAGGCAAAGGGCCTTTACAACGTCTAGGAGAAGATGTTTAATATCTACTAAACGTCTGAAAACGAGAGCCTCACCGGTACCACGTCGGATGCCGCCTTAATCAACGCGTCAGCGTATTTACGGTCTCGGAAAGATAATATTCACCATCAATATAGACTGAGTAAGAGAGCTAAAGTCAGTCGTCGTCCTTCTATGCTTCGAAGAACTTGTCTCACCTTCCAACTTGTCGAAAACATCGGGTCTACGTTGCCGGAGCCTGTACAGTACTTCTAGCGGCGGCATCGAGCTAGCGAGCGCGATTAGTTATTTGAGCATGTCAGTACTGATGACCGTACTAGTCCAACTGTCTGCCTAACCCAGAAGACGGTTTAGATGTGGAACGGAAGGGAGAAGGTTGTGCATACCCCCATGATTCGATAACAGAATACCGTCCACACCAGCATCTGCCGCCAAAATAACGTCCTGTAAAAGGCCGATGGTCAGATGCTCTCTGAATGAAAAGCTGGGGCTACCTCAACACATTGTATACCTAGCCAATTTTTGACAAGTGAGTGAAAAGGAAGGTCATTTTAACAAGTGCTTGCCTTTGATGGCAATCGGCAACTTTGTTACGCCCCGTAGCCAAGGGATTGTCTGATGGTATGGTTAAATTCAATCGAGTATAACTTGATAAGAATAACGACCTTTTCCCATGTCATGTTTTGGTCGTCTTTGGCAATCAAAGCGCCCGCAGTACCAGTTTCATCGACAAGCTCCAGAGTGTCAGTGTCAGCGTGGTATGTTGGCTTGCCGTTCTCCATAGTCTCCAGCTCCCAAGGACTCTTGATATCTATCTCTCTTTTACCAGCGACGATAGCATCTACAGTCAGCCAAATGGATTTATAACCAAGTTTTTCAACTTCGCGAACCCGTTGTTCGGCTGTAGCATCATCATTGGATTTATAGAATTGGAAGAATAAGGGCTGCGAAGGGCCTGCAGCGGCAGCTATCTCTGCGTAGGAAAGTGAGGCGTTTGAAGACACCATCTGTATGATAGATGCTTCGTGTGCAGCTCTCGTTATGTTCACCTCACCTAGAAATAAATCAATACTTATCAGCCGTATGCCCTGATTGATAACTGCTCTTACCCAGGGGATGTCCTAGCTTGGCCAGAGCGGCCCCGGACACGAAGACAGGAATAGATGACTTGTAGCCTAGGATGGTAGTAGACGGGTCGCAATGAAGCACAGGCCGCATAACCCGAGCATTGAAGAAGAACCTTCCGAATGCAAGAGCGTTTTCTTCACGAGCTACAAAGATGAGCAATTAAAAACGTCATTTTGATATGTAAAGACGTACATATGCTGTCATCAGCAGCTGAAGAATAGTATGATATTGCTTTCAACGACAGTGTATGTCGTGCGACATCCTGTACAGGCTCAGTTAATCTGAATTCATAATTGAATAACGTTATGTTCACCTCCATATCAGACAAGCTTAATATACGGTTGAGGGGAGGTCTTTCCCTATGAGCTTGTTCTACCCTCAGCTCATCTTTTGTCTTCTTCCTATTGGCACGCTGTTCCTCCATATGAAGAGCTACATCACTATTCAGAGTCCCCAGGTGCTTGGACGGCGGGAGATTCCGTTCCAGCGCATCAGGTGGGTGGATTGGCTCGTAAGCCAATGTAGCGTCCTTTCCCGCATACTTTAATATGATTTGGGCACCTCCCGGGTGTTCCTGAAAGCTATGTCGGCATCAACTCGGGGAGAAAAATTAGACTTATCTGACTGGAAGGAAATCCGTGACATCGTATACTCTGTCCTTTATGATGACCCAACAGGAACTGATAAAATAATCAACAGAGTTATGCCGTCTAGAAACAATGTGCAGACCTAGCCGTGTTGTGTTCTGCAACCTGTTGGAGTGTAAAGCCCATGATAAGCGTTGAGGAACAAGGGACATCCCCATCGAAGCGAAGCTCAAGGTGCTTTAATAGGTTCAACCATCGGGCCGAGGATCAGGGTGGCATCACGTGTAGTGACGCGTGATGTTGCTTTTCCACCAACCACTTGGTGGCCGCACTCGCCTTGCATTCGCCTCTGGTTCTGACATGGCATCGTTAGCTCAAGTGCTGCCCGATCGACCAGCCTTGGAAAGCATGAAGCGTGCCGACCTTCAGAAACTGTGTAAGGTGCGAATCCCTATTCCTTTCACTGGTGGCGTACAACGACCTCATTGCCATCAGGAATACGGCGTGCGGGCGAATCTCAAGTCTGAAGAAATTATTGATCTTCTCCTTGAAACCAGGTGCGTAGGACTACTTTACCGGCTCTCTCGCTTGCTCAGCTGTTCGTAGAAAGCCTAATATTCGGACCGTCAACCCGGCACAACGGACCGTATCTACTAGACAGTCAAATCGCACTACGGAACGCCTCAGTTCAGTCATTATCCACGATCATATTGAACAAGACGACGACAGGCGAGAGACTTCCGACATCGGGTCTAGGAATAGGTGGAAACAGGCAGAAACCGAGCCGATTGCTCCTGTTCAGCTACACCCTCCGCGAACTCGCAAAGCCAAAGAAACTCAATCGAAGTTAGGGGTGGGGAGGCCCGTGGCTGCTGGAGGAAGCGGCGCGCGAGCAGTCACGAAATCCGTGAATATTGCCAATGGAAAACGAGGGAAAAGCAGGAGCGTGAAACTCCAGACCACGATACACGAAGGTGTGCATTCCCTTTCATTGCCACTCTGCTCTTCTGATCATGAAAGTCAGAACCCGAACCAACAGAACAGAGGCCTCTCAATGGTAATCGTCTCTGTCAACAGTATATTTGTTCTGTATTAACGAAGAACACACATGTAGCGGACGATGAGCAACCAGCTGCAGGTCCATCTCAACCCCGAGCTTCCAGTTCCGACCGAGAAGATTCACGGCAACCGACAGGCACAACTTTTGACCAACGCGTGGCAGACGCGGTGAGTGACTGAGCGTGCTTGTTTTTGTCATTCTCAGCGGCGTCTAGATCAATCCCCTGTTGCGGCAAGTTGAGGCAATGAGGAAGGACCTCGATCAAATGAATGCTCTCAAGGCCGAAGTCACGCAATTAACGGCTCAAGTGGCCGCCATACCACCTTTGCAATCGAAGGTTGACTCTTTGAGCGCCGAAGTAAACGATTTACGAAGCCGTGGTGCCCTAACCGAGGGCCTTAGTGCTGATATATTGCAGATGAAGAATGCCGTGACCAATATATCCTCCGCACAGGTCAAATCAAATTTAAACAACACCAGGTAGGCTTTGTCCAATAACCATGAACCTTGTATGTTGATGTGTTACTAGTCGACAACCAGTAGCTTCCAATGACCATCCTTTATCAGATGGCACAGCATCTTTACCTCATCCAGGAATAGCTCCAAGTCTCCTTGGGAAACGGCATCGAGACTCGACCCTGAGCGACGTCACAGGGGTGATTGAAGAGGGGGACGAAGACAATTTCTCTGACTCAGTCCTAGCACGAAAGGTCATCAGGCCGAATAGAAAACGGGCCCGCACGATATCACAGGCAGATGCGGAACGCGAAGAGTCGTCAGAGCCGGAAGTCAGTGAACCAAAAACCCCTCCCAACAACAGACAGACACAGTCTGGTAGTCTGGGTTTCCATTTCAATGATCCTGAGACGCCCGACGAATATATCGATCCTCCACCTCCAACAAACCACTTGCCTGCTTTCTATGGATCTTCCCCTTCCCCTTCACCAATGCAAGGCTCTACCCAGAATACTCCTGAGAATCAACATCCATTCAACTTCACATTTGCTGTACCTGTCCCTCCGACTCCAAACCCAACGTTTACAATGCCTTTCACATATCCTGAGCCCCCTCAATCACCAACGCCTGCCGGCCATGGACAAATTAATATCCAAGGACACTCAAATATGTTCCAGTCGCTAGGACTTCCACCTCCAATACGACCGCGTTCTAGACTTCAAGGAGCATCCAACCCAGTACAATCTCGCGAAGGTTCTGCTGGGTTGGGTGCATTCCTTAACCAGACGGCTCTTGGCCCTGACACCGAGCAGGATGATAGCCCGCCAGAGCCCGTCAATGCTGACCATGGTGACGACGACGATAGTCCGACCGCGAAGCGCACTATGTACGGGACAGAGTTGGAGACTGATACTCGATTTGGTGATTTTGGTTTAGATGGTGTAGCGAGTGGTGGTTTTTGGGCGCCGCCGAAATTCGGATAAACACGCGCGTGCTATTGCAGCTTTAGGTATCTTTGGATATACCGTGATGGCTGCTTGTGGGGTACGCAACTTGGGGAGTATATTAATTGCGCTCTAGTGTGTACATATCTTCTTGAATTGTTGTAAAGTCAGGTATCTATATAGTCATCTAGTGAAAGCATCATTCGTCTAGTAATCATTGACAACCGTGATTTCGTCATGCAGTAGTTCTTTGGGATCTAGATGGAAGGTACGAAGGACATGACCTCTTGGTAAAGTAGCTCTTTTAGTTGGTCTTTTGTCAGATCGTCCTTGTGCACTGGACAGACAGATAAGTGAACATTCGGAGTAGGTATCTAAACTCACGATCAAAGGCAAAGTATGAAGGACTCAGTGGCGTTACTACCGGCTCGTCATCAGGATCATGCTTGGGAACAGCTGTCAGGATCTCAACCAAATGATGAAGTAGAGCAGTCATACGTATGAAGCAAGATATGGATGTTCCAGTGCTTCATCAACAGTCAACCGCCTCTTCGGATCAAAGGTCTTGAAAAGATGTTAGAAAATGCTCATTGCTATAGTCGGGTTCCTCTCACCAAGGTCTTGGACAAGAAATCGATGGCCTCTTTGGATGCATGAGGGAACAAAGTCGGAAACGGCCTCCGCTTTCGGATAGGCAAAGCGCGGATATAATCTCGTGAACGGCGAGATGTTATGGCATAGAATTCATCTAAACTGGGTGTACCTGTGACTAGTGTATTAGCAAGATACCTCGTACAGATGGATGTGCATCTGCATACCGATCACGTCCAGGATAAGATCAAGCTGATGACTATAGTCTCGGCCGGGGAAAAGTGGTCGACCGGTCAATAATTCTGCTAGAATACAGCCAATAGCCCAGATATCAATTGCCTTGATGAAACAAAAGTTCGTCGTCAGCATCTCAGACGATTAGACTACAAAGTCACCTTGGTGTACATCTTGAATGACAGCATGATCTCCGGCGCCCTGTACCACCGAGTCGCTACATACTCCGTCATTAGGCCCTGTTCTTTTCCTCCGGTAACGCTGGTTTTGACGCTTCTAGCTAGTCCAAAGTCACAAACTTTCAAATCGCAGTTTGCGTTCAGGAGTAGGTTCGCTGGTTTCAGGTCACGGTGAACGATGTCGGCGCTGTGGATAGATTTGAGGGCTCTTAGCGTTTGGTATACAAAGTACTAAGAGTAACAGTAATAAGAATAGTTCCATTTTTAAGTATTCGATCACGTACCTGGCAATGATCATCTGTAAGATGTTGAGTTCGAATAACCCTATGGAGATCCGTTTGCATCAATTCCTGGATGACTGGGAGGAAGTGAATAAGAGAAGTGAGCTTGATGAACTGCACAAACAATATATCTCTTTGAAGGAATCCAGGGAGGTAGGTTTGATGATGTCGATTACCGATATTATCTGTAAATATCATCAGTGGTGAAGAATTATCAACGACGGGAACGTACGTTTTCGTTGAGACATGTTTCAGTGAAGAACTTTAGTAGCTTTAGTTCACGGAGAGTGCGAAGACAAAACAAGGTATGATCGAAAGGTAGAATCTTCTTGATCGCGACCTGCCGGCCTGTAGGTTTGTGAAGAGCTGAAGCCACGGTACCATACGCTCCTTCTCCGATAGCATGGAGAAGCTGGTAATCATCGCCTGAAATGATGATGTCGAAGGCGCTGGCTGTCAACTGAGATCATGCTTACCAATTTCGAATTTGGGAAGAGGTTTCTGAGCCTTGCGAGAGGACATTATAACACCAGGATCCAGCCGTGGCGAAGGAAATGATAAAATGGACGAAGGAAAAGCTAGGGAATGGGAAGGAAGGTGAATACCAGTATTATTCCAGGGTGATAATTGCCACCATATAAGTATGCTGAGCGTATCACCATCCCTATGATTGCTGATGGGTTGCACTTAGGGCGAAGAAAGGTAGAAACCGGCGGTGTGACCACAATGGGACGACGAGCCAACTTGACATCAGGCGGGCGGCGCCCTTGACGGGCATACGAATATTAGATGGTGATGAGTAGGGATAGCACATATAGGCGGGCAGTGGTCCCGGAGATATCACGGATTGCCATCTGCAAGTACCACGGTTACAAGTACCGGCTACGACGGTTTCATCGGTGGCCTTTGATACAGCTTAAGGTTGCAATATACAAGCACAGAGGGCTGAATCATAGTAACATTGGAGAGTTAGACGATCATGCTACGGCATTCGATTTTCACAACCGCATCATGGAGAGCGGCAAGAAGGTGATTGCGTGTGTTTATTTTAGTGGCTGAAGTGATCCCGCTTGCTGATTGGTCTCTCAGCTCCTTGCCAGTTCCACCGCGGTATTGTCTCTATAGAGGTGCGCCTGAGAACAACTCATTCAAATTGCAGACAACGGTGCAACAAAATTAAAACGTTCGTACCCATTTTGGTTGCTATTAAATCAAGAACTGACGAAAGGGTGTGGCTAGATCAGTGCGACTTTTTGCTAGAATACGTACACGCCTTGCTTTAAAAATTCTTCACATCAAATTTTCCAAAGGCGTCTCCGAGATAGCCGCGCCGAATGATGCATTCACCTTTTTTCCTTTACTACTATGCCCATTGAAAATCCAGAGATGCATCGTGCGTGTTTTCAGCTCAAAGCCCCTCACATTTACAGGGGTATTCCGTTGCGATATGATAGTTCCTCTGCGATCCAGTTTCCTGGAACTATCTTAGGGTGCGCCATTAGTGCCATCACCCCCACTCCGCGTGGTTGTTCGACAGGAGTGAGAACTTTTTGGCTTCAAACGAGGCACTAAGTATACTTACGTATACAATCGGTAGCCATTCATGCCATCAAGCATCAGTTTCCACCTTTTTGGGTCCACTATACATTGAAAATGGCTCAATTCCCAGGACCTGATATATAAGCCGTCTTCCTTGTCTTTGTTTTCACCTCTCCCCCCACCTTCCTTCACTTTTTTTTCCTTGTCCCTCTTTCGCTTTGACCCTTTGAACAATCGCTAGCGATGTTCTTCCTTTCTCTAAGTCTAGCACTGGTGCATTCTCTATCCGTTTCTGCTACTGTGTATGATGTTCAGGTCGGCGGAGCCGGCGGAACGCTAGTTTATGACCCGGAAGCCATCGTACGTCTATCTATCTTAATGAAGACTTTAGCTCAATGTCTTTGTTGCAGTCTGCCCAACCAGGCGATCAAGTCGTGTTCCATTTCAATCCAAAGAATCACACAGTCACCCAGTCATCATTTGCGTAAGTTTTCCCCCCTCTTTTAAACCACAGTAGTCTTATCATACCAACCCATAGTGATCCATGTGGACCTAAGGAAGGCGGTCTCGATTCTGGTTTGTACGTTCTTCAGTCGCCCCTGTTGTGTATTATTTCCTGAATATTGTTAGTATACCGGTCGCTGCCAATACCACTGACAGTCTTCCGACATGGACAATGACTGTGAATGATGTGCGTCCAGTTAATCGAGGTTCTATCTCTCCGCGATTGATTCCTGATTTTAGACTCAACCTATATGGGTGTACTGCAAGCAAGGGGCAAAGACACCTGCGAGTCATTGTGGCCAGGGGATGGTTTTCGCTGTTAATTGCGGTCTTGATGGCTCCCCCAACTCTTTTTCCAATTTCAAGAGTGCCGCGTTGGCCGTTGGTGCTAGTCTAAGTGCGGCAGCGGCAGCGGCCTCTACAGCAGCTCCTTCCGAAGCCACCGCGTCAACGACCGCTGCCTACGGTGGTGTCACCATCCCCCCTGCACCCGTACCCACATTGGTGACCGAGACCATTACCTTGCAGTCATCGACATGGACAACAACGTACTCGTCGTATCCGGGCGCGCCTGCAGCTACTCCCTCTTCCCTGGGGGGCAATGTCATCAAGGTAAAGCAACTTCTTATGCGTCTTATGTAGCCGAGCTAATAGACCTGTAGGTCGCTGTTGGTAGTTCTAACCAGTTGGTGTTCGATCCTCCGAGAATTTCTGCTCAACCTCGTGATATTATCATGTTTGAATTGTACGTCTTGTCATTTTTGAGTTGCTTCTACGTCTTCAATTTCTATGTAGCCAATCAAAAAACCACACTGTGACTCAGTCTTCCTTCGCGTGAGTCATCCATTCATCTAACAGCCTCATAATCATTCATTCACCATCTTATCAGTGATCCTTGTCGCCAACTGAATGCTAATGGAACGATCGGATTCGATTCGGGTTTGTGAGTGTTCCGTATCCTCTCTCAATGGTCTGCATTTAAGATGCTCCTAGCCACAACGTCTCCGATCCTACCAATCTTCCGACGTTCAATGTCACCGTGAACGACACAGCACCTATCTGGGTTTATGTGGGCTTCTTTCTTATCTGATATTCACACGTTCTAAAATTTGGCTTTCTTTCTAGTGCCGTCAGAAGACTCCCATGAGCCACTGTGGAGCTGGAATGGTTTTGTGCGTCTAATAGTTTCCCTCTTCCTGTTGACAAGATGATTTATTTAACATCTGCTTATTTAGCGCGATCAATTCAGACGAACAATCACAGCGCAACTTCAGCGCGTTCCAGAGTCTTGCTAAGGAATTCAATGGCACAGCAGCTACGAGTTCAAGTAGTAGCAGTGCTGCAGGAGAGTCCCAGACGTCGACCAGTGCACCAGCTAGTGGCGGCGCTCTCTCCGTCAGTGTGAACGGTGCTATGCTCACGCTTGTCGTCACGGCTCTTGTTGCGTCCTTTTTTTGATCTGATATGAGGGGTTTTTTTTTTTGGCATGACTTCTCCCTTCTTTTGAACGACTTACGCTTCATGCACTCGGTCGAAGGACATTCTTTCACAGTATACCAGAGCGGACCTTTTATATACTCGTCGATGTCGACTTTGTCTTGGGTACCTACTAGATGTTGATACCAAAATTCTCGAAATTAATTGGATGTTTCCCATCACAGAAAAGCCAAGGATAGCATTATAAGATAATAAAGAAAAACTATAATACAACATATCAACATATCACTCGCCTTCAGCCTCCTTCGCTTTCTTCTCTTTCTTCAGTCGTTTCCGTTCGCGACGGGCGTCTTCGTCCTCTTCAGCGCCTTCAGCCTCCTTTGCAGCCTTTTTCTCCTTCTTCCGACGCTTGCGCTCAGCACGTTCAGCATCTTCATCTACGACCTTCACTTCTTCATCTGGAGCTGGCACTTCTGATTTTCTCTTCCGCTTTTTCTCCTTTTCTTTGGGCTCTGTCTCCACTGCGTCTTTCGATTCAGGTGCTGCTACAGGCGCTGGTGCCGTTGGCACTGTGGACGGTCCCGCCTGTGGGTTCTGTAGTCCAATATTTAATAAACATAGAAACGAGATTGTAGATTGAGTGCGAACATACCTCATCGCGGGTGTAGTCAACGTAGTCTTTGCTCCAGTCGGTAGGGGTGACACCCTCAAGCTTTTCACCATGTTTGCCCAACTTGCCGTCCTTGACCATCTTCTTTTTCTTCAACGCAACGGGTCCAAGACCCCAGCGCCGAGGGTACGTATCACGCTCCATGATACACCGCTTCACTTTCGCAACAACACCGTGGTCGCACGTAGCTAACTCGACAGTGGACATCTGGGCAATACCCAGAGCTATTGCCTCACCTAGCGACCCAAAATTGAGATTAGCCTTCGGCGGAATATGATATGGCAACTGCACCTTTTGTAGTCATTAAGACGACTTCCTCGTTCAAGGATATATCAGCCTCGTATCTCAGGAGACCGGGGATCATGAGTTTTGCACCGTAGCATACAGCGTTCACAGCACTGTCCTTGACGACAATGCGCTTATAACCAACCATCAGGCATTCCAATGGTCGGATGACTCGGCGTAGGTAGGACTCTTTGAACGCAGGGATGTCAGATAATATAAAGGATAGAAAAAGGGCGATACACATACCATCACGGGTATTGTCATACATCCACTGCGCGTCCAAAACGTCGTGCATGGTGACCATGTCGTCGTTTTCAGACATGGCACCACTCCTCACACGACGAAGCTCCTGCATATGCCCACCAACGCCCAAAATCAAACCAAGATGCACGCAAAGCGTTCGTATATAAGTTCCAGCTTCACATGATACCCAGAAAACTGCCAGGTTCCGTTTATCATCGAACTCAAGGAGCTTTGACTCATAGATGGTGCGAATCCGGAGTTGACGTTTGACCGCGGATATTAGAGGAGGCCTCTGGAAGAGAGCACCAGACAATGTTTGGAGGGAACGAGGGAGGGCGGTAGGATCTGGAAGGTTAGCGTGAAGGCGGAGCACGCAGACATACTCCTTTCCTGAGCATATAACCAGATGAAAGAAACATAAAAAAAGAGGAAGCGTAACTTACCAGCACCCTGCTGGGACTTTACCAGTCTCGTCGCACGGTCTATACAGACAATCAAGCATCCAGTGACTTTGGGGTCAAGTGTACCGCTGTGACCAGTCTTTTCAACGCGGAGAATTCTTCGAAGCCAAGCGACCACTTCATGGGAGGAAGGATTCGACGGCTTGTCGAGGTTGATTACGCCAGATCTAAATGTCGCGTTTAACATTCAGATTGTTTCATACGACAGCTATACTGACTTTATATAAGAGGTAATGTCACGTTTGAGCGGGACGCATCCTGCAGGGATTGGCGTAAAGTGTCCAGAGCGCACAAGCAGCTTGTCGTAGTTTTTTAACAGTAAAGGCCATTGAGAAGTGTCGAGCTTTGGCGTATTTTCGGGCTTAATGGAATAGTTGCCATCAACCTGAGCAGACGATACTTGCTCACGGGTCAAAGAAGGCGACATGGCCGGCACAGAGGGCAAGCAGGGAGTTGAGTACGACGTTCAATACGACGACCAAGCCCAGGCAACGGTCCGGTTCCAAAAAATTTCGGCCGGCACTTTCGGCACGGAAATAACCGTATCGTCAAACTTTATTTGTCCACCTGTACAGTCCACAATTTTGCTTACCAGAAATTCTCAAGTTCGCCAACGACCGTCAAGACTCGACTCGCAAAAATGGTCAGTATAGCTTGGTACCGCTTTGCTGAGTTACCTTCTCAGTAGGCTCACACCTTGCTTTTCAGCCCAAGGCCGCCCCTGGAAAAGTTGCCACCAAGCACAAATTCGTTGTTGACTACTCCAAGCCTGCGGCTGACGGAGTTTTCGACGGTGCCGATTTCGAAAAGTTCTTGCATGACCGTATAAAGGTCGAGGGCAAGGCTGGTCAGCTCGGTGAAAACGTTAAGATCACCAGAGATGGTGAGGATACAGCTGGTCGCCGTCTTCCTGGCTAAATTTTGCTATGTTATCCAGGCAACACCAAAATCACCGTGACCTCCAACATCCCATTCTCGAAACGGTACCTCAAGTACCTCACTAAGAAGTTCTTGAAAAAGAACAGCTTGAGAGACTGGATTCGGTATGCCCATTCGTTAGGCTATACTTTCCTTCCTAACTAGAGTTTCTAGTGTTGTTGCATCCTCGAAGGACAACTACCAGCTACGCTTCTACAACATCCAGTATGTTATACCTTTCATCTGGCGCTGCCATTGACTTACGCTTTTTCAGCACTGGCGATGATGAGGAAGACGAGGAGTAGACACTGAAATTCTTCGTTGTATTTCTGCTTGTCTGGTGGCCACGTACTCTATCTACCACGCTTTGTCTTTCGTCAATAAAACATTTAAAGCGCCTAATCCGCAGACTTTGAGTATCGTAACTGGTCGAAAGAAAATGCTAATAAATTACACAACTATGGAGATAGACACTTCATTCTCGTCTTCTACCTTGACTTTACCCAGGACCGATAGCGCCATCTCATTCCAAAGAATCTGGCTCTCATTGAGCACCTTACCTCGCAACTGTTGTGATAAGACGGCAGCTAATTGCGTCCGCAGATGTTTGAGGGCAATATTGGTCTTGGGTGCGACGCGGAATTTGATTTTTCGATCGATAGAAAACGTATCTGAAATGAGCTGTGCGGGCGAATTACAGTCAGCCCTAACATCTATCAACACGTCTGGATTCATCACCTTTGCTTCGGATTCTCCGCATAACAGTAGAATAGCCAGGTCATCAACGGGTGTCGTTTCCCATGCGTACAGCTTCTTTGAATGCCTGATAAAGTCATGAGCAAAGGCTCAAACGAAGAGATGTAACACATACATTAGCGTAAAATAAGCAAGATGGTTAGCTCCTAGATCGCCAGGCTTCCGACCGAAATTAACGGAAGAAGGGTGGAAAGCGGCTAGCTGATTGTTTGATATCGTCCGCATCTCATTCGTAGTGGGATCGACCGCCAATATTTTTGGATAGAGGCCGGCAACTAGAGCAGCATTGAAGAGTGCTGTATTATTGGAGTTACTGTCAAGCTCAGGCGGAACCGTGATGAATCGCATTCGATTTCGAACATAACGCGCCCTATATAGGATGAGGATGAGTAGTTAACAAGATTATGATATGCGAGAATTATATACCGGCTAAGCTCTCGAACGAAGCTCCTATCGACTTGAATGAATGAAGAGTCAATCAGATACCTGCGTGAGGTTCATGGTTTTGAGTCTGCTGTGAGCAAAGAAAAAAATAACGGACCCTAGAAACTGGTTACGGAGCTCCTCGATCTGCTGTAAGTTCTAGGTGGCAATCAGCACCATGGCGGCGATATTCACCAAGGAGAACATACCTGATGGCTCAAAAAATTGACTCGACAGAATTTTCTCGCCCCTCCTGGGCTCCCGCAAGCTCTTCGCCAACTTGAGAACGCATTATGTATGGTAAGGAAATCAGAATTGTCTAAGAAGAACGTGAGAAGGAAGAACCACCATCAGGTCGCTCTTGCGTACGTACCAACTTTGAAGGTAGCTTTCGCGCGATCAGCCTCTTGCTCGAGTCCCATCGGCGTGATAAAAGGAGATTTTGAGTTCAAAGCCGCCGCAATGGTAAGAGCGGGATCTAGGCAGCGCAGAAGAGTTGCTAATAGTAGGAATTTCCCAAGGTGTACATCTGTGGGCAGCTTGCTCAACAAGCGACCCATAGGAGTGATTTCCTCTGAGGTCGTCAACGCGCGCACCTAAGGGGAATTGTTGTCAAAAACCACAAGAAGAGCCAAATGGTAGCGGACCTCAACAAGCATCGAGATGGCGCGCTGAACGTTGATAGATGCGGGGGGATCCAATGCTCGAGAAAGAACGTCTTCAATCGAGGTCCCGAGATTCACCTTCATAATCTTTATCCGAAGTGCTAAGTCCGACAAACTTAGTCTCATCATTTCTGGAAGGGGGTGGTCGACCATCTGATCAAAGACTTGAGCAAAGGGAAGAAGACAGCGAATGGAACCAAGTCTTCACCTGAGTATCATGGCGAACTTTGGTGAAGAGGTGGAAGCACAATCCACTTTGCACGCGGCCCGCCCGACCACGCCGTTGCGATGCATTGCTCCTGGCGATGAAGGTTTCCACAAGCCTACTGATCTGACGTTTTTCATCGAATCTAATATTTATGTAAGGACTTGTTTGAGATGGAATAAGAATGGCAGTACCTCATCTCTCTGTGCTTCCCAGTGTCTATGACACACGTTATGTCGGGGATTGTAATGCCAGTTTCCGCGATGTTAGTGGCTGAACAATGATGAGCTGCGTTCTTAGGAGAGGAGTGAGTGCCTACCAATGACAATTTTCCGGACGCCCGACGGGGGAATATCAAAGACCGCGCCCTGGTTTTCACTGGAAAGTGTCGAATGCAAAGGATAAATCCGGAAGTCATCACTGCCGAAGTAAGGATGTTCTGTTAATAAGTCGTTGAGGCGACGAATTTCTCCAATCCCGGGCATGAAAACCAAGATCGCAGACGAATAAGACATGTAAGCAGCATCATGGAAACATATCCGCTCGAGAAGGCAAAGAATGAGATCATAAGGAATAAGACGCTCGTCCAGAAGGTTGATAGTGTTCACAGTGCTTGGAGAGTACTTCTTGCCAAGTTTTACATTTTCATGAACATCGTCAGAATCGTCGTCGTCGACTCCAGCTAAATCTTCTGACCAGTCAACACGATTCTTGCCACGATAAAAAGTATCATGCACTGTGAGAACATAAGCGTCGCAAAAAGAATGGAAGACAGAAGCTGACTTACAACGTCGTGCGTACGGAGAATTCTCAGATATTGACCATTTGGTGAACTCGACCGCATCCTCAAGATAGTTGACCTCAACAGGATACGTGCGCCCTGGAACATGAAGTGTGGGACATCCTCCAAAAAATTCCGATATCTTCACGGCGTCAACAGTGGCAGACATCAGTATAACTCTGTGACAAGACCGTCAGACCTGACACGCAAACCACGCAAAAGCAAATATCACCGGAGATCGGATCGTTGTTGTAGTAGCGACTTAAGGACAATGAGGAGAAAGTCGGATTCGATGGTACGTTCATGAACCTGTAGCGACTTGTTAGTATTTCAGGCCCCAAAGCGAAAGGAGGAAATACCTCATCGATAATGATATGCTAGAGTTTATTCTTGTAAGAGCACCGCGGAAGGTAAAAGAGAGATGATTCTCACCGTTAGTTCGTCAAAAGCTGTGCCCTGTCCACCTTGTCCGGTACCGCCTTCAAGCATTCGCAGGGCGATTCCGTTAGTAACAAACGCAAGGCGGGTGTTTCTAGTAGTATTGCTTTCGAGACGGATGGAGTATCCTACAAGAGAATTTAAGGTGCCCACAGCACCAGGTAAATCTCCTAACTCCCTAGAAACGCCTGAACAGATTGTCAGTGAACATGGATAGAGTAGAGCCAAGTTTCGTACGTTGAGCGAGTGATATAGCTGATATACGTCTTGGCTCCGTGCAGTAGATTTTGCATGGAATTCCTCGGGAAAGCTGATCTTCCAAGATGAATGCAGGAACCTGAGTGGATTTGCCGCTGAACGAGGTCTTTAGCTATGGAAAGTAGGACTTTCAAGTGAGAACGCACCATCCGGTCTCACCACTGAGCACCAGGACCTGTGATCGATCCAGAGCCGCGAGAATATCCTCGCGATACCCAGCGATAGGAAGTGTATTCCGTTGAACCTAGGACACCATTAGGATATATCGAGCGAAGTAGCTGAAAGAATACGCTACCAGCATTTCTTGATACGATGGACTGGATCTGCGCTGATTGAAACTCGATATGAGCTGCTCACTGACACCAGGACTCGCTCTCTCGCGTCCGTAAGAATACAGAGGGTCCGTATTGTCTACCAAAGGTCTCACCGCCTTACTAGGGATCTGGTATTAATGGCTGAGATCAGAGGGGGTAAAGCCAATGTAGAACAAAAGGACAAACCTTGCTTGGTACCTGCAATTTTGGTTCAACTATGGTTCTTAATTTGTTCCAAATACGCCGGTTGATAGAATCTTCCTCAGCCTTTCTGGCCATCTCGAGTTCGTCCCAAAGATCTCGAAATACTGCGGGTAGCAAGCGAAAGAAGGTTTGACCAGCAACAGCGGAAGTTCCTGAGGCAAAGCCATCAGCAGGAGGGAAAGCGATGGCGTGGAGGGCCAGGGTGGCGACATATTGCTCCGCTTGGCCTTCATCGTGACAGGCGACCGACTCCATTGACCACTCGTCAGTTTTTTTGCCCCGCCATCGAATGTTGACGGCTGCCCTCTTAGCGCGACTAGCACCAGAAATAATGCTGAACGTGATGACGGCATACCGGTCGGCTTTGGCGACAGTGTCTGAGAGCAAAGATTTCGGAGTACGGCCCGACCAATGCTTGGGTAGAGGCATAGCTCTAACAGTGACGATGGTTCCTTGTGTGGTTGTTTCTGTTGCTGGAATCTCCTCGAGAAGACCAAGTATACCTCCATCCGTGTCACCATCATCTTCGTCAAATACATCGGATGCAACAGCAACAGGCGTCTGGATACTTGGAGGAGATTTCTTCTCAGCTTGGAGTGGTGAAGAGATTTCACCGCGGAGGCGTGCGTCGAGAGTGTTCACGGCGACCTTGTCTCGCTCGATATGATATTCAACGACGGCGGTCATCTCGTCGAAGAAATAATTACTCTTCAAAGCATTCAAGCGACACTTGATCTTGCTTATTTCGACAGCATCCTGGCTACGAGGATTTAAAGTATCGAGACGTAACCTCAGGCGGACATATTCTGCATTGGCGTCGTCATCGTCGTCATCCTGTCCGTCTATTAAGGAAAGTCGATGAGCATTGTCGCTATCTCGATTCTCGTTGCCGACAGAAGCGCGCGCGCCGCTGGATGGAACAAATATGGGGGCATTCACATCGAGCTTGGAAGATTTGGTGGGGGGCGCGATAGTAGGAGGGGTTGCCTGAAATTCTGCAGGTGTCCGGGGCGTTCGTGGAGTTTGAGGGGTCCTTGAAGATTTCCCCTTCTTCGGCGTCTGAGGGCCGCGAGGTTCCACGGAATTGTCAGAACCTATAGAATGGTAAGTTATCTTTGAACAATGCTCCAGAAGGATTCTAGAAAAACGCACGTTTCTCAGCTAGTTCATCCTCAGAGCAATGCAAATAGAGCTACAATAATTAAGACCAATGTTCTGATTATAAACAACGAGCTCACCCAGTCGTAAGCCTGTTCTAGTTCAAAACCAGGTATGGCTTCAAGACATTCGATAACCCTTTCCTCAGAAAAACCGAGGCGACGAAGAACACCGTAAGTGATAGCAAGCTTGGCAACAACCTTGTCTTCTGGTTCATCTATTTGTCGTTTCCCTGATTGCCATAAGTATCACGCTGCCCTGGAGAACTTTCTTTCTACCTTCTGAAGATGTGGAGTCCAGGGCGAGATCAAGAATACGTTCAACGAGAACGGGGTTCAGCTCTAGGCTGGGAAGTGTTTTGGAATAACGTCTCTCCTGTTCTACGGCCTATGATGTCGAAATGAGCTAAGTGCGCTAGTTGTAAAAAGACTGATTGCCAGAATACCTTCACAGTTCTGGAATTGAGGATGGTGAATACAACTATGGGGATCTTTTGAATGAAGAGACGAACCTAACTATATCTTTTTCTGTTTTTTCTTGGAGTCTATCGACAAGGTTCTGAAGCGACTGTTCTTCCACCTTCTCTGGGTCGAACTCGTCCACTGGCACCTTCTCGGATCCTCCTTTCTTAACAACTTCTTGTGCTTCCGGCTGTTCTGGAGGTAATTCTGTGGCAGGTAGACTGTCCACAACTTCCTCTGATTCGACGACTTTCTCGACCTTCTTGGGGACGGAGGTCGTCGCAAAACCCCGGGCGACAGGCTTCACCTGCGTCTTTTTCTTCTTGGCCATCCCGGATGGACCAATAGAGGGAAAGAACAGTGGTGGTTATTGGAGGTCGTTCCCGTCGCGACCAAGCCGGATTATCGTCGTTCACAGGAGTTGGTGAAAGCAGATGTACGAGAACGTCCTACGCGTAGTAGAGAGAGCGCTTGGTGTCCTATATTCCACGGAAATCGAGATGAGTTGCAACGAAATTCGGATGAGCATGAGAATTATCAAGATTGTCCTTGAGCATTTACGTGCAAGTCAGTGGTGTAAGAGTCACCACCGGTCACACATTCGGAAACTCCGCTGGGCAGGCCCGCACCGCTTCGGAATCATTTTTGCTCCGTTGCCGGCCAATTAAAGACGTTCCTCTATTATACAGTAAGGATAAACTAGAAAGTGCCGAGATAATCTACAATGGATACGAAGAGAAGAGAGAACAGTAGAACCAATGTACGACATGGTACGCATGTTATCCAATGCCTGATGGCATCAGTAGTAATCTAAAACAGGCGTGCTGGCATGATCGATGCCTGCTTTTCTCTTGCCACCTCTACGGCCACCTCGGTTACCAGGCTTGCGTTTCTTACCGCGGCCGCTGCTTGGCATAGGATCGCCATTCTCCTCCTGAAGTGCGTCGGCCTGGACCGTTAGCTACAGCAGAATTAGAATGACCGAAAAAGTCATCATCCCCTTCTTCATCCCAGAGATCACGGATAGGTTCGGTAGAACCATTGGTAGGTCTTTCCGAAGAGAGGTCTGCCGTAGCAGAAGTATCCAGACCAGCGAACTGTTCGTCGTTCAATAAAAGCTGAACAATTTCGCTAGGCTTGGCAACATCCGTGAGGTTTTTGTTACCAACGACAATGTCTTGAACCTAAATCGCATAGACAACCTAGTTTAGATATTCAAGAAACAGAAAGGAAGAGTACTCACATCTTTTTTCACCCGAGCGAGTTGAATGATCCGTTCGTCTATGGTCCCTTTAGTTATGAGACGGTACACAGTGACTTGGCGAGTTTGTCCTAAACGATGTGCTCGATCCATGGCTTGCGCATCGTTGGAAGGATTCCAGTCGTGGTCATAAAAAATCACAGTGTCCGCAGCGGTAAGGTTAATCCCCAGACCACCGGCTCGTGTGCTCAGCAGGAAAACGAAGATGTCTGGCCTGACAAAAGTTGGATGAGGGACAGCAGCTGATACTTCGAAAAATGACTAACTTTGTTTGCCAATCAATAACCATATCTCTTCTATCTTCGAGTTTAGACGATCCATCAAGACGGAGATACTTGTATTGCCTGTATATCAGATATTCTTCCATCAAATCCATCATGCGAGTCATTTGAAAGTAAACCAAGACGCGATGGTCTCCTGCTTTTAGTTCCTGTAGGAGCGTATCCAAACGAGCAAGCTTGGCAGAATCGTAGATGAGTCGCTTGGCCTCGGGAACTTGCATCGTTGACAGTGGGACCTGGTCTGAAGGTGACGTCGCAAGCAGACCCGTGCATGATATACCTGGGAAGTGTGTATCGAAAGTGGTGCAGGCGTCCATCGAGTCGCGTAGCGACGACGGAGCGCCATACAATCCGAGTGACTCCAAAGGGCCGTCTAATATGCGCGAATGGCGGTCCACGAAAGTTCGATCCGTACAGTATAACGATATGGGCGGCGCTGTGGCTGCAGGCACATACCACTTCATCTCCGAGCGAGATAAACAGGTGTCAGTCCAAGCTGATCGGGAAATGTAGAATAGATCAGGTAGGCCTTCGGCGCAGTCCAATCGTTGCAAAGAAGGGTAGATACCCAACTCCAGCGAAGGACGAGCAGAGTGTGCGGCGAAGAAGGAATCCCTAATCAAAATGAGTGTCCGCAAAGCTACACAAGCAAACAGAACGCACAAGTAAAAGGGCCCTTCCTCTAACCACTCGTGCTCAGACTGTAGGGTTAACAGTCTTCGACGAAGAAGAGGAGAAACATGCAAGTTGTGGGCTTCTTGCGGTGACATGGCCAACAGTGATAGGAATGCAAAAGATGATGATACTATAAGATGGTTAAGTTTGTCGCTTTGGATGCTACCGTACAGCAGACTTACCTTTACCGTCGTATATGGATCTATGAATCCAATCAGTGGACCAGATGTTCATCAGTTTGGTCAAACAACTACTCCGGGACACAGGATACGAGGCGTCCGAGGGTACATCCAGTATGCCTCCATGTCGATACAAAAGATCTGGGACGGTGTACTCAATTGGATTGTGAGTTGAGTACGGCAAGTTGATGAAGTCGCCATCTCGCGAAAGGGGTCCGGATCGCCCAAACCTTGAAAAGGAGAAAGGTACAACTACGTCGGCCCTTTCGAACAGTTCTGGGTGGTTACAAACCTGACATCGAGTCAGCAAAGAGAGTCGACAGCTAAAAATGAAATTGACAGACCTTGCGGAACTGCATGACGAGATTCATCAAGGTTCGCGCAGAATCTGCGTCCCCAATGTTGGCCGCCTTTGCAATGAGGTCGGCCACAGATACTTTGGCAAGCAGGGCTTTATATAATGAACGTTGCCTCGCGCTCAAGGACACATATATATCCTCCTCGATCTGGCAATGTAATTTGAGAATGACGCAACAAAAGAGAGAGGAAATCACTAACCTTCTCGCTCAATTCGTTCTGGACGTGCTTCTTCACCCGGCGTAACATGAAAGGTTTCAAGATCATGTGTAGTCGTCGCAGCTGATGCTCATTCAATTTGCTCCCCTTGTTTTCTGCGGCATTTTCAATGTCCTTGGAAAACCATTCATTGAACTCGTCGTGAGAATCGAATAAGCTCGGCATGATGAAGTGCAGAAGAGCCCACAACTCTAGACGCTCATCAGAATACGTGACTATAATTTATTGAGGGCGTACCTTGCATGGAATTCTGTATTGGAGTTCCTGTAAGCAGTAGTCGATTTCGACATTGAAAGCCCAGTAAAGTTTTCCATCGAACACTGGAAGAATTCTTGATGTTTTGCGCCTCATCCAGTATCATGTATTGCCACTTAACACGCTGAAAATACTGCTGATCTTGAGTAACCTAAGAGGGGACGTGCGAAAGTCAATACTTCTAAGACGATTCGGAAGATTCAGACAAACTTGCCAGCTGGTAACTCGTAATAAGAACATGAAACGGCGCGTCCTGATTGTAGCTTATCTCTTTCTTGCTCCAGAACTTCCGAAGAGTGGCGCGGTCCTTGACATTTCCCCAATAAGGCAACGCTTTTAATCGAGGAACAAAACGAGTGATTTCCTGCTGCCAGTTGTGCAGAGTTGAAGCAGGGGCCACCACAAGGAACGGTCCCCAGATATCATGAGTTTCGGCCAAATATGAAAGGAGAGAAATCGATTGAACAGTCTATTAAATTTCAACGGTTAGGCATATACCACCAGAATCGATGCAGCAGTTACCTTTCCGAGACCCATCTCATCAGCAAGGATGCCGTTGATACCTTGTTCATACAACGTTGCCAACCAATTCAAGCCCTTGAGCTGATACTCTTTCAGTTGAGCCATTAACATCTTCGGTTGCCCGATAGTAAGCTGCCCGCTGAGAGATGTGGGGTTTTGGAAATTGAGTTCGTCGGAGTCAACTGGTCACAGCAGGCATGTGAGCATCCGGAAACGAACACATTGGAAGGACGTACGGTCTAGAAGCGGGGCACTTGACGTCCCTGTTTCCCCGTCGACTTCAGCTTCACCATCAGTCGGATCTTGTGACTGGCCTTTCACAATTTGGTTCGCCTCGTTGTTTTTGCGTTCCCGAGCAGCATGGGCGTCGAATTCCTGTGCTTTCTGCTTGGCGAGAGCGATAGCCTCTTGAGCGTTGTGTCTTGCATGTCTATACATATTAGATTGATCATCTGACAGAGCTCATGAGCCTAAGTGAACGAATTGGGTGAATGTAGTTACTTGCCGTCATCAAAGTTGATGTCTCCAAGAGTCTCAGGATTGATGTCCTCAAGATCGGCGCCGGCAGGAGGAGGCTCACTACTTGATTCACCTTCCATCTCAGATGCTACAAAACATGTTAGACAGAACAACCGCAATAAGAACGATGGAATCATACTCTTCAACTTGTTTCCAACGAAATGGCTGTAGAGTTCGGTCTGACTAATCAAAAACTCAAGTTTTCGCGCTTGTCGTGCTGCCTCTCGTTTCTCCTCCTCCATCTTCAGTCGGTCCATCGCTTCCTTATGTTCACGCTTCCGGACATCTCGCTCCTCGCGCTCATTCTTTTTCCAGAAGACCTGCATCTCACGCATCAGTCGTTTGGCTTTGGCTTGCGTGTCCTTGACGCCCTTGGGGGTCTTCGTATACGGTTTGCGCGCCTGGATAGAAGCCAGTTTAGCTATTCTTTCCGACTGAGATACTCGAGCTTGATAGCCCAATGCATGATATTTATACACCTAGATTGCATATGTAAGTGGCACTGGATGTAAATAGAGCACTCGTTCAAACCTTGGCAACATCTCTTCTAGCAATGTTCGTCCATACTTTACGTTGTGCATCTTCGAGAGCTTTGACCCGTTTAACCATAGCACCATCATCTAATCTTCTCGCTTTCTTCAGAGGAGGTATCTCCTCGTCGAGTTCAAAGATAACAGTTGAATTCGTAGGTGCTGGCGAAGAAGGTCTTGAGTAGGATACAGAAGGCGTAGCATCTCCAGCAATGGAAGGGGGATGCGATGCCAATTCCAGTTCCAAGTCTGGAGCAAAAGGCGCTTTCTTCCTGGGGCCAGGCTTTTTACGCGGAGGCTTAATGTTGGTGGAAGCACTCTCGCTAATCTCTATTTGGGCGGGTTGAGCCTGTTGCTTTGCCTTCCCCTTGCCCTTCGCAGAAGCTTTTGAGGCGATTGCTGACGAAATGGTCTCATCAATAACTGACGATTCCACTGCAGCATCTGGAATATCAATCGCTGACGGCTCCAGCTTCCTCTTTTTGCTAGCATGGCCCCGTTCTCGTGATGTGGGAGCGAATAACTCGCTGCTTTCATCAGACATGGCCCCCGACGCATGCCGTTTGGCACGCTCCTTCCCTTTGCCCAGTCTTATTGACTGATGAGGCTCCGGTGTGTTATTTATGTCCGGGCCTGGAGACATATACAGGTTGTCTCGGTCTGATGTCTCTTGAATGGGGACATCCGGATATTCGTAACCATTGAAACGTGGACTATCTGGAGGAGCTAGCATGGGTGGAGGCGAAGGTGGAGGCATCGGGATCTTGGCGATTTTTCGTGAATAATAATGGGACATATCTTCGGCCGTTTTGGCGGTCCGATCCTACAAGTGGTTGAGTAACAGAACGTAAGCGAAAGGTGCCGCTAGCTCACTCTAGTGCTTTCGTTGAACCATTGCTCGACTTGCTTAAAGCGCTTTTGCGTCTCCAGGATGTAATCGCTCAGCTCTCCAATCCACACTTCTTCACAATCTGAAAGATCAGAAGATGCAAGTCTATCCTCTTCATTCATGTGTTTTGATGGTCGAGGTTTGACATCCTCATTGAGACGCCGAGCAGGGGAATTCAAGTTCGACAGTGTATCCGGGTGAATATCCTGGGGCCGGTTTGCTGAGTTAAACAGCTGATGCTGGAAATGAAAGGTACGTAAAACATTCCAGACATAGAGAGTAAGGACTCACGCGTCGTTCGTCAGCAACTCGGTACTCGCTGTCGTCGTCGTCGCCCTTGTGACGCTTCCTGGGCACAGAATCTCTCTCCACCCCACTACCCGAAAGGTGAACTTGGCCGTCTGGAGACGCGGATCGGTGGATGTCGCGTTCACGGTCGACAGGTTCGGAACGCACAGAACTGGAACCAGCAGCCATGCTGTTCCTCGGGTGTGGTACTAGGTATGGATCCCAAAGGTCTGCTTGGTCATGGTTAGTTAGTGAACGACCGTGAATCCGTGGAAGAGGAGGCGCATTGCGATAGGAATCAGACATTCGGGACTGAGACCGAGGAGATGCATTGGGAAAAGCAGACGGAGACGGTATATCTCTTTGCACAGCGTCGATTGGCATACTGCGCGAGGGAGTGTTGAAAGCCGACCTAGCGGAAAGGGCAGGCGAAGGTTCGTCGTTGAGAATCCGGCTGAGCGACATGGCCAATAACGGGAAGGGCCACTGGTAAAATTACAGGTGTAAAACGATGGGATGGAGAAAACAGGAAAATAGCGCCTGCCACGACGGAAAGAGCCTCGTGGGAGCAGAGCCGAAGGTGAAGGCGCTTCGACCCCGTATACAGGGCCCGATGGTAAACGAATATGTCGTCAACGTCGTCGGGCTCGACGACGACGGCGGCGGTGAAAACAAGTTTGAAGTTGAAACGACGGGCAAAATTGGGGACTGATGAGCAGGGTGGGAGAGTGGACTAAAACTGAGGCCTGGCATTCGAATTTTGCCATTGCGTGTTGTCTTACCTTTTTGGGAACGCTCACTCTTGTCATTCCGACCAAAAAGGATGTTCTAGCTGACATTCTGGCTCAATCCTTGTCACAGCTCAGTTTCAAGAGTTCTAATGCTCATTCTCACTTTTGCTGATGACTTTCAAGTAAATTTCTGTTCCAAATTAACTTTTTCCAGGCTTTCAGTCAGTCATCATTCGGCCCCTCATCTGAACATGATCTGAGCCCAGCTCCTGCTGCCTTTTTCGGGGTCCTCCCTTCGATCGCATCATCCCCGTTGAAACACCACGGCCATTTCATTACCTTGTCCAATCAACATCAATTCTCTGGGTCCGGATGTAACATCAGTTCTGGGCGAACTTTCTGGTCAAAATCTTCCGGTGTCAGGAATCCCAGTGCGACCGTGGCTTCTTTCAATGTTGTCCCTTCCTTGTGAGCCTTCTTTGCGCATTTCGCGACATCTGTCATGGTAACTTATCAAAAAAAAGCCAGTGCTGTCCATGGGTAACCACGTACTATCATAACCAAGATGGCTGTTTAAAATAGTGGCGAGCATCAGGGACTCGTTAAGCAGTGTGTTAATTCGTTTCTCATTGGCCTGAATACCAACGACGCAGTTCTTGGTGAAGGAACGCGATCCTTGAGTAGTAATGAGCTTGTCTACGTAGTTCCAGTACAAAATCAAACACACCATCAGCCAATAAACGGATACTTTGTAAAACGTTTTTGATAATGACCGGTTTAAAGACATTAAGCTGTTTGAGGAAATTCCGTTAATGAAGTTCCGGATACTGTGCGGTTCCCCTACCTCAAATTGCCCACTAGCACCAGCTACACTGACGGCGGTTTGATTTCCCATGACTTGGGCGGCAACCATCGTCAAAGCCTCGCATTGTGTAGGATTGACCTTGCCTGGCATGATGCTGCTACCGGGCTCATTTTCCGGTAGACTGAGTTCACCCAGACCACAACGAGGTCCAGATCCTAGGTATCGGATATCATTAGCGATTTTCATCAAGGAACATGCAATGACGTTCAAGGCCCCATGTGCCTCGACTAAAGCATCATGTGCTGCAAGTGCTTCGAACTGTAGCCCAATATTCAGCTAAGACACGTCGCACTAAACCAAGTAAATACCTTGTTTGGAGCAGTTTTGAATTCTAATCCAGTTATCTTGCTGATCTCTGCAGCGACTTTGACATCGAAACCCTTCTTGGTATTCAGACCCTGTTGTATCCACGATCAGCGACGTAGCCGTCATATTCTCATTCAGAAGACATACGGTGCCAACAGCGGTTCCACCTTGCGCAAGAAGGCTCAATCGTGGAAGAACATCGTTGATACGATCTATGCCGTTGGAGACCTGTTGAACGTAGCCACTGAATTCCTGGCCCAATGTAAGAGGAGTTGCATCCTGTTGTAATTACATAAGCTATATTCGCAACGATATTTGTTTTGAACCTGCCTGAAGATGCGTACGGCCAATTTTGATGATGCTATCAAAGGCTACTGACTTCGCGTGGAGAGCATCACGTAGTTCAGTCAAAGCCGGGAGAAGGTTGTTGCTGAGCTCCGTGACGGCGGCAACGTGCATAGCAGTGGGAAACCTGTATTATGTGTCAAACAACTGGACTCGCATAATGGTAACATGGTCCTAACGTGTCGTTGCTGCTTTGGCTCATGTTAACATGGTCATTCGGGTGCACTGGTTTCTTTGACCCAAGCTCGCCGCCAAGGAGCTCGATGGCTCTGTTGGAGATCACCTACAAGTGACTTTAACCACTGATCATTGGATACATAAACGCGACCAACTTCGTTGACGTTCATATTACTCTGGGTACCGCTACCCGTTTGGAATACAACAAGGGGGAAATGGTCAATGAGTTTCCCGGAAATCACCTGATCGGACGATGGGTGAAAGAGGTCATTCGATATTTTGGGGCTACGGACATCATCAGCTGCCTTCTGAATGGCTTCGCCGACCTTTGGGTCCATGCCATAACCGACGTTGACAACAGAAGCAGCTTTCTTGAGGACACCAAAGGCTTTAATAAGAGGAGGGGGGAGACGTTCTGTAGGACCACCAATGTCAAAGTTCTGTAATGAGCTGTAGGGGAGATCAGTGAGCTGTCGTAGACAATACATCGAGTTCTCACCGTTGTGTCTGAGCACCCCAGTACCGGTCCGCTGGAACCTGAAGTTCACCAAAGGTATCTTTCTCGACGCGGAAAGTGGAATCGGACTGAAACTATGTAAGCTTGCGTAGATTGAGAGCGTAGAAATTCCAACCATGATAGCGGAGGAACTCGAGAAGAGTCGCAGAGATCTGGCCAGGCCCTGAGGGGTTCTCAACTGTATGGAATCACGTGAGTGAGGAAGCCTTGTGATTGTGAGCCGTGTGACCTTTGAGTAGATTGTTGTCGACATTGTGAGTGTGATTAGGCTGGTGAAAACACGAGAAAAGCGAGGAACCGGCGGGAGAAAGGAGGAACAACCTGGAAGAACTTGACAATCCGGCAAAGAGATGAGAACGGCGGTTTCCGTCCGAGTTCTTCCGCTGAATTGCGCATGTCAACACGGAGCTGCAAGAGCAATTCAGCGCTGCATCCACGTCGGTCTGGCATGGGAGTAATCGTTTGCTGGCGTGCATAAAACGAATTTTCTTCTGATTTGAACTTAGATAACCTGGTACTCTTCGATGTCTGAGTCTCTTTGGCGGAACATACGTCACTGAAGGTTCGGACCGGTCCGCCGGTCCTATGGGGAAACACGTGAATTATACTGTTCCCCGGTCACGTATTCAAATAGCCCACTAGCCGGTCTACACACAGTCAGCCATGTCCACCATCGCGTCCCAGGTCGTATTCCATCCAGCTGTCTCTCAGTCCCTCAAATTTGGTACCACCACTCTTGGAAGGGACAAGGTATTTCTCTAGCCCCTCGCGGCCGCCTACCATACTAACGGCACAAGACCTACCGCGCCGTCCAATATTTCGCCAGGTTCTACACATGGTACCTTCTTTCTCGTGGCGAAAAGGATGCTGCAGTTCCTTGGAATGCTCTTAAAACTCATCTTGGGACTGCTCGCAAACGTTTGTCTCCCTCTCATCAATGAGCTGTGTTTTTTTTACTTATTGAACCCAGTCCTTCGATTGGGAAAGCCTATGGAGCATTTGCAGGCAGCCCTTCGTGCAGTCCTCTCCTCTTCTTCGGCACCCGAACAAATAACAGCCATTGCTCGGCAATTGGCTTACTTTGGGTACCTGTCCCTCGACGGGTTGGTCTGGGTGAGTTTGCTTACCGTCAGCTGATTCACACCATCTGATTTCTCTCAGGCCAGCTCCATAAAATTCGCCCAGTTCAAACCTGAAACTGCTCAAAAGATACAGAGACTCTCAAACAGGTTTTGGTTTACCGGAATTGTTTTCGGTCTGCTTAATGGGATAATCAAGGTTGGTTGTCACTGTTTCATTATGGTTCTCACTAAAGCGGTAAATCATTTAGATGCTCCGTATACATAAGGAGTTGTCGGCTTTGAAGGTCAAGTCTATCGGGGACAAGGATCTTGGTACTGAAGCCGACTACTCTACAAGGGCCACAGCTCTAAAGGCGTAAGTGTATCATTCTTGAAAAAGTACACATTAATCTCAATTTGGCTACTTCAAGTTCACGCGCAGCTACCCTTTATCAGCTTACCCTCGACTCGCTCGATGTTTGGATTCCCGCGACCGGACTTGGCTTGACGAATCTCAATGATGGTGTATTGGGTATCTTTGGGTGAGCTGTCATCACACGTATAACCACCACCGTGACTAACATTCACCTCGCAGACTGATTACTTCGTTGATGGCAGCTAGAAAACAGTGGAATTCCCTCAACGGAAAGAAGTGATTTGTGGCCGTCTCGTATGTTGTATAAATTAAGATAATCGCATGAGGTTCCTCGTGAAAAATGTGTAAGAGATGCAAGCGCGGAAGGGCATGGTTTTTTGCTACGATGTTGAGGTTTGGTCAAATTGTTGGCGTTTTTCTTCCTGCCGCTGGTTTCGCAATTTGAGATACTCCCCGCGGACGACGTCCATGGACTCTGGTCCAGTGCTGCGAAACAAACATTACTCAAAGGAATAGTGCCAAAGAAAAAGTACCGACTATTGAATCATGCACTTTTCGACTACCCTCAGCTTGTCTTTACAGGCCCAAGCCACCGAAATTAAACGCCCAGCCATGCAATCTGCGAATTCTGCTTCGTCTGTGAGACCAATAGTACGAACACGAGGCAGAGACGTGCCTTTGACTGCAGGATCACACTGTTTCAGCGCATAGGCTTTGGTAGCCTTTAGCAGACTGTCCTCTTCCCGACGAGAGAGTGCGTTCATCAGCGTTGAGTGCCAAGTCGGGACGGTGTCGGCCGAATCCGAAACATTCGCCGACCAATGATGATGTAATTTGAATTCCTCTTGCTGTCATTCGACCTTGTTGGTCCTGCACCATAGCCTCTTCAGGTGCACTATCAGCAATGCATTCTCTCGTGAGACCAACACGACTTCGTTCTCTTCCTCAAGTCCGATTTCTTGCAACGCCGTCGTCCCCTGCCAAACCAAATTTTAGAGAAGCATTGGCATCTGGACCTTCGCTAGATGAGTTCATTTCGGGAGAGGCTCCTGAACGTGTTATGCTCGGAAATGCTCGAGGGTATGTCTTTGCATGATATTGTCTTTCTAGAACTAACCTCTCGTCAGCCCCCGTCTTCCGTCATACCTCAAAACTTCTATTCCCTCGGGTGCCTCATTTACTAAGATCAAGAAAGACCTAAGAGGATTGGGTCTTCACACTGTGTGCGAAGAGGCTCGCTGTCCCAATATTGGTGATTGTTGGGGTGGTAAAGAAGGTGCTACGGAGGCAGAGGGCCGAAGTGCAGCTACTGCTACCATAATGGTGAGAACCTAGGCTCTAAACAAGAATATAGCGGCTCATAAGAATAGCTCATGGGTGATACATGTACCCGCGGCTGCAGATTCTGCTCTGTAAAGACGTCTCGCGCACCGCCGCCTTTGGATCCACATGAACCGGAGAATACTGCCGAGGCCATCAGTCGATGGGGTTTGGGCTATATCGTTCTTACGAGTGTCGATAGAGATGGTATGCCTCATCTCGTCTTATATCCGGACTCTGTGACTCATGCACGTAGATCTCGCTGACGGTGGCGCCCACCATTTCGCAGAAACTATACGGAAGATTAAGCAAAAGTGCGTGCATGTTCTCTGTATCTCATTCTAACTCTGACCTCGTTTCAGAGCGTCTCATATCTTGGTTGAAGCGTTAACCGGAGATTTTGCCGGCTCCCTACCTCATGTATCCCTTGTCGCGAAATCTGGGCTCGATGTATATGCCCATAACATTGAAACAGTTGAAGCTCTGACACCGTATGTCCGGGATAGACGGGCGACATTCAGACAGAGTCTGAAAGTGCTAGAACACGCCAAACAAGAAGGTGTCCGAATAACGAAAACAAGTATCATGCTTGGTGTTGGTGAAACAAGCGACCAGATTTTAGATGCATTGCGAGGTCAGTTTCTTTGCTTGTACAACGCTTTGGGCATGTCTAACTATCCTCAGAGCTTCGCAAGGTCTCTGTAGACGTTGTAACTTTTGGCCAGTATATGCGTCCGACCAAACGACATATGAAAGTAGACCGTTATGTTGAACCTGCAGAATTTGAGCGGTGGAAGCAAGTCGCCGAGGACATGGGTTTCTTGTACGTTGCTAGTGGACCGTTGGTTCGCAGCAGTTACAAGGTAAGCGTCCCGAAGCCTATACTGTCGGGTATTTATTTATCTCCTGGTAGGCCGGTGAATTTTACATCGAGAATATACTGCGTGGGAAGGGTGCTGAGAATAGAGCGAAACGCCACCTTGCTACTTCGTCGCCGGAGAATTTGGGTGCCGATCTACGATGACATACATGGCGTTCTGTATATCTACTACATTACTTATCATCATGTAATTCTATCGACCCTACCAGCTGATCAGCTTGAAGTGATCCGAGGTGGGGTTCCGACCGAATACGAGCTTCCGCTCAGCGCTAAACCTGGGATTTAGTAAATCTGGTTCCTCGACATCATCCTGTACAGCATGGTGACAAAAAATGACGAAAAGATCCGTATTGAAAGGCATTGAGGCAGCCGCTGACAACGTACGGTAATCGGAAATCATCGACCGGACTTTCCGCTCTGATGGAAATCTAGTGGTCCACCGAGGCAAGAAAATTCGCAACGGAGGGGATCGACATACGCAATCATTGGTCATCCCTTGCCTCTCTACCATACTGCCATGTCTCCCAAAGCCGCCTGGGTCTCCCTCCTATCCAAGACAGCTTATTTACCGGGTCTTCTCGTCGTAGACTACGGTCTGAAGGCTGCTAAATCGAAATACCCGCTGATAGTGATGGTCACGCCGGATATATCTCAAGATGCCCGTGATGTCCTCAGAAATCGGGGTCTGATCAGCGTCGATGTGGGCGTAGTCGCCCCAGACGCGAGTCGGCAAAGATTCGACGTCCACGACGCAAGGTTTGCCGATACCTGGTCCAAAGTTCGGTAAGCATCCCTGTCAATATACTCGCGTGTTCATCTGATAACATTTATCTTTTAGTACGTTTGAGATGGTCGATTACGATGTACGTCTTCCTTTAGATTAGGGGCGATGACGCTAACTTAAAATCCGGTTTCTCAAGCGAGTGGTTCTTCTGGATGCCGATGTGATAATCCTGAGAAACATGGATGAGCTCATGGATCTCGACCTGCCCAAAGATCAGATCGCCGCTGCCCATGTCTGCGCTTGCAACCCTCGGAAGCTCCCCCATTATCCTGCCGATTGGTTAGTAGCCCTGCACAATAACGCAATCTTTTTCTATAGCTTACGCTATTGTATAGGATTCCCGAGAACTGCGCTCACAGTGCCGTGACCGGTCCAAATGCTCCGCCTCCTCAGTGGTCGGAAGGAAAACCACGCCCCTACAGCCAACTCAATTCGGGGGTAGTGGTTCTCAACCCCTCCATGGCTATGGCAAGCGCTATCATTGAACGACTCATGACCTCTGCAGAAGTTGAAAACTTCACATTTGCAGACCAAGACCTTATGATCGAACATTTCAAAGGAATGTGGAAGCCTCTTCCTTGGTACTACAACGCACTCCGGACGCTTCAGGTTGTGCACCCGAAGATCTGGCGCGATGAAGAGGTTCGATGCCTCCATTACATTCTTCCCGATAAACCTTGGAAGGCAAGGGTACCGGCTGAAGGTACCGGCAGTCCTTTCGATGAAACGAACCGGTGGTGGTGGGCACATTTCGAGAAACTAGGCGAGGAGCTGCGAGCAGTAGATCCTGAAGGCTGGAAATTAGTTTCAGCCAACGTTGCAGCTAAATGATGCTTACAGAAGCAGATTTAGAATTAGAGCCCTATCGTACAGGAAGAGAGCCCTCTGACTTGTTATCGATGCACATACATATACTATACATATATTACAATACCCTGAAAACTTCACAACTGGCAAAGACAGCTACGCTCTCCAAGCAACGTGTACCTGGTCAGTACGGAATCTGAATTCACGTTAGGCACTGCAATACACACAAGCCACACCCACATACCTCTGGGTACAGGTGCTCTTAGTCAAAGGTGTGCTATAGCCCATCCTAAAGCCGAGAAGGCCCGCTTGAGCAATCATAATTCCGTTGTCTATGCAGAATCTGATGACGACTCAGGCCAGATTGACATGCAGCATCATTCTCAAACACACCTCTCGTCAGTGGCAAAAACTTGCCCGTGGCGTTCGGCGGCCATTATTCCCATCATCTCTTGGAGTCTTTCATTGCCTGTTAGAAGGGGGTGAAATGATTATACATCATGCAAATGCATTAACAACGTACATCCGACACCACCGACAATGAGGACCTCTTTACTGCCGATGTGTGCCATGGCACGTTCAGTAATCTCCACTAGCATCGCGAAAACAGTCTCCTGCAAGGAGAAACACAGGTCTGAAGGGGTAATAATGTCATCTTCCGAGTCGCCCGCCGCTCCCTCGGGTCGATATCGCTTGTCAAAGGTATAAGCTTCAATGGAAGTCAAGATTCCCGAAAGACTAATATCCATTCCTTTGGTGGCATATGGTATCGGCAAAAGTCGTTTCCCCCTGCCCATAATTCAGTATTGTACTGGAAGATGCAGCGGGAATAACGGACTTCTTTGCCTCTTGTTCGATGTTATATCCGGGACTCGGGTCGTTGCTCAAATTGATCACTCGTGCGAACCGGTCAAGACAGTTTCCGACAGCGATATCGAGCGTTTCTCCAAAGATGCGGTAGCATTGACGAGAATATGCAATTACTTGTGTATTTCCTCCGGAAACGTACAAGACAACGGGGTTTTGAGCGCCGGTGATTTCACGCCCCATCTCGATATCTATTAGAAAATAAAGCATGCGATGCCGTCGATGATTGGGTACTTACGGCCGACACAATGATTCACGCCAACAAGTGGCTTGTCGTAGAGAAGAGAAAGTGTCCGCGCAATCAGAGCTACTGACTGCAATGGTGCCCCCATTCCTGGTCCTGAAAAGAGTATAGTACATTCAGAACAATTAGGAATTACCCTGAAGACGAGAAGCACCTTTGGTAAAGCATATGCAGTCCATATCTTGCATTGATACATTAGCCTGCTTCAAACAGTCATCAATGACTTTGAGAGCCCATTCCCGATGATGAAGGGCAGTATCCCGAGGCTGGAATCCTTCCCCCGGAGGCGTAATGTATGTATGTCGAATGTTCGACAAAACTGTAGTCGACCCATCTTCAGCGTGCTTGATTATCCCAGCGCCTAGCTTGTTCGCTGATCCTTCCAGTCCGAGTGCAAGATAGGGACGATCTTCTGGGACGTGAGCATATTTACATTGCAGTGTGTCCGTCAAATATTCGCACCTGGCGCCTTTAGTGGCGATGCCCTTTTCGTCCGCCCTGGCATATGTGCAATAGGGCAAGTATGTTGCTGATCAGATCAGGGCCGCTTCGATCTAAAAGGAAACCTACTTTGTGCGAGTTAAACATCGCTCTAGCAACGGATTAGTAAAAAAATAACTTCTCGGATAGCAGGATTAGTTACAAATGGCGAATTAGGGTATACATATACGTGATGGTATTTTTTACCAGAGGATAGATATTCAATATATATACACAACCTATGACGATCACAACCGACTAGCATTCGAAGCAGCAACTCCATTCAGGCTAGTTGTAGTCCTTCGGGTACGGGTGTGGCTGACAGTTTCTCCTTCATCCTGAATTTCGCGCCGCCTCTTTGAAGGAGAGACGGATCCAGTTTTCAGTGCCGGACCATTATGAAGAGCCGACTCCAAACTGCTTGAAAGTTCGTGGTCGATGCCCACGCACTCGAGAAGGACGCAAGGGACACTAAGAGCTCCTTCATCATACAGACTCTTTATCTTTTCCACCGGCCTGGTGTCTTTCGTCTTTTTCTTCGTCGTTTCGGAGTAAGTCATTTGAACCTATCGGAAAAAATTAAACTGTTAATAAAGGTTCCAGATTAATTAGGCTGTCTTACAGATGGAGCGAGAGTATTCCATTCCGCAACCGTCAAAGGTGCTACATGTGTAGCAGTATACCGCCCGAGGTAACGGAAACGCCGTGAAGAGCCCTCCTTGATACCAACAAAAACCGTATAGAATTCCTCCTTCCCTGCAAAAGCATCTTTGTCCACTCCAAGGCCTACGAAGATATAGCCATGTTGTCCGGGAATGGTAGGACACCAAGGGTTATGCTCCAGGTTAGGGCACAGATAACAGTTGATTCCATGCTTTTCAGCCAGCGCTGTTTGACTGTGCGTAACTCTAGAAATAATATAAATTTGGCAACTATGAGATTCAAAAGTTGAGAACCAACGGACCTAACAATAAGAGGTTGGATGCTACCACCAACGTTTGTCTTTAAGAAATCCCGAGTGTACGGGGCGTTGGTGCTAGTCGCAGTACTCGAAGCAGGAGCGATAACTGTGTCAAAGTCTCGTAAGGTTCTTAGCCTTTCTTCTGGTATGTTGGTGATGTATGAGGTATTGTTCGATGTTGCCAGCGAGGACTTCCTGGTAATCACGGACCTGGTTGATCGTAGCGTGGAAGGTTGGCGATCAACGGGAAGAGTAGTTTCCTTTTCCGTTCCAGGATTGCGGTTTGGATTTGACTCACTTGCACTTCGCGTACGTGTGGATGCCTTCAAAATCATGGTGTGAATTTACGATGTCAATTGATGCGCAGTTAAATCTTACCGTGGCATGTAATCGTGTGCTAATGGTCTCAAAAACAGTTTTACTCGTGTTTTGCATCTCAGAGACGGTCGCGAGTCTCTGCTTCAACTGTTCGTTCGTAGTGTGCTCTCTGTTGACTGTTTCTTGTAAATTCTTTATCTAAAAAGGAAATTAGCTACTTGCTAACTGGTCCCAATTTGATTTTTTCATACCTCCGCGTCCCGAGCCTCGATTGTAGCGAGAAGTTTGGGTATTGTTCCTCTAGCAAGCGACCATTGCCCATTAGTGCCCTACAAGACAGATAAATACTATCCGCACAAGGTAGTTAACGATCGCGCACATTATCTGGAAAGGCTTGAGCAGCGTAATCGTTTCTCAGGACAGCGGAGAGGTGTCCTTGTTCTTCAAGAAGCTGGTCACGTTGAGTTCGAACTTCAAAAAGGTCATATTCTAACTGTTGGTTACGCGACTTGATGAACGCCACTTCTGTGTTTGCGGCGGTGAGCTATGCACAAAATTGGGCATAACATCATGAGTGCCTGAATGCTTTCAATGAGATAAAACGCACTGATTCCTTCATTTTGTTGTATTCCTCTTTCGCTTTGTCGAATCCCATTTCAGCGGTTTGTAATCTAACGGCCAAATCCGTCTGCCATTCATGAGGCATTGGCTGGGTTCCAGGCAGGTCTGGAAGGCCAATGGTGGGGTCGACGCGCTGACAGCGATATTCAGCGCGCTATGCGAGAGAAAATAATTAATACCGGCTGTTGGGCTGGCGGATAGTGCCTACTGACCTCTTTTTCAACGCGTTTCTTGAGAACCTCAATTTCGAAACGGGCTTCAAGGAGTTGCTCGAGTACCGAGTTTAAGAATGCATTTCTTCTGGCGTTCCAATCGGAATCAGCCACGGTATTCATGTATAAAATGACGCGTTTTTAGCAAGATATCGAGTCGTGTGAATGTGTAAGAGATTGGTTGAATCAGAATTGCTTCCTTGACATTTTTCTCAGGGTGGACGTGCGCGTGACCTGTAGCTCTATAAGCTTACATCTGGACCAACTTAGTGCAATAAACGAACAAAGCGGGTTCAAAACAGAGTGATACGAGGTCAGAAAAGTCTAAAATAAATGAAGAGGGTGTAGGATAATAGAGCTCTCTCAGTACGACAACCCGATTTACAGCATGAATGTCAAGGGGTTTTCGAGATATCCTTTGAAGGCCGACATCCATCTAGCCGCAGTTGCTCCATCAACTGTCCGATGGTCAGAGCTCAACGTCGCCTTCATGATCTGTGCAGTCTTGAAGCCACGCTCTTCCTCAGGCGCAGGGACGATGGTTGCTTGCGTGGAACCAACGGCAAGAATGCATGATTGAGGAGGATTGATGATGGCCGTGAAATGAGAGACATCGAACATGCCGAGGTTAGAAACCGTGAATGTACCGCCCTAAATATTAAGTATGGTGTCAATAAATAGAGGCATAGTAACTTTGAAAAGGCCGACCTGGTAGTCTAATGGTGCCAATTTTCCATCGCGAGCCTTCTTTGCGAGGCCTTTGGCCTCGGTAGAGATAGTAGCCAAGCCTTTGGCGCCCACATCTCGGATAATGGGTGTGATAAGACCAGAAGGGGTGGCAACAGCAACAGAAATATCCGCCTTCTTGTATCTGGGCAAGAAGTTTGAGCGCGTTGTAGGTGTAGGATGATACATCAAACTCACGTCCGTATGACTTCGCCGAGGAAGGCGGAGTTCGCCTCTGGAACATCAGCCAAGGCACAAGCGACCGCCTTGACAACGAAGTCATTGACGCTCAGCTTCGCACCTTTGTCTGCCAAGGTCTTGTTGAAGACCTCGCGCAGCTTAAGAACCTTATCCATCTTGATATCCACCGTAACATAATAATGAGGAAGCTCCTGCTTGGACTGCGTCAGACGGGTGCCAATGGTGCGGCGCATATTTGAGACAGGTGTGTCGACATAGTCTGGAACGGCACCTGCTGGAGGTTGGCTGACTGCTGAAGTGGCGGTGGATGGCTTATAGCTTTCGACGTCTTCGCGAATGATGCGACCAGATGGACCGGTTCCTGTAACCTTTGATAGTGGGATACCGCGTTCAAGGGCAATTTTCTTAGCGATGGGGGAAGCAAAAATTCGATCTCCAGTAGGAAGTTCAGCTTTGACTTCCTCCTTGGGTTTCGGTGAAGATTCAATCTTCGGAGTAGGTTCGGACTTGGGCGGTTCGGTCGACTTCTCCTCTTTGGGTTTTGAAGATGAGGTAGCTTTCGCCGCAGCCTCAGCGGCACCGGACAGATCATCTCCTTCTTCTCCAATGATGGCAATGGGGGTACCCACTAGGACGCCTTTCGTGCCGTCTTGAACCTGACGAACTCAGTTTGAGAGGGAAAAACAAATCATTCCAGTCAATACGTACCATGATTTTTGCAAGAATACCGTCTTCCTGGGCCTCAACATCAATTGTGGCCTTGTCTGTTTCCTGTTTGAAACTGTGTCATTGCATTCCAACGGTACGAGCCAGCGACACAACTCACCACCTCCAATAGAACATCGCCTGAAGAGAACGTTTCACCTTCCTTCTTCTTCCACGACGCAATTCCTCCTTCTGACATAGTAGGACTCATTGCGGGCATGTTAAAAGGCGACAGCGCGTGTCTCCGGGCGGAGACATGGAAGCCTGAAGAATGGTCAGAACAAGCTACAGAACGAGACATATGCACATACGACGCGCGAAAATGCGAGCAACCGAGGTGGCCATGGAGAGACGGAAGATGACGGTAAGTAGGTAGCTGGCACACCTGGAATTATTTTGCGGCACCTGGGTACCTGCCCAAAATGGCCAGCGTTACCCCAATGACAAATTTCGAGCATAATTTAGGCACAAACTTGCACTCTTTTTGACCGAGATTTCGGACTTTGGTTTTCTGCCGTTCAACTCGAATGACGTCCGATTTAGTCCTTCCAGGTCAGCCTATACCACTTCCTCGCGGTCCTGTTCCCAATCTGGGCCGTGGCATTTACACAAAAGACGACCAAGTTCGCGCCAGTCTCGTCGGCGCGCCTCATTATGATGGATCTGTTGGTTTTATCCTCCCTCCACTGCCTGATATCTGGAACTGTTCCTGTAGACTTTGATGATATCTAGGGTTAAGCCCCACCCTCCAGCCCTGAATTCCCTCGTTCTTGGTTCCGTAACACGGCTGTCTCCAGTACAGGCTTTACTGTCAATATCGGTTGTCGATGGCATTCCATTACCTCCTGGAGAAGAGTTCACCGGCGTCATTCGTTCCCAAGATGTCCGAGCCACGGAAAAGGACAAAGTCAAAATAAGCGACTGTTTTCGAGGCGGAGATGTTGTCCGAGGACAAGTCGTTCGTCATTTATCGTATGCGTTGGTCAAAACTCACCACAAAAGTTAGATTTCTCTGGGGGATGCTCGAAGTTACTTTATTTCGACTGCTAGAAATGATCTTGGTGTTATTTTCGCTACAAGCGAGGCAGGTATGTAACCCTAATACTTGGAATGGCACAAACTCATGTGCATATCAGGAGCAACCATGGAGCCTGTCTCTTGGGTTTCCATGCGGTGTACGAGAACAGGGAAGATTGAAAAGCGAAAGTGCGCCAAACCTGAAGGACTGTAGCCGTCTTAAATAATATATTGATACGTTGAATATATACTGCTGTAAAATATCTGCTACTTGAGCGAGTCACTGAGTGCCCTGTAAAATTCCAAAAGAGGCAATTGACCTCAACAGGACCACTTGGTAACCGTGGCATCGACTTACCGCCTCTCCTCGTTCGTCAAGTTCCCGTCGTCGTCTGCTGTCATCCAATGACTGCCGTGCTATTGGCAAAGGACGTTCTGAGGAGAGAAAGGGTCATGTCAATGGACGACGTTCAGCTAGGGTACGCTCTCTTCATGTCATGTGTACAACGTCGGCTCAACGCATGCTCAGCTACTCGTCGTCAACCGACTGGCGAGCCAAGTACAATGAGGTGAGCGCTCTTCCCTGAACACTATCGCAACCATTTCAATGGCCTTTACAAGGTGGCAGACATGCTGGCGGAAACCCGCGCAGAATTAGACGACTTTCATCTTGCTAGTAAGGAACTTGAAACCGAGTTGGAAAACGAGCTGCAGAGGACGGAAAAGGCGCAACAGGACTTGAAGGTTAAGGCGGCAAGGGCAGAAATAGAGCGGGACGAATGGAAGGTGCGCCCAGTCGTGTCTTGAGAGCTGTAACGATTGACTTGACTCCATCGAAGTCCAAATTTATGACCCTGCAGACCAACCACAACACAACGACAACATCTCTGCAGCGCGAACTCGACAAGCTGCGTCAAGACTACCAGCAAATTAAAGTCCAGCTTCGCGAACTTGAAATGGGAAATGATGATTTAGAACGGACAGAGCGCGCGGTCTCGTCAAGCCTGGCTGACGTTGAAGCGAAGTATTCCCGAGCTCTCGAGGAGAAAATACTTCTGGAGCATGAACTTCTCGACAAAGCTAATCTCGAAGAGCAGTGCCAGCGGCTCAAAGACGAGCTGCGAGGTGAGTTTCACCTACGTCGTCTCAAAGTATTATCGCGCTAAAGTATTTCAGATGCGAATATTGAAGTTTCAGTCTTGAAGGATCAATTGGCTGCTCAAGTTAACTCTTCCCGAGAATCTATATCATCCCCGTCTTCAGGTTCCGTCATTCGCCGCGGCTCCTCCAGTGACGACCTCTTTAATACCCCACCTCCCGCTGATCTACAGCTATCTGAGCTGGACCGAAGCTCCGATAGCTTGTTATTCGACAACGAAGTCACGCCGAAGAAGCGAAGCGCATCCCGACAAGCAGGGCAATCTGTGCTATTGAATCGCGCTGGCTTCCAGCCCATGACTTCGAGCACTTCGACTCCTCCTCGGTCAACCGGGATACCCCGTTCGACATCGATACCGTCGCCATATTCGTCGTCACGGGCAGCAAGTAATCCATCACCCATAACACGCAAAGCTTCCAATGCCAGCACTACCTCAACAACTAGTACCACATCCAAGAGCAAAGGTGTTCAGATGGTGTCTGAAATGCGTGCTAGAGTTAGGACACTGGAGCAGAAGATACATTCTCGTGTGCCTCGACTCCGGATGGGAAGCGTCACGAACCGGCTAAGTGCCAATGCTCCAAATCCTACCAACAATGGTACCTCCTCATCTGGCCCTAGCAAATCTATCATAAGCAGAACTAGTTGGGAAAACCCATTGGGCCGGCGCAGCTCAGAATCTAGACGCAGCGTTGACATAGACGGCGAAAAGATGAAGAAAGACAGTCCAGGAGATTCGTCTGGATGGGTTCTCATTATGGAGGACTCACCTCCACCGCGCAGAGATATAAATAGGGAGCGACGACGACTATCCAGCCCCTCCCGATCTACATCTTTCCGTCCCCATGCATCTGCGTCATCTGCGTCGCCCGCTTCTCCCACGTTGAGGATGAATAAAGCTGCCTTGTCACAAAGTACGACAGCAGGTGGTATGAGGCGGCCACAATCAAGGCTGTCCATCGGCAGTTCAGCTACGACATCCAGTACTGTCCATACCCCGACCTCTCGTCCATCTACGCCCACTTTTCTTCCCATTCCAGCAGGAGGCGTGAATGGGCACTCTTCTGGACTGGGCCTCAAGCGCTCTACTGGCCCTGCTGGTCATCCGAAATTACAAACAAAGCGCTCTTCATTAGGATCGAGTACCTCTGCGATGCCGCCTCCTGCACCCCGAGATAAGTCACGCCCAGTCTCTAGCACCCCTGCGAGCTCCGGATCGAGGAACTCGACATATGAAACTGGGAAAGCCCTCCCTCAACTTCCTACCGGCGTCTCTGCAAATGTGACAGTTCGCCAAAGCAAGCTACCTTCATCTTCGACTTCATCTGCGCTGTCGCAGAGTCGAATTGGCCGCCCAAGTGGAGGTGGGGGTACTCGGCGACAGAGCGCTGAACGGCTTGATTCAGCGGAGGGAGCACTTCGAGCAAGCGACCTTCGCCCCAGAGCTGGCAGTGCCTCTGCGAAGTTTGGGAAAAGTGTATCTTAGGTCAGATTATCTCTTCGTATTCGTTGTTTGCTGATGGGCGCCTTGAATTTCCTCCCATATTTACTTATGTTGCCTTGTTTTCTCTCATCCTTTTAATTACTACCGGATATTTTGCGTTAGGCACTTGATCACCCTCACATTCGTTATGTATCGTAATACAGAGCCTTTACTTTTCTTTCATGGTGAAGTGCTGGAAGCGACAATATCCTATACATTTCCTTTCTGCCAATCGTAGAGGAAGTAGTACGAGTCGTCTAATGAGTGTATTTGATGGTAATATGAATATCATTATTATTTCCTTTCATTTTATTTAAGACGGGAAAGCATTTGAAATCAGAAATCCTTTGACTCGATCGTAGCACGTGCTTTATCTTTAATCGTTACCGTCATGTCCGGGTCGCAGCCAGAACGGTCACTGAACCACCAGGTCGTACTCGAAGAAGATGAGTACACAGCGGCCCTATCTCATATTATTGCACGGGATTTCTTTCCCTCACTCGCTCATCTTGATGCTACAAACGAATACTTGGACGCCCTCGACACACGCGACCCACATCTCATTACCGCATCTGTTCGGCGAATTGAAGAACTGAACGCCACTCCTGCGCCTACACGTCGCCGGCAGGTAGCACCAAATCAGACTCCATCTCAGACTCCGTACGGCTTTGGCAACGCTCCATTCGATACTCCCCTTCGCACGCCATCCAACTCTACTGTCCGTGGTGAACCGCCCCAGAAACGACCTCGTTACGACACCTCTGTCAGTTTGGATACATTCCAGGCTCGCTATACTTCCGAAGACAACTCTAGTTTTACCCAGATATTGGACAGTGAGAACCAGGCACGGAAAGAGAGATGGGGGTGGGCATGGGACGCTCAGAAAAGGGTGGAAGGGCATAAGCTCAGAGTAGAGGCGGCAAGGGAACAGATGCTGTTGGAGGGACCTTCAGAAAGTAGCTCAAGGCCTGGCGTTCGGGAGAAGGTGATGATTGAACCTGCGAAGCCTCCTGCAGGTTTAATAACCAACGGTGACGAGGATGAAGACAAGAAGACGTCAGATAAGAACGAGAAAAGGAAGGAATTGGCTTTACAGGAGTCTGCTGAAGGCCAGCAAGCTTCGGTTACCGATGTGATGGCTCCTAGGAAAGATACTCGCCCTGCCGGTGTCGATGGATGGAATTTTAAGGTGATAGTTGTTCCTGCTGCATTTACGCACCACTCACTCAGCTATTAGGCTCGAAATTCTTTAATGTTTCCACCGGACGCAGATGAATCGCCATATCATAAACCGGCCCAAGCCGAAATTAAATCCACAGAGGACCCTAAAGTTGTCGTTTACTCAAGCACTCGACTGCAAGATGACTCTTCGTCGGCGTCTAGGGGCCTATCTGCGCCACCAAGTCCTACTCGCAGTCGGATAGATGCCGCTATTAAAGGCACACCATGTACGCAAGCTTGAGCTCATTGAAATGAAACCCTTTCTGACATGAGTTTTTAGACCGTCCTCGTTCTCCAACCATTAATAATTTCTCGCTGGTACCTAATTTTCCTTCACCGACACCATCTGAGTTGGGACCAGCAGCGGTCAAAGAACTCATGACCTGGGGGACACTCAGCGCTACACCAAGAATCATATCCCAGAGTGATGATCCTGCAGATCTTCCACCTCCCACTACACCATTCCACCTTCCCGCTCCCTCAGCGAGAGAGCGAATATCTCAGAAGTTATCCAATGACGCTTCCAAAAGCCTTCGTGCCAAAGCTGGATTGCTAGGTCTTAGTCGAACGCCCGGTGGTCCTTCGCAAACTCCAATGGGTAAAAAGGGTACAATGCTGCCACCATCTTGGACGCCACGCAGGTCGGAAGCTGCAGGCAATTTGACACCAGCAGCAAAGCGACTATTGGACCGAACGACGATGGGAACGGTAGCATCAAGAAGGGCTGAGGCAATGGAAAAAGCGGCAGGATGGAGCGCCGGACAGAAAGACATAAGTAAAGTACGATGGACACCTACGCCAAACAGTGGAGTACGACGATAATGAATATTATTATATTTGTATCCGACCCAGTGTACAGCTAACTTTCTGATACACGCCGCCGTTTACTTTGAGGTTCCTGGCTGTTCTGTGATACATCCTCGCCGGTGGGTGGTTCGCGCTTCCTATCGTTTGCCAGGACTTCTTTGGCTGGTGGTGGTTTCGCGATAGGCGCTGGCTTGCCCTTCTTTTTGACAATGACACCCTTAAGACCCTTCTTGACGTCCTTCTTTGGAGCAGTTGCTTGTAAAGTGGGTGGAGCGGCCACGGGTTTGGTACTGATAGGCGGAGGATTAGATGCGCTCGTTCTTGCTGCTACAGCTCTGTCGCAAGCAAGATTATAGTTGGATTAATGGACTGAAAGGAGTGACGTACTCCTTGAAATTCTTCACTTCTTCTCCATCCAGTTGCTTTCGTTGTCTTTCCTCTTCCATTTCCTTTTCGCGTATGGAATCTAGAAACATTATCTCATCCTCCTCGAGGGCGCGGAATTGATTCGCTGATCATAGGCGTGTCAGGATAAACATCTGAATATACTGATAAGAGAGCGACCTAGTTTGGTCTTTTCCTCATATTCCTCTTGCTTTGCAATCTATGAGAGAACATGAACAGAGCGAAAGCAAAGAAATGGTCGTGGCGTACTTTATTGGCGGCGAGTTTCTAGGCATCACAACCAGGTCACCAAAGGGAGAGTCAATACGGACTTTGACTTAATAACAAGAAAGTACACACTTCAGCCAGACTGCGCCCGTCATATGAATCCTCGACTTGTTGCGGAGGCGGTTCCTGTCCCAGTCTCGGCCGTGTTAGACAGCGTTCCAGGTCGTGTGAGAGCAAGATACCTGGCATAAGCAGCCTTCCATTGTTCTTCACGCTTTGATTTCGCAGACTCGATATCGTCCTGAGAGACGAAACGCGAACCAATTACGCCAGAGGAAAGAGAGGGAATAGCTTCCTCCATGATGATGGAAGGTAACCAAGTTTGGTCAGTGCTTACTGATCGGTTGCTATTTAGGGCATTTTTACCCGGAGTAATCACGGACTTCACTTCAAACGTCGACCATCTGTGTTATGTTCAAATGAGTTCATCGCCAGCTCGTCCTCCGTCATCGTCGACGACGACGAGCATGAATAAACATACAAGCATTCGCAGTAATCGTCCCGTTCCCACCATCTCCACTGTCGTCACTGTTCCCCGTAATGCCGTTTTCGCTTTTCTCTGTGGTGCTCTACTGATTCGTCGTTGTCTAGCTTGGGCAAAAGACGAGCCTCCATCGCCAAAGGAGCAGACATCTATCTCTGACTTTCATTATGTTTCCGAATCTCGTCCCTCTGACATTGGTTCATTCCAATCTGTTCCTTCCCCGAGTCGGTGGTGGACGTTCACCCATCCTTGGCCGTCCCATTCTGGTGCTACAAGTTATCCAGGTGACCCCTCAAAGTCGGAGAAGAAGCCCCAAAATTCTTTCAAGGATCGTTCCATGGCATGGCTTCCGTCTTCTGCTGCCGCCTTTCGGGAGGGCTCGTCCTTTGTCCGCCGTGGTGAAAAAGGACCGGATTCACCAGAGCATACCCAGCGTCATCGCCGTGATTGGAATCTGTCAATCACTCTTCCTACCCCCGTTGCCAACCCGTTTACTCTCACCCATAACTGCTACTCCCGGATGGGAGACGCCTTGGACTGCGCGACCTACTGCCCAAGGACCATCGCGCCCTGAAGAAAGAGACGACGCCTATGGCTTTGAGGATGCAGAACGCGCTTCCTCGTCGACGAGTAGTCGGGATATCACCGTCTGGCAGCGTCGGAAAAAACGTTTCAGGGCATTCATTCTGTCCAATACTTATGTTCCTCTGGTATGTCATTTTCCCTTTTCTCAGTATCCTTGTAATCGTGTTTTGTTTACAGCTTTTTCGTTTCATCAATCTCACATTTACAACCATTGCTCTTGGTGTCGCTATAAGAGTACGACAACGAGAACGGGAATATGGCATCATGGGTGCTCTTGGAAGCTCCCCGTATGTTCTTATGATCGTCTTGCTTCTGCAATCACCGCTTACGATAGCCTTCAGCACCCTCGTTATAATTTTTGCACCGTTGACGCTAGTACACGTCTTGACAGCAGTATACGTACGTGTTTATCTTGGTATGCATTTTCCCAAGCGTCTTATGACCACCGCTAGCTCGAATACTTCGGCCGTCCCCTAGGTTTGTGGCGAACTTCAGGGAAACTGGCACATACACTATTAGAAGTGCTTTTTATATGTGCTTGGTCAGCTGCCCTCTCCCTCTGCTTCGACAATTTCTTCACTTCTCTAGTTCCATGTGCCTCGCCGTCCGCCACCTCCTGGTACAACGCACTTCCTCGTCCAGCTAGTAACCTTCCCACTTTTGAAGACAGCGTCGGCGATACCCTTTGCGACAGCCAACTGGCTTTAATATGCCTTGTAGGAGTCGGCCTTCTGATGTACTGCAGCAATTTGGTGATAAGCCTTTTCCGAATATTCGAAAAGGTCAAATATCACCCAACCGCCACAGGTTATTCATGACGCTTACGACGGTCCATATATCCCCATCGCTTTATGCGTCCTGTATTCAATCTGTATCCGTATGGCAGTTCATCTTCCTCCCCCTTTCTGTGTCTATTCGGTCGAGGTACCTTTTCTTCGCTATTTATCCTATTTAACAGTTGTATCATTTCTTCGACTACATTCCTTCCTTCTTTTCAATCACATTCACGCGGACCCCACATAGCAAAAAGAGTTCAGTCCCATCCGTCAATCTATCTACCATCATTCTCATCTAGTTTGTACTCATAGAAATACACTGTAAAGCAGTATGACTTGGCGATAAAGCACCACGGACCTGGCCGACGCGGGACATAATTATACTCTACCTATGTCTACATACAATGACTATTCTCCATCCGCAGTCTCTTCCAAGAGTATGTGTTCCCCATCAGTATTGTTCTTGTCCATTCCGACTATGAGGAAACCAAGGAAGACCATAATAGCTCCAACCACAACTTTGGCGCGTACCAAGTTGCCCAGGAATAGGTCCCCAATCACCGCGAGCGGGATCGTAAGACTGAGACCGATGGTAACAACCAACGGGGTGGTCTTTAGCATTGCAAGCACGTATAAGTAATCGCTTGACCAAGTAATTGCCATCTAAAACGACGTATAAGTAGCTATAGATCGAATTTAGGTTGACACGCACATTAATGAGTAAAATAGTGACTGCTCTGCTACTACTTGGCCATTCTAGGTTTTCCACACCCGCAACGTGGAGCAAGATTCCGATAGGCCAACAAGCAAGTATATTGAAAAGACCCACAAACCCAAAGAAGAGTTGCATGTCGATTCGAGACTCCGACTTTATTCTTACTTTGAGCAAAATGACATAAAGCGCATAAAACACGGCAGAGATGAGTGCCAAGGTGTCCCCCAGGATGGCATGTGGTGCGGTTTCGTCACTTGCAACAGATTGCGACGAATCCGAAACTGAAACAAGAAGCACTCCTGCAAAACTAGTATCTCTTCGTGATGAACAAACCTGATCCGAGGAAAGGAAGGAAAGCATACCTCGTTAGAACGGCGCAGACATTCTTAAAAGTAAGCGTCTCCACGTTAAACACCCGGCCGATACCCAAGGTGAAGAACCCTTGTTACTAATTAGATATCACTCAACGAAGAGGACAGGAAGGCGTACCGCTCATGCTGGATAAGATGGTTGCACTAGCGACGCTGGTATAATCTAGCGATGCATTAACAGCCCAATTCGCGATGAACCTGACATTCATCAGTCCCTTCCATGCAGAATTCAATCAAGGTGAAAAAAATACCAGAGTGAGCAGAACAAAGAAGCTAGTTTTGCCGTTTCTTGCGTCGTAAGAGGACGCATGTCCAGTGACGGCATTATTGCATCGAGGCTCGAATCAATAGCCTGTACGTCGTTCAAGATTCAAGCTGACAGAACAAAATTAAGTTTATGATAATACCTCAGAATCTGCCCCGGCTTCTCCGGGGAGTGACTCGTATCCCGGAGCTGACATAGAGTTTTAACGTAAATGAAGATAACATCAACTTGGGCATACCTGGGTGTATACTACGCTGCTTTGGATCCCGGTAGTAGCCCCATGCCCTGCCTGAACAGGAAGGGAAGGAGGTAAAGAGAAAACGAGCTCGTGTTGAGATATGTTACGCTGCGTAAGCTCGGTGATTAGCAAGTTGAGATGATTGCGAGACTAGATAGATGACTGACAGAAATGGCTTTTCATATCCGCCCTCGAACATATCCTAACCACAATTGTGAGGGAGGCTGCCACGAATACACGTAGTAGCAGTACCTGTGTAATGAAATTCGAAAATGTCCATAGCAAGACCACAACGAGGAGCAGCGCTATTCCTGTAGTATAATCCTTGTTGCTTAACGGACTCTTCTTTGAGATAAGCTTTCCCTGAGACCTCGACCGGCTCCTCGAATGGGCCAACAACTGGGGGGGTGGCAGCTGTTCCATCACCAGACAGTCAGCGTAATGGTGCAAGATCAGGTCAAGATTCGCTTACCGCGCACTCGAGCCGCCTTTCCTTTTCGGGACATCACCTCCTTGCAGAAATCTCTCATTTGCATTCAATGGTAAGGCATCTATTATTGCTGTGTGTTCCATTGTAACATCGCCTTCGTAGCCAAAAGATCACAGAAAACGAACGGTGGTGCACATGCCATCTGCCAGGCTCCAGGGACAGTGTACCTGCACTGGATAGCTCGGTACGCCAAACTGCTCCCCTTGACGATGGATCGAGCGTTTCATGGCCATTATGTTAGGTTACTTCAACGGGGCTACCTGAGTCTAAACTGAAAAAGAAAGATAAGCAGCAGTCGAAACACGAAACCTTTATGCAACGTCTGTGCATGCCTTGTTGCTCCAATGAATCTAACAAACATCGCTTGCATCCAGGCCTTGAACTATCACATCAGCCCTATTCAAAATCACACGCCAGGCGTCTAAAAAGAAAAGCCAAAGAGCAAGTTGCTAATGGTATGACAGAAATTCAGGACGCTCTTCCTTCACTGGATGAGGATGAGACCAACAATGATGCGGCGAAGAACACAGACGATCAACGTCCTCAAGAAAAGGCGCGAGGAGGTCAGATAGGCAAAGGAAAGGGTCCAACCCTTACCAGTGCTCAGCGGAAACGGGCATTGTACGTCCGTTGTCTGTCCAATTCTTTCTTAATTTAACAAGCCCTCAGGAAACTGGAGCAACTACGGCATCCCCTCATACTCACCAATTCCAAATTTGCCACGAACCCCTTCGAAACTATCCGAACACACGCTCAAAATACTCTGTTACAGCGTGCCGCGCCTTCTTGATATTGACCCTCGATACAGCGCCAGGTTCAATTCTACCTATTCGGGGTTCATACCTGCGCCCTACGCATAGCTTTCTCATCATGGATGCTGGGCAGGCCGAGGCGCAGAGGGTATATAGATGTGCTTGTTCCATACCGATTACATATTAACAAATGTATGGGGGTAACTGTAAAGAATTGTTAAGAAAAAAACAACGAGCCAGTGCATCGTAAGTGAGTGCAAAACTCAGTAAGAAGAACTTTAATCATCTCCTTCTTCACCTATACCGGCGCTCCATACCGTGCTTCCACTACCACTGCCTCCCGCGCTTCTTCTACTCCGTCGGCCACTCCGAGGCGATATCTCAGTGAACCCACTTCCAGATCCACGGGCAATCTCTGCGCTCAGCGATCGCTCATGAGCGTCCAAAGCAGCGATAGAGTTTTGTGCTTCAGCTTGCTCTAAGGCTTCTTGAGTTAGACCCGACCCAGTTCGAGTGTTGTCATTACTACCCAAAGAAGGGCTGGAGTTGAGAGACGAAGTTTCTGAATTGTCCGCGGTTGTAGACCGCGAATTAAACCACGAAAACCGTTTGGATGTAGTGGCGGTCGTGGAGGTGGAGTTAGGGGGGGACAGAGGGGTATGTGAGGGAGTCGGAGACGAGAAAGACTTCTGTATAGGCACAGGAGACTGAGGTTGAATACCCATCAGCTTCAAGGTAGCGTTCATCCTCTCCCTTTCTTTGCGGTCCTCCTCGTCTTCCTGAGTTTCTAATTTCCTGGCGCCTGTAACAGGGTTTGCACCAGGCGTAAGCGTTAAAGGTCGTAAATTTGCCTCGGGCTTCTTGTCCGGTTGATTAAAGATCGAGAAATTCTTCCAATCAAATGATAGCGACCGGCGTTGCACTTTAGGCATCGGCGGCGAAGAGAGCTTGGGTGTTGCGGGTATGGGGGGTGAATTAATGCGTGAAGCCTCGGAGTTCGATGATGAACGCCCGATGATGGCAGATTGAGGTCGTGGTTTGGATGCATTATTAGATTTAGGTACAGCTGTAGAGGGAGTGGGCGGCTCTTTGTCGTAATCCACAGCCAAGACGTGTTCAAAGCCTTCTTGGGAGATTATACGATCGATGATCTTGGAAGCATAAAGCGACAGCGCTTTATTAGCATCTTTGAGTACTTTGACCTCGGTGCGGAGAGCATCAAGGTCGTTGCTAGACCCGTCGTTGTCGTCCGACATGGAAACATTTCTGCTATCCGAATCTTTCTTCGGCCGCTTATTCTTGCTGTTCAAGACTGATCGGTCACGGTCGTCAATAGTGTTACCAGAAAGGATGTCCTTATTTTCAGCCCTCCCGAGCTCGGCCGCCAAATCAAGCCCTGGTCCGGTGATGGGAAGGTCCGCCTAATGACTCGCCCCGAGGACCGTTGCTCGAGGAATGGGATGCGGCGCGACTACGTCCATGCTTGGTGGATCTGCCATTGCGCGACGAAACAGAATCTGTATCCCGAGGTTCTAAGCTTCTCTCGAGCTCCTGCTCGAAAGTGACTTGGGAAATTTCCTCTTCGTCGACCCGCTCAAGAGTGCTCCTCCCGATACTACGAAGACTGCCGACATCTGTATCGTCGGCGTCATTCTCGTCGTCATCGTCTTGACCAGCACTGGCCATTTGCTTCATGACATCAAATTGCCCGCTGAGAGTCTTCTCTCTTAACAAGATCATGTAGCTCTCGTTTTCTTCTTGTAATTCGTGATTAACGCGCTTCAGATCAAGAAGCTGGGTCTGCAGGAGAACTAGCGTGCTCTGCAGGGAAGAATGGGACGTGGATAACGTGGACAGTTCTAACCGAAGAGATGTCATCTCCGCAGGCTCCTGTTCTGGATCATTCAGATCCTGCTTAGGTGTCTCAGGCCTGCGAGATGCGACGGGTTCCTCTTCGTAGTCAGTTTCTGCGTCGGATTCAATATCATGATGGGAAACAACAGGGGCAGGCTGTTTCCTGGCTTGCGACAAGGATTGAATACGTGATTTAAGGTGTTGTTCGTTGTCGTAGAAAGCTTGACGCTCAGCGTCGAACGTTGCTGTCTATAGTGGACGTCAGATGCGGAACAACAACGGCCGTGACAACGAACCTGTTCATTGTATCGCCTCTGGATGTCTCTCCTCTCCTTCTCTAATTCGCGTACTTGATCTCTAAGTTTCTCAGAAATGTCTATCCGCTGTGCCAGCTCTATTTCGGAGCGACTCTGGTCTGCATAGAGTTCATTGAGTCTAGCTTCGGCAGCATTTAATGCGGTCGTGAGTTGGTGATTCTCGGAGCTCAAGGTTGCTATGGTCTGCTCTTTGTCTTGAAGTTGGACGAGCAGCTGAAGAACAGAGTGTCAATGACATAGACACACGTCAGAGTTAGACCAGGATTGGTACCTGCTCCTTTTGCTCCGTTTCATGCTTGAGCGACTCTGAGAGGGACTCTCCCCTTCCATCGGAGACTGAAGAAGTCGATGGACCTTTGATAGACCCACGACGAGCAGGTGCTGGTTTCAAGTTGGACGAGACGCGAGGAGACACTGCCGAGCGTGCTGTGGCACCCCTGGCTATTGTAGGCGGTGGAGGCGGTGAAGGCGAGGAAGACGATGAAACGCGGCGAGTAGCAGCATGGGTAGCTCTAGAAGAAGCTGCAGTGGTCATGATAATGAAGACGGCGGCCTCAGGACGTAGGGTGACGACTTGAAGGCTGGCCAGGAACTGCATACGCCTGGGTGTCGTTGCTGAGGCAAAGGCTGATGCTGCCACGTGGTTCGACGCTGCCTCATCGCATCTCCGAACCCAGTAAGTAACTGCAAGTAATGGCATCTGCAATCCTCGACCAGGTTCCCTGCGAAACATTACAGGCGGCAAGTCCCACTTTATGCCCGTCATTCGTCGGTTAGCTAACTAGTACTAATTATTAGCTACTTTCCTCCATCCGATGTGACTGCAGTGAGCACTCTGTCAAATCATTCCATTCGTCGGTATTCATTCTTTCCCAAGCTCAATCATCTACTTTAGAATCCCTTTTCTCGCCTGGAGATGTCGTCGAGCTCCAAGGCCCATCAGGCTCTGGGAAATCACATTTCCTATGGTACATCATCATGCGATGTATACTACCAACCTTTCATGATGCAATTCGTCTCGATGGCTGGGCCAAGGCTGCGGTCTTGTTCGACACCGACAGTACATTCGACGTCTGTCGCTTTAGAACGATCCTATCATCTCACCTAGCCAAGCTTGGCATGCCCGCAGTTTCTATCGGCCCAGTGATCCAGGCAGCCATGTCCAATTTTCACATCTTTCGTCCGGGATCATCCATGCAACTTGCTGCGAGTCTCGCAAATCTTCCTTCATATCATGCGACCTCTCTATCTGCCTCCGAAATTGGCCTAGTGGCCGTAGATTCAATAAGCACTTTTTACTGGCCGGACCGTTTTGCCGTCGAACATCTTCGGTCTTCCCTGAAGCTGTCTGAACCTAGTTCGTCCATCTATCCCCTTCACAATATTGCTACCGTACTGGAACGGTTCCGCATTTCCCATAACCCTGTCACCATCTTAACCAATCGGGGTCTTCAACTTGGAATCATCGGCCACGCCTTCATCACCATTCTATAAACAACACTTGTATCCCTTCCCTTCGAATTTTACCACAGATGATAGACCCTCGATGGCAAAATTTTCATCGAATTCTCCTTTGATATCACCACTATCCCTGACTACACACATTACTTTTGCTCCCGCCCGACACCGTCAAACAGATCCACTCTCCACAGATCAAGCAAAAAGTTTTGCAGAAATCGAATGTATATGTCGCTTCATGGATAGGGACCAACGTCGTTTCAGAATCAGAGTCACATCAGAGGATGTATTGTTGATATAAATCCGTTGATGCTTTCAAGCAGCTTATCTCAGACCACTGATTCCATGACGTTGCTAAGCGATCCTCGCTTAGAACTCTAAATACGCTTGTCCGACACAGCTGACTCAATACCAGCCTGATACATTGTTGGCGGGCATCTTGATGAGCGTTCGCATCGTGAGAATCTATGTGATTAATGAACTTGGGTGAAAACTTCCATGGCTGTGTAAGAGGGCCACTGATGGTTAGCAAATTTGAATGAATCCTTTTGACTCACGCTGCCGTAGTATGTAGCGTTGCCTTTATCAGTATTACTAGCGATGCCTCGGCGTCCCCGCTGAGACAGATGAGAATCTAAATTGCCGTCAACCTTGACAGTGCTCTGTTATTTTCGTTCCTCGGATGTGTACTTGTCGAGATTCGTCCGCACTATCTCGAAACTCGATCGGGCCGTGGGTTTGATATGCAAAAAATAAAGAGTGATATTGATACAGTATACGTATTGCAGGCTGCGATGGATGGTGGTAAATAAATAACACTGCAGTGATAAAGAAGAAATTAGGGTACTTTAGATGTAAAACGTGCACTAGAAGTTATAAGATAATTATAAGTAGGTGTAAGGTTCAGGAAATGAATGGCAGTACGGCATGGTCTATCGCACAAGACCGTACACTTGATCGAGTTCTACTTTGTAACGAGTCTCGACTTCTTGACGTCTAATATTACCCTTGGTCGCCGTTCGGGGTAGTGTTTGCCGAGGTACGACGATAATCATATTCGGGGAGCTAATCCGCTCATGCAGGTATCGGCGAGAATGGAAGTGCCTCGTCTTGCGAATGATTTCTTTCTTCAGTCTGGAAGAGTCGATGTCACCAGCGGGTTCGACAAAAAGGACGGGTGATGGCCGACCGGTCCCGACCACAATACAGTCAGAGACAAGGCCTGCACAAGTAGCCCGAACATTGTCTTCGATGGCTCTGTAAGCAAAAGGAAACGTTAGAAATTAGGTTCGTTTCGGTGACTAAGGGAATGCTTACTTGGTGTCGCATCGTAAACTATTCTCCGACTTTATCCAGTCATCATCCCTACCACGGAAGACATACAAGCCGGGGGCAGCTTCTTGGAATAGATCTCCGGTGTGGAAGTGACCATCGGCGCTCCGGAGTGAAGGATGGGGGCAATCCCCGGATTCTGCCCGAATTATGAATTCCAGCATTCTTGCGGTGGACTGATGGCCGGCTTCATTTTGTTCAGGTTGGATAGGCACGAAACTGTACGACACCCCCTCAAGGTGGCGAAGAAGTGGTGCACTGGGATCGCATCCACCGACTGAGATGAGCGTTGCTCCGCACTCGGTGCTTCCAAACAGGTTCTAAAGATGGTGCTTTAGAACAAAGGACGTGAGGAAAGAACAATTGAACACTTACTCGGATGGGGAGACCATTGTGATAGGCCCATTCTTCTTCTTCTCTCGGCAGGGGCATACCCGTGTACAAAACTTCGTCAAGACCAGCGAGGAGTGACAAAAGCTTGGTGTCATGTCGAGAGGCACGAAGGTTCATGGCTGAGAAGGCACCAAACTGTTGCAGCCGGTTAAGATGACACCGATGGATCATGTCTACTAGCTCTTCAGGGGAGAAGGCTATCACTGTCGGCTGGATAACACATGAACCATGTTGTAGGGTACCAATTAACACTGAAATACGTGTCAGCAGATGTATGATGAATACTTGGAAGATGAACGCACTGAATGATTGGCCAATATGACACATGCTTCCCCTGAAAGATATATCGAATGAGACACAGCTCGTATCAGCTCAAGTTGAACAAACTCACATCCAAGTGGTGACGTCTTGGCGGTCTGGCCTGAATGGTTTGGATATCTGGCTAGACTTGTGAACGGTAGCGTTCATCCATCTGAACGTACAAGGAACAAGCTTCGGACTACCGGATGTGGATCCGCTAGTGTGGAACATCAAGGCGATATCATCAGGTGCGCAGTGGGGCAGGGTCGGCAATGGACCTGCCGTAATGGCTGCTTCGACAGTATTAAGGGCAAGATGTATAGGAAGGGAAGTATGGTTTTTCAAGACGTCTTGAAAGGAAGAATCGAAGATGAGAGCCTTGGCATTGGCGCGGTGGAGCAATTCAAAGATTACGTCTGGGTTGGGAAGGCGTAGACTGAACATCTGGGGGATGTAGCCCGCTCTTGAAATGCCGTATATGTGTAGGACGTCGATGTAAGTGAATCCACCGATCCTGGGTACAATGTTAGCAATTACGTATTAGATGTACGGGGTAGATAGGAAACTGACCACAACCCAATGACGGATCGCTGGGGAATCCCGTCGCGACCCAACGTCATGGACCAATGTCGAGCGAAGGATTCGACATCGAGAAGAAACTGACGATATGTGATGGACTGCCACTCGATAATGCGACTTGTAGTGGGGTCGACTCGAGGAGTGCGGAATACTGGGCGCGAGGAGAACCGCGATGCACTGGCTTCGAGGACAGAGAGATGAGTACTAGACATGGGAAGCCGGGTTAGACTGGAGATGAGGAATACGGTTGGATGAAATGTGCCGACCTTTATAACGTACGGGAAGATCTACAGCCAAAGCGAGGCTGACTCGGACACGGAACGCTGAGCCCAATTAGGTTCACGGACTCGGTTGTTAGGATAGGACAAGTTTGAATAGCCTCGCGATTTGAAACACAGGTACATGAGCTGAAAAAGGGTAACGCGCCCGGTGGAAAGTAAGCTCAGAGGGAGGTGACAGTGTCATTTGTAATGCAAGAACACCGGAAAGGGCGTCAAGGCGCAAGATCTGTATCGCGGCAGGTAAAAACACCGTGGAAGAGATCCAAGGAGGAACGACTCGGCAAAGGCGAAGTGAGCCAAGACCCATTTAGAGCAGGCACCCGCTGAAAAATAGGACGGAACAGAGACGCGTGGGTCCGAATGATACCAGATCATCAACTCATCAAGTAAGCATCAAGTGTTACAGTATAGAAACTGATCTGTGGATCAAAGGTCATCCATCGGTGTGCGTTCTCGACGGAACGAGTTGAACGCGTTCAAGTCACACACGTGACATCGCTCGCTCCGACACCGCCCTACTGTCATCATTCTTGCTAAAGCCAGGGTCAGACTCGATACATCCCGTTGATGTCGAATAATTTGTGAAGAAATTAACTGACTCACTCTGGTTTCCCACATGCTATGCAGGGGGTACATGGCAGTTCGAATTCTTCATTCCGTACTCTCTGTGATGGATGCTAACGGTTGCAAATCTTTGCGAGTAAATCTAGCGCAATCTGGCGGCGAACGCTCCGTTCCTGGACGAGAGGGCCGCGTGAAGCGTACCGGTCTTAGCGAGACTGCGACCTTCGAAAACGTTTTTTTTCAGGCCTTTTTGCTCCGATTGTGGGCTTTCTTACCCGTAAATCCGTAGTAGACCGTGTAAAGGCTGTGGTGCTTATTCGGACCGTTCGGCGCGACCGGTTGAGTATTCGTTGACCTGCGTTTGTTCGACATTTGTTCGAGGTGATTGGTGGGTCGTCGGGAAAGTTTTACCGTGGACCGTTCTGCGTTCGCGTCTCGCTGCGCAATGATACTTAGTAGAGAGCGTTGAGTGCCAGGGCTAGGAACGATTAATTCCATAATGACGATCAGGTCGCCCTGTTGACGGATCCATGTCAAAGGGCCATTTTGCTGTGCTCGACGTCTCTACGTTTATGATTGTTTCTGCGGCGTTATAGATAGCAAATGATAACTCGGACTTTGTGCCCGTCGAGGTGTGATCAAGAGAAACGTGGTCCGAGTCTGGACTGTCCTGGCACGTGATGAACGAAAAATTGAGCTGATTCCATCACCGATTCCAATGCAAAGGCCTTTCTCCTCTTCTTGTTGTAAGTGCAGAATGATTTTAAATCGAACAGTTCAGTTACATTTGCCTAGGAATGGTTCGAAAGCAGTTGGGCGGTGTCGGAGTCCATGCTCAAGAGGACAGGTCTTTTTCCGAGGCCAAATTTTGATCAGACGTATCATTTCTTAGCTGCGTCAAAACATCCCCGTCCTTGCCCCTCATGTCTTCGGTTCTTTCCGACTGCAGCCACTCTCCGTCGTGTAGAACGGGAATTCAACTCTGGCCCAGGTCTTTCGCAGTTCGCAGTACCCGTTCCCAGCCGATATTCGTCAAGCCTTACCCACAGTTCTGCTGCCGTATTGCTCTCTCATCTTATTTCCAACACTCCCACTACCGATGTCCTTGCCTGCAGAGTACGCCAGTCACCCCTTCTCGCCACTTTCTTCTCCCACTCAAAAGACATTCGCCTCCTTTCCGAACAAGTCGCCCGACATGCTCCTTGTCACGCACCGTCAGTAATTCATCTGGCCCTGGTTTTGGGTTCCCATTTGCATGTCAATGTATACGAATGCACTTCACACCATCTAGCCATGGAGAAGAAGTGGGACACTCTTCTCTCTGTTGTCCTCGCAGCCACCCAGCGCGTACGGGTGACTACGCGTCTGCTCAACTGGCGCGTGCGTGCATTGCTGCAAGTCAAGGACTACGCGTCTCTCGAACATGTCTTGGACGAATTCGTAAAGCACGCCGTAAAGCCCAACAGGAGGACTTACCACCTTGTCCTTTCCGGCTACCTTCAAAATGGCGACCTACTACGCTCCAAGGACATCCTTCACAAAATGGAGTCCGATGGAATCCGTCCCGATGCCTTCACTTACACTCTCCTCGCCATCTACTATCGCACGCTCGGTCCGAACTCTCAAGTTCAAGACGTCGCGGTTGCGTCTCTAGAGGACGTTCCCTTGGCTGCTGCAACCTCCATCCTCAATTATCTGTTACGCATGCGTATGGAGGCCAACGACACAGACGGCATCATCTCAGTACTCGCACAGTTCTCATATCATCATATTCTCCCTGTCATCAATGTTGTCACGAGAATGGACCCAACCGCAGAAAGCCCGTTCTTGTTGTCGTCCATAATGCCAGATGCGGCTACTTATGCGACGTCTATCAACTACATGGTGTCTCGTCGTGACATTACCGGGTGCAATGCATCTATTCCACGGAATGATATCTGTCGGTCTCCCCCCACGCTCAGAGACCATCATTGCCTTGCTTCATGTCTTAGTTCGCAGCGAATGATCATCCCACGGCGATACGCTTGGTGGCGGCCATGTGCAAACCCGAATCTGCGTCATTCTTTAAGGTCCTCATGATCTCTCCTTCGCGCGACCCATTACCTCTCGATCCTCAAGGGATTCAATTGAACGTCGGGATTTTCAATGCCCTTCTGAAAGGAATCCTTTGTTTGCATGGTTTGAATGGTGCTATCCCCATTCTCCAGATAATGTACATGCACCGGGTCCGTCCCAATTCCAGCACGCTCGAAATCTTAATTTCACATCTGGTCGCCGTCGAGCGCACGCCTCTTCATATGGTTTCACGTGTGATACAGACCTTCGTTACGAGTCATATTCATCCGAATCTGCGCCATCTGCACGTAATTTTCAGTTCCATTATTCGGCACGAACGTTATCTTCTATATGGCGTCGGTTGGAACAGAACAGCCGCTAGATTCTCCCCCAGCAGGTCTTATCAGGAGTTACCACTTCCGCAGGAAGACGTTCTTACTGGCATGGCTGAGGATTTTGATCCCGTGGCCGGCATTTCCCCTCCCCGGAATCCAGCATACGACAAGCACCTTCGTCCTTTCTTGGATTCTCTCGCCTCGAGGAATACCAGAAGCGACTCTGCGGCTCTTGCACTACGTCTAAAACGGGACGCCACCAGGCTGGAGTTTTCTAGCTCCCAGGCGGTCTTTGACACCTTGCTGCGAAGAGGATTCATGCCCAATGAATATCATTATAGCGCATTGATGGAAGGATATACGCGTTCCGGCGACCTTGAATCTGCGAAGAATCTTCTTGATTCGGCAATCAAGTCCGGCTTGAAGCCTAACGCACTCATGTTCACTATCCTCATTGTCGGGTACGCTCGGGAGGGGAACCCGGAGCAGTCAATGGAAGTGTTTACCCAGATGATCACTTCCGGTATACGTCCCGATGTTCCTTCCATAGATGCGGTTGCAAGCGCATTTTTCGCCGTTGGAGCCTACAAAGCGGCTAGACAAACTCTCATGCGCCTTTGGCATCATATCGAACCCTTCCCGACCCACTTACAGGAAGCTTCTTTGCGAGAGATAGCGGTAGAATTTCGACAACTGGAGAGGAGAAATATCCGTGGCAAGCTGCAGGAGGACGAGCTGCACCGGATATTGACGTCAATTAGACATATTCTTAATAGTCACTCAGCGGAATTCGTGCGGTCTATACATGAATGAAATGAATAGTTACTTAAATTTGATGCAACAATTGAATACAATAAAAGCATTATGCAAGGTCCTTAAGAGAACTTGGCGTCGAGAAGGCGAAGAGCATCGCGAACACCAGCTGCTTGAACTTCACGCACTCTTCGCTGTCCGCATCTCAACAATTCTTCTTCTGGTACCAACCGTGGCGGTGATGCCCGCCCCGAAATTCTGCGCTCGGCTCTCGTACCTCCATCCGCAGGCTGGGGAGATATTGAACGCTCCGGAGTGACAGATCCGGGGGCAGGAGATATGACCACACGAGGCCCTGTACACTTCGACCTTCTAGCAACTACGTCGGCGAGAAGACTGAGGTCGGAAAATGCAACATTAGGATGGGACTTCAACTGCTGCCATGCGTCATTCGTTGGGATAGTCTCCTGATCTGACTTGGCAGATCGTGGTTCCGGTCTACCCAATGCGTCATTCTGCGCACAAGGACAGTCAACGCAAGGCTCCTGCGAAGCTACCGACTGACTGATGGCAGCACAAAATGCCTTCCCAAAAGTGTCGCCGGCGCAAGCCAAGCAGTTGTCAGGATCACCTGAACAACTTGCAACGGTATCAGAATGGATGGGTGATTTTGGACGCAGAGGTGAGACGGGAAATATCTCTCCGACGTTCGTACTAAGACGTCTGCGGCGTAATGGAACGGCGGGTTGATAGGCAGGGAGATTATCCAGTATGGAGGGAACAGTCGGAGGAGGTGAGCCCACACGCAGAATTGGATCGGGGTCATCAAATCTCTCCAGTTTGAAGGGAGAGGATGGTGCCGTTGATTGGATCACGACCTCGCGGCAAACGCAAGGAGTATCTTCACTGCAAAAACCGCATCCGAACGGCGGGAATGGTGTATCAAACGGCGGCTTGGAAGCGGTCGAAAAGTCAATCAAGTTGGCTAGATTGGGAGTCGAGAACGAGGGGTCATGGTCGATAGGTGATTGAGGTGTCTCCGGCGCTTCATTAGACTCCGGCGACGACGCGGTAGATACATTATAAGAAGGAGGCGCCGGCGACTGTGAAGCCTGTGAATCTGAGATGACCCTGCCTTTCTTTCTCGACGACAGAGTGGATGAAGTGGACGCGGGAGATTCATCTCTCGGCCTCTTCTTATTATTTGCGAGTGCAGCATCGCGTTCCGACTCTGCCTTGGAAACTTTTTCTTGGAGAGCCTTGTTCTGCTTGCGCAGCATTTCATTTTCTTCCTTGAGACGTTTAGCGATGTTTTGAAGCGCTACGTTACGCTCTATTTCTCCCTGCTCATAAGACTGCACGCGAGCCTGCAATTCCGCGAGCTGAGACTGTTTTCTCTCTCGGAATGCACGCTGTGCAGCTCTATACGATAATAAGTATATACAAGAAAATTTGTGGCCGGAGAACATACCTGTTCTGAACGCGCCGACCTTTACCGTCTCCCTGGTAATAGTTCAGACGACGTGGCAAATACTGCAGCTACAAAGTACGACGTACATCCGGGTCGGTATTGGATGGTGCGGGATCCTTCTTTGGTTTACGACCAGGCTTGGGCTTGGGTTGAATGACCCATTCTTTAGAGGCTAAGCCGGAAGTCAGACGTTGTTAAGCGAGTATCTGCGAAGAGGTCCTACCTGTCGCCCACAAAGTAGGATTTGTCGAAGATACTGCAGCAGACATGCAGTAGAAAAATATTTACGACGATAAACAGCGAGCTATCTGGTGTCGAATATAGTCGAGCGCAAGATTTAGATGCGGAACATGGGGGAACGGAATCAGGCTACTCTTATCTGATAAGATCGTGGGTTATCTCGGCTATAGTCGGACTGTCGGACTCCGAATGATGCTATTCGGCTTTCGGACTTAATCATGTGCCGCTAAGAATACCCGAAAAATTCACAAGTTTCTAGAGTCACAGGGCGAAGGGAAAACGATGCACGAGTAGCAACGGCGAATGTATATCATCTCATACGAACGCACCATGTAATAAGTATAGAGAATTGAGGATACTTACATCTTAATCAACAACCTCCTCCTCTATCTGCTCAATCACTTCTTCCACCCAGACCTCAATTTCTTCCTTGTCACCATCGCCACCCTGGTCCGCTGAGTAATTTTGACCACGACTTTCAGCAAATTCTTTCTTGGACCTGGTTCGCCAGGCGTTCCATTCATCGACGAGTCTTTTCCGATGAGCAATCAATTCGGCGTTGACAGTAAGATGTTCTTTAGCGTCCTCATCGTCGAAGACACGACTGTACTCCCGCAAGTTCTTTCGTACCTGGCGTTGCTGTTCTTTCGTAAGCAAGGTACGAGGCCGAGGCCGCCAAATAAACTGCTTGAAACGATCTTGTATCTGCTTCATGAGTTCCTGTCCTTTGAAATCCCAAATCGCGTAGCCATTTTCGAGCTATTAGTGGAGTAATATCAGCCAATGGTCTAGAAACCAACCAGAAGCCCAGGACGTAAGCTCACCGTATGAGTCCAGGCGCTAGCGCTAGTAGCGAGATATCGACCGCTTGGGTCCCACTCAACATCCGTGACACCGTAATGGTCTGCGGTGCCTAACAGCTGAATGCCGCTGCCCCAATCATCCTTGGACGTCTGTCCTTCTCGTCGAGTGACATCTTCAACATTGAAATCTAGATCCCAAAATTCCAGCTCCGACTTCGAAGAGGACCCAACTGTTGCAAGCACGACATGTCGCCCACGTGGAGACCATCGTATAGCATTACTGGTTCGGTTGGGGAGCGTTCCTAGACTTTTGTTAGGAACTAACGATATCATCAAATACAGAGAGACGACTCACGCAACAGTTTGAAGTCATTTTTGCCGCGTTCGAGCTGGTAGAAACTGACATCTGTCTTGATTGTGATGCCAGGACCTGGATTTCCTAGATTCGGATCATTGCTGGACACGATAGCAAATCGTTCTCCTTTAGGTTCCCACGAGAAGTCGGTTACAGTGTCTGAGAAATGAAGTCACGGAACAAATGAGATGCCATCACAAATAGAAAGACAAAATTTTACCTTTCAGTTCCACGACTTCGACAGGGTAATCTTTTTCACGAACTCTGAAAATTTCGAGATTACAGAAGATAGATTTTTTCGTCTTGGTGTGACGGTCAACTTTTACACAGAGGAAGTCGCCTTGATTTTGCCAAAACAGTTTGCACTAAATGTTATCACGGTAAACCGTATGCAATAAATGGAGATGGAAAAATCGAACCTCTGTCACGTTGAACAAATTTTTTTGCCGTAAAATTGTGCGACTTGGGAAACTGAGTAGTGTAACACGAGCCGGCTGGTTGGCCACCTCTGGCGTCCAATACACCAACATATTTTCACGCGCCTTAGTCTTACCGTTCGTTGTGGCAGCAGCATCTTTATCTTTGTCCCCTTGAGGACACCATTCAAAGTCGACGACACCTTCGATTTTGAGACTCTTCTTTCCGTGCAAGAACATGCTTGGAAGTTCGTGGACACTAATCATCTGACTGGGAGTGACACGGGCGACAAACTTGTCATCAGGACTCCATTTCAGTACGGGCCATTGCATCTGCTTTTTGGCTTGGGGACTGTCCCCCTCCGTGACGGTGGAAAATGTTCGAAGAAGATAACCGGATTTGATGTCCCAGACAGCAAGATTATTTCCTTCATCGTCCGGAGAGAAATACTGTGGGCCTTGTGTAGCACCTTCGGGGACGACAATTGGCTCATTTGACCATGTAACAAGGTATTGTTCGCATGGCGAAAAGTCGATGAGTTTCACCAGTGGATGAGCGAAACGCTGCTGAGGCTTCCAGGAAGAACCTCCCCATAATCGTACACCTTGTCGATGGAGGGTCGAGATGTAGGTACCCAAGGGTGACCAGGCAACGTATAAGAAATCCTTCCAATCCTAAAGCACTGTCAGAAGCTACAAGACAAGAAGAACAGGAGGTCCTGACAGGTTTGTAAGCGAGTTCACACTGTGAGGGCTTTCCATGCCAATAGATCTCAACATCTTCGCCACGATAGGTGACGTACTGGTCGCGACCTTGTGGATCCGCCAACCATGCACGCAAGTGTTCCTTAGAACAAAGTATTAGAGGAATGGTGAATAAGATTCAATTGACTGATATTATTCACCCTGGGAATGTATTCCTCTGTTTCCGGTTCTACATAGGTTTCGTCCAGATCCGCGTATTTCTCGATGTCGGTGAATTTATTGACTTTGAACTGATGTTTGGCATCGAAAGGATGGTTATGCATCGTCGCGATGGCCATATTGGCATCTTCCGGGGAACGAAAGTCAATGAAGATATACCTAAAGACCGTTGTTAGAAGTCTTTTTTTTGCCGAATACAGCCAGACACACCCTTTGCCTTTTCCCATATTGTCATCCCATGGTACGAAGATATCATCCGGCTTTATTGGGCAGCCTTTCCTGGAGAATTCCTTGGAAATTTTTGCGAGCAATTTTTCCAATTTTGATTTGTCGATGACGGGGATACCGTCCACGACTACTGTATTGTCAAAGCTGTCATCGTATTCAACGCGGTATCTAATAGGACCCAGTCAGAACACGCTAAACCTTCTGAAAATGAAAGCTCATACTTTGCTTCAATGTCGGAGCAGTCAATGTCGTCGACATTGTCAACGATTCCTGGCATTTTGAGGTGGTTGTCGAGCGTCCTGAATCCTGATTTGACAAGCAAAAAGTGGTTGTTTGTGCACGTTTGAGCCCAAGGGTCGGCTGTCAGTTTCCATTTTGAAGTCAGAAAACGACGACCATCGTTCCTTTGGATGTCGATTTACCGCGTTGGACGCGCTCTGCAACGGCCTCTTTGTTCTGCCTGCATTCTTTCTCGATTTCATCGCCTGTATGCCACTGCCGCAGTGCAGCCTGCCCCGGCAACCGCCAGTAACGACCACGCCGAATCTTCATCCGGGCCTTCACCGCCAAAGGCTTCAAAACGAAAATCCACCAAGAAAAAGAAACAGGATGCACCTCCTCGAAAGACCGTGTTGGAAGAGAGTAGGGTGCATTCCCATCTCGCATCCCTGCAGGCTACAAAGGGTGTCTTGACCCTCGATGAGCTTGAGCGACACAAGCCTTCTGGTCTCGCGCATCCACAGTCTCCACAATACGAAGAACAGTATTCAGAACTTCACAACCTTTTACTGCGCTCTTTCAACAGCAAACAACTCATCCAGTTTATACGCCTTTCTGGCTCCAACTTACCGCTGTCACGCGACAAAAACTCGTTGGCTACGATAATCCTTGAGGAAGTCTGGAATCTACCATCTCTTTCCCAGATAAAGAAGGACAAAAAGGAGCGTACTGAAATGGGCTCTCAAAGTATGTCTTTTGCTCCGGACCTTTGCACATATTATCATTTCATTTTTAGCATATCCACTGGATCGACGCCAATCATTTTTAATCCTTGGGAAAGGTCCATTTCCTCCAGTATATCCTTGTATACGTGACTCACGTTACATAGATGGAGTCGATCTCCTTGCCCTGTCCACCAAATACAAAGTCCAGATGTCGTTTTCATCCAATCCATTGTCCTTAAAAGTGTCAGGTTTAAGAGTGCACCTGAATCAATTGAGTGAACATATACTGTGTTTCAAGGAGGTACCGCCAACTTTTTCTTTTGATCTATCAGATGCTAATGTGAATGTGCGCAAGAGTATACGTGACGAAATCTATCAGCTTCCGACGAAATTACCCATCCGAGCCGACCTGTTGCAACGCGTGTCACGCTTGGCAGGAGCTTTCACGGAGAATCTCGAAAATGGGACGGTCAGTGATCACAGCCTCCATTAACGGTGAGGCCGAATTGAACCGAAGGACGCAGATACGGATAAGCTACAAAGTAGATCAACCTCAAGCATTGGTCCATGCGAAGCGGTTAGCTACGCGGGCTTCGTGTGAGGCTAGTATCATCCATTCTTGACTGCGCCTTGTTACTAAAAATCGACTTATTAGTCCCTGTCAAATCCTGAACGAGATATGTTGGTACATATACCGCCTGGAATACCAAGTTCCACCCCAGTCCCCCTCTCAATGTTTCCTCATACGTATTCCCTGTATCCTTTCTTGTCACCTCGTTCTGTACCGTGGACTTCAAACGGCGGCGGATCATTCCGAATACGACGAGTTGGCGAATGGCTTGGCATTAGTTCTAGGGAAGATTTACTAAAATCTGGAGGGCTAGCTATGGGCCGAGGAACTATTTTGACAAGGGAAGCGTACGTCACTTTGCTTGTTTTTTTCTCCCTTCAGATAACTTACATGTAGCAGGGAAAAAGAGGATATCAGACAAATGCTCAAGAATGTGGTCGGCGTCGATGAAACCAAAATCGTGACAGCTTCGTGAGTTTTGCTTTACTCTATCAGATGATACTAAAGGTGACCCCCTCAGCTTTGGGCATATACTCCTGAACACTCCTCTTTCAACGAAGACGACACTTGTACCTCCCCTGAAAGGAAATTGGCCTTTAGCGGACATTCTCAAGTGGATGAAAGAGTACACCATTCCCAGCACATTCTCAACCAGGTTTGCCCATGTATCAAACTCTGTTCGCTTGTACAGTTAACGATTTTTGCAGCGTACCAGCGGCAGTACTTGAGTTGACGCCCTCTAAACAACGCACATTACACCGTCTTATTTACCGACAAGTGTCTCCATCTGATCCACGAGAAAATCAGAGCTCCGCAAAAACAATTAGATTTGAGATGGCGTTAAATGCCCCACGGGAGGAGAGTCCAAACGGAAGGTCAGTACATAACGCGTTGGAGCAATGACATGAATTATAATTCGGGTTCAAGTTCTTTCTCACCTTCGGCCTCTATTGGATCTGAGCAGTCCTTTGATTTGATGTTACCCGACCGGTGGGCGGTTTTAAATGGCGTTGTTTACATGACTAACATCGCCTCACTGATGCAGTCCGACGGATGTCCAATTTTCTGTATCAGACACGAGTAGTCTGACCATGAGTGAATGGCCTTCGGAACTGAAGGGATATTTCAATGCACTGCAATCTTTGTTCGTACATGTTTTGTCGTATTCGTTCTGCCACTGATCTTGTTACAGTATTCTGGGTTCCGATGATGGCGAACCTCAGCCAGAGACACCACTGACGCTTCGTCATGGGGACGAAACATACGTTCTTAACTTCAGTTCCAGTGTACGACAACACATCGATACTATCCCGGGGGCTGATTTCCAGTCCGATTTTATGAGTGAAAATGAGTTGGATCTCGAAAGCGATCAGAAATCTAGTGTGTGCAAGGTAATTGAACAGCCCTTTGATCCAGGGTATCTCTTATACTGATATCTATTAAGGTCGTCTGCCAAAGTGTGTTTAATGATGCCAATTGGAGGTCGTTTATGAAGACCTGCGACTATCTCTCGACCCTCTCTTCTCGTGTCAACCCTCCTACTTCGCTATTAGAAGAGTCAGTTGGAGATCTCGAGACGGCAAGATTTTGATTATATGTATAATATTCTAATAGACGCCCCACACATCAACGGATACACAAATCGTAAGAGTATTATTGACAAACAAGATGGGTCTAAGTGCGTTTCCGCTTTTTGTTGGCCTTCTCAATACGCTTCTTTGCTCGGACCTATAGGGAGAGCATTCAGTACGTCTCCTGACGACAAAGCGCTTAATTACCTCTTTCTTCATTCTAGAGTCCACCATAGTATATCGGCCCTTGACGCCTTTTGGTCGTCCTTTGACTCCTTTGTGGTCACCTTTGGCGACGACAACTTTCACCTCCTTCTTGGCTTTCTTTCCGGAAGACATCCCTTTCCGCATGAGCTTCTCAATTTGTTGCGCCTTCTCTCTCTCTGTCATATCAGCGGTGTCGTTAACACCCTCAGCCTTTTTCATCGCTTTCTCTAGTCTCTGTGCCGCTCTAAATTTCTTTCGACCTTTAGCTTCGGCTATCTTCTTGATAGGACGAGCATCCAGAGCCCGTTGTTTGGCCCGAAGAGCAGCGACGGCTTCCTTTGTGACTGGCAAATTTGGTTTGTAGTGTTTTGATTCATCGTCTAAAAACCACGATGGAAGTCCATCCCTGGAGTTGAGGGAGTAACGATTAAAACCGTCATTGATCAGTTGTGTCCGTGTCTTTTCGCGGTTGACCAACTGCTGAGCAAGGGTGACAGCTTCGGGTGTTACCAGTCCCAGCGCTGAAACTCTGTTAGAAAAGAAGCATACCAAGAAAAATGTCTCCAAGCTAACCTTTAATTTTAGCCTGCTTCGCCTCGTCCTCATTTTCGCCTTCAACATCCCACATGTCGACATCATCGTTTTCCTGTGCAGGAACGATTTCAAAGTCATCATCCTCGTCTTCGTCCTCATCGTCATGTTGTGATTCTGACATCTAAAAACAATGATATTCCAGACCGGTGCTGAAAGAGCATTTAAAACATACCTCGAAGGCCTCCTCAACACCATCAGATTCATCTCCATCAGAAATATCGTCTAGGTCGTCCATGTTTGCGAACACGTCTCGGCTGAACCAAACACTGGTCGCTGGATTACTGGGCTCCTGCAGCTTCGTAATTAAACGGGTCTTTTTGGAACCGTCAGGAGCATTATCAGTGCGCCGGCGCTTCTTTGAGGGAGCGTCGTCGATATCACTCTCGTCATCAGAGCTCTCATCGTCATCGTCGTCCTTGGCCTGCTGCAGCATATCGTAACCACCGGTTTCACTTCCTGATTCTTCATCACTATTTTCGTCAGGACCCTTTGATTCCTCCCCATTCTTCCCTATGTGTGTTCTTCTCCCTCGCTTCCTTGACTTTGAATTTTGCATCGCGTTCACGGAGATGATCCCGGTAAGCATCGTACATTCCGTCCAACTCCAACTCCAAGCCTTGCAGTTTTCTCTCCCTCTCCTCATCGGAATCTAAGGCGTCGGGCTCATCGCCACTATTCTGTCCAGCGTCACTGTCGTTATCATCACTTCCTTCACCATTAGCAAATTTCGTAAGATACCCTCGCCGTCGGAGATTTTCAGTGGTTTCCAAATCGAAGACATCCTCTTGGCCAACGCCAAGAGAGGCGTCTTGTTGGTCCAAACCAATGTCTAGAGGAGCAGTCATTTGAAGCTGCATCCGTTGTAGAGTTCGAGTGCGTATTTCATTGGCTCGCCTTCGCTCGCGCTTGCTTCGTGCGGCAGCCTCTGCGTTGAGCCGCTCTAACTGTAGTGTATGATTAGTGCCATGTTATTATCACATAATGTATCAACTTGCCTCGTCCTGGATTTGCTGTTCTTCATCGACCTCCTCTGTTACTTCAACGGCTTCTGTTATCTCCTCGGTATCCTTAGTCCTTACGTCTATACCAAGCTACTGAAACATGAGGCAAAGAAAAATCAAGCTCAAGCAAGGCAACTCACTTCTTCTCGCAGAGCTGATCTCCATTTTAACAAAGCCTTGAAGTCACCCTTGCCTAAAACCTTGAGGTCATCCAGATTCACTTTGACATCCGCGGTAGTAATGGGCAAGTCCAACCACCTAGGAAGAGAGGTCAATATCACGTTGCCATAACGGAAGCGGAACTTACGTTTTCTCTTCCTCAGTATCGAATATAATTTTGTTTACGGATCCGAGTACGGAAATAGGATCTGTACTGTTCACGAATTCCGAGACAGGACATGCTTTGAACAACGTATAATCTCCGTCAGCATAACCATCTCGTTTCCGTCGCTTCTTTTCCGGTTGGAAGACATTGGCTTGGGCATGGCTATTGATAACGCCCTTGTCAACACCTTCGGATACCGATGCAGCTAGGTCCTTGAAGACGTGTTTGGGGTCAAGGAATTTGGGGTCGATGTGTTTAGGTGCATAAAAATCCCTGCATACGACGAAAATTTCTGCTGAAACGTTCCTTGCACGTCCTTTCAACTGCATGTACAATTGTGATAATGGCTGCAACGCACCTGGATGAAGGAGGTTTCGTCGCTTCAACTTTTCCAAACAACTGATTGAACACCCAAATGAGGTTGTTGTAGTCCGCACTGCGGAAAACCTTGGTCACAAACGTTCCACCTTTTATCAAGAATTCCACAGCTAGTTTCAAACTCATTAGGACGAGTTCAGATTGACTGTAGGCATCTTGAATCCACGCAGTTCCGACATTGGGGGCACCATCATGGAGAACGACATCGGCTTTCCAGTCCTTCAGCTCTCCTCGAAGGAGGTTTCGACATTGAGGTGTAGTGATATCCGAAGCAAATGTCACCACTCGGGGAATTGGCTTGATTGGCACAAGGTCGACACCTGGATTCAAGTTAGGCGTCGTCAGTTGAGCAGATGTATTTAAGATACTCGCCAACAATAACGCTATTAATGGGCATATATTTACTAGCAACTTGAAGCCATCCTCCAGGTGCAGCGCAGAGATCGATACAACATCTTGCTGACTCTAGAAAGGCGTATTTTTTGTTGAGTTGAATAAGTTTGAACGCCGAACGTGCTCGGTATCCCTGCTCCCTTTGGAAGATACTTGAGGATACGATAACAAGTGGAAAGAAAATGCTTACTTTGCAAGTTTGTAGTATTTGTCCAAGCGACCCTTGCCCGTTTTCTTTTGGGCCTTCCCCATGGTGCGAAGAGTAAGTGGACAAGAAAAAAGATGTCCCTCGGCCCGGTGACTCCGGCGGCAAACACGGCACAATAAGCCAGTAAGTTTGCAACATAACTTTCTTCTGCTTCCAAGCCCTGTCGCATGTCACAATCAGAACCACTATTGCCAAGGCGCAATATGAGAACTTTTCCTGGTCCCGGACTGTTGTGGAGGACTGGTGCTATCTTCGGTCAGTTTCTTTTATTCTCTACGATTCTGTGTTGAAGGACGAGTTCGGACTGACATGTAATGCCGTCTAGTTACGGCGGGCGTCATTGCTGGCGCTTTCGGGGCGCATAGCTTGCGGGGTAGACCCGGTATGACTCCCGACAAGATTGCTGCTTTCAAGACTGCGTCCGAATATGCTGTGAGTTGCACTGTTCACTGCCGGTTGCATAGAAAGCGCTCGTAACCTCTCACTCCAGGTTTTCAACGGCCTCGCATTGCTACTGGTGTCTATGCATCCTCGATTTGCATTCCATCCCTTTGCTGGACCTGCAATCGCTGCAGGAGGGCTTTTGTTTTCAGGATCAATATTCGCACTGACCCTGAACAGCAAATTGAAGCCTTTGGGTCCCGTAACGCCACTAGGCGGAGTTTGCCTCATTGCAGGGTAAGTCATTGTATTGAATATACGCGCCATTCTGGTCCTAATGAGGAGAGTACAGATATCTCTCTCTTGCCATTTGATAAATCTCATAAACTGGTCCGTGTTGACTGCGTAGCATATTCATACAGCTTTATTTTTTGGTTGGCTCGACAGTCCGTGTAAGTCAAGCATCGTGCAAAGATCACGGGAATGCACCTGGAGAAATTGCGTGTGTTGACCTCTACTTAGTGACTCAGACTTGTGCATTTTCATTGATCATGACACAATACTTTTATGAAAGCCAAAGAAAGCAAAGTAGGCACAGCAAATCAAGACAAAGTATTAAAGTGTACTACCCAGACTTTCAGAAAGTCGTTTCGTCATACTTATTCTTTTACAGAAATCCTGCAACGTGTAATTTAAATTTCGAAGCGCGTGAAGTGATCACATGACTTACGCGTCGTGAAACTCCGCTGTCACTTGTCACAGTACACTGCTGTAAACAACGAAATTTGCACCTTGACCTCCACCTTCCTCCCCCTCTCTTCACTTTTTGGATACTGCAGCTCGCGCTCCCGCTCTTTTCTCGTCATTCAGCTATTCCAGCCCTCGCCTCTCAGAGGGCAGTGTCCTTTATAGTATCTTAGGTACGCGTCTTACCCTGCTGTCCTGGCAACTATGTGGCCTCATTAAGGATCTTCTTGCAGCCAGTATGGATTCAGTGTCCACCACACAAACTACCGCAGTGGAGGCCCGTCCTTCTTTCGTGCCATCTCTGTCATTTTCAGGGTCTTCGTCGACCGCGTCAGTCTCAAGACCATTAAAACGGCACTTAACATCAGACCTCGACTTCCTCGCTCCTGCAGCGGCAACCTTCAAACCACACCCTTACTCTCCAGCCAATCTGACAAATTCTAATCTTATTGGCTCTCGCAATCGGTACTTACACAGTACGCGTCAGCAAAACCGCGCCTCCGCTACTTCGCCCCCTCTCACTCTTGATGTCTCCGAGAAAGATCCTGATGCCGTATTCATTCGCCCGCCTTTTGACTCCTTCCCAGGTGCAGATACGTTTCCGGAAGGCCTCACTTACACTTTGATGGCTGACCATCCCGACTGGTTCCTTGACCCCAAAGACTACCTGCCTCTAGAGGGACCCGCTTTCAAACCAGACGCTATTCCTTACCCTCCATACTTGGAGCCACCTCGAGGGTGGTGTCCAGCCAAGAAGAGAGACCTGAAGGATAAAGGACCTGATGGTTGGGCTGAAGGCGAAGAGCCGCGTCTTCGTTGCACTTTCTGCAGGCGACACTATGCTGGTGTAAACGCCAAGAGTATGTGGAGGAGGCACGTTTTTGAAAAGCACAAAGTCGCCATGTCAAATCGTCGTGAAGGGTGTGAGCGTCCCCGTGGACGAGGCTCTACTAGTAGGTTTCTAGCACCACTTTTTTCCTGGTATCTCATTGCAGTTTATAGAGGAAAACAGGCAACCAGGAACCCTTAAAGAAAAAACCCTCGATAACGTTATTGGCATGGAAGTTGCCCCTCAGACAAGTACGCGCAATACTACACATAAGTCTAAATTCCATTCTCTGCCGCCTGTGTTGCGCAGCCAGAAAGACGCGCCGATTCTCTCATCAGCTGATAATGCCACTACCTCACGGCCCTCTCGTTCACCACCGTCGACGCCTCCCCCACTGCCGTCGTCTGATGCGTTGGAAACAACTTGTTTATCGCCTTGTCCCGCACCTTATCCGTCGTCTCCTTATGATCCCTCCTTGACACCCTCATTCCGTCATTGCTCTCCTAGCCCGCCCTCTGAGCACCCTTGGAGATATCCCAGTCCTAGCCATCCTCTGTATTCACGACAGTGCGAAATATCCCTGAGCGATCTACGCTCTCCAATTGCCAAGAAAGGCATCCAGAATGGTGCCAGTCCTAAGACTGGTACACCGGAAGCATCACTGCGTAAATTTGGTCCCCTTGTAGCTCAGGCTTTGGACTCTGGTCCTTCTCTGCCGCTATCTTCCCCTTCCTCTCTGAAGGGGCTAAATTCGCCATTGACTGGTTCGGCGAGGCCCTGGCGCCCCCCGTTCCAATCAAATTCTCCCCTTGCATTGAGCACCCACCTGACACAGCACCACAACTTAACCATCTCCGCAGAGGACTGGTTTCCAAGGTTCGAAGACTCGCTGATATCAACAATTGAGTCGCCAGCAGAAACATCAATCGAGTTCACTGGCGAAAGCCCAATATTAAGAAGTCGAACACTTCCCCAACATGCAGGAATAGGTTTGTTGGACCCTTTCACATTTCTCAGCGATCCTTCGCATGGAGAGGATGATGATGAAGCCGAAGTGGAGGAGGCGCTCATCGCGGCCAGTCAGTCCCCGGCGGAAAACAACTCCAGGGACCCATCTCCGCCTTTCAAAAGAAGAAAGCTTGTTGATGTTTTTGGATGAAGGTAGTTGGTTTCCCGAACCTCTTTTGTTTTGATCTTCTGCTATCCATGTTATCCCGCGTCTACTCTAATATCTCTCAAATATTGTTCCTTTTCTGTTGTCGTTTTCCATGTCTTTCAGCCTATTTATTACCTTTGATCTGTTGCCAGTGCCATGGTACTGCAGGCTGTCCATATGCATGAACCATTACTTGTACGTACTTTTCTGCGTCTAGCTGTACCGCTATCATGTAACTATACTGTAATCATGGAATTGTCTGTAAGATAGAACAACACTACAATGAGCGGGTGAAATGCTAAACCGACAGGGTAACTGTGTCAGCTTGCACGAATCTTCAAGCTTCGTGCTTCAACTTTCAAGTCTGAAGAGCGGACGCGTCGACCAATAGAGTGCGGCGGCAGCATCAAAGCTGTATTAACGCCGTCGCATGCCGAACCATCGCACACCACCATGACTCTATCAACGCAACCGTTGTCATGCAAACATTTCGCTGAGACCGATGAGCCGGAATGATTGCCCATTTCGTTATCAATCTCCACCATCTGTTCGCTCCTTGTAAGGCGCAGAGGAGGGGTTTTCAAGGGCACTTTTTGCCCGTTTTCTATCACACGGACCTTTCTTTTACTGCGAGAGATCGTAGCTGCTGGTCCTGGCTGCCATTCCTTTCGCCTTTTCCTTTCGTTTCTTCTGGCTTGAGGCCTCGGGCTAGGCTTGTTTCCAAAAACCCTTCGTCCAAGCTGGAATTTATCAAACTCTTCGACCTTCTTTTTTCGGCGACCACTTGATTGTGGTTAAGCATTTCTTCTTTACATTGTTAACTTCTATAATCCTAGCGGCGTTGCGGATCTGTACACCTTCTCAGCACGCTCAACGGATCAGGATGCCAACAACGATTGTTGCATCTTTGTCTCTGAGCGATGACACCGCAGTAAGTTGTGCCTTCCTAGGTTACGGTGCCGCGCTCAGCCAACTTGGATTTCTTATAGGTGGAGTCAGTTTTAGCAGACATTCCATTCTTCTGCGTAGGAATTCTGGCGTTTGGTATTTCGACTTTCTTTCTCGTAATGAAGCAAGTGAATTTGTAGGTTCTCAGAATATCACATGTATCATTTACTCACGCTTGATTCTAATTAGACCTTCACTGTACCTTTATCTGTCGGCTCTGTCGGCCTTTGCAGCTTCTATCTTTGATTTAAGTCAACTTCTCGCGAGGGGCAGTTATAACGTCGTCCGAGGCTATGATGCAGACTCGGTTCGAGGTCTTATCAATACCAGAGAAGTCAGTCTCGCACTGTCAATTGGCCTTCGTTTCATATTCTTTTGGACATTCGTCGCTGAACGTCCTCGGGGTGAACCGCCCCCCATTCCTCAAGAAGATCGCAAGACCAAATATGAACCTCGATATCACGCCCACAGCGCCAGTTGGCAGCGTTGGGGATATCTTGGTTTCATTCTCAAGTGGGGCCTTTTGGCACTCACGGTGGCCATCCCTACCATGCAGATCATCTGGAGGATAGCTCAGCGTCAATTTGGGCTGATATACACCGTCGAATCCACCATGGAGATCGTGGCCTCCTCGTTATTCATTCTCAAACTTTTCCTCAACATCTTTCTCTCCCCTCTCAGTCCATGGTGGCTACGGTTTCTCTCTTACCTGGGTCCCATTGCCGCTCTGTTGATCAGTCTCGGGATAGGTATCGGACAATTAGTACTTTGTGCGTTCTCTATTCAGTACTAGTCTAGTATCGTTACTTATCACGTTTGTAGTCGCTTTCTCGGAAACCACTCTTGGTCGATTTCTCCAAGCTATAGAGTTATACATCTTAATTGTATTCCTCCTAATGGACGCTTTCTACATAACGCCAGAAATGCGCCGATATCAAGTACGGAAGGCACAGGTCTCCTCATTCAATGGTCTGGGTGGATTCAGAAGCTCTGAGAGTCTACCCAGGCAGACTCTCAGCGCTGAGACGATTGATCATAATGACATCCGTGAATCTACACGGACTACCAGAGAGTCAGTCGTTTTATCGGGACCTAGTTCCAGCGCGCATGCCCCCTTGTTTTTGTGGGATAGGAACGACCCAGAGCTAGGTGGTTCTTCTGGCCGGCGACACAGTTCCGCCAAGGAGATGGTCTATCCCACTTCTGATTCGCGGACGAGCCCGCAGTCGCCACAAATGCAGTCAGGTACCGAAGATGCGCCACTTCCCCTGCCCGTGCCTCTCGAAGAGCTCACTCCGACAAATAAAAGCGACTTGCCTCCTCTGCGACCCAAGACCGGTGTCTCTTTCTCTTCGTATTATCCGGAAGATCACAGTTCATCTTTACCCACCCCAAAACCCAATTTCGTTTCGGAAGTCTCTGGCTCTGGCCCTGATTCCCCGATATATGGGCTGAATGGTATCATTAGGGCTATTGGAGACAACTCGCCGACCGGAAACAAAAGTGAATCGCTGAATTCTCGCAGCTCAACATCTTTCGACGAACTCCTACGTCAGCAAAGCGAGCTCGATCAAAGTATTGCTGCGCTTCGTCTGTTCTCTCCCGAGGCCTCAACCGCAACCTTTTTGGATGCAAAGGATGTGGCTGCCCCAGACGCGCCAGCCAAATCGACATCGATGGCTCCCACAGCGAGCACGGGTACCAATTCATATATCAAGGTGGATTCTTCTTCAGTACCAAGCGAATTTTCCTTGAGCATCTTTCCTGAACCTCCAACGAATGGCTCTGGCCTTCCCGACACTCCTGTTGCTTCAATTGCGGGGCGGAACATGATAATTCCGCCGTCGCCTACTGTCGATGAAGTCCCTTCAATGCCTACTTCGCCTAATGGACTAAGTACCGGACGATTTGGTTCAGGTGGAACTCAATATGATGTAACGTCTTTCATTGGTGGTGAGTTTCAATCCTATAGCACTCGATTTATCCGTATCTAAAGACTTTTTTAGGCTTGACACATCCGTCAGATAGCCAGCAGCCCTCGCTTATCTTCAAAGGGACAGACTTGAGCGATGTTGAATCAATGGATGAAAGTCCTACTATAGTCACAGGGACAAACAGGTCTGCGCGACCACTGCTGCTGAGCTCAACGATGCCGTCGTTGGCCTCTCTACCTTCAAGGGAGAATTCTTCCTCACTTGACCCAGTATCCCCGCGGCAAAACGCGGCACTACGACCGTTTCTATTGGGAAATGTCACCTCAGCTCCAGCGACATCGTCACCACTCTCAAGTACAGTGCTTACTACTCCATATGTTTCGCGAAATCCGCCCATTGGGCCACGTAGGCCAATACCTATATTGGGGCGGTCTGCCGGTTACCGGCTCTTAATCAGTGGTCCCAAACCAACGGAAAGAGTGGAAGAGCCGGACGCATATGAACGACCGCGACAGCCACCACCCATTCTCTCGGAGCCGTCGGGTAGTACAGAAAGATGACAACATCAGATTTTTTGCGGGTCGTAGAAACTGATAAATTAGCACAAATTTGTATTTGTATTTTTCTGTATTTTGCGTAGTATTTTAGGGCTTCACTATGACGTCACGCGGATACTTGCCTTGCTACTACCATGTCGCAGTTTCCCGACTACTATCAGCTCTTGAATGTCTCTCAGTCTGCATCGCAAGATGAAATCCGGCAGGTATTTATTATTTTGTCGGCCCCTACTTGACATCTCAACGTCTCTCTCGTCTTAGGCCTATAAGCGAGAATCTCTTAGGTACTTGTTCCATACCCACGTCCGTAGTACATTATGCCGAATTTCCGCTATCACTAGGACGCATCCAGATAGACTTATCAATGCTACCCCTTCAGAGAAGAAACTAGCCACCGAGAAGTTTCAAGCAGGTCTACTTGGTTGGGTCTTAAGCACGCTCCTCATTGTACCCTCTAGGCTGTTGCTGATGCATATTTCGTACTTTCCGACCCGACTCGGCGAAAGGAGTACGACGCTCTCTATGCCTCTCGGGCGTCTAAAGGTTCCACAACGGATCCCAACTCGTCTTCCAGCTTCTTCTCTCAGTTCAGTGGTATGTTCGGTGGCGGAGATGCTCCTCGCCAACAACCAGATGCTGAAGGTGTTTTCGCCGATGTTTTCGAAGAGGCATACATCCATTCTCTATTTTTAGCGCCCGAAGTTTATACCTTTTTCTTAGTTGCTCAGACCTGAAGTTGAACGTCACGTCCCTTGGTGGTCATACCTTGGAGCGGCTTCTGGTGCTGGTATTGGGTTTATAGTCGCGAATATTCCTGGTTTGATGCTTGGTGCATTTGCCGGGAACAAGTTGGGGGCTATCAGAGATGCCAAGGGAAAGAGTGTAGCTGCTGTGTTCAGCGAGCTTGGTGGAAACCAGAAGGCTGAGGTAATACCTCGCTCATACCATGATCTGCTATATTGGGTGTGTTAACCACTTTTTCTTTTGATCATTAGATTCTGCGTGCATTGGCGATGAAGGTTCTCGGCTCTGCGTTGTAAACTGTGCAGGGACTATATGATTACGCATTATAGTGACTGATAGATATACCTATATACAGCATCTGTATTTCCATTAATAAATACGGCGTCATCTTCGTGTGTAAGTTTAGATATTATTGTCACTAGCTGGAGTACCATCCGTTCCGACTTGTCTCCATACGGCCACCTTCTCCCACCGAAAATTGTAGGGTCCAATAATCCTGGCAAATACTGGAGTCGTGCTACAGCCCCATTACACTCAGGACTTTTCTCGTACCTAATCTTTGCTTCAATGAATCCTTCCGAGTCTGTTGCGCTCTGTTATCTAATCTGTTGACCCAATATCGTGACGTTTACACCATCCACTCCCGGAATTGCGGGCACTGTCTGGGCAAGAAAGCATGATATTCCCAGAGATGGCGTTTTTCGAAGCCAAAATTGCGTCAAGTGGCTCCTTTTAACGTGATTTTCTCTATGCTGGCTTGCTCAGCATCTGTGAGCATGTCTAGCACAACGACGACCACCCAAACCTCCCAGCTTTCACCTTTGAAGCTTAGCTCGCTAAACGGCAAGTCAGAAGAGTCGCAAGAGAACTACAAATATGCTCGACTCCTTCCTGTCTTCGTTAATAACCAGTATCCTCCTTTGACGCCGTTCGATCACGTCGATCCCGGACATCGGGCTCTCACCCACCCTAATCCCAGAACCTTCCTTGACGGTGCTACTAGTATTGTTGACCTGACCCCGCACCTTGGTACAGAGATCCGTGGTGTCAATCTTGCAACACTTGACTCGGATGGAAGGGATCAACTAGCTCTCGAAGTAAGTATTACCTCCCTTCATTCTATACTATTTTTCTCACCATTGTATAGGTCGCTAAAAGGGGTGTTTTGGTGTTCAGGGACCAACTGGACTTTATTGACCGTGGTCCAGATTTTTACCTGCAGTTTGGAAGGCACTTTGGCCGGTAGGCACCTCGTGAAACGATACATCTTCTACCGTCTCAGTGACCTTGCAGACTTCATATTCATCCATGCTCTGGTCATCCCGAGGGCTATCCCGAACTACATCTTGTCTACAAGTATATTCTCACCGGCTTATTATTACAACCCTTGTTAACACGGGGCCTCGTAGGAGCGCAAATGCTACTTTCAACTTTGAGCAAAGTGATAGCGTCACGTCGACTCTATGGCACTCGGACGTCTCGTACGAGCTCCAGCCCCCTGGCTTGACCGGCCTTTTCTTGCTATCGTCGCCGGAGACAGGTGGCGATACATTATTCACGTCTCAAGTCTCTGCTTTGAAGAAACTATCTCCGCAATTTGTTGCCTTCCTTCGCACGTTGAAGGCTGTACATTCAGGTGTTGAGCAAGCAAACCACTCTCGTGCTGGAAAGAGGGGCGGCATAGTTCGTCGAGAACCCGTGGAAAATGTTCATCCTATCGTCCGCCGCCATCCAGTGACTGGTGAGGAAGCTCTATACGTGAACAGACAGTTTACGCGTCGAATCGTTGGTCTAAAGCGGGAGGAATCAGGTAAACAGACCCATTCCTACCACATCGTAATGCCTCATTACTTCTGTTTTAGAAACTATCTTGCGCTTCCTCTACGACCATATCGACAAGGGCGGAGATATCCAGGCGCGCCTTAAATGGGCTCCTCATACTATTGTGCTCTGGGATAACCGTGTAACTGCCCATGTACGTAAATCAGTCAGCTGGCGTGGATGGAGTGTTGCTAATGCATAATGTAGTCAGCCATTGTGGACTATGCTGATTCAAAGGAAACGCGCCATGGTGTTCGTATCACCCCTCAGGCAGAGCGCCCTATTCCGGCCTGGGAAGGACTGGATCTTAGCTCGTAAATGCATTAAAAAGAAAAGCTTAAATTGTGTACCATGTCGTACTAAGTATATGTATTCTCACGATTCCCAGTGTTAGCTCAAAGATGTACAGGCCATGCTGGGGAAAAATAGGGCCTATACTTGATGCAAGCAGAGTGTGAGCAAGTTGAATATTAAAGTTAAAATTTGGTTGAAGGGGCCGGCCCGGAACGCGTCACTTTCCACGTGCTGGGAAAATATCAGCCTCAAGCTCATCGTTCATAACCACGTAGAACTTTTACACAACTCACTGCAGAAGTATCAATCTTGAAAGCATTGGTCGTTCTCGGCATGTCGGCTGCGTATCTGCTGTATTGCGGTATTTGCATCACCGTACTCAAGGAACTGAATTCGGTTGTGTTAGAACCGTACATGGTGCATCCCTAGTACGATTTCAGCATGTCACCGTGTACTGATACTCGGAAATATTCAGGATGAGCCCTTTCATATTCCTCAAGCGCAAGCCTATTGCCGTGGAGAGTTCACCACCTGGGACCCCAAAATTACCACTCCTCCTGGCCTGTACGTTTCTTTCTGCTCACGGTGGCCATGAATCATAATCACTCTCCTTAGATACATAACGAGCCTAATGCTGAAAAGCGTGTTTCTGTTCAAATGCACCGTTCCAATGCTTCGGCTCACTACGACACTGATCTTGCTGGCCTTGCCTCTTGTGTTGACGCGACTATTGTGCTTTCATCAGCGTGTCCGGCCTCCTTCCATCCTTTCGCCTACCTTGGAATCCCTTGTTTTGGCTTCGTTTCCTATAGCATGGTTCTTCGGGTTTCTCTATTACACCGAAGTCCCTAGCTTGGTTTGTGTAGTGTTGACAGTTGTCGCTGCAGCGGAGGGGCGTCACTGGTTAGCCGCGCTGGTATGTCGCACTCATTTGTGCTTATATGAGTCAGCTTAACGCGATAAGAATGATAGATAGGGCTCATCAGCTGCACATTCCGTCAAACTAATATTATCTGGGTTATTTACGCCTTTGTCTCGAGCCAGCTTATGGAGATGCACTTCCGCCGTCCCACTCCTGGCTCTTCTCAGGGAAGCAAACTTTATGATCCCCCAGCATTAGCTGCGGTGCCCAGTGAGTTCGACTTTGTCCGGGGAATACACTCAGTCTCACAATTACATAGGCGATCTTATACAGATCCTGAAAAGTGCTCCTGCTGTCCTTCCTGAACTTCTTCGATCATTCGCTCCATACATGCTCCTTCTTGGACTCTGTGTTGTTTTTGTCACATGGAATGGGGGTATTGTGTTGGGTGAGCTACGTCTCAACTTCTCATGTCCCCGGCCAACTTACTTACGTTCAACCGATCAGGGGACAAATCAAACCATGTACCGGTAATTCACATTCCTCAAATGTATTACTTTGTTGCTTTTGCGACCGCGTTTGGTTGGCCCATCCTCATTTCTGGAGACCGGGGTGTCATTGGACTAATCGGAGACATACGAAACTGTATGTTAGGAAGTAAGAGGTGCGCATTTTCTTCACACCTCTTTCATGACTCCCTGACACTGTACGATCAGTCGTTCTTTCGGAACGCTCATAACGTCGGCCATTATGGCTGTCACTGTGCGTAAATACACGTGGGTGCTAGCAGAAATTATCGTCTGCACTCGTTCTCAATCCTGCATATACAGAATTCATCACCCATTCCTACTCTCCGATAATCGCCATTACACTTTCTATGTCTGGCGTCGAATATACATGCTACATCCTGTAGTACCGTACATACTCATTCCAGTTTACATTGCTTGCGGATGGGCGTGGTTTTTGCGTGTTGGTACGTATCTGTCTTCCTTGCAGTGCTGCGTGAGCATCTGACTGAATGGCACAGGTCGCGACCAAACCCTTCTTCAGACCTTGATCCTTCCGGCGTTCGCATTACTCACGCTCATACCTACGCCTCTCTTAGAACCACGGTATTTTCTCATTCCGTACATATTGCTTCGATCGCAGGTTGCAGATGTACCTTTGTGGGGGATGGTGTTAGAGGCAGGCTGGTACGCCGCGATAAACGCTGTGACCATGTTTGTGTTTTTATATCTACCAAGAGACGGTGTAGGTCGATTTATGTGGTGAAATCAGAAATGCCAACTGCTAGCACTAAGCACCCGTCTTTAAGTTTGAACCAGGCACGTGCTCATCCGGAAAAGGCAAGGTTGGGGTGAGAGCCAAGCTTCTTCACTTTCACCGACGAGCTGCTGCTGCAGTGGCTTGACATTCTTCACGCGTTACCGCAACGATTTCACGACCCGACACGTACATTCTTACATTCACTGGGGTCCTGTCGTCATGTCTGCCGTTGTAACAGCGCCAGGGAACCAAAAGGCTAAGCCGACAACCAGGAGTTCCATACGACATTCCTTAGGTTTTGCGTCCGTCGGCAAGGCCCTGGCAGATGTGATCAATAAAGAGGGAAAGGATGGCGATAAAAACGCGAAGAAGTCACTGAAGGAATCCCGTCGCTTGAGCGCAGTTAGCATGGCTGTCTCTTCGTCTCGAACTGCCAACTCCTCGTCGCCGGGGCCAAAGGTGTCTGGTACACCAGACTCAAAGACCATTACCCGACGCAGAGCATCGGTGGCCGCCGCCTTTCAGAAACCGAGCGACCCTCCGATGCCACAGTCGACGGCCGTGGCTCGTTCGACATCCCTTCGTCCTCGCCCCGTGACTTCGTCTGGTCTCCCAAAATATCGGCCTAAGTCTGTCACTCAGGATGTTGTCGCAAAGAAAGCGCCCTCCCCTGTGAACCCATCCCGGAAGCGTCCCAGTACTTCGGACAAAGAGGAAGACCTCACAACCTCTGACGACGCTAAAAAGGTCGCCCAGAAAGCTTCCAGACCCATCAGTCCATTGCCCCAAAGAGCTGCCCTGAAGGCTAATATGTCGAGGGCGGCCAATGTAACACCACCTGCTACTCCCACGAAACTCAGACCAACCCCTCCTTTGAAAACATCCACTCGCCCCAATAAGATTGTCAAGGTTACGCCTGCGGCTGGACCTTCTTCATCTTCTTCATCTACCAATTCTCTCGTTCCACGAACCCCCAAAACCCTCAAACCATCTAGTTCAAAGGCCTCTTCTATAGACAAAGCTCGTGAAAGCTCGTCCTCCAGAAATTCCCATCGTTCTCTTAACGAATCGCCACTCGCACGTCATTCAAGACAGATCTCCAAAACTAACGTTCCCGCTTTGTCCCATGCTGGCAACATGTCCCATATTTCGGAAGGTGGCAGCGATGACGGAGATGAGGAGGATGTAGAATTACTTCTCGCTCCTGTTGCTGTCATTGACGCTCCGACACCTGCTATGCCGCGCATACTTGCTTCTCGCCAACGACATGCCCCAGAAACACCATCCCGATCCACATTTCTACCATCCCGTTCAGATCTTTCGTACGCCTCCCCCCAGCTGCCCAGTAACGACAGCCCAGCATCTCTTCGTCCTCACCCAATTTCAAGAGGTGCTCCTAGGGGATCCATTCTCTCATGGGAACAACTTGCTGATGAAGCGTCGCGCACTCTTGGTGAAGATGAGATCCAGAACATGATATCTGATGTTCCTGCTCCATTCAGGTCAGGAACAGCATCTCCCGTGCTGTCGACTGTGCATTTAGAGTTACCCGAGAGCCCGTGCCTCAGTGCCATGAACTCGCCTGGTGGTTATGGATCCATTTCGCAAGTTTTATTGCCCGAGGTCACCCCTTCTCCGGCTATACATTCTCGTCGCCAAAGCCGTGGACCGCCGGAAGTCCCTGCCATTGATGGGGCTATTGTGACCTTGCTTCGGTTGCAACTAGAATCTTCGGAGCATACCGCAAAAGAACGCCGTATTCAGCTGCAGTCGTTGGAGGAGGAACTTCACCATGTGAAAGATGCTCACATCCGTGACGTAGAACAGCTCGCACAGCAGATCAAACATTTGGAGGACCAGCTCCGTAGCAGTTTGGAAGTTCGCGAGCGTTCTGCAGCCGAGCAGGCATCGTATATTGCTAGCTTAGAGAGTCAACTGAAGAAGGTCCACCCATCCGATGGCTATAATACCATCTCGAAGGCCCAGGTCCCCGTGCAGGATCTACTTGTACAAGAAAGGAAGCTTCACTCCGAAAGGCTGAAATGGGGCCGTGCGTCTTCTGCTCATGTAGCCGCCATGCGTTGGACATCTGTCAAGGAATTTGCGGAGATAGACCTCGACACTGTCCAGAGTGACCAGGATGTTTTGTCGCTTCTGTTGGGTGAGCTGGATCTCATTCATAAACAGCTGGCTATATCTGTCTAAACGTATTCTGTGCGTTTCTGCCTTAACTGTATCGCGTCGACTCTGCTGATTTTACTTCCCACTAGTATCTTTCTTGTATATATCCCTAGGATCACTTTATACCTTTTGCATTGTATTTTTACCCAGCAATCTATCATAGTTAATCATGCGTCTCTCACTATCAATGTATTGAACCCCAGAAAGTACCCAACACATTTGACGTGCTGATTTCGAGAATTTCACTTTCAATTTGTCACGCGGTGAAAAGCTCCACGTGATCCTGGGACCGGAACGACAGTGGCGTGGGTAACTGAGCCTTTGACGCGTCCCTCTTTTCTCATCTCCCACCATGCTCGACGACACGCCTATCCCCGACGACCAGCATCGCGACAGAAGCCGTATTTTTGAGGAGTTTCTTGACTCTGAATCCGACATCTACAACTACAAAGATGATATCTACCGAATGCTTCGGATGGACCAGACGCGTCTCATCGTCAATATCGATGACCTCCGCGACTACAGGCGTGAATTTGCAGACGGTCTACTCAAGCATCCAGTAGACTTCCTACCAGCATTTGACGACGCACTTTCTGCCATTGTTTCTCGTGTTCACGACCCAGAAAAGCACGAGATCCAGGACAAGAGCTACCGTATAGGACTCAGCGGTTCCTTCGGTGACCATCATGTCACTCCCAGAACCCTCCATGCCGCCCATCTCGGATCCATGATATCCTTAGAAGGAATCATAACTCGGTGTTCCCTTGTGCGTCCCAAGATGCTGAAGTCGGTGCACTACTGCCCCGAAACACACCTTTTCCACTCACGAGAATACCGCGACGCGACATCATCCAGCTCAAACCTTCCACCCACATCGTCTGTCACCCCACAGACTGATGACGATGGACACCTCCTTCAGACCGAATATGGTCTTTGCGTCTTCCGCGACCACCAGCGCATCAGCATCCAAGAGATGCCTGAGCGCGCACCTGCGGGTCAATTGCCCCGCAGTACCGACATAATACTAGACGATGATCTAGTCGACAAATGCAAGCCGGGTGACCGAATCCAGCTGGTTGGGGTATATCGTAGTGTTGGTGGAGGGTCCAGTGGGGCATTCAAGTGCGTCATGTTTCTTTTTCGTTTATCAACAAGTACTCATCGCATTTTCGAATGTAGGTCCTTGATCTTGGCAAACAACATCAATCTTCTATCCTCCAAAGTTGGCGGCGGCATCGCGCAAACTCCTCTCACCGATACAGACATCCGCCAGATCAATCAGCTGGCTAAAAAGTCAAACATCTTCAAGGAACTCTCAGAATCTCTTGCGCCGTCTATTTGCGGCCATGAATATATAAAGAGGGCTATTCTTCTTCTATTATTGGGCGGCGCGGAAAAAAATCTGCCCAATGGTACACATATTCGTGGTGATATCAATCTGCTGATGGTCGGCGATCCCTCCACTGCTAAATCGCAGCTCCTAAGGTTCGTGCTTGGTACGGCACCCCTTGCTATTGCAACCACCGGTAGAGGGAGCTCTGGAGTCGGTCTGACTGCAGCTGTGACCACAGATCGCGATACAGGAGAACGACGTCTAGAAGCTGGTGCCATGGTTCTTGCTGACCGTGGTGTGGTGTGTATCGATGAATTTGACAAGATGTCGGATATCGACAGGGTAGCCATTCACGAAGTCATGGAGCAACAGACAGTTACTATTGCCAAAGCTGGTATCCATACCAGCCTGAATGCTCGATGTAGTGTTGTAGCTGCTGCCAACCCCATCTATGGCCAGGTAAGTATAATTATGACGTATGTTATATCTACTCATCATTCATGTAGTACGACATTCACAAAGACCCTCATAAAAACATTGCTCTCCCTGACTCTCTTCTCTCCCGTTTCGATCTGCTCTTCATTGTGACGGACGATGTCGATGAAAAACGCGACCGACAAATTGCCGACCACGTTCTGCGCATACATCGGTATCTCCCTCCTGGTGTCGAAGAAGGCACTCCATCTCAAGACAATCTATCTCAACCACTATCCGTAGATGGACCATCCAACGCTCCTGCTGATAGCGAGGCCGACAGCAGTCCTTACGAGAAATTTGATCCATTATTGCACATCGGTGTTGCAGCTTCTAATGCGGGCCGAAAGACACGTAGTCAAACAGCAGCGCAGGCAGCCCAGACCCAGGTTCTCAAGCTATCCTTCGTGAAGAAGTATATACAATATGCAAAAAGCAAAGCGGCTCCGGTTTTGACGAAGGGTGCGGCGGACCACATCGTTCAAGTATACGCCACCCTCCGAAATGAGATCATGGAAGGGAACAACAAAAGAGTAGGTCTCTTCAAAAGCCACAAACCAAAAATTGATCACTAACGACAATCTTGGCTAGACTTCCCCGCTGACTGCTCGTACGTTGGAGACACTGATCCGTCTGGCCACGGCGCACGCCAAAGCCCGGCTATCTGTCAAAGTGGAACATCAAGATGCGAAACAAGCTGAAGAAATCATGCGGTTTGCCCTCTTCAAAGAAGTTCCCAAACGTCAACGCCGCAAGAAGAGAAAGCTCAACAGTGGTGCGGCCGTTCGGAAAGGTGTAGATGACGGTGAAGGGAGCGATGAAGACTCTGGAGGTGAAGAGACCGGAGACGATGAACCTGCCTCCGAGAGGATGAGTATGCCCCCTGGGTCTCCAAAGACGACGGGAACAACGACCGTCCAGGATCCTGTCTGGGGTGATGACAGTCAAGACGTGACAATGGTAGCGTCGTCGTCTGGGTCAGCTACTGCAAGCGGAAAGATGACCCCCGAAAGGTGAACATGAACAGTCTTCGAATTGCGAATTGCTCTGATACCTTGCAGATATGCCTTCTTCCGCTCTCGGGTATCCAAATTATTCGGCTCAAAACTGCTCGACGAGGAGTCAGTCTTTCTCAAAGATCTACTCGAGATGGTCAACGAGGGTTTATCCACGGATATGTTGTTTGGGACAGTCGAAGCCACAGAAGCATGTCAAGTCATGACAGATGCAGAAGAGTTGATGCTTAGCGAAGGCATTGTCTACAAGCTTTAATCTATATTTCCACGGATTCGCATTATGTATTTTACGCTGGTTTTTTATGTTTTCCATTTCTGTGATATGCTGTTGTAAAACTATACATAATGACTCATCTAGAATTGATCACTCGCTCTTTCGTCGCCGCAAGACGCGACCGACTTCCTCACGGCTCAATTCACTGAATCCAGTGATTTCCACCATTGCGGCATCCCATTGATCCTCGCTCTTTGCCCCGAAAGTAAAGTCCACTGCCTTATCCCAGGCTGGACCTTCGGCTGCGATTAGTCTTCCGGCCTCCAAAAGTTTCGACCAAGGCGCTTCAACACGATTACGTCCACCACCAAGGGCCCCAGCTAGTCCTCCTTGGCTGGTCTCTACCCACAGCTCGCATTCCGCCTGTATTTCTCTCGCTTCTCGAACGGCAACATTTCCACGATACAGTATTTGTCTTTGCATGATATGCTCAGAAAGACGCGACGCAATTCTCCGATAAAGCAGAGTGACTGTCGATTGAGGTAGAATCATACGGATGTAGCCAAGGTGGGTCGATAACAATGCAATGGGTGCCAACAGCGTTTGTGATATGGAAACTTCGTCCTGCTCTGCATCCGCTCCTGGATTTGGACTACAAAAATACATTAGCACACATAAATAAGGCAAAAATTGCAATGAAATTGCTGACGATGTTGTGATTGTGAGATGAGGTCTGAGGTTTCCTTCGACTTCCGCGCAAACCTGTTGGACTATCATGTCCTGTGCGCGAACGGACAACATCCGGTAATGCGTGATTAGCTCTCCGAATATTGTTTCTTGACCGAGCTGGTCCTCTTCGACTTTCGGATCGGGAAGTAATGGATCGGCTTGGGCACGAGCTCGCAAAGAGGCGCGTTTTTTTATTTCAATCCATAATTCCAGGAAGAACTAACATAGTATAAGATAGAAATCACAATGAGACAGGCACTGCTTACTCACCACCTCTTCGCCCCACGCTTCCATTGAAATTTCCAAGTAGTTCGCGCTCAGCAAAGCCTTACAAAGCCTTTGTACACCGGACACGCCGCTTGTCAGTGACCGTGTATCAACATTTACACTGGAATCCTCTTTGCCTCCGAGATTGACACCAAGGGCTCCTGGGACTGCACGGACAAGCGCGGAAGACAATGTCTCAAAGGCATCCAAGGAGGATAATATACGGCCATGATATAACTCCAATATTGGAAGCTGAACGGAAATAAGGAATCGTGTACGCTGAGTAAAATTTGGTAGAGGAGAATATCGGTCTAATATAAGAGTATCAACAGTATTGTCAGTGCTAGAACGTGTGTGACGTGCCTGTAATTTGTTCGACAAGTGCCGAGATCCTGCGAGCTGAATTCGTCGTTCGTATCTCACTTGCCTGCTTTTCTACTTTCGTCTTCAGCGATTTGCCAAGCGTCCGGAGTAGATATGATCTCATGATACTGATCTTCTGCGACTGATGTGGACTAAGGATCTAGTGTGGCATAAAAGCGAGTCACACGTACATTTTTTCTCACCGTCGATCCAGGCTTCAAACCACTCCTTTCTTCCAAGTATGATGTCTGCAACCCCGGGCCATTGACCGGACTCGAAGGCATCCCGGGAAGAAGTGTCAGTTATTGTAAACCCTTCCTCCACCAATGCCGCATCAAAGGAAAGAGCTTGGTATATAGTATGGGCGAGCAGCGACGGATGCGAAAGCATTAATGGGACGGTACGCCTGAGTTTCCGGGACAAAAGCGGGAACAATAGAAGCGTGAATTCGTGCTGAAACATAGCTGTAGCAAAAATAACAGCCTCCTTTCAGATAAGCTTACCCAAGCATTGAAAGACTTGTATTTGGTTGATGAGAGGAGTTGTTGAACAACACTTTCCATGAAATTCTGGTGATCGTTTACAGCGTTCAAAACGTGAGTAAAATACCACTCCGGCTTGGCGGCATGCATCTTCAGAATAGAGTGGACTAATATTGAACGCTAGCTTACCTTGTGCAATTGGTTTGTCTGCCGATCGCCTTCAAAATGGTACTTGAATCGCAGGGAAAGTGGCAGCACGAGAGTTTCGAGAGGATATAGACCATCCTTTTCTGACCTTAACTTCGCATCGTCATTTGAGAAACTCTGTCCACTGCAAAGAAAGAGGAAATAAGCACTCGTAGTTGATGCAAAATGTTGGGCGCACATATTTTGGAGTTCCAAGAGATTGCAGAAAGATTTTTCGAACGCGACTCGGTCTTCTAACGGTAAAGAGGGATACCTGATTGTCGTGGGCCATTTCAGTTTCTCGGCAGCAGATAGTAGCGCACTGTTTTACATTCTCAGTGGAAATTTCAGTTGGAAATAAAGAGGACACACTTTGATAGAACGGCCTTCATGCGAGACCAAGTTGTTTCCCGCAGTCTCTCCAGAAATGCTACAAGTCCTAGTTTGCCGCCATTGTTTTCACTCCCGACGCCCGAACACGCATCAGAAACGCATGTGACAAATGCTCGCAGGGTCCTATATTGAGTTACAGAGTCATTGGATACAGAAGACGAGGCTGATATTTGCTGAACTGCTAATTCACTATACACCATAGTTAAGAATCAAAGTACGTGTGATGCTCAGGGAACAGACCTAAGATTCAAGGCGTGTTCTATTGTCTGCACATATTCCTTGACGCTCTTCAATTCTTTTAAGTTACGATGCAATGTCTCGATGTCCTCCAAAAGGGTCGGTGACCGATTTACATCTGATAGAGAAGACAGGAGATCCTGGGATAGATTGGCAAGTTCATCGGTGAGGGAATGCCTCTCTAACGACAGTTCTTGTGCAGAGCGACGGTGTGCTTCCGCGGCCACTTGCGTTTCTGCTATGAGAATGTTGATTTTTGACTGTGAAAGAGCTAGCTGAGCTAGTGTGTAGACGATGAGCGTGAAGAATATCCCCCGTGTCAATGCGACGCACCCTAGCTTCCAGCTGGTCGCGACATTGTTGAGCTTGTTCAACATCCTTCTCGAGGCAGCCAAGGTCTTCAAGCAGGATAAATTTCGAGTTGAGATATACGGATGCCTTGGAATATGCTTGTTGCATGTCTGCGGGGGCGAGCAGTGACTGAATTTCTTGGGAGGACATGGTGGAGAAACGTGGAGATGGACACCGGTATCTTGATGAACGCCGGTATTTTGACATGTGTGCCGACGGAGGCCGGGTCTGGACTCGAAGAGACTCTCGCGACATCGTGATCACTGAAAATGAAGAATGAATCCAAATAAAGAGCCACGCCGTTCATGAACAACTTGATCTCTCGCCTGAATTTTCTTTCATTCATCACCTTTCCCTTCCAGCCCTCTGTGCCATGCCGGTGACTCACGGGCCGAATATGGTATTACTAACGTTTAATTATTTTTTTTTTCGTGCCGCTGTCGACTGACCAGGACATAATTATTTTAATACCGGCTCACCATGTTTTCCCTTCGCATTGCTGCCTCGACGCGTCAAATCTATTTCAACGCTGGCCCAACGCTCTTTTCGAATAGATATTGCTCGAAGATAGAGATGGTATGCTTGCTACGCTTCAATAGGGACCTGTCGTGACCTGAAATTCCTAAAAACAGCCTAAATCTTCTTTAGAAAAACCGATTGCATTACCGCCCAAAAAGCGCCTTGCTATAGGTAACGTGTGTCCCTGACGATACATGTCGGTGTCTCACCCAAATCTAAGTTACTTGTATGGATGCTCGTATAAAGTGCGCGGCTTGTTTCACTGCTTCGTTATCAGTCCATTACTACCATTCTAGCCCATTTACACAACTTGGTCTTGAAGAAGGAGATGCCCATATCATTCGAAATGCTGGTGGAATGGCGTATGAGACGTGCATCATCTAGACCGAATTTCCGCTCACATTGGTTTTTTTCCAACAGAAAGGATGCATTGCGAAGTATAATTATATCACAACGGCTTTTGGGAACTCGAGAGATAGCCATAGTGAGCAACCTTTACATTTAAGTCGTTCAAAGCTTCTGAGATTAGGTTGTAAGTATCACCACACGGGCTGTGGCATGATTACATTCACTGGTCCAACGCTGCGAAGGATGTTGAGTGATGCGGACCCCGGAAATCCTGCAATCGCTTACCAGGCCAACAAGATTGACTTTTTGGAGTTTGATGACGTTGAGCAGTCGGTTCGGGACGATGTCAAGTTTCTCAAAGAAAATCCTTTAGGTTTTAAAGGGTACTAAAATCACTGGCTGGATCCATTATGTAGAGACAGGCAAGGTACGCACCTCCTCTATGCAGTTTCCTAGAACTCTCTAACTGGCGTAGGCTGTACAGGTAGTGTAACTGAGAAAGTATTGCTACTAGATACTCTTTCTCTTCTACAATATCAATACTCTAATAGCACTAGTGTGAACGTGGGAGTACCCCACGTTTTGCGAGGGCACCCCGACCGCTTCGTGCTGATGGTTATAATTATTTTCAATATTTTTCAGTGCACCAAGGTTCAAGCCGATGGGAGCAAAGGAGTCTTAGGTCGATGACAAAACGATCCATAACGATCCTCATGTTAAACTCGATGACATCATATCTGTATTTGTGTCTCGTGAGTCATAGCATTTCAAATTACTCATTCAAATCCACTATGGTGCGCATCACCTAAACACCGCTACTTTTGTACAATGAATACTGAGACCGGAATTCTCACGGTATTTCTTATTCCTTTAACAGAAATGCTTCTATTGATGAAAAGGACAAAACTGTTAGACGGATTGTTGAAATTCCAAAAATTGAAGGAGTAATTAATTTTTTGGACCTCCAATTTTGCGCCGTGACACCAAATGGCAGGGGAACGTAACATATGTCACACAATGTCATACTTTTTTCGAAAATTTTTTTTTTCGGAAATCGACTTTTCGGAAGATTTTAGATTTTAGCAAACATCTATGTCCGATTTTGCGCCTGTCCAAAAGTGGTGCTGACTAAGCGATGCGCACCATACTTGCCCTCACGCACCTGTGAACGACCGGCTCCTCTTCAGCTATGTCAGTGGCTGGAACACAGCATGATCTAGAGCAGCCTGTTACAGGTCCGCTAGGCAATGAATCCGAAACTTTTGAACGGCAGGTTCTTGAGCAGCTTACGCACATCTCGCCATCTTCGCCTGTGCCTGTGATAGCTGTAGACTTGGACGATGTTCTGGCTCAGACGAACCATGCTGTTGCAGACTGTAAGCTACGAACACACAGACGCGTCGATTCGCGTTGATGCATCAGATTTCCCCCAGGGCACAATGAGGTTTACGGGACTAGAATGGATGTTTCCCATTTTTACTGTAAATGTTACTCTTGTTATGGTCAATCTTTCGATATATTAATTTGCGTTCGATCTGCAGACTATTACTACTGGAAGGTGCGTATAGAGACCTTTTTGGGGGGGCCTGCCCTACATCTCTGAACTTTCTTGCCTAGAATCCATTTTGGGGAACGCCCAGGCAGACATTCGATAAAGTAAAGGCATTCTATCAGACCTCCAGGATCTTTCAAATAGATCCAGTGCCAGGTGCTCGAGAGGGTACCCTGTTTCTAAAGGACACGGGATTCAAGTTGATTGTCGTGACTGCACGCGCACCCGACACGGCCGACGAAAGCTGGACATGGGTTAATCAACATTTTCCAGGAAGGTTCACTATATCTGAGATTATGTCGCATTAAAATCATTTTTACAGGCGTATTCGACAGTATCATCTGTACTGGTCAGTTCAAGGATGCTCATAAAACTGGCCATGAGGTCGTCACCAAGCTCAGCAAGGCCCAAGTATGTCTGGTCCGTGTTTTACTTATCCAGTATTGATCACGTCGAATAGGTCTGCGCTGATTTAAATGCTCGGATTTTGATTGATGATTCGTCGGAGAATGCCCTTCAGTGTGCCACAGCAGTGCCTGTTGCGACTCGTGTTCTGCTGTTCGGAGACTATGAATGGAATAAGAGAATTTCGGGGCCTGGAGATGCCTCTGATGATATGAGTTTTGACATACGTCTAGAATCTCATGGAGGGAAAGAATTCTGGAAAGAGGTAGGTCCACTTCGGTCTTGATCATTCGCTCAATCGTACTGACGCCGTGGCGTAGGAGACTGTAGATATACCGGAAGGTGCTCCCCTTGAACGGGTGAAAGACTGGTCAGAGGTGGTTAGATGGGTCAAGGTGCACATGGATACCCTACAGTAGACTCGAGCTTAAGATGTAACAGGTTTATCTGCTGCAAAGTAACTCATTTCGAATTTCGCAATTTGGAAAAAATTGCAATGTGTACGTTGATTTCGTTTCCTCACAAGTAAGCTGAAGTGAGAGCTGAGGCCTGCCTGAGGAACAAGCTGAGGCAAGATTGTTTTGTGGCGTCTTCCGGCAAGCCGGGCCGATAGACTTGCAATCACATGCCATCATGATTAATCCTTGATCGAACACATCATGGTGGCCAGGTGTGGCTTATTCTCTCCACCGAGTAACAAGAGTAACACATTTTCTCTTCAATCTTTGGGGTATAACTTCGCTGGGACCTTCCATCCATGGCCTCAGAGCTACTCTCTGCCTTCCGCGTCCAGGATTTTCGTGACCATTATGTCCAGTTTGGCCGCTGGTATTCTGCCCATCGCCCTCTCGTTCAGCGAGCAATCAACATTGCCTTCATCGTCTACGTTCTTGGCTCGACATTTCGTGGCTTGTCTGGAAAGGGCGGATCTTCCAGGTCGACCAAGTCGAGGAAAGGCAAGGGCGGGAAGGATGGTGGTGATGACAAGAAGTCGACAAGGGTTGCCGTATGTTTCATTGTCGGGCTTTGATATTGTATATCCACTGATCCTGTAATAGGTTGACTCTGTATTTTACCAGCGGTTGGGCGCCATTCTCAGGATTGTCATACCAAGTATAAGATCGAAAGAGGCTTTACTTCTGGTCACGCACTCAAGCCTGTTGGTGCTACGGACTGCAATCTCTCTTTATGTCGCCGCATTGGACGGAAGGTTAGTGGTCTGTTTCTTCGTCTTTTGCGTCGTGTATTCATATGGTTACTACAGGATTGTCGCGAGCCTTGTACGTGCCCAGCCTCTTCAATTTTTCCTCAACATTTTACGCTGGCTATGTGTTGCGATACCTGCGACGTGGACCAATAGCTGGCTTAGCTACGTTCAGAACAAGCTCACTATCGCCTATCGGACACGCCTTACAAATGTCGTCATGCAGCAGTACCTTGGCGATGAAGATGAAGGAGCGCATGGCAAGGTCTACTACAAGCTTTGTGAGCCCGTACTATTTCTCTCGGATCATATCTCATCTTCAGAGGCCTTTGTAGCGAATTTGGACGACAGGATAAAGAATCCTGACCAGATGATAACTCACGACATTCACAAGTTTTCGACACACCTAGCCGCCATATATGCTAATCTCGCTAAACCGACGCTCGACGTGATACTATATAATTACCAGTTGTCTCAGAATGTGGGGGCCGAAGGTTTATTATTACTTACTGTTTTGGTCCAGTCTTCAGCCGCCCTGCGTGAGTTGGATATCAGTGCACAAACTCCGTACTAACCATTTGGGCAGTGCGCTATCTGACGCCTCCTCTCGGAATGTATACGGCATTGTCGGCGCAGCTGGCTGGCGAATTGCGCCACACACATTCCCGATTGGCCGAATTCTCTGAAGAGGTGGCCTTTCTCGGCGGAGAAGAGACTGAGAAGATGCTCGTCGAAAGGGAGTACGCGACCGTAATGAAACACGAAAACAAAGTCCTAAACAAGCGCTGGTGGTTTGGATGCATCGAGGAAGGTATCATTAAGTGGCTATGGGGAGGTTTCGGAGTAAGTTGTTTGTATCTATATAAGATTTTGACGAAACCAACCAACTGCCAGATGATCATATGCGGTATCCCTATCTTTATCAAACTTCCCGGCATCTCAAGCGTGGACCTCGGCGGACGTACAGAAGGTACTTCCATTGCTCCTTCAGCGATATTTATACTTACATCCCCGCAGGTTTCGTAACCAACCGAAGACTATTGCTGTCATCTTCAGGTAAAGCATTGGTTTCATCTCAAGTATTACCCGAAAGTTAACTTGTAGTCTGAGATGCCATTGGTCGAGTGATGTACTCTTACAAGGACTTGTCGGAGCTAGCTGGTTACACTGCTCGTGTTTCTCTGTTGCTTGATGCAATGAAAGATATCAAGAAGGGAAAATTCGAGAAGGCACTCATTATCAGTGCAACAACAGGAGAAAATGCCAAAAGTATGTCTTGCACCTTATCGGCAGAACCTCGTTGATCAATATGCAGTTCTCCGGGGTCGGGGGCAAATCATCATTTCAGAGGACATTCAGTTTGAGAATGTCCCCATCGTTACACCAAATGGCGATGTCCTCATTAAAAGTCTAAGCTTTCATATCAAACATGGAGTGCGTAACGCTTCGTGTACTTGACTGTTTCTCTATTCATAGTGATTCTAGCAAAACCTGCTCATTGTGGGGCCTAACGGTGCGAACGATGTGCTATCTTTGTCTCTTCCGGCAGCTCAGATCAACTTACGTAGGGTGCGGCAAATCTTCGCTTTTCCGTATCCTGGGGGGCCTTTGGCCTGTTTACGGTGGTGTCGTTCGAAAACCTGTCGCCTCCGAATTTATCTTGATTCCACAGCGGCCGTACCTCTCACTTGGAACACTCCGAGATCAGGTTATTTACCCTCATTCGCGAGAAAATATGGAAGCCCGTAGGTTTACTTCGACGTCGTAACAAACTGATTAAAAAAATAACGAGTATTTCAGGTGGTATTACGGATGACGATCTCTTGAACATTTTGTCCATTGTCCAGATGGAAGGTGTCGTTGAGAGGGAAGGTGGATGGAATGCTGCTCGAGAATGGAGAGATACTCTAAGTGGTGGTGACCAGCAGAAGATTGCCTGGGCGAGATTGTTTTATCATAATCCCAAGGTATTGCTCCTTTTGGCAGCCTGTTCGATGAAAGATTTGACTGGTATTATACTCTAGTATGCAATCTTGGACGAGGCAACATCACTAGTGCCGCCAGACATGGAGGGAATGATGATGGAGTACGCTGCCAAGCTTGGGATTACGCTCTTGACGGTATCTCATAGACCGTCGTTGTGGAAATACCATGCTATGATTCTACACTACGATGGTCAGGGTGGATATGTATTGTAAGCGTTCATTCACTGTGCCGACTGCTTCTCTCTAACTGTGTGCACTGTACAGTACCAAACTCGATGCAGACAAACGGTTAGCTCTCCAGACGGAGAAACAAGCATTGGAGACGAAGTTACTTGAAGTGTAAATTGTCGTTCTCATTTTTGGATCATCGAGCTCATACATCCTTCACAGGCCAAAGATGATAGCCAGGTTGGCTGAGCTGAGAGGCGTGGATTACGAAGAGCTGGCGTAATATTTTGCAGGTGGCTTGCATGTAATATCTGTGTAATTAGTGTCTGTTATAATTCCGTTGTATTCGGCAAGGAGCGGATTATAGTTGGCATATCCATGATCAGTATGGTTTGAACTGGTATACGAAAACCTTCGGCTTTGCTCGGCGATCTTAATCGTGTATAGCTTTCCTGTTCTCTACCCCGTATGGGGTAACGCGAATGCATATGTTGCCGGCGGCTCTTGCGCACGACGAAACCCTACACTTGTCATCATCGGACAAGAACTGTGATGGGACTGCTCGCCAGTGCAAGCACTGCTGCTGCAGCTGTTCAATGATTTTAATCTTTCAGGCGTTGTAATAGTTTTTCATGTCCAAATCGTGATACAGGTTGATTGGTGGACTTACCGGGTTTCTACAAAATAATGAAAATCGATCGAACTTTTTTTCGGCTGCCCAATATAGTAATTCATAGGTACCGGTTTTTCTTTCAACAGCGACTCAACACCAAGAGCAACAGTAATGATAGAATAAATGGTTTAGAATTGATTCCCGAAGCAGTACACAATGTTTTGGTGCCATCAAGTCATGCAATGGAGCCTGCAGTGATGAAGAAAATACCGCTGATTTGGGATTTGACAGACCAGATTAGCGGATTCATGAGGATCACAAACCAAAGGCCCGGGTGGTGATATCAGCCTTTGATGGATAATTCGGAGGAATATAGCCCAGTTGTACGTCAGGAAGGTATAATTCGCAGTGCTTATGCATTTGGTGGAATCCAAGATGGGGAATTACTATATTGGGCAGCCGAAAAAAAGTTCGATCGATTCTCATTATTTTGTAGAAACCCGGTAAGACTTTAATGGGTAACCTTTGAAGCCCCTGAATTTCACGTGCCGATGTACCCGACCCGGCTCCTGCCGGAGACGTATAGGAACGGGATTGGTCATATTCTTCCCCAGGTCCCTTCAAGTGCTCACACGAGCGTCCTGCGACTCCTAGACTTTTCCTACTTCTACTTCTACTTCTCTCGCCTAATTTTTGCTCACGAACATGCATTCTTCAACCAAGCCTACAATTACGAGTAAGCCATTCTTCTCGTTGTGTGTGGCTCTGTCTGATCTCCGTGGCAGTCACCCATGGTCTCACGTCGTCATTGGGATGTGGCACAAATACCCGAACCCAAAATGCTCGCATGTTATAAGTATTGACGTACTGGATCGCTCTGTGGACCCAAGACGGGGATAATCAGAACGGAGCGGATATTGGGGTGTAAACAAAAAGCTCCAGGATGGATCGTGAAGGTAAGATGAATTCTCTTGGCTATGTGACACATCTCAATTTTCCCTTCACAGCTTTTTGGCGGTTCTGAAGACGCCTTTGTGCGTGAAATATCTTTTGTCGACCCCAGGAATCAGCGCGCTTCCATATCGTCGGTCAATATGTCACTATCACAATTCGCCACATGTGTAGAGCAAATAGATTACCTACCCGCATCCCATGACCGTACGACATTTACACAGACGGCGGAGATTCAGGCACGGTTAGGGCTTTGGCGGAGTGCCGCGGATGGGCTGGAGCGATGGCTAGTCCAGCGGTTCGAGCAAAACGCACATTTGGGAAAGCTTGGATTCACGGACGTGCTACGGAGGCTGTGGGAAGAGCGACAGCAGCTACAAACTGTGTAGGGATGCTACCTGGGTCGTGTGTCTTCACTCCACTTCCTTTGCCTGTTAACATTGCATCAGGATTTTCTAGAGATAATTGTTATGCCTTGACCTAGATAGTTTAAAACCTTCCTACACATGTGTACTCCACTCTTTGTGTGCGCAAACCACTCGTGTAGCCTTTCTGTAGCAGCTGTAAAATTCGGAAAATTGATGACTTAGTGACTTAGTGACTAATGTGATGTGATGTGACGGTCACAATCGATATCCGATGGGATGACCCAGTGGTCGGGGCGCTTCCGTTCCTGCTGCTGTTCCCTTCTGGTGCTTCCTTCAGAGTTCCTTCCGAGTCACGTCAAGGCGCGTCAACTGTAATTCTTGGGGCATTTTGCGACCTTTGAAGGGAACGACGTGCACTTTCAAAAGGGCCGCCTTGTTTCACTTTTCTCCTGTGGACCACTCTATCTGTCGTAAGATAGGGTAGTACGATGGATGAACTCCTCCACCACTGTCTGCGAGAGCTTTCTTTTGACGGAGACCTTGGTGAGCTTTCCCATCATATGACCTCCCAACTCCGAGGATAGCCGGGTTCGAACCCCCCTCTTCGCATCTACCTGTTTGTTCTATGGACTTGAAATGAATTTTTTGTCCTTTAGGCTCCAACCCCTCACGTTTGAAGGATTTTATCGTCGATTTTTACTCTCACAACTCTTCGTCTGCCGCACAGAATACCGACGACGCCTTTTGCGCTTTCGTATGGTCACTCGTCGTGCAGCAGCCAAATGTTCTTGTCGGTACTAAGCCACCCGGAGTCAACTCTGAAGTCTGGATAGCGCCACAGACTAGTGCTAAGCGAAAGGCGAGTGCTAAGGGAGAGTCATTTGTCGAAACTCGTCCTGCGCAACTTGAAATCATCTCAGACGCAAAGTCTCGCTCTCTTGAGGACCTGATCAATGAATACGGAGACGACCTGCGTATTGCAGTTGATCCGGACTCAATATATGCTGCGGTCACTGGCTCGCACATCCGGGTAAGCACGTCGCTATTTTTTGAACCCTCATTTTCTCAGATCATTTAAAGTTCCCAAAAATGAGCCCCATGGTCTATTCAGCGCTTCAGATAATCACTCGTGGACGAGATAATGGTGTTTCAGTCGTGGAACTCGGACAACGATCCAAGTACGACCAGAAAACGTGCTTCTATCTCGTGCGGCAGCTAACGGAGCTTGACTTGGTGTATGTCAGACTCTTTCTGAGGATAACACGGGCTTACATCTTCTCGCCAGCGTCAAAGTTCGAAGAGGGGGGGTCGGTACCCATTTCTGTATACATCGGTACTTTTTCGATCGCAGTCCATCCTGGAAGGCGATACGCGACGAAGAAAGCAACGCAGCCGCACCCCTGAAGCCAGAGTTTCCTCCCGGTGACGTCGAAGCTGCAGATGAGGACAATATCTCTCCTGAAGTCCGGGCCCTCAACTTCACGCCCATTGATGCACGTCATCTCTCTAGCCTACCGCTTATCCGGGCACGCGTCCTTAACCTACTCAAAGTATCAAAAAATCAGATACATCCTGCTAATAACCTGATTATAACCATTGTGCGTATCCTCAAGTTGACACCATCGTTTTGACCTCATATACGAAAACTTTAACAGGGATTTAAGCACCCTACCAAGACCGATCGAAGATTTTTTCAAAGTCGTATCCGCGAAATGATCCAAGAAGGCATCATCGAGAAGGTAGTTGTCCCTAACAGGAAGAAGAATTCAGCATCGTCTGTGACTTGTTTTCGACTGGTCGAGGAGGTCCAATCGAGAGCGCAAGGTCCAATTGCTGTGCCGGACGCGGATGACGATGAAGATAATGAAACTGGTAACGTTATCATTGCCTCCCTCGCCCCAGGAAATTCATTCGCGCTACAGAACAAGCCGGCGTCAAAACTAATACGACGATACACAAGCAAATCATCGATCTCTTGGAGGAGTCAGGAACCAAAGGAATGACGCTTAATGTAAATTCGTGTATGGTCGTTATCGTGTATGCTGATGCCTTTTTTCAGGAACTTTCTGCTGCTTTGTGTCATTTCGACAAGAGGACAATAGAACTCCTTCTCACTCGCGCTGAGAAGGTTCAACCGCCTTCACATTTAAGTGATCTCGGTATTTCTGGCCTCATGGAGACTTTTGGGCGGGAGCGACGACACAGATACTACACCGTGTCCGCATATCATTCTCTGGTATCCCAGGAAAATTTAGATACGTCATCTGCGAGGCTGGCGGAAGTGGACTTTGGAGACTCGTGTGGGTTCATGCCTGTGGATCCAAAGAGCTTTTACGGTGATACAAAAACTCTGATAAAACACCAGGATGCCGGCAGGGAAGAATTGACCAAAAATTTGAAGGCTAAGAAGGCACCGAAAAATCCTGTCTTGCCGGACAGATCCGTTAAGCTGGGCCGTACAAAGAAATCGCAGGCCGGTGAAGACGGAACACCTGTCCAGGAGGAAACACCTCAGCGCCAAACCAAAAAGCGCAAGCGCAAAGCTGATGAAGGTCAAGAAGCTGACGCAGATGCCGATTCCGCGGGTCCATCTACGAAGAGGCGAAAAACTGCACGGACTGACGGTGGTGACGCTGTGCAAGGTAATGCATCTCCGGTTCTGTGATGCGTCATGCTCACATTCCGCTGTTTAGCTGTTCCGAAGAAGCGAGGGCGACCACGGAAAGGCAGGGCCCAGGACAGTGATGTTCAAGCACCACAGCCCGCTCGATTGGTGACTCGGAGAAGTGGGAAGAGAAAAGGAAACAGCGATATTCGGCTTGAGGATCAGGACACCGTTGCAGACAATATCTCTGATGTCGAAGAGCCACCAGCAAAGCGACTTCATCGTTCCGTCTCTGTCGAACGGCAGACGTCCAAGCTGCCCATATCGGATCTATCTGACCGGGCGGGCATAACAGAGCCCACCGTAGAATTGCGAGAAACCCCTGCTGAAACGATAGCACCGTTGGAAGCGAGAGCTGATGATATTCGTAATCCTCCTCCGGTCACACCAATGGGTATGGCTACGGCCACAACTCCAATTCCACACGCTGCAGTTGTCGCTGAAACTCTGCAAGCAGAAGAAACTCAGCCGGTCCTTCCTGTTGCCGAGACTGCAGAGATTCCTACTGACCCTGCATTGCTGGGAGATTCTATGCAGAACGTGGAAGAAACCGTGCGTGTAACGATCTCTCCGTGATATTCCATTCTTATCTAGTTATACAAAAATTTCGCAGACAACGGAAGCAGACCAACAGCTGAACGCACCCAAGGGGAGAGTCAATGTTTCTCATCTTCGCCGAGAAAACGAATTTTACAGGGTTATTGAGTTGCTAGGAGGGATCGTCAACACCCAAACGAAGGATTTATATGATGCTCATTCGAGCCTACTGGAAACCCTTTCACTAGCCGGAGAACCCACTAGTTCTCCTGCTGGTACACGGACTGACAAACGTACGGCTAACGCTACGTTTAACAGCTTGGAAAGTCGTGGCAGAATCAAGCAACTTAGGACTTCTGTTCCTGGACCTGCAGGTGTTAGCCGACCAACGGTAATCGTGTACTTGCTCGACACGCCAAAGGAGAAGTTGGCGGTTTTCTTGGCAGAACTCGCGAAAGGCTCTATCCCCATTCCTCCCCAGCCGATCATTGCTCGAAAGATCGATGACCCTGTGGAATACGGACCCGATCCTGCTCTCATAGCTCGTGAAGGCCTTCCGCTGCAATTGTTACAAATGGAGAATTCTTCAGGTCACGACCAGGCCGAACGGTGGAAGAAAAATACTGCCCGTGCAGAAAAGCTTTTCAGCCATGACGACACAGTGATTAAGGAGGTACTGCTGGCAGAGCGGACTACGCTGGGTCAGAAGTACGGAAACATCGTTGCGAAAAGTTTGCGGTCCCGGGAACTGCATATCACTGCTATGAAAGCCTTCGAAAACACAGATCCCTCCTCACAGATTGTGTCCCATGAGCACCGAGTATTGAACTTATCGTTCTTTTGCTATGATCTCCCACTCGAACTCTACTGCTCGCTGCTGTCCCCGCTTTTCCACCATGAACAGCTCACACAATTTCTTGCGAACCCGGAATGCCGCCAAACGTTGGTACGAGATTTGCCTCAGGGTTTGCAATCAATCCTTCAAATCGGAAAATCACGGGCAAGATCTCGATTCCTTGATATCCTTGAGCTTTTAAGACACCTAGGTCTTGTCATCCCATTGACGCCATCCAAGTCGGCATCTCCGTGGCTGCAGTGTCATTCGTTGGGAGATCATCCGAAAGGTTATGAACAGGCTTCGTTGGAGGGCTGGACAGCTAGCACTCCAACTACTGCGCCAACTTACTGGCAGTTCAAAACATCCGCCCCTCTGTATCATTGGGCATCATCGGAGTTGTCCCCTCCATTCCTGCAAAACGTTAGCGTCCGTACTTTAGACGAAGTTTCCAAGTATTGGGAGCTACTCAGAGAAGCGTGTTTGAACAGCAGCGTTTTACCTGCCATCACCGACGGCCAGGCTCCTCTGCCCATCCCCACGGTCTCTTCCAAGGTCTCTCGGTCTCTTCGTCGTTCAGTGTCTTGGAATCCCAACTATGTTTTCACTTGGCACCAAACCCAATACCTTCGACGTTTCGTGAATATTGACACGGGAAAAACGCCTCTTGACCTGGAAGACGGAGGCGCTGCGGAGATCGCCAGAATCTCTGATATCATCAGTGCGCCTCCAGAAGCGGTGCGAGAGCACTATGCCACCGCTCACGAGAAGATGGTGAAGGATCTAGAGAAAATGGAGCGTCGACGGAAACGCGAAAGTTCCGAAACCAGGGCAAAAGAGGCTGCGGACGCTAAAGCAGCTCTTGCGAAGAGGGCAGCAGATGCACGTTTACATCGAGAGCACGAGTGGGATGATCTGGTTATGAAGGTACATCCGGAACCATCGCCATATGCGGGCATCCGTTTGCGAAAAATACAGGCTCGATTTCTTCAGTCCGTAGGGAAGGAGACGGACAAGTGGGAAAGTGAAGTAGAACAGGCTTTCCGGGAAGCTGACCTTGCATCAGCCCAAATTTTGAAAACATCTCAGGCTCCCCCAATACATAAAGTTAGACCTCGTCCACCTCGAATTACTTCTTCAACCGTTTCGGTTCAACCAACCCCATCGACTTCAACCTCCTCTGCGCCTGTGGCCTCATCTGCACCTACTCCGATCACAACAAATCCGGTAGAAAAATCAATTTATGCTCTCATTGCTGAACAAGGTCCGCCTATCATTCCGCCGCCCCGCACCGACTCCAAACGAAAACGCAGGCGGAAATTGGAGGAAGCTGGAGAAGGTATGCGCTTTCTTTTAAGTTGAGAGTTCCACCTCTTAGTTAAAATTGTAGAGCAACCGCCGGAACCCAAAGTTAAACCCATTACTCGCAGACATCGCTTCCAGTGGAATAAGGATTACGAAGAGCTTGCTCGGGATGCATCGGTTATCATCAGAGCCAGATGCCGAAATGGTGTGCGACTCGATTGGGGAGCATTTGAACAAGTATTTCCGGCGGTTCCGAGAAATAGTGTACGTCAGCGCCTAGCACACATTCGAGAATCGCCGGGAAATGAGGCATATCTCACTCGTCTAGAGGACCGGTGGTATGATCTCTGGATGAAACATCGAGGTACGGTTGTCCTACCTGATGATGATCTCAATAGTGCGACAAACTTCAATCTGATTCGTCATCTCGAGTTCCTGCGGAGCCATATTGACAAGAATGCTTTGTGAGTGTATCATTTTTTCTCGTGAGACCTTTTAACACTAGCGATAGGCGAGTCGGTTATGCCCAAACGCAAGAAAACTCGAATGCAGAGTTGATCATACCTGGTACCATAGATGAGCTTTTAGACGGCTTCAACGTCATCGAAACCGCTACAACTGGCCCAGCATGGGACTTCATGTGGAATGGCGTTGTCGAAGAGGGTCGGGAAAAACGCTTAACGTCACAGCCGTTCCTTGATACCCTTGGCGATCTGGGTGAAACGCCAGTTAATGATGCACTTGCGATAGCCGAATCTGCATTGAAGGTAAGAATATAGTTGTGCATTTTTTACCCCTATTAAACGTACCTAAGATGGCACTCGGTACGCCTCTGGAACACTATGATGCTGAAGGAGCGTCAACTCTTCTGCGAAGCGCTGCAGAAGAACATATCGTCACTTCTGCCACCAAAGGTCTTGTCAGCCGTGGTGTCCTGTCTAAGCTCGTCCGAGATCATCATAGACAGAAGCCCGGAAGACAGTTGAAGATTTCTGACGCGTAGGCTCATTTTATTTCCAATCATTGTACCCGTGCTGACTTGATGACAGAAATCTAGCAGCTTTGGGAGGATCCATCAGTAGCGATCTATTCCAGGACGCTGCAGGGCTCGAAGAAGACCTTGCGGCTGGAGAAAGTGATATGTGGAGAGAATGGCCTTTAACAGCGACTGACGGAGACTCGGCAGCTCTAATCCAGCTTGTGTCAGACAACAAGGTGGGTCATCACATTCCTCTTTGTCTCATTGCTCGGCTCAACACACTGATACGTGTTGTGATTAGGTCGATTTTAAGATCGACACGACCAATGCTCAAGCAGCGCGACCCATGCTTGACTGGAATAGTAAGAAAGCGGGTATGACAAAGTTCTTCGCGGCAATTAAACAGCTCTTTGCTAAAGTTCGATCTGTTAGATGATGATCAGATCGAATCACCACTTCATGTTCAATTTCACAACATATCGTTACGGTCGTCAAGCTCACAGGTGACACCGATCGTCCAGCTCATGGACATTGATCCTGTAGGAAGTAAAGGGACTTCCGATACAGTGCATGGACAAGCAGTGGACGGATCAGCCGCGTGCTGTAGACGAGCGACCGATAATGGCGTAGTTGATTGTACTGGTTGTTTGGATGAGCAGTGGGCCAGAGTCAGCTCAACGTTCAGTCCCGGGGACATGGCCATAGCACATTCGATCCTAAGTGTCGTCGGTCAAGCCGGAGGTCAAGGGGCTTCTAAGATCACTCTTGCAGTAGGTGTCTGTCGCCATCCTTTGATATACAACTGACATCGACGCTGGTATCTAAGGAAAATACCAAAATCAGTATGGATGCGCTGTTACCGGTTATTCAGCGACTAGCGGAACGCCCTTTGCCGTTGCTATATTGGGTCGGCTACTCTTCTGTATACTTGGTATCTGCAGCGCACATCAAGACGTGGACAGTGACGTTACCCTCTGAGATCCTTTTGAACATTTTCCCTCGCCGGTGGATTGACGTTCGTGGTACTAAGCTGGTGGAGGTTTGGGAAGCAGCTCTAAGAGCCGCTATAGGAGTGATTATTTTCCGACCTGGTATATCCCAGGTGGGTGGTATTGACATTGAAAGGATATGTATCTAACTCTGGCCTCCTAGGCGGAACTTCGCTGGCGACTTCGGGGGGTTTATGACAGACAAGAAGTCTACGACATCCTCCAGTATCTGCTGGAAGATGAGATCATCAAGACCTCGATTAGCAGTCAAATGGTTCCTGTGCTAGATGAAAGAGAGGAGAGGAAAGTTTTCTACTTCTTAAATCAGTCAAAGAAATGGTATCGTCTCTGAACGCACTCCAAGCAATAGAGCATTTTATCCTGTTTTGTGAGTGCTGCGACTCTTTCATGCGAGAGATAACTGACATGCGAATAGTAAACAACAAGGACGTTCATCTGAAAACCTCAATTGTATACTATAACACTCATTTGCAGGCTTAGACACACTTAACTGTTAATTCTGTGAAGTACATTATGAAATTAATAGCGTATTTTTCACTCAACAAATTATCATCCGAGTTGTATATCCTCACTATTTACCGGCGCGATCTCCTGGGCCTTTTTCTCTCGTTTTTTTGCCCTAGCTTTGGCGGATTTGGACAGCTTTCTCCGCAATGGGGGTTGATATCTGCTAGTAGTCAAGATATGCTTGATAGTGCGGGTAAAATGACTGACGTTGCACCCTTTGCTACAAGCTCAGGTAACTCGCGATGACTAAGAGTGATCCTCATGAAAGGCTTTTGTACTTGCTTCGGACTGGAGTACTGTATGAGGGAGGTAGTTCGACCATGAAATAACCGAACATACTAATTTTTCCCTTCTAAAGCCATTATTATCGAGGCGGCTCGTTTCTCCTCTTTATCCTCGGGTGTAGTATCCTCCTCGCCAAGTCCGATGTCTTCAAGGGAACTGATCTCATTGTACTGATGCAGACCGAAAAGCCTCGGCAGATGCTTCAACTCCAAAATCTTGACATATTCCCTTTTTATGATTTCGACGACAGAGATGAGTCGTGGAATAGTCGTTGTCGCATTCGAGAGAGAGCCTTTTGTTGGCTTGGGTTCTTGGAGGTTCCGAGGGGCAGGAAGTGTGTGTAGGACGATAGATTCGGAGCCCTCTTTCTGAATGAATGCAAACAAAAGATCTGGTGCCGACCGGTCAGGCATAGCTTGAGTAAACGAACCTGTAAATGCTCAAGCGCAAAGGCAACCCAGGTGTGCATCTTGCCATGATTGGTTATTCGTATTTCTTGAGGTGAAGCGTCGCACTGACGAGCATTATCAGATGTTTCGACCGTTCTTACGCTCATCGTCGCGTCGAAGATGGGAGCAGAAGGAAGAATTTAGATGCAATTACTTTTCCTAAAAATCTGGCCAAGTTTAGCCTGGTGCCGGTCCGACGACCCGGTGATCAACGTCTTCTTGTTACTCTCATCTCTCCTTTGTTGAAAACATGACGCAGGCTGGGCCATCACAGACACCGCCAGCAGAACGTGCAGTGCCACCTCTTCTACTGCCTGAGGCCCTTGGATTCTCTCCACAGCTACTCCTCGATGACATTATCAACATTGCCAACAGCGCTCTCCTCGATGGCGTCAGTGGTATGGAAAGTTACCTACAGAAATGGGCAGAGGAACGCGCAGACCGACTTGGAAGTGAATGGGACAACACACAGGAGGTAGAGCAGGGACTTGTCTCTTTCCAGACTCTCCTGGAGCACCATACCGACCTTGCCTTTGACTTTTTCGAGGCTTGGTCTCTCCGAAATATCTTCGCTGTACCTCCAGATCTTCCTCTTGTCCTGCCGCACCAGGAAGGACTAGATCTTACACTTCGTCCGGAAAGAGAGCAGGAGCTGATGGATGAGAATGCTGAACTGAGGCGGCGGCTGAGTGAGGTGCGACATGCCTTCAAGTAACTACTGACTTGGTACTAACGCGTTGTTCGCAGCAAAAGCAGCTGAAACGAATGCAGATAAAGGCTCTCCACGCAATAACAAACCGACAACGGCGGTCAGCGAAACGCCTGGAGCGGCTCTCATTCCTTGACACGCCGGCGCTGGATGTATCGGCTGCCCTACCTCGTAAATTGATGGAGATGCATTCTGCCGTGTCAAATTTACCGCCAATAGATCCGGAGACCATTGCGGCACTTGCACAATTCCAAGAGACGGATTCTGGCAAGCGACAGTGGGAAACGAGCAAGTCGGGGTATTTGAACTGGGCTGTTTCCCAGCTGTTGTCTCGATCTAAAACGCGAGAAGGAGGCGGAGAAGTAGAAGGAATAACTGAACAGGCTGCTGAGATTGGCCAAGCGGAGCAGCTGAGGCAAGCGTTCGAGATTACCAACGGCGTTCGGGAGGACTTGGAGAACGCAATGCAGATGGATACGCGATGAATGGTTGCAAGATCATGTTGCTGATATTCTCCATCAAACAAACTCATCTCGAGTATCTGATTCTCTGATTATCATTGTATTTTTGCTATCCTAGATTTGTATATATGTACTTCACAGGCGCTGTATGATTGTCGCCACCCACTGCATTTGATAACCCCGAGATGACCATTGCCATTTTTTTGGGTTATCTTCAAAGTATGAATGGGCCCTAATATTGGCAGTATACCTTGGATCTCGTAGGGAAATGAACATGTAGATTGTGAATATCTGCTTCCTTCTGCTCTGTAGTGGCGAGAAACAAACAATTTCGAAATTTCGAGTTTCCATGGACGACATGGCAACTTGCACGTGCCAAGGGCAGTCAATAAGAAATGGCATTGGCTTCTTTGGCTTGTCTTGAGCCATCACCAGGGCTTCACGCTTGACTCCTTCCACCTCTTTTACCTCTCTTTTTCTTTCTTACCTTCACTTCCTTGCCTTTCCTTTCGGCAGGCCCGTTCTTACCGCCGTCGCGCAAGCTCGCCAACGCCCTAGAGGCGGTTTCCATTCTTTAGGTTCGTGTGGGCTATTTATTGGCACGAAGGCGCCAATTCAAAGCATCTATAGATTCCTGCGCAATGCGTGTCAAGCAGATCTGGGAGGTAATCCCGCTTCCTGCAAAGATCAAGCTACTGGTGCGTAAACTATACCGTTAGTGAATTCGTTTACAGGCTGACGACGTCTAGTGGGATCGCCTTACATTCTCGCGACTCACGACTACATATTTCCTCTTCTCGCTATGCCACTGCATCATACAGGTGGCTCTCCAGGTCAGGGTCTTCACCATCAACGCAGATGCTGCCGCCTCTCTCTGGAGCCTCGCCTCTCAAGCCAATGCTACCACCTTGAATGGTTCCCACGCAGTCCCTGACTTGCAGCTTGGTTATCTTCGCCTGTGTAATGATGTTCCTTCCGACGCAACTTTCTGTCAAGTTGTCTGGAATGCCACTGCCGTTATTCCAGCCAATGCATCGTTAGAGAGCTCGTTTTCTGCCAATGAATCAACGTCAGCCGAGCAGTCGACATCGACATCGGTGTCATCAGTGTCTTCGGTGTCTTCTGCTGGTTCTTCAACCTCACCCTCGTTTTCTACCAAATCCGCTGCTGAAGCAGCTAGCTCCAAGGCTTTGGAGTCCACGACTACCGTCTTTGTTGTAGCTACCCCAGCAGTCACATCATCTGTTGTCAATGATGCAGATATTGAAGAGAACCACTCCAGCAATGACGACGACGAAGAGGACGAGGACGAGGACGACGAAGACGACGCCGACAATGTATGCAATCGCGCTCTCTTATGCAACTATCTTATCTAACTACGAGAAACAGGACTTTCATAAGCGCCTTCAATTCAGTATGCCCAACAGTCGTCGCTCAGTCAATGCTTCAACTCTGATAGCCGATCTCCCAAAAAACTGCCTTTGGTCTCTCAACTGGCCTGTACTAATGTAAGTGGTAGACTGGACTGTCTTTTTTCCCTTATGAAACGCTCTTTAGGCTCGACAACACCAAACGAGAGGACGTAATATTCATTGCCTTCCAGATCGTGAGTCGCTTGCACTATCCTACTACTAGGATTGATAGTTATTACTATAGTGGGTACTGGGCATGTCCATTGTGGCGCTTCTGAACGAGTCCATTCCCCACATCTTTGCATCGTTGGCTACACACGCATTGGCAACTGCCTGGTCTATCTACCAGATCATCCATACTGCAAACTTTCGTTCAAACTTCAACCGTGTCATCACCAATGGCACATGTGGTGTTTCGTTGTTACCTAAATACTGGGATGAACGTGCCAGGGCAGAGTATCCTACGTTGGCCCTGAATGTTGTTGCTCTGTTGGTATCTGCGGTCTTGACATGGCACTTGATCAAGGTAGGTTTGTATCGTGTTATCCATAGAGTCGTTACTGATGTAATACCCGATTTAGTTGTTCGGCTGGCAAACATTCAAACGAGTAGGCGCTTCTATGACGATGAATCGCATCTACAAGCTTGTCCTACTCTTGTCGATTACACTCCAGCTGTCATTCTTCTTCATGGGTGCCACCATATCTCTGTGGATAGATAACCTTTTCAACGGGGTCGCTGCTCAAGTGGCGTGGTATGTAGCATTCTATAAAGCCACCTCTTTCGTAACGGAAATTGTACGTCTCCATCAAGCTGTGAGAATATCATAATATTAATCTGTCCATCACAGTTCTTAATCCCGTGGATCATGACTGTAAGATCATATGAACCATAATTTTACTCTCCGCCTCATGTTTAATTTTAGGGTTGGGTTGCTGTACGCAAAGAATCGAGGCTTCCGATGTTCATATTCCTCGTCCTCTGCATTCTATATCTAGGGGGATGGAGCCTCATGTTCTTGTCTACCACTTTTCGGTGGACATTCGTGACATGGCGCTTCTTTAGTGTTATGGCCACAGCCTCTGTGCTTTTGACTGTTACGGCTTTCATCCTTGGGATCATGTGTCGATTCAATTTTGGCAAAGGCTTGCCCCGCTATTGTGAGCTACTTCACTGACCTTTATTTTCATTGAAATTAACTGAAATTTTCTGCAGTGGATGCACAGGAACCCTTACCTGGGGATGACTTCACAACAGTATACAGTTCAGACATAGAAAAGGTACACTTCCCGTCCAACGAGAAGCCCATTCCGACATTTTCGGCATCATTTGGATCTGGTAGTGAAGTTCCACCACCCAGATTGATGTTCCCGTCACGAATGGGCCCCAGGTTCTTTAATCGTTCCGCACAGCCATTTGAGACCCCAAGCAACCAATCTGTCGTCACTGTACCTTCACCAGTTGTAACTCGCGCGGCATCGTTCGATTCTGGTATCGACCTTGGAAGAAGCGGCAGCCATTCTAGCGGGAAAAGCTTTGGTACCTCGGTGGATAGCTATTACTACAATTTTTCTCTTCAGGGTGACCATTATCGCTCTGGTAGCGAGAATTCATCCCGTACCGTGCGGGGAAAGCGATGGGAAATAGAGTAGATAGATGTGCATCCAGTTTTCGAGTTTTTCAGTTGATCTGCTTTCGTTTTGATGCTTGAACGTATTCTTCTGACCTTTGCTTGCTTGCAATGCATTCATATACTCCCTGGTATCTGCAGCGTACAACTTGATAAGCAATGAAAACAAAACAGAACGTGTACAGAAGTGAGTGCTACATGAGAACAGAATGCAGGTGGAGTAATAAATACGGCGGTACAACGATGTTCTTCATCCCGGTGACTCAAAATCAACTTCGGATGAAGAATCAACTGGCGTGAGTATACCCGGTACGTTCAGGATCGACTCTGGCGTTGTCTCAGGCGACGCCATCTTCATAATTTCCGCCTGCTTCTCTTGCATCAGCAAGGCTTGTCGTGCAACTGCTCCATTCTCATCCGGTGACACTTCGAGTTCCTGTTCATGAAGGAGGGAGTTCCGGAAGTCAAGCATCCAAGGATGCTCCCTCAGCTCCAGGGCGGTCGGTCGTTTCATTGCATCGATGGTCAAGCACTGCTTGATAAAATCGATGCCCAGCTCGCTGAGCTGGCCAGGCTCCGGTAGCGGCGGGTGCTGAGTTGCGACTCCGATGTGGAACATGATTGCCCTAGCGCGAACACCATCAGCGGGTAATTTTCATCGAGGTGTAAGCCTGACATACCATTCGTTATCCAGGTTACTCCATGGTTTCTTTCCCGTAGCAAATTCAAGCACTACACATCCGAGAGACCATATATCCATGGCACCATGTCGACCACGTTTATCATTCTTAATGATCTCGGGTGACATGTACATGGGAGTACCCGTAAGGCTATTGTTGAACTTCCCTACGCCATCTGGCACCGCGGCATTTAGATGCTCTGACGAGCGTCGCGTAGCGCTTTTCTTAGCAACGATTTTGGCAGCACCAAAGTCGACAAACTTGATCACGCCCATATGGTCGAGGAGAATGTCTGCAAAAGAGACCTTCAACAGGGCATGCATTGCAAGAATATTTCGACTTACTATCAGGTTTGATATCCCGATGAACTATGCCTTGAGAATGAAGATAGGCAAGGCCATCTAGCATCTGTATAGTATACACCTGGATGAGAAGCTCGTCTTCGATCCTGCCGTGCTCCAGCCATGCGGCAAGGCTACCCCCTTGGCAATACTCCTCGAAGATATAAACCTTATCTCGATGTACCTCTATACCATAGTACTCGACAATATTTGGGTGCTGCAACATCTCCATGACGCTCAGCTCATCTTTGATCTCAGCGTAGAGATCGCGAACGCCAACTTCTTGGTTTTTAATCTCTTTCACAGCCATCAAAGAGCCCGAATCCAAGTTGACCGCAAGGTAAACCGAGCCAAAAGCGCCAGCCCCAATAAACTTGCCTTGCTGCCAGCGTATTGCGATGTTGGAACTGGAATTGGCTAGATATACGAGTGAGCGATCCTCAGGTTTCTGATCGTCCAAAACGCGGCCGATGGTGTGGAATCCTGCCCCTATACGTTCACGCTCTTCGTCGACACGTCGTAGCGAACGAACCGCCTTCTCCCAGTACTTGCGAGCACTCACATCAATGGTGCCAAGTCCATTGTCCTGAGCAAAGACCTTGTGAAAGTCGTCAAGTGGCGTTACAGCTGTCTTCTGCTTGGCCAGCTGCTCCTGCTTCTCCTTCTCCAGAATGTTAGATCTAGCGCCGAGGATGTCAAAGTGCCCAGTGAGCAGCATCATGCATCGTGCAACTCCACTGCGAAGAACCTGAAACTGCTTATCTGGAAGGTTCAGGATGTTCCGGACGGTGGATTGGAAGGTGAATTCAAGGGCATTCACCGCCCATCGGAAGGTCTTCTGATCGTCAGGGTTACAATCGTTACATATGAAGTTCAGCCAAGATATGGCAAGCTTGATCATCAACCGATTGAAACCGGTAGACGAGGACTTTTCGAGGTGTCTTTGTGCGTGTTGACCATGTTCCGCGGCGAAAAGATACCAACTCTCCATTAGCTCGTGGCGACCCATGGTTATCGTCATGGTGCTGCGAACGTGGTGAACTGAGTCGACAATGGACTCTGCAAGCCGCATCGTAGACCTGTTCATTCTCTGGAGCTCTCGATCTACGCCGGAATAATGGGCTTGCCAGTCTGCAACACATTTCATGGGTATGACAGGATGCTCAGTCATTTCCCCCGTTTCGTCCAGCGCAAACGTCTGTGCAAACGCTTCTTTCGCGAGAGTAAGCCGTCGAAGGCCTCCATCTGCAATAAGTCGCATCCTGTTATCTTCAAGCGCAAGGTCCATTTTGGGAATATCAGGCACTTTGACGATTTGGCCGCGCCACAGAAACGATGCGCGGGGTGAAAGAACTAGCAGATATTGAGCGGGAAAATCTTTTTCGCCTTTTCTCTTATCCTTCCCTGCTACCTCTTCCTCGTCTCCATAAACCACGTGTCTATCCTCACTGAGAATCTCAGAGGGATTATAAGCATCTTGCATAATGCGAGCTATCGCTGCCTGATTGTCTATGAGGTTTGGAGATGCAACGACATAAAATCCTTCTTCTTCGAACTGATACGTGTAGACAAGGACAAATCCGGCGGATGAAAGAAAGTTAAAGAAATCGTCAATAATGATGTCCTCGAGACTGTATTCGGCGGCGTTGGTAAAACGCTGGTTAAGCATTCTGTTCATATCATTAATCTACACTTAAAAAAACCAGGTAGGATGAACCCACCGTGCATAACGTTGAAGTTTGCGATATCGCAGCCGAACACTTTCCAGAAGTTTGTTATACCAGTTAACCTTTTGCTCGTCGGACGAGACTCTGAATGTATCTGATTGGCCAGGACTATGCTCTCTCGACTTGGTGGACGCATTCAAGTCGACTGAATTGAGCATATACTCTGAATGCTTGTGGCGGTGTTCTTGTGTATTCTCTCTCGTGGGGACGCGCACTTGTGTATCGAAGTAGTTAATCATTCGCACCATAAGGCGGTTAGTAGTAGAGCTATGGAAGGTTTTTGTATCAGCACACAGACGTCAAGAGGTCTTTTGAGTACACACCATAGCTGTTCAGCGACTCGGGCAGAGCCACCGGTGACGGTCAGGCTAACGTCAATCATCGTAGGCCACTGAGCCTCCAGAATATCCGTCTCGTTGATTCCTTTTGCCCCACTCTTTAGCTTCAAGTGTATCAGTCTAAAAAATTGCGTTACAGCTTGTAGGATGCTGTCCTCATAATCTTCCACTGATACACTGAGATAGATTCCAACTCCCGCTGGGGTCCGGTGCGAGAAAGGCTTCGTACTGCCGTTTTAGCGTACAAGCGAGACCAATACTAAGGCGAAGATCCTCTGTCATCTGGTCGATAATCATGACCTCGGGATTCTTTAGGCTCTGCGCGTATTCCATGCGGAGATGCAAGCAGGCTTGAGCAAGCTTCGTCGGAAATGCAATCAAAGGCCTAACCTCCGTCTCGAAGGTTGGTAGGTTCATGATTTCGAAGGAGGAGGCAAAAGTAACTTGTGCACTTCGCACACCGCCGATGAATTCGTGAACGCTTCCAAGGAAGCCTTTTTCAAACGTAGTCTGCATTGACTCCTCCTTCAGTACCCTTTCCACGAAACTGGAACTATCGGCGATTTCTGTAGCTCCGGAAGGGGATTTGACGTTGGTACCGATAGGTTGTTCAGCTGAAGTATTGGGTTGGGTGACATCGAGGTTTTCGCTTCCTGTCCACCGCTGGAGGAGAGATATCTGATCGCGAAGACGTGTCAGGATGGTGGAATAGGTGTTCAGGGCGTCCCACCGATTTTGAAAAGTAGGTTCTTTGGTGATAGGTTTGTCGTTGTGGAAATGCTTCAGATGGGGATATAGAGACTGAGCAATGTCGAGACGCGCAAGAAGGTCGCTGACCTGCTTCAGCGCCGGGTCATCATCATGAGGGTCGTACCGAAACTTGACAACCTCGTCGATGATTGGGTCAACAACCCGTAGCCTTCTTTCTTCCACCGCTTTCCGCTCCTCCTCCAATGTAGTACCGTGGAAGCTAGAACGAAGTCCTAGCCATATGTTGAGATTGATGTTGTTGCGTTTGTCACTAGAACTCTCCAGTACCCGCTGTATTCGAGTCTTCTCCGATTTCAAGACGTCACCAGCGAGAACAGAGGCAAAAAGAACCTGCCACTCGAGACGGGCTTGCTCCTCTGCAGATGAAGCCTGAATCTGTGGGTCGTTCTCTCCCAGCAGCAGCTTCCTATCTCGACCATCTGCACCCAACAACCTAGGCGCATCTTCATCATCACTGTCAACATCTTTCTGAAAGTAGTTGTAGTGGCTATCTGGATCGTCTCGAGGGTCTACAGGCTCTGTATTTCGGTATCGACGTTGGAATTGTGAATACAAATCTGGATATTTGGTTGCAGATGGCACAGAGCTAAGGGAAGAATGAGAGCGTTGGAGAGGGGCTGGCAAGGAGTTGTGAGATCTGAGCCTGCCGGAGGAGCTGGATGATGCGAAGGAAGGGGAATACGGTGAATCGGAGGGTAGAGAACCCCACGCAGCCTCATCGTCGCCGTCACCGACATCGTCCTCTGGATGAGAATAGAGCGTTGGCGTATGCCGTCGCATAGGAATTGGCAACGGTAGTAGAGGCGAGACAGCGTGTGGCAATGCTGCCGGTGTTATCTTATCATCTGATTACTTTCGATTCTCCCTTTTGCTCAAATACAGTCACCATGGGTATCGTTGAAAAGGTCAATTTCTTTTTTTCTTCTTTTGTGGCAGGTTCTTACTGCAGTTCTGCTTCAGATCAAGGAAATCGAGGGTAAGCAATCTAGCCGATCCGCCTCTTTCGTGCTCATCATGGCCCAGATGAGATGGCAAGAAGTAAGTTATGCCCTTTTGTTCTGGAATCGAGCTTGACTATTGCTTATCTGCTATTTAGCGCAGAAGAATAAGGTGAATCTCTCAATATCCTTCTTTACATTGCCTGACCTCTCCACACACCGAAGTAGGCCACGGAGTACCATCTGGGCTTGCTGAAAGCCAAACTTGCTCGCTATCGTGCACAGTTACTCGAGCCGGCTTCAAAATCTGGGCCTGCTGGTACAGGATTTGACGTTCAAAAGTCTGGAGATGCTCGAGTTGCCTTGATCGGTTTTCCATCGGTGGGAAAGGTGCGCAAAATCTCGAAACGCTACTCTCTCTACCTCACGTATTTCAGTCTACACTACTCAGTAAACTTACGCATACGGCATCAGAAGCAGCAGCATACGAATTTACAACCTTGACGGTTTGTTTCATGTTTTTATCGAGGTTATCTATAGCTCTCATCTAGGAGTAGGCTATACCTGGCGTAATTGAATACAAAGGGCGCGCGTATACAGCTCCTTGATCTTCCTGGAATTGTCGAAGGCGCTAGTCAAGGTCGGTAATTTCGCCTCTCTCACCTGTGGCAGACTTTACGTGAACAGGTAGAGGACGTGGTCGACAGGTCGTGTCAAGTACGTGCCACGAGCGTCTTTCGCCGCAACGTCTGACAAATTCTCAGCGGCAAAGACCGCAGATCTCATTTTGGTTATGCTCGACGCCACCAAGTCAGAGGAACAACGACGACTCTTAGAAATCGAGTTAGACGCCGTAGGAATAAGACTCAACAAGAAGAAGCCAGATGTCGTATTCAAGAAACGTACAACAGGCGGTGTATGTGCTACATCAATTTGCTTGGAATAGATCTCTAAACCCTCGCTACAGATTACGGTGCGGCGTGGCCGTCTTTAGGCGAAACGCAGACTCAACATGATTATAGTTCACGTCCACCGTTAAACTGACGAAAACTGACGAGAAGACTATCCGAACGATTCTTGCGGGATGTATGTCTCTTTCAGAGTTTTCGATATGACTCGTTGTGACATTTCTGTTCAGATAAACTTCACAATTGTGATGTTATGATCAGAGAAGATGTATGCATGACACTTCATCTTATCGACCAGCTTGGCATAGCTGACTGTTCCATAGATAACAACTGACGAATTCATTGACGTTCTTATTGGTTCGCCTTTTTTTTTTCAGTGGTTCTCCGGTATGTTTACATGACATTGCAGGGACCCGCAAATATATTCCATGCCTGTGTATGTTATGCAAGGGTACTTATGCGGTGAATTCCAGTCTGATCACCGTCTGGAAGATGTCTATAACAAAATCGACTCCATCAGCCTAGAACAAGTCGACAAGCTTGCACGAACGCCTCACACGGTTGTCATTAGTTGTGAGATGGATCTCAAGTAAATGTCTTCATCCTTCCTCCGTATCCCACTCATTTTGGTCTAGCTTGACATTCTTGGTCGAGAAAATTTGGGATGAACTTGGGATGGTGAAAATATACACTAAAAAACGTGGCGACCATCCAGATCTCAATGACCCCATTTGTTTACGGAAGGGATCCACGATCGAGGTGCGTAAACCTGTTTGGGTTGACGTGAAGAGTGTTGATCCTAGGCGTTAATAGAATGTTTGTAATGGCGTTCATCGGTCACTTGCACCAAATTTCCGATACGCGTTGGTTTGGTAAGTTTTTTTTTCTACAACTTCAGAGCGTAAACCCGGCTGACTGATGAGTTACTAAGGGTATGACCATCGTTCTTGTCCTGTAGTATCCAGGCTGATCGGATATCAATATAATACAGGGAAAGTCTAGCAAATTCAATCCCCATGCACAGAAGGTCAGTATTACGCACTCGGTCCAAGATGAAGATGTCGTTTCCAGTGCGTGACCATTTTGTTCGCTACTATTTGTGGTGAATAACATATACCTCAGTTTTCACGAAGTAATAAGAATAGCGGTTGTAGAAATCCATGTCCGCATCAATGTATTGAATGTTCTAAACGCCTTTGTGATAGGAGCCGCCGGTAGGCGAGGGTTCCGGAGATTAATTGAGGGATCGAATAAGGAAAGGGTCTTTCCATTTATGGACATGATATTGGCGCGTCCCTGCCTGATCGGCATTTTGCGGACGTTCCGAATTGACAAATTGATTGGACCCTTGAAGACCGGTACTTACGGACTTGCCTGGACTTGCCTGATCGCAGGTAACTTATACTTAGGTTACAGTCCTGGTCTGTATAATTTAATAAACTTGAAAGCAGCAGGCCTGCTAACGTTTCTTTACCGTTTGCGTACACCATACATACGCCGCATGTTATCATATCCTTCCAATTTTTGTGGCATCAAATCAAATGAGTGCATCCGCGCCTAATAATGACAGCACGTGAAACATATATTATTGTATGACATGGATTCCGTCAGACCAAGCCAGGACTGCCTTTTCTTTCGTGATCTTCCCGTTCAAAAAATCCCGTCAGCTCCAGAAGGATATTCTTGGGAGATATAGCGAACAGGACCTTTATAACACATAAGGTGTCGCTAATTTTCTTAACCCGCAACCACCATATCACCCTCTGCTATATGTCTCATCCAGTCGAGCTCATTTTCCTCGGCACAGGAACCTCATCGAGTATCCCCCACGTCGACTGCCTTACCAATCCCCCCGATGGAAGGCGGTGTAGAACATGTTTATCTACGCTGTTGCCCGAAGGAAAGAGAAATATAAGGCGGAATACTAGTGCTGTAATCCGTATGGCTGCACCAAAAGACGGACGAGACGTGTAGGGCACTTTTCTCTTCATCGGACCGACCCTTCTTCGTTCATTCCTGCTTATATATCTGAATAGAACGATTGTTATTGATGCTGGAAAGACGTTCCAAGCAGCCGCGGTTGAATGGTTCCCAAAGTATGGACTACGGAAAATCGACGCTTTACTCATCACTCATCCGCATGCCGATGGTAAGATTTATCGTAAACACGGATCAAGTGACTCATTGCAGTCACTTTAGCGATGAATGGTTTGGATGATCTCCGGGGTAAAGGCATTTCTTTGACACGAGTCCTTTCTCTTATCATAGAATTTAGGGTGGACACTCGGCAAGCGGATTCAAGAACACATAGACGTTTATGTTTCGCAAAACACATTCACTGAAGTTCAGAGATGCTTCCCATACCTTGTGTCCAAGGAATTCGCATCCGGGGGTGGAGATGTAAGTAATAATCCAATCCATCATTCTCTTCTTTCGACTACTCTTTGTTAGGTCCCTGAATTTAAATGGCATATAATCGACGACAAGGTCCCCTTTGAAATCGAAGATACCGGAATAATGGTTACGCCTTTTTCTGTTCACCACGGACGAGTGTTCTCTACTCCCCCATGCCCTTCTACTATGTCTACGCCAGCCACGGTACCTTCGACTCCCACCACGTCCCAGATGAGCCAACTGACTCTTAAGGACTCCCTTGACAAACTCTCCAACGGCACGGTTTCTCCCTCCAGAAGATCGCTGAATGGCAAGGATGTCATTCAACCATACTACTGTTTCGGCTTCAAGGTTCAGGAAGATATTGTTTATCTTTCTGATACATCCTATATCCCGGATGATGCAATGGACATTATCCTCTCTTCGCCAACAGATGACTCACGATCGCGAGCCGCTCTACCCCTCTTCATTCTTGATTGCCTGCATTTACGGCCCCATACGTCTCACTTCGGCATAGTATCTGCTGTTGATACGGCTCGGCGCGTTGGAGCACTTCGCACATATCTTACCGGCTTCTCGCATGAGGTGTCACATGAAGAGTGGGTCAGGATCACAGAAGTGGTTAGCTCTGGAAGGTCACTTGCTCAGCGGCCGGGTCAATGGTTGGATGAAATCACCAACACGGAGCAGCAGGCGTTGGGCATGACCATGAAGGAAGGGGAGAATGCAGTCACCTGGATGCGACCGGCATTCGATGGTCTTCGAATATGGGTGGACAATGATATCGATCAGAAAACAGTTCGGGACGACACATACTGACAATGACTACCTTGATAGCCATCTAATAAGTATTTCTACGTAGAGGATTCGACGATAACTTACAAGATAGTAATGGAGAGGTGCTTTTCGTGAATTGATACTACTATATACTACTGATACATGGGAATCACAAATATGTTACGACGACGACGCGTTAACTATGAGACGACAATGATGAACCGACAAAGAAAATCATTATACAGCGATATTTGTTATTAGTCCTTCGAGAGCCATCCCATCATCCTCCGCCACGGGCCAGTGTTTTGGTGTCCAACTCCGGAAGAACCCCTTTCCTTTTGAGCGGGAGCGGGTTCGTGTGATTCCTCACGCGAAAAATACATGGGAGAATAGGGAGCAGGCCCTCCCAAGGTCTGAAGACGGGACTGGCGCAACATTCCCAAAATTAGTGAAATACCATCCCTCGACTACATAAGCAGAATAAGTCAGCGAAGATGTTGAAAAATCTAGACCTGACGACTTGCCCGTTGTACGTGGGTCTTGAATCGATTCATACCGAAGGTCTCGATTCGTTTCGTAAGGCCCCAGCCAAAACGAGAGCGTATCCGAGCTTCACTAGTTTGGATGGTTTTACTGTTGGGAGGACAGGTGAGTGCCGGACATCAAGTGACGGAACTGAGACGCACCCCTCATCGTTTTGACTGAAAAGTACTGACTCCTCCACCTGCATGACCTTTGTGAACTCGAGATTTTTCGTGGTACAACGAACAGTTTTGCCCATAGGGTCCACCTCGCTCTCTTCGACAACCCAGGACTCTGAGCGGGAAATGATTCCCTTGGGAGCCCAGCGAGGCAAAGCGCCTCGTTTTAAAATAAGACGAGTGGTAATAAGAGTGCCTGAAGATGTCTGTGTGCGAGAAATGACATCGCAAGAGATGATGTGGGAGGCATAGGGATTCGGGTACCGAAGGAAATAAGCAAGGGAAACGATGGGCCACGGGTCGCTACAAGATGAGTAAAAAGATGAGTAAAAAGAGAGCAATGTAGCCTAGGACGACAGCTTACTCGTAAATGAAGGATTGAGTGTAGAACTTCATTGCCACATGAAGGGAGTGAAAGCAAGAGCGGCTCCCACGCGAAGACAGTAGTCAACCCTAACCCGAGCTAGCTCCAACCCTAACCCCGTCGCCACGTAATTCTCAATTCTAGCCCCAGCCTAACTTTCACTGTATCCGAGTGCTCCCCGACTCTAGGCAGTCAGCCTTGATGTACTTTCCGACTTCGACAGCACGACGATTATCGACTGTGCCAGCCCTTCCAAACATCCCACCCGAGCATGTTGTAGGCCTTTGTCCGAGTCCACGTAAATCATTCTTTGCTACCCTTACTAGAAACGGTATCTCTATCTGGCGCGTTCGCGTACGTCAACTACATTTTTTCCCCAAACACTGCCTAATTCTGAAAACGACAGCCTACTGCTGTCCTCGCGCACTTGTCGCGAACTCCGACGTCAACCTTTGACCATGGCGAGAATGTGAAAGCATACTGGGCGCCGGATGGATCGCGAATTGTCATTCAGGTCAGTGCTGCCGCTTCTGGTTCGCGTCTCTCTTATGGGTGCCGTTCTAGACTTCTCTTTCGTACCTTGTCCTAATAACAGTCACATACGATGTCTCGGACCCCGTATACCAACCTCCCATACTCACTGCGGCCGCTCAACGCAACTTTCTCGCTGGTCCAGGCGAAGGCCTTCCTTTGAACCCCATCGGTCTTCACTTTGAGGGCGTAATTCGTGTGGAGGGAACTCTGATTAGGTACTCTAGTTCGATGAGACGCCAAAAGAAAACACTGAGCGATCCCAACTAGCACATCTCCTCGCCGGCATTACATTCTTTTCTCTACTAAGAACCCACCTGCAGTCCAGAGAATTCCTTGGCCTTCCGAAGAGGACGAACCGCAAAACGATTATGAAGGCCAGGAACCTCGCAGAAACAAGCGTTTTGGCAGCTACGACACATGGATATTCAACGATCATGAGTTTGAATGGTTCGTCGAACCGGACTGGTAAAGTGCTGTTTTTCGCTCACATACAGGCATCTTGTTCACGCTCGTGTTGAAGTCACCGTCGCCCATATATCAGTATTCTCGTGCAACTGGCGTGGAGACCTGGATAACCTCCGACGGCCGTGCCTATTTTGTCCAGCTGCATGAGTCTGAATCGGAAGAAGAGAGTAGTACGTCGGAGCAGGTTGAAGATGAGAAGGTGTGTGAGTTGTCTTCGCGTCCTTGCATACTCCTTTCAAATCCTTATCCACGCCGCTTACTCTCAGCTCCCTCATACTCGCTCTTCCTTTGATGGCGGATCTCGCCTCCATCCTGCTCCAGCCCAATGGGAGTAATTGGCATGGAACCTGCGTGCACGACTTTCCGACTCCTCGATGGGTGCAAAAGCAGCGCCGTATAGACCCAAATGAACCTCTACACGAACGTAATCGTAGGGCGTACGTGGAACCCAAGCAAGCTGTTTGCGTAGCCTTGAATAGTAGATTTTCTCTCATTGCTGTTGGGATGTTGGGGTAAGCCCTGAGCACCTGCGGCTTGCTAGATATGAATTAACCACTTGCCATTCAGTGGAGGGGTAGCCCTGACATCATTCCCGGCATCTCCGTTTCAAACTAGTCCCCTATCATCTACACCCCTCTCCGTGCCCAACCCCTACAACCGAGATACAGGGCCTGTATGTGCTCTGGAGTGGACCTCGGATGGTTATGTACTTGCAGTTGGTTGGAAGCATGGATGGGCGTTATTCAGTGTTGGTGGTCGATGTCTCGCCAGTGGTGGATTAGGCTCAGGTGAAGAAGGGTCTATCGACGAAAAGACCTTTCAAGATACGTTTATGCATGGCGTCCTGGACTTGGTCAGTGTGGGACAATCTTTTTGCTCTCTCATTAACCTTACTGTCTTCATAGTTTTGGACTCCAGGCAACTTTGAGCTCGTATTGTTGGCACAACTCGCCTCGCATAGTAGGACACGCCGTTTTCAGGGTATACCTCATACTCACGCAATGTGGCAGATGTCGATGGACAGCTATTCGCTGTCCCTTTTGCCAAGAGTGCTACGACAGGCCAACAGTCGCCGGTGAGATTAGTGACAATATCCTTTGTCTTCTCTTTCGGGCTGAGAAATTTGCAGGACAATACTCGTTATGCCTTTCTGCAGATGGATGACAGGGCGCTTGTTTACCGCGGCGCTGATCAGCCTGATATGAGCGTGATCAATCCGGAGTCTGATGTCTGGCAGCATGTAAAGGTAAACAGATCTCTCTTATATACAGTTCTTTTCTGAGGTTTGTTTCGCAGATTCCGTTGGCCTATCTATCGACTAACTGGCCAATACGATATTCTGCTCTGAGCAGCGATGGCCGATTGATTGCAGTTGCTGGTCGAAGAGGACTCGTGCATTACAGCTCGTCTTCGGGCAGATGGAAGGTATTCACCGATGAACTGCAAGAGCAGGCCTTTGCTGTACGGGGAGGCCTGATATGGTTCCATCATGTCCTGATTGCGGCTGTTGAAATGAATAAAACATATCAGGTGGGTATGTACTGCGTCCAGGGGAATTACTAATCGAACACATCGGCGCAGATTCGTTTGTACTCACGAGATCTTGAACTCAGTAACCAAAATGTTCTTCATCGAGAAACACTTTCGACTCCAGTGATAATCCTCTCACTAGTGGATAACTCCCTCCTGGTGTATACCGCCGACAATGCACTCTTTCATTACCTCATAGTCCCTACTGAAGACACTATCAAACTGCATTTATGTGGGAGTATCACTTTCAATGGCATCATTGCCGCTCCTGGGGCAGTCAGGATGCTGAGTTGGATGATACCATCGGCGCAAAAACGTGGGTGGATTCTTTTTCGCAGGATTTTAACAAAAACATATCTTATTCGACGTAGAACTCGGTGATCCAGTGGAAGATCTAGCGGTTGCCACTGTACTGATGGTGGTAGGGGGACAGCTTGTTTTGCTTCGTCCACGGAAGGTGCGATATTTTGCTCCGACATCTAACTGATTTCTAATATCAACCTCGCATGCAGTCTGCAGAGCAAGAAGTCCAATATGACATGCAAATATTTGCTGACCGAATTGAATTTTGTTGGATACACTTGCGCGGAATCGGTGCCCTTGAAAACTCCTTATGGGGCTACGATGGACAGAGTATGAGGGTTTGGCTCAACGCTCTGGCTATTGAAGCGCCACCGCATGACTCTCCCAGTGATTTACTTCCAAAAAACGTCAAAGAGAGCGTTAACATCCCTTTGGATTTTTATCCCTTATGTGCGATTTCCGTCCTCGCTTGTCTGCAGTCTGATTCTTACTTTAAGCTTCAGCTGTGCTCATGGATAAAGGCATCATAATAGGCGCTGAACATGAAGCAGCTACGCGATCGAATCTTCCATTTGTCATGTTCAGACATGCCACGAGCGTACGTCCATTTGAACGTATTTAAAGTCCTGATGTCTTTAAGATGTTTTCAGTCCCATTTGTTTCTGCATCATGCCCTGCTTTGTTATCTGGAAGCACGGCATATCCAAGAAGCTGTCGTTTTCGCATCTCACTATCAAAATCTTGTATACTTTGCGCATGCCCTGGAAATTCTTCTTCACACTGTCGTAGAGTCCGAGGCCAGTCTTGATGACGAATCCTCTAGTGACGCGGAAAACGCTGCTTCCATTTTGCCCACTGTGATCGAGTTTCTGGATCATTTTGATGAAGCGTTGGATGTGGTAGTCCGGTGCGCGAGGAAAACGGAGATGATCCGATGGAGAAGACTTTTCAGTATCGTTGGAAACCCTAAAGCTTTATTTGAAGTAGATCATCCGCTCTTATGATCCTTATAATACTAATCTCTCACTAGATGTGCCTCTCGTCGCAACGGCTTAGAACGGCGAGTTCTTATCTTCTAGTCCTCCATACACTCGAACAGCTTGACGAAGACAATGAGGATGCCGTGCGTCTGCTGAAAGCGGCTATAGAAGGGAAAGATTGGCAACTTTGTCGGGAACTTCTCCGGTTCCTCCATTCGATTGACGATTCGGGAATTGCTCTACAAAATGCCTTGGCTCAAACGAATCTAGGGAGTCGAGATGGGAGTAGCCTTGTGGGGAACGGGGCATCGCATTAATTTTATGTACTGCATGTCGGAAATTGTAACTTATGTGTATACTTGTGGTGGACGTGTATATTTATCTTTGTTAAATCTTGCTATCGGATTATATCATCTTTGCCATCAGTACAAAGAAACTTATCAATATATACAAAGGTCAGTCACTTTCTTGACTTTCACAAACGTCACGTACCCTGCCTGGTCAATAAACAGCGGTCTTTTCTTATGGCGGCGAAACAGGCGAGATGTTTTCGGTCTATCCTCGTGGTGTAATCTGACATGCCAGCCATCATAGCCAATCACTTATACGCCTGAGGGCGCCGTATCAGTTTCGTATACCACCCTTTTGTCCGCTCCAGGATCTTTGAACGAATCAATCGGTGTGAAGTTTTGCATCTGAGCTCTTCACACCAATTAAATAATGAGCCCAAAACCAGAACGCGCTTTTGGATCCGACCCAGAATGTTTGGGCATACTCATCGTTAGAGATCTGCCGCCGTCATACGCTGCTTATCGGCGGAGGCTTCTTACCCTTGCCTACAAATTCGCTAAGCTAGACGAGAATATAAGGGAGCAATATACAGATGCTTCCAGCAGTTACAGGCAAGCATCAATGCTGACCTCCAAATTGAACCTAATATGTTTCTGCCTAAAGCTTTGGATGGTCGCACGGAAAGGTCCGTTATCGCCATGGTGCCCATTTGTGTTAACCGTTCACACATTCTTCTAGGAAATTATGAACGGAAAACCAGGTATTCCGGATCAGTTTGATACCATATCTCTTTGACCCAATCCGAAACTTTCGACAGACTTGCTAAAAGGGTCCTACTACGCAAATCCTCTCATCGATAGACCCTCCGTATCATCCCAGCAGAGAAAGGAATGGCCTGAATATTACGCCCAGAATATATGGCCCAAGCCCGACGAGAAAGGCGTCGAAGGTTTCGAGGAAGCCTTCAAGGATTTGGGAAAGTAAGTGACGTCGTATAAGTTTATTTCGCCAGATCAACATTTCTTGTTGAAGATTCGTCTTAGACGTTGGCTGTTCACTAGCAGTAGCATGCCAGCCATTCGGTATGTCCGTTATTAACAGTTTTTCTTCTCTCTTTACCAGCCAACGAAATGGCTTCCAGCGCTCTCTCGGTTTTCGGATGTTTCGATGTCACTGCCGAAGTTGATCAGCACCTCGCAAACTACGAAGGCCCGTTTATTGCATTATTTTCCGTCCCTCCCGTGACATTCCTTTCCCAGCGGAAGACGAGCCTGTGGACAGTTGGTGCGGTTTCCATCTTGATCATTCCCTTCTGACAGGCTTGTGTTCTGTGGGTAAATCCTCGTGTGCTCTATCTTCATTTTCATTGAAGCATTCAAACAGGCTATGTATCTATCGAGTGGCGATGATGATTTCTCTGAACCTATCGAAGTTCAGTCGCCATCGAAATCCTCAGGACTGTATATACGTACACGAGGAGGAAAGCTGACCAAAGTATCGGTTCCTGAAGATAGCCTCGCCTTTCAAACTGGAGAAGCTCTGGAAATTGCTACCGGCGGAAAATTGCGCGCCACCCCACACTGGTTTGTCCAGTCCTTGAGTAGCTTCTGTTTTTCTGCTCACAACCACAAAAGTGTGCGGGTCGGGTCTGGGGTCGCTGATCCCAGCAAAATATCCAGAGAGACCTTTGCGTTATTCATGCAGCCAGACACGAATCAGTTGCTCTCACCGTCAGTAACATTTGGTCAATTCAGTAGAGGCGTGTTCAACGAACATTACGAAAGGATTTCCGATTGAAGGACACGTTCTACATTCACAATAAAACTAATCTACGCAGAGACTAAATCCTATGAAAACAAAAGCCTATTATAATCAAACAGAGCGGGGATATTCATGCATGATAGAGTACAGTGTGTATAGCTACATTATATAGATCATTATGTGTGGGAGCTAGCTGATATAGTACGACGACGTGGAGAGGACGTCAACGAGTCGGGTAAAACTGACAATACGGCGGCCGCTAGACTGTTACGTTTAGTATTAGAACGCTCGATGGTCGATTTCCCATCGCTGATTCGAGAACCAAAAGAAGATCTTCGCTCGTCTTGTTCTGAAATGACGCTCCAATCTTCACTAGGAGCACCGCCTCGAGCAGATCCGCTTGAACTGTATCCAGATGAAGGATCTACAGGCAGAGAATTACGGCGATAACGACGAATGGTGACGTGTTCAGGATCTATCTCTTCATCGTCTTCATCGATGTCGGGAGGACTTCGCTTCATCAGCGAGCGAGCGTATTCAAGATCACGATAGATAGATTCTATGGCTGTGGCAACACCATCCTCCTGTAGTAATGGTGAGTCTTCCACGGAGTCGAGAGTGCGCTCAAGGACTGACCGCTTTGATTTGCTCTCCAAGTAATCTAGCTCGATCTATCTGTTTCTGATCTGTTGTGGCAAGGACAAGGGCATCCCTTAAGGTTTCTACTGTCAGTTTTCTGACACTTGAGCCGACTCCTAATGCTTCGACACGGTCGGCCCAGAAAAATTGATCCCCAAAGAAAGGCTTGATAATTGTTGGAAGACCGGCTAGAATCGGATCAACAATGGGAAGATGGTACATCAAGTGTAATCTTACCACGAAGGCTTGCACCAGTTGTGCCGGCACCTCCATGATGACATGCAGCATCTATGCGCTGGAAAAGCCAATCATGAGGGATGGACGCAATGGAGTAAATCTGCTTGGGTAGTGGCTCTTCGAGATCAGAGGCGTCTGCAGACTTTACGTGCAAACGGTCCGACCATCCCTTCGACAGGATAGCATGGACTCCACTTTGAACAACGGCCTCAATGACGCATCGGGTCATCGCCCTGGGGTCGGATACCACAATGCTGCCGAAGCCGATGTATACAACCTTCTTGCCAAGTTTATGCGCGTTATCAATGAAAACAACTAGATCTTCAGGAGGAACCCATTTCTTGGCGCTAACGTCGGCATCATCGAGGAACCAGTACCCTACAGCAAGCTCAGTATCCAGAACAGCTGATCACCATATGTCGCACCTGTCACGCGAATCCATTCCGGCCAGTCGAGGGGTGGCGGCACCACGTGCGGGGAAAAATTGTAGAGGAAAGGTATTTTATGAGGCTCCATCTTATCGAGACTTGTGCCACTGAGATGTAATACGTTTCTTCGCCAACGGTTGATTTGTCCGGACGTCGCCCGCCAGAAGACCTGATCGAACATGACATAGGACTGACGACTCTTCAATGAGATGCGAATGTTGCACGAAGGAAAAAATATAGATTACCATATAATTGTAACCGCCTCCCATCTGTCACAAAGGAATTTCATTATGATTATGATGATTGCAAAGCCAACAAATCTTTACCTTTCGTTCAGGCACAGCAAAAGCATGGGGATATGCCCTATCAACCAGTGAGTCTGTGATGCCCATGCAGAAGAATAAGCCCCAACCTTGTACGGGTCCAAGTCATGGTGAATGCCCTAAAGTAAGGAATTGCAAGCGCTTCAGCGATGTGCAAGCCTCCCATAGCGCTCGGACTTTCTATTAGGACATCCGTGCCTTGACAGGCTTCCCAAGACGTCTTCAATAGATCGTCCAGCCATCCTCGGAACTGCAGAAAGATCAGTGGATAAAAAAATACAAGAAAGAGATACCAACCTTTTGCAAGCCCTCCTTCATGAAGGACAAAGTAAACATGCCATTCTCCACGCAGATTCGCATTAACTCTGCAGGATCACCCCCAACGTAGCCAAACTCGATACCATGCTAAAACGAAGTCAGACAAAACTCTGCTTCCAACGAATGAGATAAATCCACTCGCCGACTCTATCCAATCCTTAAACTCGCGATGTGTCGCTATGCGGACCCGATGTCCGTCGGCTTTGAGGCCCTTAGCCAATGCGATATAAGGCTGAACGTCCCCTCGGGATCCAATGGTGAGGAACGTAAAGTGCAGGCTTTTCTGTGGTTTGAATGTCAAGAACGTCGAAGAAGCGGAAGTAAACATGACGGCGGGTAGAGAATCAGTCAGATTCTCCGTAGTGGGCACTGGATCAGATTCAGGACTGCTTCGAGACGATCTGGCTTCAAATTCCTCTAGTATAAGTGCGTCCCGTTTGCCAGTCGTAGGAACGGACATTTCGCCAGCCGCAAGACGTCTTCGAACATCGTCCATCTGCTGTTCCAGTAGCTTTACAAAAGCGTCTCGTTTGTCTTCGGCACCGAACTCAAAAAAGAGCTCTTCATGTCCCCTTACAATGATTATGAGCCCATGGTGGCCAAACCTAGTAGCTTTCGACTTTTCTGTTGACAAGATGTCTCTGATTGGAAGTGCCATCTGAAGACTGGTTAAGAAAATGGAGATCCAATGGGGGGTTACGTGCACACCCTGGTACGAGAAGTCAGCGGACCCGTAGATTTGAAGCAGAAGTAATTGGTTGAAATGTAGAGCCGTCCAAAAACGGGCAAGAGTCGAAATATATAGCCCGGGAAATCTATACGTGTATGAGAAGAGTTGACTGTGCTGATGGTAAAGACCTGCTTACATCCGAGTAACGTCTCTTTCTCATCGTAGGCAAAAGAGGCGCGAAATTTCTCAACGACTTCGTTGTCGATATTGTTAATAGGCGTGTCGAGAACGCTGAAGGCCAGATCACCAGCGCCGCTCCACCTGCTTCCTAAGATGCTACTGCTTGTCGAGGAGTACATTTCTTTTACCGCCACAGGAGGACTTGAGGTCATGGATGATGATTCATTAGATGCAAAGAAACGACTCGGTCGCCCGACTTTCAACCAACCGGGGATGCTAACACTCCAAGTGTTAACGTTGCTGCTTCCGTTGGTCTCTCTAAGGATCAACGAAGAATTATCAGGCTCAATAGAAGAGGACAACGAAGTGGAAGGTGGATACGTGTGATTAATCCCGATATTTGAAGGCGTGGGCGTCAGGTCTGTGGAAGCTTCTGGGCTATTATTAGCTATACGGGAGGGATCTAGTTGTTTACTGGGTGACCCCGTGGAAGTGACAGGAACAAACGAGGACGAATTCGTTCTGCGAGAAATGTGTGTGAACTCTTCCATGATGTCTGGTATCACTTCAGGAGGTGTTGTTGAAGAACGCGACGTAGAATCTTGGAAAGGGCGTAAAAATGAGGATATTCTAAAACCGGACCCAGTGGCCTTGTCCTTGCTCCCCTCAGTTGGCATACTAGCGACTCGATCTATAACTGCGGCACCTGGCTGACGGGTTGTCGTTGTATCCAGGACGCCTTTCAGCGACTGTGCCTTTCCCTCCTCAAGTTCACGGTGCGCGCGCGCTGCAGTACGGATTTGTTCCAAAGCAGACGGCAGATCATGAAAATACGCGAAAAAATAGGAGTCCACAGGCTGTTCCGAGGAGTCTTTATCAAATACTTTGATCTCAATTGTTTCGCTGAAATCCATGGCAGATGATATGTCGACATCAAGGATCGCAGAATATGGGATGGCAATCTGGAGATGGATGGTTGAAAAGAAATTTAACGTTGATATCGTCAGAGTTATACCTTAACGCTATCGCCCATGTTCTGTGCCTTGAAGATGACCTTCCTTATAGCCTTCACCCACTCTTCTCTGCTTGGAACGGAATCTGCGTACAGAAGAATGGTCTTCTGGTTTGTTCGTACGCGGAATTCTTTCTCGCGAACAGGCTCGCAGGAAATAGCATAGCGTAAATCCACTATCCCGTGAGGAAAATAAGGATCCTGTCCCTTGAAAGTTAGAGTCAATGTTAAATCATCGTTGAAAGTCTCACAGATGAAGATTGGTACCAGCTCAAGGCGTCATTCTTTAACACAAACCAATGCTTAATCCAACGTTTGGTACGCTGTGCCTTCTTTGTTAACGACCCTGATTTCAGAACTTGATCCTATGTGATGACACGGGATGAGTAGGAGTGGGCACATTTTTTTCAGTAGCTCACTTCTTTGGAGGGCATGTGTGCGAAGAAGCAAAGGTACGCGTTCGTCAAGTACATGTAACCTTGGAGTACTTTCGAAAAGATTCAATGGCGTTTCTGTACAGCCAATTTTGACAACTTACAAATAGACCGGAGCAACCAGCAAGGCATCTCTGAAGACCAGTGTAAGTAACACGCGAGAACTCCGGATTGTCATTCATACCGGCTCGGACTTCCTCGATGCCTTCAAGTTCAAAGACCTCCCTCAATTTCTCCGCCAACATGGCTCTTCTCTGGAAGCGAACCGTAGCCATACTACCGGTACGCACCATTCCCAACTGATCCAGGCTTTCAGCAGTCAATCTTTGCCTTACGGAAGGCGAGATGATGGGAGTCAGCGCTGCAGGTTCTTCCACGCCAGGCATTCTTGGTGTTGCCTCCTCAAAATCGTCAGCCTCGTCGACGCTTTCTTCGTCCGACGGGGCCGATGACTCGCTCAAGGACTGCTCCTCCTCGCTGGAGGGAGAGTGATCGGGAAGCGTCGATCGACGTTGCAGCTGGCTTGGTCCGATACTATACTTGCGGGAGCGAGCTAACGGGCGATATATAGTGTGTATTGAAGAGGCCAAGTGCGCGGGAGCTGGGTAAGGAGCAATAAGCTGGAGCCGGATGAAGTCGGCACGGATGTAACTTACGTTCACTGGATTTGTCGCCGTCTTCACTGTCCGAGTCCGTAGCAGGCGTCAAATTGTTGTGATTCACAAAGTCATCATCATTATCAGGATCCTTCGTCCAGGGGAGAGCTTGCAGGGCTTGTATGAGAGTCTGTGTACCTGCACGCATCTAATACAGTAAGACGATATGAGTCTTCCGACCAGGTGATCTTTTGGAGGACAAACTTACGGAACCAGCTCCGCGGAACGATGTCAAGCTGGGTCGCGTAGGCGATAAACGAGGGGAGGGAGGCGTAATGAAAGGAGAGTCATCCTGAATTGGCGGTGTGGGCCGCGCACGCGCAGGCTTTATGGGGGAAACTGGTCGGGAGCTCGATGGAGTTGTGGTAGAGGAAGGGGTGGGTATGCCTGTAATAAAGGTGTTGGATTAGATGATAACCATGGGAAAGGCAAAGACGTACCATCCGAAGGGTCAGTCGCCTTTCCCTTGCGATTGATACTGAATAGCCGTCGATGGCTTCCCGGTGATGGACTTGTAGACGACTTGCCGCTGAGACTCCTTCCGAGCTTATCCACAGTTTTCTCCATAGCGGACGAAAGGCGCTTCACGCGACTACTGTTAGGTGAGTCCTTAGACTCCTTGTTTGCGACAGGAGAGTCTGCGAAGCCGAGGGCTTCTGGCGAGGTGTTCAAGGTAGGTGCAGCACCAGGATCATGAAGAATGGGCTGCAGCGCCGGCAGCCTGTCCATTGAGATTGCCGTGGAATACAGCGAGGAAAAGGCTGTAGACGTCGAGAGAAGAGACGAGTACTTATTCAAGTAGAGGTTAATTCGGCAAGATGCGGCACAGCGGCAAAATCCGCAACACGTTCAGGTCGTGCTCTTTTTCACTGACGTCGTTGGTTAGTCGAGGCAGCGTTACGGCGCGGGGGTTACTCTTCTCTTTTCTCTTTCTCTTTTCTTCTCTCTCTGCAACGATGCGTGGCGAAATATTTGTCGGCTTCGCTAGCCTTTTATCGTGTGTATATCTCGTATTCCTGCATTGATCAATGAATGCTCAACAATGTTGTTGTCTTCTATCACTACAGATTTGCTGCTCTGATTCTGTTAATCTTTGTCAATGTGCGCTTTGCCTTTCCCTTTTATTCTCTGTTTCTCATTTCTTAGGTCGGTCAAATCAACACATCTGCCGTTCCTCGCGAATTATATTTGGTATGCCCTTCATCGTCCTACATCAACCGCTTTCTCGGTCGTCTGACCTGGCGTTTCTAGGCAAAAGTCAATGTCTCCCAGTACGGGTATGTATATCCCTTCCAGCTGTTCGCCCACTCTACTCAGCTTGTACCAGGCAATCCCTTCAAACCGCCCTGCTTGACCCGATCTACGGGCTTTACACCGACAATGCCTCTGAACCCCTACTCGAATCCCTCGGCCTACGCCAATACTATCAATTCGGGCTCTATTCCCACTGTGGTTACGTTGCTGCCAATGAGGGCATCTGCTCCAACCATTCTGCTGCATACGAATACCGACCTTACGATATCATCACGAACGACATGACAGCCAACTACAGTGCTATCACCCAGGCTGTTGTTGAAGGTACCACTTTCCAAAATTCAAAATACCTTGCCCAGCCCACCAAATCTGCGTATTACTTGATCATCATTGGCACAGTCACCACGGCAGTTGCCTTGCTCACGTCAGTATTCTCTTTTTTTCCTCTATTCCTAACTCAACTCATCATTCTTTCTACTTTAGTGGTATAATCAAGCAGGCTTTCACCTTTTTCATTTCGACCGTCTTGGCTGCTCTAAGCACCATCTTTATTCTTTGTGGTGCTGCAATATGGACGGCCATGATTAACAAGTCTGCTACTATCAACAACTTGCTCATCGGTGGCACCTCCGATCCAGTGTTGGTTGGCATTGATGTCTCCGTGGGCCCAGTGCTCTACTTACTCTGGGCTGCGTTCGCTTGTCTTTTTGTCTCCATAATACCCTACATGATAACGTACGTGTGTTTATCACCTGTACTCATCAAACACCTCTGACTGTCTTCAAGGTGTTGCACATACCGTGGATAATCGATGATTGCTGGCCATCATCGAGGGTACTAGGCGTAGCCACTTATTTGAGCCTATGCTCATGGACTGAGTTCTGTCGTATTTACTCATATTTTACCATGTCTCCTTTGTCTCGAGTAGATACATTACAGCGAACTGTATTTTTGCTTCCTTGGAGAGATACTAAGAGAGAGTGCTCATCCCCATAGCCCCAAACCTTCCTTCAGCTCGTGTTCCAAATCCTTCATATCCAGACTGTTCTCGTCTCCCTTTTTCTCTTGCGAATCATCTTCAGCTACGGCCGCAGCTTCTTCGGTGCATCGTGAACATGTACAGTCACCAAAACCCCACTCTCTCAGTGCTCGGCGTCTTTGTGATACGCCCAAAGATGGGTCAACGTATGTGATTGTCAGTTCCTCGTCTGGTAAAATGGCGCGTTTGGCTATGATAGTTATGCGTGCAAGTGCAGACGATTGTTGTAAATGCCTGACAGACAGGTTGGGGTCACAAGAGTGGTTCAAGTGGGAGTGGAGCAGGTACAGCCCTCCATGCGATTCAAGGTCTATGGTGTATGATCAGAACGAAAAACTGAGGTTACATATATCGAGCGCGTACTCAAACTCATTCTGCCCAGTCCTCTCAAAAAACCTTCATAGCTAAACAGCTCCGTCTTCGTTTGTTCTCCCAGGGGCTTCTTCGCTTTTGCGATGATTTTCAAGGCTTGAGAAGATTGGAATGCGTCCACATACAGCGTCCAGACTCGTTTCCATGTCTCCCGCTCAGGCGTCACATGAATCTTTTGAAACCGCTTCCTCCATCCCCAGCTCCGCCATGGCCTTGACGACGTCCCATTCCTGTTCGCCACCCAACAAAACCCGAGCGGTGACGCGCGAGAGTGCATGCAGGGCCATCCATGCCAGTGATCTAACCTGCTTGAGCAACGGGACACTGGCGGTGTTCTGGCCTGGGCAGAGAAGAGGATGGGTAGATGCAGAGCGCGAGAGGCAAAGGCGAGTGCAATAGCGTGCAGAGCAGTGCTGGCAAGAGACCACAAGGGCGGAGGACTGGGGAAACGGTGTTGTACAATGAGCACAAGCGACTGCACGCTGCTGGAGGTCAAAGATGTCCCACTCTGGTGCGATTATCCACGGATCTTCCTTCCATAGCGTTTCGCCTTGTTCGATGTGACTAAGAGCGACAAGACCCTTGCCCTTTTGCTTGTCAAAGTATCGCACTGCGACGGTCGACGGCAACGTCAGTGCAGAGTCGGGAAGGAGAGACGAGGATGGGTAGGTTTCTCCTGGTGAGGCCTTTGCCTTTGCCTTTTTCTTCTTCTTCGTTTTTGGTTTCGTAGTCGAGGCGCTGTCGTCTTTGATAGGACCCTCTGTTTCCTCGTCCTTTCTTGAGTTGGCTATCACACGCCGTACCCGTTTCTCACCCACCACGCCCTTCCATTCCGGATGCGCATCGATGATTGCGGTGTGCAGTTTAGCGGTACCGAGACCTGGAGAACCGGAATGTATCGTTGATATCGCTGACCAGATCGTTTCATCGTCAGGTACTATGGCTGACATCAAAGATGATGTAAAGCGAGAGGTGCACGAACTGTTTGCAGTATCGTTTTCAAGATGGATTGATAATTGATAACATTACACTACGACATCAACGTTCGGTATATATCACCAACCGAGGTATCAAAGTTAACCTTCTAAGTTCTGAAGAAAAGATTACATCTTAAACCCTGGTCCCTTATTCGATAATCCAAAACATAATGCTCTTAAACAAAAGAGAAGTAGCCCACCGCGAGGGTCGAACTCGCAGCCTTCAGATCCGCCTATTATCAGTAAGAGTCTGACGCTCTATCCGATTGAGCTAGGCAGGCTATATCCATTGTGTTCTCCGTTGCTACTATATAGCAGGCGTAGGCCTCATGACACCGATAGGACTTTAACGCGGAGCAAAAGTTTCAGGAGCATGTCAGCCGAGTTTCAGGCGGGGACTGAACTATAAGAACGGCGTTTTCCAGACTCACTGCCTCTCTCACACTACCCTTTCCCTCCTTTCTCCTCCTTCTTGTTCTACGCGTTTCTCCGGCGTTGATACGTCGTCATGTTGAACAAAACAGGCACACTGACTGCGCTTTTTGCCATCGCTTCCTCTTTCGTCGGCTCGGTTTATGCAATTTCGAAAATCACTAGGTCTGGCAGATACCTTTATGAAGAGGGAGGTACCAGGTTCTACATCAAGGGTATAGCATACCAAGAACAGGGTAAGCACTATGTCTGCTTGATTATCACCACCACATAACGACAAGGGCGATTTAGGCACCGTCGTCGCGAGCACTGACAATGCTTTCGGAGAGCCCTCGACCTTCATTGATCCCCTCAGCTCCGGTGCTGCGTGCAGTCGTGACTTGCCCTATCTTCAGCAGCTCGGCGTGAATACCATTCGCGTGTACAGCGTCAATTCCAGTCTCAACCACGATGCCTGCATGAAGACGTTCAGCGACGCCGGCATATACACGATGTGAGTTGATTGCTCTTTGTTCATCATCCTATTATTCATGCATGTTCCTCTTCAGAATTGATCTCGCGCTCCCTTCGAATGGTTCTATTGACCGTACCTCCCCCTCTTGGTCGACCAACATCTTGGACCAATACCTCAGGACCATTGATGTGTTTGATCAGTACGACAACATCCTCGCTTACAATGTTGGCAATGAGGTCGTCATAGCAAATGGTACAGCAGTAGCCCCTTATGTAAAAGCTGCGGCTCGCGACATCAAAGCTTACCTGTAAGCGCTCGTTATTCTTGTTCTCATATTCCATTTGTTAACAAATCCGTAGGCAATCCAAGTCATCGTCCGCCCTGGTCGGTTATTCATCCATCGACGGTGACACGAGTTTCCGCCTTCCTCTTGCAAACTTTTTCTCTTGTGACCCCTCAGGCGACAACTCGGGTGCGACGGCCATCGACATTTACGGTCTGAATGAATAGTATGTTAAAGTCTTTTGGACCCTAACAATTTACTGATGGCCTTGCCCAAGTGCGTGGTGTGGAAATTCCACTTTTGAAGCTTCTTATGCCAATATCGAGGCGGATTATTCAGGATACAACGTCGTGGCATATTTCAGTGAATTCGGCTGCATAACCGGCGGGCCACGTTTATGGACGGAAACTCAGGCCTTGTTCAGCTCCGAGATGTCGGACGTCTGGTCTGGAGGAATTGCCTTTTCCTATTTCCCTGCTACGAGTGTCCAAGGCCAATTCGGCATGGTGAACATCTCTTCCGATGGAAGCAGTGTCACCACCGGGGATGATTTTGCTCGCCTGAAGACAGAATACGGCCAGATCAGCCCTCCCAACAGCCCTTCACAGTCGTCTGCTACCACTACCTACCCGGCGTGTCCGACGACGAATGATACCTTTGCCGCTTCAAGCACCTTGCCTCCCACGCCCAACGAGGATGCATGCAATTGCTTGTATCGATCACTTGATTGCCAGTTCACACCGGCTACTTCGAACTACACCGCTGTTGTGGGTGAATTGATCAACACAGCATGCAGTCTCTTGGGCTCTTCGGGCGGGTCTTGCGACGACATTGGTGGCAGTGGTGCGAATGGAACATACGGACGTCTTTCCGGCTGTGATCCCAGTAAGACCCACAGCTTTTCCGCTTTGCGCAGCTCTGATTCATTGTTTTGCAGCGATTAAACTGTCGTACGTCATGAGCGAATATTACGAGCGCAACAACAAAGACGCGCAGGCCTGCAGTTTCTCTGGAAATGGTACTGTCAACAGCGGTGCATCGAACGCTGTGGCAACAAGCGCAGCAACCTCATGCGTGTCTAACCCTTCTGCTACCTTCGTTCCTTCTTCTCCTGCTACTCTTGCCGGCAGCAATGGAGGCAGTTCCTCTTCCTCCACTGGTAGGTCCGGATCTTCGGGCTCCAGTGGTAGTGGCTCGAATGGTGCGGTTGAATTTGTTGCCGACCGCAACGTTGTCTTTGGTGTCTTTGGTGCCGTTGCCATTGGGGTTGTCAGCGGTGTTTGGACTCTCCTTTGAAGAAAAAAGTATGGCTTTTGGACGACTTCTGGACTTGATACCGTAGCGCATTCTACAACGGACTGTATACCAAATGTTTAAGTCATATAACGCATAATTGCTTCATTCGTGCCGTGAGAAAGGAGCCCGACATACAATGTGTTGGTGGCGCGCACGGACCCACAAATTCAAACTCCGCCGCCGCAAGTCTCCTGTCTCGCCTCGGAAGCGGTAAAAATTTCTTGTCTCCTACCATCATGGCCTCTCCCGTCGTGGACGAAGCTCAGGCAAACTGGCGTGTTGCCGACGATAAGACATTGGTGTCTACCAGAGTCGGCGATGAACCTAACGGTGGATCTCTTCTCCCCAGTGATCATCACCCTGGCCAGGGACCGGAGGCTGCAGACTACAAGCGGGGTTCCAGCACAGACCCCGTCGTCTCCGGTTCTAGCATAAAGGGCGACCCTATGTTTCGCGAAAAGCAAGTGAAGGTGCTTAGGTCTTTCTTGTCTATTGCTTCAGTGCGTCTTTGTTAGAGTCCAAAAAGAAGGAAGACATGAGAAGAAAAGGGCCCCTTGTTTGGTTTGGCAGCTTGGCGTCTCTCCTTTGCTCAATGGGTGACCTTGAGTTGGCTTTACTTGACTCTCATTGCAGGCTCTTGGCTTATCCTTCTCGGGGCTCGACAACGTTCCCCCCTCTGCACTTTTCCTCCACTATATCTCTACTGGGTGTTTACTTTCTGCTGTGTAGCCGAACAAAGTCTATATCGGAGGTCTTCCCGAAAATACGCGTCAAGAGGATTTGCAAGGATGTTTCGGGAAAATCGGTAACATAGTTAACATAGAGCTCAAGTACGCGTTTATCTCGGTCATCACGTTCTTATCTGACGGTAATTTTCTGCAGAATTGGCTATGGTTTCGTGGTATGATGGTTTCTCCCAATATGGCACGTCTCTCACTCAATCAATGCAGGAATTTGACAACCGTGAGGCAGCCGAAGAAAGCGTTGCAAAATACAACGAGGGCTACTTCATGGGCAACAAGATTCGCGTCGAGCTGTCTCATGGCGGCGGTAGGACGGCAAAATACTCAAGTGATCCCGGAGCTTGTTTCAGGTGTGGGCAGATGGGTCATTGGGCGAGGTGAGCTTTCCGTCGATTGTGTGGAGACCGTATCTGATGCATTGCCAATTAAGAGAATGCCCCATTGCGGGACCGTAAGTGATAGTCTACAGCCTGCGTCCTTTTCACACTGATAACGTTGTAGCCCTCCGCCTCGTCGCCCCAATGAGCCCCCCTTGATTGAACGTATTCAGCGTGATCATGCTCCGCCTATTCCTCGCGACGCGCGCTATGACTACCCGCCTCCTGCGCGTGACTACAGGCGACCCCCATCTCCTGTCAGGGACTATCGTGAATATCCACCTCCACCTAGTCGGTATGACGACTACAGACGCCCTCCCCCAATGATGGAGCGCGACCGCTATCTTGACAGGGGCCGCTATCCTCCCGAGGCTGCTTACCGTGGACCCATTCCTCCGCCTGCCTATGGCTACGATCGCTATGACAAAAAGGCGGAGCGGTATTCCTATCCTCCCCCTCCAAGTGGACGTCCCAGAACTCCTCCTAGGTATCGAGAAGACTTTGATCGGATGCCTCGGTGAGCTACCCCGTCCCATGTCTTGTCGGCCTGGTTCCAACAACATATTTCAGTGACTATCCGGATTACCGCGGTCGCCCTGTCACGCCGCCTCGGTTTGCTGATTATCCTCGAGGTGCAACACCTGAGACTAGATTTAGGCACGGATGCACCCTATATTGTCTTTGACTCTTCTTAATGTTGTTACAGGCGTCGTTCTGAAAGTCCCGCTGGCCGCTCTTCTGGTGCCTACGAGTATGCTCCTGGACCTGACGGTAACTATCCGGCTACACCTCCTGGGCCACCTCCTCGCAGGGAATATCCTCCTCGCAGTCGTGAAGCTGTCGAAGTTTATAGAAGATGAAAATCTCGTTCGAAATACTTGTTGCCGCGGCTGAAGCTTGGTTGATAACTCCCCGCTGTTTTCATGACGACTTGGCATTGTATAATGCTCGTGTACTGCTTTGTCTATCTATATACACTCTATTTTCAATTCCTTATGAAGTATAGGTACTCGTACAGAACGGCATTCAAAGCGTACTCTTTTTGCCTTCTGCCATGGCATACAGCGTTTCTCTGTCGTTCGACTCATTTACCATTGCTCGTAGACGCCCATTCTCCTTCAATAATGCAGAGGGGCTGTCGTATTCGACCTTCAGAACATCAGCATACTGAACTGGGCCTAAGTCACGAGAAGGTGGCTTACAATGTTACCAGCATCGAGGACGAGCTGCAAAGGTGTAACCAATCAGCACAAGTAGATGTATGAGGGCAGTGACATCGATACGTACAATTCTGTCAGCATCCATGATTGTTTGAAGTCGATGGGCAACAGTGATTAGTGTAACATCACCCTTGAGCTCGTTCCTAAGGGAAGACTGGATCACAGTATCTGTTTTGTAATCTATGGCAGATGTTGCTGTAGATAACAGCTGAGAACGATGGACCTTGGATAAGAGGCATTGCCCCACCTTCATCAAGAATCAGGAGCTTGCTGCCCCGGACGATTGCCCGCGCAAGAGCAATGATTTGGCGTTGTCCGACAGAGAGGTTACTACCGCCGCTTGAAATATTGCTGTCAAGGTTTAGCGCACCCCCGTGGTCGTCGTCCTGCAGCGAGAACAAACCCGATGCTTTCAGGGCGTCGTTCAAAGTCGCATCATCGTATTGATCGAAAGGATCCAAATTCTGTCTTAGCGTTCCGCTTAAAAGCTCGGGCTACATGTTTTCAGTTATATAGATGTTACTATGAAACGCGCACTAACCATTTGCGGAATAATAGTTATGCTCGAACGCAATGCATCAAGATTGACTGATGAGGTAGGTAACCCATCATAATAGATGTTCCCGTCGGTATAGATGCATCTAAGGAGCGATAAAGTCAAGGAGCTCTTCCCGCTTCCTGTCCTACCGACTAAACAGGGATTCAAGACACTTCGTCTGGGAACAAAGAGAAATCTTTCTTACCAACACCGATCCTTTCACCAGAATTGATGGTAAACGAGATATTATGGAGCACTGCGGGACCGTCTGGAGAATACCTAGCTGTTAGATTTTCAACAACTAGTTCTCCGGACGTCGGCCAGTAAGCAGGAGGGGCACCTCCTGCAGTGGACTTGGGCTCTTGCTCTATATTCACATAACCTTGGATTCGTTCCAAACTAACGACCAAGCGGTGTTAGGAACTAAGGATGAGACAGTGAGAGAAATATTGACCTGTTCCCTATGAAACCCATTAAAGACACTCAGAGTGATATATTAGCTGCCTTGGAATGTACCTTGAACTTCAAATTCGTTCAGTGTCCTTACCCACCAAAGGATCAAGCCACTGAAACCGACTTGATGACGGACATGATTTATATTATATCGTGTCAGAGAGTAGGGGGTGCTTACTAGCCATGTTCAAAGAGAAACCAGTGGTTGAAGCAGTGCGGTCCTGGAAATACACTAGATATAGTGCAAGGGCCGCTGCAAAAAGACCTCCGAGCGCGTCAATCCGAATGCATACCCAGCGATTGAGGTTGTAGAATGTTCGTGCAGTTCGCGTATAACGGTTGATTCGAGACAAAGATTCCTGTGCGAAAGCTTCTTGAACTCCATATGCTCGTATAGATGCTGTATGCAATTTAGCTTGACTTGGGTTTGACAGTGTCCTACTACACTTACTTAACCCAGCTATTGCTGCACCAAAACTGTCCGTATCGTCAGTATAGAAAACAGAAAGTATTTCATGTATACATACTGCGAGAGAACCGGCGACTTGGCGTTCGACATCTCACGCTTGACTGATAGTTGCGCCTTGATGTACATCTGACCGCACCAAGCCCCAGCGAGCGCAACAATTACTGACGGGAATAAGAAAAGTGGAGTCACAATGACAACGGCCACAAATTTGACGACCATGGTCACCGATATCTCCACCACATACATAAACCACATTGTAATTGGCCCGTCAACTGGACATATAATTATTCATGGGAAGAAACACAAAGAAAAGACTTACGTGCTCTGATATCTTGAGTGCACCTAGTGATGACTCGCGAAGTAGGAGTTGTGTCCAGCCACCTAAGTACTCGATCTGAGCAGCGAGAATTAGATGAAGAAAAGTGGCCACCTTAAGGTTGTTCCTAAAACCGACTGAATGAGCTGCCTGTGAATTGTTTTAGATGCTCGTAGGGAAGCGATGACAAAGAACATGAATGCAGCAGCATAAACTGATGCTGCGACGAGAGTAAAAGAACCTAAACACTTCGATAAGTATTATTTCTCTCGCCATCGAGGACTCCACCGACTGTAGATGCTTATGTAGCTAAAAAGTTGCACATCAGTTACGAAGCAAGGCCTCCTGAGAATCGGAACACTGACAAAAATACAGGGACTTGATACATTTCACGATCGTTGTATTGTGAGGCCCAATGTCCCAACCACCAGGTCTGTACCGTGTTCAATATCTCTGTGATAGCGAGTCCACCAATGAAAGACGCGAAGAAAAGCCAGACATGGCCGCCGCCAAGAGAGGAAAAGAAGAATTTAACTACCGTCATACACATTAACTCCTTTGAAGTGAAGATATGATGATGAGAAGAACATACGCGCAGGTAGACCAATATGTCCCTCTTCAATTTCCTCGGCAACTATTAATTTTCCGTCGGACTTCTTTTCTTCGGGGGGAAGCTGAGAATCTATCTCTTCTTCTACTTTGTCCATTGCTTTCTGAGCTTGATCTGTTTCGTCTACTAGCAATGCATCGTGTACCAGGGCGTCGCTTATAGACCCTTGACTTGCAATTCTGCCGTTTTTGATGGAAACAACAAAATTGGCTATCGGGCGGGCCATGGCAACATTGTGGGTCTGACGAGTAGTTAATGACTGATAGATAGTCTAGAGAATTTGCTTACCACTAGTATGATCGTTCGGCCTTTCATTAAATCACCCGTGAAGCACTTGTCTACTATCCATTTGGCAGTATGGACACTGGTGATAATCAGTGACACTGCTCTGGTAACGATGCATGACAAGCTTACTCGAGAGCCGCCAGAACATCGTCCAACAATATGATTTGTGCCTGAGAGTAAATGGCGCGCGCAAGAGTGACACGGGCTTTTTGACCTCCACTTAGAGTCAAGCCTTTCTCGCCCACCTCTGCTTGATCGCCTGCCTCGAACAGAGAAATGTCCCGTTCAAGCCCGCACTGATAGATGACTTTCTTGTATCTTGCTTCGTCATAGGGTGATCCAAAGAGAATGTTGGCCTTTGCCAAGAGCTCTTAGCTTGAGTAGCCAGGTAGCTGAAGACACCTACTTTGATAGTCTCATTTTGAACCCACGATTCTTGTGCAGCGTATGCAACGCCTCCATCCCGGGGAAGGTTGAACCATGCATCAGGTGAAGCTGGAATAAAGTGCATCTCGCCTAGAAATGGATCAGCAAGATGAAACAGCTGAGTGGGCACCACGAACCCAATAAAGCCATAAGCAACGACGTCTTTCCTGAACCCGTAGGTCCGACAACCAGATTTATGCGACCACGTTGGAATATCAGATCATCTTCGATCTTGAGCATGAACTTCCTCTTCGACGGCGTGAGGGACCCATCGACATCGTTAGACCAGACAAATGAGGCATTCCGGAAGCCAATTTGCGAGGAGTCTACGTCATGATTGTCTGCAGCAAGCAAATTTATGGCAGCATCTTTCTCCGTGAAGGAATCGAGAAGTTCCGTCTACAAAATGGTCAATAACAGAGAACTTACCCGTGACAATAGAACGCACATTCCGAAGGAAGTCCGTCATACGGTCAAGGGAAACTTTACCGGTAATGGTGTCTGTGATGGAATTGAAAACCATGTGAAGCTGATCTCTCAACATGTCAAATACTGACATGCTGGAGAATACTTTCGAGGCGGTCAGCTTCTGTTTCATAATGACAGTCTGCGCTACGTGAGTTTCCGGCTTGAAGATAGACGAACGAAGAAAGTACGAACACTACATACTAGTCAGATAAGCATTATGCCAAGACAAAGTGCCACTCACTAGAAAGCGAACGTGAGGATCATTGTGATAACTGGTATCACGAAGCTTGGAAGGAAAGAACATCAGGGCAAAATATAGAGAAAGGGAACGGGCAGTACTTGATGGTCCCGTTCAGCAGATCCAACATCTTACGCCTTTTGATCCAAATCAGCTCTTCATCTCGCTTCTCAGCGATCTTGTCATCCATTTTCTTCTCCCATCCAAAGAGTTTGATCATGCGAAGCACGTTCATGGCTAATGGAAATGTTTGAGACAGACAGACACCAACAGACAGTGACAACATTACTTTCGGTGACCGTTTGCACTCTCCCATCTGTTTTCTTCAGACGTTGCTCTTGGACAATTTGAGTAAACTTGGCGACAAAACCAGGAATTGGGAGCATGACTACGATGAATGCCAAGCCAACAAATGCACTGAAAAAGGTTCCGTTAGTACGATACAAAGCACAAGGAAAGATTCATGCCTCCAGCCTAAGACTATATAGAGGAAGCAGATGCAAAGCGTGATCTGCACAGGCACATAGACACCGATAAGAAGGAAATCTCGCGCGTCTATAATGTTTCCCAAGTCTGTCGTAACCAAGTTATTGATCTTGCCCACTAGGTTGTTTGTATCTGACTGCGCTGCCGGAGCGTCTTGCCCTGATGTAGCCTCCTGTGCTCCTTCGTTCGATGAAGAGGGTGCTTGATTTGCTGTGTTAGCATCGAAATTTTCGTCTCTAGAGTCGGTAGAAACAACATCAGGAGTTCCATGTAGGGTGGCGCTCTCGCTCGACTCCGTAGAGGGTGCGTCTTCTGAGATGGACTTATCATCAAGGGTGGGGGCAGTGCTTTTGCCAGGACTATCTGCCGTCGAAGCCTTCACGCGGATACGAAGCGAATGCTCAAATACCAGTTGGGTCATGATGGCCTCGGCTCGTACCATGATCCTCGTCTGAAGGTGTGTTGAAATGCAAGTACAGAAAAATGTCAAGGCTGGCTTACTGCGATAAAAATATACCACTGAATGGCAATTGAGGCAATCACTGGCCCAAAGAATAACCATAATATCCAGACAATGGGACGGACAAAAGCCTCTCCGTCATCTCGGTGTTCAATGTAGCTGTAAGATACACGAGTTAATGGATGAGCACATAGTGAACAGTAACCTACTGAAGTAATCTGTTGATACCAATGGGACCGGCAAATGTACCACAAACGTGGACCAAAATCATAAGAGCCAAGACGGTATAATCCCACCGGAACACACGCATCAAACCGAAGAAGATGTGGCGTTTTTTAGCTCCGGAGAATACATCTAGATGCTGTATGCTATGATATTAAAAAACGGAAAGATTAGAGAAAGGAAAGGGTACAAACCGGGAAACTTCGAGCTTTCAGGACTTGAGAGGTGTCGTAATCGGAAAGGGGTGGAAGCTGATCAAATGGTAGATGAGGAATCCGATACGCCTTCAAGACCAACGGATCGAGGTAGCTGTGGAGCATCAACGATATTAGAGGAGCTGTTTGTTCCGGGCTTGGTAGCGGCATTGGATTCTGGTACTACCATTCAGTACTGGAATTACGCCTGAATAAAACAGGCCATAGTGGAATACCTTAGCATCGACAGGGATGTATGCACGGGGGATGACGAGCGGTACAAGAACAGCGGTGACACCAAGAAGGGCGATCTTTGCCCACAAGATACAGCTTTTTGGATCTTGCATTGACAAAGTATACGTCAATAAAGGAAAGAGGTCGCGATAAAAGTAGACTCCGAAGGTTACAAGAAGCACGACATTGAAATGTCTTGCGACAACTCGGCTACACCTTGGTTTTGACGTTACTGCAACGAGAGCAAGGAATGATGTGTATAACTGTACAAATGGTGATGTGAGAACGTATCCAGGGCGCGGAGGATAATTGTACAAACGAATGTCAAGCATAAAGAAGCTTCTAACCATTCCTCGTTCATGAAAGCGCGCGAGTGTTCTTTCTTGCCCTTGTGTTTTTTGCCCCATTTTCCATAGAGACCGAGATTTTCATGGGACCTGCCTCGTTCATCCAGCACCAGAGACGTAGCAGAAAGGCTCAATAGAGCTAGAGAAGCAAGAAGTCTGAATATCATGTAGAAAAATATGGTGGGCCCGCCATGTAAAGCGACATGTTCTCTGACTTCGGCGAGGAGGCCAAGAGATTGGTTCGTTGGCTGGGGATCTAGAGTATTGTTGGGAGATGTCTTTTTCTTCCGCAATCGCAAAATGAAGCGTTTCACCGGCTTCCATATGAGCAGAATATGAAGTATGAGAAGCGCAGCTGACGCGGCGGCGACGTAGGTGGGTAGTATCAGATTGTCGGTGTAAATACTGTGTACGGTCAATTGCAGGGCAAATAATTGAATCGTGAAACTTACGCCGCCGCAGGACTTGCTCCGCGCAACACCAATGTCCAAAGATCGAACTTGTTCAGGGTTACCTGGGAACTCGAAGCAACATCGGCCGCGAAGACGTCGGGATGCCAAGGCATGGCTAACACGGTGGAGACACAGTAGAGGAAATGGTGATTTTGTATGGAGGGATTCGGGAGCGAAAAAGTGAGGGTACCAGGTAAGAGTCACTGAATGAATGTAAGCATGTGGAACAGATCTGTACTCAGGGGGTGATGTAGATAAGCATCGCCACCCAAGAAAACCTACCACCGTGTACTATTCCACCATTTCATAGTAATGAATATATGCGCCTGAGTAGCATGACAACTACAGAGCAGTTAATAATGTAATAATGTTAAGACGAGTTCCGAATCCAGTACACGCGCAATGACCTTGACAGTGGGTCCGGAAGCCTCGCAATCAACGAAATCAGAATCTTTGCATCATTTATTGGAGCTCCGCGTCCTGTAGGGTTGTATTCAGGATCAAACCGATGTCTTCGTGTGACTACAGGCCCCATGAGATGCAGACTGCACGAACAAAACTTGAAATAGTATTAGCCTCCGAGATCAATTTCAATTTCGCGTGGCACGTGATCTACGTGGCGGGAGTGGCAGAGGTCTTCGTTAATGTTGCACAACTACCGCACCCATGACTGCAGTCTATCCCATGGATTCTTCTTTGCCTTCGTCGAAGGCCGTCAGCGTCGGATACCCATCTACCTGCTCATGGCCCTATCCCGCTCTTCGATGCCCACCTTCGCTTCTTGACGGATTCATATCTCAGCTTTTTCAATGAACGGTAAGTTTGTTCCGTACCTTCGCATCCTATTTGCCTCATTGCTCCTCAGAAAACGTATTGAAGAGTCATAGTGAGCTCAATTGGCAAAGTCGTCACGACGTTTGCTTATGGTCCGACTGCTATAGCGTTGATTCTCTCCTGAAGCTTCATCGGAAAATAAAAAGTATTGACTCCTTTCTTGATGACCGGACAGATCTCAGCAACTCGAGGGCTGCCTGGGCCGAAATTAGGGATAACGTTGAGAGAGGTACGCAGTCCTACTATGCCGCGATTCCCGACCATCTCATGGCGAACTCCTTTTCCTAGAGGCCCAAGCTCGGCAAGCTTTCCTATCCACCTTGACTGTCGATGTTCTCAATCCCTTGACCGTTGTCAAAGTTAGTGCTTCATAATTTCTATTACACTCTCATCATTCGCATTGCTTAGGAAACACAAGAACGTACAAGGAAGCGGATCAAGGAAGATCTCAAGGAATCCGGATCAGCCTATAATGAATACGCTGAAGTGACTTTACCCAAACTTAAGACAAAATATATCAAGAAATTTGCCGAAGTCGAGGTGCGCTCATATACTTCGATAGTGGCTGTTTGCGTGACATCCTACCCAGGAGTCTAAGAAAGCGGTCTTGTCGCCGCCAACTTCTCCCCAGTCTCCACCTTCCGATCCCCATCATACCAATACATCAGCGAAACCCAATCATTTGGGAACAGCGCGTCCGACCGTCACCTCACCTCAACCTCTGAGAGCTATCGACCGTCGGCCATCAGGTAGTGCGCCTGGACGTAATCGTTCTCCGTCTTCCGGCACCGCTTTTTCGGATTTGGCCCATCAAGGTATGCTGGAGTCTCTCTTCCATTGTTGCGACATCTCTTGACCCCTTCTAGGCAAACGACAACTGAATACTCTGATCGGCTTTCTAGACAAGAGCGGCACTGTCAAGGATTCACTTGGCGGTAAAGAAAACCATGCACTTCGAGTTGTCCGAACAAAGAGGGAGCTTGATGAAGCTGGTCTGTTTCCTTACGAAAATCACAGGTTGGCATCTGACTAGGCGATATAGACAAAGAGTATCGAAAGGGTGTCCATTGGTTGGAGACACTTCGACTACGACGCACAAAGACACTGGAAAGTGGATATAAAGTGCGGTCGCATTATTTCGGGTTTAGTTTTCTGATCTTCATGTACTCTCAGAGCCTTTCGACATTTGTTGAAGAGTCGTCAGCTGCAGTGAAGAAGGCCCTTGAGAAGTACACTGATAATATGATGTTAGTTCCGAGAATTTCTGTGTTATACATGCGAGCTGACTATCTTTCAGAGCAACGACCACTACTCAAACTCAGCTGTCGACCCATGCACGTTCAGCTGTAGACAGGATTTCGCCGGAGAAGGACGTTGCGCGGGTCACGGCTTATATTCCACGTTCATTAGCCTCGGCAATACCCGAACCCGTCTTATATCAGCACGGCCTTGTTGGAGAATGCAAGGATCTGATTTTTGGTTTCAGTTTGGTCGGCTATGCGACTTCGAAAAATTTGCCGGATGGAGACATTCCCAAGATAGTCAAGATGTGCGTTGCAGAAATTGATTCCAGAGGGTCGGAAGCTGAAGGGATCTACCGAGTAAGTATCAAGACATTTCTCGGGATGTTGATCAATATCTTTCCAGGTTTCTGGTCGGCATGCTGTTGTCCAATCGGTGCGTGATTCACAAGCGTGAAACACTAATTGTTTGATGTTTTCTGTCAGCTGCAACGAGATATTGAGAAGGATGAATCTGCGTTCGAATTCAAACAGCATCATGACATCTACGCTGTTGCATCCCTACTCAAGGTCAGTGTTGTTCGAAGCATAATGTTGTATTGGCCTGAAATCTGTGTCTATAGCTATATCTCCGTGAACTTCCTGAGCCTCTCTTTCGGTTTTCCCTTCAAGACCGTATCCACCATTCAGAAGAATTAGGTCTGTTGTCATCTTCAGCTGACAGCTTGTGTCTTGATTTCCATCAAAAGCCGAACATCAATCCAATAATTTCATGTTGCTCAGGTCGAAAATGCGCCGTTTGCCTGTAGTACATCAAGCTACTCTTAAAGCCATAGTGGAACATCTGGCCCGAATTGTAGCAATGAGTGATAAGAACAAGATGGATGCAAAGAACGTAGCCATAGTCTTCGGGAGCGTGATTTTTGGCGAAGACGAGATCCCCAAAGGTGTCGATCTGTTGACCGTTCAAACCTGGAAGGTGAAATCATACTGTGTCATATGGCTAGGATTAGATCCTTATTCTACTTCCTAGGATTCTCTGATGGAGGATTTGATTACAAATGCTGGTGTTCTGTTCGATGAGCAGGGCACACACCACTCCCCTCCGTTACCTCCGACGCCGCTAGGAGAACTCACACCTCAATATTCTTATGGATCCAAGCTGACTAAATTTGCACCCCCGTCGTCTCTCTCACCAACGGCAGATTTCACTCCCCCGCTACCACCTCGTCCAACTAGTAGTATCCACCCATCTCTACGAGCAGGGCAGGCATCACCAACCAAGGACCGGCTAGAGACCCCTCCGATGCCTCAGCGGTCAGACAGCACCACCTATACGGAAGAAGTAAACGTCGCCGTACCGTCTTCACCCTCCGTTACATCGACCATCTATGTAACAGACGAGTCAGCCGATGAACTTGAATCGTCACCGTCCTCACCTGGGCACCCGAAATCTGTGAAATCAATACAAACCAGCGCGGGTACCTCATCAGACGACCCAGGATCGAGTGATGCTCCGGCAATATGATGGTTTCGCTATGGTTTCAGATGTATTCAACTGGGCTGGGTCTTCTTTCGGTATTCTTTGTGTGGATAGTAATGTTTTGATATCTGACATGTTCATTCATCGTATATGTAACAAATTTGTAGCCGTATTAGTTCTTAGTTCACATATCCCAGAGGTCCTGATCGAGTGACGAACGTCGGTCAGTTACAAGAAACCGTGCTAAACGGATGGTTGACCTTGATACACATGTTTGTTCATAGTTTCGAATTTCGCGAGTTACCTTGCTTGTCAAGGTCTCTCTAGGTCTAAAATCTTCGCTTACACAAGCCATGGTCTTCCCGTGATATGACATCATTCTCCACACGTAATCAAAATCCTTGTCGCTGACAATTTCACCCTTTCCATCACGCATCAAATGTCTTTTCACAACGGATATCAAATTGCCAACATATTAAATCCTCTAGATCTACCGGTAATGGCAAGATTGGACATAGCTACTGCCCTCAAAAACCTCAATGATGTTTGTGCTTATCTTCCATCTGCATTAGAAAGACAAACTCGGCATATCATCTATATCTTTTGCGCTTTATTGCCACTTCCAACGTTGGCAGATCTACTTGAAAACCTCAAATCTCGATGATGGGGTGGATATAAACAATTTGTATGGAGATGTACCGACCATAATATTAGACACCATGTGTTGAATAGTGGGACTGAGCCATACGTGCGCTTCAACATTGCAACAGATAATGCGACTACCCCGCCGTGCCCTGCAGGTATGTCTGTGTATTTCGTCCCTCACACTGTACACATATCCACTGATCACTGGCACTGAGTAGGAAATGACAACCTTAAGAGTACAAAGCCTAAGCGGAAAATTGTGGACGTTGAAAGAGGTGAGGCGAAGAAAGTTCGTGCTTAAATGTAATCAGTTCAGGTAACTAGCAGGATTCTCTTAAAGGCATGTATGTATGATTATGGCGGTGTATGATTATTTTCAAAGTGTGCCTCACATAAATTGGATTCTACAAATTTGGGATGGGGATGAACACCGCTTAAGCAAGGTATGATAGTCATCGACCAACGACCGCTAGTATCAAATGAAGCTAACGCGTCGGACGCATACGAGCATCACGTGGTCGAGCAACTAAAACGTCTTTCAAAGTTTGGCCGCTTTCAACCAAACCTGATTTCTTACCAGTCGCACTTGTTCTTGCCAGCTTTCATCGTAGTCCTCCTGAATTCCTAGAGCTTCTTGCGTCAGTCTAGGACAACCACCTTCAACTTGGATAGCGATGGTTGTGAAACCCAGGTTCTGGGCAGTTAGGGTCGGTAGAGAGGGTCCAAAGATCTATACGTCTTGGGATGAGGTGAGTGTCTTTCTATCGCACTATTATCTTTCTGACTGAAACATGTCTCCAGTGCGACAAAAATGTGAGTGGAACAACATCGCGTTCTTTATTAGTCGCCAAGTGTGCCACTACAGGTGAACAAATATCCAAACGCGAAACACAAAAGCTTTCCTACCAAGGCGCTGGCCGAGGAATATATTGGTATGTTGTCATCTTTTCTGCAACGAACGAGCATATTGACTTTGAGCAGCGCCTTTTCTAAGAGCATCGTCGTCCCAGTCGGGTTCCAAAACACGGCCGGCTAAACCTGAGATCATATACATCGACTCTGACTCTGATTCTAACGTTCAAATAATAGAGAACCCGAAGCCATCTTCGTCTACAAAGAAACCTGCACCTAAGCGAAAGCGGCCCAATGCTGAGCCCAGTTTTGACGATGATTCGGATCTCGAGATTCAGCTCCTGGAGGGACCGTTCTCCGACAGGTCCTCCAAAGCTCCTTCCGAACCGAAGGCAGTGCCTTCCAGCTCCGATGGCCCTTCGACTATTTGTCTGTCGCCGGAGCAACAGCATGTACTGAACTTGGTCAAAGAAGGCCGGAGTGTATTCTTCACAGGTTCCGCAGGTTAGGATTCACACAACATACTTGCACAGGAAGATGAACCGTGACCCCACAGGTACCGGAAAATCTGTTCTCCTTCGTGAGATCATCAAGGCCCTCCGCGAGAAGCCCGGCCATGTAACAGCTATAACTGCCAGTACTGGAATTGCGTCTGTCAACATAGGCGGGACGACACTGCATTCCTGGGCTGGTATCGGGCTTGGTCAAGATGAAGCCAAGAAGTATGCCGACAAATTTATATTCCAAAAGATCTTCAAGTCTACTTTGAAACGCTGGCGCGATACAGATACCCTCATTATCGACGAAAGTACGCTAGTCTTTTTTATCGGCAAATATGCAATTCATCTGGATATCTAGTTTCGATGCTTGATGGCAAACTATTCGATAAACTTGTTGGTGATTTCCTCAGTTCCCATGCCTCTGTCTAACTTTCCATCAGGAATACATTGGCCGTCGCGTTCGTAATGCCCCACATGTACCTTTTGGTGGCATACAAGTACGTCTCTACGCGAGCCGTTCGGGGTTATAAATTTAATATTTATTTTGTACAGCTCGTACTCTCTGGAGACTTCTGTCAATTACCTCCAGTTCCGGATCGTAGGGACGGAAAAATAATGCCGGTGACGTTCGCATTTGATTCAGGGAGCTGGAAGAACTGTGTGGGACCCCCAGTGACTCTGACTCGCGTGTTCCGACAAAAAGACCAAGGTGCGGCTCTCTGTAAAGAAGTGATGACCCAACCCTAAATTTCTTTAGCTTTCGTGGATATCCTCAATGATATGCGCTTTGGGCAGCTCAGTGAAGCATCTATAGAAATTTTCCGTGGCCTCACTCGACGTGTGATTTACGATGACGGAATAGAGCCTACAGAGCTGTAGCTATTCTGGTCTTGTCCTTTACCACATTTTGCCTGATGTTTTATTTTCTAGGTTTGCCTTAAGAGGCGAAGTGGATGGAGCGAACTCTGCTCGCTTGAAAAACCTCAATGGCTGTTCACATACATACGAATCTCGGGATCGCCCCGGCGTCGATGTCGACGGTAAAGTCGTCTCGCTGCAGCAGATGGATCGACTTCTCGAACGTCTTGTTGCACCGAAGCAGATACAATTGAAGGTAAATTGTCAGCCCTCCAGAAACAGGCCTTCCATCCATCGTTTTCATTTACAGGTTGGCGCCCAAGTTATGCTGATCAAGGTAGGTGTAGTTCTGTAGTTGTCTTAGTTGACTTTGAATTAACAAACCTAGAATCTTGAACAAGGGCATCTAGTCAACGGTTCTGTCGGAACCGTGGTAGATTTTGAGACACAACATGAAGCCCTCACTTCCGAAGATACCGAAATTGGAGAAGTGGAGCGCAAGGACGAGACGGATGAAGAACGGGCTGCCCGTCTTGACAAGCTCCCCGTACAGCAAGTATGGCCTGTTGTACGTTTCACCAATGGAAGGCGGATCTTGTGCATCCCTCAGGAGTTCACCGTGGAGAACTCTAATGGAGACGTCGAAGCAAAGAGGGATCAAGTGAGAAGGCCAATCTTGAAAAGAATTCACCATCGATTAATTCTTGGCGTCAGGTACCGTTGATCCTAGCTTGGGCTCTGAGCGTCCACAAGTCGCAGGGTCAGACCATCGAACGTGTCAGAGTTGACCTCAAGCGTATTTTTGAGAAGGGTCAAGGTATGTCGTATGGCATTGACGGGTTTCACCACCACTGACCATGTACACAGCGTACGTAGCCCTGTCAAGAGCGACAACGATGGAACATCTACAGGTTCTCAACTTCGACCCCTCAAAGTGAGTCCACTCCCAGTGTCCGCGCATGCCACGAGTCCTGACATTCTTTGCTTTGAGGGTCCTTGCACACCCTCGCGTAATAGAGTGGCACCATGGACAACGTACTCACGAGATTGACGAGTCGTCGGAGGCGATGGAATATTGATGATTTATTGTCTGCTCATTTTGTCTTGTTGCTGAAGCTATATGATACAGCTCTATTAACCATTATTTATCTTGTAGCGTAGATACAGAGATATTGGATACATGTCACCAGTCAGATCATTCATTCATTCCCATAGTGTGTTATACAACTTCGACGAAGTTCGCGGGGAATATACCCTTCCGATCACCGATCTTTCCTGTCCACCTGTCGACATGTTAGAAGGTCGAACAAATGCAATAAAGCAAGCGTACCAATCATCTGAACTATTACTCTTTTGCAGAATTACAATTACATCACCTTTGTTAAACGATAAATCCCCAGACTAGAAAAGTGCACATAATGTCAGTTACCTGATTAGGATGTAAGTGCTGAGATGCTCACTTCAACGGCGTTAAAATTATACAGAGCAATTGCACGAGCGACTCCTTCCAACAAGGGTTTGCTCAGCTCAGGTTTCGGTGATATGAAGACTGATGTCGACGAGTCATATGATGTTCTAGATAAAGGCTTCGAACTCGCCGGTGAGGCTAAGCTCATGGACCTGCCATGGTGCATGCCACCGGGCGATGTAGAGTACTTCGGTTCATCTAGAGAGTCGAACCAATCGTTTGTGGCCGGCGTCTTGGGCGCATATGGTAGTGACTGACTCATTCGGTGAGTCGGCCTCTTTGAGTCCTCCGGCACGAAGTCCGACTCAAAGTGGGTGGGAAAACTGGTAGTCACGGATCTATCGCCGCCGCTGCTTTGCCAAGTATCATTTGGCATCGAAGAAAAGCTGCTTGAGTTGTATCGGTTACTCGGTGGATCGGACTCTGTAAAATAGGACCCAGATGTCGTCTCTTGACCCCAGGATTCAGGAGGAAACATGGTCTTGTCGGCTCTCTTTTTCTTCTTCAAATAAGAAGGGGTTTGTGATCCCACACTGCCCACTCCACCGAAGGCATAAGCAGATGATTGTCCTCCGTCCTCAATCCATTGTCTGTTTCCTGGAAGACCTGTACATGCTTCCAATGTCTGAATCAACGGAGCTGTCCATGGTGGATGGGAGATGGCACCACTGAGTAAAAGCTTGGCGGTGACATTAGGATTATTATAAGCCTGTACGTTGGCATCTTGTCGCTCGACGATTATCGAGCCTTGCAAGCTATTGCATTAGGAGAGTCGCTGTTTAACATTTGCGAGATTTCTCACCTTCAACAGAGAGACCACCAAATAGGCCTCGCGTTTTGGAATAGCTGTACATAGCCGCAACCTTTCCGCTGGTGTTCAATGAGCCAACTGGATCAATGGATGGGTTGAATAGGTAGACTAGAGATGATAACAGAGATCCTACCAGCTTCACCATTCCTTCCAAGAGGTCCAACAGCAAGACTGCATTGTAAAGTAGTAAAGATCAAGATGAATTTCCGAGAGAATCTATAACAAACCTCATGTTACCACCAAGCGTTAAGGACCCTGCTGCCATAAACGTTTTCTATCGCATAGTCAAATATTCTGTACTTTTCAGCACACACCAATTAGACTCACAAGAGCCTTGAAAACGTACATTAGTCACGAAGAGTGCTGACAAGCTTGGCTATTTACCGATCGTGAATTCAAAACGATAAGGAAATCGGTCATCTCAGCTCCTGCTTGACCGCCAAAACCAACGCCGGCCGTGCCTATGGCACTGGGACACGACCATGCTATAAAGACACTAAGATAAGTGATGATGTAGCCAAGGTGTCTTAGCGCATACATCCGTCATCCAGCCTTGCAATGACAATTCCGCTGCCTGCCCGTGCGCTAAAAAGAAACCCGGCTTTGAAGATGGTGAAGATAGCAAATCCTTTGGCGTTCTCGAGGACACGGCGGGGAATGACACCATCAAGCCCATCATTTCCGCTGTCCACAAAAGACTTGACTGTAGAAAGTTTGTTACAACAGTGCTTTGCTCAGGCTAAAGACAAACGAACATATGCTGGCGGCCTTGGCGCATTCTTTAGGCAGTGATTGTGGTACAGGACTGTCAAGACAGTTAAAGAGACGCGATCTACAGTATTTACAGACCAACCTGTTCAGCTTCATGTATTGGAGAGAACACAACGAGGCAGTGGGGGAGAAGATGGGAGTACAGGAGAAAGAGCAGAGTATCCGCTGCAGGCCGAAGCAGGCTCATGGCCTGACGATGACGTTATTTGCATGACGATGACCACGTGGCAGCATGAAGTCGCAGTCATGATTCGGACCCAGCGGCCAACTTCACTGCTACCATCATCTTCAGTGCTTTCTGGGGCATTTCTATTTCTTCGGGTAAACGATGAGCTATAGAGGTGGAGATCGGGGTCGTGGTCGCGGGGCACCTTCTGGAGGACGCGGGGGCTCGTTCGACCGGGGCCGCGGTGGCTATACTGGGGCTGGTCAACGGGACCAGGGAGGGTGAGTCACGGCGCTAATATTCAGTCTTTTTTCCATCTCATTAGCTTATAGTGTATTTTCTCCTGGCACTCCGGCCAATATTGACCGTCGTTTGACGGACGGTTCCGAGCAGACTCTCGTCGATTCATTCCGTTCTCTCAGAATAAACTCAAATGACTTGCCACTTCGACCTGGCTTTGGAAAAGAAGGAAAGCAAGTCAAGTTACGCGCCAACTTCTTTCCTGTCAAAGTTCCAAAGTCCCTTTTGTACGAGTACGACGTCTCGATCTCACCGGCTGCTGGATCTGCGAACCGCCGGGTCAAACGACGCATTTTCCAACTCGCGGAGCAAACCTCAGACTGGTCTAGATATGGACTACAAGGAACTGTTGCTCATGATCATGCGTCCAAACTTATTGCCTCGAAGATGCTCCCCCAGCCGATAGGGATTCGAGTTCCCTATTATGACGAGGACGAGACCCGCCCTGGCCCTAATGGCAAAGAATACACTTTAACAATAACATTCATACAGAATATTGATACATCCCATTTGCTGAAGTGAGTCCATTAACAAAAATGCCATTATCTGGCTGATGGGTTCATGTCAAAGCTATTTGGCTGGACAGCCACAATATCGCGGCTACGACATACTTCCTATCATATCTGCCCTTAATATAGTCTTAGCTGCACACCCCAACCGGGCCTCGCAAGGTGGCGGTGTCCTCGTTGGTAGAAATAGGTTTTTCTTTGCAGCAGCTGCGCCCCCAGTGCCTCTTGGCGGAGGTCTTCAAGCTTGGAGGGGATTCTATTCCTCCGTTCGTCCTAGCCATAATCAATTGATGGTCAATGTCAATGGTAAGCATCTGGCCCAAGAAATTGTTATTATAACTTACAGTTACTCTCAGTCTGTACAACTGCATTCTACGGTAAGCTGTTGTTCCACGTTGTATTGGTGCCATCAATTTAACGAGTTGTAAGTGCCTGGAAACCTTGCGGAAGCCATGGTGGAATTCAGCAATGCTAGCTTCGGCGCTAGATACACTGCGTTTGTCAAAGGCGTCCGAGTGAAGACAACTCATCTTGGTTACAAGAAGACGGTCAAGAGCGTTTCAAATCTGTTACCCAGGCAGCATACTTTTGACTGCGAAGAATTGGGTGGAAAGGTCAACGTCGAACAATACTTTTCAAAGAGTGCGTAACCATCAGTTCAACCGCTTATCTTTTTGCTAAGGGTTCATTACCTTGTTTTGTAGAGTATCGTTACAAAATTCGATATCCCCAGCTTCCACTCGTCGATGTCGGCGGCCAGAAGGCAAACCTTCTTCCACCCGAAGTTTGTGAAATTTTGCCTAATCAGCCTTTCAAAGGCAAGCTCAGCGATGAAAATACGGCGGCGATGATCAAGGCTGCTGCTAAACCACCAAATATCAATGCAACGGTGATCATGAACGCAGGGCTCAATGAACTTGGATTCCGTCAGGGTGCAGCACCTTTGGGTGCTTTTGGTATCAGCATCGGGTCAGAAATGACCGTTGTTCCAGGGAGAATTCTCCCGACCCCAAGTATCACTTACGGCTTCGGACGGCCCGACGTCGACGCCAATAGAGCCAGCTGGAACTTGAGGAACGTCAAGTTCGTGAAAGGCGGAAAGCTTGCCCATTGGCTCGTTCTCCTCATTGCTGATGGGAACCGGGAAGAGTTCTCCGGCCCGAACGACTCAGAACTTAAACAGACAGTCAATGGGTTCACAAATATGTGCAAGAACAGCGGTATGACCGTTGAGCCTCCAATGGCATGTTTATCCGCCGCTCTCCCTCCCAAGGATCGCAAGGATCCCATCAGAGCTTCAGCGATAGACAAGATAAGAACCACCTTGCGCTCTTATCAGCAGAAACCCAGTTTCGTTTTGGTGATTCTCTCAAACAGCGACAAGCATGTTTATGCTGGACTGAAGCATCTTTGCGACTCTTACTTGGATGTTCCTACAGTGTGTGTGCACGCTGGGAAGATACGGAAGGATAGAGGTACGCATGGTTTTTTTAGTTCCCCAAGGCGGTAATTAAAGATCCTGATAGGTCAAATGCAATATTTTGCAAATGTCGCTTTGAAGGTCAACATCAAAACTGGTGGCGCCAAGTAAAGTGATACAATCAGCAACTAACATTGATTAACTAACGATCCCCTCTAGTCACACCTTGGACAAGGAAGGTATGAAGTGGCTCCATGCGGCACCGACAATGCTGGTTGGTATCGATGTGACCCACCCTGGACCCGGCAGCGTTAAAGGAACACCTTCAATTGCAGCAGTTGTGGCCAGCGTCGATCCCTTCTTTGCGCAGTTTCCCGCTAGCATGCAGTTGCAGGAGTCCAAGAAAGAGGTAGCTTTTCATACGACCTGATCAGTACCTTGGGCTCATCCTTGATTCTAAGATGGTCACGAATCTTGCGGTGATGATGTTCGAACGTTTAAGTCTTTTTCGCTCTAGGAACAGGAGACTCCCTGAACGTGTATTGGTGTATCGTGACGGGGTATCCGAGGCATGTCACTCACTCTTATCCTTTATCGCATGGTTGACCTTTTTGTCAGGGTCAACTCATGACCGTCGTTGAAGAGGAGATGCCTGCGATTCGAGCAGCTTTTCGAAAGTTCGACACGCCCCAACAGAAATACACTCCTAAGCTATCCATCGTTGTTTGTGGGAAGCGGCATCACACGCGCTTCTATCCTACAGATGCGGCTGGCGCCGACAGCAACGGTAATCCAAAGCCCGGAACTGTCGTGGATCGTGGCGTGACTGCCGTGTACCACTTTGACTTTTTCTTGCAAGGTCAGTGGTTAATTCGATTTCAAGGAGTGCTGGCTGACTTGTTTCGTCATAGCCCATGCCGGCCTCCACGGGACGACGAGACCAACGCACTATTACGTTGTTCACGATGATATTGGATTCAAAGCGGACGAGCTTCAGACGCTAACGAACCACATCAGCTATCTGTATTCCCGTGCTACGAAGGCTGTCAGTCTAGCGTCTCCTGCCTACTATGCAGACATGGCTTGTGAACGTGGGAGATGCTACATTCACAAATTACTTCAGGGCATCACCAACGTCAATTTAAATCATGTCAATGCGGACAGCCTTGTTATAGATGAAGCTCAGAAGTTGTGGAATAATGGCGTTTCGGGACAGGTCATGAAGGACACCATGTATTATCTATAACGCATCTCAGCTATGTACCATCTCCGCCTCCTACTTATGTCGATATTTGCATAAATGTAGTTGCCTATGTCTGTATTTGTATTTTTGTATCAAGATCTAGATATATACATTGGTTCGTGGTAGCGTACCTGTTTCTCGATTATTCTCAAGTTGTATGCTGCTTAGGATGGCGCTGCGTTTCTCACACGGTATCTGGTTGGGCGCATCAATGGCGCATCACGTACTGTGTCGGAGATGGTCTCACCTCCCCCACCTCAAGCTCTAGCGCCTGGCATTCAGGAGGCCTCAGGGGACATTTTGATTTTCGGCATCGCCCCCAGCACGTGTGGGATGAGGGCGGCAGGGGCGCTGGTGGCTTCTGCAGCCTCCATCCTCCACTCAAAAGCATGGTTGCTCGCACGAGACTGCCTCTGGAAGACAAGTTTCTGGTCATTTGTCTCCCTCTGGGCACAAGCCTCGGCTAAATACATGGACCAGGTTCGTATCTCCTGTTTTTTCGTCGTCCGCCTTCCTGTCCGACGGTTGCCAGTCATTTTTCTTTGACTATACTCCATCATCTGAGCCAATTACTGTCCCTGTGACAAGTGAGTTTGCTGTATCAACATTCGGACGTGCACTTATTCATGAACAGCTCAGTGCGAAACGATCCATATATCCTGGGATCGGACCTCGGCTGCAACTGGGTTTGTGGCCATGCACCGCCCGACTTCGGGCCACTTACTCCCATTTCATTTAGACCCAGTCCAACAGCTCCGTATTACCTTCAAATATATACTTCGTGAGCATCCATCTTCTGTAGAGTATCCCTCCTCACCTAGTTGCTAGTGCATTTGTATTCCCATTTGTCGTAGCAGCGGGTGATGGCCTATCGTTTGTGAGTCTAAGTTTGAACTTTCTTGTATCTGTCTCATGCTGAATGCATCATAGGATTGGCAAGTTCCATTTGCTCCAGGGACCTTGGTAAGTTCACAGCTACCCTCACACGAATACTCGAGCACTCATCATTTCATTTAGTATCAGATATGCATGGTATGTATGTCGTTGATTAGGAGATCGACTTTATCATTCAAAACCTTTTTCAGTTTGACAAGAATGGGTACACGGGTGGGTGCCAAGCCACGTACTCGATGATAGCCAATACGACCGATACACCTTCCTGTTCGAACGTTACTTTCCCCCTTGGACCGCTGAATATCGATGCGGAAGTAGCAAACGGTCCATTATCTCAGTACGGTTGGATCGATCAGGTCAGTAATGCTCGGTATTTGATGAAACTTTAATTCACAAAGATTATCAGTGTACAGATATCTCCGTTACACCCAAAAATGGGACTCCACCATATACTTTGACAGTGAGTCCTCAATATAGCTAACAGCCACGTCTTTAATTGTTATCAATCGTTCCTAGGTTGCGCCGGCATTGCACCCGCCATACAACCTCACTTTTAATGACATACAGACAGTCAATTGGACGGTAGACCTGTCATGGGCTTCTCCATTTTTTATCAGTGTCGTCGACGCCGACTTCAATTTCTGGTCTTATGGACCTCTTCATAGTGGAGGTGGAGGTACGACTGCCTGTCTATCTGCAACGACTAGGTAAGTTCATTGTATTCTTCTACTTCTTTCTCTCTTCTCTCAACAACGATATGTCCTATGTCCAGCGGGAAACGACTGTGTACCTATTGCAGCAACGATTGGTGCTGGGGTGGGTGGTCTCGTGGTTGGATTGCTTGCAGGGTTGGTGACTACCCTCTGCTTCATCAAACGGAGACAGCGCAAAAAAGCAGATGAGCAGTTTATGCCCCTCGGAGTCTCGCCGTCCTTGTCCCACAACGCACAATACCGACCAGTTCCGTCTACACCGCTTTCTTTACAGCCAGACACTGCCTATACTCAGCACCCTCCAATAGGCCAAAGTGGAAGCAGCTATCAAGTGGAGCCGTTCTCTATGCCTGGCGAAGGCATGCACTCACATCGTGGGGCTACATCGCCGACTTCTATGAACGAATATGTAAACAACCACGCATCCTCTGTTGCTCATGAATCCATAGCGCCATCACAGGCCGGAAGCGGAGGCTCCCGCATTCAGTCTGGTCAGGTGTACGTGGTGCATCACGACGGCGGAAGAGCACCTGTCACCGTATATCACGAAAACGGGACAGAGGTCGTGGAACTGCCACCCCGGTATGCCGAGGATGGTCTAAGAACATCATACGATGTACAAAGCGAAGGGCCAAGCAGCAGTGGCGGTAGCGAAGTTACCCCGAGCACAGCGTCCCGAGACTACTTTAACCAGCCTAGACGACCTGGAGGCGCACCGAAGAAGCCACAGACGTCCTTCTCCTCGAAGGCCCCACCGTAGTTTCCCTCCTTCTTTTGGTTCTTTACGGGCTCATAAAGGCCTGGGTATCACTGACTTATCTTAATCGTTCGTTTCAATACCGTGTAAATTGCGGTGCAGACATTTGTTGTCTATTCTTCTCTAATGTAGTGCCGATTTAACGAGTAGATTCTCTGGTTTGAAGTATTACGATATGAACAATGTAGTTCTACACCCTGACGATAATGATACCCTTATATATCAAATGCGAAAGGTCAAAGCAAAGCTTCTCGGTGCACTCCGATCGGGCACGGTTTCCAACCGGAGTGTTCATCCAATGATCGCCATCCTGGTGCGGAGAAGTCAAGATCAACAACTACACCTGAACCAGGCATCAGCGCAGGTCTTTGCGCATCTTCGTGAGTGACGCTAAGGAGGGTCTCTAGTCGGTGGTTCATAATCAGCATGTCTTCGTTCTTCCAAAGCTGCATTTTCATAAAATACATTGATACTTCAAGTTAATTAGGGACTTACTGATGAAGGTGGAGCGTCACCGGAGTGGAGCCATTTGATTGCAGTCTCTAAATCCTCGTTGCCGTCACAAAGAACCTGCAGAAGTTCAGAAGGTCTTGGTTTTCATCAGTACGTGATCACGCTGAGATACTGAAAAACCTTTACGCATTCTTTCTGGCGAGAGATGTCCCGGGACCAAGCGCTGTGATTAATGAGACAACTACTTCTCTCCTCATACTGACTTCCATATCAGGATCATCGCGATCCCAGTTATCAATTATCCACTTCACCCAACGAGCGAGGCACGCATGATATGAAGAGTTTTTCGAGTCAGTGGAAGTGCCTTCTTGTTCAGATAAAAGACAGGACAGAATTCGATTGACAAGGACACTGGGAAAATCGGGGTGCGCCGTTTGTAGATGGACTAGAAGGGGAGTCCATAGCTGAACAGAAAAACCAGGTGGATGAAACAAATCCGGAGGAAATGTGCGTTTCCTGCTTAATATCTCAGTTTGAGTGTAATTTGTACTAAGAAAGACCGACTTTTTTGATAGAGGAACCAGGATACCTCTTGCCAACATTTCATCAGATAACTTCTCCAGCGCGAATCGCTCCTTGGTGTCTTGATTATTAGCGGATACATTCTCCCATCCTAAGTCACCAATGGAAACATTCGCTGCTACCTTGGCTTCAGCAATCCACCTCTCAACATCTTTGAGGACATTTGAGATGGCAAGTTTGTTCCGATTCTTCAACGATTCGTCGCGTATCGTCTCTTTGAGTAACATTTTATACTCCTTCAAGACCAGGACTATAGAACGCAAGGTGGTTTGTGGTATGGGTGCAGTATAAGGATTTACTGTGGGTAGCCAATAGTTATGCAAGAGCCACGTCATGGACTAGTTAGACATGCTTAATGAGTGAGATAAGAGAAGGACACGTTGTGCGTACCTGTCGAGCGCCTTCTCTTAACAATTCAAGTGACGGTAGATCTTCATGTGTAGAAGCGTGCCGAAGTTCGACAAGCCACAATGGTAGACCTAGTTGGTGGGATATTGATGCTATAGATCTCGCGTAGGCTCCGAGTTGTAAGGGATCCACCAAACCATTGACGAGGCGGATGACAGCTGCCGCATAGTTTTGTCGCAGAGACAAGGAAAAAGTCGCTTTCTTTGGGCCAGAGTCATCCAAAAAGACGACTAAGAATGCAAGGGTGGATTCTATCGCATGAGGCAAAGCAGTGATCACTTTCCACGCCGTCAGCTGAAGTCAAGATTTCAAACAAGATAAATCTTCGCAGGCTAGGAGAGGTACCTTGTTGAGAGCGAGGATTTTTGAGTCCAAATCGTTTTCATCTTCATATATCCAAGCGCAAACTTGATCCAGTTCTGCGATCGAAGTCCAAGGGACGCGACGGGGTAGTTGCATGTTGGTAATATAAAGGGAAAAAAAAAAAGATCTTATCATAATCTTATCTGAGGGCAACCGAACACGTGGTCTAGATCACGATCTGATCATCAAATGTTGAACTTGGCGCGTCTTCGCTGAGGCAATCAGTCGGCACACTTGGGGAAGGGATCCTTCCTTTGAACCAGTAACAATGGCTCCACTCGACGTCCGAGGCCAGATTGGTGCAGCCCAGCTTGCATTTTATGTCCCCCTTGCTGCCATATCCTTCTTTTATTTCATTCGATATCTCTTTCGACGCGATGCCGGTTGGCTTTTTCTGCTAACATTTGCCCTCAGTCAGTATTTCGCCTTTAAGAGACATTCAACACTCTGATTTAGCATTTTCTTTAGCACGTATTGTGGGAGGGGCCTTAATTGTTGCCGGAGAGGCCACAGAAGACTCCAATTTCAACGTCGACTTGTTCATTGCTGCTTATCTCCTGTTCCATGCTGGCCTTGCCATCCTCATGCTCGCTGCAATCGGTTTTCTGGGCCTCGCGTGCGTAGTCATTATTCTACACCTTTGCATGCGTACTGATAAGACCCTGTATAATCAGAGGGCAACATACGTACAGTGAAGAACATCGAGTGACCCGCCTCCTCAGATTCGCTGGAGTGGTCGCGGTGATGGCTTTAGCACTATCCATTGCTGGTGGACTTTTGGGTACACATGTCAATCCAGACACGAATGCCGGGATGAATGTCAGACGCGTCGAGGCCGGCGTTTATGGGGCGCTATACCTCTTCCTTGTCTTCACTACGATGGTTTCCTGGTCACATCGCCACTTTATGAGGAGTTACCGTAGACGGGCAAGTATTGCATCTTATGTTCGAATATCACTCACGCTAATCCATACCTTCCATTCAGCTCCTTGCTGGGGTCACTTTCGCACTTTTGTTCATCGGTATTCGAGTCGCCTACGAGATTTTGGCGGCTTGGTCCGCTTCTGATGTTTTCGGTGACCGGCTATCTTCAAATCCTACCTTGGCCAAATTCAATCCTATTACGGGAGATTGGGTGCCGTATCTGGTAATGGGCCTCATTGTGGAATATGTAGCGGCTGCTTTTTTCATCATACCCGCTGTCATGCTGCACCGAAGAACACGTCACTGAAACGTACCCATCTGTATTTCACATTTTACGATTATTGCTACGATCTGACAGCGGGCTATTGTACTGCGAGGATGATATATACATGTAGTTACTTATATTGAATATATGATAACGTCTACTGACTAACAATGGACCCTCACAGACCATTGGACAAGGCCGGATGGAGTGTATGGCAGCTCCACAGACTGCATCGTCTCAATCAACACTGTCCCTGATATTCCGCGCCACTGATTTGTTCAAGGCCAACAGTCACAGGCCCACCTCGCGAATACCAGACACCCGACTGTGCATCCTTGAAACGAGTTGAAAGAGACGATGAAACGAAACGAACTTGACTTCTACTTCTCAGCATCTCGTTATACCAGTCTTGTATTGGATAGCAGGATCTCCAAGTTGGTGGACAATTGAAATAGCCCAGTGGTCGCGAGTGGTCAATCAAACAAGTATAGTAAAAGTATTGATTCAGACTTGCCTAGAGGGTCAGCATCAAGTACACATAAGACAGAAGGCTCCGTGCGCGTGTCACAAACACAAGAAGCCAAAGAGGATGACAGCTGAGATATATTACGGTCACCATACACACATATAAAGGGATACAAAATTGTTTGGGCCGCATAGTCAAGCACATCCCATTCCCGATGGAAGGCGGGATAGAATGCGCTCCGGCTTAATTGTGCCCAGTAGTTCCTTCTTCCCATATACCATAGCCATACCCTGGTTCCAAGTGGCGAAAGGAGAGTTACTCTGCAGTGCTGCAGAGCGATGGTTGGGTGAAAAATGTTTGCGCCGTGGGAAATTTCAATTACGAATTAAGTAGGCAGGTACCGGGCCGGCTCCGCCAGTGTTCCGCTATGTTGTCTCGTCTCCGATCTATCCTTGCCCACCTCAATCACGCCAGTCGAGTAAAAATGTCTACCACGGTCCACAACACGAACGAGGCATGCTGCACAATCCCTCCCGTTCTCTCTGAATATGCGCCCAAGGGTGCTATCAAGCCCTATGCTGGCTTCCAGAAAGTCTATATCACTGGCCCGTCGACCAGCGAGAACGCTATCGTAGCTATCTTTGATATCTTTGGGTGAATTTTCTGCTATTATCCAAATAATCTGGCTTAATGTCTGTTTAGATTCTTTCCTCAGACCCAGCAGGGTGCTGACATCCTGGCTTCCACTCTGAACACTACAGTCTATATGCCTGACTTCTTTGAGCCTGATTCCGCTTTCGACCTCGCCAGATTTCCCCCAAAGACTGCCGAGGACAAGGCGGAAATTCAGGCGTTCTTCGGGAGCACCGCCAGCCCTTCTGCTGCCATAACCAAACTCAAGGCTTTTGGTGAGGCGCTCAAGAGCAATGGTGTTAAACGGGTTGGTGTTTATGGGATGTGCTGGGGTGTGTATTCCTCAGGTGGCTCCATCTCTAGCGTTCACATTTGCATTAGGCGGCAAGGTAGCTATAGCCTCCGGTGGAGAAGGTACTCCCTTCCATGCAGTATCTCTCCTCCATCCCGCGTAATCAAATTTCCTGACAAATTCCCAAGGTCTTATCTGACTCTCTTCCACAGGATGCTCTCTGCCGAAGATGCTGAGAAGTTGACTGTACCTCTTGCGATTTATGTATCTCACGACGAACCGGTTGTCGAGGTATGCTGGTCTCACTGAAGTTTCACTGGTGTCTTATTTCCCATTAGTACCAGAAAATTGTCGATATCATCTCCAAGAAGTCATTCGCTGACAAAAATGACGCCAAGAATTACGATAATATGTTCGTGTTCTGCTTCTCCATCAGGGAACTCGGTTGATGTCTTTCCCAGGTTCCACGGTTGGGCCGCAGCTCGCAGCAATCTCAAAAACGAGGAAAACAGGAAGGAGTAAGCGAATTTCCTCAATGATTACTGAAATTAGCTGTACTCATAGATGCTGTCCAGATTTGAGGATGTGTACGGAAGACTTGCTACTTTCTTCCGACGTACTCTGGTTTGAAGCAGGAAACTAAAGTTAAGCAGTGTAAATGTATGTAGTAGTAGTATCAATATCACACACGATCGTTGCGGCGACCATGAGTAACATCCGGGCTCAAATGTAATCACCTACAGCATCGGTAGGAAAGTCGTCACTGACCTTCCACAACCAAAATGGACCTAAGGGCCGGTGGCATAAGTGGCAGTGGGAAAATATTACGACTACTCGTCTTACCAACGGGATCGCCTGAGAGAACGTCATTCATGACAACCTAGCCACGTGTAACAGGACGCACCTTGGTCATGAATAGTCGTTGTCCATGCACCGATAACACCCACAGCACTTGCAACACTACCAATCTGAACACCTTCCGAGCTACGCTGGGCATGAGTGATAAGAGATGATAGAATGATAACAGACATATCAACCTCCATTGTGTTGTACCGTCATAGATGGAAACCTTTTCACACTATAAATAAGAACCGGGTATAAGAAACCAATGAAATGGGCTCACATATTTATAACGGACGACGCCGTCATCACCCATTTCAACCATACCCTCGATATCGGATTTGTTTCCGTCCACTCCGCGCGACACTCCGTGAAAGTACAGCGGGGGATACAGTGGGTTGTGAACTGTAGGGCCGTTATCCATGTTGCTAAATTTCAGCTTATCACGGGCAACGACCTTCAGCTTCACTTCTAAGAGTCGAGTTGCTTCTCGAAAGCGAAGGTTTTCAGTGAAGTATGCTTTATTTCTAGGTCCACGGAACACATTGGAGAACTAGGAGAGATTGAGCACCAAAGATACCAACAGTGCTTTGTATACATACATTGAAAGCTATGGGGTAAGATGACATATGAGATGGTCTGCAACCAGGAAATGGAGGCTACATACAAAATAGATCGCTGGCAGTATTTCGTAAGACCCCGATACGTAGTTATAATAATGACATACCGATAGTCCATGAAACAGACGTAACGTCTCCAAGTACCTGAAAATAGCTGTCGTCGATGATGAGGGGTCATAGAAAGCACATACCCTCAACTCCGGCCCAGTCCTGCTGACTAGCTATTGCCGGGGCGGAGAATGCCCGAGTAGCCTCCAATCCGACAGGAGGCCTCACGTTCTTCCATCGTTCTGGAAGATCGGCAAGATTAGCCCATATGATGGTCATGAGGTGCTGGACATGAAGCCAGTTCACGCTTCCGTCCTCGAAATACGGCCCCCAATTGTTGGCCATCTTATAATTTCGGAGATCATACGCAAAACATCTACTTTCGGTACGTTGTCCCAAAGTGATGAGCGCGTACTCTTCATCTTCGTCCACATCTGAGAAGAGGAAATAGACAGATAGCCGAGCGACTAGCTGTTGCAGCTCCTGCGGAGGCCGCCGGAAGAGAATCTGGGATTGGTGAAGGAGACAAGTAAGCCAACGCAGACCGTTTGAAGGAGCTGCCTGTATATGCGGGATTTGTGGTATGGGAGAAACGTCATCTATGACAGATATGAACGTTTCCAGGGCAAGTCTCAGCTGTTCGTCAGAGATACCACGCGCATTTAATACAATGAACGCAGATATCATGCGTCGCTGCAGCTCTGCCTTCCAGTCATAGAAAAAAGGCATTGGGGATGTCGCACATCGCAAGGATTTGCGGGGGTCGTCGAAGTGATGAATGATGAGTTCCCTCCAGAGATACTGATCATCGAGGGAATACACGACATCGTAGGCTGCTCGACATGTCCTGGAGAATGCAGAAACCTCTAAGGGATGACAAAAGGCAAGTATATGCTGGATGATTTCTGGCGGGACAACGAAGAGAGTAGCAGACGACGACATGGTGTAGGTTAAGGTTGGGCCGTTACCTGGACCCAGGCCTGATCTCCCTGTTAAGCCTGGACATCATCCATTCCGCACGTTTCTGACAACCACCTCGCCGTTGCGCATACCCAAGGCTTCGTCTCAAAAATGCGGTTGCTAGGTCTCCTCGCTGTGCCTGCTGTGGTGCTCGCCTTCCAGTTCCCGTTCAAAGTTCCATTTCTCAAAAACAAACTTGACGACGACGTCACCGCTCCTGCAAGGATAGCAATCATCGGTGCTGGAGCTGGCGGAAGTTCTGCTGCTTTCTGGATCTCCAAGGCAAAGGAGCGTTTCGGACTTGACCTTGAAGTCGATGTATATGAGAGTTCCTCCTACATTGGTGGCCGTACGTCGCAATTTCTGTTTCACCACGTTGCATCTCATCTTGTGCTTAGGTAGCACCGTCGTCTACCCTTACGATGACCCAAGCAATTATCCTCCCGTCGAACTTGGGGCATCCATCTTCGTTGCTGCCAACAAGAATCTGTGGAGAGCGAGCGAGGAATTCAACTTAACAAGGACACAGTTCGGGGACGATGATGCAACTATGGGTGTGTGGGACGGTGAACAGCTACTTGTTTCTGTGAGCCTTCTGCTTAGCCTCTTTTACTCTGTCTCTGATGTGATTCAGGTCGGGGGAAGTTGGTGGGATACGCTCAAACTGGTATGGAGGTACGGCGTGTTGTCTCCCAAGCGAACCGAAAGCATGTAAGCTATTACTATCTTCTTCTTTACCATACATGAAACCGTTCTTTCTTCAACAGCGTCGAGCAAATGATCAAGCAGTTTCTCAAATTCTATACTGCAGAGTCTCCTCGGTGGGACAACATAACGGACTTGGCCTCCTCCCTCGGTTGGACTGAATTTGTGTCTCGAAGCACCGCAGATTTCTTGGAGTCGCGTCATATTGGCAGGAACTATGTTCGTGAAATAGTTGAAGCATCGACGAGAGTGAATTATGGACAGGTTCGTTCACTCTACCCTCCCACTTTTCTGAGGTTCACGTCGGAACAGAATGTTGACGCGATTCACGCTCTTGAGGGCGCGTGCTCCATGGCTACTAACGGTGCGGCCTCCATCAAGGGCGGGAACTATCAGATATTTGAAGCATTTATACGCGCTTCAAACGCGTCAGTCTACCTCAATACAACTGCAAGTCATTTCTTACTTATGACATCTTGTAGCTGAATCATGAGACGCAGGTAAACGCCATCACTTCGAAGCCATATGCGTCCACCTCGCAGGCGTGGACCGTACACAGCGACCAAGGAAGCAAGACATACAAGGCCGTGATTCTTGCTGCACCTTTCCATTCGACTGGAATGACCATATCCCCTTCGCTAACTTCTCAAGTTCCTGAGCAGCCTTACGTTCGTCTTCACGTTACTCTATTGTCGACAACCTCGCCCTCGGTCGATCCAGAGTACCTTAATTTAACCCCAACGGCTACCCCCCCAAGTATGTTGTTGACTACATATGAGGGTGCACGAAATGGTGGCAAGGAGCCTGAATTTAACTCTATTTCGTATCACGGTAAAATCTCAAATGATGAATGGGTCGTCAAAATTTTCTCCCAAGAAAGGAAATCAGATGAGTGGCTGCGGAAGGTGTTCCGTGGTCAGGTTGGCTGGGTACACCGCAAAGAGGTTAGTCATATTTGCGGTAGTCATGCCGTTGCTCATCCATTATCTATTAGTGGGACGCTTATCCTGTCTTGCCACCCACAACAACATTTCCTCCCGTAAAATTAGACTCTGGTTTCTATTATATTAATGCCTTTGAACCGTACGTACCATACATGCACATCATTCAGGGTTCTTTCTTAAACTGATACGACGAGCAGGTTCATTTCAACGATGGAAACGGAGACGATCGCTTCACGAAACGTCGTTGACCTCATGCTGAATGAAGAGTTCAGTTCAAGTATATGCGGACCCAGAATCTCTGCCTCATCAGAGAGACAGCTCTCCCTAGGCGAATACTACTTCCCATCTCGCTATCCTGACAACTTTGTTTTGGGTTGGGATTGTTAAGCTAGGGATGATTTGTATTCTAGTATAATGTACATTTTGTAAAGTAGCTACTGCACAGGTAAGAATTATATAGGTTAGAAGGAATGGATGGTGCAGTCTATTTACTTGGATACTTTTCAATACTACATATATCAAATGATTGTGGTGGCAGAACCCTTCTTCTCTGACATTTCCTTGGGCTCTGATATCACGACATCGATGTCGATATCATGCGAGTGGACGGAATGGACGTCAACTTCGTGTGGTATGTTGAGGTCAGGTTGCGCATGTCTGTCTCCATTGGCCACAGCTTGTTCGGCAAATTTTGACGAGTCAAAGGGAGCTACCCAGTCAGTATAATCGCGACGAATCTCGATATAGTCGTTGGCAAATTCGCCAATCTGAGCCATCCCCCAGTCAGTAGGAGAGTAGTAGTAGAAAAAATATATTCACCTCAACTTCGTCCATGCCTAGTCGTTCTCCCTCTTCAGTGCTCCGCAGTTGCAGGCCTGGAATCATATCCACTGCTTTTGCAATCAACGCGGTAACAACGAAGCTGTAAGCCGTAGTAGCACAGACATAGGCAAATTGAATGTAGAGTTGCTTCCAATTGCGATCCATCCAGCCACCCATCGCAGCGGTGTTGATGCCATCCAGAGCTATCACTTGCGAATCTCCGAAAAATGCAGTAAGGATAAGGCCGACCATTCCGCCAACCGCGTGCTCAGCAAAAAGATCCAAGGCGTCGTCAATGCGCAACAAGAACTTTACTGCATAAAGGGTTGATAAGTCGTGAGCTTGATTGAACCAATTGAGGATACCAACCTTTGGTTGCAAGATTGCAGATGGCCGCGGATACCACGCCAACTACTAGTGCGGCCCAAGGGTGGACATAGCCAGATGAGGGAGTGGCAGCAACTAGCCCGGCAATTGTACCAGAGCAGAAACCTACCATACTCCAACGACGTTCGATGCGATAATCCATGAGGCACCAGATTATTCCTCCAAAGGCGGCGGAAAGCATGGAGTTCCATATTGCCATTATGGCACGGAGATTGGCACCGAACGCACTACCACCATTGAATCCGAGCCAGCCGAAAAACAGAATAAAAGTTCCCAGATTGACTAGGGATACATTGTGCGGGCGGAAGTTGATGAGTTCTTTTTCCTGACGGCGGCCCAAGATCCATGCAAGCGCGAGTCCGCTAACCCCGCTTCCGATTTCGACCGGTCCTCCGCCTGTAGAAATGGAATGATGAGTTCCCAAAGGGGTCTAGTAGACAATAATGATGAACCCACCTGCGAAGTCGAGGACGCCCCACTTGAATGCCCACCCGCTGGAACTCCATGCCCAGCAAGCCAATGGACAGTAAACCAGAGTTAACCAGATGAAAGTGAAGAAGATAACGGGGAATACCCTCCCTCGCTCTGCAACACCTCCGACGAGAATACCAGCAGTTACGCATGCGAATTCCATCTGGAAGAAACTGTAGAGTAGGTCGGGAATTAGAGGTGATCCCGGGGAAGGATTGGCAAGGACTTTTCGCAGGCCGAAATTGTGGAGGTTTCCAATGAAACTATTGGTGGCCGTCGGCGAAAAGGCCAATGAGTAACCCCAGAAAAACCATTGGAAGATGGTGATGGCATTGGCCGCGGAGACTACCCAAATCAAGGACACTGCGCAACGATGTGAATTGTATTGACCAAGGACGCGACATTGTACGTACAAGCACTTTTTCGGCGAGCCAAGCCAGAGTATAGAAATGCTGAGGACGTTGAGCTTTTGTGGGGAACTGTGGGGAGCAAACGACGAACCGAGCCCCGGGACCATGAAGGAGACCATGGCGCCCGCAACAATAATAAAAGAGAGGTCGCCGCGATCATATCTGTTGCACGGGTATGAGCATCCATTATTTTGATTCTGCAAGTCCACTGACCGGCTAACATCGACTACATCATCTACATCGAACGTCAGAAGGAAAGAAAAGAAGGAAGCAAGTGAAAAGGACAGACCGCGTTGTACGAGTGAGAACTCGCGCGACATTGCAAGAGAACGAAAGGTAAAGAGCAGCAGCGGCAGCTGACAGTTAAAAAGTATGGCAAGTGAGCAACAAGTCTTGCATTTAAATAGTTTGAATATATAAGACAATGTGACACGGATCAGACCTGGGCAGCATGGTGTACATTCAACCGACCAATTTCGTTTCTTCGGCGCCAAGAGGAACCTAGTCGCGGCACCGTCACGTTTCGAATTCTGGATTCTGTGGTTAGACGGCAGCACCACAGCATCATGTATACATATTTCTATAGTACTTTAACTCTATCTGGAGAGCGTAGAAGAGGGTATAGTCGCTGGTTGGTATACGGACCGGGGAATAACTCCCACGAGTCCACACGACCTGGACCCTTCTGTCAGACTGCCACGGCCAGCAACTTGTCGCATCGATGCATTTGCCTCCCATTTTCTACCATTATTTTCACTCGCCACTACCTTATTCCACGACCCTTGTGCTGCAGGAAACCTTGCATGTGTTGCAGCTCGCCGCGCGGAACAGTACAAAATCCCATGCGTATCATCCAGACCTGTTGCTTCTCCTGCAGCATCGGCCGGTATACACCGCTGGTCGTCGCCAGCATGCAGACAGTACCCAAGGCGACCGTAGACGGCTCACCAACATTGGCGCCGACTTTGTGTCGACGGCACGGGGAGGCGAGTATACTTTCCATGGGCCAGGGCAAATAGTCGGGTATCCTCTGCTTGATCTAGGGCGGACCTCCCCCGCAATGGGCATTCGAGACTACATTTGTCGCATGCAGAAGACGCTCGAGATCCATCTCAAGGAGGCCCACGGTCTTGATCACGTCCCGTCAGACCATACCGGTGTGTTCCTCGACGCTCACACAAAAATCGCCAGCATCGGCGTCCAAGTCCGGCATCGTCTTACAACCCACGGCTTTGCAATGAATATCACACGCGAGCCTGAACCCTGGTTTGATCAGGTCGTTGCCTGTGGCCTCGACGGCGTCAAGGCGGGGAGCATAGAGTCCGCTACCAACACGAAGATCAGGGTGGAAGACGAGATTCCAGGCCTGGTCAGTCGTTTTGGAAGAATGTACGAGCGCGAGATGTTGCCGCTGGATTTGAGTGATGATGATCCCATTATAACCGAGATAAAAACCATGGAGAAGGTGGGACGCGATGCTGGCGCTTGGAATTCGGCGCCTTTAAGTTTGTAATCCAAGTCAGCGATGACAAATACCTTGAGACAATCTGTCCCGATCTTATAACAGCTTCCATCGACCTTGCGCCTGTACCTCAATTATGCGCCTCCTCATTCTTGGTGGAACAGGCTCCTCAGGTATTCTTCTCATTCGCCAGGCGCTCGCAGTAGCGCCGTCTCCCTTCGTCGTCGTCTACGCTCGCAACCCATCAAAGCTGCCGACTGACTTGTCCTCCAGTTCATCAGTCAAAGTCATTCAAGGGCAGCTTGATGACGCCGAAAAGCTATCTCAAGCCATGGAGGGCGTCGATGCCGTCCTATCAGCGCTCGGTCCCATCCAGGGCCAACCCGCAGATAAACCGTTGACGCGTGGATACACCACCATTATCCAGGTGATGCGCGAACAGAAGGTCAAGCGCCTCATCGCTTTGGGCACAGCTTCCATTCCCGATCCCAATGACAAGTTTTCCATTCTCTTCTTCCTCCTTGTCTGCATGGTGAAGATCATTGCTCGTAACTCGTACGAGGACATCGTTGCGTTTGGGAATCTCATTCGCGCTCAGGATGATTTAGATTGGACCATTATCAGGGTCCCTTTTTTGCGGAATGGAGAAAAGACAGAAGCGTCTGCTGGTTACATTGGTCAGACCGGCATCTTCCTTGATAGAATGGCATTTGCTGCTTTCACTGTCAAGGAGCTCCTAGAGCCGCAGTGGATCAAGAAAGCCGTTGCCATATCGTCGTAACTTCATGGACGTGAGTGTCTTTCCCTTGTTTTCTTATAGTCTCTGATTCAAGAGCAGCTTAATACCCATTGTTGATTTTCAGTACGTTGTAGTACTTTTCTAGTATCGACTGTTGTAATCATGTGACCGTTCAATGACTGGCAATTTCACCATGAGCTTGATGCGCCTTGGTTTCTACCACACCTTGACCGCAATGCTCTCTTGTCATGGTAAGGTTTTCTTGGGCTAAGACTATATATTCGAATGAAGATCTTGATTGGTTGGATACTCCCGAAGATCGTAACCAGCTAGCATGTCAGGGACATCGCACTGGTCAGGTTTTTTTGGTTATTGCCAACCTCAAATTCGATGTCAAAATCATGGACCCACATTATACCCACAGAATTCCATTTCTTTGTACTTATTGAACAAGTGTTGCCTCGTTTTGATTCATATACTGGTATGCATCGATACGGTGCCATCCCACAAATAATGGCGAAATAGATAGATATCGTTTCTCAAATTCAGCACACAAAGTCTAAACAGATAGGCAGCGGAGAAGCGGAGAAAGAACACTAATAAGCGCCGATCGGTTGATCGGGCGATCTTGTTTTCGAACAAGCGAGGTCGCACCGCTTCGACGCAAAACTTTTCAGGCATAATATCCTAAATTTCTTCGTCAACAAGTTCTCTATACCCCCCTTGACATGCGAATCCTTATCTTTGGCCCAACTGGTCCTTTAGGCGTTCTGCTCGTCCGCGAAACCCTTGACGCCTTCCAATCATGCACCCTCGTCCTCTACGCTCGTAGCCCATCCAAATTACCCACCGACATCACCTCCAACCATTCTGTGATTATTATCCAGGGAGAACTGGATGAGCACGACAAACTCTCCAAGGCAATGGAAGGCGTCGACGCAGTGCTATCTACACTAGGTCACAATGCCAGTCTGAAGGAGAACCCGTTTCATCACCCAGATACGCCTGTCGCGAAAGCATATGAGCGAATCATTGACCTGATGCACTTCCACGGCGTTAAGCGTCTCATTGCCCTCGGAACACCCTCCATGTCAGACCCGCGCGACAAATTTAGCTTGGCATGGTCCATCATGATTGGTGGCGTTGCAACGCTCGCACATACAAGCTATCGGGATGTCGTTGAAACCGGAAAGACCATACGTTCGAAGGGTGCTGACTTGGATTGGACAATTGTCAGGGTTCCCAGGATGACGAACAAGGATCAGAAGGAGGTGGTTGCTGGTTATGTTGGGGATGGGAAAACAGGATTTTCGCTATCAAGAGCAGGGTTCGCTACATTTATTGTGAAGGAGCTTTGTGCCAGCAGGCCTCAGTGGGTCAAGGCGGCACCACTAATATCTTCGTGATATCTGTAAGTGGTAAAATATCTTCAAACAGAATTTCACAAGGTTAATTCTCATCAATTTGATAGTTAATATATATCTGGTTCATTGAATCTGCAATATTATATATATATGTATGTAAGTAGAGATACCTTGCGCTCGCGCATTAACTATACATTCTCTAATAGGTCTGCCTTTACTGGCTTCCATTCCGCTCCCATTTTCAACTGGCCTTCTTGGCAGCCGCTCAGCGCCCACCAACGCGGGCCACTTTCGTCCCTATCTAATAGGTCACGAAGCGGAATATACATATATCCCAGATTCGTTTCTTTGAACCCACAGTCAGACACGTCAACTAATATAACACTCGATGCTTTGTCCGTGCACAAGAATGTGTGATGTGAATGCCATTTGGGTTCGCTTGTGCTCTTACACGGAGGCGTTGAATATATCCGCGTTGCTTTTCCATCAACGGCTAACATAATCGTGGCTCGGGGATTGGCCTCTCTGGAGGAAACAGGAGACTTCAAGTCCTTGGCTTCATCGAGAGTTAGATGGACCACCCCCACGTCTGATTCGTAAGGCAAAGATGCACGTCTATATGAGAAAGATAACGTACTTGATTCGGCGGTTGAAGGCAAGATTGGATAGAATGAGACGGAGGCCAGAAGCTCTCCCTTCAGTCCTCCTTTTTTGGACAGAGGCAATCGCTCAGTCACTGGTTCGCATATGAGGGTTAGATCGTCAACGGAGATCGACGCAGAGGCAATCAACGTGTTCTTGAAATACTTGGAATGATCAAAAACATCGAAGAACAAGGCAGAGTCCGTCGAGAAGATGAGAATCTCTTGGGACTGCATAATCCAATTAGGGATCGTAACTGAAGACGGGTATTTAGGGATTGCCGATAAAATTAACATTGAAAACATACGTGAAGTGTCTATGTGACGTGAACGACGGGTTCCTGGAGCCATGCGTGGTAAGGACGACGAATGGATTCGGTGGCAGCAGAAGGGTGCTCGAATGCTTTAAATGAGCGGATTGGATGATTACACGTGCAACGCCAATGACAGAATTGTCCATGGGTGGTTCAGAGTTTTGTTCAACGGCAGGCAGAAAGCAAGGACATAGTTTGCGAACCTGGTAGAGGTACATAAAGGTCAAAGCTCTAATACATTCGACGAGGAAGAGCCGTACCAGCGCACAAGGAGCCATGGAAGATGAAGGTTAGTAACAAGAGGAACCTGCATGCATTCTGCGGAAGAAAGAAAAAAGCAGGCACCCATGCCGTCACGGGCAGGCAACAACGAGGACACGATGGTGGTTTACGGTAAAAGAGGTAAAAGACGCGATCAGTCACATTTGATATTTCGTGACGCCTTTCTTTCTTCACGACCATGATCCCAACGCCTGATCTCTCTCATCTCACCTCTGCTGACTACGAGAGCGTGTACGAACCGGCTGGTATGCCCCTTGGACTGACCTGAACTATCAATTTACTTGGCCTAGAGGACACATATCTTCTATTGGACGCCTTGGAACAGGATGCGGATCGTTTGAAGGGATTGAATGGAGCTGTATGTCTGGAGGTTGGGTAACGTTTATGTTTGTCGTGTATTACTCGACATGGCATCGCTTACTGCAGATAGGTCGGGCTCTGGCTGCGTCTCGAGTTTTCTAGGTAGCGTCTTGGGGTCCAAAGCGCGTACGTCGTGCTGATATATCTTTTACAATCATCAAACCTTCCTTTGCAGTCTATCTATGTACAGATATAAATCCTCATGCCTGCATATGCACCTTCAAGACAGGATCGCAAAACAAGGTGTGTTACTACCATTACTCTACTGACAGGCAGCCTTTCACCCTTCAGGTTTCTTTGGATCCAGTGAATACTGCGTTTGCGGGACCGTTTCATCGTCGCTTGAAGAATGCTATTGACGTTATACTGTTCAATCCGCCCTACGTTCCTACTGACCTAGAGGAGGCGTTGAATGCTCAAAGTAAGAGTCGCATAGAAGGATCCTGGGCTGGGGGACACGATGGCATGGATGTTACCGACCGTTTTCTCGACGTCGTAAACGTAGGTCTAGGAAACAGGGTCATCGAATTATCCTTCTGACTTCTACAAAGGAACTTTTATCGCCAAGAGGACGCTTCTATTTGGTTGCACTCAAGCAAAACGACATTCCGAACATCCAACGAAGAATGCAGGATAAATTTGGACTCATTAGCGAAGTTCGTAATCCATCTTACATCTTGAGCCTCTTTACCAATAAACTACCTAGGCTGTACTCCAACGCCGCGCTGGCTCCGAACACCTTTTCATCCTACGATTTCAGCGTGCATCTTGACGCGAAGGCGAAAGAGTTGGATCTGTATAATTGAAAGACGTCCAATAATTACAATTCCGCCCAACCCCCGTCCGAATTATCGCCGCCAGTGATTAGTGCGAGGAAAAATACTATAACGCTTGCCCCCAATCTCATTCCCATACCCCGATATAGTTGGCCTATTCCAGTATGGCGTGACCACCCATCTTCTTCTCTTGAATCATTCTCTGTCTCAGCATCCCCCTCGGCGAGATCTCTGCTCATTCGTCTTTTCTTGGTGCGTCGAATTATAGGAAGATCCGATCGTTCCTCTGTGATAATATGCCACAACGCGTCCACGACGCCACTATAAGGGGCGGGTCGAAGCTCAACACAACCTTTGATTGGCTTTGCACTTCCTCGGACTTGTACTTGTAATCGCCTTCTGATTGTCTCAAAGGGCAGGGTGATGAGAAGGCCAATGCAACTACCCGCTAACTCGGCAAAACCCCAGGCAAAAGGACTGCTATCTTCAGTAATGTTGGCGCCAAGATACGATACGAGTAGACCTGGTAGTGCTAATGAGACGGCGGGCCGGAGGGCAGTATCGATAAACATTGGGATGAATAGATTGGGATAGGAAGTAGATTCCTCGGAAGCCGCCTTCATCTCTGAGTATTTGGGAAAGAGCGTCAATGGGGCCACTGTAGCTGCGATATCGAGGAAGGTACGATTGAACAATCAGTCGAGTGCGGACGAGATCCAATGGAGAGAGTAGAAACCCGGTGATTATATGAGAAGCAACCGGCAGTAAGAGGGGAGGCTGTTGGAAAAGAGGTGTGGTAGGAAGAAATAGAGACTGGAGAATATTGTGAATGAGGGGCTGGAAGGTCGTAGACAGAACTTCCGTGCAACATGAAGTAAGCAGTCCTAGAAGACTTGAGAATCGGCAACCGGATCATTCAGATAGGCAGCAATACCTTTCCACAGTGCCAACCAGCCTTCTCCTCTGAAACGGCCGACGCGTTTAATCATGCCCCAGACCCCATTAGCACTTCCGACAGGAATGATGTACTCTGGACGTGTACCCTCTTCAAGAACGGATCGACGGATAACATATCCGTGTTCGTCCACTTGGGCAGGGTGTCGCATTCTCGGTGTGATTTCCGGGTCTGCAAAATAGGATTCATTATCGTTGGAAGAATCACTCAGCTATGGATGGATTCAGAACGGCCGAAGACCAGCGAAGACTGGACTACTAACCGCATCGTCGTCATCCTCAGGTTCAACATCTACATGATAGTCGTGTGAGTCTCGAGGCACCCACTGCACCTGGAGCAGCATCTTTCCGACCTCCCAAGGCATGGCAATAGCACTACTCGTGTACTGCAACACGGCAGATGCAGCGAGGGTCTTGAGAAGATCGACTGCATTGACACCATTAGCGTCGTTCAAATCTGGCGAAAGATCGAAGATTGAGTTTGGTGTCGGACGCGTCGACCATTGGAACGAAGAGCTCGAAGATGCCGGAGGAGAGGAATTGGCACTGGGCGGCGACGGTGGTGGAACAAAAGACCAAGCAGATGAAGAGCCGTTGTAGAGGTCTCGGAGAGATGGCGGTGGGTTCATGTCATGAATATTTCGTATTGGGTACGTCGAACGAAGTCACGGCCAGAGCTGGACGTTGGTACAGGCAGCGTACTCTGACAAAACTTGAAGTCGGGTCGGCGGTGCCGCGTCCTTCCCGGGAAGCTTTTGAATAATAGGCACAAATACAAGATCGGGATCGATCATTATGAACTGCATACCGATTTTGGCAAGTCTGGATTCGAACTGGGTTAATCCTATGAAAGTAGTCCCATGCGGGGCAGCCTATGCATGGTACGACTTAGAAACCCACGGAAAAATATGTTCAACGTACAGACATATCAGCCCTCATGTTTCCATCACAACTGACAACTCGGACTGCTTCTTGGCCAGCTCTTGGAGCTCTTGTCCCGTCGGAGAAATGAGCATTTCAGGAACTTCGGGAATCGGAGGCTCCGGCTAATGTGACACCATGTGACCTCTGACGACATCATAGACATCAAGAACGCTTGGGGTCAAACAGGCGCACATCCGCCTCCCTCTTGCCCTTCGATTAAGTACACGTTCCCTTCTTCATCTTTTCCCCCTCGCTCCTCCTTCTCTTTCCTGCCCCATGGCTACTAACGACCTCGTCGTCAACGGCAATGGTCGGGTCGCTCCTGATCTACAGAAAGACGCAGACCAAGGTCGCGTTGCGGTCCACTCATTTGACCCTGATGCTTCTCCAGAGGCAAAGGGTGCCGCTGCTGGTAAGGCTGGTGAAGAACTCAACATACAAAAGGCTCCTTCTGAGCAGGGTGCGTCGAGGGAGTATACCGCCGTCTTTGTTCCTCGAGTCTGACATCAAGCTGTAGAAGTTCCTCTTGACCGCGGTAACTCCGCTGTTGTTCCCACAATTACTGTTCACGATGCGGACGCGGTCTCTGAGAAACCTCAAGTTCATGTCGAGGGCGTCGAGCAGGTCGATGAAGATGCCACGGAACCCCCTGGTGCACTGCCAGCGGCTGCTGCGCCTTCCATTCCTGACTGGTATCGTGTCGGGTGGCGCCAAGTATCCGGCATAGATCAGCCACCGCCTCGCGAGGGCGAAGAGAAGGACAAGGCTGTCTTGGAAACCTTCTTCACTGACCAATACTACGGCAGTTGGTATCACAACGCTGGTATCATCGTTTTCGTACGTTCATCTTGTCCAAGTTTGGCTATACACTTATCATCCCGCAGGCCGTGTTTGCTTCGCATTTTCTCACCCGTTTCCATTTTGGATGGGGCTGGCTGTTCATCATCCTTGCCGTATGTAATACATATTACACCACCTCCATGCAACGGGTTCGGCGACGAGCTCGAGATGATATCCAGAGGGAATTGGTCAAAACGCGTCTGGCTTCCGAGTCCGAGTCAGCTGATTGGATCAACAACTTCCTTGACCGTTTCTGGCTCATATACGAACCTGTCCTATCTGCGACTATCATTAGTTCCGTGGATCAGGTCCTCAGTTCGAGTACCCCGGCCTTCCTAGATTCTATGCGGCTCTCTACATTTACTCTAGGGACCAAGGCGCCCCGAATCGACCATGTCCGGACCTTCCCAAAGACCCCAGACGATGTTATCATGATGGACTGGGGTATTTCCTTCACTCCTAACGAGACTTCGGAGATGACAGCCAAACAAATCGCGAACAAGGTCAACCCCAAAATTGTCCTTTCCGTTCGTGTTGGAAAAGGTCTTGCAACCGCCGCAATGCCCATCCTTCTGGAGGATATCACCTTCAAGGGCAACATGCGGGTTCGGATGAAGTTGATGACCAACTTTCCGCACGTTCAGATCGTTGACATATGTTTTATGGAGAAACCTGTCATTGACTACGTCCTCAAGCCAGTCGGCGGTGAAACATTGGGTTTTGACATTGCAAATGTGAGTGACATCCTTATATCGGAAGGTTTTTTGACTTCTGTGCCTTGTAGATTCCTGGACTTTCGTCCTTCATTCGTGACATGACACATTCAACACTCGGTCCAATGATGTACGACCCCAACGTCTTCACACTTAATCTCGAACAACTCCTCTCCGGTACTCCCCTTGATTCAGCCATTGGTGTGTTGCAAGTCACAGTCCACTCGGCCCGCGGCATCAAAGGAACCAAGATTGGTGGTGGCACCCCCGACCCCTTTGTGGCCATTTCCATTAATAACCGCGCCGAACTGGCTCGCACTAAATATAAGCACAATACGTATGTTTATCCGCCTTATTTTTGGAGTTCTAAAATTAAACATAACATCTGACATAGCTACAACCCAACATGGATGGAGACAAAATTCATCTTGGTCAATAACCTCACGGAGTCGCTAGTGTTTAACCTTTACGACTACAACGATCATAGGAAAAACACTCTGTTGGGTTCCTCCATATTCGAACTCACGCGACTACAAGAGGATGCGACGCAGGAAGGTTTGGCGACGCAGGTGCTGATGGACGGAAAGGAGAGAGGAGAGCTCAGATATGAAGTCTCATTTTTCCCTGTCTTAATGCCTGAGGATGGAAAGGATACTAGCGAGACCTGTGAGCTACTCTAACCCCCGTCTGTGGATTGTCCTGACCATTCTGTCCAGCGGTTGGCATTGTTCGTCTCACCGTACATCAAGCTAAGGAGCTCGATGCCAAAAAGTCTTTATCGGGAGATCTCAATCCTTTGGCAAAAGTCTTCCTCAGCGGATCTAAAACGCCTATTCATATTACGAAGGCCTTCAAGCACACCAACAACCCTGTCTGGGAGTCGTCGCACGAGTTCTTATGTGTTGAGAAAGCGAAGTCTGTCATCACTGTCAAGGTTGTTGATAACCGCGATTTCCTCAAGGACCCCGTTGTTGGATACATGTCCATCAGACTGGAGGACCTGCTGATCTCGAAGAAAGAAAACATTGATTGGTTCCCTCTTAGCAATTGCGAAAGCGGCAAATTGAGGATATCTGCTGAATGGAAACCCTTAAATATGGCAGGAAGTCTCCATGGTGCTGATCATTACAGCCCACCTATTGGGGTAGTAAGGCTGTGGTTGGATCGTGCCACCGATGTGAAGAACGTTGAGGCTGCGTTGGGTGGCAAAGTGAGCTTCACCTTGATCGAACAGAACGGTTTCGCTGACCTGTTCATGCAGAGTGATCCTTATACTCGGGTACAAGTTAACAACGTCACTATGGGTAGGACGGAGGTTGTTAATAACAGCGAGTGAATTTCCATCAGCAATGTGCCCTACTCTGAATTCACTTTCCAGATTTGAACCCTGTGTGGGACCAGATCATCTATATCACCGGTAAGCCTCGCAATTAATCGTATGTGTGGTTCTCTCCTCATCTATCGCCTTCAGTCCATTCGCTTAAGGAGGTTCGTACTACATGTTACTTGAGACTTGTTCTGATAAATATAAGCTCAGACTATGTTATTGGAATGCATGGATTATCAACACTTGACTCGGGTAAGTTGTGGCCTCATTCAGTGTACATCGAGCTGGATAATTACTAGGACCGGTCGCTCGGGTCCGTCGAACTGCGTGTGGCAGAGCTAGCGAAGGAATCCGAAGACAAGACCTATCCTTTCGAATCCATTGGCGTCAAAACTGCTGTTGAGCCTTTACGTCTGGATGGAGCTAACGCTTTCAAAGGGAACCTGCATTACACCGCCGAGTTTATACCTGCCATGAAGTTGAAGGGTATCAAGTTTGAAGGACACTCAAACGAGATAAATCAAGCTGTTGCTGGTGACGAGGATTCGGAGAGTGGTGTTGTAACCGATGGCGCGTCGTCAATTTCGTCATCCGATGAGGAAGCACAAGCCGTCCCAGATGGTGTCACTATTAAGGGTACATCCAAGAAGCACACAAGGGCTGCTAAGTCTACGGATACGACCGCTACAACTGCCACCCGTGCTACTGCAGCTTCTTCGGAGACACCGCCTCCTGTTGAAGAAGGCATCGAGATGTCTATAGACGAATTAATGACGCATCGTACGCACTAAGTTTCTTTTCCGAGGATCCTCACTTTATATTTTGCTGCAGAGTCCGGTATCATTGTCCTCAACGTCGTCTCAGGACAATTGGCCAAGAAAGCGCGGGTCGAGGTACTCTTGGACGATGGGTACTGGCCTTGCTTTAGTACCACGAGAGCACGAAGCACCAAGGTTCAATGGGATTATGTCGGAGAAGGTTTCCTCAAAGAACTCGACTTTGGTCAGGTGTGGTTGAGATTGAATGAGGCCGATGAAGGGGATAAGGATGATATCATAGCTCAATGGAAGGGCGATGCCAAAGCGTTCCTCCAGTCAACACTCGTAAGGGTCAGTCTATGTGATGTTTACTGTCTCTCACTGATGTTATAGAATGGTCCTCAAACCTTCACTCTTCGAGACGAATCTGAGAAAGACATTTCACTTGTAACCGTTGAGGCTCGCTACGTACCGGTTCCCGTCAAACTTGAACCGCGGGAGAGTATCAACAGTACGTGAACGTGATCCTGTCCGTTCTAGTCTGACTAACTCCTGTTTAGATCAAGGTGTACTACGTGTCGACCTTATTGATGCCCGTGAGATTCCAGCCGCAGACAGATCAGGCAAGTTCTAGTTATCCCTCTGGCCTCCACTCCTAACGATTGACATTAGGCAAATCTGATCCATATGCGGTTTTCACTCTCAATGAACAGAGGGTCTTCAAGTCTCAGACCAAGAAGAAGACTCTTAGTCCCGAATGGAACGAAAACTTCCAGGTTTCTGTGGTACGTTCAAAACATCGTACTCAAATACCAGCGTAGTGGACCTGATGGCTTTCTGTTTCGTAGCCTTCTCGCGTGGCTGCCGATTTCGAAGTCGAAATATTCGACTGGAATCAGCTAGAACAAGCGAAGAGTCTAGGATCGGCCAAGATTAATCTCGCAGATCTCGAACCGTTCGAAGCCTCTGAGTTGGAACTCTCTCTATCCTCGCCTAAGCTTGGTTCAAAGGGGCGTGTGCATGTTCGATTAATGTTCCAGCCTGAGATTATTGCCAAATCTCGCAAGAACACGTCTACATTCTCTACCGCTGGTCGAGCAATGACGCAGGTTGGAGTTCTTCCTTTATCCGCAGGCAAGGGTGTCATCCAAGGAGTAACTGGCCTGTTCAAGAGCAAGGACGCAGACGAAGTACCGGCAATTCCCGAGCTGCCAGCAGGGCAAGCCTCTGTTCCCGTGCCAGCAGACACTCTTGGCGCCCTTGGTAGTCGCACACTCCCCGACACAAAGTCCAAGACGTCTTTAGATGGAACACACGAGCCGGGTACGCTGCTGGTGACCGTGATGGATGCAAAGGACTTGTCAAGTACTGACAGCAAACCATATGCAACCATTCGCTTGGGCGACAAGGAATTCAAAACGAAGCATGCTGGAAAGACCACAACTCCGGAGTGGTAAGCTAGAGCATTGTTTCATGTACGAGTTTTCTCTTATCTTTGCAGGGACGAAACGTTCACTTTTGCTGCTGGCCCTTATACCTCCAAAATCTATGTCTGGGTATACGATCATAAAACACTTGGAAAGGATAAGCTGCTCGGTGACGGCGAAATTGATGTGAGTATTGACCCATTATGCATAAGATGCTGTGACTGACGAATACTTAGATCTGGCGACATATACAACCAGAAGAAGCCTCGGCTGCAGATGTATTTTTGGAGTTACGTGAAGGACAGGGTCTTATGCGCCTACGGCTGCAGTACGACCCGACTCAAAATCCGTTCGGAAGGTCGTCCATGGGATCGCGGGAAAACGTGATGCATCGAACAGTGTCGATAGCGTCGCCATCAAGGTTTAGCATACGTGGACGACGCCCAGGAGCTGAAAACGACGACTGAGTTCAAGTACTCGAACCTTTATTCTATTATACCTTTGAGCAATTTTTAAATAAGCTAGCATCATTATTAACGGAGTTCGACCATGGATTAATATGGACCACATTTGTGTATCATGATTGCAATTCAATCTTGTTTGACATCTTAGGTAGGAGGTGGTGGACAGGAGGGTTCAGAGCATGATGCATGGAGTTCCAAGCACAAGGTTGTTGTCGGACCATCTACTATGCAGGAATAGGAAATAACTAACAATGCGACAGAATGAGGGACTAGAGCAAGTCCCGATATTCGTGGGAACTCCGTGACGCATCCGAGGCTGTATCATGGCATTTACTCTCCTGGGAGGCGAGATAGAGAGAAGTAAGATAAGGTCCTAGCCTATGTGCCCAGACCAACTTGTAAGCTGAGTATCAAGTTCAGTGTGCTCGCAGATGCATGATTTAGCTGAAGGCAATGACAGAAAGATGAATAGATTCGTTGTATATGTTTGAAGAAATAGCCGGGGCGAGAATGCCGCAAAGGCATGAAAAACACGCGGTGGCCCCCGTGTCCGAGGAATATAAGTTTTGATAGACAGAATCCAGACACATTTGTACGAAGTGAAGACAAGACAAGTCTAGAACGGCCCAGCAAGTGTTCCACGATGCGAAATGAGCTCGAGGGGAATGTCGAGCATCATAAGTGGGGGGGGATCCACTTTGTGGAACTCAGGCTGACATTGGATTCTTGACCCAGACCAGAGTGTGGGAAATTGCGTCATCAACAAAATTTACGATCGGTTGGGGAAGAATTAACGAGACTTGTTCTTTTCCTTTTGCCGTCATGTCTGGTAAGCCCCTTCGTTCGCCGTCGTCGCCGTTCTACTGCTCACCCTTCCCAGACAAACCGGTCTCCGTCGTTCCTCTGCTTTCTCGCGCCCTTCATCGCATTCGCTCGACTCCGCCCCGAATTATCGCCTCGCCGCCGACTCGTATGTCTTTTACGTGTCACTACGCCCTGTTGCTCACTTTATGTAGAACCACGTCGCGCCGCAGTCGCCATTGTCATTCGCGTCGTTCCTGCACCAAACTACAGTGCTCCGACGACCTCCACCGCGCCTCCCCAACTATCTGAATTCTTTCAGCTAGACTGGGTAAATGACCCCAACGCCCAACCAGAAATTCTCTTCCTACGACGAGACAATCCTGTGAATGACGACGGAACCGTGCCTCCCAAGGAGGCTCATGTCGCGTTCCCTGGTGGTAGAACAGAGCCAGATGATGAGGGTGGTGCTTATACTGGTGCGTACACCGTCGTACAACGTCCAGCAAAAACTGACCCTTTTTAGCCCTTCGCCAAACATGGGAAGAGATAGGTATAGATCTTGCAGAACGCGACTATATCTGCATTGGCCAATTGGATGACCGTGAAATTACGACCTCGCTCGGAAAACGGCTGCTAATGATTCTTTCTCCTTTCGTCTTTCTTCAAGTTTCCCCCCATTCCCCCACTCCAGACCCTGCCCCGTCTACCACCCTCCACTGGATACCCTTGGCATCTCTCGTTTCTGCTCATCCTCCGCCCAAGTGGTCCACTGTCACTGTCGATGCTGCTTCTCGTCTCGCCCCCAAGCATTCAAAAGCACTCCGCCTCCTTGTTCGTGTCTTAATTGGCAGCATGGAGTTTCCAGCAATCGTCTTGGGCCAGGCATCGTCGCCCCATCCTCCTCATATTCTCAAACTTTGGGGACTCTCTCTCGGTATGACGCTTGATTTGATGTCATACATGATTCTCCCCACTCCTTCCTCAAAGAGCATTCACGACCCCGAAATAAATGTTGAGAAAGGTCGCTCTTCTCCACTCTCCCCTGTCATGTACCTGCCTTACCAAAGCGATGTCCCCGGTATGCGCATGGAAGTTGTTGCTCCAAGTCTAGCCAGTGTGTTCCCCCGATTCTCGTATCCTGACGTTAATTTCTGGATTTGGTGCGTTGCATGAATTAGTATGCATAGGGGCGCTCTCATGACTTCTTCCAAGGCTATTTGGTAAACGTTATCGTGAAGTTATCCGTGGATGGGAGGATAGTGTGCGATCCGGCAACAACAATGACAGGAGGTAAGGGGTCGCTTCATTCACTTTTGTCGTCAGTTGACCTTATCATCGCATTAGAATAAATTGGTCGGGTTCTGCGTTGAGCACGTTCTATGCCGCTATCAGAAAGGCATTGGTCATTGTTATCGTCGCTCGGGCTCTTGGTATCATCTTCGGCTTGGCTTTTGCTGGTTGGTGGATATTCACATCCTAGACACCTGCCATTTTTTTTTCCTTTTGTTATTCGGTATGGAAGTAAATAAGTGTAGGTTTAACCGGCCACTGAGTGACTCTTTTTAACTTAAACCGAGATTGGACCGGGGGTATAATACCACACCAGAAATGTAATTACCAGCTATGTTATGAACGGAAACACGGATGCTAAAGACTCTTTGTAGAATAAGAACAAAGGACTTCCACTATACCGAGCATAAGTAACGACGACTATTGATAGTTATTGAGGACAGAAATAACAGCATCGTAATACCAAACATACAACTTGAAGAATTGGAACAGCCTACATTGTATCAAAACGGGACTGTACCAAGTGTAAGATCCATCCCTGCCTGTTGGGATTAAGCTCCAGTCCATTGAAAAAGTGATGGCGCCCAAAATAGTCACATCGGCGCAGAGCCGTTTCCTCATTGTGTTCGAGATCCTTATCACGTCGGATTCGATGCGTGCTTTCAGCCGCCGCCTGCACTTCTGCAGGCCAGCTATCGTACTCTTCTCCGGTGACATACTGCTGGAAGGTATCGTATATCCCGACAAAGACGTCGCCACAACAAACACCGTTCAAGTTGATGACCATGATGGGCCAGTTATCCAAGTACTCGCCATTGACCATGATCGCATTTATGTACAGGTGTGTGACAAAGGGCCATGTCGCGGGTTGGGCTCTGTCTGGCGTACCAAGGATAACGACACTGTGGTCAAGATTCATCATCATTATTTCGACGCTAGCAGTGATGTCCCAGAATATAGCAGCAATGCTATTCTTATAGTGTATAAGCCACGGATTGAGCTCGCACTCCCAGGGAAAGGGAAGTGGTGCACCTCGTTGGGGCCGTTTCCACCTCGTCGGTCGAGGAGGGAGCCCGGGAAGTCGCTGACCTGGGATCCATCGCTCGGGATGGTGCCCACCCTCTGATCAGAAAGATCGTGAGCAACATGACAACTCTGAACGTAGATCCTTACTAGAACTCTGTAGCGCATTGTACATTTCTATCGGGTCAATTTCCACCGATATCTGGGGAGCTGGGGCTGTATTCATCTACTGATAAGAAATTTTCAGCGGGATAAGGAAGACAACTGCAAACGAACATTGGTTGCAGACAAATCCGCCGTTAACGTTGGGCCAAGCGTAGTATCCCCATGCTTTCCAATCGGATAAAGGAACAGAAGGGTGCTTTGGTGCTGGCGGATCGAGCTCCAAGGGGTGGTACATGGGAATTTTTCGTTTAACGACTTTGTAGTCGAGTCCTACAGGCTGGTCAGCATCGTCTTCCTTGTGATGGCGACGTGAACTCACGCAATATATGTCTAATCATACGAACGAGCCAGCTGCGCTCATGAGCTCTCACGTCATAGTAACGTGTTTTGATAATATATGGCGGTACCGGAGGGATCTTCAAAGGTGTTTGGGGTGATTGTTCAGAAGGCAAAGGCACAGCTGGCCTAAGAGGTGATGGCGTCCAAGGGGTCAACAAGTCCTTGACAGGACGATAAAATCCCCCATGGCGATTGTAATCGTCGTAAGAGCCCATCGAGACGAGGTTGGTGAGGAGAAATCAAGTATCGATAGATATCAGCTTGAGAAAACGCGGTGAACACGAGGCTGCCGTTAGTTCTCGGAGACCCGGGAACATGGTTATGCGAGTGGGAGTTTTTTCCTATTTTCTGGAACACTGCTACCTGTTCCAATAGACAATGCAGTCATGCAGTCAAATTCATTGCACCAGATTCGGAAGCGTCTTTGTATTTTTGGCAGCGCAGTACCGGACCCTGCTCGCCTCAAGGTAACCGGTAAAAACTAGAATACCGACAAGCAGCGCAGGCAAAGAACAGACCCAAGACCAAGCAGAGGGATGGAGTACGTTGAGGTGAAGGTAGGATCCAGTCAAAATCTGGAGCAGACCGAAAATACGCAAAAAGGGTGTCACAATTCAAGCAAACGTGACAAAAATCGCAATAATCATACATTTACAATGGTAATCCGCAGACTTCACAGTCTGTGCCCCCATGATCGTTTTCAAACGTACAATGGGGACAGGTTCTAGTACTGCTTACATGCCCAGATCCTCTTCCGCTGTCTTCCCCTGAAGCAGCCTCTGCGGCCGCAATTTGGTCCAACACGTCCTGCGGGATGTCTTCATCCATTGCGGCAGGTGTTGAAGCGATGTTCGGTCGAGCTGGAAAAGTGTTATGAGCACCTTCATTTGCATGTAATGCAATATTAACTTACGAGCGCTCTCCCGTGTAAACGTCATGAGGGTATGCCAGCCCTCGGTGGTCAATAAAGGGTCCAACTGGCTGACGTCCTCCAGCAAGGTGGGTGAGGTTACAGTACGCATGAGTATCTTCATATCCTCCTTAATCGTGTGTCAGACATGCTGGAAAGTAAAGTCTCATGACTTACCGGTGAAAAGAGCTGGGTTGTACCTAAAAAAGCGACCAGATGCCAATCACTTAGCCATTTAGCTAACTCGAATGTTTTGTGGGCTCGGCCTGGTTGTAAGTGTTTACTATCGGAGATATCTGGGGCACCCAACGAATGGAGGGTAGAAAGAACGTGTTCTATTTGTTGATCTTCCAATCCAGGTCGGTTCTCAATCTTGAATTGAGTCGATTGGAACATTGGGGACGGGTTTTGCGGGAACCCGTGTGTCACCTGAGTTCCAAGCCGTTAATTACATTTTAGACTAAAACCGTAAAGACTCACATTGACCAAAAGATATTCCACGGGAAAGGCTGGTTTGGCGCTCTTTTTGACCTCCAATCCGTATTCGTTCTTGTAAGAAAAAAAAACGTCAGGAACATATCGAGCTGTTTCTTGACTTCGATCCTCTTCTTTAACTCTGACTATACCAGGATCGACACTAGCCTCGATCATGTCAGCCTCAACCATGGCCTCGGCTTGTGCGGAGACCTGGTATGCAGAAACGTCAACCTGTCCATCTTCCGTTCCAGTCAATACTGCCGTCACCAAGCGCGACGAAAATCGACCAGTAGGCGAAGATTTAGATGGTGTCTGATTGGAATTTTGCATCGTGGCCGCAAATATTGTTTCTAGTGAGGATAGGTAAAAGGAGCCTGGGTGTCTCTTATATACGTTCTTCGTTCGATCCTCCTCCGTTGGATCAAGGTCGGTAAAGATATACCCAACAACAGTTAGCGGAGTGGTCGCAGAAGCCGAGAGCTCTTTGATACGGGTTTCCTCTTCCCAAGGTAGACCGAGGGTCAAACCATCCAACTCGCCTTCTTGGGGTGGTTCATAGATAGCCTCCACGACAGCCTTGATTCCCATGGGCACCTTATCATATGGCTCGTAACGGCCAATCATCCATCCGAAGCGTTGTAACCCCGTCATTCGCCACGCCTGGAGAAATCTATCCACAATGTCCATAGAAGCGATCTCGAGATGGTCGACCATCCGAAAAGGCTGAGATTGAAGAGTTATGGCGGAAGGCTGACAATAGGTACATATTCCAGAAGGCCACGGAAGATGTGCACCTGTTGAGCATGGTGTCTTCACCTTGTAAGAGAGCGGGCTGAGAGACGGTAAAGACGAAGCTGCAGAAGGCGTCGTTTTCGGGGTTATTTTCTGCAGATAGGCATGGTAGGAAAGATGCTTGATAGCATGCTCCTTGTGATACGCTGCATCGTAAGGCTCGAGGGGCATACAGTAGTCGCACATGCCTCTGGCACCATGTTTACAAAACTGGGTATCACGTCCTCTTGGAATTTTACCGTCATGAGAGCGCCAATAGACATCAACGGAATCCTCTTGAACTGTTTCCCAAGGTCTTTTCTCACTCGACTTCAGCTGGTAGCTGGTTTGAGCACTTTGTATTGGTGTTTCTGCAGCCGTGGACGCCGCTGCCTTGGCTTGGTAATTCACAAAGATGAGATCGCCGTGACTGAGGGTAAGTTGTGAGAAAGCTGAAATCGAAGCAATGAATATCATATACACACTTGAGGCCGATGTTCTTCAAAGTCCGCCCCTTCAAAGTCAGGATCGGTACGTCATTGCCGCGAGGTTGATTCGACACGGTGATAGTCTGTGGATCTGCATCGGACGACGTCTCCAGTATCTTTGTAAAGACAGTGTTAGATCGTATGGAAACCATATCCAAACACTGACCTTGTTCAGCAATTCAGTGATGTCGGCTGTTGGTTGGAACTCGAAGCGAAAATTTCCATCTTTTGAACGAATCCTGAGAAGCTAAAGAACAGTAAGTAATATTCCAGGGTGTAGCATGGTGAACGCACCATGGTAAGTAGAGAAGAGAAGGAGTAATAGCACTGAGATGGTGGTCCCTACTCAGGCCTGTCACCAGATCGACGCGTAATACACGCGTTGCTCATGTAAGCTACAGTAAGCAGTCCAAATGGGGATAGTCATGCGGCGATCGCCTTCGAAGGCACCAGAGGTATTCGGAATTCCCTACTTTATATGAAGTACAAGTCCGTACGGCATCGAATACTTGTTTTTTCGACTGTATCCATTCACCCCCTCTCCATGGACATGCACATTATGTGTGTTTTGGTACCATACCTCCTAGAAAACTCGAATCGGCTATTCGCGAGGTTGCGTTATTTGGCTGTCGCAATCTTGTGAATCTATTGCGAATCGCTAAACATTGCTCCAATGGACACAGAACTCCTTCTACTCTGCTATGCTGGTCACTCGTTGACGTACTATCTCTGGTCATGCTCTTTTCCCTGAAAAGCCCAGTCTCCGACGCATCAGACAGCTCCTCTGCCTTGGATTCCATTCAAACTGAATTGGACCGCTGGAAGAATTTGATATTTTCTTTCGATATGGACGAGAAAAATTCTGGCAGCTCCTCTGATCCCTCTTCTTCTAATCCCCAAAGATCACGTTCTCCGCCGGGCGCGTCTGGCTCACGAGATAATAACACTAGGGTAAGGACAGCAGCCTATTCTTGGATTGTCACGATGCTGAAAAATACCCTTCCCAGGACCTTCAGGACGCAGTGCTCCTTGCTCAGTTTGCTGCGTCTTCCAACTCCCATCAAGTCAATGGACCACTGGATCCGTCCGTTGTTGCGCTCTTGCAGGCCTTGCAAGTCGTCCAAGGCCAGAGATATCCTCCCCCAAATCTTCAAGGAAGTCTTCCCCCAGGGATACCGTTGCATTTACTCGGAGCTCTTCAACAAAGTCAGGCGCAACAGTTCCCGAATGTGCCGTGGCCTCAACAACAATCCCCTTCTTCCGGTGGCTTATTCCCTAATCAAAATCCCAGCGCAGGATTCCCGCCACATATGTTGCCTTACTTTTACGACCAGATGTCTCAGTCAAACTACTACCATGTACCTCCTCCTCAGGGGACACCAACACAATCGGCAGCCTCCTCATCGACTGCTACTCGTCCTGCAGCTTCTCCCCCAGATACAGACTCTCTAGAAGGTGGCGCTGACGACAAACGCAAACGAAACACAGCGGCTTCAGGTAAAGCGAAATAAGACCTTTTATTCCTGTGCACAAGCTAAGATGCTTGCCTTCAGCTCGATTTAGGATCAAAAAGAAGCAAAAAACCCTCAATCTTGAAAGATCTGTGTCAGACCTTACTGGGCGCGCAGAAGAGTTGGAGAAAGAAGCCGCTGACCTCAGAAGAGAAAATGGGTGGTTGAAGGAGATTGTCATGCTGAAAGGGAGTCGATTAGCCGGCGTGCATTTGACTCCAGATACGGTGTCCTCGTCGATGTGGGATCATGGTCAGGCTGCAACGTTAAGCCCAAGCGGGGACAAGCCTTCCGCTGAGGAGAAAGATGGAGATTCAGACTCGAATGACGATTCCTCCGACTCGGAGTATACTGGTGAAGGACGGGTGAAGGGCAAAGGCAAAGGCAAAGGCAAGGCAAGAAAGAGATGAGCAGCGATTGGGGAGCGTCGTTGATGGGTCACTTGCAGCTTCTTCACGGACGAGAAGATATCATTACTTCACTAGCTGGCACGCTGATGGGGTGGTTGGAAACGTTGTCGGACGTCTACTGTAATTGTGCAAATACCTGTTGATTCCACTGTTATACACGAAGCATCCGTGTATGTGCTCGATAGATTACTGACAAGTATGGTATTTATTCTCTCAAACTTTTCTCGTTCTAGCCAATGAGCTGCTCTATATGACTGATGTGGTCTTGATAGGGCCGATTGCCTGAGATGTAAGTTCCCACGCCCCACAAAAATGTCATTTGGACGACCACCATCGCTTGATCTCGGCTTCAAGCCTACACCTCCCCAGCGTGGATCTTTTCCTTTGGATCACTATGGTTGGTTTAATAGAATGCTATCTTCCTACGACTGACAATGGAAAACGAAAATCCAGGGGAATGCAAGGAGAAGATGATTCTCTATATGCAATGCTTAAAGAGCAATGGTAGCAATTCCACACCGTGTCGTGACTTGAGTAGGAATTACTTGAGCTGTCGGATGGACAAGTAAGCTTGCGCATCTACGTGTCACGCAGCTCATCTTGACCCAATTTGCAGGGGTCTCATGGACCGAGACGATTGGAGAAACCTAGGACTGCCGAATGCGAAGACAGACGAACAACCTTCGACAAAGGAATCTGATTCAGCGTCTAATAAATGATGCATTTTTATGTCTAACTGCCGAACATTTCATTACTCAAGTTCTTGTTCGATACTGACTAACAGAGCATGTACGGAAATTCCACTGTCTTTGCTGTCAGGCTCGCCTTGCGAGCCACTGCAGACATTTTGATCCTTTCGATGAAAAATGTGCGAACGTGACGGTAACATTGGATGCTGGTGGACTTCAATCGCCGCTGGGGCACGTTCGTGGGTTGCGTAACCGTCATCCACTTAGGTGTCATGGCGCTGTACAGACGGATGCAGCATTTTCATCAGCAGCACGGAGGCTGTCCTGTGAAGTCAATGCCTATTTTACTCCAGTGCGAGTTGACCACTAGCAAGGTAGCCCTTCTCAACAAGCTTTGCCAAATTCGACCATGTTGCAACTAATCACACCGTAGCCTCCAGCAATGCAATTCCTACTTTTATCACGGACCGCAATCCTGGTTCAACGGTATTTTTCCACGCCGATGTTCCAATTCTAGCATAAATCCAGTCCTCAAGCCATGAACGTTCGTGTATGTCAAGGGGTCCAAGTGGCGCCTACTGCATCAGCAGCATGTTTATAAAGCTAGAGATCCCTCTGCGGTACATCGCGATCTGTTCCGCCTCGTCCTCCTCTTCATTCCAGTGTCAGACTATGCTGTGGTTCAGTTTACTACTTCTATCGTTTCAAATTCGATCTAGTCTTTGTGCGTTGCCTCTTCGGGATCAGAATCCGACGGTTTTTGATCTTCAAGTAAGAAATTTTGGTCTGTATCGGTGAAGCTAGTTATTGATCGATTCCTTGTTGCAGTCCCATCGTGGCGGTAGAGGAGAAACTGTAGAAAGCACGCTTCCCAGTTTTGCTTGGTGAGTTTCTTGTAGAGTGAAAAATTCTTTTCTTCATCGTTATGCCAGGGGACTGATCCATGGTGCCAAAACTTTGGAATTGGACAATGGCATTACCAAGGTGGGTGAACGTTTGCCGTACATTTCAAAGTATGAACTGACTTAATTCAGGACGGAACCGTGATTGTCTGGCATGATGAGAATATTGTCGCAGAAAAGTGTCTAGATACGGCACCAGCGGTAAGCCAAAGGCTTGCTGGACGTGAAATCACTGACATTGTTCCCAGTTTGAAGGCGATTGGGACTACCCTTACGTTGGGAAATACATTGCCAATCTCACCCTCGCGCAGCTTAAAACATTGGACTGTGGTTCTCAAAGGCTGGATGGTTTCCGTGAGTTTGATACTCTTCTGTTTTTTTTTGGATAGAATTCATTGTCACAGCCTAGCCCAACAACTCACTTATCCTGGAACGAAACTGTCTACTCTCGAAGAGTTATTTGACTTTGTTGACTGCGTGGATACGGAGCATAGAATGCTCTTTAATATCGAATCCAAGATTGACGCTGATTACCCCAACCGGACTCGTTCAGTCGATGACTTTGTGGAATATCAATACGCTGCTTTTGCCAAAAGTCCCTACCTCTACTCTATCACAGTGAGTACTCGGATTCGATGTTCTACATTTTCTTGAATCCTGCTTTAGTATCAAAGTTTTGATTGGAGAACACTCATTGGCATGAAGTCAAAAAATTCGGCAATTACGACTGCTGCGCTTATCTCTTCGTAAGTTGTTCTGTTTCAATCTATGCGAGACATTACTGATGAACTCGTAGAGGAACAGCGGTTGGCGCCGATAATAATGCCTCTGCGTGGTTAGCAGGCCTGAATCTGGACTCTTTTCGGGGTGCGACACAGGGTGAAAGGGTAGCAAGGGCCGCTGATGCCATCGACGCTGACATTCTTTCGCCGTCTGATGTTTCGGATAATTCACCTGTAGAGGACCCAAACAAGGATGGTTTTATATATTTCACCACTGAAGAGATGATCTCGACATCCCATTCGCTTGGTAGAGAGGTCAAACCCTGGACAGTAAGCCCAGTTCAGGTCTCCTCTGACACTGATTGTATGCTAAACGGAGACAGGTCAATCGGTTGAATATTGCTCAGCAGTTGTTGATGTGGGGTGCGGATGGATTAATCACCGACTACACGTCTGCCATGAGGAGATTTCTTGACCAGCAAAGATACGAAGTGCTGCCTGGGTTTCCTGAGGACAAAGTGTTGCAATGTCTGGCGCAGCATATCCAAATTACAGCAGAAAACTCATGTTTATAATTTATGTAATAGCCAATACCTTTTGTTGAACGAGTAAAAGATGTAAATAAAAAGTAAGAAATGTGGGGAGGAATTATTGTATGTGCCTGATGATATTTGGCGGGACAAGACGGAATGCACGGATAGGTGCGGCAAACCCCGTAGAGAGCAACCCTCCTCCGTCGCTGTCAGCGTCTAATCCCGTCTCTCATGGCCTCCTTCGCTGTGAAAAAAGCTCTCAACGTCGCGCCCACTGTGCGCACTCGTGCTTCTGGCGTTCCTTTGGCGCCTTTGGTCAACCTTGCTGCCAAGGCTCCCGCTGACGGACATGGCCATGGTGAAGCCGCCCGGTCTGATGCTCCTCTGAAATGGGCTGGCGGTATTTCGAGGTCATCGTCTGGTCTTATCTCCAAGACTTTTTTCAATGGTAAGGAGCATTTTTTTCTGAACGAATGTATTCTTTACCAACAGGTTGTGTAGCTCCGCCCACGACTACTTTCCAACCGCGTCTTCTTCATACCTCTGCCGTCGTCAAAGATGCACCTGAAGTCCCTGATTTCTCCAACTATCGTGCACCCAATACCGACACGAACCGCGCCTTTTCTTATTTCATGGTCGGTTCCCTAGGTGTTCTCTCCGCGTCTGTTGCCAAGTCCAGTGTCTCCGAGTTCCTCGTCACGATGTCCGCCTCCGCCGATGTTCTGGCGCTCGCCAAAGTTGAGGTCGAGCTTGGCAATATACCCGAGGGCAAGAACGTCATCATCAAATGGCGTGGCAAGCCTGTATTTATCAGGCACCGGACACAAGCAGAAATTGAGGAGGCCAGGAGGGAAGACTGGAAGAGCTTTAGGGACCCCGAGAGTGATGAGAGCCGTGCAAAAAAGCCCGAATGGCTGGTTATGTTGGGCGTTTGCACCCATCTAGGTTGTGTGCCCATCGGTGAAGCGGGTGATTACGGAGGATGGTGCGTATGATCTGTCTGGCCTTGCTTGACGGATATTCATCCCCTACCAGGTTCTGTCCTTGCCATGGTTCCCATTATGACATTTGTATGTTTCCTACTCGTAACTGGTGCTTGGCTAATTCTGTTTCCCTCCAGCTGGCCGTGCTCGTAAAGGACCTGCCCCCGTGAGTAATAACCCTCAACAATTCTTTCGTGTCTCTCATTTCTCCCCAGCTTAACCTGGAAATTCCCGCATACGAATTCAATGAGGCAGAAGGCAAACTCGTTATCGGATAGATGCACACAATAGATCACAGGGTTGTATTTATCGCCTCTGAATCCAAACGCTTAGCGTGAAGCTTTTAAAGGGAGTTCAGGTTAAATACCGCTGTGGGATCCCGTTGGTTTTTCTCCTCGTCCACAGATTGTCTTTGAATGTGCGGCGGCCGGTCAAGGTCAAGTTTGTCAAGCCGGATGCCCTATCTCTACCGCCTGGCACGCGTAGGAAAAGAACCAGAAGATCATTCTGCATTATCATAGTGTCATTTCTGATGAATGCATGCTCATCACTTACCTCAGGCCTAGTATATAATACTGCCCTTCTTATGTCTCCCTAGGCATTTAGTTACCCTACGTTTCTGTCATGGAGAACGGATACTCCGCTGTCCTACCTTCCGGCAATGAGGCACCGCGAAAGCCTACCACTTTCAAGGACAAAGTTTTGTCTTATGTCTGGGACTCAGATACTTATCTGAAGACCCCGTTCGAACGAAGGTTGATCCGCAAGGTTTGACTTTAGTTTGTCCCACCGCAAATGATCACGAAGACTCACTTGTACTCTCAGCTTGACTTTGGAATCCTCGTCGTGTCATGCCTCGGCTTTTTCATGCGTTATCTGGATTCAGCCAATCTGGCTAATGCGTACGTTTCTGGGTGTGTGAAGTATCTCTGTATGACTGGGAATCCTTTAATCCTACTTACCGCAGCATGAAAGAAGATCTAAGTATCGTTGGAAATGAATATACCTATGTATGGTGTTACTTGACGTTCTAAAGGTCTCATTTGACGTGTCTTCACTAGATGGGTATATGCTATACAATCGCATATGCTCTTTTCCAAGTATACGTCTCTTGTAAGATGCTGTATGTGTTACTTACGCCCTTATCCACCAGATTCCCGGTACCGTCATTGTCACTCGAGTGAGACCAAGCTACTTTTTGTTCTTCTGCGAGGTTGGATGGGGCACGTCTTTCCGGTTAAAGTGGTAGATATTTTAGAGGCTTAGTTTGCCCTTTAGGTGCCTTCACTTTTGCTCAAGCCGGCGCGAGACATTCAAACTACATGTACGCTTTCCGATTCTGCGTAGGGATGTTCGAAGCTCCCTTTTTCCCTTGTATTTTGTGTATGTCCTCCCTTACATCCCATGCATGCGGTTCACTCACAAATTCCCAGACCTCATGGGATCGTGGTATAACAAATACGAAATGGCTAAAAGAATTGCTATCTTTCATTTGTGTGGTGCGTCTATTTTCCGGCATCATCAATTGAATCCCATTTATCCTCATGATAAGGATCTCTCGGCTCTTCTTTTGGAGGGTATCTACAGGCAGCCGTTTATGAGACTTTAAACGGAGCCAAAGGTATAGGTTAGTGTGAGGTAACGATACTAATCCGAAGTTTGACCTCCATCTTCATCAGCTGGCTGGAGGTATCAAGTCGATGTGTGCACACTTGTAATTATAGCTGACGCTTACGTTCAAGGTGGCTTTATATAGTCTGTGGTTGTATGACGGTTCCTTGCGGGATCGCTGTGCTATGTTTCCTTCCTGACTTGCCCTCGAATACACGGGCATTCTACCTAACGAAAGAGGAGAAGAAATTTGCTCTAGATAGAGCGATTGCGTTGGGAAAGGTCAATAATTCTATCTCTCTTGTATGTCTGGCATGCCTCTCAACTCGACAAGTCTCAAGCTGGAGAGAGAAGGCTCAGATTCTCCCTGATTAAGAGGATGCTTACGACGTGGAGTTAGTTCTTCATTCTTATCTCGATATGACATGCTCATAGATATTAAGAGTGGTATGCCTTCGTACTGGGGTACGTGGTTTATGGCATTTCTTGTCAAGCAGGAGATTATTTCAGCATCTGGATGAGTGCGTAATGCCTTTTTGTGACTTCAGGCGTTGACCAGCAATCTAGAGGCTGCCGGATATTCTGTGGCTGAGCGAAATGTCATACTTTCCTGTTCGAGGCTCATCTCAGCTTTCTGCATTTTCGTATGGGGATTTGGAAGCGACTTAACAAGTTCTCGTTTTGCTTTCGTTTTTGGACCTTTGGTAGGTTGCATTCAGAATAACGCGTCCTCTCCTCCTAATTAGCGGTTTTGTCGTACTCAGTGCTATGGGCTACTACCCAACGGCATTCTCGCATTCTGGCCGAAATCGAGGGAGCTCATACTGTTTGCTTTCATGACGAACGTATGCTATATGTCTGTTGATGGATCTTATGCTCGTCTCTAAAGATGCACGTAGGGAGTCCAGTTGATGACAGCCGTTTTCTACACCTGGGCAAATGAAATTATGGCCGGAGACGATGATCTACGTGCGCTCACCATATCTTCTATGAATGGCGTACAGTACTCTGTGTCAGCTTGGCTTCCCATTGTCATCTTCCCACAGACGATGTAAGCTCCCGACTTCTCTGGCACCGTCCTGCATCTAATATTAGGGCTATCGCAGGTCCCCGACGTAAGAAGAATAATGTATGCCATAACAAAGTTCTCATGCTGTTTGAAGCTTCCGTCGTGGCTTCCCGTCGACTTTTGGTTTTGTGATAGCTGGACTGGTAATAACATCTTTTTTCATTGATTCAATTCTGAACTCTCCTACCAAGATGATCATTTTAACCATCAAACTTCTTGCTGATAAGGATGCGAGACGCAGTGGGATAAACCAGGGCGTCGAAGATAACAATGGTCCAGAAGGGAAGGAAATTCCCAAGGAAGAGGTTGAGGTCTTAGAGAAAAACGAGAAGATTTGAATTTTTTGGGATTGAGGTGACGCTGGGATATCAAGCTTGCTCTCTTCTATGTAACTCGCGATAACTATGCTATGTCTGTCTGCGGCTGAGAAAATTACCATGCCGGTCAAATGCCGGTGGGACGTGGGTGGGAACGAAACCGGCCCGGAAGATGCCGGAAGGTCAGCAGGAAGGTCATCTTGCTTTTTGAGACAGCTGAGCGCACTTCAGTCAATGCTTTCCCATTCTCGATTAACGGCGTTCATCGCCACTCAACCTCGCACCCTTCTCAGCATTCGTGCTACTACGTCCGCGTCCCGACACAAATTCAGGATGGCGAGCACCCAGGCCTCTGCGGTGCGAAGAGTGACACATTCCCGCTGCGAAAAATGACTGACGCGATACTTGCCTCCAGTTTGGTCTCAAAGACTCCAGTCTCATCAAAATGCAAGGATTCGTGGATGGAAAATGGGTTGATGCAAAAGACGGAGCGACTATCAGCGTAACTAGTGAGTGTCGTCCAGTACGCGTCGCGAACTCTTAATATAGCTCGTTTAGATCCCGCTACGCTCGAAGTGCTCGGGACAGTCCCCGAGATGGGTTTATCTGAAACAATGGAAGCTATCGGGGCTGCTTCGAAGGCATTTCCTGCGTGGAGCAAAACTACCGCCAAGGTTAGCGAAATGCCTTATCCTCACTTGCTGACTCTTACAATCCTTCACCAGCATCGACACGACATACTGATGAAGCTCTTCACGCTCATGCAAGAACATCACGATGACTTGAGCAGGATAATTGTGTGTGCACCCTGTATCAGACTTTCGAGTATCTAACGAATACGAACAGACCCTGGAAAACGGGAAACCACTCAGGGAGGGAAAGGTGCGTTTGTGGTCTCATGAATAACATCATGGCTGATGTCATTTATTAGGGTGAGAACGCCTACAGCGCTTCGTTCATCGAGGTTCGTCATTGTCTGCATATTTCCACCTCTGTCATACTTAGTATGTCATCCGTAGTGGTATGGTAGGCATTCTAAGATGTCCCTACTTCATTCAATGATCCAATTCTTCAATAGCTGAGGAAGCTGTGAGAGCGTACGGAGGTAAGACCTACTGTTGAATCTGAAGTCAAGACACATTTACATTTGAATCAGAACAGATTCCTTCAGCCAGCAGTAATATCAGAAATCTTGTAATCAAGCAACCAGTCGGTGAGTTTTTCGTCTATCCCGGTTACCACTAGAGCGTACTAAAATCTACTAACAGGTGTCGTGTATGTGATTCGACAGTCCGAGATATTTCCTACGTTGACAAGCGTTGTAGCTCCATTCTTACACCCTGGAACTTTCCTTCTGCTATGATCACACGAAAGTTAGGCGCGGCTCTAGCTGCCGGATGTACGGCTGTGATCAAGCCCCCACCAGAAACGCCCTTTTCGGCACTCGCTATTGCAGAGGTGATTCCCTAGTTCTAATTGTCTTCTTAGTTTTCTAACAATAGTCACTCCAGCTCTGTCGTCGTGCCGGTGTTCCTGACGGCGTCGTCAATATGGTCACTACTGAGAAAAATGTTGCTACCGTTGGGAGGGAGCTATGCGAGAATAAGGTGCCATATATATTTGACTTTGTTACCGCGACCCCTCGTTTAACATTGTTTCAGGCTATTAGAAAAATATCTTTCACAGGTTCAACGCCTATTGCAAAACTGATTTATGGGCTAGCTGCGTCGACATTGAAGAAGTAGGAAATAAATTACATCGAATGGTTGGCACGCTGACATATTTTCAGAATCTCCATAGAAGCAGGAGGGAATGCACCATTCATTGTGTTTGACGACGCTAACATTGAAGAAGCTGTCGAAGGTATCACTCTTTCATTTCTGCGCGAGAACTCTGTTCTCACTTTCATCCAGCTGCGATCCTTTGCAAGTTCCGTGGCAGTGGTCAAACATGCGTTTGCGCTAATCGGATCTACGTGCAATCCAACGCCTATGCGGAGTTTGCATCACGCCTGACGGAAAAGGTGGCTGCTTTCAAAGTTGGAAATGGTCTGGATGAGCAGACGTAAGATTCTCTCCATAACCCTTGACTTCCAAACCTAATTGACATTTTCAGTACCCACGGTCCACTCATTCATGCTCGGGCCGCGGAGAAAGTCGCGCGTCACGTCAATGATGCCGTGTCATTAGGCGCTCAGGTCCTGATAGGCGGCAAGGGCATTCCCGATACCTCGTTTTACCTTCCCACAGTCTTATCTGAAGTACCCGCCAACGCCATGCTGAACAGTGAAGAAACGTTTGGTCCTTTAGCGGCACTACAACAATTCGAAACGGAGGAGGAAGTGGTGAAGTTAGCGAATTCGACAGATGTCGGACTTGCTGGCTACTTCTTTTCTCGAGACGTGGGCAGAGTGTGGCGAGTTGCCGAAAAGTTACAAGTAGGAATGGTTGGTGCGAATACCGGTCTCATAAGCCAAGCTGTCATTCCATTTGGTGGTGTCAAGGAAAGTGGTCTCGGAAGAGAAGGCGGACCCCACGGCATAGATGAGTACCTGAACACGAAGCTAATTGTTTTCGGTGGATTGGGTATGTAAAGGATTGAATAGGACGGCGCCGTGATCCACGAACTGTTGTAATTTTGCTTATGGCAAGCTTTTGTACTTGTACGCTGACTAGTAGCACCTGACAATCGAAACGAGACCTGGACCCGTACCCCGGTCAAGAATATATAAGAGCCGGATCGTTGTTGGGCCTCGTAACCAACACCACCATGGCCGAAGTAGAGATTCTGACATTCCAATCTGTTTTGAAACTAGCCTCTCCAAGTGGATTGTATCTTGTAGGATATGCCTGGCTCTTTGGCATGTGTTAGTATTGGGATTATCTCTTCCGTCGATTGTCTCACGGATTTTACAGCAATCTGGGTTTCATTCTTTGGTGGTAAGGACGTTCTACAAAAATCAGATCTGAAGCTCAACCTCGCAAAGGTGTAATTGCCTTCAAGGCCTTGCGTGAGCACTCCCCAGCTAGTCGTAGGGCTTCCTGTCTTCTAATCTGTCTATGGCACCAGCACGACAGCAATTTGGTGCTCTGCAGCACAAGACATTCCCGATCTATTTTGTCATTTCTATCTTATTATCGTCTGGTCTCTTGAGTTTGTGGACCTACTCCCACCCGGATGTCGTAACGTACATTACGCGCCCCCTTGTGGTGGATGTCGCACAGGCATATGCTCTGGCATCTATCTCGCTGGCCCAAGGATTCAACTACTTTGTTGTGGGTCCTCTGACTAGCAAGTGAGTGAAACGATACAGGATCCATTGACTCATCCTTGATGTGTTGTTCAGGACCATGTTCCAGCGCCACAAGCTGGAAAAAGAGGAAGGAAAAGCGTACAACGAACCCGGAGTGCGTTACAATGCAAGTGCCGGTTGATTCATGCTGAATCCTTTCTGTAGGTCTCCGAGGACATGAAAGTGTTGAATAGGCGGTTTGGTTACTTGCATGGGATTTCATCCCTTGCGAACCTTTACGCCGTGATTGCCTTGGGCTTCCATGGATTGTGGATTGGAACAGCTGGTACCGGCATCAAGGATGCCTTCTAAGATGCATGTATGAAAGCAATGATAACAGTCAATATAACACACGGTGGATAAATACAATGTCGATACTGCCCATTGTAGTTAGGCACCTACAGACTCTATCTCTGGCATGTATCCCTCTCTGAGACTCCTCTCCAGTTTCCGGATTTCATCAATGCTCGAAGCTTTTGCAATGGCTGCTTTGACCTTCTCTGCATCCTCCTTCGACATGAGCCGTCCAGCTTTCACCGTTGGTGCAGCCTGCCGGGGCTCATCCATCATCAACGCTGCTTTGGTGGCTTGCGTGTTCGAAACCGTAGTCGAGATGGTAGTCGCCAGCGCCGTAGGCAGATTTTCTGCTGTCACGAACAACGACTTGCCAACTTTTCGCTCCTACGTATACGTGAGCAAGGTTGAATGGCTCAGGCGGCTGAAGCGCGCACCTTGTCCCGAATTCTCTGAAAATCCAAAACTCTTAGCCCAGGTATTCTCCAGGCAAGCCATTCGCGATACCATTTTTTTTCTCGCACGGGGTTACCGAGCAGCGAGAGATATTTCAGGTTTTTGAGTTCTTTGAGTGGTTCAAGGTCACCCAGTTCGGCAATGTTGTTGTTTGTGAGTACGAGGGTCGTCAAATGAGGGATAGATAGGTGGATGGAAGGTGAAATGGCGGCTACTCTGTTGTTGGACATAAGGAGCGTATGGAGGCGCTTGAGCAAAGGGAAGTTGCCCAGGGTGACGACCGAGTTGTCTGTCATATCAATAGCATCGTGCTGGTCCTACAGAAAAAGGTATTATGTAGTGAAAAAGGCAAAAAGCACCCAACGACACGTACCCGCGTTATACCAAGATTTTCGATGGCCGGAATTTTGTATCCTGTGTACAGAATTGAGTGTCGAGAGAGAAGCCAGAACAGATTGCCGTACCACGTAGGTCGAGCTGGCGTTCTTTGCATGGATTGAGAGTCGATGAAGCTTGGGCAAGGAGCTCGGGAGTAAGCTTCATGGTGGCGGAGAGCGAAAGAGGCAGGAACGCGTCCGTTGGCCATGCTCGATTTGGATGCAAAGGGGCTTGCCTCTTCCTTCCACCACCATGAGGGCCCTTCACCAGCGTCTGCAGTTGTCTGTTTTCTCTTCATTTCTCTACTTTCTTCCGAGCTGACTCGCTGCAGGTACCTTGAAGGCAGCGATGCGTACATTTTTGTGCCCATTGGAGAATCTGTCGACGTACAGTCACTTACTGTTGACCGTGCTACTGGGGAAATGCTACTCAACCGTGAGCTTTATATTGTCCGTTGCGTTCAACAGCTCGTCTCATAAGGTGTAGCGCCGAATACGCCTATACCACCTACGGCTCTTCGGTCAGGAAGACCAATATACGGTATCTTGGGCACGATTGCCTTGTCCATGTGTATGCATTTCCTTACACTGACATATGTTCTGGCTAACTTTGTCATCAGCCGAGTATGTGGTCATCATCACAGGTCGGGAACCTCGCGGGAGAATCGCTGGTCAAGATGTTTACCGAGCCACCGATTTCGACATGCTTCCGCTAAACCCAAACATCACTGTCCAGCACCCGCCACATCCAGTTGAAGGACATCTATTGGCTCTTCTGCGATCTCATCTCTATGGCGGTGTATTTCTCTTCAGCTATGGCTGGGATTTGACGAGAAGGTTGCAACTTCAGTGGGAGCACCGAGAGCATGATGCAAACAAGGCATTTTGGGAAGTGGTACGTCCTCACTGTTGACGTACACTTCTTCTCATTGAAGGACCACTCAGGCAGACGATAGATTCTTTTGGAATAGGTGTGCAATGGTCTGTGTACACGGCGCAAGCGTGCTGAATGACGTATAGATTTCTTCAGACACGTCTCATCGACGCCAACGTCAAGCAAGACGTAAGTATTCTCGTCGTTGCCTTTATAGACACGTTAATGGCCCGTGAACATTAGCTCGGTGCTTTTATCCTTCCTGTCTTGTATGGAAGTGAGTGGTACCTTTTCCAGTGCGAGGGTCGCAGCTTAATTCTCCTAGCGTTTGACATTCGGCCGGCCTTCGTGCAAGGACGACACATGCAGCTGGCACTCATTAGTCGACGGTCCCGTTTTCGTGCGGGTACACGCTTTTTCCGTCGTGGCGTCGATAATGAAGGGCACGTAGCGAATTTTAATGAGACGGAACAAATTCTCCTCGTCGAAGCCCAAAACTCCGCCGCAGCACCCCGTTCTGCCGACGAATTTGCCGCGCAACTCAGTTATGTGCAAATTAGGGGGAGCGTGCCCGTGTTTTGGGCGGAGGTCAACACCTTGCGATATAAGCCCGATTTGCAGATTATGGACCTGGAGGATACTGTAGGCTGGTTGAAGCTATAATGGTCACTCACTGACGAATTGCTATGTAGCCCGATGTTATGAAGATGCACCTTCTGGAACAAGTCTCTCTCTACGGAGATCAGACCTTAGTCAATCTCGTGAATCACAAGGGTCACGAGAAGCCTGTAAAAGAGGCTTATGAACGATATATCGCTCAGGTAATTCCAATCCTCCCAGACTGATATGCAGCACTTAAAAGTAAGTGTTTAGATCAATCTTCCTCAAGTTCGTTACGAATATTTTGATTTTCATAACGAGTGCAAGCACATGCGCTGGGATCGCATCAGTGTGCTTATTGAAAAGGTACAAGATGACCTCGTGCGTCAATCGTCAGTGCATAGATATCTTTGTCTACGCTCCGTCTGATAGATATGCTAGGTATTTCCACGTCAACGCAAGTGAAAGCCAGCCACATAAACTTCAATCGGGTATTGTGCGTACCAATTGTATGGACAATCTCGACCGGACCAACGTCGTTCAAGCTGCGTTAGCAAAGTGGACATTGAATCAGCAGTTGATATCCCTGGGAATCCTTTCTCCTGGCGGCTCTATTGATGAGTACCCAGCCCTTAGTGCCGATTTCCGGGAGAGTAAGTTGTCACCTATTCTTATCTTCATACGCAGTTAATCGACTTGACACCAGTGTGGGCAGATCATGCAGATGCTATCGCCAAGGCATACGGCGGATCGGGTGCACTGAAGTCTGATTTCACAAGGACAGCCCAACGAACTAAGAAGGGCCTACTTGAAGATGGCGTCAAGTCTGTGGTACGGTACCTCAAAAACAATTACTTTGATGGTGCTAGACAGGTAAGTCGAGATACATATACTTATACAGCGTTGACATTTTCCTAGGACGCTTTCGATTTAGTGACAGGAGCATGGGTCCCCAGAAAGAATCCTTCGTCGTCCTTATTCCTGGTCACTGATTCACGCCCCTTGATAACACGTTCTGTAAGACACCTAATTTGATTGTTTCTGTACATATCTCATCACTTTCCTTGACAGATGCCTGCGATTGCATCTTTCTCCGCTTTTATGATTTGTGCAGGGTTAACATTGCCTCGGACCTCTGGTTTGCTCATTACATCATGATTTAAAATTTTTTTTCACTGATCATCCATTCTTAGAGTATTCGCTGTTCTATTATTTCCTGCTCTGGGTTACATTATTGATTATGGCGGCCGTCTACATGGTCGTTAACGGCATTGATTTTGTGTCGTGGCCAAAGTTGATACCTCCCACTGACATTATTTACTATAACGGTCCTGGATTCCGTTCTGCACGTAATGGTATGGGACTCGGTGGTGGAAAGGATATGAAGGCCAGCCTTGGGAAAACGACAAAATGGTTGAACGGTGGGAGACTGCGCAGAGGAACAGTCAGCCTGGAAGACGGGGAAATCAAGAAGCGGGTTGATTGACGATGTGTATATACCCTGTTCGTGTCTGGATTTTATTTACCGGTAGACTGGAATGGATGGTGGAAGAGCAATAGTTGTTGCTTTGTTGGTGATCTGAAAGGGTAGCCCAAATCAAGAACAAGGGCTGATCATCACCGCCGCGGAGTTGCAATTTTCTCGGGTTGCAAATTTTCTCTTCGTAACACCTTCCACCACTCTTGCACCGCGCTACCATGTCCAAAGGAACCAAACGCGCCTCGCCTGGTGCTACTGAAGAAAAGGAAAACCCTCTTCAAGGCATCGAGCTCAGCGACGAAGATGCCCAAAAATTGAACGACATCCAGAAGGATACCCAGCGGATAGAGATCTGGGTTGGTGAGTCTGGCCTGCATGTCGCTCACCTCTTCGTTTTTTCATTACCTCAATGCAGAACGCGAAACGGCAAAAAGGCAGCTGCCCCTCTGGGAGAAACGGCGCGAGACTCTCAAGTCCATCCCAAAATTCTGGCCAGTTGCTCTGATGAACCACGTTGGATTCGGCATCCACGTTCAGCACAACTCGGACCAGCTCGCTCTCACCTATCTCGAGGATGTCTGGCTCACACGGGACCCCAAGGAATTTCGTGCCTTCACCCTTGAATTTGTAAGCGCCAGTCTCCACTGAGTTGTTGAAATAACCTGACACCTCGTCTTGCAGTTCTTCAAGGAAAATCCCCACTTCACCGATAAGGTGCTCAAGAAGGAGTATAAATACATCCCTCCTCCTGCTGTAGCGGATGACAAGCCAGACGAAAATGGTATCACTGAGACCATGCTCGACTTTTCATGGGAACGTGACATTGAGCCATCGGTATGACTTTCTTACTTGTATTGTGTTAGTCTTATGTGTGCTTATTCGTTTTCAGACGATCAAAATCAACTGGAAGGACCCTGCCAGAGCACTGACCAAGCTGTACCCTCGAGAGCCTGGCCCAGAGCCTGATGATGACCCCGTTGACCCAGGCAGCTTCTTCAACTTCTTTGAGATCAAGTCGGATCCCTATGAAGTCAGTGCACCGTGATAAGCAATCTGTTCTAACACTGATCCTTTTCCCTTCAGATCGGGCTCACAATTGCTAACGAGGTGTTCCCTGAAGCTGTTAATTACTTCTTGGATCAAGGCAACGAAGACGACATTGATTCAGACGACTCTGACGATGAAGATGACGATGACGATGCGGAGGAGATTGACCTTGAGAAGCCCCGCAAAAAGCAAAAGGTGTAAGGAGTTAGTGGAGTGGCGCACTGGTCCTATTATGGAGGCGGTAATAAACTGACATGACGCTACCTGTCGATACTTACTACGATGATACTACAGCCCATTGAAATTTTGGTTGCGATATGTTACCCAGATGGTGATCTTGAATGATATGAAATGAAGCACATGGAGTAATATCAATAACAGAACATACAGTGCTGTTCTTTCGAACCAAACTTTCTTTTCGACGGCTATACTCTTCCTACCTCGTCGCTTTCGTTATTGCCGGTAATGTTAGCTTTGACGATCGCCGCTAACAGCTTGCTCGGTTAGTATCAAGGGGAGCGCCATTAGGACCGCCGCTTCCACTATCACCGTAATTCCGCTGGCGCCAATTCAGTCGCGACCACGGACTCCGAGTACCTGAAATTAACAAATCTTCTTGACTTATTGACTCCATGCCGACTGATCCTGAGCGGTTCATGTGTCTGTATCTCGTCCCGTATGGCATCTCGGTTGGGATTCAACCCTTGGACTCTCACACTGGTCATTACACATCTCAGTTAGACTCATTAGCGCAGACGTTCATCTGGCAAGTGCCTTGGACATTTGAATCCAGAAGTGATCTGACACGAGCTTTCCATCAGACTCAACCATCCCACTCATTGTAGTTACAAGTTCTGGACTGAAGCGCCAGCCATTGTACATGTGTCATTATGATGTGGCTACCGAAGTTCTCTCCATTTGAGTGGCCGCTCCGATGCGAAATAGTATAGAACGTTCTTGGTGGAATCGATTAGCAGGAGTAAGGTATCCTGACTACAAAGCCAAAGCAAAGCAAGAGGCGCCATAGATAGTTACTGACAATTTTATTGCAGCCTTCTGCATACGGCTTGACAAAGATGAGAAGGGTCTCAACTTCAGCACGTCTGATCAACAGGAGTTGATGTATGTTCGGCAAACTCGAGAGTGCCTCTACGCCCTGCAATGCGACTCCCGGGTTTACACGCTACTTTCCTCACCGGTAAAAGCAACACAATGCGCAATACTATTATTAAAGCCTCAGCATAATCTCCAATTTCAATTCCCTCGGTAAAAATAAAGCAGATCTAAAGACACGAGTCTGTGTTGAAATGATGGTTACACGTCGTAATAAGGGAACTCTCGCAACCCAGTAAAAGACATAAGGTAGTCCAAGGCATACACAATAGAAACAAAAAGTAAGAGTAAAGGGCAGCATTGTCTAGAATGGTATGGTATAATGGAAGGGTAAAAAAGACAACGAGCAATGAGTCATCCGAAGGCCCAAAGGTTACACATATAACAATTAAAAAATAAGAGAACGAGAAGAACGGAAGATAGAGTATAAGATAAAGCACACCAATGACGAAGACGATCTCCAATCTAAACCTGATACGCAAATCCCTTGAAACGCTCACCAAGACCCAGCAACCTCGTCACCCTCTACAACATCTAACCATCGATGGTCTATCATATCCCTGGCATGACTACGCTGCTTCATGTCAATGACCAGCATAGGCTCAAGGAAATCACATAGGATTGTGGCGTCCCGATCTGTATAAAGATATTTCTCCATCATGACACGCTTTAACGGCCATGGCTTCAAAGACCTGATATATCGTAATGCACCTAATACCCACATCAGTCTTTACCAATGAGATATAGAAGGCTGGAAAATATACCTGTATGATCGAACAGCTCGCGACTATACTTGCCGCCCATCTTTGCCTCTATAGAAAAATCGCCAAGGAGCTCGATAATTTGAGCCATATGATCATCGTCCTTGGTAAACAACTCGCCTTGACCCTGAGGATCAAAGAGATATTCAGCCGTCAGAAGCTCAAAGACCTGCACCAACTGTCAGTCGGAGAACTCAGAAAAGATCGAGGAGACACTTACCACACAAGCTACGCTCCATATATCAGCAGTGACATCCCAATCTTTCCGACCAAGAATCGCCTCTGGAGCTCTGTATTGCCGTGTCTGTATATCCTCTGTATAGTGCTTCTTGGACGGTGTGGCATTTCCTAAATCCGCAATCTTTATTGATAATGGTGGCGGAAGAGGAGGCGCACCAGATGGGTGCACTGAAGGAATGTCCATAGGCTGAGGGGCTTGGGATGTTTCTCTGCGAGGCGGCGGTGAAGGAATCTGAGTGGAAAGAGAAGTTGGAGAACTGGGTGTTGGGGGTGGCGCAGCGGGAGAGGCTAAAGGTGTCACGTCGGTAAACGATGTTGAGATAGGCGGAGGTGATGATTTCTTTATTGACGGCGCCGCGTGAAATTCGACGGGTTGGGGTGCTATGGAGGACGAAGTAGCTTTACTGCGGCGTGGGGCAGTCTGGGAGAGAAGAGAGGGGCCAGTGGATTTGTTGACAACGGGCCGAAGTGAGGGGAAGGAATCGCTTTCATGAGAAACGACAGAGGGGAGCGGTAAGTGATTCGAAGATGCCTCCGTATCAGGAGAGATAAGAGATAATTTAGATTCGTCAGTATGTATCGTGCCAGTTGGGGAAGGCCGAGCGATGGTAGCCGTGTTAGAAGAACTGCAAGACTTGGTGCTAGGTGCTCCCCGACTTGTGCTGCTTCCTGATGGCAGATAACAATAGTCCCCTCGTTCCTCCTGTCCGTCTGCCATGACCGAAGTAGATACTACGACAGCAGGGGCAGGAGCTGACAGTCCGGGATCTTTCCAGGACCCAGAAACAGACAAGCCTGAATTCGACCGTGAATGACCGTTTCCAGATGCCGCATTTGAGAAGCCGATGCTTGATGTTGATGATTTGAATGATGACGAGAGCGAGAAAGACGTCTTCTCTTTCCATGAACCACCATAGGTGCCCAGTTTGCCTTTCCATGACGACAGGGGGTTGTCAACAGCATTTGTGTCTGCATTGCCTTCGCATCCCGCGATGGGAATACCATTAACAATGTCCTGACTTTCGCCATCACTGTCTTCTGCGGGAGAAACGTCGACCTTGACATGATATTTCTGTCCTAGCAGGCCAAGGGCAGCAGCACCGATGGAATGTGACAAGGAAGTCGGAGGTGTACTGATAATACTGCAGGACACTCCACCAGTCGAACCTGAGGCGGAGGTTGATGCTATTGACGACGACGACGATGATGTAGAAGGGGAAGTAGGTATGGGGTTAGGATTCTGGGAGGACGAGGTGGTCACTTTGCTTCCGTCCGGATCATCAGGGGGATTGGCCGGCGGTGCAGTTGCAGATAACCCGCTAGGAACCTTCGGAGCGCTCTTCGTGAAACCACCGCCGTTACGCTGATCAGCAGACCGCTGTGCAAGTGGTGACGGCCCGGCGAAACTTCCGTTGGCACTATTGAGGCCGCTCCCGCTACCTCCTTGACAACTGTTTAGTGCGCCAAAGCTCATGCTCGATCCATGGATGCCAGCGCTCCGAGAAGGACTTGAGAGAGGCTGAGAGTCAAATATCTGAACGGAGCGACGGGTAGACCGTTGATTCCGTATGGCAAGACCCGAGCGGATATTGGACGGTAGAGGGACGCCGACCCGACGAGAGGTCGGTGATGGTGACAAAGATAACTCGGTGGAGATGTGGGCTTCAATGTCGGGAATGGAAATTACTATAAGGGTATAATTCAGTATCTCGATGATAGCACTTGCTGGAGGTCAAGCTACTCACGAATATTCTCCGGCTTGATGTCGGTATGTACCAAGTCGCATTCATCATGAAGATACTGGAGACCAAGTAAAGTCTGCTTGGCGATGACCTTGACTAGTGCCCGCGGCACTCCGTGCTTCTTGTTACGTTCTATCAACGCCAACAGGTTCTCGCCAAGAGGCTCGAATACGATGCATATATGAGAGGCCTCGGGTCCTTGGTGAGTGAATGAGTCAAGAAAAGAGACAATGTGCTGGCGGCCTGGGTGTGCTGGTGAAAACGAAGCGACCCGAGAAAGGAGTTTAATCTCGTCTCTCGCTGTCTCCGCATATCGTCCAGCAGACTTGACGACCTTGAGAGCCGAGTGACGGTGAAGACTGCATAATAGAATGGTGACAAAAGGGCGAGCAAAGCGTGGCAGAAATACGTACTGAGTGTCCTTTACGAGCCATACAGTCGAAAAATGACCCCATCTGTCGATTGCGCAAGATTAGGAAAGCTGGACAGGAGCCAGGACAAAGACAACGCACCCGAGTTTCCTTACAACCTTGTATCTATTATTCTTAAAGCTGTCGCTAAGCTTGACGGGTAGATATCCTCCTGCGTTGTAATCTGCTGGGCTCTCCTCATCCTTGCAAAAGGGCTCCTCTACGGGTAGGATTTTAGGGCCAGCAGAAGTAACAACATATGAATATTTGGCCGGAGACTGCTGTGGAGCCATCTGCAGAACGCAGACGAAGGCCTGAAGAAAGGAGGGTCGGAGGGTAGAGTGAGATGGACGGAGAGGATGTTGAGCGGTGGCGTATCCTCGGAACTGAAGGTCTGTGATTGGCGGCATTTTCCGGAACGGCACCGCCACAGGAGTATCCCTGCTCCAACAAACAAATTATTATTTCGACAACCTGCCACACAGTTACCAGTGGAGTGTTTATTTTGTGTGGAATGTTCAGGGACATACTGGGTTAATCTTTAAAATGCTGGCTGTATCTGCTGAACATTGAAAACAATATCAAGCCTTATCTCTACATGAGTGATATCTTTACTCTCAGGGTAGCCCTCGTGTCCGGTTTATCGCAGACTTAGCATATGGGCGTCATCATCTCAGTGACAATCTCTGCCAGCGTTGTTCTTTACTGTTGCCAAACGCCACTGTGGCGGCGATGCCGAGCGTAAAAACAGTTACCCGTACTCCACCTGTTCCTATTGTTTATACTCACTTTTTAAATAACAATGATGATGATGTCGAACTTGATAAACAAAGCGTTATCTGTGCCTTGGACGCGAACGAACAAGTCGCGCTGGTCGGCCCTCGAGCCGGAACCGCGTCGCGGGTCATAACCACGTGCGTCTGCTAGTATTGGCACTGCAGCGGCTTCTGTACCACAACCATCAGCAAAGTCGAGATATATTCGACGGACTTGTCTCTTGCGATGTCGCCGACAACCCACATGGCGTCCAAGGAGTTCATTGGAGCGGTAGAAGACCGCTGGGACATGTACAGGTGAGCATATCGACCCTGTCTCTTGGCATTGGCTCATCTTGCTCGTACAGTGACCGTTCTGAGGACTACACCATCGGTTCTCCAATAGGATTCGGGGCATCTTCAATTGTCTACTCAGCAGAATACAAGCCTCAAGGGTCTTCATCTGCAGTTCCATGCGCCCTCAAAGTTCTGGATCTCGACTCGCTTCCTCCTCATTCACTATCGCTTCTTCAGCGAGAGACGACTCTGATGTCCCTATCCAAGCATCCAAACGTTCTTCGTGTCCGTGGTTCATGGATGGACGGCCACAAGCTCTTTATCGCATTGCGACTCATGAACAAGGGTAGTGCAGCTGACGTCATGCACTATGGCTGGCCCGCAGGTTTGGAGGAAGACGTTATACGTTGTATCCTACGCCAGGCTCTCCTGGGCCTCAAGTACCCTCTTCATTTACTGGCACCCCACACACAACTGACTCTTCGCCTTAGCTATCTTCACATCAACGGATTCATTCATCGCGACGTCAAAGCAGCAAATCTATTAATCGACGACGACGGAACGGTCCTTTTAGGTGATCTCGGTGTCGCCGCAAACCTCGCTGAAGACACCTCCCCCAACTCTTCGAAATTACAAACAGTATCTTCATCCTACGTCACCTCTTCGCGTCGGCAGAATAGTTCTCATGATAGTCAAGACAGTGCCTCAGGACACAGTCCCTATAGCTCCACCAGACGTGTCGTACTTGTCGAACCTACCGCATCACCCTCAAGACCAAAGATGGGAAAACGGAAATCTTTCGTTGGTACAGTAAGTCTCTGATATCTCTTGCCGTATCTTTACTTCATCCACCACTAGCCATGTTGGATGGCACCCGAACTAATTCAGGGGAAGAACTATGACTCCTCTGCAGATATATGGAGTTTTGGTATCACTGCCCTCGAACTTACACAAGGCCGGCCACCCAGGTCTCGCGAATCACCTCAGAAAGTATTGTTGAAAACGTACGCGTATATTATTTGATCCTTTAGCGTCCTCATTGTTGGTGCGTAGCATTCAAGAAGCAGCTCCTACATTGGATAGGGACGGCGGCACATACAAATACTCTCGTGCTTTTCAAGAAATGGTGGAAAGCTGTTTGGTCAAAGACCCGACACAACGGTGTTTTTGTAAGCTACGATAGCGTTATCCATTCACTGATTCTCTTCTAGACCAACCGCGGAACAACTCCTTCAAACGCAATTCTTCAAAGGAGCGAAGAAGCCTTCTTACCTTATCGGTACTATACTGAGTGGGTCTATCGCTTCGGATCGTTTGAACATGTCGCTTATATTATACTTTTAGAGGATCTCCCACCTCTGACCCATCGGCAAGAACGCCGGGTCGTTCCAAGCACCCAGACCCATCGTTCGATTGATTCTTGGGATTTTGCCACTACCATCTACTCTCCTGGAAGCGTTCCGCGCCGTCGTCTACCTGATGAGTCAGATAACCAAGGAGACGATGTGGTTTTTGAAATGGAGAATGAAAGGGACCGAGAAAGCGGGAGAAGAAGCGGAAGCATGGGTCCCTCTGGTACGGTATCTTGGAACGAACCAGAACGGCCGGTGCTCATAGAAGAACATGAGCCCGAAAGTGATTTGGTACAATCTTCCGCATCTTCTTCGCCCTCCGATTCGGAATTCCAGGGTACTAGTACCACTGTCAGTACGTCCCCCGAGACTGGGTTTTCCACGTCGCCGTCGTCTGTTCGTGAAGACGCGGAACCGAAGACTAGCCAGCCAGTCAAAGAAATGCCGACGCCTGTCTTTACCGCTCTCATGCCGTCGTCGGAGGTGCCCGTGAAGCCCAAACTGGGTATATCTGCTTCTCCGCCGCAACGCGGGTTTTGGAAGAAGATCAAGACAAATTTAAGACGGTCATCATCTATTATAATGCTGCAACAGCATCTCAAGGTTTGCTATCATACCATGATTTTTGCTTTTACGCATACTCACGGTTTCCATATCTTCATCAGGAAGACCTCAGCTAGGAATGACGATCTAACGACTGCATTTTATTTATCGGTTTATAACATCTATTTGGAGGGTATTCTAATCTATTCTTCGTGTATAATTCTTTTGATACCCGTCTGTATTCCTTTAGTGCGCATGACAAGAAGACATTGATTTAGAGGGCGCCACATGGATAATATAGGTATTTAGATACTTAACACACTAGTTATGTGCATGGTTTATTCGAACGTCGAGTTCAAGAATTGTAGAAGATCTTTCCTGTTAGCTTCCCGTTCGTCATCCCCCTTGTCCTTTTTGACCCTCAATTTGATCTAGGATACGATAATGAGATACGACGGGCGCTAGGAGAAATAGAAAAACCTTTTTGCCCGTTAGGATGCTTCGCCGCTCTTCTTTGTCCTTGTCCTTCTTTCTATCTTTTTCTTTTCTTTTCCCTTTCTTTCTATCCTCATCATAATCTCTGTCCCTGTGCTTTCGCGATTCCTTATCCTTTCTTCGACGAGGCGACCTAGAGCGCGAACTACGCCTACGTCTCTTGGAAGGACCATGTTCGTCACTCGAGAAGGACGAGTATGATTCAGATGAACGACTGCGTCGACGATGTCTACGCTCCTACAGCTGATAATAGTTTCCACTTTGAAGGTCAAAACAATGTCCTTCTAGGTGAGGTGATAGGAGAATGACGCACAGCTCGGTTAGACGCCCGCTTGACAAGGAAACGTCAGGATTCACGCTGAAGAAACGGGCTTGCATATGCTCACGGAAGAATCTCTAGTATGATGCTCGGATGCATCCTTGGGATGCCGTTCTCGACCTCTCATGTCATGATCACTGCGGTCGCCGTCCGAAGCTCTCTCCAACGCATATCTGTGGTGACTGCTTTCACTTCGTTGTCGGTGTCGAGAGCGCCTAGCATGACCTGTGTCATTGGATGAATAATGTCGTCTCTCCTTTTCTCTTCTTGGAGACCTGGAGCGGGAGCGTTCTTTGATCGCGTAACATTGCCAAGTAAATAGTGTCGAGGGTCATGCACAAGGGTTCGTCAGGTCGGATGTAAGCACTTGTCGTCGGTCTGACCCACGAATCGACTCACCATGGGTACGATACTCCTTACTACGGTGCTCGTCATAACGGTGTTGATGCATCGTGGCAGTGGTGGCGAAAAGAACAGAACAGGAAAATATATTGGTAGACGCAAGCTCGAGTAAACAATAGCAAATTACTATTACTAACGGCTCGAAGCAACGACGGGTCCTGAATCCTAATTGATAAAATTATGAATGAAGCTTTGAAGCTCGCTGCATGAGTCTTCAGTTTATGTGGACCCAAAATTCAACAGGACGCACTTCTAAATTCTGACTTAAATCCACAAAAAGGAATGACCACCGCAGGGGTCGAACCTGCAATCTCCTGATTAGCTAAACTGTACAATCTTGTCGTAGTCAGGCGCGATGCCATTTCGCCAGGCGGCCATAACTACTTTGCTATTTGCTATTATATAATCTTATAAAAATCACTAATACCTTAGACGCAGGTGGTCGCAAGGCAACTGCCCGGGCGATGGTCTCGGAGTGTGTCAGTCTTTCCGCCTCCGCCAGAAATCCGGTCCTGAAAATTGAGACGGGACTGGAATGAAGCATTTCTAGGTGGAGTGTGGAGATGTCAACCAGCAACAGAGGCTTAACAAAAAGCCTCTCGCGTTTACGAAAGCATGGACCATTTGTCATTACGACGGCGACCTTTCATTAGTCTTATCTACATATTCCGAACAGGATCTTCCCTCAAAAACGAGCGGTGTCGAGCGCTCGGTATTTCTCTGATTCCTCGTTCCAAGGCAGGATCGGAAGCATTGAAATTGCTTAGCCATTACCCCAAAACAAACCTATCTTCTCTCTCAAAGATTTCGCCTTTCATCCAAATGGTTAGATGACCAATTTCTCAGATTTCACGACAAAATGATGCAAGACGGTCAACAACGATCCAGGGCCATCTCTAGCAAAAGGGTTCACCTCAGTTTGAGAAGCACCTTTGCCTCCACCCAAGATCCTGCTGGCAGTGACTTCACCTTCAGTTTCGACAACGTTAACTCCATACCACAGTAGCTGGGGCAGCCCCTGGAAACGTATGTGTGTAACGGTCAGAGTAACGATACATTGCAATGAAAGGTCGTAACAACAAGCGCGAGAGAACCGTGACGAAGGTTTCTAAGAGTCCTGACTCAATGCCAATCTCCTATCGGCATTCTTCCCATAGGTCTTCGACGAGCTCCCATTTTATCCTCTCGACTGGCTGTGATTATCAGGTGCTTATCAACAAGCTAAAATCCAAAATGTCATTCAGACTGAGATCGGTGAAAAGCTCGGTGTGGGACGCACATCGTTCAAAATGCTAGTCGATTTAGTCAGCGAAGACAGAAAAGCTGTAATCTGAACATCTTCGTATTCCTGTTCCCATCCTACCATCAGTAATGTTAGAATATAACATGGCAGGATCTCCAACCGTATCAAATTCCTCGCGGAAACCTTTATTTTCAGTCGCAGGAAGTGAGGCTACCAGAGCTGAAATGGATCGAAGAATAGCTTGATCCTTAGGTGCCGTGCCTATATAGGAACACACACTCAATAAGAGAAAGAATTGACAAGTACCACCGAACCTGCTAAAGCCTCTGTAACATAGTGAACCAAAATGACGATTCTGTCGTGGAGCATTTTGACAGCCGCTCGCTGCGTTTGTAGATGCGATTCCACTAAGGAAGATATCAATACTGGAGAACCCACATAAAAGAATAAAGACATACAACTCGTGCCACTACCGCCACCGCGTGCAGTCCAGTCGACAGCAATCCGTTCTGCCTCACCTGTTTCTACATTGTACGACGCCTCAACGAAGACCGGACGAGACAGTCGGTCCCTAATCTCGATCGTTGGCTCATAAGCTTTGAAAGGGAGTGTTTGATTGCCATCGGAGCCGGTGGAAATGTTACTGGAAGACTGGAGGAGGAGAAGGAGAGGCGTCGAGCAGTATCCGGTGAACTATTATCTTTTTAAGATACGCGTAGGCCGAAAGATTGAGTCACATACTTGTGAATGAAGTGCGATATGACGTGAAGATGGCCCAGGAGCCACTGTATACCAGCCAATGAATTCCAAGGATGGAAAGACTTGCTTGTCTATACAACGCCACACATTTAGTCAACGATACATTCGGTTAGACGAAGCTCACACACACTGGTCGCGCCGCGATACTAAGAAAGAATGATCCACTGTAGCACCATCCTCTTCCACAGCCAATTCAAAGGTATTAACGATCTCCACATCTCTCCCGTTTTGAGTGCCCAGCAAGGCTCCAAGAACTGCAACGCAGTTCGAGTATCTGCTTCGCCACATTGAGTTCAGACATACGACTCACTGAACGGAGTAGAGGTGTTTGTTTGTAGTTTCCGTCGCGTCAAATGTTCAGAGATATTCAGAATCGGAAGAGGATGCCTAACAGACAAGGTCAATGATTGAAAGAGTAAGTGCAGGCCGCCTTTACAAAGATATCGATAGGCCCGATGTCGTTGTAGATGGAAGTACTACAGAGATTTCGTCTGTATCCATGGCGCTCATCGTCGTCAATGATAATGAGGGTTCGATAGAAGTAAGTGAGACGCGAGACTACATCATGTTTGGACCTATAATGTGATAGATAGAGTAGCTGATAATAGGATAAATTCGTATGGCCCGCCTAGCTCAATAGGATAGAGCGTCAGACTCTTATGATCATTAGGCGGATCTGAAGGCTGCGAGTTCGACCCTCGCGGTGGGCTAGTCAATTTTTTGGAGTTGGAACATCTGGATTAGGGCTGGCAGCTGCGTTAGGGTTGCGCACGAAACCTCCAGGGGGGAGTAAGTAACTGTTTGTTACTGACCCCACCCCAGGGGGTTGGTTTTGCTACGGTAAGTTACCGTTACTTACCTGATCACGTGCATTATCACATGACTGACACGCCGGAATTCCTGAAATTTTCCAAAACCCTTGTTTTCGTGTTTTTATAGATTTTCTTGATACAATGAAAGGTAATTTATTTGCAAAGAGCACTCATCTATCAATATGCGCTCTGAATTGAAATATACATGGAATAGTACCAAATGATTCTGTGCAACTACCCGTCATGTAACAGTAACAGGTAAGTTACCGGTAATAAACCCAAGTGTATCGAAACCTAGGTTTCGTGCACTACCCTAAGCTGCGTAGCAATCACAGATTCTTTTTTCCAAAATTTATCTTCGTGTTTTGGGATATCTTCTTGACCTAGTGAGCTGTAATACAATTGGAATGAATACACATTGAATTATGATTGTCTTTGTGAACAAAATGCATATACAGCACTGAGTGATGGTGAATTATTTTGCTGAACTGGCCATCATACAATGACGGGTAAGTTACCTCGATGAAAATCCATCCGACGAGGGGAGGTAAGTTACCTGTAACTAACTGATAACTTACCGGTCCGAAACCCTACTCCTGCTTTGCGACTTCCATCAATAGCTGGCAGTGGATTTCTGTTGAGGTGGAAATTGCTTTCAAACCTCATTATTCATGTTATAGCTGCCGCAGCAGCCTCGGGATCGCTTACAAGGAGTTTGAGGCGAAAATGTGAATCGATCCAAGCATTCCGTTGAAAAGAGCTTCCAACAGGCTGAGTGAGGTATTTTACTCGGGCTAGTACATTGCCGTCGCAAGACACCGCTATAATAAAATCCCTATTTTGCATGTACTACACGTTCACCGAAGTCTCAATCAATTCTCAGATTATGGCTCACAAGGCCTCAGTGCCAGTGCATTTCTCGTTGGTGCCTCTGATCAACAGTGGCCACCATCACATCACCTGAGTAGACCATATAAATGACTGGGACCTTGTTCCATAGAGGGCCATGTCAATTAATGACAGCAGTGCGATACAGACAACATAAACAGTACACAAGAAATAAATTAACCATACATCTGATCTGGTGAAGCTGCAGGGAGTAGGTTACACTCCGACTCTGCAGGAAATTGATCAGCATAAGTAATGAAGTAGAATATTACTGCGCACCTATGGACAACCTTTTTCTGTGAACACAAAGTATCATGTTAAACCCGATATAAATTTTAATGTTCGACACCCACCTGTCCGGAAAACCGAATCACCTCACGCTTTTCTAGGATATACAACGTCCTCTCGAGTGCATGGCTAGAGTACCCTTGCTGCGTGACGAACTCCTTGATGAGACTCTGATAGCTAGTTCGCCACCCGACGGGTAGACGTCTCCTCAGCTCCTTCTCTATGCGCGTCATCTCTTCATTCAGACCTCCTCGCGAAAGGCCATCGGCAGAACCTGCTGATACAGCGTCCATGGTGGAAAACTTGAACAGACGGATAGCCTCCTCTACGTGATGGTTCTGCACAACAGGTGCGAGCGTCATCTTCGCCAAAGACTCCGATATACGGATTATTGCTTCGAGTTGACGAACGGTGATAGGTATTGAGCTTCGCTCGTCATTATCCTGCTCCACCTGCTGGACCTGTTTCCGTAGACTAACAAAATGACTGCTGAGCATCTCTTGGGCTTCGGGAGATAGTCGGGGTGCGCATTTCCTGTAAAGGTTTCAATGATAACAAAGATACGCAGACAGAATATCTCACTGTTTGCAGTAGGCAATATATCGTTTCATTTTGTCCAAAGGTAATTCTCCTTCACCATTCTCGTCCGTGAGCTGGTTAGGTCTGTTCATATGAACATTCAGGACGTGTTTAGCGATCGTCTGAGGAACCATGATTGAGAACTGGATAGATCACTGTAGAATTTGAGCAAACCTTATCTCGTGTCTCGTCATGCTCGTCCTTCACGATAAAGATCATATCGAATCGAGAAAGGATGGTAGTTTGAAAATCAATGTTCTACCAAGAAAAATTCCAGCGCGATCTCATGCAGGGGGGGAGAAACGCACCTCGCCAGGACTCCGTCCTTCGTCATAGCGACCAAAGACTGGATTAGCCGCCGCAAGGACACTGGTACGCGTGTTTAGTACCGTGATGATTCCCGCCTTGGCAATAGATATTGTTTGCTGCTCCATGGCTTCGTGAATTGCAACGCGATCTTCGTCCCGCATCTTGTCAAACTCGTCTATACACACAACGCCTGTGTCAGCAAGAACCATGGCACCTCCTTCAAGATAAAATTCCCTCTACACAGCCATTACCCTATTAGCCGTATGTGAAAATAGAGTTAGGTACACACCGAAACTGTATCTCGTTGTACTGACGCCGTCAGACCAGCAGCACTAGAGCCCTTTCCAGATGTGTACACAGCGATGGGTGCCACCTTTTCTACGAACTTGAGCAGTTGACTCTTTGCCGTACCAGGATCACCGAGAAGCAAGACGTTTATATCGCCACGAAGGCGCATGCCATCAGGTAGGACTTTCTTCGATCCTCCGAATAAGAGGCAAGTAATAGCTTTCTTGATGTCTGTCGTGACATCAGTATCTAAGAGCTTTTAAGAGTGAAAGTCACTACATACCAAGACTCCCATAGATACTGGGTCCAACGCTCTTAGCAAATCGTTCATAGAAACCTTCACTCCGCGCCATTTCATTGAATTCCTCTTCCTCCTCTGGGGTGAATTGTACACCAAACGGGTTGGAACCACCTGAACCAGCGGCAGAAGGGGAGGACATTTCGAGGTGGACGACGCGGAGGTATGGCTTGCGAGTAGCTGCGGCACCGGCAGATTTCTAGCATGGTGTTAGCAACCATCCATATGCAAGGAGTCAAAAGCTCACATCCCGTGCAGCTTGGAAGGTCGAATATATGCCGGTTACAATGACTCTCGAGCCCGGCACAACTTGCCCCGTCAGATATCTGTCCGCAGAGAGGAGCATATGCTTCGGTAGGTCACCCACGGGTACCATGTCCGGCGCCTCTTGAAGTTTCAGTGTCTGCTGATCAGCAAAGGTAGACTTTGAGTGGATGATGAGATATGGATCCAATGGGCAGTCTTTCTTCTGTCCGTCGAGTGGAGGCTCTTCGCACCTCCGAGGCAATCCAGATCCTGTTCCGTACCCAAGGCCTCCAATTCCTCCTGGTGGGTATATCGTCTTTACAGAACGACATGCGCGACACTGGATGTGTAGCTTCGTCGCTCTGGATGAAAGGACAGATGCTGAAATGACTATTCCTGGGACCCTTACGAGTTTGTTAATAGTATTAGCGGTAAGATCACGGAATTGGAGAAGATTGAGGCCCGAGCGGAGAGTTATCTGGACTTTGTCAATGGATTCGGCGACTGCATTGACGGCTTCATCAGTGCCAGCGAGGGGATAGAGGATGGTTTTGGCGGCGCGAGTAGCAGCATTTTCAAACTACAAGGGTTCAGCGTGGATCAAAGACAGAAGGATACCACGTACTAGTGGCAAGACATCCGCTGGTCTATCCTGAATCGCGTGTGCCAGCTCGTCATTGTAGAGGCTGACGTGCCTAAGGTCAACCTCCAGAACATTCTGCTTCAGAAGGAGATTTCCGCGAAGCATGTCTCTGCATGACTGTGAATCTCCAAAAAGTTCGGAATACAGCACTGGCTGGCGCACCTATAGATGAATTCTCCTCCCACGCGATACTGCAGCAAAAAGTCCAATAGCAGCTTCTCCGTCTCAGAAGCCGACTCTGGCGCGGTCGGTGGTGGCGGGTCATGAACGGAGACATTGTAGACATTGTTCGCGTCAAAGCCGGACATGATGGAGGTGAGTAACCAACTAAGGAATGAAAACTAATGCGGCTCAGAATGAGCTTTAGGGCAGGTCATTTCGCGAGATGCTTATGTCAGCATCAAGCCACTTCATGCATGGTCACTTCTTGTCTTCGAACCCAGCCCTTAGATATCCTTGATTCCCTCAATGTCTACAATTTAGCATCTCCGATTGTGTGGGATACATATTAGATATCTATTGATGCATTGAAGCCTAAATGTCTCGCTTCGGATGGTCTTCCAGATTTCACCTAGGACTTGGTATATTCGATTCGTGACAACGGACATGCAGATCATCCAGCAATCATCGCTCTGTCTCTCAAGAGCTCAGGCTCACTCCTCGGTCACTTTCCAGCTCTTTGGGACTGTGAAGCTGCCTCTTGGCAATGAATAGAACTGCACGCCCCTGTGCTGGTACTCCCTCCTCCAGCCTCTAGAGAGCGCCGTCCATGAATACCTCGTCATCGTCTTTCATTACTTTCAGCATATCCGTGCTATAACTCCCCACTTACTGCACTTTCCACTCTTTGTCCACAACCAAAAATCCTTGGACTACGAAGTTAAATTGCTCAACAATGCAACTCTGTGTCGACGCTGAATATGATCTTTATTTCCTCTTCGTCGAATACATGCTTATCTCCTCCAATACGTCTCGTGGATATAGTCCAGCAGGCACGCAGGAAGAGCTTATCCCTGGGGCTTGCCCCGAATTATTTCCTTGCAAGAGACATTATCTCAAAAAGTCTATGGAAGGGCTAACGACGCAAGGCATGCCTTATTAAGCTTCTCAATGACGATGAAGAGTCTAAGAATTGAACGTGACAGACAACATATCTTGCCATCGTCTCTGATCTCATGCCCGAGAACTCCTTACGCCAGGTGCACAAGGTGCACATTGGGTCCACTTCCCTTCCGGCCGACGCGAAGGAGATTTATGCCCACTTTGGAGAACTGGGGCATTTTGTTGGCGATCCAGTAGCGAAGGCAATTGTCATGGCCATGGTTGGTGCACTGTCCGGGGTGACGGTGAAGATCTACGTTGGTGATACACGTACAATTTCAGATGGGGTGTATGAGACGCGGAATCTCGCGAAAAGTCTTTTCACAGTGATCGACTCTTCGTGTCGCAAGATGGCAGCCAAGGAAGTGTGGGCATGCCTAAGTGGGCCTGATGCATCAAGTTCGGTTTCAATTCTTGAATTGCTTCGAGCCAAGAATGGTGAACTAGGTTTAGTACTAAGCATTTACGATCTCTCATGTCCGGGTGAACATACGCAAGTCGTGCGGTATGATTGATGCCGGTGACGGCGATCGTCGATCGATCTCTGGTTTACTTCAAACATAGACATATAAGGAATAGATTACTTTAACATTCACTGGCCCGCCTAGCTCAATCGGATAGAGCGTCAGACTTTTACGGCGGAGTTACTAAGCTGATATTAAATCTGAAGGCTGCGAGTTCGATCCCTCGCGGTGGGCTAGTGTATCCTTTTTCGCTATTCCATGGATCAGGAGTTGGACCGTCGAGCATCTTTGAAGTTTGGCCTTCTATTAATTGATCATTGACCTTGTTACCAGGGATCAGTATTATGAAGAATTACCAAAATACTTGTTCTGAATTTTGGTAATGAGCACCAAATACTTACGGATGTAACACTATCACAGCCGCAAGACAGGTAAGGGTCCTTGAAAGCCCTTTAGAATTCGCTGAGGTGTGGCAGTTTACCGGACCGAATTCCGGGTCTTGCTAGATTTCGGAGTTTACGCTGATTGTATCTAAGTATGTTGCGCAGTCAACCGCCGAGCGGTGTTATGTCAACCTTTCAAGCCAACCCATGTTTTTCGGGATTCTCCTACAGCGCCTGTACTTACCAGTGAATAGTAGGTCAAAAATCTGGCGTAGACCCTCATATACTTCCTTTGTTTACTCTGTATATCTGGGGGGGGGATATCTTATTATCGCTTTCCGCCCGAAAGATAACATACGCCACTCGGAGCGACGTTTGGACGGTAAATATCCGGTCGGAGGTCTAGCCATGAGTTCATGGTGACTTTTTAGGACTGTCCGGTTCAAAAAGTCCGGTAAGCGCACAAAGCCTGTCATTTTTCTCGGTGTCAAGGGAGACCTAGCCCAAGACCTGAATATTCACGGTCGTCGCGATTTTCGGCATGGTATTGAGGCGGCAGCCTACGTTGCTATGGCGGGGACTGTCAGATGCGGTCACAGACGGCAGCGATGTGCATGTTACGCTACATTTTGGGTCCTGTTCGAACGGTAAGGTACACTTGCCGAGGAAAAAAAATAGAGGTTCTACTGAGGGACGGAAAATCAGTTTCAATTACATATGTGGCGTGACTGAGTGATAGTAGGAGATTGGGTCCTCTCCTGGTCGTGCCGCCTTTACCCTTGTCAAAAAGTCAACTCAGTAGCCCACCGCGAGGGTCGAACTCGCAGCCTTCAGATCTGTTACCGCCGCCTTGAACAACTTAAGAGTCTGACGCTCTATCCGATTGAGCTAGGCGGGCCGTGATAATCGGTCCAGAGCGCGGGATCAGGGGAGGACGCGAATCACTTCAGGAACCGGCATCTCAGCAGTGAAGTACCCCGGCCAAAAGAACCCAGCCAAGAACAGTATGACATCCGGGCCTCAGCTGAAAAGAAAAGGCTTGACTGGCACTTATAGTGAATGCGACATGGCGGATGCGAGCTGGCGGTCGGATATATGGCCGCCGAGCCGGTGCGAACTATCGGACACCCGGTCAAACTAAGGGTAAGAAAAGAAAAAGACAGAGGCCAAAAAGACGAGAGAGCAGCCTCAATAAGCACTGGAAAAGACGAGGTAAGCGCTGAGATCGCAGCAACACGCAGTAAAAGGATGGACGAGAATAGGTAGAAACACGGGCAGTGCGAGTAGACGTGAGAGAGATGACTAAGCAAAAGCGCAGCAGTCATATTTGGCAATGACATTTCATAGATTGTTAGCTTTCGACCCCCACCACGTCCGCAGCAACGATGGCCTCCGCCTTTACTTTCGACAACTTTGACTATTCCAAGCCCAATACCCAACAGGGCCTTGATTTCCTATCCTTTGCAGCGCCCTTGGACGTTGTAGCACCTCATCCTGATCTCTTTGAGAGCGAGCTTGACTCGAGTCTCGCTGGAATCGACCAGGCGCAGCTGCAGCTGCTCACCGTCGACTCGAACGACGCCTACTCGTTTTTGCGATCGGACACGCCTACACGGGGCCCCCCTTCTGCAATCACAGAGAGCTCAGCACGGAGCTCAGCCTATGAGAGCTCCTACGACTCTGCATATGAGTACCCTGCCTCCAACTACTCCTTTCCCCTAGACCTTGAGATGGACTTTCAACGAATCAGAGTCGATGCTCTCAGCGACTATTCTCCTGCCAATGTCGACCCCACCTCCTTTGGCTCCTTGCCGCCAACCCCACCTCTTTCGCCGCCCTCTGCGGCTGCGAAGCAGTACGTAGCTCGCACTAGCTACTCTGACTACGGTCCGCCGTCCAGGTCGGCCGGCTACTACTACAGTATGGGCCAGGCCACCGTGTCGCCGTCGCATGTCTCGACGCAGCTTCCGGTGGTGCCCAATGTCCCTCCCATCCGCGTCGATGATCACAAACAGGACCCGCGCAAAAAGTATCAATGCCCTTCGTGTCCAAGAGGCAAGTGTCTTTCTCTTCGCTTTTTCTATTACTAACTCTTTCTCTCTGCAGCTTTTGCGAGGGCCTATAACCTCAAAACTCATATGGCCACCCATGATCCCAATCGTCTTAAGCCACACGTCTGTCCTCACCGTTCGTGCGGGCGCTCCTTCTCCAGGAAGCACGATCTCGGTCGTCACATCATTTCTATCCATCGCGACGAGTCTGTCGCCAGCTCCCACCACTCCAACTCGTCCAAAAATTCCATCGGCGTTGAGCAGGGAAATCGTTCCTGGTGTGACGTCTGTGGCAAGGGCGCAGTTGGCCGCAGCGCCCAATGCGACTGCGCGGAGATCAAGTAAAGCTTTAAATAATGATCCCGTCTAATTCTATGTGTGTGTCCTCTCCCCTCTGTTTGTTACCATGTTCCTCATCTTACCCCAGCCTTGGCTTGTCCAACCCCCATGTCGTCTGACATCCTGCACGCCCTGCGCTTTTCGACTGAACCAATCTTCGTACCGCCTCATGGCCCAGTGACGGACTTGGTCTCGAATTGATTTTAAATCACTTATTCCGCATAGTATCTAAATATAATCTTCCGGAAATTTCTCTGCTCGCTTAGTTTTTTTTTCCTCCGTCTTCAGACTGTAATTACAAATGGTCATTATGAATAACACGTTGCTCCCGCTCTTGTGCCTCGTCCTGCGAGTATCACTTGTTTCAGTCCTGTAGGTGTCGGTAGGTGCATGTCAGGCTTTACCTTCTGCATGCTTCTCTTCTGTCTTGGCGAGGGTGGAAACATGTCTCGTCTCTTCACATCGAATCCAACACTAAAACATGCTTAGTACAATACAATCGATGCACGGCCAACTAAAGTCCAGACACGCGGTGCCCGGTCGGAATTTCACGTCAGGCCGCCCCAGGACACGACGGCATATGAATTAGCGACCAGGACTACTGCCCATATTCCATACGCCACGACGGCCAAGATCCACCCGTTGCTATGGTCTTGTCCGCCCTCTACGCGCATGACGCGCCTCGAGGACGTCAGCCAGATGAGTGGGAACGCCACGAACGGCAGGACGACGCTCAGGATTACCTGGGAAATGACGAGGAGGCTGTCAATACCTGCACGGCCCACAGCAATGGCAACAACCACTGAGGGCACCAAAGCGAGCGCGCGAGTAAGCAGACGCCGAAGGAAAGGCGACATACGCCAGTTGATGAACCCTTGCGAGACGATCTGGCCCGCAAGAGTAGCTGTTATCCCCGATGTTTGTCCTGCCAAAATCAAGGCAAGGGCAAATACGAAGGCGGCGCCTAGGTTTTAGGAATTAGGCACCAATGTTTTATTTAATTCAAACTGCATGAATAACACACCCTTGCCGATCCTCGCTTTTATCAAATCGTGTGCGTCAAAGAGGCCGGCTACGGTGATATCATCCCCATCCGCGTCTGGCTCGTCGGAGTCAGAATAGAATACCGTAGCGGCCATAATCAAAATGCTAAGCCACCTCATTAGCTCAATCGCTTGTAGAAATCATATTTGAAAGAGACGTACGCCGAATTAATCGGGACAGCTAGAAATAGTAGACTTGAAACAACGTCCACTATTTCGTGCTTGAGGTGCTGTCGTATGAATGTCGGAGAGTGGTTTTCCCTCTTCGTCTCAACGACGGCGATGTCTGTGTCCGTGGTAGACACTGTGAATAGCTCTTTAATCCCCTTCTTAACGCGTGAAGAGAGATTGAATAAAGGGAGTTCGGGTTCAGCGGCCTGATCTGTACGGGGAATCTGCGCGTGCCGGTCTTGAGTCGCCATGAATGAGCCTAGAAAGAGTGCGTGGGGCATCACTGTTGCACCCAGAATTCCTACGGCTGATTTCATGGTTAGTCCAAGAAAAAGCGGCGACAAATTTATATACCTGAGTAGACGGCATCAGGGTCGGATCTGAAGAGTTCCTTGGAAGGTATATATCCCATAAACACTCTCGGCCAATTAGGCTTAACTTTAACAATGAGCACAACGAAGCATGCGAACACCGACATGACCAGAATGATCACGACCACTTCGAAGAATCGACTATGCTTGTGGGTGGGGTCAGAGATAAGGAGAAAGACAAAGACATCAAGAGCCGTGATCACCACTCCAGCCCAGAGCGGGAGAGATGGAAAGATGAGGCAAATTCCAATGGCTGATCCTAAGAGCTCTGCAAGGTCAGTGGCGATAATGGCTACCTCGGAGAGAACGTATAGAGGGTAGAGAACTAGGCGTCGTACAAGAAGAGGGTGCTTAGGATGGTCATGCAAGAGGTTACGACAGTGGGCTGCCAGGTCAAGGCCTGTTACGCATCCCAGCTTACAGGAAAGCGTCTAAAGACCAGCATCAATTGCCAGACTCTTTTACGATGAAAGAGGCAGCACTTGTAGGACAATAGCTCCCAAACCGGCCATGAGAATGACGAACAACATCGGCCTGTAGCCAAAACTCGATCCTGCCTGGAGATCAACGCTCCAATTTCCACTGGAACACGTCAGCAGGGAGCAAGAATAAAGAGAACAAAACACTCACGGATCGAAATAAGCTACAGCACATACTATACCTATGCCTACGTGTGTTTTGACATGGCATAGTACGGTCTGCCAGAAACGAAGAAACTGCAGTAAAGGCATCAAAGAACAAGTAAGCAACAAGGGAAGCACAAGGCATAGCAACGAGCCCAAGTAGATAATATAAGTAAAAAAGCAACCCAGCATAGTGGAACAGCACAGAGGAACCCGACTTGAGGGTATTACCGGCAGACCGGATCGACGTGAAAGCAGAAGGACGCGCTTCCTAATTGGGACAGCCATGGACATCAATGACCTCCATCCCCCGGACGACTACAGCCATCGTTTCTTCATCTGGCACGAATGGATACAGGTCCGCCTGTGCTCGCTCTGCCTATATCTCGCTGAGTCTCGCGACAGGCTAATGGACCGCTCACCAGCGAGAATGTCTTTGAATATTTCACCACGTCAATGTTTTACGACAAGCAGAGCAACAACCAAGTTCTGCGCATGCAGACGATGCATACTGGCGTGGCCGTTATGAATGAGGCTGAGGAACTCAAGTACGTGATGCGACTGTAATATCGGTGGCATACACTAAGGCGTCTTCTGCAGACGGTTCACTGGCGTCGAGTTCGCTGTCGTTCACGCTCAGCCGCCTTCGTTTTTCATTATACATAAGCGTGAAAGGCTTTCACCTGAAGAAGGTGCGTTGTTAGGCATTCTTCTTAGTGCCTAGCTGACACTTCTCAGTGATACCGTTGTCGGCGTATTTTATCATTAACAACCGAATTTACCAATCGCCTGACCTATACACCGTATTATCGAACCGATTGGTTGGTTATCTCCCCTTCCTTGTGCAACAGTTGTTAAACATCTACAGCTGACCTCCTTGACCTCGTTACAAACATCCCTGGACATTCTCCGTTCCCACCGTCCGGATTATACGCCCCGAACAGGTTTTGTCTGGCCAATCACGGATCCCTCACTCGACGAGGCAGCAAAGAAACCTGCTGCGGATGACCTCACGGGCGCGAATACACCTATGCCTGACGACAACACCAATTCTGCAGATGGGAACGGAAAACGTCAGCAAAATACTATGCTTCTCTTTAATGCAATGCGGGCAACGGCTCTTCATTCCAGCTCGGCGGTCTCCTCGAGTGCCTTTGCTCAAATGGCTAATAGCTCCGTGCCTCCGACAGATATCCAAGTTCATACTCAAGCTCAGGTGCAGACGCCAGCTGCTGGTACCCAAGCTTCGACGGCTCCTTCTCAGGCATCTACACCTGCCCCACCTCCTCAGGAACCCCCTGGAAGAGGACCGCCTGGTGGGGGAAAGAAAAAACGGAAACGTATGTCTTGCTGCGGCATCTTTGTATTGATTGTCTGATAAGATTCGACAGGAACATTGTTGCCTGTTCCCGCGGATAGAAGCTAGGCCGGGCCTGTATATGTACATTCCACCATGGGCTCCATATATTATACACATGCGATGTTGGTAGCACTTCCAAAATGATGTATAGCCTCACAGTTTGTCTTTATCGGACCCCCGTTCCTGTCAGCCTACCGATCCAATCCAGAGGTGTTTTCCCTCGAGAGCCAATGGAGCCTACGCCAAGTGAAAGAGGATTCGCAGACGCAAATGAATCCTTCCGTGCTTTTGCCATACTTTGCACTGCCAAGCTTGGCATGAGAACAAACCAAGTAAGAGCGAGATATTTCGCACCAGCACGATCAATTTCGTCAACATTCGTCTCAAGCACAACGCCACCCTGGATGATCTCTGCGAGAATGTGGTGTGCCTGCAACGGTATCGAAGGACGAGGAAATGCCAGGTGATGACAGGACATACCTCATCAAAGTGGAACACAAGGTCCAGTTCGCATACATTCTCAAATGTTCGGTCAAGCGATTCCACAAATACCTGGCACGGCATTCATTCAGCTACCCAACAACATCTTGCAGACGCACCTGTATCAAATCCAATATCCCCAGCTCACTCTCTGCGCCGTCGACGACGAACACAAAGTACAGTGTCGCGTAATTCCGGTACACCACCCGCCAGCGCTCGTCTTCGCCGTGTTTGGGGCCGAGAAATGCCTCAAGCTCTGGAGCATCAAGAAAGTTGCAGAGACCAGACGGCCGGGAACATATGAGCTGGAATATCTTTTGAATGACGGTCTGCGAAGACTGGTGAAGGGGCGTGTAGAACTTGGACAGTCTGGGTACACCGGACGTGTTGACTGATGTCCGTCATTGAGAAGTTGTAGAAAATAAACTGTGCGACATACATATTAGGACAGCATGGATCATCGTAAAGGTGCAAAGACACGTGCTACTACTTTAGGCAACTACGATTCATCTCTCGGAAGAGTCCATCCGGGCTGTAACCGTCCAGCAAGGTTACTGACAGGACCAGACAGTCCCGCTTGGCTCTTGAAACTTTCCAAAAAGTTCTTAATCAGATTGTAATCCGTCGGTTCTTCCTCGTCGTCATCGTCTCTACCCTCCAGAGCTGCCTTGAGCTCAGCCTCCATGGCCGCTTCAATATCATCATCTTCGTTTTCAAAAGTGGTTTCCTCCTTTCCTTTTCCCTTATCTGATTGACTAGTGGTGCTTCCACTCCGTTTTGCGGTGCGTGTCCGAGCAAGTTCCGCATCCATCGCTTTCATGACCGCTTCGAAGGAGTCAAGGTTTGGATTAACGTTCGGGCGTGCCCCAGGCTCCGGATTCCGTTCAGTGCCTCCATTTGTCGGTGGCCGGAAGGGAGACGTAGTTAAGATATTTTTCGGCACAAACGCTGCACTCATGAGCCAGAAATTTTCAAAATGAAAGAGAATCATACCTCCTCGATCTTTGCGATCTTTGACAATATCGCTCCATTGCTCATCGCTGATTCCAAGAGCCTGTCGAGAGAATTCAAGAAATTCTTCTTCCTCCTCTCCCATGTCAACCTCGATGTCTCCGACAACTTGAGGTCGGTCTTCTTCATCTTCAGAATCCATTTCAGCACCTTCCTCGTCGCTTTCGTCATCTGAATCAACACCGTCGTACTTGTCACGAGGTAAAATAGGCGGCCTCAATAGTTTTCCAGGATGCTCTGTGTTAGATGCGGCTTTATCTTCATCTGTCTTCTTTTCGGTATCATTTGTTACATCCATAGGCCCGACCTTTTGAGAGTTACTGTGGAATGATGCCGGCATTTGACCGTACTCAGAAGGATCTAGCCCGGGAACAAGCTTGTCCATGTCTGCTTGCCGCTTGGCGGGATCTTCTTTGTCTTCGTCATCCGAATTCGTAGACATGGATCCATCGCTGAATTCTTCGTCGGAAAAGTCCTCACTAGACATTCTGCTCAGTCAAGGGAATGAGAAATAAAGGCAGGAACAAACTCTTCAAACTTGGCACCCTCCATATCCCCTTCACCTTCAACGAATTCTTCGACTTTGGAAGCCAAATCTTTAAGCCTTGAAGCCTGATCGGAGGCTATCTTATCCTCAGGCACTTCACCTGACTTATCAACGTCCATGGCATCGGGGTTTTGAGTTTTTGATGATTTCTGCAGCAAGTCATCGAAGTCTTGTGCATCAATGGTGAGCCACTCATCGTTGTCTTCTTCCGCCGTGACATAGCTCACCGAATCGCGAGCCTGTGAGATCGCATTTGTCACAAGGGATGCAAACGATTGTCGTGTATGATCACTATGCATGAGATAAGAGGTTCATTCAGGGTTATAAAGATAGCAAACGCACTCCTGTTTACGCACATCCACGAAAATCTCTGCAGCTTTGTCCTCTAGACTATTCCAGAGCTGAGACCCTTCAGGTTCACCTCTAAAATATCCTGCAGACACCAAGTTTTGTATATACTTGACGTACTCAGGATCACGCCGCAAAGCGTCTTTTTTTGCAGCAATCTATAACTGAGGTCAAGACTTGGTCCAAAACACACCCAGCAACTCACAGATGCTGATAAACCCTCAGCAGTGTCATTGGTCGCTGTCCATCGTCCCTTACTTTCTTGAAATAGTATCTCAAAGCCAACGGCCTGCATATGGTCAGACCATAAAACGCAATTGAACTTTAAAAAACGCTCACAATTTTCATTCCTGTATCTTTCCATCGCCATTCCTTAGACCCTTCATTTTCTAACCATCGACCGAAAACCTTGGGAGGAAAGAATTTCTGCCCAGTTAATTGCGCATAAGCCGTTCTTGTCATTTTAACGGTCGACAGTACTGAGGTACTAGGAGGAAACCGCGACATTTTGTGAGCTTCCTACATTGGAATTTTTGAAATTGACTGACTGACAAGTCAAAGATAACTTACCCGGAGTTGAATTCCATCTCGGGTGTAAAATGCCTCTACAGCCTTCTGGACTAGAGGCGGGTTGACAGCTAGTGCTTTCGCAATATCAACTGGAAGATGGGCCTTAGTGACATGAACATGTCTTCGAATAGCTTCTGGATACCTGAGGGAAGATAAGTATAGTGAAATCATTGAAAAGTAAACATACTGTGAGATCCTATCCCAGACAAGATTTTCGACTGCCATAGAGGCCCTTGTATCGACAGACGGGTCTCTGACGAGTTTTAACGCGTCTTCGACATCAATAAAGTCATCTTCATCTGCGTCTTCATCCCGAGCGACGTAGTCATTCTCATCGTTGTCTTTAGAAGCTGATATCTTCCGACGCCGACGCTTTCTAGATGGTGGGGATACGTGTGAGAGCGGTATGAGATGCAGGTGGGAATTATAGATCCAGACCTGGAAAATGATTACGGTAAAGCGAGAAGGACATTATGGGAAGAGCGCACCCTGTTTTCAGAATTGGATGGTGTGACCCAGGACGGCAGCGCGTCCGCTGCCTCGATCAATAAAAATTCCCCGTCTGTATCCCAGACGCTTGAAATGAGTGTCAGTGGACGCGCTCGCATTCTGGAATTACCACATACCTGATAACAACGTCCCATTTGCTCGATATCTCCTTCAATAACCAGACGGTACACCATTCATCATCTACAGAGTCTCCAACCCTCATTCTGCCTTCCAGCATCCACTGGCCCTCAAAATCTGGGTTCGGGACCAATTTCAGCTCAAAGGCGTCGCGATGCCAGATAAAGCCGGGCAGCAGGGAGTCGACATAGGTGCGCATGCATGTAGCAAAAGTGGTCACCGAAGGCTTGTCCGACAGAGATGGAGGTAAGTATAGCGCATATTGTAGGGTGTCCTCTGATATTGCCGGTGGTCGGTTGAAGATATCCATGGACGACATTGCGAGCAAGTCCTAATTACCGAGGAAGTCTGAGCATCACTGAAATACGGCGGCTGGCATAGAGATACAGGCACAAACAAACTAGCCCCTTTCTTGCATACGGTCACCGTCAGACGCGCACAGTGACTACGATTATGGCGACGACAACATCCTTCAAGGACCGGAATCTGATTGCAGTTATCGGAGACGAGGTGCAACACTATCTCTTTTTCAGGTCTGAATACTCTTGACCATGTTTGTAGGACTCCATTACTGGTTTACTTCTCGCTGGCATTGGGCATATAAACGATAAACAGAAGAAGAACTTTCTGATCGTTGATTCCAGTCAGCCACTCTCATAAATTTCTGGATCTCATCTCTAAAGGCAGCTGCAGAAACACAGGTGTCAACTATCGAAGCTGCCTTTCAGGATTTCACGGAACGGAAAGACATCGCCATTCTGCTAATAAACCAACACGTGCGAACCCCGATCTCTATTCTACTTGAGGCTTGCCACTTATGCTTTTCAGATTGCTGAGAAAATACGGCCAACAGTTGACAAATACCAACAGGCATTCCCGGCACTCCTGGAAATACCCTCCAAAGATCATCCTTATGGTGAGCATCTTATCGGCCCGTTCGGATTTTCCAGCTGAATATAGTATCAGACCCATCCAAAGATTCGGTCCTCAAACGTGTTCAGAAACTCTTTGGAGAGTAATTGTTGTGATACCCATATACATGGACTTGGATGCATTATAATGATACAGTTAGTTCTTCAACGCCCCAACCGCTTGCTAGAATTCCAGACCAAAATCGGGAACATTCATGCATACCACCGCTTGACAGGTTCATGCTCTCTTACGCCCCCAGTTCTCTCGACAAACACTCGTATCGGGTGCTGTTCTCGCGAATCTACAATCAACCGTCAGTTGTGAATTCATATTATCAGCAAAGGCAAAACATACTTGGTATATCAACCAGAATATATCTGAACACAAAATACCCGTCGTTATTCTGGAACCCAGAGTCAAGAGTTGAATGAGTGAACCGTAAATATGACCGACCATGACAAGCTCAGCATGAACCTCTCCGTCAGTGAATACCCTACCATCCGCTGGCGGCTCTGTATTCCCTCGTGACCGCCGTAAGGAAGAAAACATGCCCGCGAACTGCCACACGGTGCTCTCTTCCTTTTCCTTGGATCCAGTGTCGGCAGATGCAAAGGCTGGTTGCGATAATGGAGGTGCAGGTGCCCCAGTCAGGTACCTGAATACCCGCTTAAATTGCTCAGAAAGATATATCTTTTGATCCTTCATCCACTCGGTTGCACCGTCAATCGTCAATTCTGATATACTTGTGGAGGCATCACGTATCCAGCCGGTCACAGCTTCGTATTTTGACTCCGACTTGACCTCCCCCAGTGGACGCCCTTGCACGAAGAAATTCAAAAACATGTGTTCGCGACCGGTGGAATCGAGCATGATCTCAGAGGTGACATGGTGATTCCTATGGCGAGGTCTCCCCAAAGATGGTGGATTATTATGGAAGGTTAGTGGTCCATGAAGATATTTTGCGACCTAGTGCGGCAATGAGAACAAGATTATTCAGGAAGACATCCGTCCAACCTGAGGAGAGGCCTTCAGACGTTCGCAAGCATCATTGTGGAGCACCGTAGGTGAATTTTTTGAGAAAAGTTCAGAAGTGAGACAGTATACAAGGACAGCAGACAGTCCAGCGCCAAAAAGAATGACGGTCAAGTTGGTGGTTCGGGCCGTTGTTCTTTTCACTGTATACTGAAATAAGCAAAGGATGAATTTTTTCAGTTTTCAACCAAACGCACCTTTGCCTGTGGCACTCAACTCCGACCACTTTTTCACCTTCTCCTCGGATCCAAACGACGACTGGGAGACACCAAGCTGGAATGGGCCTGCAGACTCTGCAGGCCGTACGCGCTGTCTCCTTGTGTCGAGTGACTGAGATAGGTCTGGAGTATCGCGATGGGTCGCGTAGAACCTAGCATTGCGCCGCAAAAACGGACGAGATTTGATGCTGAACGACGGAGACACGATCACCGTTCGACAAGAATGTGAGCGAGCGAACCAGCCGCAGTAGGATATGTTCATGGTGGTTACTCCGGTAGCGGGGCAGGCATTTGCCAGAAAGACAAGAGATGGTGTCGGTAAACACCAGTAAATACACTGCTCCTCTTATCACCCACGACGTCAACATATTCATCCCTCATCGAGGACCAGCATAGGCAAATGCGGCATGCAACAATAAATACTGCATTCAATAGGTGAAACAATGGATGGTGTACACTAATCCACAGACAAATGATAAATCGATAAATATACAAATCGACATGGATTACTCGATCATCCCAAACGAAAATTCTCCTGCTTAGCTGCGCTCGCCACGGAGACGACGCGCCAAAGCCAAGTCCTTGGGTTGGATAGTCACACGCTTTGCGTGGATGGCGGCAAGGTTGGTGTCTTCAAAGAGGGAGACGAGATATGCCTCAGCAGCTTCTTGGAGAGCCATGACGGCGGATGATTGGAAGCGGAGGTCGGTCTAATAGTAGTGAGTCATCTGCAACGGGACCTAGGCATCTGACTCGCTCACCTTAAAGTCTTGGGCGATTTCACGGACGAGACGTTGGAAAGGGAGCTTGCGAATCAAGAGCTCAGTGGACTTCTGGTAACGTCTAATCTCACGAAGAGCGACGGTTCCGGGCCTGAAACGATGGGGCTTCTTGACACCACCAGCGACGTTCTACACACGAGTTCAAGTCAGTATTGACAGATGTCGATAAAGGCGTTGGGCGTACGGAGGCGGTCTTGCGGGCAGACTTGGCAGCGAGCTGCTTGCGGGGGGCTTTGCCTGCGCGATATTGTCAGCGACAGGATTACCGATGACGGCGACGACGACGAAGACACTTACCACCGGTGGACTTGCGAGCGGTTTGCTTGGTGCGGGCCATTGGAAGATAGTTTGGGTGGCAGTGAGGCTTGAGGGCAACCGAGAGACTTGGACGGTTGTGTTGGTGGTGGTCAATGGAAGAGAGTGTATTGCCAAATCCACGCCCTTTTCAAGACACTCGGTTTGTTTACTGCTAATTTCGCGTTGTTTGTAACATCACGTGGTCAACGCGTCGTTTCCTTTTCGATCACTCGTCATCCATGACCCGCGATGGGAATGTTTAAATATGCGTGCGACCATAGAATCAGGTTCGCTATCATCCGCACGCTCACCTGATGGTTTACGGAAGTAATCCTTAGTCAAATTCTTCCTACGTTACTTTATATTGTATTCCCTTGGAGTGCCTATCGTGTGCTGGAGGGCCTATTTACTGGTTTGGTTGGTGCCGTGGGCATCCATGTGTGCCAACATCGCAAAAGTTGGTCTCACGTATTTATACGAATGCTCCTGATTTGTCCTCTCTACCACCACAGGCCCTTCTCCTCCATGCGTACTAACAATGCTTCCTGCAACTTATAAGCAAACCCCAGTCCTGACATCCCCTCGTCTCGTTCTTAGAACGCCATGTTACAATTCTTAGTTCTTACTGCTTTGTTCCTCCTTGCTGGAGGTGAACGAATCGTTAGATTCATCTCCAGCGATGGGAATATTTACACCGGCGACGCTATCTTGCCCCCAAACACTACCGATGCGTTTTTCAGTACGCGCGCCAGGGTCATTCAAGGTGACATTCTCGGTAACTTCACTGTCACACGTGAAATCAAGGCATGTCTCTTTACAGTACCAAAGAAATCCTCACTAAATAACATACCTAGGATATCAAAAAGTTGCTGGCTCCCCTTCCCAGCGAGAGGGTCAGAACTGTCCGAATGGTCGGTTTAAATTACGTTTCCCATATCGATGAGGTGAGGCCGATGACCGCGTATTGCTCGCGGCCAATGAATCTTATGTGCATATAAGGGAAATATGACAATTCCTCAATGGCCTATCCTGTTTTACAAACCATGGACAGCGCTGAACACCCCAAGCGATCCCATTCCTGTCAGTGCTGGCTTCCAGACACAAGGAAACTTCACGTCCAGCATGGACTGGGAGGGAGAACTTGTTGTCGTCATCAAGAAGGCAGCCTACAATATTACAGACGACGAAGCTCTGGATCACGTTCTCGGTTACACGGTTGGACATGATGTCTCTCACCGTGGCTGGCAGATCGATCGAGGCGGAGAGCCTCAACCTCAGTATTCGATGGGCAAAGGCGCCGACGGGTGGGCGCCCTGGGGACCAGCTATCGTGACGACAAACATCATTCCTGATCCCCAAGTTCTCAACCTTCATACGAAAGTTAACGGCGTCACCAAGCAAAACGCGACTACTGCAGATATGATATTCGGTGTAAAGCATCTTGTCTCGTTCTTCTCGATGGGTACAACTCTTCTTCCAGGGGACGTCATCTTCACCGGGACGTGAGTATTTAATTTTTTTCAGCGTGGAGATACTGATATGATCTATGAATATTAGCCCCAGCGGAACAAACCTGGGGAAGGTGGTTCCAGAATATTTGGTCAATGGAGATGTCGTTGAGGTGGGCTTGGAGAATATCGGAACCTGCACTAACAGGATTCAATACGTCAACACGTCCTCCGATTCTGTCAACAGTTTCTTCCTACTTTAATTTTCTTAGTTTACCAAATGTAAAAACTGCAGTCCTTCCGAATCATGCTTGACTAATTTAGTATAGAGAAAGAAGACTCAATTCGTTCCAGCTGACTTTGCGCAAACATAAACAATAGGTATAATTGGTTAATTCTGATGGGCCAGCTTATCATGGACCTATCCAGGAAGGCATGCGTGAGAATACCGCTGCCCATGATGTCATGTCAGCCTGGTCGCTTCCTGTCGAAGTTCCAACTTGCTCTGCTACCATCACTATCCAGTGCTACCTCCCGGTCAGCTCTGCGCCATGGATTTTCACTTTACACCATGTCTTGGTCAGAGTGTGCATGTACCTATTTCTCACCTGCACACGACCACTGCGGAATTGTGCTTTTCCGCTACCATCAATTCTAGTGACTACGAGCAACTCCGACAAGAGCAGGGAAAAGTACAACTCTGGTCGGATCTTCCGGCAAATGGTAGAAGGGCGGGAGATTGGGGTGAAATCGCCTTCCAGGAATCTACACCACTCGAAGACGACGAGCTGCCGTTGGGCTTGGACGCGGAGAACAGCGATAAGCACGTTCTGTCCCTCGTGGTGCCCATACCTTATGCTGCATACATCCATCGCCAATTCTCCTTCACGTATAGAATTGCGTATCCTTCAGGAGATATCAAGTGGCTAGGCTCGTTTGGTCACAATGGTTCTATTGTTATCGAAGACATACAGTCGGACGAGCGTGTCGGCCTATTAGGCGAGGGTTGGAGTCGTAATGATAAGGATGCACATGTATGGAATGCTGGCTGCGACGTTACGGAGAGCGTTCTGATAGCCAAAGCTTTCTATCCCAAGCACTGGAGTGTCTGGGCGGTGGGAGCAGATTCGTGGGTCTCTTTCTCGTCCTCTCAGGTGTATGCATTCCTTATTGTTTGCGTTAGACTTCTCTCTGAGCCCCAGAATGCCTGCCTACTCTTTCTCGTTCCAGTCATCCACGGGTCACTCATCCTTCTTCCTCAAACATTCGTTATGAGTGCCTCTCAAGGTACTACTCTCGCATTCACTCCTACCGGCGATATCATGGCTTCTGGAAGTGGTTCTGTTCATCTCGAATGCTTTGACAGATACGATTCAAGTGTGGCGGATTTCGTACGCCGAGCCTTCGCATATTGCTCCCTGACAAAGTGTCAGCTCTTGAGCACATCAGACCGACACGCAGTCGTGGCTTCTCCTCTCGATCAGTATCCCGTCGTTGCTGATGTTGTACCGCTCGGTACATCAATCCTACATTCTCAGGTATCCATTGAGTGGACTAAATTTACACCTTTGACCGCCGAACTTCCGCTGTCTCTTTTCTTACCTGGTACCTCCAGAGTACGTTTCTACGATTCTGCTGATCAGCAGCCCGAGAGCATTCGGTTCTCGGTTCCTCCTACAGGCGGCCAATTCATCCTGACACCACTCTATATTCTTGAAACCAAAAATTCACAAGAGTGTCAGTTAGCCTTCCTACAATCGCATCTATTAGTTCCATCTTCTTCGTTCGGCGATCGACAAATCCTTCCTACTCCTCCACCATCTCCTCTTCTACACCCTATTGCCCATCTCTCTCCAATCGAATCTCGGTTCAATGCTTCCAGCAATTCGATTTCTGAGATGGGCATCAGCAGCAGTGGGCGAGGCAGTCCTGATGTCTCCGATCCAGAAGCGACTGATGACAGCCTTTCCATCAGCAAAGGGCGGGGTATCATGTTATCTATAAAACATATCTTGGCGGCGATCAGTCTGTTCTTCTCGCTGCTGTTCCGCAAATTACTTGGTCGTAGCCCCCCGAGTACGCAAGCAATGGGCGATGTCGCAGAGGTAGAAGAGCAGAGTCGTCCCATCGACGAAACGACTCCCCTGTTGAACGACCGTAGTCACGGTCAGGGACCAAGCAGTGTAGACACTTCTACAGTTGAAACTACGGTGACAGCACGCCATACCCCACCTTCACCTCTTGCGTCAATATTTGTCGATTTCCTTGGCAGCGGAACAATCTCTTGCATTTTGCGAGATCCTATTGCATCCACGGTAGGCTTGTCGTTGTACAAGGATATTTCAATCCGGCTAGGTAGGAAATCCATTGAACCTCAGAATGTCCGAACGCTTTATGATGGGACCGTGCTGTTTGACCTTGAAACAGGCGCTACAAAACCAGGGCTTGCGGTTTTCACAACCGTCTAATATCTACAATATCTATAGTATCGTTCATTGCAATGTTGTTTGTACTGGTTACACAAATTGTATCATCGGGTTCCTTGTCGTACACAAAAATTATGCGGTTTCATACACCAAAAAATTTACGCTGTTTCATCGTCAAACTCGTCCTCGCTATCGGCATTTCTTCTTCTACTTCTTCGGTCACCCGAAGAATCGGAAAACGTCTGAGAAACAATGTCATCCAGCATCTCCGGAGGTAGATCGTATTCAGAGCTGCGAACTACGATGGCATATACAGCTAAAACTATGTCAGTACACACCGAGAATAGCACGTATTTTCACTGACCGTCTTCGATTTTTTGAAGTGATTGTGCTGTCACAGATTGCTTCTTTGACAAAAATCTGACATACGGCGTGAAGCCTTCAAAATCTATGGCGATGTATTGAGAATGGCAGAGGCGCCTCGTGTCCCATTCACTCACCAGCTTTGCAGTTCCTGACGAAACCCAAAGTATCCATAGCCTGCAATCGTCCGCCTCGTTTAGTCAAGCCAGAGATAGAATAGCGCATGAGTTCGCCTGTCAAGTCAGACAGGCCGAGCATATAGTCTGATATGGTCAAAGGAAAATACTGAAATAAAAGTCAGAGGGGCAATGACAGTTCCACAAGTCGCAATACATACGCACAGGTGCTCCCTCGGAATCACAGAGAGTCTGCTGCACCTGATCAAAGGTGATCAAAGTTCCATACTCGAGAAAATGTGAGAAGCTAAGCGCCTCGATGTATTCCTGTAGACCGGGCGAGACCTGACGCTGGTACCGCCAGAACCTATCACCGACAAGCTCCTCCTTCATATTAGCGTAGATTTTCTGAACCTGGCGAAGATTTTCATTGCCCCGTTTCGCTGCGCGTAAAGCGGGTGTTAGGCCCTCTGAAGCAGGTGCATCTTCGAGGACGACACGATGAAGGAGAAAGATGGCCTTTTTTGAAATATTGGTGATATCACGGCTAGCCTGGGACGAATATTAGGTGCAGTGCGACAAAGGTGGAGGAGGCAGTTGCCTTGATGAGACGCTCTCGCCGGTCATTATGCTCGTCGAGGTCCTGCCTGAAGGCGTCGAAGATAGCAGTGGTGGTGCTAGTCATGACGATACCGTCGGCAACCTACCGGATGTTTGTTATTTGGCCATATCTGAATTTCACTTCTGACTGCAATGGCCTTCGCGCCCAAGGCTGGCTGCCCATTGTGTAGCATAGTGAGCTCCGCAGTGCACGACCCTCTCATCTCGCCGCGCTCTCCCACCTCTGTTCGCGAAACGGACCAGCCAAAGATTTTGTGGAGAGACGACAACTTCACCGTGTATCGTGAAAAGGCAAATCCAGTGTCGAGCGCCGGACATGTAATAATCGCTTTCAAGTATGTCGTAGTTCTTCATGCTGGCTACAGGAATCTCACGACAGCTGCAGTCTCCATGTTCCCTCAATATATACCCTTGTATGTCGTGGCCCGACCCACTGCAGGCACCGTACTCATCTCTCCCAGTCATCCTCAGATTTACCCCTCCTGGTGAACCTCAAAAGTCTAGCCACACGATTCCTCAATTCTATGCTACCCTTGTCTTCGCCAGCAACGTCGCCGACTGGCGCAACCCCCCTGCACCTGACCTCGAGCAACTTTCGCATCGGATTCATCACGCCTCCGTTCAGAGATGGCAAGATCCCAGTGACCGACCATCTTCACGCCCATGCATACATTATGCCTGCTGATCTTATGGGCTGGTGGCGTGGCGTTGCATATGGTCCACTTGCCTGGTACGCTATAGATGACCTCATTGCAGAAATAAGGTATGCCCCCCCCCCACAAATTCTTCATTTCGTTTTCATCGTTTTCTAGAGAGTCTACCTCGAACAACCGCGTCAAGTCAGGCTACGATAATCGCAGAGTTGCTCCCATAGATTTCGTACCTTCAGCAGGTTCCAGAACAGGTACTGCCAGTGGCATCGAAACTACAGTTCAGGGTTTAGGTCGCCCTGACGCTGAGCTGGAAGCAGGCGAGGCGTCTCCTCTGAGCCTCTCGCCACAGATCTCGCCCTCTTCCCTTAATTTGTCTCCGCCCCTTCGTGTCTAGCTCTCATTGTCATTTGTATACTTCCTTGATACTGTTGTCATTCACTCGTCAGTTTCCAGCCTTTGTGTTTCTTAAGGAATAGCATTTCTTGTACTCGACGATACCTACATGGACCTAGTTTTGTGTGTTTATACAAGAAATACGTTAAATAAATTACGTATATGAACACATGGGGCATTAGATTCATAGCATATCATGCGTCTGTTGAGCGGAAGGTTAGTTTACGCTGAGAAGATGCACAGAGACATCTACTGACAATAAGAGGATCCCGTCAGCAATGTCGACAGAGCGGATAGTTGATCCTCATCAAATCGTTTTGAGTCTTCGTGCCAGGTATCTTGATGTGTCCGCTTGAAATTACTGGCACATTTGCGGACAGTAGTAGATATGGGTATCTACACACAGTTAGAGCATAATCACGACATGGAAAAAGGCACCGACAGGATCATATGTGTGTTCAGCCAGAATAGTAGTCAACAAATCAGGCATCCACTTTTCAACGGTGTAAGGGTAGGAATCCACCAATGCGCATATTCCAAGTATAGCCGCATGTCGCCGGCGTATCGCTGAGTTGTATTCGGGGTCCTGTCTACTCGGAATCCGACTATTCCTGGCTAGCTTGACGAAGCGATCCTACAGAGTGAAATGTCGGAGTGGACTGGTGAAAAGTACAACGATGTACCTACCTTCAAGATGAGCACACTCCTTCTAGGTGACAGTCGGAGTATACCAGACAGCGTGCTAAGAATGAAACATTTTAGTTAAGTCCATCATTATTGAAGCCGCTATACATATACGTAGCAGCCATCTCACGCACTTCCACCACTTCATCGTCCAAACATTGACAGAGAACCTGATGTTATATTAATGATTACTCGAGGTCTAAGTTAAGAAGACCCACTTCAAGAATTTCGACCACCTTGGCTTCGCTGATCAGAGGGACCTGGCGGAAATAGAATACTGAAAAACACTACGTTTCACTTCCCCGTGGAAAACACATGAATTACGCACCTTGGACGAGAGGCAGAGCTTTCAGCCGGACTTTCCAGGACTGGAAACCGTCAATATCTGCCACAAGACGAAATAACTGTATGCTGACCGGTGATGCCTGGATAGCTTCAAATATAGCATCCAGGATAGGATTTATCAGTGCCCTTGGAGGCGTCACACCGCACATTCTCACAAGAAGAACGTGTGCCCGGTTCGCGAGCTCGTCGTTGTCATTCACTAACAACGAAATGAGTACCAACAGAGGATCATTTCGGCTAAATATCCTTCCTTACCTTCGGTGAAACAGAAGAGCTCATGCTAAGAAATGAAATTAGGTGTGATGGGTTTGCACTCGCGGTGAAACATACCATGAGTGGTAGAATGTAATCGAAGACGGAGATGGCATGTGTATCGTGAACCGACTCGAACAACCACTTGCATACCATAACACCTACTCGGTCGTATTTGGACTGGAACGCACGAACACCGGGAATCCGTTCCTCCCGCCAAACTTTAAAGTTGTCGACAAGCTCCAGGATCCGCCGTTTGTGATATGTGCCTCGCATGCCCATAATGTCATAGTCTGCTGGAAGCATCCGACATTCTTTTACAAATACTTCAGTTGTGGGTACTGTGGGCCGGGGAGTACACTACATATGATATTAGTCTGGAGATCAGGAATACATCGGGTCTATTTACCTTGATCTTATCTGCAAAACAGAGAATTTCGGCGATATATGTCCGGACATCGTCATGTTCGCTGTATATTTCCTTCCAACATCGCTGAAGCACCTCGTCCATCCATGCGGAGAACTTCCAGCCAAGCTCTTCATAGCATGTCCTGAACAAAGATAGAATTTTGACAACGTCGAAGGACAGTTCAGCGTTGTAGTCCATCGTTTTGAACAACTCTAAGAGGTAGTCAAAAATGGGCTGCACTCGTCGAGGATCTTTTTTGTAAAATATGTACTAGGAAGCGTGAGTATCAGCACTACAGTTGTTTTTCAATGATACATACCTCCAAAAATGAAGTCCAGACAAGAAGGGTATCGGATTTCAGGTTTGTATTGATGATTTGCTTGATCAGTGGCTTGAACCAAGCCCATAACATCTTCTGCTTGTTCAACGGCCAATGTTTCGAACCTGGAACTGGTTTTAACAAAAAAAGGAAAGAGAAACGTTACTACATACCTCCAAGCACTCCAGCAATTAACTCCGCGGCCGCTCGCTGCTTGTCTGACTCTGGATCACTGATCAGAGCTTCTACTGTAGGTTTCAAGGCGGGAAGGGGGGCATCCTCAAGCACTTGGACTAGAAAGTTGTTCAGTGAGAGCACAGACAAGACGCCCTCCAAACGCACATATCGATTTAACGCAAGAGACGTTGTCTTGGGTTAACGAGACCTCGTGATTTTCTTCTGAGAAGTACGTTGAAAGGTTCTTCCAGTATGATGGATCTGTAGTCACTGATCTCAGTGCTTTGATGGCCTCTTGGCTAGATGGATCCCATGGCTGAAATGTCGACTTGACGGCGTCTGGTGGTCTGTAGAGACCGATACGTGTACTCCAAGCCACCCAGCCTTGGAGGAACATGTCTAGAAATATCCTAACAAGAGAGTGAGTGCGGAACTTGAGGCATTACAATGAATCCTACGGTTGTTTTTGGCTCCATTGAAACGGAACTTTGTAGGCGGCTAGAAACTTTGATGTTAAAGCCTGAGATGGATGGACGACAATCTGTTCTTTCAATGGATTTGTGCTTCTAGCCAGGAACAGGTCTACTGGATTAGAACACAAGGTGCGTAATTTGAGGTTCCTCAAACTCTTCATGACAGAACGTTGAGCATACTAATTGGTGGTCAGTAAAGCTTTTGGTCGTGGGAGGCTTGACATACGTAGCGCTGCAAACAATAGGTAGTTAATATACCATGTTTTGAAGAAGGAAATAAAACATACGACACTTGGATGGCTATGATGAGTTCGCTCTACAAAGAACCGGATTTGCTCCGGAGTCAAAGGCATGTCACGCCTAAGGAGTGTACGCAAACATCGAATGGCTGCAATTTCATATCGCCAATGTGTCTTGGGAGAAGTGGCAATTTTCATGACTTCCGAGGTCTGAAGATGTCAGTGAGACTCTAAGAAATGGGGCAAAAAGGTGACATACTGTGTGCTCAGCTGCTTCATTCATAAGGCGCACTCGCTTTATTCTAGCTTGCCGACAACGGTTCGTGATGTCTGCCTCCTTGGCGTCATAGGGTAGCATGGATTTAATACGTTTGATGGCTCTTTCCAATGCTGGACATGAAACATCGTAAACAAGGTAGCAGGGCTCAACAAAACTTGTGATGCCTGCAAAATGTTGAAAGTGCTGCCCGTGATGAAGTGGTATCTAAAGGACTCACAATTCTCGGAAACTGCTGAGACACAATCTTGGATGGAAGGCTACACCAACCTGGTTAAGAGACAACTTATGAATGTGTAGAGAGACTAACCTTTTCATTATGTTGACAGCATAAAAGCTTCGGCACTAAAGTAGCAGCTAGGACCGGCTCTGAATGAAAATGTCAACATTAACCTGTGAACGGCAATGTATAACTAACCAGAAATCGCGTATCGCCCAAAGGAAGGGAAATTCAAAGTCCAAAGTGCTCCCTTCATTCGGTCATCATCGGTGTCGGGCTCTAAAGACTTGTAGAGCGCTGGAAGGGCTCGTCGACGAACACCATCGTAGAGCTGTTAATAGTTATACACATTATCGACTATAATAAGCAGGCGGCGTACTCCACACATGCTTTCGAGCAAATTTTGGCTGGCCCTGACCAACTCGTTAGTCGGTCTTACCCATAAAAAGCTGCGTGACTCACTCTCTTATGACTGAGTAATGCCAAACAGACCATTCGACGAGGTCATCGATTAAGCTATCTTCAAGCTGGCCTCTAAGACGTTCCAATGAATTCCAACGTAGCCTCGCGGCATGCTGATACCTATATTCAAGTCAAGTCTGTAATGGTGTATATAAACAAGGTTGGCGCAAGTCTGACCTAGCTTTGCGGACGTAAACTGCCCGGGGCCACACTTTTTGTCTTGCATACTGACGGGAGACGTTCTTTTCCGAATTAAACTGATCTTCGTTCAGAAAGAAACTACAAGGGAGAACGTGAGGCTATCATTGCCGGTCAACGACAATGAAAGTCACCTGTCTCTACTGTCTCCATACTCAAGCAGGTAGGCTCGGAAAGCTTGTATCTGTTAAGATGTCAGCTTTGTGAGGCGAGCATTCGGGCAGGACATACAAGTGTGTAAACAGCATCAACACTATTCTCTTCCCCTTGCTGACGTAGAGATATGGACGCGTTGTGCAAGAAGACCCCGAATCTGTGTCTGAAACCGCGAATATACGTATAACGAGGGTCGCTGGGATTTGTCAAGCAAAATCCGGCATTCTTTGGTTCTACCGACGCCAACATCTCGGGGATCTCATCTCTACCCGAAGGTTAAACAAGGTATGCTGATGTGCGATATCGACACCTACAGAATATCACTTGTTTGCCAAGAAGCCTGAATATCGTCCTCGGAGAGGTATTCCTTCGCTATAGTGGGCACCCCTGAAAAGGCGTTCCGAATGAGAGTAAGATGGCTATTATTGAGTTAAGAACACAAATCATGATCCTGTATAAAGTGAGAACTAACCGACAAAAATCGTTACGCCACACAGCATCACGAGGAACTTCTGGCAGCAACAATTCTTCAAGACATGACAAAGCGGGCTCGACCAGTTCTCGGAAAATTTGAAGGGCGAAATCAATTTCCTCCGCATTCGGAACATGCCATGACACCTGCAGAAACGTGTGAATGATGACAGAGTAGCCCTGACAACTTATAAACGCACCTCAATCTCCTCGGGCTTGTAGAGTTTGCCCCAGTGACGATGGTGGTTCCACCGAAATTCTACCAAGAACATGTCATCAGAATCGGTAAATATACCGCAACATCGTTAAGAATGTACCGTCACTCTTCCATTCATCTGGATTTACAAATTTGTTCTCCAAAGGATATGTGTGGGTGAGTGTTAAAAGCATGCTCGACAACATTTTTCCCAACCAAGAGTAACCGCGTTTTGAGTACGTCTTGGAATGCAACAATTGAAGTAAAGACATCAATTCATCCTTATATTTCAATATCTGTAACGGTTAATGGTAGGTTTTAGAGAGGAAGCTAACTGTGAAACGACGCTTACCGCCTTGCCGTCACTAGAAATCGCTTATGAGCACAAATGAATCATAAAGCATGCAGCGACTCACTTGTACACAGTACCCCGCAAAATGGCCAAATCTAGATCGATTATCTCATGTCAGGTACGCCATCGTTGTGAATATTGCTAGACGTACTCCAATGCAAAGTAGCGTCCGAGGGAATAGGCGTCGAGTCTGAAGTCGTTCTAAGCGACGAAGCACCATTCTCCAACTCCGTCCGGATATTCCGAGAGCAAAATGGTAGAAACCTCGCCAAGGTTTTGGCGGGATCTGCATTAGCTATGCACTCAACTAACTGATGAACAGCTCGAACGGCGTTGGGTCGGACATTTGTACTCGCGTAGTCAAAGACCATATTAAGGACGAGATCAAACAGCGGCTCCGACAGATGGACGCAGATTTGACTGCAAGCGCCGGCGACAGCGTCCACCACCTGCACTGTAAATAAAACGTGAGCTACGGAACAACTCCCAGCCGGAATAAACTGCAGACCTTCAACGGCCCCTCCAGACGACCCGTTTGGACCTTCATCGGGCAGATTCTCAAGCAGCTGTATCACACGACGAATGAAACTTGAAACCCAGTCAGCGAAATTTCCTGTGGCATCCCTCAACAGCGTATCTTCGTCTTCGTTGGAGAGCCTCGGCTCTTCGTCAACAAGGTCAGAAGATTCACCGTTAGCAAAAGACGGCCAAGTCAAGTTTGTCCGAGTGGATATAGTGGCTTCAATGTCTGGGGCACTGGACATCTGATCTTCGCCCATCGTCAGGTCACCGAACTTGATATACTGAGATATTTCCACCAAGAAAGCTGTCGTGCAAAGCTGTAATCGTGTGAAATTCAAATAATGCGTATATTGAACTTTTAGGTCTCACCGTTTTTGAAGGATCATTCTACGTCACAGTTAAGGTCAGTCCCATGCAGTGATGTATAATGGAACGCACCAGATCGATACCAGGGATCAGGAGCTGTAGTATGGGTACAAGGTACTTGCCTCCCGGATAATAGACCTCGCGAGAAACGATAGCTGGGGCAACAGCACCCAAGGCTTTTATGACGGCAATCGTCCTTTGAGTCTGACAACACGTATGGATACAGGTAACCCTGGATGATGTGGAAACACACCTCGACAAGCGCCTCGAGCGAAGGCACTGCACGCTGAAGAACGGGATGTAATATGAGGTCAGGTTCCATGACACTCATAGACTTCAAACAGCTCTGGATGTTAGAGACAGTATTACTATCTTGTGAGAACATTGCCAGAAGGGCTACAGTTCTCAAACACTTGACGAGTTCTCGTTTCATACTTCTTGTCAGCCTTCGGTTCTAACCCTTTCGATTGGGATCAGGCGCTCACTACATTGAAGAGTTACGAACCAATGGAGTTTTGCAATCGGATTGTTGTTCCTCATGCCATCCTGACCACACTATGAGACCGAAGATCGTTGAAGAAAAATATGTTCCTTACGCTTGTTGAAATCGTAGACAATATATTTGATGAAAGCGCTCAGCTAAACAAAATGTAATCAGCACGAAATGTACTTTCAAAAACATCATATATGCATGTGGCAATGCGACGAAAACGTTCAGAGTCAGCGGAATACGTACATCGGTAGTCCACGCCCCAGAGTTTGATGGATGGAAGAAGCTTTCAGTCGATGCGATCAACTTGGCTAGAGAATCCAATGCCTTCGATCCAGCAAGATATGTTTTTCCTTTAGATGGCGCGGTTTTCCCCAGAGGAACAGACAGAAATTCTTTCAAAGTACTAGACTGAATTTGCGGTGTGTTCATTCCAGATGGCAATGGCGTCATCAGAGGCGTGGGTGCCGTGGACGAAGGGCCGGGGAAACCATCCGGAGCCATTGAGTAGACAATGATACGGGCCAGAGACGCTGAGACCATTTTTAGCCAAGCACGTACAATGTCCACGAATGACATACGTATTCTCCAGTTAGCTTTAGGCAGACGGCCTATCTCGAATCCCATCTGGTTGTCCGCAGTTGGTGCCGTGCTTAGAGAGCCAGTGTCGGCCAGAGGTATCTCTGTGGGATTTATTAGCTCCGCTGTACCAGGATCGAGCGCGGAATTCGTACCCATCGACGCAAGACATTTACACATCAACAGGCCCCATTCATGTTCAGTGAATATACCCACGTCTTTGTAAAGACCATGCCAGACATCATCTTCCTTCAGATCATCTTGTGACCACCTTGGCCGTTGCTCTCCTTCAGACCTCTCGTCGTCAGGTATCTCCGTAATCTTACGAGGGTCACTGACTTCAGGTGAAACGTGCATTTCCGTCAATTTGGAAAGAAAATGCAACATCCTTTCATCGTAGGCGTAGGAGTTTATTGATTCCCACATCCGAAGAAGCATAGGGAGATACGATTGGGGATGGGTTAATGGAAGGAAGGTAAGAAGGTAATATTGTGAAGACAATATGCTCTGGAGGGCAATCATGGACGTGAGTATATGCATAAGAACAGCTGGCAACGATAAACCTACATCCAGGTCAGTCCCGTTGAACTGAGGGACGAAAGTGGAGAGCATTTCATCGATAGCAGCGGGATGAAAGAACTTTCGAGAATTCTCTGCCATGTAGCCCATACACCACGACAGCTGCCTAATAACGCGTCGTCAGTGCTCGCACCTGGCTAGCAAAGCCCAGACATACGTATACTCAAACTGCCTCCGGCTCAAGAAGAGGTCTTGCTTCAGTATGTCGTATATGGGCTTCCACGGTAGACGCATATCTTCGATAGAAATTCGCTTCTTCGACTTTGTTAAAAGCTTGAACGCATCTGAACACGTCGCCACCATTTGAGTGGACATGCCCGGTATCGTGCTAACATAAAAATAGATCTTGGCAAGACGAATCCTCTTCTCCTTGGGAATGGGATACTTGAGCATGGTCCAGCTGAAACACGACATGGAATTTATTAGCAGACGCGACAAAAGATGAAACAATACGCACTAGTAGCTGAGCATACTGTCCCACTGCAGGAGCCCAACATCATAATCTCTCGCCTCAACGCATTGCACAATGCGAAGAATGATGAAATCGAGGAGTTCCATCATACTTGAGGTCGATTCGATAGCGTAAGGGAGCGATTTTGCGTAGCATTTGAGTTTGTGGAGGTCATGGTCGCTGAGGACGCGGCTGTCATTAATGTCATCCGAGAAAGAAGATTTTGAAGAGGATTTGGTGATGTAGAGAGAAGAGATATCTGGCACTGTCATGGGGAAGGCGAAGAAAGAAATCGGGAGAAGGCTGCTGAAACGAGCGGGGTTACGTCCGCTCTTGGTCAATTGGTCAGCGAGGTCTCACTGTCGGAAACTTTGCTCAACGTGACAACCGCTAGAGAGCAGTCTGGCAATAATAGATTGACAGAACGGATTTACAGCCATATACTACTAATAACAGCGGAGCAGACATAGAAGTCGAGCAAATCCAGAAAATCCTACGGAACCGCCATCAACGCCGCGTCCTGCAATTCTTTCAAGGCTCTCTCCCGTACCATCTGCCAGACTCCGTTTCTCTGGGCCTTAATCTCCCCCAATCCTTCCCGGATCTCCTGCAGACGCTCGACATATTCTCTGCCGTCGTCTTGCAGTTCTCGCAGGACGCCGATGGAGCGTTCAAGATTATCTTGCTGCGTTTCCGGCGACGCGAAATGTGAGGGTTCGTGTACCGGCGGCTCACCAGAATATGTGAACAAGAACAACTTGTGGATAGGTGGTGTAAGGTCTGGTGCACGAGCAATTCTCCTGGCCCTGTCCACATCTTCAGGACTATCGCCATCTTCGTCTTCGCGTTTCGTCACGACAGAGGTATCAGTGGGCCCCGGCTCCGCGTCCTCGCTGATGACTTCCCATAGACGACCCAATGCCTTCTTCATGTTTGCTTCGCCTTCAATAAGACTATTTGTGGATTGCTCGAGTTCTTCGAGGAGGCTGGACCTGAATGTATGTGTCACGGCCTTGTCCATGACAAATGACGAGTAACTATAGTGCTGGGACGTCGGCGGCGGGTAAGGTGAAGTAAGAGGAGGCGATGAAGAACGTAATAAATGAGGAAGAGTGGGAGGCGATGGGGATCGTTTTGTTTGCGGTAGCAGCTGCTTTAGACGCTTCCGAGCGCGCTCTTCCGCCTGTCAAGTAGTAGAAAAATGAATATAGAGCTTCACCCTGAACATTTTTGTTTGCGCACCTGCCATTCTTCCATGCCTGGGCCCCATGCGCTCAGTTTTCCTCGTCGCACCCATCGTGCACCTTTCACGTCTTTCTTGCCCCAGTTACCTAGAGCTGTGCCTGCAGCCAAATCCTCAGAATCCGAATCGTGTCCATAAGCGGGATAAAACCAAGCATTTTGATCGCTGAGTGGCAGTAGGTCTTGAATTCTGTGGCAAGTGATTGAGTGGTGGGACGTATTATCAAAGAAACGGCGTACGAATTGTCTTCTGACGGCCCCAAACGAGGACGTTTATGTCCGTTCATATTAGGAGGTATATGCTGACGACTGGCTGGACGCGGCGGTAGATGATTTGGATGCGACAAGTCCGACATGGCTCTGCTCAACCAGTGCCAAGTTCCTTTCCCGAGTCCCCGCCGGCAATCGGTCGGCATCTCAACTATTTGCCGAGCCCATAATTGGAAACGCCGTTTTGAGAAGTGGCATCTCTCGTCGCACTAGTGCAGAAGTTACATATATCTAATAATTAGACTAATTTTACGATAAAAAAACCAATAAATCACAGACACGGAACAAGCTATCAAGTAAAATATTCGGCGTATGAAGAAGGGGGGAGTTCGCAAGGCCATTCACCACTTCTAATGCATCCTTCGAACATGTCTTCACATGATCTGAAGAGGTCTATAACCGCTCTTGCGGTTTCAAGCTGTGAAATGAAGGAATCAAGGGTCCAGGTCTCTCGCAGTTCTAAGGGGGGTTGCATACCGAATCCTCGTATTGTAGCCCGATATTGCGTCCCATGAACAAGTTTACAAGCAATGGTAGTTCGACGACTGTTGAAGATTTTAGCTTTTGGCGCAGGGGCAGGAATAGGGCAAGGTCTCTTGTTGCAATAGCTGGATGTGTCAGTCCAAGGACCTAGTATCGATCGCGTCAACTACGGCGTAGACAACACAAGATGATAGAGTACTGATAAGAAGTCCCATAGACGATGGCCCACTATGATTTTATCTCGAATGATGGAAGAGACACGTGTTTGAACCTCTTGTAGAGTAGGCGCTGTTTGAATGTCAACTAAAGAAACAAGTAGGACCCTGGACGAACTGACCGCCCATGAAGGTCGATGGACTGAAGCCAGTTTCCTCCGTTCTGTAGTTTTCCACTTGATGCCTAAGTCGTCATCAGAGCCAATAGAGTAGAACATTGAAAGCATCCTACGTCGGTCGAACAAGGGTGTCTAAAAGGATTCGGCCCCGATAATCCGTAAGGGAAACGCGCCTGATGGTATTGATCAGAAGCAAGAGACCATATGACCCAACTGTTCACATACGCGACCATAGGTATTTGCTTGAGAGTGTCCTGGATTCTAATCGTTCCCATATACACATGGAGTTGTGAAACCGCGACATAACTGCAGACCATCAGCAGGGGATATGAGGGGGGAGCATCCAAGAAGGTACCTTTGTGCTGGGAAATAACGCTGCCTTGATGGCTCAGACGCGTCGATGTAACGAACAGCACTAGGCCCGGCTTGCGAATTATGCGAATTGCCTCTCGGAAACGAAGACCTTGAACAAGGCAGAAGCAGAGTGTTAAAACGATTAATGAGACTTTGAGAGCAAAGAGGTTGATACATTGTACTTCGAAATAGAGATAAGGAGCATTACCAGCAAACAAGAAAGAGGGACCATCAACGACAAGGTGTATCTTTGAGCATTTGAAAACAAGGACATCAAGCAAGATTTCGTATCAGCGATGGGGATTGGAGCAAGAAGTAAAGAACCGTCGTTTGACGGACCTGACGTGACACCAACTGGAGAACGAGCCCTTCATCAAAAGTCGCGTAGTGGGGAGCCTGGCTAGGGACATATTCAGGGGATCGATATCTATCTCATGCCAGGAACGAAATGAGGCAGCAGGTAGATTAGGGTTCCGGTTTTCAGTCACGTCGCTTCCGGACATTCGAACGATGCTTGACTATGCCATATAAAAGCAGTATTAGGGCCCTTCAACGTTTTGACAGGTACAAGAAGCCAAGAAATAGAAGGGGCGCTCCGATTGATGGAGGCAATACAGAATCTTTTCGTTTCATTTCAATTGGTGTCCGAGATGAGCTCCCGCAAAACGATCTTGAGCCAACCACCACATAATACAGTGACGTCTAATGGTAAACACATACACTTATTCATAATTAACTTCGTGTACATTCTCCGTCCGTTCTTTAATGACGTGAACGTTCATCTACATACGAGCAATCAGTGCGGCGAAATGGATATATATCGCTGGAATCGACTGACCATCTAATTATGCTGAAGCCCCCAGATCTGCTTCTTTCGAGCGCCTGAATTCAGCTCGGTCCGGGATTTCGATTTGGGCACCTTCTTTCCGGGCAACGTTAACCTGTTCAAAACTCCGCATACCTTCCAGACCCCAGCGATCCATCATTGCTTTGTCCTGTTTGACTTATCGTTAAAATAGACCGTTCACCTTCAGCGCAGAACTTACCTCGTCCCATGGAGAACCTGCCAATCGTGTGAGCCTGGTTTCCAAGTTTTCGATCATATCAACTTACAGGGGGTAGTCAGCATCTGTTCGCCCGTAAACACCGCATTTGCGCCGGCCATGAAGCACATTGCTTGCTCTGCCTCAGTAAGCGTATTTCTACCGGCCGAGAGTCTGATGATAGTGGTTGGCAGGACTATCCGCGCTGTAGCAATCGTCCGAACGAGAGTCTGGTGGGAAACAGGCTATAACAACCATAAGCATAGAGCTTTAGTGAAAAACAAAAACATACTTCGTTGTTCTCAAGAGGAGTTCCTGGGATGGGCACCAATGCGTTGACAGGGAAGGATTCTGGGTGTTCAGGCATCCTACAATCCGCCATTAATGGGGTATAAAAACTTTCTGGCGACATACCTTGAGACCTCCCAGATGAGTCCGACTCTGTCCGCGTCTTTCTCACCAAGACCTAATATTCCTCCGGAGCACACACTAATACCAGCCTGACGTACTGCCTCTATGGTGTCTAAGCGGTCATCATAAGTCCGAGACGTAATGACCTAAAAAGATGCTGAGAAAGCAATCCATCATTTAACGAAACGAAGGAAAGTACTTCAGGGTAGAACTCTCGCGAAGTGTCGAGGTTGTGATTGTATGCAGTCAAGCCGCTGTGACAGGAGTCCTTTAATTTGGAGCAGATACAAGAAAAGTAGTCCTTACGCCTCTTTGAGTTGCCGAGCCTGCTCTGGGGACAACATACCAAGAGTGGTGCAGACTTCCATCCCCATGCCGCGGACCTCTCGGACCATCTCCAAGATTCTTTCAAAGCCTCGTTTACGCCCAGAAAGATCGCGCCAGGCAGCACCCATGCAGAAACGGGTGCTGCCATTTTCCTTTGCCTTGCGAGCGGCCTCTATCACGGGCTCGACATCGAGGAGACGAGAAGCTTTCGTGCTGGTATCATGACGGGACGATTGGGAGCAGTAAGAGCCTTATGATTCGGTTCATATCGGGTTCTGACTGACAGCGAACGCACTTACAGTCTTCAGAACATCCTCCAGCTTCATAAAGCGAGGTTCGTAGGGATAAATTTAGTCACTGAATTGGGTGATAGTGCGGTACACGACGTACTTTTGATGCTCATGAGAGTGCAGAGCTGTATTTTGTTGGGATCATGGTGCTGTCTGTGCACCGAAGCAGAACGGAAGACGAGATCGAGCAGAGGGGAATCGTAAATCTGCTGGATTTCTTGTTTCGTCCAGTTGTGTCGCGTCACCCGGTTGGACGGGAAGGACGCTGGGGAAACATGGGTCGCCAGTGTTCTTGTCGATGCCAGCGACCTCAAGGCAGCAGAGCGAAACATTGCGACGGTATACAGGTGATTTCGGATGCTGGCGGTGAGTAGGCAAAGCAGGTCGTGGTCGGAGGGTAACAAGAAATTGGGGAGATCGGAAGTCCAAATCTGATTCCGATCGCATCACTGCACGTGAGGCATATGGCCCCTATCTTTCTTTACCTCGACCCGTCTGGGTCTGACTCCGTCTTTCTCGTATTCATTTCAAGTATCCTGCAATGGCGCATATAGTCGCTATTGAACAACAAGAATGTCTTGGAGCTTCCACTTTCACCGCGATACCTGGAACATTGAGTGCTTACTTTATCGCGGATCAGTGGATGTCCGTGTCGTGATTTCATCTCCGAGGTTCACGTCCGGCCGCGAGACAATTGCAAAAAGGCAATAGGATAGGGACATGTTAGCAATACAAGTATATACGAGTAGCCAGTGCGCTACTAGCATGTAGGAGACGAAAATAATTTATATATGCTACAAGAAACGCTGAGGGATATAACTTCAGCCCTATTATCGGGTGTTAAGTCAGCCATGCTCGTCAAGTATACTTAACAGATATATTGACACCTTGTCAACAGGCGTGCGGACCTTCAGACACGCCCCGGCCCGTCGTCCAATGTTAATTTCGCAAAATCCACCTGTAGCATACCTTAAATCCTAATTAATGTCATCATTTTGATTGAAAAACATGAATCTCTGTCTTACCATGGTTCCGACGACTCCGTCTGGACTGTGGTATGCTAGTGTCCTGCATTGGCGTATCATCGGCCGACGGCGATCTCTGTATAAACAATGGAGGACTTTTTCTTTTTCTAGCCCTCTCTTCTTGTCGTTTACGAAGGTTGCCCCATTGTTGGAGAGTGTATTCTGCCAACTGGCGGGAGTATATCTGCTTTTTTTCTTCCAGAGTAGGAACAGTCATGAGTGGCGAATTTAGCGAGCGCAGGTATGGATAACGGTCGAGACGTATCCACCCTTTTATATACAATTACAGAGTCTACCTAGATCTGGAAATTACGCGTTGCGCTCCATCGACTGAATGATGACGTTCGTAGTTGCCACACCCGTCGGAGTTCGTTTTTAATGCTATAGTCTCATACTCTATTCAATCGAACTATGGTCGCGACTGTTCTAAATATCCAAACGACGTATACGTACTATAGATACTTCTCAGTGGCTGAGGTGATTATGGAATTCAAACTCACCAAGTAATAAATGATTAGAAACCGTAGCCGATGACGCAGTTAGTAGGTCACGGTGGAGTTAGTCGTGGCAATCAGGTCCAACTCCCAGGCCGCCTCAAGCTCAAGCTTGAAGTTCGACGATATGTGCATGGGTACACGCCAAACAAATTTCGTGCACTGTTCAAACGGCCACTACAAGGCCATCCAGGATAACTTATACCATGGGGCGGAAAGTAAATGCTGTGTTTACCATGACCTGCTTCCATTTTCAACGCTGACATAGTAAAATACGATGATTGGTCAAGTTTCTTTGATTTGAAACACCGCTCTCGCCACAGCAAGACAGGCCGACCAGGGCGGCGGTAGGTAGCATACAACAACTAAGGAGTACAAGGTAGTAGCCAAGTCGTCGTAAGCAACACAAATTATTGTAAGTAGTGGACAAGGCATCCACCGATAATATAGTAAAACCCAAAGAGTTAAAAAGACTTATACGACAAAAGGAGTTAGATGCTATACATTCTTGAGAACAGACACATATTAGGTTTGGCAGTAGTTGAGTGAAAGAGATGCAATAATGTAGTGTTCAATAGAGACGTGAGAATGTCCAACGTGTCGTCGAAGATCGAGAGTGGATATCTTTTTTCGTGAAGTGCGTCGAAAGTGAAGGTATAGAATGAGCGTGGGGATTGCACGTCAAGCAAAGTCGTCAAGCAAGCATCGAAATGTACAACATTGTCGGTGAAACGTCATGGTTTGTTCTTTTAAACGCGAACAGTGCGCCAGTAACCGGTAGGTGCCTTGCTGGAAGGCTTCTTTGCCTTGGGTGAGGGCGAACCGCCAAGCATGACACCGCCGGTGAGAACCGTGGTCTTGCCGCCGTCATATGGGGTCACCTCTGTCTTAGAGGTATCCACAAAGACACGGGCAGTCCTTGCCTTCTCACGCCTAGACTGCGATGACTTGGATGTGGGCGTTGATGAACCCGACGATTCCGAGCCAACCGAGTCAGATGAAGAAAACGAGTAGCTCGAGCTCGAGTTGGACGAGCGGGAGCTGCAACGCGAGTGGCTTGAGATGGAGGACAAGGGAGAGGTAGACCGGGGGATGGAGAAATGGGGAACGACGGGGGTCATCCAGGTAGGGTCGTTCATTTCATCTGCGATCATGTTGAAGACCCGCTCATCAGTATCGCAGTCTTCTTCCAGGAGCTGCTGCGCGACAGTCTTGGTGTTCTAAAATTACATACACGTAAATATAGATGATGCGACAGAAAAACATGAACTTACCGCGACATTAATGGACGGTACCACAGGGGAAGGACCTTCGGCAGCCCAAATAGTGATAGTCTCACTGCTGCTTCCTACCCGCATGTAGACGCAGCCGGGGTCAACAAAGAAGTCGAACTCACGGCCGCCAAGACGGACGATCCAATCGAACCATTGAATACCCGTAGCAAGACATGCGGAGTACACAACGCGAGGGGGGAGGCAGTCTGGGCTGAGGGTGAGGCAGCGACGGCCTGAGCCACTAAGAGGCTCAAACGGGACCCAGGACGGCGCGTAATGGGCCGTGAGGTTGGCCTCGAGGACAAGCTGCAACTTGATAATGGTCGTCGCTGGGTAGGCGGTCATCAAGGGACGCGTAAGGAAGGAAACGGCGTGGGCGACGGCAACAGAGACGCTGATAGAAGAAGAAATGGCCATGACGAATTAAGAGGATATAGATGCTTGAGCGAATTAAGACTTGAGAGTATGCAAAAGTATCGTCCGGCGATGAGAAATGCGGGTAGATGCACGCGTAAGGATAAAGAAGGACAAAAGATTAAACGTTATAAACGTCGAAGAAAGTGTAGCAGAAGTCTATCACAGTTGTCAGTAATGAGCAAAGACTGCGACGAAATACAACGCACCTAACGGAAGCCTAAGAGCGAAATGAAAAGGGTCCGTCAGCGAATGCGTTAATACCGGGAAAGAAACCGACCTTGGTCGTACAAGAAAACAAGCGGGGAGCTGGGAAGACAAGACAACGCATGGCAGGTCTTTATATGAATTGTCATATTTCATTATTCGTACAATGCACAATGGAATACCGCAGACAACAAAAGCATTTCCTTTTCTGGTTTCCCGACCACGTGCGAGAACAAAAGACCTTCTTTCTATTGTTTTGCTTCCGTTCCGTAAAGGCAATCCTTGTACTGTTTGCTGGATAGCTTCGTGTTGCGTAGCATCTCCTGTACCTTTCGCTTTTTGTACTTTGTGGTCTAGCTCGTGCAATACGTACACGTCTCTAGGTTAAGAGCAATGCTTGCGCTACCAGGATCAATACTTCGGCCGCCTTTAACAAGAAACACTATAAATGCTCCCCCGCTCTTTGCCCGCCAGCAGGTTCTGATACGAGTTTATTGTTTTATTGTGGCGTCCGTTGGCAGCTCTCGGGGTAGATAGCTATAACGTCACAACCTGCGATGACAGCGAAGGCGCAGTAAATACGCTATGGCATATACAAGCGCTCATGGGCATGGAAACGGAGAGAGTCGGCAATACCCGCGATGCCGAGATAGAATTTCAAAGCCCGCAAACCCGTACTCGTAGGTGAGTGTACTGCGCAGAAGGGAATTCGTTTCAAGTTCGTGCGCATAGCAGAGGATATCAGATAGCATAGTGTAGGGGGAAAAGTAGATTTATTGAATATCAACGAAGGGCACATCGTAGAGAAAATAAGTAGCACGTGATGCAGTTCTAGGAATAAGGTTCAATCTCCATTTCAAATCTTAGACCCCAAGCCTTTGGACTGAATCAATCCTCGCCGCTGCCGCGCACTCAAAAAAAAGCGAGTCCTTCCGTTCTCTTGCTGCTTCACCATGGTACGTATTTTCTAGCATTTCTGTGATATCTCTGAATGTATATGTCTGCAGACTCTCGCCGTCGATCTTCTCAACCCTTCCCCCGAACTCGAAAAACGCCAACACAAGCTCAAGCGGCTTGTGCAGTCACCTAACAGCTACTTTCATGGATGTCAAGTGCCCTGGTACGTATCCTTGAGGCCTCGCCGAGCACAACTACTTATACTTGAGTAGGATGCTTTGCTATTACCACCGTATTCTCGCATGCTCAAACAGTCGTCATCTGCGGTTCGTGTGCCAGCATTCTATGCCAGCCAACCGGAGGTCGGGCTCGTCTGACGGAGGGTGCGTTTCCTTTGCATATATTTTGTCATACGTCTCGCTAAATGTCTTTGCAGGTTGCTCTTTCCGTAAAAAGAACTAAATGCATACCTTCCTCATTCATATTTGCTCCTCGCGTCTTTACAGCATCTCCACGGCATTCCACCATGATATTTCGTTGCTCTTCCTTGTACCCATCACACGTGTATGCTTGAATACATGCCTATAATGCTTTGGTACCAGGAGTAATCAATCTCAGTCTGATATATGAATGTTACTCGCTATGCTGTCTCGTTCCAACCTTTATTCGGCGGGAGCGCTGGTAAAAATGACTTGGAACTGAAATCATCATTACGCATTGAATACGCTTCTGCGGCTAATAATTGAAGAACGCGCAAGGCGAATGAATACCAGGATGGGTTACATGCATTTTGTGTACATGTTCTTTCGATGGTTCTGCGTGCTGCGCCCGCCATATCTGACTCGCCTTCACCTGTCCAAAGTTCGGTACCGGATGCAAGACGCCGTCTGTTGACTCGAACTTGATTATTTTGGCGAGGAGATTACTACTTTAGACTTCCATGAGGCGCCACCCAGAATTCTAACCATTATCTCTGACTCGTACATTCGGTTCCCGCAAATGAATATATAGCAGCGTTCACTGCCATTCCTCCCAGGTTCAATACACCGATTACAATTTACTTTACTGCTCATAATGTCCTTTCTCAGCGGTCGCGGATACACCTCAGAATTAAAGGCTGTCCAGCTCGATGCCGCAATTGCTTACCTCCAGGCCGTCAAAGAGACCTTCCATGATCAGCCCGCCGTGTATGCCCATTTTTCGGTGCTGTTGCAGAATTCGTCAGTCGTAATTTATATTCGTTCCTATCATTTCTGTGACCGACAGCTCTTCAAAGTGAGGATTATGATCTCATCATGTCGACAGCGGCGACACTGTTTCGTGGCTATCCTCACCTGATTGAAGCATTGAACCCTTACCTCCGATCACCTTGTCGCGTGGAATATAACGCGAGGACCCGACTCACAACAATTACCAGCTGCAGTGGTGTAAAATACCAGATTTGAGGTAAAGTCTTTTACAAGTCTGTGCATGCGCTTTTCTCTCACGTTTCCCAGTGAATGATTGATAAGGCTACATTTTCATCCGTCCAGCACATACAACAGTGTATAATTGTACAATAGTGTCCATCTTGAGTCGTAATTTGGTCCTAAAAGAACTAGCGCCCAAAGCGGTAGCCCATGCCGGTGGTAGCGCTTGGTTCCGATTCATAGTTTTCATTTTCGCTGCTATCCTCGCTGCTCAATATTATAATGGCCCGTACGCGGTGCCGCTTGTCTTCCTGCAGCTTCGATTTCCATTTCCTGCCATACCCCGGAATTCATGAAAAGGAAACAAACCACGTGTAACGGCAAGTCAGAATACTCACTTCTTCCTGGCCTCTCTCTCGGCGTGTTTGCTTCCACCACGCTTCCATTCTTGATTATCTCCTTTGCGAGCAAGTTGTTCGAGATGCGTTTCCACCAGATTGTTTAGGCCGACATTGAGCACCATCCGAGGGGAATTGAGTTTACCGCGACACGAAGGGCAGTCCCTCTGGGTGGCCGAGGCAATATGAGTCCGACCCTTTGACAGGAATACCAAACTTACCTTGACCTCGACCCATTGGCTAAGACACTCGCCGCAGAAACTGTGGCCGCAAGGTACACAGACATGTGCCACGACCCTAATTATAACGGATACTCAACGCCCAGCCACACCTGATTCGGAGAAACCTACAGGAAATCTTGACAGCTACGCCACATCGAAGATCCACTGTAAGATGACGTGGATCTACATTGGAAATACGAATTACTCACATGGGACATTCTAGGTCTGCCTGATACGCTTTTAGAAAACTATTCAACAACTCGTCGCTTTCGGGTGTGCTATGGGCCTTCATTTTCCCTTTCTTGCGTGGCGACGGCCGTGATTGAGAGTCATGGCGAGGACGCTTGCCTTTTCCACTTTGAAGCGAGCTGGCAGAGGAGTCGGTATTGAGGTCACGCTGGGAGAGCGCCAGGGCTGTGGTCGCGGTGAGAACTTGGTGGACTATTATAACATATCAGGCTGTTCTTACTGTTGGTCCGGACAGGACACGCCACATTAGCAGGTTTATTTTCGGCTAACATGATGAGCCGACATGACTAAAAACAGCTGTGAGAATCGGATAAAGATGGAAAAGAATATTCACCACGAATCAATGTTGTTGTGATCAACAGATAGTCGAAGACGTGAGATATTGACCGGAATGAAACTTGTTTCACTTACGCAAGGAATGGAGTGTTGGTAAGTGTGAGGGGCCCGGCGCTGGAGGAAAGCCGTGATAATTAACACGTTTGAGCAGATGTTGGACAACTCACCTGCCTGAGCTAGCGGAACATTCTGTTGATTTAAGCGCGAAGGTCCTGCCACTTTAATGACTATATATAAACTTTATTCTTGTACTTGGTGAGCGGACTGACCTGGCTGAATCTGGACCTGAAGTTTTTCATATCCTATTCTTGTATGTTCATCCAACAGGTTCCAAGCGGCCTCATCAAAATCCGAAAAGTCGTCTTCAGTATAAAAAGAGCTGTCCTGTTGCTGTAGCGGTTGTGGTTGAGGCTGTGGAATTGTTGACTGCTGCTGTTGGGTTGTTATTCGAACGATCGACGCATCAAATTGAGCCCATGCCGACTCGCTGATGTTGTCGAGTGCATCATCGCTGCTAAACTCCTCATCGGACATGGTGGTGGAATAAGAGACAGCAATAATAATGAGTCACGCTTGGTTCGAGTTCAAGTTGCGAAATTGGACGCGTTCTCCACGTGAGAGGAACTTTTGGTTATGTAAGCGATCGGCCCTACCGGTTGTACTATAAGTAGAATGATTTTCGCTGTAACGGTTACGGAATGTTACATGATGGACTGTGTAATACTGACACTGGTGAGTGTTGGATGAAGGCTGTTAGTGTGAAAGATGAGTCCACGGATGAGTTTGTGATATTTTTGAGTGGTGAAACGCCAAGGCGGTAGGTACATACCGGGGTCAGCAGGCGTGCCTAGACGACCTATATTTAGCCCGTCCAAGAATATCTGGCTTCCAGGGGGCGGCTTGGAGGCGGGCGGTTGCCAAAGATAGATGATGCCAAGACTTCTTGGCTTGTTCTGAGTTTCAAAACAGCCTCTTGGCGCTCTATTTTTAGATCATGGGAAGTCCTTCCAAGAATACGCAGCGAAATTTTTGCGCAGTAGTACCTTTGAGGGGAGTAATAGCATGGAAACGTGACAGTAGTGGTAGCAATATGTACAGTATCGGTACAGTATGAGAAATAAATAACGATGATCCAACCATAAATATCAAGTTACACAGTAACAGAAGGTGAAACGAATATCAAGACGTGGTCATGGGGTAATCTCGGGACTTGGATCTTTCGTCAGAAATATCGCTGAGCTGTTTGATATCTCGCTCGACCTCTGGAACGCGGCCGTTAGAGAGCAGGGCGCCTATAGCCATTGATGGCCGGGTGGCACGGGGGGAGTAATCTGCTGCAGATGAGGAAGACGATGTCGGGGAATAAGGCGATGGTGGATGTCTTGGCGGCGACTGCGACATGCCGCGGTGCCTTTTGCGAGTACGCGTGTCTGCCATTGGCGGCAAAGCGTACGGAGAATGGCTCCGCTGGTGGCGGGACTGGCGCTGAGGCACAGATAAATGATGCTGCTGGGGGGGCGAATGCGACGTCGACGGCGTCGGGTAATGGGACATCGGTGGCGACGGCGGGTAGGATGTTTGTCGCTGGACGTCGATCAGGGTGCGTAGAAGGGCCGCCCGTTCTGCCTGGCTGTGTTCTTCAGCTGTCTTTGCCTTGAGCATCGCAAGCAGCATATCGCGGTCGCCATCCCCCTTCGCACGATATGCCCCGAGAATTTCTCGAAGCGTAGGAGGAGAAGGCTAAAGGAGTTCATATAAGTACAGAAATCCTTGACCCGAAATAAAAACATGCCTGGCTGAGGGATTCGCGGGCGGCGGTGAGAAAGTCAAGTTGGGAAGCCATGAGAGGGAGCAGGAGAACCGACGGTGGAATATAAATCATAATTTGGTCTTGGCAGCTTTCTATTTTTAAGGCCAAGTAAACTCGACATGCTCTGTGCTATTTTTGCTGCTTTTGGTTGCCCCGACCATCGGTACACACGTGACCCGTATCTCCCATTCGTTCCTTCCAAGTGACCGTCACAGCTTTCTGTCACGACTCGCGATGTCGGACGTCCCCTTGTACAACTGGAGCCCCGGAGCCCAGCCTCACTACATCACCACCGTCGCCGCCGCTGACGCCGTCATTGCCCGCCATCTCGAGCACTACGTTGGCCATGTTGGCTTCGACCTCGAATGGAAGCCCTCTTTTGTTCGCGGCGCCCGCGAGAATCCAGTCGCCCTCGTCCAGATCGCTACAGAGACCGAGGTCTTTCTCTTCCAGCTCTCTGCTATGTCTACCGTACCATCTTCCTTACAACGCTTCCTGGAGAAGAACTCAGTCCTCAAGGTGGGCGTCGGTATCCAACGTTCGTCATTCTTCCAGTCCTGCTCACCTCTTACTCAATATTTCCTTAACAGACGACGTCAAAAAGCTTTTTGATGACTATAGATTCTCAGTCCTATCTTGCGTAGACCTTAGCATGTTTGCACGGTCTGTCGATAACTGCCTCTTGGAAAGGCCCTTTCAAGAATCCCATCGGTCTTTCCAGGCTCGTCTCTACCTATCTTGGCTATACGCTTTCCAAAGGTCATATCACGAGGAGCAACTGGGAGGCCTACCCACTCTCTTCAGCACAAATACGATGTAAGTTTCTCTACTTGTTCCTATGTCAAAGCTAACTCTACATGATCAGACGCCGCCAATGATGCGCACGCAGGTTATGCAGTTTATTCCCACCTTTGCACCCTAGATCTTGAACGAGAATCTCCTGTCAAGCAGTCATACTACTCTTTTCATGCCATTCGCGGACGTCTGTACCATATTCCAGACCAAGTCCCTTCATCCCATGATGACCTCTGGGGGCTCAGTGCCACCTCGCGCCTCGTTGAATGGTTTCCTAGAAATCCGGAATATGATCCCGGCCCCCCTCCCCCTCCTAAGGAACCTAAAACTCCGGAAGGACATCCGGGTTCACCAAAGGATGCCGCCGCAGAGCCTCCCCAAGATTCCTCTTCTTCACGAGACAAAGGTAAGCGTAAAGGAACGCGTACTAGGTATCGCCCTCGTCGCTCTGCCTCGCTTCTGGTGTAGTCACTACTACTACTTACGTAGTATGTCTGCTGGTGGCTCGAATCTTACAAATCGGACCTTGGCGCTTTTCTGTGACCATTGTTCTAAGTTCTTCTGTCGTGCATATGCATGCAAGGTTCAGGATTGCCCTTGAGGCATTAACTCGGCGTATTTATTGGTCTCCAACCCATGGCCATCAGTTCGCTGACCATTGACAGGCATACGTACAAAGCGATGTAAAACATCCTTGAGGGCTTGGCTGCACCGATTCGGAGAAGTCGACACTGCTCTGATTTTCATAACCGTTTCTCGTCATGTTTGTGCCTTCGTTATTTACTCCGGGCCCTTTTGCAGTCCAGGTCGTTCGGTCTGATTCGCGCAGCACTGATACCATTGCCCTGGAACTATGTATGCCCACGTCGCCGTATTATGAATTTAGCGAAAGCCTAAGGCTATCATTACATCGCGGATACGTAACGAAATCCACATTCTATCGTCGATGACCCTGTTTCTGTTCTTTGCCCTCTTGCATAAGTGGGTGCAGCACGGCCGGTTTCTCCAACAAGTAGCAAATAAATGTAAAGAATCGAAAATGAACTCGTCATCTACATCGTAATACATGCCATCATATGCATGGTTCTAGAGGTGTTCCCACCTTAGCTCCTACAAGGCATCATCTCGCGAAAAGTGACCTGACCCTCTAGCACCTGTCGAGGTGGGCTTGGGTGCTGCTGTGACCTTCCTCGACGACACGCATGCTCCTTGATCGACCCAAACGCCCACGGACCCTGCACGCACAAGATCGGTTCTATCAATATCTATGGATGCATTACGGTCAACTCACCTTCGGGAGTATCACCCTGCGTCCACCACTTCGCAGTCCACAAGTGGGAACTATTTGTGGTGTCCGTGAGCTTCGCGGAGTAGACGATAGATTCCGGTTCAAGGTACGTACTTGTATACTGTTTGATCGCCACCAACGTAAATTGTAGTAGCTTCCCATTCATCTATGCCCGTACAGGCTCCTCCAGAGGTAGGGGTGCTTCCAAGCGGATGTTGTAGTCATTGTAGTCGTTGTGGGGTCCCCACCATTTGAGCCAGATCCAGAACAGGCGCTAACTGGAAGTAACCGCTGTGTTGATTAGATTGGACAAATGGAAATGAGAGAGACGCACTAGCACTCCAATCTCCATTAGGATTGCTCGCAGGTACCGACTGAGTCCACCACTTTGCCTACGAATGAATGCGTATTATTTACGTCTAGTGAATGAGAGATAACGCTTTCACGTACCTCCCATATATATCTATAAATAGAATGCTTAGTCCATGCAACAAATGCGATACGGAGGAACTTACCCGTTGTACGATACTGTCGAGGATGCTATATAGACGCTTCCAGCGGAGTAATTCGTGGCGGAACAGGCTGGATAAGTGAATCCCACTCCACCGGCCGCGGCAAGGGCTCCCTTTATGGTCAAGTCATAGCGATCATTCGCTGTTCGATATCAAGATTAAGTTGAACAGAGTACCATAAAGGATCGAGAACTGACCATAAGCTTGTGAAGCATCCCAGAGCATCACGCCTCCGAAAGACGGGAAACTGTTCCGCATCTGCACAGCAATACTGCTGAGAGTTCCGATGTCGACGTATCCTGATCCAGCAGCAGTCGATGAAGCCGGCGCACCAATATAGACCTTGACATCGGGGTTGAGGCTCGTGTTACGGGCCCATTGATCCCTATGGATATGACACATATTAATATCGCTAAAGATTGGGCGCTAAACGCAGCCGATTCACCAGATTCCAAAGTTCCAATTCTGGAAAGGCCGACATGAGATACACTCAACTGTAACAAAGACAGACGAATCCTACCGAGGCTTTCCCAAAGTTCGTCAGACCACAAGGGTTGTTGTAGAACTATGCATCATAACGCCTATATAAGTAGTGTTGATGGTGTTCTGCTAATATCTAACGTACCTGGACTACAGATTGATCAAAATCAAATTAGCACCTGTGGAATAGAAAAATAGCAAGCAAGCACACCATAAATTGCATCGAAGCTAGCAGCATTGAGAACACCGCTCAACGCAGCATCTGGGAAAACGCATTGCGGCGCAGCAGTAATATAATACCTTGGCTACCCTAAATCTAAGGCAATCTAACCTAAAATTAGAACTCACCGCTTCGACGCGCCGGTAGCCAATGCCCTTAATTCATTCACAAACGCTGGATAACTTGAAGATGTCCCGCCTTCGATGTCCAGGTCGACACTACGTCGCATGGTTGTCAGCATTTATCATGTCAAAAAAGTGGGTTTCATACCCGTCTAAAATTGCACTACCAAAAGGCCGAGCGTCTGAAGTGCCTCCAAGGAACAAGTTCCAAACTGTGTTTGCGAATTGAACGGCCTGGGCGTCAGAGCTGAATCCTACGGAACCAGTCGCTCCACCCAGACTGAGTGTTACGATCTTTCCTTTGGCTTGGCAAGTGGCGATGTCTGTGGCCAGTAAGGAACAGTCGGGCAAAGCCGTCCCAGGGAAAGTGGTGTTATCGACGGTATTGCAGGTCTGTCTTCGGTCAGCTTGCGGTGGGCTGCGTAGGGCAGATATGGCGTACGTTGGCGAGGTTCATTGAGGGCAGATCCCCTGTTCCAAAGAATACGTTGAGGAATGCCAGTGGAAAGACATCGATCGCGTCATCCTTTAAGAGATTAGGTTACTAGGATATCGTATGACAGACACAGACGCACATTACAATAGAAAGACAGCCTTTGTTGATAGTTTGCCGTATCATTGAGGTGAGCCGCGCCATACGAGTTCTGCCCCCAGTACCTGGCGAGGAGTTCAGTGAAAGGCCATAGAGGTTTCGGAGTCATACACAACGGTCTGGCAGAATGAAGCATTAACGACTAAAGAATTACAACGGAGTATATCGGCGTACATTATCGTATCTTGAATTATCGAATGCCAGGACGACGGATATTCCAACGACAGCAAGAAGTGCAGGTAGTAGCATCCTGATTGTTGAGATAGAGTGAGCAGTGAGAGAACTAGGGTGATAAAATGTAGCATTTTATCATGCTACTGCATCCATTTTATAAAAACGCCTGTCCATCGTATCACGGCGACACGTCGTATCAGTGTAAGGAAGCCTGGGAGCCTTCAACGCGTCAGTCTTGTTGACGCTTCCTTATCCGTGAGCACGAGGGCGTCAAGTCAACGCAGAATGCTCATGGAGTGCAAGATTAGAGTGTGAGCTTCTTAGGTTAGAATAGGTAGTCAGTGCATGTGGTTTCTGTTGATAGTCATTAAGCACATCTTGACACACGGAAGAGAACGGTGGAGTACTCAGTTGTACTAGAAATCACTTGTGCGTGGCAGGCAGAATATCCAAGAGACATTGACATCGGCATGACATCCGATGCCAGAAGGGGAGATACAAAGAGGCAAAATTTAGAACGATCTATATACATAAGCAGAAACAACAGAGATAGAGCGTATTGGAGCAGCAATCATTCTGATACAGCTGAATCGTTCCCGGCAGCTTCCTTTTGTCGTATAGGTACTGTGAAGGGGTTTAGTCAGGATCGTGGGAAAATCGTGGGAAAGCGTACGGAAGTAGGGCTGTTGTTGTGCCTCGCGGGCGGTCAGACGATCCTGATGGTCATATCGCAGCAACTTGTCCAACAGGTCGATAGCCTCATTCGAAATATAGCGCTGATTTTCTGATGTTATAAATCGCGTCCACGGTTTTCTAGGATACCTATGAAGACAAGTATTGAGTTTGAAATAACTATGTGGTTAGCAAGTCACAAACCGGCCAAGGATCTCGTCATACTGGGCATCCAGGCGGATGTGATACTTGTCGATATAAGCAAACAATTCGTCAGTGCCTAGCACTTTAGCAATCTTGACTAGTTGATCGTAGTTGTCGTGACCGTGGAAGAATGGTTCCTTGCGGAAGATCTAGGAGAGTGGTCTTTAATTGATGGTAAGGGGAAGAAAGACAGGATTTTACCATTGAAGCAAACATACACCCGTAACTCCACATGTCTAGACTATAGTCGTACTCTTGGAAGTCAACGAGTAGCTCAGGACCCTTGAAGTAGCGGGAAGCAACCCTGACATTGTATTCAGTTTTCGGATGGTAGAACTCTGCAAGACCCCAATCGATGAGCCGCAACTGGGACACTTGATTAACTAAAAATACCCAGGAAACATATAAGTTTTACACACCTTGCGAAGCTCATGATCTATCATGACATTGTGCGGCTTTACATCTCGGTGCATGATGCCCTTCGAATGGCAGAAATCTAGAGCCTATCAGAGCCTGTGAGCTTGTTACCGTGGAAGAATCGGGCTATCTTACTTTTAGCAGCTCATACATATAGAAACGGACGTCGTAGTCGGAGAAACGGGGATAGAGAACTTTGAAATCAACGTTGTGGACGTATTCTGTGATTAGACTTGGTATCTTGGAGGCTTGATCTCGAACGACATCCAAAAGCGCGACGACATTGGGCCCTCCGGCCAGGTTTTGTAAGATCTTGATTTCTCGCTTGATTTTCTTCTTTTTCACGGGTTTTAGGACCTTGACGATGCACTTTTCTTCTGTCACGACATTGATGCCTTCGAACACCTGTGGTACAATCAGGTCGTCTGTCGATGGTAATAGACTAGCATGACGCACCTCCGAATACTTTCCCCGACCCACTTTCCGAACGATTTCATAGTGATCTTGAGAGCCCCATTGGACCTGTAGGTTGTCTATGAAACAGAGCGATGTCAGGAATAACAGCAGCAAAGTTCGAGGCCAGCCTTGCGCACCATATTCGTGCCATGAAGGGCCAAGTTTCGCATTGACGTCGGCGTATACTCGAGCAACCGATTTGGTCGATGAACGACCCATTAAGATGACGGAGGAAGAAGGAAAGTGAGCTGATGCGTTGCAGCAATGAGGTCCGCCCTTAGATATTCCCACGGTGATGTCCAGGTCACCGCCTCCCCATTGGCCCAAAGACGTAGTCTACCTCAGTTCCCCCGCGTACCATGCTTCTGTGTCAATGGATGCAAGGCAATTCATGGAGCCTAGCCCTGTAAAAAAAGGTGCATGGGCGAAATCGTCCGCTGTTGTTATTCGTCGCATCTCGAGACCCGAGCATCCGGCATTCGGACAACTGGGGCTGTTTGCTGCGAAGAAAATACCACCAAAGACACACATTGTTGACTATATTGGTATGTACTTGCTACGATGATACAATAAGGAATTTGAACAGAAGCAGGAGAAATACACTGTGAAAATCGGCTAGACTCGGACTACGATCTGTGTCTGCATCGATTTGAAGATGGAAGCTGCATTGGGGTCGACGCGGGCAGGATGGGCAACGAGGCGCGATTTGTTAATGATTTTCGCGGAATAAAGGATAAGCCAAATGCAGTTTTCGTGGACAGACGGAGTGAATTTGGGGACTTACGCATGGGAATTTGGTCTTCGCATGAGGGCATCAAAAAGGGCGACGAAATTGTTGTATCATATGGTAAAGCGTGGTGGCACGCCCGAACAAAATGACAAGCACAACGGCGACTTGGAAAACTTTGGGCCGTCTTCAAAATAAGGCAGCGAGGACCAACGCAGCGGCAATAATTGAATGACGGGACATTTTCGGCAGACCCGCGAAAAAAAAAAAGTTGTGAAAAAAACGATACGAAAAACTTACGGGTAGCAACAGAAAAGCAAATATGCGGCGACCAAGAAATCCACGGGCCTTCAAAGAGGCGAAAGAAACAAGTTTCTTAGAAAGCGTCATCCTCGTAAAGGCACGTGGTGTCCTATTATGGAAATATAGGCACGTGTTGAGCAAAAGCTCCGGAAACAAACAGGCAAAATTTCGACGAGGACGGTCATTACTGTCTTTCACAGATTCTCCCGTTGCCTCATGCGCCCGTGTATCCCAGCAAAAGGCGTCTCGTCCTTTATTGCCTTTTACTCCTGTTCTAGGCCCGTCCAACGGTCTGGCACTTCCTCGCTCTCCTTCTACCGATCAAGATGTCTTCACAATCTACCTAATTCTGCCCACCGTTTACCCTGCCCGAGGCGCATTGCTGAACGGGTACGTTCCGCTCATCGCTCGTTGCTCACCGTGCTCACCGCTCTGTAGCGGCATTTCCATGCTTCACCCGTATCAGCAGCCCCCAAGGATCCATACTCAGTTCTCGGTGTGAATAAGGATGCAACAGCTGCTGAAATCAAGAAAGTCTATTTCTCCGTACGCCTGCCTATCGCGTCTTGTACTTTCACCTCACTCAATATATGCAGCTGGCTCGGAAATACCATCCAGATACTAATCCCGACGCGAATGCACGGGACAAGTTCGTCGAAATTCAGGAAGCCTATGATGTCAGCCTCCAAATTAACTTGTCCATCTACCTCATGCTCAGTCCGTCACATACAGATCTTGAAAGATGAAAAGAAACGAGCTGCCTATGACCAGTACGGTTCCACATCACAGCAGCCAGGTTTCGATCCAAACTCCTTCTCGCAAGCCTTCCGTAATGGCCAAGGGTTCGGTGGTTTCAAGGACTTTTCTTCTGCCTTCGGTCCCGATGTCGGTAGCGGATCCAGTTTCTTCGAGTCCTTGTTCGGCGCTTTAAACAACGGCCCCGGAAGTCGACAGCGGTCCCGCGGAGAGGATTTAGAAGTTTCAGTTGGAATAACCTTCATGGAATCATGTAAAGGGACAAAACGCAACGTCAAAATTTCCCCTGTTGTCGATTGTCTAACTTGTTCCGGCCTCGGTCTAAAGCCAGGTGCGAAACGTACAACATGTACAGCTTGCAGTGGTTCCGGTACCCGGACTTTTGTCATCGATAGTGGTTTCCAGATGGCCAGCACATGTCCGTCTTGCTCTGGTGTTGGAAGTACGATACCTCGGGGTAGTCAGTGTGGTTCTTGCGGAGGCGTGGGCAAGGTCAGAGCACCTCAGACTATTGAAGTCGATATACCACCAGGTACGTCTCATGGTGATAAAGTTTTCATGCTTCTTTGTCGTTACCTTCTTGTCAGGCGTCGAGGACGGAATGACTATCCGCGTTCCGAAAGCGGGAGATGCGCCAGTAACCGGCAAGGGAACGCCTGGCGACTTATTTGTGCGCGTCAGCGTTGCCCCATCAAAACAATTTACACGACAAGGAGCCAACTTGTTCCATGAGGTTAAAGTACCCTTCCACACCGCGCTTCTTGGCGGTCGAGTCCGAGTACCTACTATTGATGGCGAAGTCGATGTCCGACTACCCAGCGGCACTCAGCAAGGAGAGGAGATGGTATTAAAAGGACGTGGTGTTCCAGAATTTCGAAACGGTCTTAGTGGGGATCTCTATGTTACATTCTCGGTGGTTCTCCCTAGGTAAGCCTCACGGTCATCATATGTTCGCTGACTTTGATATCGCATCTCTAATCAGATCTCTCTCAAAACGACAACGACAACTGTTACAAGAATACGCGGATGATGTTGAAGGTCGATCAACGTCTAAAGATAGTAAGGGAGGCAGCAAAGCTTCTCAGTCTTCAAGTTCGTCACAAGGAAAAGGGACAGGTGGTGGTCATGATAACGGTATGCCTTCTTTTACACATCAGTCACCCTCACAAGGTGGCTTGGTGTTTCGTGCGTGGCAAAAATTACGAGGACTCATTGGGTTTTGATTTTTTTACTGGCATGTCTTCCATCCTTTGCCAACGCTCAACTTCGTGTTCTTATCTGCATTCATACGCTAGTCACCGCCGAGGACACTCCCAAAGAGGTAGAGAAAGAGGCAAAGGAGGACCGGGACGAAGATCAGGAGATGAAGAGGGCGACAGCATGATAATTAAAATTTTAGATTCGTATTGCATATACAAGCCATCTAATTATTATTGTATGTACCGACGTGAACAGACGCGCCACTTCTCAACCGGACTGACGATCTCTCACGGAGTTGAAATAATAAGCTGTGCCGCTTCTTTCTTTTACCACGATGACTCGATATTTGACCAACAAGGCTCTGCGGTACTAATTATTCTGCTTGGATAATTCTTCAGCATTGCCAATTGATGACCCAAGTTTCCCCGTCTCGTTCCTACGGAATTCTCTTGGTTTGAAATGGTTCGGGCCAGACTTTCCGGTTTCCGCTCTCAGTACGCAGTTCATCAATTCAAGTTTCTCTTGAGAAGCGGCACTACTTACTCGATCACCCATTCAGGTTAGAGGGGATGCTCTTCGGTAATGAAATCCCTTGCAAGACGAATTGCTTTATGTATTGAAAGCCAATTTCTTTGGGAGATCAAATCTGCCAGGTCGTATTCATATCTCCAGGTTCCATGAGCATGGTCTTCTCTCCGTGAGTCCAGTTCCATCCCCGTCTTACTCAAAGTTGATTACCCCCAACCAGGTACTCATGTAGTTCCGACTATAAAATGCCCCCCGGAAAATATGAGATTTATTTCTCCTCTTCGAAGCAGCTTCCCTCTTCTCTAGTTTCACACAAACCCGCCCTGCTCCTTCTAGTACCATGGTCCGACAGATGTCCAGCTCCGACCTTGACGATGTCTTCTCTACGACTCACGACCGCACCCCAGTGGACGAAAAGTCTATCTCACATCCTTCAGATTCTTCTTCAAGATACGGTACCGGTGAAGTGGGGACGCCTTCTATCCTCACATTAGACTCTTCCTCTTCGACGGTTCTTGAGAAAAACGACCAAGTACCTCAGCATCTCTCGACGTTCCGAATTCTCATGGTCCATATCGGGTGAGCTCTAGTGGACTGGTCGGCGCGTATCATTTTTGACCGTTCCTATGTAATTTCACCAGGGCTGCTTTAACACTGTTTCTTGCTACAACGGATGCTGTAGGTTGTCCTTGATCTTCGAGAAGACTCAACTTAGTGACCGATCAGAATATTGTTTCGACGAGTTTGCCAACGATCTCGAATGACCTTCAGGCTTCACAGTCCTGAGTATACCTGGGTCGGTGTTGCATACATGTTGACCCAGACGGCATTTCAACCCCTCTACTGGAAGGATATCCGATGTTGTAGGCCGAAAGGTACAGGATCCGCGGTCGACCCAGATTGTGATACTGATCTCACCAGTCTTTGTTATTTGCGAGCGTGATTATATTTGCCCTTGGAAATTTAGTGTGTGGAGCCAGCAATGTACGTGTGGCTATTTGATCTGTTTCCTATGCTCACCCGTCGTGTCCGAGGAAGAGTATCACCATGTAAGATATATAAATTTAGCATTGCTGCGTCGACTTCTGCTGATACACGCGATTTTTTTATATAGGCTCATTGGGTCTCGTGCTCTGGCAGGAGTTGGTGGCGGCGGTATCGTGAGTTCGGTATGGGTCATCACAGCTGAAATCGTTGAGGTACGACATCGAGCCAAGTGGTCACAGGCCTTGAGTATTACATGGAGTTGCTCGGCTGTCGCGGGACCTCTATTGGGAGGCCTTTTCAGCGGTGCGCATTCGCTCCACTCTAATATTGTGATTATATCTGAGGATGACTCTCTCAGGCGATACGAATTCGATACTAAGCTGGAGGTGGGGATGTGAGTACCGACTATACGCGCCTTTCCTGTGAATGACCTCACGCATATCGTACAGTTTACCTCAATCTACCTATATGCGCGGTCGCTACGCTGGTGCTTGTCTGTTCCCTCCACGGGGTCACCTTGCAGAAGTCCGGTGATTATTCTTTGCGCACTATACTTCAGCGATTCGATTTTGGGGGCTTGTAGGTTTCGGCCGATGGTCTATTTGTTGTGTCTTACGCTACTATGTCCAGGATTCTTTTCATGACAGGGACATCTTTTATTGTCGTGGGATTCAGTTTTGCGGATGAGAACGGTTGTGAGTTTTCTCCGTGGTCACCGTCTTCGAATCATCGGAACCGTCTCTAGGGAAATCTGCGACGACGATAACGATGCTGGTACTCGGTCTCCTTATTCTCATTGGCGGTGGGGTTTATGAGACGTATACCGGCCGGGATTGCCTGTTTCCAGCAACAGTATTTACTGATCGTTCTGCGAGTATGTCTTCCCCGAGGACGATGAGTTTGGCTACTGACTCGGCCCCCGTACAGTCATAATCCTTATTGTTACCTTCGTTCACAACTTTGCGTACAATGCCGGGCTGTTCTACCTAGCGTTCTTCTTTCAGGTATGTTTTCAAGTACCCATAAATATCACATGGCTCACACCGGCCATTCATAGTCGGTTGACAACTATACGCCCCTGCAAGCTGGTATCAGACTCCTTCCATTTTCTTTGGGATCTTCGCTTGCATCAATGCCGGCTGCCTGGTTCATTGCTTACTGGCAGTCTCGCCGTCGGGATCTAAGTGGCCAGAACTGGGTCATGTCGTTCGGTCTGCTTATTTCGACCGTTGGCTTCGGTGAAGTTTCTGTTGCTTCTTACGACATAAGCCATGCTCATTTCTCATAAACCAGGACTCCTCATCCTCTTGAAAGCAGGAACGTCAGACGCTCTGGAAGTCTTGTTCCCACTTATCTGTGGGGTTGGAATGGGGGTGATGCTACATGCACCCTATCAGATTTTTGTGAGAGCACTAAAGTCACAAGAGCTAGCGACGGGCACGAGTGCATTCTTCCTGGTCCGCTTCACCGGAGCAACAGTTGGACTCGTAAGTATTACCTGGCTTTCCTTGAGTTGATTCTGATTCTGTTCGCCAAGGCTGTCGCAGGCAGCATCTTTTACGCTCGAGTATCAAACCGTTTGCCATCGGACCTGCCGATAGAAATCCAAGGATCATCTCTGGACTTTAGTGGGCTCAACTCGATCGAGCCCGTATCATTACGGTGGGAGGTTATGAGTATTGTCGCGACTTCTGTTCAGGTACGCCATCTTCTTGATAAAGATTTCCATCTTTCTGACGGTCTTTAGACCATCTGGGTCGTTTGTACGCCTTGTTTGGGGCTTGCTTTCCTAGTAAGGGCTCTCTGCTTCATTAATATGATCCGGCACTGATGACCTACAGCTGTCTCTGTGGGTACGAAAGCTACCAATTGACCGGACACCAGAAGGTGATTCGGAAAAACACACATCCACGAGGAGTACTGTAGTGAAGTGTGGACGTACGAGAAGCCAATGGACATGAAGAAGTACTTTATAGACGTATATATATATGTATATTGGATTTTCTTTCTCCCAATGCTTTATAATAAAAATATAGATAGGTGTGTAGATGGATCCAAACCTATCTCTACTTAATTCCATATAGCAATGTATCGATTGGCGCCGTACTGAAGAGAATGCCAGCCGCTGAATGACATTGGCTTTCCGGCAGCCTCGTTTCTGATGCAGTCTCATCCCCGAATCCACACACCCTTAATGGTAACGCGAAACGACGAATGGCGCTAGAAGACCGTTCCTATGACCCCACGGGTGTTGCTAGTCTGTTGCTCAGAGATCATTTGTACTCGGAGATACGGACGTGAAGGACGAGTTTCTCACCACATGGGGGCAACTGTCTAGACTCGGACATGGAGAGAAATGACACGGAGAAGTGGTATCGCAAACGATACGTCTAGAAAACGAACCGTTACCTGGAGCTTGACTTGAGGTGAGAGAACGGTGGACGACAGTGACACATTACCCCTTGTTCTGCATTAAGAATTCGAATTACCGTTAAGGAAAAAAGCTGATCTGCAACGCAATCCTGGAGGGACGAGATTTGAATAAGATTGTGTTTTAACTTTCTTTGGTACCCAGCCGCGGTGATCGTGCCAGGAAATCGGGCACAATACGTTTAGTAAGTAAATTAGATGTTGGAGACGCGACGCGTCAGTCCCAGGTTCGGTTGCTGCGCAGAGGCGAACCGATTCGATGGTTCACCATGACCTTGGCAAAATACTGCTGGGCGTCATTGATGACGGTCAATGGGCGGCCAAGGGGTTAGACTCCGAGAAAAGGGTCCTTATACAGGGCTGAGCAGCCGCAGAACCCGAGAAAAGGGGAAAGCAAAAATATGGGGACCATCATCGGGTAGCGCCATTTCGGAGCACACGACCACAAATTAGCGCCAACATGAATGTATGCGGCCCCAAAATGAAACATTTCTTATCTTTATGTCCATCGCCGGTGTCACCCAGAGGGCGGCCCTCCCTTATCGTGTTCTACTCCATTCTTTATCTCGAACCACCATCATCACCTCCTCATCGTCGACCATAATGCCCAACTACTCTCCCGTCATCTCGCCAGCGCTCTCAACATCGTCTAGCACGCCTTCTTTGATCAAGCGTCTGTCGGCTAGGTCCGTCCAGAGTCTGGCGGAGCTCATCGTTGGCAGCTCATCAAGCTCTATCCAGCTCGCACCAGAGGAAACTCAGGTCGTCACTGAGGAAGGCCTGCGACATGCAGATATCACACTGGAAGCAAGGTGAGATTTTCTTCCTCAAAGAACTCGGACTATCCTTGGCAAGAATAGATAACCTTGTTCACGGTCTGCCGTCGTCGCTTTCTTGGCCCTACCGGAGCTGACCCTTGCCTTCTCCTCATGTTATAGACACTATAAAACCGAAAAGTTTGCCATACAGTTGCTCGCATGCATCAAAACCTTGCATGTCCCTTCCTGGTCTGACCCCGCCATCACGCCACAAGGAATAAAGATCCAGAAAGTCTCTGGCTCTATGACAAACGCCGTCTTTTTCGTCTCCTATCCAAGATCTCCGGAGATTCGTACTCTTTTGCTTCGGATCTATGGACCATCATCCGGCTCACTCATCTCCCGTCCTCGCGAGCTCCACACCCTCCACATCCTTTCCTCAAAGTACCACTTGGGCCCAAAAGTTTACGGAACATTTGAGAATGGCAGGCTTGAGGAGTTTTTTGAGTCCACAACGCTGAGCTCAACTGATATGAGGGATAGGACCATCAGTGCATGGATTGGAGCACGAATGGCTGAGCTCCATTCCGTTGACATAGAAGTCGTTGAAGAAACCTCGCCAGAGAACAGAGGCGAAGGTAAAGGCTGGGACCTCAGCGTCAAGGTGAACGTCAAATCTTGGTTACCACTCGCCCAGGCTGTCTTGACACTTCCCAACGTCCCCGAATCGCTGCGCAACGAGATAGATTTGGAAAGATTCAGCAAGGAGTGGAAGGCGTATTTGAAATGGTTGTCTGCGGTAGACGATGTCGAGAATGGCAGTCGGCGAGTCTTTGCTCACAACGATGCCCAATACGGGAATCTTCTGAGACTGACAAACGTGCCAGGTGAAAGTGCTCCTCATCGTCAAGTTCGCCTTTTCTTCTTTGCTCTGGGTAACCATCTTGGACTGATTCACATTTTAGATCATCGTGGTAGACTTTGAATACGCCGGGCCCAACCCAGCATCATTCGATATTGCGAATCATTTTCAAGAGTGGACCGCAGATTATCATGGCCCAACTCCTCACCTTCTTGACCCTTCGCGTTACCCAAGTGAAGAAGAGCAGGCCAATTTTTGTGCATCGTACATTCAACATTCCGTCCCGACGCCGCTTGGGAAATCGGAGCTTAAGGCTGCAGTTAAAAGGCTCAAGGATCAGGTCCGTTACTGGAGTCCTGCATCGGCCGCGATGTGGGCTGTTTGGGGTATCGTCCAGGCCAGGGAAGATGTTGAGGGGAACGTTGCAGAGCCCGAGTTTGACTACTTGGGTTATGCCCTTGACCGTTTCAATGGGTTTCGTCGTGAGATCCGAAAGTTGGGTGTAACGGCACCGTAGGAGTATATCCTCCTGTTGATTGTCATGTTCTATAGGTGCAGGCCAATGTTCATTACATACAACTTATCTTCATTGTATCACAGACTCCGCATGCATCCATGTATAGCCTTATTTTTTCTCCGGTTATATCCTTCGTACTTACATTCCCTATCCATGCAGAATAACAAGATTTATATTGAATGAGATGAATAAAAACATGTTGCTGTGACGACGATAATGCTATGCAAACTGGGTGAGATAAAGTATAGCCCTAGTATTGACGACAAGAGAAATCAAACGCGGAGAGAAATTGCTATGTGGTTTTCAGTACGAAGAGGATTGACACAAACAAGCGTATGTATGTAGAGATCCGGCAAGGCGAAAAGGGAAGTAGTGTAACAGGTGTTTGAGATCAGAGAGGAGTATTGTCCGATCCTGCACGGCAGTCATAATCAAGAGAGGAAATCAATCGAAAGAAACAGTCAAAGGCATGTCCAGGACCGTGCACGGCACGGATGCTAATGCATGATTTCAAGCCCAAGCTTTCTCGTGAAGTCTGGATGTGCCCATCGTCAGCTCCGTTGTTGACCAAGGCGAATTGATCGATGCTTCGCCAGCCGCGGTAGGCGCGTGCGAGTACGAAGCCGACGACAAGTGGTTGCTTCGAGCAAAGCTTCCCCAATTGCCTGCACTGCCTGCCCGAACATGACCATTTCCTCGCGGCGGCTGTTGGGATGAAGGAACTGTGTTGTCACCGGATGACAAAGTGTACGAGTGACCTGGAACAGGTTGCGATGGGGTGAAAGAAGCGTCTTCGCTGCCATTGAACGAATGTCGGACATTAGCATTGGAAGGGGGTGTACCGTTCTGATTCATGCGCTATAAGTTTTGGTTATAGAAATTCAGGTGTACGATTGGCGGACATACCTGATTATAACCCACTATCTCAATTCGTGCATTGTTGTGTCTGCCGAGGTCCGGACCAGCAGTCACAGGTGCAGGCGACTTGGTGCCTCTGCTGTGATCAGCACTGGGTAGAAGAACACCGTTACTCGCAAACGCTGGATACGCAGACTTGTTCTGTTTGATCGTAGGTGCATCCAGTGCAGTGTCGACCCTGAGGGAACCCGTAGGCGGGCGCGTGAATTGGTACCCGTTCGTAGAGCTAACGTCAATGGGGGTAGAGCTGTTCGTTGGTGGTTCTTGATTACGTTTGGCAGAGATACGGGCAAGAATGGACACGGGCTCTGCTGGATCACTGTTAGTGCTCATTGAGCGGGCACGACCATCGGGGCGAGCTGAGGGAGGAGCGTTCTCCGGAGTGCCACCAGGAACGGCGGCGGCGCCAGACGTTGGAAGCTCCGTATGGATGAAACAGCATCGTTTACCGTATGGGCATGAGCCAGAAACCCAAAAGGTCTGTCATGACGTTTAGCATTCACCTATCTAGAAATCAGATTATGCTTACCCTGCAGATTTCAGTTTTATACTAGAATACAGTTTAGTACATGAAATGAATTGAAACAGAGTAAGGGCTGACCTTCGGATGCCTTGACACCTTTCTCAGCTCTTCTTCACCATGAGCAAACTGGCACTTGGCGCCATATCGACACGTCCCTTTCTCCTCCCAACTACGGCAAAGCTCAGTCTTGTAGAGACCCAACTTCCTGTTGTTGGCGCTAGGCCCATTCTGCCCTCCGCTAGTGGCACTACTGGGACTGTGAAGTCCACTGTCCATCTGTGGCGGAATAATTCCATAAGGACCACTATATTGCGGCTGTAATCTTGCCATGACTTGCGCATCCTGTCGGGCATATGTATCTTGACCATAGAACTGGTTAGGATACAAAGCCATTGCAGGCGGAGGCGCACCCATGCCTGGTGGGAACAAACCCGGGGCGTAAGGCTGCATGTTACCGCCCATCAAGGGAAGTTGCGATGGATCTCTAAGCGCCGATGGGTCAGAGGCTGAGTGATGGTGCGCGCCTCGGAAGATGTTATGCTGTTGCTGGACTCTAGAGACCGCTGGATGGTCTTGAGGAGGGCCTGTTAACATCATGTCGTAGAGCTGCTGGGAATTACCCAGCGACATGTGGGCGGTATGACTAGGATACGGCATGCCTGGAGGACTTGGGATAATACCCTGCTGCTGAGGATATCCACGGGGAGGCTGGCGATACTGAATGGGTACGGCGTTGTTAGGTCTGTTCGGTACATATGATTGGGCGCCAGGAGCGGCGGTACCCATGCTCGCGTGCGAAAGAGGACTGAAGTTACGTTGCTGAAGATTGTAATCAATCTGAAGATCATCTCTGCCCGGAATGACTGACTGGGATGCTGATCGATAGTCAAAAAGCTGTGGATGGGGCTGTGCCTGGGGACGATGAACGGACACAGTATTGTTCGCCAGTGAAGGGTAAGAGAGCTGCTCTCCAGCAGGTCCTGGCTCCCGATACTGAGGCCACTGTTGCTGCTGCTGCTGCTGTAGCTGACCATCTGTAGCATCCAAACCAGTGCCTTCCCCAGCATGCTGAAGACGACGCAAGTCCGCACTCGATAGGCCACCGCTGAACGAATGCGGGCGCTCTTTCAGTTCACTAGGTGGTCCGTTGAGAGGAGAATGAGAGAGCATAGTGTTGCTGGCGGCGGAAAGTGCAGACTCCTGCGAGCTAGACTCTGTCGTGTCCGTTGATGATCCTCGTGAATGAGAGATAGTAATTTGATGCTCGGAAGAGGGAGGAGAAGAGTCGAGGCTATCAGCGGAAGAGGTCTCCAGCGGACTTGTTTCTGCCAACTGCACAAGAGTGCTGGGTAATTTGGACTTTGGGGGTGTCCGAATGGGTGCATCGTCTCCCGACTCCCCAGCGACGTCACCAATGTTCAGCCGAACAATCTCGTCCGCCAAGTCCCAACCGGCCGCACCGGCATCCGGATTGACATCGACAAGCTGGCCATTGGCATTGAAGAGCCAGCGGTTATTGCCACCAAGCGCGGAGTCCATGCTAGGAGGGTTGGATTCGGAAAGAGAAGTCATTTTGGAAAAGGCTGATTTTTGTAAAGTTGCAGAAGGCGCTCGGCGTGTCAACGGCGGAGGACTACTATCGTTCTGTGGAAGCCAAGTCTAAGAAGAAATGGTCAAAAAGAAGCGAGAGGAAGAGATAAGAGAACGTGCCTCTAGTGACACTTCAGAATCAGATTTGTGAGGCCAGGAGGTCGTGTCTGTAGTCTGAGGTCTATTCGTGAGGGTGATAGTGGGCAGTAGATCGTCTGGAGTCTTCGGAAAGTAACTTTTCGGTGTGGAAGAAATCGTTACAACGTCGTGCATTTAATACTGGAAAAGATGAACATGCGTTTTAGCCGAGGAGATGGAGGATAAAAGAAAAGGAAATATACCTATGAGATAATTAAGACGTAGAGTCGCCTCCGATGAATGCGTGATAAAAGATGGGTAACTTTTGGGAATAATGAGTAGATGGCGAAAGCGTAAGTGAGCAGATAGATATCGAGGACGAGAGGGACGCCGACGACGATGACGACGACGACAGCAGGGCGAATTCGGGAAGCGAGAAAGGGCAGATAGGTATAAAAAGCGTGGGCAGGGTCGTGAGGTGATGGTCGTGGTAGAAAGGAAAGATGGGAGCTGAAGGCAAGCGCTGTGACAGAAATTGGAAGAGCACAGCTGGACTGTGAGGTTAAGAAGGAAGAAGGCGAGGCAAACGGCTGCCTTCACCTAACGAGTTTGGTCAACGTTTTGATCGCAGACAACGTGCCCGGCGTTTGCCAATAATTAATCACGTCCTGCGACTCGGTGCCAGCCAACTGCAGCCGGCAACCTGAATAATCGACAGTACACGACCTCGACGACAGGAGCGACGACGAGCACAACGTCAACAACGGCGAGCAAACTTTTGGGATGCAATGCTGTCCCCCCACTCCGGAGCTGTCCATCATTTTCACACGCACTTTTCAAACTCCGACATGCAAATCGACTCTTTTTAGACATTTTCCCCGTTCAGACTCCGGTATCTGTCTTGGCCCAATTCTCCATTCCTAGGAAATTCACTCCCAATTCTTCCTTAATTCCTTTGCTCAAACGAATCCAAAATGAATCTTCGTTGCCACCTCCAACTTGAAAACACGTGGTCTTCGCGTGGTGTCATGCACCACTTCCTTTTTTCGGCTTTCTACCTTGATCGAATCCAACCTTTTTCTTTGCCTTCTCCAACAAGTCAACATCTTGTATAGTCCCCATCGATAGCTCCTTGTTCCTCGTCACTGAAGCCCCTCTTTCACTGTCAAATGTCATGAATCCGATATATCTTCTTCAATTCTGATCCAGGAGATACTATTCCCATCCCCGGCGGCGCTCTGGTCCTCTGCACTTTGTTTTCCGCATGTTCTCTTCCTAGTAATATTATCCAGCACAAGTTCTCAACGCTGATCGATGTCTGATTGCTGTTTCGCCCATCTAGCAGATCGATCTCTTGAATGTTGGGGTAAATCTACTATTGGAATATTTTATGTCTTGACCTTGTCAAATTCTTGTATCAAGAATTTGGGAACCTGCGAGCGTCGAACATCACTTACCAAGTTTGAGTGCCACCGCTCGAATGGCGGGACACAGCCCCACCCTTCCCCCGATACCTGATAGGTTATCATGAGCGAATGTATGACTAGCGCTGGATATCGGTATGGACGCAATAACCAAGCGCAGGACTTTGAGAGGCATCATCTATTTAGAGAAGCGCAGGTTCAAAGTCAGCGAATATGATCGAGAGATCTAAAATTGGCGATGGCCGCTCGGAGGCAAATTTCAACAAGAGATGATACGATTCTTGGGTATACAGTCCTCGCTGTCGAAAACCTTTACGATGCTATTTATCTCTCGCTTCTGAAACGAATGGAATCTAGGCGAACATTGATCGGATACGGTCCGCTGCCTCGTAGTCATCTATCTATACAACGGCTAAACGCGCGAGTGAAGGGGTCATTTAAGCCACTGTTCACGAAGGATAATCGCCTTGTTGGTCGATTCCTCGATCGACTTGACTGAGCTCCTCCCATTGACCCGTTGGTGCAAGGTTTACAACCCGACGCCCGCACATACGGATCTGTCATTTTAGAATTACCTCCGCTTCTTCGCCTCAAAGCTGATAGGGTCGCGATACTTATCGCGGCACCGATTCCATCTCAGGGCGTGGCAAACACGCATTCATCCAACATCTTTGCGGAGTACATAAATCGATGGAAACCCTTGAATTATCAAGTGGATATTATGTATTTTCCAGAACCGTTGCAATTTCACTGCAGCTCAACAGAAACGTAAGGAAATTATTGCGATTGAGGAATGACTACAAGTACAAAGTTCATAAATGTCAGGGTCAATATAAATCAGGCATCTAAAGATTTGCATTAGCACAAGCCACATTGCTTTCGCGTGGTTTCTTACAATACGAAGTACCAACCAGCATGGTTGACAAGCTTTGTAACTGATCCTCATCGAAGGCTTGCTGATCCTTGTGCCAAGTGTCCTGTAACAGAGGTCAGAATATAATTGCCGGTAAACTAAGTAAGTAGCTCTGTGGTACCTGATGGGTCTGCAACGGGGATGATCAGTAAGGGGATTCATAAGAAGGGCAGGATAACCATTACCTTCTTAAACTCTGACGCGCATTTTCTAATTGTGGTCGAGATGGGAGGGTCAGTAGCGTGAGGAGCAAGTACTGCAGCAGCAATCAACATCTGGCAGATGATCCGGAGAACAAGTAGAATATACCTTCTGTAAGTGAGGGCAACCAAGGTTCCACGGAGTAGGGGAAACTTTCGATGAGAGCGCACAGTCCTAGTATAGCAGAGTGCATGGACCGAAGGGAATCGGCATACGAAGGATCCCTGCGTGAGGGCAACTTAACCTTGCGAGTCATGGTGATAAATCGATTCTGCGACCCTGTAAGTTCAGTGCCTAGGTTTCATACGGAAAGTCTACGAACTTTCAAGGGGATGATACTTTGACGTTGCGAGCATCGAACAATCCCTGACAGTGATTTCGAGGCCATTTCCCGGACCTCGACATTCTCGTCGGCTAGACAGTCCATTAACATGTCCATAACTCTGGCCACACCTTCCGGTGATATCGACAGCAAATTTCGGTAGAAGAAAACAACCAGGGGAGGAAGCGCTTGAAGACGGATGCGCCAGGACTGCATTTACAACTCGGTAGGCAAAGTTTCTGATAGCAGTGGAAACCCGTACCTTTGACGATTTGATGGCGACGACGAAGTTAGTCAGGATGGGACTAATATACTCCACGGGTGGCGTGAAGGCTGATAACACATAAAGAACAGCGGTGGAATAGGTTTGGAGCTCCACGTTATCATTGAACTCCGTCATGCGCAGGAATTCAGGCCTACACCACCATTACTATTCGCTGCAAGGCATAAGTATGCCCACTCACATCAAAGCCACAGCATATGGCAAAACAAGGGTCGCCTGCGGGCTATAGGACGACACCCATATCCACTGAAGGACTTAATGAACCGGTGTCAGGGATGACTACACAATTAAAACCGACTGTACTTACGCGACAATGCGACTTTGTCGTACTTTCGAAGAACTTTCGATTAGATACGAATAAATCCTCAATTTGATGACCTACCTCCGATTTGCTGACCCAAGGTGGTGGTAGACGTTGCTCTCGCCATTGAGGCATTTGTGCCAGGATATCAGTAATTTGCTTTTGGAATCGGGCTTGACTACACTTCCCCTGAATACAACGCAGAATTTTATAGACGTGAAGCTTACCGAATAAATAAAGGATCGTCGGATTCCTGGCAAGCGCGTAGGAAAAGCTCTGTGGACGGGTAAAGCGGTCGCCACTGCATGTTAAGCAAGGTGGTAAGTATTTGGGTAATGAGCCCCCGTATCTGTGTTCGTGGAAAGAGGTTTAGACAAAAAAGGAAGAACCGGAGAGAGCCCTCGAACCTCAGCATAATTGGTGTTTGCATTTGTAAAGAAGAAACTGATGAAGTGATCAGCTCTGCGCTGGAATACATGCTCGGCAGAATCGGCCAAGATCCCAAATAAACTGAGGGCCTTACTCACTACGTAGACTTGTCAGCGCGGTGAACGATAGACATAACACCGGACTTACTGTCGAACGCGGAATCTCCACTGAAATCGAGAGGTAGAGATAAGATCCAATCAATTAGCGGCTTATTACGCCTTGGATCTCGATCTTCTAAAATGCTCTATATGACGCAAAGTATCAGAAAGGAGGGACGAATACAGCGACAGAACGCACGGCAAATGAGGTCTCCCAAAGGGTTAACGTATCGGGCTTAATTTCGGCAAAAATGCGATCCAATCGACTGCGAACCCAACCCCATAGTTTGTCCGATGCATGTTTGGGCCAGTGTTTCGCTCCTATAAAGAACACTGGTGTCACATTATGGACGCAACAAGAGAAGGAAAACATACCACGTATGAGACCAGTCAAAAACTCGCCACCAGCACGCTGTTTAAATTTATCAGAATCTGATAAAAGCGGGTCCATGACGCTGAGTATAGCGTCAAGGACCTCGTGTTCAAACATTTTCGCTACACCCCAAAAGTCAACATTGCACAGAAGGATAGAGTATAGACGACGGGTACCTAGCCTCTTGATGTATGCAACATTCTCTAGCCGGAGATCGATTGTGCTGCCGTTTCTATTGGATTCTTGTCCCCACAATGCCGACAGATCTTGGAAGTATTTTTCGGTAGTAACACCCTCACGAATCACGCGGAGCGAAGGCTGCGAAGCTGCTTCCCATGCAAATACTGACATATCCGTAGTCACAGCCCTACAGCCTTGTACCGTCGGTGTCCATGATATGAACCCCGTGCGGATTTTGTCGACGTAAATAGGGCTGTCTGTCCTTCAGCGAGTGATACACGCAGTCAACACGGGGGACGCACTCAGATGTTTGATCGATAGGGTGCTCGAACCTTTCCAGCAAATTGGGGGCATCCGTGACGTTTATACTCTGTGCCAAAGGATTCTTCCACCGATGAAGCCATAAATCCGACGCGACATCCGAGAAGGACCGGAACTTAACGTAGGTCAGCAAATAAGCTATCCCTCTAATAGATCGTCTGAATGACGGAGAACAGAAATAGAGACATCTTACATACCGCTGCGCCTCTACGCGGATAGTGGGCTGGGGACTGGTGGAATGCTTGTAGAAGAAACTGGCAACATCAGCTGATACTGGTGTATCTCGTCGGAGTAACACCACCAGAAATCGACATGCCATTTGTACGTATCTCCACTGTGATAAAGTTTCATCAGGCAAGACTTCTAGAAGGTGGCATGCAACTGACATGAGTTTTAGGCCTCAAAGCAATTTCCAGTATCGATGAGACCTGAACGTATCATGTGAGACGTCAGCACACAATGCAGGCATAAATCCATACTGTTTGGGCATGGATCTCATTACGGTTTGCAACACGGCGTGGGGTCTTGCTGATGGCCTCCTGGAGCAGCCTTTGATCGATAAAGGAAGGAGGAAATTCGGTCGCTAGGTCGTCAAGTGCACTCTCGACTGCAGGTACATCAAGAGAGTATGCGTCTGTATGGATCGCATCCTCATGCAGATGCGGCAGACAGTCTACAGCAAGATTGTTCACCAATTTCTGTATGGAGGGCTACAGATCAATGTGCGTAAGTCGTAAATTCATAATGCGAGGGGTTATAAGAACCTTTTCCTCGTGTTGACACTCCAGCAGGGATAACAGATAGCGCCCGTGTGCACCTTGGTCTGATCAAGGATCAGCACCTTCATCAACCAGCCCTGAAGTGGTCAGCCGAACTCACCGCCCAATGCATAAGAAGCTACTCGTCCCATTAGCTTGGATACAGATAGTCGTATAGAGAGACCGTACCAATTCCTTTATTCCACAACACATACAAAGCGCCCTTCATTCGATCGGGATCGTTCCCTTTTGAAAGTGCAGCAAAAAGGGATGGTAACGTGAAACGAGTAGATCGAACATAATACTGCGGCGAAAATTAAAATAAAAAAAAGATTATCATAGGACTAGCACATTGGACATCATTGGACATACCCCGAAGGCACTGTGTAGCACAGATTGAGCCTGCCTGCCGATACATAAGCATGAGATGTGATATTCATGGACAGTTTCAAACTTTGCAACTTACCGACGTATGCGCGTATATGGTGAAAGAGCCATCTCAATCAGTTCTTGTATCAGCCCATCGTCGAGGCGTGATCGACGACGATACAGAGCATGCATGTATACGCGGCCACAATGATACATCTGTGCGCGCTTAACGAACACTGATCGTGAATTCTCCTTCTGGCCGTTCCATACGCGAATGCCACTAGAGAAAGTCGGATCAGATAGGTATACACCATTAGATCCAGCGAAAAAACCCTGCTTACTCTCTTGCAGCAACGTAACTTTTTTGGACAGATTCGTAACCTTCCTTGCTTAAGCCGTAATCAAGCAAATAGGAATCGATGGCTTTCACGACGACACTAACAGCATCTATGTGATCTTCTCCTTCCGTATTCTCGCGCAAGGTCCGAGCAGCCTTGCTACATATTTCACCAAAACGGATTCGATGAGCAGCGGCTTTTCGGTATCGAGGGTCAGATGAATCGCAAAGAACGAAACCAGCCTTCATATCAAGTTTGCCCACGAGAAGTTCTTGACATTCAATGTCCTCGTTTATGCAGGAGTTCGTAACCTCCTTTTCCTGTTCCTGAAGAAAAGTTGGAAGGCCGCCCCATATCGCTCGGCAGGCGTTAAGGTACCTATCCGGTTAACTGAATAAACACCGCGATCTTGATGCCTAGCATACTTACCTGCAGAAGTCATTCCTATCACTACTATCCCAGTTTTTTGTCGTTTGCAGCAACCTTTCGATGTTGTCCAGTAGTGGAGATACAACTTTGTCGAGAATTTCAAGCACGAAAGCAATTTCATCGTTTGATGGCACTAATCCAAAAAAGAGCTAAAGAAAAAGGAACAGATAAAAAATTGATAGAAGCATACCGTGCCATTCAATGGATACATCTTGGGCTTCATATAGTTTCCCCCAGTGAACATTGTGATCTCTCTCGAAGTCTGTATGTTGCAGTGGTAAGAACCAGCAGTTGCGCAACAACTGGGCTGCATACCTGTACTTGCCCATTCGTCGGCATTAACAAAACGGCTATTGACGGGGTACACCCCTACAAGGGTGTGAAGAATACGGCCGATAAGTCTACCTCCGCTGCTGTATCCACGTTCGCTCTTTGCTTTGTCAACGAGGAGCATGATAAGGCCAAGTATTCGATCTTTGTGCTTCAACACCTAGGACATTCCGGAATTGAGTGTCGGTCAGATCAAGAGACACGGAGAAGCCTACGGTAGAAGCCGCCGTACCCCAAGCATCCTCGCAGAATTGCAACATCTATACAACGATTAGATTCCAATCTAGTCATCAAGAAATTTACCTACGCCAGTGGAAAGTGGTGTCGGATGGTACAGCGGCGGTTGGCGCTGTGGTGCGAATACTTGAAGCTCCGTGATGTAATTCATCTTCGATCTGAGAAAGGCAGAACGGCAAAAACTTCGCCAGAGTCTGCTCTGCTCGAACTCGAGCTAAACAAGCTACTAGTTGTCCAAAGGCTCTGACGGCGTTAGACTTCGCATTGGTAGATGCATAATCAAACACGAGGTTCAGCACCAGATCAAACAGTTGGTCCGACAGGTGCAAGCAGACTACATCCATCATAGCCTTGACAGACTTGAGAACACTCTCTTCTTGTTTGCCGCCGGTGGTGTTTCTCTTACCTCCTTCTTCGGGGAGATTCTCGTAGAGTGCAATAACACGTCGGAACAGCGAGGTAACCCAGTCTAATGTTTGATCAGTGGTTGATGTTAAGAGAAGACACATGATAGCTACCTGCAAAAGCAGCCGTGCTGTCGCGGGTAAGTGACCGCTCATCTCCCCGACTGAGGACAGGCATAGGACTCTCTACACCGTCTGGGAAGCGTGTGTCGTCTTGGTCGAGATTCATCATTTCATCACCAAGTATATCATCGGTTAAGGGTACTCCAGATTGGTGAATAGAGAGATCACCGATCTTCACATGTTGGATAGCAGCAACAATGAACATGGTAGTACAAACAGTCTTGCTGGGATCGTTCTGCCAGAATTTAGTACAAACCATATAGAGACTAGATGATTCAGTTACCAGATCGATACCAGGCAGACACAATTCCAACAACGGAAGCAGATGCTTTTGACCGCCAAGCCAGATGCTTTCTGTAACGAGCGGCCGCGCAATCCCTGACAACATGCTCAAGACAGCAGTGGTCCTATGAGTTTCGTTCACGACCTCTAGACCGCCATATACGCGCTCTAATAATTCGGGCATGATCAGTGCAGGTTCTAGCAAGGCCATACCACGTAATGCTCCTTGAGCGAATCCTACACATATTGGATCTTTGGAGAAAAGCGCTAGAAGCGCAGGAGTACGCAGGATGCTGACAAAGGCTCGCGAAATGCTGGGTGTAAGTCGTTGTGTCTACGAGGAAATGTCAGACGGGTTGAATTACCACTTGACAATGAAGACGTACAACAGGTGTTTTACAGTCCGATTTCTCTTCCTGTTTCAGACGCTTGGCGAACTCGGATGCCAGTCGATGTAAGAAGGTTGTTAGCTACAAACACCAGAACTACCTGCTCAAAAACGATAGCCTCGATCTTGAGACGCGACGCACCGCAATTGTCCAGGGCCCAGAGTTGGATGGATGAAAGAATGATTCTGTGCTCGTTATGAGGCGTTCTAGAGAATCCAGGGCCTTTGAACCAGCGACGAAACTAATCGGAGACGATTGACTAGATCCTTGCTGCCCGTTGAATGTCTGTCGCATTGGGCCATCGACGGATATCGAATATACGAAAATTTTCGCAAGGGAATCTGAATCAATGTGGATAGTGAGAACTGATCATAAACGGCCAAATGATTGATGTACGGTATCTATCGACAACTTTCTTGATCTTGAAAGAATGTTTATCGGCGAGTGTGTCTGCTTGTCCAGCTGTGGTAGATGCACCCTATGCCGAGGACAACTTTAATGATCTATCGGCGAGATATACTGATTTCCTTACCCTCGTTGCACCGACGGGAACATCTTCTCAACATCAGTGACACGTCGAAGTGAGGACGGTGGAGCACTCACTCATAGATGCCAAACCCTTTCCAACCAACATGTTCCATTCCGACTGTGTCCATATACCGACATCTTTCCACTTGGCTCCGCCATCTTCTCCTGCTAGGCCAAATGGACCGGCGACATGTTCCTCTGATAATTCCCCTGACATGTGCAACAGTCTGTCGTCTACCAAAGCCGAATTAATAGCCTCCCAGAATTTGAAAAGTGAAGGTAAGTATAGGTGGCTATGACTTGGTGGAAGGAAGGAGGTTAAAATGGGTATCATGACCAGGTATGTCTGTTGGAGGTATTCAATACCATTGCCAAAGGCGAGAGAAAATATTCGGACGTGCCTCTTTTGTCAGTAGAGGCAAAAAAGTAGAGAGCATGTTGGGAATTTCTTGTCTCGAGAAATAACGATTGCAGTGTTCTGCCACGTACAGAAGGAGGCTTAGAGTGGAACGCCTAAAACATACTATGAACAGGCTGAAGAATAAATGATATGAGAATTTCATTTACGATGAATCGTGCACTCGAGCCTTGTGCCACAGATGAGTCTGTACGCTATGCCAGAGAGGCTCCCATGGCAAGTCAACATCACCGTACTCTAGTTTACGCTTCATTCCAGACTTGTTGGATAGCAAGCGGGTGATCATATCGGCCCAGCTGCGAATGACACGCGGTTCTATGCCGGGGGTAATACACAACCCGTAATACAAGCGGACTAACTTGGCGCGAATAGATTTATCCATAGGATATCTCATCAGCAACCAACTGTAGAGGAATAAGAACATGCTGAAGAGAAGAACTGCTAAATGATCGCACCATTGAAGCATCCCATCCCATGTTGTGAGCACGAGCCAGTTCTTAGCCTTGGCACAAATGAAGATCTTGCCAACTATGTTCTCCAGCTTTGCCTGCATATCCTCGCACGATTCACACTCATAGGGCAGAGAATCCAGATACGATTGGAGGTGAGACTTTTGCTGTTCGAGAGACAGTTCCGAAGTATCGCCTGGAGAGTCAGATATAGTGTCGTCATCCATATCGAAGAGAGAAGGCGGTGGAAGACCTATTGGGTCGCCAGAAGAAGGTAGCTGTATAAGGGGATTCATTGGGATGAGAGTAAAGAGACAACATACAATAATGGAAAGTTTATATATGCTGTGAAAGGCTGACGAGTCCCTCGATGACGCGTTCAGAGATGATCGGTACACGCAAGCGGCTGTCTTGGGATTCGAAGTTCACTTGATGCTGCGGCCGCGCACAGGGAAATTTGAAGGGGCTTGACTGTGCTAAATCAACTAAACACTGATGATGCTACTTAGCTGCAATGTTTAGATAGAGGCAAGTGACAAAAGAGAACGGAGTGACAATATCTTGCAAACGCGCGGCATCGTCAGCGCACGTGGCAACATCGGACTTCCATTTTCCTCATCTTTACACTCATTATGTCGGATTCTTCCACGGCTTCTGTCGACATCTACGACTCGTTACCGTACTACGATGATGACCTTGAAAAGTTTCCTTTTCTCAGACAAAAGGTGGAACAAGAATTTGCACGACAACCAAAGCTTCCATCTTCCGTTCATCCACGCTTGCCTCCACCGTATGAGCTTTTCTCGGTATGTAGATCACATTCGTGGCTCTGGAACTTGGGCGTCTCAACTTTTTGCAGAAGAATCCTTTGCTCAAGGCAGAACTTGAACGCGTCGAGTCACATCAGCCGTTTCCTTCCCTAGATACTTTGCGATATCAGCTGCCGACACCTTCACTACCCGGCACGGACGACGAATGGCAAGCGGCAATACAAAATGCTCGCTCTCAGCTGGAACATCAACGTCTACGGTATGCCGAGTAACTACCGAGGTACTACACGACCGATAATCATTTTTAGACAAACCAACTTGACGTTACTACAAACATATGGACCAAACGCATGGCGAACACAAAACTACCTTCTCGAAAACACTGCCAAGCAGGTAGAACAGGCGCTGGAGCAGCTGAAGGAACTGACAGTGGAAGTCAATCGCAGCCGCAAGAATAACCAGGTAATGGAATTCCCTTCATAGTTCCTGGACTACTTGCTAGAACATTATCTAGACTGAATTGGGCAACCAACTGACATCGCTGGAGACTCGATGGACGGACCTGATATCAAATGTGCTACAGATAGAGATGGCCAATGTTGCGCTGGATGTTGAGATAGACCGACTAAATAAGAGGGAAGCTGAATTGGCTGAGATGACTTGAGATTTTCGTACTCTAGTTTTAGCAGCTTGTATTCCTAACAACGACAAACTCATTCACCCGTTGATTTGGTTTTGAGTCTTCCCCCTCCGTTTCTGGAGATTCTACCAGGTAAGTTCAGTCGCCGTGCACGTCGTCGAGCTGCACAACAACGTCGCAGTTTGGCACTACCTATCCTTTTCTTGCCAGCCATATCTCACCCTTGGCTAGATACTCCTCTGGTACACGCGCATCCAGCATCTCGGCGTCTCGTGACGCGTCTATGGCTAATACCGACAACGAAGGACCAGTAGTATCTGAGTCGTTTCCAAAGGAGGGACATGCATCCAATCCTATCTCTACAGGGCCAGCTTTGACTGAGGATTCTCCAAGCATTCAGGATGTTTCCACCAGTAAATCATCCACCAATCCTTCCCCACCCCCCGCAGGAGAATCAAGCTCCAGCAAGGAATCCTTCAGTGCAAAACCGACCGCAGGACCAAATGGTGATGCATCTTCTTCTCTCAATTCTTCGCGCCCTACCCGTCGCACAGTTGCCTTCAAACGGCATTACGGCTGCGCCTCACCCGAAACGATTCAGTGCTGTGAATATCAGCAAGAAGTTCCTCGAAAAGAACTTTTCGCAGGCCGCAAACTCTATTGCGTCGTCATCATCTTCACAAGTAAAGTCGGGAGGGTCGGCTGGTGCGTAACATCAGTTTTGCTATGAAATGAAACATTTATACATTCTGCGATAGCGAGACCTTCCGTGCAATCTTCATACCCGCACTCAAGACTGGTCACTGCTAAGCTTACCGCAGCACCTCAGCCCTCAACAACGACCGGTCCCGGTTGGTCACGACCATCATCTGTGGCACCCGGTCTACAACCTACAACCACCCCCAATGGTGTCCCAGCGCAGGCGACATCCTCATCGCAGCCCAAGGGTCCAACTACCTCTACGCATGGTCCGCCGCAGCTTCCACACGCGGGAATGGTGATTCAACCTCAGCCTCGAGCAGCCTCCCAAATCTCACAGACAGACGGAATGACAAGTGGCAAGTCAGTTTGGGGAAATCTCAGAAGCAGCGCTTCCTTGCCTTCGGGCGTTCGCGCTCAGAGTGAATTTCCGACGGCGGCAGAGGTTGCTCAAGGTTCGTTACTTGTTCATGATTGTCTTCACCAAAAGTAAACTGTTTGAAGTGTCTCGCAAGGCCAAGGGGATGGACGCGAAGGAATCCACTGAAGTCTCAGCGGCACATAAACAGGCAAGATTAGAGGAAGCTGATACTTTTCGAGGCGTGCATCTTGATCCAAATGCTCATCATTGGGATGAAGTGCGTGTTAACTTCTCTCAGCTTAGCTGTCATGCAACTAAACTGAATTTATTAGATGGAAGAGGATGATGACAATTTTCTGGACGGCGTCATCGAATTCGGTGATGGACGACAATACAAAGTCGATACAGGCAGAAACCCCTCCAACGAAACCTTCAACGCCGTCATTAACCGGTTCCAGAGAACCTTCTCGAACCAGTCCAAGGCGGGAACGCGAATCCACTTCAATTGTAACCTCCAGCTTTCCCGTTCGTAAAGAAGAGAGATTTGCCGATGATTTCGACCGAAGTTGGCCAAAAAGTTCTCCTTCACTTTCATCTGCAGGAGTACCTCACTCTGGTCCAAGCGGGGGATCCATCGCCAGTCCCACTTCTCCAGGTAATACGATACATGCGTCTCAGTTTGGACAAGAGGGTGGGAGAGTGCTTTTCAACGAACGTTCGAATAGACTAGAACCGTACAGCAGCTCGCAGCGACAGGGACAAAGTCCTTACCCCTTGAAGAAAGGGTATTCTGATGCTACCATTCTAGACGCTAAGGCATCCAAAGACGCGTCGTCATCTTCGAACAGCAATGTCCAACTACTGCAGAAGAGCGGCGAGCGCGGTCGCACTCATATGGGTGTTCCAGGATCCGCTCCTTTTGAAAGACAAAGAGACTATTCTCGCAGGGATGGGTCAGGTATGGCGCACGTACCCCCCAGCCCACGGTCAGCATTTTCTCAGCCAGGTTCTGTTAATGGGAATGAAACCCGTGGACGGCGCATGTCAAATATGGGACCACCCCCTCCTCCAGGCTCGGGGCCAAGAGACTTCGGCCAACGACAGTTTGCACCTCATTACCCTCATTCGTACAATACTGGTCAAGGAGGTATGCCGCCTCGCGAGTCGAGATTTCCACCGGGCCCTCCTTCTTCATCAAGCGCTGCTTCCGTTCGACATCCTTCCCAATCTCCGGTGCTTTCCCATGCGTCTTCCTCCATCGTTCCAACTAGTGTCGAAAATCTCGCTCAACTGACTGGGCCTGATATCGATGAACTCAGAAAAGATGTGATGCAGAGTGCTGCAGCCAGAGCCAAACAACGTAGGCAACAGGAGGAAGAAGAAAGAGAGAAGGAGAAAGAGCGAGCGCGACGCAAGGCTGCAGAACTTGCGAATGAAGCTAAACCAAAAACGGTTTCAGAACCTATCAAAGTTGAATGATTCCTTTTCGTGGTGACTACCGACTGACCCACTTTATCCAGGATCAGGAAGTCATTGCCGTCATCGAAGATGCAATTAAATCAGTTGGTGTCACAGCTCCCTCCACCGATTCAATAAAATCTTCGGCATCAGAGAAGACGCAACTGCAGCGGCCACCTTCTTTGAAAGGCCTGGATGGAACACGGCAACCAGCGTCCAGACGACTATCAATCCCTTCCAGCACTTCAGGTCCTGCCCCGGCAGCTTTGACTACGTCGTGGCGAAACCATGCTACTCCCTTACCTCCTCCTCCGGTGTCGCCGCGTGTTGCCGCTAGCCGCAATCCTCCAACGGCTCAAAATCACGGGCCTGCTTTTGTTTCCGCTCTAGACCATGTGCAGATTCTTGCAGAAGACCCCGAAGCAGATCTTGAAGTCGTAGAGTTCTCTGATATGGGCAAATTTGTTGGCATCCCTGATTCTCTTGAACCCAAAAGTAATCAAAGTCTACTTCGAGCCTCAAAGCCATCGCGACCTGTCGCCAGTGATTTCTTTGACGACAGACCAGGTAACTTCGAAACTCCTCCCTCATCTAAAGCCGATATCGACACTTGGAGACGAAAGGGGTCCCAAGAAGAGAAAGATGCTAAGGATGCTGCGGGAGCGTCCACGCATCCACATCTATCGACACCAACACCAACACAACAAGTGCCGGCGCCCTCAGAAATCACCCCATCCACTGAGTCCGTTTCAGCCCAGACATCGCCCAGTAAAGCATCCAAATATCAGTCTACTTACAATCAAGCTACGATGTCGGCCCTTGATGATGTCATGTCTCGTATCAAAGGGGCGTTGAATGTCATGCAAGCTAGTGATAAGGATGCATCTGTGCAGCCCCCACTTGAACCAGGACCGGAACCGGAACTAAAGAGGCCTCTTCTACCGGCACGAACGACAAGCCCTTCAAATTTGAAAACGGTCAAGGACAGATGGCTGCCACCTGCATTGCGACCTCAACACCTTGACGTAGAAACACGAGAAAATTTCCATTCCACAGCCCCAGAACCTCCACGGTCACCAAAACCAGTTTGGAATACCTTTACGGTCAAGCTGCCCAAGACGTCAATAGCTAGGGAGCCTATTACCAGGAAGCAGTTAGCTCAGCTTAACAGAGCGTTCCCTGTACGGTGGGATATTCTATCCTTTGACCCACCCGTGGACGGGATGAGTCGTCGTGATTTCACAGTGATCGATGTTTTATACCGCAAGCAACCGTACAAAGGGAAGAATAAGTTCAGGGTTGTTCTTCCCAGAGCCGGTGCGCATCCGCAAATGTCTAGGGAGAGCAACCATTTGGGCTCCAAAGGGAATGGTGCTGGCGCGTTTGGAAAACCTACTATGGCCGATGGCGCTTCAACGTGGAGAAAACCTGGATCATCGCCCTTGCCGACGAATTCCCTTCCAGGACCGGGATCCTCTAGCGTGGTACTACAATCTGAACCGCCTCCGGCCAACTTCTCGTCTCTTGCGCCTTCATCCGTGAAAGGGGACACACCGCGGACTAAACCGCAACCGAAGATGCCTGCAGGGACATCGGTCGCCTTCTATCGTGATTCCCAAGTAGTAGACGCGGACGTTGATGTGAAGCCTCTCGTCAATTTCATCGTTACAAGTGAACTGGAGGAGCCACGGCTATCGACGAAAGATGGTTCAACGACTGGGATAGGGCGTACTCCTTCAAATGACTCTCGGTCTGATGGACATAAAAACACTTCCGCTGAGCAACACATCCAAAGAACAGATCCAGCTCCAGCATCGTCATCAAGCCTCGTTCAAACTGGCAAAAGCTCAGACGATTCGGTGAGTCTTACAACTGAGTAGTATCTCATTATTATTGAATCTTTACTTTTCAGTCAGATCCGCCTCCAATAGGGACCGCCCTCTCAGCCATCTAGTACTTGGAGCAGATCTTCACTAAATATGTCGGGCCGAGGTCCCGACCCTGAGCATCTGAAAGCAGTATGGTCGCAAACCTCCAACATGGCTGAACTGCATCCTGTAAATTCCCTTGAAGGCATCGCCGACGATCCAGTCCCTTTCACGCTTCAAGATGTCAAATCAGAAGATGGAGCGACCCCGCCGCCGACAACATCTTCAGGGCCTTCTCGCATGTCCCTGCACGATGTTACCCGCGCCTTCCAACAAGTTCCGTCCACCTCTGGCTCTACGAACCACAAGCTGACCATATCACCTCCCACTACGTCCGCACCCGTTGCACGTCCAGCCCCGAATTTCGGGTATGCAATGCCATTGCCAACCTCGAATCAAAATATGCGGGCTCCCTACCCTCCGTATGGCTCTCCGATGATGAGCCATTCGCCAGCACCCGTCGTATATCCACATCCGATAACGAATAGTCCTGTTCCCAGCCGAATGCAGGTCAGCGGACAGACACCGCTGTATGGACAACCCGCTATGTGGATGCCGTTACCTACTTCCGCAACGACCCAGGCTCACGGCGCAATGATGAGGCCCGTTCCGTCCCCTTATCCCCCGCCATTGATGGCATATTCCCCAAATGCCCAGCCAATGTACCTCCCCGCCGTGCCGAATATGCAGAGCCCGCCTCAACAAAATTCCGCTTCCAACCGTGGGAGAAGCATGTCAATGATGATGAGTCCCGGAATCCCACACGCCTCTCCGAACATGTACGGGAGCCCGGTGATGATGGCTTCGCCTGCTCGGAATCAAATGAGAAATGACAATAGTCAAGCTCATCCACCGACGCATCATCCACCAAACAGTGCATATGCTCCGGTACCTTCGACTTCTTTCATGCGGCCATCTTGGTGAACTTTGCTTTGATTACTTTTAATGTACTTGTTTTTCTCGTTTATATATATCATTCAATTTTATATTTTCCAATGCCTTATTCTGACCACGCTAACAGAAGTACATGTTGAAAAAACAAAATTGCATTGACAGATGTGATGTGAGTAATGTGTGGAAGAACTGGCTACAAGTGGAAGATATTTCTAAACAGCGACTTTCACAGCGTATTCGGCGGCTTCGTCTAATTGGTCGAAGGCGATGATTTTGAGACCCGAGTTCTTGATCATTCTGTGCGGAGATAAGTTGCATGAAGCATATGCGATCACTGGAACATACTCTTTGGCTTCCGTTTCCTTGGTACCTTTCAGTCTCACGACCAACGGGATCGTCATAGCAAGCTCCTTGGTGGCCTTGATGACACCCTCGGCAATGTAGTCGCACCTCATAATACCTAGTAGGCGCGGTCAATATAAGATCAACACAGTATGGAAGTGCACTACCTCCGAAAATGTTGATGAATATGCTCTTCACTTTGGGATCTGCGAGCAGGAGTTCGAATGCCTTCTTCACTGTATCAGGTGTTGCACCTCTGCGGACATTGAAATAAATGCAAGTTCTTTCGCGGCGATAACTGAATCTTACCCTCCGACATCGAGGAAGTTAGCAGGGTTACCTCCGTGTAGAGAGAGCACATCCATGGTGGCCATTGCCAAACCAGCACCATTGACCAAGCAGCCGATGTTGCCATCAAGCTTGATGAAGTTGAGGTTGGCCTTCTGTGCTTCCACTTCTGACGCCTCTTCTTGCGAAATATCGCGGAGGGCAAATATGTCGGGTTGACGGAATTCAGCGTTGTCGTCAAAGCCGAATTTGGCATCCATACTGGAAAATGATTAAGAAATTTGAAAATTGGGAGAAATTCTGCTCATACCATAGAACTTGGCCGTCTTTGGTCTCTGCCATGGGATTGATTTCTATCTGAGTCGCATCCTTGTCTTTGAAGATCTTGTAAAGGTTGACGAATATGTCTGCTGCTTCCTGCTGGGCCCCATCCTTGAACCCAAGCTTCTTAGCAACTTCAAGAGCGGCCGAAGAAGTCAAACCCTCCTTGAAGGGGATGGGTGTGGTGATAATGGCAGAAGGATCTTTCGCGGCAACCTCCTCGATGTTCATGCCTCCCTGCGATGACGCAACGAGGACAACGCCCTGAGAAACACGGTCGTTAAGGACCGCGACATAGTACTCATGAGCGGGATCGCGGCGTTCCGCTAGCATCACCTATCCGGGTGTAAGTGGGGATTCGACACGACTTTCCGAGACTTACAGCGTTGCAAACGCGACCACCAGCGCCGGTCTGCTTTGTGATGAGCTTGGAGCCCAACATTTTCGAAGCATAGTCCTTGGCCTGTTCAGGGCTGCACAAAGTATTAGTGCCAGGTATGAACAGTGACGAAGTATCTCTACCTGCCGACCATGTGCACACCACCTTGAAGTCCAGTATCGAACTTGCCCTTACCTCTACCGCCAGCCAGAACCTGAGCCTTGATGACTAGCTTGTCAGTACCTATACCGACGATATGAGGTTATGTCGGAAGACAGAGGATAAAGGCCTACCAAAGTTCTTTGCCACCTCGAAGGCTTCCTCGGGTGTCTTGGCAGCAATGCTCTTGGGAGTAGGTATCCCATACTATAGTGGGGTAAGGGGAATGCAAGTGCTGACGACGATACCACGTACCGAGTTGAGGAGATTGACGGACTGGTATTCGTGAATGGAGAGGAGACGCCTCTGACCTGCAGATGCAGCCTGGAAGACGTGTCAGACGGCGAGGAGAGCACTGCAGACGACATACGCGAGCCAAAGTGCCAGCTTTCCGGACGACGGTGAGCATTTCGGTGGATGTGGTAGACGGAAGAAAGCAGGGAACCCAGGGTAATAGAATTCCAATCTTGGCCGGCTTTAATTTGACGGAGATGTGGCTGTGCAGGTTTTTGCATCTCTCAGAGCGACGACGACGGGTCGAGGTCCTTCCATCCCTTCCCAGTCTCTCACCCTCCGCATGCGGTCAGGGCAATGCTCTGGAAGACGGAATCCGTCTCTCCTTGAGTTCGGAATGTCTATTTTTTCATTGGGCCTTTCGGAATTTGGTAGCAGGTACAGCAATGTTTTTAGAAATTGTGATGTGTATTTTACTGTCATATCAAGTATAAGCGACATGTCCTTTACTGCTCATTATCCGTTATTGGCATGGCATCCACTATCATAACGTGTTCCAACATGCGACTGGAACGTTTTTTCGGGTATAAAAACGGTACATAATGGTAAATGTGACCTTTGTCTCGTGCAAGATGGAGTCTGAATCATTGTCGTCCCCTGCCATGTCTGTCCTCCAGGAGCTCCCTGAAAATGTGGCTCAGCTCTTGTCTGTCTCGAAGATCCTACTCTTGCAGGCCGTCGATGTTCTCGACAATCACCTCACGTCTGATGAGCAGCTGACTGTCAATTCTCAGTACTTGCATGGCTCAACAATAGGCGCGTATTTTCCAGGATTGGTCCCTGTTCATTCGTATTGATTCCAGTAGGCAAGCATATCAGACACGCGAGAGATCACTTTGAGCTTCTACTTGCATCTATCGCAGCCCCCCCACCCTATGTCCTTTGTTATGACACGAGGAGTCGCAATACCCCCATGGAAAGCAGCCGTTCAGCAGCAAAGGATTCTCTGCTAGAAACTATTCGTCTTCTGGAAGAAAAAGTGCCCACCGTCGATTTTCAGGCGCCCATAACTCTCAATGCCGTTACCCCACACATACAGACCTTTGAAACAACATTCGGGAGAGAGGTACGGGATCAGTTGTGTCCCCGTCACACAACATATCTTATTCCGCATTATAGCTATGGTTTGCAGGGCTGCATTGCATTCATCACTGGTCCGTGGTAAGCCGTTCAGTTCCTATGTCACTGAAAAACGATTCACCCTGCTTCCAGGTTCGTGTGATGGCAGGAGAGCTGGCGAGTATCATTTTTACCCTACTCAAGAACAACATTGACTTTCTTTCAGGGTATCAAATTATCGGATGACTTTGGCTTTGCCCCTTCTACTTTACTTTACCAAGGCAGGTGATTCACTATGCCCATGGGCCTCCGTTGACCAGGCGATATACAGACCGCGTGGCACCTTTAGGCGTGGCCAAGTATTAGACTGTCTTGATTTTTTCCCCTCATTTTCTTGTTCTGCTGCAGCTGTATTTAATAAGGTCCCGGTTGTACATATAATTCTACATGATCGACTGTTGAAATTTGAGAAGTGTGACAAATACTTGCATGATGCCTTGAACTCCAGATCTCACGTCAAATCCGTGCACTGCACTTCTTCCATTGACCGCCATCTTCGAAACAGATCTGGACGTTCGCATTCCCGTACATCCTGTTTTTTCTATTCTATCAACAACCGTTAGCTCTCGATTGGCCGAACACCGACTAAATATCCAAGATGATGACCCCGTTGGATGGAGAAAACCAAAAGAAACGCGTCGTACGTTTCCAGTACTGTGACAGCCTTCCATTTTGACCAAGTTGTTTCTTTTTCAGTGCTATTTCTTCGATTCTGACATCGGAGGATTCCATTATGGCCCAGGGCATCCGTGAGTGTCTTAACACAAACAAGACGACCTTTATCCACACGATATTTCAAGGATGAAACCAACGAGAATACGAATGTGTCATTCACTTGTCATGAATTACGGGCTGTATAAGAAAATGGAGATTTTCGTGCGCCATCTATACGTTGTTTCTCTGCCGCAGTGCTGATTCCTCACCCTCTTTTTAGCGCGCCAAACCCGCTACAAAACGTGAAATGACCCAGTTTCACTCAGACGAATACGTCGATTTTCTCAATCGAATAACTCCCAGCAATATGAACTCGTTCATAAAAGAGCAGCATAAATGTCCGTCTTGTTTATCTGTGCATATCATCCATTGCTTGAGCTTGTCCTATACAGACAACGTTGGGGAAGACTGTCCAGTTTTTGATGGGTTGTTTGAATACTGCTCAATATCAGCAGGAGGTTCCATGGGTCGGTTTCTTACTGGACGGTGTTCCTGTTGTCTAATCTTTTGCTCGGTTTTTCGCAGAGGGTGCTGCCCGGCTTAGCCGAGACAAGTGCGATATTGCTGTGAATTGGGCTGGGGGGCTACACCATGCCAAGAAGAGTGAGGCGAGCGGGTTCTGTTATGTGAACGGCAAGTCTTATTCTTGAAGCTATTATCGTGACTGACTTGTGCCCAGATATCGTGCTGGGTATATTGGAACTATTGAGGCATGCTTTTTTTAAACAAAGCACCATCAGCCGCTAAATCTTTGCAAAGATACCACAATCGAGTGTTATATATCGATATTGATGCACATCATGGCGACGGTGTGGAAGAAGCGTTCTACACTACCGACCGTGTCATGACTTGCAGTTTCCACAAATATGGCGAATTCTTTCCCGGAACAGGTGAACTAAGGGTATGTGACATACTGCATCGCGCAAAGATCTCCTTCCAACGCATTCGCAGGATGTTGGTGTTATGAAGGGCAAATATTATGCCCTCAATTTTCCTCTCCGGGACGGGGTTTCCGATGAGAATTATAAGTCAGTCTTCGAACCTGCAAGTTTTCCTTTAATTATCACAACACGAGAGTCTCACAACAAGCGTCTAGGTTATAAGACAGGTTATGGAGTCATACAATCCTTCGGCAATAGTGCTGCAATGTGGTACTGACTCCCTTGCAGGAGACAAACTTGGATGCCTCAATCTCTCTATGCGAGGTCATGCCAACTGTGTAAGATTTGTGAAGTCATTCAACAAACCTCTACTGCTCTTGGGGGGAGGAGGATACACCATGCGCAACGTGAGCCGTGCATGGGCTTACGAAACAGGACTGGCAGCGGGTGTTGAACTGGGACCAGGTGCGTCTAACATATACACTTTATTGCTACAAGTCGTTGAAACAATTCAAGATATACCTGTTAATGAGTACTACGAATATTTTGGACCAGACTATCAACTCGATGTTAAGGCATCGAATGCGGATGATCTCAACACTCGTGCATACCTGGAACGTGTCAAACGGATAGTCATGGAGAACCTCAGACATACAGGCGGGCCACCAAGTGTCCAAATGCAAGGTATAGCTTCCCTAGTTCGCAAAGTCTCTGAACGAATACCTTACCACGCCTTCCAACAGATATCCCGATGTTACCAATAGATGCCGAGATGGATGACCTGAACCAAGATGACGATTTGATTCCGAAGGATATGCGCCGGCCTCAGAGACTGTTAGATGTCCGGCGGCAAGCTGACGGTGAACTATCGGACTCTGACGACGAAGGAGAGGGCGGCCGAAGGAATCATGCTAGCCACAGGGAGCGCAGAAGTAGATCAAGAGAACGGAGTAGTTCGATGGGGAGGAAGTTCGGAATGCCGAGCGTAGGAATATTAGCCGCGGGTCCGACCGCTGCACATGCTGGTCCGAGCGGACAGACCACTATCGCCAGGTTTTTGGCGAACAGTTCGACGAAAATGGAGGTTGATACACCTACATCGGACGCAACCTCAAGTGGGGACAACGAAAATGGGGGTAATTCAACGATTCCAATCGAGCAGGTGCCCGACGATGCTATGGTGGTTGTTAAAGAAGGGTGATTTTCTTGTATGTTCATGGACGTGTGTTAGTGTATGTATCTTGTAAGCTACTAATTTTCAAGCCGTACGGACCCTGCTCCCATTGAGTCTACGAAATCCACCAAGTCAATAGAGAAAACGCGCCAGGCGTGACTTGTAATAATTACTCATCCAAATTCAAATTGGGCAGGTAATCCACAATTGGCCTAGCCTTAATCATCTCGACCAGCTTTGCCCTCTCCCACCATGGCCGACGTCAACAGACCAGTGACTCCTCCACCGAAGACCATGCCAACACCACTTACTCCCGAGCAGATTCGACAATTCGAACTCAATCGCCTGAAAGGTATACTGTATGTTCTCGCAAGTTGATTGTCTTCTCGTTCTAACACATATCTGCAGCGAAGCAGAGGCAACGTCAACGCGAAGAGGAAATATCTGCATCATCCTCGCTTAACAGCAATAGAAAGCGACCTATAGGAGTAACACCTGCCACTTCAAACTCGCCTACCAGCTCGAGTCAGCCATTACAGCGTGACTCGCGACTTGGCACATACTTTGAATATGACTTATCGAAAATGGTTAACTCCAAAGGCGGTTTCCTTGTCGAAGATGATAAAGATGCCGACGAGGAGGTCCGACGGAAGGAGAAGGAACGAGAAAGGCAGAGGGCAAGGCAGAACCAAGAGCCAGGTACACTTCAGCGCTCTTTTTTTGCTATATGATCCTGACTCGCGTCCAGCTATCTCATTAAATCCTGATTTGAACCCGAAATGCTGCGAATGTCAAACTATAGATATCGACCACACGTATAAGAACATTTTCAAGTGCTTAATATGCAAACGATGCCAAGACGAAAAGCCAGACAAATACAGTCTTCTCACCAAGACGGAATGTAAAGAGGTGTGTAGCTTGCGTTATCATCACGGCCTGCTTCATGGCTATTCGCTGTAGGATTATCTTCTGACAGACGGTACTTGTATTTCTATCCAGCGTTGAATTACCTTCTGATAGTCTTTTAGCTGAACTACGCGACCAAGAGCTTCTACCGCATTTGCTAAAGGCAAACCCCCACAAATCTACATTTGCTAATATGATGCTGTTCCTTCGTTGCCAAGTTGAAGATTTCGCATGGAAGAAATGGGGATCACCGGAAGAATTAGACGCAGAATATGAACGACGGATGGCCGAAAAGAAGAGAAAGAAGAATAAGAAGTTTGAGCAGGGACTGAGAGATCTTCGCAGACGAACGAAGGAAGGGATCTGGCAGAGAAGAAAAGATGAAGAGCACGTTCATGAATTTGGGCCGGCAGAACGAGGAGATGATGGCATGACGAGACAAACATGCGATGACTGTGGATTTGTGTATGAATTTGAAGAACTTTGAATGTCGCCGCGGATCCGGCCCCGGTTAACTCTGTTTGCCGGATCTGCATGCCATTTTGACAGAAGTACCGGGTTTCTTGTACTTATGTGACCTTGAGCGTAAACAATCTTCCTCTCCTTCGCATTCCTTCCGTCTAGATGGACGACCCATCTCTCAATAACCAAGCAGAACATGAGCAAATCTCTACTGCGTTAGAGGTAGAACGGCTCGAAGTGAACCTCTTTCGCTCTAAATCCCTTTGGATGCCCACCCGTGCTCGTGGTGTCTTTGGAGGGTATGACTGGCACCGTCCGACATTTTGACACGTATTAACATTTTCGCTGTTCGCTTTCCACAGACAGGTCATCAGTCAGGCTTTAGTTTCTGCTACTTACTGCGTGAATCCGGCATATGGTTTACATGTATGTCTCGTTTTCACCACAAGGATGTTACGCTAACAGTTATCCAAGTCTTTACATGTTAGCTATTCTTGCATCATTTTCCTGGAAAGCTACTCATCTATCAAACCCAAAGTGTTACTTTCTCACAAGCGCGTCTCCCGCCACCCCAATCGTTTACTACGTCGAACGCCTCCGTCAAGGAAGGTCATACACCTCCCTTTGTGTCAAAGCCGTGCAGAATGGATCCATGATATTCATCCTCATGTGTTCGTTCCAAAAGCCTGAACCTTGGCAGCCATCGCACCAGTGGTCCATGCCCGACGTTCCGACCCCAGAGGAATGCGACCTTGAAGAAGACCATATGCTCAGAGATAGCAACAGAGACAACATGACTGCAAGAATCAAGCATATCCTCAAATTATATGCAGATGTACGATTTCCATTATGTTATCCTATTATATACCCATAGAGTCCATGTGCACAGGAGAGGACAAAGAGCCCTATTGCTATCAAACGAGCGAAGGAACATGAAATAACCTCGGACGGCAGTACTAGGTATATGTATTGGATGAAAGCAAAGAACATTCCCCAGTATGAGCCGCATTTTCAAAAGGTACGCCGTGCAATTAAACAGCCAAGACAGCCTTTCCTAATTATTGGCCCAGTGTATCCTCGCCTATCTATCGGATTTATACTTGTAAGTCCTTGAGAAGTTCTCTTCTGGTTACAAGTCTCTGACAGTCTTGTCGCGAATTAAGCATCAGTGTCGCTGGTCGAATTTTAGGTCTCACACGCTATTCGAAAGGCCCAGAGGCATTGGCTATGTCTGTGAGTGAAGCATGTCCAACGAATGAGGCAGACATTCATAAATTTGTTGCAGTCAACCATCGACCATGCCATCTACTTTTACGAGTGAGTTTGTATCTTGACCATCTTAAGGTCAGCTCATCTTTCTTCCCTTGTCACCAGCGATACCGTTGACTGCGGTGATTGGTTGCTGTACACGGTGAGTCACTGCTTCTCTACCTGGGGCCAGAAGGATCCGACGTGGATTGTTTAGATGGAATGTCCGAGGGCAGCCTCAGGCCGCGGTGTCATGAGAGGGCAGGTATGACAATAGCTTTCACTTAACGTCGGTCTTGTCTGACTGACATCACCCTTAGATATTTACCCGTGGTGGAACCTTAGTTGCTGTTACAACACAAGAAGGTGTCGTCCGAGCAAACATTCGCGGGCCTGCTGAGGAAGTGAAGGTTCCTACGAAACTATAGACATAGATTATTTGGATATCACCATTAACATCATTTAATCAACCATGCAGCTAAATACGCAGAAATACGCTGCTATTCATAGAAGCCCTGCCTCGGCTAATCGTTGCTTCTCCTCTTCCAAAGCTTTCATTTGAGTCAGAACCCTTTTTGGCACTATTCGACGCCTCTCCGTCGTTGGAGAGAACGCAGCTGAATCTACACCAAGTGCTTTCAACGTCTTCCGCTCAACCAAACTATAATCCTCTGCGTTCTTCCTTGCATAACAGAACGGTTCCTTTAGGGCCACCGGTGGATTGATGATAACCCTAGGCACTCGTAACAGATTTTTCGTGGCGGAATGTAACATTAAGGGATGGCAGAGGACGACATCGCCAACGCTGCCAGTTAGCTCAACGAACTGAGAGCAATGCTTGATTTCCGCCAGGAATGATAGATAGTCAGGGTCGTCCTTGACATTGGTATACCCCGACGTGGACGGTGTGAACGACAGACCTGTGGGCAGTAACCCTTCAGGATGGTCCCAAAGGTACTTGGCAATACGACCTATACCGTCGGGAGCGATCATTGTACCTCCACCACCGGATTCAATATCAGAGAATATAGGAACGACAAGCAAAGCTTGTTCGGGCGAGTCGAAATAATGGACCTGATATGAGCCGTCGGTGCTCGCTGTGTCGAGAGGCCTGAGGAATACTTACGAAGAAGTCTCCATCGACATGCCAATTGTCGAGATCTTGAGGATCGATACGAGTGCCATTGTGATTGGGTGTCCCGAGGTTGACAATGAAACTATCTCCCCATGTACATGCTTCTAGATCGATACGATCTTCACCTAGTAAATCAATCATGGCGTTCATAGCCTAACTAGCCCATCAGCGGCATCGGAGGATAAGAAGAGCAGTTTGACCTTGGGGGAGAATGTGGACACTTTCTCTCTGTTGTGAACGGGCATGTGGATGCGTTCCCGATCCCACGTTGTTTTATCGTCAGGATCCAATCCCAGCCGGACCCAAAGATCTTTAGCCCATTCGGCTGCCTTCTCTTTGGTGAAGGCATCTTTGACAACGATATAACCCTTTTCTAGAAAGTGGTCGACTTGTTCTTCTACAACCAGGGTCAAACAGCGGTTCACACTGAGTACAGTAACGTACTGCTGAGATAGCGGTATGAAGGCATTCTTGTGCAGAGGGACACAGATGACAGAAAGTGATGGAGAAAGCAGTCGGACAAACAATCACCTGCCATCGCAATGACACGGGTTCTTTTGTTAAAATTAACGCGATTGGTTGTTATATTTCCTACTTTACAAAATCTTTAACGCGTGCAACAACAGTCTGCTTGAGCTGGTTGTCATAAGTAACTGAAGGGAGTCGTCGAATGAATCAAACTTACCGGCGGGCTCACGCCATTGTTTTCAAAGTAATGCAGGATGAATTCTGGGGCAAGCCAGTCACTTTCAAGTCCACCCAAATCACGGAAAATCAAAACACGCTGGCGTCCTAGAACTGGAGGAGCGAGGAAGATGTCAAGCGGTGTGTGTTTCTTCAGCGGTGAATTGAGAAACAGAGTCTTCAGCTTTCTCAAAGGCAACCCCACTTGGACTGCTTCCTCCTCAGAAAGGGTGCCGTTCTTGCGTCCCAAGACCATGCGCTCTCCAACAGCCCGTACGAATGCGTCTCGAAGATGTGTGAATGACGTGTTTCTAGTTGGCACTACGACGCGAATTCAGTAGGGAGAAAAATCAGTAGGGGTGAATAATACCAATTCGGATCACACATGCACATGTTCTAACGATGCGTTCTATCTTCTCATCCGGAGTCATAGAGTCAGTTATCTAGGCGATATTTATTCAATTCACGTCCGGAGAGTGGTGAATGAGAAGACCTTTAGTTCAGGATTGTTCAAGTCTGCATAGAAGGCTACAGAGTAGACCTTTAAACCCAGGAAAGAGACCGTTCGGACGCCGACGCCAACTAATGACAGCAGAGGCGTCTTAACTTTGGTAGTCACGCGTAGAGTAGTCGGAAACTCAATGTCTGTAGCGGGGTCCTCTGCAGCGCAGGTAAGCCTAGAGAAACAGAAATAAAAAGATTGCGGCACACTGATCGTGTCCTGGTCGGCAGCTACTACTTTCGTATCTTCTTCTTGAGGCTCCGCGTCCAGGTGAATTGTTGACCCAAAGAGAAACGAGCCTCCTAGCAAGCCTGCGCCTGCATAGAGAAATGTTTTCAGGTGCCGAGGTCGCAATACATTGTTGGGACGACGGGTCGCAGTAGAGAAATAGCGAGCACTGGTGGCAAAGGCAAGAGGACGGAGTAGAGACATGGTACGCGTTGGAACCCGGCAAAGTCCGAACGCAACTTGACCAGCAATGCTATCCAGAGTCGCAGTGCGCTCAGGCCAGGCCCTCAGAGCCGTTGCATCAAGGCCTGCCTATACCTCTGCCCGTCGCTCCATCCAGTCGTCGTCGTCGTCCAGGGGTCCGTATCGTTCTTGTCGTTCTTGTCGTCGCTAACGTCGTCCACAGCTTCGGCAGCACCGTTCACCGAGCCTACCTCCCCAAATCCAACAATCACCAAATATGCTGAAACCGCTAAGGCTCTGCACACATACGGCTCTTATCTCACCCAGTGTCTACCCAAGTTCATCCAACAGTTCTCGGTGCTCAAGGACGAGTTGACGTTGTATACCGCGCCTTCAGGCATCATTCCTGTTCTTACCTTCCTCCGGGACCATGCCCAGTGCCAGTTCAAGAGCGTCGTGGATATCAGCGGTGCCGATTATCCTGACCGAGAAAAGAGATTCGAAGTGGTTTACCACCTTCTCAGTGTTAAGCAAGCCGGTAGGATCAGAGTCAAGACGTACGCTGGAGAAGGAGACCACGTCCCTAGTGCAGTTAAGATCTTCCGGGGTGCTGACTGGTGCGTCTTTCACTTGGTACTGTTATGTTCTAGCGTTAACTATATTCTGCAGGTATGAGCGTGAAGCTTGGGATCTTTTTGGAATATTCTTTAGCGACCACCCTGATCTGTACGTGGCCTGAGCTATGACATCTTTAATGATTGCTCACGTATTTCTCCAGTCGCCGTATCCTTACCGACTATGGTATGTCCACGAAGCTGGCTACCTGAACATATCTGCTAACAACCTTCCAGGGTTTGAAGGCCACCCTCTACGCAAAGACTTCCCGTTAACTGTGAGAGTTCATAAATTACCGGCTAGTCTTATACTTACTCTGATTCAGGGCTATACCGAGCTTCGATATGATGAAGAACGTAAACGCGTGGTCTATGAGCCCCTTCAACTTACTCAGGCTTTCCGGTATGTCACATTGTTCTTCATATGTGTCTTGCTTATCAGCTGAACGTCTAAATTAGAAACTTCGAATCGCTTTCTCCTTGGGAACAAGTTGGTGATGGAACAAAGGCACCCAGGCCCGAAAATCTGAAGCCGCTGCCCCCACCGAAAGTAGAGGAAGTGAAGAAGTAGGTTCCTGTACGCAATGTAGAACTCTACATATAAATACTATTCCTTATTCCAAATCGTAAGAGGCTCTGATACAATTACACTGATAAGAGAATCCTGGGCAAGCTTCAATGTCATACAAATAGTCAGGTTTCCTCGTTATTTGTACTCTCCTCCGCTGTGCCGTCCTTCGACTCGGTCTTATCAGCGCTCTTGGAAGTTTCCTCCTTCTTACCGCCCAAAGCTGCCCAACCCATTCTGGCCACCACATATTCTTGACCAACAACCTCGACGCCGATTCGTAGCGCTTCCGCGACCAAGTCCTCAACCCATTCGTAGTCATCCCAAAGCCCAAGCCATGCGCCAGGGATGCTCTGTGTTATGGTAGTATGCACCAGGTTGAGAGCTGGGTCAGAGAAGTAAAGCAAAAATTGTAAGTGTTGCTGGGTAGAAGGCTCCAACGGTGACGAGGATGAAGAAGGCGCATCAGACTCTGGTTTGGAAGGAACAGGGTATGAAGTGAGGAATGGCTGCACGCGAAGGTACACATATGAATAGGATACAGGAGTCTGTGCAGACGACTGTGATTTGGGCTTTTGCGCGTCCTTCATCTTGATCATTTCATCGAGGTTTGCCTATGCTAGTTATGAGAAGATCATTGATGTTCGTCAAATCTAAGACTGTACCTGTGCAAGCTTCACTGCGGCATCGTATCCCTCTACGGCATTAAGCTCTCGGCCTTCCACGGTGCCATCTCTAGGTCGGGATTTATTTCCCTTATTAACGATGAGATCCCCGCCCTCCACTTGCTCCATGATCTGTTACCGTGGAAGGCGATGTTAGTGACGACCACCTTGTCGTGGAGAGTGAAGACCTACTCTAGCAAGAGAACGGTACACAAGCGACTCGACGCCATCGTAACCTGTCATGTCATGGCTCAACCATACCTGTATTATTTCATGTTCAGAAATTGGAGGAGCAACAGCGTTCAGAATATCCGTTAGAGTCGACAAGCCCACCCGTTTGAAATCCTGGCCTAATGAAAGTGCATGTCTATCGATATGTAATGATAGTGCTCATGAGGAGAGCACTCACCGAGCTTATCGAGCTGGGCACTCTTCGCATACTCAAGCATATCTCCACCCCATTTCTTTGCCAGCTCGTTCTTGGGCAGATGCTTGACCTGCTCATCGACCGCCGTCTTGGCTTGCTGGATCGCAGCTGAAGCACTGGTCCATACCGAGCCCCAGCCCCAACCACCGGTTGCAGCAGGCGTCTCTTGAGCCTGAGGCTTAGTTGCTGGTGGCGTAGATGGTTTGGAAGCAGATGCAGGAGAAGGGGAAGTCGCGCTAAACAGCCCTGAACCCCCAAGACGAACTCTTTCAGTGCTCTTCCTGAGAGTCGGTGTCGCAGAACGAGATGCTGGACGCTCTAGATGTGCTGTCGTCGAGCGTGTCGGCTCCGAGCTCTTCTGGGTGATTTCATCCAGGAAGGCCAGGACCTCGGCTTCGCCTTCATTGGCACTAGACGGTGCTGCGCCAGGCGACGCCGTCCCAGAGGACGATACCTCTGGAAGAGGCGTGAAGGAATCGAGGTCGTCGAGGAGCTGAAGAGCCTCTTCCTGTTTCGACTTTGACTTGGCCATGGGAGACGGGTAGTGGCTGTCTGGATGGAAGTGTGATGCAAGAGCAGCACTGATCTAATCTGGCACAAGGCGCGTATTACGTACACGCGCACCTTGTCTTCTCCTTACCGACTCGTTCATCATGGGCAAATCCAAGAAAAAGCAAGCCAAGGAACCAGAGCCGGAAGTTTTTCACGTTGGTATGCTCGTCGATGTCCTATGCATCCAGTGCCACTCACTCAGAGTTCAGAATGCATTCTGGCTGCAAGAGTAGAAGATTCCGGAGATTGGGTAGGTTTTACCGTGCTCAAGTTGCTTCATGTACTTATTTGGTGTTTCTTTGTGTAAGGAGTACCTCGTCAAAGTGAATTATACTTGTTCTAATTGTCAGATTCGCGACTTATATCTAATTACAGTGGGGAGGCTATGGCGATGAAGACAATACGTTAGGACTATCCTGGTGCAATCTCTGAATTCGGTTGACCTTTTTTCTAGATGGGAACCTGCCAGTGGTGTTGCAAACTGCCAGGAACTACTACAACGATTCTGGGAGCATGTTGGCATGGACAATGAAGACTATCAAGTCGGTTATGAAATACATGCGAAGGAGAGTTATATAAGTAGGTCACATTTGGTTTTGAAACGGAATAGTTCTGAAATTTGACCTCTTGAAGAGCAAGAAAAGGCCCAGTTCAAGAAGAAATTTGGCAAGGAAATCGAGAGAGAGAAAGGGCTTGATAGAAAGAGCGAGGATGCTTATTTGCCCAAAACGAAATTCGTCAGTTGGTTTCAACATTTGCATAGGTATTTACAATAATTGCCTCTTCAGGAGCGCAAAAAAGGTTCACAGAAGAAGAACAACTCTCTCAAAGGGAAGGGTAAACAGAAGGCGGTTCGTCGTGGAAGCTATGCTACTATCACATTCTTACGTTTCTTTTTTTTTTTAGCAGAGGGTACTGTTGAGCGATTCGTCTGAAGACGATACACCGCTTAGTAGTACGTCTAAACCCCCGACGACGGGAACGAAGCGAAAGAGGAGTCCATCTACGCTATCCTCCGACTCTGATGTATGCAGTCTGCTTTATTTGACGATGCAGTTCTCAAATGTTCTCAATCGCAGAAACCTCTGTTCAAGAAAGCAGCCAGTTCTCAGCCTGAGAGAGACATCAAGGTATTCATAGAAACCCTTGGATTGTATTGGTTTATACGTCTATTCTAGGGGAAAGGCAAACAAAAAGAGCTTTCTACTGCTTCCGAGAAGGACAATGCAACATCACTATTTTCTGACCGAGAGTCCTCTCCCGACATCGCCCCTAAATCTAAGGTTGGGAAGGCCGCATCGTCAAAACCCGATTTACACATCCAGACGGCGTTCAACTCAAAAGAACCTGATCCGATGCCTCCTTCTGCGGCTGATCTTTTTCCGCTCAAAAGTGCTGTTAGCCAAACAGCCTCTCAGCCAACACCTGACGTTCCCCAAGTGCCTACACCAACAACTGCACAAGCTTCGACGCCAACAACTGCACAAGTTTCGACTACCCGCGACTGCACAAGCTCCGACACCCACAATTTCTCAGAAAAAGCCGCACATCTCATCCTACAAAGCTCCGCCGCGGATACAAATGATTGACATTCCTGGAAAGTCTGATGGCTTAGGGATCTCAGTGAAACAACGATTATCCCAGAGTACCTTGACGCCTACGAATCCGCAGGCCAGTACAAAACCTCCTCTTCCGTCAAGGAAGGACTCTGCCTTAAGCAAGCTTAGCTTCAAACGTATGCCTGCTGCCCCACCTGCTCCTGTAAACCAACATACAGCTACTTCCTCGAGGCCGAGTATAATAGGACCGAAGGACAACCATCCCACAAGACGATCGAGTATCTCGCAGTCACCACGCGTCACCTTTAGCGCGTAGGCGCCTCCTTCCTCTTCGCTGTATAAAGCTCATGGTGTTCTCTACAGCTCATCCCCTGAGCACCTTATGCACGAGGCTGAAGAATTTCTGCAGGACATTATGCCTCCTGAGTAAGTCTTCTATGACTACCCCGATGCCATCAAAACTCACATTCAGGATGCAGGCTTGCAGCACCTCTCGAACCTACAACTGACAAGCCCAGTGAACATGTCGTGCCTCCGAAGTCGATCGGGAAACAGATGCCTGCAAAGTACGTTCAATAGTTCTACCACATTAAAAACTGTGATTGATGCCCAGAGATCACAGAATTCCCAAAATTTGGAAATGGGAGGGCGATATGTTCTGTTTACAGGGCAACAAGGATACAGTATCTTATGGTCGAGTCTCTCTCACCGATGCAACACCTGTTGCCAACAGTGGGATGCCGCTCAGCATCGCGTTCCCCGCTACAGTTACCTCTTTCGAGTTTGGTTTGATGTATCATGCAGTGGATGTGTCCAATTGCCTTTCATCTTGGATGCCAGTTTCCCAATTTGCACGGCTAGTTCCCTTAGAAGACATTGGACATAGTCGACTAAGAACTCTGTCTAAGTATATGGAGAAGCATAGGCTTGTACGTCACTTGTTGCAGTTATGTGCACCGTACTTATTCATTGCTCCTCCAGGTCGCAGTTTCCCCGACGAAGCCCTCATTCGACGATAGTACTGTAGAGGCCCACGTCTTGTATTTCCCTGCATCGTCGCCGATTGTCAAGTACTTCTCTGGCATTCCCGTAATCAAGGACGTCGAAACTCCGTTCTTTGTAGCCATCCTGGCCAGGCGCATTCGGGACAAGCCACCTGAATCTCCATCGTCTTTGAACGAGTATAACGTTTTCAAGGACCAGCCCAAGTACATAAAAAACGCAGAACTCCAGCATGCTCTAAGGATCCTCAAATATCCTCCCTGGCTCCACGACTTCCTATCGCGCCGTCCACGGGATTACTGTGTCTGGTATGAGGACGACAAACAGGACGTGCGCGGGAAGCATAAACCTTTTGATCTAAAGGGTGGGAACTTGGAAACTTATTGGCTCGCAGCAATCCTGGCCCAATATGGAGGTGTAAATAAGGGATACAAAGCCGATGTTGAGGTTATTTTTGTCCATATCGGGGCTGTAAAAACCCTTCACAAACTTATGGCTTTGGTTGAGCGGCGGGCTAAGAGACCGGACATCCTCTTCGTTACGTTTGGAACGCATCAGAGAGTACATCCGGAGCGATGGGAATTCCGACGTATATATCCTATAGGCAAGTCACTTGATTGCCCCGCACCCGGCAGTTCTTACCATTCTACAGGAGGTATCATGACGTTTACGCCGAAAGCTCTAGTAGAAGACCCCTTGGGTATCCATCATCGAGTCAGTCAGATATCGGAAAATAACAACTGGGAGGCGTACATCATGCCTGCTGCCCTCGGGATGGCAGCGCACTTGCATTACAAGAACGGGAATGCGTTGGAGGCCTTTGACAAGTACGTCACATTCCTTAGGGCATTGTGTTGTCATTGATGGCGTTACAGAGGCCAATTTCTGTATGACTTCCTTCTGACGGCTATCGATGAAGGCAAGATTTCGTTCATGTGTTCACCCCCCATAAATTCCCATCCAGTTTGCCCAACGGAGCCATTTAAAACAAAGCCGTTCTCTGAGCGCCGTTTCGAGGAGCCCATCCATGACTGGCTTCTAGATCAAGCTCTCATCATTGCGGCGGGGCCCCGGGAGATCTTGGAATATTCCATCCGGGAATTCAAAACGAAATATGGCAACCAGTCAGAAGATCTGTACCCATCTCTGATACAAACAGACCTCAGTCAGGACCTTTGGCTCATGCAGCAGCAGCCTGTGATCATGGATCGTTATCGTCGCTTTGTAGCGTTGAAAAGCGAGCTTGAAAAGCCTCCCGACCAGAATGGGGTAATTATTCCGTGTCGGACTTGATGATGATCTATTGCTTATCGCTCGTTCGCTCTAGGTTGAATGGTCCACGACGTCCACCTTTGATTGTAAAGATTTTTTTTCCAAGTATATGCAGCGTAATGCAGTTTCCACATGAACCAGACCCGTAAAGGAGTGTTATGTCCGAGTTTGAATTTCTGAGCCGCTGTGCAAGCATGCTCTTGTAGATACACAAGTATATAGCTCTGATAATTTGTTGTACAATAGTGTTGTTGTATTTCAGCCGATCCGTGGAAATCACATGCGAACTGCTGAGCCGGAGGACCGAAGGGTCCAAGTATAACTCTAGCACGTCCCTAAAACTTGTTTACCGTCAGTCCTTCCTTTTCGACCATCATGGATTCCATCGAGGCCATCGTCAACAATCCAGCCTACCACGATTATCTCGCTATTCTCAAAGGCGCTCGTAATGGATTCGTGTACGGCGTCAAGGTCAGGTTCCCGCATGCCCTGGTCATGTCTATTCTCTTTGGCAGAGGAGAGTAAGCGCCCCAACTCTGCTTTTTTACCCGAGCTCTGTTTCTTACGGCGGCTACAGCTGGCAAACGCGGGTCCGTAGTATCTACCGGGCAACAAAACAGCATGCATTCAACCTAGCCAAATTTGTCTCTATCTACAAGGCCCTTCTTCTGCTCCAACGAAAGGCAAACGGTGGGAAGGAGAGGAGTGCGGATGCTTTCATTGCAGGCCTGCTGGGTGGCTACGTCGTGTTTGGCAACCGAACAGCTGTCAACGAGCAGGTATGTGATGAATTCATGTGCCGACTATTGTCAACTGAATCCTTATCCTGTAGATTGTGCTTTACGTGGTATCGCGTGTTGTAGCATCGTTCATTCCGCGGGCAGCTGCCCCGTACTCGTCATCATCGGGCTCAACGCCCGGAGCCGTGAGGCCCATGCCCCCCGATTCACGGTACTTTACCGTATTCGCTGCTCTTTCATGGGGAGCAGTGATGTGGCTATATAACCATCGGGGCCAAACGATACAGCCAGGCATGTTCAACTCCATGACATACTTGTACCGGGACTCGGAGAAGTGGAAGAATTTGAAGACACTACTTTGGCACAACACCTAGACTACTCTTATTCATTCAGGTAATTAGAGATCATATATCCCATTGATAGGATCATCACCATCTGTCGCTTCCTTGAGCTGATCCACACGTCGGATAACCCTTCTACATTTGTACTAGAGATAAGTCAGTAATTGAGATTCTAGGTTCGAATGAGAGTCTTACGCCGAGCATGTCAACCGCGGCAGAACAAGCCTTGTGGCAGATTTTGCAATCTGCTAATAACTGCCGTACAATGTCCATTTCACAGGCAACATCTGTATCTGAAGTAGGCAAAAGTAATTAAGTTTCGAGCGAGTATAACGAGCGTCTAGAACTGACTTGATTGAATTCTGCCCAAAAGATATGTCCTTCTAGCCTCCCAAAGTGACGTTGTCTGTCGCTGATGGGATGTACAGAGTCCGTATCCTGCCAATGGTCGGAGCATTAACACTACATTGTGCCAAGTTGATGGAAACCCACCGTGAGGAAATATTTCTTCCCCGGAAAGAATTCGCCGCAGCGCCTGGACTCGAAAGTTCTGCAGAACGAGGACTCTGTGATACGCAGCCACTGTTGGGATGACTTCAACTTGAGAAGCATCATAGGACGCCATTGGATCAAGGTACTGGCTCGCCGTCGACGCCGCGGTCCCTAGGCCAAACGCAACGGCATAGCCATATACACGAAGGGGATCTATTGGTGCATGTGCTGATAGATGGACGCTCAGTGTTTCGGTGATAGATTCGATGCAATATTTATCTGCAAGGGTGAGTAACAGTGGTATAACCGGTAGCGGTATGACTGTTCCGGGATCGTACTGCCGCTGGAACAGATGATAGGACTGAGCGCTGTTGCGGTCGCGATAATGTTTTGTATAGCTGTGAATTTGGATGGGGAGCCCGGGCGGATTATGCAGTACATTCAAGAGAACTGTCAGATTGCTTGCATGTTCATCGAGTCTGACTATCTGGTCGGCAGGAGTTGTTCGGCTGTCGCAGCAGCTGAACATATCGCCTAAAATGCCAAATGTTACACAGTAAAGACATAATAAAGGGAATCAAAAAAACATACGGAATACATTGCTATTTTGAAGCGCTTTTCGGCTGGCATGGAACACTTGGTTGTCAGGTATAGACGAAACAATAATGTCCGGTTCCAGGCATTCAAAGGCGGTCAAAACCATCGACATCTGATCCCGCTACAGGGTAAATCCTAAGATTATATATTGTCTCCTAGTGACGGAATAAAGGCTATGTCGGCGTGGCGCGGACGTGTCCTTTCTGTAGGCGCCGTCATGATTTACGTGGATGTAAATGAACGATCGTAGCACGTACGATATGCAGCAGGCCTCCGTCAGATATACATGTACTAGAATTCGTGACAAAATGCATGTTCCAACACGAAGTGAAAAAAGGCAAAGGAGGGGGTGTAACCGCAACGAAGAAGAAAGGTCATAGTGGTATCATCAAAGCAGGTAAAGAAGGATCTAAACAACCAATATCCCAGAGTGCGCCCCTACACGATAATACACTTTGTCGATTTCTTCTCTTTCTGTTTCGGCGGCGCGCCACTTCCGCTCACTGGACCTGCTTCTAGACTTCGCGTTTGTCGCAGCGCTCGCACGAGATTCATGAATAGACGCTCGACATTTTGTGCTGTTTTCGCCGACGTTTCGATAAATTCGCAGCCAAACTGCCGCGCGAGGGCAGCACCTTCCTCCTTCGACACTTCCCGCTCGTAAGTTTTGTCGCATTTATTGCCGACTAGCATAAAGATGGGATCTCCCCTTTTCACCCGCCGCATCGACTGACGGAAAACCTCCAGACGATCGAACGTTGACCGAGATGCGATTGAATACACAAGGATAAAGCCTTGACCCTCCCTAGCGAGACAGAGACCATGGATAAAGGAGCCGGTTGGAAGATGCTGAGGAGACTGACCGAACCCATTGATCTCGTAGTGTAGCATACTCCTCTGTCCTCGACGTCAGATCCTAGTACTTGGAATAAAAGGGTATGTACTCACCCTGCCCCGCAGTGTCAATTACTTCTACAAAACACATACGATTGTCCACTATCAGTTGCTTCCGGTAAGCGTCTTCTATCGTTGGGTCATATGTCTGGCAAAACGAAGTGAACACAAGAGTACGTCAGGGCTGGTAGCCATGAGACAAACCTCTAGAGGCAGGCGCGAAATTTGTGTGAATTGAGAGGTACGAGGCGACGGATGGGAAACGCACCAACAAAACAGTTTAATGTGAACTTGAAGAAAACGAGGCTCGAAATCAGATATAGGCGGGAGCACGAGCTATGAATGCGCACCTGGACAGCGAGAGCTGTTTTGCCCACACCACCATCACCAAGAACAGCTACTCTCCAGTTGTCCATTTCTGAAGAAGATATTGAATATCTGAATGAACGGAAAGTTCCAGGACGGTGCACCTCAGAAAGGTCAGAGTAAGCGCAAATGAAAGTGTCGAATAAAGTGAGAAGAGTCAGGCAGAAAGTGAGATAGGAGAGCGTGAAAGATGAAGAGAGACGAGCAAGGCAGCAGCAAAAGAAAAGAGGCAAGATTGACAGGGAGGTCGTTCAAAATCGTGTTTCGTGGGTGTGTCGTAAAGAAAGGCGGAGGGGATAGGATAGCCTTAGGGAAACGGCAAGCGACTCAAATTGGGCCAATTCGTCTTACTGATTACCAACAGACTCCTACCTTTTTGCTTTATTTGGTTAAGTTCCCTTTTTGGGTCCATATTCTCCCCATTGTTTCCCGTTTTTTTCCCTCTTTTATTCCTCCGTAACCGGCATCTCAGCTCCGGATTCACGGGTACTGCTCACCTCACCGCCCTCACTCACTCGGCCATCTCCGTTCATCAACGAGTACATGTCAACCCCCCGTCCACAAATGTCAGTTCCTCATACCCTATCATGTATGTATCACGTCAGGAGATGCCTCGCCAATCGATGCACCTAACCCTTGCCTTTGCGACCCGTTTCGCCATGTTTCGGCCCCATATCCTATCCAATTAAAACTATTTTGCCGTATTACTGCATGTCCTCTCGGGTACAACCGTCTTAAACAGAACCCTGGCATGTACGACATACACAGCACACAAGAGCCACCCGTTCACAGGCGGCTGTCGGCTCTCCCATTCCAATCGGAACCAATCCCATTCCGATTTCCAGGACAAGACATTCCAAGGATCATTCTCACCAGTTTCCTTCCAAGGACCTTGCGGAGCCGATAGATGGCTACATGACACAGACTCAGCAAAATTAGGTATCCGCTAGGGATCAGTATTCTCTGTAGAATCACTCGAAATTCACATAGAGAGCGGAACAGAGAGACATTTTCAACGACCCCCAAATTTATTCAATCCAATACGTCTTAGATTGTCAGAAAGAAGCGAGTTTGTCTGAAAAACTTTGCGGCGGGTCCTATTTTGAAATACAAAGGATGCTTGGTACGTGAGTCTACGTCAGGGCATAAGCCAATCGTGTTAAGAGTCATACGCTCGTTGTCGTTACTTATAAACATAGGTCTCCCTGGCATGTGGTCAGGTCTGCCATAACCGGGGATTGGTGAATGCCTCTTGTTAATGTAGTGCCGGGGGCTGCGGAACGGAATAATCATAAGATAAACCCAAAGGCGATGGGAACAAGAGAGGGGAATCATGCACTGAGACCATTCCATCCGCCGTGTCCGGTAACGGCAAGGCAGAACGAGGACGGGACGAGGACAATGATTAATTTAGAACCACCTTGATCACAGCCACGTGGAGAGGACTATGTGCCTTCATCTAATCTTATCACCAATCTCTGGCTAGCCTCGGTCCCCAGTACAAGGGTTTGAACCTTGTCAGATAGTGTGGTTTGCTAACCTGAACAATTAGAGTTTGTAAGCACGAGGTGCCTCGCAGATAATCGCGTGGACCAACAAGGATCAACGTCCAAGGGGAACAAGGACTGCCCCTGGATGACCTCGAGTTGAACTAGTGCCTCTCTTTTAATCTTGAGTGCCTTGTTACGCTGATGGATCAGGTACCTGTGCGGTTGCTATTATCTTCGTTTCTGTTCTTAACCTGCAGGTTTTGGACTCCTCGTTGGGAATAATTCTCCTGCGCATATGCCTCGGATCTGATGACCATACTCCCGCTTTTCGGCACTCATTTTTAATGCCAACGAACCTCCACGTACGCTACGCAGCACATGTCCCATTAATTTTTTATTTTAGTCGAATCAACAAGCACCGGAGTGGGTGGGTATATCTCGATCGATCTTTTGGGACCTTTCTCATCACGGAGTTCTGCTTTCTTAATGAAAACTGGGTTCTTTCCGGCACTTCCTCTCGGGAAAACTTAGCTTGATATCTCAGCAGGTGTCACCAAAAATACCCAAACAAATAGCTAAATAACTTTCCCAGTCTTATTATATATCCCCCGAGTATCTCCACCGTGGCCTATATGGAATTCCACTCTATCCTTATGACCTTTCTTGGATTGTCCAATGACTATATAAGCAGGTGTTTAAATACCTTATCTTCCGTCGACAACGGCCTATCGACGACCTTGGCCCCAACTATCCTTAAGTAGGCAGCTTCTTACAGTCTTTCGGCATCCATCCAAATTACCGCTTCATACGAGTTCCCACATGCATTCGTGAATAAACGGTATGCCAACTTGTTTACTTCTTCCGTTTCCTGACCGATGTTGTCGTGGGATGGATCACTACGTTTTTGGTAGACGGGCCGAATCGCTACAATTGCTGGACTGTGAACGGTAGTCCCTGTTTTCTGCGTCATACTAATTAAGCAATGCATCAGCTTCAATCACGTCACGCAAACGCATTCAGGCTGTTATTGACTAGGGTACAATTACCTTGGAAAACATATCAAAAAGTGGTATAGTACACACACATCATCTTCGTAACTAGCGAAACCGGTGATGACATACCGTATTTAAACCGATCCGCACTAAAGTCTTAATATAATTAAATCCCTCTGAAGCTAAGAGCACATCCACCAAAGCCTTTCTTCTCTTCCGCTTCTTGAGTCCAAATATTGATGAATACCCAATGTTCAATGGATCGTAGGACATCATTTCATTTCTCGGCGGCGCCCAGAAGCTTGCTGTCTTTGTCAGGAGCCGTACCCCAAACGCTGAGAGACGATGTGGCTCTATTCTTCAGGAGCTGCACCGAGATTGATAGTGACATTCATATCATCGCGCCAAGAAAATTAGGGTGATCGTCCAGCTCGACAAGTTTAAATGCCAGATGCGACTTGACAAGCTTGAACGATGGGGGTAGTAGCTATCGACATTCCAGGCAAGGCATTCGGCAAATGCCGATCTTTTTCCTATTACTGTTATGACGGAAACAGAATCTACTGCGACATTTGAGTCGCTTGGACTCAGTAAACCCCTCCTCGATGCTGTAGAAAAACTGGGATACAAGCAACCCACCTCAATACAGCAGCAATGCATACCTCCCGCCCTTGAGGGGAGAGACATCATCGGTCTTGCTCCTTGGCAAAACAGCTGCTTTCGCCATTCCAATTCTACAAAAACTTCTGGGATGCACCCCAAGGTCTTTTTGCTTGCGTATTGTCCCCCACACATGAATTAGCGCATCAATTTGCTACTCAATTTGAAGCTCTCGGGGCCGGTATGGGTGTTCGGTGTGCTGTTATTGTCGGTGGAGATATGGACCGCGTTGCGCAGGCTGTAGCGCATTGCCAAACGGCCTCATATTCTAGTTGCCACGCCAGGTCGGATTGCAGACCATCTCAGGAATACGAAAGGCTTTAGTTTGCGTACTCTCAAGTTCATGGTCAGTTTTCTTCTGGAGCGCCGGCACCTTACTTGATAACCGTTGTTTTCCAGGTCCTAGACGAAGCTGATCGGCTATTGGATCTTGACTTTGGTACACATCTTGATGATGTGCTCAAAGCTGCGCCAAAGCAGCGAACAACATACCTCTTTTCCGCGACAATGACAACTAAAGCTGTCAAAGTTACAACGCGCCAGTCTAACAGACCCAGTGCGTATAGAGACTTGCGTCATCGTGCGTACTTTTAGTCCTAATAGCTCGCACTACCTAACGGCTACTTCTAGACATCACACGGTCTCTACCCTTCTACAGTACTACGTACTTGTATCCCATCATTCATAGGGAGGCATTACTTGTCTCTCTGATTAATTCGTCGTTGAGCAACTCAATTATTGTCTTCGTGCGCACTATTCACGACGCGCATAGCGGTATGTTTCTAAGTCTTAGGCCTAATGTGAAGTATTCACTTGCTGTATTATCAGCATCATTCTACGCACGCTCAACTTCGATGTGGTCCCCCTTCACGGTGATCTTACACGAAGTCAACGCATGGGGACTTTAGCAAAATTTCGCAGTGGTGACAAAAAGATTTTGGTGGCGACGGATGTCGCAAGTCGGTTCGTAGATTTATTTGCTTGGGTGCAACTCAAAATCTAATCGGCCTACAAGTGGTCTGGATATTCCACTCGTGGATCTCGTCATCAACTTCGACGTACTAGGACATTCTAAAGATTACATTCATCGTGTCGGGCGAACAGCACGTGCCGGTCGCGCAGGAAAGGCTATCATGATAGTCACTCAGTACGACGTCGAACTGCTGCAGCGACTAGAATGTTTGTTGGGCAAGAAACTTGAGGAATGGCCTACAGACAAGGAGGATGTAATTGCTATGCACCCTACGGTTGATGAAGCAGGACGAAACGCAGCAAACGAATTGAGAGAAGCTGGGAAGCAACAAAGAGCCGCAAACGTAAGCGACAGTCCGGGGAGACTGACGACCAGGGCATTGAAGAGGTTTCACTCCTTCGTGGTTCAACCCAGGCACGACGTAACAAGAAGGCATCATTGATAATCCCATGGTTTCATCGTGGTAGTGGGGGACTGAAGAACGCCAACGGCATCTGTGTACCCTCCTGGGCCTAAAGATGACGCCATATCTGTTTCATCTAATGCTGCCAATACTTGTGCTATGCGTGGGATCCAGTTCCCTTTATCCAATTTCTCTAGCTCGCGATTTAGGGATGAACTCCGTTAGCGCTTCCGACAAAGTCTGCGGGGATAGGTCATGGGAAGGGAGACCCAATTAGCAATACGCCCTGTCGCTTGATGCCCAGTGCCATTTCATGTTATCATGACGGCGTACCATGTCATGTAGGGCCAAAATCGATCCAGTTCCCGCTCGCACATGTGTGAATGTTACAGTTGCAAGTTATGTGAAAGGAAGGGAGTGTTGTATCTGCATGATTGGACGATACTTCAAGCTTCACGGGCCACATTCCCGTTCCTGAAAACAACATAGCGGCAGGGGAACACTGAGCAAGTGCCGTACGGTATATATAAGGGCATGGAGTGCGGACTCTGGTTTGTTTCCTTCTCAGGGACTTGATCACAATACCAGCGGCATTCCAGATACCAGATCTATAACATTCCAAGACTTGTTTTACATAGGTACAGCGACAAGAGCGGATAAGTGTTGTCGGTTCGATACTTTCGGAGTGATAGCACTTTCTGCGTCATACTGATTAGGCAGCGCGTCAGCTTGACTACGTCACAAACACGTCAGCGTAAACGCAAACGCATACGATTCGAATCACTCGTATGCATTTGGAAACAATACATATATGGCAAAGGCGTTAGGCTGAGTTAAAAAGCTGTCGTACAAGTACAAATCGGAAAACACCTCGAAAGTGGTATATACACGCATTGTACGCGCACAATCTTCGTAACTAGCAAAATTACCATGTCTATGGGTAGTCGAGTCTACTATAAAAGAAGAAGGTGAATGCAATGGCTCAAAACGTACACTTGGCCAAAGAAGCAGGGTGAACGTACTCGTATAATAAACAATATTGTGTGCGTATGGGAAGAAAGGAAGTCGGCGTGTGATAGAACAGATAAATCGAGGTTGTTTTGTAGGTCTTCTTCGTCGCGTTTCCGGTTGTGCATGGCTATGCAGCGCCCAAACTCTAGCTCTCCGACAAGTACGACATGTGTGCTGCAGCGCGTTTTACGCACACGCTCAATCCTGACGGCTGAATTCGGCTTGGGTAAGGTCGAGGACAAAGGTATGGAAGTGGTTGGCGGGGGGTTCGATGATCTTTATGGGTTTCTTGTTGCTCGCCTTTGAACCGAATGGCTGTAAAGCAGTCGCAACAGAGGGAAATGGACGGAGGGCGCGCGAAGAAGGGAAAGACGGGTTTCGTCGAGGGATAATCCTTTTCGCCTGTCCAGAAGTGCACGACGAACCAGCAAGCGGCGACGAGATAGTGGGTCGTGACATGGTCAAAGACGCTAAGACGAGAAAATGGTCAGTCCGAGGTCGCCAAAAGAGAAAGAAACGTACCCATTGTGCTTGCAAAAGCTCGAGTGGAAACAGGGATAGGGACACCCAGGAAAGTGAAAGTGCGGGGAAGAGAGAGAGAAGGGACGAATGAGAGTAATTAAATGCTTTGGGGGATTCCCCAAATTGTCATACGTTCAGTTGGGGATTGCCTTTTGTAGAAGCCCGCTAGTACGGCCCTGAGATTCGGGCCAGGTCGGTGGGTTGCCGGACTTCGGCACCAGCCACTATTCCGGCCAAAAAGCAACAACGGGCGCATACCCTGCAGTATCTTACCGACCCACAGCTAACAGCGGTCGGAATATCCTTATCATTTATCGGACTTGTTGCTTTGTCAAGAAATGACTATCACGCCACAGCTTTCTCCGGCGCTATGTAGTAAGATCCTCGGTGCGTGATACGACGTGACCAATATTGTCGGGCTTTGGCATGGCATGGTACTGCAATACTTACTCTCAAGTGTTACACTTGAACTGCCAAGTATATCCTATTGAAACTATAGATATGGTGTGATACATATTGTTACAAGCGAGCTGAGCAGATGGCCATGTGGATTTAGAATGCATGAGCTGCTGTTCTAGGATGGATGAATGGAGATATCGACAATAAAAAGGACTCTGGTAAAGTATTAGGCGCGACAAATATCGGCTGGGGGAATGGTGAGTCGTGTCGCGAGGGAATATACGTGTGCTGGAAGCGTCAGCAATGATCAGGAAATTGGTAGAGACTGGCCGTCGCGGGGGGAAACATGCCGCAAATGTGGCCAAGGCGACCCTTCTGCTCGCGTGCTCTCCCCACGCTCGGAACCTCCCTTTCTACAAACCAAGTTAGAACTATGACGCAGCTCCGCTGATAGTCCGAAAAAGACGATATATGAAAACAAGACGCAAACGAATGAGCGTCGTCCGTCAGAACCCTTCCTCAGGAGGAAGTGATGGGACGAAGATCGACGGACAAGTCATCACCGCGAGCACTGAAAAAACTCGTGATGACTACTGTACGTCCGTAAGCAGATTACGCTCAAGGATGTATTTGCCTTCTTTGTACTTCTGGGAAGGCTCATAGGCTTTGTCCTACATAAGACGGTTTAGTTTAATTAAATGATAGATGGACACGAGGGACGCACGTATTTCCATCCGAGACAGGTGCTGCACTTGCAGCAATAGATGTCTCGCACGGTGTGAGCGCCTGTCGTCATGGTGCGATCGTTCGGCTCGCCCTCGACAACATTGACACTGGAGCAGAATAAGGTCAAACGAGAAGGAGCCGACAGAACAATAGGAAGAACATACACGCCGTCAAAGAGATAAGCCCTGCCGTGCTGGCCATTGAACGCCTGAGACGGGTAATTAGTAGGTAGGCGTAATTAGGGAGTCGATGGAGAGACATACTCTGGATATCATGGAGTGAATGGTTGCCAGATGGGTCTTGCATGTAGAGCAGCCATAAATGCGCTCTCCAGCGAGATAGCGGCGATAGCTCATGCCCATCTTGATATCAGCGAAGCACTTGTGAGAAGGTACTGTGTTAATGAGTAGGAGCCAAGACGGGCACGATGCAGGGAAGAATAAGAGGTCAGTATGCCGGGGCCCTTTATATAAATGACGGTCGTGTGAAGAAGATAATGGTGAGGGTATGGTGAAAGAAGGAAGATGACCGCTGCCGGCTGTTTTGCTTTATTGGTCTGTCTTAGTACCATGCCGCTGGCGGCTACAACTTGGCACTGGGCCTTTTCTAGCCCTTACTGACTACGTCTGCAGTCTCTACCCCAGTCAAACTACCGCTCTAACTCCGCTGTAGTCGACCCGGTGCGAGTGCAATATTCGTCAGCTGCCATCGCGGATCTACCTAAGTGCACTGTTCGAGGTTCGAACTCGAGAAGCAAGCAATGGCCCGCCACGTGATTGATTACCCAAGCCGACCACTTGCAGAGGACCATCACTCGCCAGACCAAGTGCAAGTCGCGACCACTCCCTTACCGCCAAACTGGGTCTTACTTTCTGCTCCTCTGCCTTGGCGCACATTGCCGTCTCTTCCATGAGCACACAGAAACGACCAGCAACCGACCCGTTACCAGAACCTCCTTCAAAACAGCCTCGTCGTACTCTCTTCGGTCCTTCAGGCGAGAAAGCAAGTCCCTCCCAGAGTCTTTCTTCTCGCTGGAAGGCTTTCACGACGTCCTTCTTCGTCCTTGTTGGCGACACGATATCCTCTGTCATACGCGGTGAGTACGGCTGTACCGACGGCGTTTCACTGCATCTTCTGATCTTTCCACAAGCGCCGCAAAAGTCAGATTTGAACTCTGAGGCGCGTCAAGAGCCAAAAGAGGCTCAGGGTCAAGCTCAGGACATGTCACCACCGTCGTCACCTTCCCTTCAGAACGCCGAAGCAGGTCCGTCGCGCCTCCACGTCGAATCAAGGCAGAGCAGTGTCGCAGAGAGTTTGAGTATAACTGGCAGCGGGTGGCAGGAGGGACACCCAGTGGATCAACGTCGACGCGACTCACAGTCGCCGTTTCAATTTTCACAGAACAGCTCTTTCCATGGAAGTGTCTCGTCATCACAAGGGCCGTCGCGATTTCAGTTTAAATCCAGCCCTGTACCCAGCGACTTTCGGGACACACCCCTTCGCAAACCACGCCCACGTCCACCCCGCCGGAAAGGATCTATGGGACCTCCTCCCGTCCCGCCGGCCCGCAATACTCTTGCATTTCCCCTCTCTGTACCACCCTCACCTCAGCCATCGTCTTCCCGCTCAGATATAGAGCCTTCACCCGGTTATATCCAGCATTCCATCCAATCGCCCATGCCCCATCTATCCAAGATAAAGCACCGTGATAGACCACATATACATGCTGCTCAGGTAGGCCTAATCCATGCGCATCTTGCCGCTCTTCTCACTCCCCGCAGCATAAAGCTCAAGTAGCAGCCGATAAAGAAAAGGAACGAACGCGATTGCTAACACAATTGTACCACATGAACAAGAAACAGGGTGAGTAATAGCTACTTTCCTACAAGACTAGTCCTAACAACATGGCCAAAGGCTACGGTTCCACTTTCCAAGAGTTTGACAGTTTGCTTCAGTATCGTGCTCTCTTAGAGGGCGTCGACACGCCGTCAAGGCAGAGACTACTATCTGGTGTGTCTGCTTGTACACTGTTCATAACCCAGACGCTAATATCGTAATACAACAGCTTCACCATCACTAACAGACCTACGTTCAAAACCTATGCAGCCCATCCAGCCAACCCGATTGCGTAGGCATTCCGACATTTCTGTAAGAACGTCCCTCCACTTCTACCCCATCCTTCAATTCAGGATGTGTCTAGGAATTCCCTGCCTATCTTCGTCTTGCTCTAGAGAAAGCGCGCGCTACTTTGAACGGGTACGTGTTTGTGTCTAATCAAAGACACTCAGATTAATGGAGCCCAGACCCAAACCTGCGGTGCCATTCAGCCCCGCTGAAGAACAACGCAGGTTGAGGGATAGAACGAAAGATGCACAAATAGAACGTCGCCTTCGTGGGGCAAAACAAAAACCCTTACCAAAGGCCCTCCCAGACGAAGATGAACTTAAAGTGAAAGCCTTACTCAAAAAGTCCAGTGTCGTGTCAAAGTACGAGCGAGAACAAGTCACCGGCCAGGACCTTCAACGATTAAAGCCCGGTCAATGGCTAAATGACGAGATTATCAACTTTTATGGGGCCATGATCCTTGGACGCTCCGAAGCTAGCAAGGAAAATCCTGCAGTCAATGGAGCAGCGAAAGGGAAGAAGACACCGTTGAATGTACATTATTTCAGTACCTTCTTTTGGTCGAAATTGGACAAGGACGGCTATGAAAAAGCACGGTTGGCAAAGTGGACAAAAAAGGTTCGAATGATGGGCATACGCTTGTACGCTGTGACTGAAAGTTTTGCAGTTTGACATATTCGCAAAAGATATGGTGCTTATACCGGTTAATCATAACAACATGCACTGGACAGCTGCGGCCATCAATTTCCGGCACAAACGAATAGAATCGTATGACAGTATGAATATGAACCGACAATTGGTGTTCAAGGTATGATTGATGCACAGTTCCTGCAGAGTAATGTAGCACATTCTCACGCCATTTCAGCTTCTTCGACATTATCTAGATGCCGAACATCGGAATAAAAAGAAGAAACCTTTCGATTTTTCTGGCTGGGAAGATTATACACTTAAGGTATGTAGGAGTGGGTTAAAACCTTGGAGCAACTGAACGTAACACTTAAGAAGGACACGCCACAACAAGAGAACGGATATGATTGTGGGGTATTTACCTGCCAATTCTTACAGTCCCTATCCAAGGGTGAAGACTCTTTCAACTTTACCCAGGCTGATATTCCCTATCTTCGTCGGCGAATGATCTTGGAGATTGGACAGGCGTCACTTGGAGATGATCCATAGCATTTATATCTGCTGTATCTATTCGTGGGGGGTGTTCGTAACATGCGAGGGTGGTTGCGCGCGTCTTTATTGGTTAATATATACAAGTAATGACCGAGAACAGTGAGAAACGATGTGCCATACATCACCTCCGGAACCACCAGACAACCATAAAAAACCAGAAAACGATGATCAGGAAGACGATGTACCACAGCCATCGGCAGCCTTGTCGTGCAGCCATGTTGTTCATTCGACGAAATGTTCCTGAGAGGATCCCGGATGTTTCTGCAAAGGCATCGTTCTGTCACGCAGTTCAGTATCGTATTTCCAGGGCGAGTAACGACGGAAACACACCATCTGGCTTAGCTGCACCGTTGATTCTCGGACTTCGTTCCCAATGCCAATAGTTATCTGTATTTCGAGTGTTCATTCGCTTTTGAACAACATGAAGGGGCGCAAGGCGAGTACAGATGACGACTCACATCCTTCAGCAGCTTTACTTTGGCGCTCAGTCCCTCCAGCATCTCGTCATTTTGTCCCTCCAAATCATCTGCGAAGCGGTGTCCACTGGGTTCACTAAAATGGCTTCCGCCCGGGGAGGAACGTCCCGACAATGGTAGTAGCGGTGACCGGTCACGAAGAGGTGCTCGAATTCTGCATTCACGATTGTGGATAAGTTCCTCAACCAGTGAGGTTGATAATTGTACTTGCCGTGATGACATGCGAGAAAAGAAAGGATTGCTGTACCCGTTCACGCGTACATGCTCAAATCGGTTGTGACACGTTGACGGTCTGGTGTCACGCGCAGGATCAAACCTAAGAATACATCTATACGCTGGCGAAACAAACAGGAAACAGCTACACCTGAATCTACAGGTTAAAAGGTCGAAACAGTACCGAATTTATGGTATAAGATAATGTAAAGAAACGGGGTGCGACAGAACATGCGAAAGGATAGATGTTCAAGATACCTGTCAAGTGTCCGTGCCCGATGATGTGTATGCAATGCCCAAGTAATCAGTACAATGATGAAAAATCATGGAAAGTCGTGTGATGCACCATGCTCAATCGATGCTCATACGATTTGGATTCGCACTGGCTGCTCTGCTATGCGACGGATTCTTCCCGGACATGCTGTTCTTTCGTTTCACTAAACGCACAACCGTCAGCTTTAGTCAGTAAATGTCTAAAGAGATACCAACGCGAGTCTTTCAATCCTCGGCCGAAACCCCTCGTGATGAGGTACGAAAAAACGAAAGTGACGGAAAGTAAAAGGATCGCGATGACAGCTGAAAGAAAGATCAGCGATATGTGCGGTATAAAAATGTTGAAGTCTTACAAAAGATGGTAAGTGACTTCCATGCGGATTGCAATTCTGCTTCTCGATCCTTGTACATAAGAACCTTCACGAACTAGGCAATTTATGAGATTCATCGACGACACCAAAAAGAGTGCAGACCTTGTATACGAAATACACCATCGCACCCACACAACCTGACATGAAGGTCGCCATCATCCACTTGTTCTCGTACTTTGCAGCATAATGACCTTCCACCAAAAGGACGATCGAGAGAGGAAGAGCAGCGATGGTCACATAGTATTCCCAGTCGTTGCTGTTGAGCACCAGCCACAAAAACTGGACCGAAAAACCCGCGAAGAAGAAAACGTCGAATTTGATTAGACATTCATAAATCTGGTAGTTGGCGTATAACTTCTTGATCCTCCTGTCAGCGCCAAGGAATTTGTAGACTTTCCAGCCAAATTCATGGTAAATTTTCCACCCCAGGCCCATAAACGCAAGTTCTGCAGCTGCAATCACGCAAGGGATGATTACAGTGAGAACGTCAATTGGGATGTCAGAAATGCCGCCAGAGGCTCCATCGACGTTCTGCTTGATCTCGCCTATCTGTATGACGGCGTAGAGAAGCAGTAGAGCATTGAAGAGACTGTGGACATATTGAAGGCTTGGATTGAATCCACAAAAGAGGCAACGACATACGTTAGAGCGATAAACTGTAGTGTATTTCTTGTCACGACAGCTTCCGCAGCCATGTAAAATTGAAACACACTGTGCTACTTGTTCAACGGATGAAAGAATGATAAAGTTTTAGGCTTACTGAGCTATGGCGAATATACTGAGGTAGACGGACATCTTTTTGGTGTTTGTGCCGTCTTCGGTCTCTCGATTCACCCTCACCAGTAGTTCTCCTTCGATAGCAAGATCTATTGCAGTTTCGATGAGAACCGTTAAAATGTATAGGCGGCATGCTATCGAGTCCGGAATTATCTAGGACGACATGAGATGGTCATAATCAAAATCAAAGAACTGGCAGACGCACATTGGCCCATTGATACCACCGTTGCTTCTCCATGTCCTTCACCGGCGGGGGCGGATAAAGAGGCAGTGGTTGATCGTGGAAGGTATCATCTGACTGCTTTGAGGAAAAAGTAGTCTTCATGGGCGTCGAGGGGCCTCGGCGATGTTGTGGTGCACCCGTCATTGGCGTTTCGACGGCGAATGTCTTGTGATGGGTATTGGCAGCGTAGGGAGAAGCATACTCGTCAATAAGATCATCGTAGGATGCTTTGACTTCTGACTGCGGTTCTTGGAAATACGACGACTTTGCCTGATAATGATAGTGGGACAAGTCGTCTGAGTCGGGATAAGATGCCTGGTGCGCCATGGAAAGGTTGGAGAGCGCGTCGGCCTGCGAGTAAAAGGATTGTTGTGCCCTTGACGAAGAGCGATGAAGGAGAGTGACGGGAAGAAAAGAGAAAGGAGAGTGAGTTAGCTTTGGATGCTGCGTTTGTTGGGAGGAGAGGTGCCGACGCTCACAAATTCCTGTGTTTCCTGTTTGGCCTTGATTGATGCAAAGGGTGGCACAGCCAAGCCCGAGTCTAAGTCCACGTTCCGTTCCTTCCGCCTGCTATATGGGATGTCGTTAGTATCGCTTGACCGAGACCTGCACGGTATTCGATATCTGGAAAAGCCCTGGCGATTCGTGGCAGTGGTGGTGGGGACCACAGAGCAACCGGGAACATCTATTTTAGAGTACCTTGGTAACAAGAAATCAATTGCTGTTGTGCATGACCTTCGCATGGCTCCTAACATTATTCTAAGTACCAAAAACCAGAATTCAACGCCATCTGTAGCTCTAAACCTCCAAGGCAAAGCACTTTGAACAGTAACATCACTACTAAAGCGGCCGCAGCGTGCCGGTAACCCTCTTCACAAGATCAACGGGACCTGGATTTTACCTGTTAGCCAAACGAATCACACTCCAAGGCGCTGCGGACTCACCGACAATGCCAAGAACTGTTCGGGAACCGGCCTCAATTTGGGTTCTTCCGCTGGATAAAAAGTCTTCAGTTGCAAAAGGGGAGCGTGATAACACAAGTTGCCTACGCGTCTTGGATCGATCTCGTGCACAGATTCAGCATTTGAGCAAGATCTTGCAGCACCAGAAGTGAGTCCTCGTCAGAACAGCGACGGGTCAATTTGGGCTGTCTGAAAGGTGTGCAAAATCGATAACGGAATATTGATGACCGACAATTTCACGTACCCTGCGCCTTCCCAGCGCCTTAATAGCTTTAAGTTCCTTGGTAAGGATATTGGAGACGGGCCAACTCAAATCTACACACCGGTACGTTCGAGGTCAGCATGGACTTATAGCATGCAAGGACAGCATGCCTAAACAGCAAAGTATTTAGCAACGGGCCAAAACAAAACTGACAACATACGAGCACCTAAAGACAATGTCACTAACAGACCAAACTTATCAAAGTAGAGCCAACTTACTGTGCAGCTATTTTTCCCGTGGTCATACCCAAATCCTCCCTAACTACGAGAACCTGCGAAGATCACGCGCTTGAGTCGACATTCAAATTTTCAAGAACGTCAAGGTACCATCGTGCATTCGTCAGTGGGACCAATTTTGAGAGAAGACAGGTCGCCACGGTCTTCATCTTCAGCTTCCGAATCACTCTCATCATTTTCACCGTTATCGTGCAGAGGGTCAGTAGCCTCGGTGCCCTTTGCGGCCGCCTCGACAGCCTGACCATGAGGCTTCTCACTCCTGGCTGGGTCCCGCGGCGATACATTCGACCCTACCCATAGACCAATAGCAAAAGTGGCGGCGACAACCACGCCATACGCTGCTTGATCACCTGTCAGTGTGTAGAATACGAGACAACGTACATAATTACCTGAACTTGAAGTGAGCGTGTGCATGGCGTCTAACTTGAAGCTTAACCGGGCCGGGCCTCGGGAAAATCTAAAACTTTCCCATGGTGCTACACGTAACTTCAACTGTCATCGAGAACTAGTTACTTGCGACGTCAATTATCTTGACACAACACTAACGTTGTACGTATAATAATCAGTATCTTCGGTTGCAATTCCCGGTGAAACTTTGGCTCCAAACAGCCTGAACAGACAGACAAATTGATTTTGGCAAGAACTTCGCTAACTACGTGTTCAAAGTTTGACGCTACCCAGCTGCGTTTTAAGCAAAATTTTTTACCTATGTACGCAGAATGAGCAATCATCGCCAGAGCTGGGGTTTCTTTGTGGTCGAATAAGCTTTTTCGGACCGCTCCCTGAAGTGCCACCTATCTGCACTAGCTCAAAAAAAAACGATCGTACTCGTAAGTCCTCGTATGATCGTTCAGGCTGTTGTCGCTCGACAGTTCAATGATCATTCCTCGATATCCGAACATCGTTAAGATTACGTGCAATGGTGACTTTAACTAAATAAATGGCACATCACAGGCCTGAGGCCACTTAGCTTAGTGTTAGGATCCGAAACGGTCTCATGGTTCCATTTGTGATCATACCACGCCGTTACGTGCAGTTTTGAGAGGAAACTAAGGTTCTTGAAACGTGCGTAGTAGTACTCAAGCTCATCTTTTGATAGAAACATCAACGCAGAGGATCCTTGAACCGGCCATCTTTCTCCTCATATCGGTCTTCTATCTAGTGTGGGACCGTACAGCTCTCCTGATGTATTCGTCGCTTCTATTTCCAACTTTCTGTTCCAGTTATTCCCCTACTATGCATCAGTAATACAGCTCTGATTCCGCTGTTGTAAACGGTACCGCCGCCGCTAGCGCGATCAGCTTCCCGATTGTCGCAGAGAGACACGGCCCGCTGCATTCTTGGCGAATAGTTTACTACTTCTATCAGAAGATCAAATGGTCCCAATGCTTTTGCTACAAGTGTTCCATCCGTCCCAGCAGTAGCATTCGGTTCCAACCGATCAGACTTCAGATCGGCGTTTAGCAGCTTAGTGCTTCTCTCAGAGTTATCCTTACTGACATTTGCGGCCGCAACTGTGTTTCCTTACAAGCTCTATCACGACAGTTAAACATGGATGTTTTTAGCTTCTCCGTGTTTGTAGGCATTATCCCATTGGAGAGACCACTGCAAATGAAGGTAACTCCGTATTCAATGGTTTCTCTCGTGTCGCTTCGCTTGCGATTTAGATCATAGAGGACTGGTCTGATGCTTTCGTGATGTTGATTAAAAATACAGTATCATACATAATCCAATGAGATGAACAAAAAGATGCCATTTAGGAGCTGTCCGTGTCAGTTGATGAGCCTGTTTCGTCGCCGGCATCATCTACAAGTTTTTCATGAGAATTGAAACTCCACTGGGATCCCACAACTTACCCTGGATATAGTCCGGTAGAAGTGAAGGCGGCGGAGGCCGAGGTGGGCTCATTCTCTTCGGAATGGGTCGAGGAGGGCCCTTGCCCTTCACCATCTTCGCATTAGAACCACGAGAAGCAAATGTTGGGCTGTGTCCTGAGAACGAGGAAGACACTGTTGTCATGATGGACCCAACATCTGGTGAAGACCCGCGAGATGAGGGTGAAGACCTGTCCAGGAAAGAGGCTGTTGATGAATCTCGTAGCTTTGATGGTACCATAGAGTGCGAGTTGGTAGATGGCAGACTTGGCATCGACAGCATCCCATCATGTTCTGCTTTAACCCTCGACACCGGGGATCCTGAACCTGTTCAAACAAAGGCATGTGTACAACAGACGAGGCTTACCTTTCTGCTGTTTTTGCTTCTTATTGGGAGACACTTGCGGTGACGTCTTGAGTGAATCCTATGTCTTTTAGTACGATGTATAGATGTCCAACGAGGTAAGCTTACTCGTTTCCGCTTCAAGTTGAACTCGGCTTCGTCTGCGAGAGCCGGTAATCAACTCAAAACGAACTTGCAGAAGTAAAGTCGTACCTGCTCGCTTACTTTTTGACTTGCTCTTAGACTTTAGCGGTCGACTGTCTTCTGAGACGTTCCCGTCGTCCGTAACTGGGGATGCAGACCTACCAGGATCGGAAGATTGTCTGATGTTGTGTCAGACGTAGTACGGATTTGGCAGTAAAGTGGCATACTTGGGCTTGGAATTCGTCCGTGCCGTAGATCTTCTAGCTGTGGAGAGCCCCATACAGCTGGCAAGGTGTGGCGCGTAACGATTTGAGGCAATCTGAAGTACAACATAACTTTAAGCAGTGCACGATACACCAAAAGCGTATGCTGTTACCGGTCGAGAGCATTGAACACAGTCTAAATACACAGTACCTCCATCTAATTTTGTGCCATTGGGCGTGCTTGTACCAGTCCCATGAGCAGCATGTTTGTTGTCCGCAGAGGCAGGTGTTGCTGGCCTCGAGGATGGCACGGTTTGTGATGACGAGCTCGCAGAGCCCGGTAAGTGCACTGAGATAGGTAGTTGGCATCACGTTATATCTTTCAGAGATATACACACCCGCATTACAACTGAATGAGCGAAAACGGTCAGTTTGTCAGCACTTCGCAATGTAGTACAATACAGACCGAGTATTGCATGTAGTACATATTGAGCGGCCCTTCAAGACATCGTGGTGAGCTTCTATGGCAGCATCCATGACAATCTCATCGAGCATCGCACAAAACAGCTTGTTAGTCTGGCCAACGACGAACTAATGTTAGTAGTAGTTGCAAGCGGAAGCACAAGAGCATACCAGCGAAGCCAATAAGGCCTCCTTTTCAACCCTTCTCGACATATTCAAATGTACGATATATCTAGCAGACAGGTGTGCTCTATACTGGCAGCTTGATTGTCGATGCAGAATGCTGGACTTGAACAAAAGAACAAGCAGTGAATTTCAACGCGACTCGGAACGTAATTTCGAGCCACGTGGTCGATCACACCTGCCAATTTAGGCCCAGACTGAGAGTGCTCTGGCTGCAGTCTGGCCGCCAGCTCTGATGTTCACGGACATACGAAAGAAAAGATGATACATTAATCTCGGTCATAATTTCATCCATAGGTATAAGTTGAAAGTCGTGAAAAATTAACGTGGCTAGAACAACCCAAATGCCACAAAAAATTAGTTAGCGCTCCCCCCGTTTTAGTCCCAGATTAATACTGCGACGCCGTTAACCGAGAGACAGTGAACACCCCAATAATGGCAACGGCAAGAGCCCCGATACTTGCCGGTAAAAGCAGGTCTCTCGGTATTCCCATTACTTGGTCGAACGGAGCCGGCACAGGAGGAGGGGCTTCCTTTCTGAAGCCCTCTGACAGCTCCAATTCTACGATTTCTTGGGCAGCAGCAACTTCAGCCTTGGCGTCATTATTGCCTGCACCAGCTTCATCCCAGCCTTTACCGCCCTGTACAAACAGGACAACGCGGTCCGAATTCGAGGCCCGGGCAATCTTCACAGCGTCAGTAACATCATGGTCCGAGGTGATGAGAACGGTATCGCCGTCCGCGTCAGTATACGACAGCTGGAAATCAATGGGATCAGGCCGTATGTCAGAGCCCTCCACAGCTGTGAACTCGGTGAAAAAGGGATCTGCGGCTAATTTTCCAGAGACGACCTCTCGCAGGTGTGCAATGTCGTCGTTACGAGCTTGGAAGCGATGTGTCCTGCCACTAGGTGTACGGAACTTGAAGACGTAAGTACCATCGTCAACAGGGAGAGGTCCAGGGGCGGGGGCCTGCGCCGCATTCTTTTTACGTGAATATTCCTCCAGTACGGATGCCTCATCATCAATGACGGAAGCCGAGTCATTGGGGTGAACCTCAGACTGAGGCGAACGAGGTGAACGCGGCATGAGGTGAGAAAGACTGCCCATCGATGGTGCAGTCCGTACGCGAGATCCTGATAGAGCCGACTCTGAGTCCTCGAAGGAATCGAAGAAGCGACCCCACATTGGTCCGCCTTCTGTGTCGGTAGGGCCACCTTCAACACTCATGGAATTCATCTACAAACGATTAGGGACACTCAAGTAGCGTGGTGTGGACGATAACTGACCTGCTCCAAAGTAGCGTATGTCAACTTTAAGACATCGATTATAGCCACCAAACGTCCGTCGGCTTCGACAACAGGGAGATTGAGGTAATGTCCATCTAGAGAACACCTAATTCAGCATCACGAAGTCAGAGCGGAAGAAATGCACGAACTATGCATCTTTTTCAAAGCATCGTGAACAGTGAGGGTAGGAGCCGCTGTATCAGGGTGCGGCGTCATGACCCGGACCACGCTACACCTGTCTGCATCCAACCCGGCGGCAATAACACGCAGAACGACGTCTTTACTGGTGAAGATACCGGCAATCTTAGCGGGCATGTTCGGTCCCAATCCATTTTCCATAACACACACAGCAGTTGTTTTCCTTTCCCTCATTAATTTGGCAACTTCACGAACAGTAGTCTTTGGTCCGACCATGGCAGGTTGAGTACGCGAGTCCATGAGACTGGTGAGATCCGGAAGTGCCGTCTTTTCGCGCAGCTTCTCGGCCCAAGCAAGCATTGCGACGGCTTGTGGGTTTGAAGAGACAGATCCAAGTTCAGACTGTACACCTGCCATCGCGGAAAAGAGCTGCTCGGAGGCAGCTGAACTCCTCTCGACCTTTCCCAGTGCTTCATGGAAAACCTTTGTGATGTCAAGAAGACCAACTACGTTCCCTTCTTCGTTGCAGACGGGCTATTGAGGATTATTAGTTAGGAGTGCAGGTGATTTCAGTATGTAGACCACCCACCAAATGCCTAAAATGCCTTGAAACCATCAATTGCAGTGCCTCAGTCGCGCTGGTCGTCGATTGCGTGACCATGGGATTTCTCGTCATGATTTGATGCACGGGAGTGAGATGAGGATCCAAGCCGTCCGCAGTGACCTAAGATATGCATGAAAGATAGGAATGACGCGACACAGAACAGACGCACTCGATACGCCAAATCCTTAGCCGTGAAGATACCGCTAAGTCCCTCGTCATCATCAACGACAAGAACACAGTCCGTTCGTTTAGCAGCACAAAGCTGACTTGCTTCCGCGACAGTGATGTTCTCCGGAACAGTTAGGGCTGGGGCTGGCTTGAGCGCCGCGACGGTTCCCTTTTGCGCATTCGACCTATTACCGCGCTTACTGCTCCGCTGGTGCTGGGTCGTCGAAATCGTGCGTTTTCGAGCGAGTTCAGACTCTATCTTCTTGCGAATGGCCTATCCCACGTGTGAACTCGACACGTCAAACTGGAACAAGAGATACACGTACTTCATCCCTCTTGGACTGTTTCCTCCTTGTTTCGCTTTGGAAATTCGAGAGCGACGACATGGACACGGAACCGTTCTGACTGTGGTTGAAACGGGAAGGAAGAGGAGAAGGAGAACGGTCGGAGTTCGGTCCAGGAAAAGGGACAGGCGACGAAGGGCCGAGATTACGCTGGGGGTTAGAGTGCGAGGGTACTGGGATCCGTGACATCCCTGTCCGACTCTGCTGGTATTGAGGGCTTTGCCTTACCGCGCCAATGGCAAAGAGTACTTTTTATTTTCGGCTTCCAATTGGCTCCTGTTTGGCAAGAGCCTCGGCGCTCCAGAACAGTCCAGTACCATCCAACTCGTTATAAAATCCAATAAATTCGTGTTACAGACTCTCCGTGCTCTCCCTTCATTTCCGTACTACTGTCTTCCGGCCTTTTCCTTGGTATTTCTGTGTGTACAAGTAGTAACCACCCCCGATCAACGCCAATGCCAAAAAGTTCGCTAAGGACCGGCGAAGCCATCAGAAAAATGACATTTCGTGTGTCAAAAAAATTTCACCTGTAACAAACCCAAAGAAGCCTTGGAACAGATCCATGCCCAACTTCACAATGCTTTGACCGAGCTGCAGCACTGATACGATGGTATCTTTTCCCAGTGCAAACATGGCTTGGAATACTCCAAGGAGAGAGTGGAAGAGTGACATCACAATGCCGGCGAAAACACTAAAGAATTCAGAAAATGCGGATGATATCGTGGACGCCATGCTTTCAAAATGTTGTATGTATGTATTGGAAACCCAGCCTGCTGCAATATATATCTACGAAACCCATCCCAACGTCATCGCCCCGTCATTCCGTTGAGTGGAGTATGGAGTATGAACACATTTCCCAAATCAGTCCAACAAGATTTGGAGGCCTAAGTTCTACCGATATACATTTATTGTCCACCTGCAGGTGCAGGCGCAAGGTTACTTCCTCCCCAACGATCTATCAACCCGCGCGCCTGAGTCCAGATATTGGTTAAAGTTGGATTATTCTGCTGAGCAATTAGCGCGCCGATGCGAGCATCCATAGCGGCAAAGGCATCACGAGTGAATGCCGATTGATAGTATCGTTGTCGCAAAAAGTGAACATAAATAATGGGGGAAAGGAGCGAGTTCTGGAACGCAAGCGCCCCGAGAACAACTCGAACGAGAATGAGGAGTTCGGTGTAGGCCACTGCACGCATAGCAGAGTCATAGTTGTCTGTGGAGCATCCCTGTCAGCAGGGAGACAAGTATATAAGATGGGAATACAATTACTTTTAACCCAGACTTGAAGCTTTTTTGCATACGGGTGAGGAGTAGGCGGTCCCCCAGCAGTAGCAGGTGGTCCTGGTGGAAGGAACTGAGCCATCAAGGTCGTTCGCGTAAAGGTCAGTGCGTGGAACAAAGAGAAAATGGCGAATGGAAGAAGGGTAACTAGGATACACTGATGAGCTGTATAACACACAGACAGGACGGAGAAATACGGACTGGTAATAGGCTTTGAAGACCACCAGAAGAACGCGAGCAAGAGGTATTGGACGTTCTTACGGAAAGGTTGTCAACACCTTGATCAAAACAATCAGAGAAGAGTTGCTCACTTCATCCATCATAGCTCGCCTGACATAGGCAAGGTTGGGTTGAGGAGTCTGCTTGGTCGATAAGAAAGAATTACGTCATGAAACGACCCAACACGCACGCCTAGAGCTTTTCTGGGGAGGATAGAGGAATAAGCGACGGTAAGATAAATGTTCATGGTAATACTCACTGGCAAACAATGGCATAACTGATGAGGGCACCGGTGTAACTCGCTGTAGGGTGTTTGCGACCAACATCAGGACAAACTCGATCACCATAAAGACTACGCACTTTTGTACCACCAAGACGAGACACTTTTGAAAGTGATCCATGCGAAAAAGTATCGCAACGCTGAGAGCAGCAGGACGAAGTGGCCAGAAGCCCAGAGGTAGTGCTGCACATGCAGATAAGTTGGTTTCCTGGCAGCATGGTAAGGATGAAAGAGAACCGACCTGAGTAGTAGCCATGGAGGCTATCTGGGGATGAAGATGGATGTGGAAGAAAGAACTTACTGAGATGAAGGTGACGAATAACCGTGGTGGCCTCAGCTGTCCATGTTTGGCGCAACGTGGTCTTCACGTGACTTTTGATGACGGATGCAAAAGGTTACTAGCATAGAAGATATACGGCAAAAAAATGTTACAACTACTCTCAGCGACTCCACTGTCCACTAGCTGCCATCTTCTGCCGCTCTCTCCCCTTCTTGTACACTTCCTTTTCAACTCTTTTTCTTCCCAACGTCTCTATACGCCGACCTTTACCCTGATTCCGACGTTCCCGTACCTCCAGCTGTTTATCTTCATCCTCGTCCAATGCCGCCTCATCAAACTCTAGTTCCTCGAATTCCTCCTCATCGTCATGACGCGGACGTTTCCGCTTTTCTGCCGAAGTACTGCTTCCGCCACCGATATTCACATTGACGCGAGGAGGAACCGAGAAACCAAAGGCCTTTCCAACCTTTGCAAGATCCAGCGCATTGACGTCGAAAATCTTCTTCAGCGAGTATGAAGCATATGCTTGTAGATATGCCCGGAAGCCATCTTTAGCAGACTGATGAAGGAAGTAATTCTTTTGCAACAATTTTTCGAGCTGATAGACAAATAAGATAATATTCATATTTCAGTGGAGAATAAGACGGACCTGACTCTGCACATTCTTTATGCGATCGGCGGGGAAGCTGAATTCATTGAGAGGGACCTTGGCCTCTTTCAGATACCTTAGGAAACCTAGCTCGCTCTCAAGCAGGAATAGCAGACTTTTCCCAACTTTTCCTGCTCGAGCTGTACGACCCACTCGGTGGATATATTCCCGAGGATCATCTGGAGGATCGAACTGAACGATCCAGTCCACACGGGGTATGTCCAACCCTCGAGCAGCAACATTGGTCGACAACAAGATACCCGAGTCTGCATTGATGAACTCAAAGAATGTATTTGTCCGTTTCTGCTGTTTTTGTTTTCCCTGCACAAAGTTAGCCAAAGGCCATTGCTTCTCGACGTTAATGGACTTACGTGGAGATCCAGAACCGGAACATCAATGTAGTTGAGTAGTTCAGCGTGATATTTGACAGAATCACAGCTGGAAAAGAAAACGATGACTTTTTTCTTTCGGTATTTGCTGAGAAACGTGAAGAGTAGAAGGAATCGTCGGTCTGAAGGGCAGACAACGTAGCCTTGAGAAAGTGTCGATACAGTGCTAGTAGACTCTTCCTTGTCAACGTCTACTTGCACAGGACCTGGTCGAAGCGATATCCGTGCCAGGTCTTGTACCTTTGTTGTCTGAGTAGCAGAGAATAACATCGATTGTCGATTTTCTGGTGAAGATTTGTGAGAAACGGACGGATAAGGAGCATTTGTAACGCACCATTAGGCAAAAGCTTTATAATTTTCTTCATCTGCTCCTCGAACCCTACCTCAAGAATCCTGTCCGCTTCATCGATAACTAAAGCCTTCAAATTACGATATACGAAGCCTTTTGTGCTCTTCCCCAGCTGGTAAGTACCAGTTAACGTTCGAAGTACGCATACGCACCTCCAAATGATCCCATAACCGTCCAGGAGTAGCCACCAGGAGGTTTACACCCTTGACCAGCTTGTCCGCTTCCGCTCTTCGATTAGCACCTCCCATGATGATACCAAACGTCTGCGAATGATGAGCCATGAGATCTTTTGCAACGCCGAATATTTGTAAAGCTAGCTCTCGTGTCGGAGAAATGATGATGATTCCAGTGCCTGTCTCAAAGTATTAGAAGAAGCGCATAAAAAGACCAGAAACCCATACCGTTCTGAGGCTTGAATTTTAGTCTGTGTAAAAGTTCGACAGCGGGTATAAGGAACGCGAGCGTTTTGCCAGACCCGGTGCGAGCAGCGCCTAAGAGATCTTTACCGGCGAGGAGTAGGGGTATCGATTTTTCTTGTACGGGTGTCATGGTAGAGAATCCCATATCCTCGAGAGCTTTCAATGTCTGTTGAGATAGTTCAAGGGTGGAAAAAGGCTTCCTGGGCGTAGCATTGTCCGCCGCAGCAGAGGTGGAGGCCTCAGCATCCATTTTAATAAGTCGCCGGGTAAATGAACAGTGATTAGAGATGATGAGTGTTCAATAGGTCTTTCGTCGACGACGGTGCTGATGAAGAAACTGAAAAAAGCTGCCTCGGAGTTTGCCGAAACTACCTTTTCCCCTTCATGTCTCGTTCTCCTCGTTCGTGCCTTGCTGTTCTGGCCTTTCTGCTGCCTGCTGAGATTTTTTCTATCCAGTCATAATATCACTTGCTCTTGGAGCTGTCTCCGGTACTCTCGGGTTTTTTGTCGGTTACCTACGAAACCGTCCTGAAGCAAACGAGACGAAACTGTTTGAACCCGAACCAGAAAATGAGGAAGACATTCCTGACGGAGATCTCTCTTCTGTATCAGCCAGTTTTCTTGAACCCTGCAAACTTGTATGAGAATCTGTTTACTTGTGACTGTCTCAACAACCAGAACTCAGGTTTTGATCGTTCGAACGGATCTGAAAATGGGTAGTGGGAAAATATTCGCTCAGTAGGTGCGCTTGTTCGTGCTTTGTTATGGTAGCTGAGCTCATGCGTAGGTGCGGGTGCGTACATCAAAATTGATATGCGATTTCTCAGTCTTAAGAATTCCATAGAGACGCGACACTTGCCTGCTACAAGGCACTAGTGAAGAAAAATCCCACTGTAAGCTATGTTTCTACGTACCCAGATTTTCGCTGACGATATTTAAGCTTGTTAATCATTGGGAACGCACTGGGTGAATTGTCTGCACTTTCAAAGGTTGAAGATTATCTGAATTCCGGTAGCCAAGCTAAAATAGCCCTCAAGGCGACCTCAGAGGAGCAGATTCTTGAACTGGAAGCAATCGCCAAGAGCCTAAATCTTTGTGCGCGTTCAATAAAGGACCAGTAAGTTCTCGCTGCATAATTGGCTCACGTTGACCGCTCTGCAGGGACACAACAGCAGTTCTTGGCATCGGTCCTGCTCCGGTTAAACTGGTGAATGAAGTGACTGGCAAATTGCGTTTGCTGTGAAGACAGAAGATAGGAATCTCATTGTGATACAGGGCTAGTCTCTAGATGGCTAATAGTACAGTGTACGTGCGAATGCTGGTGATACAATGCATAAAATAGAAATGCTACAATCAGCAATCCTGCTCTGCTTCTATCCTACATACATCAGCTTTGGGGGGCACTTCCGACATGGATCGACTTACGTGGGACAATCTCCAGTGCTGCTAAAAGTGGTACAGTCTTGTCTTCCTCTTTGAAGGCGCTGGTTCCCCCGCTCTGAGCCGAAGAGGGTCCCGTCTCGGATGTACCGCCGTTGCCTGCATTGTCTACTCAAAGGTTAGTCTCGAAGCTGGGTATATGCGCTGCACACGTACCGGAGAGGATCTCAATTAATGGTGCGGTACCATTGTTCTGGACATTTCCGCCATCCGCGGTCCCAGCGTTGCCCGAGTACGAGTTGGCGGCCGAAGACACCGTGTCCACGCGAGGAATAACGGCGGCAAAGGAGCCGGACACGACAAAGAAGAAGAGGGCGATGAAAGAATAGAACATGGCCAGCACGAATAGATAGGCGGTAGCTTGCTTAGTGATGGAAGTAGGAGGGAAAGGTGTGCGAGAAGGGAATAACGACCGACCCCGCCTTCTTATACACCGGCGTTGTTGTGCCTTGTTGACGCGTCTTGGGCACGTGAATTCAAATTTTATGCCTCCCCAATTCAGTTTATTTAAGTACTTCCCGAGCTCCACGCCGGATCGAATGAATATTTTCCTCTTTCTTTTTTCCCTCGCTTTTCGTGTCTCTTCACCGTCATGTCTAGCTTTGCCGTCGCACGTGCATACCAACACTCTTTCCGTACTTACCCTAGCATTACGCTCGCGTGCATAGGCGGAACCATGAATGCACTCGGCGATGTCGTCGCTCAGGCCTCCCAGATAATCGTGAGTCGCTACAGGCGGTATTCGACAAGGGTGTTTCTCAAGGGCCCGCATAGTTGACAAAACGACATGAACAACGCCCGACATATGATTTCCACAGAACATTTCGCTTTTTCTGCTTCGGTTTTGCGATAAGTATGCCCCTTTCTCTTTCAGATTATGTCCCCTCATCTCCATCCTAGGTCCCATGATTGGACGATGGAACAAATTCCTAGAGCATCGGTTCCCAATGCGACGCAGCGCTACCAACTCGAGTCGTGGGAGGGCAAAAGCCCTCGCTAAAAGAGTCGCTTGTGACCAAATTTTCATGTGCGCCTTACTTTGCTCCCCTTGTGTTGGAATACTTCTCATAGTTCGTCTTACAGGGCGCCAATTGGGGTACGTATGGTTTCGCTCCTTTATATCCTCCCCTGATCCTTTGTGGCAGCTCGCTGTTTTTTTGGGTTCTATGGGATTAATGGAAGGTCGAAGCCCCGCTCAAATACAAGAAAAATACAAAGATCTTTACAAGCCTGCCCTCATCACCAACTGGCAAGTCTGGCCGATCGCACAACTCGTCAACTTTCGGTTCATGCCTCTTCCCTATCGCGTCCCATTCCAATCCACCTGTGGCGTGTTCTGGACACTCTATTTGTCCATCATCAATTCAAAGTGAGCTTCCGCCTTTCATGTTTATCAAACGACTAAAATTCGCTGGCAGCGAGGATCAAAAACAAGATAGACGGGATCACTCGAACTGAACTTCTCTTCAACATGGCCACTATATATACATATCTATTGCATTCAATCACGGATTTCTCTCATCATCGGAAATAATTGTAGTCTATACTAGTCATACGTGTACTTTTGTCAAATATAGAGCATGTAGTAGCATACAACATTTCATGACGCCCCGTATTTGTGTCTGAAGTAAGCTGGAGGCAATGTAGCAAGAACATCGACCAACGGCCTCTCAACCACAACCAACTCTCCAGGAGAAATGAAATCAGCATGCAAGATCGGTCTGAAATGAGTGATCATCTTGAAGTCGGTTGTGTGCTGATCCTGAGCTGCAGGCCGTTTCATGTTGTGCGCGCGCAGACGCTTTTTATTGAATCCGCCGTTGCTAAGGTTGGAGCCATCCATGTTGATCTTACACATCCATGTCGAACCCCAGAACAAGGCGTATTTTGTCGGTGAAGAGTCCGGCGTGCTCTGTCGTGAGCCAGGATCAAATGTCGCACCAAGAACAGGATCATGTGCTTGTGTGAATCGCTGGGGGAGATTCGCAATAAGGCCCTTGGACCACGAGGGGAACTGTCGCGATTCCACGTCGTATATTTGAATGGAGTTGTCGGGGAAGGCGAGTGTTAGTAGACTTGACGTTGACGGGTCAAATGCCAAAGTTTGAGCGGGATGAGCAAAAGAAGGTAGAACGCAATGGTGCTATAACTTCTTAAGAAAGAGACGCGGAAGCAATGCGGCAAAAGCTTACTTGGATAGAGTCCAGGTTGAAGACATGAGTCCGGGCGTTGTCATCAGAAGTCGCTGCCCATTGTCCGTCAGCACTGACGGCAATTCGCAGAATGTTGACAGCTACGCAAGATGATGAATCATTGTCAAGCGCGGCCTCCGATTCCGGAGCTTCCATATCAACATCCCCGTCAGGCCTGAGTTTTTTGGTGACTCGGTCTCCGCCCATGCCGTTTCTCTGACGGTGATGATCGAATCTTCGCAAAACCTTTGGTCCATCGGTATCATTTCCTAGGTCTATGAGTAAGACGCACGATGACATGGCCGTTGTCATCACAAGCTTGGAAGAATCAGGGGTAAACGCGAATGCTAGTCCACCTGTCGAATGTGGTGTAAAAGGAAGCTGGGATTGTAGTATTGATCCAAAGTTGCGCACTCGTTTAGGTGTGAGATCACCCCTAGGCTAAATCTCATCAGTTTACGTATGACGACAATCTGTGAGCTCAAACTCACATCGGTGGCCAAAGAAAATAATTTTGTCTCGTATAGATCGGAGACGACGAACCATCGACCGTCATCTGATATAGCACTCGCAACAAGATTGGTGTGGACATTGAGGTCCATCTCTAAGACCTTCTCCCAAGCGTCATCTCCAGAGGCTGTTTCTCCCGCATCAATATCATCCTCGGAGCGTTGGTTAATTCTCCATATACTCACGCCGGCCTCTCTCAGGCAAGAAACGAGACGAGCACTTCGGGAAATGCATATAGAAGACACGTTGGATGGTCCTGCGGCGTATGCCAGTCGTCGGTGGTAAGAATCACCAAATGTAGCCTCGACACTAGTCGCAAGTGGATTTATTATCTTCTTGACAGTGCTAGAAGGAAGCGCGGCTGGCGTAACGACAACGGACATGTCAAGACCTCCGGAAGCAAGTACAGGAGCAACATCGATGGGAAAAGAACGTTTGTGGGAGGTTGGGAGAGGTGTGTAGGGCGGCCACATCGCTAATGCACGGATATCGTGTGAGTGCATTCGACGAGAGCTTGATTGTATCCATCGGGTAGTTGTCCGTCCTGTACTTGTGCTGTCGGTAATGTGCGTTTTAACGAGTGAATATTGTGTCGTCTTTTGATCTACGCCTGAAGAGTATACAACAGACCCTTCCTAGAGATAACTCAGATTGACGAACGCGATTAGAAACAGAAAGAACTAACAGGGCTGACTGCGAGGCACAGTACATCAGCTCCATGACCTTGGAAGCTTTGCAACTGAGTGCAGGTCCTTGAGTCCCAGAACTCGACCATTCCGAGGGAGTCCCCAGAGACAATAGTACCGTCCCTGGTACAAGTCAGCATCATTCCACAAAAGACGGAAGAGATGAACACCAACCCGAGTGCACATACTGCCCACACCAAAGTCCTTTCACCTCGTACTTTGTCCGTGCCCATGCGCTCGGATGAGCGCCCCGTTACAGCATCCCATTTACGCAGACTACTATCAGACCCACCTGTCACTAGCCATGAGTCTGACCACTCATATTCCTCATCATCAGTTTGTCCTGAGCCAGTCGAGACTCTCTTAAGCGTAGGCGGACCCCAAGCAATGCTCAACAGTCGAGATTTTACGCGGTCGAACTTTCGAAGGTGAACTAAATCATCCTCTAGCAAAGACAGGATGCGTATACTTCCGTCCTCGCATCCCATTGCTAGTTGCGTCGACGCTGGGTTAACTGAGATGGACCAAATAGAGCCTCCCTGGGAGCTTATAGTTCTCTACTAGATATGTTATTCAACATTCCAAGGCAAAGTAGTATATGACCTACTCGCACGCAGCACCGATCTGTGTCCCATTCCAGTAGCTCACTGCCGCCGCCCGAGCTGAATAACCGAAGTGCATCGAGATTTGGAACCTCATCAGAGAGAACCTGACGTGGATATCGTATGGAGAAGGCAAGAGAGTCGACTTTGGATGGATATAGACCTGGTAGTGTCTAACACCAGATTAGTGTAAACCATACGGAAAAGTAGTTACACACCCTGGTCACTACCCAAGCTTGGGGTGATTGTAGCCCATCCTTCTCGCCTGACCAATAGCAAAGATCGATGTTCCCATTAGCATGCCCGACAGCAAGACTTGCAAAATGTGGAAACTGGGCTGCTGCTGCTGTATCCTTTCCTTTGGGTGAGGGAAGAGGGAGAGGGGGAAAGGCCAAGGCAGTGATTGAAGAAGGAGTGTAGTCGACGAATCTGCAACGGTGGACGCTGATGGCTGTCTTAGTCTGAGAGTCGGCCATGGCTGCACAAACAGACGCGACTTTTTTTTCGTGCCTGATCTGGACGAAAAAAACGTGACCAACGACTTCAATATTTTCACTTGCACCGTCATCCAGGCTTCGTCTCAAAAATATCATGTCGTTCCTTGGTGGTGGTCCACGGGCTGGTCCTTCTGGCGGTGTCAATCCAGAAAAGATTGAAATGGCCATTACCGAGTGACTACCTTCATTATTTGTTTCCTCTCCGTATCTGACTGGTATCTACAGACTGGACACAGTGACCGACTTTTTCAACCGCATGGTGGCGTATGGACGTTTCTTCGAGTTCCTTTGCGATGTCTGAACATTGCTCTAGGTCATGTCACAACAAATGCATCCCCGCTAGATACGCAGACGGCGAGCTGAACAAGGGCGAGCAGGTCTGTATAGACCGCTGTGTGGCAAAATACAACGACGTGCAGAAGAAGGTTGGCGAGAAGATACAAAGTAGAAGTGCAGCGAATGCAGGCAGCTCAGGCTTCGGTCCCTTGTAATCACCTTCCATCACACCATATTTATTCCAGAGTCACCGCTCGTGAAAATCTAAAAGATCGAAAGCAATCCGGTATCAAGTCTACATCAAAACAATTGTAGCCCGAAAAAAAGCAAAAATAAGGAACTATTTCCCAAAAGTCGGGAAGCATTCAGCAATGGTCTTGCTATGCTTATTCTGCGCATGCTCCTCTAGTCTGTAAATCGCTTAGAAAAAAACAGTCAATAACGTCTAGCTGCCCAAATACTCACGCGGGCGCCCGGGTAGTGACAAACTTGACGTGGCGAAGATATTAGCCAGTGTCCTGTCATTGAAAGGATGTAGGGCACTCACGAATGCCTGTCGACAGGTAGTACAGAGGATGTTCGTAGCTGCTGCATTGGACTTGGACTGCGATTTCGATCCTTTCGCGGCGTTCTTGTCTGCATTTCTCTCCCGTTTTTGAGCTGCCTTGGCACCCTATAGTGACACAAGGTGAGAGTGAGCCACCATACAGATAACTATTTCTCTTACGTTTCCCATTTCAAAAACAGATATTGAACAAAACAGTAGCGCAATGAATGAGTGAAAAGCAAAGAAGGTGGACAAACACCTATCACGTAAGTAATCGATCCCACCATTCCGGTCGATTTCCGGTATCCGGACCGCCGCCTCTGTGCCAGAAGGTTCACCATGATAAGTTCCGACAAAGATGACTCAACTTTCTTCTTCTTCTCTACGGCTACGCTCATTCTTTTTCGTCCAAGCGCGTAAAATGTCTTCCTCCTTAGAAGTGGCTAGAGCAAAGGTTATCCAATCCGTCAAGGTCGACCTTTTGTCGAAGACTCAAGCTATAGAGAATGAATCTAAACGCAAGGAGATTGCCCGAACCTTCATTTGTGAGTTATTATACCTCACAGCAGTGAGATACATCCTGACGAGATATTGAAGCGGATACTATTACTGGTTGGCTCCTATCTCCATTCCTTCTCCTGACGACTTAAGTGAATACAATGCTACAGTTCCAACCGTAGAGATGTATGCCTATGCTGTCAATGCGACTCTAGGCGACGACGTATATTCGGAGCCTTCGACTACGCAAGTCGTTTATCTGCTTATCAGTATCCATCCTGATGTCTGTTCTCCTATCAGCTCCCTGGAAGCTCATATCGCCCAACTGACCGGCAAGGAAGCAGGGCTATTTATGCCGTCGGGGACAGCCTCGAACCAGATTGCGCTGCGCACTCATCTGAAGCAACCTCCATACACGGTTTTGTGTGATCACCGTGGCCATATTCACAAGTATACGCATGTTGTACGAGTCTTATCCGTAGTGACTAATTTTAACTTTAGATATGAAGTCGGGGGAATACCTTTCCACTCTGGTGCTGCCATGACCACTTTGATTCCCTCAAATGGTACAAATGTCTCATGTCTTTACGTGCGCGAGCTAATCTCGCGATGTAAGGCCATCATCTCACTCTGTCGGAAGTGGAAGACAATGTGATCTATGACACAGATGTCCATTTGTATGTTCATGTTCGTTCTATTCCAACCTTTTGACGTTTATCCTCTGAGCAGAGCTCCGACGGAGGTCATCTCGCTTGAGAATACTCTCAACGGAACTATATTCCCGCAGGACGAAATCATAGCTATTTCTGGATTTGCACGTTCGCACAACATCAAGATGCATCTTGATGGTGCACGTCTTTGGCATGTTGCTGTTGAGACTGGGCTGTCTATGAAGGAGCTGTGTGATCCCTTTGACACTGTCAGCCTCTGTTTCAGCAAAGGGCTAGGTAAGTTGCATGGCTATCCGAATTCTTGGGTATTCATTCTTCGCATAAAGGTGCACCTATCGGTTCTTGCTTAGTAGGCCCGAAAGAGTTCATAACGAAAGCCCGTCGGTTCCGAAAGCTTTTTGGCGGCGGTATGCGCCAAACTGGTATTCTCGCAGCTTCAGCAGCTTACGCTCTCAACAATAATTTCCCGCTTCTTGTAAACGTCCATGCGCTTGCTCGCAAGGTTCAAAAAGGACTCGAGGATATTGGCGTGACCATCCTAAGTCCTGCTGAGACTTGTATGGTACGTGTTTGCTACACTGCATCTGGAAGCGCTCGTTTACCTTCGACCCAGGTTTTCTACGATGCGTCCAGCATTGGTGCAACATATGATGAAATATTTGAGCGAGGGAAAAATTTGCCAGAGCCCCTCATACTTGGGGGTTCCAGAGTTGTTATCCACATCCAGACTTCTGAGGGTGCTGTCGACGACTTCTTGGCCCTAATTAGGGACATAGCCGAAGAGAAAAAGAGAGCAGGATTTGTTAAGCCTGAAACAAATGGTCAAACTCATGTCAAGGACGTTTATGTCAGAAGGCATTAAGTAGAAGAATAATATAACAATACATAATATATGCTGTACAATAACAACGGTGCCTCTTATCCCTTGCCGATATATCGTTGCTTTTCATATTCCTTCCACAATGCTTTCATCGTTGCTTTCCCGCCCACGTCAAGAGACGATAGCATAATCGCATCTCGACTGTGTTCATTGATCATATCACACAGAGCGAAAAGACCTGGCTCTAACTCCTTCCGAAGACTTGCCGGGAAGACACAAAGAGGGTCGCTGACAGCGTCAATGTGTGCTGTCAACACATAGGCAGCATGCTTGGACAACGGTCCCACCAAAGACTCCGCCTTTGGCGCCTCAGTATTCGATGACTGGACTTTGACTATGCTTTTGGTTGCCAAAGATTCTAAGAGTCGAGAGAGAGCCTTAGCTTCTTCATTGCCCAGCGGTTGCTGGGGGTTTATCCAAGATGGGTAGCTCTGTGCGACCATGGCGCTCTGCTTCGCCCCAAGTTGAGCGCGTGGTCTCCGCATTATCATCAGTAGCTGTCGCAGGATGTAACCGAGATGGGGTAGGGTTTGAATGACAAGGTCGCGCCGGAAACGAACGAGAGACCGGATAACCGTGACGATGTCATGAAAGGCGGCCGTCGAGGTGCCCTCATCTTGTTCTCGAGCACCGGACAGAAGCTTTGCTATAAGTGACCATATCGCGCTGACATCGACCGGTCGCAGTGTTGTTGACTATGCGAGGTTGGTCAGGTTCGTAAAGCAATGGTATAGTCACAAGAATGACCTACTCGATCGCGACACCTTTGAACTAGGAAGCGGAGTACTTGCTGGCGTATCGCGGACACGGAGATGAACACATTCCTACTCCCAAATGTCGTTATACAGAATGTCGTAAAGTTTTGGGCAATTTGGAAAGTAGCTTGTGTATCGCATGTCAGAAATTTCCGTGCTATGCAGAAACGAAAGGTACCGACTTTTTGGAATCTCTTGTAACAATAACATGGCCACACCCACCATACACTGTAAGGATGCTGTGGTGTGCTCGCTACTCAGTAGTGACCGAGAGACCGTTTCTGTTACATGAGTAAACTCCGGAGCCGATAGTTCTCCATATATGTCGGCCAGAATGGCATCCATGCTGGCTTCGTCTATTCAAAGGTCAGTAAAGGAGCAAGTGCATGTTATTCTCCATTCACCTTCGGAGCCGAAGGTGGGATATAGAACTACATAGGCTTCCGTTACTATATCCAAAAGGGCGCGCCGAGTGACATCTGTGCTGTATAAGAATTCCTCTTTGAGAATTGCAAACGTAGTGGTTATCGCATGATGATAGCAGTGATTCTCATCGAGCTGACAGAACTTGAGGCACAAGTGGTGTCCGTACACCTGCAGATTGACACCTACAAGTTGGTATTGTATAAGAGTGATTCAGCGCCAGCGAAGGATTATCGACAAACCTTCCGGCGTCAGCCATCGTTGGAGGGAGATAATGCAATACCACCCACCCAACAGCCCACTGGCAGGAAATTTCAAGTCGTCTGCATTGATGTCGTTGGCTGCCATTGCCGTCATAGAAGGCTCAAGGAAGGCCTTAAAATCGTTTTGAATTTTGAGCAGCTTAGCCCTGAATTCATCTGAGAAACTGAGAAAGAGAGACGAGGAGAGATCATCAGCAGAAGCCCACGCAAGAGCAGAAGTCTAACCTGTCAGGTTGGTGCTCTTTGATCAAAAGCTGAGCCGTCCGCTGTAAGCACTGCGAACGAACGTCTCGCTCAAGGAAAGAACTGAGCTGCAGCCGCTGATGAAAATTGGACAAGAGTTCAGATGTGGCTGAGCGATGGTTCTTCTCTGCTTTCAAGAGGGAGCTAACGGAGAGAGAATAAGTTTCAGCACCGACTGCAGAGCCTCTAACTTACGATACATAGAACTCGACAAGATCTAATGTGGCCAACGTCACTTCTTGATTGGTTAGAGCGGTTGTAGCAGATATCATCAGATGCTCCAAGTAGGATGGGACATCTTCGAGCTATCTTCAAGTAAGTCGATCTGCTGAAGAAACAGGAATCAAGCTTACATGTCGGTCAATGACACCAAGATGTGAGAATGTTCGCCTCGCGAAAGTGCGGAGCACCGATTTAGATTGGGAAATGTATCCCTCATCTTCATTTATCAAACCACAGATCACTGTATCTGCGCGTAATGCTCTCTTTGCAAAATTTAGCCATGACTGCCGAGAGAAATACTCAACCGGAACCGCCAGTAGAATGCGGAACACAACTATTATGTCACGGTGTGTTGTACTATCAGTTCGGATAGACTCCTCCGATCGCTGGTCATCGGTTCCTAGTGCTGATGTCGCCTCATCAAAGTAAGCAAGGAATGCATCTAATACCCGTCGTATAAATTACGTCGTCAACATGACAAATGTTACTCACTGCGTAAACTCGGTAACTCCCAGACTTGGGCCGATGTCAGGAAATGCTGAAGTACGGCATTACCGCTCCCGACGATGACACGAACAAGATTGCTCAATTGTTCGCGGGATGCCAAAACACTGGGCCTAGTTGAAAAGCAGCTTATGCACAAGGGATTACGGACTCACTCTATAGTTGGAAGCCATTGGCCGATAAGAAGATGAAGCAGCGCAATATGTGTACGGCCGGCATCCAGGGGTAGCGAGCCTTGCGCAACAAAGGCAATCAATTTGTCCACTAAAGATGTGTTCTCTTCAACGTGATGACCGACAGAATCAAGCAGAGTTCGAAACTGAAATGAGAGAGGTGAACAACAATATAGACATACGCGAAGAGACATACAATCTCAAAGTTCATAGCAGGATAAACAGGGTATCCATGTTCATCACAGCTTTTGTCCAATAACATCATGAGTTTCGTCAATGTTTTGCCATCCCACGAATCCTCTTGTGTCAGAGAATGACAGCGCTGAGCACTCAGGGAGTATTGCAGACGGAGAAGTGATGACGCTCCCACTGATGATCCCCATACCTCACGAGAGTGAGTACCGATCATTTTGTGCAGAAATTTTACTGATTTGGATAGGGTTGGATTCAGCGACGCACTCCGAAAAGTGTCTGCAGAGCGATGCAACTCCTCTCGAATTGAGGAAGGCAATGATTGTTGCGATATCGCAGACAGGATGACGCTGGATATCCGACAGGAAAGTGTCAAACAGAAAGCTGACACGTCTAAATCATGGATGATGTCTTCAACAGCAACCGCAGGTAATTTCCCCTTCATTGCTTTTTTGAGGTGTTCCGACAAAGTCTCTTGTGCAGCTGAGAATGCATCAGAACACGAAGCCAGATTTTCAAAGATTGAGTGAATAGTCGGTAGTATTTGAGTGGAGGTGAGGAAAGTTCGGGTACATATAACCAAACGATCAAAGTGAACAGGATGAACAAGCGCAGATGCGTCCGTGGCAATCTGGTAGGTCGTCCTGACGTCATCGAGGATGAGTGCTATCCTGTCTCGTTCAGGCGCTGATAGTAAGACTGAGAGGTGAGTGTTTATGGTGCGAGTTTTTGAGTGGTAGTCCAACAAGATTTCTAGGAATGAGAAGAAAGACTTGTCGGCAGTCGGTCTCTGTGCGACAATATGTATTTAAGATACGAGGTTGTGAAGGAGTGATGTACTCACCACCAATATCAGGGGTAAGATTTTAGGCAACGCTGCTTCCAGGATACTGTACTCTATACGAGCAATCATAGTGAGCGCACCAGCTACAAGTGAGGTGACGATCTTCTGTTCTTCTAAGGGTTGATCAGCCGGTGCCGCGCAGTCAAGAATTCCAAGGCTACCTGTGACGCTAGCTGTGCTGAGAACGGAGATAGCATTCTCAATAACCTTCGTGAAGATTCCTTCAAGGTCTCGTTGACTACCGGTGAACAGTGCCTCTTCGTTGATGACTTTCAGCAGCTCCACCTGAGCTGTCCAGGCTTCCACCTCTAAGCCGCTGGCGTTCAACAGCGGCTGAGAAGAAATGAAAAAATGCATCCCTGCCGATCGGACTTCTTCGATCCCACCAATCGACTGTCGCGACGATCCCTGTCCAAAGAGTGCTCCACGAAACCGCTTGACTGAGGTTACGAACGAGCGAAACAGGCGAGGAAGGTTGACGAGGAGTGAAGACATATTGACACCCTCCAGGACTTCGAAAAGTGTGAGATCACCGTCAACAGACTGCCGGAGGATGTCAAGACTGAAGAGGATTTCAACACCGGCAGTGTATATGTTCTCCCCGAGGATTGAGGCCGCTACGTCTGTACTGATGTACGTCATCCAATCACCAAGATACATTTGGGTAAATGTAGAGTAAAGCTATGGGGTCTTTAACGAGGGCCAAAGAGCAGTCAGAAAGAAACTGACCTTCTTTTTCATTGACGAGTTATTGAAGGAGGACAGGAATGAATGAAGTAACCATTGTCCAATCTGATCATGATTCTTGTCTGATTGGCAGCACCGTGCAGAGAGCAAGAATATTCCGAAGCACTCTAGCAAATTTTCGGCGGTAAATTTATGGACTGCCAGAGGCCATATTATTGCCAGGCAATTGCGTGTGAGGAAGGTCAGGTGTTGTCGAGCTGAGACATCAACATCTGATAGGCCTCTTAGGAGTGCAACGACCACAGGTAAGACCGGTATGCGATTCAACAACGGTAGGAGCCATGTTCTTAAAGAGACTTGCGGCGACGAGATGACATCGAGCAGGAGGGTCCAATAACGAACATCAAGAATCCTGGGTAAGAAAAAAAGTCAGCACGGCAAAATGACCATGTATGAATGCTCGCACGTCGATTTTTCTTTAAGCAATCTACTCAACACCCAATCCGCAATGACTTCCTCTTTTCTAGGGACGTAGAAAGTTTTATTGTCCCATGCCTGACGCGCAATATCGATTTTCAGAGGTCCTTCTGGGGATGGAGGATCAGAGGAACTCTTCAAGGCTCGCACAAAGCCCTGAGATGAGCGAAAAGACTCCATGACTGATCGACGGTAAACAAAACCTTGGAAATATTTTCTTGTGTCGGCCCGGAGCTGCCGGCGGCGATGTCGGAGCATGCTGACCTATGCTGACTCTTTCACTTTCTGCCCTCAGCCCCTGCTCCATCTCTCCTGCCGTTAGGTATCATGGATATCTCAGAATGCCAGTCTATCCAGAGAGAGGAATGGGAAGTCTTGGAGGTGTGCATATATTCTTCTCTTTCAAACTGCATGTAACGTGTATTATAAAATCCCGTAGTCCATCTATCCTGAATGCGTTTCCAGCAACATGTGCGATAGTTCAGTAAAGCTTGAGGTCCCCGTAGAGTTCAGTGAATCTCGCACTGTCTCTATCTTCAATGATGGTCTCTCGCAGTCTCTTTCTCTGGCTGTATTACCACCACTTTTGCTACATATCGTTTTGCCTTCGGCTTACCCCCTCCACGACCCCCCACAACTTGTATCGATACACGCTACACATCTATGGATGCCCCTGTTATCTAAGCTTCAGAGTGTCCTCTCTCATATGTGGCAGCCCGGCGAGACTGTATTATATAACTGGATAGAATTCATTCGTGGTGGAGAGTTCTTGGACTCCGTAGATCTTATATCCGACACGGATCCCACAGTAATCAAGTGCGCACTGTATGTATTTCCAATGTTTCTTGCGTTGACTGTGTCACAGCATCCCTCATCCAGCCCCTCAACTTCTGTCGCCTTTACTGGTTGCCTATGAAATGTCCTCAAAATCTACCCAATTTGCACAAAACTCGTACCCGTGTTCCATTTGTCTAAATTCTCATAAAGGCTCCAAGTGTTTGCAGCTAACATGCGGTCATGTCTTCTGTCGGCCATGTCTTGAAGACTTTTGGCAGATATGTGTGAGAGAGGGAGAGGTGTCCAGAGTGGGCTGTCCTGACCCGCGATGTGTCAAGGCTGGCAGAGAAGCAAATGAGGAGGAAGTAGCACGTATCTTAACGCCAGAAGAGATACAGCGATGGCGCTGGCTGAGGGAAAAGTGTGCGCTTGAGAAAGGTGAACACTTTGCTCTATTGGTGCTACGCAATGCTAATTTATACGATGTAGACCCTACTATCACGCATTGCCCGATGACCTTTTGTCAGTCGCCCGTCCCTAAACAGGCTACTAACGATGAAGAATCCGGCTGGGACCGTTTGAGAATATGTCCGTCATGTTCATACTCATTTTGTTCGTTTTGCAAGCATGCATGGTAAGTACCATAACTATCACCAATGTACACTTTATCTGAACCAAGTAGGCACGGCCCTCTATCGCCATGCATGGCCTCTGCGTCGAGTGAAATCGTCAAAGAGTATCTGGCGCTGGCTGAAGACTCGCCCGAACGTGCATTGCTTCTCAGGAGGTACGGTAGGGCCAATGTTCTCAAGCTCGTCAATGCATACCACGAAGAGCAACTAAATCAGCAATGGCTCGAATCAAGTACGATGGCATGCCCTGGATGCGAGGTGCACGTGGAGAAAGCCATGGGCTGCAATCATGCAAGTTGTCTCTCGGAAAGTCTAGAAAGCCTGCTTTCTAATACTATCTATTTCTGTAGATGACATGTGCTAAATGCCGGATGCACTTTTGTTACCGATGTGGCGAAAAGCTGAACGGATCGAACCCATATGTGCATTTTTCGACACGCGGCAGGCGATGCTACAATAAGCTGTTCGACTTTAACAGTATGGATGACGAAGAATGGATCCACGACCTAGATGGACTATGAATGGAATACGGAACTCGAGTATTGTAGACTAGACACGCTGGAGAGATGTCTCGGAAGTGGCCTCATCGAGGCGAGACGGAGGTCATAATAATTTATTACGTCGAGAAAGTTTGAGCGGGAAAGCAGAAGCCGGAAGAGGCAACTTGAGGGCGGAATGAAAAGGCGGCAAAGAGGCGCCGGGTGATTCGATGATCTGAGACTCGCTCTGGCCTTTAATTTTTTGACTCTTTTTGATCTTGCTTTGTTCCGGATATCGAGGATATAGGGTGAATATATTCCTCGATATTCCTCTATATAACTCGTTTCCTAGCGTGCTCGGTCTGTCTTTTGCCCAGCTTTGGTGCATTTTCCGTCATAAGTGGAATTTGCCAGCAACGGCAGCAGCAGACCCAGCATCGATACCACTTCAAGTGTCGCATACCCTCCTATCCAATACCCTCACCTTCCACGACTCCAGTCCTTCCGTTTCTCTCTTTCTACACCGACATGGACGTCTATACAACTTCTTTTACTTATCCACGCCGGTCGCGACACATTCATTCTCCCTCTTCATCACTCGACTACGCGTCGGGCCCAGAGCTCAGAGGTGCACCAACAGAGCCTTTTCCTACCCCACACCTTCTCCAGCAGCATGTAAACACTTCTAGTATTCCTTCAGAGGCCGACACCGAGGCCATCGCCAAGCTCGCCATGCTTGCCGGCACTTTGCATGGTTGTCATGTCTCTTATTTCTTGACTGACCAAGGTCGTGGCTGGAATTTTCACATTACTGGCTCGTACCAGCAGGTCATGATTACTCGCGGTATGATATTAAAAGAGTGTCCTGTCCAAGTGCGTCGCCTTTTTTCCGTCTTTGTCTCAATAGCTGACACTGGCCCAGCACCGCGCCGCCATCAAGGTTACACGCTCAGAGATCCTCGATTCTCCTTCCTCGAAGCCTGCGCTCAAGCCGGAGGTCAGACGTCGACTCGACGACATCGCTTCCCAGACTCTCGCCCACATAGCCGTCGTGAATAGCCCTCTGTCGCTCTCAAGTCGCACGCCCCCAGATGGGATCAGCAGCAGCGCTGGTTGGTCAGGGCTTGAGACAGAACGTATATGCGAGCTTGTCGTGACAGGGCCTGGGGACTCTGTTGACTTGGCCAGAGTTCGATTGCTGGTCATGCTTGACGAACTGGTGCGTTCCTGCCGTGGTTTTCAGCGCTCCAAGCTTACATGCCTCACAGAGTGGTCTCAAATCCGAAATGTGCGAGATTGACTACAAACTCGTCTCTATCATCGCTGGAAAGAAACGCGCTGTGCTCCAGTCTATTCAGGAAGAGACCGCTACAAACATTTATCTGCCTTCCCCGTTGCAGGGTCTGGTGGGACCTGATATCTCCCTTTCTCCGGGCACGACGGGCAGCTCCCGTTCGAGTAGTGTGATCTGGATCACAGGCGAGTTTTTTGGGGTGCAACGCGCACGAGACATGTTGTACCAAGTGTCAGCTACGAAGGTAAGATTGTTATACCAAAATTCTCGTCCATCTTCTCACAACATGTAGAGCAAGTCGGTCATTTCGAGGGACACCGCTATTTTACCACGCAAGTTGGACTGGATGGTGACAGACCGACCTGACGACCTCGAGTCTATCATGAGCGACAATGCCACATTCATACAGTTCCCCCCTCTAGGTAGCTCAACCAGCCTCATCACTGTCTTTGGGGACAGCCGTGTCAACATCCAACGCACGATTCGGTCCATCATGCAACTCGTACGTCGGCCAATTTTGGTTTCCTCTCACCTCTCAGTCTGTTTCTAGGCCTGCAACTATTACGTTGGATCTTTCTGGCTTTTACCTGTTCAATTCAATGCGCTCTTGCCACCCACGACCCTGGGCGCTAACCAAGTTTCCACACTCCTCAAACAAATTTCGATTACGACTGGTGCGGAGGTCGTCTTCAAGAGCATGTGCTTTGAGATGCACGGTCTAGAGCATGAAGTGAGAGCCGCAGTCAGCATGGTCATGGAACTGGATCTCATCAAAGTATGGCTTCCGAGTATCAGTACGGTCATCGGTTTTTAACCCTTTTTACAGACTTTCCAACACGAGATACGTTTTCAAATCGAACTATCAAATGAGCACCGCGAATTCATTAGCGGGAAGAAGAACGGCAAAATAAATAAGATTATGCAGACGACTAATGTTAAAATCAAGTTCGAGACGTTTAACGACCACAACTTCCTCATCGACATCTCTGGACCCGACAGTTCTGTTTTGCAGGGACTCTCTCTCCTCCAAGAGGAGCTTCCAGCGGAAATATCCTTCCATGTCCCCGAGGCTTATCACAAACGCATCATCGGTGTCGGTGGAAGGAGCATTCAGCGTATTATGAAGAAGTATGGTGTATATGTCAAGTTCTCCAACGCTGAAGAGTTTGCTGCTTTGGGGGGCTATAACGACAACGACGATAATGTTGTGGCAAGGACTCCGGCCAAAAATGCCATTAATCTGGATAATCTCAAGCAGTCGGTGATGGAGTTGGTCAGCCCTAAGGTAACGATCATTCAATGTCGTGAAAATTTTACTTATCACGATATCCAGGACAAGGACTTCGTCAATGAAACGGTCGCCATACCTCGGAGGTATCATCGTACACTTCTAGGGGAGAAAAGCATCTTCATTCGCGACATCGAAACGAAGACGAACTCTCACGTCCGATTCCCGGACAAGGAGACGGCATCAGACATCGTGACGATATTCGGACCTGAAAGTCAAGTTCAAATTGCCGCTGCTATGCTTTTGGTACGGTTTACCTCAAGGTTTCACGTATTGCACTGACACTCGACTTCAGGAACACGTTCCATTCGAAGCAGATATGGCCGTACCCTCGAGCTCTGAAATTCCACGAATCTGCAACTCACCCGAATTTCTCACGTTCGCCGAAGGTATCAAGCGTGATTTGCAGGTATCCATTGTACCTAACCTCAAAACTGTTACTGCGAATGGAACCTCTGCCTCCGATGCGTCTCCAGAGTACACGTTCAAGTTCCGTTGCCAGCGGAGTAACAGCGACTTCCTCATCACTGCCCGCGAGATGCTTGAGCAGTTTCTGGTTAATCACAATATCCACGTCTACCCATCACCGACATCTCACACGCATAAACGTGGTGATTCGTTTGCGGAAGCCTTCCCACACTTCGATAGCAAGGTTCTTTCAGCAGCAGCCAAGACTCGAGGTAAGCCTTTGTTATCTGTCGCGGGCGTCGCTCATCTCTTCGTTTCTCAGTGGAGTCAGTCGATCTTGGACGTTCAGATCCTGTCCTTGGAGATCGGCGATTACGGCTGGCTAATTCATCTCCCGATGTGAAAGCTCTCTTCAACTCGCCGGCGTACATCTACAATTTTGAAGAGCATGAAGATACCCAAGGCGCATATGGCCCTGGTCCTACGCTTGAGTATTGGTCACCGTTACCCCCCATTGTACGTTCTTATAAGGTTCTACGTTTCGATTGTACTTACAGATGGTAGGGATCCGGCATACCTTCTCGCACACGCCATACCGAGGATGCTTTGAAACGAGGCTCGGACTCGCTACTCGAAGCAAAACTGAAAGAACAGATATCTAAACCCCGCTCACTGACGAATCGGGCTCAATCCCTCGACTTGACTTATTCCCTTTCTCGAATCACGGAATCGTCGTCCGGTCTTCCACCCGACTCGCCAACAACATCAACGGGCGACAATGGTGGAAACTCGAGTCCGACATCAGCCACTGCGCCATCCTTCCCCAGTGTATATGGTCCACCTATGTCGTCACGCTCTGCCGTCATCGGTGTACCACAGATGTCGGGCGGAGCGTATGAAGCTGACGATGTGGATGCTGAAGCTTCGCGGATGATGTCAAATCTGGGTTTATGATGTTCTGTGAACCCTTCTTCCCAGAAGACGGAGTCTGCATAAAAAGCCGAAGATATATCGGACAATATGTTCCTCGATTCTACTTTACTATCCTACATTTTTACCCTTCGTCTTCACCGAATACCGTTCGGTTTGTATTTAAGTACCTACAACAACACTGAAACACATTTTACCATTTTCGCTATATCTCATCTGGTGTACAGTTTGCTTCCTACAATAGTGGGCTGGTCGTATCGTTATACTTTCACTAATAGAAATTTAATGGTATGAATGTCAATGAAAAGGTGGTATAAATTAGTTCACGATCCAAGGTACTTCGTACATAACGAAATCGAAAAAGTCCTGTTCCATTAGTGATTGATATTCTCCCACAAAGTCCTCCGAATTCTTAATCTTTGATTGTGCACCGCTGGCGCGTGAGCCAAGATATGAGAAATGTGACTGTAGTATACCAAATAGCTTCTTTGCTGACTTGGCCTCCGGCTGAAGAGATAGAAGAGTGAGCATGTTCCGGCAGTATATGTAGACCGCTATACCTTAATGGCAAGCCCAGTGTAGTTAGCAGGAAGGCCGTATCTGAGCACGCTCTCAACAAATAGACGAACAACTTTGAGGTGAACAAGAAGTTGGAAAGATTCAGAGAAATTCGTCCGTGACAAGTGGAGAAGCTCAGTCTAGTTGCTGATGAGCTCAGGTTCCAACAGAACGATTAAAAGCCTGCATACCCAAAGTTCCTTTTCCGTGGTGTCTGTGTTTTGGAGCTCTTGGCGCTGATTGCCAATTTCCTCTTCAGAATACACGAAGTCTCGCACGATGAACCTATGCAGATTATAATTTCAGACGATGAAGAAATGCAAAGGTGTACTCGTACTTATTCTCGCGGCATTTTTGCACGAAGTCATCATGTACTCGTCTAAATACAACAACGCCGTAGAGAGTATACTCGTCATCGGAAGCGATTGGCCTGATGTGGTCAGATTCGAAATGACGTAGCAAAAGTCGACTCACTGGGCTGAACGAGGTACCACCATTGACGCCAATCTTTCGTATTTAGAATTCCAGTCCTTGACCAAATTTCTATACGCATGTAAGTTATCCACGACCATCACTTGTTCCCGCGACAAAACTTGCCTAGGGACAGCAACAAGGACCGTTTCGAGATATTCAGAGTCGCCTATGAAGTCCTCCTTAGACACGACATCCACCAAAGAACGAACGGAAAGGTTTCCGCTGAGACGACATCAGCGTGTTATTCATCGATATTGGGAAACGCACGTCTTCTTTCGCTGCATCTGTACTAAAGAACCTTTCACCAGGTTGTAATTTGTCAGCTTTGCTCGCATAGAGTTGTCAATCGATGTCATTTCCTGTATAGCAACGTTCATAATCAGCAGTATTATTGTTCCAAATGTGCACCAACCTTGTTGAGCGTATCAACCATCTCTCTGAGTCCCTTCTGCACGCCGTACCGGCCTTCGTTCCATTTCCAATTGCCGAGAACGTAGTTATCAACGCTCCTCTCGTTCACTAAGATGTGTTGTGCTAGTCTTGTAGGATCGTTGTTTAACAGATTTCGCAAAGTGTCGACAACCTTCGCTACAGTAACGGTAAAGTACGTCTCTTGCTTCGGAAGGTCTTCGGATAGAGCAATAAGCAGATCTAATGTTCCTGTCTTTGTATTCCGCTGTCAGATGGCTCCCGGGAATGCATGGATAGAAAGTACCTTGAATGACGGTATGCTGAATTGTGAAATCGAGTTAGGAGGGTAGGTTTTCAACTGTTGGATGACCTTATGGGTGATCTCCTGGTGAACGCCTTCCGAATCTCCATTCAGTGGGATAGAAATCAGCCAAGTACTTTGGTCGGAAGGCATTACAAGTACGTGTCGTGGTCGTAGTCGAAGTTCGTGATGTAGGCAGCAGCACCGATCGCAGTGCTGGTGTCTTTGGCCCTGTTTGGGATCAAAGCCTTCCTTCGATCTCACCACTAGGATGCTCTTCAATTTGCTGCTAAAGAACACTTTGCGAGCTCCCTTCTCGCGTACATTTGCCTCCTCTTCCAATGTAGCTCCTTTGGTCTTGTCTCCTCCTCAATTGCGCGAGATATTGCAATCAAAAACCCCAGTGTCCGTGCTGGATGTTTCTTGGTTTATGCCCAACAGTCCTCGCAATGCAAAGAGCGAATTTATTGCGAAGAGGATACCAGGATCTCAGTTTTTGGACCTAGATGAAGTGGCTAGCTCTCATCCCTTAGGCCTCAAACATATGATGCCCACGGAACGCGTATTCGCGGATGCGTGTGGTATGTGGCATCATCTATCTCCCTGCAGAAGATAAGTGAACCTGGTCACGGTACTCAGAAAAATTTGGAATCCAGCCTGCATCTCACGTTGTAATGTGAGTCGATCCAGGTTCCGTGTCCTCCGTCGTCCTCATGCCCCCAATCTAGATACGACAGTCACGGCATCTTTTCCTCACCTCGCGCCCTGTTCATGTTCAGATCTTTCGGCCATACTAACTCCAGTGTCGTCAACGGTGGCTTGCCATACTGGGAGGACTTGGGTTTTCCTACTGAAGAGGGACCTGCCTCCCTGCCGAAGCCAGCGGAATATCCAATCCCAAAGCTCGATGTGTCAGCTATTCGTAGTGCGTTCAGGGTCTTGCCTTACTGTTCTCAATTATTATTATTGCTTACAGTCCTCTCTGCCAGATTACGAACAAATGGTTGCCAATTCAACCTCTGACCCGCGATCGGTCGGCGCCGACATCGTATTAGACGCGCGTTCGCGGGGCAGGTGAAATCTGCTAGGCACAATCAAGTGACTCAGTTTGTAATTGTCAACTTTACAGGTTTACAGGTGCAGATCCTGAGCCACGGCCCGGTCTGGAGTCTGGACACATACCCCGTTCTTTCTCGCTGCCGTTCAACGTTTTCTTACAACAGCAAAGCACGGCATCAAATTCAACTTACACAACTTTGCGTCCCATTCCGGAAATTCGCCAAGCGTTAGTCGATGCTGTTGGAGACAGGCAGGCCGAAGCAATCCTGAATGGGGATGCATCTGTCGTGACCACTTGTGGAAGTGGAATGACTGCCGCTGTACTCTGGTTAGGTTTGAAACTTTTGGGTGCCCACAATATTGGGCTATACGACGAGGTCGGTCCTCCGAACACCTGTCAGTACGAAACGCTGATCTTTGTCACTCTTTTTCATCTCGCAGTCGTGGACTGGCTATGCTATGCGCAGCTCGAGCAAAATCGACAAGACTATTTAAAGAACGGGCGTTCATGTTACAGTGTACAATAGGCCGCAATGATTCCATTTGTCGTTCTTCCGCAGACTACCAGCTTCCTCTCAAGTATCCCGGTCCTCAAGATGTTGTCGGTGTTCTCCCAAGCGCGTGAGCTTTGTACAGCGGAATAATATTAATACAATAAATATCACGGTAAAAATACAGCAACACGGACAGCTCGCACAGAAGGCGTCTACAGCCCTGACCCAGATGAATACCCTGAAACACGCGACACTACCATTGCTACCATCACACGAACTCGTGTAATACATCGATGAAGGGCGGCGGCGGTAGATGCGGTAGCTTTCCCAAGGCTTGGGCGGCTGTCAGAAAGGGTCAGCGAGAAAACGGGGCTACAATATCTTCACTCACGTCTTCCGCTGTACATGACCTCGACGCGGTGACTCTTTCCTCTTCGAAATACAGTCAACCTCCAACTGATAAGGATTAGAAGCAGCGTGATAACAAGACACAGATAGGACGTACCTCTCTAAAACAAGGACGTTAAAGCCCTTTTTAGCAACTTGCTGGATAAGTTGTTGCCGTGAAAAGATTATGGCGTTTCGGAGGGCGGTGCGGGAGAGGTGGTTAACCTCGAAAACATATGTTCCCCGAGTGTCTACGTCGCTAACGGCGACAATATCAAGGGAATCTGTCTCGTGAATGAGACGCGAGGATTGACGAGGAGGCGTGCTAGGGAACGTACCTTCATCTTCATAATACATGTAAACTGGCTTCACAGCCTTGCTATCAACCACTTCCCAGGGTGCCTCCCATTGGCGCCGAAACTTGAAAAACATCGGATAGAGAAAGGAAAGAAACCCTATGGTTTGTATGGCAGGTGGCAGAATCAGAGGATGGCGGCTTTTCGCATATCACGACTCCTTTACAGCAGCGTCCTCCTTTATAATCTAGTCATTCAAAAAGCACTGCCACTTATGGTACACGCATCCAGGCATCCTCAGATCTGACGGATCGCATCTCCAGAAAGCTGATAAAACATGAATAACGTGACTGAAAACGTAATGACTCATTGTCCAAATCCGAATACACAGGGGCTACCACAGGTAAATGTTAGCCGGCTCGGTCAGCGTGTTTATGCGAATCGGATCCGGATCCGCGACCTCATTAACAGTAGGCGCGTTCCGGCTGTCAATGAAATTCAATGAAACCACAGAAATAGTACCTATTCGCCAGCATCATTCAAAAGTTCGGAGAAGATTCCCTTCTCATCCGATATTAAAGCAAGTTCGGAGACCGCTCAATCCCGTGGCGGCCTCGAGTCGGAGTCATTCAGAAAAAACGTCGGGCATAACAATGCCACCGTCATCATTTATTACATGAAGAGGAATGTCATGGTACCAACAATATACACAACGAGTCCGGACAATGACAGGGAGCTCGCAAGGGGTGCAGAACCGGAGCCCGAGCTGGAGCCAGAACTCGAATCCGTCGAGTTCGACGAAGAATTCTTACAAGTTGCGTCTATGCTTTGGGAAAGACTAAAGTTGCCCATCAATGTCAAGTCGGCGCACTTGTACTATCATCAGCGTTGCACAGAGCCAGAGAGAAAATACAATAGTACCTGGTAGAGGTTCGAATCGCCTCCGTTGTACAGGATCTGCATCGCTAACATGTTATTTCATAGCGTGTTTTGACAACTTGAAGCGCACCTGAATAGTTGCGTTTTGGCCACTCGTAAGGCCAGTAGCATTTGTGGAAGAGAGGTTCAAAGGAAGGCAGAAGAGTCCTTCTCCTGATAATTGGAAAAACGGCACAATTTGGCTAAAATTATCGAATGAGGTCGGGTTGGACGACGTGCTTAGGTACACAGCCGCTGAACCATGGATGTTAGTAAGACCACGGATACCACGAAACTTCCGCGCACCTGTCCAAGAAGGATGCTCCGAATTTAGGGAGAAAAAGCCACTGTCAAGTGGGAACTCGGTTCTATTTTGTGCAACTGAAGTGTATCCGTCTAATGAAGCGTAATCAGCAGCACGATAGTGAAAGTCGAAGGTGACAACATACCACAAAACGTTGGCTCATTGTCCTCGTCAAAAGTTCCCCGCGGTTCAGGGAATTGAAGTTGGAAATGGGCACTGGCCACTGAAGCAAAGACGGCCGCGATAAGCAGAAACTTCATTTCTTTGATTTTGGTGGCTGAATGAATAGAGGAGCTAAGCAATGGTAAAAATGCATCTCGTTACGCTTTATACTCGATGGTGTGAACTAGTGGTACGTCTATATATAGAAACACAAAAAGTTTTTTTTAATCTGTTTGCTCATGATTGTCCTCCCATCAATGATCACCGCATCAGCCGTTTATCATCAAAGCATCATCAAGCATATGGGCAAAGTACTCAGACATAAGATTCTGGCAAGTATGATCTAGATACAACTATCATGATATTGATTCTTTAGAGGAACGACAAGATTGCAGCCGCGAAAACTGCTACAGCAGGGTAGATTGGACTGACAGACATCCCAAGAGCACTGTCTGAATCAGCGGCTTGCGACGTTGTGCTACTAGTAGTTGTCTGAGAAGCAGAACTTGAGGTCGCCGTCGTTGTCGTCGTATTGGAGCATGTCACATTGGATGGGATTTCATAGCTGCTGGACAGTGTCAAGTCGGCGCACTGGATCACGGCAAAAGTCAGGATCGCCACCAGTTTGGATACGAGGAGATATCAAACCTAGTATAAACTCCCATCCGAGCCATCGAGTACAATCTTAACGCATTGAAAAGTAAGTGCCTGTGCCGTATTTATTAAGGTGCTTGTAAGTTACCTGAATCGTGACGTTGGCGCCGTCCTCAACTCCTGTAATCCCTGTGGAATTGAGAGGTAACGGAATGCAAAATGTTCCCCCATTCGCTTCACGAGCCCAATAGCGTACAAGTTGTTGTTCTCCATTAGACGTAAAGTTATCGAAGGACGTGGGGTTCCGCACGGTGGACAACAACACTCCAGCTAGTAGAAAGACGGTGAGGAATAAACAAAAAGCTGATGAATCTAGAAAATGTTACCCGTAAATCCGGTGTGCCCCGTACTGAGACTAAAGAATCCGCCCGAGAGCGGGAACTGACTTCTGTTACTAACCGCGTTGGTATAACCACCTGGAATAACAATAAGCCATGTTGCAAAAATCGCGGCACTTGAGTGCACTTGCCACAGAAATCAGGTTCAGTGTCAGACACGAAGACACCACGAGGTGCAGGGTACAACAAACGGAAATGAGCACGCGTTACACCAACCCAGAAGGCCAATAGTCCGATGAACGCTAGTTGCATGATAAGCTTCGCCGAGAGGCTATGGAATCTGCAAAGCTGGCTGAAGATTTGAGTCTCCTTGCTCTTCTTATATAGATCATGAGCATTGGCACCATCCGGCGGCGAGCTTCAACGCATAAAAAAATTTTGCTACCAAAATCTTGGCATATTGGGCCAAGCTGAACACGGAGACAAAATGAGCTGACATGAGCAATTCGTAGACGTCGAAATGACTTGCTCGGACAGGTTCGGACGTCTTGGCTAGCCTAAGGGTTGCCCTGAATCCAGGTACAGAAACATGTGCTTCTAGAAGTGCAAGATATGCCGTTGCGAAACATTTTTGCGTTAAATAGAGTCGTACTTCGAAGTTCGGAGGAAGAGTCGAGAAGAGTACGGACAAGAAGGCGAGATTCATTCGTGAACGAGAGTAAACGATAGTCCTGAGTCTTCTGGTAATCCTTCCATAGACCGCATGGATCCTTGTTGCCACGTCAAAGGTATTCCGAATGAACTTGTCAAACGACTGAATAGTAGAAAGAGAAGAAATCTGCGAAGTTCGGACTCCTCCGTGGACTCTCGGATCGATGTCGTAATCCTGGGTAATCTTAAGACAAGCGTTGCGTATTCGTACTCAGTACTCAACTTTGAGAGCTTTATCATCTTGTCGTCTTATAAAATGTTGCGCCCTACACTTCAGGCCGCGAGGATGGCCACTCGCTATTCCCCTCGTCTCTTCCCAATATTTCGTCCAGTTTTGCTTCGTGCTCGATTCGAATCGACGGTGTCCCCGCCCAAACCTGATGACAAGGCTGCCTGGAAAGCTGCAAGGGAGCATGCCGACAATTTAATCAGAGACTGGGATGCCAAGGTCATAACTTATGACGAGTTGAAGCCCAAAACGGAGAGCCCAAGTCCTGTAAGATATCTAGCCGCAACTTAAAAGCTACATTGTTGACCCAATCTACGACAGGATGCCTACCTCATTGACGTCCGTGAACCAGATGAGGTTGCGCAGGGCATGATCCCCTCTGCCGTCAACATACCGCTGACGGTACTGGGAGATGCTCTGCATATGTCTCCGGAAGAATTTTCAACAAAGTTCGGTTTCAAGAAGCCTGGCATACGGCAAGAAGTTACCTTTTACTGTCGGAGTGGGAAGCGGAGTACCTCAGCTAGTGATGTCGCGAAACGAAACGGATATACCAAGTATGTTTTCTCATTTCTGCAATCTGTACCAAACTGATGTCGCTTCAGTATCCTCAACTTCAAAGGGTCGTGGCTCGATTGGGTAGAAAGAGAAACAAAGAAATAGTGTGTTGTAATTGGCATGAACCAATAATTATCGTGCTTCCTTTCCATTGATGGTCCGTACGTTCTAAGCTGCCAGTCTGGGTTTTGGAAATATCAAGGATCTTCATTTTACACATTTTCGAAGAACTCTTTTTTGTGGCGAATTACCTCATCTCATCTTTTTCTCCCATCTTCAACATGACAGGCAAGAAATATGAAGTAGGTCAGTGCTCACCCGTATGTCATATCTGGCAACATTCACAGTGTGTTGCATCGCAGAAGTGGTGAAGGCGGCGCGAAAGATGAAGTCAAATAAATGGGTTTGCAGTCCCCGCCTTTGTTATATTTCGCACGACTTCTGACTTACAAAGTCCAGGAATATTTCACCAAGGTATGCGGAATCAGTCTCAGCACTCGACAAGATTGAATAAACAAGCAGTGGTATGGCTACGCGGATGAAGAAAATACGTTTGTGGCCTGGCTGCTACTATGTATACTCAGATTTTTTACAGCGCATTCTTTAGCTGGCAAACGGAGCACTCTCTGCAGGGCTGTTGTTCGAGACTACTAGAGAGCTTCTGGAATCACGTCGGTGAAGATAACTATAACTTGGCGTACGTAGGACAGATCATCAAGGCCGATCGCAAGTGGATAGGTGAGCATAACGACTGTCGCTCGATATTTCGCTGTATCGGCTATTGTAGCGAAAGAACAAAAATATTTCCGTGACACCTACCAAAAATTGACCATCAGGATACCGGCCCATTCCCCTGCTCTGTGTCAGGTTGGTCTGTCGAATTCTGTTATTGGGATCAAGTTTCCGATGAGATTAAACTCGCAGGAGCAGGAACAGGTCCGGTCACTCGTGGAACCAACCTCCAATCGACGCGGCGACATACAGACTCCTTCCAACAATCGGGCCGTGAATACGCAAGGCAACCTACCAGAAACGCCGAGGGTATCGAGAGCTTCTGCTACCCGGCCCCCCGAGGCTTTACCTGCTTTCAGCCCCAACGTCGAAGGCGAACAACATTCCAAATCTAGATATGCTGGCCTAAAGTTCTATAAATCTAATGGTGCAGACTCTATTTTTCTGGATGTGCATGCATCTCTTTCGACGGATGTCGGCGATGCATTGTCTACCCCTACTGCAGATGATACATATAGTGTTGATGATTCTCATGCTGTCACTGAAGACGGGATCGAGGATGACTTCCTGTGAGTCAGAGGACATTTCCCGAGGAAGAAAACTGATCATTCTGAAAGTGCCCAAGCTTTCAGGCTCGACGAAGCTGCCTTGGAGCTAGAGGAGTAAGTGCCGCCCTATCAATATGTCTATCCATGCTCAAACGGTAGCTAGTTCTTTCTTCAACAACTTCAACAATGGCATTTGGGACGGTGACCTATTTGTCGAAGTTGGCGGACGAGAATTATTCTGCCAAAGTATCGTTGTTTCACCCAATGCGTCTGCCAACAACAACGAATGCATGCGTACTGCTCTTCAATCTCTATCTGACATTCGTGGGGTATCCGACCATGGGAAACGTCACATTTCCTTTGATGGCTTCTATCTAGCGTCAGATTTGAAGTCGATTTCGACGTGGAGAACTGAAGGATTAGTCAATCCTTCGACTATTTCTACTCAGGACCGCTTGCAAGAGCTTCAATGCTGCATGACGAAATACTCTTTGGTACGAGCAGCTCTTGTCTATCGGTAACGACTCTGATGAGAAATGCAGGTATCACTCCTACAGGTTCTAGTTCCCAGCCTTGAGACCCAATATCTCCTGTTCTATCCGCCATCGTTGAAGGAGCTTTGCAGAAAATTCCACGTCACCCCCATTTCCAGTAACGACTCAACATTGGTGGTGGTCTTGCTCTCGGCAAAAATACCGGAATTTGGAAACCTGCAGCGGTTTGACTGTCTCGTAGGCGAGACACTCTTGCCTAGTTCCGATTGGAGCACATTCTACTCTCGTGACGCTGTTTCTGTCTTGCAAGTTCCTGAATGGTTGTTTGCGTTGTTTACGGGCCATTGTCCTTACGCCATATGGTCCGAAGGTGAAAGCCAGCCAAGCCAGCAGTCGCTGCAAACATCACTGCTGCGATCAATCACTCGCAAATACTCATTGGCCGCAGAAGTGAATTGGTGTAGTGATGGCCTTCACCAGGCCAGAATCATCTTTGTTCATATCGGATCTCTACGCAGCTCGCGGGAACCCTTTCTTGCGGCCCGTGCCAGCGAAGCAATGATTGTGCAATACGGATCCGACGAGACTGTTCATTGCGACAATTGGGGCATAAAAAGATTGTACCACTCGGGTGGCCTTGTTACATTTACAGCAACCGCTCTGCTTGATCACCCACTACATATATTCAACCTTCTAGAGGGCGTAGAACGTCGTTTAGAGTGGGCGGCTTATATTATACCAGCGGTATTGGAAAGGGCAATCAAGATACACTACAAGGATATAAAGCAAGCCCTTTTGGCATATGACAGGTAGCGAATCTGTGCTGACATTTCTATACGCTGATCACATCGACGTAGGGGTGAATTTGTGTTTGAGCGTATTCTCAAAGCTATACAGGAGGGTACATTGATGTTCGCGTCAGTATCGTCACCGCCAGATGATCATCCTCCGGTGGATTTGAGAGATTGGAACTTTCTTTCTCTAGGACCGTGTACTGCCCGAGAAATTCTCGAATACTGTGTTGTGGGCGACGAGAGAGAATATGTTGATGTCGAAAAGACGACATTTCTAAAAAAATATGTTATTCCTGATCTCGAAGGCATGGCGACCCAGCCGGGCATCGCAGACAAGTATCAGCGCTATGTTGTCCTGACATCGCAAAGCGAAAAACATGAAACTTCCACGGTGAGAGGTCCCCAGTATCAGACCTACTTTTTCGTTGATCTTGTTCAGGTCGAATGTATCTCGATAACGAAGTTTGGCTTCAAAGATGCTCCCTGTACAGTTATCGAGCGGTCACTAACCCAAACTATCACTAGTTTGTAATATGCCCAGGAGTTTGATCTAAACTCGTAGAGGTTTTGTATGACTTGATGAACGCAATTTCCGAATGGAGGTGTAACGAAGTCGAATTTGTATATACTGTACACAACATCGGAATCAATCCATTCTCCCTTTGAGTGTACGTGAAACGACCTTATCCTTGGTGCTGCGCTCCACCGTCAGAAACTTGAAAACTGTACATATGAAGTAACTCACATGACGTGCACTATGCAGCCCCAGCCCGAGTATGCATCACGATCCAACGCATTCAAAATCGTCTGCGATATCGTCTCGAACAGATCCTCAGGCTCCAAATCAGGCTCCCATAGACCCTCTGCAACACCATATAATTTGGAACTGGCAGTTCCAGCGACCACAAAGTCTTTAGCAAAGTTTAGACATCCAATGAGGTCGGTGGCTGCGATGAAAGGCTTCAAGCCACCTGAAGGTGTCTTGGAAAGACCAGCCATAACGGGTTCGATGAAGTATGGTCCAAATCGATGTTCGTATAGTGTAGACGACACAAGATGGGCGAACGTCTCGGGCTCGATTTCGCGTTCTTCCTTGATGGTGTACATGTTGACCCTGTATCTAAATCTCTCCCGTCTAGCCAATCACAACATGAGAGATACGAGTATCGACCAATAATCTTGATACGTACAGTGTGGTTACATCACTCGCCAGACCGGGAAGCCCAACATATATGCGGTCCGTTACTGGAAATATCTTTACAAGATGAGAGTCGGCATAGAACAAAAGGCAAATAAATAGCTACCTTTTGAAAATTGGAAGAGATACCCAAGGCTTGAGCCCCAAGGCGCAGGTCAGACGCAATGGCAACACAGTCCTTTCCGACCATAGCTATGACGGAGCCACCGTTATATTCCATTATCGACTAAGAGAGGTGAGCGGCGGCCCATAGTGTGCTGGGTAGACGTACCATGATGAAAACGAGAAACGGGTGAGATGAAGAAAGATGGTAAATGTGTACGCGTACAGTGCTCAGTGACGCGTCCTCCTTTGGCGGCGTGACTGTCACGGTGTAACGTACATCACATATGGCACGATGGGCGGGCCGGACTCGAGTTTACAACGACCGACCACCGACTAAAATCCTGCCACACTACCAAGCGAATACTCAATGGCCAGCTCGAGGAGTTTGAAGGTATTCGTATTGTATACCGAGTCATCTAGCCTGTACTGCCCTTGATCTCTTCCTTTACTTCACTAGCGTCCGCTCCCTGACGACGACGACGACAGTGATGACATGTCCATCGTTTCGCGTACACCGTCTCCATCTCCAGATCCTATGGATGTCGATGAAGATATCCACAAGTACGGCGAATACGTACGAGGGGCACCCCGAGAAGTCATCACTGTAGAGACCAAGATCAAGCCTACGAACAAGGGCTTCGCTATGCTCTCAAAGCTAGGATGGTCTGAAGGGCAACCGCTTGGTATATCTGGCGATGGTATTGGAGGCTCTTTCGTCAGATTTTGTCAATCAAGTACTAATTGTATGCTAGGACGAGTGGATCCTATCCCTTTTCAAATGAAGGCCGATTTTACCGGGGTAGGGAAGATCAATCAAGACGTCCGAATGATAGAAACTACTGTTTCTCAACGTCGAGAATTGGACTCTGAGCGTCAGCACAAAGAAACTGAAGATCAACGCCGCGCTCGACAAGTTTGTATCTCGGTTTTATCACTGCACGACAGACAATATGTATGCTGTTTGACAGGACGACGCTGCACGCCGTTCAGCTCTCGCAAATGAGCTCGTCGATACCCTCAAGCCCTTCTATTGCAGTCTCTGCGATAAGCAGTTCAAAAATGTTACGCAGTACGATGAGCACACGAATTCTTACGCTCATCATCACAAGGCACGGTTCAGAGATATGCAGGCGAACGTTCGTATCAAACCGCAGGATGAGGTTGATAAGCGGAAGGAGAAGGAGCGAAAGCGGGAGGAAAGGGAACTGAGAAAGATTGCAGCGGCAAACGGCGTGAAGATGACTAAATCTTTGAGCCTTGTGACAGCGACCAGCCCGGATTCTGGGGATTCTGCTTCCCAGCCCTCGATACCGCATATCACATCTGGCAATGCACAATCAGGCTTCAAAAAGTCTGGGTGGGCTACCATCGGGTCATCCTCGTTACCTCCACAGCCACCTCCCACTGAGCCACACAGCTCAGCTACTGTGACGAATGGGCACCCGCCATCATTAGAAGAGCAGGGGGCACCTTCGAAGGGAGGTTGGCGTCTCATCCCTCCAGCATCTGCATCTGTTTCCCTATCGTCGGCAGACCATTCACAGCATCCACTTATGGCGAATCCAGACTCGCCTACCCCCCCAGCGCCGTCATCAGCTTCGAACGACCCTGCAAAACCATCAAAGGCACAGGCAAGTCGTGCCGGGTGGCAGCAGTTCCAGAAATCCAATCAAAGGCGGAAATAGACATGAACTTTTCTTCTACTTACCTCTGAAAGTGTACAATAGTAATATATCAGAAAATTGGATTTTCTATCGGGAAGGGAAGAAATCGTACTACATAGCTACAAAGTGTACTCTTAATTTTGGATCTGTCACATACGTTTAAAGGTAATCATTACTACCAAAAGGTCATATCCTCTCGCACGAAGGTCATTCGTACGGGGTGAGAAAGAGCAAGAATAATAATGACTATGGGGTAAGGGAAACGAACGTGAGCAATTTGTCGTCGAAACAGAAACTTGGCATGAGAAAAAGGTTGAAGTCCATCGTACGAAATACATCTCGCCGAAACCAAAATGATCACTCTGAATCGCTTCCAGAGCTGTCTGATGCCGAGCTAGAGTCTGACTCGCTGTCCATGGCTTTTGGCGCTGGTGGAGCGGCGCCACTGGCACCCTCAAACAGCGCCATACGCTGCTCCAGCTGTCGAATCTTTTCGGCCTCCACATCTTCGTCCATGCTCTTTCTGTTCAAACCACCCGTCCCGGTGCCCTTGCCATGCCGGTTTCGTTTAACCGGAGGAGCACGTAATGGTCGAATGACGAAGTTATACAACTTGGTCAAAACCGGAGGTGGAAGTAAATCAATTTCAAGCTCGATCTCCTCAGTGCTCTATTCCAAGGACTCAGCGAAGCTATTCCATGGCACAAACATGTCATCACTCACGTCTCGAATTTCGGGGACACCTTCATGAATGATCTTGATTACCCGCTCCAGTTTCGCTCCATCCAAGCCCTGAATGGCCTCGCTCAGATCCTTCTTCTGATCAAAGGTGAGGAAATCATTTTCGGCGACGCCTGCCTTCTTTCCGGATTTCTTGCCGTTCTTCTGAGGAGGGAGGGACTTGGGTTTGCTGGGTTTGGACGTCGATGGGTGGGGAGGTTTCTCTTTCTTCGGTTTCTTCTTATCCTTGTTCGCCTTGAGGTTCTTGAGTGCCGTCAAATTATCATTCATTGTTCTCATCTGGTCCTCGAGCGCAGCGATGGCGCCTAGGTGTGCGTGAGATACCATAAGTAATTGGAAGGGTGAGAAACATACGAGAATGCTCGTCATCACTTAGATCTTCTTCGTCCTCCTCCTCCTCGCTTATTTCATGAAGAGGAGGCAATGCTTTCCATTTCGAGTCGAAAAGCCGCTGAAGCTCTATGCCGGCTGTGTTCACCGGTGTTCCTTGAGGATTGAAAGCGAAACAGTTGCGGATCATGAGCTTAAAGTCGTCGCAAAACTTTTGGGCATTCGGATAGTCGCCATTGTCCAACTTTTTGCGCATCGTAGACATATCCATGGGCTTTTTGACGATCTTTGGATACGTTGGAAGGTCAAGGTTAACCCAATCTTAATCGACGGATGAGCAACTGCAAAGGGTAGCAACTGAAAGTCCGACTCACCAACAGGTTCATAGAACGGACTAGCAATGTCCCAATGTTGTTTTCGACTCAAATCCTGCAAAATTTTGCTGCAGAACCTCAGTTGCTCAGCAGTCCCGTCATCTTTTACGCGTCGTGCTTTACGGTGCTTTTTGGGAATATCTGCATAGGGCAGATCCTTCGGCGGCGGGGGGTGTATCTCTCTCTTTGGACGACCAACAGCTTCATTATCATTGCGCCGTATAACAGGAACAGAGGTCGATGCTCGACGAACAGGTTGCGCTTTCTTAACTGCCACGGGAGGTGGAGGTGGTGGTGGTGGTGTTGCCACTTTTTTGACCACAGGAGGTTTGGCCTTAAAAGGCAAGTCAGCGTCGTTATAGGTAGAATACAAATATAAGTAAAGACCTCGATTGCCGTTGGCATGTTCTTGACCTGCCTCTCAAAGACTTCCTCTACCCGCCTACCCATAGCAGAGATGGTATGTTCTGGTCCATTAAACTTGTAACAGTTCTCGAAGACGAGACGAACATCAGCCACAAATTCATCCGGAGTTGAGTATCGTGGGTTAGAAGAGTTGGGATCAGGCTTCTGAGGGTTAGAAGCGGCTACTTTGCGCTCGATGGTTCCCAAATCCATTGGTGTCTTGATAATGGTAGGATAGTGGGGGACATTGAGAGCAACAGGGTCAACGGGACGCAAAAAAGGGGCGGCATCTTTAAGCTTCTTCAAAGATTTGACGGAATTGTTGCAAAATCGATACTGCGATAGCGTGAGAGAAGTTGTTGGAAGCGGCGTCGAAGGCACGGGAGTAGAGCTGTGAGAAGCAACGGTGGTGGTTGACGCTGGAGGTGGGGTTGCTGACTTTTCAGAGAGATGGGGTAAAGGGATTAGCACGCCGAAAGCGGCGCACAGGGTGAAAGAAAGGGCTCACATGTGCCAGAGAAGCTTTGTCTGCATCTGAGTGAACCCTAGCCCTCTTCGCTGGTGGAGGCCTATCATCGTCGTCTTCATCGAAATGATCTCTGGTCGCCGTGAAAGATGTCGAGGCGCCGTTTGACGCGACCTTGGTCGCTGAGGAAGTCTCGGGAAAGTTGGGGCTCGTCGGCGCGTCGACCTCCATCTTGACATCGTCGCCATTGACATGATCTGAATTGCCATTGATCCCGTTAATGCGGGGCTCTTCACCCATCAACACGTCGGTTAGCGATTCGGCGGACGTTGGTGGTGGTGTTCCGTGAGGTGGATCGATGGGAATGGATGCTGACAGCGATGAGACAAAGACGGCGGTGGCGACGACGACGACGACGTACCTGGATCCAATGGTGTCCCTGTTTGTGGAACAACCGACACGTCTTCCATCTTGTCTTCATCAGAATCTTCTTTGGGGGGCTGAGAATTATGTCGCGCGTCTTTCTCCTGTTCGGGAAGGTCGATGTCAAGGTCGGGATCAACGTTGGGGGTGACGACGGATGACGGTGGAGACGGGGGGGCAAGTTTTTCATCGACGCCATTGGCGGGGGTGGAAGGGTCATGGTCGTCGTGAGCATCGGGAACGGGGTCTTGCGCGAGACTCATAGTGTGACAAGTCACGGTAAGATGGGTGAAATGCGAAAGTAAGAATCGAGTGAAGAGCCGGATCTCCCTTTATATACTTATTCTCGATAAGGTTCGATCCCGCGCAGGGACCACCACTGTCTCTGTCGTCCCGTCCACTGCCTACCTCCCTCCCTGTTTTCCCTCAGTTCTCTGTCCTACTCTATCTACTTGTCCTGCTCTTCGTTTTCTTCTTCTTCGACCGCTGCAAACACGGGTTTCGGCTGGTTCACTTGCCATGCTATTCGGGGGGTTGCCGCCACGTAAGCACAAAATATCAACAAACAAGGAGCACGTGCCCCGATAACGAACTGACCTGCTGTCCATTGGGGATCCTCTGTTGCCTTGGTCGCATATTTGAGTAGTGCTTCTCGAGGCTGCATATAATGTAGGTCAGGTCCAGCTCACCGCAAAACAAGTGAGAAGCCCAGAAAGAAAGAAAAGAAAAAGAAAAGGGGAAGTTCGGCAGCTCTATCCCCATCAAGCTGAGTTTTAAAAAAGTTTCGGCACTCACGTCTTCGTCTCGCGTAGTGTCCCGCACAAGATTCTGAACAACGTGCTGTGTTGCACTCGCTCCAACCCTTCCGCCTCGCCCCGGCCCCGTCACAGGCAGTTCCGGCCTCCTGCTCTTGCGAGGATCCATCCTGTCCTTGTCCCGTTTTCTCTTCAAAGTCTTGACAATGCCATCGCCCTCCCGGAACATCGGTAATGCGTGTGGTGTCACAATCGACGGCGCTGCCAATGCGTCTGACATATCCTCAATTGTCACTTTCCTCGGCGGACCCTTATTCATCAACAGCTTCGCTCCGTTCGTCGACGTTAACGGCGAATACAACACACATATTTGCCCGCTCGATAAACCGGTCACAATCTATCACCATCAGCGATGCTCCTTAGAATCTTTCAAATGCCTCACCTGATTGATCTTTGAGTGCCAAAATACCTTGACCGGCGTCGAACCCACCTCCAGCGTCTTCACCGCTTCCAAAGTATTCTTATCCAAGAACATGAGCTTGCCATTGCCTCCTTTTGACGTCGCAGCAGCCCCTGTTACCACATATTTACTATCTGGACTAAAGATCGCATTAGTGGTCGGGTACAACGTTGCTAGGCCTGAATGTGTCGCTAGTGGCTTCTTGAATGAACGTAGATCCCATACTGTTCGACCGTCAGAGATGTCCTCGGACAACATCAATCATACGTACATTTCACAGTGTCATCCCCTCCTCGTGTAAGCACGGTACGGCCATCAACACCAAAGATAACTGACCCGGTTTCAGTTCCTTTGGTATGGGCTCCTTCAATCGATAGGTTTGGTCTCACGAAGTTCGAGTTGGTTTGCCACATATGCAATGCTCCGTCCAGACAAGCTAGGTTGTGTCTGAGCTCAAAAAAACCAAGTCTGGACAATAGAGCGTACCTCCAGCAATTGTACGCCCATCTGGCGAGTAGGCACATGCTGTTACTTTGGTTCGAGCCCCCCGATCTTTAGATTTGACGACAATAACAGTTTTTTGCTTGCGTTTATTTTCTACATCCCATATCCTAGGCCACTGAATAAGAAACATGCTGATGTAGATAACAAAGCGACTTACCGGATGGTAGAATCTGCAGAGCTAGTAATAAAAATCTTCGAATCCTTGGGATGCCAGGCACAGGAGGACAGCTCCCCAACATGACCCCTAGAAGATGTTGGTTACCATTCTTTCCACATCATTCCACGCAGCTTACGATGTATGCTTCATATCACGGATATAAGGGTCACCCTTGATAAAAGTAGCCCTATCAGTCAGGTGAGGCTATCCAGTTCCCAAGAAAAACAGCAGCACGAACTCTTCTTCCCCATCTCTATCATACAGCCTAGCTTGAGTAGTTCCTGTTATAACGAGAAACTTTTGGCCATCGTTCGAATATTTGAGATCATGGATCTATCACACAAAGCGCCGTTAGGAAAGATAGGCTGAGGCATAACGAACGACTTACGTGATAACTTCCAGCAGGCTCCCAGGTCTTGAAAGGTTTGCATCTCATGTCCATTCCACCGAAGTCCCATAACTTACAATCATAATCATGCGAGCCAGACAATATCCTTGCGCCTGAAGGGTCTAACGTAAGGGCAGAAACGACTTTCATATGGTCCTTCAGGACAATTTCGTGAGTAGTGGGAAGCAGAGGCAGTTCGTTGTCATCAGAGTCTTCATCGAAATCTGAAGGATCATATTCCGGTTCGTGAGGAGGTGGTGGAGGACCGGGTTCATCGTCGCCGTTCTCGTCGCCCTCGCCATCCTCACCAGACTTTTCAGACTTTGGAGGTCTTGAAGTAACAGTGGAAGGACCGGCGACGTGTTCTTGTACGACTTGAGCCGGTTTGCTTTTGGGAGCCTATGAAGGAAAGAAATGGACGGTCGTTGCAATGGAACAAGAACATGACGTACCTCAGCCCGTTTGTTTTTGTCGAACCGCGTAGGGTCTAGCTGCCTCTTGGGGGCTGCTTTCCCGAATCCAGAGATACCCATAGCAGCGAATACATCGTCTGACATTATGGCAATGTCAGCAGAGTTCAAGGTGCTAGAGGAGAGTGCAGTGGGTCCAGTTCGCTTAGCTAATCCTCCCTAAACGGTCTTGCGCGCGTTAATATTATTTATTAATAATTGCAAATCTAATGGGTAGCAGCTCTCACAAAACCTGATCAGCCTCCTTGCCTCGATGCTCAAACGACAGAGAGCCCCATCGCCACGAGCTTCTGCGTCGAGCAATGTCCCTCTGGTAGCTGATGACTCCCCTCGCCAAAAGCGCAGACGAATCTTGCCACCTGCCCTTGATGGAAACGTTCGTGGCAGGATCTGGGAGGATAGTGGCGAGGACGATGGGGAGGAGGACTACGAAAGCGCCGATGAGGAAGGGCAGGATCAGGGAGAGGGTAGGGGCTCTTTGGAATACAAGTTTGCGAACAGCATGTTGTATGAACTGCACGCTTTGAACCGCCATCGACAAGCATTTACAGCTTCAAGTCACCAGCATTGGCCGTACGGGCTCCCTTCTACGCATCCAGGAAAAGGTGGCTCTATGGCACCGGCTCCTCGTGTTCATCATAACGAGGCAAAGACCTTTCCTCAGGAGTCAAGTGGCGCAGGAAACCTATCGGCAGACGAGCTACAGAAGGTCACACAGCGCTACGAGGAAACCAACAAGTTGAGCCGCTGCTTTTACATTTTTGCTGTGCGACTCATTGATCGCAGGCGTCTGGGTGTACTTTTTCTGTCACGACGAAAAGAATTGGAGGACAAGGAGTGAAGGTATGTATTCAAGGATAATCCAAAGCACTCTTGATTCATGGCAGAAAAGAAAATCACTCGTGTTCTTTTCTCTATCCGCATCGCATCAGCATTCTCAACGTTGTATAATATCATCCTAGCACTCGTTATGTCTGTTTACGCAATATGATTTCACCCAAGGATACCATCACACTCATAGAGCGATGCCAGGCTTCTTGCCAAGAATGACCTGCAACTCGTCGTTTAATAATTCACTCAGTGTCTTTTCGTCACGCCAGTACCACCAGCTGTTGTCGAATTCACTGTAGTCGTAGCGTTTTGGTCCGCTAATAAGATGAATTGAGTGTTACCATCCAGATTACTGTGAATGATAACATCGTACCTTTGGGGCGAGGAAAGCCAAATCTGCTTGTTGGGAGGTTGTTTATTGATCACGTATGTCCCATGTTCACCCAGCTTTAATGTGAGCACACCGCTCTATACAGATGTTAAGACTCAAGCAGGCGACGGGGTGGTATTTTTAAGATACGTACAGAGTACTCGACTTCATAGTCAGGGTTGCTTTGAGCTTCATTGTCTAACAGATTTTCGAGTTGGTCCAGCAAGGCTTCCATCGCATGGTCGGAAACTTCATGATAACGTTCCATTGTAAGGTCTCTATATCGGAGATGGTAAGAGTCGCGTTCAGAGAGTTCATGGAGGAAGCTAACCCGCGATGTATCCACTGAGGCGGAGGAGTTTTTGAATTATCATAGTACTGAGGTGGAGGCTGTGTGCTGAACCGACGAGATCTCAAGGAGGGAATCTCCTGGAGCATTGGCAGTCGTACAATATGCGGTATGCATAAGGAAATTGATGGTCGTGTTTCGTAGAGAACACATTGCCGCGTCAACGAACTGAGTGAACGGGAGGTGAGTCGAAAGGGCATTGACACTATTACGTGGGAACTATCTAGCATAATCTCAGCCGGCAGATCGGCACCGGCATCCTTATCCGCACTCGCTCGCAAAATAAATGCACAAAGCTTTGCTTTTACACAAAATGTATTTATGAAAACTACGAGACAAACAGTAACATAGTACTTATGTAACGTAAAATGGAGACTAAAGTGATCAGAACGACAAAGATATTAACCCAGATACAAAAAATGACTCAACAGCAGCAACTTCGGACACCATATACCAGACAACTGTAGGATAGTGCTGGAAGCAGAAAGATCTTCGGAGCAAAATTCCACTGTCGCAAAGGTAGGATCCTTTTGGCGACGGTTTCCATATTCCAAGAGAACCAGATTCCCGAGTAACAGATGGACAGCATGGTGAATCAGATGTGGATTCCCGAGTCATAGATCGTACCTCGATGACTCGGGAACTCTGCCCCTTGTGACCACAATGCGGGAAAGCCAAGAAAAGGTAACGCTTGACGTTGCCGGAAAAGCACAGCGGCCGATGGAGGCGTAGCGTAAGGAGTATGACGTAGGATGGTTGATGAGCAAGCTTGCTGACGTGGACGTCGGCTAGGAGGGTGATACCGTGATGAGGACTAGCATGACCATCAGATGGTGCAAAACGAGGTATAAGACAAGGTGGTAGTCGAATGATATCCGACTAGAGAGAACCAGAATTCCACTAAGGGCTGGGGAGCACTGGAAGAAAATCTACAAACGACGAAGTCAGATAGGGACGCGTAGTTGGAAGGATAACGACGCACCAAGGATGTCTACCACGCTTGACGATGCCAGGCCCGTCGGGATATATCATCATCGCTTGAATGGAAGAAAACTAATCTCCATCGAAAGGAGGAGGAAAGATATGTGAGGAGAGAATGAGGATATGAGGGGAAGGAACATGGGGGGTGAGGAATGAAAGGATGCGGAAGACAATTCAAGGGCTTATAAAGACCGCAGTTTGCCGGGCATCCAGATCGGGGAAAATGCCTCAGCCCAGGCTCGCGGCATTTTGCTATTGGCTGCGCACCTCAAGGACCCCGATCACCAAATGAGGCATTTTCCCCGAATTGATCAGATACTTATTTATGTAAATAATGGACAAAACTAATCTAGATTGGATCTGTTCAACGTTTCCCTTCCAACCCTGGAAGACTAAACATCTGCGGAAAGCTGGTGAGTTTGGCTGAAGATGCTGTTAGTAAGAAACTATATGTACCTCAAATATCGTCTCAGAGGGAACGCCCCATCCCCGAACGCCCTCTACACGATTATCCATACGTGTACCCAACATAACTCCAACAACTGCACCGCTTTCATCGTCTACTATCGGTCCTCCGCTCGACCCCATAGTTGGCAGAGGAGTGAACAAAAGATGAGACAGCGCGTCGTATGTTCCCGGCTTTGAAAACTGACTGTTAGCGGACGGACTGTCCTTTGCGTGCAAATATTTACCATGGTCTCCCGACCTGCAAAATCTCGATATCCTAGCACCGTTCCGCGAACCCATTTGCTCCAAGTACCTCCAACCCAGGGAATCCACCCAGGCTCCACAGGCGGTGAATCCGAATGGGATACAAAATGCGCTCTGATAGAAGTGCCAGGTTGGACAGGATACAGGGACACTGGTAGTGTTTGCACCTGCGCTTTTGAACATGCCAACGCCATTAAATCTGACCGTGGAAGCGCAGACGGAATGGCTGAGACGGGATGGATCTGCTGATGTTCTGCTGATCCAGAAATCACAAACGTTCCGGATTTCTGCGCGCTCCCTCTGATCCTATCGCTAGTCTGAGAACTAGACTCTGCATTAGCTAGCAGCAGAGGGGATCTGCGCATCTGCAAAGTCTAGTGTTCAGACCAGGTTCACGTGAAGTAAGATTATCTTGCCTCTTCTAATGTATGAGCACAGGTCAAGAAGAGGGTGTCGCCAAGACTGGCAGATGGTGCTTCCAACGCGAACCCAGAAGAAAGCGACACTTTGTGGTCGCCATGCGTCTCGATGCAGTGCGCAATCATGACAATACTGAAGTCGCCAGATATGTTTGTAAAACTATGCTGCTGTCTACTTTCAGAAGGTCGGGACTCATAAGGCAGTGAGCGGTCGAATACGTGTCCAGAATTTGCCTCATATTGGCGAATAAGTTCATGAAGAGACGGAATGTCAGATGATGTCGATAGATGTGCTAAAATATTCTTGTCCAAGCTTGTAGGCAGCATCGACTCGTTGTAATCAGGCGTTCGAGGCTGCGGTAAAATGGTTGGAGAAACTGTGGCATAGGAATTCTTCAAGTACTTCTGGCCCACAAAACTTGATCCAAACACATAGCGAGCGCAAGCGGGGGGCCATAGCCTCAGAGGCATCAGAATCGAGGACAGGTCGGGAAGATATGACGTCATACCCAATACCCATGAAATGTAATACTACACGAATTTAGTAACTACCAACTACTAGTAGGTCAAGCGACTACTTGCTGGTGCAATTATTACTAGCATTAATCATACAGGATCTCGGCATCGTCGTCAACTACAAAGCTGCCCATCTCATACTCATCTGGTTCCTCGCTTCTGGAGGGGGAGCTTGATAACATTACTCGCCGTTCTGCCATACTAATACTGTTTCCTCTTCCAAACGGCCCTCGTTTCACAGGACGGTAGGCAAACACTGGTCCTGCTCCTCCAATAGGTGCCTGTGACAACAGACTCTCTCGGTATGCTAGACTTTGGTCATACGACTGCGAGAGCTGGGTCTCAGGCAACTCTTCAAGAAAACGGCGGTCGGATTCACTTTCCACATCGTCTTCGCTATGTGAAGAGCCTTCACTGACTTCATCACCAGAATGTACAGCATCCATATCCCATACATTGTCAAGTAGTGGACGCGACTTGTCAGATTTGGGTGTCGTAGCTGACTTTTTGCGTTTGTGAAGCCTTCGCTGGGACGGTGGCGACAGCTCCATTTCAGGAGATTCAATCGCAGTCCGTGCTCTCTTTTTGCCTTTGTTGATGCGAGGACGTATGGGGAAAGAAGACTGAGGAGGAGAGTTGGTATCAGAGGAAGAGGCGAAGATCCGACTAGGAACGGGAGGCGGCGCCATGCTCGTTCCACGAGCCTTCGTCACCAGGAGCGATGAGACGGGGCTGCTTGAAGGTACGACCACAAGATCGGGGGAGCGGATAGGATGGTCAAGGATTTGAACGGATTCTTTTCCACCAGCATACTTCGCTTGCTTGTGCTGGTGACTTCTGAAAGGCGTTTCCATTTCAATGATTTGGACGGATTCATCCACGTCACTGGCAGGTGTGTGACCATATACCAGGTCAGACGGTGCAGCGTCCGAATCGACAATTTCCACCGAGTCTTCGCCGCCTGAAAAACGCTCGTGTGTACGTTTTGGAGTGCTTTGAATAGGAGAAGAGCTGACGATATCAAAGGCTACGTCGTCGTCGTCATCCACCAGCCAACTCATATCTCGATTTGAGGATACCGGGTTGGGAGAAGCGGATTTAGGGGAATGCGACGAACGAACATGAGCTACTTCTATAGTCAGGAGAAAGTCCAATTTTGAGAAAGCTCTGGGAACACACCAGGTCTGGGAACTTCAGAGTCGGAGTCGGTCAGATCGATGACGCTTTCAGTGTTTGGATATAACAAGGGAAGGGATGTTGGTTTTGCAGGCGGTAAGGGATTCAGACCCTGTTCAATATCCATGTCATCTGAATCATCCATGCCCTGGCTCAATGTTGGTTCTGCCAACTTCTTCAACCTTTTGCGTTTTGGCCCAGTCTTCCATGGTTTTAGCTTTCCGCAACTTTCCCTTGGTAGACCTCGAAGTGGGTACTTCGACGGTCGATTTAGAACGTTTAAGAGCTAACATCCCAAGCTCAAGCTCTCGGTCTGTATCGTCGTCCTGTCCCGCAGTCTCCAAATCCCGAGAAAGTATCACTCCCTTGTTCTTCTTTTTGGCACCTTTGACGACGAGGTCCCGGACAGGAACGAACCCTGTACTGGCTCCTGGAGGTATATTTCGCTGAATGTCGTCGTTACGTTTGCGCTTGGTACCTCTCTGAGGTTCTTCACCCAGTGATTTCTTTCGTCCATCCACCCGAATGTATTCTTGGATCTCCATCGTCTTTTCAAGACACTGGGGAGTAACATGATCTGGAAGTAATCGTTCAACGTCAGCGTACAATTCAAGCTGGTCACCCCGCCAGATGGTCTTCTGGACATTCTTGTACGTGTCCTTGGCTTTCTCCAAGTTGAATTCCTCTCTCCCTTCAGAGAGCAAGACATGAACCACGCCAGCACGTTTACGCCCAGTCCTGCCCAATCGTTGTAACTGAGATGAAGAACAATAATTAGCAAGATCAAAGGCGGTGTACAAAGGTTGACTGACCATGCGAATGGGAGTCTTCTGGGCGTCATAGCAAACAATGAGATCGACTTCACCGATGTCCAAGCCTTCTTCTCCAATGGACGTGGCAACAAGGACGTTGAACTCATCCTCTTTGAATCTTTTGATGACCTAAGAAATGAATATGAGCTGAAGTAGATTAACGACAACTGAGACCCACCTCCAACTGTTCACGCTGTGAGAATCCTTTTCTTCCTTGCTTATCAGTGCCTTGTCCAATGAACCTGCTCGCACGAATCAAAGGTCTTTCTGCATTGAGAACCGCCACAATCTCGTCTACGGAATCGCGATTGGTGGCGAAGACCATGGCTTTGCTCTTCTCAGGCACTTCATCCGCATTGTCATCCGGAAGTTTCTCTCCAAAATATTGAACGATAATCCCCTTCAAGAGCTCCATCTTTGGATGCATTGAAAACCCACGAGCCTTTTGGGCTTTCAACTCTCGCATGAGGGAATGAAAGACGGGTTCATCGTTTAATTTTTTTGCCTTGGAGGCTGCCTTTGACTTCACACCAGTATCGTTGCCGTTCCCCGATGCGAGCTCTACCAAAGCATTGTAGCACATTTCTGTTGTGCCCTCAACCTACGAAAGATGAGATTCACTGAACGGGCAGCTCGAATGTACAGGTTTACCAGATAACCCATGATGCGTGCCAAAGTCATAAGCATCGATAGATTCCAAATTGCCCATCCTTGACTTCCCCGGGCGTCCCTCATACGAGCTTGAAAGGCGTAAGGATGCATATTCATGACGTTCCCCCCGTGAAACATGCCTCTCGACACCAACGGCTTGAAATATATCTTAACGTCATGTGAGCAGTTGATCGGTTGCCTACGCATGGAAAGCTTGCCTCCATTAATTGGGCTAACAATGCTCGAATCCTCACAATATCCTCGCTCATGGAAACAATATGTTGTTCTATTCTCTAGCAAAGAAAGAATGTTAATGCAAAGCATTTTCATGCATAAAGGGGCAAACCTTTTCGTGAATGTATGCCTTCAAGTCCAAACTATTTTCATCACGAATCTCAATGCGGCTGATATGAAGACCGTCAATTAAGGACTGGACAGCTTCAGGATTTCCCCCCGGAGTCGCAGTCAATGCAAGAAGTCGAAAGTGGGGGTTTTTCGCCATCAAGAAACGTACAACTTGATTGTAGGCGTAATCGCCTGTTGCCCTATGGGCCTCGTCTAGGAAAAGGATTAGGGAATAATGGAAGTCTGACAAAGGGGCTTTCATACCGACGACGATTAGAATAATATCGCGTGCGTCGCAAAGTCTCTGACGTCAAGTCGTTGATGAGCGTCTGAGGAGTCATGTAGAAAACCCTTTTTTCTTTCCACTGAAAAATTTTCCATTAACTAAAGGGACTCAGTAGTGAGCCGAAAACTCACTGCTCGATGCCTCATAGGTTTAGGGTTCTGTCCAGTAAGTTCGATAGCGTCACTTCCAGGGATTCCGCATGTCTGGTGACAAGCATCTATCTGCTGCGCGACAAGGGGCTTAGTTGGTGCCACGAAGACGACTTTCCCCTCTGGGAACCAGCGGTAAACTGGGATTTTTTAGTGCAATGACGTCTGAAAAAAGCATCGAGCTTACAATTCAGCATTACAACGCCAGCGACAAACGTCTTCCCGAGACCTGTTGGAAGCGCTACGATAGTGTTATCGAACAGACAATGCTTGACAATATTAAACTGGTAATCTCGTTTCGGTCGATTCAAAGGATATATCCAGTGCTTGGCTTCAAGCAAGTCGGGTGATAGCTTCATCGGAGGGGGCTAGGAATCAATTTTGAAGATCAAAACGTGTCTAAATATGAAGAGAAAACGCACAGGTCTAGAAACGCAACAACCGGTCTCGTATAAAGTGTGCCCTCAGATATCAAAAGTGAACCCTTACCCTACTGTTGAAATGTGAATATGGCTGGCTAGCCTGTGAAGGAACTGCACGGCGCACCAGATATAAACGGGGCCGGAAATTGTTCGAACTCAAGACTCTCATCAAAATCCTCGTCTTCTGGAAAATCAAATGTCGCTTTTCCCTTCCCCTTGTCCTTGTTCTTGCTGGACTTGAGCCCGGACTTCGCGAATTCAGTGTGATCCCAGTACTTGGTCTTGGGTGCCTGGTGACCAAAGGGATTCCTAGACGTAGATTGAACTCTTTGTGGGGCAGTTTTGGGCTTAGAAGATGAAGCGCTCGGTGGCAGGACTTCCCCAAAGAGCGTTGTTTGCAAATGACCTGAGGATGAGGACTTTCTGGTAGACGCCAAGCCTGAGGATTGACTTTGATAGCTCTTCATGACATCCTGATCGACCCTCCTGAGGTCTTCTTCGTTAAAATCGAATGTTAGGTCGAATGAGTCGTCCTCGTCGACAGCCAGTGGAGCAATTGGTCGAGCCGCTTTGGGAGGGGAAAAGTGAGCAGCTTCGATGGCATTAAGCTCCTCCAAGAATGCATCGTCGATATCGTCGTCATCAAAGAAGCCATCTGAGCTCATTAGCGATAAGTCGCGTCGTTGCTGGAGGTGAGAACTTGAAGAGCGACGGAACGAGTCAGCGTTGACCGCGACGCGCCCAACACGTGATACGTATGGCACGCCGAAATTTGCAATTTGCATTTTCTGGGTTTGAGAAAATTTTCCAGGCAGTCTTATTATAGAGAAGAGTAGTGTTCATAGCTGTCTTTCAATCTATTTTCCTTTTTTCAATCTACTTTTACTTAGATGAAGGGGTGCCATCGAGGGCAGGTGAGGTTAGGGTTTCGGCAAGGGGACGATGACTAATCTTTCAATTCTCTCTCTCGTGCTCATTTTGCTCTATCTTCTGCTTGCGCTACTCCAGCAGAAATTCGTTGCTCACTATCATTTATTCTTATGGTTTTTGACCCTACTAACTCTCAACACCTCAAGCCGTGGCTCGTTAGAACACTAGAACCAATGTTCGTGCCCGTTCTGTGCCCTGGATGGAATCACTGACCGACTCTGGTCTTGTAGATGCGATGCTGAACCTGGTGCACTGGCTGAATACATTCTAGCCCTTCTCAAACACAATGTGCCCGAGAGTGAAATGCGAAAGGAATTGGCTGTTCAGCTGGACGAATTTCTCGAGAAAGGTCAGTCAGAATCCCGTGGCACCCATGTTAACCTATTCTGATCATCCAGATTCGACCAGAATGCCAGCCGTTTCTCGACACATTATTCACTGTTCTACGCACCAAGTCTTATTTACCGTATTCTGCATCGCCCTCAACGCCCTCCTTTCCCGACAAAACCCTTGACACTGGTATTCCCATCCCCCTTGACGGTCTCGTTTCCCCTTCTATACCTTCCTCGCCTGACCGCATCCGCAAAAGAGGTATTGATGATGATAGGGATGGTCGGCCTGCCAAGGGACCCCGTTTAAGTGATGACAGTCAGTTTTCGCGCTATGGTAGCAACAGAGGCGGCATGGATTCGCGGTCAACGGGAGGTTGGAACTCACGAGCGGACAAACCTGCAAATGGTTATCGGGATGGTTCGTCTCAATCTAGGGGCGTCGGTATGGGGCAAATGAATGGCAGGCGACCACAAGCATATCAGCCGCCGGACATGAAACGAGGGATATGCAGAGACTACCATAGTATGTTTCATCTCCAATTTGATTCTTGCAAGCTCACACACTCTTAGACAACGGCTACTGTGCTCGCGGTGCTTTCTGTAAATTCAGCCATGGAGAGGATGCCGTTGTTCCCAGTCAAATGTTCCCCATGAATGGTGCTGGCATGACAGGTGCTGGAATGCCATTTATACCCATGTTTGGCCAAGGTTTTGGGATGCAAAACGGACCTGTTGCAGCTTACGACCCTCACGAGTCCCGCATGGATATGAGGATGGGTAACGGACGGTCACAGATGCGGCCTGCTTTTCTTCCCAGAGTTGACGATGGACAGATAGTTCATGCCTCTGGTGAACTACCTGTCATTCAAGATCTCACCCCGAATATCCCGCACAATGACATTACGCCTAATCCCACCTCAGAAACTAGCGTCTCCCAGTCATCGTCACCCCAACATCCATCTTCATCACAAATACAACACCCCCACCTTCCTGACCTTAATGACGACGTGGCAAATGGCCAGCAAGCAAAATATAATGAAGACATTGAAATGACTTCAGTACCGTCGTTATCTCAGAATGGCGGCTATTCCACTGGGGTACGTGGGCCCACTGGTCGAGGGCGAGGTACCTTCGGTGATGTCCCAGGTATCCGCCCGGAAAAGAGGAATGACAAAACATTGGTTGTTGAAAAGATTCCTGATGACAAGCTGTCCTTGGAGCAGGTTAACGATTGGTTCAAAAAGTTCGGCAAAGTCACCAATGTTGCTATCGATCGACCGCACGGGAAAGCTCTTGTCAGCTTTGAGGAACACAGGGAAGCGTATGTAGCGTGGAAATCCCAAGACGCAGTTTTCAACAATCGTTTTGTTAAAGTGTTCTGGCATAGACCGATGGAAGGACATGGCCAGATCGGTGCACGTATGTTGGCAGCTTCGGCGCCTATCGTTGCCAATATCTCAGCGAAAGCAGCTTCTGCCACCCCGCCAGCAACATCCGTCACTGGCCCTCCGACTCCTGCACGAAAATCCGCCATTGCATCTTCATCAAGCGCGACAGCGCTTGCCGAAAAACAGCGACGGCTGGAGCAGCAGATTGCTGAGCAGAAATCGCTAATGGCCTCTCTCGCGTCTGCCTCCGGAGAAGAGAAGAAAAGCATCATGGCTCGACTCAGAAAATTGGGTGACGAGATCACTGTGGGATCATCATCTGCCAAGTCGAGCTCAGCTCCAGTGAAGATGCCCTCGAATCCTACTCAGATTGCTGACGAACGACAACAAAAGGAGCGTGCGCGTCTGGATAAGGAGCTGGATTTCCACAGTGCTGTAACTGCCGTAGAGGGCGAAGGAGAAATCGCAGAAGATCTCAAGGCTAAGTTGGAAAGACTGAAAGCCGAGGTACGTTGCAATTGTCTTCGACTGAAATACAAAACTCACTGTGCCCAAAAGGCTGCTAGCCTGGGTTTATCAGACGCTGAACCTAACTACGTTGGATCGCATAGACCGTATCGGGGCAGAGGGCGTGGAGCACCCCGCAGTTATTATAGGGGCGCAGCTCGTGGTGTTGGTCGACCAAGTATGAAGCTTGACAATCGGCCCAAAAGACTTCGTGTTCGTGGCGTTTCCAGTGAGAAAATGCAGGCGCTTAAGGACTGGTACGAGGTAGTATCTTCATACTTTCCGTTTCCTCTATGCGATCTGATCCATCTCCCAGGCAACCGGTCAGGTTGACTCACTATCTACTTTGGAAGATGGCGATGTCGTGGTGTCGTTCAGAACACGAGCAGCTGCAGAACAGGTTTGATATACGCCTTTACATATGATGCCCTTTGCTAACGACGACAAAGGGACTGGCCAAAGGAACCAGCATACCGACCGTCGGTGATGTTCACTTATCATGGCACACTGACTCACTTCCACGGTCACCTTCGGCGACAGTTACACCGGCCGCTGAATCGAATCCTCCTTCGCAGGAGGTACCGGGCCCTAGGGATGGGCATTCACCAGCTCCCGAACCCGATACAGAGTCCAAGGGTTCTCCCAACGCACAGGAAGAGGAAGTAATAGCTAGTGGTTGGGGTGGTGATGGGGAAGACGGTATGGGCATGTTTTAATCTTGTATGAATGTGGTATCATGTTGTGCTATTACAATTCCCGCCTTCCATCGTCCTTAAAACATTGGATGGACTTCAGCCTACCTTTTTGAAGGAAACTTTGCAGCGCCAAATTATGAGACTTGAATACTATTAAGGTATTGCAACCTTGAGCGGACTGCGCCGTACTAGCAGCTTGTAGAGGTTCGGAAGTACAAATTAATTCAAACTTTTCCTTCCAATCAGTAACTTAAGCATTCAGCCTAGAAGCGGATGGATGGAGTTTTTATTCTGATCACTGTCCCTAAGAAGGAAACTAACCAGAGTCCGTACTACGCGTGCATTACCTACCTAATCCACTACGCTACGGTACCGAACGAACGTTGGGCCTCACTGATACAGTCACGTCCCCGCAAGGTACGGCCTCTCAGCACCAGCGTCAACGCCGTGAGATCTGCTATAGATAAGTACGATGATTATGATGTCACACTGCTCATGCCTGGGTGTATCACAGTGACTTCCTCGGTTTGTGCTCTACTTGTTCCAGTAGTACTTCCTACCCCTACCAACCCAGCCTCAGCAGTAGGTCGGAATCGTTCCTCTAAGTCAACGATTTACGGTGCAGAGAAATATGTCCAAGTTCAAGAGCATGAACCTTGATAGTGACGTTAGTGACTTCCGATCAACTTCCGATGCCACTTTCACCACGTTATAAGTTATGATCAAAATGGTCAGAGAAAATGTCATCCTGGTAGGAGGTAACATGAACTCCGAGATATTTATGCTGGTTCATCCATTCTAGTATCTGGCCAAGGAGTGGCAGGGGACACAGCAGCTTCCCAAAACACATACATTTGGTCTGTAGACTTCAGGATATTCATTGCGAAACTGTTACGTGAGGTCTACGGCCCAAAAGTGTCAAGATAAACTTGCAGTCCGCGTAGGATGGTCTCTCCCATCAACGTTAGTGCTTGGCAGAACAAGATTGCCACGAGGTTTGCGGGTGGTCCGAAAACAAACCTCGCGTGAGTCATTGCGTCAAGATGATGACTAAAGCAACAGCCCAACAACCCGAAGAACTGTACAGTTCCCCCTATCCATGAACCTTAAATAATGAATCATCAAGACGGAAGGACTATAGAGCAGAAGAAAAACAGAAAGGATGTTATCTCCTGTTACATAAAAAGTACATGATGTATCCCCAGTCGTAGCCTCAACCTTCTCGTCTGGCATAATATCCAGACAGCCATCCCATGAGTATCGCAAGTCAAGAAAATTAACTCAGCGACAGTCAATTGAACCTGAACACCGTACAACCATTTGGAGTGACCCAGCGCACAAGCTTGGAGTCGCCCAGTCGAGGGGAGGGGACCTACTCAGCGCACAAGCTTGAGTAAGGTCGCCTCTCAGAGCCCTATAGATGGGGTGAAGTATACCACCCACAGTCCTGGTGTCTCATCCCAGTGCTCACAGAGCAGCTAGAGATACCGACATGCAGGAAGACAGTGTTCTGAGGGTGTTCGAAGTCTGGAGAGCATGGAAACGTGAAGGGTCGGCATAAAACGAGGACCTGAGCCAAGGCCGTCCGTCTGGCTAGTTATTTTGACATGCTCACCCCTTGGTCATTGGCACCTGGGGCAGAGGCCTCAGAAGACCATGAACACTTCCAGGTACGAACTCCTGGCGAGGATCTAGTCCACAGCCGCCAAAGTGTCGAATCGTGCGTCATCCGGGTAATCTGCGAGCCATCCATCAAAGCAAACGCTCTCAGGGCTGTATGCAACGTCTTGCAGCACACAAAGAGGCTTTTCAGATGTGGCGAGGCGAGAATTTGGACCCAGACGGAGACGACATGATGGGGAGGGGACGGTGTGATACGCGCATTGCGCATAGTATTGGTGTACCAATCATGTAATATGGACAGTGGGGAACCCACAAGAGCGAGCGTTAGCGTTCGTAGTATGGGAGGGTGGGTGTCGACTGATCCTCTCGACAACTCGGAAGCGGTCTACGAGTTAGTACGTGTTAAGCGGAAACGATCCTGATAAGGCACTGCGATCATCATCTGAATCATCTGAAGAAACGAAAACTGCCATATGCCTGACAGACCGCAGATACGCCGTGCTGATGATTCCTAGGAACTAGAAGACGGAAGCATGCGCGTGATCCTAAAAACGAGGAGTACTGAAAGCGGCTCGGAGGACGATAGTTGTGCGTCATCCTAGTGGAGTATTCAGCTGACGGTTCACTTGGCGCCAATGTACGTCACAAAATATGCATACGAATTATGCATGATATATCATGGTCCACAGCGTCCAGAATATAGGATGACATTACGTGAGGAGCAAAAAAGAGATGAAATGACATGTACGAATATTAGGTCGCAAGTAGGAATGAAGCCGCCGGAATAACAAGTGAGAGATATGTCTGCGCATGAAAGGGTATTAACAGTTGCATCCATAACTTTGCGAACTTTCCGAGTCGAGTTGAATTGGATCCGGGTAGTCGACATACCTGCAACGAAAGAGTCAGAAAATCTCCGGCATTATAGTACAGCTCGAATGTCTGACAATTGTTCTTCCGCCTCTTGTTGCAGAGCATTCTTAGCAACCGTCTGGAAGGCTTGCTCAACGTTGATGGCCTCCTTGGCCGATGTTTCGAAATAAGGAATATTCCCTTTGGACTGACACCATGTCATGGCACGCTTCTGGGTAACCTGGCGATATATGAGTGGCGTAATACTAATAACGTTGCTATTTCTGTCGCACCTGTCTCTTGTTCTCTTCAACATCAATCTTATTGCCTAGGACAACGAAAGGAAAGTTCTCCGGGTCATGAGGGCTGGCTTGAATAAGAAACTCGTCGCGCCAACTGTCCAGGGTCTCAAATGACTTTGCGCTGTTCACGTCGTACACAAGGACGCAACAATCAGCTCCTCGATAGAACGCAACTCCTAGTGATTGAAAGCGTTCCTGCCCGGCGGTGTCCCATAACTGAGAAGATGGGTCAAAGGACATTCGACTTAAACTATTACTGCATACCTGCATAGTAACTAACCGGTCATCTACCATAACTTCCTTAGTGAGACTATCGGTGGGTCAGACAATGGCTAACACACAATTCGAAGAAACGTAACGCACAAGTCAGCACCGATAGTAGCTTTGTATTGGTTGCTGAACCGCTTATTGACATATTGATTCATAAGTGAAGTCTTGCCGACTCTGAAGAATATACGAAATGAAGAATGAGCAGGCCGCTGGAGAAATAAGAAAGGATGGAGTGGTCGCACCCACTGTCGCCAAGGATGATAACCTGTTGGCCAATGTTAGACAAGAGAGGATAGAACATAAAGAGGCATACTTTAAGCAAAACACGACCCATTGTGATATTGGAAGATAGCGAAAGGTTGGAATGAAGAAAGGTTGGAGTGGTTCAGGTCGTGAGTGTATCGAACGAGTGCTCCCAGGCGCTTTACAACCCCAAATAGAGTCACAGAGGGTGGTCACCTCTGTGACAAGCGTTACCAACCGTCACGCTGCATCCCACCTTCATCCAAAAGAGCATCACCCTACTCGTTCTCCTCATTTGCTCTGCTCTCCGTTGCGATGGCCGAGCCTGCTTGGCAAGAGATTCTTCGTGCTCGTCTCCAGGAACGGAATGCAAAGGAGTCTGCGTTTTCGTCTGTCATTGAGCAATGTAAACCTCGATCTATTATCCTTCCTTCGTAGACTGAGCTCATAATCTACCGGTATAGACCGACGGTTAGCACAACAGACAAAGTTTCTAAAGGAACGAAACGTTCAATTTCTCCGTGCTGCACAGTCTGTTCGGGGCAACAATCCAAGCAGCTCTACTGTTTTCGTGCCAGGGACCAGTGAAGAGTGCGTCATTCAGCCCCATTGTCATTCAAAATGCTTATGTGAGCATATCATAGGAATCCCGTCTTGTCGGCGTACACCGCTTCATTAGAATCCCAGATATCAGTCACTGCGGGACGAGATTGCAGGCGCCTACAAATCTCAGACTCAAAATACTCAAAGACTGTTAGCCATGACAGAAACACTACGTGAGAAGGAGGAAGCTTCGAGGATTGGCGACGAGAACTTGAGAAAGACGCGAGATGAGCTGGCTGTCCTTCGCCGAAAGGTCGACCAACACAACGAGTTAATGGCTGAGAAGGACCGCACTGTCCAGGTACGCAAGGTCACAGAAGTGGAATTTTTTCGCTGTTAATCTGACCCCAATTCACAGATCCTTCACGACGAAATAAGCACCCTTCAGCTTGAACTTGGTCAGATCGAGGAACGAAACCAAACGCTGATAAAAGACAATGCCAAATTATTACAGCGATGGTTAGATGCGAAGCAGGCTGAAGCTAATAAGATGAACGAAGCAAATGAATTCTACGAGAACATGCGCTCCCGACATCAGAATGTGACAACCTGGCGCGATGAAACTCTCGGTGCCGGCACGCCTGCCGCGGTGAGCAACGGAGCGGATTCATCATCACAACCATCCGAGTCGGGAAACGGGGATCTGAACGAGGAGACGAAGGAGACGGAGACGAAGGATGGGATACTATCTCCCACGGAGAAGAACATGGATCCGAGTCCGAATGGTTGATTGTTGATGAATAAATTTTAATTTCCATCCTACTTTTTGGTTTCCATTGCATACCATACCCATGTCTAGTGATATACCTTCATTTTGTTCAAATCCAAGCTTATAATCGGGGGAACCTTAATGATAGAGGACAAGCAATCTCGTGAGTTTTCATTGTCAGGGAAGCATGAGACGAAAACTTGTAGTGCAGCAGGTATGAGATAAAGGATTCGAAAAGAAATGAGAAAACCTATCGATGTCGATGACTGTAGTGCTTGGATACATACGATGAAACTGAAGTGGCAAGAAACATGTTAAACACTCTTATACGATGTATGGAAAAGTAAAACTTGGACGGAAAAAAAAGTCGATAATCGTGCACTCGAGACAATAGGCTATATAGACATTATTGCAAATGGCAGGGCGCATTACGCATAGAGAAGAGGGGGGGCTACATACATCTGAAGGAAAGGAATGATCGGCTCGCAATCTAAGGAGCGCCTTGCATCTGAGCATCAGGCTGCTGTTGTCCATAATAGCCTGGAGGACGTAGGTCAGAGAGGCGCTTGGACATGTCATCGTCACTTACCACTCCAATAGTTAGAATAATAATTCGGATCGCCGCCCCACTGGGCTTGTCCGCCTTGACCCGCTGCTGTCGCCGTAGGATCTGCACCTGGTTGCGGGGCGCCGGTTAGACCAAGAGCACCTGGAGCAGCATTCGCTGGCTGGGGCATGCCGGGGGATCCAGGGACAGTGCTTCCAGGAGCGCCTGCGGTTTGATTTGGAAATCCAGTGTATCCACCAAACCCGTACTGCCCATAAGACGCAGGCTGGGGCATCCCATACATAGGCTATGCAAAGAATCAAAGATCAATCTACATCGGAACCATGCGCAACACATACCATATTTCCGTAGGGAGCTGCAGCGCTGGTGGTGGGACTGAGGGGCTGAGGGGCCGCGCCATCTGCCCTATCTTTGCCCCAACTGCATTTGATTGACCTGCCATGCACCATTTGACCCTGGAGTTGAACAATAGCCAGAGCAGCGTGTTCGTGAGTATCGAGCTTAACGAAAGCGAAACCACGATCAGCTTGCATGCGAATCTCGGAAAGATAGCCGATGGATTGGAACAAAGGAATGAGGTCCGCTTGCGTGCAGTAAGGAACAAGATTGCCGACGTAGACAGTGGAGTTGTACGCGGGAGTTTGCTGGACTACGGACTCATAGGAGAGGGGGCCGCCTTGGAAATTCATCGGAGCGGGCGCACTGCCAGTGCTGCCGGGACGAGGGGATGTAGAAGCTGCGGGAGCGCCCTGTGTTTTCTGATTGGCCCAGTTGACACGGATAGCTCGCGAACCAAGCCATTCGCCGTTCATCGTCGCGATGGCCTGCTCAGCATCTGTTTTGTCTCGGAATGCCAAGAAACCATATCCACGAGACTTTCCAGAGTTCATGTCCCACATGACTCTAGCATCCGACATGGTGCCAAAGGCACTGAACGCCTTCGCAAGGACCTCATCGTTCACTTCGGGGCTTAGATCACCGACGAAAACATGGTAGTGACCTGTGGTGTCCTCCTTATTTTGTTGACCTTGATAGGCCCAGTTGACACGGATCTCCGTGTCGAAGATCTTGCGACCATTCAGAGTCTGCAGGGCGGTCTCTGCGGCACGCATGTCCATGTATTCGACGAAGCCATAGTTGAGCCCTCCATGCTGATAGTTCCTGTCTGGGATTATTTTAACATGCTGAACGGGACCAGCGACAGCGAAGATCTCCGTGAGCATGTACTCCGTCACGCGAGGGCTCAGATTTCCGACGTAGAGGTGAGCACGCCTCTAGAAACCCGGAGTAAAGTAAAGGGGATGAAAAGATAGATCAGACATCTGGGGCAAAAGAATAAGTCAGAAAAACTCACTGGAGCCTCAGCCGGACCTCCCATTCCCATTGGATTCATGATTTAAGAGTACTGAAAAGAAATGAGATCTGAAGTTGGTTCAGCCAGGGGTATTGAGAAAATTACAATGATGCGCACGAAAGACTGAAAAAACAGGCACAATATGATAGACAAGTCCGTCAGAGAGGGGAAATGATAGAGACGAGAGAGAGAAAAAGAGAAGAAAAGAGATATTTAGCGACACAATCAACCTGGTGCAGGTGAAGAGAGACTGGATGAGTCAGCGCCGCTCAGTCTAAGCATACGTAAACAGTCCGGACCAATGCGGATAATGCCGAGTGCCACCGTCCAGAGCATTGAGATGGGCAATTCAGAACGGTACTTATGATTAATTACATGATTGCACTATTTATCCAGCACGTTTCTTCCAATGGCCTACTTGTCTGCCGGAACATTTAACAAGATGTTTCCCCCACCACTAGGAATGTATGATACATTGGGGTTGGCGGCGAGCGAATTGGCGATAGCCTTGGATGTTTCAATTTTGCGGAATGTGACAAAGGCATCACCAGCCTTCCCAAGTGCTTGCGAGATGATGGTTGCCGCTGCGGCTTCACCTTCGGCTCGAATAACAGCTGCTTGACGCTCTTGCTCAGCCTAAAAAGGCGTCTAGTCCAATCCCTCTGGGGAGAATCGGTGAACTCGCCTTTTCAACAACGAATTTCGCCCTCTCAGCATCTTAACAGCAACTATCAGCAAATAGAAGAGAAGACTACACCGAACGTACCTTGCTGTGCAATTTGTTTGGCTTCTACCGCTTGCGTGAATTCCTGGGGGGAAGGTCAGAACGATGACCAGAATTAGACCTACGATACTTGTCACCTTTCCGAACGTCAAATGCGTGATAGAAACATCTTCCAACACAATGTTGAATTCCCCAGCACGCTGCAAAAGGTCAGCCCTTATTCTAGACGACACCTAAGGATACTGAGCATTCCAGCAATCGTTATACAGCAGCTTGACACATACTACTTCTCGCTGTGTAATCAACTCTGCTGCATCAAATTGGGCGACAATGCTTTTCAGCACCTCGTTACCGATAGAAGGAAGCACCCTTTCATCGTAATCCAAGCCCAGGCTTTGGTAGATTTTGGGAAGATGCTCAATGTCAGGTCGCGAGAGAACTCGGAGGGTAATAGACACCATCTGTAGATCTTTCGACCCAGTTGTTGTCGATATATTCTGTGTTTGTGTCCCGCATCAGATAGAATGGGCTTCGAGACATCTTTTTACTTGCCCGAGGCTTTATTCGGCAGTCGTATAAAATCACTCGCTGAAGCCATGGAATCATGAGATGTGTACCCTCAGGCGCAGCCTAAGATGCAATAAAGATGAGATACAACATCAGGAATGATCTTGCAAGCCACACACCGTACTCTTAACGCCTGAAAACCTGTCGAACATGACTGCTCGGTAGCCGCCCGGAACATCGTACAAGCTTGCTCTGACCGCAACGGCTGCGACAGCGATTGGAACTAGCAATTCATCCACATTTTAGCCCCTCGAAAACGCTCCAAGTAAAAGTGCACTTGCCAATGACTCTCGAAGCATTCTGGGCGAACGCCATGAGTGTAAAGGTAAAGGTGTCAAACACATATCAACGACGCGTATTCTTTTGGCTTAGTCACTGCCATTTAGTCAGGGTTCACTGTCACTAACAGTGCGACTACGACTAAACATCTAATCTAATGTAACATCTCCTTTAGTATCGCCATCCATTCTTGCGGAGTGGCTACCAAACTGCATGGCCCGTTTCTTTCGTCCGCTTGCCTCAATTAACCCCATTTTTCGAGCAGCTAATCTCAGTAGCATCTTATCTCCCAGGCCCACTTCTATACGGGGGTCCATTTTGTGCTGAACAGGCAAGTTAGCCAAAAATGAGACCACACCAAGTGACAGAAAAGGATGTCTTGTTTCCTTTCCGTGGGACGAGCTGGAAGTATTGTTAATACCAGGTTTTACAAAGTCGGACGGTAGACATAACTTACCAAATGCGATCGTCGCGGCCCAGATTTCGAACTGGAATGCGCTGGATTTCTAGCTGAAGCTATACAAGGACAACCGAGTGATGAATACGACGATTCTTTTGAACAAGGAGATCGTCTTACTTCATCGATTACTGCCTGCCAGCTGCCTGAGTTGAATGCTGACCGATGCCTTCCATAGCCGCCAAGTAGCTCGTCGGATCCAAGGCCGTTCAATAGCACACGAGCTGGGCTAGTATAAGCCACAGATTCTGTACCTGGATAAGCGCGTACGTGTCCAACTCCCTGAGAGGCGAAGTACAAAGCAAGAGCCAGACTCTATTTGCAAGTTTAAAGTTCAAGATTATTTTCAATCGGTTCAACACTTACCAAATCCATGACTGTACGGCTGGGCAGCATCAACGCTTCAACTATTGAGCGTGCCCCCTGCGATTCCTATTTTATGTGCTCAGTAGGAATGATTTCGGCTTCATCGGAGAAAGAAGACCGACGTGATAAGGGACATTGACCTCTACCTGTAGATTCATGAGCATCAAGACCGTCCAAGCTTTGCAAAGGGCATACAAAGTTCCAAGTACGCCCGGGACACAGCCGCCTAAGTTCTTCCAATTCCTGAAGTCCCGTCTTTCTATCAGGAACCATATATGACACTCTGACAGAGTCACATTCAGATGGTTTTTTATCTTTCTTCTTATGCCGTCTTGATACTCCCCCCACATTGCCTTCCGTCTCCATTCGAATCTTTCTAGGGTTCTCGAACGCGACGTTGAGGAGGTCGATCGATTCTTCTAGAGGTATATGCCTTGAAAATGCATGATGAGACCTTAATTTTGAAGATCGGGTCACAGAAACGAACTTATGGGCAAGGTACGCAATAACTGTTGAATCTATTCCGCCGCTGAAGAGGACAGCAACTCTGGACTCTGTTGGCATAGAACTGTATATGCAAAGAACTACATTCAGACATGACATGACATCGGAGAGACAAACAGACCTTCTGGGAGGTATGTTGCGAACACGGAGCATAACACTACGATCTAGATGGGAGATCAAATCATCTACAGAAGCGAGGAGATAATCAGGTATTTCATCAAGCGAAACTAAACGCGGCCAGGTATCTGGTGGAATCGAAGGATTCAATTTCGGAGGCTGAGCCTGTCAAAACATGAAGTATTCCCACAACTTCCTCGATAGGCTGGTACTTACAAAGCTAGAGATAGTGGGTTGAGAAGGCCATCGAGGTAAGGTTTCAAGATGGTCTTCGAACGTCATCTGTTATGGAAATGAGCGTTTGCATGGGTAATGGATTAGTGATAGCATTGCTCACGTCTTCCATCTGAGCGAGATCTTTCAAGTTCAGACAATAGATGTGATCTGTAGGCAGCTCCTCGAAAGAACATCCTGCGTCGGCACCAGATGTCACAGATGTTAACATGAGATATGGATGTGATGAAGATGGTTTATGGATCAATAGAGACCGACGACCCAGAGGATCGCGTCCAAATATGAGGCTTCCAGACTCTTCCTAAAAATAACGCACATTAAGGATGGATCAATGGCACTGACTGGGAGCATCATGACTTACATGGTGAAAGACAAAAGCATAACTGCGTTGATAGTGAATCGCCCGTGAAATAACGAACGGAGGAAAACACATACGGGCCTTCTACCGATGAGAAAAGGTCTCTTATTTGTGCTGGTGTTTTGAGACCCTTGCTACTTTCAAATAACTTAACGCCATCGTTTTCAGCTGGAGCCATCTAAAAGTCGATTTTCAGCTCTTGGTTCGCATTATCAGAACATCTTGTTACTAACGTCTAGTCCTTCAAAGATCTACGATTATCAGTCAGTGGAAGGATGAAACAGACAACGCGAGACGAACCTCTCCATTCCAGCACAAAACATCACCGTTTCTAATATGAGGTTGCACGACAGGGTGAGAACCTCGTAGACACAGTTCAGATGCAAAAAACTCGAGATGGAGTATGCTATCATCTGACGTTTGGTCCTTGAAGCTTACTTTGTGACTTCGTTGGGCGTCAGGCCCTAAGGGATGACTAGTGAAAACTTTGTGCTTGATTATGCAAGTCGTCACATACCACGCGCAGCATTTGCATGCCTCAAACCGATGCATAGCTTCTCAAGAGATCGGTCGGTGGCGTCGATAGTCTGAAGGTCTACTTGGAACCGTTGAGCACAAACGAATATACCACACATCAAGTAAGTGGATGGATGGACAAATTGATCAAGACTCAGAACCGGACTGATCGCCCAATGCGGAAACAGACAAGTACATTTTCTCTATATATTTTCCTTTCAATAGTGTACAATGGCTTTCCTGGTACATTATCCTCCAGGCATACGCAGCTCTAACAGGAGAAAGTCAACAGACTATGACCTTATGTGTTGTAGGTAGAAGCGGAAACGTTACCACCACGACCAGTCCAATTGACGTCTTAGGAGAAAAGTCAGTTGTCAATGGGGTCCGCATGAGATAAGAAAGCTTACGAATATCCTCGCCCGGCTTGAACTTATCGTTTTCCTTGCCAGGAAGGACATGGAATGTGTGAGCTCCAAAGTAATCACGCTAAATTCTGTGTAAAGAATTGCTTGACAGGGATATTAAAGAGGTGGGCCGTACCTGGGCTTGCAACAAGTTTGCAGGAACGATCTCACTCCTGTAACCATCGAAGAAAGCCAACGCAGTGCTGAAAGCGGGAGTGGGAATACCCCAGAGTACGGCCTGAGCAATTACACGTCTCCAGCCTGGCTGAGCCTTGTGAACAGCTAAGACATGGTTAGCACTTGCGAAGACGTTGGACATGACATAGTACCTTTGTTAAAGAAGTCGTCGAAGAGAAGGGACTCCAGCTTGGGATTCTTGTTGTACGCGGAGGTAATGTCCTTCAAGAATACGCTCTAACAAGGCAGCGATCCCTTAACAACACATAATAGAGTAGAAATCTGACGGAACACGTACCTTGATGATACAGCCACCACGCCACATGCTGGCAATACCGGCGTAGTTCAAATTCCAATTCAACTGGAATATCAAAAAGGGTTAGTTGCGTACGCGGAAGCTTGGGAAAGAACCTGCCTCCTTCGCGGTCTCTCGCATGAGCATGAATCCTTGAGTGTAAGAAATAATCTTGGAAGCATACAGGGCTTGCTCAAGATCATCGATGAACAACTGCTTATCTCCACGGAAAGGCTCCCTTTGAGGCCCGGAAATAGTCTTGCTTGCGCGCACACGCTCATCCTTGATAGCGGAGAGGCAACGAGCGAATACGGCTTCACCAATGAGAGTGACTAAATTTAGACGTTTGTCAACAGGACCGACCGGCAAACAAACGGAATGCACACACCAGCCATTCCAGCATCCAAGGCAGCAATGGCGGTCCATTTGCCGGTACCTTTCTGACCAGCCTTATCCAAGATCTTGGTGACTACCGGCTCACCGTCATCATCCTTGAATTTGAGAATGTTGGCCGTAATATCAATAAGAAATGAATCAAGGACACCCTTGTTCCATTTCACAAAGATATCAGCAATTTCGTCTTCGGAAAGACCTAAACCTCGTTTGAGGATGTCATAGGCCTCGGCGATCAGCTGCATGTCTCCGTATTCAATGCCTGATAATATGTAAGTAAATCGTCATCTATGATGACATCAATTAACATACCATTGTGAACCATCTTCACATAGTGGCCCGAACCAGTCTCACCGACCCAGTCGCAGCAAGGTTCGCCGTACGCCTGGGCTGCAGTTTTCTGGAATATCTCCTTGATAGCAGGCCAAGCAGCAGGTGAGCCGCCAGGCATGAGAGACGGACCATATCTGGCACCTTCCTCACCACCCGAAACGCCAGAGCCGACGAACAAGAACCCTTTGGCTTCCAGCTCCTTCGTGCGACGGATGGAATCAGGGTAGTGGGAATTTCCGCCATCGATGATGATGTCACCGGGCTCAAGATGAGGAATGAGCTGTTGAATAAACGAGTCAACCGCTGCCCCAGCTTTGACCAACAGGATGATTTTTCGGGGAGTCTTCAGCTTCGCGCAAAGTTCCTCGATGGAATGAGCGCCTTGAATGTTAGTACCTGCGAAGATGTGAGTAGATATGCAGAGATTGCAAAATCGCGACGTGGTACCTTTCGCTTCGTTGGCCAAGAAATGATCTACTTTCTCGACAGTACGATTGTAGGCTACAACGGTGAAGCCCTTGTCGTTCATGTTCAATATCAAGTTCTGGCCCTGTAAAACGGTGTTTGAGAAACTGGCTATCTACGCGACGATTAGTAATCTGACCATAACGGCCAAGCCGATGAGTCCAATGTCTCCTCTGATGCATATAATCAATGGATGAGACAAAATGGTCGAAAGAGAAGAGGACATACGTAGCCATATCTGATGTGCAAGGTCGAGTGATGGTGGTGGAAAGAAAAGTGCTGGCACCCTGGTCACCGTGTCGAATCGATCAATAACACCGGTCTTAACCGGACCGTCACCCCGCTTATTCATCCCTCCTTCAATACCGTGACTGAATAATTCCACAAATTCATCGAATTTTAGAATTGTCTTCGGTAAGATTTGCTGCGCTTTGAATTTGATCATGCACGCCTTCGAATACTCATTCAGACCGGTTCGAATAGGGAGCTTTCTCGAATCACTGGAGCAATCAGCGCTTGTTCAACACTCCGGGTAGGTACCAATACGTTGGGGTTTATACCTTGCAGCGCCTGGCAGCGGCAGTGCCTCGGGATAGCCAGGGATCGTGGGCGCAGCCTGATATAGGCTGCCACAACGCTCATTTTATTTGGAGAAGTGCCAGTGCGCTGCTTGTCGTCTCCTATCTTGCCACTCTTTCCCTTCGCCCCTTCCGACATGGCATCCCATAGTGCTGCTGCACGAGCCTCTCTGTCCTTAAGCATGCCCTATTCCGGAATCAACAACAGTCTTTCCAGTCGTGTCGTCGTCTATGAAGGATGGGTCCTGAAGAAACGGCGCAAAAGGATGCAAGGTCATATTCTTCATGCTCAAACCTCGAGGTGCCACTCACTCTGACACAGGGTTTGCTCGCCGCTACTTCACTCTATATCAATCTGGCCTCCTCTCTTATTCCTTCGAGCCCGGTCAACCTACTCGAGACCAGATTTCACTGCATCACGCAGCTATTTCCACAGCCCCAGGACGAAAAGACATCCATTTGGATTCGAATACTGCCACATTCCACATTAAGTGTTTAAGCACGGACGACTTCAATCAATGGATGACTGCGTTTAGGTCAAACTTTTTGACCAGCTTTCGCAGCATTCTTCTAAATTGCCCTTCTCAGGAAATTCGTTGTTGCAGGTGCAGAAATTCGTAAATCAAACAGCATAAGATTAGCATCCCGTCAACAAGGCAACTTCAAATTGAGCAGATCAGGCGCCATTGCCGACGACATGAGCACAGTAAGTTGCAATAGATATATGCCCTGCACGATCTAACTGCTTCGTTAAGACCATATGTCAACTTGAAGATGCTTTGGACTCTCTCAAGGCCGACGTCAACACGAAGAAACATCATAAACATAAGAACGAGAAGGAGAAGAAAGATTCCGCTTCCATGTTCGGATTGTTTAAAAAAGGTGATTCCACCGCCAGCAACCTCAACACGACTAAATGATATATTAGTGCCACATGTTACTTCAGACGTCGGCTCTGATAGCATCCGTTCAGAATGTAGTACAAATCTAGACACTTCGTTGAGCTCTTTCCAGCGCGTCCGTCTAGCTTTGGACACGTTGAAAAGTCAACATACTGCCTTACTTAGGTCTCTTCAGACACCCACACAGGCCGAGGCTGTCACCTCCGCTCATGTATCACCCCTTCCAATCACTGAAGAGGAGGAGCATATAGTTGCTCCCCATAGTCCTAATATCTCATTCAAACCTTCCAAGCGCGCATCGATCGCTACCACCATTACTGATAGCATCAACGAGTGGTTTGACGCCCCAGATGGCTTCAACGAGGGCGCCCAAGAGTTTGTATTGGATGTCCACGCTTTCCCAGATGGTACGGAACAACCGAGCCGAATGCTGAGTAACGACAGCAGGAGCAGCTTGGATCATGGAGAAGACTCAAGTGTCGATACGGACATTGCACAAGAACCGGGCCCCACCAGGTTACCCAGTGAAGAAGCTATCCAACCCGATGCATCTGCTTATGCTCTCCAGGTTGTTCGACGGACCCGTTTACCAGCGCCTCCCGTTGGTGACGAAGGCAGTCTCTTCTCCATGCTCAAGAAAAATGTTGGGAAGGTAAGGTGTCTATACGGTCCGTTTGTTGTTCCGAAGACACACTCCTTCCAGGATCTCTCAACGATAGCGTTTCCTGTAACCTTCAATGAGCCGTTAACACTGCTCCAAAGAGCCGCCGAAGAAGTGGAATATTACGATCTTCTTAATCAAGCTGCTGATACAGCGGATCCAGCAGATCGTATGCGTTATATTGCAGCATTTGCAGTCGCCAGCTATGCACATACTAGACATCGCTCAGGCAGAAAAGGATTGTGAGTACCTTCTTCCCCCTTAGGTTTCCTGCTAATTCGAAATAGTAATCCAATGCTTGCCGAAACGTATGAAGATGTGCGGATGAAATTCATTGCTGAGAAAGTTTGCCATAACCCATTAGAGATGGCGTATCATGCCGAGGGGAAGGGCTGGGAATTATATGCTACATCTTCTGGTAAGACCAAATTCTGGGGTGTGTACATTGTACGTTCTCTCCGAGGAAAGCCCGCATCCTCATCTTTTTTGATGCAGGTAAAAGTCTGGAGATCATCCCGCTGGGTACAACACATGTCAAAATTGGAGAGGATCACTTTCACTGGTACGTGCATTTGATTTCTCAAGATGGGTTTTTGACAATACGTGCAGGAAAAAACCTTCCTCATTCATGAGAAATCTCATGGTCGGAACAAAATACCTGGAACATTGCGGCAAACTTACTATTGAAAACATGCGAGACTCAAGTCGCTGTGTTCTTGATTTTAAGCAGAGCGGTTATTGGGCAGTGTCCAATGTTGTCTCTGGTACTCTATATTCCCCGTCGAGCAACATCGTGTCGCAGCTAGAAGGTAAATGGGACGAACAGCTTGCTGAGACAGTGGACTCCTCTCACTTGCGTATACTGTGGAGAGCGACGCCGTGGCCCATAGACACCCATCAGTATTATGGGTTTACGTCCTACGGAATCACGTTAAATGAAATCACGGACGACATTGTTAATTGTTTGCCCCCAACTGATTCTCGTTACCGACGTGACGTCCGAGCGCTTGAAGAAGGTGATTTGGATTTAGCTGAGGAGGAGAAGACACATGTTGAGGAGTTACAACGGGCCCGGAGACGCAGAGGAGAAGAACGGCAGCCGCGGTGGTTCAAGCAAGTCGGAGATGAATGGATCTATATTGGCGGATATTGGGAAGCTAGATTGAAGGGCTGGAAGGATACAGAAATCCTGCCTCTCTGGTGATGTGCTTCGTATTCGCTTGGTGATACCCATAGGTGTACAATACTCCTGATACTAATCATCATCTGGCATAGAGTACATTACGATCTGCTGAATAACAACGACATAGTGATTGTTCGGAACAAATTTCAAGCACGCGTGACCCCATCTCGAATCCTTCTGACGTTCTGTTTCCCAAGGCTACAGCGAAACTCCTGTTTCGGACCTTTCAAGAGATCCTCATGTGCTCTTTAACATCAACAAATGTACCTCACCTCAATATTCAATTCAAGGACATTTTGCACATACATGGTATGTGGCCTGACCGTTCCCTATAAAGCCTTTGGCGGTTTGGCAGTGGGCCTATGGTTTCGTCGATCTTCTGAGGTTCCTGGGTGCTAATTATGGCTGTCCGAGCTCAGTTATGCGACCACTTAAAAACCAGCTATTCAAAGGACAGACGTCCAAAGAAGCTTCCTGTGAGACATGGCACGTCTGCGCCTGTTTGTCACTCTTGCGTTCTCCTCTCTTGTAACTCTCGTTGCCAGCCAGCAGCAAGTTTTCCAGCAATGCGGCGGAAATCAATGGTAGGTAGCTGGTTTGCAGGTTAACAGTATCTCCTAACACAGCTTTCAACAGGACCGAGCCAACCAACTGCCACGGTAGCGGTTCGTCTTGTATCGTGCTCAATGATGGTAAGTCCATCCTGACGTGGTCACAACGACCTTTCATTAAATTTCGTGTACACCATAGACTACTATCAGTGCTTGTCCACGGCGGCTTCCACTAGTGCTGCGAGTAGCACAAGCACCTCTATTCCTAAAGGTGCGTTGCGTGTAGGCATTAAGGCGACGAAATCTTGACGAAGGTTGTCGGCAGCTACCAATATGTCGCCAGAATGGCAAGCTGCCTATACAAAGGTCATCTTATTAACTGGTGGTCAAAGTGCTTCTATGATCATTAACGTGGTGTTGCAGGCTAAAGCATCGGTGGCAAAACTGTCGTTGGAGGAGAAGGTTGATTTAGCTACAGGTGCGTTCTTCAATTCGCAGTTTCGCTCCCTAAATTACTTGACTACGTGCGGTGTGCAGGTGTTGGTTGGATGAACGGTGAGCCTATCTGATTACACCTGAGTTTCTCACTGTGAAGATGCTGACAATAATATCAGGAAATTGTGTTGGGAATACGCCGGCGATACCTAGTATCTCGTTCCCGGGCCTCTGTCTAGAAGGCTAGTGGAATGGGTGTCTCTGCATTTCAGTCTCTTACTCGTTCATCCACTACAGATTCTCCCCTAGGTGTTCGTTTCGCCGACAATGTCTCCGCTTTTCCGGCGTAAGTGGTTAGTGTTACCAGTGAAACAGCAAGTTGACATATTGTAGTGCAATTAATGCAGCAGCCACGTTCAATCGTACTCTAATTGGTCAACGTGGTGTGGCAATGGGCCAAGAATTCCGTGGCAAAGGCGTACATGTTGCTTTAGGACCTATGATGAACACTATGCGTGCCCCAGCTGCCGGTCGAAACTGGGAAGGGTACGTCAAGTGATGTGGGGTCCGCGCGAGTCCAGGTACTAACCAGTTGTCATTACTTAGATTCGGAGGTGATCCCTACCTGTCTGGAGAGGGGGCATACGAAACTATCATGGGTCTACAATCAGTTGGCGTACAGGGTAAATCGATTCTCTTTCTCTTCGCAAGCTTAGCTCAGCAGATTTGAAGCAACTGCGAAGCATTATATCAACAACGAGCAAGAACACTTTCGAGAGACCAGCTCCTCAGATGTAGATGATCGGTAAACCTCTTGTTCTTTGGTGGTGATATTGCTGACTGCTAGACCAGGACTGTACGATTTGATCTATAGCTTTGTGGACATATACTGACTAGTGATAATGAAGCAACACGAAATATATGCTCACCCTGTGCGTGTATCCTTGTAATTTCACACAGAAGCACTAATTAATTTATAAAGTTTCTTCGTGCCATACAAGCGAATGTTGCGGCAGTCATGTGCAGCTATAGTTGAGTGTATTCAAGTTTTGGTCCTCTAAAGACAGATTTCTGAGCGCTCTTGCTTCTAGATCAGAGTGGGTAGCTTCGCAATTAATTAGCAGGAAATCATGATATACTGACGCCTCTCTAGTCAACGGGAGCTTCGCGTGTGAAAACGACAAGACGCTGAATGGTATATTGAAGACAGAATTCGGTTTTCCAGGTTGTGAGTTCTACAATTTCAGCGGCTCTTTGTTGCTATTTCGAGGGGCTAATAAAATGTCCAGACGTCATGTCAGGTACTTCATTATCTTGCAAGACATTTCAACTCTTAACCAGCGTCTAACGCACTTCCAGACTGGCAAGCGACACATTCTACGGGGTCGATCAATCTCGGACTAGACGCGAGTCCTATTTCTGTGGGGCTTATTCTCGGACTAAAGTCTTCTGTGCTCTTTAGATGACCATGCCTGGCGATACTTTCTTTGGCTCGGGAATATCGTGAGTCGCTATACCTGTCCTCTGTGATATGGTTGAGTCCAAGCCATAATGTGAAGCTATTTCGGACCTGCACTGGTAAGCGCAGTCAACCAGGGCACTGTGCCAGAAGCTCGGATCGACGTAAGTTTTCCTACTTCCTCCCCTCTCGGTTACGATGACTCAATGGAATGCAAGGATATGGCAACACGCATTCTAGCTGCATGGTAGACATTCTCATCCAATGCTTGACATAAACCTTACAAACTTCCAACAGGTACCTCCTTGGACAAGATTCTGGATATCCAGATGTCAACTTCGACGCTTGGGATAAGACCACTCCGGTAAATACTCATGTCGACGTCCAGAGTGATCACAAGAAGTAAGTATATCTTATACCTGAAGATATTGCGGCTGACATATTTACAGTGTCATTCGTGCGATTGGTCAAGCTTCTACCGTTTTGCTCAAGAATTCGCGAGGGGTGCTTCCTTTGAAAGCTCCTCATACTTTAGCAATCATAGGAAGCGGGGCTCGTAATGGTACACTGGGACCTAATGGGTAAGTATACCATGTTTACAGCTAATTGAATGATGATGGACAGTGCATAGGTACTCGGACCGTGGAGGAGACGATGGGGTGCTAGCGATGGGTAGGCATTTCACGAGTTGATATTTCCATGGCATTGATACTCACCGAACGATTATCAACAGGATGGGGAAGCGGTACCGCAGATTTCCCGTACCTCATAGCTGTTGGTATTTTTACTTCCTACCTTCTTGTCGGGCACTCATGCCGTCTATAATTCATATGCAGCCATTAGACGCACTCACTGCGAAGGCTTCTGCTGATGGAACGAAGGTATCCTCCTCCACGAGTGATACAGATCTCAACGCGGCGGCTAATGCGGCGGCCGGAAAGGATGTCGCCATTGTATTCATAACCGGTGAGTCCGAAAGGTGAAGACTTGAACAGATAACTGAAATCCTTTATTTAATCAGCTGATTCTGGAGAGGGATACATTACAGTGGAAGGTAAGCAGCGGACTTCTGGTGCCCACCCAGTACATTGAATTATCATATCGAAGGGAATTTTGGGGACCGAAACGATCTGCTTGCTTGGCATGGCGGGGTAAGTGGTTTGTTGTATCGTGGTGTCTCGTCTTTGACACTCGGCAGGATGCGCTGGTGCAATCGGTAGCAAGCGTCAACCCCAACACCATAGTGGCAGTTAACAGTGTTGGTCCTATCACGATGGAAAATTGGATCGAGAACGAGAATGGTACGCAGTTCTGCCTTACAGCAGCAGCAATATCACTCAAACCAATTTAAATCACGTACTCTTTAGTGACCGCAGTAGTAAGCCCCAGTGCCTTTCATTCGTACGAGGACTGAAAAAGCAAAGGTCTGGAGCGGACTTCCCGGGCAAGAAGCTGGCAATGCTGTAACTGATGTTCTTTACGGCGTCTATAACCCAAGGTTTGTGGTCTTCCGCCGTTAAACCGAACTATATAGTTATATTTGCCTGTAGTGGTCGTCTTCCGTATACGATTGCCCGTAGTGCCGGCGACTACTCGGCCGCGGTCATCTACAGTTCGAGTTCCCCAATACTTGATATCCCATACAATGAGGGGCTTTTCGTTGATTATCGCCATTTCGACGCACAAGGAATCAAACCTCGGTTCGAATTCGGCTTTGGGTTGTCATATACCACTTTTGAATACTCTCATCTACGTATCTCCGGAACCACTGCGGGGAATATTCCCACTGGACCTGGCTCCTCTCTTGATCCCTCGTGAGTTTTGTTCGACTCCTTTATCATTCGGACATTTTTTTCAACACGCAAAGGCTACATGAATCCGTGGTAAAGGTCGGATTCACAATCAGGAATGTTGGAAAAGTCACGGGACATGAGGTATGTGTTCGAATACAGGCTCATAACAGCTCAAAATAAAAATTTCCAGATCCCTCAATTGTACATTTCGCTACCTCCCTCTGCGAATTCTCCGCCGCAGGGTCTGAAAGGGTTTGACAGCATTTACCTTAAACCCGGAGAAAGTACGAGAGTTACGATGGAGCTTTCGAGGTACTCATTTGCGATCTGGGATGTGAAAGCTCAGAAATGGGTTATCCCGTCTGGAACCTCGAAGATATCTATAGGAAGTAGTAGTAGGAATATTCGGCTGACTGGTACTTTGGTATTGTAGTTTTAAGCCAGAAACTTAGCAAATGATATGATGATGTCATGTATACTAGTTTTTCATCCTTACCAACTGAGCGAGGCGACCAAAGACGAGACGTCTAGTATCTCAATGCACTCCATTTCTATCGTACGACTCCATTTTATTCTTGTCTGATTTACTGCAGTTCCTGCTCTTCAGCTTCAAGTCCGGGCTCTGCTCTTGCCAGCACTGTTTCTTGCAGTGGTGTGCTGTCAACTGTACTTATTCGGTGCTTGGCCCGTTGTTTCAGCGCTCTTGTTTCTTCGGTACTCGCCTGATTCACTTCTCCTCCCTCGATATTACGCCCTCGTGGTCCGCCTCGTCTCACATCATGGCCACGTTACTCGCGGATACATGTTTTCACCTATTTTCTTTCGCTTAGGCTGTCTCCGATGTACCCCAGAAGGAACCTTTAGTCCATGCGACATATAATAGTGTGATCACAACGCTTCAATATCAAGTTTGACTTGGAGTCTTGCTCGACACTTTTTAGTGTTGGAGATGAGTGGATGTATGGGAAGCTAGATCGAAGGGCTGGAAGACACAAGAATTCCACCTCTCTGGTGTTGTGTTACGTGTTTGCTTGGTACGACAACATCAATGATGCCTATGGCTATATGATACTCCTAATACTAATCATCTGGCATAGAGTACGTTACAATTTGTTGAATAACAATAATAAAGCGATTGTCGGAACAAATTGCAAGCATGCGTGACCTTGTGTCGAATCCCTCTGGTGTTCTGTTTCCCAAGATCGAAGCAAATTCCCGTTTTGGATGTTCCAAGAGATCCTCATGTGCTCTGTACCATCAACAAAAATACGTCGCCTTAATATTTTCGAGGGGATTCTACGCATGTCTGCTATACCGCCTGACCATTCCTTATAAAGCTTTTGGCCGCTTGGCAGTAGACCCGCGGTTTTGCCGTCCTCCTGGGACTCTTGGGTGTTAATTTCGGCTGTCCGAGATTTCCTCGAGCTCAGTTATGCGACTACTTAAGAACGAGCTATTCAAAGGGTAGAGGTCTAAAGAAGCTACTTGTTAGGCATGGTACACCCGGGCCTTTCTGTCTGTCTTGCATTCTCCTCTCTTGTAACTCTCGTCGTCGCCCAGCAGCAAGTTTATCAGCAATGTGGCGGAATTGGATGGTAGGTTGCCGCTTTTTGGGTCATCAACACCTCTTAACGCAGCAATCAACAGGACCGGGCCAAAGACCTGCATCAGTGGTTCGACTTGTGTCATGCTGAATGACTGTAAGGCCACCCTGAGATGGTTACGATGCTTCTTCATTAAACTTTGCATGCATCATAGACTACTATCAGTGTCTACCTTCGTCATCAACATCGTCTACAACATCCACAGCTGCTTCGACTAGTACTACAACTAGTACTGCGACTAGCACAAGCACCTCTTCGGCCTCTATTCCTAAAGGTATGCTACGTGTAGGCGTTAAGGCGACCAAATCTTGATGAAGGTCGGCCACAGCTACTAATATGTCGCCAGAATGGCAAGCTGCCTACAAAAAGGTCATCTTATTGATTGATGGTCAAATTACTTCTGTTATTGATATGTTAACTCGTAGGCTGAAGCATCCGTGACAAAACTGTCATTGGAGGAGAAGGTTGATTTAGCTACAGGTGCATTCTTTCATTCGCAGTTTTACTTCCAAAATGACTGGACTATGTGCGGTGTACAGGTGTTGGTTGGATGAATGGTGAGCCTATCTGACTACACCTGAGCTTCTCACTGTGAAGATGCTGACAATGATGCCAGGAATTGTGTTGGGAATACACTGGCGATACCTAGTATCTCGTTCCCGGGCCTCTGTCTAGAAGGCTAGTTAAGTGGATGTCTTTGTATTTCAGATCCTTACTCGTGCGTCTGCTATAGATTCTCCCCTAGGTGTTCGTTTCGCCGACAAAGTTTCTGCTTTCCCAGCGTAAGTGATTAGATTTACCAGTGGAAACAACCAGTTAACATTGTATAGCGCGATTAATGCAGCGGCCACATTCAATCGCACTCTAATTCGCCAACGTGGTGTGACAATGGGGCAAGAGTTCCGTGGCAAAGGCGTACATGTTGCTTTAGGACCTATGATGAACACTATGCGTGCCCCAGCTGCCGGTCGAAACTGGGAAGGGTACGTCAAGTGATGTGGGGTCCGCACGAGTCCAGGTACTAACCAGTTGTCATTACTTAGATTCGGAGGTGATCCCTACCTGTCTGGAGAGGGGGCATACGAAACTAGTCATGGGTCTACAATCAGTTGGCGTACAGGGTAAATCGATTCTCTTTCTCTTCGCAAGCTTAGCTCAGCAGATTTGAAGCAACTGCGAAGCATTATATCAACAACGAGCAAGAACACTTTCGAGAGACCAGCTCCTCAGATGTAGATGATCGGTAAACCTCTTGTTCTTTGGTGGTGATATTGCTGACTGCTAGACCAGGACTGTACGATTTGATCTATAGCTTTGTGGACATATACTGACTAGTGATAATGAAGCAACACGAAATATATGCTCACCCTGTGCGTGTATCCTTGTAATTTCACACAGAAGCACTAATTAATTCATAAAGTTTCTTCGTGCCATACAAGCGAATGTTGCGGCAGTCATGTGCAGCTATAGTTGAGTGTATTCAAGTTTTGGTCCTCTAAAGACAGATTTCTGAGCGCTCTTGCTTCTAGATCAGAGTGGGTAGCTTCGCAATTAATTAGCAGGAAATCATGATATACTGACGCCTCTCTAGTCAACGGGAGCTTCGCGTGTGAAAACGACAAGACGCTGAATGGTATATTGAAGACAGAATTCGGTTTTCCAGGTTGTGAGTTCTACAATTTCAGCGGCTCTTTGTTGCTATTTCGAAGGGCTAATAAAATGTCCAGACGTCATGTCAGGTACTTCATTATCTTGCAAGACATTTCAACTCTTAACCAGCTGTCTAACGCACTTCCAGACTGGCAAGCGACACATTCTACGGGGTCGATCAATCTCGGACTAGACGTGAATCCTATTTTTGTACATGGCTTGGTTTTGGACTAAAATATTTGCACTGTAGATGACCATGCCCGGTGATACTTTCTTTGGCTCGGGAACGTCGTGAGTCACTAAAGTCTTTCCCTTTGATATTGTTGAGTTTAAAGCACAATGTGAAGTTATTTCGGACCTGCACTGGTAAGCGCCGTAAACCAAGGCACTGTGCCAGAAGCTCGGATCGACGTATGTTTTACTACTTCGTTCTGAGTTATGATGACTGAATGGAATATAAGGACATGGCAACACGCATTCTAGCTGCATGGTAGACATGTTCATATCGTGCTTGACACATAATTTACCGATTTTCAACAGGTACCTCCTTGGACAAGATTCTGGATATCCAGATGTCAACTTCGACGCTTGGGATAAGACCACTCCAGTAAATACTCATGCCGACGTCCAGAGCGACCACAAGAAGTTGAAAATCATTGCCTATGCCTGGATGTATTATGATTGACATATTTATAGTGTCATTCGTGCGATTGGTCAAGCTTCGACCGTTTTACTGAAGAATTCGGGAGGGGCCCTTCCTTTGACTGCTCCTCGTACTTTAGCGATCATAGGAAGCGGCGCTCGCAATAGTACACTGGGACCTAATGGGTAAGCATACCATCTTTACAGCTAATCGAGAATAATGATTGACGATACCTAGGTACTCGGATCGCGGAGGAAACGATGGGGTGCTAGCGATGGGTGAGCCTTCGCTAGTCCGTATTAATATGGTTTTGGTATTCAACGGCCGGTTATCAATAGGATGGGGAAGCGGTACCACAGATTTCCCGTATCTCATAGCTGTGAGTATGTTCACTTCCTCTGGCACTTATCACTTATGCGGTGGACGATTCATACACAGCCGTTGGACGCACTTACTGCGAAAGCCTTTGCTGACGGGACAAAGATATCCTCCTCAACGAGCGACACTGATCTCAACGCGGCGGCCAATGCGGCAGCTGGAAAGGACGTTGCCATCGTATTCATAACTGGTGAGTTACTGGCACGAAGATGTTGATGAGTACTTATAGAAATAACTGAAACTCTTTAATAATCAGCTGATTCCGGAGAGGGATACATTACAGTGGAAGGTCAGCAACGAACTTACTGGTGCATTTCCACTGGCAGCACACTGATTTCTCCTGAAGGAAATTTTGGGGACCGAAACGATCTTCTTGCTTGGCATGGCGGGGTAAGTGGTTTGTTGTATCGTGATGTCTCGTCTTTGACACTCGACAGGATGCGCTGGTGCAATCGGTAGCAAGCGTCAACCCCAACACCATAGTGGCAGTTAACAGTGTTGGTCCTATCACGATGGAAAATTGGATCGAGAACGAGAATGGTACGCAGTTCTGCCTTACAGCAGCAGCAATATCACTCAAACCAATTTAAATCACGTACTCTTTAGTGACCGCAGTAGTAAGCCCCAGTGCCTTTCATTCGTACGAGGACTGAAAAAGCAAAGGTCTGGAGCGGACTTCCCGGGCAAGAAGCTGGCAATGCTGTAACTGATGTTCTTTACGGCGTCTATAATCCGAGGTACGTCGTCTTCCGTTCAAGTTCAACCGAACTACACAGTTATATTGGCTGCAGTGGTCGTCTTCCGTATACGATTGCCCATAGTGCCTAGCGACTACTCGGCTGCGGTCATCTACAGTTCGAGTTCCTCGATCCTTGACATCCCATACAATGAGGGGCTTTTCGTTGATTATCGCCATTTCGACGCACAAGGAATCAAACCTCGGTTCGAGTTTGGTTTTGGGCTGTCATACACCACTTTTGAATACTCTGCTTTGTCCATCTCTGGATCCACTGCGGGGAATATTCCTAGTGGACCCGGCTCCTCTATTGATCCTTCGTAAGTTTTTATCTACTCAATCATCTTTTGGACAGTTTTTCAACGTGTAAAGGCTGCATGAATCTGTGGTAACGGTCGGATTCACTCTCAAGAATGTCGGGAAAGTCGCGGGACATGAGGTATGTGTTCGAATAAGGACTCGTAATCGCTCAAAATAAACTCTTTCAGATCCCTCAATTGTACATTTCGCTACCTCCCTCTGCGAATTCTCCGCCGCAGGGTCTGAAAGGGTTCGATAGTGTCTATCTTGAACCGAGAGAAAGCACAACAGTTACGATGGAGCTTTCGAGGTACTCATTTGCGATCTGGGATGTGAAAGCTCAGAAATGGGTTATCCCGTCTGGAACCTCGAAGATATCTATAGGAAGTAGTAGTAGGAATATTCAGCTGACTGGTACTCTGGCGTTGTAGTTTTTAGACCCAAAGCGGAGCAAATGATATGATGACGTCATGCATACTTGTTTTGATCGAGACATTCCGACCAATTGTATACTTTTACTTGGAGCCTTGTTCGACACAACTTTGGTGTTCACCATTTCCTCTACTCATTCTAGTATTCAAAAAATGGCTACCGTCCATCACTCTCCCATCCCGCCCATCGTGCACTCTTTCCCGTCCGTTGACAAACTTGTCGACTCATTCGCAGAGTTCATCATCAAGGCTCAGAGGGAATCCATTGACAAGAAGGGGAGATTTACCATCGCCTTGTCCGGTGGATCTCTACCAAACGTATTGAAAGGGCTAATTGGACATCCAGGTGTGAAATGGGACAAATGGTTTGTCTGCCTAGGCTTATCACACACACGTATACGTAGCTGACCCGAGATTAGGCAGGTCTTTTATGCAGACGAGCGCGTCGTTCCTCTCGACGATCCTGATTCAAATCATCTCGCGTGCATGAAAACACTGTTCTCGAAGGTCCCCATTCCTGCCAGCCACATCCATACTATCGACACTTCTCTTCTCGACGACCTCGAGGAGCTTTCTGACGCGTATGAGAAGGAGCTCATCAAGGAATTTGCCCACGGAGACTCCGCCCGTTTCCCTGTATTTGACCTCATTCTTCTTGGTGTGGGTCCAGATGGACATACAGTTTCGTTGTTCCTCGGCCACGAGCTGCTGGCAGAAGAGGATCGCTGGGTGGCATATCTAGAAGACTCACCAAAACCGCCTGCCAAACGAATCACATTCACCTACCCCGTCATCAATCATGCCGCAAGGGTTGCTTTCTTTGCTGCCGGAGAAGGCAAGGTTGATATCCTGAGCAGCGTCCTGGACAAGCCGGAGGAAGGTTTGCCAGCTTCGCGTGTCAAACCGGTATACCCGGGGCATCTATACTGGTTCGTCGACGAGCTGGCGGCGGCCAAAGTGGAGTATCCAAAAACCGCTTTTAAATTATAGTCAGTACTGAGACAAAGATAAGGAACGAGAAGTGGTTGTAATATGTTATTTGTATTCATTGCTTACCGATGCTCTTATATACTCTTTTGGTGATGTCCTTACTGTACTTTAGGAACCCTTTTTGTTGCAAATTGTAGCCGAAAGTTCTCCTAGTCTATTGAGTAACAGGCACACTCCAGTTACTTTTGATCGTACCCATCTGTCTACCCACTAGTTCTTTCCAGATGGGTCTCGAAACGGGACCCATCCCATCCTCTTCAGTAGGTATTAAAATATCCTCACCCAGGTATCCAATCCGGTCTACAGGACTGATGACAGCGGCCGTACCTATATTATTGTGAGTGTCAAATTCGTCAAGGCAATGCACGACATAGTAACATACCTGATCCGAAAAGTTCGACAAGCGAGCCCGAGAGAGACGCAGATTTGACCTCGCTCATCGTTACTGGCCGCTCGGATATAATCAATTTCTCAGTCAAGTGGGCAAGCTTCTTTTTGCCTGATACATGTTCTCGAGCAAGGGCAAGGACGGAGTCTCTCGTTATCCCTGGAAGAATCATCCCATCCAGCGGTGGTGTCACTAGCTCTAAGGCTAAAAATAATCAGACAGAAGTGCGCGATCAAGGCACATAGCTCACATCCATCCTCTTTCTTGAAAACGACGAAACATATTCATCGTTCCGACCTGGTAGCTTCAATCAGCTGGATGCAGAAAAAAAGGCTTCAATCCCGAATACCTCGGTGAGATAGTGCTCCGGACCGTGTAACCAAAGGTTTTGTTGATAACCCTTTTGGGCGGCGAACTTTTGAGGCAGGACACCAGGAGCGTAGTTGGCGCCTAGTTTGTATGCACCAGTTCCTATGGACAGAATGAGTTTAATCCCATAATCAAGTATGGACAGGCATAATTACCTCCAGGAGCTGCACGGACGTATTCTGTGGTTCCGTACAGCGCAATCGGTTTGAAGCCGTTAGGATAATAGGGACCCACAGGACTACATATCACGAAAAGAAGCGCCTCATTTGGCGGGCCAATGCCGACAGCCTTCTGAGTTCCGACTACATGAACGGAGTTAGTTGACAAATGTCAGTAACGAGATAAAATTTACGGACCAAGTGTAGGCCGGACATATAGACTGTGACCTGGCTCTTTAGGAATCCAATGCTTGTCGATCCGAATGAGCTCTTTAATGAGCTCCAATAGTGCATCGCCATTGAAATTCTGTGCGAATTGTGATCGGTTAATACGGAGAGGCGTTGGAATATGCGCTCACAGGTAGTGCAACTCGGGTAGCGCTGCTGTTCATCCGCTTCATGTTCATGTCGGGGCGGAAGAGCGTAACTTTGCCGGTGTCATCACGGTATGCCTTCATGCCTTCAAATATGGTCTGGGCGTAATGCAAAACAGTTGAACTAGGTTCAAGACGAAGCGGACCATCTATATTGACGTCGTAAGAAACAGGAAACAGGTTAAAATTACTTGACCACATACATGGTTCGATCTGAGGTGCGCTCCAGCCGGAAATCGCGCTCCATGGCACCGTTAACATATGATCAGTCTGTATATGCGTAAACCGAATTCGACATGAACATTATAATGGAAACGAACAAAGGTGTGGCCAAAGACTAATGATTTGGAAGGCGGAGGCGGGCTCGGTTTCGTATTTCTCGAGATTTGTAGTAGATTTGGCTTGGATGAATACTGTGAATGGAAAGACACGCCGCCTGGGAGCATATTACGCGCACCTGAATGTCGGGCAAGACCATCATTTCGCCAGTCATTGGGTCCAGAGAAGGCATCTGGGAGGCGTAGCTACGCCGTGATATGTTCCTACATGTTATGTTGGCAGCAAATGATGTTTGCAGTTGAAAAGCGCGAAGGCGAGCGAGGCCCATGATTAGACGGTGACTCGATGAGGACAAAACGTGCAGTCTTGAATTCTTCGGCGGCAACTTGACCATGTGACCAAGCACTATCTCGGACTTCGTCGTCCGATGGCTCATCAGGCTGATACAAGTCGGAGGCTCGTAGAGATAAATACGTGTTGGTAATTGTGTAAACAACTTGTATGATATGAGCATATAAAATGTTCTAAGCAATGCTACGCTATCCAAAAGCAGAGTCGGGACTAAGTCCGTCCATGAGAATTTGCGTTCTTTTTAGATAACGCACGGTGCTTTGGTGGATTGGTTGGTCTCTCCACGTCGTCGGGATCTGGTAAAGATATATCCTTGCCACGAGCTGCGGCGGGTATATTGACGTCCCTCGGCCGGCCTCTTAAAGGTGGGCCTTCTGGATCACCCGCACCAATGCTGTTATACATGGAAGGTATCCTTGGCACCGGGGGCGGGGGATGGTATGTGGAAGATGAGGGTGTTGGAGGTGTAGCTGGTGATGCATGATGCGAAGGATTCGAGGAAAGATTTGAGAGATTTGAGTTCATCCTCCGAGGATGTCGTGAAGGAAGAGACTGTGAATGAACGCTGGCTTGAGAAGATGTAGAAGGTCGAGGGTCCGCTATAGATAATATGAGGAGGTTGCCACAAGGTGAAGAGGAATAAACGTACTGCTGCCAACTGAGCGGCGACTTTCACCAGTCAAGGAGCCCTCTGAACGATATGTCCGCGGTGCCCACTGGTCCACAACACTTAGACGGCTGTAACCCCCATCATCTATGTGCCTATATGGGGTGATCTCATCGTTAGGATAGATACTAGGCGCCAAAGGTGCTGGCAAAACAATCTGGACCTGATTGTGAGGTCCATGAGGCACCCCGGTTCGTAGATTAGTTCTACTTGACTTGGAAGCGACAGTATGTGTGGATGACGCTAGTGAAAGCGGGCGGGGTCTGCGAGCGGATGGGGGTCTTGCAGACGAGCTCGATCGCGTCTGTGAATGGGGTAAACGTGACATGCTGCCAGAGCTCTGCAAAGCAGGCGTTTCGGGAGGAGTATGACTGTTTTCGCTTGAGCCAATGGTGCTCGAGCTTGCCCGGGTGGAGACTTGGAAGGAAGGATTGGGGACATCCAAATCCATGGGAGCATTGTTGAGGGAGATATCCTCCGCCATATCACACGCATTAAGTGAGCTGGCATGCCGTGAAGGACTGCTTGGACCTGGGCTGTCCGGAACGAGCAGTGAGGCTTTGCTTGTTCGAACAGATGAGACGTCGGAAGCAAACGGCCGGGGCGCAGTGAGGTTGGAAGATTCATAGGTGGTGCTTGGCCTGCTTGTATTGCTCCTATAGAACTTGGCGAGCTGGTGTTCTCTGTGGTGAGCAAGGGGCTGTACTGGAGGCAGCGGGGCTGTTTGCGCAGCAGAACGAGCGTATGCAGAACGAATGATACGAACGACGATGGCGAGAAGGATGAGACCGCCAACGGCAGCACAGACAGCAATGATGATGATGGTCTGTTTGGAGATTCCCTTGTCATCTGAGGCGCGGGATGTAAGATATAGGTCGACGTGCATAAATGAGAGTGGTGGCGAAGGAGTGACTAGAATCCAGGATAAATAATATGAACACGTGAAGGCGACGACGACGACAACGACGACGAGTTGCCGGCGAAGACGTGCAGGACGACGACGGTGACGAGGAAGAAGAAAGTGAAAATGGTTTCGTGATGCATCCAGCTCTGACCCAGATCAAATTGTTGGCCGAACGTGGGCCGAGGAGCCGGGTCATAATTTGAAATTGGACCCAGGTCTCTTGTTGGCGGCCTTATGTCCCGCAAGCCGCTGGCCTCGCTCCAGTCAAATCGTTCAAACACACAGCGACAGCACCAACAGCCCGTTTCACTCGCAAGGCGGCTGCTCTTTCCGTCGCTGCCAAATAATGACTTGCCTCTTCTCCTCGTTTCTCCAGTGCCACCAGAGCTTACTGCAGAGCTCTACGACTTCATCGCCCTCGCTCTTCGTGCCTTTGTGAACCCATGGTGGACCAAGATTACTCGCTATGACAAGGAATTTCTTCCAGATATCACTCGTATCCTTACTGCTGTCGTCCGGGCTCTGGAAGAGCGCGTTCTTGCAACCGATTTTCCGTCTGTCATTTGTCGTGACATTCCTGTAATTCTCACCCAGCATTACACCGACTACCGTAATGCCTCTTCCAAAATTGCCACTGCATATGCCGCGGGCGGTGCCCTTTCTATGGACCAGCTCTTCCATCAGTTTCAACCACACATGGCCCTATCCCCTGATGGTCAATTAGACCGTGACTATATTCGCCAAATTCTTGATCATATTCTCAAGGCGTGCCTGCCTTCAGAAGACTTTGAGCCAGAGGCGGAACGACTCATTGTTAGAGAAATTATTCTCAAGATTGTGGTCAAGGACGTGATTCCTAAAATCGTTCAGCCCTGGTTCATTCAGAAGACCATTCTAGATTTCCTTGGACCTCAGCCTGGTTCTGCGAGTAGCATTGCAGTAAGTCACCTGTATTTCCGTTGAGTTCCCTGTCTAAATTGTTGTTGCAGACTTCGGAATCACCGCCGCCTTCGCAGTCAAGCCAGGCCTTCTCCTTCCATACCATTCTCATCGTCTTCCTTTCCGCAATACAGTCTATCTCAGGAGCTTGTCTTGCTCTAATACATACTTACAAACATGCTGTCAATACCATTAAACTGGTGAATCAGTCGCCGTCCAAATCTGTACACCCTTCGCCGTCATCGAAGAGCACCTCGTCTTCGAGCCCCGTACTTCTTGAAACGATCCCATCTCCGCCATTTTCTCGTGCACCATCCAAATCATCATCCACCTCTTCCCTTCCTCCGGCTCCCCTTTCCCCCTCCGACTTTCCTACACCCCCGTCGGTTCCCACGAATCGGAATGAACACCTTCACGAATATTACGCCCATGCACCTATCCTCATGATTTCGGAGATATTCTCCTTACACGATCGCTACGCGTCAAGTGTAATCGTGACTACCATCAGCATGCTAGCGTCTTTTTTTACCCCGTTCCTCGATCGGTACGGGACTCGTTTTACTACCAGTCAACCGTTTCTCACTTTACTTCAGTCTGCTTCCCTACCTTCTTGGTAAGATATTATCCCCTGCGCTACTCCTCAACATTGTGCGTACAGGAAAACGGACTCTGTTTCCCAACGGGTACCCCGCGCCTCCTCCAGTAGATCCGACGCCAGAGGAACAAGCTGAAATTTACGCAAAATTGATTGCCTGGCGCGGCAAGGGGGGTCTATGTCAGTGTCAGGTTCTGAATTTCTTGTCGTAATTCTCATAGATACCATCAGCACACCTAATTCCAATACTGTTGGGCTCCGATCCTTCGGTAACGCTCAAATCTGCCATCGACCCCTTGACGAGTACCTCATGCAATGTACACCTGGTTATGATGATTCTAGACCGGATTGTTATCGCGTTATTCCCAGAACTTGGTGGAGCTGGATCGGGGGAGAGTTTGTAGCGCGTTTACGTTTATAATTCTTATGTTGTATTTGCAGTACGTGTCGCGTTATGTACACATGTTTGATTCGGAAGCCATCTCTATTTTCCCTTTTGTGATTGGCTCCCAAATTTTCGACTGTTTCTTGTTGCAGCGATCCGCGAACCATGCTTCGGGGCGTTGCAGCTCGTCGATTGTTTGCGACACAGGCTACCATAGCAGAGAAGGACTGCACTTCCATCACCCCTCCTTATCCAGTACTGCTTCAAAAGCTCGAACATGCCCGAAACGCCCTCAAGCGCCCACTCACGCTCGCGGAAAAGATACTCTACAGCCATCTCAGTGACCCTCAGAATGCGTTCCAGAATGGGTTGACTAGAGGGGAGACTTATCTGCAACTCAATCCCCAGAGAGTCGCAATGCAGGATGCTTCAGCACAGTATGTCTAAACTGTTCGTCTTCGGGGTTCTGTATGACTCATCTGCTCGTTAGAATGGCCTTGTGAGATTTCGTGCTCTTCGCTCCAATAAGTGCTTATGTCTTGGGTTGAAGACTTCAGTTTATGAGTGCCGGACTCTGCCGAACCGCCGTGCCCACCAGTATTCACTGTGATCATCTCATTCAAGCATCACAGGGTGCCAAGTTTGATTTAGAGGCACGATATACATATATGACCGTCAATCGCAGCTCCTAATGCTTGTCACAGCGCTCTGTAGAGTCGAATAAAGAAGTATTCGACTTCTTGGAAAGTGCTGCTCGCAAGTACGGCATCGAATTTTGGAAACCGGGTTCTGGGATCATTCATCAGATTGTTTTGGAGAACTACGCTGCACCAGGGATGCTTATGTGTGTCTGACTTTTCTCCCTAAGCGCGTCATTTTGCTCAATCGTATTGTATAGGTTGGGAACAGGTTATCTACTTGGCATGATATGCAACTGTATCTGATTTACCATTTACCTAGACTCGCACACACCTAATGCTGGTGGCCTTGGGTTATTAGCTATCGGTGTTGGTGGTGCTGATGCGGTTGATGCGATGACGGGTACCCCATGGGAGCTCAAGGCACCCCAGATAGTTGGTTAGCCTTTCCCTCCTAAACCTTTTGTGTTGTTTATCATTCCTTTCAGGCGTACATTTAACTGGCAAGCTTAATGGTTGGACCACCCCCAAGGATTTGATTCTTCACATTGCGGGGAAGCTTTCCGTTCGTGTATGTGGACTAAAAAAGCCGTTTCTTGTTCCAGTGTTAACATGAGCTCTAGGGAGGCACTGGAAGGATCTTGGAATACTTTGGTCCTGGAGTCTTCAGTCAGTCGTGTACTGGTAAGTACGGCTGACTGATACCATTTAACATTGCGTCTTCACGCGTCGTCAGGTTTAGCCACTATCGCGAATATGGGTGCTGAAGTGGGTGCTACAACGTCTACTTTCCCGTATTCACCAAATATGCGCGCCTATCTCAACGCAACCGGACGTTCGCCTGTCGCCAAAGCTGCCGACGAAGTAGCTGCACAGTATCTGTGTGCCGATGACGGAGCCGAATACGATGAAGTCATCTCGGTTGTATGTCTTCCTTCTCCCGTTCACTGCGTAGCATCCTGATTTCAGCACACTTTCTAGAATTTGTCAGATTTAGAACCTACTATCAATGGACCTTTCACGCCTGATCTTGCTACACCCATATCAAAATTCGGGGCTTTCGTGAAGGAGCAGGGATGGAAAGATGAACTCTCGGCGGGTCTTATTGGCTCATGTACAAACAGCTCATACGAAGATATGGTACATATGTCGTACGCTCTGTTGGCCTTGTTCTGGTTGCTCATGTTTGTAGACGAGCGTCGCGGATCTTGCTCGGCAAGCCAAGAAAGCAGGCCTAACCACTAAGGTATGGATATCAAGTCATCATTATTTTGGGACATACGTAATAAGTTAAGCTATATACGTAGGTTCCTTTCCTCTGCACACCGGGATCGGAGCAAATCCGTGCGACCATTGAACGCGATGAGGTGACTTCAACTTTGCAAGGTGTCGGTGCCGTCGTCTTAGCAAACGCATGTGGACCTTGTATTGGCCAATGGGCGCGAAACGACAAAAAGGACGAAGAGAACGGCAAGCTGCTGTCCTATGCTATGAATTCCGGCTTCTAATGTGTTTATTTCCTGACAGCAATTTTGACCAGTTTCAACAGGAATTTCAAGTCGCGCAACGATGGTAACCGATTAACAATGAACTTCCTCGCCTCACCTACCATCGTGACAGCTATGGCATTTTCTGGAAAGCTATCGTTCAACCCCTTGACGGATTCTTTGCCTCTACCCTCAGGCGAATCATTCAAATTTGAGCCTCCTGTCGGCCAAGATCTGCCTGCTGACGGATTCACTCCGGGTGACCTAAGCTTCTACCCTTCACCTACTCCTGAACCGCGCCCTGAAACTGAAGTGGTGATCAACAAGGACTCGCAGCGTTTGGAGCTACTTGAACCTTTTACGAGCTATTTTGGGGAACGTTCATCTAACCCACGGGGTCTAGAACTCCCGTCACTCAAGGTCTTGATGAGGGTTCGGGGAAAATGTACAACTGACCATATTTCGGCGGCTGTATGTCTTTCCTCGTTGAATTTTGACTTACAATGCTTAAACTCTCGTAAGGGACCTTGGTTGAAATACAAAGGACATCTGACCAACATATCGGAAAATCTTCGTGGGTCATATCATTGTCGCAATCCTCTGGCGCGAAACTAACTTCTTTTCCCCTTTCGCAGTGATAACTGTACGTGGGCTCCACCTCTTGGTTGGTAATCCTTCTGATTATCTGCTTACCTCCCAAGGCCGTCAATGATGAGGGCGGAGATGTAAACGTGGCATTTGACCATGACCATGCACCTACGGAACCACCGACCGATACCATTCCTGGTGTTGCTAAGCGGCTCAAAGCCAGAAACCAACCATGGGCGCTCATTGTAGATGACAACTACGGAGAAGGCAGCGCGCGGGAGCATGCTGCTCTCCAGCCACGTTTCTATGGTCGGTAATTCTATTGCCACTGTTGACTGCTGGTAACATGTTTTCTAGGATGTGCACTGATCATTGCGAGGTCCTTCGCGCGTATCCATGAGACTAATTTGAAGGTATAATTTTAACCTTTGACTTTGGATACGGGGTAACTGATTGCATTCCAACGCGCAGAAACAAGGTGTATTGCCTCTATGGTTCGCCGACAAGGCGGACTACTCCCGTATAGGGTCTGGTGATATTGTCGAGACAATTGGCCTGGCGGATCTTCTGCAAGGAGGAACTAGAAACACTATAGAAATCAAGGTCACCCCACGGAATGGTGAACCTTTCATAGTATTGACTAGACATACCATGTCAGTGGATCAACTCAAGTGGCTGCGAGCCGGGTCTGCGCTGAACCATATCCGTTCTGTGACGGTCTAGCGCGAGAAAAGTATTAGTATTACAGAAATAATAATAATACAATACCAAAATACGCAATCAAAGATACTGCAGTGTATGATCTACATCTGGAACTGCAAGGGACTTAAGCCTTCGCCCCTCCTACTTTTAAGTACTTCCAGAGCATTCTCGGCGACAGATAATGCCTGCTGAGGCATGCCTGCCAGGAGTGCCACCTTAAGACCATGGCTATCGCGATTGACACCAGGTCTAAGACGATAAGAATAGGCAAATCGCCCTGCCTGAAATTCATTTATTAGGAGACATGACATGAACACTGAGAAAGAGCATACCTCTGTTTCATCGACATCTGTGCATAAGAAAGACACGGACTCAAATGCGCTTGATAGGCATGTCTGCTCTGAATATCCGAGCATATCAGATAATTCATGAAAATGGGTCGCAAAAAGAGCTCGACAACAGTTCTGAGTAACAAGATGGTGCACAGTCGCGTAAGCTATCGCAAGGCCATCATTGACTGTTGTTCCTCGGCCAACTTCATCCATAATAACCTATAGATGAATGACATGCATCAGTCAAGACTTACACTCTGTCAATGATCGCTTACAAGGCTCCTAGGCGTAGCCCGTCTTAGGATCTCCGCCGTCTCTAGCATTTCCACCATAAAAGTACTTCGGTTGTGGAATAGGTCATCCTTAGCGCCTACACGCGAGAACAGCTTGTCCACAATGCCCAAGTTGGCCGAATCGGCAGGGACAAAAGAGCCGGTCTGGGCTAGCACCGCTATTAGCGCTGTTTGCCGAAGTAGCGTAGATTTCCCGGCCATATTTGGTCCCGTTATGATATGAAGACGACTTTCCGGGTTCATTTCCAAAGAATTGGGAGTAAAGACCTTTCCGCTGGTGAGCAAACCAAGTTCAACTGTAGGGTGCCGTCCATGAGTAACACTGTAAATAGTCCTAGAGGGACATTATTAGTTGACGTAGGATCGAAGCCGCAGAATGACCGACTCTTCGCTGAGCGTAGGCTTGACAAACTTCATCTCCGTAGCAAGGTTGGCGAAAGCCAATGTAACGTCGAGCTCATCCATAATACGCGCATTGCGTCTCAGTGATGCAGCGTGTCCGTTAACCTATACACTAACTTAACGAGGTTTAGCTGATGGAATATGAAAACATACTTCGTTTCGCAACGTTTCAAAGGCCTCCTTTTCTGCGGCGAGAAGGGCCATAGAAGTTTCAAAAATCTGAGACCCAAGAAGAGACCATTCCTGCAGAAACATGTTAGAATGGGAGACCTAGTTGGACCGTGATACTTGCTTGATAAACGTAACTTCTCGTCGTGGTTGTTGAATTGATGGAAAGGAATTTGGGATCTTTGTTGATGCGATGGTGATCTCTTTTGGCTCTAGCAAGATGAACATGCATGCCCAAACCAGGAGAAGAACGCAGCCCTAATGAGGGAGCATCTACGACAAACATATAGTTACGCCAAGGAAAACGACTCGTAACGCACCGTAGTTGATTTGCAGCCTGGCTTCAAGTTCCTCTTTTTCCCGAAGCAGTTGGCGTAGATTGGCATGGAGCGTTTGGAGCGTCTCGGAGAATCTACATGGGTAATTAGTTGGCAGATGCGGACACAAAGGGGTTTTAATCACTCTGGCTTGATAACCCATTTACTAGGTCCGTATCTCCATTTGAAGAAAGCGGGCTCAGCATCCTCTACTTCGTCTTCTGACACAGTTTCATCGGGGTCATCCGCATCGATTTCAGTTCTTTCCAGTGCAGACCCAATCCTATTACATAGCTCGTCGAGGTCAGAAAAGCGAGCCATCAGCGAGTCCAAGCTCGACCATTGGCCGGGATTAAAGTTCTCTTCTCGCTCTTGAGCTTCCAGGAGCCTTTCACGTTCAATTCGGAGTTTCAGATAGGACCAAGTCTTTATCGTAGTATGTACAGCAAGCAAATCGGAGGTATCACCTCGACCAAGAAGGAATTTTTGCACGATTCGGCTAGCATCTTCTAGTTTTGCCAGGGCCTCCACAAGATCTTCACGGAAGTAGGATCTTGAGCAGAAAAAATCAACAAGCGATTGACGTGCTTCAATTTCAGGGATCGAGGTGCTCGGCGAACCTAGGTAATAAATCAGTCGCTCTACTATCAAGGCCGAAAGAGAACGTACATAACCACCGTGCAAGCAGTCGTGTACCACTGGATGTAACTGTTCGTTTAATGACGCTTAGTAGGCTTCCAGTCGTGCCCCCCTCTGTGATATTTTCGCGAATCTCCAAAGCTTTGATCGTGTGAGAATCCATATACATGCGATTACCAACATTGTCCTGGTCTGGAGTTGAGAGGGCTGGCATATGCTCCAGCAAGTTTACTTGGAGGTATGCTGTCAGCAAAGTGATGGCTGATCCTTCTTCAGCAGAATAAACTGTGGATCTTCTGGGAGATGTTGACTCCAGAACTTCATCAGTAACATCTATCGCGTCTGTCACGCCATCAGCACCCGCACCGGAGACATCATGTGCTGAGGCGACATCTTCCAGCTGTGGATTCGAAAGTGTAAACTTGTCGGAAAGCTCGGTATAAGAAATTAGGTTTCTTTCTTCCCCTAGAGCCACAAATATAGGGTGTGTGTGCCGACCTTCAAAGTCTTTATGGAGGACGACCTCGCGGGGAGCAATGCGTGCTATATCGTCGCGCAGACTCTCGCTATCTGAATGTCTGGAGAAGAACTCCCCAGTGGAGACATCGATCCATGCAAGGCCAACAGAACACCGTTGCGGTTCGACGCTATCATCCAATGGTACATCGAGGGGAGCATTTATAGCAAGGAGATAGTTGTTCTCATATTGGTTCAGGAATGACTCGTCAATGAGAGTTCCAGGTGTTATAACACGCACTACCCGGCGATCGAAGTCCCTTTCCCCAGAACTACGATAGCGAGGGAATTCCTCGCACATTGCCACGAATCGCTGATTTTGTTGTACCAAGACTTTGAGGTACTTGTCAATATGGAGGAGAGGGAACCCGCACATTGGAATGAATTGCTTGTTCCATTTGCGTGTGGTCAATTTGATATTCAGCAGACGCGAAACTTCGATTGCTTGATCAAAGTAAGACTGAGGTTCCGTGTAAAACCTTACACGACAATCACAAAAAATCGACTCACTTCATAAAACTGACCTACACGTGTTAAGAGAACACAGTGAGGAAACTTAGACAGATTTTCCTGAATTTCCTTGAAGAGAGTTTTAGGTTGTGCAGTGGTGGCTATCGTGGCTTCGTCACAAACAATCCGAGGTAAACCGAGAAATAAACTCACCGGTGGCATCGTGACTTTCGGCATCAGCCACCCTTTTCCTTCGTTTTTGGGGTCGGCTATCGTCGCCTTCATCTTCCTTGTCTGCAACCATTTTCCTGGAGCGCGTTCGAGGGGAGCTTTCGGCAAATTTCTCTGGTGCCTTCTTGGCACGTTTACGAGACTTGATCTTTACATCGATTTCGACCTCCATATCGGATTTCTTGGAACGTTTGCGAGGTTTGGATTCCTCTTCATCATCAACCAGAAATTTTTTTCTGGCACGTTTGGATGGCGTGTCGTCGTCATCCTTCGGTTTAGCGGCCGCTTTTTTCACGCGTTTACGGGACACGGTTTCTTCAGAGTCGTTAACAGCAGCTGCCCGTACGCGTCTACGGGGTTGGCTGTCAGCTAATGCTCATAATTTTAGATTCTATTCCCGGGGCGGTAGTTTGTTACATACCTTCGATTGAGTCCTCTACTTCGATATTTTTAGAGCGTCGCTTACGGGGAGCTGCATCTAAGCCATCTAGGTGAACGAATCGGTTAAATCGTTAGTCAACAACCCACCAATCAGTTCGGGCCTTAATATTATTTCGGGAGCGCTAGCCTTTCGTTTGATACGCTTTGTCGACGCGTCGTCAGCGAGATCACAAGTATCAATTACTTTGAGGGATTTCAAGGCACGACCGCGGGCTTTTGTCACTGTAGAATGTGGTCAGCCGTTATAACATGGCAGATGACCAGCCTCACTTGGTTCGACTCGGTCGCTTATCCATTCCGGCAATGGAGATGCGACAGATCCGTCTGGTAGAACTCTTGCCGACGGTAATTCTGAGTATTTCTTTTTCGTTTTTAAGGTAGTAGCCGAGCCTTCAGACGCGACTTGGTCAATCTTGGAGGCAAAGGCGCGTACTGCGCGGACGGAAAGACGACTGGCATAGAGCGGAGGGCGGTGTAAACAGCGAACAGCTGTCGGAAGAAGTACCATACACGGCGAGACGGTCGCAGACGGTCGCGCCACTCAATGGGAGCAAAAAGTAAAATCAATGGAGTTAGAATGAAGGGCAGGAAAAGGTCACGCCACATCATTTCAAACTCCGCCAACTAGGCTCACTCCTTCTGCGCCGTCCGTCATCCTTCTACTACTCTCTTTTGCCAAATGTCGTTTGCGGGAAGACGCCGGGGAAACAAAGTTAAAAAGGGTGTTCAGTTCACCCTCATGGTCGTCGGTGAGCTTTGCTCAATGCTGTTTTCATCACACTACACCCTAAATTTTTCCCACTAGGTGCCTCCGGCACTGGACGCACCACTTTCGTGAATACCCTTTGCGAATCCGAAGTTTTGGCTCATAAGGTCTCCGACGACCCAGAGACCGCTCACGTCGAAGAGGGCATTCGGATTAAGCCTGTCAACGTCGGTTAGTTTATGCACTGTTCCTGGCATACCCACGTCTCCATTTCTGTTGTCCAGAACTTGAAGAGGATGGTGTTCGCATCGCTCTTACTATAGTCGATACTCCTGGGTTTGGCGACAACATCGACAATGAATTTGCGTAAGCTTTCTGAGCACTACCATGTCCCCCTCTTACCTTTCATTCAGGTTCCAGGAGATTGTTGGATACCTCGAACGTCAATACGATGACATTTTGGCCGAAGAGTCTCGCATTAAACGTAACCCACGCTTCAGGGACAACAGGGTTCATGCCCTGTTGTACTTTATCCCTCCCACTGGACACGCGTATGTTGCGGAACTATTCGTTGAACAGTGCCTTAACCTCTTTCAGTCTGCGGGAGATGGATATCGAGCTGATGCGTCGCCTCTCTCCTCGTGCGAACGTCATCCCTGTTGTAGGTAAGGCGGACTCTTTGACTCCGTCTGAACTCCGAGGCTTCAAGAAGCGGGTAAAACAATATGCTTCGAGATTTTAGAACGGCACTAAATTGACTTGTCAGATCATGGAAGACATTGAACATTATGATATCCCTGTTTACAACTTCCCCTTCGATATTGAAGAAGACGACGAGGATACCATTCAGGACAACAGCGAACTGCGCGTCAGTGTTTTGACATTCATTTCACCCCGACAGCGCTTACGTGATATACTAGGCCCTTCTACCTTTTGCTGTCATCGGTTCGGAAGAGGAGATTGAGATCGACGGTCAACCTGTTCGCGCACGCATCTATCCTTGGGGAATTGCTGAAGTCGATAACCCGAGGCATTCTGACTTCAGCAGGTTGAGGAGTGCTCTTTTGAAGTACGTCCTGAAATACGCAGTGGCGCGCCAGTCTGATAAACATTAATTTAGCTCTCATCTTGCGGATCTCAAGTCTTTGACTCATGACGTCCTCTATGAGACCTACCGTACGGAAAAGCTCTCCAGGACCGTCCACGCAGAAACAAAGTACGTACTTTTGGTATCCCTACTAATTTTAGTTCATTCAATCTGTCTTTCATGAAGCGACTCTTCCATCTTGCCCGAGGAGCTCGCTTCCCAAAGTGTGCGTCTCAAGGAGGAGCAACTACGCCGGGAAGAAGAGAAGGTGAATGCAATAAAAGATGCTGCTGTGGAAAATACTGACAAGTCTTGCTACAGCTACGCGAGATCGAGCTCAAGGTCCAAAGAGAGATCAACGAAAAGAGACAGGAGCTACTCGCCAAAGAAGAATCTCTGCGGTCAGTGAAATTGACCTCGTATTCTCTTTCCTGTAATGACATTGCCTTACAGCAACTTGGAAAGTCGACTCGCCGCGCAGGGCTCTCAGTCAGAATTCCGAGAGTAGATTCATGGCCCTAGACAAGATATACCCCACTGAACAGTTCACCCTGGGAGTTCAAACCACTCGTTTTTCATCGTTCTCGTCTAGTTTTTGTTTTTCACAACGGATAATTTCCCCTAGTCTTAGTGTTTCTCTCGGGAGGATTTGATTGCCTAGTATCTACTAATGACTCGTTCGCTCTCTTACTGCCTCCTTAAATACCTTTTACCTGATGTGAATGCATACCACCAAGGGATTGTGCGAGATGGTTGAGTGGTGTGGGTAAGGAAGGCTAGACTGGCGAAACAATTGATATTTCAAGAAAGGACCCAATTATCCGCCGACCTCGACGCTACATTTTGTAACTCTAGACAACGACAGTGACGGGCAACAGCAGGTAGATAGGGCATGAATACGGAGTATCAAGATCTTTCGTCGTGACTGATCTGGTTGTTTCGTGGGCCCGTTTCGTAACGGTCAAATCAGCTCAGTCCCGGTCAGCCCAGGGCAACCGTGTCCTTACTTTGCCTCAAAGGCTCTTAGCGTTCGTTTTCTCCTCTGCGTTGTCCAGAAAAATAACGGCCATTTGCTCTACAAAACTTAGGTTGTTACGGTGAGCCTCCGTCTATCCAGGGGTCAAGGGACCTGTCCATCCCAGTCATCCCTATTATCCTTTCTCTCATCGCTCTAACGGAGGAACGGGTCCGTGTTGCACCGTATAGCATGGTTCGTGACTGGCAGAATCCACAGCCTACAGCAGGATCGTCCATGTATCCCGCTACCACGACAATTTCCCAGCGGCGTCGCTCATCAGCTGCTCATACTCGTCCTGCGGGCCCACCTCCAAATCTTCCAATACCCAGCCTTCCTGACAGCACCAATGACCGTCCAGGCCATTCTTCTACTGTAGCACGTCCTTCAACGGGATCAGATGATTCTCAGCCACACACGAATGGTGTTAGTCGCGGCACACGCTCAGCCTCTTTTGCAAGACAAGGCGCATCCCCGTCGCTAGCAGCAGTCGCCGCCTTTCCCCAGCACTCAGTCTTCTCAGCACAGTCGTCGGCAGCCTCGTCCGTTGATGATCTGTCCGACTCCCCGCCCCCATCAATACTACCCCCATCATCGTCACGTTTACAAGCGCCGCCATTGCCTCCAGATACGGATACGGATCACTTATTGGTTCCAACAGAACCTCGCCCAGAGCATCGCCCACCATCGTCTCGACGGGCACTGACAAGGGCACTGGAGCTCGCTCGCGAGGCCGTACAGCTAGATTCCAACAACAATAACCCCCAAGGCGCAGTCATGGCATATGGCAGAAGTGTCGCACTTCTTAGCGAAGTCATGGAACGAGTCCGCAGAGGTGAGGATACCACGGAGCCCAGACGACGGAATGGAAGACGTAGAAGTAGTGTTGCACAGGAAGAGGAGGTTCGAAGGTTGCAAAAAATTGTGTGTATCTTGAGCATATATGACACTGAACTATCTGTTGATCTGTTTTACTAGCATGACACGTATGCTGATCGCATGAATATCCTCAGTGTCGTTTACAGCATCCCTCCTCTACCCTATACAACAGCATCCATATATTCGCCCATCTCTGCCGATTCCACGCAACCGAATTCTCCGACCAGCTCCGTTTCTCCCGTGTCCGAAACATCAGACCCGATACCTCAAGTTGATTATTCCATTAATGATACCCATGTGGAAGACAATGATCCCCAGATCGCCCCAGGCATCTCGTTGTCCAAGCACATGAGTGCTCACGAAGGTATTGAGGCTATTGGTGCTGCTATGTTGGACCTGGAGAGCCCGGTTGGATCTACGATATCAGGTCTTCCCGTTTCTTCATCCCACCCATATGCCAACACTCAGTACGATCCGCCTACACCCCATGCCGTTGCAATGCCTTTGTCGGCACAGTCTACCTCCTCAAACCGGATGTCTGTACAGCTTCGACGATCAAGAGCATCATCATCAGCCCTACCTCCAGCCTTACCGCCACCACTTAACTCTCCTCCTCTGGCTCCGACAAATCCCAATGAAGTACCTCCTGATTTACCCCTGCATGGCTCTCATCAGTTTCTTGATACTACAACCAGACAGAGGGGTGATTCCGTTGGACATAAGCGAACGAGCTCGGGCAGTAAACTGGCCGCACTGGAAGAGGAAAGCGAAAAATATGAGTACACAGACGCCGAAATACCGGAAGCTGAATTGCGAACGGGAACTCGGCTTAATCTCGTCGTAGACACACGCCCAGCTAAAAACGAGTCTCCTCCTCTGCCAGCTTTGCCCTCCCCTGCGTCAGGTTCACCTGGTACACCTCGCAACAACTCATCGCCCCAAGTCCCTAACAGTGTTGTCATTCCACGACAGAGAGGTTCCTCTCAAGCACCTCGACCAGAGGTTGTAGTAATCAACCCCACTATTCATCAGGGTACAATTTCGCAACGACGTCTTAAGACATCGACACCACCTACGCCAAGATCTTCCTCTCCGTCTGAGTCTGTCGGCCCCCATCCCCGGTCTGTGGCTTCCTCCCTGCCAAACTCGGGAGTGTCGCTTAGTGGTGTAGGTCGAACGCGCTCTTCGTCTCAACCTGGTCGGCGCCCGTCTTTGATAGGCGGACGGATATCGCCTCTAGAACAGCGACCTCCACTTCCTTCATCTACCGTCGCCAACATCAATATAAATGGTGCAGGGTCTGCTCTGCGAAAGACATCCTTTCCCTCCAAACTGAACCCGAATGCCCAGATTCAATTAACAGTACAAACTGATCTTCCTTCCATGGCCATTAATCCTCCCCTTATGCCACCTCCTGCCGTCATCTCCAGTGTTCTCCCCATTACACCTATATCACCTTTACCTGCAGCAGCACCAGCAGATCCGTTGAGGAAGCCCTACCACCTCATGAACTTACTTCGTACAACCATGACTTCCACCACAGGTGGATATATCACGCGTCGTCTACATGTCCCACAGGAAGTATGGTCTCAGGGCGGCGCCAAACTGAGTAACCTTCCCGAGAAGGTGCGCGTGGTTGGCATTCTATGTTCGGCCCTGGAGGATCTACAAAATAGCAGCTCTGAGCATTTTGGTGCGGGGAATGTCAGCAGTGGCATGGCTCTAGGAATCGGGAGCATAGGCAGGAAGGAAGGGGAAGCCTGGATATCAAAGCTAGAAGATTTCTCGACCATGTGTGACGGTGTCGTAGCAAACTTTGGGAAGAAACTTGGTGTCGGGGAAGGTTTTGTGTTAAAGAAGACTACTTGGGGAGACAAACTTGGCCGGCGTTTCGACAAATATATCAATGGCAAGAAGTCAGTGTTTCCTTTTGTGCGTTTGATGTATGGCATAGCTCTAACGTTATGTTTTTTTTCCTAGTTTGGATTCACCCGCTGCATATGTGCAAGGGTTGCGGAAATTATTCCTTCATGCGCAGTTACTCGACGAGCACACTAAGGCCATCAGCTGTCAACCTGTGGCGCCTGCATATGCGGCCTTCCCAGCTGACATCCGCACTGCTGCTGACATCAAGCTAAGGCGGTCGTCGGAATTCTTCGCCAGTGTCGTGCTCACATTCGTCATCCGTGATTTATCTCAGCTTCTGGACAAATATGCCAAGAAGTGTGAAAAGTGGCTAGCGGAATAACGGCGCGCCGCTACAGAATTCGCCTTTCTGATTAGACTCTCTTCTGTTGCGCTTGTTGGATGCGTCAATTGCTCTCAGGTCTGGGGTTTCTGGAGGATGGATCTTTATTTGAGCCTTGATCCCGCTTATATCTGCGCTGCATATTGTATTACTGGAAATCGTCAGTTCTGGATAATATGGGGGTGTGTTGTGGAGTATTATTTTGTATCTTATATGTGTCTCGTACATGCCATTAGCTACAGTTACCTTCGTCACTTCTGTCGTTATTTCTTTTGTTCTGTTTGTCCTGCTAACTTTTACCATCTTTTGCGCATATACAAATACATCGAAAAGAATGTGTAAGATCATAGTCGTAGAAGCTACTTACTGCACTTCGTCAATATGTATATGAATTTTAATCTACGTAGTAATGCACACAATTACAGGATGCTGACGGAGCACCAAGGTTAATGAAAACTAAGACTAAATAGTTAGGAAGACGAAAGTATTTACTTGGATAACATTAAGGAATAAACAGGGGGAAGGGGGTGGTACTACTAATATTACAGTATGAAGCAGTGAACAACGTACTCAAGTGGATGCATGCGGCTGAGGAGCGACGGAATATGGCTCTGGCTCTGGCGTAGGGTCTTTACCGCGGACGCGTGCGATGATTCGCAGTCGTTTAGCTGAAAATGGATAAGGTGCGCAATCCTCCTTAGCAGGGTGGTGGGACTGACAATAATCACGGTGTACATGGTCGTCCGCCTCATCATCAGAATCCAGAAGAGGATCCGTGCAATTGATAACATGCCAGGCGTCTAAGCAAAAGTCATCAAAGCCTGCGGATTAAAATGTGTACGTCGACATACGTTCGAGCATTGATTTGTGGGAACTTCCGACGCCTTTCGAGTGCGATACGTGGCGAGAAGACCATGTAGAGTCTCCTACGGCCCCGAACCTATATGGCGCATATCGATGCTGATACACTGAAGGGACATCGGGACTAGAGCGCCGATACCCGGGAGCTGCGTATAACGACGATTCACGGCCTCGGGAAAATGCTAGAATAATGTGAGACCGTGACAATCGGAAAGCAGAACATGTACTAACAACCAAATTCGGCAACATCGGCGGGCAAGTCTAGCTTGGGCTGAACCTGCTTACTTTCCTTTCGCTTAATTTCCTTGTTTTTCTCCAGCATCGCTTTATTCTTGACTCGCTCACGATACTGTTTGTCCCAAAGCGCTTTCCTTTCCTTCTTCTCCTTGAGCGTCATGGGAACGCCGGTGTTGCGCTTGCCTTTGGGTTTGACTTCTGGAACATTGCCCTCGTCGTTATGGACGGCCTTAGAAGTGGACGTAGTGGAGGCGTCTTTAACGGCCTTATTGATGATGTCGTTTCTATGACTAACGGACTTTTCGGCACGAGCTATCTCTTCCTCCGTGTCCACGTTTTCCTTCTCAGCCTCGGCACGGGTTATCATGATAAAGGCAGGCGCCTTTCCTGGCCGATGACTGTCACAGAATGGATTGACACTAAGCACCTCGGTGTCGTAGTCGTCTTCATTGACAGCAGATGTCGCTTCGTGAAAATGAAAGCAGAGCCATAGAAAAGCGCGGGCGCGAGAGGCACTAGACACTTCAACAGGAAGAAAGAGGTCGATAAATTCAAGCTCATTTAAGAAATGCTCTTGACCGATCGCCTGACCAGATGGGGGTTAGCATAGTGGGACAGAAGCCATTGTGACACGCACAGGAGAGTAATTGGAAAGAATGAAAATGATAGTGGCGATGCTAGTAGGCGGTACCTTTCCGGTTGTCTGTTTCGTGGACACGTCATAAATATCGGAATATATCCAAGCGAGGACTAAGTACATACTGCACGGGCAAGAATATCACCGGGAGTTGTCGGAATAGACTTTGGATCCTCATCTGGTACCGTACAGGCCTTGAGTAGACCTTTGATTCGGGGCGCATCTTGGAGATTACCGTCGGCTCTTTGGAGAGCAGGGATCGGGTGGTATGTTCGCACTGCCGTTTTCTTCTCGGCGAAGACTAAGCGAAACAATGAATAGACATAAGAGACAAGGTAAAAGAGCTACTCACAGCTCATCGTGGTATTCACCCGGCCTACGTTTGCCAACAAAGCCAGCATTGCGAAGTCGGTGGCGAAGATGGCGGAAGCCGACATGGAGTCTTTGAGGGCCTTGGTAGCCTTGGTCGAATGCATGATAGCATTTACATAGAGGTCACGAAAGGAGACCTTGCAGCCAGGAGGACCTCCGAAAGCAGAGGAATAGGGATCCGTGAAGACACGCTGGTCATCGTTGAAGATATGGAAGAGGAAATCGTATTGGAGGTCGACGCGTGTCAGAGGCTCGCCATCGGCGCGCTTGATGGCGAGAGGTTTCTTGGGAAACGGGCTCTGCTTGCGCGACATTGTCAGCTCGTCATGGAGAGACAAAGCTGGTGGCGTTCTCAAGGATTCCCACGACGACCAGTCCGAGTGATCTACTGATGTCGACCGGCAAACCACCCGGCAACCGGTCAACTGATCGGTCCGAACATTCCCGTATCCCCTGTACTTACCCTCGACCGTGGCCGTACCGTCTCTAACACAACAGCCTTCCGTGATCTGATGGCCTATATTGTCTCCTGGTCTAGGTTTCTTGTTCTTTTTCTACTATCTTGTCCGTGCTTGCTGCTCAGAACTGGGGTATGCAGGCCATTCCTTCAAGCTTCTGATTCGTTTCTTCTCTCATGACAGTGCTGTCTTTCCTTCTCTTCCTGGCTCTGTGTGTATCGTACTCCGAAGCGGCTCACAATGTCACCATTAATGCGACAGACACGTCACTCCATTTTACCTCTGGTTGGAATGTTTCACAGAACTCTGCTGGCCAGCAGTTTCTATTCATCGATGAACTCGGAACCGTGCTCATGGCATCATTACCGAGTAGGTCCCAATTCATCCAACTGCTATTTCCCATTCACGCTCACATGCAGATGCGACATCTCATGTATTCTTTATCGGTCTTAAGCGATCTGGGGGGTCTGCCTATGGCTTCTGCCTCGACTGCAATGCTCAGACCAATGTAGGGTCTATCGTTATAGTGGACGGACATGACCCTACACTTTCGAACGACACTATTGCTAAACTAGTAAGCCTTGAGTGTTCTCTAGTTACTTATGCAACCACCTCATCATCATCATACGCTCGGCAGGACGTTATCTTTTCTTCCTCTCTCGATCCAAGTCACAACCATATTCTAGCCATGTTCAACCTTCCTGATATCAGGTTCGATAATTTGAGCCAGGTTACTTTTAACTCCTTGATAGTCACAATCGAAGATGGTCAGTGATGTGATTCTCTTCGCCTGCACAACTGCTCACAACCTTATCATCTGCAGGTGAAAATGAAGGTCCCAGCTCGAGTACGTCCACCAATGTATGTGTACAGAAAGGCTGAATTTTGAGATACAGAAGTAGTTTTCCCTAACTACTCTGCATCATCCACCATTACTGGTGTACCAAGCACCCTTTCACAGGTCTCTGCTACATGTTAGTTGCCCAGAACTATATACACACGTCTATAGTTGCTAAAAATTTTCTTAGGGAGCGGCCTACAAACATCAGAAGCTTCAACATCGTTCACTAGTGTGTCAGGTACCGAAAAAGAAAGGACGTGGTCGCCTGCTACATCTTCATCCACTTCTTCCCGAATTTCCTATACGCTATCTAAACCTCTTTCCTCTTCATCGCAATATGTGCCACCATTGTCTTCGTCATCCCCACCCGTTGCCGCTATGTCTAGCACTACTTCCGCTGAACCTTCAGGTTCCTCAGGTAACGACAACGCCAACATTACACCGCTTTCAGTGAACAAGTCACTAATCGTGGTGATTGTCACTCTAAGCTCTGTTGCCGTGCTTTCGCTTGTCCTAGGTCTTTTCCTTTTCTTCCGACAGAGGGGACGTCAAACGCGTAGAAGACTCTCCGAGCCACTGTCGTTCACTGATAGGCGGATAACTTCAGGACCACCTGAGTTGCCAATGATGGAAAGTTTAGATAATATAGGACCTCTCGCCGCTGCGGGACGCGAACCGCCCCCGCGGAGAAACGTTACGTCGTACGCTAATGCAGTAGTGGGACAATGGCCAGGTGCCAGTAACAGACAAATGGCCAGTTCTACACTTCCCAGCAGTCAAGATATGTGGACTACAAGACTAGCTGGGAACCAGATTTATCGGGTTTAAAGGGCGTCCGTGTCTAATTGGTGGGTTTTGGGAAAATCTATGCGGACTGGTTGCCAATGTTACGGTCAATTGAAAGCAACTTATCACTTACTGTACCCTTGTATTCTTATTGGTTTTATCTATGCAAGCAACCGGTTGGATCTCGACACATTGCGCTGTGAATCTACTTTTACAACAAACATCCTGGCAGAAGAAATTCTTAAATTAATACGCTGATAACAATAGAGTATAATTAGGCATTGAAAAAAGTGAATGATGAGAAGTCGATGATATGAAATACAGTGAATGAATCCAATCAAATCCGCAGCTAAGAGAGGAAGAACGAAGGCAAAATGGGATCAAATCTAACAGTCGTAACAAGGAACAAAAGAAAGGTCTGCTTCGTCGACACACACACATTTTTATAGGTGTTCTTTGTCAATTAGTGAGCCTGGGTGAATCGTGACTCTATGAAAGACGCGTACCGGGCTGCCAATAGCTCAAAACATGCTCTAAAACTTCAATGACCACACTGCTCTTGTACATCAGGCCATGATCTGCCCCCTTCACAACCTTCACAGTACATTTGTCCTCCCCCATGTTTCTCTCCATCCACCGTACGGCATGTTCGGCAATCTTCTCGTCCCTGTCGCCATACCACACATTGACTTTGTGGGGATAAGAAGTGTAAGAGAATCCCCATGGATGATTGTCATGATTCAGAATCTGCAACAGATCATTGTGTGTTCCTTTTGCAGATTCAGAGTGGGATGCCGCGATCAAAGCGTTCGCTAGCGTAGCTTGGTAGCCATGATTTGAGCCGTTTCTTGTGGAAAATGACGCATTTGAGGAAAACGTTTCCTGTACACTCGAAATAGGTGATGCAGGAAGTGATGTCGCTCCGCGCGAAGTATTGAAGGAAAGAGACCGTCGTCCATTTGCACGAGGATAAGGAATATGTCCTGTCGTGGAGAACTTATCGGGTGATGGTGTCAATGATCGATCTTCTCTGACCAGCGACGTGTGGGAGGATTCGACTGCCTTGGTCCAATTGAGATCATCGAAGCCTAGCCCCACTTCAAACTTGAGGGCAGGAGGAAGCTGAGGGCTCAAATGCTCCGATACTTTCGACGATTTGGATTTCAAGGACCCCATCGAACGCAATGCTTTGAGACGCCGGCCCGACTGAGCCTTATCGTCCTCTGTGGGAGACTGCGGTTGAGAGTGGGATGGCGCTTTGAAACGGTCCAAAAAGCTCCTTGAATTCTTTCTTTTTGTAGCGGCTTCTTGGCGTGTCGGTCGCAAATCTACACCAAGCGTGCTACGACTCTCGAACCGGCCGTCAAAATCCCCAAGATCGTCATACTCGCTAAAAGTACTCGATGTCATGCTTGGCCTTGGATGGTTATCGATGGATGAGGGATAAACAGTACTCATGTTACCATGTGCTGCCGGCGGGGAACCGTTCATTAATACGCCCTTTGACGAAGGCGATCGAAAATCATAGCCGATGCCTTCATAAGCTATGGTCGGAGGTTTACCGATCATCCAAGCCTGCAGCTTCCAATCTGCTGCTTGCGCGGTCTTTAATATCCCGTTGGGTACGTATTTGAGCCATTTGTAACCTCCTTGAAACGGAAATGAGATGAATGGATGGTTTTAGGACTCTCAGGCTCACCACTTTCGCTACCCCCCACCCACGGTGCAAGTAAGCAGATGTCACCGCGTATACGCTTTGATAGCTTATTGGCGAACGACAAGGCGTAAGGCGCGCCAGCTGAGTGGGCCATGACGCTACATTGGTCTATGTGAAGTAGATCGAGAACTTCCTCTACCACAGAAGCCCACTGCATTATGCCTTTCGCAGATTTCGCGCGTGGCTCTGTTCGGCCAAGACCCCATCTATCGGCGGCACACATTAGAGGACAAACGATGCGAGATCTAGAGATATTTACCGGTCAATCGTGATAAGCCTCAATCCCATACATTCTGCCATTTCATCATACAAGCCCATGATATGCCGTACGCATCCCAAACCCAGGAACACAACGACTGGGATCCCCGCAGGATTTCCGAGATCAGAAAGACTGACCGTCAAAGGATTGTCTGAAGACGCATGAGGTGACCGGGTTAATTTCAGTAGCGTAGTAAGTCGCGCTGAACGTAAATACTGGGCAACAGCTTGTGCTGGTGATGGTTTAGATAGAGACGCCAGTAGATTAGTAGTTTCAAGGGAAGGCGGGGGATGAGTCGAGGCCACGGACATGGAATAGATGGATGCTGTCCCTCCATCCGATCGGGGAGAGCAGATGCTGGCGTTATCTGCGGAAATCGTCGACTGTCGTTTCACGTAGGAGGAAGGTGGAGGCGGTGGAGGTGTAGGTGCCGGTTTCATGGCGTTCTGGTTTCGGAGAGTTCTCTGAACTTCGTCAGCAACACTATCGATGGAAGATCGAGACAAAAGCTCCGCCTCTTCTTCAAGGGTCAGCGGTTCGGGGTCTGGCTCAGATTCTTCCACCAGTGTGGCATGGCCATGACTGTGCGCATAAGAAGATGAGCGTGTTAGGGATGCCCGAGACCGCAGCTGTGCTTCCGGAGGTGCGTACGCACGAATGATGTCGGATATGGAAGGTGCTATGCTTTTGGGACGTTCTTGAGATACTCCACCAACCGAGTCAGGAGAGATAGGACTATGCCTAACAGGTGGTGTGGGGGATGGCGCTGGAGATTCATCCTCAAGAGGAGGTGAAGGTGTCGCAGGGACAGATAGGGTGATGGTTGCGTTAGAACTGCTACGACTAGGCGCTAATCGTTTTGGACGTCGCTTGTGCAAAGAAGGGTACGGGACCAGCAGTCTCATCTTCCTCATCTCCCGAATAACTGGACCTATGGGCAGAAGTCTTGGAAGACTTCTTAGGCCTTCGAGCCTTGCCTCCACCGAGGACGATACCAGGCGGTGGAGTAGGAAGTGGCGGTTGATAGAGTGGATGATGGCCCGGAATTCCGAACCTAGCACGACTAGAAAAACTGGCGCTAATGATGTCCTCTCCTCCATTCATATTGTCCACCAATGCATCCATTGCCTCAACCGTCGAGACGGGGGCGGCAACCATGACGGAGAATTCTCGGAACGAAACGTTGTCTGAAGGCGTGTCGGGCGGTGTCTCCGTATGTTGCGTAGAAGAACCGGAAAAGCGATGAGCGGGAGTTGGATCGGCCCAGTTGGAGGCCTGGCGGGATGGCCCGGTCCTGGAACGAACTCTTGAATGGGGTTTTGAGGAGGATTGGGTATCTTGAGAAGGGTATAATGGGAAATCGGAAATTTCGGTGCTGGGAAAGTAATACGAAGACTGTTCCACCTTGGCTGATGGCCTGGTGCCTTTCTTGTCCCGAACAATCTGATCAGAGAAAGCGTTATCCTCTGGAGAGATAGGTGACTGTGGGGCAGAGGAGTGAGCTTCACGGCTCTTTGGCTTGGACAAGCGTGGTTGAGCCGTCTTTGGTCTCGGATATGCTTCAAAGTACGAAGGTCGTGAATGCGACGAACCAGAGGGGTCGAAATTGGAGCTGTATTGGTCGGAAGAGACGCTGGGCTTTTCCTTTTCGCGTCTCAAAGAGAGAAAAGATGCGCTTTTGCGAGGTAGACGGTGAGACGAACCAGTCCCTGATCCCAATGGCTGAGGACGCGATAGAACGGTGTGCATGGCGAAGAAAGAGCCTGTACGTCAAAAAGGAGCGTTCCGTTCTCCCTCACTAGAAGAAAAGAGATAATGAAAGGTCGAAGGAATGGGAGAAGAGGTCTGGTCGATGCGGCTCCGACAATGAGCGCGAACGCTTGAGCATAGGCTGAGAGAAATGGCAACGGCACAATTTTGCTCCAATAATGCCCTTTCCTATTTGGGCGATACGGCAGTAGTCTATCTTGTGATCATCTAAGATATCTATTCTTACTTACAGCCTGCAGGTACGGGCTAACAAGTCTGTGTATAACTTATACTGCTGTACTTCTGCTTGAATTAATATAATGTATGGCATCAAGAATGCAGTCTGTAACTCGGAAAGTATGCTACGTGATTCATCGAAATGTATAAAAAACCGGCCGTGACATGCGGAGAAGCTTCGAATTCCATTTATCCAGTGAACGATAAATGAATGCCTCGAAGAGACGATTCCTTTCGCACCGATATTTCTGTCAAGGCTGACCACCGTTGAAACGGAGGGTGATTCGTTCCGCTGGGAAGACCAAGCTCCCGAAGAGTAGACAATGTTGTCGAGCTCACAAACATAGCCCATTCTTCTGCCGTGATTCGGCTGCTCCTCCCAGTCACAACAAGCTCCTCTAATGTAGGGAAGCACCGTTCTATCGATTGCAATGTTGCAGGGCAAACAGGTATGTCGATAAGACAAAGCCGTGATAAGGAAATGGGGATATGACTTGGAAAAGACGATAAATCGAAAGGAAGTGGGTCATCGCACTGCATCTCGTAATGCAATTCTGCAATAGGATGAAAGTCCAGCATTGGCCGGATCTGTTCGTGGAAATCATCACTTCTCTCAGTTGTGACCCAGAGTTGTGTCAATGAAGAAGTCTCGTGAAGGAGGTGGGTCAAATGACCATTGGTTATACGGACAGTATCCAAAACGAGAGATGTGGCCCGTAGAGGATAAGGAACGGAGGGGAACATGATATCGAGGTCAAGATTCGAAAGTTTTAGGCTCTCCAGCCCAACAAACTTGAATGCAAGGACTTCGTCCCAGTCCAATGATGGAGGTGAGTGGAGTGATTCCTTCTGCGAGGTTCCGTCGACCCACAGTCGTCTCACGCAATGTGGATGCGACATCGCATTAAGGTACCTGTGCGCCGAGACCGCCAGTTCCCCGCCCAGTGTTACACATTCCAGACCCTCCAGACCCAAAATGAACCTGACGCTGGCCATTTGCTTCGTGGATGGTCGACCACATTCAGGCCAGCCGTCGCGAAGAGGGCGTATATCGATCCCCTTGACCATGGCGAGTAGGTGGTCACTTCTTTGAAGCGTTTCGGCCAGGAGGGCGCAAGAACGATAAGACAGGAGAACAGGGATGGCATAGAGTCTCTTCCTGATGGCATGTAGCCAAGAGAAAGACACGGTGGAGAGAGAGAGAAGGTCCTGAGGCCACCAATCATTACTATTTTCGAGTATGACAGGGATGAGATCGTCCACAAGCCGTGGACGCTGAGCTTGCTCAACGACGACGGTCATCTAAACAGTTAAGGCCGAAGGGGTGGAAGGGTACACGGAACAGAGAAGGAATCTGCGAGTGTTCGACCTTGAGAGTTACGGCAAGACCAGCTGTGATGGCAGAAGGAATGGTACCGAGAATGATAATGGGTCATAGGTTGGTCTTGTGACCGGAATATCCGGTCCGTTGGCGATCATCGTCGTGGGGGTCCTTCAAGTTGCCTTCAAGTTAACCTTCAAGTTCCCATTTTTCTCACCTACGACTGGTACGGGTGCAATATGAATGTAGATCAACAACAACATTACTCAGAGCAATTTGGCATCTCAGTTTGCAAGATTATCACAGGCATGTGCTATGTATACACATTAAACATTGTTGTTACATATTGCTTTGGCTACCAGTCTTGATATTTTACAAGATCTCGACAGCTCATCATATTCATTTGCCTGATCGCCTTTCGAAAGAGATCGTGCTTGTATTAATTCTCAAGTCGGATATCAACCTGCTTAATAGTTATGCTACTGGAGTTGAGACGATATCGATTCTGGTACCACCTTGACATGTCGGAGATCGTGTCCTTGGAAACATAGTTTTGCTTGCTGTAGTAAATCATTTATACTTAGATGTTACCTGCTCTCAGTCGCCGATAGCTGTCTGATATCTAGCTGCCCAACGGTTTAATGCACGATGACGCTTCTGCTGTGGTCTATGATTAATCCATCCACTAATCCAACTATACTTCGCCCTCTGCAAGTTGAAAGATTTACTACAGAATACGACAACGCTTCCAACTACTACCCTCTTCCTATAAACAATTGCATTTAACAGTTGTATTAGAGTGAAACAGTCTTCTGGTCTACATCCACTCCTTGCACCCCGAATATTAGCGTGCGCTTGAATGGGTTGGTTTTAAAATGATGCGATGCACCACTAACGAAATTTTGGTTCTAGCGACCCTGCGAATTCTGTTTTCAGGTGACTTGATATTATTTAACTTGAAAATTTCTACATATCATTATGGCTTTGCGACGACTTGTTTTTGATCATAATGGTCTAGCCTTTCCTGGGTACACTGATGCGTTATGCCGATGATGTTCTCGTCCCCTGGATGTATTGTAACATTCACAGGGTTGAACAAGAGTATACATTTAGGGGAATTGGAATTAGCAGCGCGTGGGGACGCGTAATTCATTAGCTGTGACGTGTGACTGGGCCACTTAACACATGCTTTAAAGCAGTACTCCTCCCACTGGCAACGAACGCGTACACAACTGAACTGAACAGCGATGACCGTCGTGGCACCCTTGTACACTCTTCCTATCTCCGAGCGACCTCGACAGCCATGGCGTCGCACCTTCTCTGCTGTATTATTCTTTCTTGTATTCAATCTCGGCTGCCTTATGGACAACGCCTCTCAATTTGTGTTCTTGCTACCTCTTCGGCTCCTTCCTTTTGGGTGGTCCAGAGCACTGTACGTGGATGGCATCCGGTATACCAAGGGCGCATTCGGGTGTCTCCTCAGTACGTCCCCTAATCGCCACCTCCAATGCATCTTGGCGCTTAGCGTACACTGCAGTCCTGATGTGCCAGTGGTTTGCCCCGACAAAGCTCATTGTATCATTCGAGACAACGGGTATGGGCTGCTTCACTCCGGAGGACATTGATCGTATCGTCGTAAAGGATAAGAAGGGTGATGTGGTGTCCTTGAACCTGCCTACCAAGTTCGTCATGATAGCCAATCATCAGGTCCGTATTGGCTCGTCCTGCCTGCAATTCTTTCTGACGAGAATTCCAAGATTTACTTGGACTGGTTGTATGAATGGTGCTTGTTGTATTTCATCGGGCCTCAAGGGGTTCACCGATATGTGTACATTACATTAAAGAAGAGCCTTCAATGGATTCCAGTCGTCGGATGGGTACGTCATTTACAGTCGAATTCATGTGGATTTAATGAAATTGCAGGGCATGCAATTCTTCAATTTCATCTTTCTCGCGAGGTCGTGGGCATCCGACCGAGTACAGCTATCAGCTAGCCTTTCCGCATTAGGATCTGAGGCTGAAAAGCAGGATAATCCACTGGCGTTCATTCTGTATCCAGAAGGAACACTCGTTAGTCAAGACACGAGGCCTATTAGCAAAAAGTTCGCCGATAAAATGGGAATTGTGAAGGCGTTCCTTGTTGATAGACGGCCCGAAACTAACTGGTATTTGCCTTAGGCTGATATGACCCATACGTTACTGCCTCGGTCGACTGGACTGCACTACAGTCTGCGTTCATTATCGCCGCGCATACCGGACCTCCGTTTGATAGACGTCACAGTGGTATACCCAGGTGCGTGGCCGTTGTTGTGAACGCAAGTGCAGGCGAAGAACATCCAGCAGGTATACCTCCTTTGCATTATGGACAAGACTTTTATACCCTGCGTTCTGTGTTTTTCGACGGTATCCCACCTCCCGTGATTCACATGCACCTCCGGATGTTTGATGTCGCGCGGGAGGTACCGATTGGCGATCTATCGGGGAGCAATCCTGGGGTGTCCCCGAAGACGGAGCCTATGGTCGAGGTGGATATACCCGAGAGAGAAAAGAAAGGGTTTGATGAATGGCTGAAAGGGCTCTGGAAGGAGAAGGACGACTCAATAGGAATGTTTTACGAGGCCAACTCGTTTGCCCGTGAAAAAGTGGCGCAGGTAGAAATTCCTCTTAAGCTGCGGCGGAAGCGTGAAATGCTTGATGCATTTTGTTTCTTCTTACCGGCGGCCGTAGGTTGGGCATGGGGGAAGTGCAAGAGATATTAAACGTATGTAAGACGAGGGATACAATATACTAGATGTAGCATAAGTGTACCGAGATTTGGAATGCTACTCGGATTCTCGTCTGTTTTGGAGGCTTTTGATTAAGAAGAGACTGGTGTCCAAGAACCGATCCACACAATTGGTCAGACAGGAAGCTTCGGCGGAGGAAAACTTGTTGGACGGCGTGGAAGTGATGCACCTGAAGATAGGGTTAGATAGGAAAGATGGAAGAAAACGGGCATGAATACTTGTCCCAACACATGGTCGTGAGGTTGTGTATGGTGGTATGCAGCTTTGCATTTGCTTGTTCCCTGGTCAGAAAGGCATCTAGCTCGCGCTACAATAAAATAAAATAAATAACAATGTGGACAGAACAAGCTAATGAGAAAAAAAAGGCATACCCTTGTGGCGGCATCGAAGGCAGAGTCAGCCATGAGTTGTGGCAGTGCCGGAGAATTGCAATTGATCATTCGGGCAATTGCTTAGTCATTGTGTAAATTTGCCTCCGCTTTTCCAGATCCGAGTGATCAACGAAAAGACAATTTTAGTAGATTATCTCGGAAACCGGTCGAACAGGTTAGGCCGTCGTCCAGGCTGGTTAGCGCTTTAGCTGCCTTTAGGGTTCAGTCTGGTTCTCCAGCAAAGGTCCACCTAGAAATCCTTATTACTCGTCGCTGCATGGCCCAATGCGCGTTCTTGGTCTCGTAGCCGCGCTGCCACCGTTCAGCCTCTGTCAATTCGATTTCCCCCCTTCTCGTCGTCGTCGTCGCTTTACTGCCTTTCTTTTTGCTTTATAGCTCGTCGAGGCCTTCGTCGGAGGCCTTCTTCATCCAGTTCCGGCCCCTGCGCATCTCCCTTGCCTCTTACACGTGAGGCTTCTCTCACCGTCCATCTTTACGGCCCAAACTTTGTATTCTCATCTGCCGCGTGTGCCTTCTTGCCTCGTGTCACTTCCTGTTCTTTCTTCATGGCATCCACATCTGCTCCTCCTCCATCCTCCTCATCTTCGTGGCCCCCAGATCCAATTCCTCCGTATGTCCTTTGTTTTTGTTTCCCTCATCTTCCGTATTTTTCGGCTCACGAGTCCCGTCGTAGCGTCGGTTACCTTAGTCGGAAGGCCCTTCCCATTAAACGTAATGACGCAGAGTCTCTCACGCGCGAGGACGTGCAGTACGATCTCCTCAATCATATTTTCTCCGACCATACTGCCGTCTTCACTCCCCAGACTCCTGGAAAGGCCTCCAAACTCGCCTTCAAAGATCTCTACATCAATGCCCTCTACAACTCGAGCAAATGCTCAAAGGTCCTGAAAGAGAAGATGGTCGAGACCCCCGCCTTCGCTCTCGAATTCGCCAAGATATGCCTCCTCACTAATGTCGGAAGAATAAACACCACAATGGCCTGTAAGCTTCCTATACCTGTCTTTGATCTAAATTGATCTGACCATATATGTGTTGTAGTCTTTCCAGAAATGAAAACTGCTTTGCGAACATACCACCCCGTTCCCTCACTCCAAAAGACCGACGGAAATGCTCAAGATGCACCGCGTATTAAGAATTGTCTCAAGGCCGCGTTACTCCCATCTGAACTCAAAACTTTGCCTCCTTCCAGCCCGGACGAGATTCTTCTCAAACTGGTCCGTGGCTGTTTTAAACTCGAGCATGTGTTCGGCTGCTGATTCACTGAACTTGTTAGCGATCGGGGAAACGACCTCCGACGAGTGTCGTAAACTTGGTCTTTGTTCTGTCCAATCATGCGGCCGTACGTTCAGTTTCTTGGTTCTAGAACATCTGTTCACTCGATATCTTACAGCCTTTGGCCCGCGTTCATTTCGATGGAACAGTTAACTTTTTAGATTTCTTTCTGCCCAAGCCGTTGGCCTCTGCAGATCGAGCTAGAGCTTTTCTATGGTTTATGTATCACTACCTTGAATCCCCTGCAGGTCCTAATCCTTTCGATGACGATTATTCGCGGAAGCACCCCAATATGGCACCGTATCTGCGGCCGTTGAGCCAAAGAGAAGCTTCGAGGGAGAATGTGGACACCGAGGACGAGATCATATGGGGAAACATGATGTCGAACCAACGGAACATTTTCCTTCACAAATTGGTCTCGTCGATGGAAAGTGATAAAAAGGCAAAGCCTGCGGCACCACACTTCGTTCCTGGTAACATCTCGCCTTTTTACGTACTGGGTTTTGAGCTGACTTTGCTGTCCGCAGCCGCGCCAGAGGCGACACCCTCGATGGGACATCGAGCAGGTCAAGAACCTAACCGAGACGAAGCCCCATTCATGTTTTACGTCCCAGGGCGTGAGCCGACGCCATCGCGCGAGGTGAATGAGCAAGGTGAGTTCTATCACGTCCGTTCGCACGGCAGACGATTATACGCCTCTCACAGACGCCCCATTGTTACTTCCAGATCCCCATCATAGTCGTCGACATCAAACAGAACCACACCAGCAAAATCAGCCCCCAGTGGCCCCACCACAGTATATTCGACACCGTCAACCACCTCAACAGCAGCAACCCCTGCCACGACACCACACGATTCCCATCATGCCCCGGTCCCATACTCGTACCTATAGTGCACCTATTTCGAGGCAAGAAGAAGGTCGATCAATCGTTCAGCGTAAGTGATGGAGCCACCTGGCAATCTCAATGGCATTATGATTGATGTAATACAGAGGCCTTCCATATGGCTCTAAACTCCGATCCTTTACTGGACTCGGATGAAGAGAACGCGGACGACAATCTCCGGGTAGACTATCGTGCGTTTCCCCCCCCTGACCGTGACATTACCGTCATTGATAAATGAATTGCACAGGACGGCGACTTGACGTTCTCACACGCATAAGAGGAAGACCTCCCACGCCTGATCCAATTCCACCGCAAGAACAGCACTTTTACAGTGCAAGGCTCCCATAAACACGTGTATTTATATTGCAATCATCACTGCGCATATGCACTGTAAATCGTATGTTGTATGGCATGGATGGACGATCTAAAAACTTGGATTGATGAGTGTAGAAACATCATGTTGCATTGGACAATTCTATTCTGTATTAATAATACTAGGACCTGCCCGTAAACCAGTACAACACCGGTTCAACAGTACATAAGCGCCGCGCCCTGCTAAGTACTAGGTTATATGAATAACAGTCTTGTCCACATGTCATCGATAATGGAGGTAACGAATGTCCGGTTGTGAGGATACAAACTTGTCACAAGTAATAGTAAAGTAAAGAGTAAATAGAAACACAACAACGAAGACGGGGCTAATATTATACAATGTGCGAAGAGAGAAGAAAAGGGAAATAAAGACGTGACTCCTCGAAATCCCAAAGAACGAAGATAAAAGTGACGTAAAGAACGTAGTAGTAATACTTGAAGAAGAGTCCTAGAATCCGCCTGGTAAGAGAAGAACTGGATGCTCGAAACCAGACCGGGGTTTGCTTGGGGTAAGATCAGCAGGAGCACTGTGGCGTCTCCACTTTCTTTCCTCTGAGTCCATATCTTGTGCACCAATGGAAATTTCCGTTGGTAGGGTTCGACGGCGAAGCGTGGAAAGCATGTCCTTCGCTCGACGCTCCCGCGAATCTAGAGCAAGAAGATTGGACTCAGATAACTGTGTTTGGGATACGCGTGCCGTGCGGGGAACCCGAATGGTCTTGATTTCGAGAGCGGGAGAGCTGAGAGATGTAGGCGGGAGGGAATTCTTTTGCTCAGTAAACGATGTTCGGGAGGTGTTGACTGGCATCTGAAGTCTACCAACAGACAATGTGGGGCGCTCTACGACAATCGCAGGTTGACGTGGCTGGGTCAAAAAGGCAGGGAGTCTGTTAGCACGACCGTTGGAATTGCCCTCAGAGCTGGGAAGCCTCTGTGTGCTAAGACGGGCCGAAATCTGATCCAAAGATGGTAAAGGCATCGGGGGTTGGGGTTCATGAATAGCAGTCATGGCGGGTCCACTGCTCGTGAGGCCATCCTTGGGTGGACTCGGAAGTCGGAAATCCACCTGTTCAATCCAAGGTTCTCTCGGATACGTCAAGGGACCAGTCCCAGATTTATCGTTATTTAAGGAATCAAAGAGTGCAAGAGGTGACACGAGACCTGGAGAAGGAAGCGTATAATGGAAAATGGCGGGAGACTCTGGTGGTGTCTTTGGAAGAGACGTTGCCGTAGGCGACGGCGGCGCAAGGATTTTAGACAGAAAGAGCGCCCGGCGTTCAACTAGAAGGTAAGATTAGTATGTTGTATTTGTTCTAGTGACGCGATAAAACATACATTGCTTGTTCCTATGTGCCTTCAGAGCGACCTCCTTGCGAAGGTCAGTCTTCTTCGCACTCGCAGCTTTGTTCCTCTCCCTCGATGCCCTCAGCAATGCTTCAAAGCGACCACGCTCCAGACCCTTTCCTGACACTGGCGCCTCCAGAGGACGAAGCGGGGACAATTGCCTGACGAAGCGCCCGTTGGCCGGTGGTGGGCTCAGATGACTGGGCCTGAAGCTATCTTTCTCGCCATCAGGAGAGACCGTGGCCCATGCGAAGGGAGAAAAAGGCTCTTCCGATTCTTCCTGCGGCGGTGCAGGAGATATGGATATCTGTGGAAGGGGTACAGCGATAGCCATGACAAAAGAACGTATAGGTCTGCTTGAATACAAAGGTAGGCGACCAGCACCGGCGTAATCTTCTAGAGAATTGCACTGGCGAAGGAAGGAGAGGAAAAGATGGCCCTTAGAGGACAAAAGAGTAAGAAGAGAAAGATATCAAACTGCACGCACGCAGGCTGGCTGCGAACAAAACAATTTCCAAGTTGAGCTCAGCTGCCATTAAATATTTATCTTCGGCATGTCCTCCTTAGCAACCTTCTCCCCGCTCTACATCTCGCCAATGTATCATCCGTTCCCCTTGCGACTACCTATACCGATGCTTGGATTCAATCTGATCCTTCTGTATATATATCCTGATCTCCGGAACTGCTAGCACATATGAGCACTACTAGCAACATCTAAATGAACCTCATCGGGGTGTCGGTTACAACCATCAGTACATCAGAACGTTTATGTCTTGGCATCGTCCACAATATTTGTCTGCTGACTTTTCAACAATTCAAGCCGTATTTTACTGTCTAAAAACCTTCTAAAACCACCTCATAATTTGTCTACAGCTTAGTCGCTTCGACGGCCTCTGCAACTTTCTTGTCAAAAAGCGCCTTGGCCTCAGTCCACACTCGCGCGGCCTCCCGGTCAGGGAACTGTAGCAAGGAGGGAAGAAGGTCCGAACTGAACTGCTCCGAAGCTTCTCGTGGAAGCAAGGTAGGCAAGTGATCAATAGATATCACGGACAGAGGCGGATTCTCATCCCTGGAAAGATTGAGGGGGTCAGGATACCATATCTCGTGGACGTATCCATACATAAACTTACCCAACATCGACAGGTACTGTGGGTGAAGAGAACGTCGTATTAATCGTGTATATGGGAATTGGGTTGAAGGGGTTGGTAGTATCACAGCTGACATCGACAACGATCGACAACCGGCGACCTTTTCCGGCAGAGATGATTTGTTCACGAGTCAAGAACGAGGGAATTTTGGAGCTGAGATAGATACAGTTGACGAAGATGTCGACGTCAAGAATCTCGGGGAAGGGGCCACCCTTGGCGGTTTCCTCCATGTCCCACTTGAGAATATCGTCCCTTGATGAGAAAGTCAGTCCTAGCGACAGAACCGTAAGGATATGCATACTCGTCTAAACCAATCTTCCTGAAGAGGTCAACCGCGCCGCGTCCACACCGTCCCAAGGCGCCAATGACCAAGGCCTTGACACCCTTGCCACTACCACCCAAAGCGGTCTTGACAGTGCTTATCATCGCATCTTCATTTTCGAAAGGCTTGAGAAGACCAAGCTTTTCGCCCTTTCTCTGCGACGCCACCGCAAGGGCACCAGCAGCAGCCCCTGCGAAGCCAGCGTGGTAACCAAAGGCCGCGACCCGTCGGCCATTGGCATCATTCAAGAACTCTAGGTCGTACAGGGCTCCTCCACCTCTTTGGAAACGCGACAATACATCAATCCACCCAGCTTGTTGCTTGTAACAGTGAGCAAACTGGATATGAGTATGTGGGAGGGGGTCTGTGGACACGGGGAGCTCTTTCAATCCAATGATTGGTATGTTCACTGGCGCTGATGGCCAAGTATTGTTATCCACTAGCTTGCATCCAACACTATCACGGTAGTGAGTTACGTGGGTACAAAAATACAACATCTTCACTAACGCTTCGTATTCAGAATCATCGAAGATACGTTGTTCGTCTCTTTCGACAAATATTTCGAACCCGGCATCGATGAGCTTTTTGGATGTAGTCGGCGTCAGCGCAGCTCGGCGCTCGAACTCCTTCTTTTCGCAGCGAAGCCAGAAGCAGGGCTTGGACATTTTGGATGAGATGGTAAACGATTAAGGAAAAAAAATATGACTCGAAACAGTCTTGGATTTCAATCTGTTGTGCCACGCGAGATACGTCGCCCTATTATGGTCAAGAGTCGTCGGCAACGCCCGATGGCTGACCTCGACTCAACCCCATCGTCCAGTACAAATACAGCTTCAAGCATAGAACAAGACGCCAATAGTGTCAAAGTTCGTGGAATAATTTGCTAAGTGATGATTCTTTTCATATCTTACTTGCAGAAAAGTCTTCGATACGCGGAGGAACTGAAGCTTGAAGGAAACGATCACTTTCGCCAGCACCAATGGAATGAAGCCCTCGTCGCCTATCAATCTGGACTTGGTCATCTTCCAAAGCGCAAAAAGAAGAATGTTTCCGAGTCGCCAGAGGATCTTTTATCAAGCACGGAAAGTGATCGAGACGAGGAGACCAACGACAAAGTGGAGTTAGCCGTAACTCCCGACAACACAGAGGCAGAGGCAGACACAGATACAGAGACGGACAGAGAGTGTGCCAGAGCACGAGCAGTGTTGAATGCAAATATAGGAGCATGTTTCGTGAAAATGGTGCGTTCTTATCTAAATAATCATATTGGTGAATATCTAGCTCACGCAGAAGGATAACGTCAGAGCGAACTTAAGCAAGCCGTCGAGGCATGTTCTCAAGGTAAATCTCCCTGTACTTTACCAATACAAGTTGTTGCTAACACTCATTATTTCAGCACTCATCGATGACCCCAAATATATAAAGGCACTTCAACGACGCGCCGCATCTAATGACCAAATCGGTTCTTGGGCCTCGCTTGCTTCTGCACAAGAAGGTATGATGCCTAATTTTTGGAAATTTAGCACCTTAATGATACGTTCCGAAAGATTATAACGCGCTTCTCAAGCTCTTGCCGCCAAATTCTCCCCAGATCAAGGAAACAGAGCGAAACTTGCAGCGTCTGAAACCTAGATTAGATGATACGCAAAAGCGAGAAACAGCAGAAATGCTAGACAAACTCAAAGGCCTTGGCAATAGTGTCCTAGGTGCGTCGAACCTTGCGATAGTAAATGCTGTACTAAGACCCGAACTAAAGGAAAATTCGGTCTATCTACTGACAATTTCCAGTTTGTACCTAACGGACAAGGTGGATATAACATGAATTTTTCAAGATGATCGGTCATTCATATCGCGGGCGGGTACTAGTGAGCATGTAGGCTATTAATGGCTTAATTGTAGATTAGGCGCGTGTTGTTCACAGTTATGAAATCGTTTACTTCACCACAGGACGGATGCTTTGCTGCTCCAAGCGAGGCGAGTAAGCCTGGAACGCACCGGACATTGTAAACCTGTATCAGAAGCTTAGACAGCCTCCAGTAACTAATCTCTGGCGCAGAGTGGAAGATTCTCAGTCCAGATACGTTACAGGGTTATGGTATATCGTAAAGCCTCTCAGTGGCTGGATCTGCATGTGGAGCATGAGGAAGAGAAAGCGCCCTAAGATCGACAGACTCGCCTTGGCTCGCACCTTGCCCTGTATCAAGGCTATTGGAACAGGCCCATAACTCCGTGAGTCGCGCGAATGAGAAAAATTGTCTCCACTAAGCCAGACATGGCCGCTGGGAACAACGACATGCTCGGTCGAAGGAGCCAGCTGCCCGGTGGGATCAACACATATGACATCGCCAGGAAGCCCAATTATCCGTTTGCAGACAATGCGAAGCGGATCTAACGGGGATTTGGCTGTTACCAGGTCGCCGCGAGAAATTTCAGTAAATCGCAAGGATAAACGATCTTCTATAACAACATCATCGGCAACGGCCAAGGTTGGCAGCATCGATGGACCACCTGTCTGTTGAAACAAATCAGAAAGGCGGTACATAACAATGTCATAACATACAAGTGAGGGCCGGCCAACAAAGTCGAAGAACAGATGCGCTGCACAGTAGGTGTTAAAAACCTGGCTTGTTAGTTGCAAAGGACTCGTGGGTCACATCTATACTTACATGCAAGAGTCCTTTCCCAACGACTTTAGCTTGATACGACCGGCTTCGGGACCTGAAATGGTGATAACGATCCCAATAATTGTAGTATCTCCTCAAGAACAAATTCTTGAGAAATTGCATGAAGACATAAGTCGAGTATCACGGTCAAGCTGAGGGCAGTGAGGGGAAAGTGAGAGCAGTACCATGGCGATTGCAAATGCATGGCAATGATCTGAAAGTTCCCACGGACACTTTGATGTCTTCTTTCAAGAAAAAGGTCTCATCCAAGCACGTCGCCTTGCCTGGCACGCGTCTGTCGCCAGGATCCACGTCTACTACCATCACATCTACCGGTATACCTTCGTTAGACGATCTCCTAGGCGGTGGCTTGCCTTTATCGTGTTCACTCCTCGTGCAAACGTCCGATCCTCATTCATCCTACGGAGAATTGGTGCAGAAGTATTTCATTGCACAGGGTCTTGCCACTCGTCAAAATGTCTGCGTTATCTCGGAGAATGCGTTGAATCTTGTCCAGGGTTGTATGTGGCTGCCGAACTCTGGGAACATTCAATATAACTCTCCGGAGCCCGTAAATACAATCAACATGAATGATGACGAGGATACCGGCCAATCTACAGACGAAAAAATCAAAATTGCTTGGAGATATGAACAGATGAAACCATTCCAGACTACGGTCCCGTCATCCACTCTGTATGTGAGTTTTTCGAGGGATTGACTGAATGTGAGACTGATTTTTCGTGGTACAGATCTGGAACCGAGGAATTCTGTTCGACATTTGATCTGACCTGTCGCATACCGAATTCAATTATCAACAGTGCTCTACACTCAGGGCAACTTTCGTTGTTCGATGTAGGTACCGTCGGCATGGACGATGTGTCAATCCCATGCTCTACTTTAGTACTCCGCCAAATCGAGAAAGTTATTAGGGCAGGATCTCCGTCAACACCCCTCCGGATATGTATTGAAGCCTTAGGGTCTCCCGAATGGGGGGATGTGAACAGTAGAGTAAACGCTGAACTATGTCACTAAATTCTTCGACCTTTTTGACCAGCTTTCTTAGGTCATATTACGATTTTTGCATCGTTTTCGGACACTTTTGAAGAGACATCCCCATACATGTGCCTCAATCAACCTCCCATGTCATATTTCGAGGCCGTTCTGGGATGGTCCAGGCTGGTCCCAAAAGCTTGGATGGTTTGTTGACGGTTCAATTACTTTGTCCGCGTTTAGTGGTAAGCTACGTCTCTCCTAGACGTATTTCATTGCATCAAATTCAACATTCCTTGCAGCCAATCCAGCTTTGACTGCGCTCTCTCCTTCTCACCATGGCCTCGTCGAGATCCGCAGTCTACCGTCGCCACACACGTTACTTTCACCCAGTGACAAATTTTCCACGTTACGTGGACTATCATCATCCGCTACGTCTTCTGGGGGTGGCGGAGAGAATAACCTCGCATTTAAGTGCACGAGGAAGCGGCTGGTATTCGAAACGTTGCATCTTGATGTTGAAGGGGGTGTCGGAGAACGGCGGACAACACCCTCCACCGGAACAGTCATGCAAGGTGTCATGAACCATGATACTCGTGATCAGCCTCCACTTACGAGAACGGCAGTAGCAGCCGTAGATGTACACTTGGAAGATGATCTGAAAGTCCCAGTGGCCTCTTCAATCACGCCCACAATTCAGATGGAAGGCTTCGCGGTGGCAATGGCACAGAATTCATCAATGATGGACACGTCGAGTCCCATGAGCGGGGAGGTCTCTGCGAAGGGAAAGAAGCCAAAGAAGAGGGTTGCGTTCCAGTCAGACCGACCAGACCTGTATGACTTTTAAGCTCATCTCATGTCGGGCATCCGCAGTATGCGGGATTACAGCTTGAATGTTGCCGGTAACCATCAATAATATATCTATCAGGTACGGTTCGGGGAGTGTAATGGTGGCATCTGAAGTATTTGAATGAGTGTCTACGGAAGCATTCGAACCCTGAATAAAAGACGCGGTAAGGCGCTGTAAGGCGGAGAACAAGAGACCCTACGTCCATCGTTATGCCGTATTTTTATAAAACACATACACAGGGGGTGGAGGTGGATAATTGATGTGTTAATAGCCAACAGATGGGTAATAGTCATCTGGAGAAATACGATCTAGGAGTTGTGAAGGTATAATGAAATGCTTCCGGCCCGGGGGCGAGTCCCTTGAATGCGAAGGCAACTAACTAACCAGGAGTCACGACAGTTGGATCTCTGACAGGCACCCCCTTATGTAGATGTTTGGGTTTGGGTTCGAGAGGCCCTCGGTATTTCATGACGACGAAACGGAAGCTTGTCATTGCCATTGACGGCATGATATAGAAAAGATCCTGTAAGGGTTATGTACAGGCCGGGAGAAGGGATACGGCTAAACAAACCGAAGGCAAAAGATGGCAAAGCAAAGCCTGCTTAGCTGATCCTTGGCATTGGTTTAGCACAAGGTTATTGACGCCTTCCGCGGTCTAAACGTCCCCTGCAGCTAGCGCACGAGCAGAACCGATAGTGAAGCCGAAAAATGGATCCGACGGCAGAAAAAGGAAATAACTCGGCGTGAGTGCCACCAGAGATTCCAGAATTCGAAAGAAAACATTGACGACAGGACAAGCGAACACTGGCACCGTCTACCGCCTCCACTGGTCCCATCTGCCGAGCTAACGGACGCGACAGCGCGGATACTTAAACTGGACAAACCGCTGCCACCGATGCCCTTGGAAGGGCAGAAAGAGGAAACGTTCCGAAGGTCATGGATGGAAACGGATAGAGAAGACGAGACCGGCAAACGAGGTAAGTGCTCGTATTCGGCATCAAGCATTCTGGGGACAACCGGATGAAGCCCAGAGAGGCAAAGTAGAGCAAAGCAGGCCAAAGACTGATCCCAACTGATCCATGCGACGCTGCTGTTTTCCAATTTTGGTGCTCACCCCTGCCTCACCTTACTTTCTCTTCTCTTCCTTCCCTCATGTTATCCTCGCCGCTGACTCTTGTCGACCTCCATAATCCAGATATTGACCCTGACTATATTCGTGCACCATCGTCGACCGCAGTCTCTTCACCATCGTTGAGCTCGAGCTCAAATACCTATGTTCGTCGCGCTCAAACTGCTTCCTCTCCTATCGAGCCGGACTGGTCCCCGAATCTCCGTTCAAATATCTCACAATCTACTAATCTTTCAGAATCAATAGTATCTCTTAATTCCCCAGCATCTCCCAACTTTTCTGGTCAATCTTTTCACCAACATCTCACTCGTTCTGTCTCCGACGGAGAGCCCTCATTCACTTCGGATTCCGGTCGTTCGCGCTCTTCAAAGTCCTTGTTTCTACCAGATCCTTCACATTTCCCCGACCCGTATCCGTTTCGCCCACCCCATCACCATTTCGTCTCTCCACCCCCAGGCCTTTCTGGTACGTCTCAGGCACTCAATTGCCTCGCTTTACTCTATGCTAACCCTCCCTAGATTCTTCTTCGTCAACCCGATCATCGGGCTACACGAGTTCAGGAAGTACATTGCTCTCAGGTGATTTCGTTCACGTCGCGTCAGGGGACGATGAAAGTGCCGCGGGAAGAATTATATCTGATTCTGTCGTGCAGCTGCTGGGCAGCGATGTGGTTCTATCTGCAGCTTCGCCAGGAATGCATCCCCGCGTCCCTGTAGCACATGCAGAGCGCTCAACAAGATGGTCCGAGGGCAGTTTTAGATCCCGTTCCTCCTCTGTTGGCAACAACATTCCCACCCACAACCACGACCATTTTGTTCCCAGGTTGCATGAGAAGCCTAGTTACGACATGGGATGGCATACCGTCGACGAAAGGGACGAAATGGGCATGAGTGAGGAAGATACGGATGATGATCAGGCCCTTGACGACGAGTATGACGAAGATGACAAGGAAGAAAGGACGTCGGCTGCTGTAATTGCTGACGAAGGTCGTGGGTTAATTGTTCATGGCGATAACGTCCCTCTCGCGCAGTTATCGGTCCAACCAGGTCTGTCTTCCTTCAGTGATCCAGAGACCTTGTTCAATTAACATGTTGTAGGGACTACCCATCTTCTCGTTGGGTCATCTGGTAATCCGAACGCTATGCCTGCTTTCCTGACGAACAATATCCCCCAAATCTACAACACCCTTTTGGCCCTGGATATCTCAGCCAACTTCCTCGGTGCTCTGCCTCCAGTTCTTGCGCTATGTGCTAATTTGGAAGAGCTCAATATTGCATCCAATCCACTACGCGTTTTACCGGTCTTTCTAGCGGATTTGTTAAATCTTCGAGTCCTCATCGCCGATTCGACTGGCATAAGTACCCTCCCAGAACCACTCGGGGATCTCGATAAATTGCACACCATCAGCGTCCGCAGAAATAAGATGCACGCACTTCCCAGTTGGCTTTGTCTGTTGCCAGCATTGCAGACTCTCTGTGTCGACGGAAACCCTTTCCAAGGTCCATGGAAAGCACTCGTAGAACCGTTGCTGGCAAAGACCCCAACGACGCCCGTATACCCACTTTCTACCCCGGTGTTCCCATTATCTTCAGCCAGTACCCAGAGTGGTACCGAAACGGACGGCACGGACGGTGACGACTTCTCCGGTTCACCCAGCGCAGTCTCGCCTGCACCTGCACCATTCAATTTACCTCTGGAGGAAGAAGAACAGACGATTACTCCTGCTAAAGGACCCTTCTTGGTCCATGCCAACTCTGCCTCCTTGCCATCCATCTCGGGTGATTCTCAGCGGCCTTTGGTGAGAACGCGGACAACACCCAATCGTTCTTTTCACAGCCAAAATCGAGCCAGAAGTACAGGTCCCGCATTGGAAGAATCTCCGGGTGCTGAGCTGCTTGAACAGTCAGATGATGCAGGGTACTTTGGTGATCATGAAATACGGAAGATGAAAAGTGCAGGGGACCTCCGCAGGGGCGCGTCCGCTGCCCCTTCATTTAATCCAGAACTCCCTGCGAATACGTTAACAAGGCCTACCATTGACTCATTACGCTACATCGGTATCGAGTAACAACCTCTTGGCGAAGCCCGGCCCTTCCGACCGTCCTATTACGAAGCGCTTTGCCAGTCTTGGAGCCTCAACAACCCTAGGAAGTCCCCCACGCAGCGCGTCGAATGGCTCAAGACCCGCTCTTACTGCCTCACTCTGGGACAATATTTCAGAGGACGATGACCAACCTTATGACTCACATAATCGGGTGTCTTTTGTCCCGGATAGCACGTCATCACCCAAACTCGCAAACGACGACCTGAATGGTAAAGCCACCGTTAGACCGCGTCCTCCTAAAGATAGCAAAGAGAAAGGGAGTCGATGGGGGTTCTTGAAGAAAATGTCGATGGGGAAAATGAAGATCGATTCTCCATCACGTCCCTTCACCGCACATTCCAGTTCCGGAGTAACGCCTAGACCTTCCAACGGCATGCAACCCTTGTTCCATCGCACGAGCAAATCCCCTCAAATTGACGTGCGGTTTTCAACGACAGGAAACTTGGATGCTTTCACCCCTCCGTCTATATCGACGTCCGCCCCGTCTTCTGAACCTCCCGCCCACGAATTACCGTCAACGAACAAATTAGCACCCCCTTCTCTGGCGTCCTCGTCTACCCTTCTAGCGCCACCTTCCCCCGCCCCACGATCTAGCAAGCGCCGAAGCTTCCTCCCATTTGACACTCCAATCTCCCTCACTATCCCAGAGCCGTCATCATTCATTCCCGGCGTGACAGCCACAAACGACGACGATCCGGAAACACGGATAAGGTCCCCCAGTCCTGTCATCGATCACGAGAAGCTTCTGCGGCGCGAAGAAGAAAGGGCACGGGAGGCGTACATGAGGGCTCTTCGTTCAGTCATGGCGTATCTGAAAGACATGAATGATCTGGGAACCGTACAACAACCTATGGCAACGAATATCCCTGGTTCTGAAGAAACCATTCCTCGGTCACGACGCCCTACTATTGTGGAAAATGGCCGGGAAGTTTCGATGGCGCTAAGTGGAACCACAGTTGTCTCATCAGATTCGGGCCAACTACGGTCAAGCGAATCGATAGCAGGGATGCGAAGTGGGGGTGCGGCACAGACGCTCAGCGTCGCAACAACAGATAGTGGGTCATCCGAAGAACGTGTGTATAAGGATGACAAGGGCAAACGAGCAATGGTCATTCGTGAAATCGTCGCGTGCGTTATATATCTTGTTTCATTATGACTTTCGCACTAATGAATCTGTAGCACGGAACGGACAGTATGTGAGGGGACTGCAGGAACTCATGGATATCTACATCAAGCCGGGTTGTGCCCCTGTCAATATGCTTACTGGCGGCTCCAGTAAGGAAACGGTCGTTCCTCCATCAGAGCGAAAAGTCGTTTTCAACGGGGTGGACGCACTATTCTCCTTCCACAAAGAGAGTTTTCTACCGTCACTAGAAGTCGCAGCAGCGCCACTCATGAAGCCCAAAGCAGATCAAGACGCAGACGCTGATGGACAACTCTCATTGAATGTAGCTAAGGCTGTTGGTAATATTTTCGTCAAGCACGCTGCCTTCATGAAAATGTATTCAAGTTATATCAAGTGCGTTTTCCATGTTTCAGTTCTTCGTTGTGCTGAACTGTTATCATAGCAACTTTGACCATTCCGTACAGCGTGTCAAGTATTGGACATCAGATCGTAACACGTCTGGGAGCTCCAGTCCAGGGTCGACAATGTCACCATCGTCAAGTACAGCCCAACTTGTTGGTCTTGGCTTGACAATGTCTGCCGTTTCATCGCCGATTGTCGTCGAAAGTAGCTCGGGTCCAGCCGGATTGCCAAATCTCTCTAGTGGCCAACGGAAGCGGATACGCACTTATCTGAAGAGATGTCGGATGAGTCCACGACACTCGCAGCTGAACCTAGAAGGATATCTTCTCCTCCCAGTACAACGCATACCTCGGTATCGGTTGCTTGTGAGTTCTTATATTCTAAGAAACTCTTTTATTGACATATCTCTCACAGTTGGAAGAATTACTTCGAAGCACACCGCCTAGCTATGATTTCATGGAAGATCCTCTGGATCGCGCCTTATCCGAAATCTCACTTTTGGCTAATAACATGAATGAAGGCAAACGCGAGTCCGAGTCAAGACGAAAGTTGGTACAATGGCAGGCAAGAATACGAGGCAAATTTCCCAGTCCGTTGGTACAACCGCATCGGTAGGTCTATCATATCGACGATTTCGAATTGACTGACAACTTCGATGACTTCTATGAAGGCGGCTTATAATGGACGGTCCGCTATTATTGACACGGGTTGTACGGAAAGCCGTCGTGTCCTTCGAAGCCATAAATTCGCAAGGAGACGCCTCTACCGTTCAAGTTGACTGCTTAGCGCCCGAATTAACTCCCCGGCCTCTTGTCGGCATCCTCTGTAACGATCTCTTGGTTCTCTGTCGAGATCCTTCCGATGGACAAGACCCTTCGTCTTCTGTTGATCTTTGGGCAGTCCTAAGGATGCAAACATTGCCGCAACCTGCCAGTATTGTTCACGGAAACGGTTGGTCCTTCCATCTGCAACCTTGTGGTGTGTTGTCCTGACTTGAAACCCTCGTAGCCCTCCGGCTGGTGGATAACAAAGCGATACTGTACTTTGACGCCCCATCCTCGTCCGATGCCTTGAACTGGTATCGAGGTCTGTATTATATTCATTGCTGTTGCAAGTCTCAGCTGATATTCTGCTGTTAGCGATTAACCTCCATATCCCCGCCTCCAAAACATAGACAGGTCGTATGGTACCTACCTTTGATATCTCTTTTCTATACATAATTGCATATCATCGTTTACATAGACTCTGTTGTTCATTCACATCTCAAACAATTTTCCTCCCACACTATTCAATAGCCTGATGATCGACTTTATTATTCCTACTCTGTATTGCAACTCATCGTTCTACACTATTTCAATTCAACTTATGTCTGGCCTATTTGCTAGCATCTGCTCTTGTAAAATCAATTGGAAAATACATTGCGGAGGGATGTAAATGCACAGATTATATGCTTTTTAAGAACAGCATCTACATTAAGTACCTAAGTAATAATAATCATGATATACATCGTAATCACATCTGAATGATTTCGTTAGTTCACCCGACAGAAAGGGACGAAAAGCAACTCACAAGCCACTGCCAGAAAGCCTCCATCTTATTCCTCGGCGCAGGCTCATCATAACTGTAAAGCTAGTCAGGATCGATTCGGTGAGAAGGATACCGGTAGACGTACGTGTCAGCCTCAATTTCTGCGATGTTTGTCACGAAGTCCATATCGCGAGCGCGAACGTAAGGCACTTTGTAGTAGAATTTGGCGGCGATGTAAAGTACGGGGAAGAGCATCAAAGGGAAGTAGTTCGTCACAAAAGTGTCTCGCGCCCAGTGACCTTTGAGGAAGACATTCCATCCACTCAACTAAGAATGACATAAGATGTGCATACAACACCAAAAGACAGTTGTAACTCACGAAGCAAATGACGAGAGAGGCGATCATGCCGTACCATGCTGGGAAAGGCTGGAATCTGACCGCGAACGGCATCTTACTTCGGTCGTAGCCTTGGACTTTCAGACCCTGGTAGAACCGAAGATAAGTGAGGCAGATACCGAACCAAGTCATCAGACCGGCAACCTGATGAATTTTTGAGCTTCGTTACCGCCAGAATGGAACGCCCACTTACAGCAGTCATGTTGGCAAACCAATTAAACACTTTACCCGACCCCTCGTTAACACCCATATAAGACAGAGTGGCGAAAAGGGAACAGAAGATAATGGAAACGTAAGGAAGACCTTTGCGGGTCGTGCGCAGGAAGATCTTGGGAGCATTGCCAGAAGCAGCGAGACCGTCTAGAGAATGATGAGGTCATGATTGATGATTTTCAGCACATATAAAACTCACAGAGAGCTCGAGAGCTGGTGTATAGATCACTGGAAGCCGCAGACCAGGCTGACGTCAAGAGAGCAGCATTGATCACCTACGAGGTAAATGTAAATACGAGGTGCAAATGATTACCACGTAAACTTACAGATGGAAGGCCTCCAATGCCTGCATTCTTGATAGCGATGACAAAAGGCGACGAGGCGGCAGTACCATCACTCAGATTCAGTCTTGAATCAGTCGATGGCACGAGGAGACCGATGACCGCGGTACCTGATTAATAGTTCAGTAAGTCAAGATGCATAATTATTTCCATTGGGTTTTTACCTCCGATGTAGAACAGAAGAATACGGATATAGACTCTTCTGATGGCCTTGGGCAAGTTCCGTCTGTAAATTGTATTAGACACTAGACAGCGAATGTCCGACTTGCAAGTACCTGGGGTTCTTGGCCTCACCAGCGGCGATCTGGAAATGGTTGGATCAGAACCAGTGTAAACGAAAGGTAATCGATAACACTTACAGCGACAATCTCGGTTCCAATGAAAGAAAAGGCTGCCTGGGTCATAACAGACCACCTGAGATGTATGTTAACGAAGACTCAGACGTAAGAGTTAGAGAAGGTTATACCATCCCAAGAATCGGCCTTCCGCGCCTCCAATGCCTCCATACTGTGCGAATGGACCTGGGTGTTTCCAATACCTGAAACCAAGCCGGTCATGGTTAGGACCGCCTATTATTTATGAGTCAGGATAGTGTTCTCGTGAGAAGAGGAGTTGCCCTACCTCCGAGGTCGAGGACGATGCCAAGAATTATGAGACCCGTGATCGTGATAACTTTGATGGAACTAGAAGATTTTTAGATGCCAAAGAATAGAGGAGAAATAAGGCATACGCAAAGATAAATTCTGCTTCACCGTATACCCCAGCGCCGAACATATTGATTGTGACGACGACAACCAAGCATATTGTTATCCATGCTGAATTGTTGACGGTCTTGTTCCAGTAGTTAATGAGGATTGCCGCGGCACTTAGTTCGGCGGGCAAGATAATCGTCCAATTGTACCTGCCCACATGATAAATATTTGATGCGGAATTGCCATGTGGACGACATACCAGTAATTCCAACCCATTGTGAAACTCAATGCGGGGTCAACGAAACGCTCGGCCAATTTGATATGACCACCAGGAATGGGCAGGTAAGCAACCATCTCCCCTAGGGAGACCTACGAGAAGGTCAGATGGTGAACTTTTTTAAAAAAAGGCGTGGGGATGTACGTACCATGACACTCCAGCATATTGTTCCAACAGTGATGTAGCCAAGTAGAAGACCTTTCAACATCAGTTAGACGAGGTAATCAGTGATCGAGGACATTGAGTGAAGTACCAACTGGCCCGCCATTCATCAAAGATGTTGCAGTTCCTGGCGAGGAATTTTAGTGGAGTTACACGTCATGTGGAGTGCCATCTCACGTACCCAAAAACAACCCGGTACCGATAACACCTGTGGCATAATGTTGGAATAGAACGAGAACAAAACAGTACGAGACGAACCTCCAATACTGTAGATACAAAGTCAGTTACATGAACGCCTAAAGGAAATGAGTTAGACGCACCTAATCATAGCAATGTGACGGTTCTTGAGCTGACGAACAAGCGTCTGCTGGCCGTTAGTGTAGTCGGCATGAGACAGCTCGTGCGCAGATTCGACGTCGGAAGAGGCATGAATCTTGGACTCTGAGGCATTTTTCTCGTTCGACGACAGCTTGTCGGACATTATGTCGAAAGATGATGACGCAGGAAGATAGCCGAAGGCGTCAGTTCAATTTATATGTAAAAAGAAGCGCCTGCTCAGGGTCTCCGCACCAAAGTAAAAATTGTACCTCACCCAGGCCGATTTCGGGCCTGAAACGCGCCCAAGGAACCCGCATGGCGATAAGTAAATAGTGCTGCATATGCTCGTAGCACCACTTGGCCAGGGGCTACCTCAAATAGTATCCCGATTCTAATTTTATCGTTACTACCCGCATGAGCAGAGAAATAGATTAGAACGAGCTTTCTTATCAGGAGAAGGTCACTTTTTGATCAACATTCACTTTGATGATTCACGGATCACCGCCGCTGACAAGAGCAATCAATCACCAGCACCAACCTGCACCAACACGAGGACAGAAGTTTCGAGACGTCAGTACATGTACTTGGTCACAGTACAGAACTTCAAGCACTCTTAGTGGCCGAATATGAAATTTCATCCGCAAAAAAAAAGCCTGCGATCGGTTGCATAAAAGATGATCCGCCACACCGAAAGATAAGAAGGTTCTCGCCCAACCTACAATCAAAGCTCTGAATGAATTGTGTGCCAAGCCTTGAATGGGGGGGATGCGGGAGTCGCAGAGAAGCCCTGGGTCGTTAAGTCCCGACTTTTTGTGACAGCTCTATCTTTTCTAGAATCCACAGGGTCTGCCACGGCCTGCGCGCAGTGTTCAACCACTCACATAGCTTCGTCCAAATCAATGGCCGCACACGACCAGAATTTAAAGCATTTGATTTACTCAGCATTACCCCATGTCAAGGGGCGGGACATGAGGGGATAAACCGCTGCCCAATGGATGTCTACATGTTACAACCAGATTTTTCTAATTACTTACATGACGGCATAAATGATTAAGCTGCTCCTAGACTGATGTTGATCATTATAGTTTGAATGCTCCAATCATGTAGCTAAGGTCCGAGAGCCCTTCCCCTGATATTCCATCTCCATCCTCAGGCTTTCCTCCAGCAGTTGAAGGGCGTGATTGTGAAGGTATCGGGCGTCGAGAGGGCATAGGTGGTGACTGTAGTAGCTCGCACGGTGGTGTAATGTGTGGCGAGTGACATGTTGATAGGAGAGGAGACATATCGAATTCCAATGGTCTCCAAATACTGGACTCTAGTGGTCCGTATGCCGGGCTTGAAGGCGAATCATCTGATACGCTCAGGGCAGTTAAGTTGATCCAGCTACCGGCTCGATCATACTCTTCCAATGCAACACCCCTCTGGGCATCCAGATTCCACTCTTTCGCTTCACATTGTCGTGCAGCTAACCACGCTGACAGCGAATTGGTATTAGTGGAGTCAAATGACGCAGACGAAGGAGACGGCGGTGGCAATCGAGGTCGAGGTCGATGTCGAGCAATAAGTAGTGGGTCCGACTGCCAATGCGTCTTAGGGAGTTCCGGAAGATCAGGCTGATCAAGTGACCTTCGCTTTTGAGCGAATTTGAATCTCTTGGTTACTTGAGCAACATTCCTAACGGCCTGCCGTAAGTTTAGAATGCTTTTGGAGACTTTGTGCAATTTGCGGGTTGGACGTTGCGGCAAACGCTCCTCCTCAGTTTCAGGTGGCTCAGGCGCTCGAGCGCCGCTCCGTGAAAGAGGACGGGAATAATGTGATACAAAAGAAGAGGGCGTTAACGGTCGTAGGATCTCGCGACGAACTGGAGACTCCCAGGGAACATATGGACTATTAGGATGACTTAGGACGGGCATGTGGAACAGAGAATTGTCTGTAGCAGGTGTGTTATTTCTTCGGCTCCCCGGAGATGATGAAATGGGTGGCGATGATTGTAAGGGAGGCGTTGATATCGGAAATCCAGTCGGAAAAGCAAAAGACGGGAAGTTGATATCGAGTAGAGTCGATAACTGTAGAGAAGAAGATGGAGGGAGAGGGGGTAGGGGATGAAATGTCGATGTCTCTGAAAGCTTGTGATTACCGGGACTGGTATCTTTCTTGCTCCCTAAGGGAACGGTAGGGGCGTCAGTAAATTTACTGAAGGCGTCCTGGTTGGAATTAGCAAACAAAGCGAAAAGACGGGATCATAACGCACTCCGTTGAGATCAAACGCCCTGTCAACAAGTGGAGAACGAGGAGTAGACCGTCGTTCGTTGACATTGTGTCTGGATATTGGTGAGGTCGGGGGATGGGATGGGCATCTGTTTTCGTGACTGGCGTGAAGAAGAAAGGTATGTTCATGACTAGTTCGGCCACGCGGTGACATGGAACTAAAGGCGAGGATTTGACAAGGCAAGAAAGAATATTAGGCGCGGTTGAAGACGTTGACAAAGTTGAAAGAACGTAAGCTGCACGGCCGCGATGGTGCTTCGTAATAAAGGTCGTAAAGTATCGAGAACGGGCAAGGAAGAAGCAGACAAAACCAGGGTATTGGGTATGTAAAGCGGAATAAGCAACACGAGGAGGACTGTCACTCAACGACACAGCCACGTGGGCAACATCCCCATTTGTCTGTCGATCAACTGCCCGGTCCTATCCGGTCCCGCCCGATCGTTGATCGCATTCGCAGTCGCGACCACGTTGAACTAGCCTACTAGGCCTGCAGCTGCTCAGTGCAATCACTCATATGATTTCTGTCATGGCTCCGCCACCTATCAGTGCCGAATATAACCCACAAAAATACTCATACGTCGTCCTCTTGTGACCTTGTTATCGTGAGGCACCACCTCAATCTGACGTATAAGTGAATCAGTGTCGTCATTGAACCTCGTTGCCTCATCTTATTTTCTAGCCTTTCCAGGCAAGTTTTGCCGTTTGACCTCCGGTCTCCCAATAGGAACGCGAACAGTGCCAGGGTGTTGCTCCCAGTGGTGGGGACCGCTTGATATTCGGGTGTGGCATACTCTCATCCGCTTATATTTCGGGTACCTCATTTTTAAAAAATTGCTGGCAGAGCTCTTAAAAAGGTGGAGAAATCTCTCACTGAAAGACGATAGTACGCTCAAGATGTTTGTCCCCAGGATATTGTCCTTATTTATAACTGCTACCTTCTTCGCTTCCCCGGCTCTCTCAGCTTCTTCACAAACTTACAATTGGAAAAATGTCAAAATTGGCGGCGGTGGTGGTTTTGTCCCCGGTATTGTCTTCAACCCATCTGAAAAAGTAATTTGTTACTACCATATCTTCTATACATCATTACCATGACTGATATGCACAATAGGGATTAGCCTATGCTCGAACCGACATTGGAGGGGCGTATAAGCTCAATTCCGATGATACTTGGACCCCTTTGTTGGACTTTGTTGACGACGCAAGATGGAACTATTGGGGTGTTGATGCCCTGGCTACAGATCCCGTCGAGACCAATCGTCTTTATCTGGTAAATCATTGTAGAATTTCAATGGCACAAGCTAACGAACGCATTGATCAGGCGACCGGGATGTACACCAACTCCTGGGATCCTAACAATGGCCAAATACTAATATCGACTGATTATGGCTCAACTTTCACTGCGTCTAATCTCTCATTCAAAGTCGGGGGAAATATGCCCGGTCGCGGAATGTAAGAACTTCTTTCCCGTTTAATAACACCTTTCTCCGGTGATAGTGAAGCCTTCGTTTAGGGGAGAGGTGCGTTAACTTAGCATTAAATGGACCAACAATTGAACTCGTTTCATTTCAGCGCCTTGTTGTTGATCCAAACAATAATGCTATTCTGTTCTTTGGAGCAAGGAGCGGAAATGGGCTCTATAAATCTAACTAATTACGGCTCTACTTGGTCTAAAGTCACCAGTCTTCCCAGTGCAGGTATGTCGTTGCATGCCTTCCTCCTCCCGTCCTATTTAATCGTGAGATAGGAACATATATCCCCGACCCCTCCGACACTACTGGCTACAACGCAGATATAATAGGTCTGTCCTCCAAATTAACAGACATTTTCTAGCAGGATACAAAACATTGCTCAGGTATTTCCTGGGTTACCTTCGATTCGACATCAGGATCTTCTGGTTCCGCTACTCCGCGGATCTTTGTCGGTGTGGCGAATCAAGGTTCCAACAATATTTTTGTCTCTGAAAATGGCGGAAGTACCTGTGAGTATTGTAGTCATTTTCTTTTCGGTCACTTCCTAATTATCTGTACTAAGGGTCTGCCGTGGCCGGACAAAACAATACCTATATTCCTCACAAGGGCGTCCTCTCACCTGACGAGCATGTCCTTTACATAAGCTATAGCAATGGAGCAGGCCCATACGATGGTACTCTTGGGAGCGTTTACAAGTACAATATCTCCTCCTCTACTTGTAAGCGCGTAGTTTGAGTTTTAGACAATCGGTGTACTGATGGCTTGACAGGGACGGATATTACGCCTGTCTCAGGGTCAGATTTGTATTTCGGATTTGGTGGTCTTGATGTCGACCTTCAGAAACCTGGTACCCTTATGGTCGCTGCGCTGAATTCGTGGTGGCCCGACGGTCAGATTTACCGGTCAACGGATAGGTCTGTGAACCTGTTCGATCCTTTTCTTTCTTTTTCCCTTGACCGTCTGTGTACGTTTCTAGTGGCGCAACCTGGTCCCCTTTCTGGGCGTGGAATGGATATCCCAACATTAACAAATACTATACCTATTCCGACAGTCTTGCACCATGGCTTGGGCCTAATTATGTAGATACGGTTCTCGGTGACAAGCAGATTGGATGGATGATGGAAGGTACGCGTATATTATCTAGCCTTCCTTATGATCCCCCTGGCTGACAATATAAACCACAGCTCTCAGCATCGACCCATTCGATTCTAATCATTTCCTGTACGGTACTGGCGCGACCATATATGGTAGCCACGATTTGACCAAAGTATGCAAGCCCTTTAATAATGGAAAGCAAATACGCTGACTAGGTTTGTCTATGTTCAAAGTGGGACACTACCCACAATATTACTCTCCAGTCATTAGCAGATGGTCTCGAAGAGACATCCGTTCAAGCACTGATTTCTCCACCGAGTGGTCCTCACTTACTGTCCGCCCTTGGGGATATTGAAGGTGCCTATCTCTTCTGTAGTTGTTTCTTGCACAATTATATTTAATCGTCTCGGCAGGTTTCGTTCACAACGACTTGAATGTAGCACCGAGCAACTATTACACAAATCCAACATGGAGCACATCCGCTGATATTGATTATGCCGGTAACAAGCCCACGAACATTGTTCGCATCGGTATGTCGTTCAAGATCGCACAGTTCTTCCAAATGCTCATCTTCTTTCGATAGGCACCGGAGACAGGTGAATGCCTATCATTATTTTCATTAGTCGCCAGCTTCTCTAAAGGTCTTCGCAGTACTACAGGCAAGCAGGTTGCCATATCGACTGATTCTGGCGCCACCTGGTAATTATACCTCCAGTAGTTGACAAGTCTTCTAACCTACAGCCATTAAAACAGGTCTCAGGATTACGGTGCCGCCGACAATGTGTCAGGTATGTCAAGTTTTAACGCACAGATCCCAAGTGACTCACAAATTTCAGGCGGCAAAGTAGCATTTTCTGCGGACGGTGATACCGTTCTCTGGCGCACCGGTTCGAACGGTGTCCAAGTTTCCCAGTATACCAACAGTTTCACCACAGTGTCTTCTCTTCCGTCGACCGCTGCGATAGCGTCGGATAAGTTGAACAACTCCATATTCTACGGAGCTGCTTCTTCATCTTTCTACTTATCAACTGACGGCGGCAAGACTTTTACGGCGAAGGGTTCTCTTGGCTCCTCTACGTCTCCGGTAAAGATTGTTGTCAACCCTAATGTTACCGGCGATGTGTGGGTCTCCACCGACAAGGGACTATTCCATTCCACTGATCTGGGATCATCATTTTCTGCAATCTCCGGTATATCACAAGCATGGTCAATTGCTTTGGGCGCTCCAGCTACTGTGCGTGTCATTTGTATTGCCCAGGTCAGATGCTCACGTCAATATAGAGTGGTGACTATCCTGCTGTGTTCGCTGCTGCGAACTACGGAGGAGTTGGGTATTTCAGATCCGACGATGCCGGCGTGAGTTGGGTAAAAATCAACGATGCTAGTCATGGGTTTGCTTCTGCGTCAGGGAATTGTCTTGCAGCTGATCCTCGTATCTACGGACGGTACGGGTTTTCAGGTGGTGTTCCGGATAATCTAATACTGACAGAAATCTTTTAGGGTGTACATCGGCACTAATGGTCGGGGCATATTCTATGGAGATATATCCGGCTCTGTGACCACGTCTGTTTCAACATCAACAACTACCACAAAAGCGTCTACAACGACGAGTGCAACTACCACAAGAGTAGGTACCACAACGACAACTACAGCATCAGCCAGTACTCCAACGACGACATCGCTTTCTGGAGCTTACGGACAATGCGGGGGTAAGAATGGATGACTATTTCCTTTTTCCGTTAGCCTAAAACCAGCAATGCTTTAGGTATCAATTGGACAGGTCCTACCGCGTGTGTTGCAGGTTATACTTGTACATATTTAAATGACTGTGAGTCATATTTCATCATCGTTATGGGCGCCTGGTCACCAGTATCCGCAGACTATTGGCAGTGCGTTCCTTCATGAGACTCATTTCGTCCCGATCGTAGTGGTTTGTCAGCTGTAATTGGAATGTACATGTAAGAATGTGCGCATATCTCTCTACCCGGACTGCTCCCAGACCTAGTGGTCTCTTAGCAAAGATATCTTGCGACAATATACCACTTACTTCAAAAAGGCGTCGACGATCAACTACATTTACCCCTCGACAACTTGTGAGATCTAGATTCACAAGCTTTGGACAGGCATCGATAATTGGAAACAGACCATCATCTACACGCAGTTTCAATCCGTTAGTGGCAACTATCGCCAATGACACTTACTGGTTATTTTCGTCCCTGCAAGTTCCAATGTCGCAAGTTCCGGACAACATGAAATGAAGGGCGCCACCTCGTCATCCACGCCGGTGTTATTTAGCATCAAGGTTTGGAGAGCACAAGGCTCGTCGTCTTCAAACGTAGGCATTAAACCGGCCAGGTCTGAAGATCGCAAAGATGGCATGCTTGACAGGTTGAGATACTATAACAAAAGTGATATCAGCATTGGGTGGCCACAAGAAAAAGAAAAGCACGAACTTTGCATTTACGGCCAACACGGGATATCATACGGCACAAAGCACGCGATTCCCTGCTTCTCATCAAGCTCAGCTTGGTATTGGATACAAGACTCAGTGATTCTAGCCTTCCATGTTCAGCCAGCAAGTCAGTGACGAGTGCCAAATCGTCGTCGTGTAACGTCATCGACGAGGTATTATTAATTGTCGTATTCGGGCTTGTGCCAACGCCCAGCGCTCCTATCGCCAGGATTTTCAATCGGGGAAGGCTATGAATTGTAACACACAACTCTGCGGAAGATATCGCGGTAGACGTCAAACACAACTTTTCCAGATAGGGAGCTTGCTTCACCCATAAGGAGGGCTTGCGAATCCCAGTGAAGGAGACATCCAGTCGTCTTAGGTTCGGAAATATAGTTGTAAGAGCCACCATAGAATGGTCGGAGACTGCAGTTTGGCGGAGCTTTAGATTGCGAAGGTTTACATGCCTGAAATCTTCATCCACACCCGACAAGAACTTTGAGAACGTTGTATCCGTCTGAAGAGGTTCAGCTATATAGCTGAATGAAACTAGGTAGACCAAAGACGAACCCAGTTGGATATCTTTGCGAGCTTGAGCACCTCTAACTCTGGGCATGCCACGAGCAACTCGGCCAGTGAAGCTGGAGTTGCGGAGGTATAGTTAAAATTTGCAACTCTGAGCTGTGGACATTTGGACGCCGCCGAGATAGTTCTACCGCTCACTTTAGAGCACCCACTGGCATGATTTACCGTCATAAGCGAATGTCTCAACCATTAAACATGATAACGCACCGGAGAACGAGCACCTTCAGCTGAGGCGCAGTTAGAAGGACGGACGCAAAGACCTCATCCGCAATCTTCTCAAATCCCGTTATACGGAGTTCCCGCAGATTTGCACCGAACCTCTTGATAGAAGAGATAGTATTCCTATTGACCCCGGGAAGGTTGTTTGACAAAGTAACAGACGATCCATTCAAGAAATACTAGATACACTGTGAGTGAAGAGTACATGAGGGAGCTTTCAAGGAAGGCTCATCGCACAGTAACAATAATTTCATGAGATAAATATGTCGGCCACGCAGCACTCAGCATCCCAAAGATCCTGCCTTTCAGTTCCTCTGGGACGAGTTTCAAATACTGGGAAGTTTGTTTCCAGATGGTTTCATTGTTATGAAGCTGAACGAATTTGGCTGCGAAAACTCTTGCGCATAGTGTGACAAAGCTGGGCACAGTGTTTACGGGAAGCACGCGCGTAGAAGAGGCGGCCGATGATGGATAGTTGAGCTGAGCAGAAGGGTTGTCCGCTTCTGAGGGCGCGCCGAACACGAGTTCAGTGGTTCGGTGCCTTTTGTTTCTAGACATTCCTAACGAGACGCGAAGACCACCGTCTGTGATGGTAAAAGATAGATAGACTCATAGAGTGTTCTCAGTGGTAACGTAAGAAGTCATCAAAGATGACATCATTTTTTGGACCGGTTCCAGACTAATATTTTCCTAATGCTACGCTACACCCAAAACTTGGGAAAATCATCGCCTCATGACGGAACGCACTGTGAATAATCCGGTGAAATACCATCAAACCATTGATCTCTGATCGGGGCTACGAAGCGTGCGCAGTAACACTCGTGGATGTACCGTTCGTAGAGGAAACATCTCCATAGAATATACCTCGACCATTGGTGCCAATATACACTCTGCACAGAAGATAATAAGCAGATATCCACGTGTCTTTTCCTCGACAACATACCGGCCATAAACACGAGGATCCGCAGTCATAACATTCGCAGAAACAGCACCAAGCCCTAAACTCGAGTCATTAATTTGCGTCCACGTCGCACCCTCGTCGTCCGAGCGGTAGTACCCAACACCGCTAATATCCGCTGCAGCGAACACAGCAGGGTATCCCCCGTCCTAAAAACACGATCAAAAAATCAAAAGACACAGCAAAAAAAACTCGCGAAACCACAAACCGTAGCAGGAGCCCCAAGAGCAATAGCCCACGCCTGAGAAACACCCTCAACAGCCGTAAAACTTGTCCCATAATCCGTCGAATGGAAGAGGCCCACATCAGTCGAGACCCACACATCCCCAGCAACATCCGGGTTAACCACGATCTTTACAGGGCTCGTCGAGTTTCCCAAGCTACCGACTGCGCTAAAGGTCGAGCCCGTATCCTTGGAAACGTAGAATGCCGACTCGGACGCGCCGTAGAACACGGTGTTATCCGTTTTGTCCGAGGCGATGACTGCAGAGGTAGGTAGGGTGGAGACGGAGGTGAAGGTGTTGGTGGATTGGGATACTAGGACGCCATTGGAACTGGTGCGCCAGAGGATGGTGTCACCATCAGCGGACAAGGCGATTTTGCCGCCTGTTTACGTAGAGGTAAGACGGAGGAGGGCGACGTGAAGGGGATACATACCAGATACATTATCTGCGGCGCCAGAATCCTGCGACCAGGTCGCGCCCGAGTCCGTAGAGATGGCAACTTGTTTTCCGGTGGAACTGTCCAGCAATCAGAAAAGTCTTCGACTAATCATCGAACCTGACACACCTTCCTCCGTTTCCCAGTCTAACCTGCTCAAAATAAGAAGACTAGAAGATCGCAATTTATAAGAGAAAACATACGATATTCGTTGGCGCGTTTCCAGCATAGTCAAGGTCGACAACCGAAGACCACACCGGGGAAGAGAACGACGTGGTTGCGGTGTCCAGGTCCGTGTGCACGAAGCCTGCTTGATTGTCAACACCGTACGTAAAGCCCGTTAGTGCTACATACGAACCTTGGATATCATACACGCCAGAAATCAAACTCGGACCTTCGGGAGGAGAAATCAACGCCTGAACAGCCGTTTCCTCAATCCCATCCGCCATAGATGCCAGCGAGATATTGTGAACGCTGTCCCACTAGAGACCATTATTAATACATGCATCATCCATCGAAGAACAGCGGGGATATACCAAAGTCAAATTCCGACTACCATAAATCGTCGCACCCGTTCCATACAAAAAGTGATTCGAATCGAAGGGATCGATGCTCAACGCTAACAAATGATATTAATATACACCGAAGAGAGAAGAAAAGGCACAACAAACCTTCCATCATCCACCCAATCTGCATATCCCCCAAAGTCGTATCAACATAATCGACTCCCAACCACGGCGCGAGACTATCACTGTAGCTATAATACTTGTTAATCGTAGGATAAGACACCCAGGCCCAGAGCGGGGACCACGTCGCACCACTAAATTCAGATCAGCTATAATGCCATCTCCGAGTCAGAGATCTCCAGCATACCTATCCGTAGACCTATACATCTGCCCATCGGGCCACCACGAATTCAGCGCAGCCACCATGAGCGTCCCGGGGCTCTTCAAATCCACCGAAAGGCCCCCAAAGCCAAAGCTGAGATCGGACCCAGAGACGGGGGTGATATCCGTCCATGTGGCATTGGCGATATCGTACTTGTACACTGCGCCGAGGACACCGTCGTAGGGCCCTATACCGTCGCTGTAGCTGACGTACAGAAGCCCTTCGGAGGGTGAGAGGACGCCTTTGTGGGGGAAGTAGGTTTGTTGTTGGCCGGCGATGGCCGTCCCTTTGGGTTTGGTTAGTCAAGGCTGGATTGGGTGGGGGTAGTGGTAGGTTGGGAAGGCTTACATGTGTCACCTGCGTCTTCGGAGATGAAGATGTTGTCGGTTCCATTACTCGCGACACCGACAAAGATACGAGGTGTAGGGGAGCCGGAAGATCCAGAGGTGGAGTCAAAGGTGACAAAAGCGATACCTGGAGGAAGACCCATCAATGCAAGGTCAAGAAAGGTCAGATTGTACGAACCAAGTGGGTCGCTATTAATGCCGCTTGTATCTGTAGGGTCGACGACGTATGTTCCTAATGAACTTCATAAGCACTGAAGAGGCAGAGGGATATACGAAGACGAACCGACGTTAGGCATACTGCTCACTTGAGTCCAGATGCTACCATAGTCTGTCGATTTATACAGCCCATTCCCGCTCCGAGCACCGAAAAACAGGATATTGTTGCTATTCGGGTCGACCGCAAGACGCTAGAACGCCGTTTATCAAAGCGTTTCCAAGAGCGCAAATATCAGATTACCTCCCCCCTGTCATCTATCAGCATAACTCGAACAAGACAAAATAACAAAACTCACACTCCTCTCCCAGGCATATTCCCCCCAACCTTAAAAGGCAAATCGACCTGCGTGAACGAATCTCCATAGTCTTCCGAAACCAGAATATGTCCATTACTCGGATCCCACGAATTGGTATACATCCCAGTAGCCTAGCAAGTCAGCGAACCAACCGTACACTCCTCCTCCAAACTCACCAAATACAACCGATTGGTCTCTACAGGATCAGTAGCAAGCGCATCAACACCCCACATATTCCACCGGTCATTGTCCACCCAGTCAGTCAAGGGCGTCCAGGTATCGTCGTCGTTAAGCCTATAGGCACCACCGATATCCGTCCGCACGTATGCCAAGCCCTACCATCCCATCGGCACGGAGGAACGAAACGAAACAAGACGAAAACCCACCTCCTCCGAAGGATTAAACACGATCCCAGGGACGAACCCCCCACCACCTCCAATCTTGACATTCTTCCATGTATACTGCGCGAGGGCAAAAGGAACGGACAACAATAGGGAAAAGAGTGTTTTTACTTTCAAGTTGCACATCCAGGCGCGAGATTAGAGAGTTCCCTCTCCACTCTCTTAAAAACAGTCTGGAGATCCGAACATTATGCGTTGAGACTTGGCTGGGTGTCCGAAAATCTAGCGGTTCCTCGTAGCTATGGTGGACGAGCAGAGGTACCGAAATTGAATCAATTATGGAGTCCAGAATGTGACGTGAGGAAGGATGAAACTCGGATATCGATGATAATAATGGCACCATCTGAGTAAACTGGATGATATTAGATGTAACATGGTGGTGGCGGGTGAAAAAGTGCCGTAATGTACGCGCAGCAAGCCCTCTGGTCATTCGATCATGACAAGACTACATTGACAATGTGGAAGCAGAGGGTAATCACCGTTCGACGACGCGTGTTTCTCCGTTCATCATGACGGTGCACATCACGAGTAAGAGTTATCCGGGCCGTATCAAATATTAACGGTCGTACTGCATAATTAAATAATTAGACATCGTAGTTTAGTTTAACAAAAGATCACCCATCCTCCTCGTCAGGCCGAGGTAAAGCCCCCCAAACCATACCCAACAACCAAATAGTCTCCACCTCTCCCTCTCCCTCCGCCAACAACACCACGTGAGTCCACCGTCGCCCAATGGGGCCTTCCCCCTGCTTCCCCAGATACACTTCTGCGATCTCGGGCTGCTCCTCCCATGCGTACTTGATAAACTCTGCGCGCTTGTCGGCCCAGGTGCCTTCTTGGAGGGAGACGAGGATGAGGTTGCTGCTGGGAGTGAGGGGGGAGGAGAGGGTGGTGGATGAAGAGGAAGAGGAAGAGGAAGAAGCAACCTGGTGGCTGACTATGCCGTGTCCATTAATTTGGAGCGGAGAGGAGGAGGAGGAGGATGCTGCTGCTACAGCACGGAATACAGACGCAATTTTATTTGCAGCACCTCGCTTTTTCTTGGGTTTACAGCCCCCAGTCTCTGTACTGGAATCGGCAGAGTTGGTAGTTGTGGTATCAGTGTCAGCAGATTCAGAAGTAGTCTTGGAAGTAGGATCTTCAGGAGGATCATCTGCCTCTTCCCTCCTTGCCGCCTTTTCCAAATTTCCGGTAATCTCCTTTGCAGATGCCCCATCGACCTTTGTAGCATTGATAATAGTGGCAGTCCACGCAGGGACATACGAAGCTGAAGGACTGCCCTGCTCCCCAGCCACCACCATCGTCCGGTTGACCATCCCAGGGTAGCTATACAGCAGTCTCTGATCCACATATGCCTGGGATGCAATCTACATCCCATTAAAAATAGCCAAACAAATAAGAAAACAAGGCTCACGAGATTGGCCAGAGTCTGGTCATCATACTCAGGCAGGATCTCCGTTAGTGTCCTATTCAGCTTGAGGTACGCAGCCCAGTCACTCTTGGTAAACACCAAATCCTGCTCACATCCCTCCATCTCGGCCTTGACAATCTCTCCCCGACCCCACTCCTCCATCTTCCGCAGACTAACCGGGTCCGCGGGAGGGACACCCGCGCCTGCGCTCACACCGATATTCGTCGTCTCCCCTCCTACGTCATCTTGGTATGCCTTCATCAGCTTGGTCTGGTACACCGCGAGCCTGCCGAGGATGTTGTAATACCGGACAATGAGCGAATTCTGGGCTGCAAAGGATGGGAGGTCGTCTGTGCCTGTCTCGAGGAGAAAGGCGTTGTAGGTTGCGCCCCAGGTGGTGTACTCGCTCTTTGCAAAGGGGCGGTCAGCGATGTTGGCGAGGGCGTAGTTGGATTGGATTTGGTCGGCGGTACCAAAGGTTGTGGGTCCGATGGGACTGGCTGTGACAAAGCGGTCGGGTGCCTTGGGATCGATTTGGAGAAGCATAGGTGTGAGGGCGGATTGGATGGTGGTGTCTGCCTTGGATGTGTCGTTGGCATCAGTCTTGTCCTTTGCCTTGTCATCAGTTTTGTCGTCTGGCTTGTCATCCGGTAAAGGTAGAGCCATCGTGTAGAATACAACAAAGAGAAGAATAAAAGATGCTCTCATATGGGGCGGGCCAGCCGACTAGTGAGAGAAAACATACAAAGAACCAGCACTGGTCGTTAAAGAGATACATATCTACACAGGAATCGCGTCGCTTGGTCCGTCGCCAGGATGAGACCGTTGATGATGTGCACCATCACGCCGATGGTCAGACGCCAAAACAGGGTTCGGGCGGATTGGATGGGGATGCCAATATACGGCAGGGGACGGAAGAGGACGAGGTCGAGTAGGTTGAACGGAGGAGGAAAGTAGCACCGGAGTCGAGTAGGTGATGACCGTTCGATAGTAAGTCAGTCTGGCTTCGCGACAGACAGCCGGGCCGTACCGCTTCCATTTGTCGTTGCCAAAATGCACTGGAATTGGAGCGAAGGACAAGGCAGAAAAAGACGGCGACAATGAGAGCGAAGAGGAGAAGGAGAAGCAAGGAGCGCGTCTCCATCGGAACAACGGCAGTGAGATAGACGCCGTTAACCGAAGCAGAGAGGAGGAAAGCGATGAGGAGTAGGACGGGAAGGAACATTCCAACGATGGGAAGTACGGTCTCTGTGACTCTCATCCTCAAACCAACGACGAGCGGGAGGGCGGGAACAGGGCGCAACAGGCGGAGCAGACTGGACGGAAGCTGGAACGTATGGATGAACACCGCCACGAGCAGCAACCCAAACGACGCGTCCTCAGGAAAAGGCGGCGCCGGCCGACAACACAAACGCCAACAACACAAGCACCGACCCCGTCGACAACGACAACACCAACAGCGCCCACTCCCGCCCGCCCATGTACTCGCCCTGCCCCGTAGATCGTCGGCCGGTCAGGCGGGTGCATCACGTAGCTCAGCAACAGCCCGTACGTCGCCAGCCTCGCCGCTAAGTCCAGCATGTGAACCGACACGGGCGTGCCTCATCCACATACTCGCCATTGTCGTGTAGAGCAGCTCGTCGTCAAGGAGCGCATCTGGAGCGGCGTCCAGCAGGTCAACGACGCGCATCCCGTCCATCTCCCCAAACAGCACCGACTCTACATCCTCGTCCTCCTCGCAGAATTCGCTCCATAGCGCCATACACTCTGACTCTGTCCTTCTCCGCCATCTTTTTCCTCTTCTTCATCTGCTGCACCACCTCCCAGGGCCTACCAATAGTTGTAATCCCCTTGACATTCTTGCGAGCGTACAACAAAACAAGCAACGAAAACTTGGTCTGCACAGCACGATCCGAGGACACATTGGGTACATCCGTTATTATTCTCCAACGTCTCAGCAGTCGCCACAATCGCAGGGAACGCACTCTCAAGCAACGGTGTCGTTTCGTCCATGATCAGAGAGTACACAGATCACGTGTACCTCTTGCCTCCCTTCCACGATGAGCGTGTCGACGCCTCTCCTCGACAACACCATCGAACCAGACGACGCTCCCACCGGAAACATCTCATCACCACAACAAAAGTCATCCCGCCCTCCTGTTGTCCTTACTCCCACAAATGGAAATCCCGCTCTCGCCGCCAACGACAATGACGCTGAATCTGGTATGCTGCCCATCCACCTACTACTACTCCAATGATTGCTCACCATACCCCAGGCATAGCAGGCATATTCCGCCAATCAGCACACCCCCTCGCCCTCTTCTTCCTCTTCCTCTTTCGAATAGCTGCCATCACCGTATACATCCTCTGTGGCTTCTTCACAGACAACTACGTCCTATCCGTACGTCTCCTCCCTCCTTCCCTTATCTACTATCTCTAACCCCACACAGACCGTCGTAGTCGTCGTCCTCCTCGCAATGGACTTTTGGAACTTGCCGCAACGTGTCAGGCCGCACACTCGTCGGTTTACGTTTCTGGAACCAAGTTGACGACGACGGCGAGAGCTTTTGGGTCTTTGAGAGTCGTGATCCGTCCCACCCTCCCAACCCCATAGACTCCAAGATGTTCTGGATAGCACTATACGTCTTTCCTTGTCTCTGGGCTGCCCTATTCATCGTATCCCTTCTCAAGCTCAGTATATCGTGCGTCCATTCCCCGTTCTACGCTCTCATATCTTATTTCCTTTAGATTCATTCCCATCGTCATCCTCGCTCTCGTCTTCAACATCACCAACGCCATCGGCTTCACCTATGCAGACCGCGACGCCAAACAGCGTTGGGCCAACAATCTTTCTTCTTCATGGGGCATGGGCGGAATCACCGGCTCCCTCCTCTCAGGCGCCGTCAAGCAGTCTGTCGGCAGAATATTCAAGTAGACTGTATCGCAACCACTTTTTATTCTTCCGTAGTGCTACAATATATAATATATACCTCCGTTAGAGGTCGAATAAACAATCAAAAAATGTATGTGCATCGAAAAACAACACTAAACGAAAGTCACTAGGCGTAAAACGAACGTCGATCAATGAACTCTGGTGATACATGAAATAAACAAATAAACAGCAAAAGAAAAGAAAAGAAAAAAAAAAGTCAATGGTGGTGTGCGGTGAAGAGTTCAAATGCAAGTGTAAATAAGAAATTGATAGAGAATGATCAAATAGAGACCGGACCCCAATCCCAGTGACGGAAAGCATAGAGAGCATAGACATAGGCTTACAACATACTGCTTTCCAACCCCACATACCCCCTTGCATCCACCTTGCTAAACGCTGTCGTAGGCGTAGGCGGCGCAGCAATACCGATAAAACTCCTCGTCCGTCCATGCGACCGGAACATTGACACACGAGGCGTGATCGCAGGCCACGGCACTCCTTCACTCGTCAGTGTCATCGTCGCAGGCGTCCTGCCCATCGTCGGACTAGGCGGGAAAACAAACAGCGTCTGACTTGGCGTAGCAGCATGACTTGTCTGTGGCCGTGCCTGGTTCAGAACAGAGTGTCGCAGGTGAAGAGGTGGGGGTGCTGGTTTCCGCGACTCGGTGCGCATCCGCAAGGACAGTTTGTGGGGACGGGGCGACGGTGACGACGACGGTGAAGGGTGGTGCTTGGGCGCTTTTGGAGGAGAGTTGCTGACGACGACGTTGGTAGGCGACGGCGGAACAGGCGGGAGGATCGGCACAGGTCGCCGCTTAGGCTTGGGTGTCATATCAAACGTCGCACGCGTTGCCGACGGTGGCGGTGCGAAGCTGAATGATGTTTTCCATATCGGAGCCGACGGAGGCGGACGCGACGTCGTACTCCGTCTATAGTCCACATCGTCGGGCGAGTTAGTCGACGATGACTGATGTCTCACGCTCAAAAGCTGCTCGTCTCGTCAAACCCGCCAGCCGACACCCAGTAGACTGTGCTCCTCGTCTTCCTCCACCAACTCTTCACTAAAGATACTGCTCGCTACTGATCCTGTGCGCTTGCGGGCACCATAGCGACTTCTCCACGCGACGCCCATACCGACACCAGAGGTCGAAGAGCCCATCGAGGATGTCGACGAGGCAGATGATTTCCGTGCGACAATACGGTCTTCCATGGCCTTGTCAAGTGCCTTGGCCTCCCGCATGACAAACGTATTTTCTTCATCCTCAGGTTCTGATGGAGCCTCATCAAGCAACCGTCTCCTCCTACCCCACTCCTCTTCCTCATCAACGATCGAGGAACGCTCCGAATTGGAAGGAGAGCCGGTCAGCTTGTGTTCATAGTCCAATAGCTGGTATATTAAGCTGCAAGGAAACTGAATATGAACATGGCAAGGGGGCGATGAATGAAACGCACGACATATTGGGGCCTATCCATTTGCTTTTCTGTTTTACGAAATCATATGCGGGCTGCATGCCCTTGAGGGCCCATATCTCCGGTGGGACGTTGGGGGAGCGCTCGGCCGCCGCGCGCATGACGAGGGCGATTACCATGGTAGCTGAGCGAGAAATGCCACACTGGCAGTGGATCAGAACGCCCTCGCCCCGTTCGAGTGCGGCGTCGGTGAATGCCATTGCAGCTGGGAACCCAGAAGCGACGAGATCCTGCTGGCCGTGGGACCACATGAGTTTGAGATAGTGCATGGCGGGTCGTCCAGAGGCGTGGTGGGCGGGATAGAAAGTATCGGGGAGGTCTGGCTGTGAAGCCTTGAGGTTCGGTGCTGAGGCGAAGGAACGGAGAGGCTTGGAGGAGTCGAAGGGGGAGGCGACTTCCTTGGCGACGTTCAAAACAGCCTTGATGCCACGATCTCTGAGCTGTGGCCAGTCGCGAGCGTTGTCCTCTGAGCCTAGCCAGATGCCTGGTATGATTTGGAGGGGGCCATCAGCGTAGGGAACGTCGGGATCGTGTTCTTCACTGCGAGCAAGGAGGGCGGCGGGTGTGGGGGCAGGGAGAGAGATGACAGAAGGACGTCGGGGCCTTGGCGGGAGGGCGGCGGCAATGCTGTCGGACGATGGCTGGGCGTCGGGGAGAGTGAGGGAGAGCTTCTTCATGTTCCTGAGGGAGGGTGGTCGGCCGACATTGCCCGATTTAGTGTCGACGAGCGGGCAAGCTGGAGTTTCGATGCGGAGACCTGGAGGAGGACCCCTTTTGCGAAGAGCCATCTGTGTTGGTTGTTGCTGCCTGAAATTGCACGCCCAGCGTGGTGAAAAAAGCAGGAGAACAGGAAAGAAGCAGCCAGCAGGCTCTTGAAGAGAGAATTAAAAAGAAAGAAAGGCGGCGGGCCTTGCGTCCGCAGGCTGTCGTCGTCGTAGTCGTCCACCAACAATTGTTAAATCATCACTTTTATTTTATCAATTTTATCAATTCATATTATAATTATAATAATATAAATAAATTCCCTCTTTTGGCTCTCGTCGTACGATTGATTGGCCAGACCCGCCCAGAGTAAATAACAAAACCCCACATGAACAAAAACCAGTTCGTCTTTCTCCTTTCCCTCGTCCTTCCCTTTTCCTTCCTCTTCATCGTCTCTCGCGTCCTCACCGCTAGTCTCGAAAAGGCCGGATTTCATTTCTCTGATCTCATTCTCATCGGACTTCCCAAAGACCCAAACCATCCAGAAATGGGCTCTTACTCATTTTCCGACTTTAGATCTCAGCTGAGCGCTGTCGATTTGCCGTTGCTGGGCACTGTCGACTTGCTCTCATCTACTGCGCTCATCACCGCTGCTGTTGTCGTTGGAGGTTTCGTCCTCATGGCCCTCTTCCCCAAGGGTACGTCTCTTACGCGTCGCCCGTCGCGTCATTCGACTCACCAGACCCCAGGCAGGTCCAAGGTACTCGACCCCACCACCTGGCAAGAGTTTCCCCTCGTAAAAAAGACCCAGGTGTCGCCCAACACAGCAATGCAAGTAATATGCCACCTCCCCCCGGTTTCATCCAAAATTAATTTCTTCCCTCCAGTTACCGATTCAGCCTGCCCCACCCCAGTGACATTCTCGGTCTCCCCATTGGCCAGCACATCTCCATCTCTGCCGAGATCAACGGCAAGGACATTATGCGGTCCTATACTCCCGTCTCGTCTGATGATGACCGTGGCCACTTTGAACTCCTCATCAAGTCGTACGAAAAGGGTAACATCTCCCGTCATTTCGCGACTCTCAAACTCGGCGATACCATCCGTGTCAAGGGTCCCAAGGGTCAGTTCACCTATACCCCAGACCTCGTCGCCCACATTGGCATGATCGCTGGCGGTACCGGTATCACCCCAATGATCCAGATCATTCGCGCCGCCCTCAAGAACCCCGCAGATCGTACCGTTCTTTCACTTATCTATGCCAACGTCAACCATGAAGATATCCTCTGCAAGAAGGAGCTCGATGATCTCCAGGCCCAGCACGACCGCTCCCGCTTCAAAGTCTACTACGTTCTCAACAACCCCCCTGCCAACTGGAATGGCGGAGTCGGGTTTGTCTCCAAGGACCAGATTGCTGAGCACTTACCCGGTCCCGAGTTGCACTCTAAAGTACTCATGTGTGGCCCCCCTCCCATGATCACTGCTATGAAGTAGGCTGTCTTTCCCTGCCACCATCTTACCCTGGCTAACTTGCTCCAGGAAACACCTCGATGAACTTAAATACCCCGCTCCTCGCACTGTCAGCAAACTTGTCGATCAGGTATGTCTCCGCATCCCGGAATCACACCTAATCACTTATCAATCATCAACAGGTGTTTGTCTTTTAGACATAGAAAATTAGAGTAATAATTGCATATGTACTCCGGTCGCGGTCAGCGAGTCGGGATGCTTTGAAATTGATTATCAAACGATCACGAGCACCTTGAGTAATGAAATCGTGACAACTTGATATTTAACCCTCAAAATTATTGTCAATCATCATCATCCTCCTCTCAAATGTCTCCTACACTATACACTTTTGGCGGTTCTGTCTGGTCTGCCGCCCCCGAACTCGCCGTGTAAGAATTACTTTGGCCCTGTCAAAGGCGCGTAACTAATTGACAACCCACAGCGCCGAACTATACCTAGCCGACGCCATCGCCACAAAGACAATCAACCTCGTCAATGGCGAAAACTTTGATCCTGCCTTTATCGACATCAATCCCAGCGCCACCCTTCCCACTTTAACTGCAGGTGGTAAGACATACCAGTCGACCGCCGATGTCATCTCGTATCTCGTCGCCCATGCCCCAAAACCCCTATCCACCCCCGCTTCCCACAAGGCCATCATTGACCAAGTCCACGAAGACCAGTACGATCCCAACTTTGCCTTGCTTCTCGTTCGCGACGAGTCGGAGCGAGCCACCAAGGCCGCCGCTTTACCAAAGACCTTTGTCGAGAACCGTGCGTCCGTGCTCTTCTTCAACAACCTCTTCTAACCTCGTCTCTAGGTCAAAACGCCCTTTTGAAGCACTCCCAAGACCCCGCCAACTCTCGTCATGCCGCTTTCTATAACGAAAAGCTCGCTGGAAACGGCGCACTCCTTGACATCTACACTGGTGCCAACAAAGATCCAGCTGACTTCTATGCTCAATCTCAGGCACACTTTGACAGTCTCAAGACGTATCTTTACACTGTCCTCCCCACCGTCCTTCCCGCCGAAGGATTCATTGCCGGAGCCACACCTGGCGAGGCTGACTTTCACATCGCGGCATGGTTGACGCGTATTGCCGCGACATCTGGTGCTATCAGTGCTGCTGATGCCACCGAGTCATTGGAGAAGAACTTTGGCGCGCCTCTTCCAGAGTCTGTAAGAAGCTACGCCAGAGCATGGATCGCTAGGGACAGCTGGAAGAAGGTGTATGCTGAAGGATTGCACTAGCGTAGAAGCTTTCAACTATCTAACCTAGACATTCAATTTGTAAACCAGTCAGCTAATTTAACTTGATAAATCACGTACTGAGTATCCGACACATTGAGCTGGGTCATACTGCCTTCCATCATCTCCATCCTGCACCCATCCAATCTAAACTGATATAAGCACCAACGCGACAAAAAGACAATCAACTGACGTTCGTTTGATTTCCTCCGCTGCCTCCCAGCCAACTTCAAACTCTTCCTCCGTCGGCTCGCCTTCCGAGTTCCTGGCAAGTTGGATCGCAGAATCATACACGCGCAACACGACCGGATCGTCAAGCAGGGGCACAATGAAACGAAAATGATGTATCATCCTTGCATGTGGTTTAAGCACTGGGTGAGTCGGGATTACCACATGGGCGAGGGCATCTACATTGCAATAAGCGTTTCACGAATCGACATGGAAGAAGGACCGGCGCACCTATCTCTGCGACGATATCCAACAAAGCCCTGCGAAACCTCACTCCAGCGTATTTGGTCCCCGGTCGTCCCCAGCCAGGATGAAACGCCTCCTTGGGCTCTGATTCATACGACACAAGACACGCACGAAGGTACTCCCTCGTGATGTACTCATGCACAGTCTACCAAATATTAATGGGCGGGGCAATGCAATCGAAACACGACCCCCCACGCACATTCGGCACATCCCCCTTCCCAATTGGCCTGTAGTTCTTTGAGATCCTTTGCAATTTCAGGCGGACGGCGATGCGGCGTTTGGCACAGAAGAATAGGGAAGTGAAGAACTGCCACGGGGCTGGGTCAGAAGCTTGTTGAGGATTGGCTGGGCTGTGGGACGTACGACAACGACGTAGCTGGCGCCGATGATGAGGGCGTTGATATTCCTTGACCAGGACCGGCTTGGGGAGGTCCGCACAGCTTGAGAGAGGAGGGCGACACAGGAGAGCAGGATGGCACATATAGTGAGGATAACGAGGAGGAGGTAGGTCAGGGAGGATAGCAGGCGGAATGAGCCCATGAAAGAAGAGAAGAGGCCACGAGGCTTCGATCACATTTGAATAAAGTTTGTGGATCAACCACATCGTGTACATATCGATACATTGTAAAATAATTCGAAATATTACATAGTAGCCCAGCCACATATTCTCGATATCATGCATGCACTCAAGCCTGGACATTGTCGCTGCAAAAATTCATCAATACTAGATCAATCACCAAGCTATGGTACTCACGCATATTCTCCGTCAACGTTTCCAGCAGGATTGTAGTTGCAAACATAAAGTACTCCACCCTAGCCAATTCCATGAGTTGTTTGTTTCCATAGCACAAAAATCCAAAAACTCACTCCGTAATCAGCATAAATGTTGGAGCACTTGGCATAACCGCATCCGAGCTCAGTGGTAGATTTCCAAACCATTTGCGTGAAATGCGAGTAGGTCGGGTTGCTAGGATCGTACTCCGCTAACCATTCCGTTAACAACAGGAAAACCGTTAGAAGAAAGGAACATTCACAAGCTTCGTTTGCCCACAGCTGTACGGCGCTTGCAATATCCGGATCTCCAGAGGCTTCAGCCAAGTTTTCTGGCAAGTCCATCAGTTTCGACCTAAATAATTTGCAGAGAGAAACGACCGACCTCCGTAAGACGTGCTTGAATGATCAAAACTGCATTGATCTGCCCAAGCCTGAGCAGTTGCAGCGACCTCATCGCTCCAAGTCAGGTTATTGGCACCATGATCCTTGCGGACGGTGTTGTGTGCAGTCAACCACGCGTCGATGTCACTCGAAGACGCCGAGGACGAGGAACTGGACGCCGAGGCAGAGGAGGTAGCAGTAGCAGTGCTTTCGGCTCCACCTGATTCCACCAGTGTCTGCGTCTCAACGGTAGTCTCCGTCACCGTAGCTTCGCTAGTAGACTCTGGACGAGATTCTTCCGTGGAACTCTCCTGGGTGACAGAAGAGACTTCACTGGAAATGAACGTGGAGGTCTCAGCGTCTGTAGCAGACGGCAACGAAGCGCTGTCTGTCACACTAGGAAAGCTACTACGGGATGAGATTCAGTCGCCATGTTAGCAAGAAAGATGACGTACCCGGTCTCACAGGCCTGAGACGTGAACGATCCCCAGGAACCAGAGGTAACGCTCGCAAAGATCCACCAAGGCTGGTCGCGTCCATAGACCTCTCCACCGCACGGTTGGCTCGGCGACCAACCGCCCCACTGCTTCTTCGCCATGGCAGGGCCAGCCAACCCACCGGGAAGCTGGGCGACAAGCAGAACGGCCGCAGCAGAAAGGATCACGGGTGAATGGATCATGATCGTTTCTTTTTTGTGAAGGAATGTGCTGAGAGAATGAAAGGACTGGGTCGTAAAAGCAGCCAAGGAATGGAGAAATGACAGAATGGATTTTTCAGGTGACACCAGAATGACTGGATTATATATCGTGCAGTTACTGTAGCCGCCCAGAAAGAGCATGTGGCTTAACATAAGCCTACGACGCGCGTCTCCAGGGCACATTGAGACCGGAAGGAATACACCTCACTTGGCAACTGGCAGGCGACGGTCAATGGTTACAAAACAGATATTCAACTGACATGATGTGTATGTTCGGCGTCGCGCCACGATCCGAGTCCTTCGCTCCAGATTATCAGGGCCAGGTCCACAAGTAGGTTCTGCTTTTCAAGTTCTGCAGTAGACACTTCAGAGATCCGACTTTGAAAGCAAATAGCATATGGTGATCTCCATGGGCACGACGATCACCCAAGCCCATTTGATATCGAGTAAGTGGAGCAGCATTGAAATAATCAAATGGCTGCGATGATCAGGAAAATGGTCGGTAAATTAGGAGAATGGGAAAGTTCGAGCATTTTGTGCAATATCGACGATAGAACGTAGAATTATAGTATGGTTGGTTGTTAAAGATCTGAGAAGAGTCATAGAATGCACTGGGATAGAAATCGGCTCCCAATATTACTGAGCGGCAAAGGGACGTGATCATAGGGATGACGTATGATCTGATCTTGAATATGAAAGTTCAACATTCAAAGGTGAACCGGTCAGTACCGATGGTAACAACGACGGTGACATCTAGAACCAAATGGTGCCCTGCTCGTCATATGGAAGAGGAAATAAGTCAAAGCGCAGTCGATACGAGGTCAACGATGGTAGTCACAGGGGGCTATCTGCCGCACACCAACTCACGCGGCCAAACGAACCTCGCTCACATCATACAACCGCGCTGCCAAGACATCCCCGAAATCTGAACCTACGGGATCGTAGCTTCGTATCTTGGACTTGAAAGGATCATCATCCTCTACGAAGTTGAGATACTCTGCGGCACCAGACATATGCGCCACCCGACAGCATGCAGCATGTATGCACAAGTACTCTTTCGAGGGCAGTGGGAAGTCACTTCGAGTAGATGTGAAATCAATAAAATGAGGCACTTTCAACAGTTCAAAAATGTAGCGCTCCTTCGTTGTGCCGACTTTATAGTGGTTATCAATATCCTGGTAATAATTAGCCAGGAAATGAGGAAATGGGAAGACGGACTGTAGGCTCCAACCATAGAGTGAGATCGTCAAAATGATCACGAAGATCGTATTCGAGGGTCAGGATGTTTTCCAACCGGTGGATTTTTTCGCCCTGAAGTTCCTCGAGGACATTCGTGAATCCAAAGTGTTCAATGATAGTCCATGCGTTCGCAGCGCAGTCTCTCTTGAGACAGAGTAAGTTTAATGAAATAACAGCACAGGGTGGAAATACTCACCTTGATTGGATTATCAATGCCGACGCTCATGGACTCAGGGAAGATGTGGGCACACTGGGTGGTTCGTGGTACCATCCCTTCCGGTAACTGTGCTTGGAGTTCGCCGTACTTGAAGAATGACATCTTGTCCGTGGTGCTGGACAAGACACATCGATAGTTGTCACGAGCCAAGGCCTGAGAAGGGTGTATCTGGTGCTAAGCTCAAATCAAGTCCAAACGCACGCTTTTCTTCGCCTCTTGATGGTTGGATGGATAACGCTGAAGCTGTTGATGCACTTCCGCCAAAGTCTGTTGGTAGGAAGGGCGCGAGTGATGATTAGATGCCTGGGGAGTAGGTCCCTTCGCCTTGCGGACTAGTAGAGAAACGAGCGTCAGCGTATGACCTGGTAACAAGGATACAACTAACATGTCCGGATGAAGAACTTATCATAGAATGCACCTCGAGCAATGAAGACTTCATCGGTAGCTTCGCTATTGATGGTTGTGGAGATATGGGTCTTTGCTTTGTCTGTAGGACCAACTTTCAGGAGGTGACCCATGATTCGAATGTTAACCAGTTGTTTTCGCAAAATTATATCGGAGGGGTTGCGGGAGAACTGGATCATGAGGTCCTTCTCCACCCGGCGACAACGACGATGTGCACTAACAAAGCTCGTATTGGAATGAGTAAACTCGTCCCCAAGCTCTATCCCAGGCACCATGGTCGTCATCGTTGCGTGTTAGTGCCTACGCTTGCCATAAATGATCATTTTGTCATATTTGGCAACATCGTGACTTCTGGTTCCTGACTGAGTCGTTGCAAGACGAACGGGACTAGGACGAAATCGTGGGATGACTTATGATCTGAACTTGCTCAACGGTGAAGCTCTTGAAGGACTGATGTACCTGATGTACCTGACATATAAGGACATGACGCGCTGCAGTGCTCGTCATATGAAAGAAGAAACAAGTCAAAGCGCAGTCAACGACACGTTACGCACATATACAGCAGGACAGCACAAGCTTACTCCAGGGTCATCCCTCGTGGCCGGATCGGCTGTGGGACCGTCTTCGGCTTCATCGGATATCGACGCGGGAATGAGTATTGTAATTTGCGCACTGTTGGTGTACTCTTTGTGGCTGAGCGTACAGATGATATTACATACTAATTCATTCTATAAAGTGGGTTTTGATCTCCGAACTGGTGGTAAAGATGGCCGTTGAATAGTGGGTCACTTCAAAAGGCCTAGGGACGGTGGGTCAACCCACAGGGACATGTACGATTGGAGACATTCCAGATGTCGTGACATGTGTATCAATTGTATTGACCTTGACATTCGCGCCATCAGGCCTCAGGCCTGAACATTCTCACTGTCAATTAAGGGTTAACAAAACTTTAAGTATCCAATGGGTAGTACACTGACGCAAATTGGCCAATGACGTTTCCTGCTGGGGAATATTCACAAACGTAGTAGCTGGCTTTCTGTTGACGCATTTGGACGCTCAGTCAAGACCTCGAGGAGCGAATCATCTGCACGTACCCCAAAAGAAGCATCAAAGATTCCATCGCAGGACTGGACGGCACATCCAACCTGGTTCGTAGCCTTTCCAAACAACTACAACAAAGTGTTATGGGATAGGCGTTCATAACGAAGTCCTTCGCTTACCCTGGGTGAAATGAGACGCGACTGGATTGTTAGGATCATAGCTGGCTATGAAAGACCTCAGCTATTGCCCACGAAAGGAGATTGCTTGGAACACTTACAAGCCTCATCCGTCCATGACTTGATCGCAGAGTTAATGGTATAACCACTACCGGTCCCAGCGGCAAGGTTCTCTGTCAAGACAGTATTACAATCATGCTCAAGGCATAAGCGAGAAGAAGTACCTCCAAAACTGCCGAGGGAGCCGCCTGAATGCTCAAACACACATCCGTTCGCCCATTGCTGGGCCTTCCCTGCTAATTCATCGCTCCAAGTCAAACCAGTTGCTCCGTGTTGAGCACGGATGGTGTTGTGCGCGTCAAGATAGGTGATGATATCACTGCTTGGCGTGGAACTTGATGAACTTGTTTCTGATGGAGCTAACGAAGACGCTATAACAGAGGAAAATGTCGATGAAGAAGTCGAAGGAGTCTCTGACGTCGAAGTGGTTGTAGTAGAGAAGGTCGGCACGGAAGAGCTGGTCTGAACAAGTTCCGTGGACGAGAGAAGGGACGAGGATGGAGTCACCACTGTGTCTATCGTCGTTGAAGTGGTTAAAGGCGTATCAAAGAACGCGGGGGTTGTTGAAGGTAGCCAATTGGGAAGATGTCGCCTCAGATGAGATATCCTGAGTGGACATTGTTACAGATATTTTCTCAATTGCAGAGGCGATCAGTACTAGGACTAGCGCTCGCGACGATGGTTGAGCTCATATCTAATTCCTGCGAGGTCGAAGTGGAAGAGACGGACCTTGAAATGCAATTCAGCTATATACAACCAGGACAAGAGCATAGACTTACGCATCACTTCCGCAAGCTTGGGCTATGATCGAATCCCAATCTTCAGGAGATACGCCTGTTTGTAATACCGGACCCCATGGGTTAGAACCCATTACCGCACCCGGGAACCCCCAGTTATCCTTACACAATTCAACACACAACTGCTCGCCACGGTGCTTCATCGAGCAGGCGGGACCAGAGCGCCCCAAAGCGAAGGAGGAGAACAAAAGCGTCAGATGGAAGAACAAGACAGACCGAGCCATTCTGGTCAAAAAGGAATGTGGTGTCAAAAGAAGGGCCAGCCAGAACGAAAGGGAGAGGTATGAAGAGGATATGCGAAAGAGCGACTTGACAAGAACTGTGGTGAGTTCTCAGGGTAATGAGGTACGCTTATATAGTCTTCATTGATTTGGTTCGCCTTGACAACCGTATACTTGGCAGCATAAGGGGGAAGATAAATATCGATGATGTCGAGACAGAACAGACAGTTGGATTTTGATTGAATTAGACCAGAGGCCATGACGGTAATAGGTAAGATCGAACAGATTCAATTGGCAATTCAATGGCTTCCAATAGACCACCACCATATTACATTCTCTTTTCCAACTCTTCGCTATCTCCAACTCCTTCGGCAACTTTGGGACATCCTACAATTCAGTATCACTATGCAGACGACTCTCCTCTGTCATTGCTCCCGCAACACCCTCAAGAACACGTCCTTCTGTTGGATTTCGATCCTTCGTCGAGCGCACCACCCACAGTGAAGAGTATCTCCAAGAACATGTCCGTGACTGGTCTCAAAATAGAGGACGCACCAGGCGTGGCGGCAGTGGACGAAGGAGGCACCAAACGAGCCGAGAAAATGTTCATCATTGAAACCACGATGCTAGAAACCAGGTGTGTCTGATTGATTATCCATGTAATTCCTCATTCAACAAGCGTTCAGGAATGCCGACGGTGAGGCCAAATCTCCCCATGCCATTCTAGCCGAATTCAAGCACAAGTACGTATATAGTCCCAATCTCGGGGGCCATCACCTCATCTTGTATCACTTAACAGAAATGCTATCTTACGACGCGGCCTCGTCTACCCGGAGACTCCGAAGGCAGGCAACGCGACCAACTTGTCTCCAACAAGAAATTCGCCGTTACGATCAGATGGTTAAGCTCGTGGAGTTTCTTGACTGTACGCCTGGCAAAGACATTTAGATAATGTATATCATGTACACACTGCTTCAATCTATCTCCGTTTCTTTCCGCGGGCTTTACTGCCTTGCGAACCCTTGGATGAACCAGTTGGAGTGGAAGATGGCTGGGTCTCCTTCGGTGCTTCATCACCCGCAGACAACAACGCGGAGAAGCTGGTTCCAAGAATCTCATTAGACGCCTTACACTAGATAATTGCATGGCTCACCCGGATTTGAAGTCGCCATTCGTCATGGCACTTTGCATCTTGGCCATTTTGGCCTGCTGCTCCTTGAAGTCTTCCAATGATTCAGGGTCCATGTTTTTCTGCAGGGCAAGTTAATAACTGTCAAAGGCGCAACCAACATAAACGCACCATAAGGTAAGGCATAGCCAATACCATCACGCCGGTAAAGACCATCATCAATACCATAGGACTCTTGAGCATGCCAAGCATGTTGAATGAATCGGGCGGCACAAAATACTTGTGCTTCGTTCGTGGAGTAAGAGTCAACGGATACGACAGGCGGTTTGGAACAGGCGGGTTTAATGACGTCCCAGGGGGATACGGTCGTGCCTCTACAGTGGCATCCTGAAGGACATCTATTCGCAGCTAAGACCTATAAAGTTGTTGCTGAAATATACCAAGAAATGAACATACCTGGTCAAAGACAAAATCATGCGTTAATACGGAGAGAATATAGGTTCCAGTCGGGACATCATGTCTGGATGGTCGCGTCAGTATACGCATGTAGACAGGTAGGACGACGGACATCGTGAAAGAACCATCCCGAACCACACCTCCGCTCCGTCGTCCATTATCGAGTACTACTTTCGACGGTCCTAGCTCAAGTAGACCTAGACAGGGATATAGAACTGTGGTTTTGTTTCTACACCCAATATTGCGTACCTGGGCACACGTCATTCCATTGTACACGGCCAGTGAGATCAACAGCGTGAACGGAGAATAACAGGCTGGAACTGCAATTAGTCGTGAATTACGAGCGTGGAGAAAAGCTACTCGACTGACCTTAAAATCCCGAAAAGACGAAGAGAAAAAGGTATCATAGCGTTGTGGACGCCGGAAAGGAGACAAGAAGCGGTAATCAAATATGACCAAACTGCCCTCCCAGTTTCCTCCCATAATCATCCATCCAAAAGCATCACTCTAAAATGCGGCAAAAAAGATCCAAAACGTATAGAAAGCTCATGGCGTTGTATTCCATGACCTTTGGTTTTCGTCAGCCCTATCAAGTTCTCAGTAAGATGATTTCCTCAAGATATTCGACCGTGTACTTACTTCGAACAAACTAGTCGACTCTGAAATGTGCAAGCTGGCTGCGGATACCAACATTGAATTGGTGAAGCAAATAGGTGCTGTTTTACATGGAGAAATAAAACCTAGTGAGTATACCTTAGGCGTATTTCCCGGTGGAGCTGAAAACTTAACGAAAAAGCACCGTTTTAGTGATAACTCAGTGTTGCATACATGAACTCTACCTTCAGGGAAAGTCTCGCCAAAATGCTGTCGATCTTGCCAAATGTTTTGAAAGACGAAGATGCAACCACAGGGAACCAATACCGGGCGATGATTGTCTTAAAAGCGTCGTTGGTATGTCTGATGCTAGAGCTATCTCTTACAATGTTTAATTTCCATTTGTGTAGGGGATACGAACAAACATCGCTATGTTATAGCATCCCAGTCGCAGCCGCTTCGTTCGAAGTTGCGAAGCATTCCGGCTGTGCCTCTCGTTCATATCAACCGTTCTGTAATGGTCCTTGAACCGCCTAGTGATACAACTCTTGCGTCTAAACAAAAGGCTCGTCATCTTTTTATCACTCAACCCTCAGACTGTTAACCGTGGATTATATTCAGAGCGAGGAAGAATCTTTGCATCCAACGGCTCCTGACATCGCATTAGTTGGTCCATCATCAGATCCACCCCGGAAGAAGCGGAAGGGACCAAAAGGACCCAACCCTTTGAGCGTAAAGAAGAAAAAAGTCGATAATACTCTAACCAAGAGACAGAATACTAGTAAAGGAGCGCACAGCGATTCTCCAGAGAAAAAGAGGAAACGGGATGAAGACGAGGATGAGGATGTAAATTCAGAACTGGAGAGTGTTGTACGTTCGGGCAGGAAGAGGAAGCGGAGAAGAAAGGTCACAGAATTGCATGTAGACAAGGACTGACACCTTTTTGTCTTGCATGGTAGCGTTATTTTAATTCATATTCAATGGCAAGGATCACAGCGGGCTGTTTATCCGCGTCTGATTATTATTAATGCTCACAACGACGTCAGAATGTCGTGCCGTCGTTGTACTGAACTGTGGCACAGCACCAGTCATTTCTGAGTCCAGGCCAGCGGCTTCGGAAAGACTCAGAAAGTAAGACCTCGGATTAAAAGTAAATCTAGTTTAGGAAGGAAGGAAGTTAGTTTTAGACCACAAAGACTCATTATGAATTTTTGTCAAGAGTCTTATTCCTTTGTCAGTATATTTCAATAGACAGGGCACTTGAACATTCTCCAAATTTCGAAGCATTTCCGAAAATGGCATATCCGGCTCATGACAAAGGCTGTGATCAGTTCAAACTCCGCTTATCCAATAGTATAAAGGGGCTCGCCGCTGCTGTTATACCTCAGCTTAGCTACCACAATAACCACCCGCCCCATCACTCTAGTCCACTATGCAAATCTTCGTTAAGACCCTCACCGGAAAGACCATCACTCTCGAGGTCGAATCCTCTGACACTATCGACAACGTCAAGGCAAAGATCCAAGATAAGGAGGGGTAAGCAGTTTGCGTCGAGCTGTCTTCACAATGGCTGATCACAGCATCATTAGCATTCCTCCCGACCAACAGCGACTCATCTTTGCCGGAAAGCAGCTCGAAGACGGTCGTACTCTTTCCGATTACAACATCCAGAAGGAGTCCACCCTTCATCTCGTCTTGCGTCTGCGTGGAGGAATGCAGATCTTCGTCAAGACTTTGACTGGCAAGACCATCACGCTCGAGGTCGAATCTTCCGATACCATCGACAACGTCAAGGCGAAGATCCAGGACAAGGAAGGGTATGTTTCCATTTCATCTGAGAGCCCTACGTCATTCTGATGGTGTCGACAGCATCCCTCCTGATCAGCAACGACTCATCTTCGCCGGCAAGCAGCTGGAGGACGGTCGCACTTTGTCCGATTACAACATTCAGAAGGAATCTACTCTTCACCTTGTCCTTCGTCTCCGTGGCGGTATGCAAATCTTCGTCAAGACGTTGACCGGAAAGACCATCACCCTTGAGGTGGAGTCTTCTGACACCATCGATAACGTCAAGGCTAAGATTCAAGACAAGGAAGGGTAAGTAGTGGTCGCTTTATGATGTATTCCATGAGGCTCATCTAGTTATCTATAGTATTCCTCCTGATCAGCAGCGTCTCATCTTCGCCGGGAAGCAGTTGGAAGATGGGCGTACACTCTCTGATTACAACATTCAGAAGGAGTCCACCCTCCATCTGGTTCTTCGTCTGCGTGGTGGAATGCAGATCTTCGTTAAGACATTAACGGGGAAGACCATCACGTTGGAGGTTGAATCATCGGATACCATTGACAACGTGAAGGCCAAGATTCAGGACAAGGAGGGTATTCCCTCCCGACCAACAGCGCCTTATCTTTGCCGGCAAACAATTGGAAGATGGCCGAACCCTTTCTGACTACAACATTCAGAAGGAATCGACGCTTCACCTTGTCCTTCGTCTCCGTGGTGGTATGCAAATCTTCGTCAAGACGCTCACCGGCAAGACAATCACGCTTGAGGTTGAGTCGTCCGATACCATCGACAACGTGAAGGCCAAGATTCAGGGACAAGGAAGGTATTCCTCCCGACCAGCAGCGACTTATATTCGCCTGGCAAACAGCTGGAAGACGGTCGTACGTTGTCGGATTATAATATCCAGAAGGAGAGTACCCTTCACTTGGGTAAGCCTATGTTCTTTAATCTAATAGCAGACGAGACTGATTAACTACCCTTTTACAGTCCTTCGTCTTCGTGGTGGCAACTGATTCAGTTGAAGAGGTCGATGTAGATTCATAGCGCATGTCTGTACAACTTATATACAATAATCACGTCTATCACATGGAGCTTCATTATCGTTGAGATTGATTAATGTCAGGATCTTCGTCTTTTCGAACCCAAAGTCGGATAGCTAGGTCCTTCTCCATAGATGAGGTTGCGATTATATCTTTTGTGGGATGTGTCTGCAATTTGAACAAACAGGTGAACGACTATTTTTGTTGGAGATGTTGTATCACGTACGGCTACGGCAAGTACGACGTCTAAAGCAAGCAAAAATTCAGATGACGGGCACACAGATGTGTTCGACTCACCTCGATGTCCCTCCAGAGTTTGCAAGACCTGGCGTGTTTGCAGATCCCAAATATATGCCTTGTGATCTTCACTCCCACTGACGATGTATTTATGTTTGGTGTGACTAAAACACGAAAATAGACAGTATGTTCTGTTGACGTGGCCGGAATATGTTTTCACACAGCGGGATGTCTGGTAATTCCATAGCCGTATAGTCGAGTCTTGAGTCGACACAAGAACAAATTTGGAGTTGGGAGAGAATTCGACATGAGAACTAGAAATCGCGTCAAGTGAGTTTAGAAAAGCACAAACGAAACCGACACACCATATTGGATTATCATCATCAACCAATGTCTTTAAGCACTGGCCAGAATCGACATCCCATATGCGTCTGCATGAGGTTATTGATATCGATGGAAAGAACCAATCGAGCCACAGCACTGACATGAGACCATCCATGGCGCAAGAAACAATCAAAGTCCCGTCATGGTTGAAGCTGACAGAGGTGACAGGATCTGAATGTGCCGGGAGAACCTTCATACATGTTCCTAACACCCTGTCAGTGCATTCCAAGGCTTCATAGGTATGAAAAGGCACCTCTGGCAACGTCCCACACGCGAACTGTTTCATCGAATCCACCGGACACGAGAAGATTAGAATGAGGATTGTAATTAACGGCAAACACGAAGTTTGTATGACCAGTTAGAGTCTTGACTTCTACACCCTGATTCAAGAGCCTAAGACAAGGTAGCAGATACCGTGACATGTGAAGGCGTACCTGATCCATGCTCCATATCTTTATGGTCTTGTCATCGGATGCGGATGCGAGAAATTCGCCGTCGGGCGACCAGGCAATGTCGGAGATACCTTGGTCATGACCAGAGAGCGTGCGCAGTATTTCACCTGTATATGCATCCCACAACTTGATGATCCTGTCGGCGCCTGTTCTTCACAAACTTTTGTAAAGATACAAGACGCGAAATAGCTCGATGGACATACCCGAGGAAGCTAGGATTGACCCATCGGGACTAAACTTGAGAGATGAGATAGACTTTGTGTGTCCATTCAACGACAGGCGAGGATAGAAAGGAGCCGGTTGTTGGGAACTAGAAGCAGAGGAGGAAGATTTGTCTGGCATTGACATTAAATAGTGGTCGCTGTAACGTTAGCTACTGTCGGAAATAGCCTTGACGAGAAAAGTCGAGGCACGTGGCGAGAAAAGTTTCGACTTCGCTTCAAGTTCTACGTATACAATGGCTTCAGCTTGGATATCGCCCTCGACGCGGCCAGAAAACATTGATTATCTGGTATCTGGCGTTGGTGTGTTGTATTTTCTCAAATAATTAACATTGGGCGCTGACTGTGTTCAAGACCGATACAATCCATCCAATGTCACCATTCTCGAGGACTACCTTCTACCAACAGATCAGAAACCAGGAGTACGACTGCTTGGCAAACTTAGGCCATCCTCAAGCTGTAGGGCCTTGTATCTCTGTTTTAAAATTCTCCTGCTCTAACTCAAACATAAAGGTATCAATTCAACCCGGACTTGTACAACCCAGATGTTATCATCAACATCCTCATGAAATCCCTCACAGCGTCCCCTCTGCCAGATTTCAATCTCTGCATGTCTCTTCTTGAAGACAAACCTATCAATGCTACGCTCGATGAGCCCGACCCGCTTCCCGCTCTCCTTCCCATCATACAAGGACTGCACGAACTCCTTGACCGCTGTCGGTTCCCCAAGTTCTGGGAAGTATACCACTCGAACGAACTTGAAAATCTCCGGGATAACTACACGGTAGAATACGTTGGCTTTGAGGATGCTGTCAGGGAAGTGGCCGTGCGTGCGGTCAAAGCGACTTTCACGAGGATAGGAACAGAGCGACTGGGCCAGTATCCTCGATCTGGAGGGTAAGGTCGCTTTAGCTCTTCCTTTGCACATCTCTGACATGATTTAGGTCCCGAGCTACAAGCCTATGTTGAGAACCTGGGCTGGTCAGTCGACCAATCCGGGACTGTTGTCAACATCCCGCCAAATCCAGACAACCAAATCGAAGCCACCGTTGTCCAAGAAAACATTAAGCTACCTCGTAAGTGATGGTATTTTATCTTCGTTCTTCAATACTAACTAGTTCTTAGAGCTCATAAAAGTCATATCTCACGCTGCAAAAGCTTGATGGTTGTTGTAAAAGCTTTCTCTATATGCGATATCTTGTACTGCTATTCTAAGTCATTGTCCATCATGTACGACGTAGACTATGGCAAAGTTCAAGCAGATAAGAATGCTGCTACCGTTCCCCAACCAGCCATCACAACAGCCACACCTACAGCCACCGCCTCAAAGACACCACAAGAGCCTTTTATAGCAATATGGGCACCAATGGGTCCAATCACAACTATCAGGAAGGCCGAAAATGAACCTAGAAAGGCCATTACGGCGCTGAAGTCGGGCACCAGAACAGAAACGCCCACAGAGAGCACAGTGAGGGCTACTCGCAGGATCATACCCAATATACGCTTTCTTGATGTACCATGTGATGGTTCGGCAAGTCTTTTAGCAACATCTTCGTGTGTTGCTGGTGGTAGGTCGATCCCGAGTAGGATCTCGATAGTGGCGTTGAGCTAGTGGATGATCAGGAAGACGCGACGAACAGCTAGACACGCGCCTACCGGCTGAGTGGCCAACGCAAATTTAGACCTGCGTAGAAAACTCCATGAGTACACATATTCTTAATAGGTGAAATTACTTACATTGGGCTTATCACCAACATCCAAAGGCAAGCTTGGTTTAACGCCGGATTGTACCCAGGCGTGCTAAGCAGATCCATGCTAATCTGGGGGTAATATGTTGGGTCGATAGCGTAGGAACAAAGATGCCCAATACTTACCTCTTCGCTAACTGATATTCCAAACATGATGTATCCCGCGTATCCAATTAGCCCATAGATGAGTGTTGCAACGACCTGGGAATTCATATGAAGGTGAGGCCGTGACAGGATATTGATGTTGAGGAGACTCACAAACGCCCAGGTGATCATTTTATCGAACTCTGATGGATCTTCCATGTCACGAACGAGGGACGGGATAACTGCATGGCCAGAGAACTATACAGTTCGCTCAGAAACACTAGCCGAACACGAAGGAAGATGGCATACCCCGGCCATAAATAATCCATACGCTATCCCAAGGTGCCTCCAGCTCTCAATGCCTAAAGATGTTTCGGCCGGCGACCATAAACTTCCCGGTTGCTCTTTTCTAGTAGCACCGTCAATGAGAATCACAGCTATCATCAGGATAGTTGAGATAATGCCCAAAACGGATGTATATGAGAGAAGAGATAATGGCAAGAAAACAGTGGGGATCAATCTAAGTTGTTCAGCGTAGATGCTGTCGTCAGTACAAGAATAGTTTGGCTATTGAATAGACAGCCTACATTAACAAGCCCCATAATTTATATGTGTTCGATGAATAATAGGGTATGATGGCATGCAACGAATCTGCGTACAACGTCACGAGGATCACACTGTATTGATTGGTTAAGATAGCACCAATATTTGAAGCTGATGTACATACCTGACGGAGAATAATTCGAGACAAAAGATAGCACTGATTATGCCTGTTGACCGTGGACCAAAGGCTTTCCGTCCAATGTCGGTGTAGGATCGTAGCCGGGGGTCAGCCCTGATGATTTGCGCCAGAATTTTTGCTCTGTGCTTTGATCATCAATTCAAGTGACCGAAAAGGCAGTACAGACGTACGTGTAACAGCTAACAAAACCGTAAAAGCCAATTAGTATAGTCCCAGGTATCCACCCCGCGTATGCAAAGGCCAGAGGGGTCGAGAGCATTCCAATCCCCAATAGAATAGCTATAGGAGTTGAAAAGCTGTAGAGGAAGATCTTAGCTTGAGCGATAAACTGGAACTGAATATTCATACAGTTTGACCGAATGTACTTGCCCCTCCAAACTTGTACTTTGGAGCAGAAGACAGTGAAGTCTTTGAAGGTTGACGAGCCACAAGGGCGCCTTGTTACTTCTTGAATGGCATTTGAAGAGGCTAGATAATCAGGACGAGGAATGAGGGCGGCGAGGATAGGTTCCAGCTGAGAAGGATACCCTACGGAGCAGCGGCGTCTCTTCATCCGCTCGGGGTGGTGGAGATACGCTCACAGGGGGACTGATGAATGTACTCCGAGGAGATGAAGGAACGAAAAGGGCTGACGGTGGTGTCCTAGGAGAGGGTGACCCAGGATTCAGTGAGTCCCATTCGAATTGGCCGACGAAGTCATCATCGTCTTGACGTTGAGCCGGCGTGAACGAATCGCCATCCGACTCGTCCTCCTCCTCGATAATACTGCCCGATTCTTCATCAAAAGAGTCCGTAAGATCCGGTGAAGACGGCAAGGTCGATTCTACAACCAAAAATTGTGCTCGACGGTCTTGAAATAGTCAGTATCACACAAGGCGTTTCTTGAGAAGCCACGTACAAGAAGCGATGACATCTCGTACGCTCTGAGCACTCGACGCAGACCCAAAGGTAAATCCAGTAGTTGGCAGAGACATTCAGAGTTGTTTTTTAGCCTCCAGGTGGCCGAGAAAACTGGGTCAAAGATATCAGCCGGTGCTTATCGATATCCAATTCCGCTCCCTATCAGCATTGATAGACCCGGAAAATGCACCATCTGGATCGAATTAGGATGGCATGGTATCCATTCTTGGACTTCTATCAGTAGTGAAGCAGCTTGCAGGCGCACAGAATCCGGAGCATGAACAGGCGAATAGGTAATTCAGAGGAAACGTGACAGGATTCACGAAAAGAGCGTGTTATCAGGCTATCTAAATTTGGTTACAACACTGGCAACGTGGCTCCTATGTACTTTTATACACCATATGTTAAATAACTGTGGCAAGTAGTAATTTAATGTAGGCAAGAGTCAATAAAACAGAGACTGGAAGTAATTGCAATGTCACGCAGGATCGCGGTGTCTATAATAATCAAGTGATGGCCTGGAACACAGATGCAAGGTGTGCGGAGACGACACGATAAGAGATCGTATAGCTAGGAGGATAGTTAAGAGGTATTCACTGCTCGGCGATTTGTCCACATCATGTAGGGCTCTCTGGATATATCGTAGCCCGCATGAGCCTTGGTTCGGGTGCTACGCCTTGCTTCAGGGAGTTTAGCATTGACTTGAACGTCCTGCGGGTTATATGAGTACGAAAAAAAAACACATAACCAATAACACTGACCGCGGTACGCTTCCTGATACCAGAAGTTATGTGAATCCACCACTTGGTTAGGGCAGCCTTGAGGGCGACTTCCCTGTGACCCTTGGGATTTAGCCATGCTACAAATTCGTCAAGCTGTATCCCAGATAATAAGTGAAAATAGTGCATTCAGTAGAAGACCACAAACCTCTTCCAACTCAGGAGTAGGCGGCCCACTCTCCAGGTCCAAGGATACCATCTTCTCCTTCTTCTTCTTTTCTGCGACCATCAATATCTTCTTCTACTTGCCGGAGTCTCAAAAGCTCCATATCTGTCTCGCTAGGACCCTGAATGAAAATCCTACCCGTCCCGTATTGCGCTACACCGCCACTCCCCACTAACGACGCCGACCCTAGGCCGTCAAACCACCAGATACGGTTGTAGAATCTATCCCGCCCCAGCGGCTTCACTCTGACACCGCCCAATAATTTCCTGAATTCACGTTCGATGCCTTCAAGTCTCCGTTCGATCTTGTTGACTTCTTCGTCGAGTCTCCGGTGTTCGGCCATGGCTTGCTTGACAGAGGCTTGCTTAGCACGTGCAGCTTCACGTTGCTTTGCTTGGGTTTGCATCTTTTGACGAAGATCCTTCTGGCGGGAGGATCCTTTCTTTGACGTCGACAGTGAGTCAGAAGCAGCATCAGAAGCAGCTACTTCAGAGTCACTGGCTTCCTGCATCGAGATATCTTCATCAGGAGGTATGGAATTGTCCTTGGTTTCTCCAAGAAGAGAGTTCATTTCTTCAGCACTGCAGCAAGATATGTAAGAAATCGTCAACAAAGGATTTCGGTAAAAATACTCACAGTTGTTTCTTGGAACGGTTGACTTCAATCTTCTCCTTGCGAAGAGCAGTCAGCTGTTCCTCACAGGATTCCATGTGAGCGTGGATTGCCTTGCTGGAGACAGCAAGGTTGGTCAGGAAAGAGAGGATTGCTATGCGGTCCACCGGTGGCAAAGAATGATACCGTTCGGCGGGGGAAGACGGCACAGTGTACAACGAAGACTGAGGGGCAGGCGAACGTGAGCTAGATGCACTCGAGGACGTGGAAGGCTCATTGGCCTCCTCGGGTGCAAACAATAACTTCGTCAATATTTCTCGCAGAAGAGGGAAGTTGGTCGTGTTAGCGTGCTGTCGCAACGTATAAGTACGAGACCTCCAGGAGCCGAAAAAAAACACGTACATCCTTCAAGCAACCGACCAGCGCATCCTCCCAACCTTGTCGACCTTCTGCATGCCGTAACGGGACTCTTTCCCAGTTGTTGCCAATATCAGCCATTGCAGCTGTAAGATTCGAGATGGACTGGCCCAACAGCATATCACTACCAGTAGACGCCTCCTCGTCGATAAGTGACATAACCGCACTATGCCGATGGAATGGAACCGTCCGCAGATTATATATGAGGATAGAATGGATTTCGGCGAGCAAAGGGCACGGAGGATCTTCAACGGAGTGACGTATAGGCATGCTCATACTCGTCCAGAGTGAAAGTTGAGAGATGAAGTGGTTGACTGTAGACATATAAGTTTCTAAAAGAACTGAAATGTTTGATGCAACGTACCCATATACAATCAAGAAATTCCAACTCATCAAAAAGGCCTCAAAGGTACCAGGAGAATCGTTGAAAGGAAGCGAAGTGCGACTAGGTATCGGTTTTTGGATTTTCATACCGGCCTTTTTGTCCTTGTCCGCTAACCTCACATCCAGGTCCTCAGTTGGATAACGAACTGGTTTCTTCTTCTTCTTTTCTGCTGCGATTCTTTCCGCCTCCTCTTTCGCCAGTCTCTGTTTTTCCGCCTTCTCGCGAGCTTCGCGCTCACGTTTCTCGGCTGTGCAATGTGGATCAGTACAGAACAGAGATGGAAAACTCAATAGACGTACCTCTTTCCTCCTGTGCCGCTGTCATCTTTTTCTGCCTTTTAGAAGGCGGCCCTTCTTTATCCTCCCAGACTTTCTTGCGTTTGTCGATTTCACCTTTCTTGATTGATTCGACGTCCTTGCGAGTCTCCTCAGGCATCACGGAGTCGACGCCATACCGCTTGGCAATAGCAGGCTTGACAGTCCAAGGCGAAGCGACCGCGGCATCACGATCAACGCAGTCGCGGATGAACCGACGCAGTATAGATTTAGAGAAAGAAAGGCGATCTCGACTACTGAGGTTAGCTCTGATTTCATGCATGAAGCAACGTGATCTATATACCTCATTAACTGGCATGTAACTTCCATCAAACTGCCAACGGTATCTTCATCTTGTTTTTTCGCATTTTTGGCCTTGTCGTGCGCTTTTTCCTTCTCTGGTTCAGTAATTTGAACCCAGTAGAAGTATCTCTCTGGCCTGTCTTGGGCATTAACTTCTGCGGCTGGTATCTTTAAGTCACCAGTGATGAGATGAGGTTCGTCTAGTTCGGCTTTGGGCGAGGACCCTCTGTTTTCCTTGCGCGCGTCACGAGCATCCTGATCTTGATAAAACTTCGGAGGGTAGACCGTATCGACGGTGCCATAGTACCTGTACCGCAGGGATGAGACACAAGGACAAGAAGATAGAAACAGGCAAGATTTTTACTTGGTTCCTTGTAAATCGACAAGCACCCCTGGAGACAAGAAAGAACATTGGCAAGACAGTCAGGCGTGAAGAACAGGGCCACGTACTTTCTCCTTTGAAGTAACGGTCCTTGAAACGTTCATACACTGCTTCGACAAGATGATCAAGTCGACCGACAACCTCTGTGTAGGACATCAGTTTGAAGGGTACGATGTGTTTGAACGCGACCACGTACGCCATTGGACGGCCTTCAAGATGGCTGGCTTGAGTGGCGCGGAGAATCGTGCGTGTAATGTTCGAGCTTCTTGTCGTTCACTTTCGAGAGCCTGAAAATAGTCGAGACCACTTTTTCCGGTGACCTCGCACTGGAACTGCTTCAATCTGTAAAAGGACATACGTGCGGCATACGCCCTTGGGGCCGGTAAGGGTGGTGAGAGGGCGACATAGGGGAATGAGCACGTACTCGTATGTTTCGAAGATCTCGCCAGTATGCCTCAGATAGAAGACCTCTCTGTTAGGGTCTGTCTTGACAGACTGTAGGAGTTCATCGGATGGCTGGGTGAGAACGACCCGCTTGCGTCGACATGTCGGCATGGGAGCTGTGCTGACGAAAATACGGGCGCAGCGAGCAGGGAGCGGCTGTGGCGGGGGCAGCAGCACAGGGAATGGCTGGGTAAGACGGCGGCGACGGCGGGAACGATGAGGAACGAGGGCTGGACGACGCCTGGCAAGTGGATGAGGGGAAGGGGTCGAAACGGATGATGGGAATTCGGTAACGGCCAGGTGGCTGAAGAGCTGGCACCGATACTCCCTCAAAGGTCACCAAAAAGTCACGGCGCCTCGGCCTTTGCTTTCTCCAGCTCCTGCCGTCTGTCCACCATTTTTTTGTTTTGCAATACCTCCCTTGCCCACCTCCATCCCTTCCCAGTGATTCGTCCGGGAATTGTTGTCAGATATTCTGGCTTCATCGAGATGGCTTGCTAGCAGATTCAGGCAGTGTGACATTTTCATCTTGTCACTCATCCACTTGTAGTCAGGTTCGTGCTGCAGTTCTTTTTGGGAACTCGAACAGATATCAGTACACTCCGTCTACAAATATGTACTATGGATGTCGTTTCTCAAAAGTTCTGTGACATTCGTCCTGTCTTCGATGCTCCTCACATAGTGAACTCGGGACCCCTTCCTGCATCACGTGCTCGGCGGACGCGTCAACCATTCCTCGTTCACCCGACGCGTTTTACAACAATAAATCACACACTACATTCGTAAACAATCATGACAACCGTAAAGCTAGTAGATGTCCTCAGGTACCAGCGTATGCTGAAGAACTAAATGATGCAAAAGCTGAATAGTCTGCCAGGGCAGACGTTATTACTTAGGGTAGTGTAACTGTGTTCTAAATACGTCGTAATCCCAAAAGAATGAACAGAGGCACATACAATAGTCCAAGTGTTCTCGTATCCATGAAGAATATGTATCCGTAAGTAGCAATGTCATCCATCGATACTTCGACGCCGTGGGGTTTCTGACGCTTCCGGACTCCCTGTGGGATGTCGGTTCTCTACACCTGCCCTCTTTACGCCCCTTTCCTTGACCTTTTTGTCTTCCTCAACGGCGTGATCGGCAGCTCTCTTCTGTACACTTGTCAGTCCATAGAATACGAAGGAAAGACAACACTCACACTATCCTTTCTGGATAAGGAGAAGAATCTTTTTATCCTCGATGGAGACTTCCAATACTGTATCCCCTTTACCAAACATCGCTTTGTGCTTGTGTTTTGCTTCCACAGCGTCAACCATAGCGATAGCTCTGGCTGCTGGAGATGCCGTCGGTTTTCCTGAAATAGGCATTGTCATACCAGCGTCGTTGCTACCCTGTTGCGCGGTATGCCGCGACCCTTGGGAACCAGTCTCTTCCAATTGTCTGTCGGTATGAGTGGCCGCCATCGGTGAGGATGCGGAGCCGCCTTCTACATTGACCAGAACCCAACCCTGCTTGCCCGACTTATTGTCCTTCTCTTTGCCTTTAGGAGATAAAGACGGACTTGAAGAAAGGCATCCAATCATGCCCGCTTCGCTTTTGCGCAATTCTTCATCAGGTTCACTGAAGACAGGCGAAGCAATCCGATGCGGGACATCCTGAATAGGTTGTTCTTGCGATGCGCTATGTTCCGGCATGACCCCTGAGGTCACACTGGCTACCTCGTCCTTTTCTTCTATCGGGGTCGTCTGCCAGCCGCCTGGAAATTTAGGAGAAGTGGAGGGAGGAGCTTCCGTTTCGGCCACCATTGGATCCGCGATTTTTCCCGTCCATTTAATGGGCACCTCGGTGCTAATCTCTGTGTTAGACGAGAATGCTGAATCTCGAAACACGCCAGGGCTCAAGAGCGGGGGTGATCCAGCCGCACTAGAAGAATTTGACTTGACAACGGCGTCTGCTTGGGCTTCTATATGGGGCGACAAATCCCTTGTCTGACGAGCCGAGACGAGTGGTGGTGTGTTGGATCGCAGAATGGGGTCGGATATTGGAAGGCTAGTAGGATATCCTGATGCTGCGGGAGAGATACGAGGGCTCAGTTCGGCTTGAAATGGCGGAGTAGAGTAGAAAGCCCCAGGCGCTGTCGATGCACCGACACCAGTCATATTTTCAACACTGGAGGGCACTGTACTAGGAAGATTTGCGCGATATCCTTCGCCCTCGGCATCATCATGAACGGACACGGGTACTTGAGCTCGAGGTGCCGGCTTGCGAAGAGCAGGGCTCGCCGAAGATGATGCAGTAGGTAGATGATTAAGCGGTGAGCCTCCATGTGGACGGTGTGGACCGTCCGTGACGGTGCGAGGATGTAGAGGTGAGGGTGAACGTGGAATGGTGCTAGGTTCTGTAGTGAGTTTCCGATGATGAGCGGAAGAAGGAATTGTGAAGGAGGGGCTCAGGACTATGGAATACACGCTTGACGTCAGACTGAGAGGAGTTCAAAATCGATGGAACCGGTGAATCTGGGAGAATCGTTTCATCGGATGGAGGAGAAAGCCCAGTGAATATCCAGAGATCTTTGACTCGCGAACGATTTGTCAGGGATAGTGAGGTGAGAAGGGTGAATGAATGGGCATCGAGCGACGACAAAAGGGAAAGGATATGCTGGAGGGAATCGGAAGCAAATGTATCCTCTTGAAACCCTAATGGTAACGTCAGACCGCTGCTGTAATCGTTGTAAGGGAATGGAAAACAGTACATTTGTAACCCTTTAATTTGAACTCGAAAGAATGATCACCAATCTTCCTTTCTGAAACGACGCCCCGAGGCCACGAGCCGCGTACGGCCTGGAGAATAGCTGGTGTGGTGTCCAGTGGGGGACATATAACACGGAGAGTGGTAGCAGAGGGAAAGGATAAGGCAAAAGGAACCTTAACCTTGGACTTGTCCGAGTGAGACATCTTTGAACCTTCAGGCAAAGGTGAATCGGAACGAGGTGACTGGGTAACAGATGGTTTGGAAAAGGCCATAGCGACACGGTCATCGATTTCACGGCCATAATCAATGCTAGATAGAAAAGAATAGCCATGTTGATATATTATGCTCAGAATTTCCATCAAAAGCCTCTCGGTAGCTGCTGCTTTTCGCATTCGTCCATGGCTTGCCCTCAAGTGCGAATTCGTAGAGTCCATGCGAGACATCTTCGCGAAAAGCAGAAACGAGCGAGCGCTGGTCGAAAAAGCGATGAAGATGTGAAACAACTGGCAAAGGAAAGGAGTAGAGTCTAATGCAGTTGGAACTGGCAATAGCAAGTAGGGAAAAGGTGTTTGGAGTGTGTCTTTGTTCACGGATGAATTCTCGCCTAGGTACGAACGAAGAATCCTGAGGGGAACTTGAGTTGGACATGACGCCGCAAGAGAAAGTGAACGAAGCCAACTATGCTTCTTTCGTAAGTAAAGTCGTCACTTCTGTCCTTAACCCACTTGTGGCGGCGGCTAAGAAGGTTCCTGGCCGAGACACGTGGATTAAGGTTAGGGTCTGAATTCCCGTGTCGGACCTGCGGTCCGGTTTTCACACCTTTTGCCGCTGCTTTTCCGGACCGTGTTCCTTTAGTTCCCTTAAAAGCTGCTCTGGAGCACATTCTCACCCACGATACCTCCCATCTTCCCCTCTCTTGTTTCAATATCGAATATGGACAAGCTGAATATTCTGATGTGTACGTTGGCTTATAAGCATGTGTAGCTACTACCTGATACTTTGGCAGGCGGTGCTGTATGCTTCTAGCTGGTTTGGCTTGAATTTCTTGACCGATTACAAATCATCCTAGGGCGAGTACACTACCGGATGGACAGAATCTGGCGCATCAAAGTCAGACAAGAAGGTACATTGACTTTCTTTGGTCACGATTTTGTGTTAGAGGCCTCATGTCTTCGCTACAGATCGGAGTATGTCGCTGTCCCCAACTTTGACTTCCCGTATCATCTTACGCAGTGAAAGGTTGTTGCTTTAACATGCTTTGATCTTCGAAGGCTAGGAAAAGTGCATAAGCTTGGAATGGCTGGTGTCACCGGCCCCAAGTTTCCCGTCATCAGGGAACACTTGGCTCAAAACATCGCAGGCGTTTACAAGGATATGGATACAATGTGCGGCGTCGTCCTTTCCTCGCAACCTCGGGTTACTCATGGGTGTTTTCAGTTTTGATTCATTCCCAGACGTGGATAAAATCGATCCAGAAGCTTGTAAGTGACCGAAAATGTTGAAATTACACTGATTGCATGTACAGTTTAGACAAGTCTGCTATGGACAAGATGAAGCCCGGAGATGCGGCTATAATTTTTACACCAGACCGTATGATCTTATACTTTTCGGATCGAAATATAGCTTTGCTTATCTGTGGATCAGCTACGCACTACCCTATTGCTATGTACGCCATTGAACGCGGAATTCATGTCCTCGTTACGAAACCTGCTGTCAAATTACTGTCGGATCACAACAAGTTAATAGCGGCTGCCAAAAAGCACAATGTTATTTGTTTCGTTGAACATCATAAAAGGTGTTGGCGATCTTGCATCATCTTATCATAGCGTTAGTGTGTTAAACATACACTATAGATTCGATCCCGTATACAGCGACGCCAAAGCCAAAGCCGCGAGCTTGGGCGAGTTTAACTTTTTCAGCGCGTGGATGAGCCAGCCGAAGAGCCAGCTTGAGACTTTCCGGGCATGGGCTGGTAAAGATTCAGATATCAGGTTTGCGCTTTCACCTGTGGATTTTCTCTCGCAATGCTCAACGTATATAATATTCTAGCTACTACCTTTCATCGCATCATATAGACATCTGCTGCTGGATCCTTCAGGACATTGCAGTTCCAACGCGGGTTGTTGCAAGTGCTGCCACCGGTATTGCAACTAGCGAGCCTTACAACTGTGTTCCCCAAACCGAAGATACTATTACGCTCATGGTAGATTGGCAGTCAATTAAGAGCCCGAAACACCGAGGCACAGGAGTCTACACAGCGAGCTGGACAGCACCCTTAAAATCCGGTGTTCATTCTGCTCAGCAGTGGTATTACATGGGGGAGAAGGTATGTAAGCCCGTGTCTCTACTGAACAAGAAATCCGACCTTTGCGGGGTTCGTCACAGGGTGATATTACTGTAGACCAGGCTCACCGTGGTTACGATGTGACTGTCGACGATGCTGGCAAGTCGTGGTATAACCCCTTCTAGTGAGTCTTCATCTCGATAATCGGCAACTGATGTCTCATAATGCAACTTACTCTAGTATGAAATATTCACCTTCCGAAAGCGGGCATTTTGACGGACAACGAGGGTATGGCTATGTTTCCATCGAGAAATTTGTCGACGCGGCTCGCAGTGTCAATGCAGGACTAATCAAACCTGCGGATTACGATTTACACGGCCTTCCGACAATCGCAAACACCGTGCTCACAACTGCGATCTTGAACGCCGGTCGCATCAGTCTTGACGAGAAGCGACCGGTAGGTATTAAGAAAGATGGTGATACTTGGGTTTTGCTGTGAACGAAGTTCTTCTGGGTGTTAGAACTTCAGAATTCCTCACCCAAGGTTTGTTATCATGTGGCGAGAAGTTTTTATGCATCTGTATATCAACCGGCTGCGATGAAAGGGCCGTGTCAAAATAAGGATAAAGGTATTACATACTTGAATTCGAACAGTGATGATATTACCTTCTGTGCGGGGGTTTTCTTATAAGTAGTCGGCAGTTGTGTCCATTCATGGACAAGAAATTTTACCACACAAGTCGGCCTCAACTACATGTACAGAATTGCTAAAAGCTAATTCACTCCGCGCTTTACAACGAGACGTCCCTTCTCAAGGACACAGTTATAATAGACCGATCTTCCCAAGGTGCCGGGCATCGTCATGTTGTCAAAAGACCCTGCGCCATATCACACGGCAATAATTCTTGTCACGGAAAGATCAGTGAAATTTCATGTTCATATAATAGCTGATTCAAAGTTCCGCCTAGATTTTGAGCATCTCGTCGTGCCGATCCCGGTTCGATTGTTCTTCAGCAAGTCCATGCTCGGCACTTAGTCTCTTGACGTACTCCAATGATCTGAGCTAACTCGGCTAACGTGGCGATAGTGAGGAAACACGTAGGTTCTTGACAAGACGACTGATGTTTGAGCCACCATCAGACGGGAGAATCCGATCTATAAGCATCCGCCGTCGCTAAAGATTCGGAAAACTTTCAGACAGCCAGATACCGTAAAGACGACAGATTGATTTGCTTGATAAAGGAACGCGAGTGCAACAGGACGAGATGTGCGACGGAGGACTTCAAAAATATAAGTAAAAGGTGAGAAGTAAAAATGTAATGTGCAGTGAAGAGGAATGCGATGAAATGCCGATGCGATTGTACTTGTGAGGTACAAGAGTGAGGTGTCTAGGCGCGGAGACCAAAAAATATATGGAACTGGCGTATAATGGATGCCAGGCTGGTCGGCGATGAGGAGAGGAAATAAAATGAACGATAATTTGAAGAATAAAATAAAACAATGCAAGTCTTGAGAAGAATAGTAATTTGCAAGCGAACGCGTGCAGTAGGTAATGTGAATGAAGTGAATGGGAGAAGATGATGATGACCATATGCATAGAGGGACAAGGTTCGGAATGAATGTAATGTCGCGGATGAGGAGATGTGCAGCGGAGTAGCGGAGTAGATGTAATCACGGATAAAGGGATAGATGACCTCTCCACAAGTTAATGAGGCGAGGGGAGGCTTTAGAAATTGGAGTCCAAGACACGCAAAGTTGAGCGAATGTCTTTCGTCTCGACTCGGCGTCCTTCAACCAAAGTACGTCGGGACAATCTTTGCGACCCATTGAATAGGTTGTAAACCTGCCAATGTGCGATAGCGGTGACGATAATGATGGATGCGGGATGATAATGGGATGGATGAACTGAAAAATGGTAACAATTGCGAGAGAAAGTGATGCATGGATGATTGATATTGTAGAGAACAGGATTGCGGATTGTCGGATGCGAGGCGACATGTATGGTATTACATTTTGCGGTACTGAAAACTTTTGGACAGGAACAGGGAGACAAGATGGGAAAGTAACGATGGGAAATACAGGCGCGATTGCGGTTTTGAATGAGACTGCTATGGGAATGCAAATCTTGGCGACCCATTGCGATTCTGCAGCACTGGTCGACAGGTCACAAAGTCATGTGGAAGATATTGGTCCAGAGGGCTGTCCGGTCTGTGCTTACTAACGACAGGCTCAAAAGTTGTCGGTACATTCTCCTTGTCAGAGTTGTAATCCATGAAGGATTCACTCGTAATATAGGGCTCGCTGGATAGTACTGCGGGCGTCGTTGGCGTAAGGGGGAAATCATCGGACGTGTCCGACACCGACGTTGTGGCACTCATGGGGGTGCTGACCGCAGAGGTTGCAACGGTACGGGTCGGGGTCACAGGAAAAGGCGAACACGTCTGTCCGGCGAAGCGACCCCCCTTTAAATAGTACTGCACAACAAACGTAGCAGCTTTCGAATAGAAAGCATATGAGTACTTCTTCACCAAAGTCTCCGACAAGTCATTGACGTGCGTCCCGAGACGAGTGTCCAGCAAGTCGACAACCTCCAAACACTCGTCTGATTCCTCCCATAGACGGCGAGGTTTGCCGCAAAGGAATCGTGATAGAGTGAGTGCAGCCAGGGCGATAGACGAGGGAGCAAATCTGACAAATTCACGATAGAAAAGGGTTATCTCCATGAGAAAACGGGCGACATGCTGCACTTTAGCTTCCTCGAGGCAAGGACCGCAGCACATGAGCCGAAGCCAAGCTTCAGCCGTCGGATGGCCAAGGGTCCATTGGATGGTAGATAAAACGTGTCCCTCCATTTGGATAAAGGCCGACTCTTCATACGCGTCATGGCACATCTGCACGAGATCCTGGACTGTAGGAACGCGGTCCTTGGCATCTTCAAACTTTGCAGCGATCCACAAAGCAGCGCAGCCGACGAGCTGGTAATGCTTGATATATACGATCCTCCGAGAGACGTAACGATCGACAATATTGAGGGCGAGATACAGCGTTTCTGGGCGTAGTCGGAAGCTGAAGTGAACCTCAACGAGAAAGTCGACGAGACACGGCCGCATGTGCCACCTAATCTCGGGCTGCTGATCCATAGACTGGGTCGACGACATGGTGAAGAGCTGGACATGCGATAGAAATTTGGGTATATGCGTACACGCCAAGATGTACGAGACACGTACCTCCATCTCATGCATATAGACTCTTATTTCGTCGCGGTATTCGTCCTCCAATAGGATGCCTTCTCGCCGAAGGGCGAGGGTGTGCACGTCACGTTGCCGCTGCAGAATGAGAGCAGATTTGGCTGAGCGAGGCGAGCGACGAGAAGGACCATATGCTGGGAGCAACGGCGTCTTCTTGGACACGCCATGAGGAGATGGCCGCTTCCTTGGGTAGATAAGGGAGGTTCGAGTATGTTTGTTGGAAAGATCCTTCATATCTTGGGGACTGGCGGGAGAAGGAGGGTGAGCGCGTGAGGACATGATGATAGTAGAACAAGAAGGCCTGGCAAGAAAATCAAGACAATGACAGCGCGTCTGCAGAATGCAGGTGGCAGACCCAGCGCGTGGTGGTCGTACAGAAGAACCAAGGCAAGAGACTAGCACCTTGGAGAATGCCTTAAATGGTGAATGTTGGAACAAACCAATGGCCAGCCACGCGATCGAGTAACATCCACACACAGACTCGACGACAAGACGATCGAAAACATAATAAAAAAAACGACGGCTCACCAGTGTGTGACAGCTATTCATGCGATGGGGACAGCAACAACGACAGCGAAGCGTGTGCAGGTCGTGAGTGAAGGTAGAGGCACTGGAGGAAATAAGAGTCGTGGTCAGCGTGGATGGTCGTGAAGAGAGGAGAAGGGAGGATCGACAACGTCGACGACGAAGAGAAGAAGCGAGGCCGAGGCCAGGTAGTATATAAAGTACGAAATACTCGAATCGGACAGAAATAATAAAATAGAAATAAATAAAGAATTGATGAAATTGCAAGATTCGGTTGAAATACGTGAAATAGGATGAAAATGTCCAGATCAATCGGGAAAATGCTGCCGGTTGCGGTGTCAGAAGTCCTCGATTATCAGCGCTCAATCGTGCCCTGACACCTCCTGCCATCTTACGACACCTAAGTGCCGCACATTCGCTGCGATAACAGGGCATATCAACCTGCAAGGCTGCAGACGACAAAATGCCAGCAAGGAATGTAGGGGCAATGGCGCGGACAAAAAAAAAACGGCCAGAAAAATGTCTTGAAAACAAGCCTAGAAAAACAAGACGGAAATTGTCGTCCGCCGAGCCAGATTTTGGGATCATCCGCGGTAGTTCCCACAGACCACGTTTTACAGCCACCTCGACATGACGTATCGACGTAACGGAAACCCACCTCAGCAACAATTCTGTCCTTTTGTCCATCAGTACTGGGCCTCTCTGTAAGGACTGTACACGTACCAATTTTTAACGCGAATATCGCACCCGTCTGTTCGCCGCGTCAGTCTTCCAATCACCCTCCCAAGGCAACCTACTCACGATACGGAGTAGAGGGTCACTTGTTTGAAAAGCAGGCGTCCTGCTTGAATTAGAAAAGAAATTATACTTGCACTTTGGATGTTATGACAACAGAACCGAGAAAAGGCGACGAAAAGAACGACTGTGGTGAGTTGAGATGGGTGACTCCGAGGATATAGACAACGATGCAATGTTGTAAGGGCTATCGTTGGGCCAGAATGGTAATGCGACGCACTCGACAAGTGCAGTGAAACACGGCGAGTACGCGGCAGAGGGATGGCTGAAAAGATTGTTAGTTTTGCGGCGAGTAGTTTTTGAATGGCGAGCTTTGGCAATGTGTTTAACGCGTGTTCCGCTTATACGCCTCGCAGTGCAGGGCAAAATCGGACTATTCGCCTGTTCGGTGATAAGAAACCCTTGATCTTCATCTCATTCATCTGTGATTCGTATCGGATGAAGACCCATTTGTATGGAAATGCACCACGTTTTCTGCCTGCAGGCAGAGAATTCGTCTTCAACTTGACACTTTTGTGCGCGGCTCTATTTAGGTAAGCCGCAATCACGTAATTAGCCACCATCCTTATCCTCCGACGTGCATTAGTCCGACATCCTCTTCCGTCAAGGACGCCGTACTCTCAATCTAACTACCGTCCATTAGCAAAATTAAATAGGAAGGCGTCCGTATTTTTGTAACCAGCTGCCTACCCGCTGTAACCGTGAGAGCCGTGCATCATTGCCCACCAATATACCCCTCACATCAGTCACACTTATCGCCCATCATATGCCACACTGTACCCTTTTCTTCCTCTAATCTCACGTATACAGATCATCTGTGCGACATCCCTCGCCGGTGCTGCGCCCGTGGCAAGTCCTAGGTTCCGAATAGATAGATATTCGAGCGACGTATCCATAAATTCTGCACGTCAAAGACCACCAGGCCTTCAATATTAAATAAACCTTTTAATTATCTGCTTGTTACACGTATCTTGAATCTGAAGCGAGGCAGCTGCGATTTACATATTTACAGTTAAGCTCTGACACGCAGCCTTATAGATCCAAAGTGTACAGCGACGTGATGCAAAAGTGATGAGACTGTGATTTACCGTGAGGTATCTCAAATATGGTGCTACCTAGATTGTCAATAACTTCCTACGCTGTACCGAGTGAAAGATATGACAGAATCAGGGAAGGAAGAATGGAGAATACCTTCTATCCGCACATTCCCTCGACCTTGTTACCGAGATCATACAAGTCGGATCGAAGGCCGGTTTTTCGCAGAATCATATGTCATCGTGGGCCACCCCATGCGTAACAGAATCCCAGATTTCCCGCCGTGGGTTCCGTTTTGCCACAACGAGAGCATCCTTTGTGCCTCAGGTCTTAGTAGGTAACCTAACAAGGTACCATATAAAGATCAGCGAGAGCATACCACTTCTCGAAGGCTTAAACGGTTTACGTTGAAATTCGTATGCATTATGAAGTTCCTGTAAATTAAGAATGCCGGTTGCTGTGACTCCTGCTCCTGGCGCTGAGCTGTTTCAAAAACGATGTACATAAATGCAGTTGTCGAGTGCTGTAGAATTTCCGCACGCTAGAACCACCGCACTGCAATGACAGCAATGACTTTGATCTCGGTAGAGTAAGCATGCCCACTTCAGGGCGCTAAGTCGCCTTGGGTGTTGACCGAATTGACGTCCACGACGACCTGGACTTTTAATTTATTATTTCTCCGCCTCGGGAAATTTGCTCGCCTGGTCCTGTAAAATTTCGCGTTTGAAGCAACGCCATTTATTTAAGTACCTTAGGCGTCAGCCTTATTTCAGGTTTGAAAAGGCGGAAAATCGAACTAGCGTACCACGGTCCACGGTTAGATCCAATATCTATCCAACGGAGATGCAGACAAACACACTAACATAGTGAGGCAGAGGATACCCTCCTGGCCCTCGTACCTTGTCTCGTTGTTCCGAAGGAGCTCCACTAAGATACCTTACGATACATTTCAGTTATTGAGTTCTGAATCAGTAGAAAATACGAAAGTATGTAGTACCTTGGAGGACGTGTCGGGCCCGGCAGGTGCCCAGATCTACGATGGGGTCTTACTTTGTTCCAGATTCAGCATATTTGTCCCAAGACAACAGAGGCTTCTCATCCGCGACGGCACACCCTATTGTTGGTCAACCTTGCCGACGTGCCGAAATCTTGTGTATTAGTATGTAGAGATTTATGGATTTCGAGCAGTAAATGTGGGAACGATTACCATCTGATGGACGCATAGACATGATGGTCAGTCTCTGAAGTTATGGACAACCTGAAGTTCCTGAGATCCTACTGGAAAAAGGTACAATTGTTTTAGGGATTAGAATCAGTTGTATTATTAGGATCGCACTGATAACGCAGCTGACCTTGAAACAACTTATCATTACTTTCCATGATCGTCCCCTTACTTTGAAATATGATGTATAGTCCTCGTCGCCACCATACGGGGCCATACGGTTACCAACGTTGTAGTTTATCGAGGCTGTGAAATGCTGATATGAGTTACATGACGATCTTAGATGGACGAAAGTAAGCATACAAATATCGCGAGACTCGATGAAATAGATGCGGGCGGTTGTCCAAGTGCCGCTGAAATGCATAGATAATAATATACGTTTAGTCTGAGACGGAAAATGGTGTTCACAAACCTGTCCGGGAAAGTTCGTGCCTTGTAAGTTCCGCAACAGAATCGCGATATGCAGGCGGTAGCTGAAACTCGGAACTCAACGCCACTGACCAGGGTCGTATGATGTTATAGCCACTTGTAATAGAGGTGTGGCGAGCTCCGGTATATAAGGAATTCCGTAAGTTATGACAGTGCGAAATGCCGCGATGGTGGAAAAACGTACACCACAGAATGGTGTATGGATGTCCTGGATAATTTCTCGGCGTTTTTTCTTTAGTTCTCCAAAGAAAAGAACTCCGGGAATGATTCTCGACGAATATCGGGTTGGCCGTGCTGGTGGCAATCTATTACTTGCTGGCCGGAATATGAAGGCTGTTATAGATGATATTGAGTAACCTGACTAGCCTACATTAAGGACCCTACTGGCGCACAGCGTAGTGGGTGATCTGGATAATGGAATCAGGCCTGTCATCATGGTCGTGACATCTGTAGGAAACTATCAACTTGTTCCTACAAAAATAAGGCAACTTACATACCAAAGAATCGGCTGGTTTCTTGTAGCACTATCAAGAGGTTTTCGTATTGGGCGAAGGAGCGCACTCTTGCGAGATGCTTCGAAATGGAGTCTAGATCGTGAAGGTCCCACATAACGCCTGCGGACAGATGGATGAGCGCCCTGGGCGTCAGACCTCCCTGAGGGACAGGCGTTTTATACCAGTTACCGATGGAACCATCCAGACGTCCCACATAGAGTGGATTGCGTGAATTTACCGTCACCAGCGCTTTTGCTGACACAGTTTGCACTACTGTCGTCTCAGCGACCATTTCCATTTTATCAAAAGCGGTGAACGTTGAATACCACTTTAAATGACATCTAGCTTTTGAATCGGCGCCTGCGATGATCCTTACAGTTGTCACATAAACTTCGTTGGTCCCAAACATTGCGGGAAGGACTGCCACGACGATTGCCTAGTACCGGGGAGATGTAAACCCCTCAGTGATTGGATGTGAACTGAGTTAGACTGGGAAGATCAGAGAGGAAAGAATGTCAACGCTTCCATTAGAAGGGGCTTATTTCCTTTCATCTAGTTCCCAGATATTTCGTCGGTGGATGATGACCTAAGATCCGATAGGACGCAGAGCAGCTGAGGCCTACAAATATCGTTAGTCCCAATGCAGTTTCACATAAAATATCATGGCCACAAACCTAATGTCTGAACTCGTCACCATGCCTACTTGCGTCAGTAACGAGACTGAACGAATGGTTAACGGAAATCAAAGATGTGTCGTCAGTGCGTGACTTGATGAACACGATATAAAGGAGAGACGTAGGGAATTCTACTCCCCATGATTCAATTGTTGTCGTTATGTGATATCTGATGCATTTCTACGCCGTTCGTCAACAGAATAATGTCGTGTAGTGGACTCACCGTCGCCATCTGGAGCCTAACACTACGCCGGAGGTAACATCAAGGTATAGCAGAGTCTGTCGTAGCAGGTGATAAACTAATGACAAAATGGAACTGTAAGACAATGCAACAGAAGATTCATCAGATCAAGTCTGGATCTTGTTCTACTCTCTGCGTTGACCGCCCAACAGAAGTGCCATGAGATCAGCTGATTGAGCGTTTGGTGGTACTTGTTGTTGAAGATGGGGCAGCATATGAGGGGCGAGATGGGGAGGAAGCTGCTGCTGCTGCTGCCGCATAGCATGCAGCGAGGCTTGTGCACTATGGTTCTGCCCAGGATACACGTTGGCGCCCATGCCTCGGACACCACCGCCAAGCGTTCCCATGTTCAAAAGTTGGGATTGATTGGCGCTCCGTAAATCTAGTCCATTCGGATGTCCCAGACCTCCCAGTGCATGCTGTGAAACAGTACTTTGTAGCTGTTGAGGCGGAGCCCTAGGGGGGCCTACGTATCCCAAGTTTCCGCCAGGGGCAAAGGTGGTAAAAGGCTGAGGCCCGTTCACGGGTCCACCATGAACGCTTGGTATCCCAACAAACTGGTTGGGTTCATGAGGCGGACGTCCTCCAAGATTTGCTAATCCTGGAGGTATGCGCTGATGCTGAGACGCTAGCGGATTCTGACTGGAAATAGGTGAGGGTCCACCACGGTACTGCTGCAGAGGAACCGCCGCATGTCGCCCAGCAGGCTGGGAGTAAGGAACTGGGCCAGAGTAGAGATGATCAATTCCGCGTTGCGGCATGGGAGGAATACGTTGGGCATTCAGATGGATAGCCTCGTCCAGAGGATCTGAAAACATCCCGCCGTTTTCACGATTTCGCGGGGGAGGAGCGGACCGCAAGCCAGGTACCAGTCCATCCGGCATGAAGTTGCGATTATCGAGACGGCTCTCGTATAACGGTTCCAGTCGGCTATTCTGCAAATGGTGCGACTGCGACTGCAATTGCTGCTGCTGCTGAAGCAAGTGTAATTGAGCTTGCGCGTGCTGTCCAAATGGGATGCCACCAAGCGTAGGAGCAGAATTCGGAGGATTTATGGTATTGGGCCGCTGAGCCTTGTCAATTCGTAAGTAATAGTACATCTACACTAGCTAGAACGCACCTGTGAAGAATTGTTCAACATAGCATAGATGTCGTCCATATTTCTGAGGTCAGGGTTTCCATTGTATCCGCCTTCAGGTCGCTGACCAGGGGTTGGCGAGGAAGACATGAAGCCTACCGGAGTCTGCGCTTTAGGAGCATACGTGAACCCTTCCCGCGTTTTACCATCGAAAAACTTCGCAAATCGGCTACCCTTCCCAGGTGCCTGTCCTGGAGCAGAACCTTCGGCACCAGGATCACCCCAAGGGCCAGATTCTGACGACATTGACTGACGCTCGCGACGTGCGGATTCTGTTGCACCCGATGAAAGACTGGGATCATGTTCCTCAAACGGCGAAAATGTATTTGGCGTGCGATGAGATTCTGTTTTCGAACTTTCCAGCGGCAAAACATTCGAAGGTAGATTGAGTTGTGCCAAGGAAGGCTTTGTTTGGGATTGCAGCGTTCCCGCACCGTTCGCAATTAGAGATGCAGCGGCTTGTGGCTTTGTAGGTGCTCGAGAGCCAAAGGCGAGAAGGCGAGAACCCTGAGGAGGATTAAAAGCAGGAGTGGGTTGAGGCTGCAAAGGGTCAACGGAAGGGCGATCTGCTTGAGTCCCATCTTGGTTAATCGGTCGGGGGAAAAGTCTTGAGGAAGTTGGAGTTTTGGATCTCTCTCGATCAGGAAGAATACTTTGTTGTTTGGACTGTTCCCCAGTGACAAACATCGACAACAATGAGGCTGAAGGGTCAGCGGCTGCGTTGGGAGCTGCTTGTATGGCAGAAGGGGTGTTTACAGAAGGAGGAATGTGAACGTTTTCGGAGGCCCGAGCTGTCGTTATACTAGTCGAAGATTCAGAGGTAGGGGCTTCTGAGATAGTAAGATAGAGCTAGCCAAAGAAAAAAAGGCAGGACTTGCCTGCTGCCGCTTTGTCTTGACTTTGAAGTTCAAGATGGACGTCACTGGACTGGTCCAATTTCTTCTGTTCTTGCTCCCGTTTCATCAGCATCTTGAAGATCTGGATCTCATCCAATTGTTTTTCGGGCGGTGAAGTCTGATCGCTGGCATCCTTAACACTCTCCGATGGCTTATCAGCCTTGCTCTCCCGTTGTTCCTTCTCCTTCATACCCTTCTTCCAAGCTTGGATGCCATCCAATTCTCCATCAGCACCTTTGCCACCTAATATTCCTGTGCTTGTTGAGGTAGGGACATACGTGTCCATCCATGCAGGTTCCTTCTCCCTCTCGCGCTCGCTACGTCGGTCGTCTCGGTCTCTGCCATCATCTGTGCCATTCTTCCTATCCCTACCAGTAGCTTTCTTCGACCGATCATCTCCAGGCGTCCAACGACGGTCATTCGAGGGGTCCCACGCTTGATCATGACTAGGCTTATCGCGTCTATCACGTTCACGTTCTCTCTCCCGCTCTCGCCGCGTTGCCATACGTTCATCTCTCTTACCATCGTCTCGCCAGCGCCGAGGATCGTCATTGTCCTCTATCCGTGTCACGGTCCCTCCCGCGACGGTAGTCGTCTCGATCGCCGTCTCTGCGATGTTCTTCCCGGTCACGGTCACGGCGATCTCTGTCCTCACGGTCTCGCTTGGACGTAGATGGGTCCCTTCTTGACCTAGAGGTATCCCTAACGCGAGAACGGGGACGCTCTCGTTCATCACGGTCCCCCCGAGTATCGGAACCTGCTGTCTCATTAATACAAAGTCAAAGTTCAAACAAGACATTACTCACGTTCATCTCTTCCCAGCCGCCGAGGCTCACCGCCTGAAGATATATCAGCGGGACGTAAGTATACTAGTGAAATGAATGTCCTACCTCGTCGCCAATCTTCATTAGTTTCGCCTGCCTTCTTTTTGCCGTTTTCCCTGGCTTCCCCTCGTCGCGCAGCGACACCGGAAAGTTGAGGCTGCCCTGATGTTCGGCTCGACCCAGGTCCTAGATGAGACACAGGTTCCCTGTCCTTGCCCCTTATATTGGACAAAGGAAGTGCTAAACGGTCCCGGTCGAATTTATCAGACAGCTGAATTGAGACTTGTTTAGCAGGCAGAAAGGGATTAAAAAATACATTTCTTTACATTTCTTAGTCTCTCCTGTCCCTCTTTGTCTCTGAGGTCCCTGTCTTTATCGCCATCTCTGTCGCGCAAAGATTGGTGTTTGAAATTTCCCATTTGTGAAGGTTGAGAGAGTGTGGATCGAAAAGAGGGCCGCGAAGACGCATCTGCAACTGACGTGAATATCTGTAGGCTGGATTTTTGTATGTTTTTACCGTTATCGTCGACGTCTCGTCGGAATCTATGAATAGTCAACTCAAAAACAGGAAATGACGAGTTTATTGCAGTGGCTCACCGCCGCTCCCGAGCACTATTAGGAGGAGTCGAGTCATGATCTTTCTTGTTCAAATTCTGTTCATTTTCAGCACTGCAAGGATGGTCAATAAAAGACGAACGTAAAAAATGTCGCAACACACCCAAACCAATCTTTCAGTTCAGGCATGTCCGTTGGAGGCGCAACCAGCGGTGATTTACTCAAAGCCAGCATCTGAGCTGCAGTGTAGATTCTCAGTGGACGCTGAGAGGGTTGAGGAGTGGGAGTGTCGTCTTGTTCTGGTGACAAGTCTTCATCTTGAAGTTTTGCGCCTTCCAGAGAAATAGCAAGGGCGTCGACGGGTGTCGTCTCGGAGGTTATTGGTAGCTCTGTATCCATGAGAGAGACGTCAGTGGTGGGTGAAGCCATGACGAAAAGAAGGGGAGACGATGCTGTTGGTACCAGCTGGTGGGCGGCCCAAAGCAGAGACAGACAAGTGGTCAAAGCGCACCGCGGGCCTTCAAACGATCACGCTCACAACATTCTATTGTTCCATGCACCAGCCCACTCTAAAACATTTTCTTTTGCGACAAAAAGTCTTAGCATTGTACAGACGTGCTCTACGCTCTTCCAAAGGTGCTTTCTTTCCTCATCTCACTGGAAATTGAACCAACTTGTTTCAGCTATAGCAGACCCTGTTACCCGACGAGAAACCATTACTTGGATAAGGAGCGAATTTGAACGGAATCGTCATATTACGGATGTTGTAAGTCCTCGTTGGAACAACCTTTGTAGCCCCATTTTGGTGATGCATGTACGCGTAGGTCGCTATTGAAGAACAGCTCAGGCTTGGCCGAAGAGAAATTAGTCAAATACTTCCCAGCTCTCGATGATCTCGATTTTTCCTGTGGCTGCTAGTCATCTTTGTCACCGCTCAGTGCAGAATCAACATCCCATGAGTTTCGAGCATGGCCCGTGCAGTGCGATGCGGTCAACACGTGGATGTAATCAGGGGATCAGATTAGGAGGGCTCATACTTGGTCCACTCTATAGGCGAAGCTCTTCCTTGCAATCAGCTGTTCAAGTTATCTTTGGAGTAGAAGCTGATATCATACAAGCCGTTGAACAGCCTCATCAACAGCATTCTTCCCATCGTGGCGGCTAGCGTCTTCAACACTATCCTCCACGATGGAGTTCATCATGAAGAACATCAACTTCTCTTCGACGACCAACGATATCATCATCGGTCTTGCAGAGATCTTGCATGGCCCAAGCTATACGACATTCTCCGAAGTACCACTGAACTTTCATGTTCGTTTATTCAAGGACAAGAAGGGGACAAAGAAGCATGGTGGTTCAGGAGCGTTAACTCTTCCGACAACGAGCGTCGGCGATGAGTTCCTTCGTGAATATGGGGAACAAGGACGCAAGAAGTTCTCTGTGGGATCCCGACAAGTTAAATTCTGCGTTAGCAGAAAAGGACCACGAGCAGATATTGTGGACAGCATCACACGGACACCATATCTTGACCCCAGGGCCGTAGAAGAGCAGAATTGGCGCACAAGTAAACTCCAAAGAGAATCCGTTCTCATCAGGACCATCCAATTTGGGTGGGATTGTCGCGACTACATCTTTTCCATAGAGTGGGAGAAAACCTTTCCCACCTCGTGCTGTACACTCTCATTCGACAACGAACGCCGGGAAATCCGAATCAAGATCGCAGATACTTCACCCTCTTTAGCAATCGTGACGCGATTATCTAACATTGTAGAGGTTTCGGTACACCAGTACCTGACCTTCCATGTAATCTTCTTCTCGTTTTCGGTGCCGCCGTCGTTCGAAGAGGAATACAAACCCCGGCGGCGCCTACACGCTCTTCCCATCGACGATCATCACATCGTCGCCCCTTTTACTTCCCATTCCCTTCGTCTTCTTTGTGACAATGTTGATGAACTGCACAAGTTTCTCGATCTAAGTCACACAGCTCAATTTCACAACATCAGTAACAAGGAATATCCTGCTGATAGACGAGGACTGTTTTCCTCGCACTTGCTGGACGATCTTGCTCAATGGCAGAGATACTTCCACTGGAGCATCGCTTTTCAAGTCGAAGCTCTCGTCCGAAATTTGGTGCTAGATGCCAAAGAGATGCTCAGGTTGATGCCAGACATACAGCGAATGTTTTTAGTGGAAGGGAAGGATTACACTGCATCCTTTCTTCGATATTTCCGTCCCCGTGCTGAGGCATTGTTTTATGATGAGACATCGCTTTCCGCGGAGACAGATGATGTGGTTCGCCAATGCTTCTTACTTGCGGAGCAGGATTATAAGACGCAGGCCAGAGCTCCGTCTTTGAAACCTACCGACGGAAGTCTGTTTGAATCACTTCACATCGTCATAACTCCAACCAGAATGATCTTAGATGGACCTTATCCAGAACGCTCGAATCGTGTTATTCGCACCTATAGCTCGGCGAACCACGAATCCTTCTTGCGTGTCAGTTTTGCCGAAGAAGATCGGCTGCAGTATAGATTTGACAGAGAAGTGGATGGCCCTGCTCTCATTCGTCTAAGAGTGGGCACTTTTCTCCTGGATGGTCTGCACATTGCACTCCGAAAGTTCACTTTTCTTGCATACTCTCAGTCAGCGCTCAAGGAACACTCTGTCTGGTGAGTGCAGTCATACTTACAGTTTCTCAACCTCATGATCTGCCTAGGTTCGTCAAACCATTCAGAGAAAAGGGTGTTCTAGTAGATGCCCCCACCATCATCAGCAGTCTCGGAACATTTGATGGGGAACTTGTGCGTTGTCCAGCGCGGTATGCGGCCAGATTATCGCAAGCCTTCACTGCTACCGATGCGACCGTAACTGAGATCGAAGAAATCATCCGAATTCCTGATATTGAAAACGATAAGTACTGTTTCACAGATGGTGTCGGTACACTTTCCTTGGAGATGGCGCGTGACATCTGGTCGGATCTGAAGTCGCTGAAGCAACGAAGACGGAAGAACAGAACACCGCCGCGAGCTTTCCAAGTACGATTCATGGGATCGAAAGGAATGCTCTCTGTCGATTACAAACTCCAAGGGAAAACAGTCTGTTTGCGCCCTTCGATGATAAAATTTGAAGGGACCGAGTCTCGGAATGTTGAAATCGCGAGGGCCTTCGACAAGCCTGGTCTATACTATTTAAATAGGCCTTTGATTATGCTTTTGGAAGGCCTAGGCGTTCCTTACGAAATTTTCAAAGAGTATCAGGACAAAGCGGTTCAGGAGGTTCACGAAGCCAGAGAAACCTTGGAGAAAGCCGCACGTATGCTGGAAAGTTTTGGTCTTGGCGCCTCATACCGAATCACCTCAGTACTCCTCGGTCTTCACAGACTCGGTGTCGACAGCATGTTCGACAACGAATTCTATCAGAAGATGATGACGGTGGCTACGTATGATGTCCTTCGTCTTCTTAGAAATCATGCTCGAATTCCCATACCTGGCGCTTGGACGCTCGTGGGTGTTGCGGACATCCACCACGCTTTGAAAGAGGATGAGATATTTGCGTGTATTAAGCCACAGGATTCCTCGAGACGGATATACCTTGAGGGCCCTGTGCTTATTTCCCGCTCTCCCACCATTCATCCTGGGGATGTGAGAGTGGTATACGCCATCGGAGCACCCCCGGAGGGTTCGCCATTTGCTGCGGAGTCACTTCCTAACACAGTCGTCTTCTCAACATCAGGTGAGGGCCGTTTTGCTCTATTAAAAGTACTTACCCATCCATTTACAGGTCCACGACCTCTTCCGAGTATGCTGGGTGGAGGGGACCTCGACGGAGATCTGTACAATCTGATTCCTCTGGATTCTATGCCAAAGTTCCGCCCCACTAAATCCCACCATCCCGCGCAGTACGATCCGGCCCCTAAACATTTACTCGATCGTCCGAGTACAATGGCGGACGTTGCAGAATTTGTGATGGAATACATTAACAGTGATGTATGTTTTCGTTCAGCGCTGGTTTCTGGCAACATCTGACGCGTGTTTCAGGTTCTCGGTATCATTGCAATCAACTGGCTTGTAATTGCAGACCAGAGTCCTCAAGGAGTTTTTGACCCTGATTGCATAAAGCTGTCTGCTTTACACAGCGATGCTGTCGACTACCCCAAATCAGGTCAACCTGTCGCTCTTGATGCCATACCGAAGCTGAAATTCCGCGCTAAACCTGATTGGAACGCGCCCGAGACGGTCGGGCCTTCCTCCACCAACTACTATCAGAGCACCCGAGCTATCGGTCGACTCTTTCGTGCAATAGAACTCCCTGCCATCGAAACCACACCTAATCGCAAACGCCGCACAAAAGGAAGCGGTGCACGAAATGTAGACGCAGGGCATCAAAACTTGGACGATATCTCTGACGCTCTCTCGAACCTTGATTTTGAGGATGACCCTATCCTTGCAGAAATCGAAGAACGCGTTTCTCAATTTATTGATACCACAGGGGCGTCTCAAGAAGAACTGGAGTACTTAGTAAGGATCTTTCGCCGCTACCAAGCAGAGCTTCAGGGAATCTGCGCAAGCTACACACTCTCGCATCGTGGTGGGATGCTGTCGGAGGAAGAGGTTGTCATCGGTGCCATCACTCAGAAAACATCACAACCTCGCAAAAGAAAAGACCTTACTGCAAAACTCCGCGAGCAAACAGATGTTTTGGTCCGCGGTGTCCGAGAAGAGCTGGGGGGAGACGAAGATGTACCTCTTGAAGAGGCATTGCAAAGGGGATGGCTAGCTTGGGAGCTTTCACTAACCGAGCAAAAGTCATTTGGAGCTCAAAGTTTTGGATTGGTTGCTCTGGGATCGATTTTCGAAGCCATCAGAGAAATTGAAGAAAGGGTGAGGGAAGATATGAGGAACAGAGGGTACTGATACCAGTCAGAATGGATGTTAAGTCGCGCCAACAAATTCAGATGAGAAAACATATTATAAGTACACCGTACGAAATAACTACCACCTACGCTTGATTACGCAGAACTAGTGAGAATATGTTAACTCTGCATTATTTAGAAAAGCTAAAAAAAAAAACACCCACTGAGAATAACGGAATCCCCGCTGTAATAGATATTATGAATCGTCACAAATTTTATGAACCAGAAGGCAGAACTCACCGCAAAAACATCTTGCTAATAAACCTATCTTTGTTTACAGGCTTTTTGTTCTTCCCTTTAGGAATTTCCGTCCACATCTATTAAGAGTCAGTCGGCTATTGTTGGTAGCTAACAATGGCAAGAGGACGTGCCTCTTTAACATTTTCCAGTACCTGAAGAGAAGTGGTTGAGGCCGCATTTGAAGAACGTTAGTGAGGGAAGACGCACCATGTTACTGTGCCGGTCAAAGGCTTTTACTCGTGCAAGAAGCTTTTTGTCATTCCGTAGGGATATGAGGACCTGCGCATGGTTTCGAACGGCTTGCTGAAGAACTGACAGCGGGCCCTGCGAGATTTCATGTTCCTCAAGCTGACGAAGTTGTACCTCGTCTAATTCGGATTTTGGGACATGGACGTATTGACTGCAAGAAAAAAAATGAGATGTAACTTAAAGGAAAGAATTTGACTCACCTCATTGTGTTCGAGGTATGAGTTGGTGGGAAGGAAGCCGATTGTTTATTTGCAAAACCAGGGTTCGCCGCGTCCATTTTGGGAAGTCTTGTTTTTTCCCTACCTTGAACCTTCATCTCCAGCAAAAATGGGTCGTTTGAGGCAAAAAGGCAAGGCTGGCGCAGCGAAGGCCTACGTAACCCGTTCATCAGCGGTCAAGCGCCTTCAGTGCTCGCTGGCTGATTTCCGACGACTATGTATACTAAAAGGTAAACTTAGCTACTCCTGGTCTTTTTGCTAGTTCTCATATCTTTTTCCTTGAAGGCATATTTCCTCGTGAACCTCGCAGCAGAAAACGTGCTAACAAGGGTTCCTCTGCTCCGACTACATTCTATTATGCAAAGGATATAGCCTTCCTGGCGCATGAACCTGTTCTGAGGAAATTGCGCGAGCACAAGGCTTTCGCCAAGAAGCTTTCTCGCGCACTTGGTAGAGGGGAATGGAGTGACGCAAAAATTCTCGAAGAGAATAAGCCGGTGTATCGGCTCGACCATATCATCAAGGAAAGGTGTGTGTTCCTTCGGCAATAATATTGAGCTAAAGCATGACGTCTGTTCAGGTATCCTTCATTTATCGATGCTTTGAGGGACATAGACGATGCCTTGTGCATGATTTCTCTATTTGCGAATCTACCCTCCAATCCTCGCATACCGCCGTCTCTCATAGAAAACTGCTCTCGTCTGTCAGCTGAATGGCAACTTTACATCATGCGCTCCAAATCACTACGGAAAGCATTTTTCTCAATAAAAGGCGTCTACTACCAGGTAGAAGTCATGGACCAGACGGTGACATGGTTAGTTCCGTATCAGTTCACCCAAAATGTTCGGTTCTTTCCTCTTTCTTGAGAAGTTTTCATTCAACTGTTAACAGATTCCCACTGACGTGGATGTACGAGTTATGTTGACATTTTTGGAGCTTTATCAGACTCTTCTTGGATTTGTCTTCTTCAAGCTTTATACAGACGCTGGACTCATATACCCTCCACCACTGGACATGAAGAAATATGATGGGGGTGCGGGAGTAGGAGCCTTCAGTCTTCAAGAGATAGTTCAAAATAGCGACTCGGCGCGGCCGAGTCTCAAAGTGGTGGATGTCGAGGGTCGCAAAATCTCGACTAAGGACGTCAAGCAAACCATCAAAAGCATGACTACAGATGGCTCTGGAGTTGAGGGAGCTGATGTGAATATGTCAAATCCCGAAGAGGTGCCTCAAGACGCTGATGAAGACTTCGTACCTCATGTTTCGGCTTCGGATACACTTCCTGCGTCGTCGCTACCAACTCTCAAATCGTTGGAAGCCCTTCCTCAGTCTTCAGCGCCCTCTCTTTTCGCACCATATACATTTTTTCTATCTCGCGAGACTTCCAGACCTATATTTGAATTCCTTGTACGGTCGTTTGGCGGGCGAATTGGATGGGAGTCCTCTTCTGGAGACGGATCGCCTTTTTCTTTCTCTGATGATTCCATCACACACGTCATCATCGACAGGCCGGTAGTTGAACGAACGGATGAAACATCCGAGGAACGGCAAAGACGGCTTCGGAGAAAGTACGTACAACCTCAATGGGTTGTTGACTGTATTAATGCAGGGAGAATTCTGCTGGAGGAGCCATACGCGCAGGGAAAGACCCTCCCACCACACCTCAGTCCCTTCGGCGAGTATGAAGGTGCCTATGACCCTACGATTGGAATTGGAGCGCAGGAAGTTGCTGAGGAAGAAAGCGAATCAGAAGTCGAGGATAACATTGTAGTCGATGACGCGGAGGAAGGTCCAGAAGAAAGGTCCGACAAACGAGCATTGGAAGCTGTTGCAATGGCAGCAGCTGAAGATGAATCTGCTTTGCGGGCTGCAGAATTGGCTGCAGAAGTTGCGGGTGTAGATCCAAGTGCATTCGATAAAGAGGTGCAGAAATCGCGGAAAAAGATGAAGAAGACGAATGATGCCGACGACGAATCTGACATGAACAAGATGATGATGAGTAACCGGCAGAAAAAACTCTACGAGAAGATGAAGTACGGCCAACAGAAGAAGGCCCTGGAGGTATGTAACGTCCTTACTGTCGCAGCTATCACGTACCTATTGATGATTCGTCCAGCGGTCTACTCTGGAAGCAAAAAAGAAAGGAATACAAAAGGACAAGCGAAAGCAAGGCAAGACGTAGTAGACGTGCTCTAGTGATCTTATCTGGTATTCTGTACTTTATCTTCGTAGACTAAGATTTTTGCGCTGCGTGTAACGTGACGAAATACGAGGCACAGCACGGCAATTTCCAATTGCCTGATTTTGGCATTGAATCCGTTCGCTTACTGGACTGTTTCTCCCACCATAACGCAGCGAAACGCCGATATCCAGGCCGCAGAGGATTGAGTTGCATTTGGGCAGCGGTCTTTACTGAGCGGCATTTGTTCACTGCGAATGTCTTTTTTCGTAAACATCTCGACTGAATATCTCGCGGGCACCTTGGACTTCCTTCATGGTTCCACGAATACCTTTTACTAAGAACCGACCAGTCGCAGACGTGTCTCCTTCTGTCCAGCACCAGCATCAACCACCACCTCCATACGAAGAATCCACGACTCACTCTGTCGTTTATTCAGAGAAAACGACGACGACGACAACCGAAGTGGTCACTACCACTACCACCCAGACCACGACTCATCTCATCTCCTCTCCTCTGTGGAGAAAGCACGTCACTCCCGTTGCAACGGACCACTCTGTTGCTTCTGAACGGTCTTGTGACATGTTTCCTCAACGCGGACCTTTGCGAGTTGAAAAAGATCTCCCTCCAACACCTACGGACGAAGATGATATACCTTCTGGCTCGTCGTCGCGGCGGGATTCGGCGGAGGAGATTATGGCAGAGAGTATGCTCCCGTCATTATTCCCTTCCCCTGATGGGAGAGCCTGTCCCGACGCCCTACCTGTGTTGCAATCTTCAACTGCAGCGTTGGCACATGCTTCATTGGGCGTCGGCTTGCCACACGTCCTTTCCCGGTCGTCCCCCTCGTCTCCCTTTTCCGAAGTGAACACTGTTGCGTTCGCGACCTCACCAATTCCCACAAGTCGTCCAGGACTTCGTCAATCGAAAAGTTCTCAGAAACTGAGAGCCGTTTCAGACACGCGCGATGGGTCGAACGGAGAACGCCGGAGGACTAGAGGGTTGTCTTTGAATGCATCGACTTTCCTTAGCTTTAGTGTATCAGATTCCAAAGGGAAAGGGAAAGCCAAGGAAGTAGACGAAGATCCTCCGCCGAAGACTTTGTCTCGTCGGGCGTCATTCTGGACGCGCAAAAAGATACCGGTATCCGGCCTTCCCACTCCGCCCAAGGATTCACCCCAGTCTACTAATCTGTATACGCCTTTGCCATCCGTTCAGCCCGGTTCGCCTTTCTTCATGAATTTAGACCCCCGTTCAACTGCTTCAGATCGGCAGTCTGCCAGTACTTCCCACACCCGAGGTTTATCCAGGAGTCATTCTGAATGCCTTTCGAACGGCCGTCCAGCACTTCCTGAACAGTCGCTCTCAACCTCATCTCTGGTGCCTCCAAAGGCGCGTCGGCCTACGCGTCGCCCAGCAACCGCAGACCCGTTAAATACTTCCCATGCAGCCGGTTCGTTGTTTACTGATTCCCCTCGTTTCACGTCATCACCTCTGTCCAATACCCCTCCGTCCCCTCCATTACCGCAGCGGCATGATCTCGAACCTCCAGAATCTCAATATCAGAACCGTAGACCGCGTGCTCAAACCAATCCTCCATTACTTCATCGGTTATCATTATCTTTATTGTTCTCATCCTCTGTCCAACCATCTTCCCCTTTCACTTTGGTTTCCAATCGTTTGGCCTCTGCATCATCATCAAGCTCGTCACCCGCCATCAGCAACAATAACTCCCCCCGTCCTTCTCTTCATAAAACTGTCGACATTCCTAAACCTCGTGTGGATGATGAATCGCCAGAAATCTATCTGGATCGGCTCTGTGCGGTTGTTAGCAAAGCTGAAGTAGCAGGGGTTCTTGCCGCAAGGTGTGTTTGGTCTGTAGTTCACGCCAACAGATTGCTAAGTATCCTCAGTGCGGATATCTTCCACGTACAAGCGCTTCGTGCCTACATCAGCAGGTTCAATTTTGCAAACGATCCCTTGGATGTTGCGCTCCGGAGACTACTAATGGATGTCGGCCTTCCACGAGAGACTCAACAAATCGACCGTGTCATGGAAGCCTTTGCGCATCAATATGTTAGTTGTCATCCGAATCTGTTTACGTCTGAAGGTAGCTGCTACTGTCATTCCTCATGGTCGTTTTAACACGCCATCTAGATCATCCGTACATTTTAGCGTTCAGTTTGATTATGCTTCATACAGATGCTTTTAACAAATCAAACAAACGCAAAATGACGAAGGCTGATTACGTTAAAAATACCAGACTTCCGGGTGTATCTTCTGAAGTTTTGGACGTGAGTCGTATCAGTTTATCTTATTCAAACATCTCTCAGCACGTACCGTAGTGCTTTTACGACAACATTGTGTTTGCGCCATTCATCTTTGTAGAGGATCCTTTGGATATCAATGGGCAACGAGGGTTCGTTTCAGAGGGATCCAGAATCAACCTCTCTGTTTCCGGCACTAGTCCTAATGGCTCAGGGTCTGGCATTCTAGGGAAGGGAAACAAGGTTGATCCTTACTACCTGATATCTAATGTAAAGTGCATGTTATCATGCAACTACTCGCTCACACCTTCCTTTTGTAGAACCTTCTCGGTGCCCTCCGTGTCGATGTTGAGAGGTACATACCTGCCTCTCATCCGTACTCTTGGGAAGGCACAAATGGTCGCTGGGATGACGACGAATTGCAGTCAGTATTTGCTAACGCAACTGCTGTCGAAATTGTCTTGGATAACCGCCTGACTTCCCCTTTTTTCGGTATGGGTAGTCCACCTAGTCCATTAATCGGATCTCTCGGTGGTCTGCCAGATTCCCCGTCTCTTACAGGGGAGATGTATACTCTCCGGGTATCCAAAGCAGGCGTGCTTTCCAGGAAAGATGATATGCTCGAAGGCGGGAAAAAATCGACACATCGGAAATGGAGACCGATGAGCGTTGTCTTGACTGGTTCACAGCTCCTCTTTTTCCGTGATTTGACTTGGGCGAATACCCTAGCCTGTAGTTCCGATCCATCTGGCAGTCAGGTCATCTATCCCCAGGCAACTGTTTTTAACCCCGATGAGTCTATCTCCGTCAAGGATTGCATTGCTGTTTGGGACGAATCATATACCAAAGTGATACTTTACTCTGCTCTCATTGATCTGTATCTCACATGACTGCTAGCATCCCAATGTTTTCCGTTTCGTTATGCACGACGGTCGCCAATTCCTACTCCAAGCCTCGGATGACAAAGATCTCAACGAGTGGATATCCCGTATAAACTATGCCAGCTCTTTCAAATCTGCCGGTGTCCGTATAAGACCGATGGGAATGTCAAGAAGAGACGTGAAGCTGACCGGTGTAGCTGCAGCTACCTCACATTTGCACGATTTGCAGCACATGAATCAAGCTACCCCTGTAGTGCGGAAGTGGGGTGGCGGTGGATCTCATGAGTCATCGAGTCCTCTTTCCGGCGAACAATATTTGCCAATGATGAGACCTATGCAGCAGAAAGTAACGTTGATGAACGATCATGACGCCGTAGAGCAGGATGTTCCTATGGCGCCTGAAGTCGAAGGAGCTGATCAGTTCAAGGCCACCTTTGATCAGGTGAAAGCTGATCTTTCTGCTGGCCGATGGAGTTATAATCTGGTGCGCGCCGACGAACTGGACTTACAGCAGACTTCGATTACTTCATCGGATTCTGCACGGAGCGACATCTCAGGTCTTCCCTCACGTTCCAACGTCATTTTGTCGAAGATACGTGATTTAGATGCCAGGATCTCCGCTTCTCAATCACAGCTGGACTCTGACCTTCGTTTCGTTCGCAACATTGCCACTCTCACCCCATTCCAGCGGCATACCCGTTATCGCCTTCTTCTCGCTATCCAGGGTGTTTCAAAGCGCATTATGCAGGAACGTTTGGAATTCACCAAGTTGGCCTGCCATCGGGCAGTTCTTTCTCGGGATTTTGCGGCAGAGGGTCGCGAATGGAATCGAATCAAGCAGATTGCGTTGAAGGCTGCTGCAGAAATGCTTCAAAGCCAACAACCACGCGAAGCTCCGATTCCCACAATGACTGTGTCATTCCATGACTCGGAGAACCAAACAACACCTCCAGAGTCCATAGTCTAGGCGCGCGTCATCGACTCTTCGACCTGAATCGACATGCGAATCTTTCCATTCTGCATTGGATTTTGGCCCAGAGTGGCCGTCATCTGATGACATAGCATCATCCAATTTTTTGAGTTCTTCTCAGGTGTACGAGTCCCCAAAGGCATCGCCCTCGGAATTACTCTCATACCCTTTCCCCGATGTCAATACCTCAACCTATTCAGTATCAAGAAACGATGGTCCGTCGCCCCGTATTAGTGACGAGATACATACACATGAAAAGTATTATACCGCCGTGGAGGAAGCAGAGGAGTGGGATAAAACCAAGTGTGCTCAGCGTGTGTCGCTGGTCCGCCTTCCTTCGACCATTGTCTTGAGATACGAGAGAGGCGTTACTCACAGGGATTGAATTTATTACCATGAATTTATAGTGGTTATTTTACATACGCTACGTTGACGTTGATACTAGTATTGTAAGATAATGTGTGAATTACTCATATTAGACCTAGTTACCATTCAATTTCTGAAACGCGGGAAGCGCAGCGGCCCGATATATGAGTATGACAAAACGTGTCCATATTTGGAAGTTGCGCCAGATTGCCTATACAACGATGACTACACGGCACGAGAAATTCGCTGATGGATCTATGGGACTTTGTTGTTACCTACAGGGCTTCCAGGATATCACTGTACTCGGGAACCGTCTCTCCTTGTTTCTCTTGGCTCTGGGATCTGGACTGCCTCGACAATGTAGCTCCACTTCAGTCGCGATCCTTTTCTCTGGAGCGCTCTGGCACCTGGCAACCAGTCAAGGAACAAGCATTTCAAACTCCCCATTCAGTTGGCAACCATCTGAATGAATGCATTAAGCACCCAGAGTGGTGGTAATGGTCCCGGTACCGGTCGTAAACGACACTAGTGCTTTCCTACTCCAACTCCCAGCGCGTAAATCCCATCGAAACATAAGGAGTAACACTAGCGTTCTACCGCGGCCCTATCCGCCGACCGCTCCTTTTTACTCGTCTTTCCTGCTTTCATCATATCTGCCGACTCGTTCTTCCAGTGTCATTACCAGCCCACTCCGCAATACTCCGACCGGACTCTCTTGCACTCCCGTTTGTATGAATGCCAATGATTCTCAGTCTCACGGGCCGGTCTCATCGACCGCAAACAAGCTGGATGAGTCAAAAGACAAAGCGACGCTTCTCAAAAAGGCGAGGAAGCTAAGCAGGGTTTTTGGCGAAGCGCCGTCTTTGGACCAGTCAATCGCTGCGGTTGGCCCCTCCAAGCTGTTTCGTCACAAGCGCTCTACATCTTCTGTTTCCTCCCCATTGGGTAGCCCAAAGTCAAACAAGAGATATACTTCGCAGCCTGACTTGAGACAAGCAGAGGTTCCTCCCCTCCCCCAAATTAACGAAACCGCTCCAGGATGGACGCCGCAGGCTATACCGTCGGACAGTCCATCTTCGGTATCTCTACACACGGATACGTGCCATTCGAACCTTAATGATTCCTTATCCTCTCTGGTTTCTGCGGCCGTTGCTCATACAACCGCTGAGCGGTCCAAGAACATAACGACTGATCAGCAACCTTCACTACCCCCCATCCCTCGGTTGGGACGTACCAAGAAGCCAGGCCGGCGTAAAGCTGCCAGAATGCGCAGCTTTGATTTTACCTCGGATTCGGATCGTCAAGTAGACGGTTCCAACGCCAAATTGAAGAGGTCCCGCTCCTTGTTCACTCATAAACAAGGGCGCACAGATGCCTCTGAAGAGTCACTTGATTTCCGCCAGCGGTATAACCGCAATTTTGGGGAGGAGGGTGAGATATCACCGCGACAGAGGTTACTTAACGTCAAGCGCGCCAGAAAAATGGCGCAGGTAGGTTAAATCACTTTTATAACGTGTATGACCTCACTGACATCTACGACCGACAGGTTTTTGGGCAGGACCCACCTTCAGAATTAATACTTATAGATGATGCCCGACCTTCATCCAGACGACACTCTTTCTCTTCCAACGTTTCTTCACACAGCATCGTACCTCCCACACCTGCTCTCGTGTATAGCCCGTCTTCGAGTCCCGAGGATGAGCGAATGTTGCCTTATTCCGTGAATCGCTCCAACAACGATGCTCCCGCCGACTCATCCGATGCTGACGATTGCACATTTACATCAGCGTTCCGGGAGCGCAGGCGCCGCGCTGCTAAATTGTCTCGCTTTTTTGGAGTTGCTTATCAGGATATGTCCTCTTCCATACCAACCACAGCTCCTCCGATAGAGGAGCAGGTCGAGCGGCCTACGCCTGACGTACAAGTGGATGTCCAGGTAACTGGCCGTAGATTTTGGGGTTTTGATGGCGGATACACCACGCGGGAGGCGGACATAGCAGATGTTATCGATAAATTGCGTTGCCTAAAGGCAGCGTAAATTGGGAGGTTTCCATGGACTCAATCTCATATATCATATCCGTTTAATCGTAAGATTCGACCGTCATTTCAGACTGTCTATCATTTTTTTTCGTTGTATATTAGCTGATGCCATTAGCTTCATGTGTACTACTTTTTACATGCATCACTACAGTCGCATTAAGAGATAGATGGGATCTCCGAGGACAATGCTTGTCATATGTCGAAACGAGCCTGTTAACGACATCAAGAGGCCCCCGAATGAAGCGTATGCCGTTCTGAAATACAGATAAGTCAGATAGACTATTATGCAAAATGGTTGCGTACACAATTTCAGCAGTTCCGCCATCGAATTTATACACCTGTACACAGAATGAGATGACCAAGGACGCGTGGTGAATAGGCAGAACAGACCTTTCCATACATCACATAGTCGTAGTCTTCCTCCAATCCCCTCTGACCTTTGCCATCCGGCCTCCAAACATGCTCTTCCTCCTCTGCAACACCATCAGTTGTGTTGGTTCTCTGGCCCCCGCGGGCAAGTGACGAAGCGAGGGCGAGAGCAAAATGCTGGCCCGTCTCTAGGGGAAAGAGCTCGATGTTGTAGTCGAGAGTCATATCCATATCGTAGTTTTTGGAGTGAGCCTGAAGGCGCGACACTGTGAATTAGCGTGAATGAGTACAGGACGGACAAATTGCAGTCATCTAACCTCTGTCGAATTTTTTCCCCTCCTTGTCTATAGAACTTATGGTGAATATATCATCGAAGACGACATTGGACGCAACAGACGCCATGATGGGAGGTCGAAAGGTTGTTACTTAGCTGACCAACACTTGTTACGTCACCTGCCACCATGAACTTGTTCAAGTTGAAGTTCGTTCGGCGGTCACTGTCAACATGCAGGATCAGGGAGCCCCCTTCGCATTCTTCGCGAATTGCTCCGACTCCTCTTGTCTTCGTGTCTGCATCAAAATGGGACCCCCAAGCACTGCGGTAATATATCCGTGACCTATAGGGTGTATCAAAGGCTGACCGTTGACCTGGATCTAGCATGCCTGTTCACGCTTCATTCTTTCTCGAGAAGGGTTTCACATGTATCGAAGTTGATATATCCCCGCCCGAGCCCTCTCCTTCTCAGAATTCAGCAAATCTGATCAAGTATTTCGAGGCCGGTGAGTAGCTGAAATTCCGTGTTCGCACCCGTTCACACTGTCAAAGAGCTGCAGGGCACCATGCGGTTATCGATGATACCTTTTCCACCTGTGTTCTTTGCTCGCCATGCGGCTTCACTTATTGTCCAGACATACATCTCTTCCAATCCGGCATCCGCTATTGTCCTCTTCTCGCCTCCTGCATCTAATGCCGAGGTTTCGCGAGCCCTGTTACCTACTCCACTAGAGGAATTCAATTTTGAGCCTCGTTTTCCGATTGCCATCGTCTCTGATCCAGCCGAGATGGAACATCTTCGGGCCAAAAACAGGCTCGTCCAGAGCCCAGGTGTCGAAACAATCGTCGCATCTGATGTTGACGGTTCCGAAGCATTCAGTTGTATTGAACGCTGGTTTGATACTCTGGGTATATGAAACTATGTTGTGAGTACATGTCATTAAGCAATACAATAGGATACAAATGCATCTACAATTGGCGTTATCCTCCCAGAAAAGTCCCCTCATGTACGTTTGAAACTAGTTTGGGCTTGACTTACCATAAGGTCAAGGTTTCATCACCTCGGCCATCTCTTTCTTGATCTCTTTTACAATGGGCTCAGCTACACGCCCCAAGCCCGGCAAAGGTACAGGCCATTTCGCACGCGAAGCGAAGACCCGACGAACTTGATGTTGTATGAGCTCATGCAGTTTTGGGACGTTAGCCAACTTTGCCCGGCTACCCATCAGTGATGTGGTGGAAAGGTCCAGCGTGAAGTTCGGAGAAAACGAGATGAGCAACTCAGGAACCGGCGAAGTGGGCGAAGGGGGTGTGATAGTCAGCTACGTCCGGACATTCAGCTGGCATTTCACATGATTCGGAACAGAAATCTCACTGATGATTTGAAAATCGAGAGAGATATCGTCAAGAATACAGGAAGACGGGCGAATGAAGGCATGGGGTAGTTGAATAGATATGATGTAGACAATGACACTGATATCGAATCCTCGTAGCTGACATCAAATTCGGTTTCCTAGATCTTATTCAGAAGCCGCTAAGGTATTACTGTAAAGACTCACTGCCGAGGTGCTCGTCGAATTTCTTCTTCCATTGTAAAGGTGAGGTGCGGAAGTTCCAAGGTCAACAGAGTGGACATTTATATAGTCCTACGGTACTGGACTGTTAGCCATGGATTATGATCAAGTCCATAAGTTACTCACCAGAAACCCAACGGGTCGTATCCTATTCGCGTAGTCTTCGACACGCTTTCTCGCGACCTCGTCACCTTCAGCACCTGAAAGGTCATTCCTAATCTTGGAGCGATAGACTTCTACGACCTGAGGAGAACGTCAGAGTGCTGGTCGTGAGATAGCAAAATGGGACGTAACTTGTTGCAACAAAATGTTAAACCATTCTGCCGACTCCTCTTGTTGATTCTGAGGTTCTTTCGCGTCGTGGGACCTGATTTTGTGGCCTCTGAGTGCAATGTCGCTATTGGCCCGTGGATGATAAGACGAGGTTTCGAATGGGTATTCTGTCGAATCGAGAAAGAGGTACTTTAGGATGAGAGCAAAGAGGACCAGGATAGACAGTTGGCCAAATATTAATCCCTGCGTAAAAGTAGGTTGCAAGGAAAAGACATAGTTGTTGCTCATGCCGGCTGGCGTATGGCAACGTCGACGAGGTGGAAATGACCGGTTAAAGGGATGCCGAAGGGACGATCAGTTGTGGACGCGACACACGAGCAAACAACCAGGCAGTCGATGGACACCTTTACTGCCTTCGTTTCCTGGCCCAGTGCTCCCTTGACCGCTTCACTGGTACAGAAGTCATTATCGTCTCTCAACCCTTCTCCAGTCATCGTCGACCATTTACCCAACTCCACAAAAAACGGCCTATTGCAATGGGCGACATACGACGAAATCGACCACGAACTCACATATTCTCATGACCATAACGCCGACTTCCTGTCATCTGCCTACACATTCCGGAAGGCCCTGACGCGAAAACACTTCTTATCTCGTACCATCCACTCTTATATCACCAAAAATCCAGATTCCATCCTTGGACGTGCAGTACCCAAGACCTTTGAGCTCGAAATATCCTTTGTCGACGAGCTAGATGAGATTTTGGCCGATGATCTCTGGGATCTCGGTAACATTCTTGACAACGACCCGTGTAGATGGTGGATTTTGAAACCGTTGAGTACTCTTCAGTCCTGTTGTGACATCCAAGTCTCAAATGTCATTCTGATTCAGTGGTATGGCGGATCGCGGAAATGGAATCAGACTTTTCAATAGTAAAAGCTCGTTGCTGCAGATCTTTGAAAGTTTTGAGGATGAACAGTCTTCAGACGAGGAGGATGATACGGCGGTTGTTACATCTCAGCTTCGCCACTTTGTTATACAGGTGAGATCTTGCCTACATGCAATCCTGCATTACTGATAACATAAGGAATATCTCTCCAATCCGTTGTTGATTGACCCAGAGGAGGTCTCCATTGGTGGTTCGCTTGTACCAAAGGAACTACAAGGCCACAAAGTCAGCTACCACCTTTAGACGAGGACGACGTGGTGATGGCCATTCCTTTGACAGTTTCATCTCAGGGTATATTGCGTTGCGTCAGGAGCCCTCCAACTATACGTATACAAGCAACTATTGGCCTTATTTTCCGCACTCCCTTACGCACCACCTGAACGAGGAGAGAACGAGTCAGTTGATTTGACGCCCCACCTTACAAACACGTCACTTCAAACTCATCGCGGCGAGGAGGGTGTTCGGCTACTCGACGAACTCGTTGGATGTCACATACAGTCAGGAGCAGATGGAGCCGATATCAAGCTATCCGAGGCTCATGTGGCTGACTTGCTTGAGCAAATATGTGCAGTTCTCGCTGAGACGTTCAAAGCTGGACTCCAGAGTCCTGTTCATTTCCAGGTCAGTGTGTTTGAACATACATTCATTCGCTTTGCTAATAGTTTCTCAAGGTCTTACCGAATGCCTTTGAGCTTTTCGGAGTGGACTTTTTGGTCACTCATCAACCATCATCAGACACTTCTTTCCAAGTTCAGCTCCTCGAAATGAACTCAGAACCCGCGATTGAGCTAACTGGACCCCGACTGACATGGATACTTGAAGATTTATTTGTGTCCATCGGGCGGGTTTGTGTGCAGCCTTTCTTTACAAAGCGTAAAGACGAGGCATGGCCGGTCGGGGAGTCTCGCTATAGCTTGTTAAAGTGTTTAGACGAAGAGGTTCGCGCAACTTAGATAAATAGAATTTTTTTTTTGCTAGTGAGGGATATGAAATCACATGTCTAAATTTGGTTACTCTCAACTTCGATGTCTGCTGGGCCCTTGACACCGTCCAGGAAACGGTCCAAGTGGGACGATGGAGACGATGAGCAAGCTGAAGATTTTCAGTCACATCCACGGTCAAAGCGTCGCGTAAAGTCCACGGTGGCCCCCCGGTTGTCACCAAGTCCACCACCCATCGTGGTCGCTCGTCCAACAAGACCGTCACACAGCGTCTACGTACCCCCGCGAACTCAACACCCTTCCATACTTCCTTCAAGGTCCGTCTACTGCTATGAGCGCCTTAATCAAATAGAAGAAGGGTCATACGGGGTCGTCTTTCGGGCCAGAGACAAACAGACCGGAGACATCGTCGCATTGAAAAAGTTGAAGCTAGACGAAGAAAAGAACGGATTCCCGATAACAGCACTCAGAGAAGTCAACGCATTGATGGCTTGTCATCATGAGAATGTTGTCCGCGTTCGCGAGGTCGTTGTTGGAGACACACTGACACAGTACGTGTTTTCTGCACTTTGCTCCCCATTGCACATGGCTTATTCGAGTATACCAGAGTTTTTGTCGTGATGGACTTCATCGAGCATGATTTGAAATCTCTTCTCACCTTGATGCCTGCACCCTTCCTCCAATCCGAGATCAAGACGCTCATGCTCCAGTTATTATCTGCTGTGGATCATTGCCATTCGAATTGGATACTTCACCGCGACCTGAAAACGAGTAATCTCCTCATGAACAATCGAGGGACAATTAAAGTAGCCGACTTTGGTTTGGCACGGCGGTACGGTGACCCTGTTGGGGTCGGTGGACTGACGCAGCTAGTGGTCACTCTTTGGTATCGGTGTGTCCTTACATTGTTCATAGTATTTCGGATGCAATGATTGCCATAGCGCCCCTGAAATCCTGCTCGGTGCAACGTCGTATTCCACTGCTGTGGACATGTGGTCTGTAGGATGTATCTTTGCTGAACTCCTGCTCAAAGAGCCCTTGTTCCAAGCGAAATCAGAGATGGAGCTTCTTTCAATGATTTTTAAACTTCTTGGACCGCCCACTCATAATTCCTGGCCGGAATATTTTTCTCTCCCGCTGGCCAAGGCAATCAGTTTGCCTTCCCCTCAGCCACCACAATTTCGACAGAAATTTCAGTATCTGACCTCGGCTGGCCTTGATCTACTGATGTCTCTCTTATTATATGACCCGGAACGGAGAATAACGGCTTCAGAGGCACTTGACCATCCTTATTTCAAGTATGGCTGTTCTTCAAACGAGGCGCCCTGCTGAATCACCTCCTTGCAGAGAATCCCCGCTGCCAAAACATCCCGACCTTTTTGGTTCATTTCCATCTGCAGCTGCTGGCGAAAAGTAAGTTTTTTCAACTATTCGAGGAGGTTTTGGCTACAGATTCCTATTATCACCTCCAGGAAACAGAAATTGTTCAGCAGCCCTTCTGCACCAGTGCGAGCCGCAAATAATAAGTTTTCGATGGAATTCGATATCGCGTAGGCTTAGCTAGTCCCAACTAGTATATAGCTGTAACCAGGACTAGGACTACATCATAACTACATTTAGAAGTGTACTACTGCAAGGGAGGGATGTTGTCGGGAAAATTGTTCTTCAACATTTCACGCATCTTCTGGAACCGTGAACGTGTCTGGCCTCATCTCCCCACACTTGTCGTAATATTCTTGCACCTCTTCAATGGTAAACCTATATTCCTTCGCTATGTCCCGGATATTCGAATCGATGACATGCATATTGGCAATCTCAACAACAGTCTGGTGTGGTATAGAACCTTGATTTGTTGGGTGCGGCTCACTGAACAGGAAAATGAATACTAAAAGGAAATGAATATCGCAGCGCACTCACTCTTGTCTCTGTTTCTTCAAATGCTGTCCATCATGAAGGTCAGTAGACGCTCGGCGTTTCGCCCAACTCGGAGGTGGTGCGTTCCCAACTCGAACGGCCCAATCGCCTTCGGTTTCGTCAAGCTCTTCTTCAGCCGGGCCACCTCGTACTGCTGACATTATCCCAGGTTCTCCTTGCGCATCTATGGCGGGACCGAGGTGCGGAAAAGCAAGGTTGGAGGGGCTCCCCAGTCGGTTGGGAATCAGGTACCGTATCCATTTTGCCACTCAGCGGTCTTTCAGCATGGAGCTCTTCATCAACCTCTTCATCCTTCGGAACGCCCTTTCTCGCGCGTTTCCTCCTTTCTGGCTGGCGGACATACCCATACTGCCCTTTTTCTCCCAGCGTCGGTTTGGTTTCGGCAACGATCGCAGCAATCATTTCATCAAATCGGGCAGCGTTCTTCTTATATCTCTCCCGCCACGACTGCCATGTGTGGCGAGTAACCCATGCATAATCGGGGTCAGAATGCTACGGTCTCATCGTTAATAATCCGAGTGACACCAAGCGTGGAAGATGCTACCAATTCGCATAACTGTTGATACAGTCGATTGCCAGTTCGCCCACCAATTTCTTTGAAAGGGATTTTCGCGGCAATCCAATGGGCAAGCATTTCTTCATCCTTGTCAGTGAATGACATGCGCCTAAAAAGTGACAATATAAGACAGTGACAGATTGGACAGATAGAAGCATACTCCTCGCCCGGACGTCTCCCGCCTGGGTTTTTGAATACCACGGGCGTAAAGGCAACAACTCCCTTTTCAATGCACTTCTTGACCCACAGATACGATTCTACATAGACTCCAGGAGTATCTTGGTAGGCTTTGACTAAGTGTTGAAAGGCTTCAGTGTTAGGGTCTGCAAGTATGACGCGAGCCAAATGCGCCGCTGCATTTGGATTACCCCCCGAGTGCTGCAGTGATATTCATGTAAATACGTCATCTTGGTAAATGTCTCCACTCACTGCAATGCGTTCGCTGAGAGTTGTCCGAGCGTTGATATTCTCAATACTAGAATGAATGTGCATTGCCATAGGAGTTCCGTTTTCGACGAAAATCTGTTTCAAAAGCCTGCCTGCCATCTTGCAGGCTTCGACGAAAGTGTACGGGACGAAAAAGCGACCAAGCCTCTCAGGATTGGTCCAGCATAGGCGGAGTCGATCCTCCTCTGAACTGCCAGGTGAAACCAAAATGAAGCCATCTCGAGGTATTTTAGTTTCGACACGGCCGCCCAAAATCTTGGGATCATAAGCATCGCTTAAGTGACAAGTCGACTGTAGCTTACTGCAATATTTTCACATAGTTCTGCTTGTATCTCCTTCGGTAGGTCACTCTGAATAAAGAATTTCAACGGCGCGCCGTTGCTGTCTTGAAATATGGTCTGTCAGAAGAAAAGATGGGTATTGAGAACGGAGCAAAGGAGAAAACACATGCACCATAGCACAAACGAACCCAAGAATAAGGTTGAGGTTTATTTAGTGCCTTAGGGTTTACTTAGGGTTACAAGGCTTACTTCATCCACGTGATGGGACTTTACCCAAATATAGAATTAGAAACAATTCATGCTTTAGAAAATGATGAAAATAATCATACAAAATGAAATGCTAGTAATATACTGAGTACTGTGCTCTCCATGTCCGCTAGTTAGACGTTAGGACAAAGTCGTAGGATTCGGAAAGAACCCGCATTTCGTTCGCAAATATAAATTTCGTCATCCTTTCTGCCCAAAAACAGAACCTCATCATTCATTTCACTCTCCACATGCCCAACATTGAATTCCGTTCGCCCTGCCGGCGACTTCGATGGACCAGAACTGGTCTTCTTTCCTGATGTGTGGTGGCTGTGAGAAATTTTGGGTTTCACCGGGAGGACTGCTGATGAAGATCCTGAAATGGGCGTGCCAATCTTCCAAACGAAAGGCTCGCGCCGATTAAAATTGGATGGCGAAGGGTTGTATTGGGGCAAGGCCGTGCGCGACTCATCCCCAGGTTTCAACAAGGCATCACTGAGATCGACTGCTTCGAGCCCACCTTGACGCATAGCCACAAGTACCGAACGGTCTTTGACATCAAAAGCTTCCAGACGTTTCACATCACCCATTCTAGATGGCGCCGAATGCTTTGAATCTTCCTGAGTATCTTTGCTCCAGACAAAGCGTCCCTTCAAAACAGATCGTCCGCGATTATCAACGATTGTGGTGCTATGCCCACCCCGTGAAGAAAAGAAGAGTGCAGGAGGACCAAAATGGCGGGGTTGGGAAAGTAGTGATATAGGTTTAAGCAGAGGCTTGTCAGAAGGTTGGAATAAAGGAGGAGGCGAGATAGGAGGGACGGTCCGGAATGGGTGAGTAGGATCAACACTCTGTAATCTCAAGTCCTTGAGGAGCATGAAATCCGAATCCTCCTCTCGACGAACTGGTAGATCAGGAGGTAATAAACCATCCTTATACCACCCTTGCATTAAGGAGGCCTTCCACGGTCCTTCACGGGTTATCAGATACAATAACTCAATAAAGTTTATTAAGCAGCAGGCTTACCATGAACAACGTTCTTCGGGTCCCGGTAATACCACTTCGGTGGAGCAGATGGCGTTGGAATTGGCAAACCAGGCGGGGAGAATTGAACTTGTGAGAGGTCAGACCCACTCCCCATTTCTGGCTCGTGCACATTACGATAGTCAATAAATTCCGGATACGTCGGAGGAATGACATATTCATCGGCGATGGATGCAAGTGGGAACTTTGGAGCAAACGACAATTGTTGGAACGTGGTATATGGTCCCATTTGTGCAGTTGCAAGAGCGACAATTTCCTCGGGATGCACGACGGTTGAGGTTGTTGTTGTTTCAGGAGGAGTCGACGGCCGTTCCGTTGCTGACTCTGAAGGCGTTCGCCTATCTATTGGATGCTGGCTTGAGATCAGAGGAGGAGTCTGTTGACCATCAGGACCAGAACCCGTGGCGACGACAGTAGAACCAACAGCTACCGAGACACCAATGCTGACATTGACATTGGTATCTTCCTCCCCAAGTTGAGGTTCAGACTCATTGGCTCCTGCATCAGTCGCTCTTACTTCACGAGCCCGCCGCCTCGCCGCCCGCCGCTCAGCGCGTCCAATACGAACCTCTCGAACCCGAACGGTTGCGGGTTCCAAACCAAAAACATTTTGCGAGAACACCAGGAAGACCTCAACCAGGTCATCGCCTTGTAGTTGAAGTTCCAGTGATCGAGGAGAATCAGGGAGAATGAAAGTTCTGGACAGACCCAGAGCTGTTCGGTATGTTCCAGCAAATAGTTCGACTCGTTCGCCATTGTCTCCGCACAGTATCGCCAAAAAACTACAAGACAATGAGAAGAAGTTTACAAGTATCAATCATGTTTAACATGCCTTTTCTTAGCAGTCTCTACGGCTTTGACTAATAGGGCTCCTTTGGTGCCGGGAAGTTTGACATATTCCAGTTTGGGAGGCGGTGATTGGGCCACTAGAGGTGCTCCCTGTGCCCGCTTGGAACTCTCGTCGGTGATTCCTGACGGTGACGACGGCCTCTCGTCTGATCGTTTATGATGAAAAGCGTTGCTAAGTATTCTGGGTATGAAGCGTGATGTCCGCGAAGAGTGTGAAGACACCGCGGAAGAGGCTGAATCAGGCATTGGCGGTGGTATATTGAGGTTAGGGAGAGATGATGCATCGTTGGGAGATGAAGGTCTCATCCCCGAAGCAGATCGATTGGAACGAAAAGATGTGGACCGCGTTAAGAGGTTTGGTAGGCGCTCTCTCATCGGCGCCGTGGAACGCTGTTGTTCATTGGCCAAATCTGATTCATTCGATTGGTTCATAATTACCGACCACCGGCGTCGGCGCCCAGGAAGCGACCTGTCATTGACGCTTCTAACAGAGACCGAAGAGTGAGCATCAGATGTTCGAGGACTGGAGGGTTCGTCATCTCCTGCAGTGACAGGATGAGATGAAGAAATCAGTATGGGTTGCTGGGGTTGCCTGGATCCGGGAGGGGGGAGATCAGGTATACGGCTCTCTTGTAGTACTTGGCTCAGACTGATTCCATCTGCGTCGTCGTCGTCGTCATCACCCAATGGCGTACTTGGTAAGCGGGCATGGGGTTCTCTGGATGGCGAATGGGACAGAGCCTGTCGCAAAGTTAGAAGGGTGGGAGCAGGAGAAGGTTCAGGAGGCACCACTGTATTAGAGCGGGATAGACTCAAATCCAGATTTGCAGGTCGATTACTTCTTGACATAGACATTGGGCGGGGGTGTCGCGGGGTGGTATGCAACGGAATAGTCGACGAAGTCTGAGCTGCAGCACTTGTGCGTTCATCGAGGGCCTGACTGCCACTGGAACCGGCAGCTACTAAACTGATGGCTTCATCATCGCTCGACTCGACCCAGTCAGCTTTGGCGTCCGGATTCTCGGGTCGTACTGTGGCATTCGTGTTGCGCCGAATAGAACCGGCTGTCAAAACTTCAGAAACAGAGGTACCCCGTGAACGAGGATGAGGAGGAGATAGATTAGCGACTTGGCTGGCTAATCGTTCCGGTGATGGAGAAGTGTAAGGAGGAGGTTGCCCAGATGGCACCGGGGAGGGTACAGATGGCGTTCGCGTCCTCTGGCGTCTGTGAGTAGTTGGGGTACGCGGTATGAGTGGGACTGCAGGAGACGGAGAAGTAAAATGTCCATTTGACACTTTCGTGGAATGAGGGTCTCCTGGTGGGGGCGTAGATGAAAAAGGCCTGCGAAGTTTCTCAGCAGAATCGCGAGACTCCACTACTTCACGGACGCCTAAAGGAAGCTTTTTGGAAGTCTCCCTACGTTGTCTCTCGCGTTCCCTGCGCAACTCCACCTCAATTCGCCATTCAACTGCCCGCTTTACCTCTTCTAGGGCATAAACCCTCACACCATCCCGGCGACCAGCTATGGCAACCAACACTCCACGCTGTTCCATAACGACGACACTCTTAAAACTCACTCGACGAACGAGTGCATAGGGCTGTGGCGCAGGAGGTGAAATGAGGGGAAGAACATCTAATCCTTGGGCGTGGCAAAGAAGGAGATAGTGGGGGGAAAGAAATGCGCCACTGGCAGGAGGAGTGCTGAAGTGTGAAGGAGAAAGATCAGAAGTAAGCACAGACAATGACAGCCCAAGCTCTTGAAGAGAAGGAGGAGGAAGATCGGGGGGAGGTGTCATTGACTGTCCGGGAGGTGTCGGTGGTCGAGAAGTGTCGTTGCTTTTGCCGTGTAGAGCGGAAGGTCGTTCTTCAGAGATAGAGTCATCGGTGTGTGCAACAGGATCACGGCGATGCATGAGGTTGTTCAAAAAGCCAGATAAACGGTTTGAAGCGCGAACCTGAAAAAAAAAAAAAGAAAAGGGTAGTTGAAAAATGGCGAAAGAGGATGAAGTGAGCCGGTATACCTCTGTTATTGACCGACGTCGTACTCTGCGATCATCTGAAGCTGTACTAGGTCGCACAGAGTGGTGACTACGAGCGGGGGAAGGCGGCGGTGGGCGAGCAGACCTGGTAGATGGCGACGCCGTCTGTAGCCGACGCTGTGTTTCAGGAGGGTCCGGATGTTGTGTTACCTGTACAGCAGGAACGCTATGGACGCTAGCTGCATCTGAAGTCTGCTCTACCTCCCCGGTAGTAGACAAAGAAGCACCACGACTAGATTCAAGTAAAGGCCTAGTTTCCTCCTTGTCCTCTTCGGCGGTAATGACTTCCGTAATCGCTTTGTGCGGCGATTCTACGTTGCGAACCTCAACCTCCTCAATGCCTCGTGGAAGATCATCGTATCGTTCGTCCTCAAACGTGTCGGGAGCATCGCTGTACTGATCATCTTCGACCGGAGGCATGTTGGATTCTAGCTGTGAAATGGAAGAACGTTGCCGATACAATGGGACGGTCAGGAAGATGTAACGGGACAATTACAAGAGAATGGACTGGTCATGAAGGGAGCGGAGGAACCTTGAGGAAGAGGAAAAAGGCAAGACGCGGCTGACGAGACATTCGGGGCAAATGGCCGCTGCAGTTCCTGGTTTTGAAAGTTATTTCCCACGCCACGATAGCCGTCCTCGCGATCGTCTTCCTTCCTCTACATTGGACTTGTGACGCTACGATGCTGTCTCCGCCGTGGCGACGTTTTGCCCTTCCGTCCTTCTCTCGGTATTCTGCTGCTTCGACAACCTGTCGTGCTAATCATTCTTTATCTCGTCTCAATCCTGTTACAGCACAAGATGTCGATCACTTTGCAAAGATTTTACCGCCTACGTCAATTTTGTCAACCTTGGCTCCGTTTTCACTAGCAGCAACGGAACTTGACATTTACAATAATGACTGGATGGGAAAGTATCATGGAAATGCGACCACCGTCCTAAAACCAAAAACAACGCAGGAGGTCAGCGATATCGTGAAATGGTGTCACGAGAAGCGCATCGGCATAGTCCCTCAAGGTGGGAATACAGGCCTTGTAGGAGGAAGTGTCCCCGTTAAAGATGAAGTCGTAACATCCCTTGCCAATATGAGTCAAGTACGGTCCTTTGACCCAATATCTGGTTCGTGTGTGGCATGTTCGTCCAGTGAAACCTGTACTGACCCCCAGTCAAGGTATTTTGGTTGCAGACGCAGGCTGTATTCTTCAATCGCTCACAGATTATATTGCTCCGCATCATCATGTCATGCCGCTTGATCTCGGAGCGAAGGGTAGGTGTGTAGTGCATGTAAAGCACCTTGTCTATGATTCATTTTGTGTACAGCTGCCAGATTGGTGGAAACGTCGCTACGAATGCTGGTGGCTTACGGCTACTGCGCTATGGGTCACTGCATGGATCTGTCCTGGGTTTAGAAGTCGTACTTCCTGACGGGACAATTCTGGATCAACTTACAACCTTACGGAAAGATAACACTGGTCCGTATCACAGTAATTACCTATTCCCCATACTCACATTTCGCAGGATATGACCTAAAACAACTTTTCATCGGTGCAGAAGGCACTCTCGGAATAATAACGGGCGTATCCATCCTCACCCCGCCTTCTCCTCAAGCGTCCAACAATGTCATCTTCGCTCTCCCTCACTTCGACAATGTCTTGCCTCTGTATCAGCTGGTGAAGCGCGAGCTGTCAGAAATTCTTTCTGCGTTTGAATTTATAGACCGCACGGCTTATGACTTGGCGGTCAAGCACGGACAAGGAAGAGCGCTCCGTGACGAGGATGTCGAAGGTGCTCAGTGTTTCGTTCTCGCCGAGACCAGCGGCGGCCGAAGGGAACATGATGAAGAGGTGGATACGTTCGTCCGCTCAAGTTCTCCTGCTAACCTATGACTATAGAAACTGACAACTTTGCTCGAGACATTACTCGAGGCTGATAAGCCCTTAATCAACACAGGGTGTTCTGGCACAAAACCCTGCACAGTTCTCGTCTCTATGGGCCCTTCGAGAAGGTGTCACCGAGGCTGTTTCGAAAGAGGGAAAGGTGTATAAATACGACATCTCCGTCCCATTGTCGACTTTCAAAGAATGTGTTGATATCACTCGTGAGCATCTGAGATCCATGGGTTTAATGCGTGAGGGAGCAGTCAGACATGTCCTAGGATATGGCCATGTTGGTGATGGTAGATATCTACTTTTGTTTACATGACAATGCGCTGACCTTGAGATCGGAAGGAAACCTCCATTTAAATGTGGTTGCAGACACTTATTCCTCGGAGATTCAAGACGCTCTGGAACCATTCATATATGAACTCGTCGGTATGTAGCTTCCGATACTATTATTGAGAATTTGTCCACTGACTTGCACGTATCAGCATCGCACCGCGGTTCCGTGTCCGCCGAACATGGCATTGGTGCCATGAAAACTCATGCCCTCCATTACTCCAAGAGTGCCGTGAGCATCGCCTGGATGAGGAAGATCAAGGAGTTGTTTGATCCTCGGGGTATAATGAATCCAGGCAAAGTGTTGGAATAAAGGCATGAACATAAGGAAGTCCAACCATTGTAAACATATCTTTGCATTTATTTTGGTACCTCTAGAAATGAGTGCATCCTATTCACAATTTTGCTACCCTCTTTCTCAATTCTGTCTTCAAAATCTTTCCAGTGGAGGTTTTCTGTCCACTGGTGAGCTTTGCTGACGGTGGTTTAAATGAAAATTTACTCACTGGTAGCTCAGGAACAACTTCCACCCACTCCGGGCGAGCAAATCCAGGAAGCCTCGACTTGGCATGTTCCATGAGGTCCTTTACGAATTCGTCAACGCGTCCAGACCATCGGGCCACGTGTTCTGGGTGAATTATGACCTATGGGACCAATCAGCTTTCTCCAATAACCATGAATCCACAAGATCTGACAAAAGCCATAGGGCGTTCGCCCCACACCGGGTGCGCCCGAGCAACGACGGAAACTTCCAGCACATGGGGATGGCTTGATAGCTCTAAGAGTTGCTAGATGATTAATAACCGAAACCAACATCGTTGAACAGCTACTTTCCTTGCTCAATAGCGAGACTAGAGGCATTCTGGTGAAATAGGTGAGTGATGAGAATTGAGATGAATTATGGAAGCAACCTCTCCGCCAGATATAATGATGTCCTTACTTCTGTCGACTACGGCGATCGACTCGTCAGGATGCATAACGGCTAAATCTCCCGAATGAAAATACCCTCCACGGAATGCCTTTTTTGTGGCCTTCAGGATCCCGAAAGTACTCTTTCATCACAAGATTGCCTCTAGTAACAATCTCGCCCACGGTCTTCCCATCTCGAGGGACATCTATAATTTGATCGTCGTCCCGCATCTCTGCTACACGAACGCCTTCTGCTGTGGCAAAACTGTGACCTTGTCGAGCAATTAGCTTCGACCGTTGCTCGAGACTAATATTGGCCCAGAATAGTTGGTCATAGCCTCTGGTGAATGGACCGTATGTCTACGGCAGCCTCAGAAAGAATATAAAAGTGTTAAGAACATTGGTACCTCTCTAGTGTAACAAGCAAAGGTTAGTTCATCTACATGACTGGGCTCAGAAGTGACTTACGTCAAGCCATAAACATGAATGGGCTTGATCCCTATTTCTTCGAGCGATCCGAGGAGATGCGCAGTCGGCGCGGCACCTGATGAGCGTCAGGCTGAACATTTATTTTCCCGGTTGCTAAGCGCACCAGCAATGATAGCAGAAATGGGCCTCGTCAACTTCCTCGCAGATGGGTCATTCACGATACCGATCTGAAAATTAGTAGCATCAGGCGCAAGAGATGACTTCATACAATTCAGGTCATACCTGCACAGTCGGAGCACCACAGTAGTGAGTCACTTTGGAATGCAAAAAGTGGTTCCAGATTTGTGGGTAGTTGACGGTTCGTAGGGTGATCTAAGCCATGCCAGGATTCGTGAGTGATGAAATAGGGTCAATTTCTTTGAATCATTGCTTACTTGTGTTGCGAACGCGAAGGTGCTACTCCACGGAAAGGTCCACCCTCCAGCGTGGAACATAGGGAGAATCCTGAAATAGAAATGATGATGGGTTGGTAGGAAAGTAAAAGCTGGGAAAATCTACGAATCTTACCAAAGGTACGTGGATTCTTTGTCAATTCTGCAGATTATCGATCATCGTTAAGCTGCTGAACTTTTGAGAGTTGGTGAAATGTAACACTCGCCGTCCTTCAAAAGCGTTGCCGATGGCAGCTAAATAGGTGCCTAGGATGATACATGAAGCTTCAAGGCACACATCGAATTTTGAGAACGGTACCTCTCAGTGTTGTGAGGGCCCCTTTCGGCTAGTAACAAGTAAGTGATAATTGTCGAGAAGGTTCGAAGAATGGGACATACTCGTCCGGTGGTACCAGATCTATGCTTTCCGTTATTTCATGTTTGACTAATTCTGAACCACTGCGACTCACGTATAACAGAGCAAAGCCCCTGCATTTTCATCCGGCTCTACGTCTAAGCCGGCCCAACCTCTCTCTTGGCTGTAACGTCGACCCTCACTCAAGAATTGTTCATATGGGTCATCACTTCTACCAGTGTCCTTGCACACAATCCTAGGAAGCTTGGATCCTGCAATGAGTGGCAGCAGCTCTTCATCGATGAGGATGAGACTGGCACCGCTGTGATCTGAAATTGTCATCAGTACTTGGCTTTCTGAAAGATGAGTAGCCTAGCCTAGAATATAATCAACCTCTTGTGGCCTGAGTCGCGTGTTGATGGGGGTTAGGATAGCGCGCGCAGCTAGGACACCATGGCATGCATCTGTCTCAAGCTCAAGTAAAGGCTAACTATATGGTAAACTCTTGGTACATACCCGCTATCATGGGACTAGTCGGGCAATTAATTATTTCAATGCAAAAACTGAAGATCTAGGATTGGGAACGTACGAATTCGGAGCAATCACTGCCACTCTGTCACCAGGTTTAATCCCTGCACGTATCAAGCCATAAGCCATGTTCTGGATTCTCTGAGCCCTGAAAGAGGTTTACAAGGCATACTGTCTATTATCGAGATGATACTTACCATACTGCGAAGGTGTAGACGACGGGATGTTTTACATCAGGGTGCGCTAGAGCAACCTTATCTGGATAGATTTGCGCTGCTCGAAGCAAGAAAAGGAGGGGATTCTTTGGCATGGTTACACTATATTCAAAGTCAAAAGCTAGAAAGGGTAGTAACTCACCAACGGATGTAGGTAGGTGGGACCATCCTTCGAGCTGGGAGGATTTAATCTAAGCTTGACGTCGGCTGGGGGGATACTCTCTGCAGTTGGTGTTGTAGGTCCTTAAAGATACGGGTTAGATATACAGATGGAATAATGAAACGCGATGCGCACGGAACGCCATCGGTGAATGCGGGGAAAGCTGGAAAAAGGTGTGGGGAAGAGCCAAGAATGCTTATCAGCAGTGGAAAAAGTGGGGGGAATTGGGGGATAGAAAACTATTATTCGGATAAGGGGAATATATATGTGCCCAAGAGCTTGTAGTCTGAGCCGGTTATGTTCAGACCCGTCATCCGGGGTCGAAATGCGGGGAAGTAGGTTTGATCGGTTCCTGTTTGTCCTTCACGTGGTCAAGACATCAAGCCACCACCGATGACCCTGCCTCTCTACCAGATACCATATTTTATCCATCCAAGCAGGCTCTTGGCTATCCCTCTGTCCTCTTCTACAGCCTATCTACAACTATCTACATTTCTATAATGCCTGCTGTTCTAGTCCCTTTCATTCCTCTGTTCGCCTTCCTCGCGTCCGGGGCTTTAGGTCAGTGATCTCAAAGATTCTATACCCCTTGCGCGATGTGAGCCTCCTGTCTGCAGCTGACCAGAATGACTGGATAAATCCAACATATGTCGTCAGCTGGCGAGCGTCGGGGCCCCATTCGACTACCCGTGACGCAGAAGATTATATAAAACGCGCTGCTCAGCACCGTCTTTTCTGTGAGCAAATTCGTTGGATTCTCGGCCCCGCCTTTAACATAATTACTGTCAGCGATCACTAGCTCTAAAGGCGTGACTGCGCCAAGCAAAGATCCTCATGACTATCTCAGTTGGGCTCCTTAGTAAGTTAACAGCTCTAGTGCAAGTTTGGATGTACCTGACCGGCTTCCTGCCTTAGCCACTGGCCAAACTGTAACTGGTGTAACGGGAAAGGAAGAACCTACATAGGCGGTAGTAAGAATGACACATCGGACGACGGCGGCGAAGACGATTGTGACAACGACGGCGACTGTGGCGGCAGTGACGACGACGATGAACCTGATGTGGACAGCACGACACAGTCTTCCGAATCTGTAAACCAGGATCATGACAGCGTTTTCTCATCTCGCAGCCATATGCATCGAATGGTCCGAATGCGCCGCAAAGATTCTCTTTCTCTCGTTTCGCCGACATCGGCACCTACGTTCACGCGTCGCGATATCGCTCAAGCTGCGCTAGACATGTTACCTACCCTAACACCCAATCTGGATCCTCTGCCTGGTACCAAGACCCTCGATCCTGTCTCTCAGTCAACTAGCGATGCTGTTGTTGGGTCGCATACTCCTGCTCAAGCTGCCGCCAAGCATAGTGCCTCCTCATCATGTACGCCGTCTCCGACAACTTCCATGCCTCCAAGTGCTAGTAAGACTTTAGAATTTCATGCTGAGCTCCGTTTAATCGTTGTCTTGTTCACAGCCTGGACTACTTGTCCATATATTATTCGGGATGGTCAAGTCAACCCTGATGTTAGAACGCTTCCCGGACCAGGCGCGATCAACGGCGTTTCTCAAAACTCGATCAATAATGCTCTTGCCTATGCTTTCACAGGGTCCCCGTCATACTCGAAGAATTTCGTAGACGGACTCAATTATTTCTATCTGAACCCGGAATCTAAAATGAACCCCAACATGAACTACGGCCAAGTAGCTCGAGGACCGACTTCTCAGACTGGTACTTTTACAGGTATCTTAGACGGGAGAGGGCACGTCAAGGTGGTCAATGCGATTATAGTAATGAAGGATCTCAAGAACCCTGATTGGACGCCGGATCGAGATCAAGCGATGATGAATTGGATGTCTGAGTACTTGAATTGGCTCAAAACTAGTGATATTGGGAAGAAGACTGCCAGTCGACCCAAGTATGGTTTTACAATCCCTGTCTCAATATCGAGTGACTTATGCCTCGTCTCGAATAGTAATCACGGTAGCTTCTACTTTTCGCAAGTTGCTGCCATAGAGGTATATCTAGGACGCTCGGATGACGCCATCAAGACTCTGCACAGCTACTTCGATGGACCATTTATGGATCAACTCGCAGCATCTGGAGAGCAACCCTTCGAAGCCGTACGCACTCGACCATTCCACTATCGATGTTTCAATATCGAGGCCATGATAGTATGCCATTTTCTTGTTCCGTATTTCTCTCACCGACCAATTCTTTAGACCAACGCCAAAATCGGGGATCAGCTTGGGCAAGATTTCTGGATCAAGAAATCAAAACGTGGCGCCACCATAAAGGATGCAGTCGACTACACCATGTCTCTAGACCCCAAGAAAGAAAACCAAAGCCTGTTGGCACCACACGTTGCGACAATTATGCTGGTTCACGGTGATCCTGATGGCAAATATGCGAAATACTTGAGCAAGGCGGACCCAGACTATCGTTCTAAAGCGTACTGGTACTATGATCAACCGGGAGCACTTACCGGATCCTCTCAGAAGAAACGATCGGTCGAATGGAGGAGGGAGGATGCATCTAATGACAACTCGCCACCTTGTGAACTTGACTATCCTGCGGTCTTCGAGTATGTATCTGCTGTCGAGTTGGAGGTCGAATACTACGTAACCTGGGAGCAGCTGAAGTTTTTTTATTGTCCCGTTGCTACATGAATAGTGTATACACTTCAATTTTCAGTCTCTTTTTTTGTTCATGTCTCGGTGTCCGTGAATACGTTGAGTATGAATAAAGGTAACAGCAGCATGAGGAGATTCGGAGGCAGGTTACAAACAGGCATCAACAGCGTGTACCTTCCGACTAACCGTCATATACAATCATCTTCTAGTCCTCGCTTCACAATCCATATAATCGTAGAGATGGCAGAATCTGGGTCTGCTCCTGCTGACAAGTCCGTTCAGGTTAAGCTTGTTCTTCTAGGTGAGTTTCGACTGCTGTGGCAAATGTTCGTCGACAGGAAATTGCCCAGCGCTCACATGTGTATTGATGATTCATGTATTCTTACCCTCTTTCATAGGTGAAGCTGCGGTTGGAAAGTCATCTGTCGTGCTTCGTTTCGTGCGCCTCCTCATTTCTAGAAGCGACGATCGTGCATTCATTTGTTGTAACAGGTTTCCAACGAATTCCAGGCCAATAAGGAGCCTACCATTGGTGCCGCCTTTTTGACTCAAAAATGCCGTTTGGAAGACAGGGTGTTAAGATACGAAATATGGGATACAGCGGGACAAGAAAGGTTTCACTCTCTAGCTGTAAGCACTGCAGTCATGCCACCGTTGCGGATCCCTGACGCCCAGTTGAAGCCTATGTACTACCGAAATGCTCAAGCAGCCGTAGTCGTCTACGATGTAACAAAGGCCACGAGTCTCGAGAAGGCCAAATCATGGGTCAAGGAGCTTCAGCGGCAAGCCAATCCTAATATCGTTATCGCATTAGCTGGCAACAAGGTTGATCTCGTACAACCCTCCGCGTCATCGTCTGGAAATACATCAGAATCTGAAGACGAAGCTGACGATGCTACAGCCACTCCGGGAGAGGCACCGTCGCCTGGTGAATCGGAAAGCCTGAGGCAGGTTCCCACTGAGGAAGCGCAGGCGTATGCGACAGAGGCTGGTTTGCTCTTTTTTGAGACTAGCGCCAAGACTGGCGAGGGTATCGTTGATTTATTCACGGAAATTGGTGAGTGCCTGTTTATCTTTTGCTCCCAGAACGCTCATGTTGTTTTGTAGCGAGAAAGATTCCCATCGAGCATATTTTGGCATCTACCCGCGGTGCGGGTAGAGCTGGGACAGGCGCAAACCGAGCAGGTGCCACACGACAAGAGGGTGGTGTGAATTTGGAAGAAGGTGCGAAGCCGAAGGATGCTTGCAATTGTTAATGTGTTAGCCTACCTACATACGTGCGTAGTCGCCGTGTTTTTTATGAAGTTCACGTCATCTTATATATATGCCTTCAATGCTTTACACTTCACACGTACATGTATTCTGATTTTTATTTTACAACGAGGACGTATCTGATTCTGCGAATTGTCGTATAACGTAACTATAAGCACGATCAGTCTACGTATGGTGGCGGCCTTGCAACATGCTCCTGGTCCCTGTGGTTAGCGGGCACTCGGTAAGGAGGCGGTGCATGGCCGTGGGCTTCTTGGGCTTGGGAGGGTGCTGGTGGTGGTGAGTGTAACCTCGGCGGCTCAGAGATAGATGATGGGTTAGAACGCTGGTGATGCGGTATACGAAAGTCAGAGTCAATTGAAGGTGGGGGATCGGATGGATCGTCCATAGCAGGTGGTGGTGGAGGGGGAGGTTCTTGTTCTGATTCTTGCTGCTGTTCAAATACAAGACCCAACGCCTCAATTGACTGGCTTGTAGCTGGTATCTCAGCAAGTTGTGTGACATCAGTGTCCCTCGATGCCATTTCAAGTGTAGGCGGTGGAGTGGAAGATCGTTGCATATCGTGCCCATCAAACTGATCTGTTGGAAGGAAACCAAATGCAAAGCCCTCTCCAACGAGAACGGTAGACAATGGCATGGGTGGTATCATGCATTCTTCATGCGAAGGAATGATGATTTCAGTCTCCGATTCCAAGAACGTGGGCAGTCGCGTGGAGGTTGAAGCCTCTGAAGCAGAGGAGAAGAATGGCGGAGGAGCATCTCGTTCTTCAAACGGTGGTGGGGCACCAAGTGCACTCGGTCCTGCCTCCCCTTCAGAGTAATGTGGTATGGAAAGGTCCGTGTCCTCGGCCCTGTTTGTCTTTACAGGTGGGCGATCATGTTTCTTCTGGTAAGCCACGTCTATCGATTCCGCAACTTCGGGAAGTGGTGCCGGTGGAGGCAGCACCGAAATTGGAATAGAAATAGTATAAATGCGCTCCGTGTGGCTGGATGTGTCGACGAAGGAGACATAAACATTGAGTTTAAATGATATAGAATGGAGAAGCGTTGACTGGGTGATTGATGGACATTCTGCATCACTATCTAGATGCACGTAGTCTGATGCTGGCAGACTCATTTGATTATCTGCCGGCGAACCTGAAGGCGACGTTTGGTGTAGAATAAATCGCAACTGAACCGGCCTTGTGGCATGAAAGCGACAAGACGCGCCAGACCGTGCCAGGACAGTCTTGAAGGAAGACCCTACAACAAAAGGTGATATGGGCCATTTATACGTTGATGCGCGTTTCTCCTGGGTGGTAGTAGATGATGGTCCGACGGAAGGTTCGTCATCATCATTTGAAGGAGGTCCTTCTTGGTCATCCGATTCCCCGTCGTGTTCATCGTGTTTGACTTGCACAATGCGTACGAATTCAACCTTGACGTTGCGCAGCCTCAGTCCCTGGTCGACCACGATCTCCTTGGCAGGCGGCGGGATCGTTACATAGACCGGGACCTGCTCACCGGCCTTGAACGTTGTACGAGGAACCTGGACTTCAAAACGCGTTGGTTGGTCCAGAGCGTGAGTTTCGGGTGATATGGGGAGAGAATCGGTATGGGAACTGTATCGTCTGGTGTGAACAGCCATGCTTTTTATAACTGGTGGCGTCGAAGCATTTGTAGGGTGCAATGTAACCGTTAAGGTATGTGACAGTGATGAATGCGGCGTGATAACAGCTTGAGGGGTATCGGGCATAAGCGGTAAGGAGAATAGCACGGAAGACGGAAGAGCTGCAGCGTTCTCCACAGGACTAGAAAATAGTACTGTTTCTGACATCCCTAGTTCAATCTCTTGGCTGTATGCCTTCTCGACCGTACGTAGGGACATAGTTCTGTATCAGACACCGGAAGCAATGAGCATATACGCAGAACAGCATGCACGATACGTACATTCGATGCCATCGACCGGGTTCTGCCCCCTTGATCTGCAGTTCTCCTTCGATGGCAGCGCGTTCTCCCTCGGCACCCAGAAAGCCTTTCTGAAAATTAAGGGCATCGACAGTGGGTGTAATGAGTATCTGTGGCTCCCGAGAGATATCGGGATGGACTTCTGTCGGATCCTGCTGGGAATATATCGGAGGTGGAACGTGCTCCAACATGGTGGTAGTAGAGCAACAGGAAGGATATTGCACGAGCGGTGTCGGTAACAGCAAGTGACTATCAGTTTCAGAAAGACGATGAGCCACGTGTGGTCGTGCTAAAACAACCCTGATAATTAGCGTAGCAGTTACATACGAATACACAGCAATCGCAGTTTCAATCCAAATATATATACCAATCAATCAAAATGCCGGCTTCCTCAGCACTCGACCCGTGCCAGGCTCTCCAGCTCTCCAAACATTATTTCGTCACCAAGTTGCATCAATAAATCCCAAGCCAATGTACGATGCCCGCCAAGAAGCCCTGTTCCCTGCTCCGAGCTAGCATCTCCAACCTCTCCCCATCCCATGCCAAACGACATCGTTGGCGCTACCGACTTGGATGTATCGAAAGAATCCTCGCCATCATCCAGCACCTTCATTGCTTCAATTGCCCTTCTCGCACAGACCATGTAGTGGGCGCGAGCATCTGGGCTGTGATGCATCAAAAACTTCTGTATCATGCGAAGCATGACGCCCTTGAAACCCATCGCACGATCTGCCTTGAGTTTGTTCTTCAGCGAAGGGGATGCAAGAAATGCCAGCGAGTAGATGCCCATGACTACTCTTTCCAAGTAGCTTAACCATGAATCGCGGGTAATCACCTGAAAATCGATGTCGGATATTGGCAATCGATGAACAAGTGATGAGAAGAGGAGGGAGATGGATGCCGAGGGTATCGCCTTGGCAAATACTTGACGGTTTGAGTCTAGTTGGCTTAATCGGGTGAACACCTCTAAAGATAAATCAGCCAAGGAAGGAGGGGCGTGATTCGGTATTCCCTTCAGCTGGACGTAAGACATCGGCGATACGGCTTCGGCAGGGTCGATGATGTATGACGAGCACAACTGAAAAAGCCTAGTGGCCGTCTTCAGCGTTCCTTTCGATGGATTACTCGGGTTGGAAAAGAGGATATGACCAGCAATACAGCTCAAGATAACCATGGTATCTCTGCGGACTGCGATCAAATCACTGAGAGACAGAGCCGGCGCAAATGCACGAAGACTGGCACCCTCCCTCACCACTATACACAGTCGGAGTAACAAATCAACAAGTCGATGTTGCTGGGATATGAAGTCGATGTTTTCGCCCACCATTGTAAGGTTACGAACGATAACAAGAACCATGAGAATGGTATCCCCTGGTCTCTGGCGTAAACCCCAGCGTGGATCAGCACTCCCTTGCCGTCGTTCAAGACCAGCAAAAGGCATGGCCTCTGCCTCGTACACTGCATTCACCAATTCCCGATGTGTCGGTATGTCGATCTCGGTTGTACTGAGCTGGAATGTGTCTTGGACTTGGGCACCTTCCAAGGCAAGTTCTTCCATGAGGTCTAGAAGCTCGTCGAAAAGGTCTCCGCATTGATGGAGAGGGAAACCTGAACCAGGGGTTTGACCTTTCATGGTTGAGAGTATGGTGAGTGTCGTTAACGCGTACGACAGCTCTGTCGAAATTCTGGAGCTAAGAGACAAGGTTAAGGCCTCAATGTCTACAGTGCCCCAGTCATTGATATCTCGTAATGGACGCTCGCGATGTGGAGCAAGTTCTGCTTCGATGCTTTTGAGATCGCGACCGCCATAAGTTTCGACTTCGCGTGCGTACGGAACGTACTCAATTTTGCGACGAAGGGGCTGTGACCGTGTTCGCGTTGGACCTGCCATGGTGGGCACTGACTGGGAAGAACCAGAGCTAGGCGCTGGAGCTGCCGGCTTAAACGGAATTGATTAGCAAAAGCACACTAGCCAAAAATGACCGCAAAGCCCACCGTATTAGCATCAGGTAGCTCCGAACCTGACAGCGATTTGAATGAAACGTACTAAATAGAAAAGATAGAAACCTACCGGTCTTTTGTCGCGCTCGTTTGCCATCTCCGTCATCACTGTCAAGCTTCCGCTTTATTCCCCCTTGAATGTCCTCGAGAACATTTGTGTCCGATGTCTCTCCGACATGAGACGCGTCAACAGATTGGGGTGCAGACATATGTGTAGTGTTCGTACTGGGCTGTGGAACAGATGTCGCGGTACCACTTTGGTGTGGTGTTTGAGGCGCGACAGCGTTGGCGGATGGAAAACCGGGCTGACCCCTCTGCATCTGGTTAGGGAACCCGGACTGCATTCCGTTTGCTACGCCCTGGCCTGGTCTGGTGGGTGTGCCGGGACGCTGATTCATAACATTTCCCTGCCTTGAGGACATTTGTGCCTTCCTTTGCTGATCCTGAACGTTCTTTTTGTACAAGTCTTCAAAGGGTGCCAGAATAAGCATATAGCATGCCTGAAGGGCATGGGCGCTTGACGTGGTGCCGCTTGCATGAGGTTGGGGTAATTCTTCCGGAAGTTCGAATTGGGACGCGATTACAGCCCAAGTATTAGGGTTTCCAATCTGTAACAGGTAAGTGTTGTACTAGTGGTACGTCATAGCGAGTACATACCACGGAACCTCCTCCCTGCTGTATTGTTAGCCCCCAGAGCTTGAAAAGATCTATATCTCTGCCTGCCAAACGGAAACAGCCAATCTCTGTCTGAGAAGGTTCGATCATTTTGAACTGGGAAGTGTTGGGATCGTAATTTGGGGTCGGAATGCCGGTGAGAGCAGGTGGCAGCGGCGTGTTCCGTTTTGCCATGATGTTGGCGAGGCCGGCCAAGAATCCTTGGTGCCGCTGCCTGTACTGGGCAGAGGAAGGGGCGGAACGAGGAGCAGCAGGATTTGACATGGTGGGATCGAGGAAAGGGGCATTGGCCGAGTTTGGCGGTTGGGAGTTCGGCATTTGAAAATTTGGGTGGCCCCCAGCAGAAGCGGACTGGTCATGACTGACGGTCGAATGCATCCCAGAGGTAATTCCACCGAGATATGACCCCGAACTTGTTCCGCCCACTACTGACGCGGAACGACTGTTTGCCATTCTAGCATTGCTCGCAGCAGAAAGTGCTGCCATCTGCTTGGCAGCCTGGGAAGCATCTAGATTGAAAAATGAAGGATCAAATCCCGTCGGATTCGACGACATAAGCGAAGGATGCGGTCCTTGTTGGGCTTGCTGGGTACCGAAGGGGGAGGCCATTCTGCGGTCTTGGCGCTGGTAAGCAATCGAATCCACGGAAATAAGGTCAGACAGCCAAAAAAAGCTGACTTACAACATCGAGTACTTTCTCTGCAGGTCACCGTCGCCGCCGTCTCTTCTGTTGTATCCTGTTGCCGTCGCAAGTCAACTTGCCTTTTTCAGCACATGTGACTTGCTTTTCTTTCTTCTTTAACTACCACCATGCCGGTATCTGAAATCGACGACATCTTTGCAGCAAAGACACTACCGCGCCTTCCTGCTACTTCCTCGTCGTCCTCGTCGACCACGAAGAAAAGTAAAAAGCGCCGCAGAGACCATTCTACTGACGACCACCACGAACCACCCCCCAAGAAACGTGTTCCCGAGACGGTCATCGATCCTTCTTCTACTGTATCCGCCCCTAAACGCATAAAGCAGACCAAGGGTAGTGATAGATCAAAGATTAAGCCATTCAAATCGGAGAAAGACGCCAAAGGCGATGAGGAGCGCTTTAAAGATTCCAGAGGTTCTGGACCTCGTGCGTCTTCTTTTCTTTTTTTATGCACATTCCAATTTCCATTTTTTAGGACGTAAAACTGAGGAAGGTTGGTCCGTATATAAAGAAGACGAGCTTGGAATGACTAATGAAGGAGGAGGTCCGTCTGTCCTGTTCGAACTCTTGTCATTATCTGACCTATATCAGATACCCCTTTGTGCCCTTTTGACTGTGACTGCTGTGAGTGCTTTTTCCTGATCCGTAGTTTCTTCGCAGTATTGACTCGGCGAACCAGGCTTTTGAATGAAATCGATATACCCCATTGACTCCATACGCCGGTTCTTACTTCCGTCCGGCTCCTTCGAAGCCTCGCAAAGAGCAGTCATTGCGTTGATTTGTCGAGGTCAAAAGGTAGCCAAAATCAATATCTTCTTCCAGTCCTACCTAGAGATCATCTTCGGAAGGCTATAGGGAACCTATCATTGGTTACGAGGAATACAGTATTAAGTGTCGATATTTTAACATCCATGATATAGCTTTATATTAGCCTTGCGAGTACATACAATGGTAATCAGCATTTAATATTTATCAATCGTCGTCGTCGTCATCGTCGTCCACAGCATTGGGCCTGCCTAGTTCAATACCAAATGGATCGATATCTTCCCCCGCTTCCGCCGCTTTCCTGTTCCTCTTCTCCTCCGCTTTCTTTTCTTGCTCTGCCTTCCTAGCCAAATATGCTTTGCTTCCGACCACCTTCTCTGGGTTTTTGCACAAGCGGAGCCGCCTGTCAACTTCACGCACAGACTCCACGTCGGGCGGTCTACTCGATCTTTGAATGATAATCTTTACTTTATTGACCGTGGCCTCGACAGCATCAGACGAAGGATGTTTTGATTTCAGCCATTTGTATGATTCTTCTGGGAGAGCAAGAGACATGGCAGCGAGGGCTATTTGAGAAGGCGTGTAGATGAATTCAACTGTCCGTCAGTCGCGAAGCGCGAACATAGCTCAACGCAGCTTCGTAGGCATCTCGATGGGCTTGAGGCCAGTCTGCGGTTGTTTCAGGGAAGGCTCTAAAGACGATGTTGGTGACTGCGACCGGAAGTGGTAAGAAATACACGCACCTGGAAGTCCAGCCATATACCCCAAAGTGCTCGATGAGCATGCCACACAGAAAACTCGAAGCCAAGGCTTTGCGCTACGAGAAACTCGAGATCCAGGACATCGGATGCGGTAGTGCTTTTGATGTGTGTTGTGTAAGTCTCTAAGGAAATCGGGTTATTCGTCGTCTTGGTGGCAAGAAACAGAGTTGTTAACCTAATAGTATATTATATTTGAGCATTAACGTTCATAGAATGCTACGACGTCCGTACATGACATTTTTGGGGTGCCAATCCATGACCGTGTTCTTGAGGTAAAAGCGCTTGAAGTAGCTGATTGCCGTAGCTTCAACTTCTTCAGGAAAACGAAAGAGACCGCATAACTGAGTTATAGTGGAGATATAGTGCTTGACCAGGAGATGTTCCTCGTCTGCAGTCAAGAAAAGCACATTCGCAGATGAGCCTGGCTGGACTCAATGAGTATTGCATCACCAATCACGCACGGCCGTACCTCATATGCCTCGAATGTCCGTTTGATAACAGCGACGGCTGCTTGATTCAACGTCGAACGCACTTGGGCCAATTTCTCAGGAGAATATCTCCAGTTCTTGAATTGCGTGCTCCCCTCGTATATTGATTTCTTGGTGGCCGGAGGAGAGACATTGGACATGGCAAGGTACCAAGTTTCTTCCCACGAGGTCGAACGCCGGTTACCCCACCTTCGGTTCAGTTTTTCTCACGATCAACTCATGATGGTAGTTCACCTCGAATTCGCGCCGGCGCTTTCGGCGCGCGTTTCAACCGCTCTCACACATTCTTTTTTAAGGCTTCATGCTTTACGACCCATAAATTTCCTCAGCACCTATTATACACTCTGTTACTAAGCATCATGCAGACAAGTGTGCTGGTTCACCGTCAATCATTTTCAGCAGCGTTTACATACGTTCTCGTCATTCTTTTCGCGCTAATGCACCTCGAGTGTGCTGAAGCGGGCCAATATTTTACAAGTGGACTGTCAATTATAAACTCTCCCAGTCCAAATAGGTGCGATCTTTGCTCCTCGCTACGGCCGTGTGTAAATGATGTTTGAATGTCTTCAGTCCAGGGCATGCTGGTAGCACCCTTCCGATTTCTATTGATGTCAGCAAGTTTCATGGGATTGACTTGAATATACTGATTTGTATTCAAGGTGTCCGGAGATGGCAGATTGCCCGGCGATTCTTCTTTCAGCTTGCTCGAGATATACCTCGTCTCCTCAGAAACAAACATCAATTTAACAGTGGTGTCGGGGGCAGACTTCCTCACTCAGGAGTCGGGCAGTGTTCGACATGAAAACTTCATGGTCCCGACTTGCATCAAGGCAGGGAACTACAACGTGAGTTTGTCCCTTGATTAAGTGGCATTTAAGATTCAGAAAGTTTTCGATTACTAGCTGACATTTTATGAAACCTCGCAAATCGAGGGCAAACCTTTTTTCATCATCACTCCTATACCCCTGCCAATTGAGAATAGCAATCCGTCGGGCTCCGCTTGTACTGACGGTCTGAATGCCCTACAAGATCAGCCCCAGGTGTTCAGTGCACCGGAGAATCCACCGTTACCCGCCGGCGAAACGTCGGGTTCATTCACTCCTACCTCGCCATTAGGCTACTATCACCGTGTCCGACGGCGTCAGCATCGTATTTCCTACGACTATAACAGTCACGCCCACTCAGTCAGCGACTACAGTTGTAGTTGTCTCCGAGTCTGTAACAACAATAGTTACAACTGACAGTCAAGGACCCGTTACATTGACGTGAGTAGATAGGCATATCGGTGAAATTTAGGCTAATCTGGACGGTTCTCATGATGCTCAGGTCTACGGAGAGATGGTCGACAACAGCGGTCATGCAATCTTCGGATCTATCAGGATTTGTCCCCGTCAATGATGGGCACGGAACTTTACCGTGTTGGACCTTGGCATATGGTTTCCTGTGCGGTGCCTTGATCAAACTATGGTAGCCCTTTCGCACCCAATCGTTGGTATTTATATGCGTCTTCAGTGTATGTATATTAAACTGTGTCCCTCGAATTCACGGATCTCTTTGGGGGGCGTTAATTGACATGACGTCACGCGTCTTGTTTATATGATTGTCCATGTTTTTATGCGAAATTCAGATTCCGCTGCTTCACGGTATAAAAGGCTGATTGGCTGTTTTTACCTCTTTACACTCAACTATTACTCCGCAGGATCCACATCGCCTATTATTACTTCATAGCTAACCTAACTATGCCTCCCAAACGCAAATCTGATGCTGTCGAACTCGAAGAACTCAAATCGGACGCGTCTTCTGTGAAAGAGAACTTGAACGACGCGCCATCTGAGCCAGTATCCAAGAAGGCACGTACTAGCGGGGCTTCATCTTCGAGCAAGGCGAAGACGAAGGAAGGCAAAGAGCCAGTCAGGTGGCAAGATGTTGAGCTCGAGGACGAGAACGAAGATGTGGGTTTTTGTCCATCATTTTCGTGTTGCCAACTTACACGTTCATAGGGAACCATTCCAGTCTAGTATGACGCATCTTTTATCGAACCTGGCAAGCTTGGCTAACTTTCAGTCTAGCGACGATTGTGCAGAAATCCGACGGAAAATTGGTCTCTTGCAGAAGACCCCTGGATGGAAGGTTAGTGGTCAAGCAGGCTTCGGTGCATCGCGGCTGATCAAATTGATACTCAGGTTACTCAGTGGCTCAGGGATATCGGTGGAATAAATAACAATTCGTATTCACGATTCAGTATGTAATTTTCCATTGGTAAGTCGCGTAATGTGCATACTGATTATTAGTAACAGTGAAAGAAAAAGGAAGGACTGGAGGTGCTTCCAATGGGACCTACTATGCAGCGTACGTGACATCAACGAAAGGCTCGTTCCCCGCTAACCGAGCTACAGTTATGTTTACTTCGAAAAGGTTCGTATCGCAGAGGGCAAGAAGAAAACGCCTACTCGAATCAAGCACGAGGCAGAACTCCCCCATGGTTATCCTTTGGAACGAGCACGGGGGTGGGTATTTACCGGGCGATGAGTAGTCTGCGTAAATGGAATAAATTTAATTCGATTCCAAGCCTCTGTCCCTTCTCCAAGCTTTAATCCATTCCACTATGCGTGCGACGTTGGCCTCAAGGTCTTCAGTGCTTTCACTATTAAGTTCAACGACTATTTCCGCTGCGTACGATGATCGAGCCTCGTCAAGAACAACTTGCATGATCTCAGCCTCGTTGTTTTCTTGTATTTTCTTGAGGGAGTAACCTCTAGGGTAGGGAAGTAAGACGAGGATGACTAGGGGAGATTGGAAGATTGGCGAGCGCACCTTTGTTCCAGTCGATCCCATAATCGCGAGTGGTCACACCGTAATACGACTACCAAGTCGGCCCATCGCTCAGGGAAGGCTTCGCATGTGTGCCAGTCGAGAATGATGCCTCCTGCCGATGCCAGAGGTTCTAACTCATCTAGAAGCTGCGGTCCTAGCGACCTTGAGCAATGAAAAAGTGAGAAAAAAACTTGTCGTACCTTGTCTTCATCAACGTTATAGGTCTGCCATTCGGGATCATAGTCCTCATAAAGACCCTTTTCCTTGACCCAGTCGCTGATGTTGATATGCTGCAGAGGTACAGGAGATTCGTTGACGAGCAATTGGGCGTGGGTAGATTTTCCAGTCCCTGGAGTGCCAGTGATGATGATCACGGGTGCCTGTCTTTCTAATGACATTTCTAGGCAATAAATTAAAGATAGATCAGGACAAGATCAAGACGAATTGACGAACTCTGCGATTCATAAAGGAACGGTAGCAACAGAACTGTAACAGACAAGAAAAGAAGAGCAGAGATCAGAAAATTGAACGGGCCGAATGACCAATAGGAATACCGTCCGGCATCCCGGCAGGCCTATTTAAGGGACAGCGGTTTCCCATCATATTCAAATCTGGCATTTCTCCGATTTCAAGTGTTCACACCAACTGTATACATAATTGATTGCACATGCCGTGGCAACACGCAGCTCCTTCGAGGGGAAACCGATTGCTCAGGATTTAGCCGCTCTTGATTTTGTCGCTCCATTCAGCATATCTACAGTATCACAACATCTTTCTTGCATCTTTCTCTCAAATCTCATTCTGTCGTTCGTCTTAGTCTTCATTTTCCTCATCACCTTACTTCCCTGTTGATATGGTCCTCTGGCCGCTGGCGAGCATTCCGATCTGACGGTGCTAACAAGTTTTCCATGATTCCTCCAAATCCCTGCGTGTCCTCGCGTCATGAGTCTGCTCCTGCTCCGACCCTCGCTCCCTCCCAATCCCACACCCTCCTTCCTCGTGTTACATCCTCTTCGACCTGTTGCACTCCCAATGAGGTGGTAATCGCATTGACTACTACCCTCGCCATTCCCGACTACACTCGGTATTATGACGTGCCCATCGCCCAGTTCACACCCAGCTATCGAGTCCTTGATGATGGCTCTCTCGTTGCGCCACCACTGATGGATGATCTCCGTTTCGATGCCGCTAGAACGCTGGTAGCTGGTATGCTCACAACCCTTTTCACTAGAAATCTTTTCGTGTCAGGCGACTATATACGTCGCGCCAAAGTGAAAAGCAAAATTCTTTTCTACACCCTTTTCGCCAGCCAACTTTTCGGCGCCTTCGCGCTCATTCCTATCATTATTCCCGAATTTGATTTAACATTTGACTGCACTTTGTGAGTCTTCATTCTGATAGCAATCATCGAATAACTTATCGCTGACCTAGGTCGCTCATTATTACCGATGTGTTGTTTGGAATCTCGCTTACCTTGCTTGCAAGTGATACCTTGTGTCGTGTTACTCTCATTCTGAATGTCACGTTTACAGTTCTGTATCCTGGGATATAAGGCGTACAAATGCTTGAATAACTCTCGCTTCGTTGGCGCAGTGTTATTATGCTTTTTGGCTTCAACGACCACAACAACCCTCGTCGATGCAGTTAACATAAAAGGAGAAAGGAACCTCTTGGGTATGAGTGTCTTTGCAACTGGCTGCGCAGCTCAGTTGACTTCCTGTCACCATAGGATCATGTCACCTGAGCAGTGATTTACGACTCGTGCGCACCTATCTTTTACTCCAGTTATCAGAGGTGCTTTTCATTTGTGCCTGCTGTACGGGTTTTCATCTCTTCCATGACGTCAACCTCACGTCCGTCTTCTAGTTCTGTGGGCCGTTTGGAAGTCGCGCAGTTCACCCCTGGCTCGTGGCAGAATATCCATACGACTCTCCATGGATGATTGCGCCGAATCAGAAACTTTCAACCCAGAAACAGCGCGTCGTGGATGGTGGGACTATGTTCCTAAGAAGGAGGCACCGGTCTCCTCCCCTGTTACTGGCCACAACAACTTTATTCGTTCACTCTACAACAAACTTATAAGCATTCCATCGGACTCTAAGCCTCCTAGGCTCCCTTTTCCCGCACAAAAAACACCTATACCCAGCGATTCCCCCATACCCCAACCCCCTCGTCCCTCTGTTGCTGCCATCTCGGAGGCATTACCTGAACGACCGTCAGACGAACCTTCAGAGAGGTTCTCAAGAAGATCTTCCGACAGACTGTCTCCCGTCCCATCGTCTTACAGCCGGTTGAGCCGTTATATGCCCAGGATGGAGTTGTTCCGGGAGGTGATGAAGGACGAGGCAAGGTGTTCCGTAATTATCCAACGTAGCAAGACTGACGTCTCGATAGCTCTGTTATACAACGGTCATTACCGCTGTCTGCGTAGTTGCGGCGGTTCTGGCTGTCATCAGTACTAATGTTGTCAATGATCCGACAATGATAGTCTGCATACCCATCAGTTGTGAGTAGGTCACGGATTCTCAACACATTGTTTGATTGACGACAGAATATCCAGGGGCTGTTATCTCACTGTTGACTATTCATAGTTTCGGAAGAGTGGTTCGGCGGCACGAAAAAGATGCCCTGATACAAAATCCGAGGACCTGGCCATGGAAAAACCCAGGTGATGGAAACCGTCCGGGAGCGGTGCGGAGACAATCGTCTCCTCAAATGAGCTACACTTCCCATCGGCGTACTCGGCGATTCGCAGATTCTGACGACCAAGGAAGTCCATATAGTGAGACGCGGGGGCTAAATCAGTCGAGGAGCTCCTGGAATTCAGGCTTTACGATTTCATCGGTAGCCTCGCTGCCATCTCCTCCCGTATTGGTCCAATCCTTTTACCGGGAAACACCTCAGAAGTCCTCCGTGACCTTGCCGTCACCAACAATTGGGGATTTTCTGACGTCGGGTCGAACAACCCCCGTTGTCTCTTACGAGAGCTCAGACGCTCTGGCTATCAAGTTGAGTTGAGGAGGTGTTCCGAGGAGACGATATGTCACCCTCACGGCCATTTTATATAGTAACCTTCGTTATCTCGCATTCGGTTGTTCGATTGTTGTTGTACCCATGTACTGTATTTTTATTCGATCACAAGAGATTATAACAGACGAATTTCCAAGCTGATCGATGATCGGCGGCCTCATTGATTTTTGCTTCTTCCCACCATCATGGAGGCCAACGATGAGCTAGTTAGCAGTCTTCCTATTCGATTTTCCGACCGGCTTTCCTTGCAAATCCATCAGTTTCCTTTGCTTTCACGACCGCTCCAGCCTCCGCCCTCCGCTATCGCTAGTGGAAAACGAATCAAAGCTCGTATAAAACCCTTAGTACATCGGTTGGAAGTTCATGTACCTGCTGATACACGACCGGACGTCTGGAATGGCGATCGAGGACGGGACCTTGGTGTAGCACAGCTGGAAGATGATCGTGAAAAAAATCAAGGACCGAAGGGCAAGGAAGAGGAAGAACCACGCCTGTCGGAAATTCGTTTGCAGAGTGAACAGGTTCCTCAAAATGGTGTGCATATGCTGGGAATCGTTAGAGACGGTGAGCTTTTTTAGCTCTTTGCCATACAAAAAGAACGGGCTAAAGTCGTGCTAGGCGAGCTCCATCTTCATCCAGTCTCTGAAACACATCAGTTTAGACCTACGTTGACATACTTGGACCTTCTCTCCCAAAAAAACCGCCGCCGCGGAGGACCGGGCTCTGACTCTGACTCTGACTCCGGACCACCGCCAGATCCTGACGATCCAACACCTGCTGCACCCGTCAAGAAAGAGAAAAAGACTTCAGGCGAAGCGAAGGAAGTGCAAGTATCGGCAAGAAAGGCAGATGATAAGGGAGGAATGCAGCCATTCCAGGGTGGGCTTTCGACGGTCAGACGCGAGATGTTGCAGGCTATCAGGGCAGAGGAGGATGAAACCTGGGAAGATTTGCAGTACAATGATGTCGCAGTATGTTCTTGTTCATTTCTCGTACTCTTATACCCTTCTGATTGGCTGTTTCACTGAAGACCGAGGATGCTGAGGACGCATTTGAAGGCGTATTCTCTCAATGCGACGACGATCTGGAATGTCGTACCGATGTAACAGCATTTTTAAAAATATACGAGGGCTCTAAGCTGGACTCTATCGTCCGTTGAGGCGTTGCCATCGGCAGAGTGGCAAAGTGTAGGACTGACAGCTTCTATCTAAGCTCAATATCTGTCATCGTAAGTCTCCGTTGTGATTGGGAAAGTCACATCTACCTCGTCACGACCTTTCCTCATCTTCACCCCCCACCGACATGCAGACGGAAAGTGACACTGACACTGATTTGGACGAGGAGACGCATCTTTCAGGCTGTTCGCCATCACCAAGCTACTCGCGCCTCGGCCTCGTCGACTGTAGATAAGTCTGGGAGACTCACAGACGACAGCGAAAGGCAAACCGTTCCAGACGCGATTGCGGTTCTGCAGGAAATCGATGCCAATCTAATATCTCCAGATGTAAGCCCAAGGGGCCGTTGCATTCACTGCTTGATCTGATGATCTAGTAGGACGAAGATATGCACGAGGTCATTGCTGCATGCATCGAACATCATACTGCGCTTCTTGGATGAAGTCAAGAGTTGCCAAAAGGACATTCGTGAGACCTATCCTCATCTCACGCTTGTTCGTAAGCTTGCCTCCATCCGCGGCGTATTCGATGATGAAGCTTTTTTTTCAGTACAGCCTTCCTTTCTGCGTACCTTATTTTCTCATCGAACAGTTTTTCACCGTTTTGCCGTTAGTTCTGTTTTACGCTCCACCTCGACAATAGTCTGTTGGGTGGACGTACTGCTGGCGAAGCTAGCAGACGCAATCGTCATGGTCGCTGGCGATGGGAGCCAATTATCAGATATACAACATTCTGAGGAATGGCACCTGCAACGTGAAGAGGATAATCTACGCGCAGCTTCCCAACTGCCATGTAAGTATTCAAGGTGCATGGTCTTCCAAACCGTTGTAACAACGCCATTCAGCGCAATGGGACTCTGTAAAGCATTTCATCACATCTAAGCAAGTGTCACCAGCAGCGAGACGATTGGCCCTTCGCTTAACCTTCGGTGTTTGCATTATTTTGCCTTCATTGGGAGATAAGAATGACAACAGGTTAGTGTCTGTCTCGATGTTGTCGACCATAATGTTTCACTGGAGTACAGGATGACACAATCCGAGGGCTTTCTAGAAATCATACACACATGCATACACCAAACGGTTAGGAGCGGGTTTACAGCGAACTATTCGTCAGATCCCGTCGTTGAGCTGGAACGAATCAACTTCTCTATGCTGGTGTCTCTCTACGCTGTTTGTGACATCTTTTGAACTGTTGACTGGTGACTAACCGTTGTTAAAATAGGCTGCGAATACAGAGCAGAGGCAGACACAATTGCTATCACGTCCGCTTACTCTAGGCTACCTGTTGGACCTCATACAGGTAGTAATGCATCCGGACGGCGCCGTCGTTACTTTCGTCCATCGTCACGCCTCCCGATCACTTAGATGTTGCTCAAACAATCCTCGTCCGATGGGGCAGTACCATTTTGTGGAGTTGGGTGACTTGGGATGACCCACGGCTAGCTAATACTGAAGTTATCGTTTTTCTGGTAAGAACAACAAGCAAGCCTAATTCATTTGGTGACACTTGATTACATCCAGACGGCAGTATGGATAAATAAGCTCAACGAACCCCCAGATAGTCGCGTTGTCGGGGCGTTGTGTCAATCGTCGTGCACAACGCCGAATTATTTTGTAGCGAGTAGCGCGATATTGGTAGCGGTGATTCTCTCTTCCGTTGAGTTATTAACCATACCTCGGCAGAATGTCCTCCGCCACTGTCGATTGTTCATTATCGATCAATCCGAGCTGTCCGGGGAGCAGTCTATGTCGGTGTATTCTCTAATGTCAAAGGCATGCAACACTGTTGTCCATTTTTTGCATGGTGACATTCTATACTCGAGCAATCAAGTCAGTCTCAGAGAAGATCTCTGCAAGACGCTATTTAGTCTTTTCGTTATCATCGATACCCAGGAGCATGGATTAATCAGTAAGGTGTCCATTCGGAATTTATGAATCGCTAAATCTGTTCCGGAAGTTAGAACTGCTATCCTTGAAGCGTTGACTCTGTTTCACCCAACGACCTTAGGGCGATCCTTGAAGGATGCACATCAAGATGGTAGAAACGAGTTCATGACACGATTGAGTCAACGTATGTGCTTCGTCGTGTGGTTTCTGCTCGTACTAAAGAATTACTCTTAGTGATAACTCGATCTCACCAGTAAGTCAGAGCCACTTAGCAGGCCAATTTCTGTATTAACAATCCCCGCTGGCTGTGGACTGCAGAGAAAACGGTTAAAAGCATCAACGAGATAAAACTGATATTGGAGTTTCTTACTGTTCTATGGCATTGCAAAGCATTGGGAAATACTCTTTGCGATTCCGTCTCATCTTTGCTCTCCTCTATCACTGACTGTCTATACGACGGTAAGGCCGGGAAGAATGTAGCGCTACTTCGTGGGGCGACCTTTACGATCTTTTCCATCCTGGAAAGCGATCCTCGTTTTGCATTTAAGAATCAGAAGCAAAAAATCTTATGGAAGGTCGCCCTTGATGCTGGGACTTCCGATCTTCATGTCGTTTGTGAGTGCACTGGCGTATCTCCGAATCTTGTTGTGACTAGGTCATTTAAGCTGGCTTCGCCTACTATGTGCTCACTACTGATCGATCACCAGATGCAGTGTCGTGTGCGGAAGCATGGGACTATTTCAGAGACGTCTTGTTGCTCATCTTTCGCCGGCATTTTTGCGGGGAAGACGAACCTCTCTCGCTTCTTCTGAGCCCGGTGCTTTGTATGGTCCTCCTTCAGTTCTTGAACAAAAGCGGTCCGATAGGTCGGCTAGATTATTTATACCTACTGGAAACTCTCAGGATAACTCTTGATCCTGTAGCCCGGTTTATTTTGTCTTCACCTTGGACCATGACACTCAATATGGATCTAAAAATGTTGATGGAGCAGGGTTCCCTGGCGCATGACGACTATCGCCGAATTCTCCGGGAAAGGATAAGTGTAGCAGGAGAAGCCCTTATGAAGAAAGTAGGTCATCCGCTAGGAAGCAAGACGCATTCTAAGAACTATACAGATACAGCAAAAACTCGGACAGAAAGTCGTGGGGGATAAAGCCAATAAGGTTTAATTTCACGAAAGTGCCAAGGAATATCTTATATATATGATCATACAGAGTGTCCTCAAATTCGAATCAAGACTAATAGTCTGCTCTGGTGGAATGTCTAATGCCCGCCTTGTTTTGGTTCCGACCGAATAGAAAGGCTCAAGGAGATTAGACGTATGTAGTAGGTCCGGAATCCTCCACATATATACCGCTGTAGTAGAAGTCCTCTTCGGTTATAGCTTGAGTAGTGCCGCCCAGAGGGAGCCTCAAGGCTCCTGAGAAGAACATCAATTTAACGGTAGGAACTTTGATAGCAGTATACTGACCTATGTGCCAATCAGTCCCACCATTTCCATTCAGCGACCCGCTGTAAACCTTTTGAAGGTTATTGCTTCCTGTCGAAACCCACAGCCCTCCGGGACTTCCTGTACCCAGGATAAAATTGTACTACAGTATGGATTGGTTGGAGCAAAATTTAGATCGGAGTTGGGTCCCTACCCATGTTCCTTTCACCGGAGTCACAGACCAAATGGATTTCCCGCCAGTGATGACTTGAAGGGTATCCGCTACGCCGTTCTGCCCAGAAAGTTGACCATATTTAATGTCGGCGTAGTGGCCTAGTATAAATCAGGATCATCCTATATCATAACGCTCCATTATAAAGTTCACCTTCCCAAAACACGATCTACCGGTATATCATCCTCATAAGATTCTACGCAGAGGTACACCGTTACTAACCTGATGTTCGTAAGCCGGATCTTCCGGAATTCAGAATATAGGTTCTTTAACGGTATCATTCATTATGCTCACTGGGCGAATTTGTGACTGGAATCTGCAGCGACACGTGAAAGTATCTAGACATTTACTATTGATGAATTATAAGGAGGACGATTTATGACACAGAACGCTCACAGGTTTCCTCTCAGCGAGTTAGAGGTTTGAGGAAGGAGTTCCGTTCTGAGCATTGGACCGCTGTTCCAGAGAGACGAAGCGGTCAGTTTCACTTTGACCCCTTGCTTCTCCCCAGTAGCTGGATAACACATCAACAAACGAGAGTTATGTTTCGATTCAAGAAGGCAAGAGAGAAACTGACTAGCAGGATTCATGTAGGTGGATCCTAGCTCAAGCCAAGACGAAGCAGTCTCTCCCTGGAAAGATTGTCAGTGAGAGTAGAGGGAACGTCGTATGTTGTAGCCTCATCACTTTGAGATTACCCTAATTTTGTCTTCAGTGATCGATATCCAAGAAGAAGAGAAACTTTTACGTAGATATAGGTTTGATATTGGCCTACTTGATTGCTCCAGCTCCACTTGTTGAAGTCAGCAGCCGTTCTGAAGGACATGAACATTTCTGGTCCAAGGTGACATAAGAGTGTCATACGAGTAATTATTGAATCTGCCATCCCAGAGAATGGTAGAAGAGCAACATACGGCACTGAGAAGCAAGATAAATCCAGCGTGCATGATTGAGATCGTGGTGAGTGGCGGGGGCCGTCGCGTTCTTAAGAGCAACTTCGAATGCAAGTACGTCGGAAAATAGAGTCACGAGCTCAGACACGAAGAAAGCAAACTACATTCGGAGGCTATTCCTCGGAAGAGACGAATATCCCGTTTCACCGGATTGTCTCACAAACCACGGAGATAGATAGAGATGATTCATTCAAGATCCATGAACCCAAGATAAAATAGTCTATTCGTAGACCGTTTGGAAGCTCAATAACGGATGCCAAATCCAGAAGCGGAGTAAAGCGGGGATGGAAAATGGAACGTAGTATGAGAGGAGAAGCGCGCAGGAGTCAGGCGGGTCTGACTGGCCCGGGTTTGATCGGAGCCGGCGGTCTTGCCCCAGAAGGATAATTACGTAACCAATCGTCGGCGCGGACACAAATAACGTTTGCTCTACCAGCACAGTCTTCGTCACTGCCCACCATCAGCGCTCGTCATGTCTCTGTTAAGAGGTAACAACCAGCGACGACGCTCCCAATCCGCCTCTACAGCGTCCTCACCTTCTCATCGTCGTTTCATCGACGACTCCTGGAGATCCGCCACTAAGAGGTCCCAGCCACACCATCCATGTAATTCAATCAGCCCAGATTTTAACTCGCCTTACAAGTGGAATGTTGAGGACCCAAGAAGTAAACGAAGGCGACGAGACTATTCAGTATGCGTTATTATTATCCGTGGATCAAGTTTGCTAATTTCCTGGCAGCCGTCCAGCGACAGCATGGATGAAACCGTCTTCTCACATTCCCCTCATACATCTCAACCTACCTTTGCTACAACATCGGCTGAATTCCATCTCTTCCCTAACCGTGAGCGGAGTAACAATCGCATACGAAGAGCGTCGCATAATCCATCTTCCCAGCCTGACTTTTCTTCAAGTCAGGAAATGACCAACCAGGCCGATCTGACGAGTCTGCGCGCTTCTGCATTTTGGGAACTCCACAGAAGTGTCGCTGACAACGGAGAGGGATTGGTACGGCGAATGCGAGATTACGAGCATACGCGCTCCAGAGCGGATGCATATTCGAAGGCAAAGGAGGCGCATAGGCGCGGACGAAAGAGGTCGTCCTTGATTGTTTCGGCTCGAAAACCGGCTCCACCGGTCGATGGCTCTGATGCAGACGACGACGACGATGACATCCAGATTTTCTCTGGAGAGGTATCAGATATTTTCGCGGGCAAATATGGTCACGACCAACGGGCGTCGTCATTAGACTCCAAGGGAGCTACCCTTCACCGTGACGGGTCTTCCCGGTCTATGCCCAGCGGCAGCGAATGCTGTTCATCTCCTGCGGCTTCTTCGATATACCCGTCAGACGATGACACAAAATCCAGCGCGACAGATCAGTTCACCGACGGTGGTCTCCATCATATACCTTCTCAACCTTTCACCCCTGTTTTGTCTTTTACCGCATCGTCTAACAGTTCTTCTATCTCATCACTTCCTTCCCTTCCTCCTCCTGCTCTGGAACTTTTACCCCGTATAGTATCCCCCCGCCCGTTGACTTTACCCGCCTCACGCTCTGAGAAGGCGCTAGCTGCTCTTAGTTTGGCGATGGCAAACTGGCGCTGGGAGCATACACGATTATGATGCTCTTGGAGCGCTACAGCCCGTTTCAGCTATCGAGGAGTGTCAGGTAGGTGAAATGTGGCATTAGCCGCCAAGTTGGGCGTCATCAGGGTGGTGGATAGTTCTCTCAAGCTTGCATATTTCCGAAATCATTTTTGGTCTTAGATGGAATCTCTCTACAAACAATCCGTTATAACACTTACACAAGTCATATCTCGCAATTCAACCAACCACGACACATCTGTACTATTTTTTTTTTTCAAAATCAAAGTTTTCTGTCTGTGTCACGACTTGACCGGATGTACCATGTAGATGCGGTGGTTACACTGGCTGCTGTAAATAATGATTTGAGACACTTTAGTGGTTTATTCTCATATGGGAACTTGCGCTTGGCAACGAACATCGAACTTTTTGGTTTTGGCTTGCCGACGTGACCTCTGCTTTGCAAGCGTGTTTGCAACAATGCTTGAGGCAGACAATTGGTACTAGCGATCGGTACCCACAGAAATAACTGTATTAAATCACTCAGCGTCATATGTTGCTAATAGTTACGGGTGTGCGTACAGTTGGTATTTGAAGTGAGGTACATCTTAGTTGATAGTTCGCAACCCATGTTCGCAGACTGCCAGCAAGCAAGCACACTAGTGTTGGTCGAGTCAGAGCGTATTTATTTCGGATTGGTGCTTATTTCCAAATTTGTATCTAGATCAGATCGGGCAGCGCTTTTTGTTGTCTCGTCACTTGCCAATCAATTGCCACCCACGGGTCTAAGCGCAACAATAAGCAACCACAGGGCACCCTATACCCCTCGGAATACTGTGCCTAGGATGACTGCTTCGTCGTCTCTCTGCTGTCCTTGCTGTTATGCATGGAAATTTCATGGTACTCTGTATAGTCAGTGGCAGTAATACTTAAGCGACCGCTTAAAGTCGAGAAGTATTTCAAAGCAACGGTCCGAGCCGAGGACGGAGCTAATGATGTCCAGATGCTCGCTATTGTTATTACATCATGTCGGCAGTTCGGTGGCAATCTTTTTGTCTCAAGTTGTCCTCGTTCATCTATTGTCTAATTGTTTTGCGACTGCCTCACTTACCTTACCGGGTCAGCGACAGGACACCATTTTCCAGATGGCAAGTGTCGATCTGACTAGAAAAGGGCGACAATTAGCTCGTTCCATCTCTCACTTGGTCCCCCCTTTCGTCGTCCTCTCTGCCATTCCCTTCCTTTGCTATGGAAGAAGCCAAGCCTTATACCACCTCAGCGGAGCAACTTGCTTACCATCCACCCTATCTACGAGCTCGCGGCATCCCCGACGTGCCAGAGGATATCGACTTTGCCATCGAGCACTTGAATGATCCCAACTTGGACATCAAGGCCCTCCGTCCGTCGGTCAAGGCTTGGGAGCTTGAGAACAAGAAGCTTCCCCCCTACGCGTCCTCAGATGGCGACACCGACTCCCACTTCGACAGATACTCCACGTCGCGCGCAGAATCTCGGAACTCTAGTGCAGTAGAAGATTTTGACGAGTACGTATCTCTTCCTTTGCTCTTTTTGTGTGGCATTGATGTTCTGTTTCCAGTGAATCTCCTTACCCGGAAGTTCGAGCCGCGGTATCCAGCATTGATGATCCGAGTATGCCAGTGAATACGTTCAGGATGTACACTTTTCACCAGCTTGTTACCGATCTTATAGTTAACACAGAGACTATCTAGGTGGACCATTGGTCTCTTCTTCACGATATTTCTTCCTGGATTGAATCAAGTCCTGGGCATGCGGTGTACGCCATCCTATTTTCGACTAGGTTACGCAAGCCTAACCATACTTCTTTAGATCCATCGCTCTACGTTACCGGCCTCGTTATTCAGTTGCTCTCGCTCCCCATGGGTAAGGGCTTGGAGAGGATACTTCCTACCACCAAGTTTAACACATTCGGATTTGTTTGGTCGTTGAACCCTGGACCCTTCAACATCAAGGAGCATGTGTGCATCACGGTCATGGCCAACATTGCGTACCCTGGTGGTTACGCAACCGACATCCTTGTCGCTCAGCGACTCTTCTATGGTCAGCAGCTGTCATTCGCGTACCAAATACTCCTCGTTCTTGGTATCCAAGTGTTTGGCTTCTCGCTCGCCGGTATTCTGCGCCGGTACGTGGTCTGGCCGTCGAGCATGATTTGGCCTGGTGCCATTGTCAACTCAGCCCTTTTCAACACGCTTCATAAGAGCTATGGAAAACGTGAGCGGGGACACATGACGCGCGAAAGATTTTTCTTCCTCGTCGTTTTTGGCAGCATGGTCTATTACTTTTTGCCCGGCTACTTGTTCACCGCTCTCAGCGTGTTCAACTGGGTTTGCTGGATCGCTCCGAACAATGTTACGGTGAATGCGCTCTTTGGCTCTTCCGGCCTTGGAATGAGTCTTTTGACATTCGATTGGTCGATGATCTCCTATGTCAGCAGTCCTCTGGTCACTCCGGTACGTATTTTCCCACTACTACGTATGTCGTGGTTGCTTACTTTCGCTGCAGTGGTGGTCAGAGGCCAATGTCATCGTTTCATTCGTGTTCTGGTTCTGGATTATTGCTCCCATCATCTACTGTGCGTCTGCTTTCTTATCGTGTCATTTATTATACTCATCGCAATTTGCTAGTCACAAATACCTTCAACTCTGCTTTCATGCCCATCTCATCGTACTATTCCTTTGATAACACTGGTGCAAGTTACGATGCCAGTCAGGTTGTGACAGATGGTGTGTTCGACGTTGAGAAGTACAGGGCGTACTCACCGGTCTTCGTGCCTGCCACGCTCTCACTCGCGTACGGACTCAGCTTCGCCATCTTCCCGGCAGTCATTGTCCACACTCTCCGTGAGTGTATTTTTCGTCGATTACGAGCTCTTCGTTGACATCTTATCTAGTATGGTTCCGCCGCGATCTTGTTCGTCGCTTCCGCACGTCTCTCAGGGACGAGCGTGATGTCCACTCGCGTCTGATGCAGGCCTACCGTGAGGTTCCAAGCTGGTGGTACGGTCTCGTCGGCATTATCTCCTTCCTGTTCGTCGTCATCGCTATCGAGATCTTCCCGACCCAGCTACCGGTCTGGGCTGCATTCATTGCATTTGGTCTATCTGCCCTGACTGCCCTCCCTCTGGCGATGCTTCAAGCCATTTCCAACACTCAAATCGCTTTCTCCGTTATGTATGAACTCATTGGTGGATTCATGCTTCCTGGCAAACCCGTTGCCAACGTCATCTTTAAAGCCATGGGCATTATGGGCTCTACTCAAGCTGCTACTTTTGCGGGTGATCTGAAGTTGGGCCACTACATGAAGATTCCCCCACGGACCATGTTCACAGTTCAAATGGTGGCGGTCTTCATTACATGCTTTGTGGCCGTTGGAACACAGGCCTGGATGTTTGCGAACATTGAAGACATGTGTTTATCCACTCAAAAGGACGGCTTCATCTGCCCCACGACAAACATTTTTGCCACTGCCTCCTTGATTTGGGGTGGCATCGGCCCCGCTCGGATGTTTGGCAGGGGTGCAACGTAAGTGCTACGTATTTCTCTAGTCTCTTCATTATCTGATCGTTCCTTCTAGTTATAATCCCCTGCTCTGGTTCTTCCTCGTCGGTGCAATCCTCCCGATTCCATTCTACATTCTCGCTCGCCGCTACCCTCACTCTCACTGGCGATTTGCCAACATGCCCGTCTTTCTCGCTGGTGTTCTCGCCATCCCCCCAGCATCGGGAATCAACTACGCATCTTGGGCTCTTGTTGGATTCATCTTCAACTGGTACATCCGTCGTTTCCACTTCCGATGGTGGATGCGATACAACTACATCCTCTCTGCAGCTCTCGACGCTGGAACTGCGTTTGCCATCATTCTCATCTTCCTATGCCTGCAGCTCCCCAAGGGCGGCGTTACATTGAATTGGTGGGGAAACACTGTTTGGAAAAATACTGCTGATGCCATGGGCCTGCCGCTCAAGACACTGAATCCTGGTGAAATATTCGGACCGTCGACCTGGTCATAAGGACCTGGCTTCAGTTCTCTTTTTTCGGGATTTTTCGATTTAGATCAACGGAACTCATGCATTATTATGATTGACGTAATATCCTGACTTTTGACTTCGCGATACCTATTTACCTTCTTCGTCACGGCCATTCTTTTCATCTGCATTATCTGATTTATTCCACTTTACATTCTTTCACTTCCTTCCGGAGTCGCCTGTATTTGTACCTGGCCTTGTACGCAAAATGATAAATGACGATAAGTTACCATGACGTTAGTAATAGTGCGATATATAAATGGTGGATACCACGAATTGGTCGCATAAACTCACAATAATGGGTCTTACAATGATTCCAGTGCTCGCGAGTCAACAGAATCATTGCGGGACACATTTGTGCCAGGATCATACAACAATCTTCGGAGACATGAAAATTACAGCAGGTAGATAACGAAGACATGGACAGTCTAAGCAGGTAGACCCCATACGCGTACTTCCCGACCCGTCGCTCCCCAAATTTCAGAACCCATCTCGCCAAAGGTGAAGTCCGAAATCTCCCCTCCTTCCTCAAGTCGGACCAATTCCTCCCATGATTTATGAGCATAAATTCTACCTCCTGCACTTCCTGCAACACCCAGGAACTGCGCACTCGTATCGTATCGCACCTTGTTTATTTTGAAATCATCTTCCAAAACAATGCTTTGCGTAACTTTCTGTTTACGCAAATCCCAAATCCCAACCGACGACGACGAATTGGGAGCTGCAAGATGATACCCATTCTCAGAGAAAGAGAGCGTATTGATGGTGAAGGGGACTGAATCGCTGGGAGTTAGCGTTGCAGCAATGGCACCTTCACGGATGTCATATATTTGAATGGTCGACGTGGCCGTACCCAAACCAATGAGAGTTCCGTCTGGGTGTATAGACAGCGACGTGAATCCCTCATCAGCACTCAAGGAGCGGTAGACTTGGGTGAAATTTGTGAGGTCATGAATGGAGAATGTTTTGTCCATCGAGGAAAGAGCGAGAAGGGTAGAGGTGGGATGCACAAACAAGCCTGTGAGCTCTCCTTTGTGAGTGCGAACAGTCGACTTGGGAATGTATTCCTGTGACGCTGCATCGTAAGCCCAGATTTTGGCAATCTTGTCGGCACCGGCTGAGAGTAGCATGGTAGGGTCCCCTTCGCGCTCCCGGAATGTGACATGAGTGACCTTTTTAGTGTGGCCTTTCAACGAAGCCAGCACTTTGTCGGTGCTTCTGTCATAAAGCTGAACGATCTTATCGTTCCCTCCGGTCAGGAACTGAGAAGGCAACAAGCGGGACACAGCCAGAGCGGTGATACCTGCGGGAGAGGCTGAGTGAAGAGAAGGAATGGTGTGCTTGGCGGTGAATGTTTTGACATCGGCAGGCGAGACGTAACCCGTAGGAGCCTTTCGCTTTTTACGCGTGGATGATAATGCTTGGTAGGTCTCGGTAATTTGGTCAACGATAGCCTTGGGCATTCCGTTTTCAGCACCGCTCTCTGCCATTTCAACATCCTCCGCTGCACCGTCAGTCGGTACTGAGATACCCATGCTTGCTTGAACATTGGCGAGAGCCCTGATAAAGAATTAGTTGGAGTATCTGACGAAGAACAGAGCCTACGCACTCTCTAGCCGCATCTCGTTCTCGAATGAGACGCGCAACAACGCGAGTCGCAGCATCGTCGCGGTAAAGTGCGTGACTGAGTTCCTGTCGCACGTTGGTATACTGTTGTTTCAGCGCCCATGTCTCGAGCATGACCGTATCCCATTCGTTTTGCAGACTATGCAGCAAAGCTGGGATGGACGTTTGGGTGGGTGGTCGAGGAGGAGCATTGCTGGGAGCTGACGCGTCCAGTATTAGCACAAAAGGGACAAAGATAAACGAGAAAACCACACACAGGCTTTGATAGAGATGAGATCTGCCTCCTCCAACTTGTCTCCAGTGATGGGGTCGGTGCCGTTCTCTGTAATATACTTGACGATGAGGCGTCGCTCATATACTTTGCCAGACTTGGAAGACACCACAGGATCCTGAGGAACCTCTCCAGATATCGCACAGAAAAACATCACGAAACTGAGCGCCCTAGGAAGGTTGTATAGCGGACACTAGCTGCTTTCGTCTTCGTCGTCGATGATGAGGAAAAGAAAATGAACCGGTGTTTGCCGCAATTTGTTCTGGAAGGTCTTGCGTTCGCCCAACATCAAGGATGGCAGAAAAGCAGCAACGCCTCGTTCTCTCCATTATCGACTTTTTGAACCAATCTATCACAGATGGCACTGTTAAAGCTGACGACAAGGAGTCATTGGAGATTGCGAGTCGGTTCATTCTTTCTCGTCAACCAAGGGCACATCTGATATAGCGGTGACACTACAGTCCAATGCATCGGGGAAGCCTTTGGAGTGGATCCTCTCAACAAGCAACAGGTGGAACGTCTGACCGTCAAGCCTGCAACGCTGCAGAACATCTTTGACGTTTACCTCAAGACCATGAACAAAGTTGGCGCTGCCTCGCAAGGTACTTCCGCTTCCGCCAACGCTTCCACTTCGCAACCCAAGTTACCTACTGCCGATGACAAGGCCCGAGCAGAGAAGCTGAAGCAGGCCGGTAACTCGCAAATGACCGCAAAGAAATATGAGGAGGCCATCGCTTCCTACACGGAGGCTATCGCTTTGGATCCAGTCAACCCAATCTACTATTCAAATCGTGCCGCCGCTCACTCCAGCAAAGGAGACCATCTTTCAGCTGTCGGTGACGCCGAAAATGCCATCACTGTGGATCCTAAATATGTCAAGTCATATCATCGGTTAGGGTACGTGTTTTTACAAGTCCATGATCTATCCTGGTAATCAAAGTACAATACAGACACGCACAATATGCTCTTCTCGATTATAAGGCTGCCGCAGATGCTTTCGAAAGAGGCCTTAAGATCGAACCAAACAACGTGTCCCTCAAAACTGGTTTGCAGAGTTCAAAGTCACGCATTGTTGAAGATGACAATGACGACGGTCCGCCGCCACTTACTCGAGACACCGATTCAACACGTAGTACTGATGCTGGTGCTGGCGGCTTTGGCGGTATGGCAGATATGCTACGGAACATGGGTGGAGGAGGTGGTGGAATGCCCGACCTTGCCAGTATGATGAATAACCCTCAGATGATGGCGATGGCCCAGCAAATGGCAGCTAATGGAGGGTTGGCTAACTTAATGCAAAACCCCGCATTAGCAGACATGGTGTGTGCGCACCTCCTTCTCCGAATCTTCCTTCTCAATACAGTTTAGATGAGCCGAGTGCAATCAGGTAACATGCCTTCAATGGAGGAAATTATGGCGAATCCCTCTCTTAGACAGCTGTAAGTTGATCCTCTTTCCCTTGGCCCACTTCTAACTCGAACTCTAGTGCGGAACAGTTTGGTATGGGTCAGTGAAAATACATCCGGGACGTTACTATCAGGAGGGATAAGTACTACTTAATGGAAAACATTTGTAAGACGTATGATCATGGTTCATGCAAAAGGAAAAACCTTAGTCGAGCGGCAGAAAGGCCGTCCGACCTGTACGCGGAGTCATTTACCCCGCATCGTACAAATTAGAATCGCAGCTATCTTCTTGAGCTTTTCATCATACTTTTCATCTGCCGCTCCTCTCGTTCAGAATGTCAACACCAGTAACCTCCCTCCCGGTCGCTGTGCCAACCATGACCCTTGGTATATATGGCTTGTCTACTCATGAAGCTCTCGTTAACTCTCCCCTAGGCAGAGCGTAGGTCCACGACCTTGACGTCAAGATAGTCGAGGCAAGGAACGCAGGGTACCAAGGCTTCGAAGTCTTCTGGGAAGATCTTGTTTATGCTGCAAAGAAAATAGACCCGAACTCAACGGAGAAGGATGAAGCGACAATGCTGCAAGCTGCAAGATACACGAGGGAGCTCTGCGACAAAAATGGACTGGTAGTCATGGCTCTGCAGCCATTCTTAAACTACGATGGGTCATTCGACGACACTAAACACCGAGAAAACATAACCAAGTTAAAACTGTGGTTCAAGGTTGTTAAGATCCTCGGAACGAATTTAATTCAAGTACCTTCTCAGGTGAGTATATCTCGCTGTCTGCGAAATAGCTGAGAATTGATTTCCTGAGAAGATGATTTTGGAAGGAACCACTGGTGACTTTGACAAACTCGTTGCAGACATTCGAGAAATCGGTGAGCTGGGATTGAACGAAGACCCGCCTGTTCGTTTTGCGTACGAGGCTCTTGCCTGGGGCGCACACCTTGATTTGTAGGTTCATTATCCTCGCAACCAATCAACTAGCCGACTATGAGCTATAGGTGGCAGCAAGTATGGGCCGTCGTTACTAAGGTTGACCTCCCTAACGTTGGTACTGGTACGTCTTTCTCATGAAGAGGAGTACCACTATTTTTAACCGTTGCCAAGTCCTGGACACCTACCAGGTATATAGATTTGGCTTTCCAAAAAGGTCGCTCTGAGTCCATGCCTAGATCCTGGGACGAATCTATGGCGATCCTACTTCTCTAACCGGAAAGCAACCCGACGCAGAAGAATCCCTCGCATCCTCCCTCGAAGAAATGGCCGCTACAGCACCCGCTCTTCTGCCTAAGCTGTTCTACGTTCAGCTCTCGGACGCCGAGTTCATGAGCCCCCCACTTTCTCCTACACACCCCTTCTACGATCCAGCTCAGAAGCCACAGATGATGTGGTCGCGCAATGCTCGATTGTTCCCCTGCGAATTCGATAGGGGCGGCTACCTTCCTGTGGATAAAGTCGCAAAAGTTTTGTTTGAGGACGTGGGGTACCGTGGGTGGGTATCGATGGAAGTCTTTTCTCGAACGATGAGTGAACCCGGCAAAGAGGTGCCAACGGACCACGCGCAAAGAGGCATGAAGAGCTGGAAGGCTCTTCTCACACAGTTAGGATACAATAAGAAATGAAGCTAAGGTCGACAATTACTATGGATAACGTACAAATATCAATATGGACACTCGCAATACTACGTGCAGGACAAAACGTTCACAGCATCGTCTGTTGCGTGACGAATGCAAGCAGTATGCGATTGAGTAACGCGAGGATTATCCTGGAAAGATGCATGCTTCCGTCAACTCACCACAAAATGTTAATGATGGCTTGTACGGAAGTAACAAATTACTATGGACGACTTAGAAATTCTACTCTCACCTTATCTACCCTAAGTCATATTCGTTACGGGCTCGACGAATCATCATGATATCAAGAAGTATCTTCTACCCTTTCTTGTCTTTGACGCAGTCGTCTCGACTTTCCCACAGTATGCGGTACATCGGTGAGTTGTTCGGGTGTTCGCTTTGGATGGCCCTAGGATGATGACAGTCATTTTGGACAACAGTGGTACAAAATTATATATACGTACGTGCTTCAAGTGATATCGTAAACCACCGTGTTGCTTGTAAGTCTTATGACACCCAGGCTTCGGACAGCGAAAGGATTCTGATTCGTTGGTACTGGTGCTGGCACTAGCCTGCAGCTTGGAAGACAAAGCTTCCGTAAAATGCGCTGGAGAACTGTATAAAAGTGGTATCAGGGTGTTTGCTTAGCAGACAGAGACTCACACTTGAAGATGGTATTGAAGACCATTTATACTCTGGAGAAGGTAAGCCTACATCAGCACAAAATGGAATACCATCTTACCTTCCAAGATTTCCCACACCCATGCAACGCACATCTAAAAATTCGGTCTGTGCCATCGTCCTCTTCCTCTTCCTCATGCTCGTGGGTTTTACTATGGTACAGTAATTCTCTTGAGGTAGCAAAACGTTCTCGGGGCCAACAACGACGATAACCGCAAGCATAAGGAAGAATGTTGGGACTTGGAGTTGGAGGATTAATAAGACAAGCTGATGTATTCGGAGAACACCTTACTCAGATCCGGCTGGCCTCACGGAAGAAACTCGGGTGTCAGTGGTTGGCGGCGTCCTCCTTCTGGGTCTAGGTCGCACTGCTGGATGACGATAATGCCGAGATGGGGAAAGCATTGCGAGTGGGTCAGTATTAACCAGGTTGGAGGCCGGAGTATCAATGCTTGAAGTAATTGAGATTGTTGCGGTTTGATCAACTAAACTCGAGGACGCCAAACAGTCATCCAAAGGTATACTGGAGGTACAGTGGATCATAGGGTTCGTAAACGTCGGGAGATAGAAAAATGATTCCAGATCGTGCCGAGAAGTCGCTCTATTTCCCTCGGGCATGGGAGAGGAGCGCGAAGAGTGTGGGGAATTTAGGTCAAGGACACCCAAGTTCGGTGAGGCATCACTATCCGGATATGGAGTGTTCATGAAAAAGTCTCCGAAGGTCGCAAAATCATTGTAGGGTGAGAACAACATGGAATAATCCTGGGATTGGGGTAGCTCCATGTCCGTAAGAATCGTATCATCTTGGGAAGGGATATGCTGCTGCGCTCCGTCGGTAGATGATGCGGTGGGAAATGACGACGAGTTGTATTGTAAAGGTGCGTTCTCGAGAGGTATGTTCTGAGGATCGAAGATAACGGAGCCAGTGAACGTCATCTGCTCCTCGGCTATAGTGAATGCATCAGCTTCGAGAGGAGAAAATGGTAACGGAGGTCCCTGGAGGGAGGAATGAGGCTCTTGGGTAGAGGTCGAGGACTCTGGACTATGCGTCGAAGAGACGGCAGAGCCTGCGTCCGGCTCTTCAACGTCAGCACCTTGAACGCCTTCTGGTGGCGGCTCTTCCCGATGAGCACGAGCTGAAGCTCTTCGTTCAAGAAGTCTCAATCTGGAAAGAGAACCATTCAACATTACTTGACATGGTAGTGTCAAAAGAAAGATACCTGTTACGACATCCTAAACCGCTACGCTGCATTTCTTCGCCGACCTCTTTCCACTTGGGGCCTAACTGACTGTACAATTGTAAGAGTTTTGCGTCCTCTGCCTGTGTCCATGGGTCCTTCTTTAGTCTCGGGTCCAATGCTTCCCGGAAACGTTTAGAGCATGCGTCGTCCGTCCTACCAGGGATAAATCGAGCAATAGTTGACCATTTATTCTTATGCCTTTTGTGCAAAGCCACCAACAGCGCGTCCTCTCTTGGTGTCCAGGCAGATTTCCTAAGATCCGGAGAAAGAGAATGGAGCCATCGCTGGAAGTAAAAGGTTAATAGGGTCCAATGAAAAGCACATTGGAGAGACAGACCTTCCTACAGGCTTTGTTCGTCCTTCCGGGAATCAGGGTAGCTACTTCCTTCCAGTTTTCAAAGCCGCCATTGCGGTTCATGACTTGCACCAAAAGGTCGTCCTCTTCCTGAGTCCATGCTCGACTAGTACCTTTCTCTTGCATCCTGTGTAAAAGAAGGTCATGAACACATAACAAGGAAGAGACAGCTTTGAAAACGGGTGGAAGACCGGAAAAGGCGGAAAGGGCGCCGGAAAGTCACATCACTGTTTAATTGTGGGCGGGCCGATCATGCCGGATGAAGCCGACGCTGGCCGACAATGTTTCAACGCCGACTCGAACAGCGTCCACTGGAAAAGTTACCTGCAGTTTCAGGTTTGCCCATCCAGTACTCCTGAAAAGGCTGTATGGCCAGAGCTTCGACTGAGGGGACACCTAGAATATGATCCGAAGGCTGACCGGTGACTCGAACTGAGTCTAGTCCTGACTCCTGAGACACCGCGGGGCCGTGCGATTTGGTATTTTCACTACTATTTAAATAACGGACCCAGGGAAGATGGATCACGTAAACCAAACCAATTGTCAACCCCCAACACTACTTAACAGTTCAACCATTCAGAAGGCAGTTTATCTATAAAACTCCCCTTCCTCTGACACATTTGTATGAAAAGGTGAGCCTGTTGTCCCACAGCTTTTCACAACGAGACATTGACGTCGCCCAGTGAAGAACACGATGCCACCGTAGAAGAGATACAGTCGAACTTCGACCAAGCTGTCGATAGGTACCGCCCAAATGTTTATGATCTCCCTTCCATACTCTGATAAATTTGTGTTATAGTTTCGACGATATGAAACTGAAACCAGAATTGCTCCGCGGTATCTATGCATACGGGTTTGTTCGAATTTTATCTTACATATCTACTTCCTGACATTCTATCAGGTTTGAAAGGCCCTCTGCAATCCAACAACGCGCCATCACTCCGGTTGCGAATGGCAAGGATGTCATAGCTCAAGCCCAGTCCGGCACAGGAAAGACTGCTGCTTTTGCGGTGTCACTTTTGCAGAAAGTTGATGTTGGCCTTCAAGCGACGCAAGCGATCATTCTAGCACCCACCCGTGAGCTCGCCACACAGATCCACACAGTTGTTGTCGCCCTTGGAGACTACACAGATATAACCAGTCTGGCATGTGTGGGTGGTACCAGCATTCGCGAAGATATGTCCAAGCTCCGCGATGGCGTTCAGATTGTCGTCGGCACTCCCGGTCGTGTTCTCGACATCATCCGGCGCGGGTTACTCAACACTAGTACCGTAAAGGTCCTCTGCATTGACGAAGCAGATGAGATGCTTTCACAGGGATTCACTACCCAAATCTACGATACGTTCCAACTTCTGCCCAATGACATCCAGGTCGCCTTGTTCTCTGCTACTATGCCTGCGGAGGTGTTGGATGTGACGAACAAGTTCATGCGCGATCCCATCAGAATCCTTGTCAAAAGGGACGAGCTGACCTTGGAGGGTATCAAACAATTTTACATTGCTGTGGAGAAGGAGGGATGGAAGCTTGACACGCTCTGCGACATCTATGACACCGTCAATATTACCCAGGCCGTTATATTCTGCAACACCAGAAGGAAGGTCGATATCCTGACGGAGCAAATGCAGAGCCGCGAATTCACAGTGTCAGCTATGGTATGCATCGTTCAACTGCTCGCAAGAATTGCTGAATGAATAAATCATAGCATGGTGACATGGATCAACAAGAGCGAAAGAATCTCATGAAGGAGTTCCGTTCGGGAGCCTCCCGAGTACTCATCACGACGGATTTACTTGCTCGCGGGATTGACGTGCAGCAGGTCTCTTTGGTGATCAACTACGACATACCCACCAACCGAGAGAATTACATCCACCGCATTGGCCGCGGCGGTCGCTTTGGAAGAAAAGGTGTTGCTATCAACTTTGTCACCAGCAATGATGTGTCCATGTTGAGAGAGATCGAAAGTAAGCAAGAGGTATCTCGAATTTCTTCATGCTGACATCTTCATGTCAATAGGGTTCTATTCTACTCAGATTGAGGAGATGCCCCTCAACGTCGCGTTCGTAAAATTTACTGTTTCTTTTGTAGCAACTACTCATGCAAGTTCAACTTTCAGTGATCTTATCTAATGATGCGGCAGAACTATGTACACTTGTTTATCCGAGTTTTGTAACAAACGCGAAATCTTATATTGTGATCCTTGTCCAGTACCACTGCTATCATTCATGTCTGAACGCTATGAACAGCTTTGCTTTGAAAATGTCTACGTCCCACATTTCGACTGCAATGATTCGGATTCATCTGTAAGTCGAGCATCTTATTTGACGCACTTCGAGTCGTTCTAATTTAGCGCAGTATCCGTGGAATGCATTCAAAATAGCGACGCCAGCATACGGCTGCGATGAACCTACTCGCCAGCACTTCTACCCTCCCAGCCTATCTCTCCAGCATCAATTCTCAGTTGACCAACGCTCCAAACGCTACAGCTACGACAGCGTGTCCTCCGATTCCGCTAACGAGTCGCCTCTTCCCTCCGACACCTCGAGTCGAAGAAGTTCCATGGATGTCGTGAGCAACAAGTCGAATCAGTCCAAGGAGAGAAAAAGAAAAGCGAGGTCCTCTATCATCTATAAGAAGTCTGCTTCAAAACGCCGGTCCTTCTCTTGACACCGACTTCACTTCCATCGCACCTGCTTCCAAACCGAACTTGTTGAGTTTGATTTTCATCAGCGCTTGGACATGGACCGTTGGTGCTGCAGTATCTCGCAGGAGGTTATCGTCCCGACGCCGTTCGCTTAAACCGCTTCATCTCGTTTCCCGCCACTGCGGTGCCCCACTTCGCCCATGGCAGCTTTTTCTTATGTTTCTATGGAACTCTCCCCTGAAGCCGATGTTGATTCTTGCGGGACAGCAAGTCGATGAACGAGCTGACCCATGGGGATCGTTATCGCTCTCTGCGTTGGCGGGAAGCTTACGGGCACTCTGGCGGTCACTGCTTGATGGAGGTCTTCTGTTCGCTCTCTTCCGTTTCTACAGACTACTGTTTGCATTCCTTTTTTGAATTGTGTACTTTCGCTACCTCGACATGTTTTGGCGCTGCTCTCATTCCATAGACAGGCATGATGAATCCATGAAGATACATACATAATATGATAATGATGACAATGATGTACAAGAAAGCAAGAAAATAAAATAAGTAGAAAACATAAATACTAATACGTTGCTTAAAAAGATATTACTGGCAAGCTTCGTGTGCGTCTATGCATGCGTCCAACAAACATGCGTAGCTATCATCGGGACTCGCTTCTTGCAATCGTTGAGCCACTGCATCAGAGATAGGGGAAGGGCTATGGATGAGATGTCAGTGACAAAAGTAACAAAACTTAGAAGAGGACACACTCGACACTGCCATAGGCAACCTCTACTCCGTATTGAATGGATGCAACAGAACAAGGCCACTTGGAGAATACACCCAGATCAAAGTGAAATGAGACCAAAACCTTCGCCTTCTTTGGGGGGAACATCATGTTCACAACTGCAGTGAAGGTTGGGTTCCCAGAAGTAGAAGTCGTTATATCCACAGGGAACCTTATGGAAATGTACGACATTTGAAGGCGCAGCTGGGAACAAGATGACCAGTAATCACGAAGAAGGTGGACAATCTGACAATGGATCAATATCAATATCAAGGACGACTACATCACTAGAGATTGCTGACCTGCCGGGTTGTCCTTGCATCGGTATTGTGAACGAGATGATTAGCTGCCGACACTAAAAACCGGCTGAGATGAGGAAAGTCGTCCTTATACTTGAAGCGAATGGTATCCAACGTCTGAACCTCTACCTTTTGGACAATTGGTAAGAAGTTGACACATGGTATGCACACGCGGAATTGTGAAGGCATAGACATATTCAAAGAGTTGAGAGTTCACTTTAGCCACGTGGAACATGTGCATATCTTCTAGGGCTTCAAGTTCACCTGTAAGCCGAGGTCAGAGAGAGAAGAGCACAAGAGAGAATGGGCTAACTTCGTAACCTAAACACTTCGGCCTCCGTGCTGTGTGTTTGCATGTGCAAGATGCGATTTGCTTCTGATATCGCGGCATTCGCTTGGCGCCGTTGAAGCTCGATTTCCTCCAGGCGTTCACCTAACCATTTTAACTGATCATTTCCCTCAGATACTTCGGTTTTGAGGGCGTCGACTTCGATGCTGGTGCAAATTAGAAATCGTGGACACACGGTTTTAACAGACGTACTTTTGCTCAGCGATCGAGGCCTTGAGCTCATTGAGGTAATCCTGATCGCATTGTTCAATCTCAGCGACCTCCGCTTGCTCTTGTTGCAACTCTTGCATGATGTTATCGTATTCTTGTTGCAGAGCAGGGATGATGTCATCTGCGTGAGTTCGTAGACCCGCCAGAGCTTTCGCGTCCTACATCGACCACGTTGGGCGTGAGGAAGTGATTATTGTATGTATAGCTTACCATCTCGAGTTCGCCCAAGGCTTGTTCTGCCGTCACTCGCAAGCCCTCAATCCACTGCAATTTCCATTCGTACCAATCCGATTTTGCTTGGGCTCTTGTATTGGTACGGATAAGATTGAGTTGGTGCTAGCATGCTGTTTAATAAAAGGCTTTGGAACGATGTGCTGGACGACATACTAATAATTCGGCTTGCCCTTCTTCATCCGCTCGTGAGAACTCGACGAATAACTCTGGTGTCATCTTCGCAGCTTCCTCTTCTGCTTCAACAAAGACATCCTTACTCTGTTGCATCCATGCTTGAAGATCACTTGAAACGCGTGAATACAATGAGAGTTGAGGGATGTCAATAGCCACAGCAATGGTATATTCTGCCGGACGTATGTCTGCGGGGTTTCGAGGTTGCCTGGATGCAAGCTGGGAGGGATGCATAGATCTCCGTGGAGCAGTCAGATCATCCATGAATTTGATGTTCGTCATTTCGAAGAACTGCTGGATGGAAATGGGAAGCTGGGAGAGAATGCATTAGATTCGGCCATACTCAACTATATCACTCACTCCTTCATCCTCATCTAGATCTGGCTCGACTTCTTGCCGCCACTGTTCGGTGGTTTGCAAGTCAACATCCATCCGACCTTCCTGATCCTCAGGGCTTGGAGGATCCGAAACAGAGAGTTCGCCATTGACGACGGGTGATGGATGAGTAGGTGAAGGCGAAGGCGAGCTGAATGTTACCGGAGGCGCCGAACGATCAGGGGAAGACCGCTGATGTGTATCATCAGGTAAAGGGATCTCGAGATCTTCTCCTGTTATTTCAGTCCGTTCACTTGGGAGACCACTACCTGCATCTCTATTGAATCGTCTCCACGCATCCGTAGGGCCCGAACCCATGCTCGCTCGGCCCAATCCAAGACCTTGCTTTCTTCTGGGGAGACGTTCGAGTAGCAGCAGGAGCAAGTTCTACATCTTGACGGGCACTGACCATGCTACGCCTCCGAGCAAAATAACCGGAAGGGCGTTTGGCAGCCGATGTCTTCTGCGGAGAATCCTTCAACCCTATGCTCTCGAAACGTGCCTTCTTACTAGGCGATAGCGGTCGGGGAGTTGGAGCAGCTGAAGAGGAAGCAAATGGGCGGTCATGATCATGCGCAAGCCGATGTGAAGCGACAGCTAATCGCTTGGCTGGACTTGAACTGTCCTCCGAATTTTCATTGTTTGACCTCTGAGAATGAGTGCGTTTTGAGCTCTGGGGGGACTTGATGGGTTGCCTCAGAGGGGACCGAGCAACCGGGGGGGCGAATGCAGCAGTAAAGGTCTTTGGACCGACTTTGGAAGGGGATTTCTTTAATGGAGATGGTACGTTGGTCGCGCTAGAGGAGCTAAGTACGCTTGGCTTCGAGTTTGTAAATACATTTACTTGTTGAGATGTCGCGGGGCTAGTTGTATTTGATGTAGGCTCTGTAGAAGGTTGGAAAACGGTAAATGTTGGCTGAGGTAGAGTTGGAGAAGGCATAGATGGGTATATTGAAGGAGTCAGCTGAGGCTCGGGACTCGGTGATCCTTGGACGGAGGCCTCAGTTTCATCCATGAACACAGCACTTGGCCTCCCGAAAACTTTGCTAATGTTCATGGTCCGGTCTCCTTCTTCAATGTTGTCCTCGCTCTCCTCACTAGAGAATGAATCTCCGCCGATGCTTAGGCCCTAAAGATTCTCGAGCGCGTTGTAACCTCTCCAAAGCGTCACCGATTTCCATCTCTTCTGCACCACCCATTCCTAGATGATCGACATCATCATCATCCTCTGTATAAGGGACAGAGGATGCCCCGGCGTGCGTGGCTTTTTGGAGTTCTAACCAGACAGGATCCTGATTGGCTGGTCGTAGCGCATGTGCGAGAGGAATCGTGAACTCCATCGGCTGCTGTATGTTCACCTTCTGATTGTGACAGATCATCTGAGAAGGACATCGACTGTTCTTCTGAAAACGAAGCAGCGGCATCGGGGTCTGGTATGGCATATGGATGTTTGTCGGACAAAGGAGTGCGGCCAGCGATCGACATCGAACGCTTACGCAGAATATTTTCATTCAAGACCTCTGTAATTTCCATGTCATCGTCGAAATTCGTCGAAATCATCATCCAAAAGCGCCGATGCACCACCAATTGTGGTAAGGTCCATGTCAGACCCCTCGCTGGCAGGACGATTGACGAAGTGAATTCCGGCGACGAGATGCACCGGGGTATGCGTTCTCATTCATTGACGGCAGCAGATGGGACAATGTCCCTCTGACGAAGGCGTTCCTGGTGATGATTGAGGTGTTCCTGTGCTGTTGGTGTTGTCCTGTGTTTCCATCGAAAACCCGGACATAAGCGTGTTCGCTGAAGCTAACGCGACGACCCATAGATTTTCGAGGTAAAATTATCGTGTATCCTTGTTTGAAAATCAGTGGGTCATGTCCATGGACTGCGTGGCATTGGAGTCATCGGCGTCGGGATGCTGAGGCAGGGAATCCGGCTTGTGACTGCAAACCTCCTTGACTCGCAAAATGAGTATCAGCGCGGGAATCATCCTGCAGCGGTGCCTTCAAAGACGAGGCTTTGAGGATGCCTTTGGCAGGGCCCTGAAAGAAAATGCCATGAGTTTTCCATTGTCCAAGAAAGCACGTCCCGCACCGCTGATAACCGAGATCGTGCAAAAGGGCTCAGTTCACTGGGAACTACACTATGCGCTCTCCGGCGACTCTTTGGCGCCATACTGCCAGTCCTATGGCTAGATACTGCAATAGATTTTCGCCGGTTCGCTGCATCCTTGATGCCCATGATCACAGAGATAGGAAGACGATAGAATGAACTTGGTTAACAAATTTAGAGAGCACAAGAGCCGGGAAAAAAAGAAAGAAAAAGAAGGCGGACAATAGTGAGCAAGGCGGGTGTGACGACGCCGGTAACACTGACAGTGCGATGAGCCAACTTTGAAGCTTAGTTGACTGTCACATATCACATGATGTGATAGAATGCGCGGTCGCGTCTAACACGTGACAACATGACCACCGACACCAATCGCAATCCTTGCTCAGCGCTCATCCATCATGTCCGACAGAGCTAAACAACCTACTCGAGCATCCACAAGGACGAGGACACCGGCACCGGTACCGCCTACCACTCGATCTACCCGTTCAAAAACTACAGCGATAACGACAACGGCTACCAAAGCAGTTGCCCCAACCGTCAAGAAGACGAACTCGCAAAGTTCTCGCAGTGAACAATGACACATCTACAGCGAAACCCCCATCAAATCCGGAAACTCTTTGCAAAACCAAGACCGTTTCTTCTCAGCCTAGTATTGAACAAGAACCGATAATGGTCTGTCTTTGTCACATTGAAAAGGCTCCTGCTGACTATTCCTTTGAAAGGCGTATCTCAGGATCCGGCCACATCTTGGTGATGACGAAGCCAGTACTCCATATCTCACTTGCCTCTCCAATACGACCGTTCGTATGGCAGATCTGAATGACCAGCAAAATAGGTATCGAGCCAGTGTCATGCCTTCATCTACCTACACTTTTTCCCACGTGTTTACTCCTGACACCACCCAGTCCGACTTCTTTCAAAACACGACACTTCCGTTGGTCCGTGACGCTCTGCAAGGTCAGAACGCTTTACTGTTTGCATATGGTGCTACAAACTCCGGCAAGACATACACCATCCAGGGCGGAACCCAGGATGGTAGTGCCGGCATATTGCCGAGGAGTCTGGACGTCTTATTTAATAGTACAGAGGGTCTTCGGGGAAAGGCAAAGGTATGCACCTAACCAGCATCTTTTTCGTCTCCCTTCTATAGCTCACTCATTCAGTATCGGCCTGTACGTCTCCATGGTGTTGAACTATCCGATGCTCAAGACACAGCTCCTCTCGCCCTACATCCAGAGCCTTCTGTGGCTGAGGTTCTTGGGCATCCAGTCGATACCTCCTTCGACACAGACATCGATCCAACGGTACTCAACCTCGACCGGAACTATGAGTACAGTATATGGCTCTCGTATGCTGAGGTTTATAACGAAAAGATTTATGATCTTCTGGATTCAGTCAAAGACGAATCGGCTACGCAACCCTTGCCTCGTTCCGGAAGCTCTAAGGCTCTTTTGCTTACGCGAAAGGCACTCACCTTGAAAGCATCACCACCTTCTGACGATGCTCATTCAGACGCCAGAGGGAAGTACATATCAGGGCTCAGACAGTTCCGCGTTGATACAGCGGCACAAGCGAAGGCCCTTGTGAAGCTCGGTCAGCTACATCGACGCGTTTTTGGGACCCTCGCAAATGCCGAAAGTAGTCGTAGTCACGGTATGGTTATTATAAAGATTATGAGGGGTCATCGAGGCGAAAAGAATGTAAGGAATTTAGTTGCAGTACTTTGCGATTCATTCAACACCCTTTGTTTCAGGACCCAACGAGCTTGCAGATATCACGACTGACACTTGTGGACCTGGCAGGTTCTGAACGAACAAAGCATACCCATACAACAGGTGATCGGCTCAGAGAAGCAGGCAGCATCAACAAGTCTTTAATGGTCCTTGGCCAATGCCTTGAAGTTCTGCGATCAAACCAGCGGAAATTGGCTATGAGCCTTGGCCAAGAAGGAGTTGGGACACAGATGCGAATGGATACGCGTGATGTGAAGAAAACTTTAGCGATCGTGCCCTTCAGACACAGCAAACTCACGGAAACTTTGATGGATTATTTCGTGGGCGATGGCAGAACCGTATGTCCACGGCAAGTTTTTGGTGGCTTTGGCTGATGATACAACACCAAGGTCATGATCGTCAATGTCAACCCTTTCGACACAGGTTACGACGAAAACTCTCATGTCATGAAGTTTGCTGCTTTAGCTAGAGAAGTATATGTTACACCAGCACCAGCACCCGTGCAACAAATTCCTTCAATGCTGAACGTTGGTCCTGGAAAGACCACAGGTAATGTCATCAAGCAACTTGGGCCTTTGACAATGCGAGATCCCGACATTGTGCCGAAGCCGACGCGACGGAAAGTCACAATTTCAACCGGTGGACCCGGGAATGGCAAGAAGGCCAAAGAAGCCGTCCTTGAAGTGCTGGAAGGTGTGCGCCTCGAGGAACTTTGTCTTGCTTTCACCTGATGAGATTTTATAGTTGACGAACATGAGAGTAGCGATAATGGAGACGAAGATGAATATCCTGCAAATCCCCTAGTAGATGCTTTGTTTGAGGAGATTGATCACCTACGGTTACAGGCAAGCTGTTTCATCTTAAAACCAGACCGGTATAGTTGACAGCCAGTTAACAGCTTTACGAAGCAGAGCTTCGCTGTGCTGATATAGAGGCTGATACTCGGGAAGAAGTAATGGCGGAGATGGAAGAGCGCATGAGGAAGGTTGAGAATATGTACGAACGGAGGCTCCGGAATGAGGTACCCCTTTCTATTCTTTACGCGCCATATTTTCTGATAATTCCACTTTGTAGATTGACCAGAACAACCTTAAAACAGATGCAAAGATAGACATGCTTCACCAAGCAGGTTTATTTAGTCCCGTAAAGCAAGATAGGCTCGCTCCCGTTGGTTGCAATCAGCTACGCAGTGTGAGTAGCTTTTATGCTCCACAATGGGGGGTGTTCATTTGTATGTAGAACTCTGACGATGGCGGTTTGATCTCGCCCAACGAGGATTCTGACCTGACAAGCTTGGATGAAGATGTCGAGAGCGATCCTGACAACTCCCGCCCGAAGTCTCCATCGATTGCTAAAGGCAAGCTCCCGAAGTGTGCACCGATCCCTGAATATGCCATAACTATGTCAATAGGGAGGAGCAACTTACCTGCAGGAGCAACTGCAACGTTGCAAAAAGCGGCCAAACCAAAGAAGCGGTAGGCTCATACAGCTCGCTTTACTGCATTATTTCTCATTTTCTACAGGCTTCTTGGTAAAAATGCAGTTGTAACCGAGGAACAGATAGATATGGTCACCGCGGCAACAGAAAGACGGATTGCGAGCGGGGGATACGGGCAGCCTCGTCGGTTTGCGGGGCGGTAGATAGCTTCGTATTTCGTGCATAGATCTAATGCTATTTTCAATCGTAATGGGCAATTACGAGGTCAAGGGGTCTCGCGATACAGCTTTAGAAGCTCTTCCCATTTGAACTCCTCTGGGTGGTCATGGAAGGACGTGAGCAGCCGTTCGCCGTCTGGACCAGCATCCTTCTCTCCCCAAAGATAGAATTTCTGGATCCCCATGGCTAACAATTGAGCGTCCTCTTGACGCAGCATATATCTCGCCTCTCCATCCGCAGTCGAAGGCGTGATCTCTCCCCTCAAAAGAACGACCTCATGGGTGTTCACCAGATCGGTGTAGTGTGTTAAAACAAGATATGGGGTAGCAAAGGATGTGCGAAGTTTGTATTCCTGGAGAGGCGTGAACAGAACCGTCGATATGGGCGGGATCGAGGATACATCCGGTGAAAGTGTCTGAAATGGATCGTCGGTACAAGTGGGACTTGGCGGAGAGTGATGGAAGTCCCATTGCATGAAGAAGAATTCATAATTCATTTTGCTCTCGTCCGCGGGATTTTCAGTGTCTGGTCGAGGTAAAGGAATGATGAACGAAGGGTACTTCATGGCCACGGTCGTCATCTTCTTATAAAGAGAGAAAGGAATGGCTGCACAAAGGAACCCGCGACCTGTGCCGTCAGATCGTGAAGCATGGTAAGCTGTCCATAATGCAGAAAGTTGCTCCGGCGTAGTCTTCAAGATACGAGGAATATTCAGAATATCCGACAGCGGCTGATGAAAATGATTAAGCAACTAAAAGCCAGGTTCGACACAAGGTACACACCTTGACTGGCGCACTGTCTTTACGCGTCTCGGACTTTTTTTCGACTGGTGTACCCGACGCCTGCTCGATGGATGTCAATTTCGATGAGGGTCGGGATGCCAATAGTTCTTGACGTTCACGATGCTTTTGCTCCGCTAAACTTTCTTTCGCTTTCGCTTTAAGCTCTTCTACGCTTAGTCCGGTCCTGTAGGATATTCATATCCATATTGAGAGACGCTATGATGTGCAAATAAGTTCACCTTACTGCTGAGCGCGGAGGCGTAGCTTCTCGGCATATTTTGCCTCTCGATCTAAGAAGCCACTGTGCAATCCCCGTAACGACAACAATGCTGTCTGCCGGTAAGTCCCGGGATGACAAGACACAGTGAACAGTCGCAAAGCTGTTCTAATTTCGAGTCGAGACATGGTGTTTAGCAACGGCGCGGATGGCGGGTTACTCCCAATAATTATCAAAAATATTTATTTATTTTCAATTTGCCTCTTTAGCTCAATCAGATCGGGTGTCGGCGTGAATTTTTGTTGCAGGTATAGGGCCCGGGCCCGTACGTCCTATGAATAAGGGCGTGGAAATACCGGTGTCCATTAGATTTGTAGAGGAAATGGAGAAAATCCTTAAGATTCAAAGGATAGAAGTAGCAGCTAGTTTTTTATCACTATCTGGGCATGGACTTATTCTTGGTTCAGGTTGTTATATCGCAATCGGCAAAGGAGAAAGAAATTATTGATACGTGAAGAGGACAGAATGGTTAATCGTAGGAAAGTGCTGAATCTCTGCTTTACACCAGGTGCGAAAACTTCGAATGCCGAGAAACCATGGCATTAATCAAAGCGGGGATAAGTTGAGTTTTTACGTGAAAATTGCCTCTTAGGCTCTTATGCCCCTGGGAGCGGAGATGAACTGCTTCGTGAACACTGAAGGCGGTGAGTGTTCATTCCTTGCATCATTGTATGGCCTTGGATGCTTTCATAGCAACAAAATTGCAGAAGGGTGCACTGTCACCAACGCTGACCTGGGGATTGTGCACGGGTGAAGCCGACGGAGAATGCGTAAGGTGCCCGGGCCAACTTTCCATGGAAAGGGAGGAGTAATGCACGGCAAGACTCTGCTGAGGGAACGGTGGTGTTAGGCTGTCGGGGAGTGACAACCGGAGCCGGCACATCCTTGAACGACCGTCGTATATTAGCCAAGTTAACATTGTATTTAGGACCCGTAAATTGAGAAGGTGAAGGAGGAGCAGTTATATCCATTGCCAACATTCAAACCGCTCGTGGCAAAGTGAAGCCATGGACAAAAGTTGTGTTCGAAGGGTAGAATTGTGGAATTGGAATTGTAGGCGGCGATGGAGCTTTATAGGACAGGGGTGGCCGTCGATTCTTGACGGATCATCGGTCCGCAGCAACCAGCCCCTCGTATAGCGGAAGTTTCGTGCCTCAATTTCGCTGTTGCATGGCTGTTGAATTTCTAGCAGATTCAGTCAGAACTGCCTCAACTTCTGGGGGTTGTTGGCCCTGTACTGTGCAGTAGTCTGTGCGTTTTTAATCATTTCCGGACATCGGTAACCCTAAAAATATATCTGCGGCTGCGCAGTCTCGCTATATATATATGTGCGCAGGTGATGGTGGCCGAGGAATTCACACAGTCCTTTCTCCAAAAGCGACATACTGTAACCCTACGGTTTGGGTGGTATGAGGATACCCACTATTCTTCCAGGCCGCAAACGCTATGGATTCATTAGCGTCGCCGTAGTAAGCAATAATTTCATTCTTTGTGGCCGTCGATTAATTTTATTCAGGTTGCCGTCATATACACGACCTACCTGCTTGGAGGTTACCATAGCTGGCAAGCTGCGATGAACACCGAAATAATTGACGTCGAGACTCCGGATCCCACTGCCACTGTCAAAGTAGGTGTGCCTTCTGAGCTGACCGACCTCCCATCTATTCCAAAGCCACCGCGACCTAGTGGAGAAGGGAAAGAAAACGCTACAATGGTCATGTTATGCCGAAATTCAGATATCGATGGCGCCCTTTCCAGCATTGGGTTCGTGGAGAACCGTTTCAATCACCGTTTTGGGTATCCTTGGGTGTTTTTGAACGAGGAGGAGTTTACAGATGATTTCAAAAGGTCTGTTTTTCGTCTTCTGTGATCTCCACAATACTTGACTACTTCTCAGTCGGATATCAGCAGCAATTTCTGCGCCTGTTTCTTTTGGGCTAATACCCAAAGAGCACTGGTATCAACCACATTGGATAGACGAATCCTTAGCTGCTGCGGGGCGGAAAAAAATGGCTGCTGCCAAGATTATCTATGCTGGTACGTGTTTCTATATCCTTAGGGAGCACCTGTTCTACGTCTTACACTTCGTAGATAGCGTGCCATATCGAAATATGTGCAGATTTAACTCTGGTGTGAGTCTTTACCACTACCTTGCTGTGCATTCAACTGATTAGAATGAGGAATTCAAAGTTCTTCTTCCGCCATCCACTGCTTCAACCATATCGCTACTATTGGCGAGTCGAGTGGGTGCAAAATTCAAGATGTGTATTTTGGGCTCACAGATTATAAATAGACCCGACGTCAAGATCCTCTGCGACGTCACGTACGATCCCTTCGAATTTATGAAGGTTAACGACAAGATATATGGTGAGAGCTTGACTGCCTTCGGGAATATTGACCTCTTATGACATATATAGGCTTTACAATATCGTTCCTTGAATGGGAGAAGACGATTCCCACTCTATGGTCCACCGTGAAGGGTAAACTATCATGCTGCTCATTCTTCCCACTCAAACTATACGCGTGATTTTAGAATTCATGAAGCGATACCCTCAATACATCTCAGAGTCCAATGCAATGGATTACCTTAGCGACAACAATGGAAAATCATACAACCTATGTCACTGTACGTTGCCCAACTTCTTTTCCGCGTGCAGCTTGTCTCAACCAACTTAAAGTCTGGAGTAACTTCGAGATCGCCGATATGGACTTCTGGAGGGGCGAAGCGTATCAAAAGTTTTTCGACTATCTAGAATCTAAAGGTGGTTTTTATTACGAGGTATGCTGCATATTATCTATTTAGAGGCTTTCCTAAAGTTTGTATTCCCAGCGATGGGGCGATGCTCCTGTCCACTCCATCGCAGCAGCGCTTTTCTCACCCAAAGAAAAACTACATTTCTTCCGCGACATCGGCTACCGCCATGAACCTTTCCAACATTGCCCTATAGATGATAGGGAGAAGATGAACTGCGATTGTAATGTCGGCGAAAACATAGGTGAAGGTTTCCACGCTGTGTCCATGTTCCGTACTAACCACTGAATGTGTGTGACAGATTACCGTCCTCAATCGTGCATTCGCAGATTCGAAAAACTATTCGAGTGATCATCTCCGTTCTTTAATAACTTATCTGTCATTGTACTATAGTTGGGACATGAATTCAGGCGTTGGATGGTCGGACAATGTTCGAGAGTGTTGACCTACTGTCGAGGAGTGTGGCAATTGATGGCGGAGGCAAAGGCTGATAAGCAAATATGCAGACGAACTTGTTAGACATGACCTGAGAGACCAAAGAACAACCTGAGTAAGCATAGCCCTTCCTAGCATGACTATTCTAGTACAAGAGTCAGTCTGTATCATAGGTAATCACAGGTACTTAATATACGAGGCTTCTCACAGCACGCGGTTACTGCCCTTTAGTTTAAGAGCGCCAGAAGTGTATACCATGACCTTGTTATCCCACGCAGATCGTACGACTATACGTCCACAGAACTCTTTACCCACTGGGTCCTAGAGGTCATATCCAAGAACATCTTTCGTGACCTCATCCTTCGGTATGCTTCGTACTATGTAAGTTCGTACTGAGCACATAAAATATGCTGACCTGGATGAAGATCGACCTCTGCCAAAGATGGGAATATCTCTGAAAGGCCGTTGTCATGGACTCCATGGACTCGTCTTTGAATGTCACTCATAGAAATCCCACTTTCCCGTCGATATTATAAATAATAGCTGAATAAATTTCGTATTGGGAATCGTACTGAAGCGATTTACATATATTATACACTATGTCAATACTATGTAAAGCAGCCGTTGGATATAATTACAACGATTATTCTGCTTGTTGATTAAAGAGGCAGACTTAATAAAGGTCAAAAGAATTACGGTTCCGGATGTTTGTACATCAGTGTCTGGTTGGCTGGACCGGAATGGGTCCAATTCTCAATCAGACGAGAAATATCAGTATAGCTGGTCGTCCGCTTGAAAGAGCGACGAAGCGAAGGAGAGGGAGCCTGACCGGGTACACTTTCCCAGTCAGGATGAGGTATGATGTATCGGGTCGTGTTCCCGTTGTGTTTCTCAGGTACCGTACCATGGAATGACTTCGGGCGCTGACCAGGTGGATTGTTTAGCGAGAGAGGGGGTGGTCTTCGCTTGGTTCCGCCATCGGAGGTCAATGGAGGCGTGGATGGGGCACAGTCAACATCTGTGCAACACTCCATCTTTTCTTTGAACCCTTCAGCTGCAACAGGAGTGACGATTCCTTCACAGTTCAGGACAACGGAGTTGTCGTTGTTGATTTCAACTGCCATGACTTCTTCTGCATTAGAAGCAATGACCTGAGGATATCGACACTCGAAGCTAGGAAGGACCTGATGGACAAATACGTCCATTGACATAAATGCACGAGCGCAAGTTTCGAGGAAAGGAAAGAGTTGGAAAACATGGACCTGAATAGGGATGTGAATGGCTGGACGCATATGTATAGCAAAAAAGCTGACCGCATCCTCGTAGAGTTCATGACGTACTTCGACACCAGCCAGGGTAGCTTTGTGGGCGAATAAAGTTATCTCATCCCTTAGCACTTCAGAGTCACCAGACTGGATGAGCAGAGGAGGAAGCCCTCTTAGATCACCGAATAATGGACTTGCGTATGGATGGGTCAAATATCTTTCTACGTGGGGGCCTAAATATTGAGCCACGGGATTCATATAATCCACGGGGGAGAAGACAGGAATGACATCAAACCCCGCATTCGAATCCCATGATTCGCAACTCATGGTCAGATCTATAGATAAGCCAGTTGAGCGAAGCCAAGATATAACGGCAGCGTGCTTACCGACCCACGGTGACATTAGGATGGCACCGCCAGGCATGGGATAATCGTTATCCCTCAAGTACAACAACAACGCAAGCGACAATCCGCCACCAGCACTATCGCCACTGACGATGATGTTACTTGGTGGGATGTTTAAATCTTCGACCAGCCTCAGATACCCGCTTACGGCATCATGGAGAGGGCCAGGGAATTGACTCTCAGGTGCGAGCCGATAATCAAGGGCTACAAGTATCAAACGGTATTAGAGCGCTAGATCTGATGACCAGGGACTGGGTAGACTTGCCAAAAACGCGCGCATCAGTATGCTGAGCCAGGGGTACAGAAATCTGCCTTTGAGATGCCGGACTACCAACGTAGTAGGCGCCTTTTGAGGGTGAGATCTAATTTTCACGTGAAACAATATTATTTTCCACATACCTCCGTGAATATATAGCACGACCCGCTCAGTCTTTTTTCCTGGCCTAGGAGACTGACCGGGACCTTTACGACTGTTTTGGGAGGCCTTCCATTCTGACTGTAATCTGTGCCAAGTCTTCTTTGCAACAACCCATTCCCCAGATAGTTCCCGACGCCCGGTTTCTTTGCTATCGAAATCTGCAAGGATGCCTCGCAACCGCCGCTTTCGAACGCGGAAGGTGACAGGAGTAACGAGTGCGTCAGAGGGGAGAGGAGCAAGTCCTCCTAGGCCCATGAAAAGACGAATAGAAGGCTGGATAATAGTCTTGTTAATATCAGGATTTAAATATGAAAAAGTTTGCGCCTACAAGGTCCATGAGTGCGGTGTGACGTCCGGCGCCACGCATAAAGCCTGAAATCAAGGTCATCTCAATACCCCACGACTTCTTGCGGGGTCCCCAGAACGCATGAGTTAGCACATCTCCAGTCATCTGAGTTGCTATTGAACAAAGTAAATACGAAGGCGAGAAACGGAACAGGATGAAACCCACCTTTAGTCGCTACAAACCATCCATACTTCCACCAGTCCCACAATCTGAGCGAAGGCTTGTCTTGAATCTTCAATCGGGGTAGCATGCGCGCGGAAGGCGGTGCCACTCCTGGTGTCGCATAGTGATCAATTAAGGCATGGATTTGTTTTCGCGCCGCTTCATGGATGATACAGTGGGTTGCACAAGAACTGTTGCATGTTTCACCGATGCGAGGACTCGAGATGAAAGACATAGAGCAAAGAGGTTGTACTGCGGTAGACAATCGCAGGAAAGGGGTGAAAGACCGTGCTCAACTGGCGCAGGCGGCAGAAGGAAAGGACAAGGAAGATTGAGTGGTGTGTTATATTAGAAGCAAAGCGGCAGGCGAGAAACACAGATGTGTGGAGAGCAATAGCCCCTAATAGTATAGCCGTGCCGGATCTGGGCACGGCGTCATCTTCCTTATGCGAACATGCAGGTGATTTCCGCTGCGTCAAACCTTTTTTTCTGTTCTGGACCGCTGTTCAATCGGACTATGATCATCTGTCAACGCGCGTGTTCACTGTTCAGCATTAAAAAAAGGCTCCGATCAGCAGGAAAAAAAGTGTTCTGGACAGATCCGATTCGTACGTATACGTGACGCACAGGAAACGGTATGTTTTACTTGTATCACACATCAGTAGTCCTCTCCACGGCTCACGACTTCCTTCACAGTTGGCCGTAGTAAGATCGTATGCTCCTGAAACAAGATGAATACAATACAGCTTCGCAAAAGTTGGGACGTACAAATTGTGCTGTCATGGATCCAAGTTGATCACAAAGCGGAGGATAGTCCTGCACGACACCCTGTGATACTAGATGGTTCAGCTACAGAACAGAGATAGAAAATAAGACTTCATTAAAATTAACATCACATATAGTGAACGTACTGCCAACAAATATTTACTCTCGCCGATGCGGTCCAAGTAGCGACGACAAAACGGTAATGTTCCGAAATTCTTGTTGATCGATTTCAACAGTGACTTTGCAGAAGTTAACCTAATTGAAATGAAGTGATTGCCTGTGATGAGGAACATGAAACCAACCTCAATGGCACATGCGGCGCATCGTACACCCTCGCGTAATGAGAACAATCTCCCTTCGATCCGTCAGCACATTGGAGACCGATGGAAATACGAGACCTACACTTTCGATGATCCGACCACGGCCCGTAGAACCAAATGTCTCGATTGCAAAGTATTCGCCCTCTTCCATCTTGGTTTGATCGTCATTCTTGACTAGCATGACTGATTTTCCTCCATGGATCTGATAAGGGTTGATGGAGTGACCGCTCAAGTTCTCGATGGGTTTAACTAGAGTCCTTCAGAAAGGAATCATTGAAATCACGGATAGAACGCACCAGGATAAACCTTGCCTCCAACTTCAACCTCATAAGATTCCATGGTCTCCTGGATGGCACCTGCAAGCTCGCCGAGGCGAACGTCAATGCCTGCTTCCTGGAGAATAATCAGATATGGGCAGCATGATTGAGGCAATGCGTAGGACATACTCTGACGCCAGTGTCAGTGGCAGCCTTGACAGCTTCGAGAAGCTTATCATAAGTATGATCAAAGGTCATTGTGAAGGCGGAATCAAGTATCCGTCCTTTCACGTGTACGCCAAAGTCCACTTTCAGGACGTCACCTTGCTGAAGCACTACATTTGCGGACATGAGCCTTCTACTCGCGAAAGAAGCTGAAAAACGTGCCTCGAGTGTCACCAGCATTGGGAGTGTAATGAGCTGCGCAGTTGTTCAAGCTGACGCCTGTTGGGAAACCAACTCCAGATTCAAGTCCATTCTCTTCCACGAGTGCCCGGGTTCCGTCCTCGATATTTTCGACAATTTCTGTCATAGTCATTCCGGGCCGAATATATTTTCGAGCATGATTGCGGACTAGTCGATGGACTTGTGCCGCCCTTCGAATATTTTGATACGTTGCCTCCGGATCTTCGTTGATCATTCTCTCCTCATATCGTTTCTCCTCGGACGTAATTCTCCAGGTGTTACTAAACCAAAATCAGATAAGTCCAAGTAAAGCATAGAGTATATCGCTGCACGCACTCATCCTTATATGGCTGGAGCTCACCCTCGGGATAGATACCGTCAGGGTAAAACTTTGAGAGACCAATGCGAGGAGGGTCGCTTTGTTCTATCTTTTTCTTTTTCGGTTTCTTCTTTTTCTTTTTCTTCTTTGCGTCTCCTGGTCAGAAGCAAGATAGAAAGTAAACGACGGGGGTTTCAGTATAAGGATTTGAGATGACGCACCGTTCGCGGCACCGTTATGATCCTCTTCTACATCCTCGATCTCATTTTCGTCAACTTCGGGTTCTTCCTTGCCGGGTACAGGGTGCTCTGCAGCTACCGTGGAGCTCATACTGAAGAGAGCGATGGGCTGCAACTGAATGAGTAATCGTGCGTATTGCTATTGGCCAAAGATCAGGTGGCGCGAAATAGCCACATACCTGTATCGGGCTGTGAGAAAGTTAGACTGGTCGATATTTCTGATGGAGATAAAGACGACGAACGCATTTGTTTTCTTTATGACACTGAGTCAGCAGAAAACATGCGTCACTATTTATCAAGTGGCCTTCTAGTCCAAACAACTGCATCTAACTACATTATCATACACATCCTAGCCAAAACCAAATCCTGGTAAAGTACATTCTAACGAAAGGTGCTACGATTGTGCCCCAAGTCGTATCTCAAGTCCCTTTTTATATATCTCCAGCTCTTCTACAACGTTCATGAGTGCGTTGCACTCCCATTGACCATACAGGAATCCTTCATAGAGCATTGTCGTCGCCAACCAGGCAATGAAGATAGTAAAAACTAAAAATATGGGATTGATCCAGGGATGAGGTAGCCATGACGAGCCAATAACGATGGCGACGAGGATAACCAGACATAAGCCAAACACATATAGCTCGCGGCGTGCGCGATAGCGAGAAAAAGTGATAACATGCGCCCAATGCTTGAATGGTAGTCGTTATTGCGGCATTAGAAAGTTCCGTTGAATGCCCAAACGGAAGAGCAGGAACAGATGAAGATGAAACGGTCGTGCGAATTCAGAATCAACAGGCGCAGCATCCTCTTGTTGAATTTCTAAAGTTGCTTCAAGCCCAAAATGATCCGAAAAGGAATGGGGCGTTCCAGGAACCTTGTGAGTGAGGACCACCTTGCAATCGGTACATTTCAGCTGAAGAATCGACGACGGCCGCACGGGTTGACGGTAGAATATGTAATCCAGTCTCTTGCCCCAGAATTTGCGAGCAGTACGGATCTAAGGGTTTTCCAGCCGAGTAGGAATTCATGGGCGAGTCGGCGGTTACGCCAAATTTGGTGATGGCCTCATGTGGTGGAGGTATAATACTTGAAGACGGAAGACTGGGATGTGTCACAGCCCATGAATCATGCAGCGAGGCGTGGTCTCGAATGATTGTCATGGGCAATGTCGTCGGGATGCTGTTGAAGTCGCCTGCCTGAAAAGGTCTGAGTAAACGGGGACATTCACGCGGCGGGCCACCTTACCGCAACCACGTAGCGTCCGAGTTCCGCAGCCTGACGCGCTAAGTTTGGCAAACTCCCACGCATTAACGAGCCTATGGGCTCTATTATGCTCGGGTCCCTCTTCTCCTCCCTTGGCAAAAAGCTAGACGAGATCAAAGTTGGATGAACTTTCCAGAAACAGAGCAAAGCTGACTGACATGTGTGTTAAATATCTGAACCTGGCCCAAGACAGGATGTAAAATGACCACGCTTGTGGCAGCCTTGCCAACGAACCAGTCGCCAGCAATAACATCGATGGGTGCCCCGCTTAAGGAATAAGGATGTACTGAGGTCGCAATAATAGGAAACCGGGTGAATATGGCCAGGCCAGAACCGAGTGCTCCACTAGCGAACACGATGTAAGCACGCGTCTATGTACATATACTGGAAGTTCACCTATAGAAAAATTTGGAGTGAGGCAGACGCTTCGACACGGATTCCCTGACATGCACGTAGTCGGAGAACACCCACAGCTCCTGCAGCGTTATAATGTCGTAGTCGGCATTGCTGAGCTCACTGGCGATGGCTCGGATGCGCTCAACGCGATTCTTAGAGACGTACTTCAGGCCCCTGCATGTTCCATTTCAGTAATCTTACAATAATGAAAAGCAAAGAAACTGGACCAGCAATTTAGCGTCAGAACTCGAAGCTGGGTCTCCACCATGGATGGAAGCGGCAAAAGATGTGGCTGTGTGCAGAGGCTGTGCGGCCTCTGTTCGTGGTCACAGCGTGACGTCGTCTCTTCTGCTCCTTCTGCTCCAGCAACCATGACCACCGCCACCCCTCGAACGCCCTTCACCCGCGACGAGTGCGTCCTTCACCGTTCCCATTCTCCTCTTTAGCTCAATTCTCCTTCTCTGCAGTATCTCTATCGCTACACGTGCAGCAGATAGCTTCACTCGCATCTATTACAACACCTATGACTCCTCTACTAGGGTGGCGGACCTGCCCAGTTTCTACCGGTCTTCGTCGTCTTTGTCCTGGAACGGGACGACAAAGCAAGGCATAGATGGTCTCAAGGAGCTCATTACGAAAATGCCTCCAACGAAGCATGAGATGCAATCATTTGACTGTCATCCCATACCTGGTAGGCCTCACTTAAATTCGCCAGATAAATTTGGCGTCTGACAGTCTGTAGGCACATCACCGCCCTCGCTTCTCGTTACGGTGTCGGGGAATGTCGTTCATGGACGCGGTCCGGCTGGCAACCCACATACTACTGGTGCAAAGACGATAGACGGCCACGGTCGTGTCTTTTCCCAGACGTTCATGTTGGTTCCAGACGCCACAGCCGCATCCACGAAAGCAGGAGAGGTTGGAAAGTATTACATTAGCGCGGATGCGCTAAGATTTGTTGGTTAATTACTACAGTAAGCGCCATTTGATTGATCGTGGCAACGTCTCATCGTTCCCCCAGTTTGTTTTGTATCATTTTACCCGATGCCTATGGGCATGGACTCCACCAACCTCTCAGAATATAGCATTGTATCATACCCCATATCGTCGACTGTATCTTTAAGTTCCCTTATTCTCCGTCTCCCTCTATTTAGAAGCTTTTAATAATGCTCGTCTCGAATCTAATCATTTATCATTATTACACAGTATACAACGGAATACATAAAGCATATCATCCAAATGTTTGACTCTGCAAAGTAATCATGAGAATACAGGATAGATGAAGGAAAATAGAACTTACAGATCGTGCACTCCTTTTGACTTTCGAAAGGCGCCATTCGTCCGCCTTCTCGTACTTGTTATAAAGGGGTTCAATCTTCTCCTGCTTCTTCCGTTTACTGATTTTGTTCGCGTCCGCAACCTTGAAGAACTGTGGTGCAACCTCAACAAGCCACTTGGGTTCCACGGCCGTCACATTGTGACAGTATTCTCTTGTGGTAAGTACTAATTCATGATAGACAACCCATTCAGGATTTCGATTGAAGAGCGCAGAGGATGGGTGGATGTAGACGGGTGTGCCCTCGACAAGAGTCTTGTACCCTTCTTGAGGATCTTTCTTGGCGGCGTTTCGGAAGAAGCCCGAAGCGATTGCCATGCGAACGCGGTTATAATCTCGACCCGCCGAAAGAATATCATGCTTATACCTGTAGGCATACCTGTTAGCACCGAGAAAAAAACAACTTTGAAGCGAGGTAAACGCACCGATCCATGATACCAAGCAACTGCTTCCGCACATCTTGCGCTCGCCGCATACTCCTAGCTTGGATGAAGTTCTCGTAACACCATGGATTAGAGAAGTTCGCAGCCTTCCAGCCGTTGTACACCGTCAGAAGAGTAAGATGGTCTCCCTCAGGCTGATGAAACTTGGCTTTCTTGGAATCGGCCTGGCCTTGCTTCTCTTTTGGACGATAAAATACAGTTTGGACGGAAAGCATGGCCACGATAGACAAGATTTCCTCCGAGCATCCTAGCTCTACGGAGGCAATTAACATCTTCGCTAGTGGCGGCTCCATAGGGAAGTCGGCCATCTTTCTCCCCAGCCGCGTCAACAATCCCTCATCATCCAATGCTGACAATGCGTACAATGACTCTAGTGCAGTAAGCATAGTCTGCGCGGGGGGTGGGTCCATGAAATCGAAGCTCAACAAGTCGTTAATCCCCATTGCCTTCAATTGCAGGATAGTCGACGCAAGGTTGGTTCGCTGGATATCTGGGATTGAATTAGGTAACATCTCGTTTCGGTACGCAGCCTCGGTATACAATCGATAGCATTTACCAGGCCCTGTGCGACCGGCACGACCTGAGCGCTGCCGCGCCTGCGCCTGCGATATAGGCATGACAACGAGAGAGTCCATGCCTAATCGTGGATCGTATGCGTTCTGCTTTGAAAACCCTGGATCAATAACATAATAGATACCAGGAATCGTCAAACTCGTCTCGGCAACGTTAGTAGCAATGACGACTTTGCGAGCCCCAGGCGGTGTAGGTTCGAAGACCCTAGATTGTACCTCGGAGGGAAGGGCAGAATAGATGGGAAGGATGATGAGTTCGGGGACTTTGGGACCAAGAGCTTTCATACGCTCGAAGAGAATTTCACAAGCTGTATCGATCTCTTCTTGTCCAGTCAGGAAGAGAAGAATGTCGCCAGGTGGCTCAGAAAGATGAATTTGCATGACGGTAATAAGAGAGGCGTCAAGATAGTCACTTTCCGGCTCCTTGGTGTAGAGGATTTCAACGGGGAAAGTTCGGCCAGGAATGGTGAAGATGGGACAACCAAAGAAGTACTTTGAAAACTTCTCTGCATCAAGTGTGGCGGATGTTACAATGAGTTTAAGGTCAGGTCGACGCTTGACGGCCTCTGAAATGAGCAGCTTAGACACTTTTCTGAAGAACAAGAAACAAAACATACTTTTCATTAAACCGAAAAGAACGTCAGTAGCGATCGTTCTCTCGTGTGCCTCGTCCAACATGATGACCGAATATGAACTGCACAGCGGGTCGATCAAGCATTCTCGCTGAAGCATACCATCCGTCATGTATTTTATCCGCGTCTCGGGACTGGTACAGTCTTCAAAGCGAATGGTATACCCAACTTCTTGTCCCAGTCGACAACCGACTTCCTCGGAGACACGCTTAGCAACAGACATTGCAGCGACACGTCGAGGTTGCGTACAACCTATCTTGCCACGATCAGCAAAACCTGCTTCAGCGAGGTATTGGACCATCTGCGTCGTCTTTCCGGAACCAGTGTCACCGACGACGATGAGAACTTGATGCTAAAAAGGTAAGTTAATGGACCTCAACTAGAGATAAGCAGAGTATACACACTTGTTCGATAGCCTGAAGTAGAGGATCGCGCAGCTTGTAAATGGGCAAACTCTTCCGCTGGTCCTGGATGCTGAGCGTCGTTATCTCTCCAAACGTCGTGGCCTTGTTGAACGTCTGCTCTTTCCATTTGGGCACCTCTCCAGCCTTCTGACCCTTCAAATTGCCTCTCATATCCTGAGCAAATGTCCGATCCGATTCTTTGGCCATTGGATCCAACCACGGCTGACTGAAATCTCTCGCCTCAGAATCCACCTGTTCGTTTGCCTCCTGCTGCCTGAGCTCTCGCCTTTCCTTTGCAAGGGAGGCCCCAGCCAATGCAGCTCGATTCAGAGAGCCATCTGGAGCTTTGACGACCTTTACTGGACTGAGATCAAGCGTGCGCTTCGTCTGACCAGCCAAGAAAGGCGGCTCGTCTTCTCGGATCTCAACATCAAGTTCCTCTTCGATTTCAGCATGAACCATAGGATTATTCATCTCGTCATCGAGATCAGGATACTCTGATGCGTCAATGGCTCCGGACGAAATCAGCTGCTTGATTTCCCAACGCTCCGGAGAGGTCAGTCGCTTCGCAGATCGAACGGGAGGGTCATTCTTGGACCGCAATGGTAATGCATTTGCCCCGGAAGATGCACCCCGTATTGACTTGACTCGTTCTTCTTCCATTTCCGCCTCGGATTTGATGCGAAGATGAGGTGTCAAGTCGCGGCCAGATGCTTGATCGACGTCCTTCATAGACAGACCAATCCTGCTACCGGCTACACTTACAACCTTGACCTTGACATTTTGTCCGCGACTGAGGAGATCCATAGCCGAATTTGCTCGCATGCCAGTTTGGATATTGGATACGTGGACCATACCTTATTGAAGTTAGCGATAAACGTTACTTGCCAAAGAAGCATACACACCTTCTACCCGACCAGCTACGCCCTCTAATGTGACGAAAGCACCGAACTCCTTCAGCCCCGTCACCCGCCCGTTGTAAATCTTAAACAGCACAGGTCGTTCATCTAGTGGGCCACGGCCACCATAACCACCTCGTCTGTCGCGAGAGTTGTAGTCTCGTCCGCGATGAGGACTAGGAGGACTAGGGGACCGTGGGCTTTCTCTTCGTTGGCGTTTTGGTTCTCGGTCGTCTTCCCAAGGTCTTTCCCGTACTTTCCGACCAGATACTAAGTCACCTATCTCCTGCAAGAATACATCGTCTGGAACGGGAGCTTTAACCTCGCTGTCCTTTAAAGCAAGCCCAGGAAACAGCCGCTTTTTCTTCTCCTGCTCTGTTAGCTCACCCTCTCCCACTGCACCCTTAGCATTTCCGTTCGTCGATGGTTTGTGCTTCTGTTTATGTTTTGGATGCATGCTGAGAATAAGGCGGTCGACATTTTCGACAAACGAGTCAGGAAACTCTGCCCCGACCTCCTTCAGTTTTTGTTTGAATGCAGGTAGACTTTTGTTGGACTGTTCGTGGAGAGCGATGACGAATTCGGCAAGAGTTTTGTCATTGTGACCGGTATAGTTGTCGATTTCCTGGGTGATTTTCGCGACAAGGGAGAGTAATTCGAGGTTGTAGATGTCAGAATTCGCCATGCAGATGGTAGGGAGGAAAGAGGTGCTATATTATGTAAGCGCTGAAAATGGCCTTTTGACGCAACTTTAACGTTAACATCGACACCACCATTTCTCTTCTCTTCCATCACCTCCGTGACCTTCATGCCTGCCGACCCATCCTTGACCATGTCCTTGGATGAAATCAAGAAACTCGCCGATGCAGAAGCCAGGGATCTGCATCCTGTACGCGAATTGCTGTTAATATGTTCAGAATACTGACCAGTATATTCAAGGTGAAAGTTACTGCCAAGAATCTGGAGAAGAAGCAAGCCCAATTGGACGAATTTCTATCGCTATTACCAAAAGCTGGACAGACCTGGGTCAGCGCTGTAAAAGGGCTACCCAAGTTGCAGGATCCCGTACGTCAGTCGCCTGTGGATTTGTTCATGATAATCAATATCAAATCCTTCCCAGGCGAGGACAACTAAAAGGAAGAGAGATCGCACTGTGGACCTGCATGCATGCATATCATAATATATGTGCCATTGCCGATGCTAACTCTCTTTCAGGTTCCGAGTCAGGAAATGTCAACGAAGAAAATGCGAACGTTGCCGGCTCTCATGGACACGACTCCCGCAGACACTCAAATGCTGATGGACTACTTCTACTACTGGGAACCTACTGCTTAGCGTTTCTGAACCTCTGGCTCTTTCGGTCCTGCAGCTTGCCTTCGTCGCTCTATTCCTGTTGTCCCATGAGTTTCGTATAAGTTTTTGCCTGTATAATCCACTGTTCATTGCAGAAGACTGTATAATGTACTTGTATTTTAAATAAATAAGTATTGGATGATAATTTTTTGGCTTTCACACGCGTAGTTGGTTCGCATCTGTCGACGATGACGTACCTTTGCTAGGTGCAGTGGCTGTGTAACCAGCTTTATTTGCATCCTCACCTCCTCATGCCTCCCCGCAAAGGGATCGTAAAATCAGGAAACGCTGGGAACTCTTCTAGACAGTCAGATAAACAAAGTGACCCAACAGACCGAGAGAAATCTCTGTTTCCTCCAGGATCAAAGTATCCTCTGAGTTTGCTACATGAAAGGTAATCTTCCTCTATAATCATTTAATTGAAAAGAGATATATGTGTATTCATTCAAATTTCAGGTGCCAAAAAAATGGATGGGAGAAGCCTATTGTCGAAACGGTAAAGTTTGAGCCCTCTGGCACTGCAGTTCTCAAATCGCTGACGCACCTTTTTTGATAGCGACAAATAGGCGCTGACTGGACATTCACAGTCATCTTGAGTCGAATAAACAAGAAGAACTCCGAGAAAGAGTCTGTTCGCCTAACCCCACATCCCCCATACGTGATGCCAAGCGCCCTTGAAGCCCGACATTGGGGCGCCACATACGCCTTGTACCGTGTTCGTCTACGGCTTAATCGATGCTTTGTTCCCTGATGAACTCGTTTCGTCAGTTTTGCAACGGTATTCAGCTCAACAGGGTATTACCAGAAGGACCACGGTCATATTGGATCCAACTTGCGGCAGAGCATAAAACCTCGCCAGAACATCTCAAATGGATGTATGACACTGATCCATTTGCCGCTCGTAAAATGGTGGAACAACGGCAAGCCAAAGCAGCAGAGAAACGTGCCGAGCCTAAGGCTAACCCAGACCCGCACCGAGAGCCTTCTCCTGGTTTCCAAAACTGGCCTGAAGTCAAGATGTCGAATGAGCTACGCAACCAGGTTGAGGATGCTGTCAAGCAGGTCTGCCGCTTCACTGGTTACGAAAACAGTTATTCAATGATTGATAGGGTTGGGCCTCACTTCCTGAAGGTGCCCAAGCCGCTGTGCCCAAGGACATACCGGAGGAAGAGATACAGGCGGCAACCCAGAAGCTGCAACTTCTGGGATTCACGCCCATCCAAGCTCGGAAGGCGGTCGATTTTGTCTCTGAACCTTCTGCCATTTCAGAGACTCTCCTGGCTTCTCAAGGTGTCCTAGAAGCATGCATCGAATACCTGGTTCTCCATGTACCAGAATGTGATCTTCCTGAGCGTTTTCTACCAGAAGTCAATTCCTCCAACTCTTTTATTACTTCAGTACATGTTGGAACTGACGATCTGAAAAACGCGATGGGTCATAGAGAAGGCGACCAAAGAGGCTGGTTGGCCTGTTCACATTGTTCGGGAATGTCTCTCTGATCCGAGCTTGATAAATTCCTGGGATCTTCTTGTTGCTACTTTGTGCAAGAGACTTATTGGCGAAGATGTCACTAGTTTAGTCGACGAAAACAAGGCATTATCACCATTCGAGATCAATCCGGAAGACGTCGAGGGTCTCGGTGGCCATGTCGACGAGCACCAGCTCATCCTACCTCTCTTTACTGCACCGATTCAGCTGTGCATACTATACTCCGCGAAAAGATTTCCTCGACAAGGTATTTGTTACATTTCGACTAATCGGCGACAGTTCACCTCTTGTAGATTACATGCCGATGTACCTGACGTCCTCCAAAGTCCCTGCGTATGTTCGCCTTCATATGCTATCCCAACTCTTACGGTCGAACGAACTGCTCGATGCTGGCGGAGGCTTCTGCGTAACGGCTTTGTCAATTCTGGATGAAGAATGGGCCAAGATAGAAACCAACGGGCCACCCAGTATATCTACGGTTTTCCGGCATTTCTCTCCACGCTCAGAAGTCGCCTCGAATCTGGAACTAGAGGAGGTGCCCCTCGCACAGGCTACCGGTCGAAGAAGAGGCAATCTTTATTCTCAAGACCGGAGGACCGCCCAGCAAATCAAAGAAGAATACGAAAGTCTGCGGAGGACGAAGAAAGCACAGTATGAAGACATCATGGCTGTTCGACAAAAATTGCCGGCTTTTGCCTCTAAAAATGAGTTCCTCAAAAAGCTGGAAGATAATCGTGTCGTCGTTGTAGTGGGAGAAACAGGTTAGGTACAGCCTCCATCTTTTTATTATTCTCTCTAATAATTCATCTCCAAGGCTGTGGAAAGACGACGCAACGTAGGTTAAGGATGGTCAGTTCATAGCTATAAGCTGACTTTGACTAGTGCCGCAGTTCATTTTGGATTCTCTCATCGACTCCAACCGGGGAAAGACGGCGTCTATTGTCGTTACCCAACCCAGACGTATATCTGCAATCGGCGTAGCATCTCGTGTATCTAATGAGCGGCTTGACGACGATTCAGTAGGATATGCTATCCGTGGCGAAAGTACTAGAAAGCAGGTGACCAAACTCTTGTTCTGTACCACTGGTGTGGTTCTTCGACGCCTCAGCTCCGGCGACAAGCTGAAAGACGTTTCGCATATCATTGTGGACGAGGTACGATGCAATTACTTTCGTTTTGTTTTGTCTCGCACCCAGACGTAGTAATCAGGTACACGAACGATCAGTTGACGGCGACTTCTTACTTCTGGAATTGAAGGAACTCTTGACGGAAAATCAAACTCTTAAGGTCGTTCTCATGTCTGCTACCATCAACCACGAGACTTTTATTACGTACTTTGGTGGTGCACCCTTATTGACCATCCCGGGGTTTACGCACCCAGTAACCGATCTGTGAGTCTTTATTTACATCCAAATCGTTTGTCTTTATGGAATGATTAACAGGTACTTGGAGGACGTTATTTCATTGATAGACTATCGACCACCAGCGGTCAAGCCCACGCAAAAGGAGAGTCGAGAAGAACAGGAGGCTGTCCGTGTCGGGTACACATCCAGTGGATTGAGTCACGAATGCGTTACTGCCCTACAGAATTTTACGCGGGCCAACGCCATCGATTATAAGGTGGGACGCTACGGAGAGGAAGCGCATTTTACTTATTCTCCATTTCTAGATGGTTGCGGCAGTGGTCAAGCACATCATCACCACATCGCAGACTCGTGGGGGTATCCTCATTTTCCTTCCAGGTGTACAAGAGATTCGACAGTGTATAGACATGATAGAGGGTGTATTACCTTCAAGTGTTCCCGCCGATATTATGCCTCTCCATGCAAATCTTTCAAGTGAGGAGCAACGCCGTGTATTCGTGAAGACAACCAAGTGGAAGATCATAGCTGCCACCAACGTTGCGGAGGTCAGTCGTCTCCGAGCATTATACTGTGTAGACTTACTGAATGAATACTTCCGCAGACATCTATCACTATTGACGACGTGATATACGTTCTAGACTCAGGAAAGGTCAAGCAGACACAGTACGACGGAGAGTCAGGTATTTCTCGTTTGGTGGAGACATGGGTTACGCTGGCAGAGTCAAGGCAACGTCGGGGTCGCGCCGGTCGAACCCAGCCAGGTATATGCTATAAGCTGTACACCAGGAAGCAGGAATCGAAAATGGACAAGTTCGTTGTACCCGAGATCTTACGTGTTCCACTCGAAAATATTTCGCTCGCCGTCAAAGTCACAAGGGAGGACGAAGATGTCAGAGTATGTGTCTTTCCCCTGTCTACTAAACATGGGACTCTCATATCATTTTTTCAAAGCATTTCCTAGGCAAGGCAATCTCTCCTCCTGACGTCAGTTCGATGGATACAGCTTGGGCGACATTGGAGAACCTAGGAGCCGTGGACAGACAAGGAAGACTGACAGCGCTAGGGCGGCATCTTGTGTGTTTATCTGTCCCTATTTTGGCCTTTGCTGACAGTCCTTAGTCGCTACTTCCGGTAGACTTACGATTAGCCAAAGTAAGTTGTTTGCCTCTTCTCACGCGAAGCTCTTCCACTGACACCCCATCTAGATGCTTGTCCTAGGCACGATCTTTCGGTGCCTCGGACCCGTACTCACCATTGTGGCATGTTTATCTTCAAAACCACTGTTTGTTAGTCCGCTAGAGAAACGAAAAGAAGCATCACAGTATGTTTTGGGGCAGTGAATGCATTTCAAAGTGTAGCTAACTTTGATATCAGGGCTCGCGCGCGTTTTTGCGAAGGTACTAGTGATCTTCTGGCAGATGTTAAAGCCTATGATGAGTGTATGCGGCTTCAGGCTGAAAGAAGATCATCTGGCGAAATTCGTCGATTTTGTGAAGAGGTGTGTAACCGTTGTCCTCCAACTCAATCGTAACTACATTCTTCTTCAGAATTTCATCTCAGCGAGCACCGTTCGTGAGATATCCAACCTCCGAACCGACTTTCTTTCCTCACTGATATCTATCGGTTTTATCCCTCTGCATTCCAAATCATCGTCACCATCCATCAATACCAACAGTGAAAACACTAATCTCCTCAAGGCCGTCATTTTAGGCGGCCTGTGGCCCAGAGTTGCTCGTGTCAACTTACCTCTGTCGGCAAGGAAGTACGATAAGGTCCAAGGTGGAACGTTTCAGAGAGAAAACAAAGCCAAGGAGTTCAAGATTTATGATCTCAGGAACGAAAGGGTGTTTCTACATCCTGCTAGTGTTCTTTTCGACTTTTCAGCATGGAGGTCGCAATACGTGGTGTTCTTTACAAAGGTCAAGACCAGTAAAATCTTCCTGAGAGACGCGACAGAGGTACAAAAATCGTTAAAAACCGCGAGTTGGCGCCAACTAAAAAATCACTCCAGGTCCCTTTATATGCGATGCTTTTGTTCGGCGGAACCGTGTCAGTCAATCAAATTGCAGGAGGAATAAGCATCGATGGAAAGGAAGGCGTGATAAAGCTCAAAGGATGGCCACGAATAGGCATACTTGTTAACCACTTGCGGCAAGTTCCTTCAATGAAAGTTGTCACACGCAGTATACTGACTCAAGTTGTAGCCGTCTCCTTGATGCACAACTGCTGGGTAGCATCGAAGAAAGTACGATTGTGGCACAAGGTCCTAACAATCCTGTCATTGATGCAATGCTGGCGCTGTTGACACATGACGGTCTAACGGAGTGATGCGACGTCGTCTAGATTAATACTAATGTACATGTTACTCCAATAGCGAGTATGCAGACGACGTTACGTATATACGTGTGTAGGGTGATGTGTAGAATGCATCGTGTTTTGCCTGAGATCTGAGAGACATAAGGATGAGGGGCCCTGGAGTGCGATAACCTTCATAAAACCCGAAATAAAAACAATAATATATCAGCGCCTGCGCGGTTGGAGATGTGCAGCGATCAACATGACTGCCGCATTACTTTGGCTTCTCCACCCGATGGTATTCAAAGACCCTAGATCCCACTCAATAAAGGGGGAGGTGGTGCTACTGTGGTGCTGTCAGTACCTAGTGACCAAGTAAAACAAACAAGAGTACTCACGTTCGCGGACGAGAGCATACGTGCGAAGCGGTGGGTGATGAAGACGGTTTTAAAGTCCTGGCAGTCCCAGGAAGAGAAACAGTCGAGGGTGACTGAAGCCTCAGAGTTGGATGGGCTATTCTGACAAAAGCGCCGCCTACGGGCATGATAGGAAATCGACAAGCGAAGACTTCGGTATACTTAAGTATTTTGACTCGTCGGGCAGGTCTCAGATAATCGGTTAAACGCATCCGAGAGGGGTGTCCGTGTCGGCCTCCATATGACTCAGGAATAGAAAAGCTTAGAAAGCTGCACGAAGATCGTGATTTAAACATTTAACCGAGACAACACGGAACAGGCTGTGAAAGATCATCGAAAGATCGAGGATCATGAAGATCGTTCGTACGCGATTGCTGAAATAATTATATTTGTATGCTCCTTCCAAGCTCCTTCCGTGGATTTCTACTTGACCTTGGCACTTTACCTGAGCGAGATCTTCCGGTTTTCGCTCGAACAAGTTATCACGATAGTATGGTATGTGGATGCGCGTGACTATGAAATACATCGTTGCATTATTAATCGTTACTGCTCTATCCTGACGGTCACCCTAATATGCCCTGAATCTGAAAATGCTGATCTGAGTGCCCGCAAACAAAAAGAAAAAAGATAAAACGTACAAAATTATAAAATAATGCATTTGTAATTTTAAAACCTTTGCTACGGGGGGGCGCCCGTTGTCCAGCTCTCGCTCGCCGCTCTACGTTTAGGAGTAGGACGTCTCCCGTAGCCAAGGGAGGCTTGTGCCTGCGCGTTGGCCTCTGTGCGTTCAATACTCCGGGTGGACTCCGGCATCGCAACTGCGGTGGAGTCAACACTGCTTGAACTACTGGTGCTACCGCCTTCAGACTGCGGTAGCGCTCTGATATAAATCTTAGCGCCCGTAGGAGGGGTAGCGAAATAGGGATACTGATAGGGTTGGGTGCGCGGTGCTGGTGTAGGATTCGATGGTTTTCGTGTTGTTTTAAAAGAAAAATATGAAGTTGCTGTGGGTGGTGAGCCCGCAGACGAAGCGGGTGAAGACATTACACTGCGAGCCTGAGAAACGACGAAATGGAGGGCGTCCAGCGGACTCAGGTGGTGGAGGTGTGTCAAGGATGTCAGATGCAGTTTGCTGCCTGCAACGCTGCCATGAAGTAGACAGGCTAGACGCCCGAACAGGTTTAGGACGTTCGACAGAATCTATGAAGTTATGAGTCAAGAGGATTATCGAGCAAGGCAGGTGGATAGACTTACCAAGTGAAGTTCTTTCTTCATTAGTTCGTTTCTTGCCTCCCAAAGGATTCCTCATCTTTGGCAAGCGAGGCGACAACAGGGACGAACGGCGAGTTGAAGAGTCAGACTCGGCTGAGCCATCTCCGCTTTCTGCAACGCCAGAAGACCGCGCCAGAATAAGTTTAATAGGAACCTGGGGGGAAACGAGTGTCGAAGACGATGACCGAGGACTAGAGTCAGATTGAGATGGTAAATTCTCGTCGGACTCATGCTTTATTTCCTCAGTAGGGACTGAAAACCGTCTAGAGTTACCGGACCTGATCTGAGAGTCCAAGAAAGAAACATGTCGGGTGGCAGTACTGTCTGGAGTGGACGGCTCCGAGATGAGGGCTGCTCGACTGCGGGAACGAAGAATGGATGCTTGCCGACGTGAAGATGGCAGAGAAGGGGGTGCAGAACGTCGGCGAGCTTTACGCGAGGCCGCTTTCGTTAATTCGGGAACGGCAGGCTTTGCATTGGGTACAAGCCATATAAACCATATAGCAGCTACGCTCTATATCCGAGTTAGAAGCTGATTAACATTAACAAAGGAGCTATCTACGTACCACTCCGAGGCCAATAGAGCCGAGTGCACCCGCGATGAAGGTAACGAAAAAGGACCGGGAAGGTGAGGAGGTGGTCATAATAGGCATGTCGTTGTCGTTTCGTTCGAATAGATAAATGAATCAAGAGACTAGGATAAGAAAACAGGAAAAGAATCAAGCATTATCTCTCCGGAGTCCGGGATGTCAAAGACAGGTCGGACGTCGTCGCGATCGAAGGAAGGAAAGGGGGCCTTAACCGAGCGCAAGTAAAAGGAACAGTCGGTATTTAAAAGTCAGGCAGTGGCACGACTCGTAGTGGGACGACGATGCATGGACGTTCGAAAGAGTCGAAAGAGGTGGCGAGAACGCTGGGCCATTCAATTTGTATTCTCACGGACAATCCTCAATTGGGTATTCCAGATGAGACCACTTTTTTTGTTCACGTCACCGCTCTGACTCATCTTCTTCAGTGCCGTCATTGCCATGTGCCAAGTACGCGTCGCGTTAATTTCAATTCAATTTACTTTTACAAATTCGTTTTGGATTATGTACACTACTTAGACAGCAAGCTTGGATGGGTTAACCCCGACAGCTAGACTCAGTCAGCAATGCAATTCTCAGGAGTAGCAGAGCGGAAAGCGTACTGATTGTTCCAATAATGCCTATGAATTCATCAGCGGGCGGAATTGTGAAGAGTACAAAATATTCACCTTCCGGCCAGTCATCTTGGATGGACAAAACACTAGAGAATGATAGTTAGGTACCATTCTGGTGACAACTTTCTGAATGGCACACACCTGATAATGGCATTGCTTCCATTGCTGTTAGCCGTGGCGTAGTCTGGATCCTGGGCGTCCATAATGCGAGTATTGGTGTTTTGGTTGTAAGGGGTCGACATGGCGATGATGTTGGTCCAGGGGTCAGTGAAAAACAGCTCTCCAGTGTGCACAATTGGCGAAGAAATGTCCGAAGTCTGGTGGACGGCAATATTCATATGATTGGCGCCATCTGAGGTATACCCGGGGAAAATAGTCTAGGAGCACATGAGCGCTAGCATGGTCGCGGCCTTGAAGGGCGCACCTGGAATTCAGCAACGCCGTTTGATGCCGTAGTGAAAGCTCCACGAAGGAAATTACCGTATTCTCCCAGAGCGTTGGCTGCAATTTCAAAAAGTTGATCAGCCTGGATCGGGCGCGCTCGAGCGGGCCAGCTCACGAGACCAGAGTTCAACCATTGCATTGGAGAAAGGCTCGCAGGTAGTCACATCCATAACGGTGATATCGAGCGTGAATGCGATGCCACTGCCAGTCGTGGTCAGCGAAGTCATTTATTTCTTAGGAAGAAGCATACACTTGTCCATCAGTAACGTCCTGGCGTACAGGCTGAATATTATTGTTAGCAGTTGTATTCAGAAGGGCGAACCAGACTGTCATACAGGGTTGGCGACGTAGTCAGCTGATATCTACTAGTCAGTGCACTTCAGTTAGTACATGAAGGATGCTTACTTCGAGCAACATCGGGGGACAAGACACAAGCCTGCAAGAAGAATTATAAACAGAAGCAACCCGTACAGCACGGGATTACAAACGTTAGATGAAGCGCTCGATCTTGACGTAGGTAGTGCTGCACACTGACCGATCAGAAGACCGACAGAGAGCACAGCGAGGGAGATGAAAGATGTGAACTGCATGTTTTAGTGACTCGAGGACTTTTTGTTCAGGGACTGGGGTTGGGGTGCGATTCAGTGAAGTGGGCTTCTTTAATACTTTTCAGGACCGCCAAATCAGCTCCACGGCGCCAGCAAGACTATGACAAGACGATATTAATAGCGACACGGTCGTTGAAGTCGGCATAATCACGGCAGAAAAAGAGATGCCTGTAAAACTGTATTACCACTGGAACCCCAAGATTTTGCTCAGTCATTGACATCTTCGCTGCATATGCCGCGATCCTTCAACGTCAACAATCCGAAAATATCCTGAGATGCAGCCGTAAATTATCCATCACGATCCCGTGAGCATACAGATGTAGACTGGCGGCACTTTCGCCGAATTAGCGTGTCGGTTGATTTGCCTTAACAAGAAAGATCGTCATTCCTTCGTGTACATCGCGTTTCCTGTAGAGGTTCATGAAACGTGTTGGCATGTTGTGTTAGGCGAAAACCACGGTAAAATGACAGCAAGCATCTTTTCCAGAGTTGGGCCCTGGGCGCCAGAAGGCACGTCGCGATCGACCCAGTACACAGTCGTGAAATCGAAATACAGATCAGGCACCGCTGTGAATGTTTATGGCCTTCACGACTCGTTCCGTCACAGATGTCGTGCAAAGAGGGATATTTTTCATCTTCCCTAGACGTTAGAGAGCGTTCGGCAGAGACAAATGACCACATCATCGTTCTCTCCCATACTCACCTGGCCTCAACTATATTCCTTGGAGTGTAGACCTCTTCTACATAACTGGCGATGCTGCCGTCAACGAAGAAGATGAAGGGCATCCTTTCACCCTCGTGTTTCCGCCTTGACGGCATAGACCGCCTTCTCCTCGAGGTGGAGCTCCGCTAGTAAGCCTTGACGGTCCGGTCGTTGCAGCACCAATACAGTACCACCGTATGGCACATCCTATCATGACTAACAGCCAGTCCAAGTGGACACTATTGAATCAGACATGTTGCATATCAGAAGCACCGCACGCAGAAAAGTAGCCCGTAGGGAGCCTGAATACCGAAATAGTCGTAGTAACATACAAGCTGCCCCTCCGGAGGTTTCCCTAATCACGATGGGATTAGTAGCTCAACGGATACAAATTTTTACGTTCTAGGGCAGATGTCGATGGTGTCCTTGTGAAAATTCTGCCATTTAAAACCAGCAATGAAGGAACTTAGTGAGCACAGGAATATCGGTGGCAGGTTCCTCCTCGTCCAGATCGCTGATTACCTCGTTCGCGAGCCCACCTTTTTGTTCTAGGGTCCAAGGATAAGAGTCCTGAGAACCAAAAGACTACTTGCAGCATCGTATTGCCGTCAGCTGAACTGTCCAACAACCCAGAATCAACTATCATCAAGAAGAGAGAGGGCCCAGGTAGTAGGTACGCATGCGTGTTAAATGATTGAAAGCTTCTGTCAGTCATGTCGCCTTCCATATGAATCTATAAGGTTTTACGACTTCGCGAGTAGGTATATGAGAGATAAGGACAAATTTTTACTTACAGTCTTTGGAGACGTAATCGGGAAGACCGGTCATGATGTATGATGATCAAGTGGCTCACTCGCACATGTATGACTGCTTCCCCACCGTGCGGTGATAGAGATTCTTTAACTTTACGGTCCGGCCTTTCCGAGAGGCGAGTGTCATGTCATCGGTAAAAGGACCTACTTCATGAGACATCGTCTCTATCGGCTGCCAGCAGGAAAGACTCTTGTCAAAGTATCTCCGTATTGAGAGGCTCGACCTCGGATCACTGCTTGTAGTCCCATTGAAGGACATGTGATATGAGGATCTACAAGGTTGCGTTTAAATTTGATTAGACCTTCAAAACGACCTAGGAGGACAAAGACAAACAGTGCCTGCCAACTGTTGGTAGCTCTACTGAATGCTCAAGCCAGATACTGACTACATTTCTTCTTGCAGCTCACTGATGAGTGTCATGGTGGCATGCTTTCCATTTTCTTTTTCACCCGAAGATCTTCCCATAGAAACGGCGGGTGGCTTGGCTTTCAGCAGACAGCATTCACCGCATGTGTAGGATTCAATGAGTCCATCTGGAAGTCCAGCTGCTCATTGGGGCTGGCCAGGACTAGTCCTGGTGGGAAACTACTGATGGAACTGGCACAGGGTGGTCATTGGATGGTCCGGCGTCTTCTTGTAGAAAACCGTCAATTAAAAAAGTACTATGGTGTGATGGAGTAAAAGCCTCGCTCAGGCCTCGACGTTACCCTTGCTGTCAACATTCTCCCAAAACTTCTCTGTCTTATCCCTTTTGGTAATGATGCCGACGATGTCGAAAGGATCAAAAAGAGTCAAAAGGAAATGTCTCTTGTCCTCGTATCCTGGACCTTCAATCTCTGTAACTCCGTCTCGTGCGAGGTATATCTTGTTGTTAACGGGTAGGAAACGTGAAGGATGGAATGTGTTCAGAAGGACCGTGTTCGAGAACATGAACATCGCTTCAAATACCCAGAAGTAAAACTCGCGCTTTAGCAGCGGACTAATGTGGATGATGTCGGAGCGAACATTTAAGCTGGCGGCTTCAAAGTACTCCACGGTACGGTATATGGTACGGACCGTGATGAGCGTGCAGCTGATGTAAAGAACAATGAGAACCGTGCGCAAGTTATTTGGAAGCGTTCCCGTCTTGTAGCATCTGTAGTGATATCGCGCAGTGACGGCGACGAAACTACACATGGACGCAATCTGGAGTAACAGCGCGGCCTTCAGTAGATTCTTTCCCAAATTGATTTCGCTTTGAGAAAGAGATGAATTGGCGACGCGTGGGGTACCAACCCCGGTAAGCACTCCAATAATGAGGTCGATCCCAACGAAAGTTGACACGACACGCCCGGGATGAAGTGGGGAGTTGTACGGGACGTAGTACAAGATCCTTCCCAAAAGAAAGTAATTCGCTCCCTCATACACAGGGCTGGAGACATATGGGATCAGAAACAAGGCGAACTGGGGAAGCAGCCGAAACCAACGTACGCGGCAATCAGGAATAAAACAGTACTAGCAATAAAAACGCCAAGGTTGTCATAGTTGTAAGCTCCGATTTCCCGAGCCACGAACGCCCCTACAAAGAGAGTCGCAGCCCAAGGAAGTAGACCACCAACTTTCCAGCAATGATACTTACTAAATGGATTGTATGAGAGCAGAACAGTCGGACAAAAAGTACAACTCACAAGCACTGATAGGCATGAACTATTCCAGAGATACCGAATAGTACCGCAAATGCGATGGGGGCGCCTTTATTAGGCGCATAGTACCAGTAACTACCCTCGGCTAAGAGATGGTCAGAACACTTCAATCAGAATAACAGAACGTTGTACCGTAGCCGTCGGGCGATGTGCTGTTGCTAGACATGCTTGATAGTAAAGATGAGGTGGGGGCAGATATTGCGATGCTTGGCTGCTGCTAGTGTATTTAAACTTATGAAGAAAGCTGCGGAGCTGTATGAAAAAATCGAATTGGAGTAAAGTCAGATGTTTATCAGGGTTCTGAAAAGCATGGATTCGCTTACTCCTGTTGCTGCACCACCGCGATCGAGAAGCTGATTTGAGGATTTTCTTTGACACTATCCACAACGCTTGTAGCACGGTCTTTCGTAGTTAATGTCAAGGTAGTTGGAGCATTATGGAGACGGAAAGCCAGGAGGTAGCCATCTGCCACCAAGTAGGGACTGCACCGCCTTGCTGAGCCAAGACAGGCGACGGGGAAGGAAGAAAAAAAATCTATGTACAGTCTGGCTCCTCGAGGCCGATTCAATATGCCACTATATGGCTAGCCTTGTTTCCTTTTGTTGGGATTTGCAACTTCAAGCTCATGCTAGAAGATTCCCGAAGCTTCGGCTTACTCATTTGTCACGATACTTAGATATATTTAGTTACTTTGGTAGAATATTCTAGATACTTTTCGTAGTATATAAGGAGCTCATTAGGAGCTCTAGTAGCAAAATAATTTAGTATTATACCTACTGCAAGCCTCCCACTGCAATAATTCCAACAGGTTATGGGCCCCGAGCTCCAGTAGAAGTCTCATCTTCCACACGCATTCTCTTTCGGACCACCCGAGCCGGCTTTCTAGCCACACGTCAATCACCATCAGTCCTCTTTAGGCAGGTGTAATTAAAAGTCCTCTCTAGGCCACTGTAATTCCTCTCTAGGTTGGTGCTCGAAGTCCTTTCTAGGCCGTCGTAAATCCTCTCTAGGTAGACGAAGTTGTTAAAAGTCGTTTCTACGCCGCCGTAAATCGTTTCTACGTAGGTGAAATCATTGTATTAGTCGCTGTAAACCCTTTCTAGGTTAGCACCCCATTCCCGAAGTCCTTTTTAGGCACCGTATACTCGCCTTTTCAGGCACATTACATACTCTCGTTACATACCACTTTGATACCTCCAGTTATGGAAGACCGGAGTAGCACCCGATTTGATCTCCTGAGTGAAGAGAATTACTTCACATGGAAGTACCGCATGGAAATGCACTTAATTCGGAAGGATTTGTGGGGAATAGTTTCAGGTACAGAACCCCGCCCCGCAAGTGGAACAAGGACACAGACTGTCTGGGACAAGCGCGCGAGGCTTGCCGCTGCCGAGATCATTCTGCATGTGTCTGATTCTGTGTTACCGCTAACCCGGAAGACCACGGACCCTGCCCGAATGTGGCAAATTCTGAAGGAATATTATGAATCCTCAGGATGGGCCAATCGTATGACTGTTCTTCGTAGTTTTGTTTCTCTCAGAATGGAAGAGGGAGCATCTGTGCAGGAGCACATCAATAATTTCAATGAACTTGACCAGTCCCTCAAGGATATTGGAATTACATTGGTAGACATACTTAGGATGACTATTCTATTGGCATCCTTACCCCCTACCTACGAGAACATCGTTACCGCCATCGAATCTTACATCGAGGCCAATACTGATCCCAGCGATCCGACGCGAGGTCCAGACTTCGATTATGTCACTCGTCGATTGCTAAATGAAGAGCGCCGCCGGAAACTCAATTCACCAGAATTTGAAATGGCGTAGCCGCGCGATCAATCAAGGGCCGCCTCCCGATACGGCTAATATCATTTGCTACGGCTGTGGGCAGAAAGGCCACTACAGAAACAAGTGCCCAAATATTGCTCAAGGGGGAGAAGATACAACAAGAGCAATGTAGCTGATGAAGATGATGAAGAAGATTATGCATTTTAGTAACTCGAAGTTGAGGGGGAGTGTTGGGATTTGCAACTTCAAGCTCATGCTAGAAGATTCCCGAAGCTTCGGCTTACTCATTTATTTGTCACGATACTTAGATATATTTAGTTACTTTTGGTAGAATATTCTAGATACTTTTCGTAGTATATAAGGAGCTCATTAGGAGCTCTAGTAGCAAAATAATTTAGTATTATACCTACTGCAAGCCTCCCACTGCAATAATTCCAACACCTTTTGCACTCAACGTTTGAGCTTGAGATCTGAAGGGGAAACAGCGGATAAGCAGTGGGCGAAACTCGGACCTTTAGATGGTTGTATCGGGTATCCGGTCCGGTTGGCTCAGATCGATATCATGTGACCGTCGCGTAGACTCGGAACGCTCTGTTGAGTCACCGCAGGACCCTACACTCAACCCACACTTTTTATCACAAATTCTGTTTTACGACGTGCCAGAACTTACTCAACCGCTCTTCTGTCCCAAGATAATGCATTTACGCTCAGATAGTAGCGATTTTTCAGACGGCGGCTTCGATACTCTCACCGAGACGGATTACGCGCTAATCGACGCCGCCAGCAGCACCGCTTCATCCAGCGAAACGATTCCGAAGGGGAGGCCCAAGATCGAAATCGCGGTTGAGGACGATGATATCCCTCCTGAAGCTTCAGTGGATACGCGTAGCATGTATGAACGCTTTCGTCCATACCGGATGCTGTCAGTCTCCGATCTTGTTGGCCCAGCCTGGTAAAAATTTGGTCGTGGCACAGGGAAACGCGCTTACGGAAATCCAAGGTGTGAACTACAATTCGAATATGGCTTGTTGCAAAAGCGCTGGAAGCGTTTGGAGCACAGGCCGGCGTCATTCGTCTCTCGGAATGGAAAAGACATGTCTGTCAAGAAAGATGTAGCTGCTGTCAATAACAGAGTACAGAAAAGGGGAACGGTGCGTTTTTGCTATCTGTTCTGTTGATATTCCATGCTTACTGTCGCATAGTTTGTACACAAAAAATTGGAGCGGGAGCTGGAACCGAAGAAAATTCCTGTCCAAGTTACTACTGACGAAGAACATTGGGGATTACGGTACTTTGACCTTCTATGAACCATAATGGCTACTTACGTGCTTGACAGAATTGTCAATATGTTGTCATCGATACACTCTCTGCTCGCTCAAGGACGTGCAGTACGTATATCATGGTTGGAATGACTACGATTTTAACCTCGGACATAAAGCGAGAAATGCCTGTCTTTGGTTTTGTTCAAGGACAAATTGTTACCGGGATAATTGTAGGTCACCCATTCCCAGGCATTTAATAGTTTAATGATTTCGCCATAGGATGAACTAATCAGAGAAAATTCTGGGTCTTCAGACAGTCCAAAGCGTCTTCGAAGTCCTGCGTCGACCCCGCGCAAATACAAGAAGCGACGTCAAGTGCTCAAGCCAAGTGAAAAGCCAAGTCCTATAACAGATTTCGCCTCTACATCTGGCTACAAATTCATAGATTTAACCTGTCGACGATGAGACAAAAACAGAAGACCCAGCAACTCATCGCTGCTATCAGCACACCCTACGTTTGATAGACACCAAGACACGACGCAGCGAATATTTGCCCTCAGACGAAGATGCACTTGCTTCACGTCTACAACTCATGCTATACCATCAATTATTATCCCCACTGATAGCACCTGAAACCCCCTTTGACTTCACAAGACTGTGGAACCAGATGAATGTCGATCCAACGCTGCCATTTTCTGAAAGATTCCTCACTCAAGCAGGAGCAGGAAGCTTACGGGGAACTTCCCACCCGGCATTTACTTGCCTTGACGATCTGACTACTCTGTGGAGGAACGTCACTTTGGAATTAGATATCCCTGGCATTGATCCGTGTCTTCAGTTAATTTATCTTCGCCAGCAACCATTGAAACCCAAAGAAGATATCACGGCCACAAGTCTTCCGCTGGATTCCAGTATCTCCCGGTCCTTGTCTAGCCCACTTAACAAAGTCTTTGATCTTGATACGGAGGAAGAATCTGCTGAACTGTTGTGGGCGCTTCAGGAATCATGGTTAATGCACCTTAACAACGTGTCCGGGAAGGGTGGTTCCAACGGTGCGGTTCTTTTGAGGTTTGTCAATTATGGCTTTAAACCATTCCCTGAAAACAGATACAATACCTCCACCGCTTGCACCATCAGTATCAACACCCAAGGTCGTTGATGCCTACAAGATCATTGGCACCAAGAAATTCAATCTCGATGACGACTTTTTGGACAGTTATCTTTCTAGTATTCTAGACTGGTGGATGGGTCTTAGACGTCCAAGAGGAGTCAGTGAAACCCAGACTGGGCGGTGCAAGTAAGTTGTTTTATATCCGCCGCTGTCTAGAGCTTAAGGAAAACAGTTCATGTGAATATATGTCTGATTGCGAGTGGAGGGACAAAAAGGCGTCGGAAATCAAAGCCCAAGCTGCTGAGCGCCGTGCGAAGTCAGTGCCGCCACCTACATGAATAGATTATTTGCATAGAGTATCACCGTACTTGTTGCTGTGTCGTCTATATACGTATGATTTATCATTCACGGATCAGTGCCCGCTCTGGATCGTCATAGGGACACCCTGAGCGACCGCTGATCTCCCTTGAAGAACGGTCTCCACTAGGTTTCCAAGTGAGGACTTACGGCGCGCAGCACAACCATCTTACCTCAAGTTTTTTGGCCCTTTCTTCGGGCCATCCTGTTTTCGTCGTACCTCTTCCTCTCCTTCTTGCTAAAACATTTTGACTACCTCCAACATGGATTCCGACTGGCAGGACTACTTGCATTGGTCGCTCAAGGGATCCCATGTCCTGTTCTCTGGAATTTATCTTGACTCGCTCGTGAAATTTCTCGTGGGTTCGGTTTTGACTGTTGTTGTGTGCTTGACAGAGAGGTGAGCGGACGGGCTAATCCTTGACATTTCCCGTCATCTTATTTTTCTACTGTCAGGTTGGTCACCTTTGCTTTAAATGACGGATGGTGTCCCGCCTGGGCTGGGAGTATACGATGGAGGCATGCATTTTGGAAAGCGTTGTTATACGGCATTGCGACACTTCTTCGCCTGTGAGTCTGATTTTTTTGGTGGCCGATGACTCCGTTGCCTGACCATTCCTATAGAGCGTACATGTTGATTGCCATGTCGTTTCATGTTGGGTGAGCGCATGCTTCTAGTCGTGCTGAACGTGGTGAACTGATGTCCGTGCATAACCAGACTGATATTGGTGACAGTAAGCAGGGCTCTTAGCGTCTAGTCCATTTGCTTATATCTCGCAATATAGGTCGGCACACTGTCCATTGCACAATTCTTCATCGAGTACCAAAATACCCCTAAGCATCTATCGCACGAAAAAGAGTAGGCTGCCATTCCATCAATGCTCTGTCTAGTGTTCAACGTTTTCATACAGTTCATACTCGCTGGTGGAAGAGCCTCTGCTGTACAACAATGCCCACGTTTCCCCCACGCCCACTCATTCGCGTCCCCGTTCAAAATCCAAGCCCGACCATATCTTTATTCATCCAAACCAATCTAATCTCGCGCGGGCAGATGCCGCTGCTTTTGAACTGGGTTTGGGCGGCAACACAGACAGGATGCGGGGAAACATGTATACCCAGGAGGCCGCCGCTTGGGAGATAGGTAAAGGAAGGGAAGGTGCTAGAGCACTGATGGGACAGCCTCGAACTCGAGGAGAGCCACAACGCCAGTCTTCCTTCCATGTTGGCTCACCGTCAGACTCAGAATCTGACAGTTCCTGACCATCTTTTCCCTTAGCTATTCTCGCTTTTTGTTCGTCGTGTCAATTTCATGTATTCAATGGTCAATGCAATAATGTAATCTCCAGTCATCAGTACAGTAAAGAAGAATCCAAAAATGTACAATGCCTCAATGGCTTCTACCAACGCCACCACTAACCAAACCCGCTCGCTTGGGTACAAATCCATTTCTCTTAACAGACGAGCGAGTACCGTCACCCTCTGCCTTCCGCTGCCATTGATCAATGAGCCTTCCTACGCCCTGATACGGCTTATCAGGAGACGGCGTCCGTCTTTCATTGCTGCGCAACGCTATATCATCCACAGTCGATTTCCTTGTAGAGTCCGCTAAAGTTGCAGATTTCAGAGACACCTGCCGTGATCGAAGAGGAGGAGCAGACACGCTCTCCTCGTTCTCACCGGACATAGGCGTTGGGGAAGACCGTGAAGGAAATTTAATTGTCGAAGTATGAGAAGGAAGTCCGACTGGGGAAGTTCGACTAGGCGTTGCCTCGTCTGGAATGAGTAATGTCGTCTTTCCATTGACAAGATCGTTTCGCGGGGTTCCCGTCGAAGACGAGTTCCTCCCACCATCTATAGACTGAGAAGGCGTTTTCAGACCAGAAGATTTGGCAGAGAACACTCTCGCGTTCGCGTCGATATTCTCATACTTTTGAACCATGTCGGTAATTGACGTCCGACGAACCGGTCGTGGTGTACGTTCCTCTGGTATTGATAATCCAGCGGGAGCCACGGAAGAGGGTGAAGGCGTTTCCGCAGCCTTCGATGGTAAGATGAACATAGATTGAGGTCGACTACGTGAGGATATAGGTGATGTTGCAGATGCGACGGATGCTCGTTTCGTATGATGTGATGACATTGTCCTTGACATCGAAGGTGACCGGGTAAGTTGCCCGAGAGAATCGGAAGGGAAAAGCGCTGGTACAGGTGAAGCAGATGGTGTCGGTTTGTCATCCTTAGTCTCCGTAGCGCGCGATGGTCCTGTTATCAGTCTGCGCTGTGGTGTCTTCAAATCTCCACCAGATGACACTGGCATCTTTGGTGTAATGGTAACCCGTGTAGACTCCCTCTCTTTCTCGCGCTCTTTAGCTGTGCCACCACCCCACAAATCGACTAGATCGTGAACAGAACTTTGCCTACCCTTCCTTGCCCGTCTCTCTCGCTGATCAGGCGTTTTGAGAGTTGAAGTCGGAACGTAACGGTTTGCTTCCTCCGGGCCTTCATCTGCACTTGAAGATGACTCCACCTCCTTACTTTGTTGCATTTTTGAGGCAACTGGACTCCAGTTGTCCGTCAATCCCCCGTCACGAGGAGGGTCGGGCGCGGAGGTATCTAAAGGCGGGAACACTCGATCTGCGCGTGATAATGATAGGGTAGACGGGGCACCACTGGCAGTGGAGGAGGTTGGGGAGTCCATTGGAGGAGGTGGAGGTAGAACAGTGTCAGTCTGGGCAACGTTAGCCTCGGGTATGGAGAAACCACTCTTTTCAATGAAAGACGCTCGTTTACTTGGCGACTGACGAAGGACAGGATGAGATTTGTCGGCGGATGTAGGTGTTGTGAAGTGAGAAGGTATTGATTCTGATTCATCGTCGCCTGTCAGCCAGTCCTTGCTTTGAGTTGGTGTAGGAGATGGCTTAGGAGATGGTCTTGGAGGAAGACGAGGGGTATTCACGCCTGACGGAGATGTCGGTGTACCAGTTATTCTGGCACTGCGACTCGGTGACTCCAGTAAGTTATTAGTCTCCGGAGGCTTCTTAGTCACTGAGCTGCGATGTTTCCTTGTCACCCCCGGACGCTTGAAGGGGCTCTCAGTTGGATTCGGTGACGATGCCTCGCCGTTAACCTTGTCAGTCTCCCGTTCGACCTGGCCACCTCTGTCACTGAGACTCTTTGAAGCACCTTGCATAGTATTCATGACCTGCTCAGATCGAACTTTGTTTTGACCGTAGAGTTGTGTTCCCGGCTGAGGTAACCTAGTAGACATTCGTCTTCCAAGTGCAGGTCCTTCGTGCGATGGTAAGCCGCTCGTTCGCGGTGGAATCGGGGACTGTCGTCCCGGTGGAGTAGGCAATGGCCTAGAATCTGCACCGTTGCCACCGCCAAACTTAGCATCCAGTTCCTCCAATGATGGAAACCTGGCTTCTGCTGCTGAATCTACCTGAGAAGACGGCCTAGAAGACGGAGGCTGGGAGCTCCATGAAGAGCCAGAACCAGACGGTTTGAGCGGGGCAGAATCGGGTAAAGTGAGATATGAGGGGCGAGGGGATACAGATGATCGAACAGCGCCATTGTAAAAGTCAGAAGACCCAAAACTATGGGACACTGGGCTCATGACGGCTAGTCCAGTCCGCAGTTTCCGTGCCTCCCCAAGGGTCGGTGCTGGTTTCTTGTCAGAAATGGACAGCCCAAGACCTTCAAAAGCATCTTTGCTCCGGACGCTTGAACTCGGCTTAAAATGCCCTGTTGTTGAGCCAGCTGTAGGCTGCCGCCTGGCTGGAAATTTGGGTGTAGTATCATGCGGACGAGGAGATGAAAACTGAGGTGGGGATTTGGTAGAACCTGATTCGAACTCATCCCAGAGTTTAGTTGCGAAATCATCACTGAATCCCTTGGGTAGACTAGCTGAGCTTTTCGGTTGTGATGAGATTGCCCATGCATCATCTTTTGAGCTTTTCTTTGCGGGAGTAGCAGTCTTAACGGCTGACTTCCATGCCTTCTCTTCCTCAGCTCCAAAATCATCGTTTAGCCATTGTTCCTTGGATGATGTTGATCCTGAATCCTGATCCCGCATCGGACGCCCTCGGCGCATGGGAGCTATAGCTTCCAACACTTTATCTCGGGCTTGTAGGCCGGCATTTGTCGAAGGAGATGGAGATGGAGTAAAAGATTTTGCACCAAGGGCGATTTGTGGGGCAGCACGATAGGAAATTGTGCTGTCTAAAGGATGAGGGGATGGGACCGGCTTCCGTGAGGACTGGATACGTGGTGACAGTGTTTGAGGAGCGGGATTATGGCTGTAATGATATGAAGAGACAGTTCCACGCATTCTATGAACATTGGTAAGAAGTTCAAAGACAGAAGGCCGGTGGGTCCCATGTTCACGAAGCATGGATGCTATGGAATCCATGAGCTAGACGGACGATGATTACCAAATCACGCACCAATCAGAGCGTTCATCTGGGGCGAGTAGACAGGATACGGGGGTATTTTATAAGATACATTGAGAATAGCCAAAGGACCATGCTCCTCGAATGGTGTTGTGTAGTAGCAAAGCTTGTACAGCAGAACGCCAAGTGCCCAGACATCGCTCTTCTCGTCGACTGGTCTACGCAGGTACAGATCCACCATTTCAGGGGCTCTGTATTGTAACGTTGTATGTCTGTTCAGATCAGCTTCCAGAGCACGCAATTCCTGTGTATTAGTCGGGGCTTTGGAAACTGTAGCCGCAGAACCAAAGTCGCAGAGTTTGTAAGAGGTCGCTGACGCCTGGAGGATGTTCTCAACTTTGAGATCTCGATGTAAAAGTGGGGGACGTGAGTTATGCATGTGGGCAACGCCTTCGCAGACATCGACAAAAATAGTCAGGATCTCAGCCTCGGTCAAGCGCTCGCGCAGTCGCCTGTTCATCATGTCGATGATTCCACCTCCTACATGGACAAGTCAGCTACGAACAAAACACGAACAAGCGATGCGCACCGGGACAGAATTCCATCAGAATGAATACTTCGTATGTCCCGTTCGGTAGCCTATGCCAAGCAGCATCGATGAGATGAACAATGTTCGGATGGCCTTTGAGCAATCTCTGTGCAAAGAATGAAGCACTAGAAGAATCTCCGGCTGATTTCACTTGCCATAACATCCACCTCCTGCTTTACTTCGGTCAACATGCCTTCATTAGGAACGGCAATGCGTTTAAGAACATGATGTGTTGTGTTGTACACCGGTGTGGCTGTCCGTACGAGATACACATGGGCAAACCCGCCTGATGATGGTCTGAGGTCTATATTTCTCGAAATGAAAGATAATACAACGCACCTTGTGAAAGATATCGCTCCACCTGAACATTGAACTTGTTGACTGCGATGTTTTGGCCAGGGACCAGGGTTGCCGTCGTTGCCATGGAAGAGGAAATGCGACCGTATTCAAGGAATGCTTCCTGAAGATATAAGGATACGTGATCTAGAAGGTTAGGAGCAGGAATGAGATGGGCATGGGCCTGATCACTCGATTAGTGGTAGCTCTCGCAGCAGTACTGGGCAGTACGAAACAGTGTTCGTGTTGATCACGTGGTTGTTTCCGCTTTAGGCGATCATGCAGCGATCATATAAAGAGATTGAATACATTCACCCACTACGCGTCCCACCATGTCCGATCTTCTCCATCCTCTAACTTCTGCCGGAATACCCTATTCACGACCTCAGACACCGGGAGCATCTCCACCGCAGGTGGGATTTGTTGGTATCGGGTCCATGGGATTCTATATGGCCAGAAATCTTGCTACTCATCGGTCTCAAAATGCTCCACCTCTGTTAGTATGGAATCGATCGCAGCCAAAAGTTCAAAAGCTACTAGAAGAGGCTGGATCTGAGAACGTTCGCGTTGCCCAGAATCTGGAACAGATCGCGACAGAGTGTGATATCATCATTACCTCGTTGGCGAACGACTCGGTGGTGAAATCGGTCTACGAACAGCTGACAAAGGCTCTTTCGGTACGTGATATCGGCTAGACGTCCTTACGGACACTAATACAGGCAATCTATACAGCATGCGCCACCCGTAAGACACAAGATCTTTGTGGAAACGAGCACAGTTCGTGTCTTTAGTATTGGTCATCAATCAACTATTGCTCAGTGCGATAACAGACATATCCCACGCTCGCAGGTAATCGATAGCTACCTGGGCAATATGTCTTCTAAACCCTGCTCTAGGAGAACTTGATAAACTAGTGTCGGCAGTTCCTCATTCAAATCTAGTGACCTCCCCCATCATTGGTGCTCCCAAGGCCGCCGATGCAAGGCAACTTATCATCGGTATGCTCATTCTCGATTCTCCCCCTCAGTACTTCATGGTCTTTCTCAGTTATGAGCGGCGATTATAGGTCAAAGAAGGATGTAGCCTATCTGCTTGTACCTGCAGTCGGTCGGAGAATCATCGACCTCGGAGAAAATCTTGAGAAAGGTATTCTTATCTTAATTCACTTCTATCCAACATCTTCACCTTTGACTCAGCACCCACCTGCAAGCTAATTGCGAACTCCATGATTCTTGGAAGTCTAGAAATCCTTGCGGAGGCTTACACACTCGCAGAGAAGTCGGGCATTGGAGCCGAGAACGTTAATAGCATCGTTAAAGGTAGGGTCGCCCATATCCGCAGATGAACGCATCGGACATACTGACTTGACGTGCTTAGACGTATTTCCCACTCCTACGTTCGCCTTGTTACTTCTTGCTATCAATAATGCTCTATGCTAATTATTCTACAGTTTTATGGGGTATTCCGAGAAAATGAAGAACGACCACTTTGATGGAGCGGTTGGTTTCACCATTGACGGTGGTATCAAAGATGCCAGGTGGGTCGACTTCACTTCGTTATGTCACTGGTGTCTCCAATGTATCAATCATCGACAGCCACATCCGCCGCCTCACAGCTGAGCATAATGTGCCGATGCCTCTTGCCGACATTGCCTACCAGCACTTGATCACCGCTCGTGCTATTCATGACACACTGAAAGCAGAAGGTAAAGAGGTGTTTGATCCCCTTGACTGGAGTGCCATCGTCGCAAGTACCAGGGTGGCCGCCGGACTCGACGCTTTTGATAGCTCGAAGGTCAGATTCGTCTCACTTCTCTCTTTCGCGATTGCGACTCAATTGACCATCACAGCACACGGCCGTGGTAAGAGAGGAGTGATGTGTTTTTGAGAATCCGCATAGAATTGATGCTGCTAAAGAACTTTCGGAATGTATGTATAACCGTCTAATGCACGATCCCCTTGTATGTCGCAACAGCTACCCGAGTTCTCATCGCATCGGTTTTCTGAAGAACATCCAGTATTCTATATCAACGGTAAGGCTACGGCATTGCGGCAATGATGAGTAGCCATAATTCTGCAACGATGAGCCGGCGTGTTATTTATGAACCTTTCTTTACTCATTGCTCTATTTCTGTATGATATATTTCCAAGTGCAGGGATTGATCATGATGGGTCTAAATTGGTGACTCGCAAAGCACCTCGTAATAGCGGGGTAATATTCTTTTTCTACTTATGAACATTCTTACTGTTCTCCATTGAATCATACTAAGACCAGAGCTTAGCCCTAAGGCGAGTGTTATAAGATGATCAAGTGAGATTATGGCTTCTAATACACGCAATTGCTTCACCAACGCATCCCAAAATGGTGAGCAATGGTGATCGTCTTTCATATTATAATTAGCTGATGCACGCAGCACTTCACGTCAACCTAACCACATCGGCGGAATCTTTCCAACCCTCCGAGTCATTGCGGAGTTGTAAAATCAATTGGAAGGATGAAAAGACGGCGATAACCAAGTGCCTACAGCTTCAGATTTTTCCGGTATTGCACAAATGCAATAAGGTTGTCGCGGACTTCTTCCCCCCTCAACCTCAACACCCGGCCGCCCGGTTTCCGCCGGTCAATCGATTTCACCAGCTTTTTCATACCGTCTATACTTGCCGCCAGCCTGTTCACGTATCCTCCCTGACGGAAGTTTGTATCGTACGGTAGCATTTCGTCGGAGTATATATCGATTATTGCAGATACCGATTGGAGAACGGGTTCGACACCGGCTTCTGGTGATGTCCCAGTTGGAAAAAACGATAATAAATATTCAGATATTATCTGAAAACAGCTGATGAGGGCGCTACATAGAAAAGGAACATTCTAAATACGTACTCGATTGCCATCGATAGAATCAGGGTGTTGGGCCAAACACTCCAGTGTTCCAATGCACTTGACGCGTGTCTGTGCGTCGGAGCTGGCATTACAGAATTGGATGAGGAGGTTAACCTGATCCACGTCGGGAGTCTATTTAGTTATTGTCAGTACTGTTACTACCATCGTCAAGAAAGAACTACCAACCAAGGAACCTTTCCAAACATTGCCAATTCCCCATAAAACACCGACAGAGATCTCCCATACCTCTCGTCTTCGTTCCTGACCCATCCCGAAATCAGTACCAACAATGCTCAGCGCCGACCACACATCTTTCCACACTTTTTGGCCAGCTTCCTTGTCAGAAGAGACAGAGGAGTTCGGAACCCTGGCCAAGGATAGGAAAATATTGTTCAAACACTCAAGTGCACTGACGTGTATACCACTGAGAGCAGATGTGGTCGGAGGGTGTACAGATACGGACGCAAGGGGTGGGAACGAAAGTGAGGTGGGCTGTGCGAGAGCCAACAAAGCCGGAACCAGTGACGGAAGCAACGACACAGTTTCAGACTGTTCTGAATCGGGTTTGTCACCGTTGATGGCAGACACATCAACATCCATATCCTCTATCACTACATTTTCTTTGGTCAGCGGCGTATCTAAATTGTTTCACCAAAAGAATACCTTCGGCCTCATCTTCGTCGTCGTCTTCATTGCTATCGCTCTGTTCCTCGCCTACGCTCAGATTCGGGTCAGGCAGTGTCGCGCACGTTCCTGTCAGTATCTCGAGGGCCAACTGAACTGTTCGAAGGCGAGCCTCCAGGCGCTCAAGTTCAATCTCTATTGGGGATTTATGATCAGATTTGGGTGTGCTCTTCAGGGCCAGTTTGTCGATTTGTGGTATATCAGTCTGCATTGAATTGACATTACAACGGTATAACTGAGTGAAAGAAGGTACAAACCTGTTGAGAAACAAGAGTCTGCACATTGTTGGAAGCGTCGGGAAGAAATACCGACGAAATGACAGGCTGTAGTAAAGGCAAAACGAGGTCTTTGTCAATATCAACAAAGGAGGCTGCAACAGGTGGGGGTAGCGGCGAAACATTCCGGAGAATACCTGAAAGAACATAAAAACTTAGGTTTGCATTTGGGGAATGAGCTTACCAGCAGCTAAAACACCGAGGGTTATGGAACGTTGGTCCGGCTCTTTCGACTTGCCATTGACCTTTGTACCATCTTGAACGGAACGCGCAATGTCAAGAAGACAAGATATATATCCGGCGTCAGCCCTGACATCGCTTACAGCTGGATCGTTGTCGTCGGTCAAGACGTATAGACACTGGGCTGGTGGCAACCGTAAGTACCAAACCTATCATGGATAGAACTAACGTACCGGCAGCTACAACAGGAGCAACGGGAAGCTGTTCGCGAGACGCAAGGAAAGACATCAGGAATGGTACCAATCTTATGGCGTTAATGGCATTCAGCGCCTTATTCGAGGTTTCCCTTCCGTACAGGTCAGTGAAAATGCGTGATTAGCGGAAGCAGCACGCACGACAGGCACCATAGCGTTGTGATGACGTTGTCCGCAAACTCGTATACCACTTTTAGTGCATTTTCCGGTGCAGATTTGGGCGTTTGCAGAAATTGTTCAAGGGTAGAGGATATCTGTCACAGAGGGTCAGGAGATGAACTGAAAGCAAGCTAATGGAATAAACCTTGGGAATGAAGGTCTTCAATGAAACCAGAATATTCTTATTGTACATTTCCGCGCATATGTCGTAACCGCCATCGATGCACAAGTTTCTGCTCAACGCATCAACACGCAGAATAAGAATATGATACCCGGATGCACACACCGAAGGGATCCCATAGCCTCAATAACAACTTCTTCTTCATTGTCAGTCAATCGTGCTATCAATGCACCAACGACATTTTTTCCTTGAAGCAATCGCCTTGTCGAAGGATCATTCTGAATCAGATTCGACACCGCTACACATGCCCATTTCCGTTCTGATGAATCGGCACTCTCCATCTGGCCTCGAAGACCATCAGCTGCAGTCACAACAGAAAAGCATCTGTAATAACCTTTTGAATGATTGGCAAAATGGCCTCTGTTTTTGAGGACGTCGACGAAGCTTGGGCGAGTCCATGAGATAGATGTGAGTCTGGTACTCGCATTGGGTTGTGCCGCCGCATTGCGCGTTGTTTCTGCGACTTGCCCATGATGGGTGAGCGCAAAATTTTTTGGCTGGTGAGATAAGATCAGGTAGTATCTTCCCACGACTCTTATGCACCGCCACTGAGGACCTCACCGGCTCGGCAAACCAAATACAGCCAAAAGCCGAATGCGGTGCGTTTCCGAAAATATCTGACCACTGTTTCTGACTTGGAAACCAACTGCTCCTGCGGCTCCGATATTTCTCTTCCTGGTTCGTCTTCTTTATCTGGTTCGTCATAGCTTGCGTCAGTAGATGACTATCACGGAGCCTTTGAATCACACCAGACTGCGGTGGACGTCGGGACTTGGGTCCCGAGACGAGCACACCCACTTGAATTTATCTTGGCGCCGTTGTCAGCCTCGGGATCCGTGAGAACCTCATTACAATCTCGATGAGTTTCCATGCACCAATCATTCCAACCAGCAAGGTACCCACTTCCGGAACCAAATTCTGTGCACTACCAAGTCCTGTGCAGCCATCGGTCATTTTCCGATGTATCTGATACGAATCTGAGAACACGACCGCAGGGCACTCTTTTGTGTATCAGTGTTCTATACGCGGTGTAACTGCGACTCTGCGGAACTAGAATTAAGACCTTCCTGAAGCTCTTAATAGTGCAGGTCCCAGGAACGTTCTCACCTTACTGACTCCAGATCGTAAGTCTGAACATAACCACGGCGCTGCACGCACGATGGTCGGGTCGCAGCTGTCGCAAAGACGACAACACCAGCCACACAGCAGAACTTTATATTTTTCCCATCTCTGTTACTTTGGTCCCCAATCTCGCAACTGTCTTTCAACACTTGTTAAGAAAACAATACAAGTCTAGGCGCACACGTAAGTATCTCAGGTTGTACGTGCGCAAATTGGCTCCAGTTTCTGATTTCTTTTGAATTATTGCTTATTTCCTAAGTACTGTATTGCATGCTAAAACTACAACTACATATGTCACTAAAGATACTATGCCAATATAAATTGCCCCGAAACACATCCACAGATAATGAGCTGATACAATCGATGGTAAGTAACAAAGTAGCTTGCACCCAAACCCGGATGAAATAAAGAAATCAAGAGTGATAATGCGGAGGAAGTAGGGAGGGACCATCATCAACATTTTGCAGCGGCAGCTGAGTCTCCCCGACTACACTCTGATGTTCGTACGAAGACGCTTCATCTTCGTGTAGTTCCGCAGTCGTGTTCTCAACGACATCCACACCAATCTCCGGGGGTGGGGCAGAGGGTACGAGCTCGTGCAACTCCAGCACAGGACCACTAGTTACCGCTTCGAAGGGAGGTGCAGAGGGTCCGAGCTCCGGTTCGAGAGACTGGATATCTTCATCGAAGGTCGAATACGTGTAGTCGTACTCGTAATACTCCGAAGCCGCTTTTCCTTTGGATGACAAAGGCACCGGTGGAGCAGGGAAGAGTGAACTGCTCGGCGTAGAGGGACCACCACCAGTGAAACGGGGAGAACTATGCACGTCCGCAAAGGTGTCCAATGGCTCGTCTTGCCAAACAGGTGCTGAAGACTCCTGGTGTTGGCCCGGGATGTTGCCATCTTGGGGAGGTGAACTCGCAAATTGAGTCAGCCTTTGAAGAAGAGCCTTGTCATCAGTGGCCACATGCGCCGCATGGGCAGATGGCGAGTAGCCTAGCTCTTCTGAGTCCTCATTAGAAGACAGATGACCACCCGAGGATTGAGATGGTTGTCTAGAATGGTATGGAGTTAGAGGGGAAGCAATGGAGGATGCAAGACCGTCCGAAGGCGGTGCGAGACCTGAGGTGCGAATATAGATCCGAGGTACAGATAAAGGAGAGGGATGATGATAGGCAGGAGGAGACGTTGGCGGTGTAGCTGAGACAGGCGTTGGATCTGGAGGAAATGTACGAGAAACGTCGGCAAATTCGGTCGGAGGGGCTAGTGTGACTGGCTGTGTGCCCTCCGCCGAGGAGACTGATGAACGACGCGATGAATGTCTGGACCATGAAGGAGATACAGTTCCAGAAGAGAGGACATCTGCGTCGGGTATATTTTCTGGAGGGGCTGCTTCAGGCCGTAAGGATGATTGATTGATACTCAAAGTTCTTTTCCCCCGACGCTGCCTAGCAGAATGACGGGCGTTAGCCTTCCACCTAGCAGTAGCTCTAGCCCATATCTTCTTCTTCTTCTTGATACCACCCTGAGAAAGCGCCTCTTCCTCGTCAACAACGGGCTGTTTCCGCCTTTTGAGAGTATGCATCTCTATATCTTCCCTGGGTTTCCGCCGCCGCCTGTTGCGCCAGTAAAGGCAGCCGATAATGAGCAAGCATATTACGAAAGCAAGCACAAGGGAAAGGGTGACTATGAGTGTAGTACGTGGCTCGTGATTCTGCGGCCTCCAGCCATTGGGAAGGGTGTCGAGAATGTCACCTTCAGATGGGGAAGCTGAAGCTGATGTGGTAGTAGTGTCTTGGGAAGTGCCCGACGAAGCTTGGTAACTGGAAGCGGAACACGACTAGAGACTGTCAGGAAAGATAACGGGGGTATACAAAATAACACTGCTCACTGGACACATCGTTGAACCATATAGTGTATATGTATCCACCCGTCTCCACTGGCCGTCTGAGCCCTGCTCATACTTTAAGGGAATCGTTCGGCTGCCAAGCCGCTTGCGAACGGGGACTGATAGGACGGCAGATGAGTCGGAAATGTCGCGACGACACGTTTCTTCGACTGCCGCGAAATCTTGGCGGTATCTTGGGCAGAGAAAAGAGAGAGGAATGGGACTGGCGTCGACGGCCGGGAGTGAGGCGACAACGGTGGCCAGGAGGGATAGAAGAGAGGAGGATGGGGCAGGGATCTGATGGCAGGGACGTCGAGAACGCCGGGCACGACGACGGCGACGACGAGAGCTTGGTTGATAGTGGTCGGAGAGAGCGCCGGCTGCAACACCTGACATTATGAATGTCTTCGCCAAGCCAAGCTCAGACAGTAGACAGGATAGCAGAGATCTAGCGCCAAGCACGATGGGTGTTTGTGGGGCCTTGGTCTTGGCTCACCCAGCACGGGGGGGAGGCAGGTATATGAAAGGACGAAACGACAACAGCGCAAAACCGAGCCCTCCATTTTCGTCCAAAACTCAGCCTTTTGCCCTTATCTGGCCATTTCCGATTATTATCCTAAAATTACACCTATCGATTAAATTCCTTTTCTGCAAATTGGAATACCTATAAATAGAATCCCCTATACGGCACTCATTGCAGCCACGGACTCTTCCTCCGTTCCTCCTCCCTGGCGCGTGCCCGCTCTATCAACGAGCTACTCATCGAACAAGCAAACAGCGCCTCTTCTGACCCTCCCTCGTACACGATTTTGTACGTTGGTATACTAATTCGTACACTCAGCATTCCTTCTCCTGAAACGGCTGTGCCATCTGCCGAATGCCGGATCGACCTATATTTAGTTCGTGTATCACTATCAATCACGAGACGAGATCTGTCTGGTCTGACCTTGCGAGAAACATCCTGTTACTTGTCTCTTTGTCCATGGGAATCCATTCCGTGGGATGGCGCATCACATATGTGTTCACATACTCGCGCCAGCGGGACACAGCGTCCTTGCCATCCTCGACACTCGGGTCTTCGGCGGCCATGAGCTGTACACGAATCATTTTTGTCCCTCGCACCTGTCCGTCCGTCACATCGAAATCTGTCCAAGAATAGAGCAACCAAATATAGACTCACCCACTGAATTCGATAGAGATGGTCGTCTTGACCAACATGTCTCTCAGCTTCCCGTCGATAACGAATAACGTCTTGATTAGTTATTGAGTTCGTATGTTGCGCGCTCTGCAACAACGACCATAACTCCTGGCACTTAACGTCACCAATAATCGTCTGGACCTGGATACAATAATAGATCAGCTTTCATCAACAACCCGTCATCTCCATAAATACACTGCGCACCTGTTTCACCAAGGCGGTAATCAGCTTGTCCATCGTAAACAAGTGATAAGCCTACAAAAATACAATGCCTCACTTGAGCACCTTAATGAGCGGAGCTAATAGTTACCCCACCTTCTTTCCGAAAAACCATCTCATGTGTTCTTCGAATGTAATTTGATCTAGCTCCCCCGAGAATACTTTATCGCATGCATCTAAAAGATACATGTAAGCGACATTAGCGTCCTCCCGGGCGTTCAGAACGTCCTGAGTTTGTGTGAGTAACGTCGCGGGTCCATTCGGATCATCCAGGCCCAACTGAACAGCTACGGGGTTAGCCTTCAGCTGCGCATGCTTGTCTGCTATAAGCTGCTGTCCAACTTCCTTACACATCAGCAGGCGAGAGTACAACAGCTGTATAAAGAAAGCGCCATTGAGTAAACTCAATCACATGGCTGTCAAAAAATAAAGCGGCCTCACCTGCAATAGACGTAGTAATGTATAGAACGTTGTGTTCGCAAAAAAAGGCCGATCCGATTCACCACCATTAGCGATGTGATCAGAGGCTAGACCAGTTGCAGCAGTCTCCCTGATCCAAATATCTTCAGGCGGCACTCGATTGATCTGCTCGTCTTGCCGAACAGAGGGTGAACGACGACCCGAAGCAGGCGATGGGGCACGGGATCCTACTGCTGACATCGATCCCCTAGGGTTTCCAGTAGATGTCCTCTCCTGCACGGTTCGAAGAAGTTTCTTCCGCAAGTCTTCCGCAACGATACCATTGGAGTAAACAGAATAGACGCTGCCTGTTGATCTCCTGCCACCTCTGCTCCCGTCGCCATGTTCATGGGCATCATCAAGAATGCCGTCTGGAGGTCCGCACGCGTCGTTAAACTCAGCCAGTGGGTACATGCACAGGACTGGCACAAAAGTCCGGAGAAACTTCTCCACACTCCTTCGCTCAGGCTGGCTGTACTGGCCCTGTGAGCGATCTAAAAACGAAAAGATCATTTTCAGGGCGTCATGTAAAACGACAGTATCCTCGAAAGAATATTCAAGTTGTGGCCCAACGGAGCCTTTTGCAAATGTAGGGATGAGGTCTTGTGACCCGGCGGCAGTCTGCTGAGCTTTAATTGCCTCAATGTCGGCAACGAAGTGCTTCGCAGTGATGTTCTTTTTATCGTTCGCTTTGAAGCTGATCCCCTGATGATCCAGAGACTTATAGAAGTTCTTCGAATCAACCTCGCGCCAAGTCCGACTCCATTCACGCTGTGCCCGTCTCCATTCTTCGTCCTTTAGCTTGAGCCGGGTAAGAACAACTGGCACTGCAACACCAGGATTTTCTTGCAGCGCTCTCATAATTTCTATGCCGTGGTCGCGACCGTAGATCTTCTTGATGATGCGTTCGTACAGACACCGTCCCGACCCACCAAGATTTGGCTTAAGCCTGAACGACGACCGATCCTCACTAGACATCTCCTCGATTCGCGCGCAGAGTGGCTCTAAAACTGAGATGGTGGCCGTGAGAGCCTGCAGTTGGACATGATATTCGTGTCGCTCCTCCTCGCTCTTGTGAAGGGCTTCCTCAAAGGAGTTCTTCTTGTGAGTCTGAAAACCGGCTTCCTCGGAAGCCCATGTAGGATGCGAAACCCATTCGTCATTGAGTACAGACCGGCAAAGTTCATCACGACCGGAACATGCCAGGCGTACCTCCTGTAGAGTTATGGCGATCAATATTAGGACTCGCAGAAGCTACATTAAACCCACGCTGTCAGGAAGTTTCCGATAACTGGGACCTTCTCCATCATCAACAAGCAGCGCCGATAACGCCTCTGGAGGACCTGTTCGGATACTCCCAGGGGGTCCATTTTCAACGTTGTCTTGTCGTGGATCCCACCCAACTAATTCCTTAAACTCAGCCATCAGATCTCCATCACCCAGAAAGGCCCGACTTCGGTCAATCAGCGTTTTGACGTCGATAACCTCATTCGAGAACACTTTGAGGAGCTTCAAGAATTCCTCGTATATCTCTCGGCTTTCTAGGGCCTTCTTGGCGCGATCAAAGAATAAAAGGCGATCTGCAGATGCGGGGGCGGATGGCATTGAAATGGGATGGGTAGATATGGGAGGTTGCATTGGGTGAGAATGAGGTACAGGAGGCGGAGGTAATTGAGCGTTCGGTGGGTGTACATGCCCATGAGCGTGAGCAGGGTTGAGGCGATGACGGGCCCATGTACGGGGAGAATGAGGGTGACCCAGTGTCTTTATGGTGATGTTTAGGTTTCTTGGCCTGCATAATACGTGAGTTCAATCTACCCTAATTTGCAAAGGAAGAATCGGACAAACCCTGGTCGGTGCTATCTTCGTTGGAGGGACCGGAGTCGTATCTTTCTCTGCTACACGCTTCTTTCTCTTCAAAGGCTGCCCCGGTTTCTTTACGACTTTATCGGGAGAGCTTGATGATGCATCGGGGGTGTTCCACGCTTGTGACGCTGGCATCGTTTGACTCCCGGATGGCTGAGGAACAATCACCATTCCGTTCTGAGGAACGACCTCGGGAAGAAAGTCTTTGAATTCCGCCAACAATGCGGGAGCATCCTTGAACAAGACCCGGACTTGGGAGTAAACCTAAAAACCATACTCAAGGCCTCGATCAGAAAAGTACAAAGAACACATGCTCACCTCTTGGGTGTGCTTTTGCTCTTTCTGGTATGTTTGAAGGATGTCGAGAAATTGTTTGTACGTGTTAGGGACATCTGAATATTTCGCCTTTATCTTGTTTAAGTACTGGATCGCATGGTTGAACTCTCCCGGTGGCTGCTTCTCCACGGCGTTCTTGTTGTTCAAGTTCCCTAGAAGCGACGCGGCCGCATTCGTCTGTGTATTTTGGTGAAACCCCGGAGAAAAATTGGGATCGAACTGTGGAGGAACATGGGAGAGGTGGTACGCTTGCGGGGTCATTGAACGAGAGCCGAGCGGAGGCAATAGAGGCGGAGGGATACCAGGAGGGTACGGAAGTGGATGCGCGAGGTTAGGGCCAAACCCAGGAATATCGCGGGGTGGCTGTATTCTGGCAATTCCGAAATTGTTCGTACTTTGTGTCGTCGTTCCCTGGGGTGTAGTGACGGTGATTGTGTTCGGATCGAGGGGGTCTGCAGACACGTCTATGCGATACCCAACAGGAAGAAACGTGTTGAATCCTCCGATGAGTGTAGGATTCCCGTGGAATAGTCGTGATACCCGTGATATGACGCCAGGAGTATCGATGCTGAGGGAATGAGATGAATAAGAATACCAGATATCAAACGACACTGAGACGCACACTTGGCTTTTGAAATCCTTCATAATATCCAAGAACCGATTGTAAACTTCCGGTTTGTCTTGGAACTGGACCTTGACTGCATCCAAATAGCTCAGCGCATCCGTGACGTTCAACGGCCTTCCAGCTTCAGGCGATTTTGGCCCAGAGGGAGGTCCTGCGGCAGCGTCACCCGGACGCGGGGTCGGCGTCACTGGCTTCGGCGTCCCAGATTTTACTTTTGGACCTGGGGGAAACACGCGAGGGAAGCGAGGCCTCTTCACCAGTAGCATGCGTCGGGATCTTTGGTTTCGGTGGAGGGCTGTCGGTGTGCCCAGGATGGGGAAGAGGAGGGGTTGGTCTAGATGCCACAGACGACGATGACGGTCCAGTAATGGGCTTGATATCGGCATCCATGTCACCAATTCGAGAGCCAGGTCGTTGAGGAAAAGGTGCTTTTAGAGGAGGATCCACCGGTGCATCCATTGTGTGACAACGGGGTAGTGGGCGTTAGAGTGTAACCAGCGAAAATGAGTATGATCAACTCTTCGGTGATGATCTTATCATTAAGAGATAAGATGTGGCTGCTGCATGAAAGTATCCCCGTTTGGCGATTTGACCTTCGTTCTCCCATGCCTTTCGTGATCGTTTAGCGAAACAAAAGCTATAATAATGATACAAATTCTACCCAGATACAAGTACATTTTGATGCAAGGAATGTGAGGCTGTGTATATCAGACCGGTGAGCCTAAATTTCCAACCGATTATTTAAAAGTGATCGAAATAAATAATGAATGAGGCTAGCAATTATGAACTGTTGAAATTCTGATAGAAAACGATAGTGATGTCCATGAAACATTAAGTAGTCCGTGCCGGCGTAAGCAGTGGGGGAGTCGTCGTTGCCCGGCGATTTGATGGGGGTGGTAACGTACTGCTACGACTCGGCTGCTTGGCCTTAGGCACAGACAAAACGGGCCCCGAACCTGGAAGTGGTGTAAAATATGGCGCCTCATATGGATGTGTACGAGGACGAGGGGATGGTACTTTCGGGTTTTTTTCCCTCTCAATGACGCAGAATGACCTAGCCTTGCATATGCCTAGAAACGTGTCCATGTCAGAATTGTCAAGTCATCCGGATAGGATTGTCGCGTTACCTTTTTTCTCCATGCTAGAGCTTTTGTGAAATGTTTTTGATTTTTTAATTGTTGGTAGGTCATTAACAATCGAGCGTTCCATCGGAGAAGGCATTGGGATGGAGGATTTTGATTTCTTCCATGCGCGTCCGATCCGGAAACCATGCACATGCGAATTACGAAGCGGAGATGATTCCTCGCTCGATGCTGTAGGAAAATCATATATCTGAGCGCTCGATTCTGAACGCTCTGAGTATTCGGAAGGTGACATGGACGCGCGCGAATGCGGTGGAGGTGACGATGACCCCGGGTTGGGCGCGTCACTCATTAAAGTTTCGCTACGCCCCCGCTCCGTCGGTTCGGTGACAATCGGACCGTCGGAGTCATGAACATTATCAATCGGTTGTACGAGAAGATTGAAAACTGGTCGCGCCTCCTCCGTAACGAGGCCACGCTCCCGAGACCTGGTTGTGTCACGAACTTGATGCTGACGCGGTTTTTTCCTTTTGGAGACGCGGATTGGGTCCTTACGACGTGGGGGTCGCTCCTGTATGTCGGGGAAGAAAATACCCAACAAGAATGAAACCACGCTCTGCACGAATACCATCAGCAGCTGCCTTGGACATCAGAACTTTATCGCTCACCAAAGAAAAACCAACTGAGGCCAGCAGGAAACTGACGGTCAGCATGAACGCCTTTCGGAACATAGACTCCATATCACTACGGGGAAGATAAATGGGCATTGCCAATGGGGTTTAGGATGGCCTGAAAGACAGAATTGGCGAAAGAACGAAGGAATAGGTGTGTGATAATTAAGCGCTCAAGTCGCAGAAACTAGGTGCAGTGGAAATAGATCATAGTGGTGGTGGTTGTTTACAAAATTGATGTGGGTATGGGAAATCAAACAACTAAGCTTGCCAAGATCAAATTTATGTATTGAGTTTCTCCATTCCGGACTTCTTACGTGATGTCACAGTAGCTGATGGATCACGCGTCAGATCCGCCGCCCGCATAAATTCGCGTACGTTATCGAGATTACGTCGACCATTCCTTGCATCCGGTTGAGCCTACCTGCAAGTTGCCAGATCTTAGCCGAGTGAATCGTAAATTTGAGCTCATTCACCTGTTATTGAAGACGTGTGTTCCGGAAGAAGTAATCGTGATTATCAATCATCAATCAGGACTGGCCGCGCGTACAGCTTCGTCAGACTGTGTGAACAGAGGGGCGTTGTCAATGTCTCACTTCCTTAGCTGTGTCCGCGATCCGCACATGATATGCCGCCACCAGCGCGCACATATTTAATGTACAATTCGGAATATAAGTAATGTAACTTTGTAAGACGATGAGTAAATACAGGCAATGTCGAGTTTGCAACACGTGAAGGAGTCGTTAGGATTCGTCAGGATTCATCTCGAGAGTCAATTGCTCGAGAAAGTAATTTCCATCGTCGCTTAGACCTGACCTTGATTGGGTCCGAGAAAGGAAAGCTATGGCTCCGTGCCATTACTACCCGTGTCGGCTCAGGATACCTGTCGAACATCTGGAACGACAGAACCGAACGCGGTTTGATGTTGTCTGCGGCTCTGATCAGAACTATAGAACTATTCAATACGTGTGTTCATACCTTCTGCGTACGACTTTGGGTTGTCATGCTTGAATAGAGATTTGAATCTGGAATAAGGGGACCGGGGTAGGGGACCACTGCGGCGCGGAGAGCGGTCTCGTAAATTCTTTCTGCAACAGGCACGTTTCATGGTGAATACATGGCGAAGAGAAAGGTGTTCTGATGAAGTATTGGTGGAAGTGAAGAATGTGTCGTCGGTGGAGGTGGTGTGCAATGACGATCCTGATTGTATAGATCCTGCTCGTACGTGGCGAGGAATGGAGGCTAGAGTCAGGAGTTCGTCGTGTCCTTTGCTCATCGCCTCCTCAACCAGAGTATGATCTGAGGATGCATCACCAGAGCGTTTCTTGTGATGTCGGCAACGCCAATCGCGAAGACGACGTTTGCGTAGTTGGCGCTTCAATGAGTAGACAAGACGGGAGCGCGGTCGCAAGGAAGAAGGGGTTATAGCTGTTAAGAGCAACGCCGCAGTGCTCTAAATGTATATTGTCACTGAGAAATTCCTTGAAACCGAAATGGTTGACGCACCAGATAAACTCCCCATAAAGCCAAAATGAAGCAGGCAACGCGTATAGAGGCCCTTTGGGTGATTGACTCCATTAACGCTAGAGCGCTTCACATCGATTTCGGGCAATACCAAGGGCGACTGTCGGGAATTGTCCTATATACTGGTGGTAACGAGAGGACATCAGACAAGAAGATTGGTATCCGGAGGTCGCAGCTCCTCGACGCCTTCGTTGGCCGCTGCTGGGTATTTTTAGTGTGCTACCCGGATTCGCAACCCGATCGGAAAATGCAGCTTTCGGGCGCTATACATAAAACGGAGAGACTGTCATTTATCCGGTGATCCATTGTCAGTGTACAAGAAACTTTCACTTATAAGTAAAGAGGTCCAGGACAAAGAGAATCAATGGTAGACAAAAGTCTTGATTTTGGCGTGGGATACAGAAATGACCGGGGTCCGAGGTAATTAGTCGCTTGTCAGAGCCGCGTGCACGACGCCAGGAGACTCTCGAAGCTAGCCAGAAAAGATGAGCAAAGACCCTAGAGACATCTAGACGGTGCGAGTCGGAGCGATTAAAAGTTCCGGTTACGGAAATTCCGTCGGTGCTGTATGCAACCACCGATATTGTATAAAGGCAAGACTGGGTAGGCTGCTGCTCCCCGCTACAACAGATCAGCGGTCACATCATCCTTCCAATAGCTGATAACCTGCACTGTGCCGGATACTGAACACAGCGTCGACTGCGCCTTTGAAGATGAGAGAGCATAGGCAAGACAGTGTTGCCAAACTCGGATTCGGCACTCCGGCAACAGCCATCTTGGCGCAGGGCGGGTGCAGGGCTGTGCTACATTGCCGCCTTCTATAGACCTTTGGTTGACTTGGTCACCACTTCCATTGCCATCCAATTCTCCTTCCGTTTTTCTATTCTACCGTATATTCACTTCTCGCCTCCATTATCTTTCCATTCGTCGTCGACAAACATGGGTATCTTGCGCCCTGCGACACCAGGTTTCATCTGCACTCTCGTTGCGACAATCCTGCTCGCAGTCGTCTCATTCTGTGTACCCTTTTTAAAGTCGATATATTTTCTCAAGGCAAGCATATCGGAGGGTGGTTACAACGGTACCATCACGTTTGGTACATTAGGATACTGTCTGGAGTTGTCGAACGGTACGACCTGTTCTTCAGCATCGGTCGGGTATGAACTTGGTGAGACATTCCATTGCACCCTAATCTCGTGGGACCAATTATTTGCTGTCAAGATATCAACAGTCTTGTCGGTAATGACCTACCCATCAGTATTCCCAACGTCGCCGTCAAGTGGATAACATACGCCCTCGTCCTTCACATCGTTGCCCTCGGTCTTGCCGCCGTATCAGCTCTCTTTGGCCTCCTCGCACATGTGCGGGAAATGTCCATGACTTGTTGCAGCACCTGTGTGTCCGGCTTTGCTGCTGCCGTCGCCCTTATTGCATTCATCTTCGACCTCGTCCTTTTCTACGTCGCCAAAGCACGTATAAACTCTGTGGGAACTGCTTCAATGGGAACTGCCATTTGGTTGACATTAGCCGCATGGCTGCTCCTCTTCTTTAGTGGATGCTTCTACACCGTCGGTCGCTGCTGTATCTCAAAGCGTAAACCTAGGGATGAATGGGGTAGACGCAAAGACCGGGAGAATGGAGACTACGACCAGATGCGTTTGGATGCAGTCAAGGCTGAGGCTGACAGGAAGGCTATGCAACAGAAAGAAATCGGGTTATCGCCTCTGCCTGAAGCCCAACCTCTCACCGCTCGCGTCGACGGCGATAATGTAATCACTGAGCGTCCCTATAGTGACCAATCTGCACCCACTACGGCCAACAACCTACCGTCAGGCGGATATGGTGGCCGGCCGGTACAAGGAGGTGGTTATGTTGGAGGTGGCTACGTTCAAGCCCCTGCCGGTTCTCGAGCTGTAGACGAATATTACAATCCATCCCAATCCACGTCGTATCCACCCCAACCTCAGCCACGACGTCAAGGTAGCCATACCACAGGCTATGCTCCTTCGTCGTACGCCGCGTCGACTTATACCTACACGGCTCCTGAGCCTTCATCACCCACATACAACCTGCCCGTTAACAACCAGTATCTTTCTACAAATCCTCAGCAACATCCTGATCGCTATGACTCGCCCGTTGGTGGTTATGGACATACATCAGGAGGAACAACTTGTAAGTTCTAGTAGTATCGCCATGATTTGTCTTTTAACAGTATTGTTAGACCATTCAGCTGCATCCCATCAGCAGTATCCATCCGCATACTCGCAATATGATGCATATGATGCTGCGCCATCTCCAGCCCATCCACAGGCTCAGTCACGGTACACTGATCCTTACGGCATTCGAAGTTACACAACAAGCCCACCACCGTTGTCATCACAACCTCATACTTCCACCCATTATCCTGCACCGGTAGCCGGCCCTTCAGCACAGGAGCGGAACTACACATTAGGAGGAGATGGATATGGGCAAAACGGCCTGCCTCCTCTTCCTGAGCACACTCAAGAACATTCATACCTCTCGTATGCTGCGCCGACTCCTCAAACGCCTTCCCACATAAACACCGCCGTACCTGCAGCAGCAGCAGAAAGGCAAACAAGTCCGATGGGACCTCGAGCACATAGGTCAATGTCGCCGCAACAATACGATGATAGTCCTCCGCCTGGGTATGAGGCTGGACCTGCATTGCTCCCTGGGGGATGGAGTGGAAAGAATTAGACATTGAAATCACGATAAGTATTTTATTCACTACGGACACTTGGCTTTTTTTTTACACAACTATCCTCTGCTGTATTTGCACAATATGCATGCATACCCTCATTGTGACGACCTTCAACATGGAATAGCTTGCGGTACTTCCGCAAATAGTATAAGACCTAGTAATTTATCACAGCTCGTCTCTCTGGCGTTTGCTGCGGGAAGATTTGGGAGGTTCGGTGGATATTAACATCGATAAGAAGTCGTGGACGAGATCCGCAGCAGCAATGCCAGTAATTTCGGCTATGAGGACATTGATATGAGGATAAAGGACTCATATATGCTATGCAGACTAACCGTGGTCATATGAAGGAGCAACCTCGACAATGTCAGCACCGCTGTAACAAATTAGGGTCATCGAGTTCCTTCAGCAGATGAACGTTACTCACACAAAATTTAAGCCAGCTAATCCTCGAAGAATGCGCTTTACTTCACGCGTCGTCCATCCTCCCGCTTCAGGTGTTCCAGCTAGTGTAATATTAGTGGGAATTCAACAAGATGGATTCAACGTGCAGACACACTTGCGGGTGCGAGACCAGGGTCTACATCATGTTTGATTAATTCAAGTTTGAAGAAGGATACTCGAGACAATGTTCCTACCTATCACATCGATATCCAAGCTGTCGAAGAAATCATTAATATAAGCTATTAGAACGAGCCGACCTCGAATACTGACCTTAGATATACTGGGCTGTCTCCGATCCGAGTTCGAATGCGCTTGATGATTTCAGAAACACCGATTTCGTCCTATGTCGTCAGTAGATATGACACGGAACCCTACTTCCTCGTCATTCTCTAGATCTTCCGCACCCTTTAAGTTAATGTGTCAGTTAAGGGCATTGCTGGATACTCGCTACTCACCCCCAACTTGCAGCGAATACCCGCATGGATACTATTATTTCCCATCAACCCCTCCTCTTGTGCAAGATAGAAGAATGTCCCATGAGTTACGCGCGATTGTTCAGACGTCTGTCCGGCGTAGCTCGGCCAGGTGTCCTAACATAATGTTATTCATGAAGTAGACTATCAACGCTGGCTAGACCTACCAAGTGAGCATCGAAATGGATTACAGATACTGGTCCGTGAACTTTGTGTAGAGCCCGAAGAATAGGGAGGACCTGAAGGAGTTCAGAACTTGTTGATTCGAAAAGACGCATTTCGTACAATGGTGTGATCTCCTCCCAAACTTGTGAAACCATTGGTCAGTTCAAATCTGAAGAAGGCGTGTGTCGCACAAACCTGACAATGCGAGGCGGAAGAGGGTTCAGTTCAGTCGAGCTGGGCGCCGGTCGTTTCAAGAGGGTTGAGTATGCGACCTCCATTTGGTCGACAGCCAAGGCATTGTCGAATGGACTAACAGGAACCTGAACGCAAAACGGGTACTTGTCAATGACATTGACGCGAATAGAAACCACGTACGTCCCCGCAATCCACAATCTTCGCACCGTGATTGTAAGGGTTGTTTCCCCAAGACATGGTATATCCACGAGCTTCTCGCTGGCGTCGACTCCCAGATCTGATAGCATAAGGTCCAAATCGCGCCCTGTGATCCACAAGTTTTGTACATATATATAATGTTTCGTTCAGAAAGATGGCCCGAAATTCACCCTGGTCTGTAGGATACTCCAGTATCAAAAGGCATCCCAAGAATTGCGATATCAAAGGTCGCGTCCTCATCTTCTAGACAAAGCGTGTAGGGCAAGCGCGAGAACGAAAGAGGACCCGAAAATGGTTGATCAATGGGCTTCCCGTATTTCTCCATCCAAGATAAGGTCTTGTCCGCGTCATGGTCTGCCAGTGGTACTTGGTGAGCTGAGACTGAGGCTGCTAGAACTATTACAAGTGCTGCTGTCAAGGCCGTCATGGTAGTCTTGAGGATGAATCCACCCACTTTAACGGCTTAATGCTGGCCGTGGCTATCTAGTCCTTATCTCGAGGTTGTTCCGTCCTCGCTCCGTCTCATCCGGCAAAAGGCGGTCCGGGGGTAAATATAGAGGTCCAGGAAGAAAGATATCAGGATATTACACTACGTATAGAATATGTAGTAAATACATACAAAACAAACCTTGAAATTTTAAACTCACGCGCCGGTGCGCTTGTTCGCAATCCTAAGTGGCTCAACCTGCCATCTCCGACGATTTCTCGCTTTCTCCACCAAACTCTCCTCTTCCACTGTCGCGTTGACAACAGAAAGCACCCTGATCTTCCTGCTAGGCTCCGGAGAGTCATCAACCTCCCCCTCTTCCCCGCGCTCTTCCTCTACGACTTCATCTTCACCGAGATCTACTCCGCTCTGGTATACATCTTCGGGAGTAGAATGCGTGGGGCTCGTTGACTGGAACAGCGAAAGCGATGAGGTCAGAGCAGAGTGGATGAACTGCGAAGCATCGTCAATGATCGTCCGGGGCTTGCGCAACGGGATGGCCGCCAGGATGTAAGACTTGTCTTTCCAAGCATTCGAATGGAAAGCCGAAGGCAGAGGATACGCTGGATCGCAAGAGAAGTTCACGTGGATCTCTTTAGTTTGAAGATCATATGAGAATTTCGGGAGAGGATGAGAGTATGAATTAGGAAACGGAAGAGAGATAGGTCGGCGATGGCGCAAAACCAAACGGTCACCTTTAGGATAGCGAACGTGAGCAAGATCTGAGAAACATAATAAATATGTACCTTCAACATCAATAGCATGTCCGGAGGACCTTGAACACAGTGCGCCGGACGTGTCAATATAAAACACCTGGCGGGTGAAACAGAGTACAGATTAGAGCGCTACTTCGATGCTAGCGACAGATGCATGCCTGGTTGTTAGCCTCTGGATTCCTTCGACCTAGAAATATCGTTAGAAAGTCCAGTTTCTACGAGCCGCACTGACGCTCTCAGCGCCTACTTTCGACCAGTGACTTCTCCTTCTCGGGGAACAACAGAAGCTCGGTTCCGTCTTCGATAGCATCGCAAGCCACGTCTAGCAGGCGCTTTGTCGCAGCAGAACGAATAATAAAGTAGCCATCAGGGAAGCCATTCGTTTTCGAGTCGGCGGTCATGGTGGAAACTGTGAAACGATGTAGTTTCCTGTGGCTATGCAACTACAGGGTGGCTGTACGCTTCCTGATCCATCCTACATATATATGCTAAATCCAGTGCGACTATGTACTACCACTACAGCTTTGAAATAGGAGCGCACTAATAGTACTCATCTTCGTCATATTCATCTCCATCCAAGTACGCTCCCGGGATTAGACTGAAATCTCTCCGCCGCTGTGTTGCAAGCCTAGAGGATCGCCGGACGTTCTCCATTGCATGCCTCTCGGATTCCTCTCTTGCTACCCAATCTTCCAATGACCCACTCATTTTGGACAATCCTTTCCATTCATGCCTCGCCAAGATACTACCGCCACGTCCTGAATCCCATCCAGCGCTCATCATGACAGGCTCCTAGCAGGCACTTTAACAACCGGTAAAAATGAGACGCTGTCAAACTCCTACCTGTGAATGCCAACTGACATCGCGGACGCAGACACGCCGATTGGTGTGACGTGGTGGACTTAACCTTTCGGGCGCTGATGGATCGTGACCGATAGGCAGCGTTTGATTACGGTCAAGAATTTGTACAACAGTGCCATCGAGTGACCATATCTAATGATCCCAATACTTGAGCAAGATGTGTTACCAGTATCCAGAGACCTACATGTATGTTGCCGTCGGCTGAACCGGAATAGATGTATTGAGAACCTGTAGTCTCCGCAGGGCTAAAATGGCATCTGATGAGCGTTCTAAGTACGCTATGCCCCCGGTAGGTCATAACGCTACAATCCATGGGATGCGCTTGACGCTTCGGCTTGGGATATGGAGGATATCTTTACTGCATGAATAAACGTATAGTGATATCAATGAAATGCATACTTACCGGTAGTCAAAGTGGAAACCGTAGGTGCGATGCCCAGCGTTGTCATAGTCGAGGCTACTCCGCATTTTGCGCAAATCCCATAACCGTAATGCTTGATCTTTCCCGTTGGATATGACATATCTTCCATCTCCTTTGGCCGACACGTAGGTGATTCCTTCAGTGTGCCCCATGAGCACACCTGAAGGTTTCGGTGCCGCTCCTAAAGACCGTCGATCCCAGACTTTCAGGGAACTGTCATCGGATGCACTGACAAGAACATTTCCGGACGCAGTATCTGCCCAGCAACAACTATTGACGTCATCGGTGTGGGCCTTTATGTGAACAATTCGACGATTGGCCAGCAGGTCATATACAGAGATTAAGTTGCTGCCTCCAGCAATGACTTCATTCCCATCTGCGGAAAACCTACAAGCGTAGATATTGAATTCCTCATCGTAATTCCATGAATCGCGGCGCCGAGTTCGTGTGCTCCCGAAAGGGATGGGAACTTGTGTGGGAGTGTCATCGATGGTACTAGTCATGTACACAGTAGAAGTCTAGTAACAACGGTTAGCAGGGGGGTCCAATGTGGAGGTTATTCAAGTTTCACCAGCGAAGAGTAAATCATCCTTTGATTGTCGGGAGATAGATTCGCATCTGTGATTGTCCATCTGCCGGGGTGCCCGCGAATTCTGCGCCTGATATTCATTGTGGTCTGAACAGAGGTATCAGAAAGTGCTGCCTGGCGGTCCTCGGTTGAGAACGGTGGTGACGATGAGTCGTATATGTATAGCCGAAAGTCTTGAGAACAGGTATAATAGAACGACGAATCTAGCCGACATGAGAACAGCGTGCGAATTACCATGAACTGCATACGGTACCTGTGGAATACTGTGCCGTATAGATATTTGAATTGTATGATGCCATCGCTGAGCCATTTGAGTTGGGGACAAGATTCTATAAGACTCAGTGTATTGAAATCGCATTTGCAGCTGCTTGTACTTACAGTTATTAGGTCTTCCTTGAATAAGGTCGGCCGACGACCAGTGAACCGATTGGTGATAACCTTGACAAGGTTGCGCTCGCCTCTCCTGGCGTGAATCTTAGGGGCTATACGACCATACTCTCCACTATTTAGCAATTCCACTCCGGCTTCCTGAGGCTCTGTAGCAGGCTTGAGCCAGGACCGTGACTCCTGGTTGGTAACCGCTGGTTCGTAGTCATCGTCATCGTCGTCGGGGTCATCATCATCATCTTCATTCATCTGAATCTGAAGCAGCTGAAGCAGCTGCGTATTAGTTCTTAGCGTTCCCCGCTGCAGTTGGAATAATCCTGCGATGAAGTGAGCGGATGACTGACTTCAATCAGCGTTGCACGTACTGCCCAGCACTCCCAAGTTTATCCGGGGCGAGTCGATAGGCGACGCCTCCTCGTCGGTGTCTGGCTGCTCTCGTTGCATTGTGGTCCAAGACGCTGCAATGTCGAAGGGTGGAAGCCGAGTATCAAGCGGTGAGATAGCATTTGTAAGATAGTCGGCACAAGTTCGTCATGCCGGCGGCCCAATCACAAATTAAGGAGTGGCTGTGCTACATTCCCAGCTCTATCGTTGATGAAGTTGAACCAAAATGCGATGGAATTGTCCTGTTACCTCTAGCTCGAGCTGTCCCAAGGCATATTTATCGTAGCCTAGTTTAATTTCGTAGTTGCGTTATACAATGGCCGGGAAGCTGATACTCAAGTCAAAGTGCCCCGGGATCCATTCCCATTTCCAGCCTTATCTGTTGTGCGTGATTCGCCATGGATTCTCAAGCTCAAGTTTCAACTCGACTAAAATTACAACTCGAACAAGATACTGTAATGCATAGTATAACAGTTGAGTAGGCGGTAAACCATTGATATAGACAAGACTTCCGCATTACTTCTTTACAGAATGCACCAATCTCTGGAAATTGGGATACTATAGCATCGTACCAAGTGGGATAGTGGAGGAATTTGGAAACGAAAGCACAATATTCGATACCGTGGGAACGCCACTCAGTCAGTGTACAGCCACACCCATTCTTGTCTTTAGCTTTGAAGTTACGAACTACAAGCAATGACCGTTCCACTACCTTCAAACATCACCATCCAGGCAGATGAAATCAATTGCTTGATTTATTCTTATTTTCAGGATTGCGGTGCGTAATCGGCCTCTTGTATACATATTCAGTGGCTCAACTCACAGCGTTAGGTTTCACTCATTCCGCTTTCACCATCTGCCAAGAAGGACAACTCGAGCGTTCACCCAACTTCAAGAAGCATATTCCTCGTGGAGAACTTGCAGAGCTTCTTTCCAAGGCTCTATTTTACACCGCCATCGAATCCCATTTAAAAGGTGGAGAGGCCGCCGCCAACTGCAAGTCTCGATTTTCGCTACTCGAAAACCACGTTTGCTCCCCCGATCCACCCCAACAGGTCGTGACGACACTACTTGTTCCAACGCTTCTGCCTTCTTCCGTCAAGGAAAACATCACTACCACCACCACCAAGCTTGTCGAGAAAGGTCAATCAACCGGAAAGCCCAAGGTGACGCCGACACCTACTACAACTTCAGAGAGCATCGAGAAAGGCTTGAAGGGAACAGACGATATGGATATCGATGAACCTGCCCAAGGTGCGTTCTCGATGATTTTCATGGTGGCAGCAATCGTCTAAACGTGCCTTAGTTCCAAAGGTGGAAGTTACACCAACCGAATCTGTACTTGCCCCCATCACCGGAAAGGCAATAAACACCAAATCTCGTCCTGCAGATTATGATCCAGATGAAGACGGGCAACCTGCGAATGCAATCCGTACGATGGAGGGTCATAAATCCGAAGTGAGTATCTGTGATCATGGAGTGATGGCTTTCTGTTTTAACTCTCATATAGGTCTTTGTGTGTGCTTTTAATCCGGCGAAACCCTATGTGCTAGCTTCGGGGTACGCGTTTTGCAGACTGCTAGTGTATATCATTAATTTTCTCATATGTTTATGTAGATCCAAAGATGCTACAGTTAATTTGTGGCATGTTCCGGAACCTATTGATGATCCCCGTCCAAGTATACCGCGAAGCGTCGTTTTCACTCCGAAGGGAGGACAAGGTGACCTTACATCCATGCATTGGAACAAAGATGGGACATTCCTTGCTGTTGGCAGCTATGACTCTGTACTTCGAATATTAACGGCCACGGGAGAGACTTATGCTACCCTGGAAAAACACACCGTACGTGCATATGAGCCATTCATGAGCAATATTCACTTCCCGATCTCATTCTTAGGATCCTATATTCACAGTTCGCTTCTCTCCATCTGGTCGGTATTTGTTATCTGCAAGTCTTGACGGATCATCGTGCCTATGGGACGTTAAGACAAAGACCTTGCTAAGAGAATATCGATGTCATAGAGGTGAGAATCATTGGTCGTCTATTTTACATACTGATAATAATAATAGACTGTGTTCTTGATGTTGAATGGATAAACGACGCCATGTTTGCAAGTTGTGGGGCTGATAAGAACATACAAGTATTAAGTGTCGATGACCCTATGCCAATAAAGACCCTCACGTATGTTCCCTTCATCTTTACTTCTATATCGTTTTTCACGTTTCCATCTTTCAGTGGGCATACCAATGAAATTAACCAGATAGTAGTGAACTCTTCCGGGACCCGTCTAGCGTCGTGTTCAGACGATAAAACGGGCCGACTATGGAACATGACAAATCTATCGACGGATAGTATTCCTGGCTTGGGAGCTTCCGACCAGGTTGTCATACTTGATGGTCATAGGCACGCTGTGACCACCATGGCTTGGATTGAAGAGAAGCTGTCACGGGTATACGTGGCCACGTAAGCTGTTTAAATCTCTTCTTTCTTCTATGATTCAATTATTTTAGTGGTTCCTTTGATTGTTCTACGCGACTGTGGGATCCAGATACTGGCGACTGTCTGAAGGTATTCTCAGACTGGCGTCGGCCCGTGTATGTGATTACTGCTGCTCCAGGCGGACCGTTATTTGCCGCTGGAGGTGGTGATGGTTGGATGAATATATACGATGCTCGGGTTTGTACTTTCTTCTTTACCCTTCTGTTTTTTTTTAAAAAAAAACTTATCGGTCGAACAGGATCAGGAGAAGAAGTGGTCTTGGTTTTCAGGCTTTGACAGACCGGGGATATTCGACATAGATTGGCAGAGCTATGAGAAGGGGAAAATCAATCATGTGGCAGTTTCTCTTGAATCCCATAGGATGGTTGTCTTTGATGTAAATAGGATCGACGCCCTCAACACACATTAATTTACGGTATCTTTTAAATATATTGGATGACGATGCTGAAATTACGAGCCAAGTCGGAAACATCCGGCACCTATGACGTACGTCCGTCGGCAATGTTCTTGAACTTTCCTCCCTCCAAATTCCTGCTTAGATTGTCATCCAAGGTCATCCTTGTTTCAGTCTTCTACCACCACCATCATGTTGCGTGTCGGTTTCTCCTCCTCCGCTCGTCCCTTCCTCACCGCAAATTTTGCTCGCCAAGCTCGCCTGGCTCGTCAATTCAGCAGCTTCAGAACTAATGGCCTGCTTCAAACTTTACAGAAGCGCTCTAATCCCTTCACGCGGGGAAGCGTATTTTTGTCCTCGCGCTCCTACATGTCGGAGACACCGATAATTCAGACCTCAAAAGCTTTTTCATGGCGGAGATTCGCGTTGACGGCGGTAGGTTTATTTCGAACATCCCGACTTGCTTTTCTGATCAGTCCTAGGCTGGAGTCGCCGGAACCGTCGTCGTTATTGAAGGCGTTTTGAATCGAGAGACTCGAGATGGGTTGTCAGCCGGCGAGCAGGCGCTGCTCCACGACAGCTTCAAGTACACAGGCGGAGGACTCGTCCTCACTGCCCTCGCTGCGAGGGCCATGTTCAAATCAGGTTTTGCTGTCAGAGTGATGACTGCTAATCCCTGTATGTCTTTCTCTATCTTTCTCCGAGTTGCTTTCTGACCGCAATAGGGCTGGTATTGGGTGTCAGTTTGGTCGGAGGTATTGGGACTATGATGGGTACCATGTACACGTCGCCGGAAAACACCGTTCAGAAGCATCTTCTCTGGGGGGTATGTGTTCTTCCCAATGGATGGAAGTCTGTATTCACAATGATCTTAGGCTTTCAACCTGTGTCAAGCTGCTACTCTTAGCCCCATGTTCTTCTTTGCCCCTGCCATTCTGTCGAGAGCAGCGTTGTACACCTGCGGAATTGTCGGTTCGCTCTCTTATGTCGGGGCTACTGCGACGTAAGCTCTTGCACAATCCTTTTTGCATTTCTCATTCTCGTTTTAGAAACGATAAGTATATCAACATGGGTGGTCCTCTCCTAGCTGGTATCACTGTCGTCGCACTTAGTTCCTTGGCACCAATGGCTCTGCCACTTGGTATGCGCGGTCTCGCCGTCACCGAAGCTATCTCTCTGTATGGCGGATTGGCATTGTTTGGTGCTTTCGTGCTCTACGAGTAAGCAATACCCTGCAACACTCAGATACTGCTCTGACAAAGTCTTTAGTACTCAGAAGATTCTCCTCCACGCCCGCATGGCCGAGCAGGGTAGAATGAAAGCTGATCCCATAAACGAAGCCCTCGGCCTCGAGTTGGACATGATCAACATATTGTGCGTGTATTTGCTTACCTTCTCTATCTATCCTTCTTATGTTCTCCATAGTATCCGACTAGTCCAAATTTTATCCATGCAAAATAACAGAAAGTAAATAAGGGACTCTATGGAACTTCATTGTATCTTATCACCAAATGTATCTTCTGCCTCACTCACACAATGAAAGAGAATTAAAATTGAAACAAGCCCCACCCGCGCGAAAGGTAATTAATATGATGCATGGGACTACCATATATTGGATACCATTAAACACTTCCAGCCTTCCCGAGGACTTCAAGAATTTCTACGAAACCTCCAGGATCTAGAATTTCAGTGCCGCCATAGGTGACCCTCTTTCCTGTTCTACCAGCCCATTCCTCAAGATTACCGTACTCGACGTAGCCAGCACCGCCGACCATGAACACCACGCTTTCGGCAAAGGCCATGCGCCTTCCTCGATTGACGCCACTGCCGCCTGCACCTCCGGTCATTCCAGCATTTGCGTGTTTAGGCGCGCGCGGATCGAGGAAGATGAAATCATCTGTCTCCTGCAAAGATTGGTTCGAGGCCGCAGATGAATCCATTAATGCCTCTGTAAGACGTGTTACAGGGAGCAACTTGTTCCCCGGAAGGAAGTTCTTGACACCAGAGATGATGTTCTCAAGACCTCTATCTCGCAGGCTATCGGTCAGCTAAGATAAGTCGTTAATCATATTTGACGGAGCGAAGAGGACGTAGAAAGTTCATTTACCCTATTTCCCAAGGCACTAAAACCTCTGAAAAGCTCACCACCCTGCGCGACAGACCCCATAGTTGGTGTGGAGCTTCCCATATTTGGCACCGTCATCTTGGAAATCTCTCTCGTTCGTCGAACGTAATCAAAAGCAGACACGTCGGCACCAGCGGATTTGAGTTCTTTCTCTAACTCAGTGATATCGTCTTTCGTGATAGCATTATCCGGAGAAGATAGATAGAATACGATGACAAGACGAAGTTTGTCTTGTGCAGTGAAAGCGCCCTCTGGTCTCGGTGCCCGGAGAATTTCAAGGATAGAAGCTACAGTCTGCTGAATGTTTTAGGATAGGAAACGAGGTCATATTGTAGAACACACATGTTTGTTGATGGCCTCCTCGGTGCTAAACAGTTCATCCATACCACGCTTTTTGATCTCCTCAAGGAGCGCGGTGGCAATATTCATGTGAGTATCGAGGGTGGCTTTCCTTGCGGTTAATTCAGGGAGTTGGGTGATGGCGGTTTTCAAATGCGCAGCATTCGTTGATAAATCCCTAAAAAAAATGTTGTCAATAGATAAAAAATTCCGAGCGAGGCAAACTTTACAATTGTGAGATGTCATTAACGTCACTGACCCCGGTACTTCTAGTAATTTCTGCCGCATCCTGCTTGTACTTGTTCAGTTCATTGTCGATCTCCTCTGCAACCTGAGGGAACGGATTTGGTGCATTGCGGGCCCAGAAAAAATCCTTGGCATCCAAATCGTAGGAGCGTTTCTGAGGCTGTGACACGACAACGCGGTTGAGTTTGATTTCGAGACAGTCGGAAACTAGTGCTTGATACGTCCAACCATGAGAGACCATCGATACCATGTCAATATTACGATCCAGGATAAGTAAAACTGTATATTGGAATGAACGCGGTGAAAGATACATGTCTTGAAAGACAACCTACGAGGACGTTGAAGATTTGATAGACCAGTTGCATCCTGCGCGAACATGCCCGTAGATGCATGTGATCTGGAAGCAGTTATGAGAGCGTCGCGTATTTTCGTTTCGAGCTTCTTGGCTACCATCTCCGCAGCATTTCCTCTTGGTGAACGAATGAAAGGGACGTGTCCTTAAACTGGGATCAATGAAGAACAAAACATCGAGGAATTTTTGGGGCTTACCCATGGTAGCGATGGCGCTGAATATTCCACTGGCCACTCGTTCAATCTCTGCCTCTATTTGTTGTTCTGTCGACGATGGCGAATTAAGGATGGCATATGTGGACTGCGGTATCGGCGGTATGACTGGTGTTGAAGATACTGGAGGTGGTGGTAGTGGAAGAAGAGAGAAGAGAGACGGAGAAGGCGCAATGAAAGAGAGATACTGATCGACGACCTGGAAGAACGATTGAGAAAGTAAAGCTAGTACACTGAAACTAGCACTCACCTGTTCCACCATGTCTCCTGTTCCATCTCGAGCAACTGACGCTGCCAGTTCCTCGAGTAGTGAACGAGGAAGAGGCTCGACGAAGTTGAGATTGAAAGACTCATACAAGGATTTTTCGAGGTCCTCCGCTATCCGTCGAACGTTGGCCAAGGTAGGCGATACGAAATAGACGGCTGGAACGTCCGGTAGTGGCGGTCTCATCGAATGAAGCTGGCTACCAAGATAATTCGCCACAATGCTTTCAATGTAATGTCAAACAATACTTACACATGCAGCGTCACCCCAACGTCGCGTAGGTCTTGAACACGTAGAACCGTTGCCAATACATCTTTCGTTTGCTGGTCCAATACTAGTATCTTCCAAATAGGAGGGCCCGCAGGAGCAGGAGATTTGAGGCTTGTACCGGATTTTGTTGAAGTCGATGGATCGTTGTCAGGAGGATTGTTGAGGTTGAGAAGGGATAGCAAGGCTGATGTCTGTGCTTGTTGTAATGTAGGTGGCGAAGTTGCCTGTGCCAAAGAATAAAAATGATGGATGGAGTTCATTTTGAAGACAAAATTTACCTGTTTCAAGGCCGCACTGGCCATCGGTCGATGGAGATAGGTCAAGAGGTTATTTAAGCGCTTACCCTCGGTCTTCGACTTGTCCAAGGTTGCCCACGTGGAGGTGTGCCCAATTCGGCACCAACACAGCCACACTCATTCAGTACTGCAAATCAACTAGACAAGCCCGGGGGATAGCACATGAAATTCTACCTATGTCTTAATTATGAAGGCAAGATCCTCTTCAGTCCCTAGTCTTGTCCAGTGGATTCAAATCTAACCTTTCAGGTGCAAGCATGCAACGTCATCAAGATAGTAATTCATTGGCTACCTAATGAACTTTTGAGGCAGTCTGTTTCTGGTTTTATCACACCATGTGCTTTAGGCGGTTTGAAATTAGGCTGCTGAAGTCTCAAGGGAAGCCAGGGCCAATACTATGAAAAATCTACAGCTAAGTAAAAAAAACCAAGAGGCCATGAATCGAATGACTATTGATGAGCCGAACGCAAGTTGGATTTGGCACCCATACGGAACAATCTCAATTCAAAATCTCCACGTGATCGTGACGCCCTTTGAGTCGTTTCAAGTTTGAAGCAAGGATAATCAGCTAACAAACGGCCAAACACACAGCCGCCGCACCAATTTCTTCCCCACATCAATCTTGACTTCTATATGAAGGGTCTTCAACCCGCTTGACCCTGTTACCGGATGTGAACAAGGCACTGAATCCTGACATCACCTGTTCCACCTTCCATCATATCACCCTCGCGACCCAGGCTAACGGTATCATTACTTGTACATATCTAGGATGGGATGGTGACCCTACTCTCTTCTCCACTCCTTTTGACGACCAGGTTTCCGTGTAGGTACTCTCTTGCACCTTAACCCTCGAATCCTTATTCATTCAACTCCTTTAGGCTCCGGGCATCCGAGCCATGGGTTGTGTGTCAAGTAAAGAAATGGCCGGAAAATGCAAGACTAGTGCTGGGAAGCCTAACCCAAAGATGTCTACAAAAAGCACTACAAACCCCACGCAAGAGCAGCTTCCTTCCCCGGTCCGGGATTGCTCTGAACCAGCTCCATGGACAAGAAAGAAGGCACGATGGGTTTTGAAGGACGGCACATTGACCGCTATCGAATGACAATGGGTGAGTTCCAGCTCTATCGACGTCTCTAGCTGCACACCTTATTGTTTCTCCAGTCATCAAAACTTGAAACTCGAGGTTTCTATGTTATTATTTGGTTATTATGTACAAGATACTTGAACTTGGGATTCATGGGGACGTTCCAGAGGATATCAGCCAATCATTTCTCAGGAGACTCATCTTTCCTCTACCAAAGATATTCTGAGTTTTCGCATCTGAGTCTGAATATATACGTGGAGGTTCCTTGACGACCTGCCAATGAATATATTTAGATCATATAACGATATGAAAAATCTCCGAGAATTAACTGATAATCACGTCATATACGAGCGATGCGCCCGTTCATCTCACGTAGCGACGACGTACATTTGTCGGTTTGCAGTTGTAATGAACTTGGCCTTTTCACGTCATATCGGACGTGGGTGACGACGCGGTAAGCCTTTTCTTGATCGGAGATCGTTGATTGCTTGGCAACGACCTTGCTAACAAACATCGATCGAACTCCAACTTCGGAGCCAAATTTGTCGCGAACATTTCTTTGCATGCGCTCACGGTGACCGTACCCAGGACACTTCAGTTCTTCAACTTTTCTTTACTGCTATACGACCTGCCCTTGGAGGGCACTCATCATGACCCTTGGCATGACACAAACCAACTGGTGGACGACAAGCGATGTATCCACATTTATCTCCTCGGGTTTGGAAACAGCTTCAGAGGTCTCACCGACAGCCTCTCCAGACACCCAGGTATCGGAAACGGGATCCTCTTTATACTACTCAGGATCATATGCTTCGGGAAGCAGTGCTGGTGTCAGTACTACGGTATTCACAAGCCCCTTTCCCGTCACGACTATCACGAATTCGGCAACAATATTCACGTCCTACTCAGACCTCATTGGTACAAAAACCTTTACGAACTCATTCAACATGTCTCTCCCGTCTGATACTGCTCTTTCCGATGAAGCAACCCCGTCAGTACAATTCGCCGCGTCGTCGCAGATAAATCCAACATGTGTAGGAAATGGATTGGACGCCGCAGCAGACGGGTTGTTAGCATCTTTGGTAATACCAAGCGCAATCGGTCTCATAATATGGGTGAGGCATGCTTTATTCTTTCACGAATAATAGTACTGAATGAACTGTAGTTGATATTCGCAGCCTTACGACCGCGTTTTAGAAAAGTTTACGGGCTCAGAGAGTGGTTCGTACACCAGGAGTACGTTTTTCAACTTGACTGATGGCTTTGTCACTCATGTTGAACGTAGTATTCGTCCGAAACCACTAAGCGACTCGATCTTCGCCTTCCTATTCCCCCCTGTTCCTCTGGTCCCCTCAATCCCCTCCAATGTTTCCGATGCAGGAAAATCTATACGAACAGACGCTGCTCTTTTCCCTTCCGATGATCAACTTAGCCAGCGCACGCTGTGGACATGCTTTCTTATATGTTTGGGTTGGACATTCCTCGGCCTCGCAGGGGCATTGCCCTTGTATCTTGTGTCTACCCCTTGCCATTCCGAATTACCTTCTCCATCACTTTACGGGGGTGGATACAACATGCTGCAAGATCTCAGTCTGTCACGTCTACTGCGACTATTAGACACCGGAAACATAAGCACAGCTAACCTTGCCATCATGCTGAAGCGTGCAGACGCAACAGATAGCCAAAACTTCCGGATCAGAATCATTGTACTGACGGCCTTGACGTTGGTACTCGCTCTCCTTCCTGCGCTTTGGAAGATTCTGCGCGAGTTCAATCGCCTCGTAGCATATCGGGAGAGGTGGCTGGATATAATGTGTGAGGGGAAGGACATTGGCTGGTTGAGCGCGAGATACGCCCCTGGGTTTGTAGGCTGGGGGGAACAAAGGCTGAAAGATTTCATATTGAAAGCAGGATTGAGTTTGTCCTTTGACCACAACTCCTCCAGGGATCGTAACGCGACTAGGACTCGTAGTTCAGGCAGAAGAGGAAGAAGCGGGGAGACTGAGCCTCTGAATGCAGATCATGACGGGCGTCCGGAAGTGGATATTGAGACACTATTCTCTATCTCGTAAGTGCACCAGCTTCATGCACATCACCTTTCTAATACTATTTCCATCATTCCTGCAGTAACACAGAGCAACTTGCAGACCTAATCCTAAGGCGAGAGGAAATCCTAGGGAATCTGGAAATTGCGGAAACACAATATATAACGTGCTTCCGCCTAACCACCCCTGACCCCTCACTTGCTGACTGGGTTCCACCTTCGGCTGAGGATCTAACTCGGCCTCATATCAGCCGTCCACGACCGTTGCTCGGTTCGGTTAGTTCCACAGTGCTACTACCGTATCTTTATTAATTTCTATGACCTTGTAGCGCCGACGAAACCCCGCCTTTGCAGCCTCCTCACTTGCGCCTACGTCCTTCGTAGCACCGTCTACTTACTACAAAATTCGGGGTGTCCACGGCATCAGCGGAGGTCGATTTTCAGACATCAAGGAAGATCATGCAACATTTGCTGATTCCATTACTTCCCCAATCATTGGTGATCGCTTCCAGGAAGATAATCGACGGTCTCAGGGATCGAGCTTCTTTGGTTTGGGTAACTACTTCCGCGCTAATAGGTCAGACGAACTGGGAATGATACGGTCTCGTGATGAACTGTCAATGTTAACCCCTATTCCTCCGCCTCCTGATCCGCGAAAGTACGGTCCTAATTGGCTCGATTCCTCGGATGTTACAGGCTCATATGACGTTGACAAACCTTTGCCTCCAGTGGAAGAAGAATGGGTAGACGTTCTTCAAGAGCAGCCGGGAAAGTATATAGCAAGCGAACCCAATGGAAATCCTGCTGCCGGCCCATCGTCCTCTAGGCAACGTCCCAAGCGAGAGCAGCCTGTTTCTGCTGGAAAACGCGAAACCTTTCCGTTTAGGAAAAAGGACACTCACGAGAAGCAAGATATTCCACCTCCTCATCTGCGAATTCAACCCTCAGGACCCTTTGTACGACCCCAGGATGGGGTCGATTTTGACTATTTGGGCGACATCTATAGGGATATCACCGAATGGCGCACAAAACTGAAGGATATTAACACCCAAATTTCTAATGCCCAATTTACGTGCTACAAAGATATTGCCGAAGGTGCTCGAATGAAAGGTTGGCTCATGGTGGGAAGGGGTTTGCGGCATATACCAGGAATTCAGATTATTGAAGGTAGGGCGAAGGAAGATGTACGATGGGACGTTCTGCAAAACGAAAGGACCAGTTTGGATACCTGGGTGATGACCGCCACGATAATCATTGCTGTGATTCTGCTAGCAGCCGGATGTATAATCCTTTATTTTGATCCGTGTACATGTAAGCTGATAGTATGCTACAGTGACTGCAGCTTCAGGACTGGCTCTTTCTAATGCACCCGACTTTGCTCACTACATTACCTTCCTACAGCCGGTCACGACTGCCGGCACTCTTCCTTCTGGTATTGTGACTGTATGGGTTCCCGCTGTTATAGCTACAGTCTTCATATCCCTTACTCTAGCCCTCGTCCACTGTGCGTAGCTTTTAATTACTACGAGTACATCGCTGACATTCTCGCAGGGGTTTCCAATGTTCGAGGGACAGTTTCATACTCGGGCGGACAGCTCATGACATTCAAGATCACCTTCTACGTTCTTGTCTCTGTAGCAGTTATATGGATCCTCACCATTGGCGCATTGCTCTTCGCGCTACACGCATTTAGCGGTGACTTGGATAAGGCGACCACAGTTGCAAAGGGCTCCGTGTATATGACTGTATTTGCACTTTCTATTGTTTTGCAGATCGCTATCATCTTCCCTGGTCTTCTTCTGCTGCAACCGCTGCGCTTATGGAGCGTCATCCGCAATGAAAGGTATGCTATTACTCCCCGACAACATTTTAGAGGTACGTTAACATTCATAACTTCGGGTCATACGTTAGTCATTGATCTGCGTCATGCAAGCTATGTATCCGAAACCCTATGATGCCACCTTCGCTACAGGCGCATGTATCCTGGGAATTATATTTGCCTCAACGTTTTCCCTGATATTCCCGCTCATCGGACCTGCTGTTGTAATTCTGTTGTTCTTGACGCTGATTGGTGGGGAACTCCAACGTCAGTTTTTGAGGATCGACACTAACGATAGTCTTAGCGCATCGCTTCCTTGTTGGTTATGTTTATGGCCGCACGCTCTCCCAAACTGGCGGCCTGATACAAATATGGCTTCTTTGCCGCGTTGGTACTTTGCTGGCGTTTCAACCTATTCTCCTAGGTCTCATTTTCCTTGCTAATGAGATCTGGATTGAGGGGGGCGTTTTGATCGGAACTGGGGTAATAGTCATACTTTTCGTGGAAGCCTACACGAGCTGGCGGACGCGGCAACCGGGAAGGCGATCTCTGAGTATCGTCACCCAGAATTCGCTGGATACCTTTATTTCTCGCGCCTCCCAAACAAGACGCTTGGTTGTGGATGAAGAAGAATCGAGTCAGAAGAGCGGTAGTGGGGTACGTCGAACAAGAAGTTCGATGGCATCCGTATTGGAGATGATGAGCGTGACCCTCGCTGTCATGCCATCGTCTTCCACCACAAGAGGGTCTGTTCCTTTGCGTAAGTGTTTCGTTTACTTTGATCTTGGACATAACAAGTAAACTAACTGCCGGCAAATAGAAACGGAGAACTTGAATGACCTCACGGCCACGGAGCGTGCTGCTAGAACACACCCGGAAGCTCCTCCGCGCCTTCCTCCTTTATCGTTTTCTGATCACGAGGAGGATACAGCGGGAATACTATATGCTCCCGAGCTGATTGCTCCACCGCCGATAATTTGGCTTCCGAACGATTCAGCCGGCGTGGCACGCTCGGAGGCTGTAGACTTGCAAAAATATCACGACTTACGGGTTACTCTTGATGTTCGAGTGACAGACGATGTTATGCTCCAACGACCGACACCATCAGGAGTTCGAGGACAATGGTGACACGAACTACATTCTGGAGAATATAGGACTTTTATATAACGCTTGCTATAGTTACACGTATTTATCTATGCACAGTCTCAACTTTCTTGCCTATCGATTAAAAAATCCCTGGTACTGTACGATATCCTTAGAAAGTCCGAAATACATGCGGTCATGTAGGGGTGTTTCAGGGCCAGCGTGTCGTACTTGCGCTTCTCTGCCTTGTTCCCTTTCTTGCATGCCAGCCTCTTCCTAGTCGTCGAGGATGACTCGTACGAACATAAGCACTGGTATCCTTTAGTTGAAAAAATATTTGGTGCTGATGGCGTCCCTAGAAAAGTGACATCACTGACGAAAGAGGCAATACCGCCTATACCGCCAGATTGGTGATCACCCAAATGGCCCTTCGGCAAGATGTCCACGCGAAATTTGAGATATGGCTATCCGTCACGTATGAACTCCATAGGCTGATAGTAGCCCGTGATGGCCTCCTCGTCTGCAGGCGTTTCGATAGAAGCCCTCTATTTGCCGTAATACTGGGGACCGCCGATTTTCTTCTGGTGTTTGAGTTGATGAATATTTGCTCCACTGCATTCACGGAGATGCTCATGCGCCAAGCTGGGAAAGTACATGGGGAATGTGGCTCCGTCGTGGGGTCCTTGACGGCCTATGATCCGGATCAACTACAAAAGGTTCATTTTTCGCCCAACGTCTCTTTTCTTCCATACCATCGCCCTGGCTGCTTTCCCTCCCCGTCTTCGTCATGTTTTCCTCCAAGCCCTCAGGCCATAGCATCGACGTGGACCCTTTCATACTCTATTCTCGCTCTTTACATGATTATACCCTTCATCTATGGACGGAGTCTAGACGGGTGGTCGAGGAGGAGACTCAGCGGGCTGAGATGCTGAAGGAAGCTAACGCCCAATCAGCAAAGGCTTGCAAAGGGCTTTCAACAAACTCTCAGCCCTCGCCTTCATTTCCCCCCTCATCTACGACATCGATGACTATGAAGGACAAGGAGAAAAAGTGAACTCAATTTCTGTTCCGTGGCGGCGTCTCAACATGTGTCCCAGTCATTGGTCGGTAGGTCTAGCCTTCCCCGGGTTCCTGGTCTCCATGGACTTAACATGAGTCATTCAGCCTCGAGTGACCCTTGCTTCGAAATCCGTTTATCACGCTATCGTGTTGACATTCATCCCCATCCTGTACTTAGCATTTACCCTGCATGACGCGTTATGTTCGACCCTGTATCTATACTTGATCTCCATGCGCATGTTCCTTTATTGTCACCAGTACTTTTTCATAGACATACCACCATCCTTGCTCCAGTTATTCTGTTGCTATAGAACACCTGCCGCGCGTTTCCACGGCGCTTGGAACTTGATCGTAGCTAGCCATGCGAATGATGTCGTACGATCGTCTGGATTGACTTCTCGTTCTCTCATGGGGGATACGGGTACGCTAGGCTGCGAAAAAAGTGACCGCGATAAGTGGCCCAGACTTGAACCAGTCAACAGTTATACGTGTTCGTCTGATCCGTTGACTGCCTGATCACACATTTTCTCAGGACTTTCCAGGACTCCGCAGCACCGTCATGTGTAGCGATGATCCCTTGTGCTAGAGGTTCCATCAGCCGGAGCTACTTACCTATCATCAGGATACATGAAAAATAAGTTAAGCGTCGATTCAAGGTTCAGGCTAAGGTTCAACGTAACTTAGAGCATAGATTAACTAAAGATGATTCAAAATCACTTTTGCTACATATGCACGGTTCAGGACGATATTGGGCGGTTCTGATTCTATGTTAGAACCTCTCCAGTGCAGTGCTTATAGAGGCTTTCCGTTGAAAGTCTATCGACGTGTGAAGCTCAACCAGAGTGCAATTCAATCTAACGGCAAGTTCATGGTTCTCTCTGGGTCCGTGGATAGTAGAAATAACTGCAAATAAGACTGCATATGGTCGCGTGAGCGTCTCTCAAAGCCAAAGAGTCAGCTGTAAGCAAATACAATGTGACTCTGAGCAACACAAATCGAAGAATTTGTGGTCAAAAATGAAAGTCGAATTACCGAGTTGAACTTGTTTGTATGAGTACTATGACGTCATAGAAAAATGCCTCCGCGGACTCTGAATTTAAAATTAAATGAACGACAGTGGCGCCACTCAACTTGTTCGAAATCTCCGAACACCTCTCCGAGTTCAACACGCTGGACCATCTTTTTTTTTTTCATCATTCTCTTCCCTACTAGCAGTCTCGCAATATCTCACTGCCAAAAGGTGTTGGGCAATCACATCAGTGGAGTCTAAGGAACCCGCCGCCTCCCGAGAGCCGGCAAATGTACAGCACCTGTTCCCCCACGTGCGCTGCAGAATCAGTACATGTATTGGCGGCCCTGATGCGGACCGAACAATCCAATTCACGAACGTTCGCGTCTCGTGCTGTCGGTTTGGTGCCAGCGAACAATGCGCCCCATCTATCACGTTGCCACTAAAAGAGGCAACTATCGTGGGATAGCTATTTAACTTGAGTACCACAGGAGCTGGCAGCCTGATTGTGCTCTTGTCAATATTCACAATGCCGGGATCACTTGTGCTCAGGCTGTCTCTACTAGCGATAATTTCAAAGGCCTTTGCGGGGGCATTGGAACAGACAACAGCGATTTACACGGCCCCAGGGGCGTTTCCAACCTCACTGTACTCGGAATATTACAATAATCCGACAGCGACGTCCGCCCAAGTCCAGCCAGTCATATCTGATGCCGTTACCGTGAGTTGACGAATGACATACGTTCATTGTGCACCATTGAAACATCACCTGTCAGAACCAAGTTTACCCGCCCGATTTGACAAGTCCTGACACAATTCCGGTCAATAACACAGTAGACCCCCACCCACTGCCACCCACCGCGTTACCCTCTAGATTACACGCTCAGGCTTTCGCCCAAATCCAGTCAATTTCCACGAATCCCATCCTTCGGAGACAATACCTGCGCACGATGCCAGGCTGGCCTGGAAATTGCAAAGTTTCTTGCTTTGGCTGCACCAGAGGAAGGTCCTGCATTGGCCGTCGAGCTTTGTGAGGCCTTTGATTTCACCACCTCCTGCTCAGCCACGTACAACATTCTGGGACTGGGGTCAGTGATTACCCAGGTCATCGCTAACGCTGACGTTGGGGGCTACGATGGACAGGTGTGTAGGCCCGAAAGCCGTGCTATATATAAATATCTCAACATCTTTCTAAAAAAAGATGCTTTGCTCGAACTTCCTGGGTCTCTGTGAACTTCCACCGACATCGGCCTTAAACTTGACGAATTGGTTTGCGAAGCCGAAACCAAACCCTCTACCTACACCCAAACAGCCCAGTGGAGAGCGCTTGAAAGTACTCCATATCTCTGACTTGCATCTGGACCCTCGTCAGTATTGAAAATTCTTATCTCCAGTTACGACTCATTCTAGGCCGGTGTCAGGATACGCAACGGGGTCTGAAGCGAATTGTACGTCGGGCCTCTGCTGTCGCGCAGACAACTCGAACGCCGTTAGTCCAGAAACGCCGCTGTTCCCGGCTCCTCGTTATGGCGCATTCAAATGGTAAGAATCATACCTGTTTCTCTGAAGATGGCTGCGGTATACCATTTCCACTAGCGATTCCCCATTCGCGCTTGTCTTGGCCGCCCTTGAAGCCATTCCAGTTCTCACGGAAACCGAGGAGACCGGCTTCGCTTTTTCTTTGTACACAGGCGACTTGGTTTCGCATGATAAAGATAACCAGTTGTCCCGGTAAATGTCAGGTTTTCGTGACCGGATGCCAATTTAACTAGTTATCTCTGTTCAGTGACTATACGAAGTGGACCGAGGTATGCAGCGTATCCATTGTGGCGAATGACTGCGATCGAGCTCGATAGGCAACTGTGTATGACTTGTTCAAGCGAATGTTGGGCAACGGGGCTGTCTACCCAGCACTTGGAAATCATGATAGCTATAACCAGTCAGTCGTTCAGATATCGAAGGCGACTCGATTTCTGACTCTTATAAACTTGGCAGAGCCCAAGATGCTCCCCATGCAATCGGGCAAGGTCTTGCGCAGCAATTCAGCTGGCGAGTATCATATTCCGATGTGCTTCCTGTGCCTTTTCTCACATATTATTCTCTTAGGAATTATGACCATGTTGCAGGTCTGTGGGAACACGAAGGTTGGCTATCATCAGAAGCCGCCAACCTTTCACGGGCACACTATTCGGCGTACATGGTCAATCGGCAGGACGGGCTAAGGATAATCTCTTTGAACACGGATTTGTGTGAGCTTTTGTCTTCAAGTTCTTATCTAGGCCGCTCTAAAAATATAACTTGCTCGTTCTAGGGTACAAGTCAGTCATTCTTCTATCTTCGCGCCTGCATCGAGACCTTGACCTATCTGGTTAGAGCCAATTATTTCAATTACATCAACCTCACCGATCCTGATGTTAGTGGGATGTTGAGATTCCTAACCGACGAGTTACAGGATGCCGAAGATGCTGGTGATCGAGGTATGTCTGCGCTTTGATCATGATGATGGTCGATCATCGGTAACGGTCTTATCTTTCCGTTCCGTAGTGTGGATAATCGGGCACGTTCTGAGTGGTTGGGACGGGTCGAACCCTTTGGAGAATCCAACCAATCTTTTTTATCAAATGTGATAGGTTGTTTCACCAATCATTCAATTATCATGTTGACTGCTTTATCATTAGCGTCGATCGGTTTACACCTCATGTCATTGCAAGTCTGTCTCATTTTTTCCTTAGTAGGATTGGTACCCTTTCCTGACAGTCGTCATGCAGATATTTTTTTTGGCCATACCCACGAAGATCAGGTCTCGGTACGTGATTCCTGCCGTTCCTCGTGCAGAACTTGACTGCGCGTGCCTAAAAAGATTTTCTATGCCAACAATGCGACGGACGCGAGCGCAGAGACAGCTGGCACGATAGCATGGATAGGGCCATCGCTGACTCCTATCACGAATCTAAACTCTGGTTTCCGTATGTATGAAGTGGACTCTGCTGTGAGTGGTGGCCGTCATATACTGGATTGGTTATTCATAGGAGGCATAGACATTCGACATTGTTGATGCTCATACGTCAGATTCTTCTTCTGGCTTGAACTCGGGTTTGGTCTTATTTTTGAATCTGCAGGTGGAGGAGTGATGTCAGCCAATTCACTGCCCTTGACAATCAGACCAATGAGGGCCCAACTTACCTGTAAGTGCATTCGCATGATTGTGTCAAACCCGGGATATGAAGACCTAATTTTGTGTCATAGATATGAATACAGTACTCGAGCAGTCTACGGTGCAAACATAACTTGGGGCCAGACTGACCCATTAAACGCGACGTGGTGGCATCTTGTTACGGAAGGTTGGTCTGTGATTCTTAAAGCCATGATGAAAACCTGAAATCATCATTGATAGCGATGGAAGCCGACTCCTCGCTTGTTACGGTAGGTTCTTCATGCCGTACTTTTTGGCTGGAACAGATCTAAATTCACGCCACGACAGACTTTTCACACGCTGCAAGGTAAAACATCCATCAAAACAGGTAGCTGCGACGAAGCTTGTATTGCGGCGACAATTTGCTACATTCGGAGCGGATCGGCGAGTATCGCAAAAGAAAATTGCGAGTTGGGCTATGGATCTGTGCAATCTTGAATGGTACGATACGGTAGACATGAGTCAAAGCTGTGTGTTACTATGTAAAAAGAAGGGAAAAAATATTGTTACATCGGGGCGGACCGGAACTAGACTCGGAGAGCACGGGAAGTGAGGTCGGCATGTATATATGAACGGATGGAGGAACTTGGACCCGACTTCTTGCCGACATCCCTTTCATTTTTTACCCTCGAACTTTTCGGTGCGAAGATAACGCCCACCCTAGACCTCGCCTCGGCAATTCTTTGGAGCTCGGGACCTAACAACATCAACCACGACTCAACTCCTCGACAGTATATATAAAGCAACGAACGCCGATAATGACCTTAGATTCCTACCAATATTCGCGCTCAATGTCTGTCTTACCAAACGAACTGTGGCTCGAAATATTCTCCTGGGCAACCATGCCAGAGGGCACCACTCCCTACGAATCCAACTACAAACCCTTTCGTGAATCACCCGCCCGTGACGACCGCGGTGTCGACCTCGAAGTGAAGGCTCTCGCGTCGAAGCTGTCATTGGTCTGCAGGGAGTGGCACGCAATGACAAAGGAGCTCTTGTACAAGGATGTTCTCATCAACCGTGGTCAGAATGCCTTGAAGAGCGTCCTTTGTCCCCACCAAGATGACCCAGGATATGGGAAGATGGTGAGTCACTCCATGGAGACGCCATGTACAGTCTATTGACATGGCGAAGGTCCGTCGTGCCGTGCTACCCTATGACAGTACCGTCACCGACCACTGGACCAGGGATCCTTCACCGTCTATCGAGATCCTCAAGCTCTGCAGTCGTCTCGAGGTCCTGATAAGGCCCCGAACCGTCCAGTATGCCATGCGCACTCTTGCATTCGAGTTCGACGCCGACTCCGTCGCACTTCCTTCATTGAAGCGACTTGAGTGGTGGCACAATAGCGAGGCTGAGCGCTCAGGGGGTATCAACTCCCTTGGTGCTGTTCTGCGAAGCTCACCCAACATTGCGTACCTCTTCATCGGCGGCGCTTCAGGTATGAGCTCCATCATGCTTGACTCGACACCGCTATGTCTTCCTTCTCTGGAGACATTGCGCCTCTTTTCGGTTGGCGGCTTCCTCCTCCATCAAATCTGCAATCGCTTGACGCTCCCTGCTCTATCGCACGTTGTCGTGGACAGTGTGCTGAACAACGGTGATCTCGAGGGACTCTGGGAATTACACGGAGAAACCATTGAATCTGTCGAATTGGGCCGACATCTCCGTTTCATGCTGGGTGACGAGATCAGCCTTTGTCTCGAACACTGCCCTCGCCTCGAAGAGATCAACTACTACCTCTTCTTCATCGCCCCTCCCCACTTCGCCGGTGTTCATCAGAACGTTCACACCGTCAGTCTCCATGCCGCTCATACTATGGCCATAGACCACTTTGACAAATGGGAGCACCTTGAAAAGCATTTCGACTTGCTCCTCGGCGATTCCCTCCCTGCGCTGCACACAGTTCGTTTATTCGGTGATTGGAGTGAAATCATGGAACAACCTCGCTTTCACCATCTATATCATGCGTTGATAGATCGTGGCTGCTATGTCGACCTTTGATTTGATGCTCATTCGCTCTTCCTTCCTACGATTTCATCTCTGCAATGACTATGCCCCACGTTTGTCATTTCGACGAACATCTACTCACGATCACCTATGCATACATATACTACATTGGGACTGACTGGTTTTATTGCTTACGGATAGATTACTTATAGAGGTTATTTAGACAGAGGGATCTCTATCCTTCGCAGGATTCACTAACATATAGATAGAGTTGTTGATCCATATATATTCTTGATTGTGCTATGAAAAAAAAGTTCTCAGCCAACTCGCCTCTTTCTCCATATCCTCCATAGTGCGAGGAGGCCGATTTTCATCTGCGTCAACCCGCATCAACTGGGACTCAAATTGCATCTGCTTGAGATCGGAATCTAAGGATGCCTCGGAACGCTCTAACTCTGGATATATCTCATCTTTGTTTTTTGAGAATCGGTCGCCATGCTCTTTTCGTGGCATGACATGAAAATGCACATGGGGGACACTTTGCCCCGCAGCCTTTCCATCCTGTGAACCAAATGTGTTAAATAAATGCCTATCGATGAATATTAAATACCTGGCAAGCTACGGTTAGTGCATCAGCACCATAGACGCGTTCTATCACGCGCCCGACACGCTGTACTGAAGTCATGAGTGAAGACAGTTCCGCATCTGAAACCAGATTTCAACGACCACTATGCTGGCTGAATGCAATTAAGTACCATTGAGATCTGTAAGGCGATGGACAACTCTAGTGGGTATAACGAGCACATCTAAAAAGTCAGTGAGTTTGGTGCAGCTCAGCCGAAAGACGGTGCCAGCTCACGTCCTGGAACGATGGGCTTCAGATTTACGATAGCAAAGGAGAGTGGAGAGCGGTAGAAGGCTTGTCTAGTCACTTCAATAGTAGAGAAAAGCAAGGAAGTGTTCATTGGCACGTCTCGTGGCAGAAATAAAGTGGAAACGTGGTGGTGGTTGTAGGCGAAATTTCCTCGGGGTTTGCTGACGGGCCGCCCTTCCGGTGATCGGATGCCTTGAATCTCCTTTTCGTCTCCTCCCCCTCAAGTACTCATTCAGCTCTGGAGGAAACCGGCAAAACGGATTCTCTTGTAATAGAATCATGGTAATTTTCTTACTTGAGCATGATGTCTCAGTCAGCATTACCCACGACCCTCGTGGAATGGCGACTTATAAGCCTGGAAGTCATGGAAGTTTACATCCCATTGTTCCATCATGGCTAAAGACTTTACTGTTGCTATCGTAGGAGGCGGAATGTGTGGGATCGCCTGCGCAGTCGGTTTATCGAAGTCCGGTATTCGAGTTGATGTATTCGAAGCAGGTGTACGTTGGAACAGCAAGAAATTGACCATATGGCTGATATAATGATTTACTAGTCGAAATTCGAAGAGGTAGGAGCGGGCGTTGCATTAGGTATATATTGTACCTATTACTGTTTTGTAAATGCTGCTCTACTGACACTGCACAGGTCCTAACGCCTTACGAGCCCTCAAAGGGTTGGGATTATACGATGCTGTCTTATCTCGCTCGGATACTAGGAGCCCTACTTTTAGACATTTCCTATTTTTATCCGGATTGGATGATCATAAGGTCGTCTATGATGTTAGTAAGACTTCTGTATATGTCCCTTACTGCGCTAACATGACTTAGTATCCTATAGCGTCCGTGGATGACTTGGGGCTCGCCATATACAGACCTGTGTTCTTGGATGCTGCGGTCGGTCTTTTGGATCCTAATACTGTCCACTTCAACAAGCGTTGTGTGTCCATTGCATCGACGGAAAGCACCACGACGGTCAATTTTACGGACGGAACAAAGCACGAAGCCGACCTGGTAATTGGAGCTGATGGTATCCGAAGTGTAACAAGAGATTACGTCGTTGGAGATGGCGTACAGAAGCGTTTAGAGTTCACTAATACAATCGCGTACAGAGGCCTCATTCCGCTTGAAGACCTGAAGGCAGCAGGGCTACAGACGGAGCTTTCCACGCGCCCCGTTGCGTTTGTCGGATTGAACAAAGTAGGGTCGGAGCTATCTTTCTCTTGATACTTTCCATACTCATAGCATTTTTAGCATTTCATTATTTATCCTATTCACGGTGATAAAAGAGTACGCAGTAACTCAATCCATGCAAATCTAGAAGGTGACCGTGTCTTAGATTAACGTGGTCGTTTTCGTGTCCAAGAAGGACATCCCTTTTCAACCTGCGCTTCCATCTCCGTGGGTAGTTGCAGCCTCAGATGGGGAGCTCCAGGACCACTTCCAAGCATGGGGTCGCGATGCCCGCATAATTGTGGACCACATGAAAACATCTAGTAAATGGTCTATACACACTCTGAACCCTCCCCTTGTAAACTACTATCGCGGTAGGGTAGTGTTAGTTGGCGATGCTGTGAGTGCCTCGATTTTTCTTCACTCTGTTCATTCTGTGACGCCCACTAGGCACACGGTATGCCGCCCCATCTTGGGGCAGGCGTTGGCCAGGGATTTGAAGATGTGTTTGTGCTTTGCGAATTACTCAAGAACGATCAAGTCACTAAGTCAAATATCGAGGTAGATATTTGAATTCTATTGTGTCATGCTACGATAACAAGTGTTTTACAGGACGCACTTCAGGCTTATACAGAAGTGAGGTCGCCGCGTGCGAATGGTGTGATCGAGCGGACCATCGAAGCCGGACAAATCTATGAATCATACCAACCAGGTATGGAAACGCAGGAGGCGAAAAAATTGTCCAATTTATGGGAGCCAGTTTGGCACCACGATCTCGATGCAGATGTTAAAAGAGCGATAGAGATGGTTTCAAAGAATATCCAAGTTTTCTAAGGGGCTATATATGCATGTAACGGTCGTTGCCTATCAATACAATTTTCTATGCTATGAGTGATACTAATACACGATACAATTATAAGAAAATGTGCCTGCAAGCTAGAAACGGGTCGGCCTATGGGACCGACTTAATTCAGCGTATTTTTTCTGGTGCGAATGTATATGCGCAACCGGTGGGGGGGAGAGGCTATTAGATGCCTGGAGCATCTCGTCGATATGCCTGCCATCCGCCAATCCGTATGTGTATTCCAAAACGGCCAATTCCTTACATTGTCCCGCTTGACGTGCAAAAGCGTCCCTCGTGTCAACCAGACGCGGCATGGCATTCGGGCACTCGTGAAGTGCCGCGCTAGCAAAGTCGACGATGCGGATACCGTCGGGTGTGGTCAGGATATGGGACGAAGGCTTGACATTCCCATGGACAATCCCAGCTTGGTGAATTTTGCTCATCGCAATCATGATTTTGCAACTGGAAGAAAGCTTCAGTGAGGGGAGTTGTTCGTAGTAGTGCCAAGAAACAAACCTATAGTCGGCATGCCTGATGTTTGTAATGGCACAGTGTTCCAACACGAGACAACCCATCCTCCTTCCACCGTTATTGGTGACGAATAGTCCATAACACTTGGGGACGACAGTGCCTTGCAAAGCTCTCAGGTGCTGATTATAAACTTTCCCTTCCCACTGGAGGAAAGACAATTCCGTCTCGGTGCGCGCCACTTTGATAACGACAGGGGTGGTAGGCTGACGTCCGGATGGGCCCATGGAAGCGCGAAAGACGCGCGGTCGGATACTCTCGCAACAATGAATTGTGAATTGAGGGCTCGTATCGGGATCGACGTGACCTTTGAAACCATTGACGGCATCCCAGGACCACAGTTTGGAAACATGACCGCGTTCAAAGACGACTTCGATCGTGCTGGCTGATAAAAGCGGAGTCATGATGAGAAAGGGCGTTCGTGAGCAGTGAGGAATCAACAAATGCTTTAGCATGACTTGGTTATATACCGGTGGACCCGCCACTCAGCAGACTGCCACTAGACACCTTGCTCTTTGGCGCCGCTATGAATTCCATTGTGTGCACAAAATTCGTCGGAGGAACAATATACAATGAAGGTGTTCGATGATGGTGGCAGACAAGATCTGTGAACCAATGTTGAAATGCCGTAAGTTCAAGTCATGCAAAGAGGAGCATCAATGAAGACAGTAGCCGAAATAGGTTAGGAAAAGGTGGCTACATGTTCGAATGGCTTCGACAAGAACCTTTGTCTCGGTTGGAAAATATAAGTAACATCCAATCGGAAAGTCCATTGTCATTTGATGGTGAAGGACAACCCTTCAAAGAGAGATAGCAAGGAAAGCCACCGAGACTGAAGTTCTGTGCGAGAAGGTTGAACATATCGGTAGCCAGGACGCCCATCAAAACCGCGCGAGCCTCGAGGCAGATAAAGTCAAGTCTTGATCACGTCGAATATACACAGCCACCATCGTTGATCTTCAACCGACTTAACTTGATTATAGATACAATGTTCCTGATGAGAATACGCATGCCTGCCCTTGAATACGAACAACCCCTTTACCTTTCCCCACTCTGAGCATTCCTCCTCGTTTGCTAACTTGTGTGGCTGCCCCCAGTTCTTCCGTGACGTTCTTCTTGTTGAACCAATATGGTGTCAGCAAGCAGTGGGCAGCACCGCAGACGTGGTCTTCCCCAGAAGCGAGGATAGCCGGCGCGAACATTCGTGAAACGAAAATCTCCTCTCCTGTCAAAGACTCCGTAGTCAGTATATTCGTTGAGCAACCAGTCTCTCTCTATGATAGAATGTCGTGATCAAAGAATGTTACATTGGGGAAGAAAGGACGAACCAAGGGATTCACATTGATATCAGATTCCTTGAGATCCTCCCTTGCATCTACTTCAACGAGTAAGGAATTTCGGAAACCCTCGCCTCCCTTGCCGATGAACTTGATTTCGACTTCCCTACCAAAGGCACTATGTACCAGCTTTGACAATCTCTCTCCCTCATCTGCTCCAACCTCTTCCACCGTTGCCAGTGGAAGCTGGATCTCGTTGAACCCATCTCCCGCTTTGATAGCTCTCATCACACCACTGGCCGGTGTCTCGAACTCGAGCACCGCAACCTCGCTGGGAACGAGGTCGTGCTTCTCGAAAGCAACCTTTGCGGAGGCGATGGTTGCATGTCCGCAGAAGGGTACTTCCGTTCCCGGTCCTACGATGTAGCGTATCCTGAATCTGAATACTCTCGGATCTGTAGAGGGTGGGGCAGGAAAGAGGAACGCAGCGGCGGGCTGGTTGAGATTGTCTGCGATTTTCATCAGAACATCATCGGTGATATCAGGCTTGTCGAGAAAGATGACGGCAGCAGGATTCCCGCCGAAGGCATCATTAGAGAAGGCAGACACGAGATAAAAGGGAAAAGAGCGAATCATCTTCCTTTCGTTCAAAGGAGAGCGGGAGAGGTTGGTGTTTATTTTCTATGGTATGCAATGATTCAACGCAAACATTTATCGAGTCATCAAGTTAGTATCGGCCGATAGTATTGCTTCAAATTGGACAATTCGGAGTTGGTGAAGGATTTGATTGGACCCACCTTGACAATAATATGCCCTCTCGCACTTGTAAATTATCTCTATGTAGACGATGCGAGTTTTTTTTTCTCCTTTCGGAATGATAAGACGTTCGTTTGTTTGACGCCGTTCTTTAAAGGGTCGCACAGACGGTCCGAGCAAACAATAACTACGTGTAATCAGCAGGGTGTCGAGGTGGACATAAGCCATTTTTATCGCCGGCTGAGGCCTTGAGGCTTCGTTGCTATGTGGTGAGTTTAACCCGCATATGCATCGTATACCCATAAAAAGCTGTTGAATTACTGCTAATTACTGCTGTTGTGAATTAATTATCACAGCATTCAATGCGCAGCAGTCACTGAAGAGAAATCGCAGTCGGAGGGCAATGTTAAGTTTCACCGCCACATTCAGCGAGATCCATCTCGGGTGATGGCGCAGCAACCAAGATTGGGTCGTTCGATCCGTAATTGGCAGCGGCTGTCATTTCTGCCCATCGGCTGTCGTATTCTCGCGACAGATAAAATTCAAGAAAAAATTGAAACATCAAGATGGCGGCGAAAAGAAGGATTCTTGTGAGTTCGACGTGAAAATCGAGAAGGAGGCGTGACCGTGACGTGATGCTGAAACAGATCACGTGCCACGGAGAACAGCCTACCGTCCGGACAACCCTACCTTGTTCCATCTCCCCTTCGTTCGCTTCAGCCATGCCTCCACGCGGAAACGAAGGATTAGATTTCACGCCCATTCTTACTCATTATCTTTTTCTCTTCACATCTGTCTTGTCCCTCGTATGTCTTCCTCTTTTTTGTTGATACAAGCATGCTGAGAATTTCTGACATTTGTAGATTGCATGGTTTGTTGCATTTATCGGACAGTGTATAGCAACGGCGCAAAGTGAGTATTGGACCTTGTGGTATTTCAGCAAGCTCTTAACGAGTAGCAGTTTCCAATGATGTGGTCAACACACAATGGTTCGGAATATTCCTCCAACTTTTTTTGATAGTCGGCGTCCTGTACACTCTCGCCAGCGACTCGCTCGCCATGCATCGCTTCCAAATATCTGTCTTCGGTGCAATTGCCATAGTGTATGCCGTTGAGGGTGTGCAAAAGGGAATCTTCGCTTCGGCCGGCTCCTTAAATGCCATGGGCGCTGGCTGGCTCATCCTCGCGATAGTGGACATCCTCTGGGTCCTCTATTTCACCTCTGAGGAAGATTCCCTTGCCTTGCATATCTTTAACTCCCTAGGCACAGGCGGCCTTACCCCACCATCACGGCGGCGCCGCACTCGCACCCAGAATTCTGTGCACAATATGTCTACAACCAACGGCTATGTGGCCAACTACGCCTCTGGAGGCGGTATTGGTTCCCATGATGTTTACAAGACCGCAAGTGGCGCAGGAAGCGGTAACTTTACCGCAGGTGTTAGGAGTCAACATAGTTTTACTGCTCCGACAGAAGGAGGGGGGAAGAGCATCGGAGGAGGAGGAAGCATAACAGGTGTTACTAGCACTGCAGCGCCAGGTTCCATAGGTGGGGGAGACAACAACGGTCCCAATTCCCCCCTCATGGCTGGTGTTGGTGCTGGCAGTATGAGCGGACCTCCGCCCACCGAGCCCTCAGAAACAGCTGCCATAAAAGCCAAGGCGCTCTATGCGTGTAGGTTTACCACGCGCTCATTACTTCAATGTACTGACTGTTGAATCCAGATACCCAATCTCCCGACGATCCAAATGAGCTATCTTTCTCCAAAGGCGAAATTCTCGACGTCCTTGATAAACAGGGCAAGTGGTGGCAAGCCCGAAGAGCAGATGGCACAACAGGAAGTATGTCGTACGCTTTCCTACCTTTCGTTCTTCATGTTGATATCGCTTTTTCAGTCGCCCCATCAAACTATCTGCAGGTCATATAATGATTCAACGGCTTTCTCACGCTCTATACGATCTGTCTGTTACGCCCACATACTACATGCATGATCCTATGTAATTTCTCGGAGAACCTTTCTATGCAGTGTGCTCCTCTATTCTCCTTCTCAAAGTGTAAAGCACCGTCTTCCCATATTTTGTACCGCTGATCTCGTATCGCTGATTTTTGTTGTGCTTTCTACTTTTGTTTATCTATTGAGATACCATTTACTCTATCAGTTTCTTCGTGGAGACAGCGACGTGTAGCACTCAGAAAAAATGATGGCGAGATCATTCGTGGGAAAAAGTACATAACATTGTGTCTGTTGCTTCAATGATACAAGATTCGCCTTCTCTGTTATCTCCCAATATTATACTAGATTGTATATACTAATCATCGTCTTCTACCGCCGACACCGCCGCCAAGTATGACAAGTTTGTTGCTCTTCTTCCTCCTTCCTCCAGGTGCCTCCATTATTCCTCTGCTCCAGTTCATGCCAAGCTGCGTCAAAGTCCCATTCATCGTCATCGTCTCTCCGGACATGACGCTGCGCCACCAAGGTCTTGTGAAGGGCTCGAATGAACAGCAGATGCAAAACTCCGAGAACCCCATGCCCCTGGATTTACAGATTCCTGTGAGGGTAACGGAACCTCTTCATGCGGAGGCGATGCCGGTTCAACGTTGACCACGGTTGAAGAGATTGGCGGAGGACTCGTCCAAGTGGTGAACGAATGTTGCATTCGCCTCTCGCGCTCCCTCTCTTCGGCTCGAGCTCGTGCGCGATCATCCTTCTTGCCTTTCTCCCTCCTTCTTGATGTGCGCATTTTCAACGCACCCTCAAAGTTCTTCAGTCCTTCTGAACCAACGACGCCCTGTAGATCAGCTTCGATGAAAACAACGTCCGCGCCTTCGGGCATGTGGGCGAGATATTTACACCGTTTTCGCAGATCGTCGTTGACGGAGCCCTCAGATAAGGCTTCTACGCGAATGTCGATGGTGTCGGGAAATGATGAGTAGCTCTTAAAATGGGAGAGTAAGATCCTGATGTCTAGGGGATGAAGGAATAATGGAAGTCCGGACGCAGCCTGGTAGTAGTAGTACGTTGACGTCGAAGGTGGTGGCGGGTTCACATTGCGACGTTGCTTGGGGACGGCCTTGGGCTTTGGAGTGTCCGGGACCAATATGGAAGAAATCGTTGGAGAGCTGTTCGACCTCAGGGCCAGCAGTTCCTCCGGGACATCTGAGTCAAGCGGTGTATTTACCTGCTCAGCTTGGCGACGCGAATGGAGGCCATGTCGCACTTCAAGCTCTCGTAGTCCAGCGCGCGCCTTATCTATCTGCTCCCGAAGGATCGGGTTGTCCATAGCCATCGCTCTTGCTATCTGATTCTTCACCTTTAGTTCGGCACTGTCAATGAAAGACACGCCCAGGTCGTCGTTCATCCCCGCTAGTGTGCGCCGCTCCATTGCCAGCTCATCTAAATCTTGAGTCAGATCTGAGACGAGATAGTCTGGAGTCGCAAGCATGAACTTGGAGTAATTGAAGACGTCCGGTAGGAAATGGAAGGGGGCTTGATGTGGAGGAATAAGCTCCGACGGCCAGGTGCGTGAGCGGGGCAAGTGCCAGTGTTGTAATCTGAGGCCTCTGCATTAGTCGGAGTCGCATCGTCGAACCAGCGCGCGGTGCTTCGAATGGATTGTCTAGGATGGAAGAGGAGGACGCAGACGACGATGCTCCGCCGTTATCTTCTGCAGGCTCCAAGGAACGGCCCATCAAACCACTTGACACTCTTCAGCTGCTTGTCATTGACGGAATCAAAGCAAATGGGGCATCGCGCCCACTTGTTCTCAGATGTACTGAGATAGTGAAGAATGCAGGGGTAACAGAAGACCTATCTTGTCGTCAGTGAGATTCATGGAAATGGAAATTGTCGTACATGGCCGCATTTTGTCATACGTGAAGCTGTCGGTGGAGATAGACATATAGGGCACGTCGTATGCCCTTCACCACCCTGACCAGAGCCCTCACCGCCAGATGCGGCAGCAGCAAGTGCAGATGATCGAGGAATGATAACCTGTACGATATCATTCCACTGGAAGAAACTAAGGCGGCATTAGCTTTCTGGATGACAACTGCAAGTACAGAACTGACATGTCTGGATCAGCAAAGTGAACCGTATAATCTCCCGTGGGATTCATCACGAAACGATACTGTGCATTAACAAATCCTTGAAAGAACCTAGGTCATCTGCGGGCAAATGGAGCTTGGAGTACTTACGTTCCTTATTCCAGACGCCATGGTGAGTACCACCAGTCCTTCTGCTTCTCCTTGGTACACTCAACGGAGTCTGGGACTGCCTCGGAGGGAGAGTGAAGTTGAGGAGATGATTCAGATTGACTTGGGAATGCCATCTTGGATGCACGCTTGGGAGGTGTCGCCTGGGATGCAGAGAAGCTGGTCATGGGGAACGTCCGTATCGCTGTCTGTCGTTGTCGCTATTCGTCGCTGTTGTTGTCAGTGAGCGTCGGTGGTTGCAGGCTCCCTGTAGTGGGAGTTGACCACCTAGTGCTTCCCTCGGCATCGTGACTCCATATCTAGTAACCACGTGCGTGTCGGTTCCGTCATCTTTTACTCAGTTACTCAGATTCTCTCCATGATTTTTCATATCTTGTTCTCTTGCTACAACTATAGAGATATCCGATATCCATAGCAATATTTATTTGAGTACCTACCCAGCAAAGGCTCAATGTGAGAGTGCCGAAACATTGGGAGTCCCGACGCGTGACAAACAGCAGCAAATTCAATTTACCTTTCAACCACCATGGCAAAAGGCAAGAGTGTCAATCCTGCTGATGCTTACCGTAAGCCCTATTTCAACAATAATTCATGTCTACTCATTGCTGCAAATATTCTAGGTAAGGCTCTGCGCAAAAAAGAGCTGAAAAAGGCAGGCCAAATAGTCCTGTTCTGTCTTCAATTGACTAAACGGTTTGCCATGCAGTAGAACAAGGCCGATCGAACCAAGAAGCGCGACTTTGCCCTGGTCAAGAAAGATACATTTGGTCGGCATCTTTGCTTCCCGTCTAACAGCAGAGTTGACATCTCAGCCAGATTTCGAGGATGAAATTGCTAACCTGGAGGCCCTTCCTACTCCTTCATCGTCGGAAAAGGCTCGACTAACGGAAGCCAAGGCTGAACTAGAGAAGATTAATCAGAAGAAAGAAGAATATGTCAAGGAGCACCCCGAACACCGTCGACTCGTCTACCGGCCTCGGAAACAACAGACAGATCCTGATAAACCTGAGGAGGAACTCGTCTTGCCTACTCGGAATCTTTTCAAAGCGAATGGACTTCCTCGACACCCGGAACGGAGTATATACTATGACCCAGTTATGAACCCTTTTGGTGTCGCTCCACCTGGCATGCCTTACCGTGAACGAGGCAAGTGCCTTTTCCATATTCCGGGGCACTCAATTTAATTCCTGTTCAGACCTATTACCCGGTGAAATTGATAATGAGGCTGAAAATTCGGAAGGTAGTTTAAATCTCTTCCCTGCAAAGCTTGTTTGTTCATGCTACAGTTGCAGATGACGACGACGTTGTTATGCCAGAAGGTCCACCTCCAAAGCCAGAGGATGCAGTTGACAGTGATGATGACATACCCATGCCAGAGGGCCCACCACCAGGTCAAGAGTTGCCTGAACAGGGTACATCTGATGAAGTTCCCGTCAACCCGCCACTTCCGCCAATGCCGCCACCACCAATGTTACTAAATAACTTTGGACCTTCAACCTCCTTCCCTCCTTTTCCTCCCACAGGGTTCCCTGGTTATATGGCTCCTCCTCTAGGTGTACCTCCGCCGCCGCCTAGTTATGCTATGCCTCCGCCACCTCCAGGGTTCTTTTCTCGTCGGCAGCAATCTGCAACAACCTTGCAGGACCCATTGTCATCTGTTCCGCATCAAACATTCCAAGGCCATCGTGCTCAGGTTTTAGCGCCCCCGCATCCATCTCTACCCCCGAAACCTCGGCCGGAGGCCTCTCCGTCTGCGATAGTGTCGGCCGAGCCTCAACTGCGTGATTTGAAGAAGGAAGCTACATCATTTGTACCCACCTCGCTAAAACGCAAGAAGGCTGCTAGCGCGTCGGCATCTGGGAGGATCAATGCTGCGCCTGGTGTTGGTGACGTTGTTGAAGGAGAGATTTCGGCTCGGCCGGACTTGCTCAGTGCTCTAAAGGGTCAGTTTGGGCCCGCCCCGAATAATCGGCCTGCTGCACTACCCACCAAAGAAAAGAGTGCCGCAACAAAGACGAAGGACGACTACGAGAAGTTTGTTGAAGAGATGGGAGATATATTGGGACCCTAGTAGATGTTTGCACATTGAATCTGTACAGTAGCTGCAACGGATGAATTGAACTCATGTGAAGCTCGGATATAAGTCGGCCTTTACAAACCCAGCGATATCATTCTAGCCGAACCGGCTTTGGCTCGGCTGACCCAGGGCGTATAAAGCACCACCATGTTACAGGATTCACTTATCTGACTCGAACCATCAGCATGAGTGCGACGTCCACTATTCTACTTACCCCCCGGCCCTATGCCAATCTAGCAGGCTCATTTATTCTTGTACCACTACTGCCAAGCCCCAAACCCAAAAAAGTTTTCCCAGCGGAGATATGGGACGAAGTCTTCAAATGTGTATTAGAACAGGAAGACGGCGCAGGCGCTGCTATGGACCCTTGTCAAGACGAGTAGAGGCTTCATGGTCAGTTGCTGAGTCACGCTGGAGCTTGGCATAATTTCTCACTCGCGTTATTTTTAGGAATCTGCGCTTCCTCTCGCGTATCAGCGCGTTCAGATATCCACTGTCTCCAAGCTAGAAAAATTCTACACTACATTGTATTCTGCAGATCAAAAATGGGACTCCATTCGTAGAATTCCCTACTCGGCGCCTGGACGATGGGTCCAGGTACTTGATCTTTCCAACTTGACGTTTACAGGGCATGCACAAGCGTTGCTTCTGGACTCGTTGCTCACTCAGTTGTTCCCTTTGACGCCGCTTCTATCCCACTTCTCCATCAACCCTGCTTTTACTCTCAGTTGCCGCGCACTGACGGCTCTGGGAGACAGGGAAGGCGCGATCAACCTGAAGTCGTTGGAAGGAATAAGTCATGTTCCTACTGCGTCTTTGGCTGATTCTCTGACCGAGGAGGAACCCATCGTCAAGCTGCTTCGAAACTGCCCGGCCTTGCAAGAACTTGAGGTCGTCGGCGGAGGCCTTGACCCTTCGGAAGCGGAATGGTCGTTCAAGCCGACGGAGTTATCCGTTTTGCAGTCATTCAAGCCCTTATCGTTACCTAACCTTCGCATTTTGACATTGCTATCAATTCATTCAGGTTCTCTTCTGCACGCCTTACTTCTGTCGCCACTCCCCGCACTATGCAAGGTAACCATTACCCCGTACGATGATATCCCATACCCATCTTCCCTGGTGTCGCAATTCATCGCAACCCATGGGCCTAATCTTCGTTCGTTACTGTTATTCACACCAAAGTCCTGGCCTACAAGACTGCACCCTTCTCCTCGGACATTGTTATTAACATGCCCGAAACTACGGCATCTATCACTAGAACACCCGTTACCGTCGCTCCTTACGACAGAGCCTCATCAGCTGCAATATCTATCTATACCCCGTCCAAGTAGCCCTTCCTGGGAAATACTTGTCCGTCTTCTCCAGCAATTGCCTAATCTATGTGCTGTAAGAATCAGGGACGTTCGGTGGCTCCGGAAAGGAATGAACACTAGGGCACAGGAGGCAGGTGTACAAGGTGAAATGAAGGAATGGCGCCGAAGATTGGCGCGAAGAGGTGTTAAATTACTGGACACTGATTGGAAAGATATCGAGGTGTGATATTATACCGTTTGATCTTATGTTTTTTTACTTACCTATCTACTCCCTACTCCTTGTATTTGTGCGGACTTAATATGCTTGGCTCTGTAGTGTTGTAATCTCATGTACATTTAATCACATTAACTAGGAAGTTTCCAATCTAGTACATGAAGACTTCTCAGAACACCCTTCACCTCCAGGTAGTCAGGAATCGTCTTCCTCATAACGAAACCGTTCTTCTCAAATACTCTAACGCTTCCTTGGTTGCCTTCAAAGGCGGTGCCAATTATACGACGGACCCCCATCCTGGGTATTGCCCAGCTTTCGAGGAGTGTTGCGTACACGTCGGTCATTATACCCTTTCCGTGATGACTGGACGAAAGATAGCCTAGACGTGGTAATTAATTAATAGCACACTGGCTAGATGAACCCAAATGAGCGTACTTCCTATAGTCCAGAAGGTCCTGGGGTCCCCAGCAGGCCTCGAGACGTTTTCCGCCAATAGGCGGTCTTTTTCTCCTTGGCTAATTTCGGAGCAACTTGTTAAATCCATCCATGGACATCTAATGATGGTCGCATTCCCGATGAATGCGTCCGTTCCATCTTCGTTAACCTCGCGTATGTAGCTTACTGGACAGTCGTCAACGATCCGGAGTGATGCCTCGTCTCGTGCAGAATCTAACTCGTTGAGTACTCTATCTGATAATGACTTGACGTGGAGAAGCCAAGAGTCAGCGTGTTCTTGATGAGGGACAGTTAGTCATGCAGCGATCTTTTCCACCGGCATGCATACCTTGGAGATAAGGATACGGGGGACTCTTGAGCCACTTGCAAACGTGCTCGTCATTTAGCACTTCCATCAGAGCGGACGCGTCCGTCAGACGTGGTGGCGTTAATATTATGTTTGGGTGTGCTTTCAGGCGAAGAAAGGGCTCGCCATGAGAGTTAACCTCTAGGGGATACAACTGGCGGTTCTCCATGATGACTGCTAGCAGCAAAACCTCTTCTGATATATGATCCTCAGTGTCTCGGTCCTGCTTTCTCTCATGACTCGAATGATGGATAGCGTGATTTATTTAAATTGTAAAAGGTGATAGTACAACACTCGGTGTCTATGTAAAATATCCTTATATCGAATTTCGGCGCGCACTTTGTCCTTTCCTCTTCGCATTGATTGTATCCTTACCATCAATCAGCGCAGACGGAAGTCGACCTTCTTCATCCAACTTTTTCAATGTTTTCATAGCTGCATGATAACCCAATTTCTGAATCTCTTCAAACTTGCCGAACTGCAAGGTTCCGTACTATAACACTAATCGTCAGCGGCTGCGAATTAGCTATGCAGCGGATAGACAAACCTCGTGTACGGGCATCGCAATATAAAAACACCCAGGTGCAACTTTGGCATCTTCCAACGTTTTCACACTTGAGACACTAAGCAAATACAATCAACAGGAGGTACCCAAAAGAGGCGTTAGGTGAACTCACTAAGCAAGACGACTCTGGATTTCAGTAATCGCAGGGATATTTCTGGTATTTGAAAACGGATTCCATCGGTTGAGCAGTAGCCACCATCCAGATACATGGTCCCCGAAGTTTCGCGGTGAATTGTCATCAAGCTATTGAGTTCATGAGTAATTTTGCAGAAATTCAGCGTCAGCACTCACAGATCCTACGTCACACGCAAAAACGACATTAGTTCCCATTGAGAACATAGCAGATACCTTGAACATAATGTCAGCCTTCACTACACTAATATTCGAGCATTACGTCGCCCGCACCGGTAAGTTATCAACTAAAGATTTGTTTTTAGCAAGATCTCCTTTGCGCAAACAATGAGATGCTCACTATAACCGCCGTCGACATGCATGTGACCATTATCACAAAGAGGAGGAAGTAGGCCAACCAAGGTCATAGAAGCACCTGAGAAAGATAAAGATTGGAGAGCAACGAATCGGTAGGAAACGTACGGATAAATCTCCATGCATAGCCTGTTTCATGGATTTCCATCTCCGACGTATTTATATTCGTAGTGTTGCAGAAAAACGGCAGCCACATGTCTTCAATGTGAAGGTCGTAGAAAGCCTGTGAATGAATAAACTTAGCAGACTTTTTACCACGCGACGACGCGCCAATCTACCTTGTACAAAGACCGATTGAATTCATGGCCCTGTGAGTACGGCATCAATAAACATAAATGACACAGAGGAAGGTTTTACTGTTGTATATGCCACAATTGGGTAAGTCACATCGGATAGCATCCTCCAAATATTTCCCATGCGGCTGCTGAACTGTTTGGCACGCCCAGCACTATATAGGATATCGCCCTCCCTTGCGTATAAGCCACCAATGAGAGCACCTATGCTGGTCCCTGAACACGATGCGTATGATGTCAGACCCTTAACCTCTAGTTTCCAAGTTTAATGTACCTCCAACGTGATCAATGGGTATACCATACTCCTCAAGCGCACGTATCAATCCCTGAATGGTTCGTTAGAAATGGCAAGTGCCAAAAAAGCGTAGGCTACCAAATGGGCGATACCACGAGCCCCACCACCGCCCAGTATTAAGCCGATGGACCTTCCGCATATTCTTCGGGCAAGTCGAGAGAAGTCATTTACTCTTGCGGAACGCTGGGGCCGGGAATCACTATGTCTACCGCGATACTTTTGGATCTCACTCTGAACTTTGTCCTTTAAATTCTTTAATGCAGTTACCGCATCCGGCCCTTTGGCAACGACGGTGACTTTGGGAATCGGAAGCACTAGACCCTGAAGAAACATCAGCTATCTGTTTCCCTTCATGTGCGACTGCGTACCGGAAGCTCCACATGTATATGTTGATGGACCCACGGCCGGTTCTGTTTTTCAGTAACTGAGAGGCAGGTGTTATTGCTTCGGGGATTAAATTTACCTTTAGCCACTCCCTCGTAGATCCCGGCATGACAGTTCGATCAGGGTGCAAGAGAATGAGCTCCTTGCGGGCAGTCGTTTTCATCGAGAGCAACAACCGTTCGTATTCGCCTATTGAAGGGTCTTCTCCCATGCCGACCACCATTATACAGTCCGCCTACATGTAATAGAAGTATTGGAAGGAGACCAGGAAGGAAACTTTAAAGGGTTCACCTGTCTGATGCAAGTTTGAGTCCAGGAACTATTTACGGGTGAATCGGCAACATAGAGAACTGTTCTATATCTTTGTTCTTGGTCGGCCAGCCATCCGGCTGCCTTGAGTTTGCCCATCCTAGTAAATGCATGCCGGCCCAGTTGATTGGATATCGAAGCCTGATTGAGGTAAGATGTAGTGGCGCCTATACCCTCCAGAGCACTCTGGAGCTTCCTCGAAAAAGCATCGATGGGAACGCTACGTGACACAGGAAGAACTGCCACGGTTTTGAGATTATTGTTATATCCCGGTTCTGATGGCACACTTCTTGACTTGGTAGATTTCGAGTCTAATTCAACCCTTACTCGCGTCGCGATCATTCGCAATATCCTGTAGGAAACGCAAAGGGAAATCAACTGAGGCACACGGAGAGTTTTTTGGGCTTGGACGTACTGGGCTGTGATCTGGGGGTTCCTGGAAACATATGCATGAGTTAGGAAGCTTAGAGAATACTTCTGAGTTCGTACCGAGCAGATATAGCGTTGAACAGCGTTTGTGGCATTCTAATCAGTTCAGTGTCTCGTATAGCGTGTAAGGTATTTCGGCGAAGTGAGCTTGTGATGACGTCGACCTCCCCCACTGTATCTCCTTGACCATACTCCCCAACGATTGACACGCTTCCGTCTTCAGACTCAGAAATGGCCCGCAGACGGCCATTGATGACAATGTAGAAGCTGTCGCTAATATCTTGAGGCCGCCAAAGCACCTGACCGGCATTCACTTGCATCCAATCCAAAGACGCATCAATGTGAAGCACTACAGTTGGTTAGGTCATTGTCTGGTATGGACTTAAAGGTGTAAGATGTACCAAGAGGTGACAAAAGGCTAATCAGGCGTTTGGCAAGAGTGAGCAGAACGATCGGACGCTTTTCGAGCAGGCGCTCGAGGGCGTGTGAGGGTAGAAACCCCACATACGTATCAGTCTTCGCCTTGATGTCGACATAAGAGGCAGTATTACAGAGGGAAGCTAATTAAATTATGGAAATTATCGTATTGTTCCTGGCATGAAAACTCACCGAGATAGCCAGCGATACCACCTGGTTTGACTGTGAATAAGAGTTTTTGCTCCGGCCGCTTGGGCTTGGGACCAGATGACCGAGGTTCTTCAGAACTGGGCCGTTGGTCCGTGAAAGGCTGGAGGTCATCCGTGGGTAAAAGGATGTCCAAAAATCCTTCAATAACGTAAAACAAACCTGGAACAAAGTGAATATGCATACTGGTACATGAAGGAGACATAGCTACCAGTGTTGACCTCTCCTGCCTTGACAAGGGTCGTGCCAGCAGCGAAGAACAGCATCTCCACCTCATTATCAAGACCGCTCATATAACCATCGATCGATTGGCTGGATGATGTCCCTCCCGTGACACTAGAAACGTCATCACCTATATCCAGAAGTGACAGAGAACTGAAAGATGGTGTAAATAGCCCTGATGAACGCCGACCGTCAGACGGAGAGATTGCGGGAGAAGCCTCAACAGATTCGGTGCCGCTCAGAGGAGGCTGAAGTAAACCAATGGACTTCGCTATACAGGACATCACTTCCTCTCGCAAATCAAACTCATCACCAGATAGATTAGCAACTCTACGACTCTCCAGAGGCTTGACACCTCTCGGGACGCGTGGCGTGCTAATAGAACCACTAATTGGCCTGTAGATGTCGCCAGCGTGGGTTGTAGAACTGAGTAGATCCCCAGCTTGAACACTATTTCGTCCATGTGTTTTGAATGTCTGTGATGTAGATGATGCGAGCCGAGTAGGACGGGGCGGATCGTTCAATTGCACCTTCGACGCCCTCGGAGATTCCGAAAGAGTCCTCCCGGATATAGTGTTGGTGGATTCTGAGGCGTTGAGATAATCGGTGTCGCTATCGGTAGTACTGGCCCCATCAAACCGTTGTCGAAGATATTGTAAACCGCCACCCTCATAGAAAGACGGAGGCAACGGATGACAGGCGATATCATTAATAGCTTTCTCAGTACGAAGAACTTCACTTGTCAAGCCGAGATATTTGTGGGCGGCATTAAACGTTACCCGAGAAAATCGTGTTAAAATGACTAGGTTGCCTATATCAGCGTGATTATATCGTACATGAGAACAGCATGAACCACCTTGAACAATATGACCGGTAGCCTTTGGATACTTCTTGGTTAGACGACGGAACGCCTCGGCCGGTATGACAGCAAGGGTGCTATCCTCACTTGCGCGAGCAACCACCCCTTCGTGTATCCGAGTATGTCGAGTATGAGAATTGTGGGACCTTGGCAGTGATGCGGTAGTTTCGTCATCGTCATCAGGTATAGGCGACATAGACCTCGTGTATTCCGGATGATTAGGTGTCACAACTTCAAAAGGATGAACGGTCGAAGCGGTGGAGGAGATCGATGAGCGCCGTGTACGTGTATTCTGTCCCAAATCGAAACGTGACACGTCTGCGTTGTCGTGCTGTGATTTTTGGGGAGCAGAAAAGGCTTTAGGAACGGTCGAACTTTCATTGTGATCATTTTGCCAGCTCATTTTGACATCCTCTGTAAAAAGGCTGAGGATAGTAAATAAGCTGGAGAGGGTGCCCCCGCTCCCCACTTCATTGAGCAACTGATATCCGTTCATGTCTTCATGGTCCCAGAACCCTTGCTGTTCTTGATCAGGCTGACCGGTGTGTGCAAAAACTTGAACCGTGCCGTCTACGACACAGTAGAAGCTCTTGTCCTGTTCGAGTGACATACTATCCCCTGCTATTAAACGTCGAGTTTGAAGATGCCGAGCCAACTCATGGAAAACCTGGACAGATCAAATCAGTAGACATGCAACGTTGTCAGATACAAAGTCGAACGCACGGGTTTTTCGAGCTATACAAAGGTTAGTTATAAGATCGGGACTAACTTGCTCATGAATCACTCACGAAACCAAATACGCGTACGGCTTGTAGGAAATCGTCAAGGTAGTTATGAAATGTAGGTGCTGGATCTTAATGATGTTAGTAACGGGATGTCAGAGCCAGCTTTTTACACACACCTGTATTCACATCAGGATGTAACTCCGTTGCATCTGGCTTCACTAGCGGAGGTTCTTTAAGCTGAGTATAATCGTTGAGATATCGGAATCGGATCCAATAATTCAATGCCACGGCAGACAGTGCGAACATGATCGCAAACGACCAAAAGTTGAGCTTCAAGCCGAGGTAGTCAGTGCTGAATAGGCGCATATATTGAGTTGTGACCGACCGTAAGTGTCATGGAATAGGATAGGACAGCATATATGAGCCGGGGTACTGTTATTGTCGAGAATGCCACCAAAGCTTTCACCCAAGACAAAAGCCATACTGTTTGGATTTATGAACGCTCCCTGGCGCATGTGTGCAATGAACGCACTCACGTATTACCCAGAAGCATGCCGACACCAAGGATACCAATGGATGGGGGTCGACTTGTTCAGCGACTGATTCCATCCTCTATTATGTCGAAAGAGATCGCTATCGTGGCGAGTGCTCGACTCCCTTATGCATCAAGCGTCTGCGCAAATCCAAGAGAGGCCAAAAGAGGAAGCGACGTCATCGATGGACTTTTGAGGAAATTCCCTCCTAATGTAGGATTTGGTCCCGACGAGCGTGTCCCAATGGCCTCTCGCGATCCAACATCCTCTGAAAGCACTGACGCCGCTCTGGACACAAATCTCCTCAAGGAAATAGCCCGAAAGGCTCTTGTGGATTCATTGAACTCTGTTTGTAACTCTCGCTCCCACAGTTGACCAACACATCGATCCATCAGCACATAGGTGAATGGCGTAAAGACCTTGGTCCTGGATCCATCACTAGCAGGTCCACTGGGACTCGTGACTGAAGTTGCGTTATTAAAAGTGAGCAGATTACTCCTCTCTTATTCAGGAATTTAACTGTCTTCCGTAGCATCATGGTGTTGACAAGATGTTTTGGCTGGAAGCTGGTCCCCTGACTTCCACCACGTCAAATATCATATATCTTTGTCGGCCTCTCATAAAGCATGTCAAGGTCATTGCCGGTATGCTCTATATATTTCTAGCTTTGTGAGATCTTGATCTTTCGGAAGAACAGATCAAACGACACGCCAAAGACGCGGCAAAACATACCTATACCTTACTCCTGGTTCCACGTGCTTCAACATTGGTGACACGAATACTGGAGGAGGAAGGAGTCCTAGGCGATGTTTCAATCTTATCTTACAGCCTTCAATTCATTCCAATTGAAGAAGATGTTGTTTCATTGGAATATGAGTCCGTCTTCAAGGACATATGGGTGGTGTGTTCACTTGTTCCATCTCTTATTGATTACGATCTTCAATTGTTATGTTAACAGGACGGCGACGAGACGGCAATCTATGATTCTGCCCAGGCATTGATCACCCTTCAGAAACTGTATGGACTATTTCCTCGCGTTATCGGTAAAGGCGACAAAGCTGCGGTATGGTGATATGATCTTCACCTTACCACTGAGATTGAAACTCCGGATTTAGAGACTCGCGGCTCTTCTGACCAGTTCTCTTGCCCAAGCGAGGACATCCTCAGCACCTGACACCCTTTTCCAGTCCTCGGATAAAATCGATGCCCTAATCGTCCTGGATCGTCGCGTCGACATGATAACGCCCCTGCTTACCCAACTTACCTATGAAGGTCTTATCGATGAGCTTATTGGTATCAAAAACTGTAAGTTTCCGGAAGGCCGGAATGAACCGTGCATTGACGCGAGGTCGTGTAGCTCACGTCGAATTACCAACCTCGCTTGTATCTCCGCCGGCCGCTGAAACTGCTGGTTCTGCGGCAGCCAGCACCGACGACGTCCTCTGGCACTCTGAGGAAAGAAAATAAAAAGAAATACCATCTTTCGTCGTCTGATGCTCTCTTTGGTGAACTGAGAGATCTGAATTTCTCTGCCGTGGGGCGTAGACTGAACAAAGTGGCGCGTCGGCTAGAAGATGATTATAAGGTACAGTTTCTGGCATGTGTGTATATGTTGTCCTTATTTTTTCCCAGGCGAGCCGGCAAGCCAAGACTATTCCCCAGCTTCGAGACGTTGTGGGCAAGCTAGGCGGTTTGCAAAGCGAGCATCAAGCATTGCGGCTGCGTAAGAAGCTTTTTGTTTTCTTGCTGCAAAAAAAAACTAATACTACATAGATACCGGCGTTTCCGAGCTCCTAGTCCCTATAACCCGAACTGACCATTTCAACAAGTCTCTGGAGATCCAACAAGGCTGGTAGCAACTCTGATGTCGTCTAATGCATACAACTTACGCCTGTCCCAAGACCTTCTAGCATCCTATAAGGTTCCCGAGCAGATATCCGCTATCGAAGAGCTCATAGCGCAAAATGCCGAAATCGAGCTGGTGAATCAGACTACTTTGTCTTGCAAGTATTACTGCAGGGGGTATCAGGACAAAGACTCTGGAAAACATTAAACGCGAAATATTACAGGTCTGATCTTTCGATTGCGTCTTTATATTACGTTAACGACGTGGTTCAGACTTATGGCTATCATAACCTGCCATTGCTACTATCGCTAGCGTCACCTCCGCTTGCAATTTTACTTCCCAACCCTCTTCCAGTATCGGCGCCTGCGATGACCCTGCCGAAGTTTCCCTATACGTCACTCAGAAAGTCACTTCGGCTCTTGATTGACGATAACCCAGAGGCCTTGGATGAGGTAGAGAATGACATCAGCTTTGTCTATTCTGGTTACGCTCCAATTAGCATCCGCCTTGTGCAATGTGTTGCTCAGAGGGGTGGGGTCCTGAGCAATCCAGCTGACAGAGATAAAGCTGCGCGACAAGGTGACAGCAATGCTGCCCCAGAGGGCAAGGTCCAAGCCCATGCAATCAATGGCTGGAAAGGGTTTGAAGACGTTCTAGCTACCATACCTGGCGAAACGGTGGATATCATTCAACAGGGTGTTGGTCGCAATCCCATCTCGCCGTCATTAGGTAAGGTCTGCCATGGATCCGGCTGTCTGTCTGTCTCAATGTCGTTCCAGGCCGGTCCATGGACAACACTACGACAACCGTCGTATTTTTCCTTGGTGGCTGCACGTATACTGAGATCGCCGCGCTGCGGTGGGTTGGTCGGCAAAATCAAGGTGATAGCGTGACCATTCACAAACTCGAAAACCTAATACTCATGATTCTGTCAGGGCGTAAGTTTTTAATTGCTACAACTGGCATCGTGAGTGCATCCAGCATCATTGACGGGATCGCTGGAATACGGAAGACGGGAGGATCATCATCTAAGAATGCTGGCATTTAGGCATGTGCTACTATGTTCTCGAAGACCTAGCATGAGACTATTAAGTAAGATAGGTGAGGAAACGTACTGCTTCTTCTTCCACCAAGCACATGGTCGAGCCTGTAGCTTGAGCACATTCAATAAAAGAAAGATAGCGCCGCCCGTTACTGTCTGTACCACGAAATAACGTGCCATGCCTTACGCGACGCGTCTGTTTGGATGATCGGCCTTCTGATACCTGGGTACTTGAACTCCAGACACCTTCGGATCGCAGGTAGACCTGGAATTAACCTGTCCTTTAAGCAACAGTGCATCCTTTTTTGGAGAGTTGATCTTTGTTGCGCACCTGTTCGTGAAATCATGTTTTGCAGAATGAAATGTTGTCTTCAAGACAAAGAGTCCTTGAAGCCGAAAACTAAACACTGTGCTTTAGGCGACACATGCATCTGATTTTGGGCTCGCCGAGCATACGGGTGTGCATGCCGTAATATCTTTTTATGCTGGGAACGGCTAGACTATTCAGAATGAATCCAATGGAACACAAACATGCACCTATAGGTGGCTGGGGGCTCTCCAATTTATTCTGAAAATCAACAATCGAAGCTGTCAGTTGGACGCTCTTTATAAATACCGCAGCCAGAAAAGAATGCGTCCCTTTGCTCCCTTTTTTCCTCTTCATTTGCGGAATCTCACAGTCGGCAATTTCTACCACTGTCATCCTCTGTGGATTCTGAGTTTTGGGTGAGCCATTCGTCGGTCTGGCACATATAACCTGCTCTGACAGTTCCAGACCGTCTTCGTTATCGCAGGATTTCCGCCGAGTCGTTATTGTGCCCTTTCTCTTCACCACAATTTATCATGGCACCTCGATCATCTAGCACTTCTACTCAGACTGAAAAACCTCCGAAAAAAAGTAGGTGGTTGTTCTGCTAGGTTTCTTGGGGCGCTGATTGTCCCTTGTGTAGCCAAATCTTCAAGCTCTGGAGGCGCCAAGAAGAAGAAGCTAACGGCGTTTAATAAGTTTATGGTGCGGGTACTTCCCGCCTGGACCAGGCCCAACTAAACTTCACGTTATCAGCAAACGGAAATGGCACGTCTCAAAGAAACTCAACCAGAGATATCACACCAAGAGAGGTATGCACAGAGGCCACATTCGTTATTCACCAGTGCGCTTAGATGTACCACAAGGTTCAAACTAGCAACTACTAACTGGAAGACCGCCCCAGAAAATCCTAAGCCGAGCACCTCATCATGATACTCCATCAACCTTGTTCCTTAGGACCTTTGTATCCCTGTCCGTAATGCTGTCCTGCCATTTCTGCTGTGATAAATTTGTACTCTTTGATCATCTAATCCTTCATACCAGGCTACTTTTGATTATTGGGGGTGGCTTTGATAATGTTCTTGGCTTTAGGCATGTATCGGTGGTATCGGACGTTGGACAACTAGTTCAGTGTAGATTTTTGTCTGTTACGAATGTCGCACCTTAGGGTCTGCGCCTCGGTAAGTTCCAGGTATGTGGCAGGAGGAGATTCGCTGAAGATCCCGCACGGTTTGCATTCCTGAGAATGTTCGTTGGCCTACGTCCTCCTGAAAAATGGGTCAAGATCCGTCGGGCAAGGTTCGGGTTAACATGCAAGACTTATCTAGGGTGGATCCTGTATTTTGTCCACGCCCTGGGTCAGGTTTGATGCGCGTGTAATAAACAGTTGGTGGTGGGAAAAAAAGGCGCCCATAGCGGAAGTGAGTATTTGATCCAAGTATTCCAAGATGGAAACCAGCGAAGCTATTCCATTCTTTCCATTTTTCTACTACAATCTCCCAACTTGTAAACCATGATTAGTATTTGCAAAACAATTTGCATTTGGAAGGTCCGAAACGTGAGAAAGGCGAGCCCCTGTTTCCCGTGATCTCTCGCGACCGTCACTTTACCGGAGGCAGCCAAAGAGATATGTGATTCAGCGCTATGCGTTATCTCTTTCCTCATCTCTTTCCTCGACGATAACTTCATTCGTCGGCCATTATCTTGCTGCCCAACTATACTGCACTTTACTTGTCTTGTTCCCTATCTTGCCCATCTACTACCTGATCTAGAATTTCGTCATTGTCTTGGATAGTCGGATGTCATGAACCCTACAGTAATCGATAACAGCGACGTCGTGTTCCAGTTCGACTTCCCTGAGGAATCGGACGTAGCGGCTCCAACTCGCGGTATATCGCGTCGTGCGAGTCCAGATCCTTCTTCGTCGTCGGGGATCACAGAGGTCGAGAGGTTCGTAGAATGCATACGTCCAGAGAGAGACAGTGGTAAAGGTAAAGGTGTGTCAATACCGATGCCCATTCCATCTAGCTCTCTTCTGCGCGAGGAGGATGTGTTTGGTGACCTTCAGTCGTCGAGCCCTCCCGGATCTTCGTCTTCGTTATCGGTGTTCATTAATAACCCCCAGAGAGATGTCCACAGCGGCTGGGGGCCGTCCTCTGGCGGTCCTCGTAGTAATGCGAGCAACTCTTCGGGATCTTTGACTGGGTCGTCTGAAGAGACGGTACACGGCAAGGGCAAGGGCAAGGGCAAGGCAACAGACTTACCCCCATGTCTTCCGCCCCTTGCTTTCTCCCGTCCAGAATTCAGCTACAGCCACATTGCATGGCCTTCTTCATCTGTCACAGATTCTGTGGAACCGTCTTCCTACGGGTCCCCACGTTTTGATTCGCCGAATTCGCCGAGCTCCAGCCTTTCCTTTAGCACTGCTAACCTCCCAAATCCGAGTCAATCTAATCCATCACATAATCCGACTCATGCCCGCCGGCGCACAGTGTCTAATAGTTCCATTCGTTCCATTTCCTCCGTTAGCACTCTATCATTGTCCAAGCTCAGAGGCAAGGCATTCGGTGGGACCCCAGGAAATCTTACACGGAAACTTCTCCGCAAATCTAGTGTCCCTACTACGGATGACGTCCCTGTTGAACCGCCTATCCAGTCTAACTCGTTGAATGATGCAAGTCGCCAGGTGCTTGAGGACCATTTCAAGGGTGCTCCCCTCTCGTATACAATCTCCAGTATTGATGGGTCTCAGAGCCTTTCATGGCCACTCTCCTCAACCATCTCGAAGGGTAAATCGCGCTCGAATTCATCTCCATTCCCATTTTCTATATTAGACTTGGCCACTACCACAGACCATTTCGTACCACTGTCGTTGACAATTCCTAGTCACTTCGAAGCCCTGCCCAGAGAATTGCGCTTGCGAGTTCTGCTTGCATTCCTTGATGTACACGAGGAGGAGCACGAGAAGGACCTCATGGATGGTCAGTGGACCATCATGAAAGCTTCCTCGTCGAAGAATAAATGGGTCGGCAGGGACCGAGGCCTGCGAGAGTTGGTGAAGCTGAGCAGAGTAACGTCTTTTGTTCTTCTCCATTATATATTGCTGATCGACGTCTAGGTGTCCAAATCATGGCAGATGCTGCTGTCTGACGGTCAATTATGGCGGAGACTTGATCTCCGATCGTTCTGTAATGTTCCCAAAACACTCATCCTTCGGCTAACATCAGTGGCGGGTCCGTTCATCACCAGCTTAAACTTTGCTGGACATGTCTTCTTACTTTCTACGACACTCACCGATGTTGCGAATCATCTTTGTGTCCAACCGACAAGTTCTAATGGGGTGCCCTTCACGCAATTGACCGCCCTCAATTTTCGAGGGTGCACCATGTTGACAACACAATCCTTGCACTACCTTCTCAGATGCTCTCCGGCACTGCAGAAGCTGGACGTGAAGGGTCTTCACATAGTGACGAATGCGACTTGTGAAATACTGGCAGCAAGTTGCCCACGACTCACAATCTTGAACATGAGCCGATGTCCTGGCATGGACGCCGATGGAATTTATTATTTATGTCAAGCTGCGATCTCTCGAAGGCGAACTCTATCATTGAGGGTGCTTCGTCTCTCGGGATTGAAATATGTTGACGAGAAGATGATGGCGGCCGTGGGGAAAGCATGCCCTGATCTGGAGGTATTGGATCTCAGTTATTGCCGTCAATTGCACAACTCAGCTTTAGAGGCATTTGTCGCATGTGGCGAAAATGAGAATCTCGGCGTTGAGACGGTCGTTCTCAATGCTCGTCAAGTTGGGCGGGATGCTGGAGACAATAATAAGTATAGACGTCGCATCACTCAGCTCCGCCATATTTCCCTCTCGTACTGCTTCCTTTTAACCGATATCGCGTGCTCGAATCTTGCTCATTCGGTCCCTCGCTTGGAATTCCTGGAACTCGCGGGTATCGGTGATGACCTCGCAGATGATGGGCTAATCAGACTCCTGAATACGACTCCAATGATCCGGCGATTGGATCTTGAGGATGCAGCTCAAATCACTGATGCAGTCATTTCGGCCATCACCCCATCTGTTAAGGCGGACGACGAAGCTTCCTCGAATATCCGGGATGAACGAGAAGCAGGGTACGCCCTAGAGCATCTCGTAATTTCCTACGCCAACAACGTTACGGAGGACGCGTTGTTGACCTTGATACGTGCTTGTACGCGCTTGAAAATCCTGGAGGCTGACAACACTCGGATAGGACCCAGGGTATTCAGGGAGTTCATTCGGCTGTGTCGCAGCCGAGAGATGTCCGACAGCAAAATCGTTGCTGTAGACTGTCGTACGATTGGCGAGCATGCGGTTAAGGAAATGGCTTCCATGACACGACCCCGGTTGGGTTGGCGAGCTTATGATTCGAGAAAATTGAAGTACGTCGATGGCCGGGACGGCGATTTGGAAGATTTGAAAGTAGGGCAGGACGAGTGCGACGATAAGAGGGTGGTGGTGAAGACTTTCTATTCGTGGCAGACCGTGGATTCGGTCAAGACCAGTCGGGAGAAGCGAAGGAAGTCTGGTTCGAGGAGGGCAGCGAACGGGTCCGGAAGTAGTTCCGGCGATATTGATGATATAGGACATACGACGAGGTGGTGGTCTCCTGGAGGCCGAAGGTCTGGTGCAAATAGCCCGACTGATGTGGGACGTGATACGTGTAGAATCATGTAAGGTTATTTGTTTCATGGTTTTTTGTTTCTCTTTTCTTCATTTTCCCCCTGCTTGATGTACTTTTATTTCGCATCACATCCACAGCACTATGTACATTTGTACGAATATTCCGCCTTGTACTAACAGACACCATTTTGTACTTTTTTTGTATGTATCTTTTCCGCGAGACGATTATGATCATCATCGTAGTTGATAATAAATTAGTAGACAGCTCAAGATACTAGTTCAAGAACGAGAAACCAAGCATTTCTATTTGAATACACAAATCTTATGTACTGGTTCCCTTCTTTTTTGCCTTTTTCTCCGCTTTCGCGTTGGGAGTACCCGAACGAGATGCGGGAGTCGAATCTTTGCTCTTCTGTTTCTTCTTCTTTGGCTTAGTCTGATGATCAGAGTTTTTGCTTGACGCTCCAGTTGGCTGATTGGTTGAAGTTCTGTCATCTCCGTACCCTGTAAAGACGTTGTCAAATTTATGAAGCGAAATAGGAAAAGGAAACTGACCAGCGAAAGGATCAACAGTGGCTCTTCTTCGTTTCGCTCCAGGAGTTGCGGAAGCGTCGGCGGCTAGCTGACTTTCTTCGTTCTGTTCCTTAGCTTTTCCCTTACCTTTAACGTCAACGACCTTTTCGTTATTATCCTCATCCATCTTTTCCTCGTCAAACACTTCCAAATCGCTTTCTTCGCTGCCTTCTGCGGCATCGCGCTCCTTCATCTCCTTCTCGTATTGTTGTCGTTCGAGCATTTTTGCAGTAACTTTGACCGGAACACGAACGTTGGACGGACCAGGCGTCGGCTCTGCAGACGCTTCGCCGGGAGGCCGACCTAGCTTGGCTTGTGTGATAACATGCTTGATGAATCGTCCAGCGGCGACCTTGTCAATTTCGATATGCCCTAAGTCTGGTCAGTGGAATCGCGAGGGAAACGGAATTTGCACGGACTAGTTTCTGGCTTTTCGGCTTTGTCAATCTTTTCAAAGTATCCTTTTATTCTGTCCTACTTGAAATTATAGCTTGGAATTGAGTATTTAGAAGAGGGCCTTACTAGTTCTGATATTACGGGATGAGTCTTTGGATCGATTCCCCTGGACTTAAGGTAAACTAGGATTTAGATGATGAGCTGAAAAAAAGGTAGAAGAGCTGAAGACACACTGAAAACTAGGTCATAGGTGACATAGGTGAGAAGTGTTTGCAGTTTTGCCTGTTCGATAGGCTCCAAGGACAAAAGAGTTTCGGGTAGGGTCTGGGAGAACAATGGCTCGAGCTGCGATTCTAGTTCTGAAAAAGACGACGAAAGGATCGCCAATTTCGATTTTGCCTTGGCCGTTTCGCTAGTCATCGTCGTTCGCGTTTTTGGGAGTCCACGTGCGCGCGAGTCTGGTTTTGCCTTTTGAGAGAAACACACGTAAACAACGACTTGGACATGGTCAGTCATGTTAAGCTTGTTGAATATTTGCCCAGCCTAACACCTTTCTTTAGTCTTCAGAATTGAGATATACAGCCAACACACAGCTAGAGCATTGTGAGTGATTCGTGCGTCGTTCTGACTCTTTTTTAACCCTGGACAGTGCATGCTCGATACACGGGAACCGGTGAGTACTGTTTCATCTGTCTGGATTAGCCAGTGACCCACTTGCAATTAGGGCATGCGGACTTGACGAAATAGTAAGGGCGCTGTTCTCCGCTCTAGAGGTGCCGAGTAGACTAATATGAATGACCTTTGTAGTGACTGGCTGACGCATCAGCACCGAGATACACTTTCGTCCATAGTAGGGCATTCTACCCTGACTTCATACCTTGCTATTGCGGATGGAGAAGCAACGGGACGCGTCAAGTTTGAAATGACCGAGGCAAGTGTCAAATTTGATAGCTCAGATCGTATTACAACTGAAACGATTTATCCAGCGAATGCTGCAGCCATGCGGGCCGCCTCCCCGCAAAGATGATGATTAGACAGCGGAGACAGCGTACTTGAATTGCCAGTGTATATACAGTTTATTCTGTCTATAGAAACGTATTGGTTCGTATATCTTCCGTCCGCTGCAAAAGACCGTAACACGGAACGGATCCGATGACCGGAAGCTTAGCGATCGGAATTTGTGGGCAATGATGACATAAGGACCCCGTTCTTGGGTCGTCGTTTGACCGGACGCTGAATTTGATACCACCAAATGGGCATCACTCGGAAACACTGGCATCAACGTATTGGGTATATCGTCGAACGGGCGCCTCCCACATCTTCTTCTTCTCTACCATCTGGCGCCCTTCCTATGTACCTTCCTTGCTGCCAGCCAGTCTTCTGACTTTTTTTCGAGGTACTCTGCAGAAGCCAAGCCATCGCAACCAAGCCGGCGAATTACCTGCTCGGAGATATATATTTGAGTTGAATCAACGGTTTGGGTTGGGTGACAAAGACCTATTGTTTTCCCCAGCCGGTGAGTTCTTTCGTGCTTCGACATGCATGGACAAAGTATTGAACAATGAACAAGTTACTTTGTTCATTATTTCCCCGCCAGTGGCACTCGCAACTTCGGCCCTGCTTGTGGCCTACTTAGGCTGCTGTCATAATGGGATCGACTACCGCACCACGGCCCTCTTCTTATTTCTTACCATCACCACCTTCGTCCGCCTCCGTCCCGGAGCCCGCTTTCATCGTTGCTCGTCCCCGCACTACAGCTACTTCTCGCACATCAGTAACTTCCCACTATCGTCCCTTTTCCACATACTACCACCCTGGCACAGAAGAGCCTCATTATCCTCTAAAACGACGTCGCTCGAGTGTCTTTGTCTCTTCTGCCACTGGCCTTTCGTCTTTCGGCAACATGGTCTTCAAACACAAGGACAAGGATTTAGATCACCCACCACATCCCAGCTCCCCAGCAACGCGTCCTCGCAAGGATTCCGACCTCACATCTTCAACGCGTTTCAAGATCCCCAAGACGCTCAGGAAGAAGAGGTCCATTGCTGCTTCACTCGCCTCGGACGTGACGATCATGCCACACACACCGACAGTCTCCTTGTCCACCGACGGCTCCCTATCCTCATCACCGGCCTCCCCAACAGAAGAAAAGTCACCTAGGACAGGATCATTCCCAGCAGACACCGCAGACCCCGAGAATGATGATGATGACGACGGCGAGGATTCCGCCAAACCACCCAAATACAGAAAGAAGGACACTTGGTCCAGAAATGACTATGGCCTCAAACTTCACCCTTACCCCAAAGAAGCTCCATATATGCGGGCGTACGACTCAATCTACATTGATATGTGAGTTTTTAGTGGCATTGCAACCATTCCAGTCTTTCCTGACCGTTATGCAGCGATCGGTGGAACAACGAGTTATTGCAGCGCCTTCTTCCCAAGAATTCTCCGAGTTTTCGTAATTACGGCAATACACCTCCCCGTTCTGTAATCGACTTGGGTTGCGGGCCTGGTTTTTGGATTCTGGACGCTGCGGCCGCATGGAAGAACACCAGTTTCGTCGGATTTGACCTTGTGGATGTCCTCCAACCAGGCTTTCAACAGACGGAGAATGTACGATTTGTCCGTGGGAACTTGTGCGTGATATTTTTGCCCCGTGCTGGATATCCTTTGACGCATATGTTCTGGTTTTTAGCGTTGCGTATCCTCTCCCGTTTCCCACCGACTCCTTCGACATGGTCAGAATGGCCAACCTCTCATTATGCATACCCTACGAGAAATGGAACTTTGTTCTTTCCGAAGCCTATCGCGTTCTAGCGGAGGGCGGCCGTCTCGAGCTTATAGATGATCAGATATTCTTTCCTTACGCCGAATCCCCGTCCCAATTTCCTGCGTCCATCTCCCAACATTCGTCAAAGAAGCCTCAACAAAGCTCATTCATCGACCTCGATGATGATGATGAAGATGATGAAGAGTCGGGAGAGAGCGGTTCAGAGGAACATAGCTCAAGTAGCTTGAACTCGGATTTAGGATCTGACCCGGCCGAGACTCTAGTCGGAGACGACGACTCAATGTCCTCCTCCTCGTCTCTGAAGGAGCATTCTTCCAGTCGTCATGTCTCTGTGGATCTCTCGCCTCGTGACTGTCCTCCGTCGGAGGAATCTTGTACCCTTCAAGTGACCCTGGCGCCACCTAAGCCTTGGAATACCTTAGCCGCCGAGTCCCGGGAACTGGAAACAGTGTTCGAGACAATGCTAGCGAATCAATACGGGATCCATCCACGTCCTTCGGAATTTATCCTCCACCTTATGAAGGATATTTTCGGGGCGAAGCTTGCAGGCAAGATGAAAAGCATGCATCTCAAGGTGGCCCCAACGGAGCTCTCTGCAGAGAAGAAGAAATTTAATCTCATAACTGGGGATATCTTCAAGAAACTCTCGCTTAATATCGAGTGGAAGGACAGGGAGAAGAAAAAGAATCGGCCGCGACGAAATACCTCGGACAATGACAGTGGATCGGAAAGCAGAACGAGCAGCGACACCTGTGCATCCTCCTCGGACAGTGGGCAGGAGACCATCAGCGCCAAGGCTGCTAGTACGCTGGGCATATCGATGTCCGAGGTTAGCGCCGCTTCCAAAGAAGCATCTGCGAGACGGCCCACCTCGAGTCCAGAGACTCCAAACCTTGACCGGTCTGGACAGCCTGAAGGGCTGCTCCTTTGGCCACGCACCTTCCTTCCTTTCTCATCTTCCGACTCGGAAATGCATTGTTGCATAAACGTGCATACCCTCCTTGGGTGCAAAGCCGCTTTGGGAGCCTGGGTAAAAGGTTTCGTTGATGAGTCTGGCAAGAGAGTCATCAGCAGATCCGAGTTTGAGGACTCCATTTGGTCATACGAATGGTATGTTCCCGTTTGGTCGGCTATGATCGTTCCTTTTACTGATGTGTGTGTGTTCTGTGTGTAGTTTTCGGCGTCATCGCTTTAATTGGCCTACTGGCCTACCCAGCTCAAAGTGTCCGTCAACCGATAGTATTGAGCTTCCTCTGAAGCCGACGGCGTCCAGCGATCAAGATGCTACTGACAAGACGTTGGAGTATCCTTACAGTCAAAACGAGTTAACCCATGTTCGCACTATCCGCGTCTTTGAGGGTATCAAGCCAAAATCATCACGACCGTCATCTCTTCAATGAGAGGATGAATCTGCCTGTTTGTCCTCATCAAGTCTTCTTACTTTGCCTCTCATCTGTATCATTTCGCCGGATTTCTGTCTAGGATAACCCATACACATTCCTTATCATCATCATGTCGCTTTCACCTGCTCTCACATCACCTCTAGTTATCGTCACTGCATTTAGAACGCTCTCCGCATTTTGGTTTACTGTACATCGCTACCCTACAACGCCATATGAGGCGACATCACTCTTCCTTTCGAAGTTTGGCTCATCTCCCCCGACATATCTCCCTTTCCCTCACGCTTTCATGGATACTATCGTTATATCACCTCTCGCATCGCATCGCATACATGGTATACTTTTGTATTTTGTACTATAGGCTCTTAATGTTGCAGTAAATCATAAAGTGTAAACATCGTAAAAGCGGAAATTATGAGCCTGTTTTCACCTAGGGTGCATAGGCTGCCCTGCATTAATATCATAGATGGGCATGTGTCACAGGTCACATCAGATGACTGTGACGAAAAGAGGGCAGGCAGGATCGGAAAGCCGCAACGCGTTAATCAGCCCAGACGCGCGTCTCTTCTCTCGAAACTTCCATTGCCTCACGTCTAAACTGCTGCGTCCTTCTGTATCTCACCTGCATCAGCTACGATGTCGACTGATATTTTCATAAAGTCATTTACTCATCTCACAGGACGGCCGAAAGCTGACCAGGCCCTGCAGATGCTACAGAAAGTGGCATCGATGGTCAAGCCTATCATGCGAACACATAAATGGGTTCTTCCCACATTGGCGGAATTTTTTCCAGACCAGTCAAATTTACTTGGTGCGCTCTCTAGTTTTTCGTGGATGCCTTAAAGGAATGCTAAGTTGCCAGTAGGAATGAGTAAGCCCTGAGTGTGTTCATATACTTTTTAATACACACTCATGCCTCCAAGATGTCAATATGGGGCAAAAGATTTTGCTGAGACTGCGTCCTGCCTACTCCCCCGGGTCGTTCCTAGATATCCACGATGTGGTTCAGACTATGTTACATGAGGTACGTGTATCCTTCGAATATTTGGGAACGTAACTATATATCTATTAGTTGACACATAACGTTCACGGCCCGCATGACGACAAGTTTTACAAGTTCCTTTCTGGCCTCCAGGATGAGTACGAGAAACTCGTGCGAACTGGTTATGCTGGGGAAGGATTCTTTTCCAAGGGTCACCGGCTAGGGGGGGATGCATCGTGTGGTGTGCCCCTGCACATGAGCCGCGCGAAAGCACTTGAAGCTGCGGAAAAAAGAAGACACGCGGCTCAGGTCCTAGGTGGAGGCGGGAGACGAGTAGGTACAAATTCCTCTGGTACGAGAAGCGGGAAATCGCTACGAGAATTGGCTGCTATGGTATGCACTTTTTTGTGCGTTTGTTGTAGTGCTATGGCTAATCATATGAATTCAGGCCGCCGAGCAGAGAGCACGCGACGAGAAAGCGTGTGGGCTTGGCACACACGCTGAGCAAGAGGCTGAGAAAGCAGCCAAGGAGAGCGTCGTTATTGACCTTACCGGTTATGACTATGACGAGGATTCAGATCCGGAGGTCATCATTGTGGAAGACTCCCGTGAGAAGAAGCCAGGTTCATCTAAAAAGCCTGTACCCACGCGGAACAAACCATCATCGTCGAGTCTCGCCAGAACCGGGGAAAGCAGTAACACTGCGAAGCGCCGCCCGGCCAAATCTCATGCATCTGTAGTGTCTGATCAATGGTCGTGCACAGTGTGTACACTATTGAACGCACCCATGGTGCTCCAGTGCGATGCATGCTTAACTCCACGGCCCAGTGATGGTTGGACATGCCTTACATGTGGTCAAGGAGGAATGGCTCATGATTCTTGGATGTGCACTTTCTGCGGTCAAGTGAAGACTTATAGCTAAACGTCTCGCTTTGTAGAATATATCCTTGCAGCACTTTTCTATCACACTGTACAACACCATAAATATAGAAACAATATCATTGTACAGTAATTTTCATGATTTTCACATCATCTTTTTGTTCGGCACCTCGATCTACGCTATTGAGGAAGAGACTGCCTGTTGTAGGGTTCTCGATGTCGAAGATAGCAAGATTATATTCTTTATGGGTTATAAGCTGCTGAAAGTTTCTCTGAGCGTGGTACTTACTTTGAGCCGTTGCGCGGAAGGTCGCATATGTGGCTTCGTTGCGTACGGTCAACGCAATGAGAGCTACTTTGGAACGGCTTTCAGATCCAGCGTCTAATGCAAGCGAGAGCGTCGCCATCAAAGCCGGGATGAGACTGGGATCAAAGACCTAATATCCTTTCAGGAGGGGTGCAGTAACAGGAGCACAGGGTCATACAATATCTGCGCCGATTATTAAATCGGCATTGATGTCTTGTTGGATCTTCGCTTTAAAGGCCGAAATATCTGGACGCAACGCGTCTGACCAATCCAACACACTCACACTGATATTTTGACGGTGGCGGATACTAGCAGTCATATCTGAAGACGTCTTGGTCAATGATGCACCGGGCGAAAGCGAGAACACACTTGCTGCATGGCAATCTAATATTGCTGATACATCTAGCAATGACCTCACTGTCTACGTCGGTTAAATGCAGCTTCGGCCTTAGCGCATCTCCTGGTGGTATATCTGTCGGTGAGTCCACGAGTATCTGTACGCTCCCAATGATCATTCCTAGAAACCCAATCCCCGATCCCAGTTCTAAGACGCGTGTATCACGAACCCATTCTAGTCAGTTTGATAGGTGTTTGGATATTATAAACGGAGGAATGATACGAACCAGGATTCGATATGATATAGTCAGCGAGGTGCAAGCTCGCGAGCCATGTCCGAAGTCCTGTCGTACCACTTTCTATCATGCTCCCGGATTCAAGAAGAGTAGTTCTGAAGCACTCAAGAGATGCCGGTGTTTTGTTACTGGGGAGCGGAGCATCAAGTCTCCAGTAGTATGTTACGTAGGATGGGGAAGGAGGTAACGGGACTGAAATACCGCGTAACGATGTACTGAAAGATAGATAAGGGCTCAACATCACTTGCTGCTTAAGTATAAGGGAAATATACATACGAGGTGAATGTTTCTGTCAAGATGCTTAATATTCGAGTATCGATTTCGACGTCCTTCATTACTCGATTACATTGACCCACGACAAGCAGAATCGTACACAGGGACATACCAGCTCCAAGTGCTGGACGACACATTTCCAGAAGGACTTTTGGTATTGTTTGGAAGGGGGATACTTCTGGAAATGTGGATTAAGAATAATAGACTGAAGAAGAAAATCGTGTAAGGTGTCTTTCGAACTGGAGTAAGGAAAACGAATTCGGGATACTGGAACGATTGCGGCATATTCTCGAAGAATAGTGAAAAGTTCGGAATCATCATATGTGTCCGACATTGAATGAAGATACCCAAGCAAGGTAGAAGATCAAGCTTAGGCTGCAACCCGGGTGCGCCGGTCCGTCAACGACCTACCCTAAAGATATCACGTGATGATATAAATTGTTCAAATTGAAGAAAATTTTCAAACATGTTGAACCTTTATCGACATTTTGCCTTTCGATGCACACGACCGTCCCTTATCGGTGCCCGACCCAGTCTGCGGCGTAACTTGTCATCCTCTGCCATCCGTTTTGTAGATGATGTTGGAGGCTCAACTAGCATCCCTGACTCGGCTGAAACCGTAAAGGAACTCGCTGACGTTGAAGATGGTGATCTTTCTTCTATGTCTGAAGAGGAGCGTTTGCTGCTGGAGGCAGAGGAGGAAGGCATCCAGTCTGAGGATGCCTTGGCTGAGCAGTCTGAGGATGCTGCAGAAACGATAACGGAGGAGATGGATGAATTCGAGGGAGAGCCAGAGGAGGATGAAAGGCAGTCCGGCCAACCAAAGTCGTACGCTGCATTCATGGAGAAAATGGGAGGGCGGTTTAAAACAGCTAATGAGCTAAAGTGGCTTGGTGGCGATATCGTTGGGTTGCTTCCCTTCCGTGCTTTTTATGACTGCTAACGTATATGCTCACAGCCATTTCCAATGAATCGTTCGTTCAAACCTCCCCCGCCTCTTTCCGATAGTCATAGGTCAATCATCTACGAGGAGTACATGAAAGACCCTGTGAAGAACAACGTGAGAGAGCTAGCACAGCGCCACCACCTTAGTCTGGGTCGCGTCGACGCTATTCTCAGGTTAAAGGGGATGGAACACGCTTGGGTCAAGGTATGTGTCTTCGTCTTTGTTGTTCTGCTCCAGCAGACGTATGATGCTTCAACGATTAGTCTTTAAGACACCTACATGGTTATATTTTTTTAATTTCTCCTGAAACCTCTCCTTCCTTCTATGATCACCATCACTTACTGTTCTCTCTAGGTGAAAGCATCACTTATGCCTGTCTTTTCGTACTGACATCAGGCCTCTTACCACGTTTCTAGGAAGTAAGTTCAGTCCATATTGTTCTCGTCGATGACGAAACTTTCTATTCATTCGCGAAATGTAAGACCGGCTGTGGTGCCTTACATCGCCCAGTCAATGGTTATAACGATTTCAACCCCATCTGATTGAATTACTTTTAATGGTCTTCGAACGGCGCTAACCATTGGTCCCAGGGTAAAACTCTTCAGACCGGTTTTCGCATCGGCATGGAGAAGCTTGTATCTGTCCGTGACAGTAGGCGACGGATACCAACTAGAGAGGACGCCAACGAAGCCGATGAAATTGAGGAGGAGCCTGGACGTCAGGCTGCAAGAGACCGGTATGAGCGACACTATTGGGAGTCTCTAATGGAAGATGCGGTATGGATGTCTGCTTGCAAAGGCGTTTTCATGACCATTTACGTGCTGTGGTTACAGGAGCCTGTTGTTCCCCTATCTCTTAAGCATTCAAAAGCTTTGGCTACTCGCAGGACTGCTTCTGATTACCTCCACACTGACGATCCAAGGATAATGCCTCGGGTCAAAACTCCTCGCTATGTGAAGAAACCCAAGGAGAAGATTCAGGTGGTGTCGAAATCGTTCAGGCCAGACTTGAAAGTTTGTGGATGTTGGGAGTAAGTTTATTGATCAGCGCAGTCTGTTGAAGAGGTATAAGGCTTCAGAGAGGAGGTTGGCTAAGCGGAGGGAGAAACGTGGCCTTACGTTGTAGTCCATGTTCTGGAGACTAGTTTATTCCTGCGAAGTTATCGCGAGTATCAAGATGTACACATGGCGAGCGGAAGGCTATCGTGGTCACCGACAATGGTTATTCTTTTGCTCTGAAAATGACCTTGATCCGTCAGATCCATTATTTACATGCTGACGACAGTTCGGATTCAACATTCAATTATCAATGGTTCTTATAATTCATAATGTAGATAAGTCAGTACGCAAATCTGAAGTCCAATCGTGCGTTTCCTTGATCTGTTGTGGTGTCGATGTAATTTTGTTGTTCCTAGTGTATCTCTTGAGATTTATATGCTCTAATACCAAACAAAAAGTTCACCTCTTTGGTCCATGAGTTCCATATCTTGTCACGGCGCGCGTTGATACATCGGTAGAAAAAGTATGTTAAGATGTATAGGACAATGTTCATGGAACATATCCCAATCAGGACTCGATTGCCGCGTTTGTCTGGAAATTGCGTGAGCGCCGTGTAGGATGCGAAATAACAGTTGCTCTTACAGAGAGGCTTATCATCTTTACGGTATATGTTGGCCTGGAAAGGATGAACCTCAACGCAGGTTACTCAACACCTCACAACTTACGTATGTAATGGCGCCCGCCTGGACGAACATATTATAAACACTGGCCGATACGGTCCTAAAAAACACGACACGTGAGCTGTTGGTTTGAAGAAAAGTAACCATTATCATCAACCTTGTTCTCACACTATACGAGTTCCTCGAGGCCCAAGCTACCTCTATACCCGACATTGGAATTAATCATAATATAATAGTTGGTCGAACTCACGAATTGGATGGACGTAGGGAAACCCTGTGACAAGAGTGACGACAGCAAAGTACACCCATTCTGATGTATTGCTGTTGAACGTGTACAAAGCAATGAGAAGCGGCAATGCCCATAATTGTAACACGACGGTAGCGATAACGCGACTGTTGATGGATTCGCTCAAGAAGGAGGTGAATAAAAGCATAATAATCCCAATAACGGTTGACGGAATAGAGAGCAGATTAGACTCAGTGGTGTCGAAGCCAAGGTTTCGTAAAGACAAAGTAAGGTATGTCTGGGGGGGTCCAACAGGCACTATACCGAATGAGAAGCACCAGGAATGACTAAGGCGACAACGTACTCATGTGTGTAAGTCCCAGCGAATATAGAGGCCACATTCTCCAATCTTGTAGGGCCTTGAATATGTTCTTGACGCTGAGACCTTCTCGGTTATGCATATCTGATTTAGATGGGTCGTCCCGAAGAACCCTGCATTAGTCTCGTTACACCTCGCCTGAGAGTGATGGCCTGAAGATATTTACCGGTTTACCATGATGACTTCCTCGCTGCGAAGGTATGAGGTGAATATCTTGGTTAGAGATAGCAGCACGTACCGCTCTGTAAACCACCCTTTTGGGCGGAACCACGCTTTGGTCTGTGTCGGGCCAGGTGGCATGAGCAAGAACGAGAGTAGTCCGCAACCCAAGGTTATTAATCCCTCGATAAGGAACAGATAACGCCATCCGGCTTTGTTTCCGACTCCATGCAATTGAAGAATGCCTGTAGCCAGGAAAGCACTGATAATGTCAGACAGGTAGTTGGACACCCAAAAAAATGCAAGTCTGATTGGTACTGTAATGGGAGTCATAGGTCTCAAACCGTCCTGGGTAAAGAAAGATTTGACCTACATTCAGTCTTCGTATAGAAGTATGAGAGGTAAAGGACGATATCAGGAATAAAACCTCCCTGCAGAAATCCAAGAAGGAATCTAAACTTATGTCGTATGGGAGCGGGATACGCCGAAAAAATACGACTGACCGCGTGGCAAGGAAAGATGCTCGTCCTGATAACCAGAATTGACTGAATGCGACAGTGCTCCATAGAACCATCTACAGAAATGAAAACGAGCATTATGCTTTAATAACCAGGCTTCGTACCTGGGACGGAACCCACACATCTGGTCCTATCCGTTTGGAAATGAGCTGCGACGGGAGTTCTACAGAAGTCTTCGAGCCTCATTGTGACCATGCTTCAAACCACGTACCAGCGATAAGGAAAGAGAGCCGAAACAGTGTATTTCCCAAATTGTAGTCATTGGTTGTCAAGTTGAGATCTTCCAAAAAGTTGTCCGTATTGGCCTGGGAGATATTCGACCGATCCAAATCCAGAGCAAAGAACATAGTCGCGGCCCATATCATGATACGAAAATCAATTTTGCGCACAACGCGCTGATGAAATGAGCCGCCAGAAGTCGTACACGAAGAGCAGAGAACTAACCTTCTCTTCCCGCCAAGTCCACCGTGCCTTTGGGTCAAAGCGGTGAGTATTTTCGTACTGAGGCGGAGGGCGATAGGCTTCAAGTGTGGTAGGGTCATCAAATACCGAAGGTTGAGTGGCAATCGCGTCCAAGTCGTGAGCGACCTGGCGTCTCCCCAGCCACTTCCATATACCAGCAGGAGTATCATCTACGGGAGCACCCAGAGGGGATATCTTCTCCTGACTGGTGGATTTCTCAGACAGTGATGCGTCATTATCTTTGTCGTCCACATAATGATCGCGATCGGAAGGGTAAGACGCATCTTTGGGCAGGCACGTAGACATGACTTGACTGACAGGAGGCGGAAGATGAATTGATGACACACACTCTTGTGGAAAAGATAGGTATGTTTTTATACAATCGTGGAATGGCGAAATCCATTGCTGTTACATGGCCGGTATTGCGTTCTTGATATCGAAGATTGCGCGATTGTAGAAGCAAGTGATGAGGATTTCCACATTTGGATGTAGAACTACTACTTTAGGCAAATGAACCATCACCACCGGACATTCGCTCTTGAGCTTGGCTGTGACGAAGCCTTCAATAAGCCCGCCCAGGCGACTTATCCAGCCTACATCCAGGTCAGGATAAATTGTTCTACAGAATATTTCATGGATTTACAGCAACAAAGATGAGCAGATTGCATCACCTGGAACTACACATTACCGACGAGGCATACCCCTTCCCCTTCCCCTCAGCGCTCTTTGTGCAGTACCCGGCGGTGCTTTCGGGCCCGTGTTTTGCTGATACCCCATTGTCAGTGATTTCCACACAAGTACAAAGCACATGGATACATACCTGTTCACTTTGCGGATTCCTTACAGTCTCATCAACACTTAATATCAAACAGGCTGCTTCAGTAGCACTGCTAATCGCATTAAGTTTGACCAGACTTGGTTCCCACACAAACGCGTCCATGTTGTCCCGGATGCCAGTGGCTCCGTCGACGTCAACACCGACCCATTTGTCACCGTTCGCGTGCTTCATCCGCAGTTTGTTGAGAACATCAGTGGAATCGAGACCTGCGTTGTCGCAAATTTGACGGGGGATAATCTCTAAAGCCTTTGCGAAGGCAGTCATTATCAGCTGCTGCTTTCCGGGGATGGAGAGCGCGTGCTTTCGGATATGGGCAGACAAGTCCATCTGTCGATGTCTCGTCAGCAACGTTCTACACAAAGTGAACAATACAATACCTCGATTGCACCTCCTCCTGCGACAACATCCCCATTCCGAATAGCACGCTTCACCACCATGATTGCATCGTGCAGACTTCTCTCCACTTCCTCAATGAACTGTTCGGCACCACCACGAAGAAGAAGAGTGCAAGTTTTTGCCTTGGGGCAGTCTTCGAATACGTTATATCTTTCACCACCTATTTGCCTCTCTTCAAATCGCCCGCATGTGCCAAGGTGCTCCCGTGTGATGTCAGAACAAGTTGACTGGATAGAACCGCCTACAGCCTGCACGACCCGGCGGAGATCACCGGCTGCAACACGTCCAGCACAGAATATATCTCGATCCGCAAAATACTGAGTCGCCAGATCACCGATTGGAAGTTTACTGAGAACGACCTTGGCGCCGGTGTTCTCGATAGCTTCTAACTTCCGATAGATGATCTCCCACTCAGCGTCTACGATGGCCTGGTAGTCAGAAACAGCTTCCACCCGCACTTCGGCGTTATCCTTCTCAGCCTTGAGCTCCAACTCGACGTTGAGACATAAAATAAGGGGATCGCGGAAAGATTTGGGCTGCTGTTCTGCACCAGCGTAGGTGAATGTTTTCTTGAATGAAACACCTTTTATGAGAAGAGAATCTTGCATCCCACCACCGGCGATTTTTTTTACTCCAATAAGAGATTCGTCCAGTTCGTCCTGGTCAAGGCATTGAACGGCGTCTACGACTATGTTGGAGAAGAAGGGTTTTTCGGAGTGAATTAGTTTTGAAGACATGGACGTTGATGCACATTTTAAAAGTAGAGATCGGAATCGCCTGCAAGAAAACATTCTAGTTAGTATTATAGCCATAAGCAGGCATCTACGTACTCTGGATCAGCTTTATCCACTGAGACTTGTATCGATTTGATTCGTTCAATAGCCTGTATGGGTCGTACAGTGAGTGCTCCAGACCATAGCACTAGAAACATACGATCTGGGAAGCCTTCCTAAAGCCTTTCATGATGATATGCGGACTGACGCCTTCTTCGATGTAACCTCTGACCTCCTTTAATAGCTGGGCTGCGAGTAGCACCACACTTGTCGTCCCGTCCCCCACTTCAGCGTCCTGAGCGCGAGCGATGTCGACGAGAGTTCGAGCAGCGGGGTGTACGACATCCAGGAGCTTAAGGATGGTAGCACCATCGTTTGTGATCTGGGCCTCACCGCGTTCGGAAACAATGAGTTTGTCCATTCCCCGGGGACCGAGAGTACTGGACAATGTTTCCGCTACGGCCAGGCATGCAGAAATGTTGGAAAGCAGCTGAGGATTTCCTTGCGAAGTGTCTGTACCCTCACGAAGAAGGACGACGGTCGGTTGCTGGATAAAAATTAGAGACAATAAGCTATAGGCTGCTTTTCAGACGAACCATGGGGAGACCACGCTGCATTTTTGAAGAGTAGAGAGGAGAGATGAAAAGTTGTTTGCAAGTGCTTGTCTGATTCAGCCGCAATTTCTTGAACGCGTTCTCGTGACGCGCCCTGCTCGCTTTCTTGGTTTCCTTCTTGACATTTACAGGCTGTTCCAATGGGACCAAACGGTGCTAAGGGAAGCACAGAAGTCCTTTTTTTTGCTGACTCCGACGATGAGCCCGCTGCTGGGGATGCTCCCATGAACGTCGAGGAGGTTACACACTTACCTCAGAGACGAAATTCGGAGCCACTTTTTCTGGGCAACGAAGATTCTGGCGATGATAGCAATGCGTACAAAGTATCCATGGATCTGGACGACGAGAGTCATGATGTGACGCAAAGGTCGCGTTCGGAGCCTCTCTTTTTGGAGGATAGTGAAGACGACGAACCCTTGTATCCTACTGCTCCTTCTGCTTCATCGAAGGGCAAACGGCCAATGATAAAGGAGCCCTGTGATAGCGATATTGAGGTTAGTTCTGTTGCAGACGTGCCTCGGGCGTCGAGCGTCAGTTCGTTCTCAGATCGGGTCTCCGTTTCTCCTCCACCTGTCACTGGAAAGAGTAAAGAAAAGAGGTCTCCCGAGAAACCGCCAATAAAGAAGAGAAAGATTTCGCATCCTTCCGGTTTACCGGCCGTCGAGCTGGATATCACTCTGTTTAAAGCCACCTACATCGGCGAGTTCGTGGTCCCAAACGCATGGAGTAATGTCTCTGGAAAGGGATATGTAAAGCGCAATGATATTGTGCGCATAGAACGTGATCAAAAGGATAGATCACAGTCCACCCCCGGCGAGAAGAAGGAGAAGCCGACGATGAAAGGGAATGGGAAAAAACAGCTTTCCATCGCGACAATGTTCAGGCCTCAGCCTGTCCAACCATCTAGAAAGAAAGGAGATAGTATTGTTCGCTTGCTTAACAGTCGTGGGCTCGGTATGTCCCTTTCGCCACCTTTTCTTCCCCCATTCTGATCTTTGTAGAGTTTGGGCGTCTTCCCCAAGACATTTCTTCTTGGGTTGCTAAACTTCTTGATCTCGGTATGTTCACTTTATATGTTGTTCGAAGTCATATTCATGTATTTCCAGGCATTGTCGAGCTTCGCGGAAAGATGACTGACTGTCCTGAAAGACTATCGACGGGAGCAAGTCTCATCGTTACCATCGATGTCTATATGCTTCCGGCTGCATTCGTTCCTGTTGGTCGCGCTAGTGAAAACGGGTCAAAATTAGATTTCAGCGAAGGTTCTGAGACACAAGGAGAACTGGACCTTCGCGAAAGAAAGAGTGCTGTTCTCAAAATGTTTGACGTTCTTGGTCTAAAGCCCCAAGCTGGGGCGATACAGAGAAGCGGGAAACAGGAAGAACAGCTGCACCAAAACGCACTTGCGCAACTCGCTAAGCAAAAGGTCAAGGCTAAGGAGATCGTCGGTGACGGTGAAGAGATCGAGGTTGAAGAAGCGGAAAATCTTTCTAAGAACGATCTTGACATGATATATGAAAAGTGAGCTTTCCTGCGAGTGCTTTCATTCAACCAAGCTCATACACGTCTCAGAGCTCAGCAAAGTGATCGTACAATGGGAGAAATGGAGCCTGCTGATACGTTCAATCTGTCGTTACGAGGTTATCAAAAACAGGCGTTATTGTGGGTTACATACTCTCACTTGACATTCCTATCCTTAACCTTCGTAGTTGGATGCAATCTCTAGAGTCGGGTAAAAGCGATGCTCGAGAGGCGACTTCAATGCACCCACTCTGGTGCCAGTAAGCTACATCTTATTATTATTCTCAGCCCATTCTCATACTCTCTAGGTATGCATTTCCGATCAAAACTGACTCTGAGATAATAGATTTGACGGAAGATGAGAAGCCGTTCTATTTCAATCCGTACTCGGGTGAACTGTGTTTGACTTTTCCCAAGGCAGAAAGAAATTGCCGGGGCGGAATCCTTGCGTTCGTCTTTAACTGTATATCAGTATGAGCATCTATTGACTTTTGGCAGGGACGGTACGCGTCTCCAATATATCTTTCATTTCGGTCTCTCATGATTTTTTTAACGGTTATTTCTGTCGATCAGAAAGTAAGTACAATCGTGTGTAAAATACGAACTGGTCTAACATATCCGATCAGTGGGCATGGGAAAAACGTATGCATGATGTTCTGATCTGAATGCGTGGTCTGACTGTTCTCGATAGGATTATGTTGTCTTCTCTCATTCATACCCATCTAGCATCTGATAAGGATGTATCCGAAGTTGCTACAGCCTCTACAAAAAGCAAGCAACTCAGGCTTGACGCTGCGTTCAAGCCCGCTGCTCGCAGGAAGTCCTCTAAACCTCCTAATGCAACACTAATCGTCGCTCCGACATCTCTACTTGGGCAATGGGCCGATGAGCTGGAGAGGTCAAGTAAACAGGGCACAGTCAAAGTTCAGGTTTGGCACGGCCAAAACCGTCTCGATTTGGATACAGCCATGAAAGATGACGAGGGCGATACATCGATCAAGATAATCGTGACTTCTTATGGTGTGCTGGTGTCCGAGCATGCTAAGTCTGAGAAGTCCAGTAGTTGGAATTCTCCTATCTTTGAGAGTGAGAGATACTTCATCCTCGGCGTCGTGCTGTCTTGTTCACACTGTTGTTTGTAGCCGAGTGGCTACGGGTAGTCTTAGACGAAGCTCATGCCTGTAAATCGCGGACCAGTAAAACCGCGAAGGCAGTGTACGCTTTGCGTGCGAGACGAAGATGGGCTGTTACCGGTATGTCATTACAATAAAGAATGACCGCTTCGCGATTACTAAACCCGCCACAGGCACACCTATAGTGAACAAGTTAGAGGATCTCTTTTCTCTTCTGTGAGATCCTATTCGTCATGACTCATCTAGTGTACCTAACCTACTTTTTTGTAGACGATTCTTGGACTTCAAGCCGTGGTCCGATTTCTCTTTCTTTCGATCGTGAGTCTTCCTATTTATGTGTAGCGCAGCTAAATATATTTGTAGCTTCATTACGGTTCCCTTTCTCGCCCATGATCCTAAAGCCATCGAGGTTGTTCAGGTGATCCTGGAGTCAGTATTATTGCGACGTGAGAAAACCATGTGCGACGCAAGCGGCAAGAAAATTGTTGATCTGCCTTCCAAGGAGGTAAGTGATTTCGGAATATATCACATAAAGAGGAGAATGCATGAGCACTCTCTTAGGTGGTTGTTGAGTACCTGGAATTTTCGATGGCTGAAAGGAAGCTGTATGATTCGATCTATAATCCGATCAAGAGGAACTTCGATCAGCTCAGTGCTAAGGGCTTGGTTGGAAAAAATTATACTCACATCCTGGCGATGTTGATGAGGTACGCCCTTTAACCTGTTCGTTTCAAAGACACAAACCTAATTGTATACCAGGTTGCGTCGTGCTGTGCTTCACCCAAGTCTTGTCCTTTCGCCTGAGGAAGACCGCGCCTTGTCTCCGTCCGGCGATGGCTTCATAGAGATTAAAGATATCCTCGGCGCATTCCAGGAGAATGAGGGGAATAGTGCTTCAGGAAGCAACGTCTTCGCTCAAAATGCTCTTGCCAACCTAGGCGATGACACTCCCGAATGTCCCATCTGTATGGATGTTATGGATAAACCTATGCTTGTTGCAGGATGCATGCATCAGTGGTAGGCGAATAATGCTGTCATGCGAAACTGTGTCATTGAAAAAAATTTCGCGGAAGTTGCAAAGACTGCATAAACATGTTTATAGCAACATGTGAAGAGAAGGGACAGGAACCTGGCTGTCCGACCTGTTCTCGTCGTCCAATTAAGGTAACCTGTGAGCTTCGTTTGTAGTTCTGGTGGCTCATTCGCATGGTTGATACAGATAAACGAACTCATAGAAGTAGTGAAACCGCAAAACCCGACAGTCTCTGGACCTGTGGTCAAACAAGGCACTCAAGTTATACTCAGAAAGAATAATTTCCAGTCTTCCACTAAACTCGATGCTTTGCTGCAGAACCTACGTTCGTCTGCTTCCCTTATCTGCTACGGCGAAGACTGATCGATTAATACAGTACGACTCCGTGACCAAGATCCTTGTTTTCGTGCTGTCGTTTTCTCGCAGTTCACCTCATTCCTTGATCTAATTGAAAGGGCGCTCAAACGTGATCAGTTTGACTTCTATCGTTTTGACGGTTCTATGGATGTCAAGAGAAGAACTGCAGCTCTAAATGACTTCAAGTCAACGTCAAGGACACCAAAGGTGCTTATTGTGAGCCTTAAAGCAGGCGGTGTTGGTTTGAATGTAAGTTAGCATATTGTGATGCATGCAAAACTCATTTCTGTCCTAGCTAACGAATGCTAACCATGTTTTCATGGTACGTACCCTAATTTATGATGAAAATTGCTACTTGCATTGACTATTTGATCGTCTCACACGTAGATGGACTGTTGGTGGAACGCTGCCACCGAAAATCAAGGTACGCATCGTGCCTAAAGTTGTCACTCAGTCTAACACTTCATGTACTCGGTCCAGCTGTTGACCGAGTCCATCGTTTGGGACAACAGAAAACTGTCTATGTCAAGCACTTTATTGTATCAAATACCATCGAAGGCAGGATCCTACAAATCCAGAAACGGAAAACTGCCATCGTGAAGGAGGCTTTTAGGGGAAGCGGTACAGGAGCAGAGAAAGAGAGCCTGGAGAATCTGAAGATTATGTTCGGGGACGAGTAGAGCGGCCTAGGACGGGCTTGTGAAAGTCTACGATGTTGTTGGTGGCTGCGCATTTGTATTTAGTTACACCTAGACGAATCCTGGCTCAATCCCTTGCTTAGCGGTGGTTACCCGATTTAGAAACGATCGATACTCGAAAGGCCATCCGCCTACTTATTCCGATCCTCCTTCTCACACTTCCACCAACATCATGGCTCGTCAGTTTTTCGTTGGTGGCAACTTCAAGATGAACCCTGTTTCCAAACAGGCCAAGGCTGCTCTTGCTGACACTCTCAACAAGGCCGATCTTGACCCAGCTACTGGTACCGCTTGCCATCTTCCCCTGTGATACGGGATGTCTGCTGATTATGCACAGAGGTCGTCGTGGCGCCTCCAGCGATATACCTTTTATCTTTGAAGGATATCCTCAGGAAGGATATCAAGGTATCGGCGCAGAACTGCTATTTCAAAGATTCTGGGGCCTTCACTGGTGAAATCAGGTATGCATCTACACGTCAGTCTGATTTGGACACTTCTGACGTTAGCATTATACAGCCCCAAGCAACTGGTAGACTCTGAGATACCCTATGTCATCCTTGGTGAGTTCCTCGTAGGTATGGGCAGTACATTGAGTAGGAACCTGAAAACTCCGTAAGGCCACTCGGAACGCCGCACACTCTTCCACGAAACGTCGGAGCTAGTAGCGACCAAGACGCGTGCAGCACTTGACTCCTCTCTCAGTGTAATTCTCTGCATCGGAGAGACTCTCCAGGAGCGCGAAGCCGATCAAACTGCTAAGGTATGCCAGGCACAATTGAAGGCCGTCGTCGAAGTTCTGAAGGAGTCAGATTGGAGGCAAGTCTCCTTACATCTCATCTTGCGTATGCCTTGAATATTAGCTAGCAAAATTGTCATTGCTTATGAGCCCGTCTGGGCCATTGGTACCGGAAAAGTAGCGACATCTGCTCAAGCCCAGGAAGCTCATGCGGACATTCGCGCTTACTTGGCTAAGGCAGTATCTCCTGCTGTCGCCGACGCTACGAGGATCATCTACGGAGGAAGCGTAACTGCCGCGAACTGCAAGGACCTCTGTATGTTGTCTACGCACAATAGCATCTCTCGCTGACGATATTCCTGCAGCTACGAAACCCGACGTTGATGGGTTCCTTGTCGGTGGTGCTTCTTTGAAGCCGGAATTTGTCGATATCATCAATGCTCGACGGGTCTAATGAAGGGTAGGGAGAACTAGACCCAAAGAAATTATCAATAATGATGTACAAGATTAAGTAGTAGGTGTACTTGATACGATGGGTGAAGCATTTATATCCAATATTGATATATAAGATAGTCATGCTAAGGTACTGGGACACCATTTTGAAGTGGAAAGGTGTTAAGTACTATATTTTATGCGCAGTCAAAATTCGCGACGCGCGATTGAATTTCAAATAGATAGGCCACGTGCCACCTCTTCAACTTTGGCCACCACCATCTTCACGGACTCGACGCGGCCAGAGCTGTATGATGTCCGGAAAGACGTTAGAACGTTCTGACCTCATTGATGTGTATGCTATCGTCTGATTCGCGTCTTTAATATCTCACATTGCCACTTCCAGGTCGTATTCTCAACTGCACGATTTCTTGTCTGGACGCCTTGAGGGCACATCTCCAGAGCAGGTCAAGGGATATCTGGCGCCAAGAGTCGACCAGTTGAAGCTACTCAAAGATCCTTTTGGAAAACCCTCCGAGGCATCGCGGAAACGAATTCAGAGTGGGACAGTGACTTTGAGCGATGGCGTGGTGTTCCATTTGGAGGATTCTGATAAGGATTACATTCTTGGAATCAGCGATGCGTTCAAAATCGACGAAGTCAATGCATTTATTCTTCTGCGATCATTCATGTACAACCAAGGACTACCTGCCACAGACATGGACGAGTTTTTGGTGGAAGCATGCGTCGAGGCCATTACCCCCTTCTATCTCTCGGAACGTATCGCCATTTTCCGCGTTCTTATACCTCTTTTCCGCGCCAAAGAAGACCCTACCGATCCTGCATTCGAGATTTCACGCATATTCCTGGGCAAGATAATTTCTGATGGCCCAAAATTTGTCGAGTCTCTTCTGACGGAGTATACTCGTAAAACGAAGGAGAGAATTGATGAAAGGGTAACAATAGACCCAAGGACGGCGTCTAAATGGGCGAAACAGAATATGAAGGAGCAGCTTGTCATGTTGGAGGTGTTGTTTTGGACGATGTGGGGGTCAGTTGCCTGTGACGGTTCGACAGTGGAGAAGATTTTCACCTCCGCTTACACGACGAATCTTGGTACTACACAACAGAATGCAGCTCTATTGCTGGACGAGGACGCCCTCCAGCTGAAACAAGACATCACGTCTCTTTGGATTCTTATAACCATCGAAGTTCTCGAGCTGGAGACATTAGCAGATGCCGGCGTCGTTGAAATATCCGATACTCCTTCACGAACTGACTTATATACCTCATCCCCTACATCGCTCGAGCGAATCCATGATCTCGTTATGTCCAATAACGGTGATGATTTCGCATGTACCTATCTGGCATGGACCTCCGTCGTCTCTCGTGTATCGGCAGTGGCAGGTGAAATCAAGGAGATCCCCGACTCTTATCGTCCGTTTTTAGACTCCCTGGTACCCCAAACGAATCGTTATTCCAAGGACCGTGAACCAACACATGTTATGATGATGAAAGCATGCTTGTCACCCAATACTGGTTTATTTCGACTTATGCTAAATTTGCTCACTACAATGCCCTTGTTCGTCACCTCCGTTGCTATGAAGACAGACTCGTCGGTCACAGACACGAACGCTATTGCATTCAGGTCTGTTTTCAAGGGTAAGCGTCACCTCTGACAGCATATATACGCAAACGGACTGAATTCATTATCAGGGCTTATCATTGCTTTACTCGACCTCACCTCTGTGGAAAACATTCCGGACTTTGACTCTTTCGTCGAGGTGTGGATAGCACTATTTGGGCGAAGTGAGAGTAGATCGGTGGCTGGTATATGCAGCCAGTACTGGCAGTTTGACTGGGAGTACGGGCCAGCGCGTCGCGCTATATTCGACGTAGCCCGCTCTCGATTCCCAATCCAAGTCAGGCCCTTGGTTCGTTTGGCCAGAGCGATGACTGCTTCAGGATTCTTGGACACTGACCCACTTTGTACACCGGATGAAACACAGGCTGTTTTCGGGCTTACAGGAGACAGAGACTTATGCGATCGTCACGTCTTCTTCTTCCTCGAAAACTTACCGACATACTCTCAGGTTATTCCATTGCAAGCCTGTACTGGTTCTCATGCCATGTATGAAAGGGTCCCAGAGAGATATGGGATCTTCGTCGTCACTGGGTCTGTCTTACACCAATTCGAGGCCTATCGTCCTTCCTGGAGGCAGCATACTACCACCCTGGATCTATAGGCCGAGTGCTCAGTGGTGATGGAGGCGAGTTGCTTGCGGTTTGTTGGAGTCATCAACATTCCGGTTGGAAGCTGATGCTCGACATATTGGCTGATTATGTCAAACGCCGAAATGCGTACCTGGGTGCTAGAAAAGCTCCACGTCCGTTACCGTCTGATCGTCATTCCCCATTTCCTCTGACTATTGAAGACTCTGGCCTGGAAATGGATGGCGGAATCGACGAATCTCTGATAACGGATATTTTGGATCTCATACGAAGTCTCATTCAAGATAATCCTACCCAAGCAGAGCAGCTCTTACAATCACTCGAGGCCGATGTTCCAGTCTCAAAGTCCATGTCTGATTCCGGTCCCCCCTGATCTGGTACAGCTTACCATGACGATCCTCGAGGAGACCTTCACAAGCATCAATCAGCATCCCAAATCCGCTCTTCCGACGCAACTCATAACATCGGCCATGAGTGTGCTCGCAGCTATCCTCGCTATTCCTCGCTACTCCACTCGTGTTTGGATCTATATGAGATCAACATCGGTCCTTTTCGGGGCAGGACGGTCACTGGGGTCGATGTTCGCGGCATTGGCTGCAGAGCGAACTATTGGTCGTTATACAGTGACCCTCGCTCTGTTGCATCTCGCCCAGCAGCTGTTCCATGATGCCACAACTTTGGTTATCCCGGATGATCCACATGTTCGCAAGTTGAAGGCTGAAGTACTTCTTCGAGCCACTGAATTCATTCATAATGAGATATGGGTGGAGCATCTTGGATGGCGATATGCCCGTGTCGGTGATCGTTTCGACATCGGTAGACATGTGGCGTCTCTCTTCGTCAAAGTCCTGGAGCATACACCAGAAGCACCAGAAGATGGTCCGTTTGTCGGCTTAAGCCGCGCGGTTTTGGATTTGCTCCTGGGCAAGGCAACAAATTCTACCATTATCCCTTTGGTCTCATCTATCACCGCTGGAAGACATATGCTTCAAAGCCTATATGCATCTCGTCGAAAGGCTGATGCCAAAAGGGTGATTCTTCTCCTTGAATCTCAGCTTCGGCTGATACGTCTGATTCTGAATCGGAAGCGTACGTCGCCAAAACTTTGCTTGTTAGAACAAGTTCTTTGCTCTCGGGTCACCGATGGCACTGCTTCCGATCCCTATCAATCAAGGGTAGAACCCATCGACGTCTTAGCATCATATGTCAAAGAACGCGATATCGGCAGTCTCGTCCCCATCGAAGCCATTCGCATTATGTCTTGTCTCTGCGACTCCCTATCCTCTCAAACATCGGTGCCAACTATCGTAGGGCATTTGACGGATCCCGAGGCAACAGCGGCATCCCTCGTACGTATCGTGCAGCATCCCTACGAGGACTTATCTTTGCGATTTGAGGTCTGGAACTTCATCGCCAAAGCGATGAACACAGAACCGGCCTTAGCTAAGGTCTTTGTTGTGGGACAGTTCCGCACTCCAAGTGACATCAAAGGCAAAGGAAAGGAAACTGATGCCAAAGCTCCCCCGGTCACAAGTGCAATTGATGTTGCTCGTGAAATGGTTGAAAACTGGCAAGGGCTATGGGAACACAATCCTCAACTGCTCTCCTCTATTCTTCGTTTCCTTGATGTTACCTGGCAACATGGATTAGAACATAAGCTCATACTGGATCAACGATTCCGTGACGATACAGAGTTTTGGTCCCAGGTAGCATCGGTAGCGTGCTCGGATCTTGGGCCACTTCCAGTATTCGATGCAGAGGAATATGTGTACATCGACGGCATTCGACACTCTACGATGCATGAGACCGTCTCATCTCATTCGTATCGCATTGTTGCTAAGGCATACGCTCTTCATATCCTTGGCCTTGACATCGGCCAGTCATATACCAAGGATACACCATCTAAGAAGTCTACAAGCTTCAAGAGTATGGAGGATCGATTTAGATCGGAAGACGAGCTAACTGATCTTTTGTCGGAGGCTGTGGCAAGTTCCTATCGACCGGAGTTATTCGATGATTTGGAGGAAATGTTGAAGAACGACTTCCCCGGTCTCACAGTCGCCCAACTTCAATCCCGGGATCCTTTAGAGGATCGTGAATATGGTGACGATTTTTCACTGTCGGCATCTTTATTACGCAGTCGTCTCAAAGGGTATCACAACGCGGATGCCATGGTTGACCCCGTTGAAAAGGCCGAACAACAGCTTCTTTCAATCAACCTGAATCAGTCCTTGTCACACAGTCAAATGCGACTCACTGAGAGCACCCGGTTCCTGCTGAGCCAGGTTAGCCCTTACCTTCGTGGTGACGCGGCAGCCAGGCCAATTCTCGTTTCAATTGCTTCGTCAATATCCTATGATCTTGCACGAGAAGCGCGCCTCGGTGATATGGTAGCCACTATCCATGGAAAGCGTTTGGCTCTACTCCTTGCCATTCTGGAAGTGGCGTGGTTCTCCACACCAGAGAAACAGGCTGACGTTAAATCGTTCGTTGAATTGGTCGATAATGTGCGAGGAATCATCCTGAATGAATATCAGCTCCCATCGACATCTTTTCTCGGGTCGCTCACGGTTCCGTTCCATCACACACTCTTGCAGATATTATATTTCTGCGCCAAAAACTCTAGAGCGCTTGTTCGACGACCAAAGCTTCTAAACGCGGATCAACGATTGACGCTCTCCCAGATGATCGAAGCGTCCTTGAATACTGTCATCGACGCGATGCGCGTAGTGCTTGCTGCCGCAAGAAGCAGAGCTGACGTGGAACTGGATCGAGACCTCGAACTTTTAGTCTCTGTATTCGAACAATGTTCACGGCACGACATCAATCCTTCACCCTCTATATGGTTAGCCAAATGCCAGGAAACAAATATTGTGACAGCCAGTTTGCAGCTTTTTGCGCGTATCGACCTTGTCGGTCTCTCAGATTTGCCTCTTCTAATCACGCGGCACACCCCACTCTACGTTCCACATCTACTCTTATTCCACATGGCGCTTGCGAGTATCCCCTCGGCCGCGGAGAGACTAGCTAGCGGCGGTGTTCTCGCTGCCTATAGCAATAACATGATTAGCCCAGCTATCAGCGCTGGGTCGATTGATGTCGATATAGCAGAGCTGACCGGAGAACGCAGTCCCGCTCATTATGTGTATTGCTCTATGGTGGCGGTAGTGTCAGGTGTGATAGGTGCTTTGGGAAGTAACAGTCACTATTTTGATGCGGAAGCCTGTGGATTGGTGCAGCTGTATAGCGACCAGATCACTCGTGCGTTATCATGGAGTGTCGGAGACGTTATCTCTCTGCCGCTCCTCGAAGAAATTGAACAAGTCGTCCATCTCTTCTATTCTATTGCAGAAAGCAGTCCTCCGACCCCCAATCAGAATGCAATGGTCGAAAAAACTCTCAGGCTATTCACACATCACGCACTGCATTTGTTACAACAGCTCAACTATGCTATCACACATCCCAACCAGTTGGCTAGCTTATTTGAGCCTGTGACAAAAGAGGAGCAAACATTGGTCGACAAGGATCCTCCTGCTTCTGATCCTTTGAAGCGACCGCTCGTCGTGCATCTGGTGCATCGACTTTATCGACTGTCGAGCAACATCATCGCCACATTGATTAGCATCAGTCAAGCGTTCACTGTATTGTCAGGAGAGCAAGATGATTGGCCCGTTCAAGAAGCTTTCGTTGTACCGGTCAGTATACTCTGATATGAATTTCTTCTAGTGATTGAATTGATTTATAGCACTCGAAAGTAGTGTTAGGCGAGCCCGCATCCCTGGGAACCCTGCTAGAGCTAGGCAACTCTACTTTAGACCTGCTGAAGGAGCTAGTCGGACTACCACCTGGCCAGAGTCTTGTTGCTATGGGTGCTGTTCTATCAAGCAAATATGGAAATACCCTAGATGTCCGGCAGGGAGTTATCACGGCACGGCGCAATCTTGAAGGGATTTTGATTTACGCAGGCACTCAGCTTGCTATGTGGCTTTCGAAGCCAGACTTTGAAGCCACCAACGATGTGGACATGGATGAACCCGACATCCCTAGACAAGACAAAGAGCGAAGGGTGCCTCGTCCTTCTCTGACGGTGGCCGACCGCATGAGACGCGGGATGACTGGAGAAATGGCGGCAGACTTGCAATCATTATTGACAAAATCAAGGGATGTGATCAAGAGTACTGACGCTGTTATTGGCGCTCCAGGCGTGGATGTAATTCCTCTGTTGTCCACTTTTATTCACGAAAGAATTTCTCCGCCCGTATAAGCCTGGTGAGTGATGCTCGTTACCCGTAGTGATTTATCCTATATCTGATGTTTCCTTCAGACCTTGACGCATCCCAGCCAATGTTGTGTAGTATAGTTTAAAAAGTAGCGTAACTGTGGCGAATCATCAATTTTAGCAGTAGCTTTTGGAACAAGGGCCTGGAACAGAATGCTTGGACCCGGACAATTACGGGCGGGCCTGCCGGCTAAGAAGCGGGGCTAGGCGTGGGAATTACTAAGATTTTTCAGTTCATAGCGCGAACATGTCGATATCGGTGCTGGCGTCCAGTAGGCGAGCAGGCATCTCACCGTTCGTCAAGAGATATGTCCGTGGCTACGCTCGAAAACCAGAAGAAACCAGCGATCCCAAAAAGGAGGCTATTCGTCGAGCCATGTACCCTTCCAACCTCCGAAACCGCGCTACGCCAACTGGAGGATGGCGACGTGATGTTGGACGGGCACTACAACATGCTATACCGTCTGTGCCGGCTCACGAAACCATCGAGCGAGCATGGCTGCTGCATAAGAGGCACGTTAGGAAACAGAGGGACGCAGAGCTAGCTAGGAAGTTCGAGTGCATGAAGCAGGCGATGGAAGAGCTGGCAGAAATCGACCCCCATCTTTATTATGAAGCGAACAAGACTGAGGATCTAAGGGAGAGGAGTCGCGCAGAGGCCGAGGTGGCGATTGGCATGAAGGCTTCAGAGTTGAAGGCCCTGGACGCGAGGATTCATGGACTATTTCCTCGCGAGATGCGAATACCGACGGACACACCGTCGCGTAATGGCTGGAACTATGAGTGGAAGCCTTTCCCTCGGCCACTTTAGGTGTGTCTGACATTACCACCATTTCTGTTTCGCACTGCTCATGCTATTCAAGGGAAGTGTCATGTTATACATTGGCGAGGTTTAGGAGCGAAAAGTTTGCTAGAAAGTACAGAACGGAAGAGTCACTAGACACAGAATCACCATCGATCATCTCGAATAGTCATTGGATCAGGTCCCAGGTCACCTCTACTACCTGTGCTAGTCTTCCCTATGACAGCGTTGTGTACCGACTCGATGGTCTCCGTCCACTGTTTCAGGGCCGTGTAACGCTTCTTCTCTAGACTTTGCCTGTGAGAACAATGACGTTCAGCCGGGAATACGATTAATACTGGTCAGCGTCCTTACTTTCGGTCCAATTCGAGTCGCATCCCAACTTGATCAATTCGACCTTCAACTTTACCTTCAAGAATCAGACCGATGAGCAATTCTTCAACTTCTTGAGTGTCGACATTCAGTTGCTGGAGAAGCTGTCAATCAAGTTGGAACTACCGAAGACAGCATGCAATATACCTTGGCCAGGAATGACAGCTCTAGACGCGTATAGGGTTTGATGAGGTCAATCAAATACTGAGTACGCAAGCTACGCAGTAGCTCGCCAATATATGATCGGATGAATGAGTCTTCCATGATTGTTGAACGGTTATCTACCATGTTGTCAGCAATTACTGGGGATGAAGTCAAAGGGCAAACCTCGGAGAATCTTCTCCGCCGAATGAACTTCACGTCGCTGGTAGGCATCTACCAAGTCAGTCATTGCTTTGATCTGGGGATCGCTCTTGTATCTACGCAAACATCATTCAAGTGGCACAGGCGGAGAAAATTTCGATAACGTACGGCTTCGTCTCCTGACTATCGAATGGGTTGACTTCACTGCCCGTTAACATATTGGCTAGCACAAGATACTTAAGAACTTGTATCCTTTGAGGAGATCCGGCCTCATCGTAATTTCGGAATGACTCAAAGAAATCTTCACTGGCTCGATTCCATTGTCCTAGAAGCACGTCAAACTGATGAACCATGCTAAATCAGAAAGGAAACACACGCTCTCCCATCCACATCTTCCCACCGCATTCCTTGATAACACCCATGATACGGGGATGGGGGATCGCAGAACGTACATTGTTAGTAGCATTGTAGATTTCCTTCTCAATCTCAGCAAAATTCCAGGATCCGACTATCCAAGAGTTACCTTCAGTTTCTTAAAGTTGCGCGTTTCATTGTACATTTGGATCTCAAGCGCGTAGATTTCAAGCAATTGAGTGCCGCGCTGAGACTGATCCTCGCCGTCGCCGCTACCGGTTGCGATATGTAGATCGCGAATGAGCTAGAGACTGATTAGGGGCAGTTCAAGTACGGTGATAGAGTGCGTACCCTGGACAAGCGGTTGTACTCTTTCCTATCAAGCCATAGTTTTGCAAGTTTCAGATTCGTCTTTGCTGACAGACGCTATTATCGTGGAATTAGACGGCCAGGTCTTCCGAATGCTAATCCTTACGAACCTCGTTTTTGGCGTCTACCAGAGCCTTTTTGGTGGCTTGATAGAACTTTTCCAAGATATCCACTTCAACAGGTCCGCCTTTACCACCACCGACATAGTCCAGTATACCATTAATTGTCTTCTCTGAGTAGTTGCGTGTAACAGCGGATTTGGTATAGGTCAGTAACTGCGTGTATGTCTGGAGGGCATCGTTGGGGCGACGTAATGTGAGAAAAAGGAGCTTTGTCGACTGTTTGAGCGCTTTGAATCCCCTTGAATACTATCAGAGGAGAACTACCGAGAATGTGAACACGCTCACCAATCGCCTTGCTCCGTCTCCTGATCCACAATGGCCTTAAACTCCTTCAGTGCTAATTCTGGATTTTCTTCCTTCTTCGCTGCGATGTACAGTTAGGTCACCATTGAAAAACAAGGCGTTTCAGGACATACATTTTGCTTTATAGTACATGTTTTCGACATCTGCGCTGCCTGACTCGTCGGCGTCGTCTCCATCGGAATAGTCAAAGCCGTAGTCCTATGATAAGAGAGATTACAGGTAGGCAAGAGATGCAGAATAGACGCATACTTCATCATCGCTTCCCTGCATATAGTCGGCATCATCATCATCCATGGTGGGAAGCGGTGAAAGACTGAAAGTGTACTCCTGGACCCACAAAGACCGAAGTGACACGTGATATAATTTGTGTCTAAAAGTGGTAGTTGACAGTTCTGTCCATGCTGCCATTAGTCTGTTACCGGGTTTCTACAAAATAATGAGAATCGATCGAACTTTTTTTCGGCTGCCCAGTATAGTAATTCCCCATCTTGGATTCCACCAAATGCATAAGCACTGCGAATTATACCTTCCTGACGTGCAACTGGGCTATATTCCTCCGAATTATCCATCAAAGTCTCTGATATCACCACCCGGGCCTTTGGTTTGTGATCCCCATGAATCCGCTAATCTGGTCTGTCAAATCCCAAATCAGCGGTATTTTCTTCACGACTGCAGGCTCCATTGCATGACTTGATGACACCAAAACATTGTATACTGCTTCGGGAATCAATTCTAAACCGTTTATTCTATCATTACCGTTGCTCTTGGTGTCGAGTCGCTGTTAAAGGAAAACCGGTACCTATGAATTACTATATTGGGCAGGTGAAAAAAAGTTCGATCGATTCTCATTATTTTGTAGAAACCCGGTAACGCGTCCTTCTCTCCATTGCATCATGGCATCATCCCAGGTTGCCTCCCCCATTCTTCCCACCTTTTCTGGTCCAGTATCTCGCTCTAGAAGTAGCACAAAGCTCGCCAACGCCGACGTCACCAGCCTTACCACTTTCAATCCCTTTTCAGAAGAAGACGAGAATGATCAATCGTCTTATACTTTGGTTACTTCTCTCTTTTCAAAGGTGAAGAACTCCTTCTCTACGCCTCTCTCCGCTGTCACAACAACACCGGCGCATACTGGCAATATCAATGGGGCTACTGTCAATGCCGAGCCCAGACGTCCGTCCTACACCCTGAACACTCAATCTAGTTATTCCTCGCGAGGCTCGACGAACGAACGACTCAACCCTATAGCCCCGAACCAGTCTATTCCTGCTCCACCGCTGGTATCTCTCACACCAGCTCAGTCCGAACACCCTGTCTACAATACAGAGTATGACAGATCACCTTCACGGGGAATGTTCTACTCTCTTTACGACTCTACCGATGGTGGTACTTTTGGAACTACTATCCCGGGATTTCCAATACAGGATGACGCACGGAGCGTCAAGACCTCGGCTAGCTTGCACAGGTCGGGTTCGGTGTCAAAGGTTATACGGCGGATACGGGGCGAAGGTGAGACCTTTTCCTACGACGCATCCTTCTTCGCACTCCAAAGCCAAGCAAGGCAGCGGAATATGGATAATTCGTGTCAGTTAATCATGTACTGACCGCGTTGCAGGTCTATCCCGGGATTATTGGATGGATGACGAGAATTGTAAAGAGTGTTATGACTGCAAGAGCATATTTACGACCTGGCGGAGAAAACACCATTGTCGTATATGCGGTATGACACTTATACCTCATCCTTTTGCTATCTAACAGCACGTAGGGCAAATATTCTGTTCTCGTTGCGCCTCCAACATTATCAAAGGCTCCCGATTTGGACACGATGGAATGGTCCGTGTGTGCAATTTGTGTTTAGAGAAACTCGCCAAGGTCGACGACGATGACGACGATGACAGGCGTTCCGTAGTGTCGTCTGTAATGTCATTTCCGGCCCATCAAGTGGGAGAGACCATGACCCTAGCCCATCATCCTCAGTCGCCCTTTGCTGCATCGCAATTATTTGGGCGTACCGATGAACCTTTCAATCTTTACTCAATAGCCGAGACCAAAAGACGCATCTCAGGCTCCGACGAGAGTGGTTTTGTCTCCCGACCAATTACACCACAACTTCGAGAGCGCGATGATGGCATGTGGGAGTCTCCTGAGGAGCCTTCTGCGCCATTCCGTAGAGGAGTGTCTGACGAGGAAAAGGAGCGTGATGTCTTTGAGTCTACTGGGTTTCCCGCGTCGCAGACGCCAATCGCGTTTCCTACCATGCGTGATGTGGACCCACTGACCAGCTCGATTCAATTTCCAATGGGGTCTCCAGAACATTGTGGTCAGGATAGTCCATTGCTCGTAAGCAGGATGAGGTCGCGGTTAAATTCGTTGACCGCATCGACGCCTTTCATTCGTAGTCGGGTTCAGAGTCGATTGGACAACGTTGCAACTGGTGAGCCTGGCTGGCGTGCCCGAAGGGAGAGTACTGCGTATGTGAAATGTATCATCACGGTCGCCTTTTCTCACATAATCTTTAGATATGCGCAGGAGCTCAACATGACCTCGATGCACCATCTAAGAATCATGCTTCGACAAATGCTTTCCAGCGAGCAGGTTCCCAACATGAAAGAATGGGAAGAGACGCTGCTCAAACTGGCCCTCCGAATTGCACGTGATTTGACATTCACCTCTCTTCCTCATCGACAGGGCCAAGATATGGACGTTAGGCGTTATGTCAAGATCAAAAAGATTCCAGGAGGCACTCCACAGGACTCTGAATATGTCGATGGTGCTGTCATAACCAAAAACGTTGCGCACAAGCACATGCTGCGATCCCAACGCAATCCCCGCGTTATGCTTGTAACATTTCCTCTAGAATTTTCACGTGTCGAAGGACAGTACATGCACTTTGGGCAAATTGTGCGTCAGGAAAAAGAATACCTGGGAAATTTAGCCACACGGATCGCCGCGCTTCGGCCTCACGTTGTGTTGGTGGAGAAGTCCGTTTCTCGTCTTGCTTTAGAGGCTCTTGCGGGATACAACATTGCAGTGGCCCGTGCTGTGAAGCCGTCTGCTATACAATTCGTGGCGCGAATGACTCAGGGCGATGTTTTTTCATCCATGGATAAATTGGCGCTGGAACCTCGATTGGGTCACTGTCAGAGGTATCGTATACAAACATACGATCATCCACTAATACCTGGGCGCCGCAAGTCCTACATGCGATTTGAGGGGTGCAATCATGACATGGGTTGCACAATCATCTTGCGTGGAGATGATATCAGTACTCTCCGGCGAATCAAGAAAGTCACACGTTTTCTCATTTTCATAGTCAGGAACTTAAAGCTGGAGACTCATCTGTGGAAGGATTCTGTCATTACACTTCCTCCACTTAACACCGAGACTGCTTCATTATCTCCAAGCACTAGCCATGCACCCACAAATTATTTGGTTACCTCTTTTCTGGCTTTTGGATCGTCCACATCTACTCCCCGAGGCGCATCGCCGACCGTCGAGCTTAGCTTGTCCAGACCGGAAACGGTGGTTGCAGACAAGAATCCATTTGAAGACGACGATCTTCCTGATGATGACGCTGAACAACTCAAACTCTCGCGGCGTATCGACGAATCATTGGTGCCATACACAACCACGTTCATATCGGTCTCTGCGACGCTTCGTTTCCCACCTCCTTTTCCCATACGACGAATGAAGGAGCTAGATGTTGAATTACTGGCTGCAAAAAGGGCCTGGGAAGACGAGGTGATCCGGCTGGAGGAAAAGCAGGAAGTCAAACATGAGCAAGAGTCGACGATAACGCGGAGCAGTACGATGACTCGACACACCAGTAATAATGAAGAGGCCGAAAAAGACAATATTTCCGAACAAGACGATATTAAAGCGCAAATCGAAGCTCTTCCTACAATTCCCATGACCATAACTCCCAGCGCATACACACCTATATCTCCTTCCAAAGATCAGGACAGTTACTTTCCTATTAATGCATCGGCCTTCAGCTTCTACTGCTACTAGCCCTGCCGAAGAACCAACGGAAGCGCTAAAAACCCCAGCCGATATAGCCTTGGAAAGCCAATATAGTTTGGTGAAATGTAAACATGAAGAACATCGGCGTATATGGGAGTGGTACTTGCGGAAGAACTACGATGACTTTGTCGTCGAGAAATATCAGTGCATAAGGTTGTTGGAGTATACGGTCCCCATAGCCGATTTTGGTTTTCATCGTGCTTGCTTTGCGCCCAAATTCAGTTACATCACATTCTATGGAGAGAACGATTGCACCCTGGGCCAGTATGTCGAGGAATCTGTCACGGAGACGCTCGTTCAGTTCTTAGATCCCAAAGCAATATGCACGGGCAAAGGATGCGACCAGCCTTTAGGCACGCCACTGTAAGGTCTTCGTTCACAACGAGACCAAGGTATTTGTTGCCGTCGAACAATGGGATGGACAGATCATCGGACGGTCGAACTTCTCGCCTGCCCCAGAGCTCATAACAACATGGAGCGCATGTCGGATCTGTGGAGCTGCTACACCCTTCATACCGGTTTCGGAGGAAATGCAAAGATACTCCTTTGCCAAGTTTCTTGAACTTCATTTCTATCCCACGGATGTGAAGTTGGTTCAAGGTGCCGGGTGTCAGCACAACATCTATCAGCATCACGTTCGCTACTTTGCGTGCAAGGGTATGACTGTGCGTTTCCAGGCCGATCCGGTTACTTTGCACGAAGTTGTATACCCTCCCTTCCGCATTCGTGTCCGACCTGAAACGCAGCTTGAGTTGAAGAACAGCGACTTCAATCGTTTGCATCACCGTAACTTGGCTTGGTACACAGGCTTGATAGACGATCTTAAGCTCATCAGTATTGATGCTGCCACTGGAGACGAGGACGGTGATGCCAAACTTTTGGCTGATATCAACATGCTAATCGCCAGGGCAGAGGCAGAAAGAGAGGATATTAGCAGGCTAATCAACCGTGTATACAGGGAGTCGGCACCTACGGATACTCTTGCACTCAACCAAGTGCGTTCGTATCGACAGGACAAGATTGTCGCTTGGCAGCAAGACTTCGATCGTCTTCCCAAGCCACGCCCCTTACCTTCTGCGGATAGGTCTAACCGCAGAGCGTCGGCTTTCGGCTCTGTTCGGGCGATGTGGCCAAGGCGTTCTGAAACGTTTGACCTGCCTCACCTACCTTCCTCGAGTGTGTCGGAGGCGGAGGAGGGCCCACTTAAGATGCGGCGAGTTACTGGTGATTCTCTTATATCTTCTGCGTCTGAAGCCTCCGAACCGGAGACTTCTGCAGAGCCAGTTGAGATAGTAGATCGCCCCTGCACAGACACTCAGCCTAGTCAGGACACATCTGTGACGGACGACGCAAGTCATGCTCCTAGAACTTCCAACGACAAGCATAAGCTCGATCCTGATTCGGACTCTACCATTGGCGCAGCGAGAGATGATGCCATTTCTCCTGAATCAGCCATGCCTCAAACGGTTAGTCATAAGTAAAACTTTACAACTATACAGTTAACGCCATCGCAGGGAGAGTCTCGCGCACAGCGTATATCTAGATTACCTCGGAGACCAGACCGCCAGCCTAGTGTTGCTGAGTTAGTCAAGAGATACCAAGACTACTTACCAGCTCAGGGCGTACAGGACTTGACAAAAACTGCACTTGCGCCTCGCATTGTGGTTTCCGAAAGTGACCAAGAGTATACCGTCCCTGTTGTCCCTCGGAACGTTACTCGTGCAAAAAGCAGGCATCGGTTGCTTGCAAAGAAACCCTCTATATCTGATTTTGAACAGAGCTATGCGGCGAATATTGCACCTCGTTATCTTACCCACACAAGAAGGTCGCTTGGTCAACGGTCTCAGGGCACTCGTATACCTGGACCTATTCATCAGGAATCACGTGATTCATCTCGACGTCCTTCACCGGAAAAACGGTCTGTCAGTGGTAGAGGCAAGGAGCTGAAGTTGAACCGTCCCTCATCACCTTCGAATTTAAAAGTAATATCGCCTACACCTCTCGGACTTAAAGGCGGACGATCAAGGTTATTGAACCGGTCGAAAGATAAAACTCCGGCACGATCTGCACCCAGCGCCGGGACCAAGTCCACGCTTCGTAGGACAGTTGGGACACCGGGAGGAAAAGTTTCCAACATTGCTAAACATTTTGAGCGTTTAGGCCGTGACGCCGAGCGATCCAAAAGCCGTTACAATGTTATTCGGGGACGGCGTGCACGGCCTGTTGGTTCGGCACGGGCTCGTGTCGAAGTATTGGACAGCGTGAAAGACGCCATCAACGACGAGTCTGAAAGTTCGAGTTCAAGTAGCGAAGCTGATGACGAGGGGGACGGTAATGAAGAACCGTCTGTTGCGGAGCTCATAGAACAAACCGAAACGCAAAGTGTCGCCCCCCAAACTGCGCCCCCCACCTCCACTACTTTCGCCGTTGATTCAACAGATGCTAAAGATGCTAACCACAAAGGTCCTTATGACCAAATGAAACCTGCCCCGCTTATTCCTCTTCCGCCTTCACCATTCTTGAAGATGGACAATAACATGCCAGTGACTCCACCACACTCAGACATCGAAATGGGGGCAGGTACAGAGCGCAATCCCATTCTCAAAGCCTTGTCAGGATTTTGGGCTCAACCTCTGCCAACATCTCGCAGTGCTTTTGAAGGAGATGATCCTATGAGTGATCCGGAGCACATATTTCGGGATTCGTCCATGGTCGTTCGCACTGATGAGCCAACGTCTATCATTGCGCTTGCCTTGAAGTAAGTGTCGGCTACCTGCGATGATTTGCAACTGAAGTACCTACAGCTCACCTCAATATCGTGAAATGCTCACCAAATCGCGTGTTGAGAAACGTACAGCTCGCTGAACCTCGTTTGACGGACGGCGAAGCTTTTATGCCGGATGATCGCTCTGTTGCTGAGTCGACTTCAACATGGGGAGTTGTTAACGTGGACGCCTCCGTATTGGCCGATCCTACTGAAGATCTCAAAGTACCCTCATCTAAATTACCTTGGGCAATTTGTAGGTTTTTCACCCTCGTAGTTTTGTCGTACCTTGAGCTCTGTTGTTCTCATTTACAGCTTTCGAGAGTGGTGGCTTGACTATAAGTTGTACCGTTCTTTATCCGGAACAATTTGACGCTCTGCGTCGTACGTACGACTGTGAAAGGAGCATGGTTGAATCATTGGCACGATGTGTTAAATGGGATGCAAGTGGCGGAAAATCGGGATCGGCATTCCTGAAAACCCAAGGTAGGCGTAGAAAATCCTTGCGTATGTTTTCAGAGATTGATATCATTAAAGATGACCGGTTCATTGCGAAAGAGCTATCTAGACCTGAGTTGCAAACTATGGAAACGTTCGCACCTGCGTACTTCGACTACATGTCTTCTGCTGTGTCTGCTGATGTAAGATCGGTTTCTACCCTTCCGCACACCTTGAACTAACGGATTTAGCGCCCGACCCTTCTGGCCAAAGTCTTTGGCTGCTATAAGCTCACTTTCAGGAAGACGAGTGACAAAGGTCCTGGGAAAGTCAAGTCAACGCAAATGAACCTCCTAGTGATGGAAAATCTGTTCTATGACCGCCGATTCTCGAAGGTATGCATATCTCATCCTCAGATTTAGCCATCTCATAAACGAATATAGATATATGATCTGAAAGGCTCCACTCGGAATCGCCACGTCCAGTCCACCGGTAGGGAAAACGAAGTCCTTCTTGATGAAAATTTAGTTCAAAGTATGGCATGTATGCACTGATTCTCTCCATCTGCTAACTTTAAGAACAGCTGCCCATTTGACCCCATTTTATCTACGCGAGCATTCAAAGAGAATACTGCGGGGCGCTCTCTACAATGATAGCAAATTCTTAGCTGACATTAATGTCATGGATTATTCTTTGGTGTGCGGTGTCAGTTTCTAGTCTCTTACTTGCTGTCACACGAAAACTTAATTATGACAATATAGGTCGACAGTCAGAACAACGAACTAGTCGTAGGCATAGTTGGTCAGTACAGAAATTTTTCATTATTGCGGGCTCTTAAAAGGTATCTTGGCTAGACTATATTCGGACCTACACTTGGGACAAGAAATTAGAAAGTTGGGTCAAAGAGTCGGCCTTCCTTGGTGGAGCAGGTCGAGGCGAACCTACCATCGTTACTCCTAAACAGTATCGACAGCGATTCATCAGCGCAATGGAACGTTACTTTCCCCTGGCATGTCTAGAAGCCCTTACAATTGTATCGCTTATTGATCTCTCTGCTTAAGATTCCTGATCGTTGGATGAAGCAAAATGACACTCCGGAGGAGGATTGCAACAACAGCTTGGTAGAGCTGTGGCCTGACTGGTAGACAGGAATCACAGGATGTTGAATGCATTTCTTCTAACACTATATACCATTGATCACTGATACCATATGACTTCAACCTTAGATGTAGGTCACTCATGTACTTGTCCATAGTTTCAATGTAGGGCCTGGCCTTCAATGTATAATGCATGTTCGTATTTGGGAGTGATTATCAATCGTTCTAAGAGCCGTACCAGCACGATCCACATAATCCTGTAAAATACAATCTAACTCAGCCTAACTTTCTTACTTGGCTGGGAGCTCCCCTTCTCAACATCCTTTCTCTTCTTGTCCTGTGACGATCTCCAAGCGTTTATCAAACTTTGAATCTTATCGCGACAAGCGATTGCCAATGGACCAACTTCGGAATCCATGCCGTTAAAGGTGATGGCGTTATTTATCATCAGGGCGATGTCCGCCTCGAATGCTTCAACGGTATCATACTTATCACTCTCAAGTTTGGTTCGGATGGTCCTCAAGTCCCGAGCATCCTTGCGAGGTATGACTTGGAAGTATGTCGGAATACCAAGCAATTCAGGATCGACAGGTTCTCGAAAGATCCAAGAACTGAAAGAGATGAGAGAACGAAGGTATGAAATAATCTCCCACTTACACGTTATCTTTCACTATGCTTGTCATCACCCCAAGAAGTCCTCGTTTCTCGGCGAATGTCAGTTTTCGCTCCATGAGTTTGGGCCACTCTTTTCGGAAATATTTCTCGATGACAGCCGCGCAATCGTGAGGGTAAGTTTTGACAGGATTGAACTGACGACAATTACTAATGACCAGTTCGAAATCGGCTCGGAAATCTTCCATGGTCTGATACTGGTTCTGCGCAAGTTTTTCCGACATTGTGCCAAAGTCCATGGGTTGAGCGATCTCTTCAAGATAGCTGGAAGTATGCTCAGACGATTGTAAACAATACCTGCGCTTTACTCACCTTGGACACCCATCTAGTATGGGATCTACGGGCCTATTAAAGATACGGGCTTCCGGAAGGAGTTTGATCGCAGTCAAAAGTGCCTTGACTTTCTTCTGGTTCATAGGAGTGGACGTCTGATCCCCGGCGGAGCGCTTGGCTTTCGATGATGAAGCTTCTGGTGTGGCAATCACTTCCTTTTCTTTTCCCTTCACTGACGGTCGAGCGGCACTGGGAGCCTCGACTTTGTCTTTCTTGGATTTGACTGGAACGGGCTTCTGAGGGGCAGCGGGAACAACGATTCTTGTCAAAGAGGATCCTGACGGCGTTGGAGCAGTTGCGATAGGTGCAGACTTTTCCTTCTTTGATGGAGATGCCAAAGCTAGGATGTCATCTGCATCGTCGCTCAACGCCTTGCGTTTGTTGGGAGCCCCATTAGCAGTTGTTTTTGACTGCGCTGATCGCTGTTTTTGTTCATCCTTCTCGCGCTCGATAGCGAGCACTTCCGCTAGAATATCAGCCGACCCATCATCGATATAGGGCGGGGGTGGTGCGTCGATTTCGGCGGCTTGTGGCGCTTTGACCTTCAGGATACGCCGCTTCGGAGGTTCCTCAGCCTTGGGCTGAGCTCCTACTCGTAGCTTGATTGTTGGACGTGCAGTGCCTTCAACGGCTGGAGTAACACTCCGACGAGCATGATCTCGGACACTTGAGGTCGATGGTGGCGGTGTAAATTTAGGGGTGGGAACTGGGGGTCTCGATTTGAGCGGTGGCGGTGCGCTAGCAGCAGAGGCAGCGGCAGCAGCAGCAGCCTGAGCTTTGTGGTCTGCCGCCTCAAGTGTTTTGCTCATGATAGACCACACTATCGACTCTATTAACAAAACATGGGTCGAAAAAGAATTAGACAGCTTACGCTTCTCAAATGCTACTTCGAGTGCAATAGCGGCATCGTGTACGGGGCTCCCGGGCATATTGTAATGCTTGGCGTTGGCGATCATTACACGGAAGTCATCTCTGAAAGCAAACCTATCCTTGTACAGTCCTGCTTCCAATCGTGCACCCATAGTGCCAAGGTCCATAGGTTCCTTAATAATATCGAAGTAACTAGAACACGTTAGTAGCGGCCGAGATGAGCTAGTAGAGGCACATACTTCAGCGCCTTGTCCCGAACCGGGTCCACAGGCTGCAGAAACCATCTAGCATGCTTGTGGTCCCGGATTTTCTTGAGAGCGTTTCGCGTAGCTGTGAGGTCAGCTAGGCTCATACCACTAGAATGAGCCTTTGAGACCTGTGCTCGTTTCAGATTCTTGTTCGGCGGCCTTCCTTTAGGCCTTCCTTTGGCGGGAGGCGGTGGAACGACAAGGGCGCCAGTTTTCTTAGGGGGCAGCACTGGAGCTATGCTCTGGGGTTGGGGAGGGGGAGGGGGAGAAGAGGGCTTGGAAGTGAGATCTCGAGTGATTCCACCGTTGGATAACTTGATCTTTGGTGGCACGTGAATGGGAGTAAGTGGACTCTTCAAATGAGCCACGCTCGGTTTTCGTTGAGGTTTAATGGAAACTTTGGGGACAGGAAGGGATGGCGGTGTTTCAATGATCGGGGTCTTGGGTGGTAGATGTAGCGAAAGCTTCGGGGGCACCTCGTCCACTGGGCGAATGAGAAGGTCAGCAAGTTTGAGGATGCACCATCGAACCTCATGATCAACATCGGGAGCACTGTCCGGCGCGATAAGCAGATAACCAAAGCCTAGACGAAGCCACTCACAGTGCAATAGCCATCAGGAACTCCCTAAGGACTTCATTCTTGCCCACTTCCCGATCCTTTCTAAGTACTTTGATCATAGCATCCATCTCGCTCTTCTTCGACTCCTTAGTCTTCTCAGGGTTATTACCGTCCTCCTCGATGAGCAAAGTGTCCGTGTCCTTGGAACCTGACTTTAGCTCGCCCATTTGCACGAGAAGAGCCAAGCTATAGCACGCATTCCTGGCAACATGTCTCCGGATAACTCGTGATGGATCGTTAGCCATGACGGCGAGGACGTAGCGCATGATAGCGGGAGTGTACCATTTAGTGAGGAAGAGTCCGTCGAAGGCGGCAATCCGCACAGGTGTATAGTTTCCATCTCTGTACTGATCATAAGCAACATTTCACCGGTTAATGAAATTTGACTGCACCTAGCAGTAAGGAAGAAGACAGCCTGGTAATTTGGGATAAGATTGGCGACACCGAGGACCATATAAAACTGGAGAATGCTCAGTTACGGTGTGACAGGCTGAGACGGAAGGTGGACTTGCCTCCAAAGCCGCTATGGTGACTATGTTATGGGCGGAGGGGATCAACCTGTCCATGCTACGATATCTATCGACTTCAGCAACGATTTCCTTCAGAAGTTGTTGATCTTCCGCATTATGTTCCGAACGAACTTCTGTCGGCAACAGCTCGCCGCGTTCAGGAGCTGCCATTGATATCGTAGCACAGGCTGCTGCAGATATGATGGTACATATGTAAAATCCATCAGAGTACTAACAGTAACGTCAAGAACGTCCAACGAGACGATCAAACAAACTCTTACAGGATTTACAGTATTGTCATTGTATTTGAGCTGATCGATCAAGAATTGTCGCACAACGGATGGTGATTTGCCATTCTCGAACCGAATTCTTGAGATCGCTGTTATGAGCGTCTACCCAAGGCATAAATTAAAAGTTATGTCGATCGCAACCTAGGACATACCTTGCGGACGAAATATTCTGACAGGTCTGAAAAATCGTTCGGTTTCGGGACATAAGTATGGCTGAACAAGTCTTGATTTGGATCTTCTGGTTCGTAACAATATCGTAGGAAGAGTTTGAATAGGTGGAATAGGCCGAGGAAATCCAGTCGGCGGATGGCACACTACATTACCTTAACATCAGACGTTCCTAACGCGCCCACAGAGTACTCACATTAACCAGGGCACTCGCGGCCTCTGTCCGAATTCGATAATGATAGTTAGATACCAACACTGTCTTGGTGAGAGTGCTAGAAACTATCGCTGTAGGTTGCTTTGCAAGTGCATGTACGGCCTAAAATGGAATGCGTGGGTGATTAGAGGTCTGCCAGTTAAGACTGAGTATACCTCTAATTGAGCGACGACGTCCCTATCCCTCTGCAGCTGTGACACCCACATGAAATCAGGCTGTTCAAAATTCAAGTTCGCAATCCACTCGAAATCGGCATCCATTCGAATCCATTCGTATGTCGCTCCGCTCATCAATCCTTCGTCTTCCTCTGTCCAGTCAGCCACCTTCCAGTTCTCACGCTCCTTCTCTTTCTCCCAAATATCCAAACCGAAGCCCATATCGACCATCCCCATCGCCTCAGCCGCTTCCGTATCACCTTCGGCAGCAGCTTGTGCAGCAGCCTGGCGAGCGAGATACCGTTTTGTATTACGGCGGACACGTTTATACTTGGTATTGAAAGGTACTTCATACCGCTTGAAGGGAGACCGGATGTCAAGAACGTGTTCGTAAGGCGTCCCATCGGCTTCATGTATACGAATTGTCATCGTACCCTAATTTTAAAATTACTACAGCCCTTCTGTTATATAAGACATATAGCTCACCTCAAAGAATGGTACAGGTTTGAGCATTTGTTTGTGCACTTCGCTGTTCTCATGAACTTTATATGCAGGGCTTTCTTGTCGCATGGTAATCTCGACCGCCATTTTCTTTCGGTTGAAAGTTGCAGACACCCCGAACGCAGGACAGCCGCTCCCGTAAATCCATTGTTCGGCAAAACCTCGCAAATCCACTCCGCTGACCTTTCTACAAGTCCTCAGGAAGGCATGAGTGGACAGCATATTGTTCGGCATTTCTCCACTGATAGCCGACAAGAAGACCTTGGGAAGGACGCGACTTAGACCCAGGGAAGTTCCTGACTTACCAAGCCGTCGATCGAGTATATGGAGAACAAGAGGTGCCTTGAGGTTAATGAACGGGAGAACGCTGGAATCCGGAGGATCGAGAACCTGCGGCTGGCAGATTGGCGGCATTGTACCGTTGTCTCGCTCCAAAACGCGATGCATATCTTTCTTGAGCCGGAAGCGATACTCGTTGTTGCCAAAAAGTTTGCGTAGGAATAGTCCATTGATGTAAAGCGCTAAGCCGTTCACTAGCCAGATATCAGACCAAGTTTTGGGCTGAATATTTATGCCAGCCCATTGACAAGCTAAAGCATGGCTCAGGGTCTGGCGAACTTCAATTGCCTGCTCTATCGCGTCATCCCCATGCAGTAGGTCCACAGTCACAAGAGACAGCGTGGAGCTATCAAATCTTTCGACGGGAAGCTCGTCGACGAATACAACTTTGTAGGAGCCAAACGGATATGAGCCAAACTCAGTTGCATAGAAAGTCATTGCAGACCGAAGAGCAGAGGTTGAAGTGGCAAGGTACGATTCTTGCCCAGGAAGACAGAAAGCGTACATTCCTGGTTGTTGTGAGGTAGTCGTAGTCTCATCGGACATACCCTCGGGTGGTATGGTAAGGATGTGAAAAGGACCTGCTGCAAAAGCTATGTGTTGAACTGATGTGAGAACAGCTTGCGAGAAGATGAATATGGTTTTGTTCGAGTTGTATGGATGCGCCACCTATTTTGGGTATTAAATCAGAGACGTGATAGAAATCTCGCACTCATGGAGGCGCACCTGTTCCACAAGTTCTCCGCTACAGACCACAAGCGTTGGTGACAATTCATTTGCCTCTTCATCCTGAAGGGGGTCGGGCTCCTCCAGATAGCGAGGGACGACAAACTCAAATTCCCATGTACATTTCTCACTCACACTATCGGCGCACGGCACCCAGCATCTGGAAGCGTCTGGGCATGATGGAGTTGTGTAAGCGTGAGGAACGCGCTGGACCATACATTTAACCCAACAGATGATACGTGCCAAAGAAAGGTTGACCTACATAGGGATGAGAATCGTCGGGGAGGACGAACTCAAAGCCATCGACTGGGTTACGAAGACTGTATGAGATCTTGACGACAATGGGAGAAAACTCTGGAGTAATGTGGCCATTCTGCGCCTGAGACACGCCTGGTGTCTGAGGCTTCGGGGGTTGCAGCTACGGCGACACATTAGAAGACAGCTGCAAGAGCAGAGATTATAACAACGCACTTTCACTAAGTATGCCCATCGATGCGATGCTTCCCGAGTACTTCAGTGAAACATCCCTAGGGATGCCAATTGCCAACTCCCCGTCGTCGCCCTCTTGAAGTGCAGAGTAAAGCTTCCTCTTCAATTCTAGGTGCCGATGGACAATCTTGTGCATCATTCGGAGAAGATCCGAGGGTGATATTAGACAAAGGGTCGGAGCATGCGAATTCCGCGTCGTAGGATCCAACAGTCACAGAATGAATAGCTGGGATGACATGCGTAAGCAGGCAGCATTACCCTGTCAGACCACCAAACACGCACTACACTGTCGCGAATTGAGATATATAGTTCTTAGTTCACTACTCGTCGGAACAATGGTGATCTCTGTATATCCCTGTAAATCATGAGCTGAGCGCTTACTCTTCACGAATGGCAGACGTGCATACCCAGAGACTACCCGAGAAATCAATCTCCAAAACAACCTTTTGGTGACTAGTAGATACCACAAACAAAATGTCAGTACATGTATGTGAGGACTAGGGAGAAAAAGACGTATATGGAGAAACCTCTGCGAGACTGTTCACGCAAACGGCCATCCATGATTGGTCGAGACTGACGCCAGGCTACTTCCTCTAGCCAAATGTTACTTCCAGGGTGTATAGAGCCACGATTGAGGATGGTGGCAGAGCACCAGACAAGCGAAGGGTACAGTGAGACTGAAGGTTGCTTTCAACCCGAGATTGCTTATGTAATATCATCGTAATCCGTCGATGGTCATTTCCATTTTCGGAATCAAATTTTCCTCTACTTTGCTTATGGCGCCCAAGTCAATATTCCGTCAGCCAGGCGCAAAACATTTCCAGCTTGTGCACAGATCACAGCGGGACCCTCTCATTCATGATCCTGATGCTGCGCTTCATGTTTTGAAGCCTGTCGTACGTGAAAACGACAAAAAGGCATGCCTGCTGTTATTCTTCACGTTGTCTGTTAATATTCCCTCCAGGGAAAGTCTAGAGCCGAGCTCGAGGCTCTTTTGTCTATAGACGATGCTCTTCCTGAATCAAACACGAAGCCAGGGGACGCCGCGCTCTATGGAATCTACTACGATGACACAGAATACGACTACATGCAACATCTCCGAGAAGTTGGCGTACAAGAGGACGGTGTCGATAGCATCCTCATTGAGGCACCTTCTTCTTCCAAAAAATCTGGAAAACAAAAGAAACTCAGTGACGGAGCTGGTCTTTCTCTTAGAGATTTGCCAGAAGGCGTTTTACCGTCCAAGTCTGAGCTACCTAGAACTTTTGAATCCCAACAAGCCATTCCCGACAGTATATCCGGCTTCCAGCCTGATATGGATCCCCACTTACGCCAAGTTCTTGAGGCCTTGGAAGATGACGCATTTATAGACGATAACCTCGAAGATGACTTCTTTGGACAGCTGGTGACAGATGGCGAACGAGACGGTGACAAAGAAGTCAATTATCCCTTCTTCGAGGATGGCGCTGTTGAAGGCTCGGAGGAGCAAGAGTCTTCCGGTTCCGGTCTTGGATCTGGGAACGAAGAAGATGAGGGCTGGGAGGCACGCTTCGCTCGATTTAAAAAGTCACAGCAGAATTCATCGGTCGGCAATAGCGACGATGGGGAGGACGAATCGGATGGTGGAGACACCATCGCCGGCCTTCCAACAATAACTGTTATTGGGGGCAAGAAGAGGCGGAAAGGTGGCAGCGATGCTTCTGGGTACAGCATGAGCAGCTCCAGCATGTATCGAAACGAAGCATTACAAACTCTTGACGAGAGATTTGATCAGGTGGAGTGTTCTCTATGCTCGTATAGCCATTCCCTGCATTAAACGGATCATTCATTGCAGGTAATGCTTAAACAGTACAGTGAAGACGATGACGACCACGCGTCAATGCCTGATGATTCCGATTCTGATGAGGCTCCGGAACTCATCACGGCTCGCGATGACTTTTCATCTATGATGGACGAGTTTCTCAATGACTACGAAATACTGGGCAGGAAGATGAGGCCCAAACTTGAAGGCGATAGTGGGGCGGAGAAGCTGGAGACGTTGCGGAGAGCTATGGGACAGGATCAGCGCGTCAAGGAATCCTATAGTGATGATGATGATACCCTCGAGGAGGATCTTTTCTTAGAGCTTGAGGAGAACAAGAAAGATCGATGGGATTGCGAAACTATACTCAGTAGGCGACGTTCCACTTGATTAATTTCCGTGATTCACAAACTTCTCTAGCAACCTACACCAACCTTGAAAACCATCCACGTCTTATCCGAGCTCGCGACACCAGGCTAACTCCAAAGATAACGCTGGATCCGAAAACCGGACTACCTTCCATTGTCGAACCTAAGCGGGCCAAACTTCGAGCTCAAAGCCCCGAGCCCGATTTGAAAAGAAGTACGGAATACATCCGCATTGCTTCCTGCTTTGATTCGTACTGATTAATCTCCTCAGTTCCTCGTCAAGCAACAGTTACACGACCGCGGAATGAATCGCCCGAGTCAAAAAAGGCTCGTAAAGCAGCAGTTAAGGCCAACCGCTCTGTGAGGCGTGCAGAAAAGAAGGCTACCAAGGAAGAGTTCGGCAGCGAGTTCAAAGCACAGGTAAAGAGTGTCACTACCGCCGGCGAAAAAGCCACGAGAAAACTATGAAATTACTGGTTTTACGTTTCACCTGTAGTCCCCGTTGACATCTTTGAAGATTTTATCATCACAAAGAACTCCTTACGTTCATAAGCGAGAAGCTCGATATTCATGCCGCGCGTTATACGTCTGCAACTCGTGCCTTATTCATGGCCAAGATTGGTAAGAACATAATCGTTTCGTTGTCATTCATCATATACACATCGTAAACTACACGGTAAGTACACGTACAGACATTACACAACGTAGTCATTTGACTCATCGGCGGAAACAAGAGTCTAACACCAACGTGTAAAGGAGCAACAAGACGAAACAGAACATAGAAGAGATGGAGATAGCAAACGGACAATGGAATGGGTCTTCGGCGATGCGCAGGCGCTCGGGAAGGACGGAACGGAAATGATTCCACGACATTTACTATATGGACAGGGTGATGTGCAGGGGTTAGCGATGCAGAAAGGTGGATTTCGGGGAAGAGCATATCGGGCAGTATCATGAATCAGAGTTATCGTTCGTAGTCCGAGGAAGAGCACACCAAAGAAGGCGGCAAATAGGACTAGCTATAGAACGCCAAAATAATGCACGGACGCGTACAAGCAGCCAGAAGCTTCGAGCAACCAGCCACTCTCTTCGACTTACGACAGGAACAAGCAGAGCATCCTCAATCACCGGCTCATGAAGCGGGAGAAGACGCAACGCCACCCGTCGAAGGAAGCGCAATCCGTATGTACTCTTGCGAACTGGAGAAACAACTCTATAAACAAACCAACTGACCCTCTTGCCAGGCTCACATCCGAGTCAAGTGTACTGGGACACCGATCAGATATCCACCATATAGCCAGCTATGCTGAAGTGATCGACGGGATGCGGAACACATCAATCCAGTAGCTGCAAGCTCGTCCGAGCGAGCTATGTTGGCGGGATCAGATTGTCATGGGGGTGTCATAGGAATATCTGTGGGCGAATAGCGGAATGGGGAAAGGGGGGGAAAATCAAAAGGTCGGGAACGTTGATCAGGCGTTCCTTGGTTTTGATTCTTGGCGTTAGGTTGGGGCAAACATAAATCAATCGATAAATATTGCTCGATAGCGGAACCCATGGACGAGAGCGATTGTGAGCGTTTGCCCCAGGCGTTGAATCACGGTGATCCAAAGGCAAAATGATCGGGGAAAGTGGTTGGCGGTAGACACGAAAGCGGAGCATGACGCCAGTGTATCGGCGGTACGCGAGGCACGGAACCACATCTAAGTGGTCCGCCTACGAGCGTACTGATGGAGTGTAATCCGAGATAAGATGCAATGCTGGGACGAAAGCGACAGGATTCGAAGAAGTCGTACAAGAAAGTGCACCAGACATGCGAAGCGCGCCTACCGCTCATCCGTAGAGAGCAGCGACGACGCCTCAAGCAAATACCTGGAGTCTTGTGTGGGTGTCGTCGTCCTCAAACATCAGCCATTATCCCGAAATGTCCATCGTCATCCGCAAACGGCTCGCGGACCAACGTTTCCGACTTCGAAGTCGACGAAGTCACGGCACAGCTGTACAATCATTCACAGGAAGGGATCATTAGTGAAGAGCAAATCAATGCTCCACGTCGTCAAGGAAGGGGATTGGTGAGGAAGATGATGCGCATAAAATACGAGTGTGATAGAAATAGTCCGTTCATAATCAAAGCAGTGTCACCGGGTGTATGCCCTTTGACATCCGACACAATTTTGGTATTTGCTTTTTCTGAGGCCAAAGAGCGCTTCAGAAATTTGACATCGTCATGTGAGGAGAGATGCCGAGAGTGGACTTGCCCAGTGCACGGGCAGTACCCATCATCAAGGCGTCGTTAATCTCACGGAGGCGCTTGACTTCGGTCTCGAAAGCCTGCAGCCTTGAGCGAGACTCCGACTGGGTCGTCTCGAGCTCCCGAATATACTCGCTCGCTAAAAAGAAAATGAGTCAGATCCGATACCAGTGCTTAATTTGGATGTGACTCACCCCTTGACAGCAGATGGACCTTGCTTGTCCTCTGCTGGGTTGGGGGCAGGACGTCTCGTAGAAGATCATAATTGCGGCGGAGCTCATCGCGACGCTTCTGTTCAGACTCGATTCGCTGTTGACGAACAGATTCTCGACGGCTAATGCACATGATTAGCAGCTTGCTTGGTGAAAATTTCTACGAGACTTACTTATCCATAGGTCCTCCAGCGGACGGAGAGACCTGGTACTCGTCATCGTCATCATCTGATTCGTCGCTAGCCTTCCTCTTCCTTGCCTTCTGGACCTTCCTCGCGGTTGAATTTCTCCGAGTAGCAGCACCAATGGGATCATGACGGTGCGAACGGGGGACGGTTGCTGCATAGGGAATGGAGGGCGGAGGAGAGTCATTGGACGCGCGGCTGCGTCTTCCAGAGAGGGTTCGGTCCTCGTCGCCAGCGTAGGTCATAGCGCGGGGTGAGATGCCGAGATCCTCACCCATATACGGCTGAGGCGAAGAGTTGGAGAAGGGCGAGGCGGTGTATGTGTAGTCGCCGCCCATCGGGTGGGAAAGGTTGACGCCGTCATATTCGCCACCAGAAGACGCGGATGCTAAGAAACGAATTGTCAAGTATGGTTCCGTAAGAACTGTGGAAAATGTTTACCATTCAAAGAAGAGCCGAAAGGGGGCGAAGGCGAAGGGGGATACTGAAGATAATCCATCGCACTCTCGATGTTGTCCATCAAGAAAGGGCTTTCCATGGGATGCTCCATGAATGAAGAAGAGCGAGCGAGCATTGGTTCGAAGTCTACAGACATTGGACGAAAGCAAAAAAGGTGTCTAGAAGGCAAAAAATAACGGGAGGGCAATAAGGATAGGACTGTGGCGCAAGATGAGCTGGTGGGGATCTGGGGAAGAGAAGGAATACACACGATAGCACGGCAGCAACAGGGATCAAGTGCTGCTGGTGACGGCTGCAGAGAAAATGGCGGAGGAGGAGAGGGAAGGGGGGCGCGGTTGGCAGAGAGAAAGAGGGAAGAGATGAAGAAAGCTGCCGCGGGACTAACTACTTATACGGAGAGGCAGGGCTGAGTTTCCTTTTTCGACGACGAGCCGGCGGCGAACCAAACCGGTGGCTCGTTCCTGCCCACATCAGGATTGCCGTCAGGCTCGGCTCTCGGCATGACGTCGGCTACTTTCGCGTAGCACAGAGAGGTCGCTGCTACGCTTTGTCATTTCTCGCACCGTTGATCCGTAAATGGCATCGATATTGGAAGAGTCACATCAGATCAAGATCCGGTCTCCGACTGCAGCTTACACTTGCCCTTTTCCCCTGTCGCCGGCTTTGGAAATCACACTCGAATTCGTACGTCTAGTCCCGTCAAGTCACACTCGGAATTCGAGAGCTTTGTCACAACGCCACAACTTACTGCATCTGGCCTTCTTGATCTCAAGGCCCGTTCTCACAGAGCCCTAGAGCGACCTCATGTCCGGGTCCATTCAATTCCATTCTAGTCTGCAACGTTGTTTTAATCTCGACGGACCCCAGCTGTACTTCATCCATATCAAATTATAATTCTCTTATCCTTTTCATTGTTTCGTCCTCCGTAGCTTGGCCTAACCACCGCGCGATCAGCGGTAATCTGAGCCTGTCCGACTTTGATACAGTTCCATCTCCTATAATAGATCATCTGGGTGCAACTGCTGTCTGTCTGTTCCTATCATTAGCCATTAGGGAACATATTATCAATGCATCAATGGAGCAGCTCAGCATATCATACATCCCAAACATTCATACGTCTCTGACAGCTTCAGCTTGCTCAACAGCCCTGTGCCAAGATGTAAGGTATATTCACATCACGGCATGCGCAATAGTTAACACTACAGGCGAAACAAGATACTACAGCAAAGTCGTCATCAAAGTCATGCAAGTGAACGGCAGCGCCGTCCCAGTCGTGATTCATTACAGTATCGTAAAGTTCGTGAGTATAAAGAATAAACGTTAATAATATATGGGTCCGAGTTGAAGAATGACGCTGGCACGCAGCTCAAACAGAAGGAATGTCTGGGACCTCCGACGCCTAGGCGTTGTAATAACCTTGCGACAATGAATCAGCTTCAATTTCACGTACCGCCATAGATTTTAAAATAGCTCACCGCCATGGAATGGACCCTTCATATTCGAGTAGTGCTCCAACCGCTTCGAAAAGCGCCAGTTCAAAAAAAACATGTACATCTAGTCTGAGCATCAGACCCGGAGAATGTATTTCCATTCGACATCAGAAACTTACCTGGCACCCAAGATCGACAAGAAGCGAGATAATAAATGCTGTATACAAACTCGGGAATCCCGAGGAGCAAAATGTACTTGGGAACGACGTAGACGTCGAATAGCCCGCAGCCGCAGACGCTGACCACAATTGGCCGCCATTGTCACATTCCCATTGGATATTATCCTTACTATAGAACGAAGAGCAAACGTCAGCAACTAGCCCCTCAGGAAGGGACCCTTCGGGCCCAAACAAGCAGATGACTGAGTCATCGCAGCACAAAAACAGATGCGTGCGGAGCAGAAGTGGCATGTAGAGGAATTCAGATTGACACCTACCCTCGCTCAAGCTCAACGATCATCAGGATGGCCCGTACGGCACTTATGACGATGATGAACGGCCACAAGAACTTGCAGACCCTAGTCCATATGTACGATCGCTAGAAGAGAAGCGTTAGATATTAATGCCCGCGCATGAGAACTCCAAAATTCGAACGTTGGAAAGAGAGAACATGTTAATGATGGCGACAGCGGCAACACCCAGGCCGATACCACCGTAAATGTACCTATGTAAATGCAAACATTGGAGTTAGCGGTGGAGTTGTCTCTGAGCCCGAACACCCCCTACCATTCAGGATAAGTGAAAAACATATATTGACCATCTTTTAAGAGGAAGACACCGCCAGCGATGCTATACGCCTAGACAAAGGGAAGGACTCGATATTAGTCCATTCATCCAAGAACCGCGGAAATTCTGCTACGTACCGCGATAACGACTGCCCAAGCGATAGCCCCACCCCTCTAAAGACACGAAGCATAACTCAATCAATTCCTGGCATTACGAACAGCCGCAATGGCTTGCTCTCACCAATGGAAGTAGCAGTAAACAGTTATCACACCTGAATTGGGGAATATACAGATCAATATCAAAATGACGGTGATTGAATTATTACTGCGCACCACATCTCGCAAATTGGGGTAACGGTATCGCTATCAGTCAATAATCAAATATCCTGTTTTTCGGTGGACTCGTGAAATCGTCAAGGGGAGGTCGCTGCTCGTCGGTAGAGTGGAAGGGATGATGGCCCGAGACAGAGGTAGTGTGTGACTATTTTCCGCCAAGCTGTCATCCGGTTTGGGGGTGGGAAAGTAACGCTCGGCGACCAGGCACGTTCAGCCCGAAACGTTGGTCGGGTCTTTGTCCATTTTCCGTCGCTTGCCCGCTTAGCGATGACGACGGACAGGTAACCGTAAATCTTATCACTAACTCACTCACTTTTCCTCGGGCTTGCTGTAGGGATTCGTTATCTCCACTTTCTCCGACTTTTGGGGGGGAAAGGAACTGTGTTGTCTTTCCCCGAGAATAGAACAAATACGGAAAGGCTATCACCATTCACGTATGATACATCGTCCCAGCGTAACGTCTCCTTCCCTTCCGGGGATTCAGAACCACCAACCATATTTCTTCCGTGATAGCAGTATGGTTGTGTGCCACCGTCAAATCGATATGGTTCAGTACCTCATCAACCGAACGGCGACTCACCACCATATTGGTCTAGGATCTGCATTACAGGCGAACTTCGACATACATGCTGGCTGATTCGACTTGGGTGCAAATCAGCACCGAAACAGTTATTCTCATCCGCGTTCCAGGCATTTGGTTCTCCCTCGCCCTTTTCCCATCTCCTCTCTTCAAACCCAATCTCTGCAAGGGTGCGCTTGAGATGCCCGATCATAAGCCCTGGCGTAGTCCCTGCTTTATTGTTCCCGATATACCAAATTCTGCAGCTGGTCCTTGTGCTTGTTTTCCCCGTCAGATATCTTCCTCTTGGTCGGTAGAAGTCTTTGTTGTTGCGCTCTCACAACGTCTACATAGTTCGCTTTGGGAGTTATCTCGCTTAAATGGCGCTTCATTGTTTCTATCCAAGTGAACCGCTCGGATTCACTGGGATTTGCGGGACCGAACGGAATATATATGGAGATCTTGTCAACGCATTTCATGGAAAGGCGTGTTTGATGAGGTCACATTGGTCGCATTTCGTAGCTGCTTAATACTTGATGTCATCCGCTGTCTTCTTACCCTGTCTCGGTCGATGTATGCCAGTCTACCATTATGTACTTTTCTTCCCCCGACGGGACACATTCCAGGTTCTCCAAGTCTTCTAGTTCAAGATGTTCTATCCTAGGACCTTCGGTACCAATGTACGGGGGTTAGTTCGGCTCAAGCAACGGGGCGGAACTCAAGCGCCGGTGATGAAGAGTCGCGCTCATATTCTGAGCTATTGTTCTGTCGCTGTCTTGTGATACTTCAAGCATCATGATTCTAGATTCTCAACCGATGGAACCCGGCATTAACGTATGTCCAGCTAATTCCATTAAGCGACGGAACAGAGAAATATTGTCAGGGTGAACGTTTTCAGATTCGCCGTACAAGAGAATGATTTTCAGTAACAGCAATGCTATTCCCGACATCCAAAGTCACTCGAACCTCCAACTGTGCCAACTAAATCCTTGTTTGGGATCTAGAGAATAGATGACTGGTGATTTACCTGATTGTCGCTTTCGAGTAGATTTTTGAGTCTTTCGGGCTCGTCTGGGATCGTCAATGAGACAAGAATATCCTCGTCGGCAGTTCAACTTTTCCCTGACGGGCGTTTCGAATGGATAACTTCGCGCTTGACGGACTTAAGTCAATAGCTGTAACAGCGGAGGCTGAGCTGGGTGTGACAGCTTGCATGGTTTTTGGAATCACCTGCTGTCTCGCAGAAAAGCGAACACAGGGACCTCTACGTTCACACAACTCTTCCTTCCGCGAGACGTGGGATCATGCCGAAGCGGTCTACTCCGTGAAACGCACGGATCATAACCACTACGCATGGGCAGTAGGGGATATTGAGACAGTAATATTCGTCCGCTATTGTTGTTGCGGAAGCTTATTGATAAGTTCCTTTAGAGCCGAGCCTTTCGGGCTAAGGGGAAATCATCGAATAACGGCGGGACTCAATAAACCGGGAGATATTCTGTGAACCAGGGCGTATCGTAACAAAGTCCAGTAGAACAGTAAACGGAGAGTAATGGCCGTGGTAGATAATATTGGGACAGCATAACGCCACACATAGGACACAGACCACAAGACTTCGCATTTCGCCGAGCAAGACTTAGATGAATTCCACCCGCACCTCCCGAAGAACGGCACATCAAGCGACGGAGGATCACCAGAATAATAGCCTAGAAACAGCCTTATTCAACCGCAACGAACCATTATGAACCTCGCGGACGCGGTGCGCAGCAACTCGAGAAGAAGAAAGCAAAGGTAACGAATTTCCACGTAACGAAACAAATCGTAGCAGCACGTCAACATCAAACCGCCTCCGAGGCAAAAAGCTATGCATCGATCCGGAGCCCCTGCTAGTCCTGTAAGGCGTCTAACGGAGTGCCTCGAGGTCAGGCTTGAGTCAGGCGGTTACCTCCCAGTTTGGGAAGTATGCCCTTTGTTAGAGTTCGCCCAGGGTGCAGATAAATATAGCCAACCATCCTCAAAAAGGATGTCATTCTGATCATCATGATCGAGCCAACTTCTTCAGCTCGAACTTCCCGAAGATGAGCATGATTAAACGATGGCTGGGGAGATATGGAGATATGGAGCGATAACATTAGTAGCTTTAGTCTCTCCGCCCGGCTGAACTTAGTTTGAGAGGGAGTCTTCAGCTGCAGTAAAGCGGCTGTCGATATCCTTGTTAATGTGATGTCTACCTCTAGGCACCGGCCACGGCGTCAATGGGTGCGTTCATCGAATTAACTGGAGCTAAACGATTCCAAGTTGATTTTGACTCAACGCTGAGCCTCGTTTCATATGAACACGCGCTAGAGGTATGTTGAAGAGGGATGCAGAAGGATGTCACCCTGAAACTCCTACTCTTCAGTTCCAGGGAACGTCTGAGTTTCTGGGCCAAACACTACGTCTAATCTGATGCACACGCAGGATATTCCTTGAACCTTCCGGAATGAACGTGGTGGATGAACTGCCTTCTACAGCATGTTCGCTGAGTTGAAAGGTTTCTAACAAGCTCCCATAATCAGATGCACATGAAGGTATCTATATCTACCTGCGTGAAAATGGTAGGCCCTCCTAGGCTGCGGCCACCACATGTTCTTTCTTAATTGGCATCGGGACTTTGTATAATAAAGCTCTCAAATCCAAGCAGTGCATTCCACTAGCTATGTACAATGATATTCGTCCTCTTCGTACCTAAAAAATTGAACGAGGGTGTGCCGTGACAAGTAGCGGCTAATGTCCCAAGAAAAAAAGAAGTGACCTCGACCTTCCTAGATCTCATACGAGTCAATCAATGAACCCATGCACCGCAGGCGCGACATTCAATGCCACGACTCCGTACGCGTACTCCAGTACGGACGAAGATTGACTTTGCGGGCATTCGTTGAATGCAAGGAGGTCAAAAGGGTCCCCTCATTGTCACCGCTATTCCTGCCCTGTTACACCCTCGGATAAAAATATATCAATTTCGTATATTCGTCAAGAATCATTGCGAGCGTGTAAATATTCTTCCGGTATGGAAAAATATCTTGTGGGCATTCGTCGTTACACGGTTGGGTGGGTAGGAGAAAAGATATATACAGCGGGAAGGGGGGGAGAGGGGAAAAAGTCAAGGAGAGTCGGATAGTGTGAGAATAGCTCGGGAAGGAACGGTAGGTGTGAAGGGTTGGATGTTTTGAGAATATATTTTTTGGTAATTAGAAGGATGTGGGCAATGATAACAGGACACATTCCAGCGAGCATTGGATCCAAGTGTATTGTCCGTCGAATTCTCCAGGAAGCCCAGCAACTGGGCACTAGAAGAAAAAAGACGTGACTGCACATGCAGAAGAGGATAGCTCGATCATCGATCAACGAGATGGCAATTGGGATCAACACGTTGCAACCTCGGTTCGTATGAAAAAGGCTACGAATTCTGCGACATCAAGCGGCAGAAAGAGATGGGAATCTCTTAAGGACGAGGTGGAAGGGTTGAGATAGGAGCCGAGGAGAGTGGGAACAAAAATGGACCTGGGTGCGCACGGCGCGGCCATACTCAATCCCCAAAAAATGACATGCGTAAGCAGTCTTTTGAGTCTTTTTGTCTCTTTCTCTCGAAATAATACACGATACCTGTAAATGCAGCTGAGATGAAGAAAATATGGTTTTAAAAGATGAATGCCCGTGCAATGAGCGAGTAAATGGAAATGAAACGAGAAGGAGAAGAAGATGCAGGGATGTGTAAAACAATAGGGAATGGATAGGCAGATCCGGCGCAGCTTCAATAGCCATTGTCGTCTGATGCGGACGGACTTGACTCTCCCGATGAAGGGTCCTGGGCTCGGACGTTGTTCAGAGTGTGCGCAGCGATGGGAACGTCAGGCGGGGGGGACAATGGCCTAGCGTCGAATACACCCGGAGAAGGGGTGTCGCCAAGCGACATTTTCTCATTGAGAGATCGCAACCTCTGCATCTCTTGCTCTAGCTGAGTGATCCGAGCTTGGAGATCCTGGTTGGTCTTTTCGAGGGAAGTGATATATTGGGTGGCTGTCGAAGAGAGTTAATCGATGAAAGACATACACGGAAAGCAAGGGAGCTTACCTCGATCCAAGAGCGAAACCTTGCTACTCTTCTGGTTGGAAACAGGGAGTACGTCCTTGAGCTTGGCATAGCCATCGCGAAGCTCATCGCGCCTCCGCTGCTCTGCCTCAATACGTTGGCGCCTAGTAGCCTCCTTCCTGGAGTGGGCAAGGTTCTCTGCAAAGAGGACACCCATGTCTTCGTCGTCAGAGTCCTGGGAACGTGAGCCGCGACTTCGGCGACCGGAGGAGCTGGTCGGGGATGGAGTGGGATTGTAACGGATGTTGGACCGGTGGACTAGACTGTTAGCTCGAGAAGAAGAGGGCGAGTTGTTGCTGCTGGTGTGGTGGTGGTAGATGCCGTCAGCAGAGGTGTCTGATCCGGATACGGGGGGAGACAAAGGGTCGTAAAGGTCAGGCGAAGGCGGAGGAGGAGAGGTAGGAAGGACATGCGGCGCCTCGGAAGAGGGGTAGCCTTGATATTGATGGGACATAATCGGCATGTTGTGGTACGAGGGCATTGGCGACTGCTGCAACTCTGCGATGGGCATTCCCTGTGCTACGTGCTGGGTAGCATGCTGGCCTGCAAAACATACGAAGCAATAGTTATCAGATGAACATGCGGCAAACAGAAGAAAAGTAATGGTACCCACGCGTTTGAGGGCCGTTGTGCACAACCTGATAAGGGCTCATCTGCGGCGTCGCATAGGAAATATTGTACGCAGGGTCCTGTTCTGGTGGGTAAAAGCCGGGATACGACGCTGGATCGTTCATGACGTGCTGCTGCTCCATTCCTTTTGTGATATTTTGGCGTGAAGAGAGAAGTTCAATGTCTGAAAAACTCTGGATGCGTTGCTGAGATTCGTGCAGTCGTGGGTTGTCGTGAAGGAAAAGAAAAGAAAACGGAACAATGGGCCAGGGGACAGAGGGGTACAATGAACCACAACGTCCTGGTAGGAAAAGGACGAGAGCGGTTGGCCAACCAGAGCCGCCTTCCGAATTTGTTTAATCAAATATTCTCGCGACCCTAGACCGTGTTACCTTGTTTGTATACCGGCTTTGTACGCCAATCCGGTACAAATCCAAGGTAATCAGTACAAAGGCAGCACAATAACCTGATAATAATAGGTTTCATTGTTACAATCCTTTTACAGTCTGCCTTATTCTATGTCGGAAATTCAAGCTATACAACGGCAACTCAAGATTAAAGCAGGAGCTGCCAAGCGGTATTCCACCCATTTCCTTTTTGTCGTCTTGTCTTTGACACCCCAAAAGCCTAATAAAAGAACACATCCTCTATCGTAAAGAGACCGAGGAACAGCAACAAAAAGTAGCCAAGCTCATCGCAGAAGGTATTCCCGATGATGAATGGGATCTCAAGAACGCCGTAAGTTCTCCACGCCTCCCTGTCGTGCATATCGATCCATCTGAGACGTCGCCAAAGAAAAAGGTCCTTGACGAATGCAATAGAATGATCGATGACTCTGCAACGAGGTTGGCGAAAGCCGCAGGCGACCTTGGAGATCTCGTAGTATGTCTTCTTCCTTCCTTCCCTTTCCCTGTCATCACGTCTCCATCGTGTCCAACAGATCGCTGCCAAGGAACGTCCTGAACTCGCAGAGGTACCGGAACTGCTCGATGCCGAAAATGTACTCAAAGAAGGAAAGGAGTTTGAGACGGATAGCCTTTGAAGTTTGGATGTTTGAATGTAATTTCTTTTTCTAACCCGTCGCCACCCGATCAGTAATTTACCAAGGCCTTCGACCACGGTAGAACTATGATTTTGAAAATTCAAACTAGTAAGTATTAGCGCGTTCACCGAAGATAGCGACTGCCAACGCCACACAGTCTGGATCAGGTTACAGAATTCCGTCTAAACTTTCTCTAGCTCTGGGGTTCCCCCCCGGCGTATCAAGTGACAAGAGCTACTGGTCATCTATGATTACTCGTTTTCGAAAGGAACAGTGCTATATCTCGCCGCACTGACACATCATTTCCTAATCTTCCGTATCATCGGAGGCGTAGTTCAACGCTATGGGAGCGTTCGGTCATCTCGGTCCGTGCGTGATGTCACTCATCTTTTCCCCCCTCCCAGAATTCGAAAGCTTTTGTTTCTAGCTATAGGTTGTGTTTGGTTCCATTTTGTATGGTATCGATGAATATCGAATCTGCAGCTTGGGCTTTTGATTGAAAATACACTATACTTGATAGTTAAGGATCCGTGACCTCAAATATAGATTGCCAAATTATATATGGATTGATATAGATCATGAGAATGGAAATACACAACACCCCTTGCTGATTGGAGAAAGATATAACGACATATCCATGGACCCCGCGAAATCCTGTACAACGCTTTCTTCCGGGATACCCATCTACTACAAAGCTCTCAGGGTCATCCCCCCGACCTTTCGCCGGCAGTCTTCGACATGCCATAAATCTAGTCACCGGACTGCTAGTTGCACCGGCGTATCTATACGTATCTTGTGGGGGTGGATATGGGAAAGGGTCGTCAGACTCGCCACAATTTAGCTTTGATACGCCGGGACCGATTTCGGAGGCTGCGAATCGAGGGAATAAGGTCAACTGAAGGCAATTGACCTTTCGTAAGTCGTCGTCCGCCTTCAAGGCGGCCGGCTAATCGGTGTACAGAATGGAAAGGAAAGGACCGCCGTTCGTAGAAATCTGTTGCTTTCCGTCAAAACACGTTTATGGGTACACGGATAGCAACAAGAAACTTACGATAATATATCCTTCAAGAGTTATCCCCGGACATGTTACGTCTCGATGTCCCTGGATTGTTCCTCCATAGCGCTCTTCATGCGTGTTAATGCGTCCAGGATACCGTTCCATGCATCCCTCTCTACCCTCGTCTCTTGCAACCCCCTGCTTTCTCCTTCGCCTTCACCTTCGGGAAGTACAACCCCCAAACTAGGTGGAATGGAACCCAGTGGCGGGGCGTTGATCGCGCTAGGCGCTATCCGCGAGTGACGGATGTGGGCTAGTGATGAACGGATGGAAACTTGGATAGACTAGAGACGAGGGTTACCATTATGTTCCGATGAGGATGATACATGGACATACGTCAAGAATTTCAAAGTATTCGTTGGCCTCCAATACAAACTGTTCGGAGCGCTCTTCTCCCTGAGGAAGACCATCATTGGGACCGTCAGCTTGCGGCAAGGTGAGCAGTGAAATTGAGGACGCGGCAAGGGAGAGAAGACGGCCGATGTCCTGAAAATTATACCCGTAAGATACAGAATTTGTCCAGTAACGACAAGTGCTGACCTTTTCAACCTGACCAAGAGCATATATCTGCCTAGCTGTACGACTGGTGGTCCAAATGGGGTCGATGTCGGTGGTAGCGGTGTCAGGCTGGGTTGGTGGGTCGGCCGACATCGTGGTCAAGAAGAGAAGTAGAGCGGCCGACTTGAGTCACGTTGACTCTGACCTACCATGACCCTTTGACTTGAATCCCTTTTTTTTCATTGACTCGTGTATGAAATAAAGGGTCCACGTAAAACATCAAGATGGCCATTCTCCTTGGAGGTAGAGCCTTCGGACCAAGGACAACACGTAGCTTTCGACGCTGCCTTAGCTCCGCAACCGTCATCAGCATCCCAAAGGCCGATGTATACCGCTTTGGAGACGCGAACTGCGGTGTCTACACCTGTTTTTCGGGACTTGGATTGGACTGTGAAGGAGGGAGAAAGCTGGGCCGTCGTTGGCTTTGCATCGCATGAAAAACACGACTTCTTCCAGGTATGATTGTCGTTTCACTTGTTGTCCTTCTGTCATTCAACGATCTTCTAGATGCTTCTGGGGAATCTTAGGATATCGCCTCAGCCCACCACCGCCTGGAGGTCTCTTTCCTTTTCTCTTTCCTAGGGATCCACAGATGCACGTTTCTGTAGTCTCGTTCGGTAACCGACGTCGCAGCAGTGGAGGCGCCTTCTACGACTATACGGCCCGCTATGGCGCCGTTCAAGAAGAGGACCGCATAACCCTCCGTCAGCACATGTTCCCAGAAACCCTAAACGTTGACGTAGTCCCTCCCGAACTTCGTGATCCTTCCAGCCAAGTTCAGGTTCAAGTTGAAATCTCAGCTGAGAAGCAGCAGCTCTTCGATGACCTTGTGGAACGGATGGGTCTCCAGAAGTACTTGGATCTCCCTCTCATCGCGTTAAGTAATGGCCAGACGCGTCGGGCGCGTATCCTCAAAGCTATATGGACTCAACCCGAGCTCCTTCTTCTAGACGAGCCTCTTAGTGTGTGAATGCTCTTGTTATGAATTCGACCCTGTCTTAATTGTCTGCAGCTGGGTTGGATGTCCAAAATCGCCCCAACCTTTTGAATCTTCTGCATTCTCTTCACCAATCACGCTCGCCTCGCGTTATCTTGGGACTGAGGACCCACGACCCTGTTCCTGACTGGATCACGCACGTCGCGCTGTTGAGAGGGAGAGAAGTCGTCACAGGCCCAAAAGATATCATTCTGGGAAAAGAAGCTCTTCGGTCAAATCATGCAACCGCGACAACGGCTACTCAAACTGTCACTAACGAAACCGGTGCCGTCGTTGCGGACCTGAAAAATGTACGGGTTCAGTACGACAGTCGCATCGTTCTGCGTGACATCAATTGGCAAATTCTCCAGGGTGAACGATGGCATTTGCAAGGCGAAAACGGCATGTCGTCTTTCTTTCTTCTTCTTACATCATGAGCTCACAAACAGGGCAACCACAGGCTCGGGAAAAACTACTCTACTTTCGATTATCACAGGTGATCATCCCCAGTCTTACACTCAACTCGTCCTCTCGGTCTTCTCACCTCCATCTCTTTGGGCGACCTCGTTCGCGTATACCAACGCCCCATCTCCAATCCCTTATCGGTGTACTCTCTCCAGAAATGTTTGACGCCTTCCCTCGCAAGCCCGGAATGTCCGTCTGGGATGTCGTCGGGACGGGCTTTGATGGTACATTCGTATCACGCGGAAAACACAACGTTGGAACTGGTGTAATGCAAGAACTTGCCGAACCTGACGTGCAATGGAGAGTGACTAGATGCAAAGAAGTCATTGACGCTCTGGGACCCGGAGCCTGGGGAGGCGAACATTCTAGCGAGGACGCAGCAAAGTTCCACAGCAAAGATTTCGTTGAGCTTTCAGTCGGTGAACAAAGGATGGTGTTGCTCATGCGTGCATTGGTCGGACGACCACAGCTGGTCCTTCTTGACGAGGTCTGGAGCGGAATGGATGAAGGCATGGTGAGTGCGGCCAAGAAATATCTTCGAGAAGGAGGCGTCACCAAGGATCAAGCTGTTATTGTCATCACCCATTGGGAAGACGAAGTTCCCTGGGGTGTTCAAGATGGAGTCAAGAAGATACGTCTCGAAAAAGGACATGGCAGTATTCTTCAGTAATTTCTTTTTGTAGCAAGTACAAATATACATCATCAGTATTCAGTGGATATTCTTTTCAAGCCCATGGATCTTCTTCCTCCTCTTCAACGAGCACAGGTGGAACTGGGCTGGGTGATTTGCTGTCTTCAGCCAGTGGTACAGTTAGCAGACCAATCACTTTTACCCCCGTCGCCGGCCCAATCTTGCCCACCTTTGTCTCCCCAAGACGAACTGTTCCAGGTGGCAAGGTTTTCGTCATCTCCGCCGATATCTTTATTATCTACCTTCTCTTTCACGTCCTTTCCGCTCCTCTTCAATCTGGCGTCTCTCTTTCTTTTTTCATTCTTTTCCTTCTTCTTCTCGTTTATCTTCTTCTTCTTTTCTGCGTTTTTCTTCTCGTTGTCGATATTCCTCAACAGCTTGTAATATGTATCGCAGATAGCCTTCTTGCAAACGCGGTTATGGGTAGGGCAAAGGGGTAACGTCTGACTTGGTTCCGTGATTTGTTCCCATATATTCTCGACAGGTTCGTACTCGTCTTCATCTTCCTTAGGCGCGTCACTGGTATTTGTCTGGTCTTGGGGGGGGAGGCCAGGCGGATGAGCAGGATCGCCGCGATTCTGAACCCGTTCTCCTTGAGCGTTGGGAATATTCTCTCCAGGAGGACGCTTAGCATCTGAAATTAACAAATGGAGATCAGTGGGCATACGATCCGGTGTTGTACAGTCCGTGACTGACCAGGCTTTAGCGTCTTCCTGAACTTGAGAAAAGAGTGGGGAAGGGGCCGACAAAGTGATCGATTTAACGGATCTACAAAGGGTGGGGTGCAGTAATGAGTAGTTGGATATGGGTGCATGATACTTGGATGTCGCCTATCAATACTTTATACTCCCTAGTTATGCTTAATAACTTACTCCTTGCATTGTGTACGAGACCATCCTTTGAACCAGTCGGGCCTTACCGAGACTCTGTGCCAACCTGCCCAGACATTCGTCATTGATTAAGACGAAATTACAGATAAACATCAGTACCGACCATCGTTTCTCAGCGCGAGATCAGTAGAGTGCAAGCATGGAAAGATCTGCGAGATATACTCTCGTTCTTCCTCAGACGGCGCCAGCAGGAACTCTTTCCAGCGGTGCTCGCCTAAGAGAGTTTCTCTTTTCTTCGAGCAATTCTTCTCGATCTCTACGATGATCATCGAAGGGGCCTTGAAGTGTGATTAGCCAAGGATCCTCAAGTCATTGGGACGACATACACTGGGCTTGTAATGGAATGCATAAAATTGCCTTGGAGAGTCTATGCATGCAGCAATCCAGCGTACATGCTTGATGATATCTTTATCCTGATCCCACTCAAAGTTGAGTGGATACGGTTTGCTGACAGTGAGGTAGTCTGCGTCGCTCATGATCGTTGCTTGTCAAACCAGATATCATCAATTGCAGGTTCATCATGATACTGGGAAAATATTGCTGATGGAAGTCTTTGACATTCACACTCAAATTTGTGCTTAGATTGGTACTACGTGTTATTGAAACACAATTCTCGGCTACATTTCATGATACAAGACAGGACAGAACAGATGCACAGTTGGGAAATTTTGTGGGAGGGAAAGATTACCATCAAAAAAAGAAAGCGCAGGTATTCGGATGCGAACTTGGAAGCGGTTTATGCGTCCCAGGGATCGCGTTCTGGAACGGGACTTGCGAGTCGACTGCTGTTTGCACTTCCTCCACGACCGCGGCCACCCCTTCCACCACGGCCATGTCCTCTCCCAGCTCCCCTGCCAGAGGCGCGCGCCTGTTCCGCTTCTCTCCTCCGTTGTTCGGCCTGTTCCTGCTTTTTCTGCTTGGATGCTGCCTGGCAAATACCCGGTTTACAGTTTGGCCGGCCGTGAAGAGGGCATAGAGGCGCGCTAACAGTAGATGTATCGTCCGCCACTGACCACAAGTTTTCTCCGCTAGCATCATCAACAGGCGAGACAGCGGGTTCGATAACCTCATATCGAGGAATAGACATTGCAACAACGGGATCCTCTTCGTCTAGTCCGTCACCCAAAGTGTAAGGATCCGCTTCATGGTCTTCGCCCAAGGAAATGCGCGCGACTTGTTTATCGAGAGAACCCTCCTGCGTCACGGAAGTACCAGAGCCAGAATTCCCGGCCCGTGTAATACCAGGAGGAGCAGGAAAGCTGCCTGAGGGATTGGCTGGAAGACCTGGTGGACGAGATAGGGCTGATCCTTTAGAGATACCCACCAACGATTTACTGGATGATGCTTGAGCTAAAATGGTGGTAGTTAAACAAACCACTTCAGTCAGCACAGGAAGGCCACCTACAATGTCCGCCAGGCATTTGATCTCCACGATTGTTCCCCCCTGCAAGCTATCAGCAATATGATACCAGGATTCAGAAGAAGTGGGCGCATACAAGCGGGGGGAGAAACGACTTTGTTGTTCTGGACAATGGGCTGATTCCCTGTAACACCTCAAATGCTAAAGAACCATGAATGACTGCATGAAGGCACTTACAACGCGAAGGTAGAGCTGTCTGGTTCGTACCGCCGTTTCTAATCGAAATATTTTTTCCTCCGCGGCCACGGCCCCATGCACCTAGGAGAGGGACAGCAGTGCTAGGACCTGTGCCAGTCTTCGCATTCACCCAAGAGGTGGAGCCTACGACTGCTGGAAAATCAGCTATGATTAGTTATAGAGAAAAATCAGCAATACCTGGCTTAGTTGGAGGCGGTGGTGGAGGTTTGTACAAGGCGGGAAGTGGACGGCACAAAGACTTGTTAGTCCTGTCCTCATTGGGTGGTACACAATGATGGGTTGCAGGATACGGCTGCATGAAACTTGACTAGTTGCGTGAAATGATATACGGTGAGTTGGAAGCTAGCACCCACTCTTGTACAGCGGACCATCCTTTGAACCAATCATCTTCGACCGCAACTCTGTGCCAACCTATCATCGCGGTCGTCAGAAAAAGGCGAGAGTAGGTGAGGCTACTCGCATACCGTCTTTGACAACTGAGCGATTGTTTGTATGGAAACAAGGAAAGACCCGAGTGACCCTTTCTCTTTCCTCTGGAGTCGGCGCCAACAAGAACTCCTTCCAGCGGTGCTCGCCGAGAAAGCTGGCTTTCCCTTTTGCATTGTTCTTTTCGATCTCAACGATAACCATCGAGGGTGCCTTCACAGTACCATTAGAATCCAAAGGCGGTGTAAAATACAGGAAATATGCATACCTTGGGCTTGTAATGGAACGCATAGAAGGGCCTGGTACCGACGCAGGCAGCAATCCAACGGACGTGCTTCAAAACATCCTCATGGATATCCCAGTCAAAGTTGAGCGGGTAAGGTTGACAGACGGAGTAGTAGTCGGCGTCAGTCGTCGAGAAGAGGCGGGGTGGGAACTCGCTTGGGCATGTTCGGAATGGGATAAATAGGAAGCTAAGAAGAAGATAGTCAATCATGGTGGATGCTACTCTTATTTATACCCAAGTACAAACAAAATACCCAACGTCAGCTTCGCCTTTGTTCTTTGTTTGTTCTTACATGATCATATCCTTATCCATACAGACAGACTCTCAGATTCTGCTATCTTAGTTACCACAGAGCGATTCAATTCGTTCGGTGTTTGCGGCTACGCAATGCACTTGGGCGGAAGGACATTCGCGTGAGGGGGGCCGTAATTTTAGCCGCCCCGACAATAATGATCCTTGCTACATAGTTTTCTAAATGATTTTGCCCTGGGTGATGACTTCAACACTTTATCTGTCTCGAGTGAACAGGTGACTTGAAAAATTAACATGTATGACTGTATACCATGGGCGTCGGAGAACGGCGAATCCCTTGCGTTTGAATGTCAAAGTCTCGGCAGAATACACGTATCCTGGCAAGCCAGGACAAAGACACGACGCTACAACATTGTGATGGCAAGTAAGGTACAGCGAGGGGTTTCTTGAGTTTCTTTGGAACGAGCATCTACATGTATGAAGGCCTAATTTCGGATGTATTTTTTTATTTCCGTCGTATCCACGTTCATAGAATAACAACACACGTCAGCTCAGAATCGTTATGCCTGGGTTGCTCCACGACTCCGCGTTCAATGTTCATTTCTCACTGTGAGACTGAAGCACACGCCTGTGATGGCCCTCAACCAGGATATCGGAAGGATAAACATCCTAGAACATACACACGCCTATAGGTACCCGTGACATCCAGCCTGAATGTTCAACGAGAACGAGAGTTTACAAAACTGGCATATTCTTCTTAATCCATTTCTAATTCGCGGTCTGCGCTTTCCCCATGGTAGGAACTATCTTCCTGTTGGCGTCCATGAACGCCGAGACAGTCTCATCTGTGACCTTTGCTCGCTTCTCCTGGAAATCTCCGACAAACTTCTGCAAAGCCTCGATGCACTTCGCTTTTAGCTGCCCTGTCAACAATCGTCCGGCACGATAGTCCTATAAAGGTATCGTAAAAGTCCTAAACGTCGGAGGAAATAGAACGGACCTCTCCAATCTTTGCTACTTCATCGTCGTCCTCCAATAGACATGTCAGATATTGATAGCTAACATCCACATCAGTGTTGCCTCCCAGCCGGCGATGTTCCTCTTCTGTCTCTTGGCCACCCGAAAAACCGTGCCTGTTTATCTTGTTCTTGATCTGTGCGGGCTTGTCGGTCATGTAGATACTGCTATTGGGATCGCTAGCGCTCATCTTCGTTTGCGCTCCTTGTAGTGCGGGGAAGAATTTGGAATACAGAGTCATTGGCTTCGGATACTTGAGTTTCTGCGCGACGTCTCTTGTAAGACGGAAATACGGGTCCTGGTCGATCGCGCAGGGAATAAGGCAAGGGATGTTGGAAATTGTGCCATATATCTGTGGGAAGGAGTTGGAGAAGGACGGAGCAGCTTGGACGGCAGCGAAATGGATTCGACCGATGTTATCCGAGTCAGTAAACCCAAAGGTAGCCTTGGCTTGGCTGTAAGTGATTTGCCGGGAGATTTTCGAGATGTTCTCATAAAAGGGACCTGAGATGTAGTCGTAGTCGCTGAATATGAATGTTTTTGAAAGGTCGAAGCCAACAGCGATGATATCTCGGGCATTCTGCCTTCCAAACGCTTTAGTCTGCTCTGGCTTTAGCGACTGTTTGAATAGGAATTTTTCGTCGTCTAGGAGGTAATCAGATGAGCGTTCAATAAGACTGTGCCAGATACGTGCCTGTAAGTTGTACCACCAACGGGACATCAAAGACATCTTGCAACCACCTGGCAGCAATTAAGCGGACAGAAATTGGATACTACTTGAACTTCTCACTTGGTAAACACGAAAGGTATCATGTGGCCAAGATGCATACTGTCGCTACTGGGACCACGTCCTGTGTACAGGAAGAAGGGCTTGCCCTGCTCGTATCGGTCTAGAAGTTTGTCAAAATCTCTGTTGCGAGTTATTAGTTCTCGACCAAGGATAAATGGGGGGAGCGCACCTATGCGAGAAAAACAGTCCACGCCTAAGAAGGACATGCGGCTTCCTCCCAGTCAATTTTTCGAATCTCTGTAACATCGCCTCGTCTATTTTTCGGGTACCAAATTGGACAATGAGCTTGTCGTAATCAATTGCTTGCTGCTTTCCATCGGAAGATACGCTTCCTTGGACATCCCACGGTGTAACGACTTGTTCGTGCGAGGAAATTGGCACGTCAGTGCTTGTGGTTGCTTCTAGTACTGGACTGAATAAGAACTTAGATTGGGTTCTCGAGACGACATTGGTGGACCACGTACTCTTTCAGAGATGTACCCGTCAGTGAAGATCCCAGCTGCTCAATCGCTGATGTTGGGACTGGTGATGCAGACATATCTATCGGAATTGAAGGTATAGAAGGATCGGGAAATCCCAAGTTGCAGTGCAGGGAAACGACGTGGAATTCGAGTCAGAGCGTCAATTCGCTCAAATTTATTGAAATCTTATCTTGATTTTGATAAGGACATCCACTGCCATATCAGGAAACGGGTCATGGTGCAGCCATGAAACTCTTGAAAGTTATAATCTATATTCTTATTCTCATAGCTAGCTCTCTATTCATTAGTTGTTATTCCCGAGCGGGTGATATGCCATGGAGCATATGTTTTTGACAGATTCTCTCGGTTTATGTTGTGCTCCGCGATCAATGGACGTCAGGACAAACTCCAGCACCGACGTATCAGTTAATGGTACTTCTTCGCAAGGCTGCAGCACACGGTAACACCACATTCATCACTGTTGAATTCATCTATAGTAGAAACGCTGATTTTTCGCATATCTTACTTAGTTATACATTGTACGAACTTGTCTCTGTCCCATTTCTAATTCTTCTTCATATCTTCTTATCCTTCAATAACCGTATTCACGCCTTTCTTCATGACTGCCCATGGTGGCCATGGCGACGTCCGTGGCCGCGATCATCGTCCTCATCCCGAATATTCATTCTTTCAGCGCCGAATGTGTCGTCTGATCCGCCATAACTGGGGATTATACCCTCCGCCTCGGCCACCTTCAAATTCTTGGGGAGGAGGAGGCCGACCAAACTTATCGCCACCCCCGCCGTAACCTCCTCGGCCACCGTATTCACCTCCCCTACCCCCATATTCTTGACGAGGAGGATCACCGCCGCCATATCCTTCTTCATCATGACGGCGGCCATGACCGCTTCCATAACCACCGCTACCATAGCTTTCACTCTGTTCGCCATATCCGGAGGAATCAGTCCGCCCACCATAACTAGAGTCATCTCGGCCACCATAAGAGGACTCGCTCCTGCCATACGACGACTCGTTCCTGCCACCATATGAGACCTCGGGACTGCTAGTATCATACGACGAATCGTCACGGCGATAGCTTGTCTGCTGCCTACTTCCATACGAATCATCCTGTCTGCCGTAGGAAGGCTCGGCTTGTCGGCCATAGGTAGACTCGTCACGTCCACCATAGGAAGGCTTAGTCCTTCCACCATAGGAAGATTCGTTTGTACTGCCATAAGACTCTGACTCAGTGTTCCTTCCGTAGGTGGATTCGTTGCGACCCCCATAGGAGGATACACCTGTACCACCATACGAAGACTCCGTGTTCCCTCCGTAAGTGGGTTCGTAGCGTCCTCCGGATGAAGGCTCGTTTGTAGTACCATACGAAGACTCCGTGTTCCTTCCATAGGTGGATCCAGAGTCATTGCGTCCCCCGTAAGAAGACTCATCGGTTCTGCGTCCACCATATGTGGACTCGGTCCGGCCAGAGTATTCGTCCTGGCTGCCGTAGGTTGATTCGTTACGGCCTCCATACGACGATTGCTGACTGCTGCCATGCGACTGGCTACCTCCATATCCGCCGGAGCTCTGGTGCGAGCTCTGGCCCTGGTAGCCACTGCTTTGGGTCTTACGACCGTAGCTCGCGCTGCTTCCATGTCCGCAGCCCCCGTAGCCAGGCTCGACACTTCCATCTCCCTCTCTCTTGTTCTTTCCCTCGCGAACAGCGTCCTTCGTCAGCTTGTCAATAGTGTCGCGTGCTTCCTCACCCATAGCACCGACCCATTTCTCAAGTTCGTCAAACATCTGACGCTGAATCTGGCTATTACCGCTCGCATAATAGGGATGGTGGAAGGCTTCGAGGATCTACACATAAGTAAGCAAAATGTTTCTCGTAGAAAGGAGAATCGGCGAACCCTATTGATGACATCGTTGGGATCGCTATTCATTTGACCAAGCCTCAACAATGAGCTGAACACTATTGACAACTACGATCTGAGCTATTTTCCCTGCAGGCTCGTTGAGAATCAGACCGAAATGGTCTTTGGATAAGAGACTATGTGAAGGGTCAGACGCATCTGCGTTGTCGAAAACTTCATATTGGTCATCGGAGTCGATGACAGCTTTGCTTCCTTCGCCGAGGGCCGACGTAGCTTGGGTAAGGATAGGCGTGAGCCAGGGTGCAATAACGGTGTAGACATCTGGAGCCAATGACATTAGCTTCAACTGAGGCCTCAGGCACGGAAAACTTACATGCTGTGAGCGCATTGCTCAGCTCGTCTATCAAGTCACTCAAGCCGGGGACCATCTCGATCTTGGCAATGATATCCCTATAGACATCATCGCGCCATTTGAGTAAATCCAGAAGTTGCTTCTGGACCTCAGGCGGCGCAACATTATCGGGGTCGAAGTGGTACGCTTGGGACTGTGCTTGCAGCTGCTCTCCCTGACTCAGCTTGTCATCCCCTCCACCGACCTTGCTGAGGAGTTTCTTTAGAGCGGATAACTTTTCGGCGGTGTCGTTGTTTTGCGAGGTCTGCGCCATCTGATCGTTCAAGGCTGTGACACTAGCCTGGCTGATATGATCGGTCGCTTCCCCCAGCATCGAGTGCATGAAGTCGGCACTACCAAATGTACCGGTGACAAGAGGTGGAACTCTTTCACCAGAGGGAGTCTGCACGTAGACATTATCGCCGACGTGACAAAAGACTTCCTCGTAGCCCATCTTGCGGAGGCCAATTTCACACCAGTTACTATGCGCGAGAAGATCCTCCATCGTGTGGAGACCCGTGCCAAGTAAACGAAAAGCTTCATACAGCTCGGCACCTTCTTGTCCGGACGCCCTGCGACCATATTCGATGCAAGCTCGGAAAGTGCGACGGATGTGGGCTGTGGACGAATCCCAGCCTTGATCTTCAGTCGCCATATAGTTTTTCATACCCGTTCGCTCGTCGACTTCGAGTTCACGAGGATCAACAGGCGGACGAAGTTTGGGGTGAAATTGACGAGCATCGCCTTCTTTCTCAGCATAACCTCTGAAGAAGAGTAAGCATCGAACGGGAACAACGCTGATGTGACGCACTTTGGGTTATCGATATGTTCCTTGTTTTTATTATCAAATGATCAACTATCGCCAACGGGAAAGGAGAATAAATAACATACAACGGGCAAGTAGACACCAAGACGATCGGGCGTGACCTCGAACTCCCTAGTGGCAAAGCCAAACGCCTTATAATGAAATGAGCTAAGATCGATATAAGACAGGGGACCGCTCACCATAAAACCAAGAACAGAGACAACGAGAACAAGGGTATCCGCGCTGAGTTTGCTTAAGCCAGCGATATCCATCGCCTGAGAGTAATCCCTGAGCCAGTTACCCTGTCGGAATGTAAGAAGATGCTCTCGGTTGAGGACATCATGCGTACAAAATAAACTTTCTTGATATCTCCTTTATTGAATTTCGAGCCTCCAGAGGCGTTGTCCATAACTTTCTTAGCAAAACCAAGAATTCCGCCTCCAGCGGCAGCACGACCAGCGGATTTAACGACTGATCAGACTGATCAGAGGATCAAGTATCGTGTCTCAATGTTAAACACAAACCTGTCTCCAAAATGTTCTCGATGTCACCATGGCGAAACGCCTTGTCATTTAGGTAGGCAAAATCTGGGATGTCTCCGGCACCAAATGCATGGGCACTGGGGAGAGCAACGAGAAGAATCGTAACAGCTAAAAGTATGTTAATTGTGTTGGTAGGGAGGCATGGTGGTGGTGGTTAGGAAAGACAAGTGAACGACGGATCGCAAGTGATCGAGGCTAGATCGAGGCTTGGCGTTGGCTTGGCAATTTCAGTCGCAGTAATCGATATGACATCACAGCCACAGGGGCTCCGCGGAAGAGCGCCCGACGTCTGCGTCATGTATAGCCCTGTTTTCCAATTTACAGTCGAATTTCTAACTACTCATGCATTAAGGTATAGCTACAGAAGAGACTACGAATAAATATGTGAAAACGGTCGTCAAGCGTCAGCAGATATTTAAAAATCAACGTGATATAATGTAATGTAAATGGTATATATCATTGTCTCGTTAACATCATCGCGACGTGTCTTGCTCGTCCAATGTGGTATACGGGTATGTCAGGCTACCAGAAGTCATCTTCGGCGAGACAATCTCAAACTGGTCGTCTATGCTTGGTCCCCGTCCCTCGTCATCGGAATACCTCGAACTTCGGCTCAAGATACTCTTCGTCATACTGGGAGCAACGCTCATTACCGATTTTGCTACGCTTGGTAATCTCGAGTGCTGTTGATACTGCAAGAACTCGTCCGGTACCCGAGGACTTGGAGGCATCTTCTCAATGCTTGGTCGTGGTTCTACATTAACACTCAACATACTGACACTCGGTCGTCTGGCACCTGACCCTCCACCCGAGGCTGCATTCTTCCACTTTAATATACTCTTTCGAACGCTGTTTCGCTGTGTTTCGGTTTGAGGAGGAGGCGTAGGAGAGTTTTTCCCAGACTGGCTTATGGGTGTCGATTTTCCTGATGTAAATGTCGGCGAAACTTTGCCATTCCCACTCAACTGGGATCGGGCCCGCCTCGTCGGATTAGGGTACGGACTCTCCTGATCAAACCTTAACCGGTCGAGACTAATGGTATGCTGTGGAAACATGGTAGGAGCAGGGGCTGACGTGCCAGGAATATCAAAATTGTGGAGTGATGGGGGACGAGATGGACGTGCCGGGCGGGAGGGAGGCACTGATGAGGATGTAGATGTTGAGGTTTGAGAGGAAGACATACGAATGGGAGGTCGGACGACACCCACGCTATTTCGACTGCTGCTACTGCCACTTTGTCGGTGAGCTGAGGCCCCGTTTGGAGTAGAAGGTGAAGCGCCAGTAACCTGAGCAGAAAATACTGCTGGTCCGGGCGCCTGTGGCGAAATACGTCCCTGCTGCGCAGGTGGCGGCTGAGGTACGTTAATGGAGCTAACGCTCTGCTTGTTACTTCGTCGCCAGAGTTTTTTAATGCTTTTTACGCTCATTACGGTCGCTCTATTGGTTGGAGTATTGTCTTTCGCAGAATCCGCCGAAAATCTACTAGATGTAGTCTTGGACTCCTCCATAGCTGTGCTGTTATCGTCCCAATAAGCTGATCCTTTGCTATCTGCAGAGGGTGTAGGCGTTGATGGGTACCGCCCGAACGGATCCGGAGACAATGGTATTATAGCGTCTTTAAAGCTCCCATTAATCTGGGGCGTATGACGAGGATATTGCTCTTGTAAAAGTTGCCCAGACTCTTCCTTCTCCATCTGCTTTCTTCGCGTTGTCTCTGAAGATTCCGCACCTGCAGATGAAGATGTAGGATTAAAGGATTGGGGCGCGGACGTAGTAACACCGTTTACGGCGAGCCGGGGAGGTGAAGGATTATTAGATGGTGGCTGTGTAGTGATCGCCGAGTTCAAGGATTGGAAGGGAACAGATGGCCATGCCCCGGATGGCTGGGTCGGACTTGCGATGGATGCTTCGCTATGGAAGCACACTGTTAGAAGCGGAACAGAAGAAGGGTTCAATCACTACGCACATTCGTAATGGTGGTTTTGACTGGTCTTCTTCGAGTTCAAGTTGCAATACTCGAGGGGAGAATTGTGCGAGATTCTGGACATAATTTTGAGGATGCACAATGGACAAAACATCTTGTTGGCGTACCTTTTCAATTTCGTCCAATTTAGCCGTCAAAAGATACTGACTCTCCTTCGTATCCTCCTCGAATGATTCATCGAAGTCGAGCTCGAGATCATCATAGACACCTCCTCCGCGTTTTCCGCTTGTAGGCACGCTATCGTCATCAATTTCGGTATCGTCGTCAGACTCGTCTTGATGTCGAAGATAAGGTAGGCTGGTACCGCTACTCGGCAGGCTAGAAGACGAGTCGGTCGCGTTGGTGTTTGAAGGTTCCAGTACCAAAGGTGGCGGAATGTTTTTTCTATGCATGCTGGGTATCAGTCGGAGAGCAATATCCTCCTCATCGTCAAGTTGCGACTCGGAATGGGGCGACTTTGGCAAAAAGAACGGAACAGGTGAGTTTTTATTCTCCACCCGTTTATTATGGTTTAAGTTTCTGCTTGTTATCCATGGATTAAACCACGACGCAGAACGGAGGTCGATGTCAAACTCGATCTTTGCTATGATTGGAACAGCCAGAGAGGAAGAAGAGACAATAGATGGAGTAGGCTGGTCTTGGTCTGTGTGGAGACTCGCGAGGGTGAGAACAGGCAATTTTTCAGGTGCATCTGGGGCAAACTCTGCCTTCCAGACGCGCGACCATAAGTGCTTCCAGATGTCGTCGGAGATACGCGGCCCTGGGTCTTCATTGTCATGGACGAGATACAGAATGACACCCGCAGTTGATGGCAAGGCATATTCTCGGGCAATGGCAGTGAGCTGCAGTTGTAATGTCGGATGCACTGGCAACAACGTTCCCCGTCGAAAATGGGTATGGTATCCAGAGGCGGAAGGTGGCGGCGGCGAACTGAGGCTGGTATTGAGATGGGGTAGGTTGAGAGGGGGGATGACATGAATAAGGTACTTGCTCGTCGAGGGCGGCGTCCTGAGCGACGATGACGACGACGGAACGGGGGTCGAGACACCGAGTGCATTGGCGATCTTAGCGAGGCGGTCGGGGGATAAGGGCGTCTTAGGCCTCTGCCCACTTCCTGGTCATAGGAAAGATACCGTGGGAACCCTTTTGTTCTGTCTTTGGCAGCTTCATGACATCACAACCATCAACCCAAAATTAAAATAGCATCGTTAAAATCATTTTTCGCGCCTCGCGCCTATCTAAATAGTTTATCATACAGAGCGGTGCCTTATTCGACGCCGACAGTCGACATGCTATACGAGATTTTGCCCTGGAGTACCGCAACGTGGCGCTAAGTCTTGTGCCGCAGATGGCGAAGATCTTCAAGTATTCATCATAGGAACAAAATTATTCAGGAAAAAGGGACCCGCCCCACCTTAGCGTGGAATGTCATCCATGCGGGCTTCTGGCGAAGCGCCGCAAAGTAAAGGGTATATTTATAGCCGTACATACACAAAAAAGTTATCCTTTCCAAGATACAGACGAAAAATACATGCACGAAAGCCCCGTCCGTGGGTAACAGTCTGCACAAGAAAACGAAGAACGAAGGACTAATGCCCAAACAAGCGAAATATGAGGTATAATAGGGATCCTATGAAACGAACAGCGGACAAACCAGCGCTGCGTAGAATTCGCAGTTGAGCAAGCAAATCTCGCTGAAATCAGGGAAAACTTACAGCGCAATGAATAAGAATGTCAGATACGGATTAAAAGCGGCATTGTTCTCGATCTCGACGTGCTCCGTAACCCAGTTCGTGAACGCTGTCGAAGTGAACACAACAATCATGACCCTGAATGCAATCAGTGGTTAACCCTCTCAACAGAAACATCACTCACATGTTCGAGCCCACCCAAGCAAGCACGACATTTGTTCTGCTGTTCCTATCATGATCAGTTTGTTTTGTCGCAGCGTCTCGATGTTCCCTCTCGTCTTGCGGTTTAACCTTCAACGAGTTCCTCGCCGCCATCCAGAGTTGATCGACATCCTCCCGAGCTGTGGGAATCTCTACTTCCATCATCTCCTTTCCGCCTTCACCTTTCACTTTCTTGGCGCCGCCAAGGTCCTTATGTGAGCCATCGTCACCTTTGGTACCCCAGGTGACATCGTGAAGGTTGCACATGGCGTACATCACTAGAGAGTAAAAGTAAACATCCCATACATAAGGAGCTAAAGCAAGGAGTCTTACTGAGGATGTTAACATCTAATAGGGAAGGGAAACTTCCATCAGCAAAGAGATACCAGGAGAGAACATAACGTACAAGACGGAAGGAGGAACATGTATTGAATGAAACTTGTGAACATGTGCCATGGCTCAAAGTGCATGAACGAGCTGATGAAATACAGTCCGTAAGTCGCCGCTAGGGATATAACAATATCTTGGAGAGCAGGCGTATTTTTCACCAATCTACCACATCATTCAGTTGAGTAAAAAAACAGGCAGCCTGCACGATAACATACTCTGGGAAGTCCTTCCAACCTTCGACGGTGTGCGGAACAGCAAGGTACACCGTCCAAGCAGCGCACCACACCGTGATGATATTACAAAGCCCGAAAAGCATGATAGCCAGCGTATACGTCCATTTGGAACCCTAGACGCATTTTCAGGACCGACCGACACTTTAGTAAGATGGATGCGCACCTGTGGCCGATTACCCAGGGAACAAACCAGGACCACAAATAGAAGAGCGATATACAATTTTAAGAAAACTTCAAACACGGTTTTACCGGCGTTGCCACCGAGGAAGTTGAACGCATCTGTCGAAGTGTCCGATGTTGCTGATGAGACCAACTAGATACGGGATCAGCGCTGATGTCCGAGGAAAAAAACAGAGGAACAAACATACGAAGAAGAAAGCAAGGTAGAAATTAGCCAACGATGTCCAAGTAAAGACGAGCTGAACGGCGTTATAGATGAACTCCAGCTATCATATGTTGATCAGTATTGATCCCAGAAGACACAAAGCCGCTGACAAGTAAAACAAACTTCCTGATGAAGTTCTGTCCAGATGTGAATATCCTCCAAAAGAATACTGTTGCATGGATCGAAGCAAACAATGAACCGTTCAACCAACGCCGGCGCTGCGAGATGAACTCCGGAACCTGATACGAATTCCATCAGTGAACCATTCAATTGAATTCCGCTTCCGGACTGACAGTAGTGGGAACATCAGTGGCTGCCTTTGCACTCTTCACATACTTCAACCTGAAGAAATCATTTAGTAGGTCGGGTGCGCAATTGCGATCAACAAGTGACTTACGTCCAGCCTTCACGTTTCTTGGTGACGATCTCGAAACAGAGGATACGATCTTCGGCGAGATACATATTCCTTTCAAACAGACCGGCATTACTACCTCCGCCGTGCATGGACTCGCCTTTGAAATACGAAGCGAGAGGACCCTTGCCATCGGGGCCGTTAAGGAGGGCCTTGTATCTGTATGCACTGAAGGCGCCAGGGAGAACACTGATGTAGCCGAAAACGCTCTGTCGAAAGTATATTAGAAATCTACACCGTGACGAAGATAGTGGGGTTCGGATCAGACCTCAAGAGGCTTATCCAAAATGTTGGACATTTTGTATTCAAAATTCTGAGAGGCTGCGAGGGGATTTGTCAGTAGAAGCGAACAAGCTCTCCCAGTATCTACGCATATCCTAACCGAGTATGAGCTACGGCATTAACACAAAACAAAGCGGAAAAACTTACTCTCCGCAGGCTCCACCTACGTAGTCGTGTTTGTCAAAACACTTCCAGAGTTCATAGATGGAAGTCCCCGTCGGCTTCGTTCCGACATCCAGAAGCACACAGACTGGAAAAAAATGAGGTAATACCCTCTCTGAAAAACACTGGAAACACGCGTACCATTAGGCTTGATGAGTGGTCCAAACGCATTAAAGAACCATCGGTGACTATTGAGCTTCTTCTTATTTTGTTCCTTGAGACAGAACAGGATCTGGACGGGACAAGGGCCTTGCGACACCTCACCAGCAGATGTAACAATAGCACTTGTGGTGTACTCGAAGATGTGGGCGGTGACATCCTTTCCTGCGACTGAATCTTTTGCAATGCCTTCTTGATAGACTCCCATCTGTGTTTTTTGAAACACGGATCAGAGAGGAATGAAAATTAATATGAATACGACTGACCAAGCTGAGCACTTGCAATGTTCGCTTGTTGACCTTGTTTCGACCGTCTGAAACAACGCAGACCACGACCTTTTTCCAGCCTTCAGGACCCCATGTGCTTGACCTGCTGCGACCACAGAGATGTGCAACATTTTTGAGCACGCTGTCGTACAACGTGAGTTTCACATTTCCGAGTATCGGGAATGACTTACGCATTCATAGTCTTTACAAACAGCACTTCATCCTCGTTGTACATGGTCATCACAATAAAAAGCTCTGTCTGGCGATTGTATAAGTACGGCCGGAGAGAATAGCGAGATTTCATGAAATCATCGGGATCGCAGGTAGCGGCGGTATAGCGCATTTTAGTCATCTCCTCTTCGTGCTCCTTGTCTGGAGGAACAAGTCGAGTGGGGACGTCCATGTCGAGGACAAGATTGCCTTGGAAGAGCTCGACCTGTCGAACAGAACGCCGTTTGAGTATCTTCTCCCTAGCGACTGAATACCCAGCGCTGCTGGTCTGGTGGTACATTCCAGGCCGATGCATTGGAGGATAGTTTTGTTGCTGCTGATAAGGCATGGGGGGAACTGGAGGAGGTGAGATCTGGCTCATCTCGTAAGGATTCAGGTGAGCCTGTGAACCGGCATGACTGCTCTGGAAGGACTTGGTAGACTTGCTATCCCAGTTGTTTTGGGTATCATATTCGTTGTATCCCTGAGCCGGAGGGTAGTCAACAACACCAGTGTTGCTGTATTGGTTGTAACTGTTATAATCGTTTGTGTGCGAATAATAGGGATCCTGGCTTTGACGATAAGCCATTTTTTGAGTTGAACCCGAAGAAAACGCTGAATGTTAAAAGAAGAGACGCAGTGCAGAAGGGAGCGGACGGCCAGCTGTTGGCCTGCAAGGAAGGTGAGGAAGGGCGGTGAGGCGGTGGCGTGCTGGTGATGAAGAAAAAATGAAAGATGCGACCAGATACCAAGGCAATAATTCCCTAGCTCCACGTGGCATCTGCTATACGATCGGATTTCAATCGCTTAAAAGTTGACATTGCAGAGATCACCAACACAGCTTTTTGACAAAGTAATTGAGCTGTATTTCTTTGACAATATATCTACTTGATAGTTCTCTACAGTTCTGTTGGATAATTTAGCTACGAAACGTATAGATCTACGTTACCGGCAACTGGATTTCGAAATGATATTAGCTACATTTGAATTGTCGCGATCGTCTTCAGATCGAATTTGGAAAAACCGCTTTGGCGCGAGCTGCGCAGAACACGAAACCCCTCTTGGTTGAAGCGTCCAGGCTTAAATTCCAGGCTGATTGGCAGGTGGTCAATGATGGCTATTAACAGAACTCTGTCCAGCCATCGTACTCGTTCAACGCTTCTTCCGGACGAAGCATGGGGCTCAGAAGGAGAAGGAGTAGACTATGATGCTGCCGTTGACATTGTTACAAAGGCTGGAGCAAGTACTAGTAGAGATATGGCGGCTCAAAGATCTCTTCCTCGGCCATCGGAACATTTATCATATCCTGATAGATCAGAGCTGAGAGCTCGTACTGTGCGCTGATTTTCAGGCTCCTGGACGCTTCCCAAGGTATCCATCCTGGCCTCAGCGAAGACCATCACTCCACGTCAGCCCCAGATTGATGGTGATGACGTCGAGGCCCCAGCTTGCACGGTCATGATCCGACAGAGTACATGAATAGTAGAACGCCGCAGCGTCCTGCATGCGCCTTGTCAAGTCATATTGACTACCAGGAGAGCAGTGTACGTGAAGATTCCGTGTGTATCACTGTAAGCATGGCCCCATGCCCGTAACAGGGTTAACAACGGGACACAGACGTTATATTAGGTAGGTCAGACTGGAGCCATGCTGATTGTGTACATCCGGGGCGCTACATAGCAGCCTTGATTGAGCCGCTTGGCGGAGATGCCCCTGAAACGTTAGTGCGCCGCTATCAGAACCTATTGCAAGATCCAGCACGGTCGAAGCGGTGGAACCAGGACACGTTATGCCGTTTACATCAGAACTTGCGCCATTTCTTTCGGTAAGAATATGGATTCGCCGGGGTCAGGAAAAGGAACAAGCGCCGGATGCGGCCAATACCCAGTACCGGTACAGATTTTGGTAGAGAAAAGTAAAGAAGTATCATTTGACCGTTTGAAGCTTCTCGGAGGAAATGAGAGAATTTGGTGAGCAAGAACAATTACAGAGGTGCGTCCGAACTATCACGGAATGGAATGATGAGAAACCGACTCGGATAAAGGCTTCCACCATTCGGGGTTTGAATATTTTAATCTCCGAAATATTAGCGAGAGGAGCGTGTGAGGCTGTACCCTCTTGTCCAACGTCTCCCCATCTCACGTCCTACATCACTCCCATTTTACGCTCAGTGATTCCGGTTTTTATTCTCTCTTTCTATCTGGTAAGTCGTCTTGCCGTATTTGCTGCTCTGTTCTCGTCTAGTTCCCCCGGCAACAAGCCGTCGAACCACCTTTGTCGGCCTCGTGGTCACCTCACCTCTTCCTCGCCCAATGAGGCAGGCATTACACTTACACAGGTTGTATCGGCAGTATAAAGGGGCCAAGTGGCGTGGCTAATCGACCATCTATTCGTCTTTCATCCGCCGCTTTTACAGCTAGTGGCAATTCGTCATCCTTCCTCCATCCGCCTCCTTTCTCTCCTCTTTTAACAACCTTGACTCATTCTCTCTCTCTTAGTGATTCTTTCCACTACAGTTTACGATGGCAGATTCAGGATCTCATAGACTTGACCTTCGGGTCGGCGGGAAGTACAGGCTAGGCAAAAAGATCGGTTCCGGCTCATTTGGTGCGTTGCACCCTGCGTCCGCCTTTTTGTCTGTCTTTCTGACGTTTTTGCTATAGGGGACATTTATCTTGGGATCAACATTATCTCAGGAGAGGAGGTCGCCATCAAGCTTGAGTCAGTCAAGGCCAAGCATCCGCAGCTCGAATACGAATCCAAGGTGTATAAGACCCTTGCGGGCGGTGTCGGTGTGCCATTCGTTAGATGGTTCGGCACTGAATGCGACTATAACGCCATGGTTCTCGATCTTCTGGGCCCTTCCCTGGAAGATCTTTTCAATTTCTGCAACCGCAAGTTCAGCCTGAAGACCGTCCTGCTACTCGCTGATCAACTGGTACGTCCTGGTCTTTACTCCATGATGATGTCGTTGATATGCCCTTTCAGATATCGCGCATTGAATACATTCACTCGCGTAACTTCATTCACCGTGACATCAAGCCCGACAACTTCCTCATGGGAATTGGTAAGCGAGGAAATCAGGTGAACGTCATCGATTTCGGTCTAGCCAAGAAGTTCAGAGATCCCAAAACTCATCTGCATATTCCCTACCGCGAAAACAAGAACTTGACGGGCACTGCCCGCTACACGTCGATCAACACCCACTTGGGAGTAGAGCAGGCTCGTCGGGACGACCTGGAATCGCTCGCCTATGTCCTCATGTACTTCCTTCGTGGCGCCCTCCCTTGGCAGGGTTTGAAGGCGGCCACCAAGAAGCAGAAGTATGACCGCATTATGGAGAAGAAGATGACCACGCCTACCGATTTGCTGTGCCGCGGATTCCCTAATGAATTCGGTATCTTCCTGAACTACACCCGCGCCCTTCGTTTTGATGACAAGCCCGATTACTCTTACCTTCGCAAGCTATTCCGTGACCTCTTCGTCCGTGAAGGCTATCAGTATGATTACGTCTTCGATTGGAGCGTCCAGAGGGGAGCTCAGGATGACAATTCGGCTGGGACGTCCAAGGCTGGTGCTGGACGAAGGAAGGTTGTTCAGGAAGAAGATGAACACCGTGCGAGCGACAGAATGTAAGTAACGATGTCATGCGGCGACGATCGACTGAATCTTAGACTTGGTTCCAGGCTACGCTCCCACACCCGTCAGGCCCAGCAGTCTGGTGCTCCTGGAGCTGTTGGGCAACAGCGCCGCGGACGTGACGCCGAACTTTGGTAAACGAGCTCCCCGTTGTCCTTTGGTGCTCTGGATCCCGGTGAGCTGAGCAGATTAGGGGCGGAGGGCAGGTGTATCAGTGTTTTGCTCAGGTGTCATATGGTCTGGTTTGGGGTTTCGGGTCGTCGTTGAGTTAACTCATCGGCGCTCGTGGTTGAGGTTGCTTCGAGGAGCGTAGGCAGGCGGACATTATTATCGGTCGGGGCACGTCCGGTTACGCAAGTCACCGAACATGTGGCTTCCATTCATCCATCCATCCATCCGTCGCCATCGTCATTGTTCGTGTTCCGCACAAGCTATGGCGGGTTCAATCAAGACATGCGGCCATTATTCAATACTACCTCAACCATTCAAACAAGCGTGCAAGGTGCTTTCCCATTACTTCCAACACGGACGCTGTTTTCTTTTCAGGCCGGTCGGGCTGTCGCTTCTATAGCGAAAGACCTAGCTGGCTGCTTTTTTCCCTTTTTATTCTGTACATACAGTCGCCTCCCCCATCGCCACTTTGCGCCCGTACTGGATTTTACGTCTCATACAAACAAACCATCATGTGCTATCACCACCATTCCCGTATCCATTGATATGATACGTACACATTCTTTTCACCCCGCTTTTCTTCTTTGGTTGTTGTGTTTTTTTTTAGTTTCGGCATCCCTGACATTTGTTGTCCTCTTATCCCCACCTCTCCGGTTCTGCACAGGATCACCGGGAGGGCGAGCGGAGAGAGAGGGCGCCGCGTCTGTGTTGATGGGAAGTCATGAGCAAAGAATCATCCATTAGTCGCAGCGACGGGCGAAAATGGATAGCATCTTCGCCGTAGTGGCCGTTACATTTACTCCCATTCATCCTGGCGCAAAGGTTGTGTCGATTATATATTGGACGAGTGTCCCTCTGCTGATACATAGAGATATATACTTAACGAATGCATTCATGTCCTTGTATTAGTATTGGGTGATCAGTTGTTTCGTCAGGTATCAATGACGATGTTTAATTGGGTTTAAAGTTAGGTTTACACGAGTCTAATTGGTAAGAGATTCTCGTACCTCGGTCTTTCTTTCTCTCACGTCTGCCACGCAGACGTCGTATTTCCGCCTCATGGCGCGTACCGCTCTCCAGCGCGTAGTGCTAGCCTCTCCGCTGAGATGGCTTCACCTTTTCTCCTGTCATGTGAGTCGTGGCAATTTACTCAGCGTCGGGAGACTGAATGTGTCTCAGTCTGAGTGCGTCACTTCATATAACAAGTCGGCGGGATGACGAGTTCCCTCAACACTCTCACCATCTCGCCAGGTACGACTCAGTCTTTTGCCGATACCAGAACGCTGAGCGTTCTCACCATCTTGCCAGATTCCGAACAAAGTTTCGTGTTTGTTTTTAGCCTACCCTCCCTGTACATTAGTGTTAGTTCGTCCCACCCAGCGCTCAAACACGAAAGCGCAACGGGTTGTATACTATTCGCCCTGTTGGGCGGTTATGCGTACTTCGGTTAGACTTGGCGAGCACCTCGGCCGACCAATTAGAGATAATTCCTCAGGGCATAAAACTACATATAAGAGTAATACTACAACACAGTCAACATAATCTGATATACAACGCCTACGTAGACGACTCCGTCTTTGTGTCGGGTACAGGTACTCCCTCGTTCCCCAAGGCCAAAAAAGCATCCAAATTCACCCCCGGGTCTTGATCATAGCGAAAAAGCCATAATCCAGGTTCTCCATACTGAACTGACCTTCGGGTATACCACTTGACGTCGCCATTTCATTACCAGTCTCAAGCTGCGATCCGGTAAGACTTGCCAGAAACGCACCCGGTGAGGGCGCGGTTGGACCGGCACTATCAACTTGTGGTATCCCCAAGCTGCTTGATTGCCCACTCTCCGGTTTTGAGCTAAGAGAAGAGAAAAATTCCTCTTCAGTAGCACCTCCGTTTGTAGCGAACGAGTTCAAGAAATGCTGTTCTTCCTGTTTGACACTCTCAGCCGCGACCTCAGGGTTCGCGACTGCAGGTGAAAAAAGGCTGTCAACTGCATCATTTGAGCTGTTGTCACCAAATAGATCGCTCATGTCGACCTCCATATCGCCTAGGTCGAGTTCAATTGGCTTATCTGCCGAACTGCCAACGGAACTATCCATGTTCATGTTCACATTGCGTTCTGGAGTTTCTATGGTCAAGTCGATGGTGTTATTTGCAGACTCATGGTTGGGAGGTGGAGGCGGAATGTCAGAGGTGAATGCAGCCATCAGCTCGACGGGATAGTCATGCGGGCGTGCGGACTTGGGTGCGAGGGTAACAGGAGAATGAAGGCCATTGGAGAGGAAAGCTGCCTCTTCTGCAGACATGCGAAGAGATGAGGAGGATAGGTCGAGTTTAAGTGGGAATGCAGGCCGTTGTAGCGATGAGATAGATATGGCTGATGGTCGGCGTCCTTGCATCATGGCCGACGTCGGTTGCGAGCTTGATGGCATGGCAGAGGGCAATGTAGAATTGGCGTCAGGTGGTGGTATCGGAAGAGTTAGTCGATTAGATGAAGTCGGCTCCTCTAAATGGGCTTGACTGGCTAAAGCTGCCTCCTCGGCTTCCTTTATACGCTGTTCCTCACGTCGGAGATCTCGTTCAAGGACAGCAATTGCTCGAAGCTAATGGAGCAGTCTTAGTTTGTTGCGCCAATAGTAACAAGCCGAAGGGACTTTCCAAGTGAGATTCCATAGCATCGCAGAGCTGATCGTAATTCTCGATTTCCCGGCCTAACGACGCGGATAGAGAACGCGGCGGATAAGGCGTGTACTTCCGAATTCCACTAAGTAGACGTGTCAATCGAGCTTAAAAGAAGAGAGCACGGCGACTTACAGCTTGCGGGTATCAGCATAAAAAGCATATAATTGTCCCGTCTTTACCATAGCATTCTGTTTATTAACCTTAACTGAAGGAATGAGAACAATCAGGCGAATTGAGCTTACCCTGAAGCAACTCTTCAGCCCGTCCATCTCTTGCTCTAGTATACGCTTGGGACCGACTGGATCTGGAGGAGGCGGCATTGCCTTGAGGTCCTTGTCGATATGCGGAAGCAAAGGACCATCTCTGGACGATGTCGACGCCTTACGGCCTCCACGAGGTTTCGGGGCCATCCTAATTTATGATAGAGAGGGAGGTAAGGGCGCAGGCAAACAGAGACATACCAAACCCCGACACGTCCACTTTTTGGATACCGCCAGGTTCATCATACTGCGACCGACATGGGTTCCTTCTACCTCTCCATCCAGACGAAAAAGGAGGATGAAAGCGGGCTCAGCTCGTACTACAACAACAAAACTACCATTATCCAGGAGGCTCGCGTATTCAATGAATCTCCCATAAGCCCAAGAAAGTGCCGAGCACTGCTAACGCGGATAGTCTACCTCCTCTATGTCGGCGAGACGTTTGGAACGCAGGAGGCGACAACCCTGTTCTTTGGGACCACAAAGCTCTTCCAGCACAAAGATGTAAGCGGCGACTTGTTGCGCAGAACTCGGATATTCCCTGATTGTAATGACAGAGTGCACTGAGGCAAGCTGTCTATCTTGCTATCAAGGAGCTCGCGACGACTGCCGAGGATGTTATCATGGTCACCAGCAGTATTATGAAGGATATGCAGCCCAACTCAGAGGTTATTTACCGACCAAACGCTATTCGTGCACTCTGCCGCATCATAGATGTATGTCCTGTCTTGATTCGTGTGTATGCACGTCTCATTTCTTCTTCCCATAGCCTTCAATGGCTCAAGGAGTCGAGCGTTTCTTCAAAGCTGCCATCGTTGACCGAAACCCCTCAATATCCTCAGCTGCTCTCGTATCTTCGTATCACCTCTTTCCTCTCGCGAAGGACGTCGTTAAGCGCTGGGTTAATGAAGCCCAGGAGGCCGTCAATGCAAAGGCGTCTTCTTCTTTCTTCGGTGGCTCTTCTGGTGGCTATCTTGGTTTTGCAAATTCCTCTTCGCAGAACAGCGGACAACAAACCATTCATTCGACCAGCTATATTGCACAGTACCACGCGTTGGGCTTGCTGTATCTTATGCGACAGCAGGACCGTATGGCTATAACGAAAATGATACAGCAACTTGGGGGTGGAAAATCCGGAGCTGGTACAACATTGAAGAATCCTATGGCACTTTGTATGCTCATTCGTTATGCCGCGAAAGTCATGGAGGAAGATCCCAAGTGAGTTTTCCTTCATATATCTTTCTTGAATTTCTGTAAATGCGTCTTCAGTGTCCAGAAACAGATGCTCGATTTGATGGAGGGCTGGTTGCGTCATAAGAGTGACATGGTCAACTTCGAAGCTGCGAGGGCAATTTGTGAGACGCGAAATGTAATTCCAGCGCAACTTACAAAATCCATTACCGGTAAGAATTCATTGGATACATGACATATATCCAACTGTGACGTGTTTTCAAAGTCTTGCAGCTCTTTTTGTCTTCTCCCAAAGCGGTATTGAAGTTCGCTGCTACCCGAACTCTCGCCACACTAGCTTTGACGCACCCAGCAAGTGTTGGTGCCTGCAATGTCGACCTCGAAAGCCTCATCACAGACTCTAACAGGAGTGTCGCGACATATGCTATCACGACCTTACTTAAGGTAGGTTTTGACTATGCTTGAAGGACAGCTAACAAAAACGGTACTCAGACCGGCAACGAAGCCTCCGTCGATCGCCTTATCAAACAAATTACTGGTTTCATGTCCGAGATCAGTGATGAGTTCAAAGTAATCATCGTCGACGCTATCCGCTCTCTATGCGCCAAGTTCCCTACAAAGCACGCTTCCATGCTCGCCTTCCTTTCCGGTGTCCTACGGGATGAAGGTGGTTATGACTTCAAACGAGCTGTTGTTGAAGCTATTTTCGACATGATCAACCGCGTCTCCGAATGCAAGGAGCAAGCTCTGTCACATCTTTGTGAATTTATCGAAGACTGTGAATTCACAAAACTCTCCGTCCGCATTCTTCATCTCTTGGGTCTTGAGGGTCCAAAATCACCTCAACCTGCCAAATTTATCCGGTTTATCTATAATCGGGTTGTCCTGGAGAATGCTACTGTTCGAGCCGCCGCTGTCTCCAGTTTGGCGAAATTTGGTGTGAATTCATCTGATGCTGGCTTTCAACGTAGCATTGGCGTCCTTCTTAACCGGTAGTGTGCCCCTTTCCCCTATGATTTTTGTTCTAACTTCGTTGTCTTCAAGCTGTCTGGATGATGTTGACGATGAAGTTCGTGATCGTGCGGCACTCTATCTGAGGGTGTTCAAGGAGAAGTCCTTGGCACAGTCTTACGTTCAGGAAGGTTTGTTATTCTCGATGTTCAACCTGATACCAATCCTATATCTCATTTCACCTAAACAGAATCTGTCTTTTCTTTGGCAGCCTTGGAAACGAAGCTGGTGGCATATATCAAGGATCCTGAAGCTGCGGCACAGCCACTTGACGTGTCGTCAGTTCCTCGGATCAGCCGTGCACAAGCTGCTCAAGAAGCTGCTCGTATGGGTTTTCATTTTATGATGACAGCATCCATCTGATCCTTCCGAATAGGCCCTAGTACTTTGGACATTATCGGTGTTCCCACTACCCACAGACCTTCTGACACGCCACCTCCTCCCACAGCAGCAGAACAGCAATCCGCTTATCTTGAACAGCTATCAGAAGTTCCCGAATTCGCGTCCTATGGACCTGTGTTCAACAGTACTTCGAAACCTGCACAACTTACGGAAAGCGAAACCGAGTATCAGGTCACCTGCGTCAAGCACATCTTCAAGGAACATGTTGTATTCCAGGCGAGTTGCAATGAGGCTGTATGCATATACAACTAACGTAGCTTCTTTAGTTCAACGTTTCAAACACCCTCCCCGATACCGTTTTGGATCAAGTTTCGGTCATAATGCAACCTCAGTCCGATGATACAGGACTAACGGAAGACTTCATAATTCCCGTACCCAGCTTGAGCGCATCGACATCGCCAAGCATAGTCTACGTTTCTTTCACTCGTGAATCCCCCGACGACTACGCGATAGGATCCTTTGCATGCACCCTTAAATTTATCAGCAAAGAAATGGATCCGTCAACTGGGGAGCCTGAGGATGAAGGTTACGAGGATGAATATCAACTGGAAGAAGTAGAACTTAGTGCTGGAGGGGATTACATTATTCCCAGCTACGCGACGTTTGGATCGGAGTGGGATAGGCTTCGGACAGGACCAAGTGTTACCGAGACATTTGCCTTGTCTGCAATGGATAGCATCAAAGGTGAGACCGCGCGTATTTTTGATACCGGTTCCTAACGGTAGCACCTTTAGCCGCTTGCGATTCAATTATCGAGATCCTCAACATGGAGCCGTTGGGCGGCACGGAGGTCCCCCAATCAACATCAGTGCATACGCTCCAGCTGTCTGGGCTGGTCACAGGCGGCGGTGGTAAAGTTTTAGTTCGTTGTCGAATGACTTTCTCCCGAGGTCAGGGTGTAACTCTAGAACTTGGAGTGAGGGCCGAGAAAGAAGAAGCATGCAACTTGGTCCTGTCCGCGGTTAGCGGCTGAAGCAATTCGTATTTAACATCTTTTCTCTTCAGGATCATTTTTGCTGTGAATAAAACTGGATTAGAGGCATGCGATTCGGATCTGTTGTGGACCCGGTTACAGAGCAGTATTGTACACACCAAAATCGGTACTCGGTGTCGGAGTAAGGCAGGTTGCCTTGATTAGAAATGTGTCTCATACATAATCGTAAGATAAAGAATGAATTCTGACCACCAACGACCTTATGTTCTGGTCCAGGGCTGTCACCACCATTAACCGTTGGACGTCGCGCAATGCCCTCTAACTATACCTTGAATAGCCCGTCTTTGCCGTCCGCAAAGGTCATTCATGTGGACACCAGAGGCGCAGTCATCCTGTCGGAAGAGTCGCCCGAGGTGAGAATTTGCTCTTGCCCCGGCGGTGCCCAGCTCACACGACTCGTACAGACGAGGGACAGCCGGGGAATATACCTTCCAAACCACATAGAGCCAGTGTCGCATATCGCGGTAGACGTGAGTCTCTGTTTAAATGGTTTCCCCAACGGAACTCACCGTCTTTCAGATTGGCGGTTCTCTCGCTAAAGTCGTGTACTTTACACGGTCCCCAGAGCCACCTTCGTCGCCTTCTATAGCTGCCACCCATGGGTCCAGTTCGCCCAGCAATATATCAACGCCACGATCCATCTCTCCGTCCAATGACGCCAACCCCTCCTCCTCTTCCCCGTCCGGTTCCTCCCATGTCAAGCTCAGCGGCGCTCTAACACCGCTCGTTCTCGATGCTCAAAACCACGGTCTCAGCGGTCTGTCCAGCTTGGACAGCAATGGTCTTCTCCGCGACTCCATGCTCCGGAGAACTTCCCAGCACTTCCCAGGCGGGTCCCTCAATTTCGAGCGGTTCGAGACGGACAACATCCACGAATGCGTGGCGTTCATTCAGGAGTTGATAGAGCGCTCAGCCAAGGTGAACGAGGTATCGATAGAGGACATGCGCAAGGGCGTGAAGATCATGGCTACCGGAGGCGGAGCGCACAAGTTCTACGAGCTATTCAAGGATCAGCTGTGCGTCGAGGTGCGACGAGAGGATGAGATGGAGTGTCTTATTGAAGGGCTGAAGTTTATCACCCTCATTCCAGACGAGGTGTACTATTTTTCAGACGAGCTCATCCAGAGCGTGTCCCACTCTGTACCGGTCAAAAATGGCGCCAACGGAGTCTTTGAGCGGCCCAGTCCCAATCCTCCGACATATTCTGTAACATTCGAGTCACATCCAACACCGCAGCTGCCGTGCCTCCTGGTGAACATTGGTTCTGGAGTGTCGATTATCAAGGTGGACGAGGACGGCAAGTTTGAACGTGTCAGCGGTACCAGTCTGGGTGGTGGAACATTGTGGGGACTGCTCAGTCTGCTGACACCAGCGACGACATTCGATGGTATGTTTCTCCGTCAATATGCCCGGGATGATCTGACTTGGGTGATTATAGAGATGCTCAAGTTCTCGGAGAATGGCGATAATTCCTCAGTGGATATGCTGGTCGGCGATATCTACGGACAGGATTATTCCAAACTTGGCTTGAAGTCGACAATGATTGCCAGTTCCTTTGGCAAAGTGTTCAAGAAGGGCGGCGAGAAGGGTAAATTCACCCCCGAGGATATTAGTAAAAGCCTGCTTTACGGTGTTTCGAATAACATTGGACAAATTGCGTAGGTGGCCGTACCTTGCGCACATTTATCTGATAGCTTAAAAAGATTTGCAGGTACATGAATGCCGAAAAGTACAATCTGGAGAGAATTTACTTTGGTGGATGCTTTATTCGAGGTAGGTGGATGTGCTTCTTTGTTACTCCCGCTGATTCCACGCGTAGGGCATGCTGCTACAATAACGACTTTGTCTTATGCGATCCGGTTCTGGAGCAAGGGCACGAAACGTGCCTTATTCCTACGTCACGAAGGATTCTTGTGGGTATTTCAGGGACATTTATGTATCGCGGTTCTGACCCATTTTCAGGGGAGCCATAGGAGCGTGGCTAAAGAACATGACTCCGGAAGATGCCTAAGGAAGGGAAGGGAAAGAAAAGATACCTGTGGAATTTGCATATTTAAACAGTTACCCTACATTATCAGCTGATGGCAATGATAGACCACTAATTACGCCGAAGGCTCGTGTCCGACAAGTTAGCGCTCATGACTGAAACAGCACCAAGTATGCTACCTCGTGTCTGGCATGCAAATCCTGATGGAAAATGTAGCGGCGTTAGCAGATGGATACGCTGTCGACCGGAAAAACGGTGAGTGAGAGGCCGAGGGATGTCCCGGACTTTATCAAATGAGAAATCGAGTCTGAGGAGGGACGATAGAGGCCACCCGTCGGTCAGCAGAAATGACAGAATCTAATTATTGCTGTAAAGTAGCTCGATATGGTAAAAGCATCGTGGGAGCAATCCGAGGCAAGCGAACAAAGTGGGATTATCGTCTGATGCAGCTGCCAGCGAACGCTACATACATTAATATACGACTAGTACCATATCCGCTGAGGATGCTCAAGACGATGCAGAGTGCCAGCCAGCGACGGATGCAAAGAGAAAAAGAGAAAAAAAAAGTTTTGCACGGAAGAGTAATGATGGTGTACTGCATATCATAACTCAATATGGTTTGTCATAACACGGCTCTTTCTTAAACCTTGCTCTTTGTTGCTTTCCACTTCCTGTCCCTTCTGCGATGCCTCCCTCCACTGCCGACCGTCCAAAGAAACCTCGCAACCGCCATTCGCCTGAGCAGCTCGCTGCACTCAACGAGTTGTACGAAAGGGACGAGCATCCTGCCCTCGAAGTTCGCACTTCTTTGGCGGAGCAGCTGGGAATGTCTGTCTTTCTTTCATTTTCTTTCTTCAGCAGTCACCCATCGTCTTTTCAGGGAGACAAAGACTGTCAACTCTTGGTTTCAGAACAAACGGGCCAGCACAAAGAAACGAACCGTTGCCCAGCGCAGCCTTCCCTACGACAGCCCCCGGATAAATCCCCAGCTCCCCTCCAATTCGTCCTCTGCTTCCACTACTCCCCGTCCTTCAGAACTGGGCGACTACCAGGACGACGATTATCTCCTTGGTGCATTCAACTTTCTTTATCACTTTTTCACACATCTGACCCCAAATCACACAGAGCCTCCTCATTTCAATTCAGAGAACGACAGCATGCCCAGGCGTCTCAGACTGCGCCCAACTCCCGACCAGGCCGATGAACTCAAAAGGGTATACAGTGTCAATCCCCATCCTACCACTGAACAGAGACAGATCCTAGCCGAGCGCACTGGCATGTGAGTCCCTTTCATTTTTTGACGATCGTGATGATTTAGCTGATTTCCATTTTAGGCGCTACCAGAGCGTTACCAACTGGTTCCAAAATCAACGCAGTCTTGCTAAAAAACGAAAAGAGGATGACCTAGAGGCGCCTATGCAGGCCGAGTATCCTTCAGAGACCCGGTCCTATTCTGCATTTCCTCCCGCCAACAGGCATCCTTCATTGGCTCTTCCCCCGGCCAACAACCATCCTTCGCTAGCCCTTTCTCGAGGTCGACGTTCCCCCAGTGCACAGTCATCGACACAAGATGATTCTCCTCCCAGTCTAAGGCGCTCCTCTTCAAGGCGGAGTGCGACTCCTTACAGCATGAGCTCCCGTCTTCGGAGGGCCCGCCCCGAACCGCACCAATTGGAGGCCCTCAAAGGCTTGTTTGACAAGAACCCCACCCCAACAATCGAAGAACGCTCCGTTCTTGCTCACGAAATCGGAATGTGAGCCACTCCCCATCTGATCCCCAAGCATTGACAAACCCTTTTTCCCAGGGACCTCGGTAAAGTGACCAACTGGTTCCGAAACTTGCGTCAGACATCTCGGAGACGTGCAAAGAAGAGTGGAAGCGGTGACGACGACGATGACTATGGGTTCCCTTATTCTTCGCAACTGCACTCCGCTTCAGCGTCACGCTATGGGTCTCCTTCGTCCTCATCTGATGATGCGATGGACTATGATGAGGAGCCTCATCCTACTGTCGCTCATTCTGACGACATTGGCAGCGACGAGGAGATCCAGGAAGCCGTTACTCCATCGCCATCACCGTCGCCTCCTCCTCGTACGATGCCGTCACCCTCTCGACAGCCTTTTGCTGTGCCCCTTGATGCTCTGATCAACTACGTCGAACTCGAACGTGCTACCATGAAATTCACTAGCGGTATTAAGGCGGAAGATGCCTTCCTCCTACTCAGCTTCCAGCAACAATATGTGCATTAACATTGTACGTCATCCCTCATCTGCTGCTACCACTATGTTATATTGACCCTGTATGTCCCTTTAGACACTCACTCTGCATTGTTTATCCAATTAAAAACGACTTTTCGTCGGGACCTCGTATGGTGGCTTGCGACACCGTCTCCGTTATTGTATTGTTCTGTCTTAATTCTCGTTAACGTTTTGCATCTCATATGTCATCATCTGTCCCAATAACCCCCTACTCTGTTGCGCTCGTCGTGTGATATTGATATTATTGTCCCCTCCATCCTGTGTTATACTCACCGATATGTAGCCCCGTTACTCTCTATCTCTCGTTCGTGCTAGTCCCTCGATGGTGGTTAGGTGCTGGACGATAAAATGTTATTCTAATATTTGATACCCCCATTTAGTTGGAAATAGTAAAAGTGAATTTTCGTGCCTGGACCGCAGCCCATGTCAGTGACGCTCCTGTTCTGCGCCAGTGACCTTTTGGAGTTTACGGTGTTATGTTGGAACATTTACCTAGTCTTATCAGACCTGGGGCCTTGGATATTTTTGGTGCACATACTTATCTCTTCTCTTCTGGCAAGTCGGCTGATCGCAGCGATGCATCATTGTTTTTTACTCATTAACATTGATCGCGGCCTTGGATCTGGAGTCGGTTAACGTTGCCTTGGTTCATCTGTTTCCCGTCGTTTTCGTCGATACCGGGCCAACGGGGAGAAGGAAATTCCTTCTCGTGTTGAGATCATGCCGGAAATTACTATCAGCTTCCCGGGTCATGCATCATGCATCGTGCATTCATACCGACAGCAGTGTGAACATTTCGTATCTTGGTCGTGTCACACATATGTAGGGCTTTTATAAATAACCTTCGCGGCTTCAAACTTGAAATAATCACACAGTTCGCTTCTCTTTGTTGTCTAACGAGTCATGTCGACTCATGCTGGTAGATGCGCGTGGAACTACGACTTCTGTATATATTTTGTATAATTCAAAAGCTGTTTCTTGAAGAAGTCCAACCTATGGTCACGTCGTTTACTGATCACCTAAATTACAAGACGAGAAAAGGCTGGAACAAGTGGTACAGGTGACAGGCTTCCAAGGACTCCGCTAGCTTGCTAGTATCGACCAATAATGCCTCGTTTATCACAAGGTGGGCCAGTATCGCACGGCAACTAAACAAGTGCCCTTCTAAAGAATGACGATCGGCACTTGCTTGCAACTTCGAATTCTAAAAGTCTTTGCCGAGCCCCCGAGGCTATTGGAAGTGGTGCCTCAGCCCTCGGGGTTTCAACCAATGCAAGAAGTAGCCGAAGCGGGCATGCATGACAGAGAAGGCTCTAGTTGGTAGGTAATAATATCGGAGTCGTCGATGATATATACAGGAGGAACCCAGTAACAGCGCGAAAGGCGGGAGGAATACAAATATGATACAAGTTTCGGGATGAATGAGAAGACGAAGATGATCCAGTGAAGTATTAATTGAAGGTGATGTGGAGTAAAGATGCGTTGCAAAGATGTTCGTGGGGAGCGAGAAGAAAGATAGAACCGTACATGTAAACTGAGAGCATACCAGCCATCACATGATTCTGAATGCACCTGGTCGTGAATAAAAACAAAGAATCGCGAGAATGAATGTCACAAACGCAACGGGAATGGCAAAGAGGGCGCTAAGCGCATCGCTGATGTTTACCATGGTAGGACGAAGGATAGAAGATTGGCGGGTGAAGGCCTGTTTCCGTTGGGAGCAGTGAAACGACCGTGAAACACTGGGAGGGGGGGAGACGCCATCAACGGGATCTTCAAGAACGTTGTGATGATGCAAAGACAGGCCGAGGTCTCTGTCCACCCGATTCAGCGTGACTCCGGTCAACCACCACGATTCGCACTCCGTCTCAGGAACGACGACAACAGTTTTGTCGTGCAATAGTGGAAGAAAGTGTCGGTAATGTGGGTTTCTCATGACAACCTTGCATCCAAAATTCTCCAGCACGACGGACACGGCCTCCCAGATCACGTCTTGTGATTTGTTAGATGATGTCGGGCGACCGCGGAGGAGACGAAGCGATTTCCGAGAGAGATAGTATTCGAGCCAATGAACGCGATCAACGAAACGTTTGGGGTTGATGGTAGTGGTGGGAAGATGGCGAATACGAGGCGTCACGATGTCAGCGCACGAACAGGCTCCCGAAAACTGCTCCCATTCCCATATATCTTTCCCGTACACATCCTGGTTATACGCAATGCAATCTGCACATAGAAGGACGCGCAGCGAGGATTCGTAGCGCTTCAGCGCAGAAGTTGAGCGGTCCATTAGTTCGGTGGTGACCGCGAGAAGGAGGTGAGAACGTATTAGAAGCAGGATTTCGGTGGGCATCGCGAGAAGTGATGAGCAGGACGACGGCAAAGACGACGGGGAGGTGATAATTGAGTCCAGGGTGCGTATCTCGTCTGAAAGATAGGCAAGGGAAGCGTGCATCAAGGTCGACCGGGAGGTGACGACCGATGGCTTGGACATGGTACCGTCGTGGAAAAGAGGGCAAAAAGGCCGAACATTTCCATTCACTACGTGCCGTATTTATTTGAGTCAGCTCGCCTTCGGAAAGAAAAGAAAAGGCTGTACCTAACGATTGCCTTTCTGGGGACACTGACATGACGTGAAGTTTCTGCGGCCTAGGCGACGATTATTGAAAAGAATCTGATTCTTCTGGCAACCGCCGCTGCAGCGTCATTCTTCACCCAGCGACTGCTGGTAGTGCAGCGTCCAGGGGTCAATATTTCCCTCTGGCAGTAGGCATGAACAGCGCCGTCGCAAGACCTGACCAGGGTGTCGCTAGACGTAAAATTTCTTCAAGTTGTCCCCATCACCACACGGATAATTGCGTAGTAAAAGGTAACCTTAAATACGGCTGGGAGAAAGGAAGACCGCAGTACTTGGGTCAGAAGAGAAGACCGTGGCAGGGAGCAGCGGAGAACAGCAGAACTAGAAAACTGCGTCAGAGAAGAGAAATCGCAGTTTGCAATCTCCGAACTGGATCTGCCTCCTCTCTGCACAGCCACGTGTTGAACTTGAACAAGTAAAGCTACATTCGAGAAAGCCGATAAACGCACCACCAAATTATTATGTCCTACTAGTCCAAGCTCTGTTCGACATTGAATGAATTCACGGCACGTCCAGTCCGACGAAATCTCGCACCTACTATTGACTTGCTTAGGAGCTTTGCTCGCCTCCGTCTCGACGCTAACGAAACCAGCAAGTACTTAATCCGTCAGACGATTATTCAATCCGCAGACTACGGCCACTGTCCCACATTGAGAATTCTTCGGACGAATTTCAACAATATATAAACCCACCACCTGGCCTCGCGTTTCCCGTTCGTCCATTGGTTCTGAGGTCACCGCCAGCTCATCTGAACATTCTATGGAACACTCACTCGATAGTACGTGATACGGGCATTATCCTTTCCGGGGCTGGAGTACAATACTTGCAGTGCACGTCTGTTAAGAATATTCTGAACCATGAGTCTAAGAATCCATCTCAGCGCTCAGCTCCAAATTCACTGTACATGATCAGCCTTGAGCGCTAAGCCTACCGTTTGCGTCTTGACTTCCCGGATGTGACTGATATATCTGCTGTTGGCTACTGATCTCTTGGCCTTTCCAAAGACTGCTATCCGCTGATGTGATCCCGTGCTTACTTTACACTCTTTGATCCGATAATATAACATCTATTATCGATGGTATGAACTTGGAACAGCTTCGACTTGTAAAACTGACATCGCTGTGGCTCTAAGTTATGGAGGCTATGCCTGTGTAACGCATGTGTACGTATTCGGATTACATCTCCCGGTCATGCTTCCCGCTGTGCGTTACAATAAGCCTGATGAAACCGAAATAACATCCTTGAACACGTACATAACATCCGATACAACATCCTTCACTGAAGTCCACACATACTCCTGACGGACGGCTAGTTGCCATGGAGGCTAGTCCTTTCATCAGGTCCAGACATTCCCACTCTTGTATATTGTATACACTTACTCGTTGATTTCGTGTTGAATTTGAGACAATTATTTGTGAATCCGAGTGAAGGTCTACCACGAGTGTGAACCTGGTTTCTTTCTGAACGTTCTCCACACACATGAAAGGACTGAAGCTCTATTAAAACGTTTGCAACGGATATTTACCCACTTTGTCGTGCTCATCTCGCCGTCGAACCTTGGTATTCCAATGTTATTCATAGTTGGAAAACAGTCTATACAAATGCGCAGAAACACAGAGTGACAGTCAAACAATTACAGGAACATAGAATTATCCGCTAATGCTGGTTTACCTTCCCGAGTTCGATTAATCAAGATCATCCCATCCACCGGGTACGTGATTTCCACCTCGACTTGAGCTGCTGTTGCGTTGGTCTGGAGGCGCTGATGATGATGATGAGTTACCGCCTGTGGATGAGCGGTCAAAACGCATGGACGACCCAAACAGTGACTGGAAAATTCCAGAGGGATCGCCTCCCGGTGACCGCGATCGAGAAGGAGTCCTGCGGTTGTTGCCGCTGGCCTGACTAGGGCCGGGTTGTGGACTATAGTGCTCAGGTTGTGCGATCAGCTGATGTCTGTATGAAGTAAGCCTCTTGGGTATCTCGGGTGCACATGGTCACTTACCTGCATACGGGACAAGTTCCACTGGATTTTAGCCAAGGTAATATGCATGGTTCATGGAAAGGGTGACTGCAAGGCAGAGTCACAACAACTTGCTCCCCAGGATCTTCAGTCTCGAGGGAGAACTGCTCTTTGCATACAGCGCAGTCTTTACGGAGAGTAGGAGCTTTTTGCGTTAGGTTAGTTTAGCTATGACATCAGAGCCTTGATGTGAACGTACATCCTATTTCTAAAACTTCCCTAGGGAGTTTCTCCATTATTTGGTCAGTGGCAGGAACAGGATGATGCGCGTTGCTTTCCATTAGTTGCGTGATAATTTGATCCAATGCTATGCAAAAATTTCAGAGGATATATATTCCAACTGGCCGACAAGCTTACCTTCTTGATTGAAGACATAGTCACCCATCCGGCCATTTTCTGCACCAAACCCACGCGCAAACATCTCGTTCAAAGACCCCGTTGGACCGCCAAGAAGGGCCATTAGATACTGAGCCATGAGCGAGCCATTGATGCTGGGATCGTGACGATCTACACCAGAATCTCTATGAAACCTACTTTCGTTCGTGTCAGCTCAAGCACATTTTATACAAGTTACGCACTCTGACATGGTTGGTGGTCTGCCTCCCAGTGTATTACCTCCCCCAAACGTGTATGTTCTTATACCATTATCATTTCTTACCGAAAAAGTTACACTCGGAGCCTGACAGATGTTTAAAAATATGATGACATGCAATTTTGCGATGCGACTCACGGAGCTAGTTTCAGAACGGCCACCAAAGGAGCCTCGATGCTCCCTTTCAAAGTTTCTTGAGGGCGAGATGCCGAATAGGTTTTGAAGGGCAGCTGTATCAAGTTGAGGCATCGTGTACAGCAGTCGAGATAACATGAACGGACGAATATAAACATCTGAGTCCAAATCTCCAGTATCCAAAGGATGCCCAAAGTCTCGTGGGTCATCCGATGGATTGTCCATCTACGAAATACATTACATTTGTGCTTGTTCAAATGGGGTATCGGGTGGGTCAATCAATACCTTTTCGACAAATGAGCTATGACATGAAGCACACGCTGGTTCCGGAATCTTGTATCCATCAATAAGAGCAGTTGAAGAGAGCACTCCACCTCTCACCATTAAAGGCCGTGACTCCGCGCCGCACTGTGCGTTGATTACTGAGTCCCAACAACAACTAACACGATGACTGGACGTACTTCGTGGCAGTACCAAAGAGGCTCACGTTGTGACATTATGAGCAGGGATATCGAATTGCAAGGTCGTCCTTGCTGTCGATTGGTAGGAATGAAGGAGTCAGCAGTACTGACGATGGTAGGAGTTCAAGCCGGAATATTGACGCCACGGTCTTGATTAAGTAGTATGTAATGTCACACATGATGTCACGCGTCTGGGTCGGTCTTAATCGGGCCGTTGCTTTTCTTCTTCTTTCCACCATCTTCTATTCAACCAAAGATGGGCTCGGGGTAAGTACACGTATTTATGTTTTTCTTTTCTTGGGATGATTCTCTAGTTCCCTATTATACGAACGCTTTCTTGCGTATGAGATCATACACTGGGTAACTGATCGTTACTCTTTTTTCCTCGTTGCAATGCGGCAAGGTGGCGAGGCTAACCATATCTCCTACAGGTCGACGTTTTTCTGGGAGACGCTGTCGTCAGCAGTCGTTGTATACGCAGTTGCCTATGATGTTGGGTCAAGACTACGTTTTCCCAAAGGCGTTAGGAAAGTATACCGGTGCTTCGTGGCCCCGTTCAAAAATTTTCTGACCTTGGCGGATCTGGTGGATCCCATCGGGGAGCCTGCTATACCATCTGTTCCACTGTCCCGTGCTCTGTCTACTCTTGCGTGTCTTCAAGCTTTTGGCTGGCTGGGCTGTCTTGTATATGCCCTAGTCCTCAACGATCCTTCACTTTCCTCAACGTCTCTCTTAGCCGCGTTTTCTTGGGTAAGCCTTCTCTATTATCGATAGCTGGGGACCTCACCCCGTTTTCAGTGTTATATTTTATGCAGAACTGCTGTCTTGCTCCCTGTTACACCGCCTTATCTTTCGGTCCTCTACGCCTTTCTTCAGGCTTTCACGTCACTCGCAAGGCTCAGCGTGGAAATCACGAAGGCTTATGATGGTAGAGTAGTAGTGCTTAATTCATTCTGCTTGATTACAGCAAGCCTTTTTGTGTATATTGCGGGCACTCTGCCTGTGCAGCGAGTGCGTCCTGCACTGAATATTGCCCAATGCAAAGATGTACGCTTCTTGAATTGGTATTGGGATCCTTTTTAAAAGCGCGACGTCAGATACCATCTATATCGCTGTCCATGCCCGAAGATGATGTGACACTATGGAGTTGGTTCACGTTTTCATTCATTGAACCAATCTTCAGCCTTGCCAATGCTCGGACCCTGAACGAAAGTGATGTATGGAGTTTATCGCCTTATTTCCGGCATAAGAATCTCTTCAATAAATACCTTGAATACAATAAACGGTACAGTCACCGTCAGTGCATCCTGTACCATCATCGATATTCTGATCCTGCAGATATCCTAATCACTCCTTGATCCGATTTTTGGTTGTGTCTAATTCTCTTGACCTGATCCTGGATGTTGTCCTGGAATTGTGGAGTGCTATTGTTGGTAAGTGAAGTTGTCATACCTGTTGACTGATAGAGCCTAAGTTACCTAGGTTTCCTTCCGGCATATGCTCTTCAGGAAATCCTGTCGGCCTTAGCGAAAGACAGTCCGGAGTCAAGGCAAGATGCATATTACTGGGCTACCGTTACTTTTCTAGCGCATCTTTCCTTCGCCCAGCTGGAACCTGTTCCAAGGCTGGCATACTAGAAGGTGCTATGAACGGACTCGTGGACAACTATTCTGTGCTTTGCATTACAAATCACTGAGAAGACAGAACGTTGAAGGTCAAGTGAAGCACGAAGGCTCCGAGAAAGAAGACGGTGCACATCTTGGTAAAATAGTCAATTTAATGCAGTAAGCTTCTAAATTCGATTCGTACGGTCCGAGACCTTAATTTGTTATCAGAGGCGACGCGTATGCTGTGTCTCAAAGATTTTGGGAATTCTCTAGGATAATCACATCGCCAATTCGTTTGGTCATTGCGCTCGTGTTCCTTTACAAGTATGCTCCTTTGTTTGGCAAATAAAATCAGACTCAAACGGAAAGATCAGTGTCATGGGATGGGCAAGCGCTTTCAGGCGTGGTCGTTGTTCTCGTCGCATACGTGTTTAACTATCCGCTCGCTACTTATAACATATCGGTAATAGCCTTGAAGTATTCTTGTCCAGTTCTCCTTATCTAACGATCTTCCCTCAGATCACCAGAGCATCTTGGAAGGCAAAAGACGCCAGGATGGGTATCGTAAACGAGCTTCTGCAGAATATAAGATTCTTGAAGTTCTACGGATGGGGTAGGATACAGTTCTTCTGGGGGACATTATTGCTTATCTTCTGTTGCAGAGTACTATTGGTCATCAAAGACGGAACAGGCGCGCGAAACGGAGCTCAAGTGGCGTGTTAAAGAGAATATTGTGGCCACCTTGATTTCTTTCATTTGGTCTGTCGCTTGCATTTTCACCTCGTCACTGTCCTTACATTGTATGCGGGTAATAGGACATGGATGCCCTCGGCAACTGCGCTGACGACCTTCCTTTGCTATACCTTAATAGCAGGTCAACGTCTGACAGTTTCGAAGGCATTCACTGCCATTGCACTTTTTTCACAGCTTCAGGGGCCCATGACTTCACTACCGGGCCAGATTTTTGCCATACTTCACGGTAAACAGAGCTTATACTTTCCTATTCGCGGACTAATAGACGAGCAGCTTATGTGTCCATGCAGCGCATTGAAAAGTTCTTGGAGGAGGAGGAGGTACCTGAATGGGCATCAACCTTGTCTGGCTCTTCTCCTGAAAACGCCGGACATGTCGGATTCTTGGAAGCTATGTTCGAGTGGGGAGCTGCTCCAAAGATGCCCACATCCTTATCTCAGTTTCAACTGGGACCACTGAATGTGATTTTTCCGGCCGCCAAACTGACGGTAATAAGCGGTCCAACAGGAAGTGGTAAAAGCGCGGTGCTATCTGCTCTGCTAGGAGGTCAGTTCTCATGATACTAATTTGTCACCACCCCGTTATTCATCTGTAGTTTGTTTCAGAGATGCACTGCTTGTCTGGCAAAGTGTTCTTGGACAAGCATTTCCATCAAGTAGCTTACTGCGCCCAGAATCCATGTAGGTTTTACTCTTCATAGACTCAAAACAAACGACGCTATGAACGGTTTCTCAGGGCTAGAACATGCTACTATTCGCGATAATATCGTATTTGGGTCATCTTTTGGCTACAACGAAGAAAGATACAACACTGTTGTGGAGGCCTGTGCATTGGTTAAAGACCTGGATGTCCTCGAGGCTGGTGACATGACTGGTACATCGTGTCACTTTATCATGATGGGTTACCCCTTCACCTTTTCACAGAAATCGGAGAGAAAGGGATAACGCTCAGTGGAGGCCAAAGAGCGAGAATAGCCCTCGCTCGAGCTATGTATTCTGAAGCCAAGGTCTGCATTGTCTTTATGTACGGTCTGCCACTTATAATATTTTCTCGTCTTTAGTTCATTCTCCTTGACGATCCGTAAGTCTTTTCTCATTTATGATCCGGTGAAGCTTAATGACCTCTTCGCAGGCTTGCAGCAGTGGATATGCACACCGCGCAGCATCTCGTACAAAATTGCTTATCCGGAAACCTTGCGATGGGTCGCACGATCATTCTAGTGACACATCATATCGGTCTTTGCCTTCCGATCACTTCCCATATCATAGAGCTATCCCACGGCAAAGTCCTCCATCAGGGATCTGTACAGGAGCTCGAAGATCGAGGTATTCTGCACAAAGTTATCGATATGGAGGACCAGCCATTTACCTCTGATGAGAATTTGGAACCATCTGTGACAACAGCCGTGAACGAAGCGGACGAAATCAATAACGATACTGAGCCGCATAAAATTCAGCACAAGTCCGGAAACGGGAAGCTCATCCAAGCGGAAGCTCGAGCCGAGGGCCGTGTCTCTTTGAGAACATATCTGACATACATCCGAGCAGCAGGCGTTATTTCTTGGATACTAACGTTTTCTCTCATGCTCCTGATTCGCTCCATTAACATCGGCAATCAGGTTTTCGTCTCTGCGTGGGGAGAGGCGTACGAAGAACACACCACCTTAATCGCATTCATAACACACGTAGTAAACTCTAGCGTGAAATATCCTTGGAACGGATTCCCTTCTCCAGATACCAATGTAAAGCCTTGGCTCATGGTCTACTTCTATATTTCGATGGCTGGAGCATTTTCCGTCGTCTCCTACATCTCCCTGGGTTACTATGCGAGCTTGCAAGCCTCCCGTTCTCTCTTCTTATCGCTACTCCGCCGAATCACTCGCGCTCCGTCACGCTTCTTCGATACTACGCCCATAGGCCGGATATTGAATCGATTCACAAGCGATATCAACACTATCGACGGGGCTTTGCAGAATTCCGCGAGGCAATGCCTCTCAGGGATCCTCGATTTTGTGGCATCGTTCTTGGTAGTCCTTGTGGTCGTCCCAACCTTTGCGCCATTTGCGTTGTTTATCGCTTGGTTGTATATTCGCTTAGCACCGTCGTATATTAGGGCGTCGCGTGATCTCAGGAGATTGGAGTCAGTGTCGCTCTCGCCCGCTTTCGCAGGTTTCGATGAACTTCTGAGAGGAATAGTCCACGTCAGAGCGTTTGGGATGGAGCAAAGGTATCAGAATGCATTTTACGCCAAGGTTAGGCAATTATGTATAGCATCCTGAAATTTTATGCTGACCATTTCTGATCGTAGGTTGACAGATTTCAAACCTTTGACCACGTATATGTGGGTAACTTTGAGAAGTCCTGATATTTCATTCTCATTCTTTCTGATAGTGGCTAGTAAATGGGTGGCTCAGATGGAGATACGACTGTATGCACCTGCCATCAACGCCCGTTTAGAAGCTCATTCCCGCTCTAGGTCTCGGATCTGTTGTTGTTTTCGCCACGACCGTCTTCGCGTTACGAATGGGAGTGCGAAGTGGAGCTGCCGCCATTGTCATAGTCCAAGCTGGCATCTTTGCCGAAGCCAGTCGACAGCTCGTCAGGTAAGCCGGCCATGTTCATCGTGAGTTCCGAAGTACTGACCCTCCGTAGAGTTGCGGCACAGCTAGAATTAGACTTTAATAGCGTGGAACGTGTTGTCGAGTACCTCGACCTTCCGCAAGAGGCCCCTGCTATCATAGAGAAGTCGAGACCCCCGGCGTACTGGCCCTCAAACTCTGGAGCACTTGTTGTCGAGGATCTTGTCGTCAAGTACGCGCCAGACCTGCCCGCAGTATTGAAGAGTCTTTCTTTCACTATTAATCCGTCGGAGAAGATTGGCGTGGTATGTCTTTTCCCTGTTTGGTAAGGTCTTCGGGTAGCTAATGACGGTATCAGGTTGGGAGAACAGGGTCTGGTGAGCGGCGCATTTGTATGGGCCGATCTAAGTCTTATAATACATTCAGGAAAGTCTACGTTGGCACTTTCGCTTCTGCGTATGGTCGAGCCGGCCGGTGGGAAAATATTGTACGTTACTTGACTCTGGAAGAGGGTTCTATGATCTGACGCTCTTTTTAGTATAGACGGTATTGATATCTCAACGATTGGTCTTGAGGATCTGAGGACCCGTATTGTAAGCTTAGTTTATATGCAACCCTAATACTCATCCTCAGCCTTCTGCTTAGACCATCGTCAGCCAGGACGTCTCGCTTTTCTCTGGCACATTGCGTAGCAATCTGGATCCTCTAAATCAGAATACTTTCCAGGAATGTATGGAAGTCGTAGAAAGATGTCATATGATGGACGTTTTTCACCACACCACGACCGACTTCCTCGATATGCCCATCAGCCAAGGATCCTTGAGCGGAGGTGAAAGGCAGCTCGTGGCATTGGCTCGGGCGATGTTGAGGCGGACAAATATCATTATTATGGACGAGGCAACGTCTCAGATTGACTCGCATCTAGACGATCAGGTCTGTCCACCTTGCAAGAGCGAGCTTGAAACGCAGAGACTGATAGACACGCTTTTACAGATCCAGCGAACGATCCGCGAAGAGCTTTCTAGCGCTATCGTCATAACTATCGCTCACCGGCTGAAAACAATCATAGACTATGATCGTATCCTTGTTCTAGACCAATGTGAGATTGTTGAATTTGGGAGACCGAAGGAACTGTTGCAGCGGGTCGGGGGTGCGTTTAGAGAGATGTGCAAGAGAAGTCCGGACTGGCATACGTTGGTCAAACTGGTAGAATGATTCAGGCGTTCGTTTTCTAATTGTTTTATAACCCCAAAGATGTACATGAATGGACAATTGTAGGTCCATACAGACGTATTTCAACAAACACGTGATATTTTGAGCATAAGAATCGCGAAATCTGAAGTTGGGGTAAGCCCGTTACTTCCTTTGACAGTCGCGACAACAAGCCCGCCTTGGAGCAAAATCTTCAAAAGGCTTCGATGCTCCTCCAGATATTTCTAACATATTTGCTGGTTCTTCAAGTCATCGCATCCCCGACGGCCAACTATACGATCTCTTCTCGAGATTTCGGTTTCCCTTTTCTCGTTCCAACTGCAGAATCCTCAACTTCTAGGACGCCCGCTGAGACGAATACCGAAGCGCGAGCGAGTACTCTTCCTATCGTTTCTTCCACGTCTACGACAGAAGGCCAGAAGCCATCGACAACAACGGCGTCTACACATACACACGAGAACGGCGACAAGTCATCTTCATCATCCTCATCCTCATCCTCATCGTTATCCCAACCTATCGAACAAATCCAGTCGTCAGCCAGTACAACAAGCACTAGTCACGAGGGCGAGGTCAGCAGCACCGGCCTGCCGCCTACGCATATAGGCACTACCAAAGAATCTAAGCCGCAGTCGGCGGACTCGTCTACTAACGGCGGAAGACAATGGAAGATTGTTGGAATCACCGTTCTCTGTATCACTGTCGCCGTCGCCGCCATCTTTCTGCTTATGTCCTTTGACTCTTGGTGGGGATTTGTACGGTCGGTCTTCACAAGGAGGAAGAAAGGCAGCGACATGGAAGATTTGCAGCCAGACTGGGAAAAGCAGACATGGGAGTACGGTTCTGCGAGACAAGACGGTCCAATATTCCCAGGAGAAAGGGAGAAAGAAGACGGATTAGCATTTGCTGCTCCTACGGTACCGCCTGCAGCCTACTCGCAACCTGAGGACCGCCATCCCCTCGAACCCTTGTTTCGAAGACCGAGCTCGCGACCATTCCCTGACTTCAAAACACCTTCCTATTGAACATCCTGAATCCAACACTCAATTATGTATTCCGTCGCCATGTATCATGTAGCTCACTCTATACAGCATTTATTGTTGAGAAGCGCGCTGAGGTGGAGGAATTCGTGCTTCCAGCCAGTCTGATACTAGAAGACCCACACCGGCAAAGGCGACAAAGCCCAGCGACAGACGAAGACGCGTACTGGCCGGGAGATCTAGAAGGATGTTAGGTGAGTTCACGAGACAGGGCTGGGGCGCACTAAGATATGACTGCAGCAGCGTCCGGCTACCCTGTACTGCTGCTGGCTTGCTCTTCGGCTTTGAGGCCTTTTAGCCATGAACAAGGTAAACAAATATAATCTCAGTTTGTGTTGGTTTGTCGGAAGCTTTACTCGGCCCCATCTTCATCATGTTCACCGGCCTCGTACGCTTCGCTGGCCACCATCCTGCTTTCTTTCTAACCATCATGTAGATCGAACACCTTGGGACAGTTTCCGACATTGTGGTCGATGCTGGCGGATGCACTCTCGTAGTCTCCGACTCTGCACCAATTCTGGTTGACTGCAACATTGGCGACTCCATTGCTGTCAACGGTGCCTGTTTAACAGTTACAGAATTTGACAAGACGGCATCTGGAGGATACTTCAAGGTCTGGCTGGCAAATGAGACATTGGAGCGAACTGATCTAGGTGAATCTGGGCTTGTTTTATTTGGTGCTACCCCGCGGTTGTTGACTTGGTGGGGCACAGGTGAACGCCGTGTCGGTGATCAGCTCAACCTAGAGCGTGCAATGGCGCCTCATGTGAGATTCGGTGGTCATTTTGTACAGGTGCGATCTATACGTGATTTGCTTGGAGTGCTATTTGACACGGCTCTAGGGCCATATCGACACCACAGCGACTGTCATTGACCGCTCAGCTGATGGTGACTCGCTACGTCTCTCTTTTGAGCTCCCCAAGCCCTCGGAATCTCGGCCGTCTTTGCTTCCATACTTGATTCCAAAGGGCTACGTTACCATTGACGGAACTTCGCTGACGTTAACGGACGTAAATGACACCAAGAGGACGTTCAGTGTCATGCTCATCCAGCACACTCAGGAGAAGATTACCCTTAGCAAGAAGAAGATTGGGGCCAAGGTAAATATTGAGGTGGACATGGTTGGGAAATATATCGAGAAGAGTGTCTCTGCCGCTCTCGCTGGGGAGGGAGGGCAGCTACGGCCTCTAATCGAGAAAGTCGTAGCAGACGTGTTGGCAAAGAAGGGTATCAATTAGTAGAAATATGTTGTATGAATATTTATGCAAAGCAAAATATTACAGGCCAAGAGGAGAGTAAATATTGTTGATAGCGGAAATTACCGTTTCCATAATTGTGCATACCAAGCATTTCTGCATTTCACCACCATCGCGCCCTAATTCCTCCTAGACGCCGTCGCCGTCAATTTCATGGATGGTGAAGCAAAGAGAAAGGCACGTCTGTCATCGTCAACGGCGTTCTCCAGGACTTATCCTGTCCTAGGTCACAGTAAAGCTTTACAATGGCAGCAACGAACCATCAACGAACTCGAGATTTGCCAATACAACCCGCTCGGCCTCACCTCTCAGAAGCCAGTCGTCAGCGTCCCCAAGACCTCCATTGCGCCCCAAGGCCAAGGTGACCAGCTCAGCGACTCCCAATTCGCTTGTGCGCAAGCCCAAGATCATCAGTACCGTTTCGAATGGGTTCAGTACGTCTTCTAGAGTGGGCTCCCCGGCAGCAATACGGCCAACTCCAAGCAATAGCTCACTCGGACAGCCAAAAGCAAGGGCTACAGTTGTCAGAACAAACCTTCGACCTCTGGAATCCAGCTCAACGCCAAGTACACCCAACATTCCCTACCAATCGTCTACCAAGCCCTCGTCGGTGTCTAGCGGGGGCAGTCCACACAGACGTTCTGCATCGGCAATCTCATTCACGCAGAACGGATCCACTCTAAGTCTTCCACTGACACAAACTCCTTACGGCTCGCCTTCATCAGACACGTTCACTGACACCGACGCGATACGCGGCGACGGCGCGCCAAGGATAAAGTCCAAGATCACCAGGCTAGCGAAACCGCACGATTTGCTCTCGCCATCACCGCCTCAGCCCGTATCGCGTCCCGCTAATGGCCGGAATCGTACCCCGTCAATATCCTCAGGTGTCTCTCTGAGTTCAACAAACACGTCTTCAACTACCCCGGACTATTCATTATACCCAATAACGACGGCAGTACCAGCTGCCAACCCCTACCGTTACGGCTCTGTTCGTGTTCCATCATCCACACCCAATCACCACCACTACCAACCGTTCGCTCCTAGAGACGACTCGCAGATTAATTACGGCACGACAACTTTTAATGCAAAGGTCGATCCTACGACAATACCTCTACCACCACAATCGCCTCCCACATCTGCAGTATCATTTTCTTCACGATCTTCAGTCTCCCGGTCTTCCCGCGCTGATTCTGCCGATAGTCAGCATAGCGCATCCACCAAGCAGAATGGCGCCGATCTGCGCGGTGGAATTGAAGCCCTGATGCAGTTTGGCGCCGCTGGAGATGATGATTCCGATGGCGATAGTTATGACGAGGAGACGGACCTCGAGCATCAGGCGGAGCGGAAAGTCAGGGCCGAGGCCAAGTCTAATAGGAAGGTACGCGCCTCAGATCGGTTCTTGGTTTGTCCACTGACGTTTGCGGGGCAGATTGAGGATTTGGAAATCAGCAACAGGTCCTTGCTCGCTATCAATGTTACGCTGGAAGCTACGAAGCATAGACAGGCCAAGGAAATACGCGATTTGAAGAGAAAACTTCGCGAGTCGAGGTTGATTCTTCCGCCTCAGGCTTTTAAGCAGGTGATGGACAAGGACGATACCGAGGAAGACGAAGATGAAGGAGAGGACGGTGAAGAAGTCCCAGGGGATGAAACCTACCTGCACGTTAAATTGTTGCTGGACAATCTGTTACAGGCGGCCAAACAAGCCCTGGAGACGAAGCCTTCGGATTTTGAGACCAGGGGTGGTGCAAAAGTGTTGAGCGCAGAAGAAGTGGAGAATTGGCGAGATCATGAAGCTGACCCCCCAGGAGATGACGAAACCAAGACTGGTGCCAATACGTCTGTGTCGCCAAGTCGCGCAAATGCGTCCATTGACGATGAATCTGAGACGTTTGATTCTGAGGATGAGGTTGAGGCTCTGACGATGCCTTCTCCTTCCAGCCCTCCGCCGCCCGTTATAGTTACTCGTTCGCCTTGAAGAGTTACAGTGTGCCTCCTCCGATTTCCCTGCACTGATAGCATCTTTACTTACGACACCCCAGTAGACGTTTTCGTGTTATTGATTTGCATGTTATGACCCATCTACCTTGTACAGTTTTCAGGCAACGCTCAAGTGACATGTAGAATTATTCCACGGCCTTCTTTAAATTTTAATGAGGCATTGTGATAGGACCCGTGTTTATTCTCTCAGAGGTTGGGGCAAAAGTCCGGACAAAATTGGCAGTTTTTGGACCAAAGGTTAGGGACAAATCCGGACAAAAACACCTGTCAGCGGCAAGAGGTTAGATCAACAATCCGGACAAAGGACGCACTTTCAGATAAGGTTAAGGCCTAGTCCGGACATTCTTGGGATACATTTGATCTTACATGCATTGTCCTGAGATTGCTTCTCCATTTCTTCATCCATTCGAAGCTCTTTGAAGACATTGTGCCATTAAGCAGGACAACAATAGTTGCTTTTTGTGTGATAAGTAGCCACTCTCACCTTAATTGTGCGGAAAGGTACTTAAAACTATGATATTTACTCATTTCCAAAGCTAATGTCAACAACACGGGGAGACGCACTATCCGATGTGTTGAGCTCTAGGGAGCGATTTTTACGGATTTTTTTAATGATTTTTGACGAAATTTGATGTTAGGGCGAAAGTCCGGACAAATGGCGAGGAGGGGTCAGCTTAGGCCAAGAATCCGGACAAATTTCAAAATTTCGCAAAACGAAAAGTCCGGACAATTTTCTCAGTTTGGCAAAAATCCTGCCCTAACCTCTGAGAGCATAAACACGGGTCCTATTGTGATTGAGCGAAGGACTTAAATTCCTGACACGTGCTTCAAGTTTGTAATGAGTGCATATGCTACTTAAGCCTATTCTAGTACAGTCTATTCCACTATGGTACGATAACGTGGGTATGTGTTGGGTAGTAGAGTTGTAAAAGACGCAATTGGGTTTCTTTCAGTCCTCCGTCATCCTCTGAGCTCGTTTAGCCAGCTGTTAAAAATCTCATTAGTACACTGTACGAAACGATTAGGAAGAGGACATACAGCCGCCGCTAAATCCATTTGCCCTCCTAGTCCAGCTGGAGCCTTGGATACACCACCCGAACGTACAGGAGGAGGGGCACCAACGTTCGGTCTAGAAGCCACCGGAATCGGCGGTTTTCCGGGTATTTTCGGAGCAGGTTTTGATGCTACAACGGGGGGTTTGGGTTTGGCGGCAACAGGCGGAGGAGCTCTACCAGCCAACGCGCTTGAAGGCCTAGAATTTCCAGGAGAGTCATCCGGTGTCGAGGCCGAAGTCGATGCTTGTTTCTTCCAAGGAGTTGCCGACCCGTTTGACGCCGCCATTCCGGGAAAGACAGAAACAGGCTTAGCTGAGGCGTTCGCTGTTACTGAATGCAATGGAACCTTGGCTGTTGGGACAGGTGCTTGCTTTGCGACAGGAGTAGAGGGTGGTGCCCGGGCTCGTGGAGGAGGGGGTGGTGCAGGTGCCGCCTTGGGTGGCTCTAATTCAAGGTAATTGTATGGCGCCCAGCCTTCAACGCCGTCCTTCTTCACTAACCACCATCCATTATCGTCCTTCTCGACTAGTTCAACGAGGCCGTCTTTCTTCAGCGACATTTCACCCTCTTGTCCTTCGAATGCAAATTTTGCACGATACATGGGCACTGATGGGACAGCAGGTGGAGGCGGAGGAGGCGGGGGAGGTGCGACATTTCGGGGAGGTGCGGGAGGCGGCCTTGAGCCATTCGATGGTGCCACGCTGGCGGGAGCGGGCTTCGGCTTCGGCTTTGGTGTTGGTGTGGATGCAGCAGCAGAAATAGGGGAAACAGCAGGGATGCCTACCTTTCCGGGCAAAGCTCGGGCAGTAGGCTTCGATCTATTGCCGCTAGGCTTCTAAAAAGAAATGTCGATGGTCGAGGAGAAAAAGATTTAGGTAGCACTTACGGATGGACCTCCCGCCTTTAAAAGCTTACCCTGAGTGATGGGTCGAACGACTCCTGCCTTTCGCTTGGCTGGAGGTCGCGACAGACTACCTGCAGGTTCACCAGAGGGCACGCGTACAGTATGACTTTTGTATACGTCGTCCCTCTTGATAGTCTCGTCTCGAACCACAGTAATCTGTGCTCGTTGCTCTTTCTTCTTCGCATAATCAATTCTAAAATGACATGAGGTGTCCGTATACACACTTGACATGAAAAAAACTCACGTAGGTCCAATGTTCAGAGTGACACTGTCGTGTGTCAATTGCATTAGGTTGGCCGCAAGCTCCGTTTTGAAATAACAACTGAAAACTGGGTCGCCTTCTTCTGAAGCATTCACGTTCAAGCACTATCCGACGGTATGAGAACGTCCTGAATCCAGATACAGGAAAGAGTCTTTACCATCCAGTCATCTCTCAGGTTAGACATCGCAATGCTCTTGATTGTCACCAGTGGAATCTTGCGTTCCAGGATGTGCTGTACATGGCCTTCTTTGCTTTGAAGGATAACGATGTGAACGGCTTTTTGAGTCTGTATTCGATTGATCAATGCAAGGTATACGCTCGGGGAAAGAATAAATTACCACGACGATGAAGCGAGGACTAAGTTTACTTGATCTGCCAAATTTCGAGACAAGGATATGTATTTTCCCGCTGAAGGTAACATCGTCGTCTTGAAAATGATATTGATAAGTTTCCGAAGGTCATAGTTAAGGGTGTGAGCTTACTGCCGATGTTACAAGAATTCGCGATCTCTGCTCCGAGGGCACTTCGGCCATTGATGTCGAGATAATCGCCCATAAAACGCCGATAGGACAACAGACTGAACCGTCTTCGCTCCTTTCTTCCACCAAGAATTTGATGCCCATAATCCCGAACTTGAGCATAAACAAGCGCCTCCTTGTTATTCTTCCAGAAACGTTGTATACGTCGTGCACATTCATGCTTATAGCGCATGTAGTTCCTGAAAGCACGCTGAATACGGGCTGCCATGTTGTGCCAGTACTTATCACGCATCGTTTCGAGAGCGAAGAGCTAGTAAGGGATGTGTTAGGTAGAGAAGTATACCAGCTGACCGCAGGCGTACAGTTTCAGGATTTTTGATGAACGCTTTGGTTACGCCCATTTGCCATTCATCCTTTGCTATTCCGGTGTCTTTCAGAATCTGCTCACAACCCGACTTCGAGTCACCTTGCCAGGTATACTCGCCAGCATATGAAGTGTTGGGCGAGAGCAGATAGAACCGCTCCACCATCTTTTCGAATGTGTTACGATACGCAAAACCGGCCCGACGAACACGAATGTTTTCCTGCAAGCCAAGATACTTGATCTGGTGCAAGATAGCCTTGACGTCATATTCTGAAGAACTACGATTCTGGTTGGGCTTGATCGTTCGAATGTAAGATGGTTTCGCCTTCATCAGATTGTCGACGAGCGCACCAGCCGAAGCCTAACGCGATAGTTGAGTATGATGTTTGAGAGTGTAGAAAAAACCCACTTTGATTCTGTCTCCTGCTGTTGGAGGTCGCTTCTTGCTGTTTGGATCTGGGCGATCTGGAAACAGTGTCTGCAGGAACTGATTGGTGCTAGAAGCAACCAGATCGAGCAAGTCCTTGATAAGGGAATCTTTGTTCTTGTCTGTCATGCCAGACACATTATACATGACATCACCAGCATAGTGGCGGACCAAGAACTGTGCCCCTCGTGCTTCGAAGTGGGGATTCGACGACAGCATGGAAGTGCGCTGTACAAAGCTGTTGTCCGCAGCGGCAGGGTCCGCATGAGCGGTAGCGCAGGCGTCATTGAGAGCAGCAAAAATGCCAGGGGGACGGCGTTCTTCAATGAGGTCGCACACAATCTTGTTGTTGAAATATTTGATAGGCGTCCATTTGATCTGTTCGCGAACGTATTCCTCTTGCTCGGTCTTTAATGTCAATTCAATGAAGATCTGCTGTAGTTTCTCATTGACGTAGTTGATGCACAACTGCTCGAAGGAGTTGTCCTACCGCAAAGAATCAGCGAATGTATAGAAATGTGCTGCGAGATGCAAACCTCGAAGATCTCGAACCCAAAGATATCCTATGGTAACAATGTAAGACGTACTTCGATCATAAAAATCAAAGACGTACCAAAATCCCAATGACTTGCGATGTTGCTGAGCGGGGTTTCATCGAAACATTGACTCTTGACACGATCCACTCGAAGAGGTTGTTGTAGATTGCTTTTGCGAGTGCATCCCGACCTGAGCTGGCTTGTGTAGGATTAAGTGGTACATCGTACACTGAGCCTCTGCGTCCCCCACGTTGTGTCTCGACTATCTTACTTGTCAAGACCTTGACTACGCTCGCGGCATCGACGTCCATCAAATATGCAACGAAGTCCGTGACACCTGTGTCGGCTATTTGCGAATTACCGTCATCCTTCTCTTCGAACTGAACGTTACCAAGCCATAGTATGATGGCCAGCATACGAAAAATTTCATTCTGCTCATTTGCATCCAGGCCAATAACGTCCATGGCTTTCTAAAATGACGTTAGATTGCCCCGGCAGTGGTGAGGATAATTCCAAAACCTACAATGGTTTCGCTGTAGTCGTGTGCATCATTAATGTCCTGAACCTCCAGACAATTACTGAGACTCGTATACGCATATGCTTCAGGTCCCTGAAGACCAAACGCCTCTGAAGGTACGATCAATAGCTCGATTTTCGCAGACGAGATGTCACTCACCACGTTGCTCACTTGTGGCGGCTTTCGTGAACTGATAGAATATGTGGAAATTCCTCTCGTTCTCTACCTGTCCTACAACACGTCCTTTCTCCAACAAGTAATTGGTGATCTGGGCACCGATGGGCTCCCCATGAGCATTGAACATGATTTCTAGGTATTTTCCCTGATAAACCATCAACAGGAGTACACTAATTGAGTAGATTGACTTACATGGCGACTTGAATTGTTGTTCCGTAGTGTCTTCGCACAACCAAAACTTTCCAGCAAGGGATTCGTGGCCAGCACCATGTCCTTAATCTCCTGAATACTACTATCCTGTCCTCCGGAAACAGCAGCGATGTACTGCATAATGCGTTTCGCTGCTTCCGTCTTGCCTGCACCGGATTCTCCTGAGATGATAACACACTGATTCTCATGATACGCATTCATGTTGTAGTAGGCAGATTCGGCGATACCAAAGACATGAGGAGGGACCTCAAGTCTGTTCTTTCCCTTGTACTTTTGAAGCGTGTCCTCGGAATATATGCCAAGGTCTGATAGAATGTTGCTTTAGTAACGTCACAACAGGCCAGATGATGAGGAATTATCCCAACCGCGGAAAGGATTGACAGATATCAGCACTGCGCCAATATAGGTATAAATCTCAGCATTAGTCCATCGTTTTTGAAGATTGTCGTTGATGCTTTCATTGCTGATGGTCGTGAGCAATGTCATGTCGGAAACGCCGACCTGCTTCTTCTTAAAGCCTTCTTTCCAGTCAGCCTGTGGCAATTGTCAATAGAGGGCCTGCATGCTGCGAGAATTATAAGCACCTTGGCGACCTTCCCCGTGCCACCACCCTTCTTGGGGGTGGGAGTTACCTTCTTTCCCGCCTTCTTCGATGGTGCCTACAACGACGGTGAGAAGACATTAAGCGATGGATAGCAATACGACGAACCATATTAGTCGTGCCCTAGTGGTATGCGGCTCTGTAGAGCACGAATGCGCGTGGGAGACGGGAACAGTAACGATGTAGTGAATGTAAATGTTAGAGTGCAAGTGTAGAGGGTAATTAGCATTTCGGCCAAAAGCGGTAACCACCGTGAGAAACGCAGAATTACGCAGCAAAGGCTGCGAAGCTCAGCGCTCAGCCTCAGTAAGTACTAAAACTACAACAATTGTATTTTGTTATACATGATACACATCATCCTGATTTATTGATCAAGTACTGCAAAGCCTCCGCAGCAGGCTGGGCGACTTGGGGATTCGGATTCGTCTTCACAATATTCACCAACGCCTTCGTCAAACCCGCGGTCCCTGCGTCCTGTAGAATCTCATTGATAACAGTAGAATCGTCTACATTCGCGAGAATGTTGCGAGCACAGATGACCCCACGATGAAGTAGCCCCGGGTGACTCTCGGCATCCACAGCCTCAGGATCCGTAGAGGGATCGATGAGCTGCGCAAGAATTGGGACTGCGCGATGTCGCTCTCGCTGAAGGTCCAGAAGTGCTTGACAGGCTCCTGACTCCGTAGTTACAGTTGCAAGAGCACCAGAAGCAGCTAGTCTCGTCGGAATATCCTCTACATCTGACAATGCGAGCAAGATTTGGACCTTTGTCTTCACACCACTACTGCCACTTGCGGAGCCCCCATATCGCTCAAATACTTTCTCGGACCCGGCTATGAGATTGCAGATGAGTTCCATCGATGCCCTCCGGATTAGAACATGGTCTTCGAGAAGTAATAGCTCGACCCTGTTAAGCAATCCATCCGAATCGGCCATACGAGAAGCTACTTCTGCGCTGTGGGAAGACAAATTGGTGAGAGCCATGAGAACTTCGAACTTCTGCAGTAGCAAGGTGGAGGAGTGCTGGAGTGCAAGTGAGAATGGACGAATGATGTCATATATCGCACCGTCGTTCGGGCCAAAAACTTGAACTGGAGAAGCAGTGATGGACAATTTGGACAGTGCTTGGATGGATTCAAGGTAGGCTGGATCTAGTGCCACGGTTTGACTGGTAGATGTGGCACGAGAGACAGAAAATTTTATGATCTTCAGCAAGACCTTAGCACCGCCGGCTCGAAGAACCTGACCCCGATTCTCTTTCTCTGTCACGATACTGAGCAGTGCCTTTCCGATCCCCAAGCGTATTCCCTGACTATCCGATGCAGCCAAAGCAGCTGGAAAAACTTCCAGAACACCATTTGCCATCAATTTCCGTATTCTCTCTTCGACTTTTCCGTCGTCATTAAGTGGAGAGTCCCCATTCGACTCAGAGTTGGCCTTCCCCATACGCCTTAACTTCTCCATCTGGCTCTGCTCTTCGGTCAGATGTGGTCGATACGCACATAGACTGGATATGACGAGTATGACGCCGTACACGAGTGAAGATTGTGTCTCTGCGCTATGAATAGGTTTGCGGTGAGGTACAGATGCAAAGAGCGCCTTCAAGAAATCTGAGTCTTGTGACAGCATTTCTTTGACAACAGGGTCTACGCTCAAATACGCCAAACCCTCGACGGCATCGGCGATGGAAGAATGGTCGTCGCCATATATAACCAAGTTTTTCATTGCAACTGCAAGTTCGTCATCCTTTTTGTGAATATGAGTATCGTTTCCCCCAACCACGTCAGCTTTGTCTGAGATACTGCCTCTAGACAATTTGATGAGGGCTATGGTAGCTGCAGCACGGACAGGTGCATTTTGTGACGGACTGGACATGAATTCAAGCCATTTTGTTGTCTGGGGAGGAAGGATGGTTCGACAGGGTTTGTACCCGCAGGCCTGACTGAGAAGATGTGCGACATGAAGAGATAGTTCGGTGGAAGGATTAAGGTCAACGCTGTCCATAATTAATTCGAGTACATCATCCCGCTGGAATATTGAAGATGCGGATTGCCAGTCCACTTGGAACAGTGCTGTGAGAAATGAAATCCCAATCAGAAGGTCCTTTTCTGTCGTTTCCTCGAGATGAGGCAGCATTAACGGGGAAAACACTTTTGCTAGTGATTCCGTTGCCGCCTCCATTTGCTGCCCTTTATCTGTATATCCTTTCCGAACTCCTTGACAAAAGGCTGACAGAACAAGGAAAGCCTTGGATCTGTCATCGGTAGAATGGGATGGAAGAAACGCAGATATGAGGTAAGTGAGTTCGCTGGGAAGCAATGGGTCTGTCGATGTCGAACTGGCTGTCTTCTTCAGCATGGTGTCCAGTGAGCCCGACGCATCATCATCCTGCGATGCCATGGGATATCGGGGGAGAGAGGAAAAGCGACAAAGGAAGCGAGGTGGATTTTGGTGGCAAAGGCGTCAATTTGGCTTTATTCCTCTCTTCATGGCCGACGTCGACGACATAATGAGCAACAATGAGGCCTCGGGCTCTTCGACAACTCACCGACTGCCGACCATCCAGTCAGGAAACAATGTGCTTCTGAGGCTGCCCAACGGTGATATTCGTGGTGTGAAGGTGGAAAAAGACGCGTACAGTGACCCTTTTTTGCTATTGTCTCTACAATAACATCTGACTCTTTACAGGACGATAACTGTCGGTCGTCTGGGCTCCTTCTTTGCCAATGAGCTGATAGGGCAGCCATATGGATCCACCCATGAAATTGTGGATAAGAACCTCAAAATAATTCCTCCTCGCACGTTGCAGGAAGTCGGTAGGATGCCTTTCATTGGACTTGGCCTTGGAAAATCTGAATAGATTTAGAGGACACGGATGCTACAAACGAGCTAATTAACGACGGCGAATTTGTGCAGCCATTAACCATTGATGAAATTACAGCCTTGAAACAGTCTGGTGTCCATTCATCTGTGAACAACTTTTCTCCCCTTATCATCCCTCACACTGATCAGGTCGCAGGATATCATCAACAAGCAGATTGAAGCGCATGCAAATTACTCACTTAAAACAGAGTACAGCAAAGAGAAGTATAAGAAGCGCAAAGAAGCAAAGTCAGATTTTTTCTCTCGAATGCGTCCTTTCACACGCCTGACATCTTTCAGATACTCTAAAACATTCACTACTATAGAACCGACGCTATTTAATATCTGCGATTACTGGTTTCACAAAGACCAGACCCGCATACGCGACATTCGCACAGATACTCTATCACAGATTCTTAACCTCGCCAACATTAGGCCAGGAGGTCGGTATATCGCAGTTGATGATGCGTCCGGACTTGTTGTATGTGGCATCCTGTCTCGCATGGGAGGTAAATCGTGATTCTACATCTTCACGTCCTCATCTTTGACTAGCCTATATAGGTGAAGGACGTCTGATTACCATCTGTGACACAGATTCGCCTCCGGCATATCCAGTAATGGCGCAAATGAACTTCGACCCAAAATTCGTCAGTGGTGTGCTTTCTCCTCTGAATTGGGCTACATCACAAGAGGACTACACTCCTGGTACGCGCAAGTTCATGTATCGGAAATGTCTTCTTGATTTTATGCTTAGTTCTCCCTCCATCTGATGTTCCTGCCGAAGAAATAAAGTCGGAACGTCAAAAAGCTCGTCTAAAAAAACGAAAACTCGTGACCGATGCTCTGGCTAGCACTCGTGAGGAATTATTTGCCGGGGAGTTCGATGGGTAGGTCTCATAAAATATCCTTCTACTGGTACATTCTCCAACCCACTTTCCTCCTACAGATTGATCATTGCGAGCGAGTATGATCCATGGCCCATTGTTCAAAAGTTGACACCCTATATCTCTGGATCTGCATCGATTGTGGTACAAAGTCCCTATGGCCGAGTCCTTGACGACCTTCAAAATGAAATGCGTGTAGTACCATCCTTTCTTTGTCCCACGGTGACAGAGGGATGGCTTCGTCGCTACCAGGTATATCTGCTTCGATTGTTTCGACCGTCTATACTGAAGGCAATTGTCCAGGTACTGCCGGGACGCACACATCCAACTATGATGACGTCTGGAACAGGCGGCTTTTTATTGCATGCCATTAAAGTGTAAGCAATCGTTATCTTCTGAAGATGTTACTTTCTGATTTCACATGAAGATACGATGATCCGGAAGCTTCAGCCGTTGAAACGCACCGTTCCCACAGGAACAAGAAAGCTAAAACGGAACAGTCTGAGGCAGTTATCCAAAAAGAATCCACCCTACTAGACAGCGAAATGACTGCTGAATAATGATTGCTAAGACGGTACATTATCATTGGGGTATGATTAAGCTCCATCCAGTTCGTGATGTATCATTAGAGGGTCATGTCCGAAGCGGTGCTCGGTGGAGGTGGTGGCATTATTATTTCGGGAAAGAGAGCAGCAACAATCTAAGCATCAAGTCATTAGGTGATCCGGCAAGAGCAAATGCTGTAAGACCGACCTCGTCGACGACCGTGTAGGCTATATGTTGGTTTAATCTTCGGTTTTGTAGGACAGCGAATATCCTGCGGGCACCACGACGAGCATTCGATCGTCCCATGATGTTAGCAGCGAGATCTATACGGTATCATCAAAACATGGCGATTGTATGGTCACCAGCGAGCACAACCTACCAGGAAAAAGGGCAGATAATTTGCGGTTTGCTTCATCTCGTGTTCTCAGCCTTTCTTCTGAGGTTCGGGGTACGCCTGGAGGTTTTAACTTGCCACCAGGCCACAGGCCATCCCGAAAGGTATTAATATAAGACATGAGGCGAGTTTCTCCTACAAGTGACTTGAAGGTTTCCCGTATTTTTCTGGATGTTGCGTTAGCGAATTGGCTTCTGGTCAATTGTATATCCACCTTTCAATAGTCCCTCCTAAAACCTGCTGAAGAATTATGACAATAGCTTGTCGACGAAGCCAGTTGTTCTGTTTGTTCAGCTCAAATATCGCAAGGATTAAATCACAGATAGGTGCTGTGAAGGTTGAAGTGCTGCTTTCCCCGTCTAAAGGCTTAAGATCGGCCGACAATCGTGAGAGCGTAGCTTCGGAAGAATTCTTTCCCGCGGCATCCAACGCCTGAGCAACCAGCTCTTCGTCGTTAACGCCGGACCCGACGATACCAACAAATTCAGCGGCTTGACGAGTAAGGCGTTGAATCATGACGTCAAGCATGGACGGTCCAAAGAACATATCGTCAATACTCTCCGCAACAGAGCGATAAACATTGCGAACAAGGGCAGTTCCGGAAAAGGCCTGAGGCTTCGAAGTAGAAGGCTGGGTTTGCGACGCCACGAAGGGAGAATCACGGGATAAAAACGATTTCAGTTCATCGCTCTCACAAACGATAGGTATCGCGACGACATTCTACAGAGAATCATATGAACAAGGACTTAATGATCGACATTTCAACTCAACTTACCTGAAGGTACTTCTCCAAACCAATTCGTCGAGCATCCATGAAGTGACCACTCAAAGCAGGGACCAACTTTCCGGGGAAATCCAGAGTCCTGACCAAGCCATACCTTTCTCGCAATTTATTGTGCATGTTCAAGAACTCATTATAACGGCGCGCAACAACCCATCCGGAAGCGAAGGCTCCATCAGGACCAAGTTGCTGAACTTCCACGAGATACCGCACCACCATCTTCCCGCCCTCTTCTCCAGTCGTGGAGCTCACGATCGAGACCTTCGTACGGTCAGAGAGCAGACGATTTGCTGACTCCTGCTGCTCGTACTGAGATTTCTGGAACTGGAGCTCCCGAAGCTCCCGGTTCATTGCAGATTTTGACTTCATGAGAAGCCTCAGCTCTTGAGTGTCCCCCGTCAGCTCGGCTTTCTTGATAAGGTTGTCAAGCATAGTATCTTGTGCTTGAAGACTCGTAATTTTGTCACCCAAGCGAGAAATTTCGTAGGAAAGCTGAAGGTCACCAGGAGCGGCAAGCTGGAACGACCGGTGTTCATCACGAGCATCATCACGGTGGTCATCCTCGGTTTCATCAAGTTCATCATAATCATCAAACACTGCCCTTCGCTTCTGTTTAGCTGAAGAATGCATACTTCGATAACTCGACGCGTCATCACGGTGTTCGACACCAAGCGATTTCTCTGAATCGCCCTCAAGAGCTATGATGTCTGTGAGCGCAGCCTGAATGGCATCCATCCTCTTTTCCTCTGCTTTTTGCTCCTGATCGTCGGGACCATCAAACAGTGGCGCACGGCTATATTCTGAAGGATCGACAACAGGAGACATTAAGACCTCAATGTTCGATGGTGGCGCACGAAGAGGGGGTGGAGAATTAGGCCTGCTCCGAGAAGAGCTTCCCGAGCTTGAGCTGGCCGTACGTCGCATGAGATAGCCAGGTGACGACTCCGAACGCTGTAAGAACGGGGGCACATGGCCCAAGCCAACTCTGGATTGGGAGGGCAGCTGATTCGTCGAATAGTTGACCAAGGCATGTTGATCTTGAGGCGATTCCTCGACCGACTTCTTTTTGCTGGAAAGGTCGGTGTCTTCGATCACGCGGAACCACAACTCCGTTCGTTCAAATTCCTCAAAATCCTGTTCCATCTCCATTTCTACTTGTTTCTGCGCGGTCATGACACTGCGGCGTACTCTCTTCTGACTTGCAAGCGAAGGAGTAACCTCATTCTTGGCGAAGTCGCGAATTATGTCTGCATTCTTTTGAGAGATACAGGATAGGGCGGGGTGGGGTGTAGGACTGGAAAAATAGAGCTCATAAATCATGGATATATCTTCTTTCACTGTGATGGCAGTGGTAGGATCTTGTATCGTTTCATCTTCTTCATTCTCTGAATCCGAGTCAACGGGTTCAAGAGGATTCTTGAAGCTCTCTACAGTCAACCAGAACTGAACCAGAAGTGATCGATGCCTTCGGTCCATGAACTCCATGAGGTACGAGAGTGAGCTCGGATTTCGAAGAACATCTCGTAGAGTCAGTCCCGACTTGGAACCCGTCTCTGGGTATGCTGACTGACGCTAAAAAAGTGTCAGCGAGTATCAGGGATTTAATATATGCAATAGAACATACAGAATCTTCCTCTCCACCAAGAACCACAATTCGTTCCTCCACTTTACGCTTGGCAGTATAGAGTCGGTCAAGGAAGGCAACAACATCTTCGGTTTTCTCTCCGTTGATCCAGTCATCCTTCTCGTGATTTGCTATCCAAAGGTGAGTACCACGTCTTGGCTTTAAGAGCAAAGCTAACCAAGCAGCATCCTCGTCCTTCTAATCTCACCAACGACGTCGTTTTTCAACCTCCGTGCATCGAGTAAGGAGGAGAAACGACTGATACTGCGCAGGAATGATTCAAATTGATGCGGATCAGTACGAATGGTAATCAACTCGTTGTGCGCAGAGCTCAAAGGAGTAGAGGAGTATCGGTGTTGACGTCGAGGTGACTGTGCTTCCAAGACATTGCGCACTTTGGTAATCAGTTTTCTAGTCAACGTGAGAGCTTGCGGCGTACAGGAGAGAAGTAGAGCCTTACTGTTGATGAATTGCAGCTCCCGCCTGTCCGAAATAGTGAGGTACCAGCTGTTATAGAAGGCACTCGCAACTCACAATCTGGTCAATAACCCGATTCCAGAAGTCAGGGTCTGCCACCATCTCCATGACAGGATATAATACAGAGCAAGCTGCTATCTCCCGAACAACGATTTTGAGAGCCTTGCTTCGAGCCTCAGTTTCTGGAAGAACGTGGGGAAGTACTCTGTCGACCAAATGCCGAAGATGCATTTCTTCCGTCTGTTTGGTGAAGGTGGTCGATAAATTGTCCACAGCATTGTGCAATTTCGCTGCATCCATGCCAGTTGCATATCTACCGGCAAGAAGGAGATCAAGTTCCTCCGATTGCGTCAAACGACGTTCTAGACCGGCTCCACGAAGAGCAATCTCGGACTGTCGAAACAGCTCGATGTGTGCGGTAATTTTTGGAAGAATGCGTTTGACTACCAAAGCTGAGAAATCAATCCCTGTTGCTCTATCCAGCACCTTCTCTATTGAATCATGTATCACCGTAGATACCGCCATGGGAAATGCGGGCGAGGGCGAAATCTCCTGGTACCATACCATGACAAAGTCTCTGACAATCTTGATAATTATATCATTCAGCGCTTCGGATACTAATGGTGACTCGGGATACAGAGGTGGGAAAGATTGTGGCGTATTCTGGGACCATTGCGAACGGGTCACGACCGCCTGCCATGCTGCCGGGGTTGAGAAAGCGAAAGGTCGTGCTGCATTGAAGAGTCTTGGATGGATGGCATGGTTCTTCGTGTCAATGTAATGTCCAAAATAGACGTGAAGTGCTAAGAAAGCGATGGCTAGGATGAAGAGGAAGAGCGGGGACAGTACCAGCAGGACGATAGGCGAGGACACTATGCGGAAGGTAATAGGTAAGACAACAGCGATAATTCCAAACAAGACGACTGTCTGGATATTAGCGGAGCTGGACATTTTCCGCAGAGCTCATTGTTCCGTACAGCGAGCAAGGCGTCGCCGTAGTCGTTCGATGTTACCTTGCTTGTCAAGGTCTCTCTAGGTCTAAAATCTTCGCTTACAAAGCCAAGGTCTTCACATGATATGATGAAATACAAGTGTCATAGCTTAATAATCTTATATCCAAATCCAAAGAAATTTGACCCCTATCGTTGTCGCAGAACGGTGAAGACCCTGCGTGACTCAACATGCAGATATAAGGACGAAGGAGTAGGTACTAGAGGAAGCAAGCATTGTAATGTGCTCAACTTGAATCGTTCCGTAAACTGGGCAAAAACTAGTACGACTACTCCCCCCGATCCTGTTAATCCGTAGGCGGAAACCCACGTTGACAGCAACAACGGCAAAATTGGTATTCAAACAGAGACCACCTCTACCACTGTCGTTCAACTTGCAGAAAACACTGCCACTACGACTCCCCAGCCCGCCGTTGCAAATGCTACCACTGCCGAGCCCAACATTGCTGAAGCCTCTAATGCCCGTGCGCACCCTGCAGGTATGTTTCTGTATCTTGTCTGTGACACATATCGACTAATGGTCAACGTTTAGTGTCCAAGGAAAGGCTCGTTGTGTTGAAGGCAAATATTGAAAAAGGTACGATCTTGGACGTCGTTGCGGTCACCATACACCAGTTTACGCTAACAGATGAAACAATTTATGCGCTTAAAGATATGAAGCCTGAGCGAAAAACCGTGGACATCGAAAAAGGTGAGGTGAAGAAAGTTCGTGTTTGAATGTGATATATTCAAGTAACTGGCGGTTCAAATGTCTTCTAAGCATCTGTGTATGATTATTTTGGAAGTGGAATGAATTGTATTGTACAATTGGGAATAGGAACAAGCACCGCTTAAGCAAGGCATGATAGTCGTCGACCGACGACCGCTAGTGCCTTAAAGGTCATCACTCAGACTGCCTCAAAGAGGCAAGTATATCACGTGCTAGGCTCGCACTTTCTGTAGCCCGAATCCCGAAAATCCGAATGACGATGAAGCCCGCTGTATATCGTCGCAGCTTTTCTCCCTCCTCCTCCACCATCGCGGACCGGATTGAGGCCGGCCGCCCTCCGTAGCGTCTCATGTCGTCGACCGAGAAAGGGCGTTTGTCTACGTCTGAAGGCTTCATATGTGGGGGCATCGCTGCCTGTATCGCTGTACGTAGTCTTCATCCGTAGGATAACCTGTTTCACAGAATGTCGCACATCGCAGGTGACAATATCTAACCCTGCGGAGGTTGCCAAGACACGACTTCAGCTCCAAGGCGAGCTGGCCAAAGGCGGGGAGAAAAAAGTCTACAACAGCGCCCTTGACGTGTTTTCGAAGACGTGGAAAAATGAGGGAATCCGAGGGATGCAACGCGGATTAGGTCCTGCAGTGAGCTTTTCTTCCTCGTTATAAAAGACGCGTGTTTGACTGTTGTACAGTATGCCTACCAAGTAAGAGGTCCCATTGTTCGAATCTACGGTAGTTTGCTGAGTTCTTAGATACTACTCAACGGAAGTCGCCTAGGTAAAGCATCAACCCACTGGTATTATGGTTTATTAACTGAGCTGTTCGATAGGGTTTTATGAGCCGTTTCGACATGCCATCAACGACCTCATCGGTCGTGCGCCCACTGAGCAAATACCTATTACTTCCGTCATAGCAGGTGCAACAAGTGGTGCCGTTGGGGGTCAGTGTTTATACGAATATATGTGGCCTACTTCTGAGTGTGTCTACTTAGCTTCATTGGGCAACCCATTATTCTTGATCAAAGCACGGATGCAGGTCCGTACAGGGCCAGCCGGGGGCTTTACTGCATCACTTACAGCCTCCTAGGCATATTCTCCCGCCCTTCCTGTTGGTGCGCAACACTACTACAAGAGCTCATTCGACGCCCTTTCAACAATATATCGGCAAGAAAAGCTCCGCGGTCTAGTGCGCGGTATAGATGCGGCAATTTTACGAACGTCCATGGGTTCTTCAGTAGATTCCTCCCTTGCTATGATGCCTATCCCTAACTGGATATGCAGGTGCAACTTCCTAGTTATAACTTTACCAAAAACCAGCTGGTAAAGCACGGGATTCTTCCGGATAACAGCACATGGACATTCCTTGCGAGTAGCACAGTTTCGGGGATGTGTGTTGTACGTGCTATTTTCATGTTAGCCTTTCTGTAATATTGACCAGCAGGAATCAAGTGCATGGCAATGCAGCCAGCTGACACGGTATGACGTAGCATCTCTTCGCTTTTACTCTGCTTACGCGTTTCGTCATTTACGTAGGCTCTAACCCGGATGTACAACCAACCTACGAAACGCAATGAGGCTGGAAAAGTCGTGGGGGTTCTATATCGTAATCCCATCGACTGCCTATGGAAGACTTTCAAGACTGAGGGTGTACGTGGATGGTACAAGGGAACAACGGCTCACTTTTTACGGATAGCGCCGCATACGTGAGTGACATTTGGACAAACGGGAGCAGATGCTTATCGTTTTCAGTATCGTCACTTTGACGGCCAATGACCTGATTATAAACCTTTACAAGTCTATCAAGCACAACGATTCATAGATGTTCAATAATTCCCTGCGGCTTGAAGATGTTAGCCTATCAGCGTATCAGTTTGAGTGCAATACAGTAATACACCTTTCAAGGATCTTACATTCGTCCGCGCAGGGTGAATCACAATCATCAGAAAGCTGATGAAAACCATCACGGAGACCAGTTCGATCTAGCGACCGGCGTCTTGATGAAGCGTGTTAATCAATCTGCGATATTCAGCTCCATCGTAATGTTTAGGATGTCCAAAAATGAGGTATCCTTGTTTCTTTGGTCGTCACTAAACGAGTGCGAATCGTTATGGGGTATATATCGGTTACAGCAATGATATCTTAAAATTGCAATGTTCGGGGGGAGAAGTTGGTTGTGGAAAGCAGGACAAAAGCCAAGAAAGAAACACGACTGAAAGGAAAGTAAATCGTGGATACCCTTATCCACAAATAGAAGGGTATAAGAGGTTTGTAGGGTTCTGGGGAATCCAACCGTTTGCAAGACCGGCCTGGTAACTCCAATCGTCCGCATTCTCGGCCTTCCTGTGTGAAGATTTCAACGAAGTTACTGCAACAGTAGGAAACCAACTGACCACGTCCATTGGATCCACCCCTGTCCCTTTTCGTATGTAATGACCTATAGTGAGAGTGTTAGCACGACTTCAGCTTGAAAATGCTTATGTACGTACCTGAGCCTCCCAGTATTGTCTCAAGAACGTCTTATAGGAAGAGCTGAAGGAAGACGCAGAGCCTGACTTGCCGTTGCAGCTCCCCACAGGCGTCTCTCCAGAATAGGTTCCATCATAGCGCGCGCCGACGCCGCGTCCTGCCAAGAAGTTCACTTTGACTGAAGAAACAGAAACGAGAGGAAATACTTTCCATTCAGGTACCTCGCACAATCAGTGGGAGCTGGCGTCCATTCGCCCACGATCACCCAGAGATCAAAAGATGACAACGAGCTGCCCGTCTGGCATGCGGCTGAAATATGCTGGTCGTAACTCCTTGCCACCTCCTGAGGGATAATCAATATAGAGCTGTACTGATCAATCAGAGGAACAGACCGCGTCAGAGAACATCTGATAAATGTGGGTATCCATCGCTACTCCATCAAAGCCAGAGGTCATGAAGCCATTCCAATAACTAAGAGCTTGGAATGCATCATGGATCAGAACGACTGTGTTCGATTGTCTTGAAGAGCCATAAGGGTATCTAGGAAAGTATATGAGTTCAGGACGTGCATGGTTAAGACGTCACAATTACCGAATGTTGCCGTAACTATCATACCAGTACTGATGAACGAAACGCGTAGATGAGAAGGTGAACCATGAAAGGAGGCCAAAAGGACGTACCTGTCTCGTAACACTTAATACTGAGTCGCCGTAATAGCCAGCTGGCCTGGAATCATCATCAGAATAGAATTTCAACGGCATCGCGTGAGACCCACTCGTTCAACGGTGCAATAATCGGTACTACGTTAGTTTGATCTGCAAACATTGAAGCCATAGTCTTGATGATGGCGTTAGTACGGTCGATGTTTGATTGGCTCGACTGCCATTCGCTGACAGACAGCTCAGTTAGTTGAACGTATTCCATTTAATGTAAGACTTACGGATATGACATCTTCTGCCCAGAGTTGTCGAAACTGCGGAAACATTTAAATTAGCGGGTGTAGAGGGAACTCCATGAAAACACGCCGACCCGTTCTGGCTCCCGGGCGCTCCTAAAGCATGACATGAGGTTAACGCGATGAATGAAACTATTTCCGACGCACCATGGAGATCAACAATGACTTTAAGGCCATAGGTTTGAGCCCAACCTATCGCCTTTTGCAAGTACGGAAGTTGTCCTTGTATGAACGGTTCTCCGCCAGAGACGTCGAATGCCCAGTAGCCGATCGGGATGCGAACGTGGTTTAAACTAGGGGGAGAGTAGTCAGTAATAATGTCAAGCGTGTGAAGAGCCGATCACGAACCCCGCAGCAGCAATTTGCTGAAAATCGGATTCAGTAATCCAAGTGTTCCAGTGATTGGTCAACGCGGCAGTCGCGGTGCCCTTGTCCTGGTATTGCCCAAATGTCCACTCGTCGATGATGGCAGAGTTACCTGCAAGAATGCATCAAACTACGGAACAAGTGTCCATGCGGTGTGCTAGTCACCTGTATTGTCGAAAAGTGATGGGGTAATCCAGGGCTTAGAAGCCGCCGTTAACGAAGCGCCATATGCGAAAATGCGACAAAGGTGCGTACTTCGATGACAAGCCATCCACCAAGGTTGACTCCACGTACTTTGGCTGAGCCATAATTAAATCCAGGCGAGATGGCGGATACAGAATCAAGGAAGGAAGCTCCACAGATAGCGACAGTTACGGCGCGTAAAAGAGAGAGGGCCATGGTCGGAGGGTTGAAAGGAAGGGGAGGAAGGCCTAAGAATACTTGGCCCACGGCCTGGCAAGCCATCTTTTATATTCGGCGAACAAGTGCGAACTAGGTAAAAATGTGATCGATCGGGCTCGCAAAGAAGTCCTGCCAACCTTCATCCGTTCCACGTGTCCACAAGCCATGCATCTGCCTCCATCCAAGAGAATTGCAGCAGCGGTACTTGGCAACTCCGTGACAATTATTGCTTTTCTTCCCCGTTCCAACGGCGGCTCTCCTGACTCTTCATGGCACAACAGAAAGTGCAATCAGATCGATAAAAACGTCACGGCCGAAGAGGCGACCTCGTCTGGGGTGTTTTCTTTTTTTGACCATCGGCAGTTGTCACACCGCCATTCTTGTTCACTTGGGCCAACGTTGCGAATTTGTGGCGATTTAAGGGGCATGTAGTGGATCTACTGCCGTTAACGAGGGGGGCAGAGCAAGATCATGGAGTTGCCTCTTCAATACTTTAGCCGGCATCGGCATCATTATGAATTTTAAAACAAAGCTACTAGTTGAAGTCGCCACGGGCCTCCATTTTGATTCATCCTGTATGTGCCGCCTTTCGGGGTGCCACCGAAGAGAAGTTTTGCATGCAAGCCCAATGCGCAGCAGGGTATACGAGAAATGACAGATATTATATTTACCAACTGACCAGAACTTTTGGAAGCGTTTACACGGTGGAAGTGCCTCGTGAATTGTGCGGACCCAATCGCACATGAAGAACCAAAAAAAGATATTTCGGAGAATTGTTAAGATTGTGATTTATTAAATAAAGGTACTAGTGACCCGGATTTGAACGCTAACGACCGAGGGAAGATCGAACAGGCCGAGAGGCAATCACTCTGAGTTTTGTACTGAATTTAGTTTTGAATTTAAGACAGACCTTCGCGGGGACCGAGTAATCTGCTTTTGAGCTCCTCACCTCGCGCTCTTCGGCTCTATCCTGCAAATAAGGTCCTACGCTGTTTGTGAAACCAAAACCAAGCTAGACCGCGTACAAGTCCAGCTATACACCAATGATCGTAGCCACATAAACTGTGACAAGATCGTCGCCCGACATCTCCGTCGATAAAGAAGGACCCCGAGTAAGTATTTTTCCTGTGCGTAGTATTGAGTTTTGGTGCAGCTAACGATCGATTTGCGTGTGAATTGCCTACTCCCTGAGAGTTATAACGACCCACCTATGACAAATTTCCAGTAAATTTCCAAGTATAGACTCAAGTTGGAGTATTACTGTTTATTATACTACACTTCGTCAAGTCCCGCACGCTAACTCGCAGCTTCGGACAGAGCGGGGCCAAAGATTGATACTCGTGCAAAGGCTCGCCGCTTCCCATTGACCCATACAGTACTCACCTTTCCTTTGGATGTCGCGTGAAGTACCTGGACTATCGCAATGATCCTTGTGACACGCACTGGATTGGCAAGTGATCGAAACGATGAACTCGTCCCGAAGATTATGATACCCTTCACCGCTGAATCTAATCATCACATGCAGCTCGAGACTGAGCCCCTTGGATACAAACGGGTGGAAACTATCCACGACAGACTGAATATCGGTCGTAATACGGGACATGATCTGGCCATTCTTCAACCGCTCAGGGATGTTGGACTCGCGCCTTTAGCTTTAGCTTCGAAGATGGACACATGTTCAAACGGGACGCGCATCTGAAACATGCTACTTAGTAAAGGTGCGAGAGCATCGTGCAAGTGGATTCGTGATGGCCCAAAATAGCTCAGAAAGATATACATGTTTTCCTCACCGCAAAGCGGACATGTAATGGAGAAACCGTGACGACGGGTCGTAATTGATGAATCTGTTAGGATATTCAAGACTTGGAGAGGTCCGGAAATATGAATTTCACGGGATCATCTGGTATCTATGCCAGTTGGATTTCTTGCTTCTCGGTGTTACTTGAGGAGTCTGTCAAATATGCGAACTCTGCGTAGATCAGAACACCCGGATAACTTAGCACAAGACCTCCTGTACGGAAGGATCAGAAGAATGAGATGCATGATTCATCTTTTCTTGTACTTGCCGTTAAAGAAGCACAAAGGTCGGCGAAATTTGTGGACCTGAGCGCTTCGGACGGACGGTGTACGGTCATCTGACAAGAACGGTCAAAACCCGTAAAATCGGTGTTTCGAAGGACACTATTCCTACAGTTGTAGTAGTGCATGAGTATCAAAGCCCCAGAATCCGCATTGTAGTTTAATGCCGCAAGTCGGACAGAAATTTGTGTTAGAGGCGCTTTCATCAGCCGGATGAGATACCATTATAAAAGATGACGTACTCAGAGATTTCAATTTCGTCTCTCTCAAAAGCTCTGCCCAAAGATGAAGAACCACGTGTGTGCTCTGAGTATCTTGCAGCAGTAATCTTAAAAGGCTGCAAGCTAAGGCCTTGGAGATTTGGAGCGCTCCGAAGCTCCGAAGTTGCCCACCGGCTCCCAGCCTGACCAACCTCGGGAGTGAGGCATTACTTATCCAGTATTTCAATGATTCAAGAGGACGAGGTTGCTTTCATGTAATGCCATAGAAACGACAAAGTTGAGGGTTCAGCGATTCACGGTGCCCTAAGGATGCCAGCCGAAGCCCAGTACAGTTTCCGAGCACATCGTAAGATTTCAAAGGATGCAGGGCTATGAACTCGAGGTGTCCTAAAGAGATATATGGTTGTCGTTGTCAAGCGCCACAGATCCAGAGAGCATGCAACTTTGGACGTTAGTGACGACTCCCTGCATGAACTAGGGCCCAGGCAGCCGAAGGATGGAACGATGTCCACCTTCCGTTCACTTACTTTACGGGACTTGCATTGCCTTGTCCTGCTGCCGACTTGAATACCAGAAAGCTGTGTTAAAGCTGTGTATCATGGTGGGCGCTCGTTGGAACCGGTACAGCCACCAAACACAGCCACCACCTGAAATCAGGCTACTTCCGCGAGCAACCACGCCAGTTCCATCAGCTTTCCACCTGTCCATTCCCTTCATCGATTCTTCTGTTAAATTATCTCTAGATCTTTTCCTTCGTCCACCATGTCCTTCGACAATATCCGCTCTCGTTACGAAGCCGCTGGCCAAGGTCACCTCTTCAAATTCTGGCCCAAGTTATCTCAAGAAGAGCAAGCATCACTTCTCGCTCAGCTCGAAAATCTCGACATCGAACGCGTTAATCGAATTTACAAGAAAGCCGTTAGCAGCGAGGCGGGAGCTGCCAATGGTAATGCCCAACCCGATGACATTGAACCGCTACCAAAGGGTGCATCGGACTCTGTTGGCAACGCAGCCAAGGACCTTGAGTGGCGAAGAATAGGTCTGGAGGCTATTTCGCGGGGACAAGTAGGTGTCCTCCTCATGGCTGGTGGCCAGGGGGACACGTTTGGGTAGCAGTGCGCCCAAGGGCTGCTACGATATCGGCCTTCCCTCACACAAATCCCTCTTCCAATACCAAGCCGAACGTATTGCCAGGCTGCAGATCGTTGCGGAGACAGAATTCGAGAAACCAGCTGGAAGCGTTGTAATTCCTTGGTATGTCATGACCAGCGGACCTACACGTCGGGACACCGAAGCCTTCTTCACCCAACATTCGCATTTCGGTCTCAAACCGCAGAATGTCATCTTCTTCGAGCAGGGTGAGCTCTATGAAAAACCGCTTTGTTCATAAATAAAAGCTCATCATATGCACAGGTACATTACCTTGTCTCACCATGGAAGGCAAAGTCCTACTTGACAGTACTTCTCACGTCGCTGTCGCCCCAGACGGCAACGGTGGTCTCTATGCGGCTACACGAGCCCCGCTATCACCTGCAGACAAATCACATACGGTCCTCTCAGATCTCTCTAAGCGCAAAGTGCTCTATGTACATGCGTACTGCGTTGACAACTGTCTTGTCAGGGTTGCCGATCCCGTCTTCCTCGGCTATAGCATCGCAAAGCAAGCTGATTGCGCAGCTAAAGTCGTTCCAAAAACCCAGCCTACCGAATCTGTTGGAGTAGTCGCCTACCGCGGCAACAAGCCCGGTGTTGTCGAGTATTCTGAGATCTCGAAGGAACAGGCAGAAAGAAGGGACGAGAACGGCGAACTCGCCTTCCGTGCCGGTAACATCGCAAATCATTTCTACACCACCCAGTACCTCAATTCAGTGGAGACGTTTGAGGAGGAACTAGCATTCCACATCGCGCGCAAGAAGATTCCTCACGTCGACATAGAGACTGGTGAGATCGTCAAGCCCTCCAAGGTCAACGGCATGAAACTAGAAATGTTTGTTTTCGACGTTTTCCCATACACGGAACGTTTCACGGTATTGGAGGTTGAGCGCAAAGAAGACTTCAGCCCGCTGAAGAATGCCCCCCTAACAGGTTCCGATGACCCCAAGACCAGTCGTCGTGACTTGCTTTCCCAACACAGGCGCTTCTTGGAGAAGGCAGGTGCTACGGTGCAAAATGGCGTGGAGATTGAGATTTCACCCTTAGTCAGTTATGCAGGTGAAGGCCTCGAAACTGTTAAGGGAAAGACTTTCACGAGATCGGGCATTGTTGAAGGAGTTGAAGAGTTGGACGCGTTAGTATAATATACCCCCCATTCTTTTATCTGGACTTGGATAGGACTTCCGCATGGACCTTATACTTTGCATTTGCAGTCATAATGTATCTTAGTTGTGTCAACTAGGCACATGTTCATCTGGCAACTTCTTCTGCGTCGCGTTAGGTACCGTTCGCGGGACTCTCTTCTCAAGCTCTTCTCGTAGGGAGGCGAATAGTCGCTGTGTTCGTTCAGCGTTGGGCTTTTCGTTCCGGATCTGAATCAGTGTCACGACGCAGAGAGATACGTGAAGTAGATATGCTAACCTCTTTGCAGCACTGTATTAGCTTGTCGATGAGCATTGCCTGACCATTCTGTGCTTCCTCCAAATCCTTTCGGAGCTGATGCATCTGTGTACGGGTGAAGAAGAACTATAATCGAACCCAAGTGACAGTCAAAAGTCCACGCAGACAAACTCATACCTCCTCGTCCAGTTTATCCCTGCGACCTTTTTCCCCTTCTGCTAGCTGCTTTTGCTCCGCGGCTCGTGCTCGTGAAAGAAGCACCTCCAGCTCTTTTGACCGTATAACACACTCGAAATGCCGTTCCCGTAGCTCGTATTGTCGGAGTACTTCCTTTAGTCGTTCTCGTACACTAGTCATATATGAATAAATTGCCAGTTCAGCCAACTAAAGACGGAAACATACACTCCATCAAATATTTCTTCCAACGTCCGTTTAGCTCTAAGAAGTGGGTTAGAGTGCGGTTAGATTGAGAGTTAGTTGATTTACTCCTGTGGGTCATCTGTCCAGTTCTTCTTCAGTTTTTGTCGTTGTGGTTCCACGATTTCGTCCTTGAAGGTGATCATTGTACTTTCACGTGTGCTCAAGTCAAGGCTACTCACCAAGTCATCCGAAATGCCCTCCGTCAAGTCCATCAACTCCACAGCGAGAATCTCATCTCCATCTTCCATTCCTGCCTCCTCCGGTGTTTGGTCAGCCTCGACAGTCCGTCCGTTGTGTGTGAAAATGAACTGCATCATCGAACCAGATGTCGATGAACCCGACGAGAATGTACTAGCTGCATCCGTCTTCACAGACCCATTGATAGGCTCACCTACCCTTGCCATCTTTCTTCCCTCCGTTTTTCTCCATACGGTCGGTCCACGCGTTGAACAGCTTCGTTAACTTCGTTTTGCGAGATATCTTAAAGAATAGCTCGGCACGATACCGACATACTACTTTGACGACGATATCGGGCATTTCTCGGTATTTAACGTCCTGTATTTTTGCCTTGTCGGCGCGTTTTGAAACGTCATTCCGCATCTGGAGCAGCTAAGGCCGAGGTTTGGCTTGGAATTGAAGATGATAGAGAACTCCACGTACCTCATCCTGAGCGTCCTCCACAGACTGTGCCAACCGTTTTCCATCTTCCTGCAGTCTATAAGCAAGACTGGATGTTTCAACGTAGCACATCACTTACCCGTAGTCGTTTGTTATCCTAGACAATGGAATCAATACATGTAGAAGTTGGTGGAAATGTATGGCAGACCTTCTGCAGCTCCCTGGCTAAATTTTCCATCTTCGTCTTGGTCTGGTTAGCCTTGGTTAGCTGACTCTTCGCTATTCGTGAAAGTTAGGCGAACATCAGAACGAAGAGTTGTTACCGCACGAACCGGCATCCTTGTCCTTGGTGAGTTTCTGTTTCTCCTTGGCATGATCTCGTTCCAGCCGTTTAAGCTCTGCAAACTGGAAACCACATAAGCGGATGCAGCTATGAAGACGTTCTTGCAGTACCAGTTCAATGTATTTTGCATGAATGACATTTTCCTCTAGTCCTTTCACCGATTTCTGGGCTTCTTCGGCTTTGGAAAGGGGAAAAATGAGTGGTACACCATGGAGAGTGAGTTTTGGCACGCACCAAATCTTCGTTCTTCTTCCTCTTCCAATACTTCCTCCTCCTCCAAAGCAGCTATTCTGTTCTTCAAGCTCTCATACATGACGGCAGGATCCACTGGGGCATCATTTTTCTTCTTCCCTTTGTTATTTGATGAAGGTGGATGCTGGTGGTGATGGTGATGGGTGCCGTTGACCGCCGGAGGATGGCTGGGAGGCGGTGGACCCGTACGGGCAGCATTTGGAGGCGCTGGAGGAGCAGAAGCCGGTGCAGGAGCTGGAGGAGCAGGACCGGCAGGTGGCGGTTTGGCCATTCTGGTCGACGCGTTTTGAGCACTGGATTGTGATGCACCGTTCATGATGATGCCTTGAAAAAACGATTTCAAGGATCTAAAGTGAACAGTGAAGGGCAGACAGAGAGGCAGAGTGAATCCAAGGAAGGTTCAAAAGTCGCGTAGTGGCAAGCGTTGGTCTGTTGTCGAGCCGAAATCTTGCTTTATCCCTCTTTGTCCACGGTCGTCGTTACGGCCCGTCAACGATTCGTCCTTTCAACTAAGAAAACAAATATCGTTGCGTCGGTTGGCTGCAGAGAATTTTACCGTCGTGATCCTTGACAAGAGATTTTTTTCTCGTTTAGTCATGTAAACAAACTTGTGTCAAAATTCCGATAACATTGTAAACAAATCTTGCAGCGGTAAGAATGGGTATCCCATGACGTCGACCTTTTAACTTGACCAAAACTATCATGGTGTGTTTCTCAGCCTCTTCATACTTGCTAGACTTGACTCGGTATCGTTCATGACAGTCATCGCCTCCACCCTGTCAGGCTCAAGGTCAAACACATCGTATTCCTCTGACCCTCATGCTCACCACCGGAACAGCATGCGAACTTCAAATCTGTTTGAATAAACATACTTACAAGCCAGAAAACTGCCAACGGCATCTTCGTCAACTTTACATGTGTTGTCTGAAACTATATGAGGAAACAAACGATATGGGAGAGTCCACCGCCTGTCCCCTTCCTCGTGTCGTGAAGAGATGGATCAAGGATCACCCAGAATAGTAGGCTGGGATGCATGTTTGACGCCAATACAATAGAGACACAATTACACAAGTAGTCCTCCAGCTCCCGCACTAAACCGTCGTGACTGTTTCCAGGCTCTTTAAATAAGCGACGCGAATAGGGTGGTTTTCAGTTTCCGGGCCACGGTTAAGAGCGGTCCACTTGGGAACATCCTGTCGGCCCCGTCAGAATTGGTTACAGGTAAGCCCTCAACTGCCTCTACTTACTTTGAACAGCCGTACAGTTCTCACGTTGTCGTCGGTGTCTAAGTGAAGCGGTGATATATCCCAGCAGGCAGAGCGATGAGGTCTCCTGCGGTCAGCGCTAAGCGAATCCAGGAATCCGTCGCGGCTTCTGTAAAGTACACAAAGCTCCTAAGAACAGAATTCATGGCTTCAAAGATAGGACCGACCACGGATGTCAAAGTAGCCACTTCCGGCAAGAAGGTAACGAAGTTCGTCGTCTTCATGCATATGTCTGCGTAATACAATGAGTTTTCATTACCATGCAGGGTACAAGCTACCCACTCTTCGTAGAAGGCCTTAATCTTGGCATCATATTGCTAGGACAGATCAAGTGAGATGACAGAGCTGCCCGGTAATGAACAAAGCCTACGTCGCCCAAACCCTCCTTAGAGATGCTGATAACATCATGGTTCTTGTAATCCCCTTCCTTTGCCACAGTTGCAATCTTTTCTTCATAACCATCCACAGGAATGTTCATATACAAAAGATCCAAAGATTTCAGAGCGTCTAAAGACACCGGACGAGCAGAATCATGGGGAAGACGTTGGTCGCCAGGGAGATTGTCAAAGTAATACGCGCGCATTGTGGGGATGAAAGCAAATGAAAGTTGGATGGGAGCGTAAAGGCTATATATACTATCCGTTGATCAGCAGATGTCAGATGTATCTGTAGCGCAGTGGCAGCCGAGGTTAGCCGTCGAGAATCTAGTGGGCGCTTCAGGCAAGTTGTGCAAAGATGGGTAGACTCGTGATCGTATATTCCACCAATAGCAAACCAATAGCACAGGTTTGATCTGTAACGGAAACCAACTGCCTGAGAGTCCGAGCGCACGACAAGGTATTGTTTATCTGGTAGCGCGAAAAGTCATACGCACTTTAAAGAATCAACATGACAGCGCATTCCAATCATGCCCAGTATGTAGGATCTGTCCACGCGCAGAGGTACGCGATAAATTATTGGAAAATGGATCCTCGGAACGGAATGACAGGACTGCCGAAATACCACGTGACTGAACGTGTTATTGTGGTTTGTTGTCTAACAAGAGCACACTCGTTAGACCAGATCGTACACTATTGCACGGATTCACGCGTCTTTACGTGCCTTACCAGTGCAACCATTTCCCGTCAAGCAAGTCAGAATGCGTAGAAGTACGTGTTTATTGTGTCCTTCATGCAGTGTTCTGACAGGAAGCTCTAGGTCTATCACCAAAGTCTTCTCCAAATCGCAAGCGACAGCGTTTATCTTCTCCTGAATTTGACGAAGAACTGAACCTCAGTCAGGATGATATTGAGGCGCTTGACAGAATAGAGACATCTTATTCTCAGAAGGCTCAATCTTTCGACGAGGACGAGACAGACAAGTACGGGTCAAGCAATGCCGTGCATGAAGTGAGTGTCCAATCATGCCTGCCAGAACGATGTTCATCCATGTACAGGATGTGTCGCGAAATCCGTTTGATGCGCGAAGCTCACAACAACAAGATCCCTCGACCTCAGCTATCTTCCCTGCATTTGGGTTCACATCTGCTGCAGCTATAGCCTCTACCTCGACTACAGACATGGATCTCTTCCCCCCCTCTCAGTCATCTTCTTCACCTAATTCTCCAGTACAAGAGAAAGACTTTTCTTCTTGGTTCGCTCCGGGACTTCCCAGCGGAACGAGTAGTTTTCAAACAGCAGGCCTTATATCTGCCACATCTTTGTTCAGTTCAGCAAACGCCTCCGGTTTTTCAACGGCATCTAAAGGAATTATAGCACCTTCTTTGGCAGCCCTTGAAAAGGCGCGTCAAAAGATGAAAGAGTGGCAGGAAGATGACACTGATGGACCTCCCGCTGAGGGATCGACACAACCGGACGCCATGAATCTATTTCGCACTGCTTCATCTGTAGTACCGTTCACCCCGCCTGCGCGTCCGGCGTTGAGAAATGTTCAGAACACGCCCGATACACCTGGTACACCTAGTCCCGCCCCATTCGCCCGACCACTTTCGAAAGAGCCTACAAACCCCTCCTTGGAGAGCCTCAAAGTGAAACAACAGGGGTTTAAATCGCCGCTTATTAAGCCTTCTCCTCTCAAACAGTCATACTCACCACTTGCGAACCTGCAAAATGACCCTCAGAGTAGTATACCTCGTGCTCACCATCCTCTCGCATCCTCTCCCCTTTCCACGAATCTCAGCACACCGAAATCCACAGTGCTATCTACCGGATTCTCTACACCCAAATCTAAACCGCGAACCACCCCTGCAAAATTTGTGACGCCTTTCAAACCTGGCATGAGACCCGGAGAACCTGGTCATGAGACATTATTGCAGCAGACGAGGGAGGCAGACAAGAAGCTTGTGGTATCCCCATCACCCAATTTGAAATCTGGTACCGTTCAGACGAAGACTCAGACTTCTCCAACTTCGAAGACGAAAACATATCAATTCTTCGATCTAAGTAAGGATTCTGTTCCTCAAACTGGACTTAGGCTCATCCGTTCCCATAGCAAAACCTCCCAACCGCAAGACACTGGCTTCTTCTGGTCTCGTGCCTCAGCGTTTTACTGCTAAAGAGCTTGAGTTTCCCGGAATGTATGTGGATATATAGCTCAAGCTTCAGGTGCTAATTTGTTCTACAGGTCATTATCTGAACTTGAACAGATTCACCCGCGCATAACGGCCTACTATTCCTTCTACAGGCAGGTACCTTCAACGCAATATGATGATCCGCCACCCTTTGACACAGTTCATCCTGATGCTGTTATGGATCCGCTGGCAACCTTCAAATACCTCAAGGAAGCGGGGTGCTCTCTTGTTACAAAGCCTTGGATTGATAACCATTGGGGTCTTATCCTCTGGAAGCTTGCTGGTATGACTTGCCTCGAACCGGAGAAGGAGTGGGATGAAAAGGAAAGACGATGGTGTTGGGAAGAAGTGTATCGACAAATGCTGTATCGGTAAGCTATTTACCTTGACGATTTCGGAGTGCTGAGTACTTACCCGTTCTCTCTAGATATGAACGCGAGATTAATCAAGGAGTTCGACCGCCATTGCGACTTATTGCGACTCAGGACGCGCCATCTACGTCTCCCATGGTTCTATGCGTGAGCGAAATCAAGTGGATGGAGAACAGGCTCTTGGAGAATGGCGAGATGTATCACGGCTGTCCAGAACTTGAGCTCACCGATGGGTGGTATAAGATTCGAGCGCAGGTCGATGCCCCACTCACGAGAGCCATTCAGAAGGGAACTCTGGCAATCGGCAGGAAGATTGCAATCGTGGGCGCTAGAGTAAGTTCCATTCCGTAATTGGCGCCCATCTCTTTTTGACGTCCTGGAATAGCTGGACTCAGAGCGGAAAGACCCTCAAGAGATACTTGAGGCTTACAACTCCATCAAGTTGATACTGACCGGAAATTCGACACATCTAGCTCCATGGCACGCAAAACTTGGCTTTCAAAGAGAATTACCAGTAGCTACAATGCATAGCTTGACTCGTGATGGGGGCATAGTGGCCGCCATGGATTTACTTGTTGTAAAGGTAGTTATCGATACCTCTAGTGGCACCACTTTACTGAAAAAAATTCGCCTCTAGGTTTATCCTATCGCATACTTCGAGTTTATTCACACCGATAAGGGACGAATAAATAACGGCCCTCTGAACGAGAAGGAAGAAATGACGCTTCGCGATGAATGGCAGGTAGGTGCTGTTGCGTTCTTGATTTCCTGTTTTCCCTCTCAACTAATTCCCGTGATGACAGCGAAGGAGAGAATTCGAGGAATCGAAGCTACGCCAAGACTTCGACAAGAATACGCGGCGATATCACGGTTACGCAGATAGGCTAGAGCGCAAAGCAGGCAGTCATTTCCGACCGGGAGAAGACGGACCACCAGATCATATCGATGACTTGTACGATAAACTTGAAGAACCCGAAGAGGCCGGAAAGGTCATCTCGGCGATATCACCTGCAGACGCGGGCTGGCTAGCCCGGCGCATCCGGCAACAGCTTGAGAAAAACCAGGAGAACCTTATGGATGAGATCGGAAAAGAACTAGCGGTGAGTTATCATCATTTCGTCATTGGAAAGCAATTTGCTGAAACCGCGCCGCCAGGACATTTGTCCTACTAGGGATGTCCGTAGTTTCAGGGTCATTGTCGTAAAAGATGCACGAACGCAGCGGCGACCTGGAAATCGTATGGCTCAATTAACGGTGTGGGATGTCCTGAACGTTTCCCTTTCGGAAGGCAGGCCTGCTGGCTCCTTCGAGCTTGGCGAGCGCTGCCTTGTTACACACCTGCAGCCTACCCAGGTTTCAGCTTGGATGGACTGTGCTCCGGGAGCCGAGATATACATGTGCACAACGCGCAACACCCGTTGGAGGAAGCTGCGAAGTTAATTTTACACCTTTCATATGCTAACATTCTGACATCATCTGCTTCATGCTCCATTTTATTTCACTGCGGGCCGTATACTAATACTTACGGAGGAATAACTTAACTGTTTAACTTTGCCTAACCGCGGTGACTGATGGGACCTTGAGAAGATATCATATGCAGAATAAGGATACACTAATATGAATGCTGTATAGATGTATCACACTGCCAACCCATACGTTCTAAAGGCCTTGTGGTAGTCGCCAATGTCATCCTGTCCCATACAGACAATGGTCGGTTTTGCCCCGGACTGGAGCCCGAATATCGTCGAGGCCACGCGACGAACTTCTTGGGGTGTTATAAGATCTATTTTCTTCACCATTTCCGATACCGGGACTTTTCGACCCTGAACCAGTATCTGAGGTTAAGATTTGATATGTCAGAACAGTCACAGAAGGACATAAATGAAGAAAGCGTCACACCTGTCTGCCTAAATCCTCTACCTGGATAGCCTGGCTCTCCAAGGACATCATTAAGCTTGACTTGAGTTGGTTCTTCGCGCGCGACAGTTCTTGCTCGGGGATCGGAGTGTAGAGGAGTAAACTCAGTTGATGTATAAGGTGAGGGAGTATTTGAGTTGGAGTATTACCTCCACGCGCCTTGGAGTCAAAGGAAGCGAAGAGGCCGAACAATGAAGAGTCGCTGTAGATATGGTGGAAAGAAGCACAATGGTCTACTTGGGGGAAGTGGTTCAAAATGCTGGTGTATAACCGCGAGTACATGCCCTTTCCGGGACCGCCTGATGGAGCAAAGGTGGTACTTAGCAATCATTGAGAATGCCTAGCATCAAGCCGTACCTGCTGAAAAGCTTCCACCTCCGCCGAGAAGTACTTGCATGGTGGCTACGGTATAGACATCGTCATGATGAATACCCACACCCTCATATGCGACATATAGGTGGTCAAATTCGGACGTTTCATTTGGGATGAAAAGATGACCGCCGGTGTAGTCTGAGTCAGGATTTAATCGTCCAGGAGCATCATTATGGGTGGCGGGGAAGAGATAGGACGCAGCCCGCGTCAAAGTTTTGGTAACAGAAGGCGCAGAGGAAGACAACAGATTTGTCGGCGCCTGCTGTTGAGGGGTGTTTGGTCGGTAGGTTAATGATGGGCCGGGGGCGGGCAAGGATTTTAGTGACGAAAAGTACTTGTCTGTAAGTTCGACAAGCTGCTCATGGGGCATGCCAGCACCAGCGACGACCATACGCTCTGGCCGGTACCAGTGGGCCATCGCCCGCCGCAGTGTCGGTCCGTCTATGGCCTCTATACGATGCTCGGGACACAGAAGGGATTTGCCAAGACCTTTGTGGTTGTATGCTACGCCGTGAAGGATTTCGGGAAGTATCATTTCAGGTTTCGCTGAGAGTTCACGGATCTCGTAACGAGCAGCATCCCGCTGTGCCTCCAGTTCCTCAGGAAGGAATTCAGGATTCAGGACGGTGTCCGCGATGAGCTCTGCAGCCAGTGGCGTCCCCTGGTGAAAATGCGAGGACTGGTACATGATGGCCTCTCGGGATGACGAGCATAATATCTGGCCCCCGAGTGAATGCACCGCTGCCGACATCTCCTCGTCCGACCGAGACCGCGATGACTGGGACGGTCAGCGAGAGAAAAGTGAAAAAGAGAAGCAAGACACACCTTGAATGCCATCCTGTCCAAGAAATGGGTGCTCCCCAGAATATCGTCTGTCTCGTAGCGGGAGCCAGCATCAACATAGAGGCCAACGGAAGAAAAATAAGCAGGGGTTGACTCGGTAGCGACACGGATTCTGTTGGGAAGGGTGGTTATCTGTACGGAAGGAGGCGCAGGCGCAGTTGTCGCGAGTGACCGTATTTGAGTTTGACGAACATTGTGGGTGCGACGGACGAGTGAGTAGCAAGCTTTGCGCATGAGTTTGAAAAGAGAAGGGCAGGATGACGTCAGCGATCGCCGACGAACTTGGATTTCCTGTTCTGGCTTATCGCAGGCAAAACCGCTAATCCACTCTCAAATTCCCGAAACGACCTTCTACGCCGCGACATGCTAGGCTGCATCTTTCTTCTTGTCTTCTGAATTCCTTCTTTGCATGCGATTTTCCCATCAAGGAAGTTAAAATAGCACCAGTTGATCTGTTTTCCAATTTGTGTAGCGATTACGGGCTAGCTCATTCGGCTTCCACATCATACTCTCTGTCGCCCGTCACATCAATCCATATGCTTGTCTCCTATAGTGCCTTTGTCTCCGAACCAGTATCTTCCGGCTGCCGGTCTGTAAACATGCTCGTAATTTGTCACAAGCGGTCACATTGGAACATCTATCGCGTCCCGCTGCGGCACATATATACTGCAATGGGCCTTCCTGGACTCGTCTCTTTCACCTGCAAAGGGCCCCCTCCATTCCATTCCTATACCCCCATCATGGCCTCCGTCAACAGCGTCGTAAACTTTGAGGGCTTCTATGGACCTGCGACCGCTACTTTAGACTGGTGTGAAGTACGTCTCCACTGTTGATCCCGGCGTTGGACCATACTCATTCACCCCACACTAGGCCAACTACCAGTTCTCGTTCTATGTCGCAGAACTGGTTAATACATTCTCTAACCTCTACTCTATCGGACTAGCCGTGTACGGTGTACTCAACATTATACGTCAATCCCTTCCGCCGGTCTACACTATTGGATTTATTGTGTGTCATTCCATTATAGATGTCAATTATCGTCTGATCCTGGGAGTAGGGCTTTGCTACCGTCGGCCTCGGGAGTTTCGCTTTCCATGCGACGCTGTTGTTTCATTGGCAACTCGCCGACGAACTGCCTATGGTCTATGTCGCATCGTTGGGCTGCTGGGTTTTATACGACCGCTCGCCGGGCTTCAGCTTCGTCGATTCTCGCGCCTTGATTACTCTTTTCATGACCATCGCGTTTGACGCGCTATTCACCTGGAGCTAGTGCGTACATCAATAAAATATTTTATACTCTTCGGCTGCTCCTGTTTTATTCACCATCATTTTCCAGCATCATCAATCGGAATCCTGTCTACCATCAAGTTGTGTTCGGGACTATTGCATCAACCATCGGCGTTCGAATTGCTTACCTTCTGAACTGGTCTGAGGAACGATTCCGTATTCCAGACGACAAGAAGGCAGAAATTAGTAACGTCTTTGGTACTGGAGCTGGACTATTCATTTTTGGATTTTTCATCTGGAACCTAGACAACATATTCTGCGATCCTTTGACAGCCTGGAAAACAGCAGTTGGCTGGCCGTTGGCTTTCCTGTTCGAAGGTGAGCATTGTATACAACTTCTCACTAGTTATTCGCATCTCTAATATGACCTGGTAGGACATGCGTGGTGGCACATCTTCACGGTAAGAAATTTTCTCGCTCTCGCATCAGTTCGCATCATTCATGCGGCGTAACAGGGAACAGGCACCTACTTTATGGTAGTTGGTGTTACATGTAAGCAGAATTTCTCTCTGGGCCGAACTCCTTGCTGACTATGCTGTAGATATGTGAGCGTTCCGTACAAATCGCTGTGCCTTGTCTCACCGTGGCATTGCAGTTCGCTTTGCATGAAGGACGATCACCGCAGCTATACGATGCAACATCCTTACGGATTTCCTATAGTAAAATATGCATATCACAAAGCACCATAATCTTTGCGAGATCTCGGGTCCGAGGATAGTTTCTCATAATTGTTGTAGAGATGTCAGGGCCAAGGGGACAATTATTTATTGACATTACTTTTACTGATGAGCGGGGGTGTTTATAGATCAGGGCGCTATTACGAGTGTGAATTAAGACACGCAGCGGATAATAGATTTACCTACTTACCTGGTTTACTATGGGACCGGTTCGCTAACTTTCCATCTGAGGAAACCAGCGACATCCACTGATTGCAATTTGTTTTCCCCGCGCCAGTTCACGAGATAGTCTTTGACTAATGCTCCTTGGCCCGCCATGAAGCCCTGTTCGTACAAGCTCATTTCATCGTTTCCCGTAATAGACACGGGATTGAATCCGACAATTTGCTGAGCGAGGGCATGCGACAGCTGTCCCGCCTTGTCTGACAATGGCGAGTTCTCTGTTGTTGGCTCAAGGAGCTTCCCAACGGATTGAGCGCGAATGTCTAGCAAAGATAACCCGACTATCTGGCCTTGGAAGGGGACATTGGAGTTGTGGGTATACCAACCAAGTCGGACGGCGCGGTCCGGCTGGGGAGCCCATGATATCGCTGCGGCGCGTCGTATAAATATGTTCTCGCCAATGGTCGCAATTATATTCTGAATAGTTGATTTAACGGTCATGGCTCCGTCCCCGTACTGAGCCTGTAAAAGCTCAGGTACGTCAAGGTGTTCGAAGGACGGATCCTCGGAATGTGACAAGGCAGGTATCCGGGCAACGACAGACGAAAGAGCCACTGCAAGCTGAGAGAACTGGTCGGTTCTGGCGACAAAATCAGACTCGCAGTTGACTTCGACCAGCCCTGCCCTGATACGTCCGTCGCGTTCTTTTTGGTGGTGTTTGGGATCAAAGCCATGTCCATATCCTCCATCTACAACGGTAAGGCTGATGACACCTTGATTTGCCGCTCTGCCCTCGACTTTGGCTGCTTTCGCAGCACCTGACACCACTAGTTCCGCTTCCAGCCACTTCTTCGCGCCCTCCAAGTCTCCATTAGATTCCTGCAGTGCTAATCGCGCTTTTGAGAGAGGTGCATTGGTGAGTTTTCGCAGTTCTGCAATTAGCTGAATGTTTGTTTTCTTTCCTGGCTCTGGGGTAGAGTAGAATCGCCGGAAACAAGGTGTGAAGGCAGATCGCGTCGCTCTGTGGTAGCAAGAAAAGGACATGGTGTCACGGTGTCACACATGTCACTTCGGGTCTTCGCCGCAATTTTCTGAAATTAAAATTTCCAAGTCTCTCGTCCTCCAACGTCTCATGGACGCTTTCAAGACGCCGAGTTTTGTACCTCAGGACCTCTTGCTCATCCAGAGCTTGCTTGGTACCTACCTCTAGCTCTTCCAAAAATTCGCCTCCCGCTGGCACAGTCAGCACCAATCGACTCTTCTGATGAGGACATTAGTCAGTTCGAGTAGCGAATACGCGAGTGAAGATGAGATTGAGGACTGTTCTTATCGTCAAAGAAGACGATGAAGAAATGGATATGGAGAATGGAAGCAAAAACGGACGCGCCGGTGAAACAGGACCGCGCTCCATCACCGTAAGTCTCTTCATGTCAAATCAGCCTATTTTCATATCTATGCCAGTATAGTACCCAAAGACTCCGAATCTGACGCCGACTCGGAATCAGATGACTCTAGCTCCTCTGAAGAGGGCGAACCACAGATGCGACTTCGGAAGGAAATTGACGACGATGAAGGAGAATCAGGATTGCCCACTGAATCTCAGTCCTACTTCGCCAGTCAGCACGAAGTCCTCGATTCCAATATTTCTGTCCCAGAAATTGCAGAAGTTGACCCTGAGGAGCCCATTGAGATGCTTGGCGAGATAGTGAACATTATGGACCAAGCGGTAATCATCAGGGGCCTTCCTTCTAGTCATATCAACCATGTTCTCGACTCTGAAACCTTGCTGGTTTTTGACGATCGCAAGGTATTAGGCTATGTACGTGCTTTTTTTGCATTCCATTACAATTGCGTTCTGATTCTTGTCAGATTTACGAAACTTTCGGTCCCACTGCCCAGCCTCTTTATCAGGTCAAATTCGATTCTACATTCCCTTTAGACACCGACAAGATCAGACTAGCACGTCAAGTATTCCACGTCCCTGGAAGAAGCCGCTTCGTGGCCGTAGATTCGATACGAATAAAAGGAAGCGACGCTAGCAATATATATGACGAAGAACCAGCAGCATACGAACTGGAATTCTCAGACGACGAAGCAGAGGCCGCACATAAGAGGAACTTGAAAAATGGGTCGGTGACCACTCTGTTGTACATTTGATTTAGCGTCCTTATCGCCATGCTCTGCAGACGCCGAAGCCGCGCGGGTTCCGTTGCCTCCACTTCATCGAGATTCAGCACCCCAACGCGTATGCAGGACCAAGATATGATGACTGACGCGTTTGGCAGCAATAGCGCCTATGATGACCACAGCCCATATGATCTAGACTATTCTGCCTCTGCTCCAACACGTCCACCACCAATGCCATACGATGAAGATCCGTACGCTGATATCTCCCTCGTGCCATCTTCTCAGGGCAGTTTTAATTGTCAGAGTGATACTCCATCGGAGTCGGCCCCCAGTACCAGCACAGGGCGTAGACCACCCCATCGAGATCGTCGTGGCCGTGGACAAGGAAGGGGTCGGCAGCAACAGAATCGCGTCGAAAGACCTGAGTATGATGCTATCACGCAAGTCCCTTCCCATCATGGATTTCAATACAATCCCGCCGAGTTCCACACGTATCAGCAGACCGCGATGGTTCAGCCTCATATCAACCCCCGTTTTGCAGCTGCATTTGGAATGGCTGGCATGACATACCCGCACGGGCAGAATCCCTATGTGACTCCAGACCAATACTGGAGTCAAGGATGGGGAACTGGAGGAGGATATGGGCCGGGGTCGTCGTAGTTCTGTGCAGTCATGAGGGACTAATTAATTATATGCCTCGTATCTCTTTTGTGCAACAACCGGTTGATCCCAGACCTGCGACCCTGAGAACTTGTCAAGCGTTCAACATATCTCTCCCATGTGGAGAAACTTCATCATGCATATGGTGCCTACTCATGTGCTTCCAATTCGAAGGCAGGCTCCGAGCAGAATGGCCTTGGAATAGTTCCGCGCGCTCGACGAAATACTTAATTTAAAGGCTGAGCCATCAATCTTAGTTCTTGTGCGACCACCGTCGTCCTCATAATGTCCACTGATATCGACCACGTCGCCAATGCATCGCTCGCCCACCGTGCAACGTATTCGAGCTCGGAAAACGAGAAGGCGGGGTTGCATGCTGCTGAACATGAAGATGCAATCATCGAGCTCATGGATGACCATGATGTGTAGGTCGACCGTCTTTCCAAGGCGTCCAATGTATACTGAGTACACTTCCCAGGTCTACGCCCTTCCCCCTTGATCCCGATGCACCAGAAGAGACACACCAGCTTACTGTCCGGTGAGTAACAAGCCAAAAAACAGGTGCTTAGCAAGAGGACTCATGACTCACCTAGTGCTGTCTTCGTTGGTTGCGTCCTAGGCGCCATCGGTAACCATCCCCGCTGTCGCCATCTGACGTGATTGTATTCATATGTCTTCTAACATCTATCTCGGACTGAAGACCGGCTTTACGTTTGGTCCTCAACTGTTTGGGGTAAGAGGCCCCGTCTTATCTATCCTATCCTGTTGCTCAGTATTTCTAGGCCATCTTTGGGTTCGCCATCTTGAAACCTATTTCGAAAGCTCTACCAGAATCTGGCATCCTTGGATGGCTCTTCGGCGGCCCGTTCGGTCCCAAGGAGAACTGTACTGTTCAGAGGTAATCTCTTTTGCTTATCGAGTGGTCTTCGTACTGAGATAGACTCCTCGGAAGTGCCGCTACTGGTACGTTTATTGCGCCGCACTTCGCTTGTAGCTACTGACTCTATGATAGCCGCCGGTGGTCTCGGTATCTTGTTTGTTAGCGCTGTTCCGGCTATGTACAGACTTCATTTATTTTCTGAGTTCCCGCAAGACGACATAGGCAAATTGATCGCGCTGACTTGTACCGCAGGCTTCTTTGGTGTCTTTTTCGTCATTCCTCTAAGGAGGTATTACATTATTCACCAGAAGCTCACCTTCCCGACACCTGCTGCTACGGTACGTACACTTCGGCTGAATCTCCGGTCACATATTTGACAATTTTTTGAACAGGCATATACAATTCGGTCTTTGCATTTTGGAAAGAAGGGCGAGGAAGTTGCCAAGAAGAAATCTTGGTCGCTCCTGATTTCCTTTGCTATAACCTTTGTGTTCAAGGTCATGACCGGTTACGCGCCTGGTGTTGTGAGCATAATACCTGATATTGGTGTTACGTGAAGTTGACCATATTCCTCCAGATTTACGATTGGCATATCGGCTGGTCGCTTTCTCGAATTGGATATACCAGCATCATTGGATTGGAAAACTACGGCTGGATCATTGAATGTAGGTTTTCTCGTGTATACCTTGTTAGCCCGTTTTGACACTTATGCAAGTCACTCCTGCGTTCTTTGGTGCCGGCATGCTGAGTGGTCTGAATGCTAGTTGGAGTTTCTGTACGTGAATATTAATGGGTCGGCACATTGCAGTGATTGAGCTAATTAATACCTTCACAGTGGGTGGAGCCGTTCTGGCTTGGGGAATTAGTGAGTGAAGAAGTCATATCTGTAACTGATTGACTGATAGCAAGTGTCAAGTCGCGCCTTCTCTCGTTTCTACTGGCCGTGCCGTGGGTGTTCAAAGTTATCCGGACGAATTTCCAGAAATATGGTCATATACCGCGATGTCCTTCGACGATGCTAGCAGATACGTCAACTCGCCTTCTCCACGGTATTGGCTGCTTTGGCCAGGTTTGTTTCTACATCCAGCTCAAGACTCTGTACTTATTTGCATTTCCCTAGGCGTATTAATGATGCTGGTGTACTCTTTTGCAGACGTCGTGATGAGCTTGGTCCCGATTTTTGCAAGTAAGATTTCATAACTTGAATCATGGCACGTAATCCTGACCGTTGATCAGAAATGAGAAAGACTGGGGTCTCTATCAGTTTCAACGGACTCTTCACACGGCGGACCGAGATTAGCGAAGATGACGAGGACCAAACACCTCTGGAGCACAGAATTCCACTTTCATGGTGGACCACCGGTCTCTTTTTGAGTACTGTTATGTCTTGTGCGATTCTAGCCACGATGTTCCACATGAACGTGGGAGAGGCGATCTTGGCACTTATTCTAGGATTTATCTTCTCATTCATTGGTGTCCAATCTTCCGGAGCGACTGACATCAACCCAGTATCGACCGTTGCCAAGGTTTGTGAATTCCCTGGTCCGAGTAATTACAACTCATCTGACTGAACACATACCAGGCATCCCAACTTATCTTCGGTGGTATCGGAAAGGGCTCTGGCTTGGAACTGAAACCTGCAGAGACACTCAACCTTGCAGCTGGTGTCGTCTCCGCAGGCTCTGCGGCTCAAGCCTCCGACATGACCGGTGACCTGAAGACTGGCTACCTTCTTGGTGCAAAGCCTCGAAACCAGTTCATTGCCCAACTCTGTGGTTCCGTTGTTGCCATATTTTTGACCTCTGGTTTGTTCATCCTCTTCACTAAAGCTACACCCTGTATCCTTTATCCCGATGAAAACGGCGGTAAGTGCTTTGTTTTCATTCTATGTCAAATCTTCAACGATCATACAAGGTACCTGTACATATGGCGCCCCCTCTGTCTCCGCCTGGGCTGCGGTTGCCCTTGCTGTTGCCTCCCCGAATTTGCGTGAGTCCGACTCTCGTCTCTAGAGGCGAAATCTGACATTGCACCTCAGCCATTCCTCCTTCATCCGGATATACAGCTATCGCACTGAGCATCTTCAGTGTGATTTCAGTTGTCGTTAAGGTGTGTTAATCCAACATGGATACCATTGATTACTCATGGGTCACACAACAGCATCTATGGATTCCGAAGAAATATTGGATATATGTTCCCAACTGGGTAAAATATTCTTAAGCTCCTCAATAACATCAAACTTAGAAGTGAATCGACAGAACGCCGTCGGTCTTGCTTTTGTCACTCCTCAAGTGTACTACCCCATTGCCATGTATGCGTACTCACATCCGCATTGGATACGCTCGTCTCACATTCAACGCACAGGGCCGTCGGATCCGTGTTCAACTACTACTGGCAGAAGCGCAATCCCGCGGGGTATGACATGTACATGTTTGTACGTATCACTACCCTTCCTACACCCTTATATATAAGTTAACCCGCTTCTCTAGGCTATTTCTGTAAGACTTTCCTTGTCTTCCTATTCTCGTCTTAGCATTGTAACACAATTTCCCTAGGCTGGACTTCTTGCTGGAGAAGGCCTCGGTGGCGTATTCCAGGCATTATTGGCGGTTATTGGCGTTGACGGTGGCAGTAAGTAAATCGCCAGAATTCCCTTTAGCTTGTCTAATAGAGTCTAAAGGCGGCTATGGAACTATCATCGGCTGTCCCGCATTCGAATTCTGCGGCTAATGGTACTACGATATTCCTTCTCCCAGTCCTCGGGTTGTAATGCTATCATGAATTGCTCTCATATAATGTCAATATCATATTCGTTTCGTACATCATTTCGGAGGTCAGTCGTCTGCATCTCATCTCACCATTATACGGCAAGGTATCATCAGGCCCGCCAGACGCAAGGACACTGATAACTGCACTATGAAAAATATTTCTCGCTACCCTTTTTGGGATGATCACGGTATTTTTGACATACCACGCTCAACTCATGTGGACTCCTCTTCGTCCATAAGGCTACTAGGGTCATCCATTGGCGAACAACGTGCGTTATCTTCGATGCAAGGCATGCTTCCAATCACATCACTTTCTTCTATATAGACCATGTGCTTGATGCATATATAACACCTCGTATCGAAGGACAGTTCTCTGGTCATCTCCAGTTACCTAGTATCGGTATCAGTCCTCCAAGTAACAAGATATGCGCAGCTCTGTTGCATTTTCCGTTGTTCTTTTCGGGTTCCCAGCTGCCAAATCCTTATTGAGCCCAGCGCACAATACAACCCTGCTGAACAGAGCATCTTCGTTGAGCTCTGGATGTGGAACTTCTGGCGCCGAGTCCTGCTCATCCTCTTCCACCGGTCAAGACCTATGTTGCTTTGAGTCTCCCGGGGTAAGAAACCCAGCTCTTTCTAAAGTGAATTGCCTTCCTAAAGTCCTTGTAGGGTCTTCTGGTTCAGCCTCAGGTATGGCCTCTCTGACTTTTTCAGTAACCCATCTACTACCGAGGACTGAATCCTTATTATGAAGTTTTGGGACTCCGATCCGTCGACCGGGCCAAGTGATAGCTGGACCATTCACGGTCAGTACACGAAAGTCTCGATATATTCCTAAGAAATACTTACTCACTTTCGAATGGGGTTCAGGACTTTGGCCGGATCAGTGAGTGTCGAAGTCCTTGGGACAAACGGTCGTATTAATACCCACCAGTTGTGACTCCACCTTTGACCAGAGCTGCGATTCCTCGCGAGCGTATACGGGCATTGCTTCGGTATTTCAACTCATTCATTGCATTTGGGGAAGCTGATGTCCGTGTTAGTTGTTGACCAGTAATGGTGCTAGCGACACGCTGTCGTACATGCAAACTGTACGTCATTTATACGTTATCTGGGATGACCTGTTAATGCTGAACTCTAGTACTGGGTTGATATTAATGGTGATAATGAAGAGTTTTGGGAGGTAAGGATATACATGCTACGCGTCGTCCCATCCATTTACGCGTTCTCAAAGCACGAATGGAGCAAGCATGGGACATGTATGAGGTAAACTTTCTTTTCTTAAGCGCCCAAGAATTCCTGAGGGAACAATTATAGTACTCTCGAACTCGACTGTTTCTCGAGTATCACCAAAGGACAAGAGGTAGAACTTAAAGTATCATCAAGTTCGTTCAACTTAAACTCACCTATGTACCTTCAGGCTGTTGCTTACTTTCAATCGGCCGTGGCATTGTTCAAGGTCGGTCTTTTCGCAGAACCATGCGTCATTACTGATTATTTTGTGGACAGTCGCTCCCCACTTACGAATGGCTCGCTAATCAAGGAATTACGCCATCAAGTAGCACCACATACTCACTTTCCAAAGTGATAGCGGCTCTGACAGAGGAATCCGGTGTGAGCAGCAAAAAATTCCGAAATAAAAACACTCGTTGACCACAGGTATTTTCGTAGGGCTACACACCCGCCTTGGACTGTGACGGGAGTAACTTGAGCCAGATCTACTGGTATTTTCATTTGAAAGGTTCCGTCGTCGATGGCACATTCGTTCCCATCTGTATGTGGAACAACAGTCTCGTTTCCATTCGCTTATGACGCGATTTAGCTGCACCGGAAGCAGGGTCTTGTGGATCAACGGTCAAGTACCCGCCCAAGTCAGGCTCTAGTACGCCAACGTCTACTGTAAGCGGCCATTCAGGACGGGGGGGCCTTTACTAACCATGCTCTTAGACCACTTCAGTACGTAAAATATAGTAAAACTCACATAGCATCTCATTGTCGACGTTGAACCATGTATATAGTCCTCCCCCACTGGTGTATGTTGCCCGCGTCTTATTCCCGCTGCACTTTATTCAAAAGATTCTTTGATTAGACATCTGGAGGAACACTTCCTGCCAAGGCAACCATCGTGGCATTACAATCGGGATCACAGGTAGGAGGACTACTCTCTTTAGGAACGTGGTCCACGCAGACCTTGGCGACCTTCACGACGACTGGAGATGCCGATAGCTTCACTATGACCTCGTCGAAAGGCAACTGTGGTGTTAGCAGTGGTGCATTCACATGTGGCAGCGGGGTGTCTCTATCGACCTTCTCAACGGTAGGTGATTAAGTTGCTGGCCGTGACAAATGTATGACAGATTTAGGTCCTCTCCAACGGCGAGCTCCTCCTGTCATACAATGGCACGACCACCTTCAGCAGCGACGGGTCTCCGAGTGGAACGACAGTAGTAAGTTTGACGAATGACTCTGACGTCCGGGTACGATCTGACTGATATGCTTTGCAGTATACAATATATGTTGGCTCAAGCCACGATGAGGTTTATAGTCTGTCGATCTTTGAGAAGTGATTATCGCGTAGTTACTGGATTTGTAGTGCTACTGTTGCAGTTACTGTGAAGACTAGGGTCTGTAGGAATTCGTAAATCACTGCATCGATTAACCTTTGGGTGTGACGCTCACCATGCCACCGCCCTCAGACCATCCGTCACTGCATCTCACTGTCCTCCCCAATGATTTTTTTGTCGTGCAGCTCAAGCACCACGAAGGCGATGGTGATGTTTTGATCAACTTGACCAGTCAACCAGAGAGATTCTTCTCGTTGACTCGGACAACTGAAGAGGTGTCGGTCGTCGGGGAAATACATAAAGACCTCTCTCAGAGGTATCATGATCATTCTGGATGGCGTTGTATCAGAATTGCAGGCCCTATGAAATTCAGTGAGTCGACTCGTTGAGCTATAGGTAGCCATGCCCACCTTCGCCTTCCAAGACTTGACAGGCATATTAGCCAGTTTTACCCTGCCTCTGCAGAAGGCTCAAGTCCCAGTGTTTGCTGTGTCCACCTGGTATGTCCGTTTTTGCTATCGCCAGGGAATGTTACCAACTGCGTTGACAACGAGGAATACCGACTACGTGCTTGTACCCAAAGATAAGCTGGAGATGGCGGTGGGGGCACTGAAGGAAGACGGCTGGACGTTCATTTCGTAGTACAGTAATGATAGATTGAGCAAAAGAGTGCCAGGCCTCGTCGAGGTAGATGACAGAAAATGATGCAGCACCATTTTGAGCGAGGACCTGTCCATGGGCGCGACAGAATTCTGTCGCCTGCCCCTCTGCCTCTACCACCACCACCGCCTCTAGTGCTGCCTCAGTATTGTACTCATCGTTTCTTCTTTGTCCTTATCGACCTAGAATATTGCCTCGAGAGACTTCGGTGCTGCTCGAACCGCGCTCTCTCTCATATACAGGGTCTGGCGCCACTAATGGCTTCGTCCCCTTCAACGTCTGCAGCAGCGTCGGGTAGACAGACTCGTCAGAAACGCGTAAATCCCTCGCGTTCTGGCAAAGGTTGCCCTGGTATAGGAAACTGTGAGGCTGACACTCTCATATTGGATACCCAGAAGCGACAGCGTACGTATTCTTCTCCAAATTTGCCTTAGATTTTCGAGTCTCACTGGTGTCAATGCCCAGTCGAGAATGAACCATTGATTCCTGCCAATACTCTATTTTTCATGACGACCAATCTGGAGCTACTCCCTAAGAACTCCTCCTCGTCTGACGGCCAGCCCATGTTCAACATTCATGCCAATGAACGCTATTTTGAACGTCCAGAGGTCATGCAAAGCTACAGATTGCAACAGTCTATCGAGACGCCTGATTTTACCGAACTATCCCAGACCCATGTCGGGGGGCGGTTTAGGCCTAGAGGTTCCGACGACGTTCGTGGATATTATTTCTTACAACTGTGGCTCAATACTGATACTCTGAATGATTATATGCTTTCCCCTCTTATGTTCCCATGTCATATCACAGACCACACATGACACTTCAGATACTTATTACGAAAAGCGGCATCGCAAGTACGAGACCATGGAAAAACGCCAGCGTCTTCGAGAGAAGGAACAACTCAAGTATGAGCAGTACAAACTCAAGGAAAGGATTGAGCAGCTTCGTGGGATGGATGCCATGGCCTTTCTCACTCTCCCGGCGGAGTCATTCACTCCAAAGTCGTTGAAGGAAGAAGGACGCCGAACTTCCCTCCATTTCCGCCAGTGGATTTCATATCAATAATCCTTCACTCTATAAAGAGGGCGAGAGGCGGCGGAGGGAAATGCTCGATACCGCCACGACACTAGAGGAAAGGTATCGCATATTGTTACCCCCAGACAAGAAGAACTATCCCAAGAAGCGTAACAAAGAGAGTCAGAAAAAGCCCCCCCGCCCCAGCGTCGAAGTCAGAGTCTCGGAGGAGTATCAGACCGAGTGGGAGGAGAACGAGGTAGAAGAAGTGGAGAATCAGCACGAGACTGAAGAGGCCGAAATGTCCTTGCCGAAAGAAGTCTTGTATAACGAGAAACCAGTGACTCTCACAATCAAGGTGCCTCCTAGGGTTTCCTCTACCGCAACAACACCGGCACCGACACCCCCGACCATGCCTGCACCATCTGCGAAGACGAAAATGGAAGCGAGGTCCGTGCTTCCAATAAACGCGTCGCCGCCATTCAAGGCTGCAACGCCGGTCAAGGCCACTCCACCACTGCCCAAGAAACGAAGAAAACCAGATCTTATACCATCGACTCCAGCAGGAAGCCCACCTCCTCCCCGACCAACGTGGTCTGGAACTCGCCCTTCACCCTTCCTCTCATCTTCGCCCCCACCGGCTGTCGTTCCGCCCTCAGGACCTACTGCAGGGTCCAGTTCCCTGAGTCCTGTCTCCATAACCGGTCCTGATGAGATCCCCGGTTCTCCAGTCATCCCCCTCTTCGATGATCGCGCTACTCCCACTATATCTAATCCTGAAATCGCGACTCTTGATATAAGTATCAAGTCAGCATCATCTCCTGCGTCAGAAATAGACTTTATCATCGATAAGCCTGAGGAAGAAATCGAGGTTCATGCCACCTACAGGCACAGGAAGGCGTCCTCGTAAGCGGGCCCGACAATCCTACACCTACTCTGCCGCGCATTTAGTCAAAGAGTCAGTGTCTGCTCCCCCGCGTCGCTCTGTCACACGCGTAGCCGAAGTAGCTACACCCGCATCGCCTGCTCCTTCGCTCACATCCGTGCCCAAACCCAAAGCGCCAGGTTTCTTGCTATCTGCTGCTCTCAAGAGAAACCAAAACAACCCCCGTGGCACAATTGTCAGACATTACGTCGCCTGGGGGGTCAAACTTGGACCTGAGCGCAAAGGCGAGGAGAAAGAGTATGAGATACCGAGGGAGATACGTGAGGAGTCTCTTGTTGCGGCAGTTATGGCAAAGATTGAGGCGCAGTGTCCGGATGTTGATGAAGGTCCACCTGAACCTGTTGAAGGTTCTGGCCGGCACAGAGCTGGTGCGTACAGTTGAGCCTGAATTATTTGATTCCACAGAACCCTAGCAGACCTTTTTGCTTCCCATTGCTGTTCAACGCACATCAACACCCATCTTTATCGTATTTCATGTCGCCGTCCTTATTCATTATCGATAACTTGGAACTAAATTTTAAGTCGAGTAATTTATTAGTTATATTTCCACTGCCAAAAACCATTTTACTGGTCTACTGTAGTGATTTGACAACATCCAACAGCTCTTTCTGACCATCCAAGCGAATTGTGCTCTGACGCCCCGAGACCATCTGCGCATGCGTAACTATAGGAAGCTGCGTGACCGGCATACCCCACACCTTGTCATCTGGCAATCTCCGTTTATAGTTGCTCTTGAAACGGTGATGGGATGGTCCAAACAAGTTTACTAGTTGAACCTGAGGACGGGCTACACTCTTCGTTTCGTCCTCCATGCCAGGTCCCTTCCTTTCATCAACAAGCACCTCTGCCTGTGGCAGAGCGAAGTCGATCGCAGGATCGCGCAAATGAGGGAGATACGAAAATGAGACGTTTGGTTCTCGGTCAGGAATGACTTTTTCTTCAGACTCGAGCACTGCTTTGACGTGGGCATCTATCTCAGCATCCCCTGATAATACGATCTCAAGACCGTTATTTTGCCTTCTCCTGGGGTTGGTACGAGGTCGTCGAGGTCTGGTATTTCCTGTATTTCTCTGAGGCTGCAGTTTCCTGGTTTGCGCATTTCCCCTTTGTGCCCTCACTGGGCGGGTATTGGCCCTAGGAAGCTGTTTCCCGCCTTTCTCCTGAAGGCTTTCATCTTTCTTCGGCTGGCGCGGCTCCTTGGTACGATGATACTGCGATGTCTGTGGTTGTTCAAACAAGGCATCAAAGTTGACGCTCTCGACATATTTTTTGTGCGTATGGACACGGGCAGTCTCCTGAGGAGTCGGTATGTGGACAGCTGTGGCGGGTGCACCAGCCAAATCATCTAAATCCACGCTCTTGTAGTGCTCTTGGAACTGTTCACCAGGGACAGCCGGGGCCTCGCCTGGAGCAGAGGATACGGTCGTCTCGCTGGGAGGAGAAGATACAGTAGAGGTAGAAGATGCAGGGGGAACGTCATTGGAGGTAGCGTCGACGGCTGGAGGAGTAGCGGTAGGAGGGGGAGTAGGTTTTTGTGCATGGATCTTTATAAGACGCTCCGACAGCGAGTTTCCAGAGTATATCTTTATTTCCGCCCTATTTGCTAAACAAAGGCATATATGTCAAGATATTATTCCAGTGTACCACAGATATACGCACGAATTTTGATACCGTCAAGGTCTTCTGCTATCCTCTTTTTCCCGCCCCCGCCTATCCTGTCCAAAATCCTGGTGCTCAAGTCAGGGACGGAACTGGGAGCGGAATCTGTCGAGCTGAAGCGTATGCATTGCGTCTTGAGACAGCGTAGAGTCGGACCAGCACTAGGCCGCCATCCGAGCATGATACAGGACGTGACGGTGAGGACGCGAAAATGCCGAAAAGGGAAGAATATTGTTTGGCTTTATTGTCTTTCACCTTTACTCTGCTTCGCATGCATCCTTCAAGTTTCCTTGGTCGTCTGGTCGTCAATCTTACCCTCTTCCTTATCTGTTTTATCGCCTATTCTTCTCAGATATTCGTGATTTGGCCATGGTACGGCCGTGCAATTTCTGTCGACCTCATATGTCTTTTGCTTCCGTTCAAGTGAGCCGTGCTTACCAACCGCGCCTCAGTACTTATTTTTTTGCAGTCTTCTCGTTGGAATGCTTCTATGGAATTACTTTCTTTGCGTGTACACTGACCCTGGCGGTGTACCCAGCGGCTGGGTTCGTATCCCAGCTTCCTTCTGTCTGTCATCCTGACGGATGGATAGAAACCCGATACTCACGAGGATGGCTACGAAGTCAAGAAGTTAACTGGAGGGCCTCGGTATTGCAGAGCATGCAAAAATTTCAAACCCCCTCGAACTCACCATTGTCGCCAGTGCAATAGGTATGCTCCTCTTCCTTACCGACATTAGGCCAATCTAATCTCTTCCAGGTGCATACTGCGCATGGGTACAGCCTCTTTGACGTTTGAAACACCCCAGTCTCACGACTCCTAGATCATCACTGTCCTTGGGTTAATAATTGTGTTGGCCACTTCAATTACGGATATTTCATACGCTTTTTATTCTACGTGGATGTGGCATGCTCTTACCACCTTGTGATGATGACGCGACGCGCTATGGAAAGTCCAGCTGTTGTATATTGGGTGAGCATCTGTCCCTGTCCACCGTTGTGCATCTCATCTGGTCTCATTTCTAAGAACACAATAACGGCGACCGAAATAGTGTTCATCATCTTAAATTTCGTCGCCTGCGTTCCCGTCTTGCTAGCAGTCGGGGCGTTCAGGTTTGTTCGCTATAGGTCTAATATCATTCTACGCTAAAATCGGCTTCAGCCTCTTCCATTTTTCTGGCCTCATGTCAAATACGACTACAATTGAAGGTTGGGAGAAAGACAAAGTCGCAACGATGGTTCGTAGAGGCAAGATCCGTGAGGTGTGTATTTTGTTTTCATCTATCGGATTACCAGCTAAGTTACCCCGCGCAGATCAAGTTCCCTTATGTGTGTATTTTGACGACGGAACTCTTTTTCATGCTAACTTTCAGCTGTCTAGAATCTTGGTCGAAGACGCAACATAGAATCCGTTCTTGGTACAAATCCTCTACTCTGGTGCTGTCCTACGAGGGCGTTAGGCAACGGACTAAAATATGATATTAATGAGAGTGGTAAGTGGATCGAGTTAACGGAATCGCGAGAGCGATACGAGAGAAGCGAGGTATCTGGATGGGAAGCATGAATACGGGATATTCAGTGAGCAAATCATCATGCGGTCTTGCAGCCCAGTAAGCGCTCATATTTCATTCTCAAGTTCCTGCATCGTATCGTCTCGTTCTTCCGCTGCTGCTATCTTTATTAATTCTTGAGACTAATGGCTTTCTTCTGCGTTCACAGAAGAAAGTTTAGAACTGGACACATGGCCTCCGCGTGATCCAGCAGCAGCTCTATACGAAGACAGACCTGACGGTTTCCATCTTCCGGACTCCCCCTGGACATATGGGAATGAGACGATCAATCCTGACTTGAAGCCATCGAATTCCCGGTCTCGAAAATCCGGTCAGAGACGGACAAAGAACGGGCATGCGTCGACACTCCCACCTTACCATCCAGATTATCAAGAAGGGGCTAGCTCTGGATACGATTATGAAGATGATTCGTCAGATGAATCATCTCCTGATGAAAGCCATGCTCTAGTGAGACGAGGATCGGAAGGATACGAGGTGCGGCCTCAAGGAAGGGAGGACATGCTGCATCGTTACCTTCTGGAAATAGGGGAGACACCTGGTCGATACCATAGATATATCCCGCAACCCGATTCGGAGTCAGAGAGTGACGACGATGATATACCAATTGGACAATCCCTTCGGACAGAAAATAGAGAACAGTAGTGACGTGTGAATAGATTACTGTTACATAAGATAACCTTATGGACTGCTGTAGCTGCTAATAGTAATAATCTGTTATACTAATAGAGCATAAGGACAGTTTCAAGGCCGAAAAATATGTACTGCTAAAATACAAGTGCGCATAGCCAATTACTAGGAGGTACTAGTAGATAGGATGCGAATATATGATTAAGCCATCCTCTGAGTGTACACTTTCCATATCAGACCTCCCTTCTCACCTACTTCCAGCGTGCTGCTTCCAAGAGGTACATCTACAGACCACTTGCTGCTGTGCTCCTCCAGCTCCTGAACAACCGATCCATTAATTTTCACTTGTACTTCCCCGAGCTTGGGCTTCTTTTTCGTCGTGCGTACGGGTTTGACCTTGACGCCACCGCCTTTCGGAACTTTGGGTGGTCGACCACGGCCCCGCTTGACTTTCTTCTTTCCATTCTTCATTGAAGCATCCATATCCATGGCATCCTCATCATCCACCTCCTCTTCCCCTCCGCTGCTCTCTTCGTCGTCGCCCATAAAGGATATCTCCTCAACACGGAGGCTCTTATCTTCTGGTCCCAGCAGCATTGACCAGCTTCTCACGCCATCTCGGTGATCCAGATTGAACTGCCTTCCGCGAGGCTCTGTCTTAATCAGAACAAGACGTAATTGATGAGCGTAATTCACTGGGGGTGACTTGGACATTGAATGTGCTTGGGCTGTTTGAGCGACCATGGCGACTTGAGGATTGGGGACTGGAGTGGCAGAGTTCTTTGATGGAGCAGCGGGTTGAGCAACGGCCGCATTGACCTTTGTTAGATTAACCGGTTTAGAGTACTGCGAAAAGGTAATGTTTGCGTGGGCTGGCGGCATGGTAGGCGTAGGTTGAGGTTGAGGAGTCGATGAAGATGAAGGGACGTGTGCTGATGATGCGGGAGTCGCCACTGGGGCGGGTGCTGAAGGAGCGGGTGCCGGTGCAACCGCTCGCACAGTGGCTGCCGGAGCAACGGGTTTCGGCGTCGGCTGAGGAGGAGATGGCAATGGGGTGCTCTTCGCAGGTGGGACCCGTACAGCTATGGTAGAAGTGTGTGGTAATGTGGGTTCTGGCGCAGGTGCATGCGCTGGCGGAGCAGGTTGAGACGCGGCAGCCTTAGAAACTGAAGCGTTTGACGCAGCTCCCGGCACCTTGATCTTGATCTTGTTGGTCGTAGGCTTTGAGTACCTCTCAATCGTGAATGGTGGGGGCAAGTCTGACATTAGTCGACGGAAGTCGTTCTTTGAATACCATCAATGACAGAGGTTATTAAGATTAAGTGTAAACGCACTCGAAGAGTAAGAGCATCCTCCCATATGAGGGTATGTTCTTGATTAAAAGCCAGAGCATTTGAAAAGACTAGTTCCACATCATCAGCAAATTCATCCGCTGTGGCATATTCCTTGCGCTTGACACGTTTCTGAGTTGATGATTAAAATAAGTAAATTTTGAGATATTATCCACGCACAAATATATTCTCTAGACATTGAGGGTGTTTGATTTCCTTATAATAGATCGCCCAGTCTTTCTTAGACGGTAGCTCCATGAATTCAGCTGAGAGGGTTCGACCGCTACAAGGATAGCTGGCATTAGCTCGGGGGTATATGCAGAGAGTGTTGGACATACTTATCATCAGTCTTGCTGATAAGCTTCTCGAGCCTTGATTTTGCTAGACGACTGAGACTAGGAGGTTTGTTTTTCTTCTTGCCATCTTCGCCAACTTCCGTCCTAGTCAGCTCCTTGTACGTTTTGCTAGCAAGTTTCTGGAAATGATTTAGATGACAAGAAGGCCAGAGAGCAATCGTACACTCGCTTGCAAGTCCTTTGCATCCTGCCAGATTACGCTGTCTGGGTGATTATAGTTTTTTGCGTTGGTGAAACACAAGTCGAAATCGAACTTTACGGCCTCGAGGTTAGGATAGGCATGGGAATTGAGTTTTTTCTTGATATCGTCGAGGGCAATAGGCTGCTTGATTAGCTCGAAATAGTCGGGGTATTGACGTTTAAGGGGTTTGGTGAGGAAAAGGGTGGACAGAGATCTACCGCTGGGATTGTCGAAAGGGCGAGGGATGATGGTTGTGAAGAAAAGAGAGCACCAAATTGGTCAGAACAGGAAATGGGCCGAGTGCGTCACAACTTACTCTTTGTTGACTGCGTCCTTCACCGTCTGCCAAATCTTCATTCCCTGCTCTCTGACCTCATCCTCGCTGGCCACTTCGCCCTCGGAAATGGGATTTACTGGATCCGACATGGTTACATCGACGTCTGAAGATGACGGCTGGTCTTTCCGTCGTTTGGCTCGTGATCCCTCATCCACTGTCGACGACCCCGGATGATTTCGTTTGCCCATGACACCGCTCGTTGCGAGTTGTTTCTCGCTTAGTTGCTCGAAAACAAGGTGCGGTATATAGGCTTTGGAGGGAGTACGAGCGGAAAAATGGTCAAAATATTGGGTTCCTTGGGCCAATGTAAGTTCGTGGCACGTGATAGCGTTGACGCGCCAAACTCTAGAACGCGTCAATAAACAAGTACTAACAATCCACGATCAATTCTGAAAGACCGAAATAGTATCAAAATAGTATTTGACCTTGGTAGCAAAGTTCAGTTTAAGCCGAAGACCAGTACGAGCTAGCAATTGTCCTTGACCGCGGGAGTTCAAACATTCACGCTTCACCAAGCGTGTAAAACATTCTTTGGAAACGGAACTTTGAGACTCAGAATCTCGGAATCTCGCGAACAGAAAATCTTCATGCTCAAAGCCTCGAGTTCAACGTTCGTTCCTGCTGGTTGTACTCAGGTATCAGGCATGATGCATATTGAGAATTGGTTTTCACGGCTCTAACGCCACCTGCTATTTATACCTATTTACCGCTTACTTTATACTTTGACATCTCGTACCTATTTCTACTTGACTCCGACTACCCACTGTCTCCGTATCTACGACAGAATATACCTGCCTTTCGAGTCAACCACGTCCTCTTTCCGAGTCGCCACCACCTAAACTCCAACAATGCATGTGAACAGTGTAGGACTTCCCTAGATGGTGACTATTGCTGCCTCAATACCAAGCTTTACTGAAATAATCCTCAACAGATCAGGGTAAGTCAGTATCGAGGTGGATTACTTATCTCCGACTCTGGATGATCCTGGGAATTTTCGGTGTTTACTGAGACGCGGCGAGGTTCGAAGGACCTCATACCTCTCCATCGCAGCACTGTTATTGCGGAACCTACATAAGCATCTCACAAGCGAAACAGACACATGCACATTGGGACACATAATATTTATAAGGTGCGTACAATATCTATCTGCTAACGATTCAATCCGAATACTTGACTCTATAGACATTCTCTACTTAAAGTTCATGGCAATTCAAATGGTCATTTCTATGCACCCACCACCCATCATGCAGAAACGTCAGGTCTATAGCATCGACAACCTAGCAATCCTGCTCTCCAACATTAACCGTCTGGCGGCCCTGGAGTGATTATTCAATCCCCCCTCAAACGCCCAGGTCGCGTCTTTCCACTTTTCCGAATCCGAAGTACCTTCTTGATCTCGAAACGAGTACTTTCGTAATATTGCAGCACCGCCAGGCTAGAGAGGCTCAGTTATCAGGAACATAAAATATGAACAAAGTCCTACATGTTCTCCCATATAGCTCGTCGCGTCGATGACGAAATCATCAATCAAGAGTATGCATCGCCCAAGAGAGCCTTGAATGTACTTTTGAACATCGTCGATCGTCCAACTGGGGCCGTCCCATTGGTCATCCTCTACAGGAGGAACTCCATACGCGCTTTTGTGTCGCATGTACTCGACTGCCTCTAACATGTCGTCTTTTCTCGCGCGCCGTAAACCCGTTGCAAGTCCCAATTTATGAAGGCCGACAATTATCCATTTCGATGGGTCCCAGTCAGCCCTAGAGGGCCCTGAGCGGAAGTCGTGCGGGAACGTGTGCTAAAAGTGAAGTATATCATTTAGGGCCCAGTTTCAGCAATTGGTAGTGCATACATGCTGTGTTTGACACATGAGCGCCTCATGATTTATGCAAAGTCAGGGTGAGTAAACTTACAAAGTTGTGGTTTCCTTCTCCGCCGGTCAGGAGCGCTAAAAGCTGGTTTGTGTTAAAATAAATATCAGATGCGGACTCGAGTAATGCAGATGACTGACTAGATTTCCTCTAGAGGTGTCTTCGTCAGAGTAAGGTTGAAGACCATCCCAATGGGCAAGCCTCACACCAGAAGGTGAGCTTTGGAAAAAGCCAATCATGCTCAGGTACTCACGAGTTGACCAGAAAAGTACAATGCCAAACTGATATGCCGTCCATCAGAAATTACCGTTAACAAAAGTGGACGCGCTTACTAGCAAGTCTAGACACCAATCCGGCCCAAATGAATGCTCCCTTTGGATCTCCCCAAAGATTCCCTATTATTGGGGGAAACGCAAAACCCAAGAACAAGGCAATTGGCACTGATTAACGTAGTCTATAAGTTGCCTGTGCGCCGATAAGATATGTGAAACGCTTTCCATAATATTTATGTTGGAAACGCACGACTGAACTCGGGATATCAAAGACACGGGCGAGAATATTTGATTTATGACTTACCAGGGTCACTGTCAAGGTCATCACGATCGATAAGTTCCATTCTTCGATATGTAGGCTTGAAGAATATCCATCCCATGTGAGAGTAGAGCAGCCCTCGAGTTGCAGCGTATCTTCACGACAATCAATAATGGCGTGCATCAGAAATCATCGAACGTGGCTCACGGGTCGTCCATGGGATCATCCGTGAATCTCTGAAGACCTTCTACGTGAGCAAATGAAATTTGAAACAGATTATCCGACGTACATGATGTAACCGATGTCGGAGACACCTTCAAACCCGGTTAAGTACAAAGTTGCTTCTCATATTGTTAATGGACCTTCTTACCACCACTAAATGCGCTGCACGTCAATATAGACTATTGAAAGCGTAAAGAGATAGCCCGACCTTGATAGAGCCCTGGAACCCCGCCGAACCTAATGCCGCTAAGACGATTCTCACAGCTGTGTTAGCGCGAAATGCACGATGGGAATACAATCTATGGTATCCGATGGTGATGCTAAGTGGGTTGCTTAGAAACTATCTTTGTTGATGGACGGACTCGAACATACCCAAAATCCGCAAGCTGCCACACCAAGAAAGCAAGGAAGAGACTGGCTCGATGCACGGCGTAGACTGGGAAGTAGTAGACTCCTATAAAGGCGGCGATATGGATAGACACAAAGAAAATAGCGTTGCTCCACCAAATCTTGGGAGCGGACAGGGCCTTTGTATCACTTCCCATGATGGTAGTCGACAAGAGAGAACGGGAGACAGAAGGATGCCGTGGATCACCTCTGGGCTTTAAGTAGTTGGTAACGTAATGTCTCTGGGGTCATCCCGATCGCGTTGCTGGACCTGAATCGGTGATCTAAGCGCGCCACACAGAAACATCCATAGTACGTGAACAATTTGCCGGCCGAAAGAGATTTTCATTTCGAGCGGGTGACGGTTCGAATACCCATCTTATAGGTATGTCTTCTGCCCTTGAAAGCAGAAGACATACCTTGCAAGTACCATAGGACCCATTCATGCTGCTGCGCCGCAACAAAAGGGTAGGTACAACATTCGGATCGCCCACTCCTTTTTGCCTCGAGGACCGTTGGGCGCTCAGACCGTCGACCTTCGTTTGACAGACATGCCGCGAACCATTTCAGTATGGGGTTTCATCAAACCTTCAGCGTCTTGAAAGGGTCGAGCGAGTTCAAATCTAGTAGTCGATTATCCCGCGACAATATACATCATAGTTTCCTTCCAAATTTCTCACATACAGTGTCCAAGATAGCCCTGACTTGTCCTACCTTTAGACCATCTGTCTGCCAAACAGCCCATTCTCGCTCGGTGCTGACGCCCATACCCAAGGCTTCCCGTCGGTATCGCATCTCTCCGTCCCGCCAAGAGCCACCAGACATGTGGAGCTCTTCAAGTCCCAGCGGTAGCAATGAGACGAGGATCGGTTCAATGGTGTCAACATTCACGCCTGAACCAGGGAGGATAGTGAGAGGCCATGAATCACCCGCAAGTTGTTCAGCGACACGGAATAGTGAAGCAAGGGTGTCGATAGAATCTACAGCTGTTTTTCCATGTCCGCTGGGAGAAGTTGATCATTGTCCAATTTAGCGTGGAATTGCCATATACCTTGTCAGTATACGAGATATACCACCAATGTTGACTACATCCCGGAGGGCTTTGAGTTGCATCAACGAGTGGTTCAACCAAGTACTTTGACTATACCTTCGATATGGTCCCTTGTCATGTCAAAAGCGCGGTGGAAACATACTGCTTATCATTAGAATAGGACTGCCGACAACAGGTCAACGAACCTTCTAAAGGTAAAGCAGCGTCAACAATACTAGGTGCACGATCAAGCTTCAGAAGGGCTTCGAGACATCAATCCACCTACCGTTTCGTGCGTTCTGTATCAACTCGACCTTCTACAGTCAAGATTCCCGCAACAATACCTCGGATAGGATATCGCTTGAAGATGCGTATGTCCTGGAGCATGACATCGAGTTCATCGCCGCTATATAGAAAGTCGCCAGCTCTAGGACGAATCATGACCTAAGGGATGCAGGCCACGGACTATCAGATAAGACAGGAATTCGACACACCATAATCGGGACGTCAGGTGCAGCTTTCAAAACTGCCTTGAGTAGTCCCAGACTTGGCGTTGTGCCTCCTCCAAGTCCTAGGTTGCCGCATAGCTCCAGTCGGTCTGCCCCCGCCTGGACAGCGCTTGTGAAAGTTATTAAGACAAACTAGATAGATTTGCTGACTTGTACTAACTTTTTGGCGGACTGGACTGAATCTACACAGACTTCGAGGGCGACAGAGAATGACCGGTCCATGAGACGCGTACAGATTCCACAGTACCTCCGAGCCCGTGGTTCGCGGCAGGGAAGGAGGCTTCCAAAGAAGGAGATCGCGTGCTCTTGACGTAAGCAGACGTCACGGGCCCTGCTACGAGCTGACCCGATTGTTGACCTTAAAGCTATGGAAGTGAGCCCTGCAACGATGCCACTACGAAGATGCTCCAAGGGAGAAAGTCAATGTATTCATACAAGGCGAGATGCACAACAGCATTTTTGGTGCCAGAAAAATCATCGCGGTGTTAAATCAAGAGTTGCATGTTTCGACCCGGACCCTGACATCCTAAAGGAACAATAGGATGCCACCACAACTCCAATTCCATTGCATGCACCTCAGAAATGATACTCAAAAATTATCTCAGCTTACCATATGCTTACATCTGGTTACCTTCTCTCGCAGTGATGAAAATGTCAGTTATGCATGCCGAAATTTGAGGAACTCAAAACTTGCTCGCGAAACTTCAGAATTGGGGCTCGCATCTCGGAAATAGTGAGGGAATCACACACATACAAAATTCCATGTAATTTGATGGGGAAACGGAGAAGATATAACTGAAAAGTGATATTGCGACTCGACGGACAAAAAAAGCGATCGAGCCCAAAAAGGCAGCTGCGCCAACTATTCTGCAAACAGCAATAAAGACTATGGAGTGAGCCCGGCAAGATGACCCTCGTCCAAAAGATTACCTCTGTGTTTGCCTTCCGCTCCCTTCCGACAACCGTGCTCACGTCTCTCATCTATCTCGCCATCCTTATTTCAGTGCTCGTTACGGATGACCTGCCAGCAGTCCCAAAAAATAGGAAGGGACTAGATTTAGATCAGGCGTACTCAGACCTTCACAAGGTGATGGGCTGTTATTTATTTCCCATTTTGGCGCTATTATTTTACATTGTATAACAAGATTGCAGAACGACCACATCCGTACAATTCTCATGCAAACGACGCGGTCAGGTCTTTTATTTTAGGACGTGTTCACGACATAGCTGCTGGACACAAGCATGTCCACATCGCCGATGATATGGTATCGAATGGTTCCTGGGCTTCCGGAGCACACGGAGTGTACTTTGAAGGCACGAACATCTTGGTCAAAATTGACGGCACAGAGAAGGAGTATACTGAACGCGGTGGAGTCTTGTTCTCGGCACACTACGACTCGGTTTCCACTGCACCTGGTGCTACAGATGACGGAATGGGTGTAGCGACACTGCTTCAGCTTGTAGAATTCTTTGCCAAGAATAGGCCAAAGCGGACTGCTGTCTTTAACATCAATAATGGGGAGGAGGACTGGTTGAACGGTGCCCATGCGTATGGCATGCTGTCTTATTCTGTCCTAATGCTCACCTATTGTCATACAGTTTTCTGGTTCATCCATGGTCTAACATCACAGATACCTTTCTGAACTTGGAAGGTGCGGCATCTGGAGGGTATGTTAAATCCTATTCACTGATGCATCGTGTCTTACTGTGCATCGTGTCTTACTGTTGCATTAAGGCGTCCGACCCTCTTTCGTGCGACCTCAAGCGCACCACTGCTTTCATTCCTCAACACGCATGTACCCCACCCTCATGCCAACGTCCTATCACAAGATGCTTTTGCACGAGGCGTCATTCGATCCGCCACCGATTACGAAGTATATTCCGCCGGTGCAGACATCGACGGACTGGATCTAGCATTCTACAAAGGACGAAGTAAATATCACACGAAATTCGACGCCATTCCTTATACTGTAGGGCAGACGCGGGCACTCTGGGCAATGATGGAAGCTGCGAGGGGATCCGGTGTCGCTCTGGTTAACGACGATGGATCAATGCATCGTAAAGATTCAAGTCCAGCTGTGTATTTTGATCGTGAGTCCTGCGTGATCGGATTGACTACAAGAGATTGACTTAGAGGACAGTGTTTGGAGCCGCTCTCATCCTCTTTCCCTTGAGTTCTCTGTTCACTTTCAATGTCGTATTGTTGGCTGTCGGTCCTGTGGTTCTAATCCTACTCTTGGCTTGCGAAGCCGCTATTCGACACAACAGACGAAATGACGAGAACGGCAGTGTCCCTGGCAGCCACGACAACTTCTGGGGTCACTTGTGGAACTCAACAATATCATTACGATGGTTGAGTGGATTTTGGAGATGGTCTAAATTTTGGTTCGCCATACTGGTGACTGTGGGGCTACAAGTGTTATTGGTCTTCTCTTTCGTAAAAATCAATACTTTCGTACGTATTGGTGTCCTTGTCTTTGTTCTTTGTACTCACAACGCTTGTAGACCGTGCACTCATCGCCATACCTGGTGTTCTTGTCCTCCTTCACGTTGGCCTACCTGTCCATTGTTCCCATTCTACAGCTTCCCATTCCTTTCCAGAAAGCATCGGCACCGGAACAGCAGAAGCAAACTGTACTCTTGCAAATGTATTTTTTGACATGGGTCTTTTTGCTTCTTGCTACCATCGCGATAAGTAAAGCTAGCATCGGAGGCGTCTACTTTGTCACTGGATGGAACGCACTAGTATTCTTAGCATGCTGCGTCGGATGCGTTGAGGGTATGCTTGGTGCCGAGGGTACCACGCCTTTCCTCGTCTTTGTTACGCAGCCCACTCCTTTGGCTGAGGAGGAGCAAGGTGTAATGGAAGCCCCTACGGAGACTACTCCGTTGATACCCAGGACTAGGCATGATGTCCATGTCGTAGGTCAAGAAGAAACTGGGGCCATCGGATGGTGGATATTGCAGATGCTCATCGTTGTGCCCGTGCCAGTGATTTCAGTTGCTCACATTGCTGTAATTATGTTGTCGGCTATGCCACAGACATTATCGGATGGAAGCAGCGCTGTGACAGGTTAGTTCTCTCGTCGCCGATTTACTCTTCAAATTCTTTCTTAACTTTCCCTTAGTCTATGCAGCCGTGGCTTCCCTCGCATGTTTGATGGTTCTCCCAATAGCCCCGTTCAGCTTCAAATTGCACCGCTTTCTGGCCTACATTTTCGGCGTCATCTTCGTCCTTGTAACGCTCTATTCCTGGTTCGCATTCCCCTTCTCGCAGGAAGAGCCACTGAAGGTCTATTTCCTCCAAAACTTGACCCTTTCCCCTACGCTTGAAACTCAAGCTGTCACGACGCTCGCCGGGGCATCTGAGTACATCATGGAACTGATATCGCACTTGCCTTCGGCGTCGAGTCGGGACATCTCGTGTAATTACTCACAGGCAAGGTTGTCTTTGCAATCGTGCAGCTGGACGACCGATCTCATACCTTCGCCCGGTGGAAACCATACGTCGGATACTTGGCTTCAGACAAACGTTACCCGTCTTGGGACCACATCGGCGCGCATATCTGTACAAGGCCGAAACACACGTTCATGCCGGATATATTTCGAGACCAACCCTATTATTCGATATGATGTACATGGAGGAAGTGTGGGGATGCAACCTCGGTACGAAGTACCGGAGGGTGGAATCAAGGAACTGCGGATATGGAGTCGTACTTGGGACAGAAACTTTACTGTTGATGTGGAATGGGTTGATGGTGCGCCGGATATGGGAGGGAAGAGTGGCTTGTGAGTGGAACGAGTACGAGAGCGGCAGCGTTGGCGTTGGTACAGGTGGTCGAATTCCAGCACTGGAGGAAGTGTTGACGTTTTTACCAAATTGGGCGGTGGTGACAAAAATGACTGACGGATTGGTGGAAGTTTCTTCTGAATTTCGGTTATAGGCGTGCCGGGGACTCGTAGTGTAGGTAGTGATTGTCGAGTAAGATATATATGTACACAAAACGGTATGGGAATGCATTTTTGTAATTGCTGTAAACCTGTGATTGCCAGCGCAAGAATCATTGAGAATAATATAATATGTAAGCAGAAAGTTATAGATTGAAATTTGAACCACAAGAGTAGCAAGAAAGGATGTTCCGATATTTTTTGCTGGGTGTCACTCTCTTTCAATTATCATCAACTTCTGCGTAGTCCAACAACGCTTTGACCAGCACAATCCACTCCGTAAGGGGCAACTTGAATGATGTTTGAAGACTCTGGCAGCAAATCGGGTCCTTTACATGCTCAGAAAGAACAAGAAGGTCCTTCCTAGTACATATCTTCAGCTTATCGAACTTGGCTTTTCAAGTCCTCCCTACCCATCTGTCGCAAAAATGGGCGGACAGCGTCAGCCGTTGCCGAAGCAGCATTGATAGTGGTAAAGGACTGGCTTTGCGGAGTGGCGTTGGAGAGGCGGGAATGAGATAAGCTAGTACCAGGGACGTCGTGATGCGCCGGTAGGAGACGAGATTAACACAATAGCTGGACCATTGGACTCCTGGTCGTCGCGTCGCGTTTTAGATAGCGCGCGAGTCTTTTCAGCCAGGACTTTTCGCTTGGCCTGTCGCAAAGGACGCACATGAGAAGCTATAGTCAGTTCAAAGGTTCGCGAGTTAATTTGAAGAACCCCATGAATCATCAGCCTTACCAGTAGACATGCCTGGCATAATAGTCACGCGTTTGTGGACCTTTGGCGACGATGTCACCTTGAGGTTGGATGTATCCAAATAATACGCGTCTTCCTCAACGTTGTCATTGTAAAAGTTATCTATGACGCGCCCAAGCGTAGCTCTGGTGATATTGAACTCTTGCATAACCGAGAACTCGGAAATCCCGACTTGTAACGCGCGCCGCAATAAGGCACGACGCGGACGCGTCATCGGAGGTCGACTAGATGGTTCGTATAACGATAGATACACAGCAAAGAAAAATACGCCTACTATTGATGAGTTGACTGAGCCATTGTTGGTGCTACGAGGAAAAGAGTGTGAGAACATCCAGGACGGAATGATTTAAACATTCAAGAACACTCTCACAAGTCTTCTTCCCACGTAAGTAGATACATAGACGTAAACACATACAGCTTATCATTATAATACATGCCAGCGTTCTAACTATCATCAGCGCGCGAGATGTTCGTAAACATTAACAATCTTTCTCACATTCGGACAAATTGCAAGCCTGACCCTCTCGCTATCTGGCACGATGCCCTTACCCCTGTTCTCAAGCCATTGTGAGAAGTCAGTAAAACCACCAGCCCAGACGCTGCCCTTCCTTGCCATCTTGGCAAGTTTGTCTTTCTGGAATGACCATTTAAGATTGTGCATAATGGGGAGAAGGGTCCGAGACACGGTGAGCGAAGATGACTCCACATCCGGTAATACATGGGACTGATACAGCCCTTTTAGAGGGGCGTTGTCAGGCGCGGAAGATCGTCGCAGAAGATGTTTCGAAACGACACGTCCAACGTGACGACGAGAGAGACGCAAACTTGATTCGTATTGAATGATGGACTACCAGAGAAGAACGTTGTCAGATAAGCAACGGGTCGAAAGTAAACCGTCTTACGCCAAGAGTATACACATACGAGCCCATTCTCCATCGTCGCTCAATATTCAGACCTCGCATTACGCCTCGGTGAATCAGGTCTGAAAAGGAGGGCCGCAGTGCGATACCCTCAGGGCTTCGTCCGAATAGAGCATGCTTCACCCGCGACGGAGTAACGATGCGGAGACGATTTGTGTGCAAAACCGCGTCAGAAGCAAGCAAGGCAAATTGGGGCGAAACCTGGGCGATAGATGCGAGATCCGGGAGGTCAAGGTAAGAAACTAGAGGCATTGGTTCACCTGAGCTGCGCGTGTCGAATCACGAATATTGGGAGAATGGACATACGAATGTGCAGTAATATTTCTGGGGGTATACCGTCGACCAGCATTTCAGAGGTACTTGGTGCACAGATAACCGAGGTGGTAGATACTAAGGACAACGAGGTCGCCATGATATCCAGCTTGAAGCTTCCCACCGTGGGCTAGGCATGGCAGTGATCATATCACGTGCTCCAAAGTCATAAGGGCCGGTCAGACGCGTCTCGGTGTCTAATTGGAGTGTAGGTTCTAAATAACTGGATTTCCGTAACAAACGAGGAATTTATTATGTGTTTACAATTAAACACTAATCTTCAGTTCTTCTTCTCTCTTCGCTCCCGAACAGCCTGCACCTTCCCTTCGACAAGCGCTCTGTTTTTCAGCAAGCAAAAATCACCCCAACTATTAAGTTGCCTCCACTTCTCGCCAGGCATCCACAGTGCTCGACTTAACAATGGTGAGTGATGAGCATCAAGGAAAGGCTTGCAATAGATTTTCTCCCATATATCGGTAAGAGTGCTGTATCTGGGTTCTAATGGGGAGGACGAAGGATGAGACGGAAAGTCAAGATCCATCAAATAATCGCAACGCGATACAGGAACCTGATGACAAACCGTGAGTATATATGCGGCTGGACTTCTCTCTGAGGAACTCACATAATGCGACGGTTCCTCCCGGTTCAAATCGTTCATGTCTTTAGGAATGTGCCTAGTTTCGGGCCTTGGCCACAATCCCACAGTGTCGTTAGTGCTCTCCCTGAAATGCCCCGGGAGAAGACCATCGAACTCGCTCTTGACGAACTCGACATTCACGCCCGTCGGAACAAGATAGTGTCCCGGGAAGCGATACCATTACTTTTCCGATGCAAAGTGTAAGCTCAAGTTCCTTGACAGGGCTGAGGTCGATTCTCGGCTGTTGAACTTTCTTATTCTTTGGGGTTCCGATGGGTGGAAGCGGAGTGGGGAGCAGCCCTGTCTCGTTGAGAAGTGTCGGTATTTCCTGGGACTCCAAGGCGTACATCAGTGTCATGGGGGCGTGATAGTAGTTCCAGAGGGCTAAGATGCGGGACGTCGAGAGAAGAATAGAGCAGAGAACAGCTGATGAGGTGAAGGACCGGAAAATGGGGGAGTGAGCCGCCTATAGTGATGTCAGATGTGACACGATTATAGATGCCATTTACGTACTCGATATGGCGACTTCGTTATTTTGATAAACGCTGTTTCTAGCCAGCCCCGAATCAAATATACGCTAATTGCAGCATTAAAGCACAGCATTGGATACGCCGGGAACATGAACCGCTCCTCTTTGTGTTCTTGTTTGCTCAATATTGACAACCACAGGTAGAAGGGAGCAAGTCGTAAGGCTAGCAGAGTAAAAGGAGAGCTTTCTTCTTTTCTGGGCTTTGTGGATCCTAGACGCTTGCGATCTACTGCATACGTGACGGCGAGAGCAGGCAAGGAGAGTAAGGCCAATGGAGTGAGGACATTGAAGTTCAACAAGAGGTTGAGAATGTAGAAATTCCATGGCTCCGTGCCATATAGGTTTGGTCCGCGATCTGAGAAGATGTTGTACCGGACAATGTTCCAAGGTACAACGGAAAGTTTTCCGTAAGCAAAACTATCGATGGCTACCACAGGAACCTAATACAAAGCTTAAAGGTAAGGCGAATCTTAGCGAGAAGAAGCTCACGAATATGAGAGAGGCTAATACGCCTGCGCCGAATAGACGTTTCCATCTCGTTGATATCCAAGATACGTAGGAGGCAGAAGGAACCGTATCAGCACCGAACACGAAGAACTCTTCAAATACAAAGGGAACTGCGAGGGCAAGAGCGAACGGCCATCCAACAATGGCGCCAGTAGCAAACATGATCGTTGAAACTATAGTTTTCCTATGACCCTTTACAGATGAAGGGGCAATAGAGTAGGCAAAGGCCACACTCGACGTATACATTGCAAAGGAGGAAGGAAGGAAAGCTGATGGACAGTTCAACAGGAACCGAAAAGAGGGCGGGGTCTTTCCTACCTGTTGATGCATTCCACATTCCGGCGCTAAACGCTAGCATGAAAAACAAGTACCGTCCGACTCTCTGATTGACTTTCTCGTAGACTTGGCGATATAGGATAACTTCACAGAACGTGCTGATAAAAGCGAGAAAAATCCGGACTGCGAAAAATGACGGCCGCTGAGAATCACGTATGAGAAATTTAAGGTTTGGGGTTGAATTTAGAGTTCACCTTGTCGTTCTCTGCGATAAATGACGCTAGACGGGTGGGAAGAAGGTGCAGCAAGGACATATGTCCAGCTACGAATTGCGTATTCCGGCGAGACTTCCCAAGTCTGAAAACCATATCCTTTGTCGAAGTAGTGAAGAGGTTCCCAGAAATTAAATACTGATCATGTGTAAGCGGATGAGGTGGCGCAGAACTAACAGAATTTACCTTCGTCGCAGTCATCGATGTTTGAGTACATTGCACCCATGACACGTATTAGGAGGATAATGCGGAATGCAAGGCTGAAGCTTGGACTCCATGGTGGCCGGTCAGACCTTGGAAGCGTTAAGACAAAACGCAGGCAAATTACCACTACGACTTACCGCCTCAGTTGATCTTGAAGAATACCGGAATGTCTGTCCTGTTTCTTCGGCTTGGGCGTCGCATTCTCTGTCTGTGGGCGTCGCAATCGAATACTTTGAGTTGTTCCCGACATGACGCGAACGAAATGAGTGAAAGTTTGCGAATTTGCAACGATCCTGGCACGTGCCTGGAAAAACCCTCCGCGATCCGCTCAGGGATAAATCGACCACAAAGTTTTCTTCGTAACAACGCGTCAAATGTGGATACTGGAGGTTGACGCAACTTCAAGTCTAAGTATATCGGAGCCGACTACACGATAGACGAAAGCTTGGAAGACGACAACCAAGACGTAAAATCCGGGATTTCTGGTGCTACGGGCGACGGAAACGGTACTTCTGTGTCAAAACGTGGTCTCCAGCTAGCCATATGGACAGAAAATGATATCAAATAGGCAGCAAGATACACTTTTACAGTCGAGCGAGTACGTACATAGGCATGGAAGGATTGAAGAGGCCGTCCTCCGATGACTTATGTCTATTTTGGGATCTAGATGTATGCGGGGCTTCTTTCAGAGCTGAGCAAATGTCCAGATCGACTCGACCCGCCCCGGGATATACCAGACCTTCCCTCTTGTTCCCAAACCACCACCATCATCTCCTCCACCAAATGTCGGACACTCCAGAGACAGCGCATTATTTCATATATGTCACTCAGATCTATTTCTGTGGTACGTCCAGCTCGTTATGCAGCTCGTTTTGACGATATGGACCATGCTAACCAACCGCAACAGCCATGTGTAAAATTTTCCTGGATCTGCCTCATTCACTGATTTTTTGACGCGTCATTTGGCTCTTAGATGCAGTAGTTCTCTGGGACTGGTTGATTAGCCTTCCTAGAGAATGGCGCTTCGTAAGTGCAGATTGGTTTATGTCACTTTCTCACTGACCTGCTATTCAAAGGTGTGGAAGACTCACTGGACGCCTGTCAAGGTCGCTTATCTATTCTGCCGGTACGAGATCCAGGTTACAGTTTTCTCGTCTTTTCAATCCATTCCGTTCGATAGATATTGGGTCATTATCGTGGTCCCCTACCTTCTTTTCTGTTTCGTCGTCGACCACTCTCTTGAGACTTGCCGGAGGATCTACAAGGTCGATATCACCCATACGTTCACATGACCATACTAATCATCTATTTTAGATCCCCGTAGCACTAGCTATGTGGAATCAAGTAGGATCAGAATGTACGCTTCGTTTAGGTCTTTCCAGCGTATTTTTTTTCAACGCTTGTTTCAGCGGTTCTCCTTATTCGAACCTACGCCTTCTTCAACAGAAACGTATACATTCTATGGATGCTTATATGCGCGATTGGGGGCGTCGTAGCCTATCAGCTTTACGTCGACACTACTCAAATGCTTCGTACGTGGTTTCGTTCGTCGTCCGTGAGCCACGTATACTCACATGCATATGTAGTTTTGCCCTTCACGACACCTCCATACGCAAGTGGATTTCAACGCATATATGCATATTTATTGTTGACATTTTGTATGTATAGGACCGTGGCCCTTGTTTCCCTATGTCCAAACCCCATTCTGCCCATCTCCTTGGTATGCTTAACCATTTCCCGTTGTCGAATCACGCTCACCGCTTAGATCAGGTTTCTTTGTAAGGTTCATAGTGATTCGTCCACTTCTCGCCCACTAGACTCTGTCATAGATTGCCCCGCTCCTGTTTGACACGGTAGTGACATTCATGACGATTGTAAAAGCCTTCATGATCCGTAGACGCAATGGAGGGCCGAGCAGCAGACTTATTCAAACCTTTATTCGGGAAGGTTAGTGCCTCACAATCTAACTAACCTAATCTGACATATCTCTCTTGTTAGGCGTCTTTTATTACATTCTGATATCCATTGCCAATTTGATTAATGGCATATTTTATCTTCAGTGAGCTTCTACGTGTATGTGTATGGAGGGATCACGCTGATATCTGTCAAGGCCACGGCAGGTAATTTCTGCCATCAATATTCCTCTTAGTGTCATGATGGGTCCTGTGTTAGCGTGTCGCCTGGTATGTTCATCTTTAGTGTAGAGCAAGTTCTTCGATTCAATTCCTTTATGATATGTAGATTCTTGACCTGCGTGAGCGCGGTTCCGAGACGGTATCACATTCCGAAGGGACCGGAATGGCGGCTTTCACCACCAAGTCAATAACTCAAAACCAGACATCTCCGTTCACACCTCCTCATCGTTCGAAAGGTGGATACGGCTTTGGTAGCAGCCGCCATGCCCGCACGGTGGACTCAAATATCGTTCTCAGCACCCTTGGAAGTATTCCACCAGATATGGACATGAGCCTCGAACAAGACCTCGTCGAGATGGCTGACATCCGCTTGGGTTTGGGTTTGGAATTAGGCAGCCTAAACACCGCTATTGGAGGGGATGATGGCGAACCGATACCTGATGATGGTCGAAACCGGATGGATGACGACGTTGAGAGCGGGGATTTTAGCCTTGGTTCCAGAAGCCCTATCCCAGCGTATCGGACGCTGGAGATGGGATTTAGATCGGCGCAGAGAGTCCCGAGTCTCTCGGAAAGCGGCATTCGAGGGATTCGGGTCGACGTGGAGAAGGCTACCGCTACTATGTAGCCCGAATCATTCTTCTAATCTTCTATCTGTCAGGCTCTCGTCGCAATTCGAAACACGTGACTCCTCTTCTTGTTTTCATTTCCGCACTTACCAGCATCTCCCTTTATGTCGCCCTTTCTACACACATAGCATCAATCGCAGGAAACAGACTATCGGTCGATCACAACATAAACGTAAAGGAAAAGATTCTCTCAAATCCATGACTGTCGCAATAGGTATAATGCCTCAGCTGTCCCACTGCGTCGTACACGTACATCTCTCACACTTGTCTTAACGGCTTTCCACTTTGCACTGTATCAATGGTCTAGCTATCCTGTTCTCCTGTTCCCATGTTCTCTTGTTCTCCTGTTTTATGTTGTCGCAACCCCCAGTTCTTTAGTCTTCGATGTTCTCTTGTTCAAACGCATTTTTCAATCATTACACTGTCGCACAGTACTTTACTATATCGTTTTCATCTTGTTGCCTTTGGTTAATGCCGAGGAGCCCTTTATTCCAGTTTTCAAGGAACATAAAGCTACCAGATACTCTTTTGTCTTATTTTCATAGATAAAGTAGAAGTCCGTTTATAAACTCAATATATGCACACTTCCAACATTGTAACTGAAAATATCCTGCTAGTGTACGATCGAAACGCGTAGGCATTGTTGACGTGAGGCTGTTGCTTTGTAAAAACAATACAACAGTAAATAACTCTCGACCTTGAACTCCTTGGGTGGACTCCTTTTTCTTGAACTGCTGGTCTGTTTTACAATCATGGACTTCGGCGACGCCGACTTTCATTTTCTCATGGACCCGTCTTCATCTGTTCTCCAGGAATTGTCTAATCTTACGCCGCCCTCGCCCATCCTAAGTCCTGTTTCGAGCCAACTGTCTACGTCTTGGACCTCTGGCGATGTTCCCATCATATTATTTCAAAGCGGCTCAGGATTCGCTGTCGATTTCTCGCTACCAGATATCCCTGACGACGTTCAACCTGCCATCTCTTCTAGCGACAGCGGCGAGAGTGTCGGGAGTGTCGGGACTTTCGGTCCTAGGCGTCGGGATAGGAAGCGTCCTTTACAGTTTGTCACAACCACTGCTCGCAATAGCAGTAACTACTCTGTTTATACCACCCCTCCTGTGTCCCCAGCGAGAACGGCTTTAAATGACAACGACTCCTGCTCTATCTCTGAAAAGTCTTGCGCAAGCTTCCATACCGCCCTTTCTACCGTCGATTCCGGGTCGTCTCTCTGCTCCGTCGGTGAAACTCAATACGTCAAGGTAGACGACGGGGCGGGAAGCGCGGTACTCAACAGCCATCCATCTCACTTGACTTTAGGACCTCGTTCCCCATTCTACGCACAATTCACCACCTCTACCTCTACACATTCTATATCATCTTGTTCTCCGTCACCGTACAGCCACACGTGTCCTAAGCCTTGGCAGGAAGACTACGCCCGCTCACTTAAAGCATATCCCTCTAGTGAAAGCCTCGCGCCCTACACATCCGTACCCAGGACTCCGCCGAGCCTTTACAGTTCCTCTAGTCAACTCTCTCTAAACCGGCAGCCTCATGTGCACCGCTCCAGTAACCATCGAGATCCTGCGAAACCAGAGCTTCCCGAGTCTCTGTCATGGCTCAAGGATGTCAACATTGGTCTGCTCATCGACCAGGAGGGCTTTCGTGCCGTACATCCATCATTCAGGTTTGTGGGATACTCCCCTTATACTCGATCTCTGGATCCGCAAGGCGGCGTGATTGAAGGAGGTGTAGCTGAATTTATGCCCATCAAGCGTCAAGCGTTTAATTTCCATTACGCCCTTTTCGATGGTCTGCCCATTCTGCGACGAGTAACGGTAAACGGAGAAGAGGATCGTGACTACATTTCAAGACAAGCAACGCTAAGCCTGAAAACGAACGGCGTGTATACCATACGCGGAAGCGAAACTTCGTCACACGCAAGTCATCAGGGCGATAGTCCTGGGGCCCACAAATTGCGTTGGAAATTTGATTACATGGTAGACTGTAGAAGGCAAGGCGAGGGCTCTGGTAGAGTACTTGACGGAGAAAAGACCTTGACGCCTCTCACTTTCTCATGCTCGCCTTTGCTCCTCGATCCTTCTCAAGGCAAGAAGATTCGGCTTATGCATATCGTTAAGAAAAGCGTTGTCACGAAACTTGTTGCTGAGAAAGTAGAGCCGACACCCAGTGGACGCATTTCTGCACCCTCATCTCCTACGATATCCTCCAGCCCGAACACTAATAGTCCAAAGACTCATCCAGGAATCTCCCGTGTCTGGAACGTGCATCGAAGGGCGCAATCACAGGTCCCTACCCCGAACATGGAATCAGAGGGACTCCTGCATATACCACGCTCTTCACGACATTTTACTTCGAATATTGACGCGAACAGTGACCAGAATGAAGAAAATCATCCGGGGCGGGTCATACAACGCCGTCGTCGAGCCTCCTCTGCAGGTGAAAAGAAGCGAAGACACGCAGATGGTTACATCCAGTTCGGTGTTCCTCTAACCAACGTGCCACTTGAAGAAGACGTAACGTCCCGGCTATCGTTACCAGTCACTAAACACAATATGGGCCCATCCAGACTTAGCGCATCACTATCTCTCCGCGTACGCACAAAACTCAATTAATAGATATGCGCGATGAATAAGGCATGGATAGACAAATCTACATATACTATACAGTACACATACAACATAGAGAAATGAGATGATGATAGCTTCTACGCGCCGAAACCGTAGAGGGTGCGCCCGGAGCGTTTGAGTGCGTAGACGACGTCCAGAGCCGTAACGGTTTTACTGAGAAAAGTATTAGTAATGCAGTCCAGAACAGTACCGATGATTCATGGAGATTCATGATCAAGGGCAAAAGCAGCAGATGAAGACACGAACCGCTTGGCATGCTCAGTATAGGTAACAGAATCTCTGATGACATTCTCCAAAAAGATCTTGAGGACACCGCGAGTTTCTTCGTAAATGAGACCGGAGATACGCTTGACTCCACCACGACGTGCGAGACGACGAATAGCCTAAAAGAAAAGGAGAGGTCAAAACGCGTATCGGCAACACCGCCAAAATGGACTCACTGGTTTCGTGATACCTTGAATGTTGTCGCGAAGGATCTTCCTGTGACGTTTGGCGCCGCCCTTGCCGAGACCCTGAAGACACGATGAACGACAGTCAGCTCAAGGCCACTAGCGCGACGAGGGGGTAGAGGACAGGAGAGATGGGGGAAAACCTCACCTTGCCACCTTTTCCACGTCCAGACATTGTGATAGAAGATTGAAGTTGGTTAGAGAGGTCTTGAGGAGCGAACTTGCTGAGGTGGTGGTGGTAACTTGTTGAAAGCCAATAAACAAAGCACGCGTCTCAAATAGGACGATCACCAAAGTCATGTGATAATTGACATATTCAGGGACAGTGGCCACGCCAGTCTTTGTCTCCATTCATCAGCATTCATGTCCATAACCGAGATAATTTCTGTCCCTCAGCTCAATGATATTCTTAAAAAGGACAAAGGGAAAGTGTCGGTAAGAGATTCTTTGTTTCCGTGAACAATGTAGAGACCAATTCATGCATAGGTGATTGATTTTCATGCCCACTGGTATGTTATTGGTGCTTTCAATGGATTCTTGCTTAGTTCTCCAGGTGTGGACCATGCCATGCCATCGCCCCTACATACGAAGATCTTTCGAGAAAATACAAAAACATCAACTTCCTGAAGTGCGACGTGGATGCAGCGAAGGACGTAGCATCTGCGTATCGGGTGTCTGCAATGTGGGCCGCTCTACCCGTTTAGTCGTCGAGGGACTTGCCCAACGTATCACTCATATCTAGGCCGACGTTCATCTTTCTCAGAGGCACGGAAAAAATTGATCAAGTCCGGGGTGCTGATCGAAAGTAAGGCATGACTTGTACCATTTATTGCATTGTAGTGATGATACCATCGGCATTCAGCGCACTGGAGAATGCGGTTCGGAGACATTCAACCGGTTCTTCTTCCTCAGGGGCGTTCTCTGGGAAGGGTCAGACCCTTGGCGGAGGTCCAGCGAATTCCTCCTCCAGGGATAACTATGGCGGTCCGCAGGTTCCACTGGCAGGACTTGACCGTCAAGCCCAGGTCTTCCTTGCTTTGATAGCGGCATATGTGTTCTTCTGGTATCTCAGTTCCTAGTTTGACTAATGGGATTTTATATGTTCCATCGATACTCATACATTGTGCGATATCAGTCAGTGCAGGGATATATTCCACGTTCAACGTTCATTGTTCAAGTCATTCATACCTGACCATTATGTATAATGGTTAGGCAAGCGAGAACCCAAGACTCGCTATGCCTGAGGACCCCACTCCATGGTATTCCACGTCTGTCTGGCGGCTTCTTCCCTCGCTAATTTCTGGCTACGGGCCTGCCCCATTCCCGTGAGCTGGCCATTTACTAGAAAGGAAGTGTTATGATGGTCTGCGTAGCTGATGTAACTCTGAGGATTCACTCACCGTAGCACTGAACAGTCCAAGTAGGCGCATGAGGAGGACCTTGACTTTCTGCACTATATGTCACGGTAACCCCTTTCTGAGCTGCCGTTTGATTCACAAGTTGGAGCGTAATGAGGGAACTGATACCCTGTGGAGTCTGGGCCATGGGAGGTGGACTTGCCGGATTAAAAGGCATGCTAGAGGGCGGGATCGGGGGCGGCGGGGACTGTGGGGGTTGGGGAGCAGGACCCTGTGTTTGTTGTGGTGGTGGACTATGGATAGACGCAGGCTCCTGGGTGGGATCTATTAAGCGAGATATCCATTCTTGTACCTCAGCCATTCCATTGCGAATGTACAACGCTCCAATATAAGTGTGGAAAAAGGTACGGAGCTCCTATCCAAAGATCAGAAACCATCGACAGGAGATCAACGTATCTTCTTTACAATTGGGTCTTCCAAAACAGTGTGGGGATACGCCCGGATTTTATTCTTCATCTCGTACCCCTCAATCCATCGCACGATATTTTCGTCTGACAACGCATCGTCTTTTCTGCCCTGTAACACTTCAGATTTAAATTCCAGGGGCGGGCCATCGAAGGAGCTTTGGTCATACCGTAATTTCATTCGCATCCAGGTGTGGCTTGACGGAAAAGAAATGATATGTGACGACAAGGTCAAGCATTCTCTTGCCTAGCTCTGCCAGGCGTTCGGTATTGCCATATTCTTCATCCACTACAGGTCCAGCGGGCCTCGCAGTACTATGCGTATAAACTTCAAGCATGAGGATTGTAGTCGCCACTGATCCTGGGGAGAGGCGGGAGATTTGAAGCCATTGTTCAAGAGGAGAAGAGATGAACAGATATGAGATGCTTTCGATGAGATTATATAGAACCCTTTTAGCGCTGAGAATCAGCTTCACGCCCAGTTATCAACACGTGCAAGTGGCAAAACAGGCGCCTCGGCGTCGAAGGTCCAGTTGACGGAAGAGAGCCAACTCGCAAAGCCGTACACTTACCGCAAAAGTAGTTTCACTTAGAAAGTGAAGGACTGAATATGACACAGCAGTCAAGTTTATGCTCAAAGAAATTCTGAGAGGCTTGTAGCTGGCAGTGGATGAGACCAAGTTCAAAGGCGGCAGAACTGGCGGTTCGGATAACGATCACGTGGAGCGTGACGACTCTCACGGCTCCCTCTTGTCCTTTTCTTCTCTCGTCGCTCTCCTGTTTCCCTAATCCTCTCAGTCGCTGAAAACAGTCACATTCGGAACGTATAGGCCCCCCCCACTCTCTCTGAGGGAAATTCTGCCATGTCTGCAGCTCCAACAAATCCTCCAGTCCGGGCCACTCCAAGAAGAAAAGAACCATTGATTCCGGAAGCATTCTTGGATGTACCCACCCAGCGCCTATACTGCCTGAGCCTGGGAGCCTTGATTCAGGTATACTGTATACTTCAATATCGTGACACGTTTTACCCATGATGTATCGTTTGACAGGCTGTGAAACTATTCGACTTCTTCCGCTACATTGCGTCGTCCGACGAATCGCAAAGCTTTTGTTTAAAATGGCTGGCCATAGATATCATATCCTGCCTATTGGTCGCGCAACTACGCATTCCTCGTCTAAACTACGCCACTCCAGTGGTGGTGCTGCAAATTGCTGCTTTGTGTTTTTTTGACGGGCTGATGTTTGGTGGTGTCAAATTAAACGTGGCGAGGGGTATCGGTGAGGGCAGTGTATCTTCTGAAGGATACTCGGGTGAGTGTCAATAGTTTTTTCTCAGTATCTTCTTAATGTCTGGCTTCAGGACGCGCGGATTTGCCCTCTACGCCTCAAGCTTGGAGTTATCTAGATTACCTAGCGCCTTTCTTTTTTGGCGCACTTTCATCCTCATATAGTGCCTCTGGTGACTCACATCTTCTCGGTCAACATACTGTTCGGATGTCGCCCATTAGTACCGCAAACCTCAACCCCAATGGCCTGACTTTTTGTCTATCCTCGCCTGGCGATGTTGCACTCGTACCCGTTCTTCTCAACAACACCAATCCTTCATCTCTGCGATACTCTTTGACACCTTTGGGACAGTCTCGAGATAGCGGCGCGGAATATTTTGATTTATCGTCCAAGGAGTTAAAGGCAATTGAGCAGGCACGTTTAGACGCGCTACAAGTGGCCAAACCTTCAGCCCTATCTACCGATGATGATGAATACGATGAATACGATGACGACGACGAAGATAATAACGATCGCAACGACGAGCAGTCTTCTCTGCAGAAGACCCAGTCCCTGGTACATATACGGCTCACAAAGCCGGGTACCGTTCGTTTGGAACGTATCCTTGATGCCTCTGGCATCGAATCGCGACTGGTATATCCAGCAGAGGTAATGGTAGCTCCGTGTCCGCGAGTGGCGTTCGTTGGAGCCAGCAACCTCGACATTCGCTGCGCAGGAGAGGATCCGGACCACCAGCTTATGATTGATATCAGCGGCGTCACACCCTTGAGCCTGAGGTGGTTCAAGATGATAAATGGAAAGCGGGAGAGCTTCCTCGTAGAAGGCATCGAGAGCAACCATGATGCAGAACTGAAGGGAACGGGCATGGAAGTGACTCGGAGACGTTTGATACCTTCACAGCTGCAGGTTCCACTATCAGTATCATCTGATACAGTTGGGACCCATCTCTATGCACTGGAGGAAGTCATGGACGCGGTAGGCAATATTGTTCGTGTTGGCTCTGACCTGCCATCATCGACATCAGGACAAGGCGAATCGTTCAGTACCACGACTACCCGCTCCTTCCAGGTGCTTCGTCGCCCAGCAGTGTCATTCAAGCATTGCGGTCCTGGCAATCCAACACCCCTTCTCATTGGTTCCGAAGCGTCATTAACCGTATCGGCGAACGAGGCTGATTCATTTGACTTACCTTTGGAGGTTACGGTCGAATACCAACCTTCAAGTGGCTCAGATAGCGGCGGTTTCGATGTAAAACGCTCCAAGCCATGGAAAGAGACGTTGTCAACACAGGGTAACCGAAGGGACGTCAATATTCAGGCTGATGCACCTGGTGAATATACAATCGAGAAAGTTAAAGGAAAGGTAATGGCTTCATTATTTTATTGGACAATGCTCACCCGTTCTTGTAAAGTGGTGTAAAGGTGACGTCCTCGCCCCAGAGACGTGCCAAGTCGTTGAACGGCCTTTCCCCTCCGCTGAAATAGACTGGAAAAAAATTCATGAGTGGTGCGTCAGATAGTGTATTCAAGAAACACTGTTAACCTTGCGCACAGTTCTGGGGACACCGGCGTTTCTGCGGCACTTGTGTTGCACGGAACGCCACCATTTCACGTCTATTATCGCATTCAGCAAGACAATCAGCCGCCTCGCAACATAACGAAAACTTTCGCTACATCTCGTGGAGAACTGACTATCCAGCCGGAACGCAGTGGACATTATGTCTTCTCTTTTACGCACATCAGCGATGCCTACTATAGGAAGGTGGAATTGGACGGTCCTAGTATCGATCAAATAATTCACCCTCCTGCATCGGCTGATTTCGCTGGTGGAGAACGAAGTACTCCAAGGACCAAGAGGCAAATGAGTAGCTGCGAAGGAGGTTCGGTCGATGTCGATGTCGAACTTCGGGTAACTCATTTATCAAGGTATTAATGCGAGGCTCATCTTTCTTCTCAGGGCTCTGGGCCTTGGAATCTCGAAGTTCAAGTTGTCGGCCCCAAAAGTTCGGATACGCTGCTAATTAAAAATATCGAGACTTCAAGGAAAACCCTCCATATACCAGTTCCAAAACAAGTGGACAGGATTGGAGGGACTTTTGAAATTGACCTCGGTGAGTATTTGGCTTCGTAGGCTCAACAATACGAGTTGACATATTTTGTGTATAACAGCCAGTATCGAAGACAAGTACAAGTGTAAACGACCCATATCTGTACCCGGCATTTCTGTCAACGTCAAAAGAATCAAGGTTTGTTCAAATGGCTACATCGAACGGTTTGATCGCTCATAGATTTGCATTCAAGTCCACCGTGAAGTTTTACGGTGAACGCGACAGGTGCCATGTCACTGTGCTGGAGAATGAGAAGGCCAGTTTACCTCTGCGCCTAACTGGGGATGGAGTGAGTACAATATACTATCAAGGTAGGGTAGTTGACCTGATGCCCCCGAATTAGCCATGGAAGTTGAGGTATCGTCGCGTGGAAGATCCACAACAAGTCTTGACAGCAACTCTCACAACACCAAATGACTTTCTTCATGTTACAGACAAAGGAACGTATGAGATTCTGGAGGTAAGCGGAATTGTTTACCTATTTGTACATTGCCTGATCATATCGGGATAGATATCCGACTCTCAATGTCGGGGTTCTGTGATTGAAGATGCCTCGACGTATCGCGTAGACTGGATCCCCAAACCATCTGCCAAACTTTCTCAGAACACGGAAGCAACGTACGAGCCCTACAATGGCTCCTACATTCTTCCGCCTATTTGTGAAGGCATGACTGATCATGTCGACCTTGATCTGAGCGGTAAGAACTGTCATTGGCTCTTTTATAGGTCGATTTTAATCTGGAGAGCAGGACGTCCCCCATTTGAGATCATGTATAACATCGCGCAAAATAGTGAGACTGGAGGAACAAAGCTCATCGATCAACCGACGTTCAACAGCATACAACCCCACACACGTCTCCAGCTTCAGACGTCAAATCCTGGACGTGTGTACTACGAAGTCAAGCAGATTGGTGACTCATCATATCCTTTGGCGAAGCATCGTAACGCAGTCATTCCCCGGTCAGAACGGCTCTTGTTTGAGCAACAAGTATCCATGCGTCCCTCTGCCCAATTCAAGAACCGCAACCGGGTTCCATACTGCCTCAATGACGCATTCACACCTTTGGACCATATGTCTTCCGATGGAATGATCCTCTTCCAGGGTACACCACCTTTCAAACTCCGGCTAACTATCAAAAATGTCGCCACCAGCCTTGTGGATGCGAAGACTATCGAAACGTACAGTTCCGCCTGGAAGATTGATTTGCCTTCATATCATTTCACGAGTGTCGGCGCTCATCTCGTTACCATTGACTCCGTGTCCGACGCATCGAGCTGTGACCATGCAGCGTTGGACCCTCTTGCAAGTTCTATTTGGGTTGATGTCGCAGAAACAGCCGCTGTTGTTCCCTTCGACAAGCGTGAAGACTATTGTATTGGCGACCTGGCACAATTCCAGCTTGAAGGTATTCCGCCATGGACCATCGGGTAAGTATCGTGCTGTGATCGAGATCCCTGTGGCTGAAACGTATCTTTCTTAGATACCGTATCAATGGACGCGCTTACACGCAGGAAGCTACGACGTCGCCTTTCTCATTGAGTCAGCAGCAAGCCGGAGAATTTACAATCACCTCCATATCGCATCAACAAAAGATGTGTAAAGCAGTTGTGACTGATTTACGTTTCACTGTACACCCACTGCCCTCTGCTCAAGTTGGTCATGGAAAACGAATCTATCAAGATATCCATGAGGGTAGGCCATGTCTTCGTTCATAATGTTCAATAATGTTGCGATGCTTACTATGTGATGCAGGTGATCAGGCTGAAATTGTCTTCACCCTTATCGGCGAGCCGCCATTTACGTTCACTTACCAAAGGTCTGAGCCTGTCACGAAGAAGGGTGGTAAACCAGGAAAAGTTCTCGAGACCCACACTGTTTCCCGAGTATACTCGAAAGAGTATTCGATTTTTTCTGCGTTGGAAGGTGAATGAATATCATACTTTCTCCTCTTCCATGCTAAACCTGTTACGCACGTAGGAACATGGACAGTAACTTCAATATCTGATCGCTACTGTCGTTACCCTGCTTCTCAACCCGACGCAGGAACGGAGAAACAAAAACACTGAATCTAGTTTGATTTGATCTTTGCATGTGCTATCATATTTGTATCATACCCGCATTGTAGTATTTGCTTCACGCATCAGAAAGGACTCAACAGCTTGCACGTTTATCAAGTTTTGGTATACATTTCGGTTTTCTTCCCCTTACACTCCAAATTTTCCGCGTGGCATTACTCCCCTGGGACCTCTAAACCTGGGCAGAAGAAATATAGAACCATTTAGAGACTAGAAAGCGTGCGTTAAGTATGATGATTTTTAATAGACATTGTGAAGACTTACCGGATGGATCGATGGGAGCAGGAGCCTTCCTGGAGTCAGGGGGAATGCTGGTGTATGCGGGGTCATCCCGTCGGATGAATCCGGGGGAGTTCTGGATAGTGATGTTGCGGCTAACATGTGTCAGTGGACGAAAGACACATACAAGGGTAAATCTTACATTGAGAGATCGTAAGTGGCAGTCTTAGCCGGGCTCTCGCCGGTGATGAGACGACGCCAGGCTTCGTGGCACTCGTGGACGATTTCAGTAGCATACTTCTTGTTCTTGGCTTCTCCAGAGAAGGCGAAGGTGTTTTCGGGCTTTCCATCAGGAATCTTATAGATCCTATAAAATGGTGTTAAGATAGTAGACATGATAGAGGAGATGACGCGACATACCTGAACCACTCGTTGGTAGCCCTGATCAAGCCAGGCAGGTGCCTTTCTACGTCCTCAATATCATTCAGCTTGGAAGCCAAAGGATCCTGGACGTCCACGACGATAACTTTCCAGTCGGTCTCGCCCTCATCCAAGAGAGCCATGATACCGAGAACCTTGACCTGCTTAACCTGGCCAACGTAGCCGACTTGCTCGCCAATCTCACAGACATCGAGAGGGTCGTTGTCACCCTTAGCCTTGGTCTCAGCATGGGTCTGCGAAGGATCCTCCCAGGTCTACGAGATCAAATTTGATCATCAGCGATGAAACGGTTGGGGCGGCGGGGACACTTACCTGGGGGAACGCACCGTAGTTCCAGATGTACCCATGGTGGGGGAAACAGTTGCGCACGTAGCGCAACCTACCCTTCTTGATGTCCTGCTTGATAGGGTTGAAGGGCTCCTCCTTGGAGATCTCCATCTTGGCGTTAGTCCAGCGAGGAACCTCAACGATCATGTTGAAGATTCCCGAGTTCTGGTCTGCAAAGAGCGGGATATCATGGAAAGGTGAGACGACCGAACCATTTTGCTCGATGAAGACGCGATGCTCTGGACGACAACGACGTTCATGATGATTATCAGGGGGTCATGAAATAGACGCCTACCGAGCGTGTTAGGAGAACCGATGAGACGAGGAGTGTACTCTGCAATTTTCAGTTAATTCAAGGGAGAAAAGGCAAGGCAATGTGCAATGTACTCACGGGAAGTCATTCTTGGTGAAGGTTGGGAAGAAAGGAGTCTGAGTTGATGTGCAAGTCGTTCTGCCGTATTTGGCTTTGAGGCCATCCGCCGGAGATTCTAGGAGATTTTTGGAATGTTCCTCAACGTCTGGTGCAATGTGCACATATTCTGATTATCACCCACCTGTCTAGTAGTTATCGAAGAGAGTGCCCGGAGTAGCGAACCATTGGGCCACATTTACCTGACCTGAGATAGCCGAGTAATTTTTGTTCAGTGAATGCCGCGGAGTACTGCCACTTTACTCCGGCCGTTGTCGGAAGGAATATAAAGCATTTGAACCAAACTAATCTAATCTACGCTAGACCACCTTGACCAAGAATATCCGTTTCCTTCTTCTCCTTTAAACGAGGATTTGAGAAACCATTGTTGAAATCTAAACGCAGCAATAGCCGTTCAACATGTCGACGAACGTCCGCCGGCACACCCTCTGACCCTTTTGCCATCTTCGAAACATTATAGCTGGTATAGTTAGCAACGCTCGTGTTCATGAGTATCGATTTTGATGTGTCCATGGTCGTGAATGGCTGCTGCGACGTTGATAACGAGAGTTGATCATAAAATGAGCCTAATAAGCCATGAAGCGTCTGCGTTTTTTTGCTTCAAGTCAGTAGCACGTAGAAATACCATAGAAATGCGACATTACCTCCTTGATCTCAAAAACAATCTGATGACGTTCCTTCACCATTGCACCAACCTCCTCGTCCTCCCCTTTCAAACTACCTTCAAATAAGAGGGCGGGAAGAATATCGCCACCCCACCGCTCTACCTGGGCAACGAACCGTTCGCAGACTTCAAATATGGGGAGGAGAATGGCAGTGAGTGAAGAATTGGCTAACAGGCATCCTGTTAATAATCGATCAAGATATGTCGAATGGATAGCGCGAAGACTTGTAAAGTCTAGAGTCTGGTTGACCGTACTAATTGATGGCGGTAGCGGGCCCGAGGAAGTCGCAAGAGACTGCATGGAGCTAGAGGAGTTTGGCAGTCCCCGGTTACCATCCTGTCCCAACATTTTCTTCAAGCGCCCGTATTCCACGTCAATGACATCCATCATAACATATCCCAGAAATGTGTCCAAGAACCAGCCCATGTCACGAATGACACCCCACCCGCATCTCAGGAGCTCTGCTCTGGCCTTTAAGTCCTCAACAGTGCCTCCCTCCCCTAAACCTGTCCAACGTCGCCTTGCACGTTGGGAGTTCGATAGAGAGGTCCAGCACGAGTGTATCCGAATATGGGTCTTCCTTAGAGAAGACAAATAAGCAAAAAGAGTTCCATATGCAGCGAGATCGGATGCATGAAGAAATAAGTCTAGCGGCCAAGATACAATATAAGTGAGATCAAGAGGAGTACCTAGCAAACTGGAATTGAAGAGAGTAGGATCTACGGGCCCAGGGAAAGCATGTGTAGTCGATGGTGACGTTGGTTTCGGCGGAAGGGTAGCTGTAGTTGCTAGTGAAGGTAGAAGAGGTCGAAGAGGACCAGGCAGGCATAGAGAATCGGAGGTGAGAAAGGGAAGGGTCGTGTTGGGCGGTTGTCCCAAGTGATGCTCGTAACAAGGCAAGGTTCAGATCTTGTTCGCGAATCATTGCCGAGCCCGAATGCATGGTCAGCCGAGAAATTTTCATACGTTCAATTTCTCGTATGAGGGATAAACTGAACTCTCCGTTGCGTAAGAGGAAGTAATTTGCTCTGTTGGTAAATTACGTTAAACGACTATGAACCAGGAATAGAAGGAAGGGTCGCACAAAGAATCGACGGCATCATCGACGTCTTTACGGGTCAAGACGTTTAGCCATAACCACTCGCTAACACTGGTCCTGATTTGTGCTATAACATTGTCAAATGGATGGCGATCTTCCGGAAAGACTTGTTCAAGAAGAGAGGTATGCTTCCTGTGCCAAGTGTCGAGGGAGTTGCTTCTGCCACTTGGCGGCTTTTACTGTTGCTATGGCGCGTCCGACATATGCGATGGACTCTCGTGATTGGGGCGAAACACAGGCCGGCACGCTTCCATCGAGGAGGACATAGGATTCTGATGCGAGAGGATCCACGGCAGCGAGGGATCCATGTACAATAAACGCAGTGAGTTGTGTTCTCCAAACACTTTGAACTGCAAGAGACAGTCGAGACAGAATACTGGCTACTCTGCTAACTCCTGTCTTTGATCGCTTTAGGAGGAGATCGATGAGGGGTCCAGGTTTCCAGTGGGGTACTACCTCGATTTCATCCATCAATGAAAGCAAAGCAGCGAAAGGCGCGTCCCACTCGGCGAAAATGGCGCGAACTGAGGATAATGGTACAAACGATTCCACTTGCAACTAGATTTGCATCACGTCTGAGAACCTTTTCTTCTGTGGAGATGACAAGGGCCTCATACTCGTCCTTGAGTATGCGGCTGAGTGCCGCACAAAGTGCACATATATAGCGTGATTGCGACTGAGAGAGGGTGACGCATGATTTCTTCAATTTTCGGTACCGAAATGAGGTTTGACCTAGGGACTCGAGGCACTGTTGCTCGCCTGGATGAAGAAGAGGAAGAAAAGCCGGATGTAGTTTGTGGTCGGTGGGAAACAAAGACGACTCGTGTCCTGCAAGAATGAGAAATACTTCTGCAATCATAGCTAAAAGATATTCAGCGCACAGAAAATGTAAAGAAAGAGCTCACTTGATCCTCGTAGAGTCTTGGCAAGACGCGCTTGTCACAATCTGTCACGTTCCCGGAATATCCGGTCATCATTTCGGGTACTTTCCGAAGCGCCGTGGCTGTGCTCGCTTCGGCCCTATGTCGTGAACGTATTACTCTGCCGCCGTCGCAACACATACAGGATGGACCATACAAACCAACCTGCTGTCTTCAACGTCCCGGCCCTTGACCTTGACGATGCCTTCTCAGACAGTGACGACGTCGACGTTTCTTTCGAATTCTCTCCGGATGTAATCAGGGAAGAAATGGTCCGAACCAGGTCTAATGGAGATTTCATCCAGGACGAGGACGAAGAACCACAGAATATATCCAAAGGATACTTCCATGCACATGATACGTCTGTGTCTACCCTGGATATGAATAATGACGGTGCTCCTCCATCAGTGCCGCCCACATCGTCTCCCTCGATCTCTCCGGATACCTCTCCTCAGTTTGTGTCAATATCGCTGTCGCGTTCTACTTCTGGTGCCGAGGTCAACGACGATGGAGAGGTGCATGAAGAGGTGCCTGAACACCAAGAGGTGGCGACGGAAGAAGAGACTTCGACCTATCCAAATGTCCAGATAGACGTGTCCCAGCCTCCCTCTCACAGAGTGACGCTTTCCGTCGACTCTACTCATTCTCGCGCTTCCACTGAGATTCAAACGCTTCACTGCGATTCCCAATCTCCTCGACCTTCTTCTGACATGTCACCTCCTCATTCCGCTGCCTCTGCGCAGTCGTTGCCTGTATCGGTGCCGGAGCGAGGCGATGCACTTTCGACATCGACTTCATCATCGTCTGTTTCAGCATCAGGTGCCATTGCGGCGTCGTCGTCGTTACCCAACACCCAGTCTTCCCACATTGCACCGCCTCAAACATCAAATGGCCACAGACAGACTCGGTCCGCCGGACCTAGCATATTGGAAAAGGTCATGAGCAAGACAAGGCCTTCATTTTTGCCTCCAAAAAGCCGCCAGGAAGATAAAAAGCATATGTCAGATTGGCAGTCTATGATGAAGCAGAGCCGTGCCGCAGGTAGAGAAATACTATCAATGTATCACATCGTTTTTCATGATTCTTGTTAGCTGAGAAGCGGAGAAAGGCTCTTGAAGATCGTCGGATTGTTCGTGAAAGGAAGATAGATGAATCTATACATCTATGGGAAAGAGACATCATACCCGATTGGCGAGTTGTCAACAAGAATCCCGCTCTTCGAAGGATGTGGTGGCAAGGTATACCTTCAAAACTACGCGCGTCCATGTGGGAACGCGCCGTTGGCAATCCCTTGGCATTAAATAAAGGTAAGCTACCTAAATTCCACCAATTACGTCTTTTTGACGAACCGCACATATAAAATAGATAATTATCGCGTTTGCCTATCGCGCGCCAAAAGGGCTCTCACAAGTGGGACGTTCCCTCAGGCAACGCTCGAACTCATAGAAAAAGATATCTCTACTACGCTTCCTGCGCTTCATATTTTCCATCACGAGAAGGGGCCCATGTATGCTGATTTAAAAGATATGCTTTTTGCCTGGGTTGTCTCGCGAACAGATGAAGGATTGGGATATACCCTAGGTGCGGCGAGAATTGCTGCGATGCTGTTGATCAACGTACCTCTCCCGCAGGCCTTCGTGGTCATGCGTAATCTATTGGAGCGCCATTGTATGCGAAGCTTTTTCGGGGGGGATGGCGCCAGAGAGGATGTGAGTAGTCATCACACCACGACGAACCATTTGTGCTAACTACCGAACCAGGTCGAGGCTTATTATAGGTATATAATAGCATATTCTTCTGCATTTTACTCCTCTGACATTGCAACACAGAATATTCGATACCCTACTTGCGGATGGAATGCCGAAAAGTATGACGCTTCCATTCTCCAACTTACACGATAACATGAACTGACAAATTCGTGGATTTCAAGTCTACTTTAACTTTAAACAACATCAAATATCACCTGCATCGTATCTCCCCGACTGGCTTATACCGCTGTTTCTCGACCACCTACCATTCGAATCTTGCGCACGCGTATGGGACGTATTGATCCTTGAGGGAGACTCGTTCTTGTATCGCGCTGCCTTGGGCATTCTCGCTGTCCTTGAGTCGCGGTTATTTTTCCCCGACAAAAAGGAGCTTTTAGAACTTCTCAAGTATGGCTCCTTTCTTATTAGCTAAGCGAGTGATTAACTCCATCTCTTTTTCCACAGGGGAGAAAACAAAGCTGCCATTGATGTAGCCACGCGGGAAGGGCAGAAACTTGATGGGGGGAAATATGAAATATACGGAGTGGATGAAGAAACCCTTTGGGACCGGATTGACAGCATGGATGATTGGTGGAAGGAGAGTACCTGGACTCGTTTGATACAGCGTGAACTGCCAGATTTGTGATTGGTCCTTGTAATTGTACCTATTTTCATTTGTGTAGTGCTAAACATAGAGATGGCAGTTGAGTAAGGTCTGCAAAGATTCGACATCATCATAGGTGGATACTCATCTCGCAATCTCTTAACCGGTCGCTGCAGACATAACCTTGAAAAAAGAGAAGTCAGCAGGAGGAGGAGGAGGAGGAGGGCTTTGTTATTCTTATCGATGTCTCTGAGAAGGAAACGGACCAGAGTCTTGAGATCGCGCTGGTCATTATCAAGGACCTGAAGACCCGAAGTTGAACCTTTAGCCTCTTTCACAGCGTGGAGGAGTGCCTTGAACTTCATTATGACTGTTTTATACGCTGCAGCCCTGATTAAATTTGGGGAATCCGAATTTCTAAAATAAGAACGCTATGAGAGTATTCAAGGCGTACATCATTACCTGAGAAATAACTTTCCCCACCAGAGTACCCTGTGCTTGGAAGCGTCAACATCATAAAAGACCCACGCTTGACCGAAGAACGGGGATCTCGACGATACCAATTACGAAGTTACATATCTGAATAGCCCCGTGACCGTGTCCATGAAATTGCAAGTAAAGTATTGGCGCTCAAACTTGAATTGGACTACTAGAACGAAGATGACCTTCTGATCCTACTTCCTGCCTGGGTGCGATGGGCCGTAGCATCGATGCTAGCCCCATAGTGTCATTTTACCTGATGTCATTAGGGATCAGCATCACGTCCAATCTTGCCCACAAAGCTTCATTATATCGAAAACTTGAAGGCCAAGGTCACTGTGATAGGTTTCGGTGTCAACACTGAGCTCTCATATATCAGCAGTAGTTCCGGGCCTTTCAAGCGGTGTACCGCGGAAACGTCGGGGAAAATACCTGCAGTTCGAACTTTGTACGAGCACTGATCGTCGATCGATGATCTTCGAAATCTTTTCCGTTGGTAACGAAAACAATAATCGACAACAACAGCCCCAGGCGAAGTTTTCTTCCGTAATGATGAGTACGCATTATAAAGGCAGCGATGTCACCAGCCTCCAAGGTGCCACGGTCGCTTCTTGTGTTGTTGATAGCCCAGAATAGATTGGAATCTCGGGTTTCATGTTAGGCGACGACGCCCTGCTTGGAAGTACGAAAGAGGGAATGAATTGAATTGTCCTATGAAACTGTAGCCGTACTCTCCGGAGAGAACGCCGTAAACTCTCCCCCTGGAGCGCGGCTAGGACACGGCGAACGTATGGGATGTGTACATAAATCGATTCGAGCCTATCCAGCAGTACAGGAACCATTCTGATATAGGACAGTTATCAAAAGGCAGTGTGTACATGCGCCCACGGGATTGAATACAATTTCGAAAGACCACGGCCAGACTATCCTATCTTCCTTTCAGCGCGGCCCGCCGGTTTCGTAATGACTTGGTTCATGCAAGGTGCGGAATCGACGAGAAGAGGGAGAAGAACCAGCCCGAGGATTCGAGAGACAAGGTGGCCTTGAGCTATGAATAGTGGTGATAGGGAGTTTAACATTTTTTTTCTCTCGTTTGGAATAAGCGATATCGGTCCCGCCGCCCTGGGTACAATTTCCAGCCGTCAGTCAAGCAATAAAAGTGACATTGAAAAAGGAAGACAAATTAAATCAAAGAGTTCGTGGTGGCGATAAACGGTGAGAGAGGTCTGTGAAAATTTAAAAAATTCTGGTAACAATGAGCAAGCCGCTCTTCTACCTCGACGAGATCGTAGTGCAAGGCCATCCAATGTCCACCTTTCGATGCAGGAGAAGGATACTTCAATTGTACTTCAAATTGAATAATTTCGAAGTATGCCATCGAAGCAAACTTGGAGGATAATGGATCGTCAATCAAAGTCACGGTGTGCACCAGTACGTGCATGACTCCACGTCTTGAGGTCCTCAAATGCCCTTGACCCTTCAATGAAAGGTCACCAGAGATAAGCCAGTAACCGCACAGAGACCGCAATGAAGTACAAGGGACCGGGCTCGTGCAGAACGCAATACGTCTCCCCACATAACCAGGGTAAGTATCCCAGATCTCTGGCTATTAGGGTCGTCAACAATCCGTGATGCGCCGTGGACCTGGATAATTTGTAGGAACCGAGGTCAAGGTATCTCCGAGTGTCGTGTCGGCTTTAGGAACTGGTCGCAGTCAAGCTAATCAATAACCAGTTGACACTGTTCGTGGTCGGGAGCGGGCTGTCGGGCCGGCCACTCAAATTACATTGATTACGTTTCGCTCACGAGGCTTGCCGAAGAGAAGGACACAACGTCGCCTCAACTATCATCACACCATTTGACCAGAAATCGAATGATTCTTTCAGAGGGGCCCCGAAGCAAATGATTCCAAACGTTCGTACATTATTCTATAGATTAAAATAATTTACATTGATGCAGATACCAGCAAACGATGTACAAAACGTCCAGTCCATGCCAAATGATTGAAGATAATGTTAGTCCATCAGTCCCTAGTGGTCATCCGCGCCGGGATGCCCCCACCTTACAGTTCTCGTAACGCCATTTTGCCATGATTCGACTCGTCGGCGAGCGAGGAGTGACATTGTTGATCTGTCCGTACCAACGAACCCTACTCCGCCAGATTGTATAGCCGCATCAATGAGGACAGGGTACCTATCGTGGCATGAGCATGTCAACGTACGAACGAGTACATCAGTCAAATGCACTTACCAATCTCCAAGGAGTTCCTTCGTGCGAGAATGATCTGGAGTAAACCAACCCTGCTCTGCGACCTCCTGCCACCAACTCGCGTTCCTCTCATCACTTGTCATCACGACATGTTTGATGTCTAGCCCTTTTGTTGCCAACAATTCATCTTTGACTTCTTGTACCCGTCGGGCAATGACAGGAATAGATGCGAAACAGTCTGTTAGTGGTATGTCCACACAATAGCGATCAAAGTCATAATGGCGGACGTGGACACCGATGTACTGTTTAGGCGTTAGCGAGTCAGAAGAGTTTAAGTCGGGAGAGATCATACCGGAGGAGTAGGTTCGTCGTCTTCATAGCCGAGGGCCCGATTGATATACACATTCGCCAGCCGCTCTAGTGAAGGAACCCAATGCATATACTGCGCGACGAAGCGCCATGCAGGACTGAAGTCGGCTTCGAACTCGTTTGGCTACGGTAATTCTGAGCTTGGCGTCATTTTTTGATGGTATTTTTACTCACCTGTTGTGCGCAGACGTAATATAAATAGTCGTAACAAAGCATCTGCTCATCAGGTGGCAGCGAGACATTCGTGGCAGGCGAGGGTAGTGGCGTTACAAGGTTGGCATTTCTAGTTTCGGGGTATGCGAATCTCGCTAATGCCCAAAACGTCGTGGAATAGTCGTGTTCGAAGTCTTGATACAGCTTGATCCAGCTGGGCATTTTGGTATATGAAATATCTGGATTGTGGGTCAGTATGTGGGGGCTAACAGCAGGGTTTCTGCATACCCAACCCAAGATGGTATAGGACAGGGCTTCCACGCGGATGTGCTTCGTAAAACTGCGAAGATTCCCAAACATTCCAGCAGCCCAGGTTGTCGAGTTGGTTACTGGCCGGATCTTTGACGTCGCGCCACTCGATGATCGGCTTGTTTAGAGCTTTCCGAAGACGCGGAACATCAAAAACATCACCGAAAGCAATGGGGGGCACGGAACCACCAATATGCGACGGCGTAAACATTGGAATGACGGGTACTCGGTCGGTGATCATTCCCAGATAGATCAAATTAACCTGGAAAAAAAATTCAGTCCATATTGATGGATACGCAAAGATTGACGAACATAAGTCATCACGTCGTTTGCTAGGCAGGGTGTTGGCCGTCAGTCGTCCCATCTCGGCTCGTCAACAAAATAACTCACTCCAACCCGCAGAGATCCAAGATGTTATGTACTGTACGTCGGGGCGAAGGTTATCTGGACGACATTAATGGAACCGTGACACTGAAGACGAAACTGGACTCACCTCTAAAGTGCTCAGTGGGTGCTCCAAGTACATAATTCGAAGGACCGAGGACATCAGGTTCCACTGCGGTCAATTCTGAGGAATCCTCGTGGCTAGGTTCTGCAGCTCGACTGACAGTGGGGGACGCCGTCCAAAATGAAAAGGAAACAAGAGCCATCAAGGAAAGGAATGTTAGCAGAACGGCAGCACTGATGTAAGTGCGCCGGCGGGACTTGAAGCCAGGACGGTAGACGGCGTCGAGGGAGTCATCTGAGACTGGAGACTCTGAACGGGCACGGGAATATTTGGCGTTCATAGGAGGAGAGGGGGCGAGGAGTAGGAGTAGTCGGAGGAGAGGATCATGGGGAAGGGGTAATAAAAGGAAGGCATAGCAGCTCGCACGACTCACATGGCTGGTGAACCGCTCTTGTCACATTCCGTTAGCAGCTCGCTCGACTGGATTGTCGCCGAGGTACGTCAGGGCGATCGAGATCCAAGATCTCATCTCATAGCCCCAGTCTCGGCATCTTGCCGCCGTCTTTCCGACATAAAGTCTGTTCGCCATCCACTGGTCCCGCAGTGCCCTTCTCTCAGCCATGGCCCCCCTCCCCAATGCCAACAACCTCAAGGTTGCCGCCGTCGTCGGCTTTTACATGTCCGCAGCTCTAGTGGTATGTCCTATTAGTCCTCTCGAACCACAGCTCCTGAATTGCATTATGTTCTAGATGGTCTTCGTGTATGTCCTTGATGGCGTATTGTCCCCGACACTCAATATTGAAACTATTTCGATAGTAACAAAGCTGTACTGAATAACTCACCCGATTTACCTCTGCTCTTCCTGTTCATCCAGTTACTCATTGCAGTCGCGTTACTTCACGTTTCTGCTCTGGTATCCACCAAGATCCAATTACCAAAGCTTGACCCAATTGTTGCCAAAAAGCTGATTCCGGTCGTCTCTATAAACATTATCGGTCTTGTTTTCAACACCTTGTGCTTGCGAGATGTAGAGGCGTCTTTTTTCCAGGTATAATATAATTATTCCAATGTCATATGTCTTGTCAGAAGCTAACTGTCAGTGTAGATAGCACGGGGACTTCAACTTCCCTTGACTATTCTCGTTTCATCAGTAAACACTCGCTCAACTCCATCAAGGAAAGTCATCACGGCCGCCGTGATCGTGACCTGTGGCTTCTTTCTGGGTGTTGCCCCCTCCAAGTCCGTTCCTGTAATGGCTGCTCCGTCCCTGATCTCCCTCTTTTACGGCTTCCTCTCCTCCTTGTTTATCGCGTTCCATGCCGTCCTTATCAAGAGTTCGTTGCCTCATTGCAATAATTCCACGATCGAACTTGCCTGGTGGACGAATGTAGGGTCGGCAGTTATGCTGTTCCCATTTGTCATCTTAAACGGCGAGCCATGGCGTCTACAAGAGCTGATGCAAAGCAGCGAATGGACCGGAACCGTGTTTATGTGGGGTTGTGTGGTAACGGGTCTCTTCGGGTTCTTACTCTGTGTCGCTGGCCTGCTCAGCATCAAAGTTACGAGCCCTATCACTCATATGTTTTCAAGTGTGAGTTTAGCCGGGCATTCGGATATCGTTAGACAAATGAGTTCTGATGCATCTACAGGCCGCTCGTTCGGTACTGCAAACGCTCCTTGGAGTCTGGATCTTTAATGACCTTCTCACTGTGTACGCGATATATTTCTCTGATGGACCTTAATATCTTTTAACAATGATGCTCTAGCAACCGTGCCTCATCCATTCTCGTCATCCTCGGCGGAACGATGTATGTGATATCGTTAACGCGTCTTCCCATCCTCCGAGCTCACACTATTCTGAATAGGTTTTATACTTGGGTTAAATCAACCGAATCGGCACCACGGCCGGCACCGCAGACCCAGTCTCAGCGTCAAGATGTTGATCTTGAAACGCTGGAACGCGGGGATAGGACGCCGAAAGATGACGAAGAGAGCGTTGTACTGTGGCAAGTACCCGAGAAGGAGGAAAAAGCGTCGTCTTCTTAGATGGATGAACTGTCGTGCTAGGTTTATCCGATGGACATTGTATATAGCAAGTAGCACAGGCAAGTATATCCGAACTTTTTGCCTGTGATCAGGGAGGCCCCTTGGGCATCAGATAAGACGAACGCAAATCCTAATTGGCAAATGTGCGTCAACGAACCCCAACTCCAACTCCGCCCTGGACCCCATCTTCCCCTCAAGTTCACAACTTCGAAATCACTGGGACTTTTAGTGAGGATGACAGTTCCGGGCATCGTATGTGGCGAATTGTATACAGTTTATGACCTAAACTTCCGTTACAAGCACCCTTCTTCAAATGCACTTTCACGAACAGTTTCAGCTTTGTAGAGACCGTCCAAAGTCCTCGAAGAAGGCGCTAGCTTGCCGTTATTTGGGGGGGCATACACAGGAGTTCAGTTAGAATTGACTTACAAAGGCGAAACATGTGTATTGAAAAGATAGACAAATGCGCGGGTTGTCTTAGAAGGCTGGTATGTTTTCTGACGCCAGATCGGAATGGCAGATGCTTCCGCTTCCCGATTAAGGTTTCTGATCGTGCAGCTAGTCGCAAGTCGTAGCTGACCAAGCAGCCACGATCTCTCAACCGCCCAGCAGTGTGCTGTTCCGATCACCCGGTTGCTGCGAGCTCTTCGCAGTTATGTTTTCCAGAACTTGCATGGTATCGTATGACTTTAATGAAATTAGGCCATGGTACCCCGTTTGGCAATGATTCGTAAGTCTTCACTGTCAAGTTGAAAAGACCGGTATTCATATTTGTGGCCCCCAGACTAGAGTCATGACGATGAAATATTACGGGACAGGTGCCTCATGCAGTGCGATATGAACCGGTTCTTGATGCACGTGTAAAGGTGGTTTGCCTGTATCAGACATACGATTGATCTCTCCTCGATCCCCACCGGCGGTTCCATATTGTATGATGGCACCGCTCAATTGCCTTATAGCACGATGGGCCGTTCAATTGCCTCCCATTGATCGTCCGCGTCTCAATCCGGGTGCTATGTATAAGTTTAGCACCGCACCCTCTCAATGTCATTCATCTATATTAGTACTTCGCGGTCTCGCTTCCCCGTTCCCTGCATAAGGCATTCGTACCCATCCCCCTTGACGAATCCTTCATGGCGACCTACACCGAGCATCTCCCTTCCCCAGCTCTGTCAGATGTCTCTGCGCATTCCGACCAAGGGTATATGCCTGTGCAGGCATCCCGGCCTGCAGGTCACTATGAGCGCCGACTGGGAGACACCGAGGCGTCGTACTTTCTTCCCTCACGCGAGAGCGGTGTCAATGATATGTTCGTTTTGGATTTAGGTCTTATCAGATGGATTGCTGACCCTGGCGTCAACTAGGTATCTGCACTTGGGTTTTAATGCACCCACTAGCCTTGTTCGCCGTTCTAGAGTGAAACTGGTCTGGGCAATTCTTCGTGTGAGACATCCCCTTCTCGCCTCAAAGGTACAAATGCACGACTACGAAGATATTCGATTCGTGTATGTTTCCCATCCTGTACCTCATGCAACAAAACTCAACAAAGTCACATCCAGGTACACTGCCCCTGGCATCAGTTGATGAAGCTCTCCTTGACGCGGATCGCAACTTAGAATCTCGTAGCGCAGTTAAAGATGGTCAGTTTTTTTGTTCATCTTCTCCATTCGATGATCGCCTGGAGACTTACTATTGCTATTGCTCCCCTTAGAATTGATTGATTCCTACTTGAACGGCCCTCGCACACTGTCCACGGATCGTCTGTCCTATCTGATTATATCCTCCGTTGATGAGGGGTCCTCGCTTCCCAGTCCTCCGTCTACGCCCATTCCATCCACTACGGCGCCTCGTGACGCAAATCCAGGCGTGAATCATGATATCCTCATCTGCGCAACTCATTTCCTGGGTGACGGCATGGCCCTACATCAGTTCGCCAACGACTTCTTCGGTCTCCTGGGAAGCTCCAAGAACGAGCATGAGCTCGAGGGAGTCTTGAGAACCGAGTGGGAAACCCGATGCAATAAGGCTAATGATGTCAGTGTGCCTAGATTGGCCCAACCTTCAAGTTCCTTCTGATCGAAGTTGTATTTTAGGAATATACTCTACCTTCGTCCCTGGAGGATAGGCTTCCCGCGGCGCCCACCGGACGTTTTCACAGTGCAGCCTGTCGAGTTGATTTCCAGAGGTGCCAGGATAAATTAATAGTAGGTGTTCTCAGCTCAAAACCCGGTTCGCTACCTCACGTCGATTGATTAAGGGCGGGCATACGTTCCCTCGTAGGTCCGGTCAGCCTCGGCGGACTATCAGTCCCAACCATCTCCATCGATGCCGAAAGGACGAAGAAGATGCTGAAGACGTGCAAAGCGCATGGTGTCTCAATATCTAGTGCATACTTCGCTCTTTGCAACATTGCGTGGGCGAGAACCACGGATTCGAAGTGGGAAGTTCCTTCGTAAGTGTATTCAATATTCTTTGCCCGTTCGTCGAACTTAGAGAATTTCTCAGGATGATGTACTCCGCTCTCAACCTCCGCCCCAACCTCAATGCCAACAAAGCGCTAAACGACTCGTACTGGTACCTCGCCATCGGGTACTTTAATGTCGTTCTTCCTTCGTTCTTCCCCAAGACCGGCGACTTGTCCAGAACCTTCTGGCACCGTGCTCGTTCAGCGAAGGAGCAGAGCACCCAGGCCGCTAAAAGCCCCTTGCTCATTTCTCGAAGCCACGAGATGGCTCGTGAGCGAGGTGTTCGAGCACGAGCCTGGGGAAAGGAGGACGATGAGAAGGCGCGAGGCGTTTGGGTGCCCCCACCACCCAAACCAGCAGTCCAAGGACCCTCGCGCGCGCCTTCTGCTGCGCTGATTGGGCTGTCTTTGCTTGGGAACCTTGATGGAATCTACAAGCATGCGAATTTTGGGGACGTGAAGCTTCATACGTTGACCACGGGATCTCGTCAACGCGCTGGGGGAATGCTCTTGTTTGGTTACACTTTTGTTGGCAAGCTCTGGATCAGTTTAGGATACGACGAGAATGGCTTTGAGAAGGAGACTGTCGACAAGTTTTGGGACAATTTGCTGCAGAGCACGGACGAATTTTTGGACGCGTGACGCTATTATTATTTGCATGTTATCATTATCGGACTAATGCTAGTCAAATATTATACCTATAACCACAGCATGTACTTAGAGGTATCGGAAGGTGTTATTGGCCTCGTGTCATGCATGCAGGCTATGCATGAAATTCAAGCTATTTCAATGTGCATTTAATTAAGGTCACCGGCATACCATGTCCGGGGTCATCCACCCGCAGTAAGTATCCACAAACGGCGACATTTAGCCGAATCAGTTTGAACTTGGTTGGTTCACTAGGTTCAATTGGAGTGGAGCACCCCGTAGGGCGCGGAAGCCGAAACCTTGGGGGTGCTAACTTAGCGTGTTTCACGGTTGGAACTTGTACTCGAAGATAAGGGATAGTATTTGGCTTATACTACTTACTTGGAACGGTAAATATACACAAGTTCTAGCTGTGCATCTGCTTATTCTTCAATCATCTTTCAAGTTCGCTATACGGGTTACATACGCCACCCGATCGGCGGTTCTGGATCGACGATAGATCGACGTGTCGGGCTGCGTCGGGAAGTGTCGGGCCTCAATGGATTTCAAAGGTCGATTGTACCTCGCGTGCGTATTTCACTTCGGTTTGCTGAGAAAAGCAGGGGCGCCATCCGGATCTGTTGTAAAACCTAGCGCCTTTTGTCGCGACGGATCAGGTTTCGGTAAAGGCAAGTGTAAGTGTTGCGTAGGATAATCTCGCTTATCTGGCGCTAGCTTCACATCTTAGCACGTCGAGTCTTTGTGACATTATCAACCAATTTTCAACACTTCAAGACGCAATATTTCAATGCATATGTGTCGGACGCTTATAGCCTACATTGGATGTAGCTGTCGATTTGAGTGAACGTCAATCTCTTTAGTCACATCGGTATTGAACACATCATATATTACACAATAGTGTACATTATTTTCCTATACACCTTTCAACATACCTTGTATTGATTCTTATTCTTAATATCAAGCTACTTACCTACTTAATATGAAATTTGTGCATATACCATCTTGAAAGATCCAGCAGAAACCATTATACTCGTACAACCAAACCATATCTCAAGGTCAATCCCAAGCTCCAGGTACAGCTTTGGAACCGGAGGCTTTTGGAGGAGTCTGATGTCCAACGTCCAGCTCTTCGATGAACGTAGTAACTATATTATCCTCGACCTCCTTAGACACCTCACCGTCGGGGGGAACCTGGGAGCGAATCGTGGATGTCATGTCGGGATGTCCCTTCTCTGTGAATCCCATGTCGCCAAGTTTCTTGACAATCCGTCCCACAGCCCTATCAGCGGGGCTGAGGGAAACCGTATGTCCATGATAAGTATTGGCGCGACGCGGAACGCCTGTCATCTCAAGCTGGGGGTAGCGCCCGCGCGCTTGGCTCACAAGATGGGGAGTAGGGGGAGTGAGTACGCTAGCGGAAGGCGCTGCGGGAGGGATGATGGGCTCAGCTTCCTCCGTCTTTGGAATAATGCTGTCATCCATAGACCTGAATGCATGATTAGCTAAAGGCCGAAAACCGGGGGGAAAAGATACACACATTTCAGGAGGCGGCGGCGGTGGAGGAACAAGACCATGACCCCACATCTTCGCTCTCTGTCGCTCTGCACGATCCCGACGATACCTGTCCTTCTCGGCCTTGTACAAGAGCTTGGCAGCTTCAACTTGCGCCCTAAGCTCCTGGGGAGTTGGCTTAGAGGGCTCAACATCAGCAACGGGAGGCGGCGGGGGCGGGGGCAGAGGAGAGCTCCATGACCACTGAGGCGGTGGCGGGGGAGGGAAATCGTGATCGGGCGGGTGCGGGAATCCGTGGCCAGGAGGGGGTGGAGGGTGTGGGAATCCGCGGCCAGGGAATACATGATGAGGAGGAGGGCCAGGAGGGAACGAACCAGGAGGCGGGGGTCCGGGACGACGAGCACCGGGAGGTGAACCGAATGGCGATGCCCATCCATGATGTCCAAAGGGTGGGCTACCATGACGGCCGGGTCCACCACCACGGAAACCTCCGCGGCCACGACCACGGGGGGAAGGATGGAATGGGGGGAACCAAGTAGCCGTGGGGGAAGACGCCGGCTCTCTTCGTTCACTAGACCCAGCAGCTGGAGGATCCGCGGAAACGCCAGCAGCTTGAGCAACAGTGCGAGCGAGATGAGCAACAGCATAGGAAACCCTGCTAGCGGCTTCCTCTTCAGCCCTCTTCAGTTCCGTTTGAGCCACCTGCGTATATTCAGTAGCCGCTTGGTGCAAAGCCTCACGATGCGCAGTCCAGTAACTGCCATTGGCCGCGTTCCTGACGAGATTCCTGAAGCCTTCAGACAGCTCTGGGTGAGCTGCAAAGGCACTAGAGAAGGCGTCAATGAGCGACGCGATGTCATGAGTGAGAGAAGGAGTAGGACGGGGGTCTTCAAGAGGCGCAAGAGGTGGATCATCATCTTCGGCTGCCAGGGTCTCGGTAGCGCCGGCGACCGACTCATTACTGGCTTTGAGCGCTTCAGACTCGGCTGGGACACTCACGCCCTGCGAAACACCTCCTTTGGGAGTGCTTTGGTTACCGATGACTGGAGCTACCGAGGAAGGCTTGTCACTCTTGGGAGGAGACGGGACGATATTTGAGAAACGGGGGGTGGAGTTGGCACTCAAGGGAGGCAGAGAGTGTCTGTCAGCAGCACTAAAAGGGCGGAAAGGAGGCGGGATGCTATCAGTGGAAACGGACGAAGAGATATCCAGAGCCTTTCCTTTGCCCTTGTCAAGAGGATGTGGGGCCAGGCTATCGTCATCCGAAGAAGAGTCAGCATGACTGTCGTGAACTGACTCGACAAATCCATGTTCCTCCAAGTCGGGCGGCATAAACATATTGGTGAAGTTGGGGACACGGATGTTCTGCCAGTCGTCGTCAACATGGAATGGTAGACTGGGATCACCTCCAAAGGTGTCGCGATGACTAGTAGGCCCAGGACGAGGCGTCTCGGGCAAAGACTTGTCATCGAGATCAACCCTAGGCATCCTGGTATCCTGCACCGTGAACTTTACAACTTCTCCAGACTTGTACGTAGCCTGGAAGAAATCCTGGAGCTCATCCTGAGTACTGAGGGTGACTTTGTCGTCGTCGGCGTCAATGTAGGTAACGGCAATCTTATCGAGCGGTATGTCGTAAAGCGTATTGATCTTGCTCGCAAGAGTTCCCCAAACGGGCTGGTGAGGGAAAGAAATGCGACGCGTCTGACCGCTACGCTCGTCTCGAAGTTTGAACTGAATGGCCATCGTGAGATGGATGTAATAATGAAGAGTTGCCATCGCCGGACCGCGTTTATATATCCGGCAATTTCAAACTCCGCTTATCCAATCACGCTGCGCAAGCTCCATCGGTCCCGCAAGCATAGCTTGCGCATAGCATTCCATGCTGCGCAGAACACTCGAGAATCACTCGCAATACTTTATCTGATTCATTTGTACCTTGCTAGTATACATGCCACGTTTACTTCTTTATGACTCGTCACTTATGCAAAGATAGAGAGGCGAGGGTCGATGAGAACTGGATCGTTTAACTAGAAGGAAATGTGAACGAGTCAACAAAATGTCGATATAATTAGAAACACACCCTCAGGTTGATACTGAGATTGCTGATGCTCTTGAGTTGCTGTTCAGACAGGTTGAAGTCAAGATTGCCCAGGTTCTCAATGAGGCGGTCATCGGTGGTGCTCTTAGGAATGACCGCGATGCCGCGTTGCGTGGACCATCGAAGGATAACCTGTCCCGGGGCTGACGTCAAAAGTGAGTCATTTCTACGGACAGGGGAATGGTGTTGACGCGACTGACTCTTCTTGGTTGCAGCCGCTACTTGTTGGATCGCGTCGGTCGTAAGAAGACTAGCTGCGGACTTGTCCATGCCTATCTCGATGTATCCTTGAGGTCCAAACGAAGAATATGCAGTAACCGCAATACCCCAAGCTTTGCAGAAATCAACAAGTGGTTGTTGGTTGAGGTAGGGGTGCAATTCAATCTGAAGAACCTGGGGTTCGTATCGAGCATATCTCAAGAGGTCCAGGATCAAAGATGACTGGAAATTACTTTGGGAGATGTCTTAGCGTAAACAAACATGCTTTAATGCTGAACATTCACCTGATACCAATGTTCTTTGCGATACCAGCATCAACTAATTCTTCCATAGCGGTCCAAGTCTCTTGAATGGGCGTGTTCGCTGTTCATCGTTGATTAGCAAAACAAAGAGGGCACCTATGCATAACGAGCCTACCGAGATGAACTTTGCCGTCATCACCCCACCATTCAGGAGGGTAACGGTGGTTGGGATCGACATACTCGAGAGAGACCGGGAAATGGATGAGGAAGAGATCAAAGTAATCAATCCCCCACAACTCAAGTTGTTTCTTAGCAAGGGCGTGGACCTAACCGCGAGATCTATCAATATATGCAATACTATTATGTTGTAGATACACTCACATGTTCCTTAGCGTGGAAGGTGTTCCAGAGCTAACGACCATATACGTTCACTTATGACAAACATTTTCTGAAAAGACGCTGACCTTGGAAGTGATAACTAGAAAGAGTCTTAGCCATAGACAACGAAGGATAGCAATGAAGACACACAAATATCTTCTCGCTTGACAAGGCCATCTGCAATGGCCCTGCGAACACCCTCACCGGACTCTTTCTCGTTGCCGTAGTCTCCAGCACCATCAAATAGACGGTATCCAACCTTGATGGCGTTGTATACGGTCTAGAGCAGGGTCACTCTCCGTCGCGGGCCGTAAACATGATATTCTTACATCTGCGCACGAATCCTTGGGTATCTGGCAAGTAGAAGGAAGTTAGGCTATTGACCAGAAGCTTCAAAACACCGCGTACCTTCCAGAGGCCAAGGCTGGTACGGATTAGGAACGTTCGTTACACAGGTAAACGAAGAGCGACTCACCCAACCAGCGGCATCTAATAGCTGATCAGCATCTCAAGCGTGAAAGCGAAAGAGGTATAAAATACCTTCTGGTTTGTTCTCTTCAATACGACGGTCGACATGATGGTGGTGATAGAGAAGAGAGAGATGTGAAATCGAATACACCCGTTGTGGACTTTTATAGAGAAGAATACGCCCCCACGCTACGGCCCGTAATTGAGCCCTATGGCCGCTTGCTTATCGATTGCATCACCATTGCATCGGATGACCCTCGGATCTGTACCAACTTCTCTCATTCTATGTGGAATGCTGTCAAATCACCGGTAATACAAGCACCACGGCTCTAAGGATAAAGTTCTTGGGAATCTTCCGTATTGTCTCCCCACTCCATCACACAAATGTGGATACATAGTAAGTTTGAGATGTGTTCAGGGCAAAATTCGAAACAAATTCGAAATGGGTGATTGAACGCGTTAATGACGACACAGTCACGTGAACTATCGAAAATTTCCTTGTCCGACGCGACGAGCGTCATATACGACGTCCAAGCCATTTCCGTAAGGTCACCTCGCTCCCTTGACATACTGGAATGAAAGTGTTTATTTAGATATGTCTAACTACTCAGCAAAATGCGGTTTCATACCGTAGGACTTGGTCCCATAGGCTCTCTCATCACCCACCACCTGAAATCCAGCATTGGTCCTACCGACACGGTCACTATTATCCGTAGGAACTCCAGACAGGCACGCGAATTTGGCGAGCTGTTTGGAAACACTATCCGCGTTGAACACCATGGCATTCCTTCCGTCTCGACGGGTTACTTTTGCCAGATACCAAATCCATCACTTTCACATTCTCCGCTTGCACAGGAAACATCGGAGGATATCATCGACTCACTAATAGTCACCATGAAAACATATCACACATTTCCTATGATGCGCATGCTTTCATCACGTCTGACCTCCGCCTCCACTATCCTTCTTCTGCAAAATGGTATGGGGATGTACGAAGAACTCGTACAGCGTATATTTAGCGACCCCCGAGAGCGTCCCAATTTTATCCTTGCAACTAGCACCCATAGGGCGCACACGAACCACGCTCTATGTGATATCATCCATACACACGCAGGCGAGCTCGCCTTCGGGATCATTCCGAACGACACCAATAAGGATTTCGATGCCGGTTTTTACGATAAATCAGTTCCTCTATTCGACCGCAAAGGTCGGCTCTCAGACATCGTATCATCCCCTTCCGATCCCTACTATAACCGCAACAGAACACTCCGGGACACCGTGGAGACACTTCTGAAAATGAAGTCTCTCAACCCATCATGGAAACCCCTCCCAGAGATTCAGACAAACTTGCGATGCAATCTCGCTTTACGCTCTGTGGTCGATCCCCTCACCGCTCTTCTCAACTGTCGAAATGGACAGCTTCTCCACTCTCCTTCGTTTCGCACCATCACACGCCGGGTCACTTCTGAGGCTTCCCGAACATTTGCTGCAGAGATAGATGCCCATCTCAAAATGGCTCATTCCGAGGATGGGGAGGAGGATGACCCAGCCTCACGTACTATTCTCCCACGAAAGTTGCAACCGCTTTCGCTGGAGGAGGATGTCCTCAAGTATGTGCTGGACACTAAAGGCCATATTTCGCCTATGTTATCAGATATAAGAGGAGGAAAACCTACGGAGATCCTAAATCTAAACGGACACCTTCTTAAAATGGCTTCGCAGTACAAGATATACGTACCTTGGACGGCGCTACTGCTGGAGTTGGTCCAGACGCGCAGTGCTATACCGTTGGATCAAATGTTGTGAGATGGACTTGGGTGAACGCTGACGTTCCTGTTCACTTTACGTTTGGGCTTGAGTAGCTCTGTTCCTGTTGCTTGTCATCGGTCTTATTGATATTAACCAATAACTTACTCATCATGGGCATGAACAAAGCAAGATGGACAGTACATATCGCAATGAGGCGACGGCGTTTAACGAGAGTACGATATATTCGGCGTTTTACATGTTTATGACAGGAGAGTAGTTTTAGGAAATACAACAGAATCTAAAATAAAATTAGTCCCACTCTGGGAGGACAAAGGAGGGGTGTGCGAGCACGTTGCAATCGATGTACCGGGCGCAAATCTTCACGTACCACCTTCAGATTTGGTACTCGTATCCCCTCGTATCTATGCTTTCCATTAATCGAATAAAAAGTAAGGGTCGCATTGAGAAAATGGAGAATCTGGATGGCGCGTGGAGAGGGCGGCCAAGTCGTTGAATATGATATCTTCCGGCCACGAGTATAAGCACGATAGACCTTTTTTGAAATACTGCCCGACTCACCTCTGCATTGGCTTCGTTCCCGAGACATGTGGGGAGAAGCGAGTCAAAACGTACCGTGTCTACCTTTGTCCATCGCACTTCCCGTCTTCCCCCCTTCTTTCGGCCCGCTCAAACCCAATGAAAGATGGAAATGGTGAACGGGAGAACCCGCCTGTTCTCCCAGATGAGTTTTCAGGGTGGATACGCGATGAAATATCCAGCGGGTCCGAGACGATCTTCGTGACAGTGGGAGAAGCGATGGGATCACAAGGCCCGACGTCTATCCAAAGATAGAAGAAGGGCAAGAGAGGAGAGAGAAGGAGGGACTCATATTTCTGCGAAGATTGGAAACGATATTGCGCGTTGGGAGACCACTGGACGATGGTGTCAGGAGTCTTGTAGGCGCCGCCGATCGCCAGCCACCAAGCAACTCTTTTACCGTCCAAAAACGTCAATGACTGTTTCAGCACGACCATAACTTACTTTTTGTTGTCTCCCCTTCTAGATGACTTCTCGAAGAGCGATACGTCGGTATCAGCAAAGAGTCGTGGACCCTTTATCCGCTGTGTGTCTCTGGTGAAAGGACTCCTTTGTTCGAGGCTTAATCAAGGCTCACCAGCTGAAATACATAATGCTTTCTCTTTGTCTTGGTTCCAAGGTTCTAGCCTGGATACAACTTGAAGAGGCTTACTAGGGTTTTGCACTACGAAAGGAATTTGCGGTCTTAAGGACGCGTTCTTCTGTTTGGGGACTATCGAGGCTACTTGTAATGACGCGACTTGCAACTACCAGGACCAGATTAAGTATCTTGCTGATGAATGATTCGGGCTATTCACAACACGAATACGATGGGGAGCTCTCCATCCCCCCCAGGCCAGGGCGCAGAGATGTGATATCTGTGAAGGGTCACGCACGTGAGACGTGATCCTCGTGCCTAATACGTCTGATCGTCGGGCCATTATCTTGGTTGGGTGTCCGAGGCGAATGCCGGCTTGCATTGTTTGAATGCTCGGGGCATTAGATATATCTGAAACGAATCGGATGGAGTACCTTGTGGCGATCGAGTCCGAACGGGATTAAAATTTGCTGCCCTGGAAGCGAAATACTTACGACTGGAAAATGCGGAGAGGAAACAGCGGTATAAAATACCAGGACTCGTGGCGGTTAAGAACAAAGGTAACGGAAATCAGTGTCTGGCAAAGTAGGCGAGGCGGCGGACCTGACTGGGAAGGCAAATTTGACTTCCTGTTTGGGCGACATAAAGCAAGGTTCGGGGACGTTCCTTTGTCTGGCTGAGCTGTTACCAAGGCCGCGACTAGAATGTCATACAAGGGAATCACGAAAGAGCGTGCCGTTACGAATCGAGTTCCGAGTGGACCATCGGTGTCGACCAAAGAGGGATCGTGATGTAGCCTATATAAGAGGCGCCACGTCCATCATGGATCAGTCTTACCTCGCCAGAATATTGCCCTACCCTTGCTCACGACGCTCTACGCTTCATCTGGGACTACGGGACGCCGAGCTGTTATTTTTCGGACGGAAAGCACAACATTGTCCAAAAGAGAGGAACAGTGGGAACAGGAGCAGTCTACAAAGCCAAACAAGTCGCGTCCGGGTACCAAAATATTATCGATAAGTCACGGCTCCCACTGCACACTTTCTGCCAGTTTCTTTCAATTTCAGATCCCTTGTTCTGTCGCCGCCCATAAATTCTGCGCATTTGCTACTCGTCCTCCATCTTCCTTCCCACCTCGACTCCCACTTTTATTGTCCGTCGTTTCCTTTCCCCTCGTCGTTGTCGCTCGAGCTCATTCCTTTGCAGACACATATGCATTCTTTGGCGTTGAGTCCCATTGAACAAAAGGAGAAGGCCAATAAGGAGAGGGACTTTCTCAACAAGTGGCCTGCATATCCACTCTCACGCATGATGTACATGAGTGCGTCGGACGCCAACCACAAAAGTCGACAGACCTTGCTGAATCTGTGGGAAGGATGGTCCCGGCAACCGACCACATCGCCGCCGGATCCAAATTTACGTCTGGCCCTTATCAAGACGAAAACGATGCATGACTTGCAATACTTTATCTTCTTTCGCATGAGAGACCTTCCCACCGAGATCATCACCAACATCTTTCGTCTCGTCTCCTGGTCCGCCACCAAACCAGATGAGAGCGTGAACACTCGCATATTGCTCACCCATGTCTGTCGGCAATGGCGCGCCATCGCCCTCGCAGATCATACCTTATGGTCTGCGATCTGGTTTCGCGACAAGTTCCCATACAACCGTTCCCTCACCTTCATCGAACGTGCTGGCCAGGCCCCGCTCGACATTCGCATCAACGATCCGAGCGAGGCTGAAGCCCTTACTGATCAACAGATGATGTACCTCCTCGACCGCCTCTTCAGAAAAATTGGCACCATCCGAATCTTCATCATGCTCTGCTATAAATGGGAGCCTATCCTCACCATCCTCAAGCGGATGCATCAAGCACTAAGGGGCCCTAGGCCTCTGATTCTCCAGCGCTTCGAGCTTCATCGTCTCGGAGACCCATTCCTTTGGCCAGGGAAAGACTTCACTCCAGTCGGTCACTCAGTTACGATGTATCCTATGATCGGTGGGCCCATGCTCCCACAGCTGAAATATGTTTCGGTGAATGGTATTCACTTTGACTGGAATTCCTCCTCCATCAGCAACCTTACTACCATTGACATCCGTCGGCTTCCATTCGAACATGCAATAGCAGCTCCGGTCTTCCGATCGATGTTGATCAATTGTCCTCTCCTCGAGAAATTGGCGCTTGACGGTGCTGGACCCAAGGGTCCCCCTACCGGCAGACATTCAGCGCCTATCGAACTGAGGCATTTGAAGATCCTTGTGCTTGCCAATTTCACTCCGAACTTCGTTCAGGGCCTTATCGTGCACTTCACCGCCCCTAATGTTCGTGATTTAACGATCATGAACCTTTTCAGACATGAATACACTTCGTTGTACGTCTTCCTGACAGGACGATTCCCCAAAGTACGCATCTTCACCATGTATACGCTCCAGGTGACCAGGGGACTGGGACACACCGCGATGGTTAAATTCCTCGGTTCTATGACAGAGGTTCGTTATATTCGCATCGCGATGCTGGACGCATATGGCCTGAGCACATTCATGTATGACCCGACGACTCCGATGCCTCATAGCGAGCTTTCGCCCCGCACGCGGGACATCTTCGGCAGGGCAGGTGCCCCCAACATGTTGCCGAACCCTCCGCCACAAGATGAGGGAAAGAAGAGGAAGAAGCCAAAGCCGGAGACCTACGTCTTCCCGCAATTGGCTGTGGCGGAGGTGCAGTCGATTGAGAAGGAATGGCTGGCTGCTTGGCTTGCTGGTAGACAGGCTATTGGGGTACCGTTACAGACGCTGTATCTCCAAGGCGACCTGAGTAAGTACGACAGTGATGATCTAAGGAGAATGGGCAAGCTTGTCACAAGCAAGGTTCAAGTCATCGGTCTGGGGCAGAAGACTCCGGAGGAAGAGACGTCGTTGTTGTAGTGGGGGGGGCTCGCGATGGGAATTTTTTTTTCCAGAAAAAAAATTCCCATCTAACAGAATATATTTACTGTATGTATGTCCTAAACAGTTTTAGTATCTAATATCTCATAAATGTAGCGTTGCTTTCATCTTATTGCCTCATCCAAATTCCAAGTAGAATAGTGCCTGTATTGCATATACCTATAAAAATTACGAAGATTTGAACTAACTGATTTGCTCCTGAGTTAGAAGTGATCAGAAAGCAAGAATTGCTCGAAATGGAGAACTATGCCGCGCATTGAAGTTTAACTTAGGAAATAAATACAACACCCGCGGTGATCACGGAACTTCAAGGTCGCTCAGAATGGCGAACTATGCTTTGCATTGAAGGTTAACTTGGGAATGTCAGGCTTTTCCCGATCATCAAAGATTTAGATCATATTGGGACCTTGCCACACCTCGAGGTCGAACACGCCAAACAGGACAATAAACTTCTCGCCGATGAGCGATAAGTGAATTTGACGGAACGACCATATATATTATTCACAGAAAACAATGTAGATAATGCAAGTGCTATAAATTGATGTGTAGTATGCTCAGGTAAGGGAAGAAATCAAAACACTTTAACGTCAATTAGACACTGTTTTACGCTTTTTGCCATTCATGACGGGAAGAGGGGAACTGGAAGGTGTAGGGCCTTGCGGTATGATTTTGGGAGTAAGATTGACTGAAGGCTTTTTAGAGGGGGAATGCCCATTCGTCTTTGATTTAGAGACGCCATTTGTGATTGCTTTGCGCGCAGAGGGGAGCTGTGAATGAGATTTGGCTGTACAAATGGATGCATCAGACTTGAAGCCACACCAGGAAACCAGACTGTGACTTACGTTTCAGGGAGTGGGCCTTGAAGAGGTCAACAAACACTTCCATCTCTTCCTCGTTCATGACTAGCTTTCGACGGACCACTGGGGGCGGTACGTCCGCAGGCTCGTCAACAACCATATCCATGTCCGCGTCCTCCTCTGTAGTTTTCGTCAGCTTCACCTGGCGAGGCTGGAGGGAGTCGTTCATAATGTCTTCAAAGAGACTCTCCAACGGGGGCATGAGATATGATGGACCATCAAATAGGCTTCGGACCTTCGAGGGTGCTGAAGCAGTGGCAGACGGGGATCGGTTTGAAGTGAAAGATTGAGGGGCAAAAGCGGATTTTCCAAAGATATCTTGGAAGAGAGTTCGTGCTTGGGAAACTGAGGATGTAGGGATACTGCGTGCTGCCGAGCCTTCCTCGGATATTGCAGCCACATTGTCACCAAAGACTACAACATTCCAATCATGCGTGATACCCACAAAGTTTGTAGGGGTATAAGGAGCAACGCCGCGGAGTATGAACGGTAACTTGAGACTGCGGGAGGGTGCCGAGGATGTCGGTGAAAAGACACGCGCACACGTGGTTGTACCGACTTCCGACAAGACAACGAAGGAATCCTTGAGGGAGAGCACATTCTTGATTGAGGAAGGACAGCGATAATGCCAGCGGACTATGATTGTAACTCTTTAGGACGGCGGACAATCGCTAAGAATTGATATGACATACCGGACTGAAGAACAAGATCCCAAAGTGCAAGGTCGTGACCACCCACGACGGCCAGGTATCGTCCGGAGGTACCCACAAAGTAATTAGAGGAGACTTCAGGACATTCGGGAGTTGTAAGAATGAGGTGAGATGTAGATGTCATGGGGTCGTATAGAACAGTGTATACGCCTAACGAGACAGCCAAGAGTGAGGCGTCGGGGGCCCAAGATACAGATGTGGGAGTCTGCGAGCGAAAACTAAACGTCGAACGCACCGCCCAAAAGTCTAAACACGACAATATCAAACATAATTCAGCCGAGAAAGGTACTAGAAAGTACCTGAGGCAGATTTATCCTTCGATGTTCTAACGTTCCATGTTTTGATGTTGTTATCCTCACCTGTTGTCACAAGTAACAATGACGCCGAATCCAATGAAGGACTGAACGCTATATCAGTGACTTTGTTCAGTCCGTGGGGACGATCTATGCGAGTGTTTAATATCCAGAAGCCAGCTTTTCGGTCCCACCACCAGAACTTGAGATAAATTTCTCCGTGCGAATTGGCGTCACCCTCACGCCTGTCTATTGTGGCCATCCACTCGCCAGAAGAATTGATCACAGTGCGTTCTATCTTCGCCGGTTCCAAGGGTCTCTCGTCCTTCCGAGCCACTCTATTTGACGGAGATACCTCTAGCTCAAAGACAAATTTAGATGATGTGGGGGAATATATCTGTAAAGATGATGGGTGGGATGATGGCAGAATGAGTGTCGATGTGGCGGCATGCATGACTATAGGCGACGCTGTTATTTTGGAGGTTGAGGCCCCATTTTGGAGGAGGGAAGGATCTGAAAATAGATTAGACCTTTCGAACCAATATAAGATTTCAACGCTCACCTAGTCGTATCTTCGAGTAGCCCCGCGATATTTTGAGCGAAGCGGCACTAATAAAGAGATATGTGCCATCAGCAAGACCTAGTAGGTATTCCTCCTCGTTGCCTGCTTTTGAGAGTGACACAGTACTGATGGGTGCGCCAACGCGAGGAACGAATTCTTTCTTCCCAGTTTCCAGCTGCCACATAGCTAATACCGCCTCCTCTCCACCACTCAGTAAATATGCGCCATTGGACGTGAAAGCAAGGGATGAGACAGGATGAGCATGCCAGTGGAAACTGGAAGTCTGGGTCTTTTTCTCAACCCCTACTGCTTTCACATTCACTTGATCGTTCAGACAATACCATAGGCGAATATTGCCCTTGCCATCTCCAGTCGCGAAGTAGTCTTCGGAGGGATGGAAGGCAAGACAACACAGTCGCTCGGGGGAAACATACTTGGTAAACTGCGGGTTGGGAGACGAGAGCGATGTTACATATGCCTTGTGTCCAGCAGTTGCGACAAGCCATTCGCCGCTGGCTGACAAAGCTAGGCCAGTAGGAAAACGAGTTTTTCCAATAGGTGAAATCTCGGAGGACTTTTGAACGGATGACTGTTTCGATGTCGGGGCGGTCTTGAGTGATACCCGTATGACAACAGCATTGTCATCTAAAAACTATTAAGATCGCCAGACACAATGGGGAGATAAGTGGAACTTACCTTTGCTTTTGTGTTTACTTGGTCTGGCCACGGCTACAAACACGGCGTCCTTGTACTTCTCATGAGCACATAGATGATAGATAGGTTGGGATATGTCTATGATCTTCAATAGGTTTGCATCCAAGAAGTCCCATATATGTATACGACCGTTTAGCGAGCCAGTGATTAGTTGGAAAGCATTATGTGGGTTAAGGATAGCGCATGTGAGCAAATCCGATGAAATGTCCCCCGAAGCAGACTGAGGTGCGGATAGTGTCGAGACGACCTGGCCAGTAGCAACTGAATATATTTTGATGTGCGGTCCAGCCAAAGAAAAAAAATAACTACGATGCACGGGTCAGGAAATTGGTATTTCGAAGACACTGGTAACAGTAAAATTCGTACCTTCCATCCTTGGTGAACACAGGTGGTACCTTACTAGTGTAAGAGTCCGCTAATGATACCCAATCCCAGTCCAAGTCGACATCTGAGGTATTCCGGGAGTTCGTAGTGTCAACAGACTTGAGAGCAACGCGTCTCTTCTGGCTAACTCCCGTGGCCTGCTTCTCTTTTCCTTTCCTCTTCGAGAAGGGTATTTGGTTTGCACTCAAAGGTGAGGGGCTTTGAGGTAGAGGTACATTCTGCGGCTCCTTGGAAATCGAGGCAGGCATTGCACCTACAACTTAGCCCTTTAGCTGGAGGTAGAAAAAATCGACAGGGTGTAAACAAGTCACAACACAAGTCGAGGATTCGTCCCGAATGCCGGTGCCGGTGATCATGAATTGTTTCTAAGCTACTACGTATTCTGACTACATGCTTTCTCTTGGTTCTGATGCTAACTGGTTCTTGCGTTTGTTGTTTGCATTATCAACCAATCGGGTCGAAAGCTAATTTTCTCGTTCTAAATATGAATCTTGAATATCGAATGCGAGCTTTATTGCCCGAAGATTCTCGGCCTTCGTAACCCTGCCTTCTGTCTTGACTAGCCGAATAATACCTACCTTCTGCGAACTGGACAGAGCTCGAACCTCAGTATCTCTTCTAGCCAACCACAATTGACGAAAAGTGGAGCTATGAACTGCCAAGTGCTTTTGCCACCTCGTAGCTCAGGACCTAGAACGGCTCAGGAAGCAAAGTGCGTCTCGAGCTCAGCTTGAAGAACCGAGAAAGAGTCAAAGTCTTTCTACTCCTCTCGAATACTAAGACAGCTGCGCCAGTTAGCACTTGTGCTTTGGGCTCGTTTTATCAGTGTTATGTAAAAAATGGCACTGTTGACGTTTCTCCTTCGCTGCCGACGTTGAAAGAAAATAAACGTATGGCTCCCGCGACTCGGGCGTCTTCAGGGTGATCGAGGTAAGGTTTGCTTTTAAAGATGTCAAACATTAAATTAGAAACTATATCTACTCCCTCGGAACTGGTCCTCCATTCAATTCCCAAGCCATTCTGGCCGAAAAATGGAAGCGATTTGTCGTGAAGTACGTGTGCTATTTGCTCGATTTTCGTCCTAATAAACCGATACCAACGTTAGTAAAAGGAAATACTACTCAGAATGGTACACTGGTAATGGGTGCCACATCGGATTCTGATGGGTCCAGGTTGTCAGAAATTGGGAAAGATCGCAAGCACTTCTCACAGCCGAGCCGCGACATATGACAAGTTTCAACATGGGCATCATCGCTCCAGATCATGTTGGAAGGTGGAAAGTACCGCCTTTCTAGCACCATTGGTATTGGTGTTCGCACACGCGTAACGTGTTCGTTGTCACCTGGAGGACTATCAATAACACCGGCGTAGTCGTTCACCAGGGCTGCGGTGGGATTTCAGTCTAGGATTGGGCGTCGTGGCATCCGAGATCGGCATCCTCGGATTGTGCCAGGCAGAAAACTTGGTCGACAACTTCATCGAGCAACTCCGGCGATCGTGCTGACGGCCAGGTACTCACATCCCAGACCACCGTCGGACTATGACTTAGCCGTCACAGCCATATTTGTTTCTTTCCTGGCATCACAGGTGGGCGCCGTGTTTGAGTTTCAGGTTTATTCAACGTTGTATCTGCCTAGTTCGTATGTCTGTTCACAGGGAGATTGGAGCCGTCGTAGAGCATAATATTAATTCAATTGATAAGGTGCCAGCTCTGCTGAATGTTATGTATCGTAATAATAATATAATATATTGACATCGAATTTTGACCTGATCAAAGTTCTGTTCATCATTTCGAATGACCCAAGCTTGCCTTGCCCCGATCACTCAGGCTCCCGTTACGGAACATGCGTCCCAACTGATCTTTCTTCATTTCTTCCACCGTTGTCATTGCAGCAGTCGAAAGTCCCGTCTGTAGGCTTCACTCTCGAATGCAATCCCTAGTGTCGACGACGACCACCCTAGCGCCTCCGACTTCTCCACCTCGACCGCTTTCTGCAGCTGGTAGAGTCTCTACAGGCGATGGAAAGCGACAGCCCAGGCTCAAAGAAAGCTCTTTCACGATTAAATTTGGTTCAAGATACCATTCGTTCGACAACGAGAAAGCACCGTATCCATTGTGTTACGACCGGCATGTATTGGAACTGTTCGTTGTGCTTTATCAGGTCGTCCGTTGTATAATCTTAAATTTCCCCCAGAGAATCGCTTGATAACCGTTTTGTGAAGCACCTGAGGGGTGGCTCAGGTGTCCCTTGTCAACTTCGGCGATGAAGAGCCACCCCCAGAGCGATCACTGGATCCTTGGCTGTGGGGTGCGGGACAATTTCCTAAGCGTTGACCAATATTTCTCACATGCTTTAGACGGGAACGTGGGTCCTTGACGCGGCAAAGGAGTGGCCAAAATGCGAATTCGTGCGTGTCCAAGGCTGTATGGGACAATGCTCGCTAACTGTGCCACAGGTTGGATTTGACCTTGTCAACATCCAAATACCACTCAAATTACTGGATCCATCAATAGCCGAACGAATAGCCTGGGTTCACGGTAACTTGTGAGTCGTGATACGCTTCTCTTTTTACTAAATTTTATTATTCATATCTAGTTTAACGACTAAACTTCCTTTCGATGATGACGAATTCGACCATGTACACATACAATCTATTGCACGAGGCGTCCCCGAAAACAAGGTGCGTTGTATTTAACGCCTTCCTACATCCCCAACTGACGGCACGACTCAGTGGGACGTGTTATTTGATGTAAGTTTTCTTTAGACTGGGCTGACTTCGATGGTCAACGTTGTTCTCTTTCAGGAAATTAACCGTATTTTACGACCTGGAGGCTGTGTTGAAATCCTTGAAGATGGTAAGTGGCATACGTCGCGTCAACCAATGTAGATCTCATCCTCCCGGCAGACCTTGTATTCCCATACCTTCCACGATGGTTTACCGCTCCGCTCCGCGCTCGGCCAAGGCGATCAACCTCCGTTCATTTTCCTGATGGTTCCCAGCGAAGGATACCCCTCACCCCCAGATACCCCCATTCAAGACATGCCATCTCATGATCACGCTCTCCTCGAGTCACTGTACAAATCTGTGTTTGAACATCGATTCATAAACATGAAGCCATCAGGTGAGATTGGCATTCTGTATTTTGACTTTGTACTTATGTACCTGTTCAGCTCTCCTTCCAAGCTACTTTGCAACGTATTTCAGACACGTTACATTGGGCCCTGTCATCAGTTTCCCCATGCCACCAGTTCCACCTCTCCAGCCTCTTCCTCCGCAAATAGTAACGACATATGCCATTGAACCAGGCTCGGATACCTTGGATCCAAGGGTCTCAAGCCGTCTACCCCGTGTCTTCCGACGGAACGGCTGTATCGTCAGCTACACCAACACCGAGTGTCCGACCAGCTTCTCTGAGCTTCTCTTCCACTATTTCATCTGGTACAGGCATAACGTCATCAACTCCCGACTCCTCAACTACGGTTTCCACGCTATTCAGCATGAACGGTCGCGAAAAATCTGATTCGATTTCCTCCACTTCGTCCGAGCTGAACCCAAGGTGGAAGTAGCTTTTCCGTCAGACACCTCGCGCCCAGCACCCTCTATCACGACGTTGAATCTCAATCCTACTGAGAACCACACACCTCCACCTCCGTTTGTCCCTTACATGCTAGACACTTCATCGACAGAAACAACAACTGTAGCTTCGATACCACCTTCACTGTTTTCTGAGGAACGATTATTATCTCTCAATGTGCGGTCACTTGCAATGCACTTATACCGTTCTTATCAGTCAGTCTTGGCGTGCCGCGAAGCTCTTTGGGAGGAGCTGAACGATCGATTAAGGAATAGAAAGGATGAACTGAAGCCTTTTGGTTGGGAGGATGACGAAGACTGGGAGGGACTGCAGACGAGGCGGAAATTTGAAATCCTCATCGAAAGATATGAAAGGTATATTTCTTATCTGCTCTGTTATGGCATTTGCTGAAGTCTCTTACAGTGATATGCAAGCACGAATATCGCTCTGGTGTTCGCTCAACAACATCGGATGGCCATTCCCACCACGGGAGCCCTTGTCCAAAGCAGAACTCATTGAAGAGGAACGAATGCGGGAATGCCATGCTCGAAGCGCGAAAACACGCACCCGCTGAGGATCTGCAAATACCTTGTCGAACCATGAGGGTCCTCATTGGATATAAACTATGACAATGCTTACTTCGGATTAACTACTTATGCATGCACTTTCTGGACACTATAGATTAGCGATGGTTGGCTTATTCTTGTATTCTATTCCTTCTGTACTGGTAGTCTGTACTACATAACTCGATACCCTTGATCGACTGGGCGTAAGTAGGATGACTGACATCATCTCATAGCCTTGCCTCCTCGGACCGGATCAGCCGTACTTCTTAGTTTCATGCCTCGACGCAAGCCAACGTCAACACGCCAGAAGAAAGAAGAGCAGCAGCTGAAACGTGCCATAAAACGCGGTGATGTAGATCCCAGTAGCCTTCCAAAAGCAAAGCGGACAAACCGCAAAAAGTTGCACCTTGGTCGTTCACTACCACCTCCCGAGACATCTAGAAAACTGCAGTCGGCGTTCGTCAAGTTGCCTCCCGAATTTTTGCAACAGGCAAAGTCACTCGCTTCCACTCTTGTGCTTCCTCGCCCAATTCCGACTATATCAGCCATCCTCTCTTTACAAGAGTATCGTTATCCAGGGCCGTTGGACACTCCGACTTGTCCAAAGCGACCAAAATGGCGCTACGAGATGTCCAAGGAAGAGGTGGAGCGCAACGAGGAGGGATTGTTCAAAAAATGGCTTAAACAAACTGACATGATGGTGGAGAGATGGCAGAAGAGCACTGAGAACTCGGAGTCGCGAGATGACGGCGGGGGACCGGTACCTCGAGTCTCCTCCTACTTCAATGCCCCGTTCAACAACCTACTTTGAACGGAATATAGAGGTCTGGCGTCAACTGTGTGTACAAAACTATAGATCTATATGATATGGGGCTGATTTCTTTCGATTCTATTAGTTGGCGAGTAACAGAAATTTCGGACATCATCCTTGTTCTTCTCGACTCACGATGTCCTCTTCTTCACTATCCGCCCTCTCTAATCGACTATCTGTCCAATATCAAACACATCCTAGTCCTAACCAAGGTGGACATAACTGGTCCCGAGCGTATTCAGGCTTGGACGCGATATCTACGCGATCTCCATCCTGGTGTTCCTATAGTGGAAGTTGAGGCATACGCAGAAAGAGATCCAAGCGCCGTTCATCAAGGTCGAAAAAGATTTGATCCTCATCTTCCCGATGATTTCAGACAGAGGCTCGTGCAAATTTTGCAAGGGGTTCATGCCGAGATGCTCGATCCTCCGGAAAAGGTGAAAGCTAATCCTCGATGGTTAAAGGATTGGAAGCTGTCGGTCAGACGAGAAATTGATTGGGCCGCGGTCAAAAATCAGAGAGGGGGAAAAACAGGGATGCCAATCGGTGGTCCAGCTATTCCCCGAAGTGCGACCCCAGAAGATCAAGACGGGACCAACACTCCAGCGCTAGAACCTCTCGTCTTAACGATTGGCTTGATAGGTTAGGATTATTCTGTGTCTTCCTAGTTTATGATTGCATTGATGGTGTTCTCTGAAATGCAGGTCAGCCTAACGTAGGCAAATCCTCCCTTCTGAATGCTCTATTTGGCACTCAGAAAGTTCATGCATCCAAAACACCAGGGAAGGTTAGTATCGTCGTGCATATTATTCATTATTTCAATCACGTTTATTTTCTTGATAGACAAAACATTTCCAAACACTCTTCTGGACACCAGAAGTTCGTCTGGTAGATTGTCCGGGCCTTGTCATGCCGAACTTTATTCCTATGGAACTGCAGGTAATATCGGTCTTTGCCAATATTTTGTGCCTGACGGATTATGCAGGTGCTTTCCGGCATTCTTCCGATCTCGCGCATTTCATCGATACCTTCGTGCATACATTTTGTTGGCAAGCGCCTGCCCATCGAGGAAATATATCATCTGGAACACCCTAATTCTAAGTTGCCTGTGATCGAAGATAAACGGACATGGCGCAATGGTGAGAAGCGCGTGGTCGCAAGATCGACCGAATGGACTGCAATGGATATTATGAGTGCTTATGCCGACAAAAGAGGTTGGGTCACTGCAAAAGCGGGGAGGATGGATGTGAACCGTGCTGGCAACGCAAGTAAGTTATAATTTTCTAAGGAAACTTGTATATGTATCTTAAAACTTTCCAGTCCTTAGGGCAGTGGCAGAATCCAGAATCGATTGGGCATTCTGGCCTCCGGACACAAAGGAAGATGAGGTCCATGCTAGAAATGGAGGCAAGGGCATCTGGATTCCCAGGGGTAGCGACTCAGATGATGAAGATTTCGTATCAGATGCCTATAGTGAAGACGAAGCTTCATTGGCCGAGGAGGAACCGGAGGATGAGACTCCCAGCGAAAAATCGGAATCTCATGATGATGACGGACCAGTACAGGGTGCTCTAGGAAGGTTTGCCGCACTGGATCTCGTTGACGCAGATGACACAACCACAGATGAGAATTCATAGAGAAAGAATACGACTCGGACCGTACTCACGTTGCTTCTCCTTGCTTTTTTCCGAGGTTCAAGCTCGTCGTAGAAGACCGCCGGGCTAAGAGGCTTGGCTCGTGACAATTGACTGATATTTCTCCGTCTCCGTCTTGTGTGATTAGGGCCCGGGGAGCATGCGCCTGTGCAAGTCATCAGACTCTGACCGACACGAACGGCCTTGTGGACATAGTCTCGGTCCGGTTTGCTTTCACACAAATATTTTCAGGATTCTCGGAAAACCAGTTTGGCAACGCGGATTATGAGGCGAATATGGTTGGCTTAAAAAGAACCTGGAGTTTCGTCTTTGTACTACATCTATTCTTCGACAATGCGCTTGCTTTCTGTTGTCTCGCTGTTATGCGCCACAGGCAGTGCTCTTGCACAAACAATTTATCTTGCTGGGGATTCCACCATGGCCAAAAATGGTGGCGGTTCCGGAACGGGAACAGATGGTCAGTTATTATTTCTCGTGAACTTCATATTTGCAAACTGATGGATTCACAACCAGGTTGGGGTCAATATCTTAGTCAGTTTGTCACACTCTCTGTGGTCAACAAAGCCGTAGGTGGCCAAAGTGCCCGAACGTATAGCGAACAGGGCCTCTTCGATTCTCTTGTTGATGAAGTGGAGAGCGGAGACTATGTTATCATCGAGTTCGGTCATAACGATGGGTCAGCTGGATCTGTTGACAATGGAAAACAGGACGCCGTCGGCGATGGCTACAACATCACAGCGACTGTTACAACGTCAAAGTAAGGCCCAACAAAACAGAACTGTACATCCATAACCCTGAATCGAAAATATTTCAGCGGCACACAGATTCTCATCCACAGTTTTGCGTACTATATCGAAAATGCTGTGGACGCGATCCAGGCCAAGGGGGGAATTCCTATCATCTCCTCTGTGACCCCGGACAATATTTGGGACGGTGACTCGATTGCCGCTGGCGGACGATTTGTTACCTACGCCCAAAGTATTGGCACACGGAAAGGCATCACTTACGTGGATCACTACGACTATGTGGCGCAAGCGTACAACGCTCTCGGAGAAACTGAAGTCACGACGTACTACCCCAATGACCACTTGCACACAAGTCCCGAGGGCGCGTTAGTTGTGGCGGAAGCGTTTGTAAGAGGTCTGCTTTGCGGCGATAGTTCCTTGACCGATAGTGTCAACTCCGCCGGAGAGAATGTCCCGAGTGAGTTCCATCGTATTCTGTTCGCGTCGACCTTGTCCTAAGAAGAATCTTGTGCAGATGGTTGTCTTTAAAAATACACTCTAAGCGATTTTGGCCTTGAAATCTATTCTTGTTCGGCTGTTCCTCGTTCACGAGATCATTAAGGATTCCTTGAATGACCTATGATTTCTGATCTCCAAAGCTTCCCGTACATTTAATGCGTGAAGCGGGCCGCAACTTACCGCCAACTGATCCGCCGAAGATCACAAGCCTCAACTTCGATCGGTAAAGCATGCGCTACTGTGCTCGGAAAATTATTCTGTACGTCGAAAATCAGTGCTCGAAAATGTTCCACATTCATCTGCGGTTATTTGAGAGTATGCGTTGCTATAGTTATGGAAATCTCCGCCTGCCGTGCCAAGATCTATCAGGACGCCTTTATATGAGAGCTGGAAAGGTTTCTTGGACAGTCAACTGAATCATGTTTTTCCCCACTTTGTTATTGCTACCTGGCTTCGCCACGTATGTGCTGGGAACAACCGTTTACATGGCTGGTGATTCAACCATGGCCAAAGGTACCTGCCTATAGCTGTCCTCCAGCCCATATGCTGATTCTTTTCAGACGGTGGCGGCTCGGGAACCGACGGTGAGTGCCTCAGAATCGTCAAGGATACCGTTTTCTCATCGCGATAGGAACTGAAAAGGTTGGGGTCAATATTTGGGCCAGTATCTGTCTGTCACGGTCGTGAACAAAGCCATTGCGGGTCGTAGCGCACGGAGCTATACTGATGAAGGCCGCTTTGACACGCTCATCGACACTGTCTCTAGCGGCGACTACGTCGTGATCGAGTTTGGTCATAATGATGGATTGTCCGGTACCGTGGATAATGGGCGTCAGGATGCTTATGGTTTGCTTCTCCATGCACCTAGTCTCTTCACATCCTTACAACCTCGTTCTTCTCAGGGGACGACTACAACACGACGAGCACAGTGACCAACTCAGCGTAAGTGATACTAGCACCAGCTTCGCAGCGTTCGGAATTAAATGGTTCCCTCGCAGTGGTGAAAGTATAGTCATTCACACATTCCCGTACTATATACAGAATGCCGTCACTGTTCTCCAAGCCAAGGGTGCCATCCCGATCGTTTCCTCGCAAACTCCCAGCAATGATTGGGACGACGGTGTCATTACCGATCCCCCTCGCTTTGTTGCATATGCGAATACGGCAGCCACTCGTACTGGAGCGACGTACATAAATCACTACACATACATGGCCCAAGCCTATGAAGCTCTCGGGGAGACTGTTGTGGATGCATATTACCCTCTCGATCACACCCACACATCGGTAGAGGGTGCCAACGTGGTAGCGGAGGCATTTGTGAGAGGACTGCTTTGTGGTAATAGTGACTTGGCGGCGTATGTCAATTCTGCAGGACAGGCTGTTCCCAGTACGTGCATTGATGACCGCCTAGAAACCGGAGCTGCAGTATGCTGACATATGATCACAGATAGCTGTTTGTAACTCTGAGTAAGAACTCGGATGTCAATTTGAATGCATTCTCTAGTTAATCACAAAAATGTCCGTTTTTCTCGGCGTTCGAAGGGAATGACAAGATCGGCGTTCATTTATAACGTGCAGGACAAACATTCGAACCCGGTGTTACGTGTTTAACTAGATCTGGGGTCTCCTGGAGGCGCTACCCAGATAGATCTGCTCCCACTCCGGTGATAGAAGGCATGTCTCGCAGTGAGATTTTTGTCAAGCAGCATATGCACCTGTTGCAGCACGTCCATGTGCAGGCACCTGTCAGAGGTTGCCTTGGCGGAACGATAGTACCTGTTTTCCAGGGTATAAAAGTATGGCGAATGAAAGATGATAGAGCACTTCACTTTCTATATCTGAACTCTCAACTTGAATATGTTGGTATTCTCATTTTCCGTTCTTCTCCTCGAGTTGAATGTAGCTGCTGCTAGTGTTTCATCACTGATGGGGGCTCGCGACGGGACCCACTTAACTCAGGCTCAAGCTGAAGCCCTTCTCATTCCTGCGGGAATTACTGCCTTTTCCACTGGGGGATGTACAGATAAGTAAGCCCCGTTAGATCACATTTCTACTGGATGCGCCGATATAAGACTTGGAACAGGAACAAATCAACGTGTACGTCGTACGAGGGCATACGTTCTAGCACAGTCAACGGGGTCATCACGTTGAAGCAGGCCTCGGGCTCTAGTTCACTGGTCATTACCGGTGGCACCGAGGTAGGTCACGCCAGCGGAACATACTCCCATGCAAATGGCTACAAAGGTTACCCTTTATAACTTGCTTGTAGTGTATAGACCGCGTCCTAACTCATTCCCAGTGGATGTTCGCCATGCGTCGGTGGTCGACAATTATATCAAGACGCATTTTACTCGAATCGCCAATAGAGACGGATATCCTCAGTGGCAGGCCGCTAGTGGGAATATCTATTGCGTAGGTTTTTGATTTTCGTCATCGAACACCTTTATTCAGCCTTTTGTTTTACATAGGATGAAGGATCGCACTGGGACATCACCTATTATTGAAGGTCTCCGCCTTTCTGTTATGTAGTAGTACCTGATATGGTTTTCTAAAGCGGATCCTTGTTATACAAAAACGATTTTCACATTTCGCAGTCGGTCTCTAAATGTTGAGCATATCTAAATTTCACCGTGGACAGCAATACCGTCAATCACCGTCGCAAGAAACTTCGTGTTCATGATTTCGGACACTGGGACCGTCATGATGTTTTGCGAAAGGACGACAAAGTCTGCCCGTTTTCCAGGCTCTAGTGAGCCTAGAACTGATTCAGTAAATGATGCATACGCTGGGTCGATGGTCATGCCTCAAATACGACGTTTAACATTCAGCAATGCGTAAAAATAAGACGTGCAGGCTTACCGCGCAATGCCTCAAGACGCGTTAATCGTTGCTCAGGGAACCTGTAGGATCGCGGGCTATGTATTAATGTAAAGATGGAAACCGCATCAGGCTTACCATCCTCCTGGACCGTGGGGTGAGTTTCCATCCAACGATACTCTTGTGATTGCAGCGTAGAACCCGGCAAGGGGATTCATCGTCTCAACAGGAAAGTCAGATCCAAGAGTAATTCTGGCTCCGCTATTTAGCAGACTACGGAAAGCGTATAGTCCCTTGATGCGCTCTGGACCCTATGGAATATTTCAGTGTTGCTTGGAAGTGCGATTGTAGGAGAGGTGACTCACAATATGTTCCTCCGCATACCACATATCATCAATAACATGGGTGGGCTGTACACTGGCAATGACTGTAAAGCATAAGACTGAACTGAAACCATTTTTACAGGGTAGATTAGCCTACCCCCGATTTTCCCCGCACGCTTGATATCAGCCTTCGCCATGATCTGAGCGTGCTCAAGACGTGGCCGCCTTGCGGCAACATTCACATCCTCGAAAGCGGACTCTAAGGCATCTAGGACGATACCGTTGGCACGATCTCCGATTGCATGGACGTTCTGTGTAACAAATGGTCCTATGTTCTTAACACGGGGAGTCGAGTACTCACGACCTGCCAGCCATCACGGAGGAAGAGCGGGATGACCCTGTTAATTGTTGCCTCAGACACACGCATAAAGCCGTTTGTGGTCGGATTGTTAGTGTAGGGTTCATATAACTAAGATGATCAGTCTAGACCATGAATAGGTGACAATTTTGCCTACCGCTGCTCCACCTGTTCTCATGGAACCTTTCAATTCGTGTAAATGATATGGCGTTTGACAGAAATAGCACAACGAACCATCCCCTACGATCTTCACGCTGCGGGCACTGAACCTACGGTCATCTGACAATATCTGTGGTTTGGTGATGTTACCCCAGTATTCCTCGCCTTCGTCATAGTTTGTCATTCCGTACAAACGAATCTACGTAACAAGCTCAGCAAATATAATTGGCGGCACATTGTTGAACGTACCGGCAGCTTTCCGGCAGCAGCTTTTCTAGAGCGAGGTAAGTGTTGAATTCACCATTTATCACAGTCGAATACCTCTTGAAGAAGTCTAGCTGCCGGAAGTCCAGCTTAGCATCATGGATGGACGTGAGCCCGTTGGCCAAGGCATTTCGTACGGTAGTCGAAAAGCGCCGCTCATAATCCTCCTCAGTTAGAATTGGAACTGGCAACAATTCTTGAGCATTGTCGAGGAACACACCTATGAAATGCGCTGTCAACGTGAAACATAGCAGTGAATGACACAAAGTTCTTGCCGGCTGGTTGCCCTTTCTTGTCACGAACAATCACTCCGCCTTCTATGGTATGTGGGAGGGGACGGATATCCTGGAGAACGCGGCCAGAGACCCATGTACCGTGCCCGTCCTTGCTACGCAACATCACAGAACGTCCACGAATGACTATACTGGCATCGAGATCAGCCTGTGTCGTTTAAGAGAAACTGTTATAAATGGTATAAGCAAGACGCACGTACTGCGGTCGGGAACCTTGACTCTGGCCAGGCAGTGTGATCCCATCCCCAGCCCTCAATGACCTTCGACATGTTGTTGTAAATATCTGGGTTTGATACGATGTAATTTTCGACAAAGGAAACCGTCTCGGATATATTTCTTCCCATTTCAAGAGGTATCTGACGGTATAGACCATAGTGCATAATGTGGGCATGAGATTCTACACATGGCAAGCTTTGCAACATGGTTTACAGGGAGATATGAAGTGTTGCATACCGCTAATTCCTGGCACAATCATAGCTCCATCAGGAATATACCTGACCCGTAGAGGCACAGTCGACGTCCTTCTCCGTTGTATAGCATCTAATGTATTTCACCGTTAGAATGACATGCGTGCATGTGCTCCGACCCACCAAGATCTCCCGTGTCGGATATGAAAGAATCAACGACAAGTATACAAGACGTTCGTGAGTTAAGGGTATCGACGATGTAGATGTTGCTTCCGTGGGAGCATATCGCGTATGTCGTCGAGTCGGCAGGATTACTGAAATCACCAAAGAAGAGTAGAGCAGAAAATACCAGAGCAAGAAGAAGGAGTGCGATACGGGCAAGGGGTGTGGTTAGTCGCCGCCTAGGCAGAGCAATCCGACTATGCACCAATTTCTTGTCGAGCGACGACATGTTGAAATTGGGCAAAGATAGAGCGTGGGGGTCAGGGTAGATAAGATGGGGGCCGAATCCACGTGCATTGTGGCCATGTCGGTAAACTCCGGCTATATTCAGCCTGACCCTTCCTCCTCACTAGTTCGTATCAATGCTGGGATCCTGGTTCGGAAATCCTTCGCAAGAAAGTAATTTGTTTGATGATCCTCCTACGCCAATAGAAGCTCCCTCGGGTCCAGTCCGTTCTTTGACCTCAAAGTTACGCACCCCACATGATGCCATTCTCGCTGACCTTCATGGGGAATATGTCGAGCAAGCCGAAGAGGCTGCAAAGAGCCGTTATTTCAACGTACCATCGCGGCATACAGAACCTCTTCGTGACCCATATGATGGATCTGTAGTCGGCCAGGTCGTACCCGCCGATCCACTGCTTCATCTTGATATGCGAATCCCATACTATGATCCCAAAACAGACGAACTGCTATGGTCGCATTTGTCCAAGGTATTGGAACTGCAAAGTGAAATAGCTGCGCTACATCTTGGGATGGAGGTTATTGGGACGAAGCAGGGAGACCAAGCAAAGGGCAAAGGCAGAGCAAACAAAGATGATACGTGGGAGGGAAAGGAAGACAAGGACAAGCATGATGTTGATGATGCAGCAGAGGTTGGAGAGTACGAGCGCGTCGATGTCAGTCCAGAGGCCGATGAGGAGAAACAAAACAGGGAGCGAGAAGCAGAATTTGCCAAACTTTCGCATCAATTTGAAGGAAGAAAAGAGGGAATCCTGGAAGTCATGAGCAAAGTGAGGCATCTCCGGCTTTGCTTGTTGTTTGATTGACCGATATTTTCAGCTTGACAATCTTTCCAAGGCTCTCACCGACTTTCATGCTCTTCAAGAGCCTAAAATCGATTTCCCTTTACCTCTCAATAACGTGTCCCCGTCAGACACCTCGTCCAGCTCCATATACAAAGAGAGGATAACACCAACAACAAGCCTGTCGACAATTGTGCCCCCCGCTACTCCTACGCGTGCGAATCCGCCCGTCGTTAATCTTATTGTAAACACGCTTGAACCAGGCTCACAGACGCATTTCATCGACAGCCCTGATTCACTAGCTGAACATCATTTTAGGCCATAGCGGGAATGGGGCTACCTTCCGCAGCCACCAAGGTCCCCATCTATGATTTCCTATGTCCGCCATTGGAATGAGTCAGGAGACAATGAAATGGCGACGATCCTGTTGTAGGTTTGAGGATCAAGGATTGACGAGAGCTCGAACTAAGTTTCCGGGCGTAACTCTTCACTTTAAATATTAGGAGTACTTAGTAGAGGCGAAGACGCGGATATCAATTATAGAACTTTAGCTTTAAATACGAGTTTTGAGTGATGTCACCAACGTGTCCCTCATCCACTATCTCGTATCAACAGCTAATTCAGGAGCGACTATGTCAGCCTCTTGCAATAGTCGGGATTTCCGGCAGGATTCAGCGCCCAATTAGGGAAGTTGATGACGCGACCCCCAGCACCTCCAACCTACGAGAAGATCAGAAACTTTTGGCAAGGTCGAGCATACTTTTTGACTCGCCGCAAAACTGTAGACGAATACCATGACTTCTGTTCCACCATCAAGAGCAGCCGACATCCTGAACTTGACTGTCAGCTTGTACGAGGAATTAAATTTTTAAATTTAAATCTTACAAGAAGTTGTACTTCCTGAACCATCTCGGGTGATACCTTCTCAGGTAGAACTGACTAAACATGCAGAGCAAGAATGTATTGAAAACCGCGGAGTTGATGCCTCCCGAAAGAGCTCCGATTTCACTGCAGATCATCGGTGTAATAACACCATCAAAGTGAAGTTTGGGATACTTCCTATGGAGAAGCCAGAACGGAACGGGAACGACGAGACCAATGAATATTGACATCGGAATTATGCCATATCGTCCGGAAGGTTGGTACAGGTATTTTGCAAGGCCACCCCAAGTAATTGCATCACTGAGATACATAAAAAATGCGTTTCGAAAGAGATCATAAGAAGAGAAGTGTGGCAAAGTACCTGTTGAAAGACTGAATAGACGCTCCAGACCATACATTTGTACCCTGTATACTGAGGAGGATTTCACGGTTGGAATTGATAACAACTTTCATGATGATATAGTTGAGAATGGCGCCGATGACCGCACCACCGCATTGCCTAGGAGCCATTGAATAGAAGCATAAAAGATCAGAGCACAAATGGTTACATGGTAAACGTTACTCTGGGAGGGAGCTTCGTGTATTGTCCCATCTTCAGGTCCCGTGTCATTGAGCGGCCCTGCTCGGTGGAATTGTAGGCATACTGGTCGAAAGTGTATCAGTAAACATAGTTGAGGTCTATGCGAAGACGTTTACCATCGTGAAGTACATATTTGCCTAGTCATGAGTGGTTCAAATCAGCCAGGTGGAACAAGAAGCGAGACACCGTACGTGAGGCTTTCCGGGCACTAATGCTGCACCGAGCATCTATCCAATATAATAAGCATCCAAACAAGTGGAGAAAGGTAAGTCACATACTCTAGCAATGTCCTCAGTCCCTGGAACGTAACTATGTGCTGATCAGAAACAGAAATGTGCAGACCAAGATTAAAATGATCACCATAAAACAGCATATAACGTCGATATAATGGGCAAGAAAATCGTGGCAAAGCCTACGGCGATGAAGAACGCCCACCTAAAGTCTCCCTCAATAATCTGCATGAACGGTAAGAGATCGCGCTCATACCAGGGCAATAGCGCCTCGCCAGTGTAATTTGTAGCAAGTGCCATGGCTATAGATGCTACAAACATTCCAGCGTACCACCACATCGGCACTTCGTCGTACACTTTCATTCTCTCATAATGGGCTGACAGTTGCGACATGATCCATGTCCTGTTAATTATAAATTAAGGCTCACCATCATCGATTTTATTGGCTCGAGCTATTTTGATAGTATCCCACACCTGCTTACCATTCCAGAGAATCATATGTGTGACAGTGGCTCCAAACGATAAGCTCGCGCCAATCTTAGATATGACTTGGGTACCAGCCATGAAAGGAAGGCCAACGGCTTCAAGCTTGGTAGCGTTGATCGAGTAGTCTGCGTCCAGGATAAGAGTTTGGTCATACTCCGTGCCATTTTCAAGATAGAGCAGCTAGAGAGGCAATGTATTATATAAAGAGAATACAAGCAGCGCGACAAAGCACACCTGGGTGAGGAAGGGAAAATTCTGGGAGTTCCACACATTGTTTGCGTATACGCCAACGAAGCTCAATCTAACGGAGGTGAGATCACCGTCGGGACATATCCCAAATGTAAAGCATTTGACATACATGCAAATGAGTACACCACCGAACAAAGAGAGCTGGGTTGCCAAGGGTTGAAACAGAGCACCGTAGGCCGATCCGCCAGACCCTACATAGTTCCAGTCGAAGCAAAGTGAGAAAAGACCAAGACCTTCATTGCCAGCGGCGCCACCAAAGATGCGAGTTACCCAGGCGCTATCCCGGCGAGCAAGACACATGATAGAGACACCCGTAAGCAGAGGAGCGATATATTCTGGGAACCATTCCCAGACGACTGATACATACCATTAAATATCAGATCAAGGTGTCAGTAGTTCAAACACGGTACCCACATGCGCCGCCGAACAATATCCAGAAAAATTTAATCCTTTTTTTCTGCAGGAAGTTGTTGGTGTTACTATGAAGGACTTCGAACATTTGGATTGTAGGGATCAAGTTCGGGAAAACGATAAACGTAGGGTATACCAGGAACGAGCGCATCATCCCTACAATGATCTTCAGCTTGTATTATCTGCTTGGATCATACATCTACGTACCAGCTAATCCATAACCCAATAACTGGCTTCCAAGCAGCGTAAAAATAGCAATGGCTGGATTTGGTTGGAATCCATAAAAAAGATCATCAGCGGAGAAAATGCTGATAGCCAGAGCACCGTGCGTGGCGGCCGCCGACATGATGAGGATACCCACATGCTCCTTTATATTGAACGGGCCGGGATTGATAAAGCGCCAAAAGGCGCTGTTCGAGGTTCGCAGAAGAGGAAGGCGATTATTGGGCCCCGGAAGAATTTCTTCCAAGAGCTTGCCGAGACCGAAAGCGGCTGTTTGAAGGAAGAGTTGGGAGACGTAGACAGTTTGGGGGCGGAACGACTGGTCAAGTGGTGGGTATGTAATAAGAAGCCTCGAGAATGGAATACTACGTACAAATATCTGACTTAACACGGCGCCGAAACACGACAAACCGATGGAGCAGAACCATAGACGGAAGGTCCATACGGGAAGAGTGGTGTCATCGTCGAGCGAAATAAGACGAAGCGACCAGTCTTCCGCAGACACTGCAAACGCAAGCATCAGGACACGAGGAAATCAGGCATACAAATCAAAAAAGCGAACCTATTGGCCTTTCTTTGCCATCTTCGCCCATGTCAATCGCACGTCCATCCTCGAACACGCCCCCGATATCCGCAAACTTGACAGAGACTTTACCCTCGGCTCCCTTCTCGAAACTCTTCTCATCCTTGAAAGAAACTTTCTCGTCTTCAGAGGAGGCCGAGCTAGGAGACCCTTTGTTCATCGCAGGCAGCGTATTCACATCCTCGACTAGGGGAGACATGACCGGAGAAGGGATGAGAAGAAAGAGATCCTATAAAATTGGAATGGTTGATGACCATGGTCATATAGCTCCTTGTGAACAGATAAGAAGGAAGTGATTGAGAAGGAGATAAGTGCATTAATCCAGAACTCGGGACGTGAGAGTCCGATATCAGGTTATCGGCAGGTTTGCATATTAGAAAAAGCCGGTAAAGATGCCTTAGTCCTGAAAAGTGTGACCTAGAATAGATACTCAATTGTCAATGAGTTCCTGGGCAGTATGGTTCAATACCACATGAGCATTAAGAAGAGTTAATGCCTTAGATAGCGATAGTTGTTTGCCAGTCCCGTCGGTACTCCGTTGCCAGCTCAGCAGTAGGACAACGGGCCGAAGCAAAACCTTTCACTAGTTACATCTGAAGGTCCTGCTGGTGCAAAAGACATACCTGTCTGAGGCTCAGGATCCATGAGTTCGCTAATTCTGGAAGAAGGCGATAAAAATATGAGGGATCCCCGTTTGAGTGAAATTGAAAACAACGAGAAGATGAGGGAAATTCGAATCATATCACAAGATCTGAAACAAGACGCGGTGCAAACAATTCGTAAGACGACTTCTGAACCCCAAATTACTCTCACCATTCAGTGAGAACAACAAGGTGAAGGTGTGGTCCGATGTTGCCCTCTAAGGGACCTGGCTAACGGCACTGCCACTATGTGGATGATCTCCGATGAAGCAGATGATTTGCAGCTTTTCATTCTGTAGAATGAAACCTCGCGTAACACGCAAATAGAAGGAAAAGACTGATCATGCTGCGGCGTCTTCGTCGTTTCCGAGCCGCGGATCTGAATCGGCTTGTCCCGTCAACGACCAAGGTTTAGCATGAACAGTATAAGCACAGCACAACGTGCGGCTGAGCGTTCACGTCACAGTAATGATCTCCACCAACTTGTGGAGTACGCCAGCGAGAGCAAGTACAACGTGGAAAAGGTGAGGTAACTAGCACATTTACGAGCTCCACAAGAGTAAAGCCATACCCAAGCGTGGAGCAAACTAGAGCAAGGCGAGGCGGCTGTAACAAGCACAATAGCACATGCAGGCGGCGTGGGTCAGACGACGCTGTTGTCTTTGGCAGGTACAAGCTTGTCTGCTACTCGTCTGTGTGAAGGATCTAGCGTTTTGCCGTACAAGTAGAAGCCGAATAAGTTAGCAGCGCTGGACGGGTCTGTCGCATTGCAGCATTATTATTCAAGCGTTGCCTGACAGTGTCGGATAGAAAGAACCTGTTACAAGCAGACCCGATGCCGGGGCGAGCAGAGTTGTATTTTGACCGAAAACGGAAGTCTGACCAAGCTCTTGGTCTCCGACGCTACAGTTATCTTCTCCACTTCTCGTGTACATCGCCAGGCAATTCGTCAGTACCTTGGAAACCTTTCCTGTATTTGGCTGCGCAATATACATGCTATTCTGACTCGGATTTACTGCGCTCCCGAAGCAGTTCATTGATATAAAGACAGTTCTAGGTCACCATCAGGTCACCGATGACTTCACCAAAACTTTTCAATCTACCACCTGTACCTCCAGAACTCAAGTCTTTGACACCCTATCTTCAGCGCGCAGATGAGCTGAAGATGAAGGAGCCCGTTATGGCCTACTGGTGTGCGTGTTGCGACGTTTGTCCTTCTGTGGTATGTGCTCATTTATCTTAGGCGCGTACTACGCCGCGCAAGTCGGTATAGGTCTGAAAGCGAAAACAGTCCCTTGTCGTAACTTTCTCTTCGAACTCTTGGGCCTTTTAGAATCCATGAAGCAAGAAATAGGACCCAACGACGCAATCGACATGGAGGCTGCAAGCGCTGCATATGTCGAGAACTTTGCTTTGAGAGTTTTCAATCTTGCCGATAACGAAGATAGAAAGGGCCAATCAACCAGGTTTGTTTAGTGCGCTTCGCGTACGCTCTACGGCGTCTGAACGTTTCCCAGATCGACAGCGAAGAAATTCTTGGCTGCTGCCCATTTTCTTGACGTGTTGAAGACGTTTCCGAAGAGTGAGGTGTCAGATACTGTACGTACACTCGCAGTTACGACGGAGGGTATTGAGCTGATAGTATTCACCAGAACGAGGAAAAGATTCGATACGCCAAATGGAAAGCTGCAGATATAGCCAAAGCTTATCGTGAAGGTCGTAAGCCCATACCAGGGCCTGCAGGCGGTTTACCCGAAGAAGAACCTGTAGCCCCGTCCCTCGAAGACAATTTTCCTACCACCACGTCGATTTCGCCTACCACCTCTGCAACTCAAGTCGAATCATCGTCGCGCAGCTACTCTCCGCCTCAGATACAGAGGTCATCGCCACCACACATCTTTGCTGAAGATAGGCCACAGACTCCGCCTCGAAGGGCCGTATCACCTCACCTTGGTGTGGATCGTCCAGGGTCTGAATGGGAGAGGAAGGTCGTGACACCCGGGAGCTGGAGTACAGCAGCAACACCTGGTGCGGAACCCGTTGACAGCTTATCAGTAGGATTGGACAACCCAGAGTGGATGCCAGAATCACCTACGTCCGGTAAAGGGAAACTTCACGAACCTGCAGATGATCTTCAAAATAGTGCGGGGACCAAGAACGTGCATTTTTCGTCATCTGTGGTTGGTGGATCTTCTACGGGAACTAGATCTCCGGAAGTATCACCCAAAGTCAGCGAATTTAGCGAACATGTATATTCTGAACCTCCGGTTCATGGTTATCAAGGACAATATTTTGTTGAGCCGCCTGACTCGTATTCCTCCCTTACTCCATCCGCACCACCAGCACCACCCTCTATCTCGACTTCATCGCATACACTTACCTCAGCTTGGCATTCTGGTTATACTTCCGTACACTCAGAACCCGCACCAATGGAGCTCACACCCGCAATGGTGACAAAGGCGCAGAGACACTCGAGATTCGCCATCAGCGCTCTGGATTACGAGGATAGGGAGCAGGCTATAAAGGAGCTGAGAACGGCGCTGGAAGCGCTGGGAGCTTGACAGTTATCCAGACATCGTTGGGATATTTTCTTTCGTTGTTATGCATTGTTATGCTACACATGTACTTTCTAGGACATCATTATTGCATGCTTTCACATTTCATTGCCACCGAGCATGGGCAAGCGTCAACCATCCCCCTGCAAACCGCGGAGACTGTTACAGTGGCCCTGACATGTCCATCTCTCGCACCTTCTGTTCGAGCTCTCGAATCTTGTCTTTCACAGACGTGGTGGATCCAATAGTCGGCTTCGTTGGAGAGGCAGCAATGTACGTATCGGTCAGGGGTACAGGAGGAGGTCTCGTAGCCGTACTTGGTTTCAAAGTATCCTCTCCGTGCGCGGCTTTACTGACAGGCGGAGTCGTCGACGAACTGTTGTTGAGCCTTTCAATTTGTCCAGCGACTTGGGAAACAGTGGATCCTCTTGCTCGTGTTTTAGGCACTGGTGCCGACGTAGACAGTTTAGGCGAGCTATCCTTGGGTTGTTGGTCTGGCTCAGTGCTCAGCTTCTCTGCATCGTGCACATCTGCGGAACTGCATGACGTCTGACTGGATCGCGATGACCGATTACTGAAGCCCGAGTTGGAATCGGACTCCGAAGAACAAGAGGATAGCGGCTTCGGTATATCGAGAGAAGAGGGAACCAGCTGCGAGTTCTGTTCTTCCACTTCGTCTGGGATCTCAGCTCTAGGACGGAAGTACGAGTCACGGGTCGATATATCTTCGGCTGCGGACTCTGATTCTGCGGATTCTAGCGTTTCGTCACATAACGGCCTGTCGAGCCGGTTCAGTCTGCCCTCCGCACCAGCAGCACGTAGCTTCTCTTCTACACGCAGAACAAAAGATGAAGGTCCCTTTTCCACTTCAGGTTGCGGTTCTTCTGCGGGAGGCCGAGGTGTAACACTGTAAGGATCGACCGCTTCCTCTTCGAGTGGTTGGAGCACGGTTGCGTTCAAGCCTTCCTTCATGGAAGCGTAGTACAAATCTGCGAATCGGTTGCCATGTTCGGCATATCTAGAATCGATACTCGCCGAGGTGATAGCATGTTGCACGACTTCATCTGTGTCATCGTATACAGAGAGGTTTCCTCCTCGGAGCCTGTCATCTTGTGCAGCCTCAGACGTTGAGCGTCCGTCGTTTGAGATTTCACCATAAGGGTTGCTCGGATCCATCGCTGCTTCGTCACTTGAGACATAATCAGAATGATCATCAGAATATACATCGTCCTCGTATTCATCCAGTGACTCCAGGACACTGGAATCACGCCTATTGGAACCATAGATTGGTCGCTGATCGTCGACAGTTTGTCCTGCCGGCAGAGGGTATGTGGGTGGAGGATCGATAGAGAGGAAGTTGATGATTTTAATAGGCAGCTTCACATGGACGTCTGTGCCTAGAGAACCTGCACTGACAGAAACTCGTAGGGTGTATTCCTCTTCCAAGAGTCTTCCTCTGGGCATGGTCAATGCATCAGGCTATGTTTAGTCAGCCCAGTGTGAGATGGTAGGAGGGACTACGCCCACATACAGGTATCAAAATAAAATGGCAGAACTCCTGTGCATCGCCTGGTGGTACACCTGTCCACCACCCTTTGGCGCTTGCATGACCTCTCGAGCCATGTTGACCCATCTGAAGCGTGCTCTCGGCGATCTGTTTCTCGGTCGTTGTCGTCTGACACGCATCCGGATCCTGTTCCACATTTGCACCCTCAACATCGAGATACGGCCGAGGCTTGAAGATCACGGTCGAACGTAAAAGTGAAAGGGTCACACTCTTGACCGTTTTTTTCGTGTGATTTGTGACGCTAGCTTTGACGCAACATTGTTGGCCTGCAACCCAGTAAAGTCGATGCAAAGAGGCAGATAATGTCACTTTTCCGGATCCACCCATGAAAAGGCTCTTCGTAGCGTGTGCCTGGAGAGGAACTGGAGCAGGAGCTAGAATTGTTGAAGGATTGAGACGTGGCCAGATTTCGCAGTCGCGATAGAAATGGGCGATGGAACGCTTGCCTGTGTCTGATTCTTTCACCTTGATAGAACTAGAAAGGAGAGGTCAGCTTGATGAAAGCAGAACGATCAAGGCTCACTCACAACATTGCAATATAGCGTACAGTTATTCCGGAGTGAGGGTGCAACATTCCTTTGGGGTTACCGGCATCTCCATCCAAAGGTAAAGCCATGGAAAAAGGAAAGACAAAGACTCCTTCTTTTGCTTTGGCAAAGCCTTCATCGTCAGGAGCTGTTCCAAGCATCTCTTCGAATGAGCTAGAAACATCGGAGAGAAGAGTAGATGTTTGATAGAATGTATGTCGATCATCTTCGCCATTGATACATTCAAACCCGACGACTCTAATCTTGCCACCAGAAACCAAAACAGCAGACTCTTTTCTACCTGGTTTCCGAATCCGAACTTTCACATGTCCTTGGAGAAAGCCGCCTTGAACGCAGGTCTTGCTGCTAAGAATGATATCGACTTCTACACGCGCGCGCGGTTTCGCCTGCTCCAGAGATGTCTTGTCACCTTGACTAGTCCTCGTGGAGGAAGGGATCAGAGCAGCACCAGGCTTGAGACGAGAATTAGAATTGCCAAGGATAGACTTTAGCTCCGCCGCGTTTCGTCCAGCAGTAACGCCAACGCTGAGAAGGGTACCATGTCGAGACAGGGCGGTTTCCTCTGCAGATGATGCCTGCGAATTACGAGGCTGGCATCTCCGCCAGATGGTGTCGTGAATGAGCGGGTCAGGATCCATCACGATGCGTTCACCCGTCTTGAATCCAGAGGTTCCGCCACATACATCAAGCTCTACCATGGCGCCACCGTTCTCTGCCTCCAAAAGCCCTTTCATAGAAGAAATTGACCTGGACGATCCGACCTGCGATCTTGCTAACTGTTGCTGATGTGTCGCGTATTCCGCGTTGTTTGATAAGTGCGGCAGTCCCGAGGGTTGTGTCATAGAATCTCCAGAAATATCGAATGTTGAACTTTGTCTAGAAGGAGGGAACGTGATTCCGAGGCCTACAGTCCTGTTCGACGAGGTACTGATAGAGGACATGCTTGTCGGGAGGAAGTAACGATAGTGAATTGTAGAATTTAATGAGCGATACGGGTTGTGTGCACAGGTCGATTAGGGTCAGAGTCAGAGTCCACTGAACAGGTGTCTGTGGGTGTTTGTGGGTGCCAATTTCCAAAGCGAGCCGCGACGCGACAAACAAGCAAAGCCAAATAATGGCACAGCTCCTTCTCACCCTCATGTCGGAGAGGACGGCAAAAACTTATACTCATGCTTCTAATCGAGCAAAACCGCAAAAGGAGAAGGAGAAAGAGCGGAAGGTAGTCTTGAAAAGTGTTCTAGACAACCCGTTTCGCATTCGATGGTGCGTCATCATCCTTTTATTGCAGTAATACCCACAAACGACGACTTTCAGGCCCTCAGTACCAGTGAACTTGCAAAACTTGATATTAGCACAAGTTTTATTACTTGTGGAGGGCGTCTCAGCAAATAGACCGCTCGTAAAACGCGAGCGTAAACACCGCAAGAAGTATATCCGGAAGCTGAAGGCAGACAACAATGCGTCTGCGTCTCCTGCAGTGTTTCCTAATGAAATCGATTCCGAAGCCACATCTGCGTCTGTGTGTGTTGATGCAGTCGTGACTTCCAAACGAAAAAGAGATGGAAATGATAACCAGGGATCTGAGAAGAAAAAGCGGAAGACAGGTGGTTCTATATCTGTCCCAACGTCCTCTACGCAGGTGGATTCCAGCGCCCCTAATCCTCCGGTTTTGACCGTGACTATCAAACGGAAGCGCGAGGTACAGGAGGAGGAGGAGGAAGGCAGTGAGAAGAAGCGGAAGACGATTCAGTCAGAAGATGCATTTGCTCCCCCTGCAAACGGACACAATACCGAAGTTACCCATGGCGACTCTGTTGATCCTCCTGCGAGTGTTTCTGACGATGCCAATATCCTTCCTCCATCTCCTGTTTTGAAACATCTTGTCGTCGGAATCAATGCAGTTACAAAACGTCTTGAATGCCAAATTCAAGCCGCGCGACACACGGTCGTTATTTCAAGCTCAGGTTCAACAAAAAAATCTCCCGAGCTACCCCGACCACTCAAGTACATTTTCGTCTGTCGTACTGATGTTGATCCACCCATCCTCATCGACCACATCCCACATCTCGTCGCTTCCTTCAACTCTTGCAAACCATCCGAACCTATCAAACTTATACCCTTGCCCAAGGGCGCCGAAGTCACCCTAGCAGAGTGCTTAAATATACGAAGGATTGCTGTGTTTGCCTTTGACGTATGTTTTTCACCACAGGCATTTATTTTCCATATTCAATGTTGTTCAGAACGAAAGTGCGTTTCTGTCGGCGCTTTCTCCTATTTTAGAAGCTGTGCCCGTAATTGCTGCTCCCTGGTTGGTGCCACAATCAAATGCATCCGATAAGCAGATCGTCCCAACCCACATCAAACAAGTCCGCACTTCTGCGCCCAGGGACATGAAGGCAGCGAAGGCGAAGAGAGTGGCCGGCAGGGCTGCGGCGAAGCAGAAACAGAGGAAAGATGGGGGAAGAGACGGAAAGTGATTCCGAAGGTTGTCTAGAGGACATTGATTTGACTTTCCAGTGTTATCTCCAATGATTATCCGGCAGGGAGTATTACGGCCAGTCATGTTCTTGCCTTTTTTTTGGAAATGTTCAATGTGAATGGGGGCTTCTTCCTCCTCGTATATAAGTACCTGAACAAACAAAGCCTCACAGTTCGAACTCAAAGTCTCATTCGACCTTCTCATTGACTCGGCGGCTACCCACCCATATGTTCGAAAGGGATTTCTCGAATACGTACATATGCCTAAACGAACGAAGACATTATATCAAGACAACGTCAGATGGCGGTTATGGTATAGTCTCTCGAACTCCTGGAGTCTTGGATATCCCTCAGTGCAATTACAGGCCATCAGTTCGAGATAACCTCCAAAATTTCATCTTGGCCAAACTTCTGACACTTCTGGACAATGTCTCTACAAGACCACAGAAGGGTACGCGAATGGCTAGGAACTTGAGGAGACAACGACAACATCATACAAAAACCACTCTACCAGTATCCACCATCGTAACTTCAGCCGAGGTTATCTCTACCAACAGGCCTCCCGAAAAAGTTGTCGCTTCTTCGTCGGTTAATCTGAGGCATAAGCGCGATTCAAATGAAAAAATCTGTACTGTGAAACGAAAGGCAGTAGAATCAAAGGCTGTTGTGCTGCCAGGCGTATCCGGTACCAGCTTTTCTAACGCAATAGCTGCATCTAAGCGTCGACTGGAGTTGGAGGATGATCCGGGCCCAATGAAGAAGCAGAAGACTCTGCGAAGTTTTGTATCTTCACTACCTGCGCAGAGCGAGCATGTTGCCAGTACTGCAGACCTTACCGCGAAGCTCAAGCGGAAGAGGAACTTAGAGGTTAACCAGAGTGCCAATAAAAGGCGAAGGAAAGGTGAATCTAGTGTCGAGTTGACATCGGGGACAAGTGTTGTGAGTGCTGAGCCAGGTCTTGACGCTCCAAGTCTGACTGAGTTTCGTGGCTAGGGCTCTGGAGGACACCGTGAGGCTGTTGGGTCGGTCGGTGCATTTCTATCTATCAGCTCTGATGCAAGTGGCGTCGGACCCTCGGACAGCGCCGCCGAGTTGGGCCTGCAGGACTCTGAGGAAAATCGTGTATTGGAAGTGGAACGTCATGTTGGCATTTCCTCTACCAGTGACTGCTCTGCTGGACCTTCGACTGCTAACATTTCAGACTCAGACGGGGGAGATTACCGTGGAAATCTGCGGAAGATAACTGGTGTCGCAGCAATATATCGCGCGACATTGGGTGTGCCTACAGCTGGTGAACCCATCGCTGAAGTTCCCAGCATCTGATCCGGAGGCCCTGCAGTCAATTTTAAGCGAAAGCGTGTATCGGAGGATGGCAAGGGTACCGGGAAAAGGCGACGGATAACAGAGGGGCCTATGGTACCGATTTCGTGTGCATCTGTGGATGGGCATGACACTAGACAGACTGGTGATATGACTTCCAGATTGTCGAAGCAACCAAAGCGGAAAAGGGACTCAAATCATGATGACGGATTGAATAGCAAGAGACAGAGGACAATCGAATATATCGACGCGACGCTGGTAGCATCTGCAAGTGCTCTTAATATCAACGCAGTCGCGAGCCTTGATACCGGAGCGAGGATAAATCACCAGTCTGAAGTGGCTGTCTCGAGCCATGGTCAGGGTTCCGTCCCAACCGTCGACTTGATCACTGCAACTTCGTTATCAGAGGGCGGCACTGGATTTTCCAACAATAGCGCAGCAGATGGAACCTCTGAAAAGACCGTCATACCTTCCACTGGCCTTGTCATTGGTGTTAAAGCAGTCCTGGAACGCTTAGATTCTCAGATCCAGCAAGCCCAAAACATGGCTACATTTGCGAGGTCAGGTTCAACTCGATACAAAGACTACCCCTGGCGTCCACCATTGATACAAATATTCGTCTGCCCAGCTGACGTTTGTCCAGCGGGCTTCCTTGATAAAATTCCTCGTCTTGTTTCTCGTTTCAATTCATGCAAGCCATCTGATGCTGCGCCGGTCAAATTTGCCCAAAGGAGTCGCATTTATGTTGGCAGATTGCATGAAGATGCGACGGATTGTTGCGATGGCTTTTGATGTAGATGTATCTTTAGTATCTTTCCCTTTGTCCTTACATATGAGGTTTTCAGGGCGGTTTCAAAGGATCATCAGCACTGTCATCATGCCTTGAAGGTGTCCCTGTCATTCGTGTAGGTCGGACACGAAAGAATAAGGGTCAAAAATGTAAAATGTCAGATTTGAAGGGAAAACAGCATGTACTGTGAAAGGGATTGAGGCTTAACATACCGGGACCCTCTTCTGGCCACCTGAAGGTTGTGGTTATAATATCTTGGAAAGTGTTTACTACCCCGTGTATGCACTTGTCATAATTTCACGACGCGGTTAGGGTCACGAAAAGCCAATTAGCAACCGGTGATCACACAAGTAGCCGTTCCTTCGACTCGTCGACAAGCTGGCTAGGCCTTTGTTTTTCGACCAAGGCTTCCGCCCGTCACCTCCCGCTTTTCATTGTGCTGCTCTTATCAGAATATAATCGTCTCATTCCTGCAATGTTTATTGCGATAATAGGTACAGCCTCAGCAGGGAAGTCCACTGTTGAGGAGTACCTTGTGGCTAAGGAAGGATTTACACCTATTAGGCTGTCCAAAGGAACAAATGCAGATGTGTGTGTTCACTCTGGTGTATTCCTGTATTTAAATGCTAGAACAAAACAGGAACTCCCGGAATATGATCAACTAGACGCTCGTTCTTTCGAGTCTTCCTATTCTTCTGGGTTTCTCCAAGCGACAGTACCCGCAGAGACCTCTCTTTCATCGGACAAACACCTTTCCTTCCTTTCACTTGATCCTACGCCAATTCACTCCCCAGGATCTTATCGTTATAAGAGCAATCTTAATATGACCTTGACCTTTGACACGCCGTCGGCTATGCTTGACTATGTGACACGAAATTGGCGGACGCGGTTTGTAACTGTCGATCTCTGTACAAGAGAGCACGTCGAGCGATTCATAAAACGACCTTTCTTCATGCTGCTGAGCGTCGATGCGCCGATACTTGACAGGTACCGCCGATCAAACAAGTGAGTCCTTTCGTTTAAGCGGGGAACCTTATTAGAGCCGATTTGTGCATCTTACCTAGCCAATCTCTGGAAGATTTTGTGCGCGCAGATGATGAATACGTTTTTGGGCAAGGCATACAGGATTCAAAGAAATCACTGAAGGGAATGAATGATCTAGTTCATATCAAGATTATCAATGATTTCCGGAGCGTTTCTGCTCTCCATTCGCATTTGAATGATCTTAATCTACTAGACCCGTGTCATCTCAGGCCGGACTGGGACACGTATTTTATGGTATGGGCTTGATGCTATGATAGTAGCTGTCTGATTTTGATAATCTATTCCAGACATTGGCGTCTCTAGCTGCTGAGCGATCAAATTGTATGAAACGGAGAGTGGGCGCCATTTTGGTCAGAGATAACCGCATCTTGTCCACCGGGTGATTTATGACTAGGTCGTGATTGCTACATCTTTTTGATTATTCTGTCAGATATAACGGCACCCCAAGACACCTATTGAATTGCAATGAAGGCGGATGCTCGCATTGCAACGGAACAGCTGTACTCAGCGACGATACGAATCATTGTATATGTCTCCATGCGGAGGAAAATGCGTTACTAGAAGCCGGAAGAGAGCGAGTCGGCGCCGGATCAGTGTTGTATTGCAATACGTGAGACCTCTTCCAATTGTTCTTGTCAACTGTTGTTTTACTTGCCCTTTAGGTGTCCTTGCTTGAAATGTACAATTAAAATCATACAGACCGGTGTAACAGCAGTTGTTTATAATTTATCATATAAAGTGTCAGTTATCTTGCGGATCGTGTGATGTATTGCGAACTTAAATTTCCTTCCCAGAGACGCAGCGTCGGCACAGCTGTTCAAACAAGCAGGAGTGCAACTGCGGCGGCATCGCCTGCCAGGCCAAGATAGCCATCCTTTCGATCTAAATGGCGTAGAAGAAGTGTAATATTTGTATCTTATACCATGCTAAACTGGTTCTAGGCCTTTGAATACAAGAGATACATTATTTTCAATATCCCACTGCGGCATTCTCAAAAATTTCATGGTGGGTGATGCATCTGCATAAGTAGATTGCAACCCAAGCCAAACAGCATCCGCATTGTTGTAGCCGACGGCAATGTACAGTTCTCTTGCACAACCTTGGAGTTCGTCGTGCGCTCGTGAGTCCAAAAACCGGCGGAAGGCCAGAATAACCTCCCATACAGAAGTGTCCTTAGGATCGACCCCATGCATTGAGGCAGTCATTGTCTTCAACAGGCTCCGATAGATGCGATGAGAATGCGTATACGCTGATTCCGTACCCACAGCTCCGTATTTCCTCCGAGACAACGCACTTGATGCATCCGCCGCATCTAACTTCTCCAGCATCTGCCGAAAACGTGGCCAAATATCATCCCAAACGCGCCTATACATGAAAGTGCCGACGTGGGTAACCGAGGCTTCTACCAGCGAGGCGGCGGCGCTGACAACGAAAGACTCTGAATCCGAGAGTCGATTGAGTATGAAAGGCCAGGCGGAGTGTATCGATGGTAAGAGAGCAGATTCGGGTAGGACAGCTACTGATGATGCTAAGAGTGTCAGGATGCGAGCTCGTATAATGGGCGATTGGTGGGTTAAAAAGTACAACGATCGAGAGACAATTTGCTTCGTTAGTGCTTGTATAGGTGTGGGAGGTGACTCCTCTGTCGAATCTGCAGCTGCCGCGGGTGTGTCCTCAGCCTGTTCTTGATCTTCTACGCCCTTTCCCTTCTTATCGCCCCACGCCTCTCGGGGCGCTGGGCCGTAATCAACATCCTCTTCCTCTGCTGGTGGATCGTTCCGATGTTCAAACCAATTAAAAAAGTCATTGGACGGCTGGCGATCATCGCGAGGGCCCCATCTGTCCCGCTTATCCTCTGCAACATCGACTTCTTCCATCTTTATAACCTTCATTACTTCTGACAGAACCTCAATCAGACCTTCCACGAGTACCTCATATCCATGATATTCGTCGAGGCGATCAAAACACTCTTCAACCACGTCTCCTGCTTTTTCAACGACACCATCGCCCACCAGCTGTATCATAACAACGAGGACCTTTGTAGCTTCCACATCAAGCCAACGGCGGGTTAGCCGACGGGAGACCGAATCCAAGATGTAGTCAAAGTTTGAAAGTAGTAAATTTGCGGGGGAGGCGTAGGAAGTGTTGGTTGTTATGAAGTTTAAAGCCGCCAGAGCAGTACTTGATAGATGTGAATTGGACGATACCAAAGAATGTAGAACGGGATACAAAGTTTGTATGAAGAGAGTAGCAAACCGAGCCTGGAGGATGCCCGAGGTGATGGATAAAAGCTGAAGAAGCATCGCTCTATGAAGCATCGGCTGCGAAATAGCCCTTGGCTTTGTAGCCTGAGAATGCGACTGCAAAATATGTAAAGTTTCGTTGACCGGAATAACACCTTGACGGTGTTGAACTTCGGCCTGGACATCCTCTTGGTCATACGAGCTGGGGCTTTCTTCCATAGCGTCGACGTCTGGCTGGTCCCATATCTGACTGGTGCTCCTCGCAAGTGCTCTAGCAAGTTTTTCCAGTCGCTTACTCGTCGTATATTTAGGAGAGTCGAGAGCCGATGAAAACAGAGAAACTCTTGCCGCTCCTTCAAGCAGTCTACAGGCGCACCACAAGGCTGCGACGGACCTGCTACCTGTTCCGCTCTGTCCTACATTAACGAACCATTCAATGGTAAACAGACAGCCATCACCAGCTGTCCGTCCAAGGGCATGGAACATTTTAACCAGGGCATCATAGGTGCTTCTCAACGAGACATTCCTGAAGATCACCTCTGGAAACGCTACCCATTGGTTTTGCTCGGAATCATGCTCAAGCATCAATAGGGCGCTTGAGGTTTTGGTGATAGTAACTGGGGGATCGACGAACTCTATAACGGAAAGCAGATTCCAGCCCCATTTTTCGACGCTACCGGTAGGCCCCAGGAGTCGGCCTAGTTCGATAGAAATTGGGTTCTGCGGCGATGTTTGGCCTTCCTTGCCGGACGACAGACGGCACACGGCCTCGATGAGGCCTGCAACATGCTCGACTTTCGCATCTGCCATAAGCGGGAGCAGTCTTGGAAGAGCAGTTAGATTATCTCGCGTGAGTAGCATTAGAGTCCGCATGTACGCGTGGTGATGCTTAGACCATGAAGACAGAAGGCCCAGCAAGGTGGTATGAGCTTCGTTTGAGACCGAGGGGAAGTCCGAAATGGAAAGAGAGAGCAAAAATGATAACAAAAGCGGCTGTGTTTGAGGTAGGGTTGTCGACGTGGCTAAAAGTATGGTCGATGATAGTTTAGATAGGGCAATGAGAGCAGACGGGGTCGGATGTTTAACAAGTGGGGTAAGTGTGTTGAGGGCGATATGTAACTGGGATGATGTTCCACGAAGCCACGAAGGTGTGCGTGGGGTGGCATATTTTGTATTCGGCGCCGGCGTTGGCGGACTTTTTGCCTCGGGATCACAAACCAAATTTATCACATCCTCCAAATCCTCGACCGATGTGACCGCCCCTTCCTGTGTACAGATATCATCAGCGATGGAGCGCACTACAATCTCCGAGAGGACTCCAAGAGCTTTCGAAACGAGATCGCCGTTGGCCCAGCCTTTACGCGCCGTGCCCAACGCCAACTTGGTGGTTGTACTGACAACACCCGGGAGTACTGAGGGAAACAGACTGTCGGGAAAATATGCTGAGAGGAGAAGGTGAATTACGTCCAAACAAGTGTTCTGTAGGGAAAGCGTCCGAGAATCCGTGTTGATGAGAAGTGAGTTCAAGGTCTGCCCTAATATTGGAACAAAATTTTCCGTGCGAGCGTGCTCTTTGAAAAGAGCAAGTCGTGGCTCGGCAAAATCGGAGTGGATCCGCTCGTCGTGTTCAGTGCGAACTCTCAAAAGGGCGAAGAGACATTTCGCCGCTGCCTCCTTTGTCTCGTCGTCTCGTTCTTTTGCTTTCCCATTCCCTTCCATTCCTCCCAATACCGCTCCCGACAACATGAATATCTGCTGCCAAATTGACACCTCGCAGAACCACCACCAATCATCGCAGATAATTCCTAGCACCACGAATATCTTCTCCAGAATCTGGTCTGGAATAACGGTAGATGAATTGCGTTGGAGGATTGTTGAGACGGGAAAGAATGTGTAGGATATTAGTGATTCCGAAAGGACAAACTCAGAGGATTTGATGGTTCGCAAAGCAAGAATCAGGTCGCCTAAGAGTTTCGAAACCGTTGGGATAGAGGTAGGGGTCAACACGGCCGACCCAAGCAATGGGACACACACTGCCTTCAGCTAAGAGAAGCTTAGGAAGGGTTAGCCTAGCAAGAAAGGACAACGTACAGACTGGAATATCCTTCTCGACTGAACTTCAGGATCGTCCATTATCCGACGCATCGACACCTGAATTTTGTGACTAGTACCTCTTATTCCTTGCCTGCTGGAGGACAACGACGAACGAAATAAGAGGGTACAAGGCAAGCCGATGCGGCAAAGGGCGGCTACACACTCCGATCTCCGGATTTGCCTCTTACTTCCATGTCTTCCGGTCTGACTCGATAAAAAATGCTAAAGAACCAAAACACAATCATCTCGTCCCGACACACTCCCTCTTGCCATATCACATCGCTTCTCTGCTAGCTAGAACCCCTACGGTTCCCAAAACGTGCCAAATTTTTCTAATTATACCGCGGTACCCGACATACAGATACAACTCATTTTAATCGCCTCTATCCCAAATGACATTCGATCCTCCAAGGCTATTGCTTATCGATTCCTACGACTCGTTTACCTTCAAGTACGCCCATCATTTGTCTTAGTATGATCGCCATTTAACAACTTTGCGCTCAAGTTTAGCATCCTTATTTCGACAATCTATTCCCGGATGCTGCATCCACATCCTGAAGAACGACAAACTCACGATATCTGATTTGTTGCCTCATCTGAAACACTTTTCGGCCATCGTAGTAGGGCCTGGACCTGGTTCACCGGACAATAATCAGGACATTGGTATCGTCAGGGATTTATGGGATGTTTCTGAACAGCATATGCTGCCCATCTTTGGCGTTTGTCTCGGCCTTCAAAGTCTCGCACTCACTTATGGCGCAGAGTTGCATCGTCTGCCCATCGTAAAACATGGACAGATATCACATATCGTGCATACCGGCCAGAGTCTGTTCGAAGGGGTGGGCCGTGTGGAAGCTGTGAGATATCACTCATTACACGTCACTCTATTGGAAGGCGGCTTCATAGAGCCGCTAGCATGGGCAGACGATGAACCGGAGAATGGAAGGGTCCTCATGGCTATTCGACACAAGACCCAGCCTTTTTGGGCAGTCCAGTATCACCCGGAATCCACTCGTACTTCTGGCGGTGGACATGAGGTTGTCGCGAACTTTTGGCGTCTAGCGCAACACTGGGTTCGAAAACACGGGAGGAGAACGAGTCTTTGGTGTGAGAGCGCCCATCGCGTTTTCGGATCCTCTTGGCCTCAAGCTTCCCCCATACACCAATCGCTTCCCTATTCTTTCCAACCCACTTTGTCCGTTCATACCATTGTTGTTGACGCACCCACAATATCCGTGATGAGCATCTGTGACATGCTTGGAGCAGACGACGAACAGCAGTCATTCGTTCTCTTGGACTCTGCTGCTCGCCCAGGCCGATTTTCAATTGTAGCTTCCATGCAGCCCTTCGCCCTTCAGATTACTTATAATGTCGACCAACCTTTCGTTCGTTTGACTAGAGGAACTACAACCGCGTACGAGAAACTTGGGGACCATGACATATGGTCATGGCTGGCGAGTTTCATGCACAGTCGAAGGGCATGGGGCGGTAGACCTGAGATTCCGTTCTGGGGCGGGCTGATAGGGCTTTTGAGCTATGAAGTAGGCGCCTCCTCTCTGGGGATTTCTCCACGGTCTAGGAATGAGCCTGATCGCAAGCATCCTCATCCCGACGTCAACTTCGCATTCATTGAAAGGAGCATCGTTGTAGATAATTTTACTGGCAAAATATATGTCCAGTCAATCATTCCCGATGATGATGCTTGGCTATCTGAAACATCTCTACTGTTTCAAAAGCAGCCAGACCCGGTCCATCAGGAATGCTCGCTTCCGCACGACAAAGTGGCCGTCTCTCATGCTACGGTAACCCTCCCGGATAAGGACCGGTACATCTCCAACATTAAGCAGGCCATGGAGCATTTATTCTGTGGAAACTCCTACGAACTCTGCCTCACTGCACATACACGAATTCAGACGTCCGTGAAGTCATCTTGGAGTCGTTATAAAGCACTGCGCCAAACTAACCCCGCTCCGCATTCCGCCTTCCTACGTTTATCTCCCACAACCTTCTTATCGTCTTCCCCCGAACGTTTTCTCTCCTTCTCTCGTCCGCCGAATTCCATTTATCAATTAAGGCCAATTAAGGGTACTATCCGGAATGGCCCAGATATCGATCGTGCATATGCAGAAAAGGCCCTCGCCGGAAGCCCCAAGGAGGTCGCAGAAAACCTGATGATCGTGGACCTCATCAGGCATGATCTTCACAGCGTGGTCGGTGAAGGTGTCACTGTACAACAGTTTTGCGCCGTAGAGGAATACGAAACTGTCTGGCAGCTTGTCAGTGTTATTGAGGGCCAATCGTCTTCTGAAGAATCGGGGGGTTGGGAAGTGTTGCGGAGCAGTTTACCGCCTGGTATGTCCTTTCGATATTTCCATTGGTCCTTCTCTGAATTTTCGTTAAATTCATCAGGTAGCATGACTGGCGCTCCGAAGAAGCGAAGCATGGAGATCTTGCAAGATCTCGAGGAATCAGACCGTAGCTTGTATTCGGGGGTGTTTGGATACTGGTGTGTAGGAGGCGGGGGAGATTGGGCAGTGACGATACGAAGTGCATTCCGACATGATGATCCCACTGTTCAACCCGTTAACGAGGAATGGGTAGTCGGCGCTGGCGGTGCTATAACTGCTCTATCTGATCCTGAGGCGGAGTGGGATGAGATGATTATCAAACTTCAGAGTGTTTTGAGGACGTTTGATTAATGTTTTTCATCCTTCTGATCTGATTTATTATTATTACTTTTACTTACCACTATAGACGACTGGATAACATTACACTTCAAGTTAGACATCAACTGTTTGCATCGTACATTGTATCCATACTTCCTCTGAATTCAACTTCATTTTACTAGTAAATTACTTCCTTGATCACGACACAGCCTGACCGACACAGGGTGATTTAGAGATTGAAATTGAAACCCCAACCATCAAGCTCTCGCTGTGCCTGCCTCTCTCTGCCTCTGCCCTGCCCGCTCGCCTACACCCTCGATGCTTAACGTGACGCAAATGTGACATCTGTATGATTCTTAGGGATACATAGCCTGAACGTAATCCATTCTGTCCTTTTACCATCAGTTCGTCTCATCATTTCGCGGCACGGTACCGTTGTCGAGCTCTCGATGTCGACAATTGCACGTGGACAGCATAGCCTGTCGTTGCGACAAACGATCTAGGAAACTGTTCACTTAACACGTTCTCTGGCATAGTCTATACCACCGTGAAATGGCGGAATCGATTGTATCATCTAGTCCACCACCGTACGTGGACATTCTACTCATTCAAAGTTGGTCTCCACTTCCTCAAAGTTCTACCCTAGTTATGACACGTCGGAGGGCATCGCTGTAGCCAGGTCCGGGCACTCAACGTCCAACCAGGGTTCGACGTCTTCTTCTCCAAATCTCCCGCCAAATCCTGCCCCAATCGTATTGAGTTGGTCATCTCCAACAGTTCCTGACGCCGATGTGCAGCTGCACGATCCACACACCTCTGGAAACGTAACTCCGGCATCTCCAATTTCCCAACCTTCCGGATCAACCTCTATACCCACCCAGCCTTCGCATTCTTTGGAGCCATTCGGCAGACCTCCAGGGTGAGCACCACTGCTTGATGATCCATAGCTCGATGACACTTAGGCGTCGAATTCTAGTTATGTTATCGCTAGAACGCCAACAACAAATATTGTCTACTCGTTCTCGCACATTGGGGATAACGCAATGATTCTCATACCTCCGTATGATGCCCCGGACACCCGACCGAAATACCACATCTCCGTTAGATTGAACTGCTTCATTCCATCATCATATATCACTAGTAAGTTCGTATGCGTTATCCTGAACGACTGGACGACATTTGATCTTCACGTAGCCATACGTCGAGGCGCCACACAAGAGGGCGCGATAGTTGGCGATTTTGAGTGCGTTTCAAATGTTACATATCGACCGCGTCTGCTAGAATGGTCACATGCATAAAAACAGAATGGGTATCTCTGACAAGACGGCGACGTTGTTCATTCGAGGCAAAGAATTCCCCATTGGTGACGTACTTGGAAAATCAGGATCCCGGCGCACGGTCAGTTATTTATGCATTGTGATAAGTGCTGCAACGTCATACTCATGTTTGAGCAGTAGGGATTGTGGGACTGGAAGTTCGTTAAATATGTCAGTGCATTTGATGCGGTAACCAGGAAGAGTGCTCAATCTCAATCTTCTTATCTAGGGTTTATTCTGGGATTGTAAGAAGAATCCGCGAAAGGTGAGACTGAATAAACGCCCAGATTTCGACAGTTATTCACAAACAATTCCAGTGTTTTTCCAGTGACAGGAGAACACTTTTTGCCACATTCATGCCAGTCACGAACCTTCGTCAACCTGGCATCCCAACTGTACTGCCGCAGCTTGAAGTGACCCCTCAAGGACAACCCTTTTTCGACGATATCTTAATGTCTGTGTTGATTATCGAGCGATGGCGGTTGACACCGGCTACAGGCGACTATAAACAGCTTTTTAACTAATGGATGACCCAGATTATTTAACACGCAGTGGCTTATATATGTATTGTACTCATTCATCGTTCCTGATACCATAAATCATGACATCCCTCCGACCGTGACCTGTTCACGCACTAGCATCGTCTTGGATGTTGTTAAGTTCGAGACCGTGCCTATTTATTGTTCAACCGTCGTAACAGCATACATCATGCTTAGCTGATATGTGATCTTCCTGAGCCGGCGCTCAGAGTTCTTCGACCAGAAGCACACTGCCTTCGAGCGCGTGAACATCTGCCAAACCCTGACAGTGCCACATCCATATATCCAATCCCATTCACTTAACCCTCACCAGTTCTATGCTCCAATGATTCTGCCGTCCCCCATGTGCGCCTATTTCAAAGCCCTGAAAATCCTGTTGTCGTACTGACTCTCTTATCGCAGTGAAACCTCCAAAGTCGGCTTCCAGATTGGCGTTCCTATACCACCGCCACGCCCGCCGATCCACCCCAACATCCAATATGGATCTACGTCTCCCGTTCCTCCAAAGTGTGTTATCCATGTGCAGCTTTAATTATTAAATAATAACGGACCTTGTACCCGAAAATCTATATTAGATACTTCATTACGCCACGTCCAAAAGAAACCATCACATACAATTTTGCGCCGACACGGTCACCTCTGGACCCAAACTCTATGCTGCTGTACCCACCACCGGACATTGACGTTGACCAGGGTGCACGAACACCGTACCATATATGTGTTAACATGAATTGCTTCACGCCTTCGTCCCATATCACCACGATCAGAAAGTCATCATCTGAAGGCGAATTTGTCGGGGATTTTGAGTTCGTACTTTTTCCTCGCTTGTGGAAGAATATCATCTCAAATATGGCTTCTAGGATTGGTCCAAGTCATGCCAGAATATCCAACACCGTGTGTTTAAGAGGACACGAATGCTCAATCAACGAAGTATTATCGTCTTCGTCCCGGCTGTTTCATAGTGTGAGTAAATGATAGAGCGCTAGTTGTAAGCGCTGCTCACTGATGGCTTTCTTCCAGAACTGGACATGGAAGACTGTCGGTGAACACGATGCACCCGTCACTCTTTACTGGGATGATAATAATGGTGGAAGTGTCATAACTGTAAGATACCTCCTTGCTTGGAGTCAGCATATTGTTGATCCAAACCTACAGTGCTTCCGTTCCAAGGAAAGGACACTGGCCAACCTCCTTGCAAAATTTACGCCACGCAATCAGATGCGGAAGCATGGACGGCCAATCCAGTACCCCAAACTTGAGGTGACTCCGGATGGACACGATTATTTCGAGGATATCCTCTTCTCGGCTTTAATCATCGAACGTATGCGAACCGATCCACCTGGTAAGTGTTAGCTACATGCACTTGATATTCACCCTAGACTTTCTTTTTGCTTTCACCCCCATTACTGCTTTTCTGGCATTTGTATCTCTATGTCACATTGCATTGTCTATATCAACATCTTTGTATCTAGTACATCTGATTTAAAAGTTTTCATGCATCCTCAGGCCATGAGTGCTATATGTTTGAGCTCACTGATAATACGACATGAGCTCCCCGAAAAGACATCAAGTACACAGGCACTTACTTCTGAACCTGCTGGCCAACTTTCATTGGTTCGTAAATCATATCTCCTCCGTCATCCTGGCCCAGATTGATGTGAGCTGCCCGGATTATTCTTGAGCGCTCCGCCAACGCAGGAATGGGTTCTAGATCATAATCAGAAGATAGATGCCAGAAGAAAGTCGACGAGATTCGAATCAGTGGTCGTGAGGGTTGTTCTCTTTTTCGCTGCTCGATGACCTGTCCATCTGTGTCAAAGCAATGGTAGATGGTAGGTAGATAGAATGCATACTGCAAGAGTTCTATCGTTAACAACGACTTCATGATAACCCGCTTTGATTAGACCACCGCTGATGTGCTCTAATTGTTTTCCGGCCTGAACGAGTAAGTAGTTTCCTTCTGGAATCCTGACCGGGATACGTTTGCCAGTGTTTCGAGCCCATATATGTAAGCCGGGATATCTGGAGCGACCGTGGATCGTCAAAAAGTTGAGGTCGGTGTGAAAGCCAGCGAGAATGGTATCTTTCTCTCCGTATTTCACAAGATCCGAAGCGGTGGGAGCTAAAATATGAGGCCTGCCGGCAAGGTCGGAACTCAGAAGGACGACAGCCCAAGAAGCTATTCTTACCCATATCTCCCTGCTTCACGGAACATCTCTGCAGGTAGACCAAGTCCGATGGATGCCATGTCAGCTAGATTTTCCACTCTATGGAGAACGCTAGTGAGTGAGTGGAAAACGCGAGATCAAAGTAGGAAGCATACGCGCGCTTCATAGAAACCCCCCACTTTTCCATGACCGATGGCCAGCGTTCCTTAATATGTTCGGCCTGGGGTACGACATTGGAAGCATTGAGACCAGGAAACTGCGTCTGATATGGTGGCATATCTCCCATCTTCCAAAAGAAGCGACACTTTGGATCCGGATTGTGGGCACTGATATCCAATGGCCTTTCCGAAGGCTCCAATCGCTCGATGACATGTAGGCAACTTGTATCCACTGCACATTTCGGTCTTTCCGTAAGCTCAAGGGTAGCGCCGACTTGGTAGCTGAGCTCGGGCCTCTCATCCTTCTTGAGAATGTCTTCGGGTTGTGCAAAATAATCCTCTAACAAGTCGAGGAAAGTATTGTTGTCCTGTTCTGATACGCGCGAATCGCGTAGAAGCAGAGCGCCGTAGACAATCAGAGCATCCGCAACCTGACTCGAAGAAATAAGAGGTGAATATCGAGACCAATCACTTGGACTCACTTTCTTGCATTCGTCAATCACGACTTCCGTATGCCTAGGCTGGGAAAGAAAGAGGTCTAGATCTATGATAGGCAGATCCATCGAGGCCGGTTCGAGGGAGGCCATGTCGCAAGGTGATAGAGGACAGGTATGTAGTGCAGGAAGAAGGTATTTATTTAGTGCTACCAACTGATAACGGCACAAGGGCGAGAGGTCCACAAGGCGTTCTCAGTTGACTGTTCCAGTGTGTTCCACACGGCACGCGACAAGCGGCTCGCCAGGTGGCTGTGTCAGCTTGGATAAGGGTCAAACTCATGCCTCCGGAAGATCGACTCTCGAAAAGACCACCACCACCACTCTGACTCACGCCACCACCTACACCCACATTCCCCTACCACGATGATCAAGGTTAGTATTCTGTCTTTCCAGGACATTTCGTCGCTGAGGTGTCTGCTAGATATGGAGTATGAAGAAGAACGAGGATGCAGCGGCCAAGAGAAAGCCCAAGGTTAGCGCTGCCCAAATACGAGTGCAGAAAGGTGTGTTTGTGCACTTTGTCTGTGAATTGGCTATTGATAGTCGTTACCCGCCTCTTGAGACTTGACTGAGCTCGACCTTCCCTCCACCATGCAAACAAACTTCCCTGATCCCGCTGATCTCCTCAACTTTACGCTCACTATTACCCCAGACGAAGGTATGTTTGACGTGCTGACATCGCCGTGGTGTATACATGAGGCACTGATCATCGTGCATCCAGGCATGTACAAGGGTGGTGCCTTCGTGTTCTCCTTTGCCATCAACTCCAATTATCCTCACGATCCTCCGAAAGTGAAGTGTACTCAGAAAGTAAGCACCTCATCGCTCTTCACTTCAACCGATACCATTGGCCAATCGGCTTTGCAGATATACCACCCTAACGTCGATCTCGAGGGCAATGTTTGCCTCAACATTCTTCGGGAAGATTGGAAACCGGTTCTTAACCTGAACTCTGTCATGGTTGGCCTGCAGTATCTGTTCTTGGAGCCGAATGCAGACGATCCTTTGAACAAGGGTACGTGAACAGTCGTCTCAACTTGTTCCTCGCCTAATTGCTTTAACTCCTCTCCATTAGAGGCCGCGCTAGAGATGAGCAAAGCTCGAGATCAGTTTTTGAGCAATGTAAAGTCATCGATGCGTGGTGCCAACATCAAGGGCGTACAATACGCTAATGTACTTGCGCGATAATTGTCAAGTATCCCATCATCATGTATCATTTCAATTCCTTTCTCGCTTGTCTGTCGCTCACTGTTTTCCGCGCATCTTTTTACACACATCTACTCCAGTCTTCCGCATTATTTTCTGTATTACCTTTGCACTCCCTAGGTGTGATCAGTAGACACAAGCACTTAGATATCCTTTCCGACTTTGAGGAACTGATTCATTGTGGCTAGCCTAGTAATACAGTGCATTCATTTATGTAAGGATCAATAATGTCATTCAAGTATTGGGGCCCCTATAATGCTCAACTGCCACGGTATGTAGTAAAAGAGTAGGGGCTAATGAGAAGAGGAATGTGGTAATGTTCCGCGGGGTTTTCGAGATTGAACGTTATCTAGGATTGTGTCTGAATAGGCGAAGAAACGTTCAAGGGGTGAACATCACACCTCGACCCACGGATAAAAGCATTTTTGTCCCTTGCTCTCGAAGTACTCTTTGATCCTGAAGATTACCTTGTACGACCCGGCAGTTAGCAAACGCCTCGTTTCTTCTGAGGCCTCCAGTGGCGGAAGAAGGTCCGGACATCTGCCGTCTGAGTTTGTTATCCTAGTGGGATAGTGTTACTTAGTTATGACGCAGTAGATGATAGCCTGACGAACCCTTTTGCCAATGGAACAAAGATGTCTGGTTCATCCTCTGATTTTCCGGGTTCGTAGCGCTGCAGCCTAATCTCTACATTCGGAACAGGCTTTCCTGACGACGAGTCGAGAACTGGTGGAGGTGATTGAGTTGACACTGGTACTCTTAGGACAGAAGAAAAGGCGGACTATGGCAAGTGATAGGAGATCTTGACATTAATATCGACGTTTAACGGGAGAGGCGTTTCGTCGTGAGGTCGAGATGGGAGTGCCGAGATTCCGGGATACGGAACACCGGCCCGCATGGTTCTTGTCGAACTCGACCGCTCTGAAAATCTAGGGGAAAATTCATGCAAATATAAGGCTATGGAATCGTTGAGTAGCAAACTTTAATTTGAATGAGGGAAACTAAACCATGTTGTCAGTTGGTGCCATCCGGCATTGATGCATCGTAAGTACAAGTTATTTTGTGTATAATTAGATATTTGTGCATGCCTCTGTAGTAGGATAATGCGCCATGTGAATAATGGTCCATGGAATCTACTAGATACCTGCGCATAGAATGTCGTAAAGAAGCATCGATGGCTAAGTCCTCGACATTTACTTACAAACTTTAAGTCGAACTTGGTGGTGAGGTGACGGAAATTCCGGTCCGAAGGTATGTGATGTTACGGTCGTGATCGGACGTTGAATTTTTTATTGAAACTACCATGGCTGGCTCGTCGTCGTCGCCGCCGGTGCCTCCCCTTGGAAAATATCTTGCATCTACAGGTGAGACAGGATCTCTGTTTGAAATTCATATACTCACTCGAAGATCAGACAAAAAAGTCCGCGATAAAGCGATCAAAAACTTATCAGTTTTCCTCTCTGATTCTAAAGATGCTCTTCCGCCGCCAGAGATGGCGAGATTGTGGAAAGGAATTTTTTATTGTGAGTCAATGGTAATCCAACATGATACTTTTGGCTGAATTTTTTCAGGCTTCTGGATGTCTGACAAGCCCTTGATTCAGCAGGCTCTCGCAACCGAGCTTGCAGAACTTGTGTTGACTATCACGTCAACGCCAGCTGCGCTTTCGTTTCTAAGTGGATTCTGGGAAACGATGGTTCGTGAGTGGAATGGAATGGATCGATTTAGGTCAGTGCTTCAAGAAATGCTTATTCTTATTAGGCTGAGGTGGCTATAGGCTCGACAAGTATTATATGCTTGTAAGGAGGTTTGTAAATGCAGCCTTCAGACTGCTTATGCGGGCAGGATGGGATAAAACTGCGTGCGATCAATACAATACAATATTGACGCGAGAAGGCGGTCCCCTATGGTATGTACACACGCTATTTACAGATCGTTCTAGCTCTTACATTCTCTCTCCCCAAGCCCCTCTGATATCAAAGTACCCACCAGTCTAACGTATCACCTTTCTGATGTATACATTGAAGAGCTCGATAAAGCTGTCGCAAGCTTCGATTCATCACCTTCCGTACCACCAGCCCCACTGGATACTCTTCTTTCACCCTTTCTCATCCTCGCTGCTCAGACGTCGTCGGGGGTCACATATAAACGTATCAAAACGGCGCTTCTGGACCCACTCTTATCTGCGCTTCCGTCCTCAACTAATTCGGATGGACCCCCGCAAGCGAAACGTATACGTCTGGAATCCAAAGATCCTGAATCCTATCCAAATCTCATAGCGAATGCCTGCATGAGTCCAGAAGACCATGGTCAGATGGATGGGTTGATGCTGCGAAAGAAACTGTTGAGGCGTATATTTGAAGTGGCCAGTGAGTCAAGCACCCGAGGATCTAACCGACGAAGGATGTATGAAATATGGAAGGACGCTGGTGACGGGAACTATGATGATGATAGCGACTAAGTTAGTTACGGGCTGTATGGTACCATTCTTCTTGTCACTTCTGTACTAAGTCTTTTGCGTTATAGAGTATTCCGATGGGTATGACAGCCCTCCTCACAGTCCTCGATGCAGCCAATTCTGGTCCTTCGAATTAAACTGTATTCCTGTTTTGTTGTCAATTTAAGTCTTTTTATGGCATTCAGCTAATGTAATATTGACGAAACGTTGTCTTGGGGGGTCAAGCTCAAATCTAAGGAAAAATCAAGGAGCTTTGAAATCAGGGAACGTGATTCTGGGCTGACATTATGCATGTCGCATTATAGTCTGAACATACCAAGCTTCAAGATTGATCTTATCACTCACGCAACTCGTATACAGTATGCAAATCAGCCTGAGGCCGCTGTGATTCGTATTGCCCAGCCCTTATTCAAGTTATTGAAATTGCCGGACGATAGTTATATTACAGTCACATGTCCGGAAAATAGTTCCACTCAAGTTGCAATAGTTTTTCCCCGGTCCGGAAGCCCTTCCGTAACTTACCAAGAGAGAGCTCAGGGTATTTTAACGCCAGCAGACACCTTCTTCACCTCCAGCCATCAAGAAACTCACGATGGAACCCAGACCTTCTCTTCCTCTGGACGTTCTCATCCACATCTTATCCCACCTGCCCTCCTCTCCGAGGCGTGGGAGCGATGATCCCATCTACGCGTTCGTTGGCTTCCTTAAAGCAAGCACTCTCCTGCGAGAGGCTGCTATGGTCTCCTCTCTCTGGGAACCACACTATCGAGCTCGATATACGCACTACGATGAGCAAGCTGAAGCTCGGCGCCTGGCCATGACCAATGGGGACTGGAGGCTGTTGTACGTTGCTAGGCGTCGGCTGGATAGCGTGGCGCTCCGGCACTTGGACGAAATAGTCCATCAGAGAAGCAGACAGCTCGAGCATGTCGAAAGCATATTCGAGCTGTCTTTTGATATCTGGGATGTTATGCAGACAGAGGCGGAACAGCCAGTCCCAGTGCCGTTTCGGCGGGCGAATGAATATCACGCTGAACAGATCCAGAATATAGGCCCCAACGCACCCACTCGGAGATATTGGGCTCGTTCTATTATGGAATCTATATCAAGGTCTTATGCCATTGATCTATGGACCCGTTCTCAACGCGGCGATGACTCTGTGTCGTTCGTGGAATCATTTTCTGCATTATCTTGCTTTCTGGGCAAATCTCCAAGACAGGTATTCCTGTCTTCCATTCAATCATAATCGTACGACTTAAAATTTTGGACACAGATGTCCGAAATCTTCTCTCCCCTGATAGATCGATGTCGTGCTTATCTCTCGAGACGAGATTATGTTCTCGACCAAGATGATCCTAGCTACGATCTGGTCGAAATGTGCATTGGCGTCTGTAGCTTCATGAGAAGTGAAGGATTTGACGCTGTTGATCGTTAGTCGTCTCTTTCTTCGGTGCTGTAGGATGCTCATGTGATCTCTACGGAAAAGCCGAGAATTTTCATTTGCTGCAGAATATTTTGCCTCATGCATATCTAACAAGTAATAAGAAGACGATACCTATCTCTTTGGTTCACATTTTCGTGGCTATTTCTCGTGCTTTGGGGGTGCATGCTTCCCCTGTTGATTTTCCAGCTCGTGTCCTGGTGCATATCTCCACTCCGGATCCACTAACCGATGATTTCTATGTTGATGTATATGGCTCGAGCACCAAACCCATCCTCACTCTTCGCGAAGATATTGCTGCCCTCTTGATGCAACATGGAATTCCTCCACAGTCGATGGTGCAATACATCTCTCCCTGTGCGGGCCCCTCGATGTTGCTCCGTACGAGTCGCAACATTCTATCATCAGTCCACGGGGGCCATCGGTCGTCTGGTAGTCTGGCGCAAAACTCACTTTATATCGCCTTCTGTATTTATCTTCTCTTAACGTCACGGGAACAATTTGCGGCAAGGGTGACCTTGTATGTTGGTCTACTGGACTGCGTCACCGTCATACCAAATACATTGGCACCTTTGTTTCCAGAGGGAAGTAGTGCTCGAAATACACTAGAAGCCAAATGTCGGACCACCATCGAACGCCACAGGGCTATGACGACTGTCAAACTGCGCTCTTCTCCGGAAAACGCCAGCGTGTCTTATTTTGTTGGGATGGTATTCCGCCACCGTACGCGAAAATACATTTGTTGTATATATGGATGGGATGTAAGTTTATCTAATCGACGCTCCAATTAACGATATTCATTGTTTTCGAAGAACACCTGCAAACAGGATGAAAATTGGATTAAAGAGATGGATATTGATCGCCTTCATCGAGGGAGGAATCAACCATTTTATATGTGTTTCTCACAGGATGGCCTAGAGAGATGTAAGATCCTAATCACTTTGTAATGTCCGTTTAACTGACTAGACCTGCCATAGACGTTGCCGAAGATAACATTGAACCCACACTTGCAACGTCCAGAATGGTCACGGAAATCATTTCTAACGCTCCCAACTTTCCGGTCTATTTCTCTGACATTGTCACCGTGTCAGGAGATCGGGTCAAGCTAGTCCCCAGCCCTGAGGTATTGCATTCATATCCAGAAGATGAAGTTGTAGCACAACACTGGTTGGCAGCGCATTCATTCAGCTGAGAATTCTTCTATATTTCTAGATTACACCGCGCAATTTCTACTGTTTTAATTCACCGTCTGCACATCTACTAAGTGACGAAGAGCATCTCATTTAAGTATTAGTCAATATATCGCCAAAAATACATACTATACAATAAAATAAAATAAGTCACGTGGTCTTTGTGACGAACGCGAAGCGTGACGTCCGGCATCTACCGACCTTCGCCTTTCGCCTTCTGAAAAGTGAATCTTCTTTCATTTTCTGATGTCGGCATCATACGCAAGCACAAGCCGATCTACACCAGTCGCTTCTACTTTTTATCGACCACCATATGCAACTGTTCAGAGCCCTATGCAGCGTGCTCCCATTGTCACTGATGATTACGAACGTATGCGTCTCTTTCGCTTGGACTGGACGTCCCGTTAACAGTCGCGTTAGGATGGTACACGGAGCAGGTACCCAATAATCGAATGGCTCTCTCTCTTCAGTCCGGTATCGAAGGGGAAATAGGCTGGGCGCTGGATCGACTTTGCCGCCTGTGTCATAATGAACAATTTCAGTTGAAAGTGATCCCCGGCATAATTGATGGACTGTTCATCTGGCCGGAATGGTACGTTTCAGAGGGTCACAAGCTTTTCAACGGCAACAGCACCATCTTCGCCGTTCCGCGCGACATGGAGGCAAAGCGAAGGCATGCCATCGAATCTTTGTTTGTCCTCCGAAATTGTGCTTTGCATGAGCAGGATTGCCAGGAACTCGTTCATCATACCCATTCTCTACCGCTCATATACAACTCGTTGAACAATCTGGATCCTCAGGTTGATAACAATACAGAGTTCCTCCTTCACGCCACCGATTTTCTTCACTCAATCGCAGCTCATTACACCGCCCCAGCGTCGGTTGTTTCTATAACCAAGGCTGTCCTATCTCCGCTTGGAGTTATTGCGTCGACCTCATCCAATCGACCATCCATAATTGCAGCTTTGACGGTGTTGAGCCAGCTCATAGAGAATCCGCACACCGCTACTCTTCTATCTCCCGATTCTCCAGCCTTAGTGGCTTCGCTCAGATTCTTGCCTCTTTTCATGGACAAGCCACTGGTGGAGGCCTGCCTAAATTATCTCTACGCTCATTTATCACACTATGCTATGGCGAAGGCATTTTTGCTCCACCCAGACATGCCCAGCATTCTTCGCATCCTCATCAACCTTCTCATTCAGGAACAAGTTGAAGAGACTGTTACTATGGACATCACGGGAACAGTTCGAACAGTCCCTTCCCAGGCATCCGTGACTACCCAAGATCACGACCTTTCACAGGAGGAACTTGAGCAACTACTCCCCCTCCCGGAGCCTGAGAGATGTTATGAATGGTTCGTGCGCCATCTCATCTGAGTCTTCCAGCTCTAATATTACTGACAGGATGAAGACGATGTTCGTCGGGAAACCCGATGGAGAATTAACACAAGTCGATTTTTGGAACCTGTATAAAGACGTTTTTGCTCCTCATCAAGACAAGTATCCACTCCTTGTGGCCTCTGACGTCATCAAAAATGTGAATCTCGTCTTTCCAGAAGCGCAGGCTATGGTTCTGCAAGATCCAGTTCAAAGGTTCATTGTCCGAGGCGTTGACAGGCGCAAAGACACCTTACTTGCGGAAAAGTTAAAATGCCAGTGGGATCGCGGGCAATGCGCAACACCACCTTTTGGCTCCTTGAACGACCTTTATGAGCACCTCCTTGATCATTTAAAGGGTGCAGAGGGTCCCGAGTATCCGTGCTTGTGGTCTTCATGTCCCAATCCTCCAGTTCCCAAAGCCTCTCTTCGGTCCCACGTCCTAACTCACCTTTCACGAAAATATACTCCTGAGCGGCATCCATCCCAGAGTGATACTATAACCTTGTCTGCAGGAAACACATCTCCCACTTACCCAACGGGCAACCCAATCCTGCGAACGCCCCCTCCACCTCGTAGTACCACGATCAACTATCGGAGACCACTTGTGGACCCTCCTTCTAGTTCTCTTTCGGCTTTATTGTGCATTCGCATCCTCTTCAGAACGTCATTTGCGTCAGCTGACGAAGCCCCTCGTATAGACGAGGAGCATTTCGGTTTCCCGGGAATCGTTGAAGAAGTCGTGGAAGACATTGAAGATGTGATTATCGCCAACAGAGCTTCAAAAGACCGCGAAAAAGAGGGCGAACGGCGGGGCAGGAGAGTTTTCATCAATGTTCGACAGTTGATGGAGGGCGTGCGGATACGAGATGAGAACCTTATGGGATGGATAACAGAGATGGCAACCGTAGATACAGAACCTGGCGCACAATGATTTCGGACGCCGGGGATTAGGCGGATGTACGCGTAGTTGATTACATGACTTATTGCAAACTTAATCAAATACTCGTTGTACACTGCCATCGCCATTGCTCTCGTGGACTCGTAGGAAAAGTTACGGTGTTGCAGCTCTCGTTATGAACTCCCGTCAACGAAATAGTTCAATCGCTCAGTCGAAATTCGTATCAGTCTTCTCTCGGCTTCTTCAGGGCATACCTACTGCAGTTATCAGCCCCAACGAGGACACTCATCAATTTATATCAAGTCTCTTAGTACTCGACGTAAACCGTGATTATCTCGAGGCGCAGCTGCGTGAAATACCGAAGGAAGTGTGTTTGGGGCCCTTGAAGGTTGTGCAGTTGGTCCATCATCGGCTCTCTCTGACCTTGTGACTGACACTTGTTTGCATCCAGTAGAGGTCGCTTAATGATATTTTCTCATTCTATTTGCATCATGTTCAGAGCAGTGCACACTCGGACAACCTCAAGACTAGTCATGCCTTAGAGACGCTCTGTATCTTCACGAAAGGCTTATTGGCCAAGGGATTCAGTGGTTGGGAAGTTATGGAAGTGTTTGCAGGGGGAGTTGGGAATAGCGACGCCTTTTTCATGGTGTGCACTGAGTTCTCTGCTTCTAATTTTTAGTAACCAACACTTGATTAGAATCTGGTAGCAATCATTGATGATGCTTTAGCGAATGCCAATCGTTCTGGTGAGTCTCCCAGGGTATTTTGTCGTGGTGTCAATGGCTGAAAACACAAGTCACAATTCGTCACCAGATTCTTCAATTGGGTCTAACTTTCATGTGTGGTATTTCTCAGCTTAGTCCAGGCGCCTACTTTCTTCGTCGCAACCTGTTTCCGTCTATTGTTGCTGTTCGTGCTCCCGTTTCTAAGTTGACTGATGGTCTTTACTGACTCTGTTTGCTATTATTGGCAGTTTATCAAAGGATTAGATACCGAACAATTCACCTTTGAAGCACTCCTGTTCTTGGCTCTTTTAGCAGATTTTCACAAGTCCGATGCTGCTAGCCTCAATCCGTACCTGTCGCAAATCAAAGAGACAAAGGACGTAGACTTAATGAAGAGGATCTGTTGGGCAACAGACTCCGCTCTGGTTGCTTCGGTAAAGTATGCACCTTGCATCCCAAGCCATCGGGTTCTGGAACTGAAGAATGTCTAGACGGTATCAAGAAATCTCTGATGATGATGTTTCTCCAGCTCTAGCATCAGCCTTTGGCTCTCTCATATCATCGTTACGACCTGACCGTGCCCTGGCGTCCACACCAGTTGACCCCCCTCGTGAATTATTCAAGAACCAGTACGTACGAATTTCTCTCTTTGTCGTCAATCTGAAATTATACAACAGGCCAATCGAAAATACAGTTATCCTATTGCTGTTGTACGAATTCCTTCGAGGGAACGCGCTGTTCTCCTCGGTGTTTCTAAGTTCGAACGAGCCTGACCGCCTAAGGCCCTCTCCACCATTAACTTTGCTAACTCTGTCATCTTATCTGTTGACTCATGCTACATCAACCTCACAGCCGCGCTCCGTAGCCTATGCAAATTTGTGTATCAACTGTCTTCTGGCGCTCGTAGAAACAGACGCCGTTCTGGTGGTGCTCTCGAAGCCAAATAATAAGCCAATACGCTTGTGTCGGCAGGTCAGTTCACGATTGTGCTTTTTGTTCGTTTCTTATTATTCACACTTTCCAGAGGCTACCCCTGCTACCTGTACCACGTTCCGGACGTCCACTGTTGTGTGCTGTACTTGACTGCTGTGTTCTGTGGCTACGGCACAATCTTCACATGCGATTAGAAGTACGCCTATATACGTATGGTACCTTTTCTACCTCCACCTACTCGTTTTAGGCTCATCTTTGAACATAATATTCAGGCGGTGTATCTGGATCTGCCATAGAGTCGTATTCTACCTGCAGAAAGTCCGTATACGTCTAGGCAAGTATTCCAGTGTTTTCTTCATGATGTTGTCCTCAAAGAGTGGCAGAATACGAATGGGCAGAATTTTGGTCTGCTATATTGGGGCTCTTACATTTTCTGGCTACAAAAGTGGACAATTTAGTTACCACAGGTGGCGTGGAACAACTGATACGAGAGGTGCGATACAGAATTGAGTTCTATGGCGTTCCTTCATGCTCTTTGTAGACCGTCTTTCTTCTCAGCCTTTGTCTATCCAAGTGCGAGACCTTTTTGCCTACGCCTCAAGCAGTACATGATTTTGTCGTACGTTACCTCGTAGCTTTTCAATAGGTCGCAAACTAATCCCGGGTGATTAGTACAAACTCGTTCGCGCAGCCTCTGATCTGCAAAGTCAAGCTACATTACTGAAACGGCTTGCTGGTCCCGAATCCAAAGCTCAGCGGCATTCACTAGTCCAACAACCCACCGATTTGTTGATGAAAATCGTCACTATTACACAATTTTATGAACAAAAGGTCACTCAATCTCAGGCACGAACAGCCAAAGACGCACTGCGTGCTGTTTCACGAGAAATTGAGGCCAATAGTGTGTATGGACTAACCGACACCCGTGAACCCGAACCTCCGTCAGTGTATGCCTTGTCTCTGTCCAGTGACAGTCTTCGCTTACCCTTATACTCAGTCAACGATCAGAAAATGTTCTACCATTTTCGCGATATGCCTGCATGGATGGTATGGCGCTCATGCCATAGTGCCTTCCTAATGAAGACCCAATATACTTAATTTCCACCTGCACCACCCTGCGATCAAACCGTGATATTCCGGCAAGTGGACTAGAAGGCGACGGAGTCCCGAGCAAGGGAATCCCCGGTTATGGGTTCTCGTAAGCGACTCGGAAACATCACAGCCACTCCGACTGCCATATATGTATAGAATCCATCTCGATTTGGGAAGCCTGAAGAAAAAAATTTTATTTAGAGGACGAAGTTAGAGATTACACCGGGTGGGCCGCTCACATAGACTTGTAGGTTTATCATGTCCGATATCTTGCAAACGTTTAATGTTGTTGCCCTCACCGTCAGGGTGACCCTTCGCGTGGTTTCACATGCTGAATACTGTCTAAGCCCTTATCTGGAGCTGTCGATAAGCCTGTTGACTCGGTGAATGGCTCGGTGAATCTGCTTTAATTACATACCTCTGCTTCTTTTTTGCTTTGCTATCTTTTTCTTCCGTCGCGTCTTGGTCCCTATCTTCAAGGACCATGGCGTTCACTCGCTATGCCTTTGGGTTCCATCGGCTTTCCCAGACACTCGCCTGCCGCTCAGTACACGGGGTTCGTACCCTTGCGACTGCCAGACAATTCTCTCCTCTTGCTCCGTTGGATACCTTCCAGGAGAGACACATCGGTCCTAATGACCATGAAGTCTCCCAGATGCTTTCTCAAGTGGGCTATGATTCCATGGACGCGTTCATAGCCGATACCGTCCCTCGTAAAATTCGTGTTTCGACCGCTGATATCAGTAATGAGACCATTCCCTCGTTCAGCGAATCAGAATTGCATGCACGAGCCAAGGCGTTAGGAGGGCAGAACGTTGCATTCAAGAGTTATATAGGGATGGGGTATCACTCTGCCGTTGTTCCTCCGGTCATTCTGCGCAATGTACGATGGCTCTAGTGACTTTATATGGCTTTAGAACTGACATGCGGCGCATACAGGTGATGGAAAATCCTCAGTGGTATACTCCCTATACACCGTATCAACCCGAGATTGCCCAGGGACGTCTAGAGTCTCTGATCAATTACCAGACGATGATAATGTCACTTACTTCGATGGATATCGCCAACGCCTCGCTTCTTGATGAGGCGACGGCAGCAGCGGAGGGCATGGTTATGACGTTCGTCTCGTCTGGACACAAGAAACGCACGTTCCTGGTCGACTCTGGCGTTTTACCTCAAACCATCTCGGTGCTGAGGACGCGTGCCAAAGGCTTCGGTATCAAAGTCATTGTTGAGGACGCGAGTGTGGCCATCAAGGATCAAAGCTTGCAATCGGATCTGTGTGGTGTCCTAGTTCAGTATCCCGACGTAGATGGGAACATTAAAGACTTCGGAGAACTTGCAGTTAACGCACATTCGTCTAGCGCCCTCGTTGTCTGTGCCACCGATCTGTTGGCATTAACCATGTTGAAGCCACCAGGTGAATGGGGGGCTGATATTGTTTTTGGAAACTCGGCACGATTCGGTGTCCCTGCAGGATATGGAGGTCCTCATGCCGCGTTCTTTGCTGTAACAGACAAGCTGAAACGGAAGATGCCTGGCCGTTTGATTGGCCGTAGTCGAGACGCCTCAGGTGCATCTGCTTACAGGTTGGCATTGCAGAGTAAGTCGCTTTCGCTCATGTTCATTCCATCATGTTTTGATTTTCATAGCTCGTGAACAGCATATTCGACGCGAACGGGCGACAAGTAATGTCTGTACGAGTCAAGCTTTGCTGGCTAACATGGCAGCAATGTATGCCGTCTATCACGGTCCAGTCGGTCTACAACGTATCGCAAACAAAGTCCATGTTACCGCTCAAGTATTCAAGTCGTCGGTGGAAAATCTCGGATACAAGCTATTAAACCCTGCTTTTTTCGACACGATCACTTTGGACGTATCGGTTGCCGGTGGTGCCGAACCGGTGCATGACATCGCGAAAAAGGCGAGAGTCAACCTTCGTCGTATTGATGATCAGCACGTTGGCGTTACATTCGACGAAAGCGTTACACAAGCGGACTTGGAGGCTCTTGTAGCAATATTTGCGTCGGCAGTGAAGTCATCAGGCCAGCTGATTTTACCGTCAGAAGGATCACTTATTCCCGAATGTCTGCGACGTACTTCTGAATATCTGCGCCATCCGGTTTTCAACAAGCATCATTCTGAGACTGAGATGCTTCGTTACATGAACCATCTAGCTTCCAAGGATCTTGGCCTCGTCCATTCCATGATCCCACTCGGCAGCTGTACGATGAAGCTCAATAGCACTAGTAGCATGATTCCTCTGACATGGCCAGAGTTCAGTGCTGTGCATCCCTTTGTGCCTCATGACCAGATAAAGGGATATCTGAGTATCATCAAGGTCAGTATTATCTTGCCTGCATGTGCCTGTGATGGAGGGACTTATTCTCAAATTAGGAACTCGAAGAAGACTTGTGCAAGATAACAGGCTTTCACGCCGCCTCCTTGCAGCCAAACTCTGGTGCAGCTGGAGAGTATGCGGGGCTTTGTGTGATCAGGGCTTACCATGAATCTCGAGGAGAAGGACACCGTGACATTTGTCTGATTCCTCTGAGCGCCCATGGAACGAACCCAGCGGCAAGTATCTGATAATATTAACTGCAATTGAATTCGTCTCATGCCAAAATCACAGTCTGCAGTCATGGCAGGGCTCAAAGTCGTCCCGATCAAAGCCTTATCAGATGGTAGCTTGGACCTGGAAGACCTCACAGCGAAGGCTGAAAAGCATAAAGACAACCTTGCTGCGTTTATGGTACGATGTGATGATCAGGGTCGTTAACGAAATTGGTCTCTAACACATTTATCAAAGATCACATATCCTTCAACGTTCGGAGTTTTCGAAGACGGTGTCCAGGATGTGTGTATCCTAAGCCAATAATAGCTTTGTCCCAACTAACAACGGACCAGGCTTGCAAGATCATCCACGACAATGGTGGCCAAGTATATCTTGATGGTACGTTTGTTTAGATTACGACTAAGAATGTCATGGCTCAGATGCGGTTTTAGGTGCTAATCTTAATGCTCAAATTGGTCTGACCAACCCGGCTACCTGTGGAGGAGATGTATGCCACATGAACCTTCATAAGACATTTGCGATGTGAGTCGGTGCTTTGAGAAGCATTTGCATTGGCTGATTTTGTAGTCCACATGGCGGAGGAGGTCCTGGAGTTGGGTATGGCCCTCTCTTATAATATAATCGGCGAAACTGACTATGCTCCGTTTAGACCGATCTGCGTCGCCGAACACTTGGCACCATTCCTTCCTTCTCATAGGTCGCTACCTCAGGTAGCCGGTTCGAAAGCTATCGAAGCAGTCTCGGCTGCACCTTTCGGCAGCGCCTCTATTCACCTCATATCCTGGGCGTACATCAAAATGCTCGGTGGTCGAGGACTCGCCGATTCCTCCAAAATCGCCCTACTCAATGCCAACTACATGGCCAGTCGCTTATCGGAGCACTACAATGTTCGGTACACGAACAAACATGGCCGTGTCGCTCACGAGCTCTTGATTGATCTCGCGGAGTTCGACAAGTCCGCTGGACTTAAAGTTACCGATTTCGCCAAACGCTTGCAAGATTATGGCTTCCACCCTCCCACTTGCTCTTGGCCCACGTCTACATGCATGTTAATCGAGCCCACCGAATCAGAGCCTTTAGAGGAAATAGATAGGCATGTCACATCAACGTGGAGCTCTCTAATTGTTTTCTGAATATAATTATCTCAGGTTCTGCGATGCTATGATACAGATACGTCGGGAAACGGAGGATGTTATAACTGGAAAACAGCCCCGAGATAATAATGTTCTCAAGAACGCGCCCCATCCTGTTTCCGTGCTTGCTGAGGAAGAGTGGAGCAGGTCAGCTATCTCACTGTTTCCAAGAACCATTCTTTGACCATGATGCTTGTCAGGCCTTACTCTCGCCGAACAGCAGTGTACCCCCTTCCCTGGCTTGTAGAGAAGAAGTTCTGGCCGACAGTGTCCCGCATTGATGATGGTGAGTCGACCATTACAAACGTTATGCTCAACGCTCACCCATACATAACAGCCTATGGCGACCTTAACCTTATTGTGAGTAACCCAATTCTTCCGAACATGAAGCATGTGCTAAGCTGAAAAATTTCTAGTGCGACTGTCCATCTGTAGAGGAGGTTGCTTCGTCATGATAGTTTTGTCAAATGTTTTCTGCTTGGGCTTTCTGTTCTCCTAGATGGCTCACTGAGCCTAGAGTGTTGGTCAACCGAACCTCTCATAGACATTGGTACATTATTAACGGTGCCGCCGTACATTTTGCAGTATATCCATAATAATATGTCATTTCGAACCTGCTTCTTTTAGGTCCATAGGAAGGTTCGCCCAAACTTGAGGCAAATGACGTTCTATGCGCACCATTACCTCTTTTGCTAAACCACTCTTCTCTGTGTAATCCAGCAGCACCCGAACTGTCGCCTCGTCAGGTTGCACGTTTTTCCACCCCATCTCTACACACACGGTCTTCACTGCTTCATTGATCTGGTTTGAGCGGCAGAGACATTCGACCCACGAATCCCAGTTCTTCTTGGTGAAAGCATATTCCCCTTCATTTAACCGCATGTAAACGTTTCTCGCTGCAGGCAGGTCATGAGACAGACCGCACGAGCCCAGTACGATATTGACGCTCTCGTGATCATACTTTCCTGAGAGAAAAATCTGCTCCCAAACACGGTATACGTCATGATGCCGCTGAACACGCCGGTACGTGTCCATGAGCAAGTTCCATAACGGAGCCTCCGGGGAGAATGATTCGAGAACGAGAAGGTCATGTATACGGCGGACAGTGTCGCAATATCTGTCAACAAACTCGGGGGAGGGGCTTTGTTCCTCCATTCGGAGAGCGATTTCGTTGAAATGACCCAACAACATGGTGTAGACGGATGGATTTATGCCCTGTCCAGAACGTTTCATATCGCCAACAATTGTAAAAACTTTTTCGAGGGACGGGATATGTAATCCGCTGCGATGAGACAGAGCGCAAAATGCATCCATAACTTTGACAAAACCGAGGCCCTGTACTGTGTGCTTCAGATCTTCATAGATTTCGTATGCCTCTGCTTCATCGGAGGCATTCCGTATGCGAATTGAAATGATATCTTGGCCCATGCCATTGAGAGATATGTCCCTGGCGCTCATGTCTGCCAGGAGAATGTTGGCAATATCGAGGGCTTTCGTGGAATTGGGAAATAGGGAAAGACCACTCAACATGGATTGATAGATGGCGATATCAGGTCCTATATTTTGAGTGGCGGAACTGCCAGGCTTGTTCGCAGCAGTGAGGTCTTGGTATAGCGAAAAAGCTTCATCCAATGAATCTTCCGTACCGACCAAACAAAACGCTCTGATCAACGGACCCAAAACAGCTAAGGTGGGAGCAATCCCAGCTTCTCTGCTGTCCTTGTAAATGGACAACGCGTGGGATAATCTACCTCGTCGAGCGCTTTTCGACGTGAGCATAGACCAGTGGTCGGCGGTCGCTTGGATTCCGGTGACTTCCTGGGCTTTCATGAGATCCTCGGTGGTGGTGGATCCTCGCAAGAGAGCTTTTAGAACATCTGCGGTTCCCACCGCTCCTTCTTTCTGCAGGTCTCTGAACAATGCCAGAGCACCGTTTACACCTGTTCGGTATGACTCCTTCGACAGACTATCCAACCACCTTGCATCCCTGATTTGGTCGGGGGTGATTAAAGTCGTTGGAACAGACTTTCTATAGGTCTGCAAAATCTGGTCGGCAAGTTTCATCAACCCCCGATCCGCGTATGCCTCGTAGAGAAGGTCTGCGATCCGCTGACTCAGAGGCAGATAATCTTCGCTCATCTCCTGAATCAACGTCTCGAAAATCGTGGGAGGGAGCACCAGATTAGGTTTCGACCAGAGGTACCGTATGAGAATCGCATAGGTGTCATGGGTTGGCTGGCAGCCAGTGTCACGCATGGCTTTGAGCACAGACTTCATGAATTTGAGGGAGACTTGAGGTGAAGCCGATGTTACACACGACTCTAGAAGTAGATGATATTGATCGACCGTGGGTTGCAGCTGGCCAGGCTTGGATGGCATGGTTTTTCAGCCACAGAAGCGCGCTGGACATGTTTCCATTTTTTACAAGACCGCGTATAATGGTGGTATGGATTTCGGGGGATGGATCCAGGAGGAAAACGATGGGCAGGTCCTTCAGAATTTGTTCGATACACTTCAGGTCAGATCCCTGTCCCGACACTGCAAGAGTTTCGACCATGATATGAAGATGTTCAACGTATGTCACAGGCGCCTTTGTAATGATAGGTTTAGGATTATTAGACAACGACCATCGCACCTGGGACGCTACGCTGGGATAGTAGGCGAGAATATCGTCGCGTTTGTTTCGCGATTTCTTCAATGACCTGGCAAACCCTTCAATCTGGTCCTTCGCAAAATCATCGTGTACCTGCTTGTACGTAGAATCGGCGGCGTCACTATGGGCGAATCTCCGTCCAATCCGCTGTTGTCTCGGAGCGTGAACCCGGACCACGCCTCCAGCTCGAAGCAAAGAGGTGCGCAGGGACATTCATGCGGGATATCGACAGCCTAAATAAAGGTGTCATGGTCACCGTACCGCTCAAAGGATTCAACAAAAGTGATATCGCACCGTGAACACTGACTGAGGTCGACAATTCGAGTCCGCAGAGTTGACACCAAAAGGGAATGCGTGAGAAAATGCACCTCCTTCCTCCACATCATCTTCTGATCGCTCGTTTCACTGCCTCTTACCACTACCACCGTCATGTCTGAAAAACTACGAGAATTCATCGAAATACCTCAGCAATTTGCTCGTGACGGGAACCAGGTGCGTTTCCTACCACATATGTGATTTTCTTCTGTTCATCCTGGAATAGTTCCTTACACGTTGCACAAAACCTTCGTCGAAAGGTCCGTTAGTCAATATGAAGTCCTGACCTCTCCTCAACTCCTCTTGCGTAGAATTCGTTCAAATTTGTCGTGCTGTTGCCGTTGGCTTTGCCGTCATGGGATTTATCGGGTACTTTGTCAAGCTCATTCATATCCCAATGTGCGTTGCCTTTCCTCGTTGGCCCGTTCTCCCTATTTACAAACCTTTTTAGCAACAATATCCTTGTGTATGTTCACTGCATCCTTCTCTTATATGCACTGACCGCTATTTTGCAGCGGAGGTGCTTAATTCTCGGACTCTATCACGGTTTCTTCATCTGTATCAGACTTTCGAATGAAGGACGGATTGTGTGGTCGGGATACTTGATGATATCGAACATCCTCCTTGCGTCTCAGATTTCATATACCAGCATAAGATTATACGCTTTCTAGCGGCAACACTGGTTCAGAAGAAGTACAAGTAGGACTGTGAGTCTGTGTAAGGCGAAGATTACTAGATCCATAGCTCAAAAGATTTTGGGAAGAAGTGTTCACTGGCGGTTGTGGTCTCCAGAAACACCAAGCTCGGAACAAGTCCTATGGAGACCATTAGAACGGTATCGAAATCTCAAATGGATGCAGAGACATACAGCTTGAGATCCAAAAACCACTACGGCTGTAAGGGGAACTGAAGAGGACATTAGAACTTGAAGATAGAAAGTGAGGCGTGCTGCTTACTGGATGCCTCCATCATGTATGGCCAGTGATTGCTAAAATCAGACAAGAAGAGCACTGCTACACTGTTGGCGAGTTTGCTGGTCAACCATTAGGATCGGTGTCAAGTGGCACGTACTGACCTGAATATGACAACAGAATATACGTTGAATAGAAGCACCCGTAACAAGAGGGATGGCGATGTTCTCCGTGATGCTAATGGAAATGTTCTTGATATAAGCGTCCACATCTTATAGTATCTCACGACCAATGTCACTTTGTTACATGATGAATTAGTCAATGATATATCTGTCCGATTCTTTAACGCCCACCTTCAAGCACGACCAGCACTGCCAACACTGTGACACAGAAGGTCGGAACGACGTAGCGACTACTGCTTGATCACACTGAGATTTTGATCTTTACGGATAAAGGCATAGAACGTACAGGCCCACATTACTGAGTGAACAATAAAGACCATTGGGAGTGTAGATGTGCTCGGGGTAAAGTTTTCCGAGCTTCATCAGCCATACTTGTTGTCAGTGTCTGCGGTTACCAGGGGAAAAATAAACTCACGATGCCAGCCATCAATGCAAAAACGAGGAACACGAGATAAGGTAGCACCAGAAACTAATGCAGATCAGGAGGTGCTCTGAGTAAAGAATATGAACGCTCACGATCTTAACGCTATGTGGTCGGTTGGTCGTGTTACTCGAGGAGGGTTCTTGGAATGTTTGCCAGATCTAAGGAAAACACCATCAACAGTCAGGACGACGTGCGGCTAAGGAAGCTATGTGCCTGGAAAACAACTACAAGTCCTGCTATGGCCGACCTGCCGACACCCGTTATTACGCATTCAATGTGCGTTGAAAATGACCAACTCACATAGACGGCGCTCCATGTATCATAGCTGCTTGGACCAGACACACATTGCTTGATAAAGCGATGATTGATTCAACTTGGCCGCTGTATAATCTGTGCGGTACATGTGAGATGGCGCTGGAGGGAAGAGACCAGGATCCAGAGGGTAGCTCACAGTATGCAATATGATACAGAGTATATGACAAATGTAATCCAGAGATTGACTAGTGTAGGATGGCGGACGACGCTTTTGAAGACAGCCCAAGTGAGAATGAGAATAGGGAGTCCAATTTGACCTCCCGCTATATGAAGGGCGATGAAAACCTGCCTCAAGCTTGCGTCGCTGACGCTGCTATTCTCTGCATTAACCACGTCAATAAGGACCGCCGAGCTGGTGAAACAAGGATAGGCCCACCTGGAGACTCCACTGAAGTCATCTACTTCACTTGAGGGCTGAGAACACTCTCTACAGCGGGAGGTGCAGTCATCAGTAGGCTCGGTAGCAGGAAAATAACACCAGCCATCTGTTAGATAAATGCGATGCCTTGTATCATTTGTAGATGGTAAATGAACACGCGGCATACGCAGGAAACTGTTCACGTCACTACGTAAGATGAAGAATCTGGGGCCTGATCAACATCTTGATACATCTTACACGGGTAGTTCCCCAAGGTAATGATAGCACTTAAATCAAAGACATTCTTTGCAACTCGTGCTTCAAGCTTCCCGCTACGACATGACAACAAGACTACCTAATCATCCTACTAATAGTAAGCCAAAGCGAGATGACGGTTTTGCCACATCTATTGCAGGCTGGAAGGGCTGATCTAAAAGCGGTGATCCAAACGGAAGGAGTGTTGCGAGCTTGTCGTTGCTGTGCGACAATGGTGATGGACCGTTTCCCAGAAGAATGCCAAATAGCACCTGAGTCTGAGCAACATAATCAGAGACAGTGCGTTTGATCTTTTCTTGATCCGGTAACGTTTGAATCTACAGTAAATTGAGCCACGGAACAAGACGAGGTAGGGAGATGAGCCGTCACCTTCTCGCGGATGTGAACAGCTTTCTCATCTAGGACTTGGCGAACATCTGTCCAGTCGCTTCCAGTCCTCACATCGATCAATTTCTGCAGAAATGAGATATCATACAATGTTTGGATGCTGTTGGCGTCAAAACGATTGCGGAGGAACTGCTCAATGAATGTTTGAAGGGTCCGGTCTACAAGATTGCCTTGACGCCTTAGGTCACGGGAGATTCCCAAATCTTGCATTGCATGTGTCAATGAAAGCAAAGCGCCCATCAGATCTGGGGACGGAACAGTTGACACGGAAGAGGCTAGAATCCACTGTCATAAGCTTCGTACTTCGGGGGGGAAAAATAGGAAAAAACGGCCATACAGGGGAGTACGGGAAGGAGCGCCCGGTGGCGATGGGTGGATAGTATGTTCGAAATAGTATACGAGCGCCAACGGTCAACGATGTCGTCGCGGCACAACTTCGCTTTTTCACGAAAATCTGAAAGACCGCATGATGCTGAGACAAAGAACCCTGGAAATGATAGAGCCAACCTTTCTCCACACTGACATCAGCAGATACGTCTGTGACAAAGCTCGAGTAAGTGGCGAGCTCGTCTGCAAGCTGACCGACAAATACAAGTCCGGTAATATCTGAACCCCGAAGAAGCTTAACTTTGAGTTGTACGGCAATTTAAGGACGGAGACTAACTTGATCTATCATCGATGCTTTCTGATGCGCTGTTAAGAGCGTCAACTACTCCAGAACACAGGATAGCAGCTTGTAGTTGATAGTCGTTACGAAGGCGAGTAACCAGAACACTAGCCAAGTGGTCAAGACTGGAACGCATGAACTAGACAAAAGAACCGACTTCGAATTATCCCCAGTCAACACTCGAGATAGGTCATGCTGGATAGACCGCGCACAGTTTTCAAGAGTTCGGAGCAGGTCATCCAACAGTGTTGTTCTGCCCAAAAGTTGCTTCCGCAGTGCGCTTTTATATTTCTGGAATGAAGCATCCATAGGTCCCAAAGAAGAAGCTGTGGGCAAAGGTGGCGTTTGGAACGAATTGTCTGCCGTGTGTAAAAGAAAGGTTAAGATCATGGGTTGAGAACATGGATCCTTGCGTACCTATCCGCACATCCACATTTTCACCAAATGATAGCACTGCTGTCGAAAGGGATGTACCGAAAGATGCTTGGGTACTGATCAAAGAGGTTTTCCAAATTTCCGCAATTCGTCTCCGACATACATCATCAAAAATGAGATTTATGTCTTCCATCTCCTGCTCCTTCAACCCTGAGGACGAATATATCCATTTGCGAACTGTGGACCGTAGACTCCAAACATCCTTGACAGCTGAAACATCTAGAAACCAACGATCAAGAGCGCCCTGCAGAATGTGTGTTGACTTCTTGAACCACTCGTCAACTTTCTGAATAAGATGAGAAGGGGGAACGCGCGATGACGATGAATCGAGGTCAACGTAAGGCTTATATGACTTCAAATTCTGTGGAAGGAGCATGAAATGGGTGGATGATGGTAAGGTCATTAACAAAGCCTGTGTCGTCAACTGAAGTTCTGCGGGAAGCGCCTTTTGGGCAGGAGGTAGGGAAGAGTCAGATTGTATATGTTCCATTACAGCTGCGACCATGGACTTCTCGGAGTCTTTGTCTTCAAAGACATCTCTGGCAGTTTTGACGGTCAAAGCAATAGTGTCTAAAGCTACCTGAGCTGCATCTTTAATTTGCTTGACAGTCTGTTTAGGGTTAACTGTGTTTTCGGGAGCGTATCCGTTCGCTCGATTCGAGGAGGGCGAGACCGAGGGTTTACTTTGGCCCCACGATATGGCCGTATGGAGTGATTTAGACCGCTGTTCCAAAAAAACAGACAGTGTCTCTGTAAGCGGACGCGAATCCAACAAATGTAACGTGAGCAGGGTGGCGCATGTATCCTACAAACAACACAGATTTGAAAAGTGAGATATGGAACCAAGGAGGATACATACGAAAGAGGATGTGTTGTATTCTCGCAAGGACATCGTGGCTTTATGCACAATCTGCGAACGGAACTGAGATACCGCATCCCATTGTCGTTGTATGAGAGGGAATTGGTCCTGAAGAGATAGAACTTGAGCATAGAAAATAGGTTTGGTACGCAGAACATACCAGTGCATCCAGTCCTTGACTAGTCCAAGTATCTTCCTCTTGTTGGTCATGTTGTATTAATGAACGGTGCACAACACGCGACAGAAGTAACAACCATGCGGCAGTGAAATATTTCTTCCTCTCGATAAGTCTCCACAGGTGTTCTGGTGCGTCTAGCAGCAGTTTTATGTGTGCAGAAAGTAACTGCAACGTGTACAAGTGGGTGTCTGAAGATTTCTGAGTTACGTGTAGATCCAAATTGTGTATGGGGTACCTTGCGTTCCATTCATAGATGCTTTTCGTGGAAGCTGGGGCTGTTCCTGGGCCAGAATGGCACTCTTCGTCTCGTCCAGGGCCTCAATCACACGCTTGGATGAGCGGGCTATCGAAACGATGGAGGAGGAAGCCTGCAGAAGGTCGCGATACCGTTCTCTGTACTTTCAATTACAGCTCATAAGACGCGACTGATAGATACAAAAGCACGTACCCAACCATTAACCGCAGTTCCTCCTGCTTAGCATCAGCATCAGCTCTAGCAAGTTCATCCCAAATGAACACATGTTCGAGAAACAAAATTGACTGGTAATAGATACCTCAGCTGTTGCTGGACGAATATCACCTCGGAAATGGTGTATTTTGTGAACAGTTCATCGGGATCCAACTCGTCTGCTGGAGGTAGCTTGGATAGAGAGAGCTTCTTGGATGATCTGGAGGATCCCCCGCCGCTCATAGAAAGAGGTATAGCATTAGGAGTATGCCCGTTAGCTACTGAGGTTGACGAGCTACTCGCAGAAGGGATAGAGGGCCTTCGTAACATGGTGGCCACTGGAAATGAATATGATTTACGTAAGTTGAGCCCTTGAATAAGTAACATCTGGAGCCTTAGAAGAACGATTTTTTCAATGTGTTCATGAACATAACATAAAATAGGTGAGACGTAGACAAGTAGACTGGCGTAACAAAGTTTTTGAGATGTACAGGAAGAGAGGAAGAATCCATATAAAGCTCTACCGACTATCCGTTTGACCCGCATCACCTATATCCGATTCCCCGACACTCTTTTTACCATTTAAATGGTCCTTTGACGAGGGCGAGGGCATAGCAACACCATCCCCTCGGGAGAGAGCGGCGGCTGGAGGAGGGCGAGGAGTCTGAAGTGCTACTCCATTCGCAGATGTGGAGCCGACTGGCGAGGAGGTATTTGCTAGCCTTTGATCAAGAGCCTTCAGGGCCATGGCACTGTGAGATATCGTGTTTAGTCAAACAATTACAACCGGGAAAAAACATGGGTACCGTCTCCTCTCAGCTTCAGCTCTAGCACTGCCAGGCACTTGGCTATACAACCCGCCTTCCAAGTCACCATGGGTTGTAGGTATAAGATGGAAACGGTTGGCCGTAGAAAAGACGAAGTTTCCAAGTAAAGTGAGTGGGTAGCTGTAATGAAAGATTAAGAGCAGCCGGCAAAGAGGGATAAGGGAGGATCGTACTGCAGGAATGGTGGAAACCAAGATACTAAGGAGAATGTTTCACTTCTATCACCGTATGTGTCGGTCCCACCAACAGTATCGCTGGCATTCTTCTTGTAGAAGCGGAGGTACACCCAGCTGACATACCAGCCAAACTGAATGATTATCCAGGGACATTGGAATCCGATGATGGTCATAACAGTTGAAAGCGTCAGGTAAGCCATGGGGAGGTTCTGAAAACAACACATTAACAGTGTTCTCAAGTAATCTGGCAATACCCCACCTTGACACGGGTCTTAAGCACACCCATAACCTGAACCTGATGCTCGGGTATCAACTGTGTGAATGCAACGAGGAGCGCAATTTGCAACGACATCTGGCCATGATATTCCATTCCATACCTACGTCGATGTGAGCTCGACGCTGAAGTGTATATAACTATACGCACAGAAAAAGGTCCGCATTCTTCGTGGCAACGAACTCTATCCAGTTGAACGCAAAACCAATGATATTCGAGATTCCCACAGAAGCCACAATGAATTTGAGTGTCTCAATGCTTCCCCATAGTCGTTCGAGGTATTTCAAGGACGCAGGCACGAAGATTATTGTAACCACAAACTAGGTTACACTCTTAGCGATTCATCATACCAGAAAGAAGCTCCATACCTCATAGATGCTCGTCTCAACTAGAGCCGATGTTACGAATGTCCATGGATAAAAGATACTCGACCCAGGAACAAGAGTCAAATATGGCGTTGAACCGACATCCTTCCATCGCAGCCAGGCGTAAAACAGAGAGAATATGACAGTCGCCGCAGTGAATGACCGCGTCACGATAGGAATTGATGAAATGAAGAGGAGAGGTGACGAAAGAACAGCCATGATGGTCAGTAAATCAACTCTCCACACCTATATGGATTCAGATGATGGAGCGTCAGCAAGGACGATGGAGGGACGAGGCTTGGATGAGAGCAACGCAGAGCTGCAGTGCCGCGGAAGCCACGTGGGATCCCTTTTGGGAACAGAAAAGTGTCCGTGGGCCGTGCATTGCAACTTGAACTGACACTCGATGTCGGAGTACAGCGCCCGCCCCGGTGGCTCGCTCAAGCTCAAGGGCGGCGTCACAGATGGTGGCGTCGTGAAAAAGTAAGTAACATATCCTTCTTGTCCAACAGAAGCTAATGGCTCGCTCATAGAAAGAAGAAAAAGTCCAAGCCTGAAAAGACTGACTTGGACCGGCTTGGCGAACGGGAATCCGTTAGGGAACGTTTTGTCCAGGAAGATGACAATCCTGGTTCTGCCTCAGGCAGTGGCCGTAACTCTCCAGCAGTGGTCGGAAGCAGTTCTCGCAAGACAGATGCTGAACGACGATTTGAAAAGGTGCAGAGGGAGCGGGTACGTGTCTTTTGTTTGAGCGAGAATATTGTTAAGAGTGCTGTCTTGTAGCTGGCCAAACGAGTCAGTAAGCTAGCGAATAAGACGCACAAGGATCGCGTCAACGAGTTCAATTCCCACTTGGAATCGCTTAGTGAACACCACGACATTCCGAAAGTACGGAATCACCATCTTTTTGGAATTGCCTATCTGACCCCAATTGCAGGTCGGGCCAGGATAAGATATCCTTGGCTTGTGTTTGCGCGCTCCTGCAATTTTTACGTGCGGTTGGGGGCGATTTATTGCGTATACCATGCAGCAGTGTATACTTTGTAATATATTTGGAACTTTTGTGTCAGTAATGCAGTAGGGATAATAAAAAAGGGTAAAAGGGCATCGCGCGTGAGGGTGTGACAGTAACAGATCAAGGTCGGTCTATTACCTCCTTTTACAACTACCACCACAACAGTCTGTCTTGCGGCAATGCCTCCGTCCAAGCCAGACTTCAAGGATCATATCTGTCCGCCATCGAATGCCACACATCCCTCAGACCGCTGGGAATCTCTTTTCGTTTACTCATTCATCTGCAAGTTCACCAATCTGCGGGGAAAGGTCGACGGGCTCGAGACTCCAATGGAGTGAGTTCTGATTTTACATCGTCATGGCGCTGGTTTTACGGTCTCATGACGGGTTTCATCGTACACAGCCTGGAAAATGCGCTCTTGTCGCAGGAGCCAAATCCAATATTAAGCCAAGTGCTTAGTCGGTTTATACTGAACCTCAGGCCACAAACGCGTAATTTAGGGTGAGAACATGTTTTGGCACGTTGTATCAGCATGCATGGGTTCTAATAGTACGCGTAAATGCCAGCATAGATCAGATTTCTTCTACCGTGGCCAATGTCCTAACCGAGTTCTTCAAAACATCTGAAAGAACGGTGTTCTGGGATGAAGATCTCCGAAGGAACGTGGATCCTCTTTCAGGTCTAGAAGGGGGTTTCTTTGCGGCCAGTTGGGATTTAAAAGTGCGTAAATTGGCTCGTACATGATCCTTCCAAAACCTGACCCTTCGATATTTGGATTCATTTCAGCTCAATGTTCTGCGTCAACTTGTTGAATTACAACTCGTCCACAGTGCAGATATCAAGGCCAAACTTGATCGCGCGTGGGGAGTCGCTCCACACAAGCAGAAGAAGAAAGAAAGCGATTCATCCCGCCCAAGAGCGGAAGACCCCTTCAGTCGAACCCGGCTCCAGCTCCTGCCCATCGGACAAGATGTGGACCGCAAACGTTACTGGATAGCAGATGGTCCGTGCACCCTCCCTTCACCTTTAATTCATATATTTGCGTGTATTTGCCAGTCGAACATCCTTTTCTTTATGTGTTGTTTTATTTTTGTTCATGGTGGCCTGTGCCGTTCAGTATCGTGATCTATGATTGCTGACTGTATCCTTGCGCATCCCAGATTCTCCTCGGATCTACGTTTCGACCAATCCTTGGAAGATGTCTTCTACTTTTGAAACTTTGGCATCCACGCGTGAAGAGTACATGGCTGCCATCGAGAGTCTCAAAGCCTCCGCGCCTAATCCTAAAAAGTCTGCTCGCGCTGCTCATGTTAAACGAGCGGAAGCGCAACATTCTGCTTTGATCTCATCACTGGAGGAACGTGTTCCAGCTATAGACGCCGAAATAGCGGTGAGTTGCATCCATAACTTTGTCTTCCACTTTTGGGGAGATCCTACTGTGGAAGGACTACATTCTCCGAATTTTCCCTGTCATTGAATCACTGGACCATGACTAATTTCCCTCTTCGGATAGCGTGCACAAAGAGCCCGCCGAAAAATGGAACAACGATTGGCCCTTTATGCTCAAGCAGACCTAAGAGAAACTCGAACGCGACGCCAAACCCGAAAGCCGGATTACGTGGACTATATTCAGGATCTTGACAGTGATGTCAGTACCACGCTGGTTCCAGGTAGTCCTTCAGCTGACCTTCTTTGGTTTCGTCTTAGAATGATGCTGACGAGTATAGATACCAAGACGATGGCTATGACGAGGATGAGGACTTTGCAAATGATCAGGACTCTGATTCCAAGCCGTCGAGAAAACGCCACAGAGTGACAAATGTTGAACCACGACGATCTACCCGGACGTCTACAAGGTCCAATGGCAAACGAGAAGCGTCTGCGGATGACCCCTGGGGAGGTTGGAGGGGGGAACGACGTTCAACGCGTCTTGGAGCACCTGCAGATACTCAATTTGATGCTGAACCGTCAAGCAAACGAGCGCGGACAGCAGACAGTACCGCCAGCACGAATTCTGGAGATCTACGTATCTCCCCCGTAGATCCGCCACCGCAAAGTAAAAATGGGTTGGGAATTAAGGCTTCTGGTGCGGCGGCACTGAAGCCCACAGAAGTGGCTCTGGAGCAGATTGCCGGAAAGAAGCGGTCAAAGTATTGGGTGTACGCCGTAGAGCCTTCAATGCTTTCGCTCGAGCCTGAGCCTAAGGATCGGGCGTCTACGATGAATGAAGTGGAAACGAATGGAACGGAGAGGAATGGTAATGGCAATGTTGATGTGTCGATGTCTCCCCCCTTCGATGAAGCAGAAGATGACTCGGACTATCCCAAGAGCATGGAAGGTAGCCTGTCGCCTATAGAATCGTCATAGCGGTATACTTCCGACTATTACAACCTACTGCATAAACATTATCTTAACGTACAAGTATTTGCATTGCCTCATATTCATTGTTCATACATACCCACATGTTAGCCGGCGTCTCTTATTATTTAAGCATTCTTCGACTACTCACCAACTTCTCGTTCGCTTTTCACTTTTCAGAATCCCAGACAGATCTAGTGAAACCCTATGCCGATTCAGATCGGTATTCCCGGGTCCGAGATCAAGCGATGTACAATTTGTGAGACTTGAAAGATTTACGCTTGTTTCGCCAGCCAGAGCCTCAAATTTATTTCAATGCTTAAATAAAGTGAGTGAACTCTATATGTAGCAAATTCCGACGAATAGGGAGACTGCAATTTTGATACCTTGATGCGGCAAAGTCCGCAATTAGAGTGGTCCGTACACGTGGAGGGCGAGGCCAGATCTTTTACTAGTCCGTTTGTCAGTTCCGGACTCGCGCCTCTTGGCGCTACTTTTCCCTTTCCTCTTCCACCTTCATGATCATCAGAGCCGCCCGCAATGCCTTCACGACTCCTCTCTCCAGCCAGCCCTTCCGCTTCCAAGGCTGTCTCATTGCTAAACAAGAATCTCTTCGTCGTCGTACGACCCGGCGAAACTTGTCGACCCATGCGCCTCATCCTACGATCCCCGCGTCAACGGACGACAAAGCGCTGGTGACGCTCTTTGACAATCCCCGAGATGGCTTCAAACTGTCACCCTTTTCAAGGACGGGACTCTTCGGACATCCTTCCTTGGCTCAACCGCGGGGATTGATATCACTCGCCAATGCTACTTATATACGGGCCCAGGTGCTTACCAACCGTATTTTACGGGCGCGGGAATCGAGAGACGAGATGTTCAAGGTGGTAAAGAATCTTGATCGGCTGAGTGATATGCTTTGTGGCGTCATAGATCTTGCAGAGCTTGTTAGGAATGCACATCCTGACAGGGCATGGGTGGATGCGGCAAATACGGCGTACGAGACGTTGTGCGAGTTCATGAATGTACTGAATACTCATGTCGGTCTTTACCAAGTGCGTCGTCGACTTATTTTCATGTCTATCTTGGCCAACACAATCAATTAGGTACTAAAGTCTGTTCTCTCTGATCCTGACATCGTCAAGTCACTCTCCCCAGAGGCACATAAAACCGCTCTCATATTCTGGCATGACTTCGAGCAATCTGCCATCAACCTCCCACCGGACCAACGAGATAAATTCGTCTCATTATCCACAGAAATTCTAGTCCTCGGCCGACAATTCTTGAAAGATGTGACAGCCCTTCGACCACCTGCAGCCATTAAGCCCTCAGAGCTTGCGGGTTTGAAGGATCAGGGAATGGGAGTCAGATTACAGCTTCAAGCTCGGTTTACTCAGCGTGATCTCATGGTATATCCTGGCTCATTGCAGGCGCAGATGATCATGCGCTCTGCACCAGCTGAGGAGCCCCGTCGACGCGTATATATTGCAGCTAACTCCAGTACACCCGAGCAAATCTCTGTCTTAGAAAGATTGCTCCGTACACGGGCGGAGCTCGCGCGCCTTGTGGGACGCGAAAGCTTTGCCCATCTTTCCCTCGACAACAAGATGGCTAAAACGCCTGGTGAGTCTCACGCTGTATTTTGACCTGTCTTGTGTACCCATAAACTCTCCTCTCAGATCATGTCCGTTATTTCCTCGATGCACTCATGGATCACACAAGGCCGTACGCTCGATCTGCGTTACGGGCCCTTAGTCTGCGAAAGCAGAAACACCTTAATACATCTCCCTTCCCTATCATTCAGGCATGGGACCGGGACTTCTATTGTCCTCCTGAACCTCCAGCACCACCAATGACACTTCCTCCCCTCACTGTTGGCACAGTATTTATGGGCCTCTCCCGATTATTCCGTCATTTATATGGCATTAGCCTTCGTCCAGCGGAAACTGCTACAGGAGAAGTATGGCACCCGGACGTACACAAACTAGAGGTTATTGACGAGGAGAAGGGGATCATTGGATGGATTTATGCAGATCTATTTGCAAGGCGTGGCAAGGCAAGCGGAGCAGCTCATTATACGGTGAGATGTTCTCGACGCACCGACGATGACGACGAAGCAAACGATCAGATGCCAGAAGGGGCGGCATATGATGTCCGGGAATCGATGGAATTTGAAGCGATAAAGAGGCATCGATTGCCTGGTCAAGACGGGGTATATCAGCTCCCGTTGGTCGTGCTACTCTGTGAATTTACGAGACCGACAATTTCTCGCGGTCCCACGGAATTGGAATGGCAGGATGTCAAAACTCTCTTCCACGAGATGGGACATGCCATGCACTGTCAGTAGAACTTATTTCCGTGATGACTTTGATTTACTCAATACTCTTCATCATTCCCAGCCATGATTGGACGCACCGAATACCAGAACGTATCTGGGACACGCTGTGCCACTGATTTCGTCGAATTACCTTCCATTCTCATGGAACATTTCCTCTACTCGGCTGACGTCCTCTCCCTCTTCGATGTCTCTGCTACATCCAACATTCGCCAATCAATCAATCACCACGAAGATCCTTGCCACGCCATCGATACATACTCCCAAATACTTCTCGCAGCACTTGATCAGACGTATCATTCCCCTGTCGCGCTTGACCCCTCCTTCGATTCCACCCAAGCCTACGCCAATTTGCACAATACACGAGGACTCATCCCCTACGTACCGGGAACATCATTCCAAACACAGTTTGGGCATCTCTTTAGCTACGGTGCAACGTATTACTCGTACTTGTTCGATCGCGCAATCGCTTCGCGAGTTTGGCGGAACGTATTCTCAGCAAATCCACTGAAGAGAGAATTAGGGGAGAAGTTTAAGGATGATGTATTGCGGTACGGAGGAGGGAGAGATCCGTGGAAGATGGTTGCCGATATTCTTAGCAAACCAGAGTTGGAAAGTGGAGATGCAGAGGCGATGAGAGAGGTAGGGCAGTGGAGAATTGAGGATGAGGTCGGGTCGTTTGATAGGCACTAAAATAATCAGACAATGCTGTAGAATAGACGATCAACCATACGATTTGAAAATTAGATGAAGGAAGTCGACGTAAAGACATCTCAGCCTAAGTTACACTCATCACGGTCCGATCCTCCGCGAAGCGAAACCTTGAGGCTTCGGAATAGGCAGAGCGTACAAAGATGGGGTGACCATGGGTGTTACGCAAAGAAGGATCTCATGTGCTGCACATAGTCGTCATCGCTTGTCGACTTATACCGTGCCTTGATGAAACCCCTCGTGTCGTTCCCGACAAAATAGCGCAACTTATCTGTCCCGTCTGTTGCAGCAGCATAAATCACGTCTGCAACATTATCCGATGATATCGTCCTAGCCGCAGACATCCTCTCATAGGCTTTCATAGTCTTCATTGCGTAGTCTGCGTATGATGGAGCCTGCAAAATGCTCGTTAAAGGAAAAACTCGTCGTTGAGTGGTACCTTAGGTTAAATCCATAGGTGTCGCCGCTGCAGAGGTAGCATTAAAGTTTGTCGACGTGACATCCCCGTGGGGTATGACACTCTTCACGAAGATATTCTGGGACGCGAGCTCGTATGCAAGTGCCTCGGTAAAGCCTTCCAGCGCAAACTTGGAGGAACGGTACAAGGAGAGCATTGGGAGAGTGAATACGCCAGCACCAGAGCTAATGTTAATTATTCCACCTCCCTCAATGCGTAAGTGAGGTAAGAAGGCTCGGATTACGTCCATCACACCTGGACTCAAGAACTTCATTTGAGTATCCTGAATCTCAGGATTTCATAAGGAACACGAACCGAATACATTGACGTCGAATTGCCTCCTCGTCTGCTCAGGAGAAACCATCTCGAAAATCCCGTTTTGACCATATCCAGCAGAGTTTACCAATAAGTCTACCTTCGAGAATTTCCTAATGGCTGCTTCGATGGCGGTGCCAATGGATCTCGAGTCTGTGACGTCCATCTGGACTAGTAGCATGCGAGAAGGATCAAGAGATTTAAGCGGGCTGTCTCGGGAAATGTCGCGGAGGGGTGCCCACGACATTCCAGCCTTTTGCGTAAAACAACTTGGCGGTGGCGAGACCTATACCAGAAGACATGCCAGTAATAAAGATCGTCTTGGACATGCTTTGAAGGAAGTGCGATGCTATAGCTCTTCAAAGATATGTGTAAGGGTTCCTCTTATACCACAATTCGTTGCCGTGTACACGCAATCCATCGGCGCAAGGACTTAGTCTGAGTTCATTGACGCCGAATCACGAATATGAGGTGTGAGATTCACACCGGATAGATGAGAATTTGAGGGGAGCCAGAATGTACACAATAAGGTAACGTTTTGGGGGTCGATCTTGGCAGTGAATTTACATAAAATTTGCGTGCTCCCGAAATGAGAGGGTGGCGAAAGTCACGTACTCTCACGAAGGAGTTTCACGCAGTGTGTGACAGGTGTAAAGGCTGGTCGTTGCGAAAAACCCGAGCTACTACAGCAGTACGTAGCTCTTATATACTACTAGCTAATATCAAATAGATCCTATCGGGTGCGTCGAGAACGGTGGAGCGTGTGGAGCGACAACGAGGGGGAGAAATGAAGGGTAAGGACCGGGCCAAAGGCCGGCTCGTTACATACGCCCTCCTGTCCAACGAAGTTGGGCACTATAGGTAGAGTAAGAAATAAACGAGTGTAATACCCTTGAATGAAGCAAGGAAAGTTAATGAAAGGATGTATAAAGTAAAAGGACATCACGAAATCAATTGCGGGCGGTCCTCATGGTGGAATCTCCATTCGCGTCCGTTTTGTCGTCCTCCTTATCAACGTAGTAGAGCAAACCATCCTTGTCGGTATCAATGCCCTTTCCGTGATCAGGATCCGGGTCTCCATCTGCATCGATTGATCCTGCGCTGCCCTCAATGAACTCGGGGAGATCATCTGAGAGGAATCCCTCCAGCGAGTCTCCTGCAGCAGCATAGCGATCCTCGAAATCTTCATCCCACATTAATCCAGCCTTCTTATCAAGACGATGCTGGATAGCTTTTTCCTTGGCAGTCTCACGCTGGAAGAGCATCTGATGGCCGAGGAACCGAGTCTTGTTGTACTCGCATTCAGGAACAATAACATATCCAGGGATATTGAGCTGGTGAGGGTCGAAAAGGAACTTCATGTTGACGTGAAGCCCTTTGCTGGTAGGAGATGGGGAATTGAGATGTGCGAGGGTGTAGCCCTTAGGTCCGTTAGGATTGGTGGGACTGGGCTTGACCCATTCAACGAATTTTTCGGTCTGAGAACCCGCATTGAATGAGGCAGCGATTGCATCATAAGCAATGGGTTCAGAGCGGATCTGTCTGCACTCCGAAATGCCATCCTTGGCGTGAGTACGTCGGAGAAGGTTGTTGTGCTCAATGCATTTGAGCATGTGCACAGCATGAACCTGAGAAACAAGGCCTCCAAAAGAACCGGAGCCTGGGGCTTCATGAACGTCAAACCATTCGCGATTTTTGCGGACAGTGAATGCCCTTGGTGGGAGCGGAATTGCCGGAGTGGGAGTGGTAGTGAGCAAGGGACGGAGGTAAGCAGGGAGCTTGCGGCCCTTCTTGCCACAGGGTCTACGTTCGCTGGGCATGGACAGTGGGAATGCAGTGGTGATGGTCCTAGAGGGAGAATAATGTAGCGGGAAATGATGGGGAAGCAGGAGCACAGGTGTGGGGGAATTCACACAACTTTGCGTACCCTTTTCTATCCTCCTAGGAGACTCAAAATCAAATGTAATGGAGCTCACAGAAATCCCGTACTGTTCTGGATCTGATGGGAGCGGTGAACGCCCCATCGGTAGGTTACCAATGGACACACAACCTAGCAAGTCAAGATAGTCAGCAAGACTGCCAAGCCCGATGAGCTGGTCGTAGGGCATCCACGTAATGTCACCAGTAGTCCATTTAACTTCAAATACGGCATGATCTTTAGCGCCGTGATGCGATAGAATCCGTTCAATTTTCCACTGAGGTTCTGCTTCCGGAGTCTCTTGTATTTGAGTATCAAGACGTCCTGGAAATCTGCGATCATCATTAGGAACATGAATCCGAAGCAAGGAGGAGTGGAATACTGGATGTACTCCTCTCTGGATGAAGCTCGAAGGCAGCTCTACACGGAATGAGTGATTTCCGAAGTCCCTTGAAATTTTGTAGGGCCCGATATACTTTGGAATTAATTTGCGAGCTAGACCTTTAGCAAACTTCAAATTCTGGGTGGATACATATACCAGATCACCTTCGTGGAAAGGTTCGAAACATCGTTTCCGATTTGCGATACGAGTTTGCTTCACCCGAGTTTCAAGAATCGCATCGTGAGCTGACATGATAGCTAAATGCCGCAATCAAGCAAATGTTCGGACAGAGGGATACTCATTCTTCGTATTCGAGTTCCATATCATGGATCGGGGTATGTGTCCAGTATTGAGCATGAACGGGGCATATCCTGTTGTCTCAGACCTGGCGCAGTTCATCGCGAACTCAATAGCTGGCAGTTTTGACACCCAATCCTTCTGAGTGGAGTCGACGCATTGCCGTAACATCTGGGTAATGGTACGATTAGCCTGTTCCGTAGAGCCATCACTCTGAGGGTGATACGCACTGGACATATTCAGCTGAGTACCCGTAAGCTCGTGTAGCCTCTTCCAAAAGACGCTAGTGAACAGTGAGTCACGATCACTTATAATCCGTCATGGCATTCCGTGGTGCTTGTAGACATGCTCAAACATCAGTTCAGCCACTTGGTGGGCAGTGTAGGTTGTACGGCAGGGAACAAGATGTACCATTGAGGTAAATAGGTCAATAATAACAGTTATCGAGTCAAATGTACCATCACGATTTTTAGAATCTGGTAACGGCCCAACAAAGTCAATTCCGATAGCCTCCCAGGGATACGACGGAACCTTGAGAGGGTGCAGCAAGCCGTAAGGCTTCTGGTTGTTAGGCTTGCTCATCTTACAAGTACGACAAGACTCACAATACGATTTCACATCCGAAACCATATCCTTCCACCACACACTCTGGCGAAGGTAATCCAATGTTTTGCTTGCCCCAAGGTGAGCTAGAATTGAATGAGCTTCCGAAATAATGATTTCTTGAGCTGTACGACCGTTTACGAGGATGCGAGGTATGCAGAGAAGTCTATCATCATCCTTCTTGAGGTACAAAAGGCCTGTATCCTGGTTCCACTCGAAGTTTGCGAAGTGTTCCAGGTTTTCTACTACTCTTTTGAAGAGAGGATCATCAGAATAGTGATGTTGAATAGCTTTTTCGAAGTCAAGGCCATTGAGCGAGGTAATGGAATTGAGCAACGTTGTCCCAGTCAAGTCTGGGTCAGCACGGGAAATTTCCGGATCATGGGAATTTGCTTTGCTGGCACTTTCTGCATTGATACCCTCTTGCTCTCGAGATCCACTGCCATCCTGATTTCGTTCAGGCTCCTCTTCTGTCCTAGGGCCTCTGTAGACCTTTGCTGAAGGTCCTACAAGTGGTGGATTGGAGCTCTGGGCTGTCCCCATGCTGCTAGGGCTTGGCCTTGCAGGGATCTTGATGGTGAGCTTTTCCTGCTCTTTTCCATTGCTTCCTGACCGCGTTTTTGGTTCGTTAGCTCGTTTAGGACTACTGTGGATCGTAGTGGATGACGATGAGGTCAAATCTTCGGTACTCCCGCCCTCCTGTGCGCGTCTAGGGCCGACAACGCGTACATGGCCTTTCATCCTCTTTGTGAACTCAGAAGACGTTTCTGGACGCCCAGTGTCAGCGTTGGATCGTTTAGGGAGTGCCCTGGAACGGGTTGTATGTGCTGCAAAGGCTTCCAGGCCTGCCAGCAGTGGTATGGTAATTCCGTGACTGTTCAGATGGTCCATACTGACATTATCATCATGATCAGTGTATTCCGAGCGTGCGCGGACAGTACCAGGGGCGTCGTTGGTGTATATGCATGAGAGAGCATCCGAGAGGACATTGGATTCACCAGGTACGTATACTATCTCGAAATCGAACGTGCTCATCTTTTCTAACCAACGCGCTTGCCTTCCTGTTAGGTCTTTCTGCTTCATAAGGTGAATCAACCCCTTATGATCCGTTATCCAAGTGAAATGAACTCCCTGTAGGATATCCCGATGGCGCAACATCGTCTCAAGACCTGCTAACATCTCCAGTTCATGAACTGCATAGTTCTGTTGTGCCGAACTAAGCTTTGCTGAGTAGAAGGCTGCAACTTTGGCCTTCTGCCACTCATCTCCTTGTGCGACGTAGCCTGCGATGCTGGCGGAGCTCATGTCAGTGACCATCCAGACGGGTTTGTGCTCAGGTGAGTAGTCTAATGGCACTCGGCTGTGGTTATGATGATGCTCAACGATTTCCTTGATCTCGTCAAAGGCTTGCTGTTCAGTGTAGGACCAACGGAATGGGACCGTCGAGCCTGTGAGGCCATGGAGGATTCCCATAGGGCCACGGATGCGAGGTAAGTCATCTGCGAGATATCCTACGCTTCCGAGGAATCCTGACAATAATCCTTTTGATGTAGGAGTCTTCCAGTTGATTACAGAGTCCACCTTGTTGGGATCCATACGTATACCATTATCATCAATAATACGACCGAGTACTTTCATTTCCTTTGGCAAGAAATTCAGTTTTGAAGCACTCAAGTATAGTTGCTCTCGCTTCAAGACATCAATAATGCATTTAACATGCTTAATGTGGTCCTCGATTGTGTCGGAATAGATAATAACATCATCTAGGTATACCTCCATGAAGACACCTATGTAGGGCGAGAAGATATGGTTCATCAGTGCTTGGTACGTTGCGGGTGTGTTACAATCACCCTGCTGGAGAACGAGACTGACCATATTTCCGTCAGGCGTTGTAACCGTAGTTCTATCAACATGCTCAGGAACAACTCGGATTTGCTCATAGGCATCCTTGCCATCAATAATGCTTCGATATTTGCACTTCACAACACGACGCAGGATCCCTTCAATGCTCGGGAGAGGTGCTGACACCTTGCGAGTGTTGGCGTTGCATGTGCGCAAGTCGACGACAGTCCGGAGTAAGTGTTTTTGCTTTCCTACTTTCGGAATCAGCAACATTGGTACTGAATTCC